AACAACAACGAGAGGAAGGAGAAGGAGGAGAGATTTTGAAAGACATCACGGAGAAGGATAAAAATATTCAAAAAGACAATCTCGAAGAGAAGGAAGAAGAAGACCAAGAAGAAATGTGTAACGACGAAGAAGGTTTGACGGAAGAGCAGTTGAGGGAGGTGTTCAAAGCGACGTCGGCGTTTACCATGCGCAAAGCGATGAAAGCCGAAGACGCCGCCGTGTTTGGTTTCGACGAGTTTGAACGAGACTTTTACAAGGAATACGACGACGAAGATATGGAACAGTACGACGACGAAGACGCGGAGTTTTGGGAAATGATGACTGGGAAACGCCGATGGCCAAAACCGTTGAAAGCGAAGAGAGGACCGAGAGAACCGAAAGAGCCAAAGGCGCCGAGAGAGCCGAAACCGCAAAAGTCGCACATGATTACGGCGTACAACAGCGATACCGGGTTTATGATTCGAAAGAAGAAATTCTTCGACCCGCGCGAGTTGAATATTTTCAAATTACCGAAACACGATTTACCGAGCGATCCGTTACCGATCACGTGGGGGAGAGCAGTAAAACCTTTCGTGCCAAAGGACGTGAGAGCGAAAGAACTCGCCACGGTTCCAGATTGCACGCAATTGAAGATGAAGATTGACAAAAACATGGACTTTTCGAAGCTCTCGAAGGATTATTTGGGCGTCTTGATGAACCCGCCGTGGAACATCGATCAAGCTCCGGATAAAGGGAACGTGACTGTGGAAGATATCGCGCAGTTACCGTTAGAAACGTTAACTCCGCTCGGTTTTATTTTCATTTGGGTCGAAAAGGAAAACTTATCGTTGGTCTGCGACGTCATGCACGAGAAGAACTTCAACTACGTGGAAAACTTGACGTGGGTGCAAATGCAACCGAACAACGTCGTCGTCGGCACGGAGTCTCGCTACTTGGCGCGTTCCCACAGAACGTTGCTCATCTTCAGGCGATCGGTGACGATGTTTCCGGATGGTAAAGCGATCGAGTTGAGACATCAGCGTAACTCGGACGTGACTTTAGACGTCGTAGAAACGACCAAAGCGGGTAGAAGAAAAATCCCAGAGCACGTTTACAACTCCATCGAAACGTTGTTACCGACCGCGTATAACAAGAAGAATCCGGGTACTCCGGGGAAGCTTTTAGAGCTTTGGGCGGAAGAAGGGAACAAGAGAGCGGGCTGGACGAGCATCGTGGATACTCCTTAAGTTTAATATAAAATGAACATTTTATCACACGTTTAAAAATTTTGATTTTCGTAAAACCTGAAATTTGCCTCTCTTTGCCTCTCCCTTCCTTTTTCGACATGATGGTATAAAATTAAATAAACGGAAGTAATAAGTACTCAGAGTAGAACAATTTCCAGACGTCTTGGTAATACGTTTGCACGGCACTCTGAGTAAAACCAGCCTTCTCCAACTTTCTCGTCTTGGCGATTAAATACGTCGCTAAGATTGCGTGCACGGTGATCATAATCTTTTGGTTGAACCACGTCGGGTTGAAGACGGACAAACCAATCGCAAACACGTAGTTCATCAACAACAAACCACTTCCAATGTAACTCACGTTCTTGACTCCCATCTTTGTCGTAAACGTCTCTATCCCAAACTGCTTATCGCCATCGATATCTGCTAAATCTTTCGTGACGGCAATTGCAGTCGCAAATACCGTCACGAAAATGGTGATGAACAAAACCGGCGGGGACCAGACAAACGGCAAGCGCAACGCCGCTCTGGTCGCGTGAAAGACGCCAAAGTTCAACAAGAACCCTCTCACAGTGGCAATAATCATAAACGCCGGCAACGCGAATCGTTTTAATCGTAACGGTGGTACTGAATAAATTGTTCCCAAGAACAAGCCAAAGGTGTACAAAGAGGTGATCAATGGGCCGAAATTCATCGCGACGATTGTCGCGCCTCCAATCGCCGTCGCCAAGCAAAACGCCCAAGCCATCGGTAACGACAACTCACCCGCCGCAATCGGTAAATACGGTTTGTTTACTTTATCAATTTCGACGTCGTAGATTTGGTTAATCCCTACGATAAACCCGTTCCCGCACAGCAACGCGAGTAATCCAAGCAACGCTCGCGGGAACAACGAGAGTTGAATGAGTTCTGGATTTTCAATCAAAACTTTAGAGACCAAGGCGGTTGTCCCTAATAAAGTCCCACGAATCGTGTGTGGACGGACAAATTTCCAAATCGCTCCGATTAACGCTTCCATCTTATCCAGCGGTGAAGCTGCCGATGATGAAGCAGCTGCCACTCGCGCGTTGTTGTTGTTTGACGCGCCAGAAAATGCGTTCGTTCTTATCTTTCGTCTTCTTTGGTTATCCTTACTTTTATTCTTTTGCATCATCAATCGCGACGATGACGACGACGACGACAAAGACGACGAGGATATCTTTCGTCGTTGTTGTTGTTGTTCTTGATGTTGCGTGAAGACATTCTTTCTCGAAGAAGAAGAAGAAGAAGAAGAAGTGGAGGAAGAGTGGGAGGAGGAGACGCGAGCGGCGGATGAAGGAAGAGTCGCTCTGTTCAGCATGATGGTTTGTTGTTTATCTTCTCTTTTGTATGTAGTGCTTATGCGCTCTTTTTCTGTGGAAAGTGGATAAACAAACAACAACACACATTCTCCATTCTCCAAAAGACATCATATCACACTTCAACGAGAACAAAACAGACACACGCGCGACTTATTAGATGCATCTAGGAGGAGCAATACGAGCGATGAAACCTTCCGCCACGACGACGATGACGACGACGACGAGTGCTACATCCAGTCGCTTCCAAAATCTCCAACAACATCAACGTTATCAATATCAAAGAAGAAGCAGAACAACAACAACAACGAGGAGGAAAAGAAACGCGCACGTAATCACTCGCGCCGCTAAGAACGACGACGAGAACGACAAAGAAGAAAATCTCTTCTCAAAAGCGGAAAAGATGTTGGAAAAAGCTGGCGTTTCCATGGGGCCCATCGCCATGTCTCTGCAAGAAGACGGGAAGAATATCAAAGAAAAGAGTTTCGACTCGAGAGAAGCCATCGAAGAAGCGGTCAAGGCGAGGAAGTCCATCGCGAATTTAACCACGGAGGAGTGGAAGAAGAAATACGTCAACAAAGACGGGACGGTGGATTTGTTCATGGAGGATGACTTTAACGTCGCCTCTCGCAAAGCAGGAGCGGGTGACTATGATACTTTAATCAACGTGGAAAACGTTGCGTGGCAAAACAAAGGCTCGAGCGAAGTGGACGCACCTATAAGGAACGTGAAAATTACCGATCACGAAACGGGAGAAGTCTTGGAGTTGGACGTTCCGGAAGGTAGGTATATTTTATTTGAAGCCGAGCAGCAAGGATGGGAGTTGCCGAATGCGTGTAGAATGGGATGTTGTACAAAGTGCGCGGTGAAAGTGACGAAAGGAAGTTTAGAACAAATCGAAGCATTGGGTGTTTCGAAAGAAATGAGAGACGAGGGATACGCTCTACTTTGCGTCGCGCACGCGACGTCGGATATAGAATGCATCACGCAAGACGAGGAGGAAGTTTATATGAAACAGTTTGGCGAAGTGTTCGGGAAATTAGCTACGGATAAAAACGCAAAGAGCGTCGTTCGCGACGATTTTGCATTAGAGATAGCAGATATGGATGAATAGACTACTACTGCTGCTACTAAACTTTTGTAAATAAATATATACACGCGCGTGCTTTAAAAATACATAATGCCAATGTTCACTTTGTTTGGCTAGTCTAAGTAAAAAATCCACCTGGCGGAGGAGGAGGAGGAGGTGGAGGAGGCGCCGACGTTGCATGCCCCTTTGTTGCTTGTTGAAAGCCTGGAGGAGGAGGCGGTGGAGGTGGTGCTGGGGGCAACACGACTTTAGCCATTTCGGATGAAGCTGAAGCACTCGATGGTTGCGATGAGGAAGATGGAATATCAAAAAAATGACCAACCGGTGGTGGGGGCGGAGGCCCCGCTTTTGTATTTGCCTGAACAAAACCGATTGGTGCCGGTGGAGGAGGTGGTGGAGGGAGCACGACTGACACCTTTGTTTCAACACGCGGAGGAAGTGGTGGCAAAGGCACATCAGATGCACCTGGATTTTTGCTTTGCTTCTTTTTATGCCTTCCGAGTCTATCTGCGAGGCTCGCGCGAGAGTGTGGAACCAGGTGATGAGAGTCCGATCCGTCTGAAGCTTGTTTTTTCTTCGGCGACCGCGGTTGTTTTCGCGGAGAGAGACTCGTATCTTTCTTTCCAACACCACCGACTTTTATAGGAGCCACGAGCTTCGTTTTGCTCCTCAGCTCACTCAGCATTGCATCTCTTGCATCTAATTCGCGGACGGGTGCTTGTTTTTTCTTCCCGTCTCCGAATTTCTGCTTTTTATTATTCATAAACTCTTCCATGCGCACCTTTCTCTTTTCTTCAGCCTCGCTCGCCTTTACGTCTGCTCTCATCTTCTCAAAGACTTGTAAAAAGTTCTTGACGATTCCAAATAATCGCGCAGAATTTTCTGCTTTAAATGGTTCGCCAAAGAACTCGCTCGTCTTCTTCAACAAGTCGTGCGCGTCCCGAACCAAACTGTCGACTTCGTTCACTTTATCTTCGGTTTCAGAAACAAACGGTTCCATATTATCGACGTACTTTTGGAACATATCACCACCATCTCCTTCTAGGTGCTTAGATGCATAATCAAGTTCCTGAGCGATCAAAGTCATCCCACTTTTAACTTGCTTTAACATGTCGAACGTTCCGTCCAAGTAAAGAGTCGCCGCCGCTGTTACCGATTCCAATTCTTTGTTCAAATCTTCGATTCCTGGCACCGTTTTGCGCATTTCTCGATACACAAAGTGCAGAAGCGATGTTTTCTTGTCAATCGCTTTTACATCAGCCAATTTTAAGAGCACTTCAAGTCTGAAGCCGACTGCCGAACCACTGCGGGATCCAACATTCAAATGGTTACCCACCGCGAGAATACCTTCCAATAGCTTCACCATCGTTTTGGAGTTTTTCAAATCATCGCCCGCACGTTTCACGAGATTGATATCTTGCGCTATTGAATTTATCATGGTTGAGCTTTGCTCTTTAAAAATCATGGACTGAATTCGTTGTTCAAGGCGCTTGATCCCCATCACTTGCAGAAAGTATTGCTCAGACGTTCCAAGTTCTTCCAACTCCCCATTGTATTTGGTAATTTTTTCAATTTCTTTCCGATCCGGAACTGCCGTTACGAGCGTCAGCAAATTCTCCAATGTCAATTTTTTCGGGCTATTCATGTCAATGAAGCATTGCTTAATTGATGCGAATGGCATTCGCACTCCAGCTAATTGAATGGAGATGTTCAAAGCTCGTTTTGCATCGAGCAACGAAACAGACTTTGGCTTTGCGCTGCTCGCTTTTTTCATCGGAACAGCATCTTGTAACGCGAATAATGTCTCCAACTCTTCAATATTCAGCTTCGAGATGGCATCGTCTGTATTCGCATTTTCCCAAATCGTTCCTTCAATGGCTTGCAACTTTTCCCAGTGGAGCATTTTGACTTTCTTGCGAGCAATTTTTGCAAACTTTGCCGCAGCCGCGACAGCGGCGATGGACATTCCAGGTGGTATCGGAGGTGCGGGAATTTTTGGACCGGCAGGCGGAGGTGGTGGTGCTCCTTTCGAATTCGCTTGAACGAAACCAGGCGGTGCTGGGGGAGGAGGGGGGGGCAGAGCCGCTTTTGGTACTTTTTGTAGCGGTTTCGCTCCACCTGGAGGGGGCGGCGGAGGTGGAGGCGCCGATCCTTTTTCTGCTTTCTTGAAGCCTGGCGGTGCTGGTGGAGGAGGTGGAGGAGGAGCTAGCGCTGATGATGATTTCTTCCCGCCACCCATTCCCGGCGGAGGAGGAGGCGGAGGCGGAGGAGGCGCTGCACCACTTTTTTCTGGCTTCTTTACCGGTACTCCTCCGGGTGGAGGGGGTAGAGGCGGCGGTGGAGGAGGAGCAGGAGGTGGAGGTGCAGGTCCAGATGGGGGCGTTTTTGCTTCTTTTAGAGGCGATTTTCTCGGCGGAGGAGGGGGCGGAGGAGGGGGAACAGATGAAAACTTCCGCGGCGGAGGCGAAGGAGCCGGAGGCGGTGTCGCGCTAATACCACTTTGCTTTGCTTTATTTATACCAGAATCGCCATCTGCTGGCGATAAAGTTTCCTCCAATCTCAGCTTGTCTTGCATTTTTTTGATTTCTTCCCCGCCAATGGTCTTTTGCTCTCTCGGAGAAGCAACGGGAGATAGTATCATTTCAGCTTCGATATCGTGAACACCTTCTCCGACCAAGTTCTTATGCAGATTTGAACTTTTGGAAAAGCCTCCTGTTTTCATTTCCTCTTCTTCGGCGCTACCGGACTTGTCTAATCCAACAAGTAATAATTCCGCAATATCTCCTTTCTTCAAGTTCTTTCGGCGCATCTTCTCGGCTTTTCCTTGGATTGCTCTCGCGAGTTTACCCTTCAAAATAGTCTCGATATCTGCCTGGAAAGACTGTAATGAGAACTTTTCTTTCGATTTACCTTCTACACCGTCTGCGATCAAAGCATCATCGTCGTCATCGTCATCTTTGATTTCGTGGAGATCTCTCAAGAGTTCAGTCAATTTCCCGCTTCTCGCCATTTGTATCAAAGCTTCTTCGGTTTCTTTCGATAACGGAACATCGCTAGAATACTGGGACGACTCAAGCTCGGTCGGTAATATCGAAGCATCAATCAATGGTCCACTTTTCTTACTTCTTGGCGAGAGACTTTTTTCCAGGGCGTCGTAAAAGCCTTCGGAACCGCTACTGTCCATGTCTTGCGCACCACCAACTTGTTCGCTACGCACGGCTTCGTCAAGAGTTGTAATTGTAGCGTCGGTAGGAGAAGTTGGTAGCGACGAGAACAGCTCAGCTCGTGGTGAAAAATCTCTTTCTCCGTGCACTTCGCTTCGCAATCCCTCTTTCGGCGATGTCATCGTAGTGTTGGGATCTATTCGAAGCGGTGTTGTCACCTCTGTACCATCCTCTTTATTCGCTTCAATTTTAGCCTCAACTGAAGACGGTCGCTCATCCTCTATCACTTTTACACTCTTATTCGATTTTGGCGTCACATCGACGCCAACCTCACCCATTGCTGCTACTTTAATGGGTGTTTTTATCGGTGATTCTTTTCTCGAAGGCGAAAGTGGCACCTTCTGAGCCGACTTTTGTTGTTGCGCATCCAATTCTCGAGGAGCTTCTTTCTCGATAGAATCCTGCGTCGTCGACGTTTTCGTTGCTCTCCGTCGAATAGCTTCCGCCACAGCGGATACTTCAACTCCTTTCATTTTTCTTTGAGACTTCAACTTTCGATTTTTGGATGATGCAATTCGTAATCGAGCGATTGCTGGCACAGACGCGGCAGTTCCCGATTTAGGTGATTTTACCATCCTCCTACCCGTCGCATCCAAAATTGGTGCCGCAGTCGGTACCACAATGGCCGAAATTGGCGCAGAGACGCTCATCTCACCACTTTCAATTGTATTAGTAGGTATTTCTTCCGCATCATGTCTGTTCTGATCAGGCAATTCGTATATGTCGTCGTCGTCATACTCTTCATCTTCTTGACTAGCGTCTTCCCAAATCGAACCTTCTTCGTCGTCGTAATCATCGTCGTCGTCGTCTGAAGCTTCCTCGACATCAACATCTTCGTAGATTTTGAGCTCATTCCCTTTAGTAATATCCTCACGCGGCGGAAGTTGTGGTGCGGTAATTGTCGTTACTACTTCACCTTCTCTTTTCAGAGTTATATCTTTACGTTTACGTCGTCGACGACGAGACTTGGAAGGCTCAAAGTTTTCCGGTGGCGGTAACGCTTCAACTTTTTGAGCAGTATCGTCGGCATCGTCGTCGTCATCTTCAAAGCTTTCACCGTCTGTGTACTCGTACTCTTCTTCATCTTCCTTAGTATCTGTTGCAAGTAATAAATCGGTATCTATCAGTGCATCCTTTTGAACTCTTTCCTTTTCTCGCCTCGTACCCCTTCGACGAACCTTTCTCTCCGTCAATTCTTCTTCTTCTTCCGACACAAAAGAATGGTCGATAACATATTCCTCTTCGTTTTCACTACTACTAAGTTCGTTAGAATCTTTCTGAATGGGTTGTTTGCGCTGTTGCTTTGCTCGGTGCTTCTCCCAATCCTCGGCTTCAGAGTCGCATCGTTCCGCTTCCTCGTCGTCGTATATTTTATCGAATCGACTTGGATCAAATTCGCGCTTTAGACTCTCACCAAACGCACTATTTCTTTCATCGTAGTTCCCAAACGCTGAGTTCAAATCCCATTTTCCGCCAGTAGCGACTATTTCTTTAATCCACCGTGGGGTTGGAGAAAGAGATGCGTAAGCAGAAAGGCCTCGTTCATTCATCCAAGGCGGCAGCGCATCGTCGATGTCTTCGCTCTCGTCGTCACCTTCCACCTCAAACTCGGACGGTGGAGATATACCAAAAGTAGCGCGCCTGTGTTTTCCACCTTTCCTGTCCGCTATTGCTTCGTTCATCCATGAGGGCAAGCTGCTGTCGTCGATCAAACCTTCCCGGATATCGTCCTCGTCGTACTCTCCATCGTCGGAATAGATTTCAAATTTTCTACTGCTTTTAAAATCGTTCTTGTTACTACTATAGTACTCGCGACGAAACGAAAACGAGTCGCGGTTGTCGTCGTCGTCGTCATCGTCGTCTTCAATATCATCCTCGTTGTTATTTCTGTGGTTGTTGTTGAAATCATAATCCGTTCGATTCTTCCTCACTTGGGGATCCCGTCTGTTCATCATCCCTACGCTGTTGAGATACATTTCCGCATACGAGGACGCTCTCACAGAAGTATCAAAATATATATTGTTCCCGAACTTCTCACTCCGCGTGTTCTCTATAAAAACTGGTTGGTTCTCGTTTTCGGCATCCGTGATGATTGAATAATAGTCTACGAAGATGAGTTCCATTAAAGAAACGACCAAAAATGCCTCGTCTTCTTCTCGCGTCCGGGACGTCGCGCGCTTCTCTCGCGATGGCTTTAATATTCTCGGCCCAATAGCGCTCGCCATAGATCGCAACGCAGTTTTATCCTTAACGAATACACTCCCGGTTTTAGCGTTGAATCCACACGTCGTCGAGTGGACAAACTCGCAAATCTCTTTCAAAACGTCAAAACGTTCTTTCGGCACAAACTGTTTCAACAGGACGGTCACTATATATATCTGACTTTTTCTGTGGTCCGTGGACTCTATGGCCGTGATGAACTGCTCGTATAACTTTGTCGTCAGCAGACAATCCGTTAACAAATCTAATCCTTCCAGTAAGAGCTTCGCGTGCTCTTTTCCCCCTCTTCTTCTCTCTCTTTGCGTGTATTCATCTTCATCTTCTTCATCTTTTTCTTCTTCTTCTTCTTCTTCTTCATCTACGAGTTCCAAAGCTTTCCGTTTCCAAGTGTACGAAGCATCGGTATCTCCGTGCAACACTTCCGCGTGGTGCTTGAACAACGCATTGTTTTTACCACTCGTACCACTCGTACTCGTCACTTCTTCGTTCACTCGCAATCGGTGCGCGATGATTTGGAGTATCTTCACGATAGTCTTGTCCTCTAACTTCTTTGTTGTGGTCGTTGTTGTTTCATTTTTTCTGCCTTTACCTCCTCCTCGTTTGGATTTCAACGCGCGATAGGAGGACATCTTTCTCACGTGTAGATATATACAAGAAGAAGTTAAAGAAGTTAAAAGTCAAATATATCTTCTTCTTCTCCGCCCTTTCTCTTCTCTTCTACAAAACGTGTTGGTTGTAATAACTTCTATCTCTTCTCATAATCATCATCATATTATTATATTGTGTTATTTTGTCGTCGCAGTGAAGTTTTTTTTTTTGGCTTCAAGGAAGAAATCTGTTCCCCTCCTTTTTTTGCTCCTCTATTCTTTTCCTTCATCCAAAAAAAAGTTGGTTGGTTGCCTTCATTTCCAAAGAACCAACGAACACCAAAAGAGTATACTACTAATATACTAAACACTCTTTTTCCTCGGTCGCACAAACATGTTTCGCTCTCTCACCATGGGCCGAACGCCGGATGTATTCAACTTATCGTTCGGATACAGAGAAGAAGAAGAAGTCATCACGACGACGACGACTGATAAACAACCTACTAAACAACAACAACAACAACAACAACAACATTCGAAAGAAGTAAAGATACAATCCCACGAAGTGAACGTGGAATATAATTCAGACCGAGACCACGAGGAGATTTTGGACAAAATAGCCGACGGGCAGATGAGCTTACCGTTTAAAGAACAAGGAGACGTGGTGAAAGCGCAATTGTTGTGCTTGCAAGGCGGTTACGACGTCGTCAAAGTGAAAGTTCGATTGACGATTGAACCGTATAAACCGACGCCAAAAGTCTTTCGCTTGACGAGACAGAACAACACGGGAACGACGACGCTGTGTGAAGGATTGTATTCTCTGTTGAAAGGGTGCGATTTAGATTCCATCGAGGAGTTAGTTTTAGGCGAAGGTGTGGTTAGAATATTAGGCGACATTCGAGAAAGGTTCAAGAACGTCGTTTCGATCGATCTCTCCAACGCGCAGTTGACAGAGTTGCCGGTGGAAATCACCCAGTTCTTCCCTCGCTTGGAAGTGTTGAAGCTGAACGAAAATAAACTGATCGATTTACCGAGTCTAGTAAACTTGAAAAGTCTGAGAGAGTTGCACTGCGACAACAACCAACTGACGAAAATACGAACGGATTTAAGAGAGAACAAAATGCTCCGAGTGATTTCTTTAAAAGGAAACAAACTGACGAAACCGGTGATGGATATGAAAGCGTTGTCGAAAGTGCACACGTTTCATTTATACGGCAATCCAGTTGAGTATTTACCGGAAATGCATCACTGTAAATCTTTGAGGTGTTTGTCCTTAGTAAACGTCGTTGTAAGCGCGAACGACGACTTAACCGACGTGGACGTGCAAATCGGAGACACGACGTCGAGTTACATTCCCCAGGCGATTTCGGGGAAAGCTGCGCAGAAAGGCAAAGCGTTTTCGGCTTTTTTTACTCTCGTGTTCAGACACTCGAGTTGTCAACATTTGCTTATCGCCACCGCTTTGGCGAAGATTGCGCAAGAAGATCCCTCGAACTGTGTCGAAATTGGCGCCACGGAAGGCGCTCTGCAGCAAATGCTCACGATGCTCTTGACTTCGGACGTGAACGTCATTCGCGAAGCGACGCACATCATCGCCGCTACAAGTCAACTTCCCGATATCGCGCAAAAACTCATCGATTCAAAAGTATCGCAAAGAATACAAAGTTTGATGGCGGTAAGTCGTGGTTTCTTCTCTTCATTGCTCCTCATCGTTTCCTCTCCTTTTCACCTTCACTTTTGAGGAAAAGTACTACTTTTATTGAAGGAACAAAAATTAACTTTTAATTCTTTCTTTCCCTATTCACATCAACAGGATTCTAATTCTGCCGTTCAAATATGCGGTTGTAATATTCTGGCATCCCTAGCATTTTCTTCGGGAAAATTGTCAAAGGTGTGCATTTTTTATTCATTTTTTAAATTTTTGTTTTTAATTAATTACTTTGTGAACGTATATTCTAACCAAATCTATCTTTTCCCCACCAAAAAAACAGAGTATTTACGATGAAACATTAATTAATTTACTTATCGATATAATTAAGGTACAGTTCTTCTATAAATATGACTTCCCCGAAAATAATTTGAAATTTTATTTATTTTTTTAGAGCGATAATTCCGAATTAAAATCTTCTGGACTACTAGCCCTGGGAAATTTGGGCTTTGAATCAATTAATAGACGCGCAATGTTAAAGATGAGAGGCATACGGAGTTTGCTTGCAGAATTAGCCCTGAGCTTCCCAGAAAATGAAAATACAGAATTAATTAAAAAATATGCAACTCGAGCTTTGGCTATTTTCGGTGAGAATGAAATCGTCAGACAAGCTATCAATCGGCGTCCGATTGTTTGTAAAGGCGTGAGAATCTTGTGTATGGATGGAGGAGGCATGCGCGGTATTTCAACGGTGCAAATGTTACAACGTATCGAGGTACGAATAATTTTTCTTTATCATCATCACGTTTTCGGTCAATGCACCGCTGTATGAAACCATTCTGACAATTTTGCAATCGGTCTCAGGAGGGCACGGGTAAACCAATTCATGAGCTATTTGACTTGATCTGCGGTACGAGTACGGGAGGTATACTGGTAAGTGATGCTAAATTAGGCAAAATATCGCGCGTACACGCGCGTTTGATGAAAATAATTTTTTTTCTTGGTTTTCTATTTTTGTATTTTTCTTCCTTTTCGTCCGTTCCTGTTCTGTTCTTTTCACCGACGAGTCCTTTTTGGAAAACTGTGACTAACTTTTCTTCTGAAACACAAGGCATGCGCTGTGGGAGTTCGGAAACACGACTTAAAACGATGCGATGAAATCTACACAGAATTAGGAACCAGAATATTCTCAAAGCCGAAAGATAGACAAGATGGAGAGACTTCGTGGAAAGACCGGTTCGATAACTTATATCGGGACGGGCAGCAGAAATGGAGAGTCGCGGTGCACGGTTCGAAGCACGACGCGAACGTGTTCGAAAGTTTACTCCAACAAGAATCTGAAATGGACGGTAAACAAGAGTCATTCATCGAATCGTCTTTAAGAGGCGGTCCAAAAGTTTTCGTTGTCGGTACCATCGTGTCTAAATATCCTTCGTCTCCATACATCTTCCGAAACTACCAGTACCCGGAAACCGCCGAGGATGAAAACCATGGGAGATATGCGATGCCAGGTTCCTGCAAACACTTGATGTGGCACTGTTTGAGGGCTTCGAGCGCTGCCCCGTATTATTTAGCCGATTTTTCGTTAGGTGATGAGAAATGGCAAGACGGCGCCGTCACCTGTAACAACCCAGCGATGATGGGCATCATGGAGGCGAGACGCTTGTGGCCAGACCGACAGATTGAGTGCGTGGTTTCCGTCGGAACTGGAGAGGTTCCGCGGGTTAAACGAAAAGATGCTTCATCTTTCCACAGACTAATCGACGCTTCTGAAGTTATGCTCGAATCCTCTTGTAATGTAGAGAGAGTAGATGAGGCGTTGGGAACGCTTTTACCTTTGATTCCAGAGACGAAATACTTCCGTTTCAACCCTGTCGATTCGAGGTGTGATATAGATTTAGACGAAATCGATAAGCAAGCGCTGAAGCGACTGAGAGAAGCAACGGATGAGTACGTGAAATCTGAAAACGAGCGATTCGGGGAACTGTGTCAGTTGTTGCAGCCGGACGCTTTGGACGAAGAAATAGCAGCTGTGATCGCTACTGGACTCGGCTCTAAGAAAGGAGTTTTAGTCATCGAGGCGCAGAGATACGAGAACGAATTCGCTGCGAAAACTGATATCGTGGAAGAGTTTTGCGCTTTGCGGTCCATTCCATTCGCTCGTATTGATACATCTTCGAGTTACAATCCTGATAATACCGGATTCTCTTTTGGGAAAAACGGAGCCACGAGTAAGAAAAGTAACAACAACGATAACAGTCACGCCCACGCGGAGGACAATAATACTATTAGAAGCAGAAACGGTAGTAGCGGTAGTAACAGAAACAAGACGGGAGGAGAGGAAGAACTTTTGGACGATACCAACGTAGCAATTGAGAATCTCAACGCGCAGTTTAGAAGGATTGGCGCAAACGCAGGTGTCATTCACTTGAACTGCGTTTCAGATTTGGAGGGCATCGTGTTGCGTTGGCAACACGATATTACGGCCATAGCAGAGCCTTCAGCTGTGGCAAATTTGTTCATAGAGTGTGCGAAATATCCATCAAAGCAATCGCAAAAGTTCACCTCTCTGTATGAAATGTGTTCCTCTGTACCTTCAGTCGAGGTGGAAGGTGTTTTGCACACGTTCATAGGAAAGCACTTGCAGGCAGATTCCAACGACGGGCAACTTGGCGCGTATCTCTTTAAAAGAACTATTCCTCTGGAGTATTTGTCAGATTACACGGCGAGTAAACTTATTGGCATGTGGAAGGATAAAATTATCGTCAGTCAAGCTTCTATTGGCGCAGACTTGCTGGAAGCTTTGTTAGATGCCGGAGCGAAAGCAATCGTGGCTCCTTCAAACGAAGATCCAGACAACTTCATATCGGCCGGCGCAGACGGGGACGATATCCTTCAGTTCTTCGCGGCGTTTTATCATGCATTGTACGTTGTTGGCGCGGATGCACCCGCGGCAAGTTCTGCAGCGTGTATGATTCAACCTTCTTGTAGTTACTTTCGATGTCACGTGCGTGTGCGAGGGAGTACGGTCGAGTTGAAACCAGGCGAAGAAGTAAGAAAAGTGGCCACGCCGAAGAAAGCTGCGCAAGAACAACAAAATTAGATTTGTAATAGAAAATAAGCTGATGACACGGTTTATAAATAATAATTGTATAACAATATCCTCTCTCCCTCTAATTCTACTATGCATGATGAATAAATATGGTAATATATGAATTGTCCATCCATTCTTTCCCTTATAGCGCGCCGAGAACTGCATCTCTCCCTCTCTTCAAAGCCTTCTCATCAATCACCTTGACGGACTCAACCCATCCAATAGATTGCAACACCTTGTATGTCACAACCTTAGCGGCATCTTGAATAAATGCCCACATGATTACGTACAACCAACAGTACACGGCTAAATCCCACTCGATGCCTTGCATCCCATTTCCGAATGGCCAATAGACGGCCAAAAACGTAGAACACGTAGTAGCGAGAATAAACGCGCCAACTAAAACGATCGACGGCATTCTCGACCACATCCAACCTTTCGTTCTCGAGTTGAACACGGAGAAGTAATCCGAAAGCGAGATTTTCAAGTACATGAGCGTTTGGATCTCTCCGTATGTCATGACTGGTAATCCCATGGATCGCCACAGGCCATCCGGCGATTGCGAATCCAATGATAACTCCAACAATACGATCGAACCAATCAAAGCAACCATGCCAATAGCGGAAGAGACAATATATAAAATATTCAGATCCCACTTCTCTGGCTTTATGGAAGCATCGACGTGATCGTACGCGACCGAAATAATGGTGCCGTCATTCAAGATGGTGATGGTAACCAAAGCGATAACTGGGATCGCAAAGTACGACGGCCAATCCGCGTTGTACTCGTTCGGATGATAGAAGATGCACGAGATGAAAAAGAAGAACAACAGCTGTTCAGTACACGCGACGCGGTAAATCACAAAGTTCTTCATTCTCTGGAAGATCTTCCTTGAGGTCACGATGGCGGTGACGATAGTGCTCAAACCCGGTTGCGTCAAGACAATATCGGCGGCAGCTTGCGCTGCAGAAGTCGCCCCTTGAACGGCGATACCGACATCAGACCGTTTTAACGCCGGCGCATCGTTCACACCATCACCAGTCATGCCAACCAAGTAACCTTGTTGACGTAACGCCTCAACGATGAGATATTTGTGCTCCGGGAAGACTTGGGCGAAACCATCTGCTTGGCGGCACATCTCCCCGTAGTCTCTGCCCAACGTCGTCGACGCCTCGAGATCCTGAGCCGTAAGCAAAGGAAGCTTCTCAGCACCTAAAACATTCGTTCCCATACCTAACGTGCGGCACGTCTCAACCGCAATCGCACGGTGATCTCCAGTGATCATTTTCACCGTGACACCAAAGTCATTCGCGCAATCGATGGTATGTTTGGTATCCGGACGAGGCGGGTCCAAAAAGGTAAGAATACCGATGAATTCAAATTTCCGTTCAGTGATGTCGCCATTTTTCGTTCTTGCAACGGCCAAGGATCGAATACCTCTGTGCGCGAGCTCTAATACTTTTTCTTCAACTTCTTTACCGATTTTATCTTTGTTTACACTCATCTCCAAAAGCACGTGAGGAGCACCTTTAGTGACGACAAACTTCTCACCGGTGGTTTCATTCTTCACAGTCGCTTCGGTTCTCTTGATGATTGGATCAAACGGAACGTAATCGGTGTGCTCGTACGGGTCCAACTCGACGCGATCGACCGAGTTCAACACCAAAGTATCCAACGCATCCTTCGCCGGCTCCCACCATTTCGCCGCCAAAGCGGCCAATTTCAACACTTCTTCTCTCGTAACATCCGGCACGAACGTTGGCAAATACTCTTGCAGCATCATCTTGTTCAACGTCAAAGTTCCAGTCTTGTCCGAGCACAAGATGGTCATACCCGCGAGTTCTTCCACGGAGGAAAGGCGAGCTACGATTGCCTTCTCCGCGGCTAGTTCATGGCATCCCAACGCCAACGTCGTCGTACAGACTACTCTCAACGCGATTGGAATCGAAGCGACTAAAAGAACGACGTTGAACGCGAGCGTTTGCCAGAAATCGACACCGATCATGTTCAAGTAAATAAACACCAACGCGCAAATAAACACGCCCAACGCAACCAAGATGTACATGATTTCTCTCAACACTTTTTCAAAGTGCCCGAGCTCGTCTACACCTTGGACTAAATCCGCAGTTTTACCGAAGAACGTTTGCGACCCGGTCGCGGTAACCGTAGCTTCGATTTCACCGCGCGTGACCGTTGACCCCATCTTCGCTTCGGAGCCTTCAAACATAGCCACCGGTAAACTTTCCCCGGTCAAAGCGGCTTGGTCGACTTGAATCGGTTTACCTTCTCGTAATTTGCAGTCAGCTGGAATAGCTCCACCGGCACCTAACGCGATCACATCCCCCGGGACTAACAAAGTCGCGTTGATGGTGTATATTTTATTTTCTCTCTTAACGATCGCTTCTGGTTTCAACGAATCTCTCAGAGCTGCGATGGAATCACCAGCCTTTAACTCCTCGATAAAGCCGACCAAAACGTTCAGTAACTGCAAAACAACCAGCACAAGGACGTCGACCACGTCGTCGGGCGAACTGTGCACGTACGCTTCTAAACTTTCGATAAGAATCGCGGCCCAAATCATCAACGGCATCGGCTGGACAAATTCCAAAGCCAGTTTCACCCAGACGTTTTCTTCTTTCCTGGAGAGTTCGTTCAAACCGAACAACTGCAAGCGTCTCTCCGCTTCGAGTTCGGTTAAACCGTCCTCGGGAGTGTTGAACAGAGTCTCTCTGTCCACGCCCATGTAATACTGATCGTTCGTCGTCATACTACTCATATTGTTATTATTCTCCTCGCCAGAATCGCTTCCGGTGTCCGACTTATTGGTGCCGTATTGCGACTCTGGACCTGATTTTCCCGCGGTTAACAACGGTTTCGTTCCATCACCAGAGCTGCCGGACTCGATGTCGTTGTACGGCTTCTTCGTCGGCGACATGTTTGTTCTCCTTTTCTTCTTCTTCTTTTAAAGTATTACTCTCGATCGGAAAGAAAGAAAGAAAGAAATTCTCGAAGAGTCGGGGAAACACCCACACGCGGCCTTTTGAGGATGATGATTACGCCCCAAAGACGGAGAGAAAGAAGAGAGAAGAGAGTCGTAGACACGCGTTTCGAGCGAGATCAATTCTCTGTACTATCGGTGGTATGAGACGTGCGCAATTCGAATAATACTATATATTAAATAATACGTTACGCGAAAAGGCAGCACGCGCAATAAATATAATGTGTGATATAGTCGCGTGGCCAACTAATGCAGATTGTTCGTGTGTTTAAGCCACAAACGGAAAGAAAGAATTTTTTTGGTGTTGGTTGGTGTTCGAAATTCAGGTCACAGAGCGGCTCCTCAAAAAATTTTTGAGAGAGAAGAGGCAAGGAAGCACGAAAACAGAGAAAGGACTCCTCCTGTCCTCAGTAGTTCTAGTTCAAGTCGTTTTGTATACGAAGAAGCATGGGAGGAGGACTTCGACGAACACTCTCAGCAATAGCAACATCATCATCATCATCATCGAGAAGACATGTTGCATCGTCGTCGAGTAGTCACATCATCACAGACTCGTTGTTCATTCGATCGCTCGTTTCTGCTGTCCCTTTCGATGGTGGTGGTCGCACGACGAGTTCTTCTTCTTCTTCTTCTTTCGGAGGAGGAGGAGGCGAAGGAGGAGGAGACCAAATGCGGCGTCGTCTTTTCTCATCATCATCAATAAACGAAGAAGTGGTGAGAGAAGAGGTAAGCAGACGATATCAACACCAACGACAGAGAATAGTACAACGACGACAACACAACAACAGTAGCTTTAATAACAAAAACAGATTTATGAATAGAAGTGGCAGCACGAGAACATCCTCCTCCTTGTTGACGAGTCAAGTGCGTGGATATGCGTTTTGGAGTAACAACAAGAACGAAAGTCCTTCTTCTTCTTCTTCTTCGGCAACGAATGAGCTCGAAGACGGCACGAGTAGTAATAGTAGTGGCGATGAAGGAGGAGACTCTGTGTCATCAATAGTAACAGATCTTAGCAGCAATACTACTCTTCCTCCAGGAACAGAACTTGTCGGCGAAGTCGCGCAAATAGCGGGGGAGTCGTGGTACACCACCGCCGGTTTGATGTACGTCATGGAATACTTTCATCTCGTGAGTGGATTAGAGTGGTACCAAGCGATTGCCGCTGCGACTGTAGTTATGAGAACATTAACACTACCATTTACCGTGATGCAAATGCGAAATACGGCGCGGATGCAGTTGGCGCGACCGGAAATGGAGCGACTTCAAGAACGCGCGAAGCAAACGCAAGCGCAAAACGACCCCGAGGCGGCGCAGAGACATTTGAGCGAGGTGACGGCTATATGGAAAAAATACGAGTGTCATCCGGTGAAATCGTTAGCACCTTTGTTAGTTTCAGCACCGTTGTTCGTGTCCTTCTACTTTGCCATCTCGAGAATGGCGGACGGGATTGGATCCTTCAAAGACGGGGGTGCGTTTTGGTTCACCGATTTATCCGCCGCGGATCCAACCATGATGATGCCTCTGTTGACGTCCGCTTTATTTTTAGCCTCGGTCGAGTTAGGTGCCGTAGAAGGTATGAACAACAATCAACAAGGCCTGACCATGAAGTGGGCACTCCGAGGATTAGCCTTAGCTTTAGTGCCGATGACGTGGAACTTTACTCAAGGCGTGTTTTGTTACTGGATCACGAGCAACTCGTATTCGCTCTTCCAGGCGACTTTGTTCAAGTCTACGATGATGAAAAGATTAGCCGGCATTCCAGATACCTCTCACTTGGCGAACCTAGATTCCAACTTGTTGAACCAAAAAGTCAACTTGGATAAAATTCACGAAAAGTGGGGCGAGAAGCCGACGTTACATTCGCAGCGACCGCCGAAAAAGATTAAAGCGGGGAAGCGAACATATTCATCCTCGGGACAACAAGAACGACACGAAGAACACGTCGCGGTAAAATACTTACCGTCAAATGCACTTTTTAAGGAGAGAGGAGATATGTTTTGAATAAAGTAGTAGTTGTCATGATTAGGACGAGAGAAAGAAAAACTTATTATTTTCCCTTTCGTGGGCTCGTTTTCCGCTCGTGTGTCCATCAAAAGAAGTACTTTACGTTTGAATCTTCCCTCATAAAATCCAAATGTCAGCCTTTACAGCGTTGTTAAACGCTCACGCGCTTCGCATGCGATCGTCGTCGTTCTCCGAATCCTCCTCGTGCTCCTCTTCGTTGAGAGGAGGAGGACGAGGAGCAACGACGAGGACGCGCGTGTTCTCCACCAGACGTGATGATACTAGTAGTACTAAAATCTTTCGTCGTCGTTGCGTATCTCTCTCCTCCTTCTCCCGTTCAAAGAGAGAAAGTGGACGACGACAACAACAACAACAACAACAACAACAACAACAACAACTGGTAGAAGCGTTGCAGCAACAACATCAAAGGAGAAATAATAATACTACTACGAAGAGCAGAGGATCAGGGGTCATCGTTGGCGTCCGCAACGATAATAGTAGCAGCAGTAGTCTTAATTATTATTCGTTGAACAGTAGTAACGAGAACGATCAAACGTCCAGCAACAGAGAAGAAAGAAAGAAGACAGCAGCAGCACAAAGGTACGGCAAGAAGAACTGGTGGGGCACCGGGTCCTACACGAATTCCGTGTTTAGCAAGAAAGTTGTCACGAGAGCGACGACGAATAACTTCTCCGCGTACGCAGCTTCGGACGAGAACAACAACAACAACAACAACAACGACATTTTTAAAGGGAATGCAGCTTTCAATCTCTTCCTCGGACCGCCGATGAAGATTTTTGGGGCTTTATGGAACAGATTGGCAAAGCCGTTGCAAGATTTTGGCTTTGGTAGAACGCGAATTATGGAAGGTGGTGTAGGTTTGTTCATCGTTGGAGGGGCACTGTTGGGTGCTTTGATCGCCGGATGGATTGTCGGCATCTTTAACAACGCCAGGAAGAACTCTTACCAAGCGTTTATTGAATTCCCACTCGCGTGCGGGATTCAATGCGGGACGAACGTAAGAATCAGAGGCGTGAAAGCGGGAACGGTGTTATCTGTGCAACCAGCTTTGGATAAAGTGACGGTTTTGGTGGAAATGGACGATAAGAAAGTGCCGATTCCAAGAAATTCGACGATTGATGCGAATCAGTCGGGATTAATCGCAGAGACTATTATTGATATTACCCCGAAATTACCCATCCCGCAAGCGCAATGGGGTCCGTTAGATGCCGGGTGTGAAGGGGAAGGTGTTATCGTGTGCGATCGAGGACGAATTGAAGGGAGACCGGGGGTTTCTATGGATGATTTAGTTGGCATTTGCACGCGCTTAGCGAAAGAGATGGAACAACAGGATGGAATTCGAAAGATGTTTCAAGTCACGGATGGGGCTCAAGATTTGATGCAGGTGTTAGAACCGTTATTAACCGAAGCTGCTTTGATTGCCAGAGAGCTTCGACCGATGATGCAAGGTGTCAAAGACCAGGGTACATTGGAAACGATCGAGCTATTAGCGGGACATGCGTCGGCTACGGTGCAAGATATTCGAGAGTTGCGACAAACGATTTTAACCGAGGAAAATCAAGACATGTTGAGACAATCCATCTCGACTTTGACAAAGACTTTGCAACACGTAGAAAAAGTATCCGGAGACATTTCGAGCGTCTCTGGTGACCCGAGCACTCGAGCTAACTTGCGACACTTGATACAGTCGCTTTCGCGTTTGGTAGACGCTTAGACAAGTTTTTATACCATCGACTCTGATGACAAACGTGTTGTACAAACAAGTGCTATTCTATATTCTAATTCTAAAGCTTTACATTTTCTTCCTCTAGTAATCGCTTCTTCAGCGTCTCTAGAGCTTCACGCGTTAACATTGGATGCACCTCCACATTTTCTTCTTCGTCGTCCTCGCTTTTCGTCCTGTGTGCGAATAGTAACCTCCTCGCTTCTGTGCTGGACAATCCAACTATTCCGTGCTTTGATATTAACGAATCATCATCTTTCGTCGTTTTTCCACTGTTGAATATCTTTAGCGATCTTATTGCGCCTCTGACTCGTCCAAACTCGAACCCTTCTTTGAAACCAGTTTTATATCCTTCGTTGAATCCTTTTTGCACCGTGGCGGTTCTCCCGACGTCTAAACCGTCTCGATAACCGGCGTTGAAAAACCTCTCTCGTCGAGTCTCTGACTCTTGCTGGAGAAGATTGAACTTATTGTTCGCTTTCTCTTCTTCTCCAATATTATTATCGTCGTCGTCGTTGTCGTCGTCGTCGCCCCAGACGTCTGCCGTTCCGCCTCCCGCGATGGGCATAATAACAACGGGAGGACGAATTATTGAAGAAAATTTTTCCTGCATTTACGTTTTTTGCATGGCACATAATATCATTCAGTTTCGTTTACAAATCATTTACACTAAATAGGGACTATCTAAAACGGCGTAGCCAGCCGCAACGCCACCTTCGTCGCTCGAAGCCGCTTTCGTTCTCAACAAGCTCCCGCCATGTTCGTTCATGACTCGTGCGGTATTACTATTCACGTCGCCTTTGCGCAAATACGAACCGTAAATTCCCAACTCGCTCAAGCTTTCGATTTCGTGCGCTAAACCTTTCCTCAACATGGTCACTTGATGACTGGGAGGAAATATTCTTTGCATCAAGATGTACGCCGGTAAATCTTTCGTATCGTTTTCTAATTTTTCTTTCAGTTCTTTTCCGTACAAGTTGTTCCCGCCACCTTCGCGTTGTGGCTTTAACACGTAATCCGCCGGGTTAGATAATCCTAGTTGGATTGTTTTTTGCATGTTTTTTTCGCCTTCGAAAGAATACAAACCGGCAAACACTTTTCGCATCTCGGTCGCATCGTTTGGCATAAACTTTTCGAGCACGCCTTCTTCCGCTAAAGCTTGTTGAATCTTCTTCGAACCGGCCAGGTGCATGGCCACCGAAGGCGACTTCAAAGAGCTCGATTTCTCCAACAACATCTTCGCTTCCCATTGCGCTTCACTTGGAAAATCGCTCGGTGAGTAGCCAGCGCGAAAGTATATGACGCTACATAACTGACCATCGATGGAGAAGAGGTTTGTTTTCAGATCTAATCTACCGCTTTCGTTGATTTCCCGAAGCGTCTTACGAATCGTCTTCACCCCGATTGTTTCGAATACTTTCTGAGATATCAATCTTTGATCGAATATGTTCGTTTCCCCTTCCTGAACAACCATTAAAATACTAGCGTTCTCGCATTCCATGCACTTCCAACCTTCGCAAAGGGTTTTCGCCGCTTGATTGAGCGAGTCGTTCGTCGGCATGTTTTCTTTCTTCAACTTCATATCGTCATCGATGTTCCCTTTCGTATACTCCGCTAAATGCTGATGCAACAGCGTCACTTTCGAGCCTAACCCCATAAAAGACGTGCTCACTGTGTTCACTTCGACTTGTAAAGGCATTCCCGATCGCGTGTCGAGCATATAATCCGTCCGTAAAATACCTAGCTCTTTATCTAATCTCCCGTTCCCGCGTTTCCCGCACGCCTCGTAAATTTTCCAGAGTCTCCCGGTAAACTCCGGGTCGCTCAGCGCGGCTTCTCTCAAAGTCTCTCGCATGAATGCGTCGTCCTCGGAGACTTTATCGTACAACTCCGCAAATTTTGGCGTTATTTCTTTCGCAAACTCAAACACATCTTTCGGAAACGGAGTCGGATACAGCGCGACTGGCGCGTGAAACACTTGTCCAGCCGTCTCCTTCCCTGAGGCGACGACTAAACCGTGTTGAAACGCCCACGAGATGGCTTCTTCAGCGGTTGGGCGGATGGTCGGATCGTCCACATCATCGTTCACGAGCATACTGCTGTTGGTGCTACTGCTACTACTACTGTCGTTTTGACTCCCTCGCCTCGTTTTATTGCTCCGTCGAAAACGAAAAGAAGAAGACAAAGAAGAGGAGGAGGAGGCGTTGGTTGCCGCCGTTTGCGATGGTCGTCTGCGATAACGATGATGATGTCCTCTTCCTCGGAGAAAAGCAGCACAAACGACGAGCGCACAAGAACACTGGTGATACGTACGAGATGACGACGATGACTTTGAAGAAGAAGAAGAGGAGGAGGAGGCGAGAGAGGGAAGGAGCGTCGTCTTCATTTAGGATAATGAGACATTTAACACGAGTTTCTTTTCATGTTTTTTCGCCTTGCCGGTTCCACCCGTTTTTTTGAAATCAAGTTATTTTTCGATTCTTCAAAAGAGATTCAACAGAAACATCAAGCCTCCTTCCTCTCGTTTTGGTGAAGGCAAAGAGGACAAAGAGAGCACAAAAAAACACCCACACGCACCCACGCTGCTGCTCACGACGCGCGAACTATTATAATACTTGTCTGCGCTTATCTATATATATATATTTGAAAGTACAGATACTACAGGCGAGAGAAAGAGACGTTATATTGCTTTTTGGAAAATTCAAAAAAAAAAGTCAAAATGAATTTCGACGATGTTCCCGTCGTCCGGAACGAGAAGAAGTTCGACGACATCGTCCAAGAGGCTTTGAAAGGAGGGGATCCGCAGTTGCTCGTGCCGCCTAAGTCTATCGCCAAAGACGTTTTGAAGGAGACGACTGGAAACGTGTACGCGATGAGTGGGGGACAAAAGTTTGCGACGACTGGTGGCACGACCACTGCGACTGTTGACAGTCCGATGGCGGCGAAGACTATTCCTGCTTCGATATCACCGGTGAATGCGAACAACGCGAGCACGGATTCACCTAAGAGGACTTTTTTGAAGAAGGGGACGGGCGTGAAACGTATTTATACTCCTCCGAAAGAACGCACGTCGCCGTCGCCGTTGGCGTCTTCTTCACGAAAAGCCGAACAACAAGTGGCAGTAAAAGACAAGACAAAAATGACGGCGTGGGAAGTGGAGGAGTACGAAATGCAACAGGAAGTGGCGAATTTTGAATCTTTAGAGCATGCGATCAAAGGAAGAGCGTCGAAAGCGTCGATTGATCGCGCGGCTGAAGAGTTTGTGCAAAATAGAAGAAACGCCGAGGAGATGCTTTCCGAAGACCCGCTCTCGTATCCGTACGCTCCGAAGCAAGTCCTAGCGAGTGATGATGAAGCAGTAGCAGCGACAAGAACAACAAGAACAACAACAACAAAGATGACGACGAGTAGTCCAGGTGTAGCGTCGTTTACGCAAACGAGTGGGGGTGAAGATGATAGAAAGCCTGTATCGACAAAACACCGAGCGACTTCGCCCGTGGCAACGAGCACTCCGCCTCCGTCCGCTTTCCGACGTTCCGTGCGAGGTTCACCTATGCCACCCTCCTCGTCCCAACGAATCAACGAGTTGGCGCGAAGCTCCATGTCGCCTGCCGCAGTCAACCGCTCTGCGATTAAAAGACAAGAAAACGCTCGAAAAACTCTGGATAAAGACCGAGCGGAACTCGAGAAAGATATGAAAAATTTCAAGAAGCAAATGATGGAGTTTAGAGAGCAAAAGGATGATTTCGCGAGTCACATGAAGCGAGAGAGATTGGCGCTGGAACAAAAAGAACGCTCAGTTTTAGGACAATCTCGAACAGAGCGCGAAGAGATTAAGCTTTTGAGAGGTGAAATAGAAAAAATGAAGGAAGATCAAAAGCATAGAGATCAAAAGTCAAAGTTGACTGTCGATCGTTTGCGGAAACAAGTTGAAAATTTATCTCAGGAAGCGGCCGCATTGAAGTTGGAGAAAGAGCGAATGTCAGATGAAATGCGTCGCATGAAGATGTCTCAACGTCAGAATAGCTCGCAGACACCGGTTAAAACGGAACCAATCGTTTCAAAACCGGTGAAGTCGTCGCCCATGTTCGCAAAAGCGTCTCCGCCTCCGGTATACATCAACGCTGCTCCCGCGCAAGAAGCTAGGAATATGTGCGTGAAAGAAGAAGAAGAAGAAGAAGTAGAAGAACATCATATTTACGAGGAAGAAAAGGTTCCGGATGAACTCTTACGCATTCCAAATATCGATCCAGCGCCAACTTGGAACGATGTCGCAGAAATTGGTGTTTCCGAGGACGTTCACGCGGATGGGAAAATCACCCGAAAATATGCGGACGGCACCCGAGTGACAAAATTTTACAACCAAAATTCCTTTCGCGTTGAAAGCGGTTCCTCATTGATCATGTATTACGACAACGGTGACATGAAAGAAACCCTTTCAGATGCGAGTATGCACATAGTGCGATACTGGTATTCCGGTGTCCGAACGTGGCAGTCGAACTATAAAATAGGAAAACTTTTGTCCGGACGGAGCGAGAAGGAGAGAGCGACCAAATTCGAGTACAGCATCTTTCACTACATGGACGTGAAAGAGGTGGAGGTTGAATACGTGAGCGAAATCAAAGACGTATATAAAGATAACGGAGAAATATGGAGAATATACCCGGGCGAAAACGGTAGGCAAGAAATGATAGGTTATAAATAATACTACAGGTAACTCGCACTAGCGAAAATTTCAAACCCACTGTTGTCCAAAAACACCTCGATCGTTGTCCTTTGACTTCAAAGAGGGAAAAAACAATATTCATCAGCACAAGCACTTTAGAAAAAAGGAAACGTGTAACACACGCACACAGTATTCGTAGTATCACATCATGTCCTCCGCGACGAGCATCGACATTCGAACTGCACCTACCGAACAACTCTCGGTGAGTACAGTGGGAGCTTCTTTCTCTCCTTCTTCTTCCTCTGTGTTCGATTCTAAAACGAAATTTATTCTCTCTCTTTCTCTCGCTTTCTCCGATCTGTTTTTCTTTTCACGAACAAAGATTGACCGACTTTTTCTTCCTCGTCTTCTCCATCTTTGAATATCAGGTATTGCAAGAGCAACTAAAACACGATTTAAACATGTGCGCGGAGAGTGTACAAAAATTACAGCAAGCGGTGGGAAAATATCACACCTCTGGAATGGCCTGCGAGGCTTTGAACGAAGAGGAAGTAGGGACGCCAATGTTAGTGCCTGTGACGGAGAGTTTATACGTTCCCGGGAAAGTAGGCGCGACGGATAAAGTTTTAGTAGACATAGGTACGGGGTATTTCGTAGAGAAAACACCGAAAGGGGCGGAGGAGTACTGTAAAAAGAAAGTGCAGGAGTTGCGAGTGAACATGGAGAGGATTATGAACGTAGTGCAACAGAAGCGAAAACAGTTGGTGATGGTCTCCGAGCAGCTTTCGAAGAGGGGACAATGAATAAAACGAAAGAAGTAAACAATAATAGCAGCAGTATAGTTTTTCTCATTATAGCAACAAACAAAAGACCACGAAGATGATGTATTACTACATATTTATTAAGCGAGTGCGCGTACACGTAACGCGTAAGTGACTTCAGTGTGTATTCATTCTTGATAGCGAAAGTGTCCTAAAAATTCCGTGTTCCCTTCTTTCGCGCCTTTAATCGGCGACACGGTGTGATTAATATACTCGTAACCTAACGTTTTCGCCCCTTCAATAACGTTTTGAATCACCTCTTCGTGCACTTTTGTGTCTCGAACAACTCCTTTACTCCCTATCTGTTCCCGTCTCGCTTCAAATTGCGGTTTAATCAAAACAATCAAATCGCCGTTTGGTTTCGACACTTTCGCCACGCTCGGTAAAACTTTCAACACCGATATAAAACTCAAATCCAAAGTCACCACCTCCACTAAATCCGGCAAAGCCTCTAAATATCGCAAATTCTGTCGTTCCATGACTACAACTCGTTCGTCTGTTCTAATTTTCTCGTGCACTTGTCCGTATCCAACGTCCACGCCGTACACTTTCTTTGCGCCTTGTTGCAACAAACAGTCGGTAAACCCGCCGGTGCTCAACCCGGAGTCTAAACAAATCTTATCTCGAACGTCCACCTCGAAAAACTGCAGCGCCTTCTCTAACTTCAACCCTCCTCGACAGACGAATTTCGGTTCCTCCGCTAAGACTTCAATCTTTACGTTCGGTTTCAGCTTTGTCCCCGGTTTCGTTATTTTCTCTCCATCGACCAAGACTTTCCCTTGTTGAATCCAACTTTGAACGACGTTTCTGCTCAAATCTGGATTGGTGAGCAACGTCAGTTCGTCCAGTCTTTGTTTCGGGCCCGATTTCGCGTACGATATCGTCGTCGTTTTCTCTATTTCCTCCTCCTCCGATGAAGACGACGATGCTCTCGCCCTCGTCGTACCACTCCTATTATTACCACTCCTATTATTATTACTACTACAACTCCTAAAATTCGTACTTTTTCTGTTACGAGCCCCGAACAAACACAACATCAAAAACCGTGTCGTCGTGTGGTGGTGGCATCGTCCCCCGCGAGAGTAGTGTTTCGACGATGATGATGACATCAGCGAGGAGAAACATCTTCCCGTGGTAAAGGTCGCCGCCGCTCTCATTATTGATGAATACTACTCAATGCGCGCTCACAATTAATATTTGTGGAAAAGAGCTTTTTTTGGTTCCCTTTTCAGTTTTTTTTTTCAGGCAGGCGGCGGCTGGTGGATTGGCGGAAATCAAAATCATTCATTTCATCACTTCATAGTATTCGAAGCACACCACGCACACATAATCAACACATTCATCGAGAATACTATGCTCGCGTTTACGACGACGAGAAGCACCGCGCTACCCTTCCAAAAGACGATAAAAACTCTGAAGAAGACTATCAGGGAAAAGGCTGCTTATGCTAATAAATATAAATCGAAAACGACAACAACGACTTTTGCCCTCGCGGATGAGGATGAGGACGAGTTCAATGTTGACGACGGCAAAGAAGACGAGGACGACGATCAGGCGTTCATTGACTCGTTCGAAAGAGACGGTTCAGCGACGAGTTCTTCTTCTTCTTCCACCTACCCTTTACGGGTGAAATCGATCGATGCTTTGAGCAGTACGACGACCCCTCGGAAGAAGACGCAACGAGAAATTGAGGCGCAGACTATCGAAGACGCGAACGGTTTTCACGCGCCGTGGTCGCAATACGAGTTAAGAGTCGAGGAAGACGACGACGACGAAACGACTCCGTGGGAAGAACACATGAAAGAAGTCATGGGGAAGAAAGCAAACTGGCCGTGTTGGGATTTTTCGAAACCGGAGGAGGAGTACGAACCGGAACCAGAGTTTGTTTCGTTTCAGAAACCTCCGGAAAAATACGACGCCTTCGAGGAGAAGGCGCGGTTGTATAAAGAACGCGTGAAGAAAGAAAGAGCGCAAGCGATGAAAGAGAAGGAAGAGAAAATTCAACAGTTTCGATACTTGTCGCAAGATGGGGACATTCGATTGAGAGATAAGAAAACAGTAGACGAGAGCGAATGGGACCACGAGAAAATCGTCGAGTTGATAAACTTTGACCCGAAGGAGAGAAGGAGGATGATGCAGTCTTCAGTGGAGGTTTACGACCCTCGATTTCCGTACGATTTCGGAGAGTGCCCGGATCCGCCTGAAGACACCTTGGACTTCCTTTATAAAATCGGTAGATTGTGCGTAGATGACGAGTGGGAGGATCGAAAATGGATCGAAATGACTGGCGAACCAACGCCAAAGTTTGACGATTTGGACTTGGACAAGGAGGAGCAAAAAGAAGAGCTCGGCTTGGAAGAGATGCGAGAAGAGAAGTTGATGAAGGCGAAAGATATCGGTTTCGACGATGACGACGACGACGAGGAAGAGAAAGAAGAAGAAGAAGAATAAGAGAAGATTTTGTTATTGTTGTTAATATATAGTAGCCGCGTACAAAAAAAATTGTCAATTAAAATATTCCAAGCGCCTTGCGACGTGCCTCCGCGTACGATTTGAAAGCTTCGTTGTCTGGAGAAAAAAACACCGCTTCGACGATAGATGAATTTTCTTTCTTTCTCAATTCAACGTGCCAACCTTCTTCTATCGTATCGAGCTCTTGGAACCGTTCCCTTCGCGATTTGTGTTCCTCGGGTAAATCTCTAATGAACCCTCTCGGAACGAGTATGAACTTCTCGTCCACGACCATCTCTGCTTTACCGCCCGCTCCGGCACCTTTCGCATTCCTTTTATTACTTTGCGATGTGTTTATCCTAGAAGGATCTGAGCGTTGCCCGAGCTGGAGTCTCGCTATTCCTCCTTCCAAGGAGTCTTCCATATCTTTTTGCTTTCTATGTTCCCCACTTTGGTTTTGTAACGAACTTTCGTCAAACGCCGAACGACTCTCCGCCTCTGCGGTCACCGAGAGCGATAACACGTCTAAGCGCACACTCCCTTTACTCGCTTTTGCGTACGCGTCGCACGGTCTATACATTGAAGATTCTATCGTACACACGATGGTTCGCGTGAACTTGCTATTATTACTATCATCACTTTTCTCCTCGCTCAAACTATTCGTCTCTACGTTCGCTTCGTGTTCTTTAAGAAAATTCAACATCTCCTCCTCCCTTATTTTCGCCTCTTCCTCGCTCTCTGCTGCCACGGTAAACTTAAATCGCATCGGCGCTCGTTTAATCGGGAACAGCTTAGCTAATTTCGGTATCATCGCCAGCGCTTGCTGCTTTGCCGACTTGGTCGGATCTACCGAAAAGTGACACTCCTTCAGCGCGCTTTCAATCATGCCGTGCGGGTACGGCCTATTCGTCTCTGGATTTATAGTCTTCTCGACCAATATGTTCACGCAATCTCTCGTCACCGACTCTTGCCCAACTTCTCTTTCTTTCTCTCCAACCTGTAACTCGCCTTTTTCTAAAATCACTCGACATATCTTCTCCTCGTCCGTCGTACCGAACGCCTTCTTCAAATCCGCCTCTTTGGCGACGATGCCTTTGGAAACGTTCAAGTAAATAGCGGTCGTTTGTAACACGTTATCTACATCCTTCTCCGCGCCAGCTCGAAAAGAAACGACCGTGTTCTTATAGCACGCGATTTCAAACCGAATGCCGTGCGTTTTGTATCTCACCACCGCGACATTCGTCAGTTTCTTAATCCCGACTGGAATTGAAAGGCGTCCAGCCATTATTCTTTTATATCTTCTTCTTTGTTGTCTTCTTTGTTGTCTTCTTCTTCTTCTTAATGTATTTTACTCCTACTCCAACATTTGAGGATGGCGGCGATGATATCCTTCTTCCAGAGTAGAGTGGTAAAAATAGAACAACAACTCTTTTTTATTGCGTATGTAGTATGCACTCTTCAAGTTGCGCGGTGGATGTTAACGAGAAATTCTTTGTTGTTGTTGTTGTTGTGTGGAAGAAGAAGGACGAATCGCTGAATCGAAAAAAAAGAAAAAAAAAGAAGGAAAATCGACTCCTCGCGATATAATAATTGTCGCGACAATAATACTAAGAACACACGGGCACCATTATTGTGGTGAACAACACAACAAGTACATCAGACACATCGAAGAAGAGCGTTTTATTTGTTATTTGTTAGTATTAGTATCATTTTGAGTGTACACAAAGAAGAATAAGAGGGAAGAGATCGCGAATTTTTCGAGAAGAAGATTTAGAAGATTTAGACGACGAAGAAGAGATCGTACGTGACATAGTACGACTACCACGAGAACAACAAGAATAGATTATTTATAACAACACAAAATGTTACCGCTCTCCTTGCTGAAAACCTCTCAAGGGCACTCCATGCTCGTTGAGTTGAAAAACGGTGAAACCTACAACGGAGTTTTAAACGCCTGCGACGCCTGGATGAACGTCCACTTAACGAAAGTGGTGTGCACGAACAAAGACGGCGACCGGTTTCACGAGCTGGAGACGTGCTTTATTCGAGGGAATACGATTAAATACATGTGCGTGCAAGAAGAGATCATTCAGTTAGCGAAAGAGGAGAACGAAAGGAGAGCGGCGCAAAGAGGACCGTATCAAGGCCGGGGCGGCGGCAGAGGCGACGGCGGCAGAGGGAGAGGTCGAGGCAGAGGAGGCAGAGGAGGCAGAGGAGGCGGCGACCAATAATAACAATAAACATCATCCCTAGTTTAATAAAAATAGTAGTTTGTTTGTGTGTACATATACGTACTCAGCATTGGTAATAATTAGCTCATTCGACTCGCTTCCTTCTTTGATGAAAGTACCCGCTCGCCTCCCTTTGCGTACTTTATTTGTCAGCAGCTGTTTAAAAGTAAAACCAAGAATTCAGGGCACAGACTCTACATAACATCGCCCCAAGAATAATACCAGTTTACGACTCCTTTACTAATAATAGTTTATCATCGTAGGAGCGATACATGAAACCACGCACGTCATCATGCGCACCAAACTCCTCTGACCGCGAGAGCGCACGAAGAATAATTCGATTTTTGTCGTAAGTAGAGCGCGACGACGAAAGAATCACCTACTCGTACAACAATCGAGAAAGTCGTTACGCGTTGTTCGTACAAAATGGTCCGAGCGCACAGCGAAAGATCCGTGGACGCTTTAGTCTCCGATTTTATCCTCGAACAATCCTTAGAGAACATCGAATTAATACACGAACAACTTCGAGGCGCGTATGATGGAGAATCGAGAGAGGAAGGAGAAGGACAGTTGAACACACGAGAAGAGAGGAATGAGTTGCAACAAACGCCTCTTCTCGCGTCGTCGGCATCGCCTTCACTGCGAGCATTGGCATCTGTCGATGCTTCCACGGATGCTTTGCGGATATTCATAAAGCGATTGTGCGACGAAAACAGAGAACACTCGGAGTACGAGGATGCAATGTTGCTGGATATTATCGGAGTGTTTGCAAGCGCTTCGTGTTCGCCTCGAACGCTGCGCTTTTGGTTCGAGACGATTGCAAAGAACAGGAAAAGGAAGAAAGAAGGCGTGGAAGCGTTGTTACGATCGGTTCGAAATGCAAACGGAAGATCTGCTACGTCGTCGTTCTCGCCAAAATGTTGTTTTCATTTAGACGGCGAAAATGCGGGGATTTTAGGGAACGCGGAAGCTAAATGGCCGTTCGCAAAGGATGGTTTCTCGGTCGTCACGTACGTGTACGTAAATAGCTTTGAGAACTCCGAAACGAACCAGATTAACGCGGAAGCGTTAGCGCAAGCTGCGCAAATTTCAACGCCAAATATGAAGATCTCACCGACGGCGGCACAAGTTTTAGCATCCGCTGCGGCTGGAAGTAAGGTAGAGTACATGCCGCGACTTTTCTCGTTGCTTTCGAGCGAGGGGTCTTCGGGGTACGAGAGTTATTTTCATAAGAACTACTTAATATTCGAAGCTCAAGGAGAAAAAGGCGAAAGGATTACGCTCCCATTCTCGCACCAGTTTCAGTTGAAAACTTGGCTATGCGTTGGCGTGGAGTACTCCGTGAAAAGAGAGATGGCATCGTTGTACATCAACGGGAAGCTCGTCGAGACGCACTCGATGAAACTACCTAAAGTAACGAAACCGCTTGGTTTTTGTTGTCTGGGAACAAACCCTCCCGCAGCAATGGCTGGTATGCAAGATAAGAGAAGACAGTGCGCTTTATACGCTGAGCTTGGCCCCGTGTATATCTTTAGAGATGGACTTGGAACGCAGGCTTTCAAGAAACTATACGAACGCGGGGGGGATTACGTGCCATGTTACGTTGGTCAATATCGAGATTCACTTTTGACTACAGCTTTGAGTCAATCCATAATTGGTGGTCATAGTAGTGGTGGTGGTGAAAATAATAGTACTTATCATCATCACGAAAGCAGTACTGATCCATTTGCGCGAACGGCAAGTGGCAACGTCGCCACATCTACTGCTCCCACAACTACCGAGGGTGAAGAAGATGAAGCGGAGATATTCGACAAGTCGCTATCGCCAAAACTTTTGCAACTGTTCCATCCTTCCGTATCAAAGTTGAACATTAAATCTGTTACGAACCTTGCGCCCTCTGGGTCTAGCAATGCGGGCCGGAAAGGGATTTTGATCGGAAACACAAAGGTATTCAAAAGAGATTTGATTCGTGATTCGATGTGGGAGAATTTCCAACCGGGACCGTGTGAAATGTTAAGACTTTTGTTGGATGAAGAAGGAAAAGAGGATAATCGCATCGTTGATAAGTCAAACGCGTGCCTCATTCTTCAAGTCATGGTCGAGTTAGCTCGAAGTCATTCTCAAAACGTTCAAGCTATGGCAAGCATGAATTTGGGAAGACTCCTTTCTCAAATACTTCCCAGACTATTCCAGGAGACACCAAACGAGGATAGTTTGCACGTCGAAATATGTAAGTTACTCGGTAAACTTCTCGTCATCTCCAGAGAACACGACGGCTTGTACGATGAAATGCTCGCGTCTCTTTATTTGACGCTCAAACCATACGCTCAAACTGGTTGTTCTTCAAATGGTATCGTTGAAGTGTTGCGCTCGTTAAATGCGGAAGCGCACGCAAACGCAAGCGCACTTGTGAAATTAAACGGTTTACAGATGCTCCTAGATACTGGCTGGGACAACATTGAGATGCTTAGATCCAATGAAGATATCGCAGAAGAGCTTACTCTTTCGCTCTTTGTGATTGTTTCCGCGGGAGATGCGATTGAAGCGTCAAAAATTCTTCTCGAATTCATCAGTGCTTTCGATGGTACTCAAGGGTACTCACTCATCATCTCGAAAGGATTGAAAGCTTTAAATAGAGCTGTTCACGCGTTGAATCATTCTTTCAGGAGTGTATTCACCGAGAATTTCATTGGTCAGGGTGGCATTGAAATTTTAATGCGGTTGCTCCGAAAAGTTGCCATGAAAAATGAAGAAGATGGAACATCTCGCGACGAAGAGAAATACGGCACTGAATCTGAGATAATCGCCGATGTCATTTTGATCACCGGTCATTTAATGAATGGTGGCTTCCTAAATATTAACGATTTGACTTCTGCGAAAGCAATAAATGAAGAAGGTAGCGTCACGGCTTCACAGGTAGTTCGTTCAATCAGACATACTCTTCGATCAAATCCTTGTATGCTTTTGAACGAATCCGTATTTGACGCTTTACTTTCGATTTCGTTGGCGACGAAGATTAATCATCTCGAGGACATAATGGCGGCCAACGTACCCTCGGTAAAGAACGAATTGATGTTTGACGCCCTTCTTGAATCGTTACCGTACTCGAAACCAAGTGTTCGTAAGAGAGCTTTGGATGCTTTCATTCTTTTGGCGTGTACAAAGGCAGAAAACAGAGACACTTTAGTTTCTACGCTGGAATTCCCGGAATGGATCGTCCTGCTACTTATTCGCACGAAAATTAACAGTGATAATGAAGACGATACCATCAAAGTTGGTATTGATTTACTTGACATTCTTTTACATCACGCGTTGAGAGCCTCGCGTGATGGTGCTTTTGTTCTCGAAATTTTGTCGAAATCTTTCAAGACGACCGGTGAAGCTAATGCGAAATCGATCGAGCAGAAAGTACTGACGAATCTGCTTTCGTTTGTTTTTAAAGAACTCAGAGGCTTTAATAAGCTCGGCATTTCGGAAAATTCCCTCGTCATGCGCGATAACGGCTTGAAATTATTATCAGTCGTGGATACACACTTGCATCGCATTGGGACTGATTCAGAAGCGAGTGATGAAGATTCCAAGAAAATGGCCGATATGTACGCAGAAATTCGTAACATTCTCGGTACCGCAACAGATGTATCAAAAAATAGTGACTCAAGTGGTCATGTTTCTGCGGAAGAGCGATGGAATGCGTACAAATCTTTGCGAAGCACGAAAGAGAAGGCGTATTTAGCGTTTGTCCAGGACTGGGTAGAAAACGATTTCGAAAATCTTCCGTTGTCCAAACGATGTCTCGAAATTGAGCGGAGAGAACTAGCCCGTCGCGAATTTGTGCGTTCGATGCGCATCAAGTACGAACGAGAAAGCTTGAAGATTCTCAGTGAGTTTGAAGGCGGAGATTTTGCAAATTTCCCGTGGGAGGTTGACCCGATTGAGACTGGAAAGAGAAGACGTTACATTTTAAGAAGAATGAAGGAACCTCCGAAACGAGAACAAAACAAAAAAGCCATGGAAGAACTTCCTTCGATAACGTTACCAAAAGCAGTGAACAGAAGAGAGAGTTTAGACTTTGACAGCGAAGAAAAGATGATTCAGGAGGTACAGGAGGAAGAAAAAAAATTGGAAAAGAAGAACGCGAGGGAACAAAAAGGAGCTCACACTGATGCGACGCGCCTCGCATATAAACTCACCAACTCGATGGTTCTCAGCGACGAACCAGTTTTCAAAAACGATGAAGCTACGATGGTGACGCCGTTAAAAACGTTTCGCGGTTCGTTAATTCTCACTGAAGATTGCATATCGTTTACAGGAAAAGATACCGAAACCGGTATCGAACACTCATGGATTCAGAAACTCGATGAACTTCATCAGGTACAATCGAGGCGATATTTGTTACAGAGAAGCGCTCTGGAGTTTTTCTTTTTATCTCGAGAGACGTACTTTATCGATTTCGGGTCCTCCGAAGAAAGGAAGAACATCTACAAATGTTTGATTCGAATGAAACCGAAAAACTTCGTCCCTCTCTACCTCGAAGCTTCAAACCCGGAGGTTTTGATGCGGAAGAGCGACATCACTTCGCGATGGATTCGACGCGAACTATCAAATTTTGATTATATCTTAGCTTTGAATACGCTTGCTGGGCGCAGTTATCTAGATATCACTCAGTATCCTGTCTTTCCTCACGTCATCGCGGATTATGAATCGGACGTGTTGGACTTGAACGATCCAAAGACTTTCCGAGATTTATCAAAACCCATCGGAGCGCTGAATCCGAAAAGACTCAACCAAGTCAAAGAGAGGTACGATGCGCTGAAAGATGATCCGGAAATCCCACCGTTTCATTACGGTTCCCACTATTCGTCCGCTGGAGTCGTGATGTTCTATCTCCTAAGACTTGAGCCATTTACAACTTTGGCATACAATTTGCAAGGCGGGAAATTTGATCACGCGGATAGACTTTTCACTGGCGTCGAATCCATGTGGAAGTCTGTTTTAAATGATATCTCAGATGTGAAGGAACTCACGCCTGAATTTTTCACCATGCCTGAGATGTTCTTAAACTTGAACAATTGCGATTTTGGCACCACGCAAAAAGGTGAAAAAGTCGGAGATGTCAAACTTCCAAAATGGGCAAGCAACGCGGTTGATTTTGTTGCAAAGCAAAGAGCCGCTTTAGAATCTGAACACGTGTCTAAGAATTTGCACACCTGGATTGATCTCATATTTGGATTTAAGCAGCGCGGTGCAGAAGCAGTCAAAGCAACGAATGTTTTCTATTATACGACGTATGAAGGAAACGTAGACGTTTCAAAAATCACAAACGCGACCATGCGACGCGCTTTGCAAGACCAAATTGAGAACTTTGGGCAAACACCGAGTCAACTACTGAACGTGCCACATCCTGCACGACAGCGAGCACACGATACGTTGAGCGGATCTCATTGGTTATTCGAACGACCCGGCGTCGTTGGAAAGTATCGATTGAAAACGAACGAAACGCAGGCTATTGCAAGCGTATCGAGTTTTGGGAACAATTTACTCGTAATCAACGCAAAGTTGGAAATTGCAAAACATCAGTTTAGTCCAAATATTCCAGATGGGACGTCGAACCCATTCACATTTGTCCCGTCTAAAAGAAGACCGGTAGCGTCGTCGAATTCTACGTCGTCATCATCTGGCGGAGGATTGTTATCGTCGACGCTTCTTTCCAAGTCAACTTCGCTCATCGGTGGATTCTTTGGTTTTCCTCAAAAGGCTATGAATGTTTTAGAAACAATCTTAGATGAAAGCACGAGCGAAAGAAAACCAATGTGTGTAACAGCAGACGGAAAGAGAATATTCTTAGGAGGTAATATTGATAATTCGGTTCGCATATATTCCGGTGATCCAAACGGATGCCGATTAGAGTGCATGCGAAAAGTATACGGCGGGATTGTGACATCTTTGGCACTGGCGTGCGACGACCAAATATTAGTTGTTGGCTCCGTCGATTCCACAGTTTCGCTTTGGCTGGTTAAATACCCAAGCACCAAAACAAATTTGGATAACATTCGCGAAGGTTTACGCGATAACATCGCGATGATGCGTGTCGAAGCCAACAGCATATTCAACGAAGGATCGACAGTCTTGGAAGTCATTCATCGCAGAGAATTCGAGACGTTTGGAAATAACTTTGACGCGGCTTCAGGTAATGATGCCTATATCGTCGGTACACAACCGGTGCGATACTATCGCGGACACGGCGCAAGAATAGACGCAGTTTCGGTTTCCGCAGATTTGAATGTTATCGTGGCAACCTCGAAGACGAATGGGACATCCATTTTTCGTCTGATGACGAACGAAGTACTCACGAACGTTTCAGCTCTCAGAGGAGAGATGAATGTCATCACTCCTGATGGCATCATTATAGCGTGGGAAAGAGAATCACACACTTTACGAGCGTGCACTCTGAACGGACGTATCGTCGCCGAGAGACCATTAAAAGATCTCATCCCGCTTGTAACTTCTTTAGCGTGGAGTCGATCGGGCGAATACGTAATCGTAGGAACTGAAAAGAAAACTGCATCAGTAGCACAAGCAGGAGGAGGAGGGAATGGTGGAGTTTGCTTGTTTGCCTTGCCGTGGCTCTCTTTGTATAACACGTGGGCGTTAGAGTTTGCAGTCACATCGCTAACGCTTACAAGCGACGAGACGAATATCATCGTCGGTCTCGAAAATGGAGAGATAGTCATCTTGGCGAACCCAAGTTTATCGCTTAGATTGGTGGACAACTTATTACAATCAGGTTGGGTTTCTGGATTGTAAAAGCACCACAATAATAGTTAGTACGGTAGCATTGTTAGACATAGAGAATTAATAAACATGCGCACGTCATTAGAAGTAGTAGTATGTATACAATATTGAAGCGGCTAAATCTAAGAATTCTTTCTGTTTGTGGCGTGACGCCTCGCGAAGGGAAGATGGCCAGGAATTTCGATCGACTGATGAGAACTCAGCGTGTACTCTTTCGCTATTGAAGGTTTCGAAAGTCTCAGATTAACAAATTCTTCTGATTGACTGACAGCTGCCCAATCACCTTGCGCGCATCTCACTGCGGCTTGCCACAAAGTCAAATCGCGAATTTCATACGCCAAACACGCTGCAGAAGCTGCCAAGTTTGGGTTCATCTCCGTCCGTAACCGGTGTAAGCAGTAGTTTGGTAAACCATCGATTCCGAACTTCATCGCAAGTCGATACACGTCCGCTAAAATCTCCTGGCTCGGTTGGACTGGAATTTCATAAATCCATCGCAACGTGGCAATCAAAACTGGAACTTGCGTATCTCTAAGAACGATAATTTTAACATTCATTCGCTCTTCGGGCGTCACGAATTTCTTCATTCCGTAGGAGAAAGCGACTATTATAAAATACAAAATTTGAATCATCGCGGCGATGATACCATTGAACACGGTTCCGTCTTTCTGGAGCTTCACAACTGCTTCCACCTCCCTGTTCAAAGCCATCCCAACCTCTGAAGCGTTTAAAACGCGTTTCAAATAGTCAGAGTGTTCGCTCAAAACGTCCGCGTGCGCGTGCACTTTAATATCATCGATGACAAACTCGACGTTACCAACTTCGTGATAGCCACACTTTGGAGCGTGTAAAGACTGACCGAAATGTCCTCCAGATCTGTTTGTGATACCTTTACTGTTGAGTTGCGCGAGGACCTTGGCTTCGAGCGCGGCATTTCGAGAGGCGGCAAAACTACCCCCTCGCTCGAAAGACTCGTCCAAATCCTCGCTAAACGAACCAGTCGTCTCATTTTCGTTGAAAGAGTAATTCATTTCGCTATTATCGCCTCCACCTAAACCACCTCCACCACTGTAAAGAGTTCCACCGAATTCAGATTTCCCCGAGTTTGCGACTTCTAAATTCCAATGTCCATAATTTTCTGCGTCGCGGTCGACGAGAAATTGTTCCTCTTCATCTTCTCCGAGAGGAAACGGTAGCAAAGCTTCTAAATTAATCGCAATACACGCACTCACGTCTTTATTCGATACTTTCGTGGACGAACTTCTCGCGCCGTGAAACATGACTAAAGCGCCGTCTATGCACGTCCCGCAGTGTCCAAATCTCGGGTCTGTGTCTGCTATGGGATCGAGTCTCGCCCACTCGGCGGTTGGGAAATGGAAACAATACGCGTCACCGAGAACGACGACGTTACCGTCGTCGCTCAAGGATCGACCACCGTGGACGATCCAATTATTCCCAAACTTTGAGGCAACGTAAGAGGTTCTCGACGAAGGCACGTCGGATTCGTTGTTGTGCGCTACTTTTGTCCATCGAGGTACCTTCGCTTTACCATCCGATGATGTTTGCCCGCCTTCTAAAATCCAGACGGACATACCGGCGTCCATGTTCGAGGAAGCCAAAGATTCCGTGCTCGCCCGTCTCGAGAGTACCAGAGATTGTTCGATTTGCTGTTGAGAAGAAGACCCGATGAGTTGCGCCGCCGATTGCGTCTCATCCACCGCGATGAGTCCGCCCATCGACGACGAAGAGTGTATATTCTGCATGCTGCTGCTCATTTGAGAGCCACCGGCAGTCGCGGAAGACGGCATGGACGGACTCAACACGTGCAACACAGAATCTACCGCCGTTAAAGCGCACCCTTCTCCACCGCTCGGCCCTCCATGCCTGCTCTCGATGTGCAACCACTCTCTCTCGGCGATATCAAACCCATACAAATCTTCGAAACTTTCCACATTCAATCCGGGCCTGGCGTCTTTACCACCGAAAATAAACAAAACGTTCTCGGAAACGCACGCGCAGTGCCCAAACCTTTCTCTGGGCGCCTCCCCGATGGCATCCAACGGCGACCACGTCGCTCGAACAAAGTCAAACACCCAAAGGTCGTTCATCGCGCCGTATCTCCCTTGACCGCCGAAAACATACATGTAATCCCCGCTCATCGTCGCCGTGTGTCCGTATCTCCCCGGCGGCACGTCCGTTTTCATGTTTTTATTCTGCGGCGTCACCTCTCGGTTTTCGCCTCTGCCGGACCATCTCGTGATGGAATCGACAAACTCTCCGTATTCGCCGAGACCGCCGTAGGTATACAACTCGCCTTCCCAGACGACGCACGTGGACCCGTGCAAGAACGTCGTCTCCGCCGCGGGGTCCACAACAACCCCACTGCTGTTACTTTTTTTCTCTTTCATCGATCCTCCTCCTCCTCCTCCTCCTCCTGTCGTGGTATTTGTGGTTGGTGAGAAATCGTCGATCTGCTCGGCCGCGTCGATGTTGGTGCTCGTCATCCCGCCTCTTCGCGGTGAAGATGACACGTTGTTGTTGTTGTGTGATGGTACTACTCCTACGAGTAGTCGTAATCAAAATCAATCCCAAAACCAAACACACGCAACGAAATTGTGAAATCAATCCGCTCTCTCTTTCTGTCGTGTTATTCCCGTCGTCTCGCGCTCCTCCTGCGCATCATCAGTATCGATCGTCGTCTGAATCGTCGTCGTAAAGTCAAAAACAAGTAATAAGAGAGAGATACAACGAGAGAGAAGAAAGAGACCGCCTCGAAGAAGCTCGCTTGAAAAGAGATTTTTGTTTCTTTCCTTTTGTTGTGTTCTTGCGGTATTTTAATACGGCACGCGGGGTCTCATTTTTTTTTCACTTTTGCGGAAAACAAACGTTTGAAAAACTCTCTTTTTTCCGCAATTTCGCTCTTCATATCTTTTCCCTCTCTGCGCTGGATAACTACTGTACCTGTAACGCGCGCTTTTATTGGTGCTTCTTTGCTGAGTACTCATTGTTTAGCAGACACACGGAGAGAGATCTTTTCTCGTTTTAGTAATAATATAATAATAGAGTATAATAAGAATGAAAGAGACGGACAGATTGTTGTCGAACGGGGAGGCGACCACCATTATTGACGAGGACGCGGGTGGAGAAGGGAAATCAAAAATGTACGGAAGAATGGTGAAGACCGCAGGTATCGCGTCGCTCTTCTTACTCGCTGTAGCGGGAAAGAGGAATTATTACGACGACGATAAAGATATCGGTGGTGGTTTTGTTTCTTCCATGCTCTCGAAAGAAGACCAAGGTTTAGTAGATTCATCGAAGGCAATCTCGTCGTCGTCGTCGTTCAAGATTCTCAGCCAGTTGGGTGTTCAGCCGATTTCAAAGGTGAAATCTGGCGGTTTAATTGGAGGACAACAACAAGAACCGCAAATGATTTTAAAGTCCGAGTTCGCCTCCATGGACGATGACGAGCGATATTCGAAAGAATACATTCCGTACTCGATGATAACGCCGGAGCTTGGGAACTGGGGGCAAAGCACGAACACGGAGGAATACAAACGAGACATCAAAGCTTCGTTCGACCCGGAATCGTTGGGTTTGCCGAGACAGTTTGACGCGAGGAAAGAATGGGCCGAATGTAAAGGGTTAATAGGTACCGTCAGAGACCAAGGAAAGTGTGGAAGTTGCTGGGCAGTCGCAGCGACGGAAGTCATGAACGATCGAGTGTGTATCGCGCACGGGAAAACAGAAGAGTTATCGCCGCAGTACGCGTTGTCGTGCTACAGCGCGGGCGCCGGATGCGAAGGCGGGAACGTCATCGATACTTTACAGGAAGCGATCGAGAAAGGCGTGCCGACTGGTGGTATGTTTGGTGATTCATCGAGCGCGTGTTTGCCGTACGAATTCGAGGCGTGCGACCACCCGTGTCAAGTGCCCGGGACGATAGCCGAAGAGTGCCCAACGACGTGCGCAGACGGGACGCCGATTTCAGAAACGGAAATGATGAGGCCGACTTCGGAGCCGTACGAGTGTCCACCGGGAGATTGGAAATGCATAACGCAGGAATTGCACAAGTATGGGTCCATGGCGGTGACTTTTGGCCCTGTGTGTGATGATTTTTACGGGCACAAACACGGCGTGTACGAACAACCGGAAGGCGGGAAACCTTTAGGCTTACACGCGACGAAAATCATCGGTTGGGGATTTGAAGGCGACGACGAAGAGACCGGGAAAGGTGGTAAACCGTATTGGATTATGATTAACTCCTGGCAAAACTGGGGCGAACACGGTGTCGGGAGAATTGGAATCGGCGAAATGTCCATCGAAAGTGAAGCAACCTCGATCAAAATGTAACACGCGAGAACAAAAAAGAAGAATTCACTCGTCATCAGACGATGTGACTCAAATAATATACTGAGTACAAGAAGTGAATTGAGTTGATATAATATAGAAAACGAATTGTGATTGTAATGACCAATGTACCCATGTAGCCCATAATATCGATATAATAACAAGTAAAATCATAAATACTGGTACTGTAATACACATTTGGTACGCGTGCGATGTAAATATTAATCTAAGTGCGCTAAATCGACGTCGTCTGTGAGCGCTCGGCGATGTCTCGCCGCCTCTGGACCAAACGTCGTGGACATGAGTTCGATGAACATTCTCGCCGCAGTCATCAAACCACCCCCAGTGATGAATACCAACACCAATGCTCCTAAATCAAACCTCCCCAACTTACCTTTTTGGTACACAATCAAATGAATACCAGCTCTTTGTAGGTTGATTCTTTCCGCCGGCCAATTTTTGAAGACGTACTCTTGCGCTCTGACTTCCGTGTACCCGACTAAACGCACGTCCATTTGGCAGTGCCACGGAAAGTTCTCAGAGCCTTGCCCCGCCAAAGCCTTAAAAACATCAAATGGCGACGTATTTGAATACGTCAACTCCAAAGCTAAAGTCAAACCGTTTTGCCTCAACGTTTGCGTTTTCCCGTCGTATTCGTACAATTCGTCCGCTTCTAATAAGTATTCCAACCCTTTCTCCTGTAAACCTTTGACAATCACCGACAACTCTTTCTTTTTCAACTCGTTCGGATACAACTCCACGTTTTTCACGATGTCTCCAACTTTAATCACCACGTCTTTCGGCGTCTCCGAGAGAAAGTTTGGTCGAAAAATCTTCTTATTCGGTAAAGTCACTTGAAGAAATCCAGCGTGTACCGACCAAGACGTGGCCACGTATTCCGGTTTCACGTGGATCGCAAACTGTTCCGCCCCGGAGACTCTGAATATTTCTCTCTCCACTTCCTCCCACGACCCGCACTCGGGTTGCAGTTGATGGTCTCCTCTCGCGAGGCGACCACCTCGGCCCAAGTTCCCGCTCGTGTGAAAGTCTTTCATGATCAGATTCGTCGTCGAACTGCTGCTGCTATTATTGTTGTTGTTGTTATTGTTCTCTCTTCTATTTCTCTCGTCGTCGTTGTTCGTATTGGTTGATAAATTTTCTTCCAACTCTCCGGTGAATCCTTTCCGTTTCGCGCAATTTTTCGTCCGTCTCTCTTGATGAGATTCCACCCACTGCGTCGTGATAAACAGCGATTCTTTTCTCACCGGTTTCCCGTTGTTATGTTCGTCGTCCACGATGTTCCACTCTCTGCACGGCGGGCCTCCGTCGAAACAATAGGACATCAAATTCACGTCTAACACGTCTGGACGTTGCAACCACAAAGGAATCGGTTGATGAATCGGCCTTTCGTATTTCAAGTGCGAACTCTTGAATAAGATTTCGTAAAAGAACACGTACCCGATCAACAGAACGATTCGTAAGACGAAGTGCGAGTATCCCAACCAGTGCGGGTTACGGAGACGCACGTATTTGTACGTGACGAAAGTGGAAATGTAATCTTCCAAGGCGTTGCTGTTGCCAATTGCTCCTCCTCCGCCTCCTCCTCCTCCGCCTGAGAAGGTGGAGGATGCCACCATGGATGGGGGAATGAGAAGACGTCTACTCTTTAAAAACTGAAGAAGAAGAAAGAAGAGAGGGTGGTTGTCAATCGAGTAGTCAGACAGAAGTAGAGTCAGAGGAGAGTTTTTGTGTCGTGAAATAATGAGAATTATACTCGCTCGCTTGCTTGCGTGAAAGAGAGCAAATTTAGAAGGAACAAGTACTAATATATTTCGTTCTTCTCTACTACACAGTCGTACTCAAAATCATCGTTATTACATCATAACAAACTATTATTCAAGCGCGAATAGCTAATTACCCTTATTATAAAATCTACTTTACCACTCTCCATGCAACGAACACATAGTTTAGTTCGCGACGAAACCTTTCCCGGAAGAGGCCCCAGCCGGGATGACTTTCAAGACGTTGAAACGAACAGTCTTGGACAACGGTCTGCACTGGCCGACGACAACCTTGTCGCCTTCCTTGCATCGAAACGCCGGGGAAATGTGCGCGGCAATGTTCGAGTGTCTCTTTTCGTATCTCTGGTACTTTTTGATAAAGTGCAAGTAATCCATGCGGAGGATGATGGTGCGGTTCATTTTCGTAGACTTGACGACGCCGGACAAGATTCTACCTCTGATGGAGACGTTACCGGTGAACGGGCACTTCTTGTCGATATAGTTGCCTTCGATGGCCTCTTTCGGAGTCTTAAAGCCCAAACCAACGTTCTTGTAGTAACGGGTACCCGCTTTACCCGGCGCTTTCTTTCTCGTAGACGCGGCGAAACTGTGAATAAAGAGAGAGGGAAAGAGGTGAGTAAATACACACGTAAAAAGAGAAAGAGGAGAGAGAGATCCAAGAGCAAACAAGTTTCTCTTTCACCCGAACCGAAACGAAAATTCTAGGTAGCCGATGATCCAAGTTGCTGCTCTCGAACGACGACACGAGCCAAAGCGCGTTCATCAGGGAAGAACACCCCGCGAGAAAGATGCGGGCGGAGACTCTCGTTAAAAAAGCATCACCAATCGCATCCCCCTAACGGAGGCCCTACTCTCCGCCTTCAAAATGAGGGCTTCCTTCGGCCAAACGCGCGCATCTTTACCGGCCCATATTTACATCTCGCGAACGCGTATCAGACACTCTTCGTGCACGCGTGCACGCAATAATATATCTGATACGCGTTGAAGCGTAAACATGCACCGATACGCGCATCCTGGTGCCCTTAAACTCGCGTCGAAACTCAGCGCCCATTTTCCTCCTCCTTTCAAAGCGCCAAGAGAGAGAAATGCAGAGCGGAGGAGGACAAAAACACAAAATCCGGAATCCTCCCTATCTCTCAAACGCGCGAGAGAAGATCAAACCGTTCTAACTATTAAAACCGCGAAGATATACTTACCCAACGTTAACGCCGACTTGTTTTTGATAACCTCTCTCGTGCTGTACGTCAGCCATGGTTAATGAATGTACGCTATTTTTTTTTGTGAAGAAGGAGAAGAAAGAGCTTCTTTGGTTTTCTCTGTTTTTTGGTTCGTTTGCCAAAAAACAGAGAAAAGAGGAAAAGAGGAAGACGCTTTTTCGACCACGAAACGACGGAAACGTTTGATGACGGCACACTTTCTATTCACACAGACACACGGCACCAACATCACCATCATCATGGTTTTTACTACTGTTTTAAGTACCGTTCGCGTCGTGGCATCATCTGTGAGTCGTCATTCTCTCTCGTTTTCGATTCTTCCTCGTTTTTCTCTCTCTCTCTCTCTCTGCGCGCGCGAATGCGAGCCGTCCTTGCGAGCAGATTATTTACTCCGCTTTTTTATCCATTTCTGAAAAAATGTATTATCACACACAGGCGCAACAACAACAACCGCAACAACAGCGAACCAAAGTTGTCTCTCGCGCGTCCGCACCGCCGACGTGCTCTCTCTCCATGAGGCCAGCGCACGCGCAAACGGCGATTACCGATGACGCGAACGCGGACGTCGGCTGTGACTCCAAAACCGAAATGGCCAAAACCAAGTGCGTGCATCCGGAAAGAAAAGACAAGTCGACGTGGTGCAAAGACTGCCCGAGACGCGGGTAAAAGAGAGAGATTTGAGAAGTAGAAACATTGGTAACACACGTGTAATAACAACAATAACAACAACAACATCGACGACAAATAATAGCTCAATGACGATTTCGAAACTTATTAACGCTTCTCGTGTCTCACGAACGTCACGCCCAAATAGAAGAACAGAAAACCAACCGGTATCCAAGCCGAAGCGTACGCGACGTTTTGATAACGTTTCCGTCCGTCTAACGCGAACGTTCTTAAAATGGAGAAACCTGTAATGGGTTCGCACTCCGTTCCATCAGTGCTTTGACTTCGTAACCAGAATCGGAACGCTCGCTCTTGGTTCGGTGGGATGTTTAATTGGACGAACATATCGTCCAACCCTTCGGGCGTGCAGTGTTCCCGAAAGCTCACAGATCCACCGAATTCGTTCACCATGACCGCACTCCATCCCCACTGAATCCACGAAAAGTCGTAAAACCACTTCCAAATCACCGGTATCGTTTCAAAGCGTACGAAAAACCCGCTCACGAGCATATTCAACGTAGAAAAGACCGGCAGAACGACCCCTGGACCAATTTCGCCAGGAACCAAAGCACCGATCGAATAACCGATGAGCATACACACAATCATGTTGACAAAATTTGCCAAGACGACAAACCAAAAACTACCTTGAAGCCCGATGGAATAAAATATGATGCTTGTATACAATATCGCGTTGATGGCGCACGCGGGAATTTCCACGAAAATCTTCGCGGTGACGTACGAAAGCGAACGATAATACGAGTCGTGAAACTCTTTCGTGTAGACTTCGCGTTCAGTTTTTAGGTTGTCAATGAACCCTTGCGCCATAAACATCGGTAGAATGATCATTATGAACAAAATTCCGTTGGTATTTATGATTCCGCTCATCGTTCGGTCTTGACCATAAAAGAAAACGGAGAGCGTTGCGGCTAAGAGGGCATATATTATCACGCGGGAGAACCAGAACAACGAATGGAACAAATGAACAAAAAATTTGTATCGAATCAAGCAAAGCAGCTCGCCAAAAAGCGTACGCTCGTATTGCTTGTCTTCTTCATCGGTTCCGTTGTTGACGTTGATTTCGTACGTTGTCGTTTCGTCTGAATCCTCGTGATTTTTCGCCGCCAAGTCGCTTTGCTCGTAAAATTTTTCAAAATCGACCGAGTCGTTGAACGAGAGCACTTCGAGTAAATACTCCGACACGGAACATCCGGAGACGCGCTGAGGAATACCCGAAAGCGTTTCGAAAAAACGAACTGGGTTCTGACCCGCAGCGCCGAAATATACGCACTCTCGATTTAATAGAATCAACCCGTCAAAAACATTGTATATGTCCGTAGACGGTTGGTGGATCGTAGTGACTATGGTCCTTCCTTCGCGCCTTTGTAAATCCGCCAAGCACATCATCACCTCTCTGGCCATCTGCGAATCTAAGCCTGACGTAGGTTCATCCAGAAACATGCATCTGGGCTGACTCAAAAGCGCCGAGGCGATCGACACTCTCTTCTTCTCACCGCCCGAGACGCCTCGGACTAAGGCGTTCCCAAGATACGTGTTGCGACATTTCTCCAGATCCATCGCCTGAATAACTTGCTCGACTTGCTCGTACACCGATTGCTTCTCCAACTTCTCCACTCCAGGAATCTTAATCATCGCGGCGAACAAAAGGGTTTCAAATACGGTACTTCCTCCGTAGAAGATGTCTTGCTGGGCGACGTAACTCGCGTATTTTTTAATCGCCAAGGTCGTAGACGGTTTTCCATCGAGCAATATCGAGCCAGAAATAATCCCTTCGGTTTTGCGGCGAGTGATGATGTCCAACAAAGTTGACTTCCCAGCTCCACTTGGGCCCATAATCGCCCATAAACCTGGAGATATAACACCAGTCACGTTCGCCAAAATTGTCTTCTCGAAATATTTCTTATTTTGATTTTGTTGTTGTTGTTGCTCTTGCTCTTGCTCTTGCTCTTCTTCTTCTTGTTCAGATGACACAGCGCCGGGGCCAATCTCCTCGTCCGGCTCGTCGAACGGAAACTCTCTCCTTTTCTTCTCTCCCATCTTCTTCTTCGTCGATTTACACGTAATTTTACACCCGATGTTCTTCAAAGTAATCGTACATCCCGGCCGTTGCGAAAGCCTTCGAGGTACGACGACAGAGTGGAGTGGCAACTTCGAAGAGGACGTTCTTCTTTGTATTGCCGACACGGCGGCGGCGGCGGCGATGGGAAGAACGCGAGCGTCTTCTTCTCCAATCTCGTCGTCGTTCACGTTACCCTCCGCGCTGTCCGATGATGATACCGCGTTCCCCATCGTCGCCGATGATGGTGTGCGGAAAGGAGTTCAAAAAGTGCGTATTTTTGATTTTTTTTTTTTCGATTTTTCTCTCTCGTGTGATTGACAAACTTTTCGCCTTTGTTTGTTGATGTTGATGTTGTTTTATTACTACTACTACTACTACTACACGTTACAGACGTGCACTCTAATAATATCTATTCTAATTCTAAACGTGCGCTGCTGTGCTGTATTAATTTATCGGTACGCATATCAACATTTCGCTGGATCATCGTTCGTTCATCTCTTTCGAATCTGTTTCCACACGAAATACGACTCCACCGTGCCGTCTTTATTCTTCTTCGTGATTTTCTTCTTCACGCCTTTCCCGTGCGAAATCTCTTTTTGCAGCGCCATTTTGACCGTCATCGATTTCAACTGTTCCGCTCTCTCTTCGTGTTCGTTCAACATCTTATACGCGCCTCGGTTTAGCTTGGCCACTTTCTTCAGTCGTCTCTCCTGCTGTTTCCGTAACTCTTCTTCGTCGTAGTCGATTTCGTTCGCGCCGACGCCGACGAGTTGATCCGCGTCTTCCAATTGGCTATTTTTCGGTCGGTTAAACGCTCTACCGATCAACTCTCTCGGCGTGTCGAAATACGTCTCCGGCTTAAACGTCTTCGCTTCCGAGTATTCGTCCACGAATATCGTGTGTTTCCTCTCCTCGATCCCGGCGCCTAAACAGTGCAACGTTTCCTTCATCTTCTGAACTCGTTTCAACTCTGTTTGCGCTTTCAACGACACGTATCTCAAGTCTTGCGTTTTCATCAATTTCAGCTCCTCTTCGGTGTACTTATTCTGTTCCGTCGTCCTTTCCTCGTGCACGCCGTCTCGGGTCTTTTTCTTCTCCATGGCGAAATAAAACTCGTCCGGATTTCTCTCCGCCGCTTTTCGTTTCAGCACTTTTATCGCGTCTTCCTTCTTGTGGAAATCTTTCGCTCGCAAAACGTAATCTTTGTGTTTCTCGAGTAAACCGAGTCTCGTTCTGTCCGCGGGTTGCGAGCGCTCTTTGTGCGTCGTGCGCTTGATCGCGTTTCGCAAAGACGACGACATTGTGATTGTGATTGTGATTGTTGTTGTTGTTGTTGTTGTTATTAGTATTGTGTGTGTGTAAAAATGAAGAATTTGTCACAAAAAAACAGCCGCCAGACTGCACAAAAAAATGAGACGACGACGATGATTGTGTTGACTTCTCGAGGAAGAACGAGATGATGAACAAAGAGCGAGCGTATAAAATATTAAACCTAGAGGACAAATCGAGAAACGATGGAAGCGTCATCACGTCCAGAGACGTGGAGAAGTCGTACAGAGAGCTGCTCCATTCCAAACATCCCGATAAAGGAGGGACGAAAGAAGAGTTTTTACAACTGCAAAGCGCGAGACGAACCGCGTTGGGTGAACGAGAACATTTAGGACCATCATATCGGGGCAGAAGTGGTGAGAATCATCATCATCATCGACACTTTGTCTCTTCAAAGACGTTCCCGAAGCACTTGAAACTCATGCTCGGGAGTTTAGTCGTGGTCGTTTGCGGATTGAACGCGGCGAAGCTCAGCGCGAAAGAGAGGAAGAAGAAGCGGTCTCCCGGAGTGCGAGCGGCGTTAGGATTAGATGCGAATAAAGAGGAGAGCAAATGATATTAGTAATAGTAAGACATTGTATTATATTAGTTAAACTTCCGGGTGCTTCAACACGAGCAACTCCAACGCGCACTTTAACGCCTCCACTTCACTCTCGTCTTCGGAAGAATTCTTGGTGTTCAATTCAGTTTGAAGACGTACTTTTCGACTCTGCGCGCAGACTTTTTCAGCCTCGCGGAACTTTTCTCTGCACAATCCGACTTTGGTTTCGGATTCCGAGAATTGGAGTTGCAAGCTTTCGACCGTTCTTTTCTTTTGCACGAGCAAGGTGTTCAACTGTTCCAATTCGGGTAATATTTTAGCGTTGAGCTCGTTGACGCATTCCGAGGCTTCTTTGAAGCTTTTCGCAGCCGCGTGCGACTGTTTCAGAGCGAGGAGTTCGTTTTTACGACGCTCTAAAATGGTCAAGCGAGTTTGACAGTCGCGTTCTTGTGAAAGTGCGTTGGCGAGGTCGGCATTGATTCGCGCGTTGTCGCTTTCTTCTCGTTTTAATTCGCTTTGTGCCTCGCTGGAGAGTATCGTGTTCGTCGTTTCGTGAATGACCAACTGTTGCAACTCGTCACTGATGCTGGATTCTTCGGTCGTTTGTAAACGCTCAGAACCAGCGCGGCGATAGAGCTCCGATCGTTCTTTCATCTTACCAATGAGCTCCTCAGTTTCGGAAGATGTGCCGCCTTGCATTTGCTGCTTGTGTGCTTCTTTGCGCTCTTCTTCTCGAACTTTTTCATTGTACGACTCCAACGCGGCTTTGCTCGTTTCGTGCGTTTCTCTACACGAACTTACTAATCGATTCGCTTTTTCAGCGTTCGCGGATTCCAAAGCGGCTTTGTTTGCAAGATGTTCCAGCTCATTTTCTGCAATTTGCAACGCTTCTTTAAGTTCATTCACTTTTGTTTCCATTGCTTTCCTCTCGTCCTCGATTTCACTCGTCTTTGCTTCATTCTCACGGCTTTTCTCGACTGCGAGTTTCAGCGCGTCTTCAGTTTCAGTCGCGCGTAGAACGAGACGTTCGTGCTCCGACGAAGTGTTGTTTGAAGACGCTGCTGCTGCAGCTTCCGCAGCTGCGACTTTTTTTCTCGCTTCTTCTTCTTCTTCTTTCTCTCGAGCCCACTTCTCTTCTTTATCCGAAACGAATTTATCTATGTTGTTGGACGCTTCAATCTCGGCGTGTGCCCATTCGTTCAGCGCGCTTAAAGAGGCGCGCACGCGCTCGGCGTGCTGTAACTCTGCCGCATTCAGCGCGTCTTCTGTATCTTTAATCTGTTTTGAAAGTGAATTCAACTTCTCCTCGACATCTGCTGCAAGCTCGAAATCATCGTTTCGTATGGCGTCGTCTTGTTGTTTTTGCAATTCGGATTTGCGCTTGAGATGTTGGGTAGCATTCGTCGCCGAAGACAATCTTTTGTTGCTCGCTTCCATTTTCAATCGCTGCGCATTTTCCCACGACAGGCGACGCATGCGCACGTACGATTCTGCCGCTTCTACAACTTTGTCGACCTCATTCGCGACTTCCAAATCTAAAGCGACTCTTTGTATCCCAAAGTTTTGCAAAATAAAATCTTGGTCTTGCGAATTGAAGATCATCGGCGACCCAGGACTTATTGGTATCATCGCGTCTGGGGAAAGTTCTAAGGTTGGAGTCGTGACGCGCGAATACACCGGCGTAAACGGTTCGGACGTAGATTCTCTTGTTTGCAAAGAGCCACTGTCGCCACCACTACCACCACCACCACCGCCACCGTAGCTATGTGCGGGTGAAAGCACTGGAGTGCTCACTTTGGGACTTTCGTCCAGACTCCTACTCCCAGGAAAATGACCCTTTTCAACGATATCACTCACGACTCGTTCTGATTCCACCGCGTTTGCTATTGCTTCTACGCTATTAACTTTTGTCTTTTCTTCTCCTTCTTCTTCTCCTTTCGCTAGTGCTTCTGCTGATACTTTAGTTTCTCGTGCAAACTTCGTCTTCTGTTGAAATCTTTTAGCGCCGGGCGAGTTCCCGATCGGCACATCCTCGTTTGTAAACGAAGGGATGCGTAACATTGTAGTATTCGCCGAAGCCGATGCTTTGTTTATCGGCGGATTTATCGGATGAGTTTCTACTACGGCGGGTGGAGAAATAACAGCTTCGTGCATCAGCGTGGCGCTCGCGTAATCTTCTAGAAAATCGTCGCTTTCATCTAATGCGTCGTCTAATCCACTCGTCAATCCTCCCTGTTGTTGAAGTTCCTCCATAGATGGTATTTCTACCGCTTCCTCTTCTCTCGGAAAAAATCCATCTTCATCCTCATCATCTAGCGGTTGAACAGATGGCTCTACAACCGCAGAAGTCGGCAACGGAGGCACGTCCGCAGCAGACGACGCATCTCGGAAATCACCGAAAGCATCTTCGTCCAAAGGTAAAGCTTCTTGTTGTAATCCAAATCCAATAGAAGAGCTAGTTTTGTTTCTATCATCATCATCATCATGAGCTATCTTATTTCTATCGCTGTCTTCTACTGTTGTTTTTATGTTTGTTGTTGTCGTTGTCACCTCCATCGCTGAAGTTTGAACTGATGGCATCATTCCTTCAAAATCAATCTCTCGTTTCTCTTCTGCCACTTTTTCTTCTTCTTTTTCGGGATGAGGAGCAGGTGGTAGAGGAGAAGCCTCGGCGGCGGCAGGCGTTGGCGTCACGTTCAACCCGGCGAACAAATCCACCATCACCGGCGGAGCCGTCGTAGCTACCGGTGGTGGCGTTCTCAAGTCGTTCACCGGCGGTGAAAAAGCAAACTCCTCTGGCGCGTTGGACGCCACTACGTTCATCCCGGCAAACATCGGCGACGCGTTCGGCATCGTCGCACCACCACTCACTCTCATCGCCACTTCCACCGCGCTCTCTAAATCCTCCTCAAAGTATTTCACCTGTTGTTCCCACGCCATTTTTTCGTTCACATCTTCAAACATTGTGTTGCCTTGAGTCGTATGAACGCTCGTTTTCATCGCATTCGTTAGCCTTCGAATTTCATTCAGACGCGCAAATTGCCTCTTCTCGATATCCGGGTTATTCTCCTCGAACCCGAGTTGGTTTCTCTGTCTGGTTTTCTCCAGTAAATCTTTCGCTCGGTCGTAGACTTTCCCCAGATCTTGAATCGACGACGGGACGACGTTGTTATTGTTCGCAATCGGCGTTGTCGAAGATGAGTTGCGTTGTTGTTGTCTCGAATTTGCGTTCGAAGAATTCTGTTGTTGTTGTTGTTGTTGTTGTTGTTGTTGTCCTTGTTGCTGCTTGATCCCGAACAGCTCCCCGAGGCTCGATCCTTTCTTGAACATCTTTAATAAACGCTCTCTTCCTCTCTCTCTTCCTCTCTCTCGTTGAGGTCGACGATCAGATATATATATAGAATACTAATTGTGTTGTTAAACTTTACGACGAAAAGAATAATTAAATATCGCGGACTGGACTCTTTTCTGTGGACGATGTGAAACCTCCCCTCACATCTCTTCAACGCACTCTTCGTCGTTGTCGTTGAAAGAGATAAAGAGATGAAAAGAATGACGACGACGAGCAAAACTTTTCTGTGCCATTCCTGCCGAGCAGCGTACCGAAGCTCTTCTTTTTCTTCGTCGTCGTCGAGCCTTCTTTTGCAACTCAGAAGAAGAGGACAAGAACGGCGTAAAGATGATTTCATCACCCGTGCACACAACAACGGAGCTTCTTTCATCACCGCTGAACGACGACGACGACGAGAGGACGAGAAACTCTCATCTCCTCCTCGGTTTTTCATCCTCCGTTCTCCTCAAACTTCTTCTCGGACGAGAAAGATGACGAGTGGTGCGAGTGATGCTGCCACGTCGTCGTCGTCTGAAACCGCTCAAAACATCGGGGACGAGATGCCGTCCTACGAAGATTCTCCAAACGTACTCAGGAAAAGATTCCAGAGCCTGCGCAAACGCGCGGATTCCGCCATGGATATTTTGAACAAAACCAAGCTGGAAAAATCGAGAGAACTTTTAGAGACGAAACAGAACGACCCGGAGTTTTGGAGCAATCAAACCGAAGCGAAAAGAGTGACGAAAGAGTTGAGTTTTGTGCAGTCGCAGCTGCGAAGAGCAGAGTTGGTGGAAGCGACGAGAGACGACGTCGAGTTATCGCTGGAGATGTTGGAGGAGGAACAACAACAACAAGACGCGGACAATGGCGGCAACGATGAAAATAAAGGTGGAAACGAGGATTATGAACTCTTACGAACGGAAGCGATTCGATCGTCGATTAAGTTGAACGAGATGCTCTCGGAGTTTGAGACGGAGAAAATGCTCGGCGGGAAGTACGATAAATTAGGGAGCGAGTTGTTTATTTACGCAGGGGCGGGAGGAACGGACGCGCAGGATTGGGCGGAGATGTTAGAAAGAGCCTACTTGAATTGGGCGCAAAAAAGAGGGTTTAAAGCAACGATTACGAGCAGAAACAAAGGCGAAGAAGCGGGAATTAAATCTGTCACGATCGAAATTGAAGGCACGTACGCGTTTGGTTTCTTACGGTCGGAGAAAGGCACGCATCGGCTCGTTCGATTGTCGCCGTTTAAGAAGGGTGATTCGAGTCGCCAGACTTCGTTCGCAGCCGTAGATGTGTGCCCTTTGTTTGAAGACGAAAGCGAAGAGGCTGGGGAGATGAACATTCCGGAAAAGGATTTAGAGATTACGACGATGAGATCGGGCGGCGCTGGAGGACAAAACGTGAACAAAGTAGAAACGGCGGTGAGAATAAGACACATCCCAACAGATATTACCGTGCGATGCGACGAAGACCGTTCGCAAATGATGAATAAAGCGAAAGCGATGGTTAGATTAAAAGCAAAATTAGCGGCTGTTTTGGAGCAACAACGTTTGCAAGACGTGAAAGAGATACGAGGTGATGTGGTCAAAGCAGAGTTTGGCGAGCAAATTAGGAATTATGTGTTGCACCCATATAAAGTAGTAAAAGATGTTCGCTCGGGTTGGGAAACCGCTGACACGGAAGGCGTGTTGAATGGTAATTTTGACCCGTTCATGAAAGAATATTTACGGTTTAGAGCGACGGAAGAAGCAGCGCAATGATTATTTATAACTATAATTTACAACAGTGGAAGTTCGTTACCCCCAAAAAGGATCGACTTCTACTTTTTGCTTCTGTCCGCGCACGCCTCTTCTCCCACTCTTATCTTTTGTAAAGTTTCGCGTTTGCACGTGATTAGCACCTTTGAACGTCTTCTTAGCTTTTTCCGCTTTTAATTTGGCCCGAATAAGTTCCGGGTTATTCCCTAAATCTGCTCGACTTCGAATCGAGGACGCTGTCATCGCCGAAGGCGCCGGCTGCACCGGACGTCCATCTTTCGCAAGTTTATCTCTCTTTTTTCCAGCTTCACGAATTAAAGGACCAACTTCGTCGTCGTACTTCGGCACGACTGCGTTGGGGTCGTTCAACATAGCTTCAACTTGCGAAGCTAACGCGCTAACTTCATCAGGATTCAGATTTAGTTCCTCGTCGTGGAATTCGTCTTCTTCTTCCTCCTCGTCCTCTTCTTCGAGTTCATCTGGTTCGGATACTATGTTTTCTTCGCCACCACTACTTTCTTTGTCTTCATCTGATTCATATTCATCATCCTCATCATCGAAACCTTCTTCGCTGCTGTATTCTCCGTCGCTATTTCTATGAAGCGCCCTCTCTTTCGCTCTTTCCTCTCTCTCTGCCATCACCTCGTCGATCATCTTTTGGTGTTCCGAAGTGAAACCACTGGCTTTGAGAAGCGAATCGACTGACTTCTCTCCATTCTTCTCCTTCTCCGCGACTTCCTTCAAAATTTCATCAAAATCAGGATCAGGTTCACCCATAACGTCCAATTCCGCGTCGTACCCGTATCGTCTCAAGAAAAACTTATGCAAACACTCCACGTCTCTGTCAAAAAGCATCCTGGCGTTTCGGTGATGAATCGATACCATCTGCGGAAAATCAATCACGGTCACTTTCAACGTTTCCAAATGCATCATTATATTAAACTCGTTGTAATCGCAATGAATCAATCCACATAATGCCAACTTTTTCAACTCTTGCATGCAACTGTTGTACACCTTCCCAGGGGACATCATCTTCTTCACTTGCGTGAGCGGAAACCCATCCACCATCTCCATCAGCACGCAGTGTCGATTCAAATCAATCGCCTCGGGGACGTTGAAACCTCTCTCGTGCAACGCTTGCATGAACGCGTGCTCTTTCAACGCCGACAGCCTGCTTAAATATAACCAGTTAAAGCTCGTCCGTCTGTGTAAATAATCTCTCTTATTCTTCACCGCTTTAAAACTCGTTCTCCCGAGCCGGTGCAATTTCATCGCCATGTGCCTCCCCTCGTCGTTCACAACCTCGTACACGTCTGATTCTTTCCCGACACCGATTCTCCTCCCGACGCCACTTATCCGGTTTCTCATCGTGAACGCTTTTATGGCTAAGAAATCGTACCCTAAAGGCGTCAGTCTGTACCCGTCGTATTTCGAGTTATCGTGGTGGACTAATTTGTGTTTCAACAGTTCGCGAATGTGTTTGTAGCCACCGCCTTTTTTCAGACCCGCGATGGCGTTTATCAGTTGCACCGGGACAATCTCGTGGTTTTTCATGCCCATCTCCACCGCGACTAACGTTCGAAACGTGTCCTTCTCTATGTACCGAAGGATGTTCACGTCGAACTTCATCGTAAAAGTAGTGTGTGTGAAAAGGGGTGGCGGCTCCTCTCGAGTAAAAGATTGATTTTTTTTGTGAAGCAGCTCCACAAAAAAAAAAAAAAAGGTGAAAATAAATGCAATGGGAAGAGTTTTTCTCTGTATTACAGACGCGCTCTACTTTTGCTCGTTTTCACGAGCGTTGTTCGGATGCGTTTTCAAGCCTCCTTTGGGTGGACAACAAAATAAATACACATCTCTTCTTTCTCTCTTTTTTCTAACGTCTGGCGGCGATTTGTCGTCGACTGACGGCTTCGGCAAAAGTGGCGATGCGCTTCAAGTCTTCGCTGGCGCTGTTTCTATCGTTGCTTCTTTTTCGCAGCCCACTTTCGTCCAAGAGAAGAAAGAGAAGAAGCGTCTGCGCTTCGCCGTACGAATCCGTGGCCAAGTTGAAGTTACCGACGAGTTCTTCTACCGCGCCCGCGCGAGTGAGCTGTAAAGCACGATCGTGCGCGAGTTCTAAACCGTCGGGCAAAGACGATTTCGCGTCGATGCCGTAGTTGACTATACCTTTTGCCGCTTTGTCGCATCGAGCGTGCGTTTTCATGATTGCAGCTTCGATGCGTTTCTTAATCGCAGTCGCCTCGGCGTATTTCGCTTTGTTTGTATTATTTTTCGTAGGAGTATTCGTCATCATGACGCTACTATCCGCGCTCTCAGCTGAGTTTGCCAATGAAATTTGCGAAAGATGCTCGTCTAAACTCGAGGGACTCATGGATATCGGAGCGCCTCCTTCGCTCACATCTGAAGACGTCGCGGAGTCTGAAGAAGCCTTCATCGAGAACTCTTCACAAGCCGCATTTATGAGACCGTGTGCCGCATCCAACGCGTTTAAGGAGATTAAACCAACACTCAAAGCATGTAATCTACTCCCTGCGTTCCAGTGCTCTGCACTCGCGTCTCTTAAACATGCCGCCGCGCGCTCTAAAAGTTTCGCTTTATCCATATTGCTCGTGATCCTCGCGAACGGTTCGGTACCGCGAGATGAAAACGATTGCGTGGAAGACGACGACATCGTTCCCGCCCCACTCGATAGTTTCCTCATCATTTGCTGATTCGTGGTTGATTTGCTGAGTAACTGTGAAGGCGACAGAACTGGCGAAGATGCTAACGGCGACGAGGCTAACATCGACGACGTTTTGAACGACGACGATTCGCTGTTCGGTGACGCGACGACAGTGTCGGCGTCTTTCTCCTTTTGTTGTTCGCGGTGAATTATTCCCGTCGGTGGAAATTCTTTTGGGCTCGTGCCTCTCGATAATGGCGACGCCCCGAGTCTTGGTGGCGTTTGGTGACGAGCGGATACGTTTCTTGAGGGGCTTCTTGGAACAAATCCAGTTCCTGGAGATGTCACCATGACGTAATCGTCGTCGTCAATTTCTTGAGATTCTGGAGCGCCTCCAAAGGCCATCGACGGCGGCGAACCAGGAGTAAATCTAGTGAATATATTTTGCTGCTGCTGAGGCGAAGAAGAATACCGCTTTATTGCTGTCGCTGCTGCTGTTGCCGCATTCTTACGACTTCCTCCGCGCAAATCTCTCGCTGCGAGCGCGATCTCATTCCTCACCACCTCCGAAGGAGAGGTTCCGAAGCACTTGTACGAAGACGACGCGGAATTTTCTCGCTGAAGAAAATTATTATTATTCAGTTGGATGGGAACGCTCCTGGTTGGCGCAATTTCTTCCTCTATAATCGTCTGTCTCATCGAAGTGTTGCTGTTGTTGCTGTTGTTGTTGTTGTTGTTACTATTGCTGCTCAGTTGCGCTTCGTTCATCGAGTCCATTTGAAATTGCATGCCTTCCCCATCTTCATTGCTGCTTCGTCCAGACGAAAATTTCTTATTATTATTGTTAGCATTGCTGCTGCTATTATTAATGTTAGTATCTACGCTCATTGCTGCCGCTAACTCTGCCGCTGTTGTCGCCGCTGCCGCTGAATCCGTCTTCACAGCAATACTCGCACTACCACTGCTACTGCTTATAAAAAATGGATGATTAAAAAACGCGTCAAAACCGAGGCGTTCTCTCGGATCTCTACGTAAAAGCGACCGCAACAAAGCGACGCACTCCGGCGAAAGCGTCTCGGCAATCCTCGTTGGAATTCTCGCATCCGACCGTTCGATGTTGTGCAACAACTGCACTTGGTTTTGTCCCGTGAAAGGTACTTTTCCAACAACCATCTCGAACAAAATCGCTCCAACGCTCCACAAATCCGCCTTCGCGTCGTACTTTCGATATTTCAATATTTCCGGCGCCATGTATAACGGGCTCCCGCACACGGTGTCAGCCATCCCTCCGTGCGGTTGAATGTACCTCGCGAACCCAAAATCGGCAATTTTCAACGTCGCCTTTGCGGTTCTCTCGCTCAACAACAAATTATCCGGCTTTAAGTCTCTGTGCACTAACGATTGTAAACGCATAGCCGATAAACCGTTCGCCAACTGCGTCATGAAATGTTTCGCCACGGCTTCACTCACGCGTCCTCGTTTCCGTATAAACTCGGACAAATTCCCACCAGCGCAATACTCTAATATTAAATACACCCTCTCCGTTCGCAAATCGTCCACCACGTCTACCAACTTCATTATGTTCCTATGCTTCGCGTTCCTCAACACGGTAATCTCCAACTCCAACGCCTCTCTCAGTTTCGGTTGTAAACCCCGCGTGGACATTTCTTTAATCGCCACGGTTTCTTTCGATTGCTCGTCGAACCCTTTCCAAACCGTGGCAAAAGAGCCTCTTCCGATGGGTTGGTTCTCCTCCGAAGAGAAAATCGCGTATTCGTTCCCGGATTTCATGTTTCTGATTATTTTTTTACCACTGTTATTCGATGAAGTTGAAGTCGGTTGCTTTCTCAAACCATCTCCTTTTGAGGAGGGGGCAGACATTATTTATCTCTCTTTTACTCTCTCTGTCCTCTGTCCTCCTCGCGTCTGTTTTCGTCTTCGCGCGTCTCGTTTTATTATTATTATTACGCAGATGGACTTTGAGACCACGCCAAAAGCGACGCTCTTCTTCTTCTTTTCTTCTTCTTTTCTTCTTCTTCTTTTTGCCGCGCTTTGATGATGGGGAGAGCACGAGGAAATCTCTTTTCGAACGTTTTATTTAAAGCAAGCGGATAAATCTCGTCTCACCAAACAAACAAAATGCTTTCTCTCTCCTTCTCTTCGACGACGGACGCAAAAGAGGTGGTGAGACTGTTGCTCGAGAGCGAGAAGACTCTCTCTCACTCTTTGTTCTCGCCGCACCCTTCCTCACCCGCGCGCGCGTTTCGTCGGTGTCTCGTTTTAAGTGAAACGACGACACGAGAGACAGCAGAGATGCGCGAGCGCCTTTTGAATAAAAAATTTCTGTCGACGCGACAATCGATAAATCCCAACTGTTTTATTTAAAACGGAAATTTAGCCCCCTTGTCTTTTTCTGTTCGAAAAAGAAAGTTGGAGGAAAGCAGAGAAAAGAGAGGAAGTATTTGGAGGAACGCTCTCTGTCTGCGAGAAAACTTCGTCTTTTTGTGCTCTTTTCTGTCCTTTTTCTCTCTTTCGCTTCCTCATCATATTCTTTTTTCCCTTCAGATTAACAGATACATATACATATAGATGATGATGAAGACGACGACGACGACGATTTCGCAAAAGTCGATTTTGTCCCCGTCTCGTCGTTCTCGTTCTTCTTTCAAAGGAAGGAGAAGCGCTTTTGGTGAGCAAAGGAGGGGGAGGATTTTTTGTTCCCGCCAAGATGATGATGACTTTGGTCATCATCATCATCATCGGATGACGACGACGAAAAGGAAAAGGGAGAAAAAGAAGAAAGGTGGAGTGGTGTGCTTTTCGTGCGCAGACGACGAGGAGGAGGAGGCTTTACTAACAACAGCAGGAGCAGAAGCATCGACTTTGACGTCGTCGTTATCGTCGTCGTTTGAAGACGAAGAGCTCGAAACCCGTCGCGCTTCGTCGTCCTCAAAAGTGTGCTCGTCGTCGTCGTCTTTTCGTCTCCCCAAGACAAAAGCGACGACGACGACGACATCATCATTCATGGATCGCGTTGAAATGAACGCGCCACTCGCGCTGAGCTCGTTTATGCTCATACCAATGGGTGTTATGGTTGCCCCGAACTTTGATTTAGAAGGACCTGGGTCGGTTATTCAAGCGTTATCGGTGCTCGCGTCGATCATTTTTGTACACGAATCTGGTCACTTTCTCGCCGCGAGGACGCAAGGCATACACGTGAACAAATTCGCAGTCGGGTTTGGACCGAACGTGCTTTCGTATCAAGGGGAAGAGGTAGAATACTCTCTAAAAGCGATACCGTTGGGTGGATTTGTCGCGTTTCCGGACGACGACGTGGACTGTCCGTACCCGCCGGACGATCCAGATTTGTTACGAAACAGACCGGTGAAAGACCGAGCGATTGTCGTTTCGGCTGGGATTGTCGCCAATTGCGTGTTTGCGTTTGCTATTTTACTCGCGCAGGTGAACACTATTGGTTTGACGTACGCGAAATACGCGCCAGGAGTGATTGTCAAAGGATTCGTCTCGCCCTCGGCGGCAGAGTCGGCTGGATTCAAAAGAGGCGACATCATTTTGCGCATCGACGGCGAAGATTTGGAGGCGGATGCAAAAACGGTCAATCAAGTCGTGAACAAGATCAAAGCGTCGGCGAATAAAAAACTGGACGTCGTCGTCAGTCGAAAAGGTGAAATGGTAAAGTTGAACTTGATTCCAGATGAGACGCCAAAGACTTTAGAAGGGAGAGTAGGCACGAGACTGGAGGCAAATTCGGTGTTGTATAAGAAAATGGCAAAAGGTCCCGTGGATTCCATCAAGTTAGCCTCGAAAGAGTTTGGCAGATTGTTCACTCTCGTCGGTAAATCGTTGACTGGATTAGTCACCAATTTCAGCCAGTCGAAAGACCAAGTTTCTGGTCCGTTAGCCATCGTTGCCGTCGGCGCGGAGGTTGTCAGGAAAGACATCTCCGGCTTGTTCCAGTTTGGCGCGGTTATAAACATCAACTTAGCCATCGTCAACTTGCTCCCGTTGCCGGCTTTAGACGGTGGATTTTTGTTGTTGTTAATCATCGAAGCTATTCGAGGTAAGAAAATGCAAAAGGAGACGGAGCAATCCATCACCGGTGCCGGCGTACTTTTCTTATTGATCAGCGGCGGAGTTTTAATCACGAGAGACTTGACTGATTTCGCCGTCAAAGCGTTTGGCTTAGATTTGTAAGTAGAGCGTGGCAGAAATAAAGATTTAATAGACTACTGTGTAATAATTAATTTTGATACCAAAACAAATATAAAGCTACCTAATAGATATACCAAGTATGGCAGGAACTCTCTTTTAAATGTACATGTTCGTTTTCCTCTCTTGTCTCATAATTTCTCTAGAGTCTCTCTTGGAAACGCCTTCCGCCACCTCTCTTTGTCGTCGAACCGTGTACAACTGCGCAACCTTCTTTCTCAAAATGTCAAAGTGATGTCCTTTAAACGCCTTTCTCGTCGATTGTTTCACTCTCAACGAGTACAACATTTTCTTCGTCGCCGCAACTTCCGCCAAGATTTGTTCGTTGGACATGTTCGCAAACTCAGACGCTTTCGTATACTTCAAACCGGTAAATTCGTCCGCCGCAGCTTCTTCTTTTTTGTCGTCCCCATCGGCAGCGTGAACCGTAAAGGCAACGCGTTTCGGTTGTTGGGATTGTCGTCTAAACGAAGTCGTGGTGCTCAATCGCGCGGCCTGTTTTGTGATGATACAATAAGTGAGGGAGAAGAAGGGATAAGTTTGACGAAATTCGCAAAGGAGGAGAGAGTCCCCGAGAGAGACCCAAACACGGATAAAACGCCGTCATCATCCATCGCCGGCCTTTAACGCGTGTTTTACGACGAGGTCGGCTTTAAACGAAACGATCGAGTTCGAATCCGCACGAAAACATATTTTCCGCGCGCGTTCTGCACGCCACGTCTTTTCGAAACCCATCGCATCATCGAGCACAGAACTCCGCCGCCCTTTTTTTTTTCTCTCTTTAATGCGCGCGCGTAAAAAATCCTCTTCAGGTTTTAAAGAGAGAAGAGGGAAATCCGCCCGCTCGAATTTGAGAGAAGAAGGCAAAAAAAAATGAAAGACGCGAAAGACGTACCGATGAAACCGTCGCGGAAGTGGATAAAGTAAACATGTTCGCGCGTTAATTTTGTGTTCGTGAATTCTAATAAGAGCTCGCTGTCTTCTTCTACGCGTCAAACAAAGTTTCTAGTGAGGAGGAATTCCGCTAAAAAAATCACCTCGAGAAAAAAGGGCAAAAAAAACAAAGAGCAGCCAGAAAACGTTTTTTAGCCAACAAGCAGCCTTATCTGGTTATTCTCGTTATTCTCTTCTTTACTTTTTATACACGAACCTATTACTCTACGTTTAATACTACTCTAATAATGTTCTCCGTTACCAGCACTACTACTACTACTACTCAAGCCGCCTTGCGCGTTACTGCGAAGCCGACGACGTCGTCCAAGAGAGGCGCGTTGCAAGTCGTCGCCAACGCCAAAGTCGACGCGTGCGACAAGAATTCCATCATCGTTTCCCCGTCCATCTTGTCGGCGAACTTTGCGACTTTAGGTGCGGAAGTGCAAGCGGTGGACAAAGCCGGCGCGGAATGGATTCACATCGATGTTATGGATGGTCGATTTGTGCCGAACATCACCATTGGCCCGTTGGTTGTTGATGCTTTGAGACCAGTCACGGACAAGGTTTTGGATACGCACTTGATGATCGTGGAACCGGAGTTGAGAGTGACGGACTTTGCGAAAGCGGGGTCGGACATCATCTCCGTCCACGCCGAAGGCGCGAGTACCATTCACTTGCACAGAACTATCGGTCAAATCAAGGACTTGGGTTGCAAAGCGGGCGTCGTGTTGAACCCGGGAACCCCGATTACGTGCTTGGAGTACATCATCGACTTCGTCGACTTGATTTTGGTCATGTCCGTCAACCCGGGCTTCGGCGGTCAATCGTTTATTGAATCGCAAGTGCAAAAGATCAAAGAGATTAAGGCGTTGTGCAACAAGCACAACGTCAACCCGTGGATTGAAGTCGACGGGGGCGTCTCTCCGGCCAACGCGTACAAGGTCATCGATGCCGGGGCGAACGCCTTGGTCGCCGGTTCCGCCGTCTTCAACTCTCCGGATTACGCCGCCGCCATCGCCGGCATCAAGGCGTCCAAGAAGCCGTAAGTCTTCACGTAATATCATAGATTATATATATATGCATACTTTTTTGTATAACTATTTATAACGACTGTATATTCAGGGAAGGAGAAATGGAACAACGGCGCTGGTCCTCGTATCTGCAAGATTACGTTTAGAAAAAAACGGAGAGAAAGAGATATGAACTCTCTTCTGGGAGAGAGCAAAGAGAGGAATTTAGAACAAAAATGTAATTCACACTTCGGCACTAATAGTACGCCCACCAAACACTATCACCCCTCGTATTTATACACGAATGAGAAGAAGAGCGGCGGCGGCGGCGGCTGCTGCTGCGCGTGTTCGTGGTCATCTCACCTCGGGAAGAAGTAAACGAGAAGACCAACTCACGGGGAACTTTCATCGCCTTTTTTTCAACAGTAACAAACGAAGATTCCTGAACAACTTGCGTCCACTCGCGAGGGAAGGCGAGAACAGTAATAATGAATTCGACGTCGTCGTCGTCGGTGGTGGTCACGCCGGCACCGAAGCCGCGGCTGCGGCGAACCGTCGAGGCAGTCGAGTCGCGCTGATAACTCCACAACCCGTGAAATCCATCGGGGAAATGTCCTGCAACCCATCCATTGGTGGTTTAGGCAAAGGCACTCTGGTGAGAGAAATCGACGCGTTGGACGGATTAATGGCAAAGGCGGCAGATCTGTCCGGAATTCAATTTCGAGTGTTGAATTCGAGCAAAGGTAAAGCGGTCCGAGGTGTCCGCGCGCAGATGGATCGAGGGTTGTATAAGAAACACATGCAAAAGTTAGTGGGCGAGTTGCCGAACGTGACCGTGGTGGACGCCTGCGTGAGCGGGCTGTTGATTGACGAGAGAGGAGAGGAAAAGAGTAGTAGTAGTAGTAGTAGTAGTAGAAATAGTAGTAATAATACTAGTGATAGGAGTGATGTAAGTAAAACGTGCAAAGGAGTTCGATTGGAAGATGGGACGTCGGTGTTTGCCAAAGCGGTCGTGATAACGACCGGGACGTTTCTGAGAGGCGTGCTTCACTTGGGAGGCGGCGAGAAAGTATTTAACGCCGGGAGGATATCTTCCAACGTCACGGAACGGGCGGATAATTTAGCTTCGACGGCCTCGTCCTCGTTGGCGGATTCGTTGTACGGGTTGAATTTGAGAATGGGAAGATTACGAACCGGGACGCCGCCGAGGTTGAGAAAATCCACCATTGACTTTACTCGGTGCGAAGAGCAAAAAGGAGACGATGTTCCGGAACCTTTTTCCTTTTATAACTTATCGTTATCGTCTACAAAAAGACCTTGGATGCCGTCGCAAGAGCAAGTATCGTGCCACAGCACGAGCACGAATGCGGAGACGGAAAAAATGATAATGTCACATCCAAACTACGCGGATGAAAATCTCGCGACTGGTCCGCGCTATTGTCCATCGATCGAATCAAAAGTCAGACGGTTTCCGAATCGCGACCACGTTGTGTGGCTCGAACCCGAAGGATTGACGAGTGATATCATATACCCAGCTGGTATTTCGAATTCACTTCCAAAAGGAACGCAGTTGGATATGCTCCGTTCGATACCCGGTTTAGAAAACGTCGAAATGCTTCGTCCGGGATACGCTGTTGAATACGATTACGTCGATCCGAGAGAACTCAGACGAACTTTAGAGGTTCAAAAAGTGAAAGGTTTATATCTCGCTGGGCAAATTAACGGAACAACAGGGTACGAAGAAGCCGCCGCGCAAGGCGTCTTGGCTGGCGCCAACGCCGCCGACCGCGACTCTCCGCTCGAATTGTCTCGAGACTCGAGTTACCTCGGCGTCTTAGCGGACGATTTAACAACTCGAGGTGCAACAGAACCGTATAGAATGTTTTCGAGTCGAGTGGAGCGCCGATTATCAATTCGTGGCGATAACGCGGACATTCGGTTAACGAAAATCGGTCACAAATGTGGACTCGTTTCGGATGAGCGATATCAGTTCGCCACGGAGAGAGAAAATCTGAGTAAAAGAGCGATTCATCTTTTGAAAAATACAAATGGATTCCGGCAACAGGCAAAGCAGTGGATACATTTGGGGTGCATGAGATGTCCAGACGCTCGACACGGGCGTTTGATTTCTCCGGCAGAGGTTATTCAAAGCGGTGAGGAGATTGGGAACATCATAAACGCGCTTTCGCAAATGGTGTCCAACACGAAAGCGGAGAAAGAGAACAGCATTTACGACGAAGAGAAAGAGACCGAAACTGCTTTACGCGAGCTTTTGGACATAAGAGAAAGAGATATCTCGGCTTTAGAACTCGCCTCGACGGATTTGTATTACGAAAATTACATCAGGCGTCAATCCAAAGACGTCTCGGACATGAAGAAGGACGAAACGTTGATCATTCCAGAGGATATAAACTACGACGACGTGTTTGGATTATCCGCGGAGGACAAAGAGAAACTCGCGAGCGTTCGACCGGAAACGCTCGGTCACGCCGGTAGAATTCAAGGCGTCTCGCAAAGCGCGATGTTAAGTTTACTGCGATATTGCCAAAAGAAGGATCGTTACGACGAACGCCAGAAGGAGAAGAAAGTGTTTATCAATAAATAAAAACGCGCGTCATAATTTCGTATTAAAATATCACAGCTGACTAACGAAAACGCCATCTACAACGTTCAGCGCTGTAAGCGCTTTATCTCTAGACTCCCCAGCTAATCCACTGGATACCTCTTTTCTCACGATATCCAACTCTTTTCGAGCGTTTTCCACCTGATCTTTCGTTAAAACTTTATCCAAAGCTTTCTCCGGACCAGCGGCGAAGCCTAATTTCGCTTTCGAGACTCCAGCGTACTTCAACGCCGTTTGCATATCTATCAACCCAGTCTTCGCTCCAACTGGTTTCCCAGCCTCAAATAACATCAACGTCGGAAAACCGCTCACCCCGTACGCTCTCGCGTAATCCGTGTACTTATCCACGTTCATTCTCGCGATGGTTGTCTCGTTCCCGTACTTCCTCAACTCGTTCGGCAACTCGTTCCAAATCGGTTCCAACTTTTGGCAGAAAGGGCACCACGGCGCATAAAACTCAACGAAAACGTTCGGGGTTGGGTTCTCCGCGTCCGCGGAAACGTATTCTTTGAAATTTTCCGGCGTCAACTCGACGACGTTTTGCAACGACGTCTTCGCTCTCGTGGCTGTTTTCGGCACGAAAGACGTCACGGCTGCTTCAGCATTTTCTGTAAAAGGCGTCATCGTTATTACCGCCGCTGCTGCTGCTGCTGCTGCTCCAAGAACCGCCGTTCGTCTTCTCGTCGTCGCATATCTGTTTTCATTACCACCGTCGTCGTCGTCTCTTTCCTCGTCCTCGCTCACGAAGCAGAGAGAGGAGGAGGAAGAATTTGATGCCATCGAAGATGAACAACACGAGGCACCCGAGCGCTGCCTCATACAGGAAGAGGAATAAAGTTCCTTCTTTTCATTCTTCTTCTTCTTCTTCATCGAAGGATGATTCAAAGAAGAAGAAGAAGAAGGATGACGACGACGACGATCAGAAATGGCGTAATGCTGCTGCTGGTACTGGTTAAGAAGAGCGCTGCTAAAACTCATATTTATTATAGTATATATATATCGTTGTTGTTCTCTTCACACGAAGTAGAGAGACGAATGTGAGGGAGAGACGAGAGAAGAGTTTTCGTTCTGTTCTGTCTTCTGCGCCTTCTCGTTGTTTTTTTCTACCTTTTTTTCATGCATGCATGGAAAATAACGAAATTTTTTTCGTTCCCGCGAAAACGAGAAAAAATGTATCAACGCGAAAAGGGGAAGAGAAAGAAAATTTCCTCCTTTTTTTTGACGCGTACGACGAGTATATCATCATCGCACAGACGCGCGCATATACAAAAAATCATCTCTCTAAAGAAGAGTGCATCATCGTTGCCTAACAAACAGAGTTAAACTGTTGTTGTTGTTGTTCTCTCTCACCGTTTCTCTCTCTCAAATACTTTCCTGAATAGCTTTGAAAGAAGATAATTTGTAAAAGGTGAACATTATTAAATTGGGGGTTATTAAAAAAAAGAGAGAGAAAAAGCGCTTTAATAATTCTCTCTCTCTTCTTCTTATTCGCTTGAAAAATGATGGCAACAACACTCTCATCATCATCATCATCGTCGTCGTCAATGCTTTTAACGCGACAAAAGCGCGTTGAGAATACTTTTCTCCCCGTTGGTCCTGGTGGTGTAAAGAAGAGTCGTCGTGGTAAAATCATCATCGTCGCACATCAAAATCGGCGACAGGTCAGCAGGCATCCAGGAAGATTAATGAAAGCCGCCGCGACATCATCATCTTCGTTCGAGTCGTCAAAAAATGACGACCCCCCTTTTGATGAAGAAAACGGAGAGAGAAACTTCACGGCGTCTGCGTTCCAACTGTCCCCCATGCAACCGTCCAGCGCGGTTGGGACGCACTTGAGAAACGTTTTAGAGCGAGACCCGAACGCGTTCGAGGACGCGTTGGAAAAGCAGTTACGACTGTGGGCGGAGGCTTTAGGGGAAGAAGAAGAAGAAGAAAAAGAAGAAAAAGAAAAGACGACGGCTTTGGTAAAAGAAGAAGAAGACAAAGAAGAAGCCGTAAACGCGACGAATACTGTGAGCGTGTTTTCGGATCGAGCGTTTTCCAAGTTGAGAAAGAAACGGGAAGTCGAGGATGCTTTATATTTGTGCGTCGCTGAGAAGAAAGCGCAGAGAGGCGTCGAGCTGACGATTGATTTCGAAAACGTGCGATTGCGACGATCCGGGTTGGTGAAAAGATGTCAAGTGTTGTCGTCGGAGTTTTTACCAGCTGGTTCGGAGGATATTTTGAACAAACATTTGATTGGCGTTTTGAGTAACGTTTCCACGAACGGGGGGTTGAATCCCGAAAATTTCGAAAAGTATATCCCGAAAGTCGTGTTGGCGCACGTGTACCAAAGGTCGGCGGCGTACGGGTACTTTTTACGCCGAGTGGAGAAGAGATACAACGTCGAGCGGTTGTTTTCGGAAAAGACGACAGCTTTTATAGAAGAAGAGAAAGAAGAAGAAGAAAAACGCGGAAAGAGCGCAGAATCGATCGCACCACCGTCTAATAACAACAACGGTTTGAAGAGAACGCTCAATTTTCGCGCGCGGCCTCGATTACGCAAACGCGAAAACGACATCGCGCACGGGAAAGTTGAAGCGGGCAACAGAAACGACGAATTTTGCATCGTCGATGAAGCAGCGGGAACTCGAACGTGTGTTGAGCCGCAATTACACTCGTTTAAAGCGTACATTGAATCGTTGGATCCGGAAGTTCGTGCGCGTGCAGCGCGTATTGAATCCGCCGAAGCCAGAGGCGCTTTGGAGAGACACGTGGAGGCGTTGTTTGGAGCGCAAGCGTCAAACTCAAACGAACTTTCTGAACGCATGCGTGAACTCGAGTTGTTAATCACTAAAACGAGCACAAGACGAGCGTTATCCAAAAATGAATACGGCAGAAATCGAGAAAGCGACGACGACGACGACGAAGAAGAAACAGACGCTCGATTACGAACGTCCTATTTCGAAATTGAAACGATGGAGATGACGTTGGATAATTTGAAGCATTTAGTCATAGAAGCGTGCGCGTTCGGTGGTGAGTTGGCCGTCGCGGAAGACCGCTTCGATGGCATCGATGGTGGCGTGTTAAATCGATAAAAAAAAGAATGTGAAAGCATACTTCGTCGTCGTTTAAAAAAGAGTTGTAGTACAAAAGTTGTTGTTTCATTATATTAATATTATTATACGCGATCGATGACGGGGATGTTGTATTTTCAACGTCTGCCGCCGAGACTACTCTTTTGTCTCGGCTTCACCTCCGTTTCCGCCACCGAGTGCAAATATATATTATTCGGCTGGTTAGCCATTGGATTATCACCACCTTTACTCCACTCGTAACTCGCAGCGTAGGCATAAATCGTCCCGTCTCTGTTGAAATCGCCGCAGGAAATCGGACAACTTACTTTTTGCATCGCCTTCAACCTTTGCTTGGAATCTTTATCCCAAAAGTTGTAATTCCCATCCGCACCGGCAGTGACAAACGTTCCAAACGTCGGATGGAACGAAATCGAGTTCACCGCGTATATATCGTTCTGTTCTCGATGGCATTTAAACGTAAAATTCGCCGATTTCATGTTATCCTCAACGTGTTGCACCGCTACTCTCCCTTCGATCGACCCAACCAAATACCCGCTCTGATCCGGAAAAGCCGCGATACACCTCGTCTGATATTTCAACGGCGAATACAACTGCTTATACGGTTGCGTTGGATTCTGCATGTTATACACCAATATGTGCCTCTCCGCTGTCCCGCACACCAATAAATTCTGTTTCACGTCTAAAGCGTAACACCTCTCCGGCAATTGCGCCACGCTCACCGGATTCGGTTGTCTCGCGTCCCAATACTTCAACGTCTTATCCCAACTCCCCGTGCACAAAATGTTATGTTGCTGAATCCACGCCATGTGCCTAATCGGTCCATCGTGCTGTGCCACTTGCGTCGTTTGATTCGACCCTAAATCCCACTTCTTCGCCTGGTTATCGCACCCGCCGCTAAACACCGCGCTTCCGTCCGGACTCCACACGGACGCCATCACCGGCGCCTCGTGCGCCTCCATCGCCGCTTTCGGCAACGCCTGTCCGTTCGGTTGCACGTCGTAACACAAAACTTTATTATCCCACCCGGTGGCGACCAAGAAATTCCCCGTCGGTGACCATTTCAACGAAGTGATGCCGTCTTGAGGCGAGGACTGCACGAGCATGTCGTTGTTCGGATTCGTTTGCGGTGCGGTTTGATTTTGCGGTTGATTTTGTTGTTGTTGTTGTCCCGCAATGTTCGGTGGACTGGGCTGACCAAACCCTCCTCCTCCTCCTAACCCGGGGCCGCCGCCCATTTGCGGCGTTTGTTGTTGTTGTTGTTGTTGTTGCAACCCGCCGAAACCGCCTCCGCCGAAACTCATCTTGGTTTTGTATCTCTCTAATCTCAATTTTTAAGGTGCCTGCCCGTGGATTCGAACGATTGAATCCCCCTTCTTGCGCTCTTCTTTTATTCTTTTATTCGTGTTCGAGTCACACACGGCAGCTCAAAGCTCGCGACTTTCGGTGCTTATTATTAATCGTTTCTAAAATCTCCTACTGGAAAAAACACCTCTGATCTCTTCTCGAACGAAGAAGAAGAGAACAAGAGTATTCGCTTTTCTTGCGAATGAATGAATCCTCCAAAATGGGTGTAAAGTGTGTTTCCGTCTTGAGAAGAAGAAGTCAGTCGTCTGTTTGTTTTGTCGTTTTTTTTCTTTTCGCTTGTTTTGTGTGTTTTCTCTTCACGTGAAAGCGGAATTTTTTTTTTTCGCACAAAAAGAAAGGCTGAAATGACAAGAGTCATCTCCTCTCGCGTTTTGTTTCTCTCTCTCTCTTTTTTTGTAGAGGTAACCCCCGAGAAAGAACTCGTCGTGTGTTTTGGATATCGTTTGTTTTTGGATATAATTCTTTCTCTCTATTTTTAAACAGCAACAGAAGAGCAACAAACTTTGATGTCTTCTTCTTCTTCTTTATCCGTTTTGATGTCATCGCACCTAATTACTAAGCGCGGCGCGATGACGACGACGACGACGACGTCGTCGTCTGAATCGTCGTCGTCGTCGTCTTCGAGAAAATTAGTAGGAGCACATCAGCGTCATCGGAAATTTTCATCATCATCATCATCATCATCATCAAGCAGACAAAAGAGAACAACAACAACAACTGCTTCGAATAGTATTCGAACGTACTCAGTACACGCGGCGAAACAGGAAATAAACTTACAAAAAGTTATCGAAAATTTGTGCGAAGGGAAGGATTTATCCGAAAACGAGGCGTTTGAAGCCATGGAAGCGTTGTTGGATGCGTCGGAAAATCAGATCGCTGCTTTTTTGGTCCTGTTGCGAGCGAAAGGGGAGACGAGCTCAGAAATGGCCGGGTTAGCGCGAGCTATGCAATCGAGAGCGGTACAAGTGAACGCCGGGGACGATGTTTTGGATATCGTTGGTACCGGTGGGGATTCTGCGGGGACGGTGAACATTTCAACCGGGTCGTGCGTGTTAGCCGCGGCGGCGGGCGCGAAGGTGGCGAAACACGGAAGCCGCTCCGTGTCTTCTCTCTGCGGCTCCGCGGACGTTTTGGAAGCGCTCGGTGTGGCCGTGGAGATTGGCCCAGAGGCTATCGAAAAGTGCGTGAAAGAAGTCGGCATGGGTTTTATGTTTGCCCCGAGATTCCACCCGGCGATGGCGAAAGTTTCGCCGGTGAGAAAATCGTTAAAAGTGAGAACGGCGTTTAACTTGTTAGGACCGATGTTAAACCCGGCGCATTCCAAGTACGCGCTCGTTGGCGTCTACTCCACGGATATTCAGAGGTTAATGGCAGATTCATTCATGCGTTTGGGAATGAAGAAAGCGTTAATCGTCCACTCGATGGGTTTGGACGAGTTGACTCCGTGCGGCCCGGCGGACGTCATGGAAGTCTCCAAAGACGGCGTCAAAACGTACACCTTTGAACCGTCTAAAGTGGGAATAAAAAAATGCGAATTAAAAGACTTAGCCGGTGGTGACGCTAAACTCAACGCCAAAATTTTGCGCGAAGCTTTGGGAGGTGAAACCGGTCCAGTGGCGGAAACTTTGATTTTGAACGCCGGCGTCGCCATGGCGGCGGCGGAGCAAGCCGCGTCCGTCGAGGAAGGCATCGCCATGTGCAGAGAGGCGCACAAAACCGGTAAAGGCGGGGAAAAGTTGGACAGTTGGATTCAGTTGACCCAGGAGTGTAAAAAGGCTGGTTTGTAAGTACGCAACAATTGTTGATGTTGTGACGATAAAAATTTTTACTCTTTGTGTTTATTCAAACATTTTTCTCTTCTTAAAAAATTGTGAAAAAATCGTCGTCGTCATCTCGTCACTTCTTTCATTCTCCACCACGAAACACAAAACACAACGAAGACTCTAGATATCTACTCCTACTCGTAATGGTTGTGCACGCGAGGGTAAAACCATCATCATCAGTGACACGTTTTAACGTCGTCGCGAGAAGAACCACGACTTTCACGCGCTGTTATCATCATCATCATCATCAGTCGCACGTCTCTTCTTCCTCCTCCCGCGCATCATCAAAATGCAAAATCCGGGAAACGTCGTTTCGATTCACGACGAAGCGGGGAAAAGATGACGACGTTTCGATGACGACGAAGAGCAGCGCGATGGAAGAAACGACGACACTTTCCGCGTCATCATCGTCATCGTCATCGGAAACGAGAAGAGACGCGGAAGCAGTCGTGCGAGGAATGTACGACGCCATCAATAAAAGAGACGTGACGAAAGCGCTGACGTTTGTCGACGACGACATCGTGTACGAAGATTTCAACTTCCCAGAACCATTCCGAGGGAAAGCGCGGGTGAAAAAATTATTCGAGGAGAGTTGCACGGGGATACCGGACGATTTAGATTTTATCATCGAGAGAAGCACGACGTCTTCGTCCTCGGAGGCGGGAGGATTAGGGGAGAGTTTGACGTTTGGGTGCACGTGGCACGTTGAAATCGCAGGCGAGCCGTTTCCAAACGCGCGAGGCGCTTCGTTTTACGAGATTTCAAAGGAGAGCGGGAAGCTGATTTACGCCAGAGACGTGGTCGAGTCGCCGATGAAGCTAGGGGAGGCGTCGTTTTCAATCATACGGGTCGTAGCGCCGCTGGTGAAGGAACAGATTTTAGCCGAGAAGCAGAAGAAGGAGAACAACAAGAAAAATGATAACGAGAGTAGTGACGAAGGGAGCGCGAAGGGAGAGATGACGACATCTTCTTCCGACAATAATAACGCGTTGGAGATCGCCGGGTTGTGGGCTACCGCGGCTGCGTATTGGTACGTGTTACTCCTCTCGCCGCCGTTTTCGCCAGTTCCGGGATACCCGGGATGGGCCATTACTCCCGAAAGTTTGCAAGACGTCATAAACTCTTCCGTTCAATTCTTCTTCATCTTACAAGGCATGAACGAAGCCGGCATCACGTTTGCCGGACTAGCGACGGATTTCCCAGTCCAGCCGGAAACGTTGGGCGTGTTCAACTTTGCCGAGGCGTTCGTGTTTATGTTGTTTCCGGTTCTGTTGATGGATAAAACGAAATTAGGCAAAGAGAAAGGTGGGGATTTGAAAACGACCACGTTTTGGTCCATCTCCATGTTTCTCACGAACGCGACTTTGCTTCCGTATTTCGCCACGAGGGCGAAGAGTATCGGCGAGAATAGGAAAGAAAACGAAACGTCCGCGTACGTATCCGATGATGCAGGTGTGATCAACGAAGATGCGAAAACGAGAGAAGGGAGAGAAGGTAAAAAAGGCTTGCTGAGCAAAGGTTTTGGCGTGTACGGTTTATTAGTCGGCGTCTACTCGCTGTGGTACTTTGCGAACGGATACGTTCCGTCCGGCGAAGAGCGAGACTTAGCCGAGCGATGGACGTACTACGTGCAAACTCTACACGAAGACAGAGTCTCGGTCGCGTTTACGTGCGACATCGTCCTCTTCTATTTGTGGCAAATTTATTTCACGAAGAAAGTCGATCCTACGTGTTCCGCCATCGATCGATTCTTACCCTTCTTTGGCCTCGCCGGGTGGTTGATTAAATAAGCTCTCTCTCTTTCTACTTCCGGTTGTTGTATTAAAATAGTATTATTACACGCACACACGTGCTGCTATAGAAACAAAACTGTACTTTTACTTCGCCGCGGCGCCCATCGCGTTCGCGTCCATACTCGCGTATTTCTTCTTCGCGCCTCCAGTCGGTAACGGCATCTGTTCTAGTTTTTCTACGTCTGTTAAATTCTCCTTCTTTTTTTCTTTGCCTTCCTCTCCACCTGCTTGCTTTTTCTTCTTACTCTCGCTTTTTGACTTTCCCCACATGCACTTCATTTTCACGCCGTTGATTTCAAATCCGAGCGCGCCGCATTTTTGCTTCGCCGCTTCCTCGGCCTCTTCTCTCTCCGCGAACGTCACAAACGCGCACTTCTTTTCTTTCATCACGTGTACTTTCTTCAAAGCCCCATACGTACAAAACGCGGCTCTCAAATCTCCCTCTTGCACGTTCTCCCCGTCTACACCGCTGATATAAAACGTCTTGATCGTTTGATCCTCCGGCGCTTGCCAACTCGGTTTCTTCTCTCGGTCTCTTTCCAACATCGCCTCGGCGACTGGATCGTTCGTCCCGTAATACCGATCCTTAATATTCTGCTTCCTAAACTTTGCATTCGCGGATAACTCTGGCATGTGCGTGTCCCCGTTGCACGGTCGAAACGGACAATCCGCTCGCGTGCACGCGTCTTTCAACCAAAACGTACAAATCGGCGCCTTATTCTTTTGATAATACGGCTTCTTCCTCGCCATCCGCGTCAACTGTTCCATCGCGTCCTTCACGATCGCCGCTTTCCCTCCCACCGAATCGTCCTCCGCGTTCCCGGCGACTCCACCTAACATCCCAGTCACGTCTGCGGTAGCATCTTCCTCCAGTTTCTCCTCGATCTGTTTCGTCACGTATTCCACGTTCACCGCGCTTTTCGGCACCGCCATATCTGAAATCGCCCCCAACGCCGCATCTCTCGCTTGCACTGGAATCCCAAATTCCAAATCTAACAAGCACACTTGGCAGACGTTCTTCGCCAACGCGATTTCTTTGCACACGACTGTTTTCTTATACCTCGCGTCGTGTCCTGGTCGCCATCGGAACACCGTGAACGGTCTTCCCGAGATGGCGCACTCCGCGCCGTAATTTTCTTTCTGCATTCTCACGTACGGGTTCGGGCCGAGACAATCGTCGCACACGACTGGGAAGTCGCTTTTTTCCCACCCGTCTTCCTCGGGGTTTGATATATGTCTGTTCGACATTTTTATTTGTCAAAAAGCGTAAAGTCTCGTCTGTATTCTTTCGTTTAAAAGCGTATCCAGTTTTGCGATTTTAATAAAGAGAGAGTCGTCGTCGTCGTAGTAGAGTAGTTTGAGTCGTGCTCCTCTGATGTTGATGTGTACGAGCTAATTGTCTCCAGTGGTGTCACTCAAAGGAAAATGAAGAAAAAAATTTCTTCAAAAAGAGCAAAAAAACTTCAGAAAATTTTCTCTCTCTTCCCGCTCGTTCTTCTCTTTCTCTTCATCTCTCTTCATCTCTTCATCTCTCTCTCTCTTCATCTCTCTCTCGTGCTTTTAAAGAAGATAAAGATGGAAGCGAGGACTTCGAAAGAAAACGAAGAAGAAGAAGAGAAGAAGAAGAAGAAAGAGTTTAATAACGATGATTCTTTTTTGAAGAAGGACAAAAAGGAAGACGAAGAAGAGGAGCGACGAAGAATCGCGTCTTTAATCGCGGAGACGTCGTATTTAACGAGCGTTTTGAATGCGCCTTCAGGAGAAGCGACGACGACGGCGTCTTCTTCTTCTTCTTCAAACGACTTTTATGATTACTACGATTTTGGGTTCACCTCGGCGGTGTACTCGTTGTTCGGATACGCGAGCGAAGATGGGAATACTGGGAGTGCTACGAACAACAACAACAACAACATTAACAACAACAAGATGATGATGATGATGGAAAAAGAGAGCAACCTCTTACTGGACGAGAAACGCATCGAACAGACTTTGTTGAAGAACCACGGAGTGATTAAGAAGACGTTACCGGAGGTATCGCCGACGGACTTTGAGAAGTATTTGAGAGCGATACGGACGTCGTACGCGAGGTTCGTGGCGACGAGAGCGATGGCGAAGAAGAAGAATAAGAGCGCGGGAACGGCGTCGAAGTCGTCGTCCGCGGGGTCGGCGTTGGCGGACGGGTTCGCCGCGACCAACAACATGAACGCGGACGACTTCGAGGAGCAAATGCACAGACAAAATCAGCTTTTGAGTTCAGTGCCGTCCATTTTTTTCCGAGAAGAGTTTGATTTAACGTCGAGGGAGGCATTCGAGGAGATTTTGCCGTGTTTAGTGAGGGATTTAGTAGGAGAGAGCAATAATAATAATAATAATAATAATAAGACGTCGTTAGACGACGACAACGTGGCGAATAGCGCGGTGTTAGCGCAAGAGCAGCTCGGACAGTACTTAGATTTGGTGGAGAGCGTGATTATGAAACGCGTCGGGGATCGCGCCGAGGCGTTTTTAGAAGCGATGGCGAAAACGAAAAAGTTACAAGAGACGATAGAGGAGACGAAGAAAGCAGTCGTCGATTTAAGAACGAATAATCGGAGGAGTTTTAGAAGAGCTGCGCACGCCACGGCAAAAGTGAAAGAGACATGGAGAAGGAGGGACAACATTTTACGATTGGCGGAAACTTTGAAAGATATCGAGAATATTCGGCAGACGAAGTTAGACGTGGACGTGCTGTTAGAATCCGGGGAGTATTCGGAGTGTTTAGAAGCGATCGACGAGTGCGAGAGAAGTTTGAGAGCGGCGATTGAAAGGGCGACGAAAAACAACAGCGAAGAGGGGGAGGTAGAGGAAGAGAAAGGATCGTCATCAATGTCTTCTGCAAGCAATAAACACATGAATATTAGTAATAGTAGCGGTGGTAAAAGTAACGCGGCAACGACGACGACGAAAAACGTCTTTTCGTGTTTCAGTCATCTTCCGAAAGATTTGGAGATTGCAAAGAGAAAATGCACGGGTGGAATTACGGCAGAGTTGTGCTCTCGAGCTCGCGTCGAATCGAACATCGTAGACGATGGAATCGCGAACATAGTAAAGTATGGTGTCGACGATCAAATCAAAGACGATGAGGGAAGCTTCGATAAAGACGAGTACGATCGAGTATCTGAGTCCATCTTACCGGCGCTTCGTGGCTTGTTGAGATCGAGCACAGTCATGCCAACGGTTGACGCGATTCACGCGGTTTCGCGTGAAATTTTGCGTGATTTGAAAAGAGATGTCGAACGCGTGTGCGAAAAAGTTTTCGCGAGTGTTGGTGGTAAAACAAACACTCCTTCAAAGGTCAGCGCCGCTGTCGCTGAAAATAAAAACGCAGAAGACGGTAACATGGAGAATATTTATTTAGCGCTTCAAAATTGTTCCTCTGATAATTACATCCGAACGCTCGATGCCGTGAGCAAAATCATGTCACGCTTACATTTCAAGCGCGGTGAAATTATTCGAGACGTTTTGATGTCCGTGTTCACCTCTTCCAGTGATGAATTCGATGAGAATGCGAGCGAAAGCGCTGGCGCCGTGGAAACGCCCAAGAGTTTGCCCTCGCCAAAATTCTCTATGGATTTCGTCCTGAAAGAAGCTCGCGATGAAGCCAACGAGCGGTTTTCGAGAGATGGTATTTCCAAAGCAGTTTTTGCCATCCGCGAATCGTCGAATTCAATCATCGACGGAGGCTCGATGCTTTTCGCCAGACTCCTGAGTTGCCGCAAGCACGTCAACGCAAAACTCGACGCGACTTCGTTCACGAGAATAACGAAAGCTTCGGATGCGTTCATTCGTCTCGCGGAGAATGCTAATAAGAAAAACGGGAAGCGGTGCGTGGCGTTAAGGTCGCAAGTGCATTCTCAGGCGCGCTTGTTCTTGAACGTGAAACACGCCGCCGAGTTGGATAAGTTGAAGACGCTGCTCGAGCAAGAGAGTTGGTCGCAAGCGACGGTCCCGGCACATTTTCAAGAGCTTTTGGATCGCTTATCTGCGGTGGCATCTTCAACAGAAAAGGATGAAAAGAAAGAAAGCAACGCCACTACTAATGCTGAAAACGATAAGAACCAACCGCTACCGACGAAAATTATCGATAAAAACACGAAAGTTGAACACGTCGCCACGACGACGGCGTTGATGCTCATTCGCACGCTGAACGATTACAGCGATATCGCGGAAAGTATTCCAGATTTATCGGCAGACGTAGCTCGTCGCGTCGCTGAATTACTCGGTGCGTTCAACGATGGTGCTTGCGTGTTAGTTCTCGGCGCACAAGCCATGCAAGGCGCAAACTTGAGATCCATCACCGCGAAGCATCTGTCGGTGACTCAACAATCGCTCCGATTGTTCCAATCCCTCGCGCCGGTTTTGAAAGCGAAACTTTCAGACATTACGACGACAAAGTTTGGCAGCAGTAGCGATAACGTCGCGGCCGCAACAGGTGAAGGCAAACTACCATCGATCGGCAACGAAGACGCGAGGCGTAAACTAGCCTTTGCGAACCTCGATAAAGTTGGACGCGATTTCGAAACGCACTGCGAACGCATCCATCTGAAGCTCATTGAAATCATTCGAGAACGCTTGCGATTCCATCGCGGCACGTTACCGCAACTCGCCAAAGCCTGGGAAAACGAACCGCTCGAAGATTTCGACAAAGAAGCCTCTCAATTCAGTAAAGGATTAATGAAAGAACTCGGAACGCTTTCCAAAGTCGTCCGTGGCATGTTTGAAGAGAACGATCAAAACAACGTCCTCGGCGTAGTCGCTTTAGAGTTTGACGCCAAGTTAGCCTCCTCCTTGAGAACGGTTTGGGAGGAAAGGAAATCTGTCGGCGGTACCATCGAAAGACACGTCAAAGCCGATTGCGAAGCGTTGCGAGAGTGCTTACACGGCTTAGCTGGTAAATTCGACTCGGACATTATCGGTCGCGAGTTGAAAGAGTTGGCTGAAGTCGTCGCGGAGTCGATTAAACACAACGACGCTCGTCTGGCCGACGAAGCGAAATTATTGAAAGCGAAAATGAAAGCAATGGCGGCTGAAGCCGAAACGAAAACGCCGACAAAATCGCCCACGCCAAAAAAGAGCACCACGAATGAAGAAAATATGGACTCAGCTCCAGCTTCTACTTCTTCTCCTCCCGCGAAAGGAGAGGAAGCGAAAGACCCCGTCGCGGCGGCTTCGCCCGACGAAGACGAACGCAAAGACGAGAACGCCAAAAGCGACGACGAATAATAATAATAGCCTCTAGGAACAGTAATAATAATAGTAACAATAGCACACCATTATAACGCGCAATGAATGCTCTCTCTGCTACATCTCGTCCACGAGCTTCTTCAGCTCTCCTTTAACTTCCCTCTGCCTTCGTCTGTTCCCCCACGTGTCCTCGCCTTCTTTCAACGCGTTCAGTTCCTCCAACAGAATTTCCCTTTTCCCTTTCGTTTTCTCTTTCTTCTCGCCGCCGTCTCTGATGAATTGTTTGGACACGTTCGCGGCAAACGAGGCGACGCCTATGACCCCGACCGCGCCGACACCAAAAACCGCGATCCCTCCCGTGGAGGCTTTGAGTAATCCACCGATTGCATCGAACGCGGTGAGTTCCGGCATCTCTTCGATGTTAACATTGTTCGTTTTTGGATTCGTTTTGTTTCCCAACGGGGAAGAGGAATTACTGTTGTGTCTTCTCACTCCAAAAGAAGAAGAAGAAGAAGACGACGAAGCGCATCTCTTCGACGTGGAGGCGACGGCAATACTCGCAGCTCTTCGCAACACCATGATGACGTTCCTTTTCCTTCTTTCTTTTTTGTCGTTTGAGGCGGAGAGAGGAACACTTTTAGTGTGAGTGGATTGAGTGTGGACTTTGTTGTGTGGAACAACTGTGTAAAACGCGCTTCTATTAAAACTAAACTTCTCACTCTCTCTCTCTCTCTCTCTCTGATGATGGTTTAAGCGGCATCCACGGCTTGCCTCAACACATCAATCGCACCTTTCACATCCTTTGCGCCAAACACGGAACTTCCAGCGACGATGACGTTCGCTCCAGCTTCGCTCGCCATGCCGATCGTCGACGCGCTCAAACCGCCGTCGACTTGAATATCCATCGCGGGATACTTCTCGCGCAACTCTTTCACTTTTGGCATCATATCCGGGTTGAACTTTTGCCCTCCAAACCCAGGTTCCACGGTCATCACTAAGAGCATGTCCACGAAATTCTCGTCCGCTAAGGCGAAAATAGATTCCGCGTTCGTTTTCGGTTTCATCGCCACGCCGACTTTCATGCCTCCTTTTTTGATGCTTTCGCACAGACCAATCGCTTCGTCGATGTTCGCGCAGGTTTCGATGTGAAACGTGAACATGTCGCACCCAGCTTTTTTCATCGGTTCTACGTAATCTCTCGGGTTCGTCACCATCAAATGGACGTCGAAATATGCCTCCGGGAAGTGTTTGTGTAAGCTTTCAATGACCGGAGCGCCAAAGGACAAGTTCGGGACGAAGTGGCCATCCATGACGTCCAAGTGAAGCCAATCGGCGCCGAACGAGAGGACTTTCTCGGATTCCGATTGCATGTTGGCGAAATCGCACGCGAGTAACGACGGGGAGATGATCGCTTTTGGCTTTTTTGATTCTGTTCCGGTCGTCATTTGAATCTGATTGTATTGATGTTTTTGATGATGGTGCGTCTTTTATTTATGAAGTTGAAAAGGGACAGACACCTACGAGACGACGAGAAAATTTACCTATTCGTCGCGGTAAACGCTACGCGCTCAAAACTAACTTTACACGTCTGTTCTATAGTACTACTCTTCTAACTGGGTTGATATCTCTAGTCTCATCTCAAACGACGTTGACATTCCGGGTTAAAAAATCCGGATCCCGTCGAAACTTTGTCGTAAACTTTTGATACCAACTATCGAAAACGTTCCTCGGAACGACTAAATGTTCCGTCTCGTTTCCGCTGGTGAAACTCTTCAAAAAGTTCCACAAATCTAACGCGACTCGCTGCGCGAACAACTCTTTACTGCCACTAATTTTGGCGTCTTTTTGTAAACACTCCTCGAGTGGTTCTAAAGAAACGCCTATCGAAGCGTCCTCGTAAAATTGAGAAGTGCCCGGGTCGATCGGCCACGTCAAGTTGAACGTGTTCGACGGTTCCGATAACGTCACGCAACCTCGGTATTCCCATAAGTTATTATTATTCAGTTCGTTTTCTGCTGTTCGCCCGCGGCTTCCTTTCACGTACAAAGCGAGCGCAGTCGAGTGATCCAGCACTGTGTAATGCGTGTTTTGTGCGCATATGTGTGTGAGAGAGAGAGAGAAAATGTCAGCGCTCGCGTATTTTTGAGTAAAATCCAAGACAGAAATCGAAGCCATTCGAAACCACTTTCGATGGATGATTTCCCCTAACGCGCGCAATACTAATACTAATACTAATACTAATACTAATACTTCTTTCACTCCGGGATGACGATACTATTATAAAAGAATGAATTCGTACCGTTCGCTCCGTTGACGCACAATGCGCACTCTTTAATCTCCGCGTACCCTCGTCCAACAAAGCTCGATAAGTTTAACGTCCAATTGGTAACTCCGACGCGTTCGAACTGAGAGGAAAGGATTGGGAACGAGCGCTTTATGAACACGACGCAAAACGGTTCCGGTGGGACGTAGCGTTCTATTTGACCACCACCAGAAAATGCTTCTCCCCCTGGTTCTTGGATGATTGGTTGGTTCATTCTTTTGATGAAAGCCCCGGGGAACGCGCGCGTACAATTTGTGTTGACGTAAAAAGCTGCTTTTCCCTTTGAGAGAAAGATATTCAACTCGTCGTATTCAACGCGTTTTATTACACTACATACACGCTAGAGAGCAGATGCGACACACAAAATCAAAACGACGGACTCTCCGCGTCGCACCCCCCCCCCTTCTACTATTGAATCCTATCGAAAAACAACGCGCTCAAATCCAACTCGCCGCAATCTTTCGCCTCGCAGACGTCCCTCCGCTCGTTTACCTCGTCCGCGAGAGGCGTCACCGCGCTCTTCTCGAACGTCATCCTATCCGTCATCAGTCGCATCTGGCCTCTGATCATTTCTATTTTCCCGCTTTTTAAAACGTACGCTTCGTTTTGTTTTAAAGCTTCGGCTGAGGATGATTTGTGATGTGATGTGGTATTGAAAGAGAAAGAGAGAGAGAGAGAGAACAGGTGTCAGTTGAGAAGAAAAATATCTTTCGGAGGATTCAAAATCGCGGATCAACTCTCTCTTTCGGTTGGTGTCTGTCTGCCCGTCTGCCCGTCTCAAAATCCAAAACAAGAGGACGACGACGACGACGAGAGATGATGACGAGATGACTGAATAAAGACGAGATGATGACTCACCTTCTCTCTTCTCGCTACATCTAAACTTAATCTTCCCGGAGACGTCCCCGACGAGAAATTCTCTAAAACGACGAGAATTCTGATGTTGCTTGGAGGAGGACGAGGCGTTCGGGTGTTGTTGCGTTTGTTTGCGTCGCTTTTCGTCCTCATCCTCCTCTTCTCCCTCTTCTTCTTTCGATTCTTCAATCACTCTAAAACAGCAGTCTCCGATCCACCCGGGCCGCAAGTCCGCTATTTTCGTCAAAGGAGAAGGGACGATGATGTCGTCCCCGTTGGACGTCAAAGCAGCCTCTTTCAAAGCCTCCTTCTTCGTCTGGTTGTTGTTGGTGTTTTTGTTGTTCTTTTTTGCTGCCATCCCCTCGAAATGTGAGGACGCGAAAGAAATCAAACGTTTTTGTGTAGCAGGTGTTTCCTTAAAAAAATCGCTCTCTTCTCCATTATATCTGAACACGTTATTCTTAAGAAGAGATGAGCATGATGAGACACGCACTTCTCGGCCGAATGGCAGCAGCAACGATGAAGAGCAGCGCGAGGAGTACTTTTTCTTCCTCCTCTTCTTCTTCGAGAAGACCGGTGTTTTTCTCGTCCTCCTCGTTCAAGAACACGAACGCGTGCAGAAGAAGATTACCAAAAACGTCGTCGTCGTTCTCTTTCGCGACCACGTCGACATCATTTTCATCGTCGTCGTCGTCGCAACGGGAGGAGGAGTTTAAGAAACGGAAGCAAATAAAATACGACCTGAAACTCTTATTCGACGGCGAGTGCCCTTTGTGCGTGAAAGAGGTGAACTTTTTAAAGTCTCGGAACGAGAAAGGCTTGATCGCGTTTGTCGATTTAGCGGACCCTTTGTATTCATCAGAGGAGAACTCTGGAATAAGTTACGAAACCGGCATGGCGACGATACACGGCGTGTATAAAGGAAACGTCATGACGGGCGTGGAGGTGTTCGAGAAAGCGTATTCATGCGTTGGGTTAGGGTGGGTGTATTCGTTTACGAAAGTTCCGGCGTTATTGACCGCGGCGAATAAAGTGTACGACGTTTGGGCGAAGTATCGATTGGAAATCACCGGACGGCCGAGTTTAGGCGACGTGTTGAAGGCGAGGCGGATGCGAACGGAAGAGAAGACGTGCGCGGAGGCGACAGAGGGCGAGTGTAACATTTGAGCAGCGAAGTAGTCGTTTTTCTTCTTGTGTATATGTATCTAAGAAGGAGCTGTATATTATTAGTAATGAGCATAAAATCACATCTATCTATCTATCTATCCGTGTTATCATTTCTTATTTCACGTCGCCGCTTCTCCTCTGGCGGCGGCTTTCGCCGCCTTTTCGGCTGCTTTCTTCTCCGCCGCCGCTTTGATTTTCGCCGCTTTCTTCAGCGCCGATTTCGAACCTTCCGTCGGGGCGTCTCGTTGCATTCTCTCTTTGCGTATTCGCAACCAATCTTCGCTCTTCGGCGCGCCAATTGCGCATCCTTCCTCGTTTTCAGTCGCGCCTTCCAGTTTCATTTTTTCTTCCAACGCCGCGCACAAGTCGTCGTTTTCGGAATCCCCACCTCCTTTTTTCTTTTCCCACTTACCGAACTCCTTCTCCTCGTACTCTCGAAACAAATCTAAAAACACTTTCGGTGTTTTTGTAGGGTTGAAATAGACATCTAATACCTCGTCGGTCACTAACGCTCTCCTTTTCTGATGCTCTTCCACCATCGGCGTTAACACGTCGACTAAAATCTGTTTAATCTCTCCGGTTAACATTTCTCCGCTTCCGTACTTCTCTCCAATCTCTTTTAATTTCTCGTCGTCTTCTAAAAAGAAGTTCAACCACTTCCACGGCACGTCTACCTCTAAATTCGCTCCGTTTTCTCTCTGCTCCTCGATCGTCGCGCCTCCACCACTAAACGCGTGCTTGTTAATCTTATTCTTAATCTCTTTGGCGGTATCGGTGACGTAAATGGCGCTCGTCGGATCGCTCGCGGACATCTTCCCGCTCTCACCTTTTAACGCCGGGAAAAATCGACTCTCCACGAGCGCTGGCTTATACCCGCCAATCCTATGCGACACGTCTCGAGTCATTCTAAAATACGGATCCTGGTCAATCGCGCACGGAATCAAACACTTCAACGATTTCTTGTTCATCCCGAACATGTGCGGAAAGCAATCCGGAAAACTCGGCGCCGCTTGCACCGGAGGAAACCCAATCTGCCCGATATTCGAATCTCCGGTGAACCCAAATATCCCTTTCGCTTGATTAAACGTCACGCACTTGGCAATCTTCACCATATTCACGTAAAAACTCGAACACATGTAACTCGCGTCCGCGAATATAAACGTCGTCTCCGGATTGAACCCGCACGCCGCGATATCCTTCGCGTTCTCCCTCGCCAGCCTTCTGCAATCTTCCAGCTGTAAATCCTTCCACAAAAACTTCTCGTCGTCCGTTAACTGAATCACTAAGGGGACTTTAAACGCGTCTTGCAGCCACTTGGTGAATTGAAACGGCACCAGATGCCCCAGGTGTAAACTTTCGCTCGACGGTCCTCGTCCGGTGTAGAGATAAAACTTCTCTCCTTTCTCGTACGCGGAGACGATTTCATCGAGCTCTCTGTGGGCGAAGAATAAGCCTCTGCGTAAAAACGGGTGCGCTTTTGTTTTCGTGCACCTTTCGATGCGTTCGATTAAGTTCTCGTCGATTTCCGAGCACCCAAACTCTCGCACCAGTTTCGTGTAATCGATTTTCCCATCGGCGCCGGCGGACACGTCCCACGGGGTTACCACTTGCTCTGATTCTTCTTCCTCTTCTCCTTTTGTAGTCGTCGTCATCGGTATGAATTACGAATAAATCGACGATCAAAAGAAGACGCTCTCTCTCTTCTTAACTCTTAGCTCCGAAAAGCCTTCTTTTAAAGCGTGTAAAGAGAGACCGTATAATAGGAGTGCGTTTGTCTTCTCTGAGAGAAAAGACGAAACACGGGTGTAAAAACTGACGAATTTTCCATTAAAAACTTCATCATAACAGTACCTTTCACGGGAGGAGGAGGACGTAAACGACGACGAGTCTACGAGTCTATTCGTCTACTACCAGTACTACTTTTACTACTGCGACTTCTTTATACCTGAAGAAGCGGAGCAAAGTTTAGTAGTATTGATACTACGAATATGACGTCGTTACAGTTCAAACGCCTCATGGGTTCCATCGTGACGAAAGTCTCCGGAACGACCCCACCGCCTCTCGTTAAACCGCCGTCGAAATCACAAACCAGAATCGGAATAGTCCACTCGACGAAGATGGAACGAACGGTCTCCGTGATCGTGGAGAGATTGGTGAAACACCCGAAATGGAAGAAATACGTCAGAAAAAGGAAGAAGTATAAGATGCACCACGAGGCGAACTATTCCGGGAACGAGAGGAATTGGTTGAAACCCGGGGACGTGGTGAAAATGGTCAGCACGAAACCGAAAGCGAAGACGGTGTTTTGGGAGTTATACGCCAGCGCCGGTGGGTTGTTGAGAGCAGGGAGAGAGAGGAAGTTAGAGGACATCGAGAGGAAGATAGCAGAGAAGGTGAAGTCAGGGGAGATTATTACGGAGGACGAGAAGAGTTTCGCGCTCTCGCGATCGAAGATGAAGTCGGGGAGAGGGTTCGCCGCCGGCGGCGGAGAGGTGGAGGAGTGAGAATGTGTATTATTGCTTGTTTGTTCTTCAAGCAAATACCGCCGCGTCTCGTCTTTATGTAGTCGAGGAGTAGAGAGAGAGTTTAGTTCTTTCACGTTAACAATAGCACAGTTAGTAGTTTCAATCGTACGTAAATGCTGCACATGTCAATAATGCGACAAATACTTTTCGTTGTTGTTGTTGTTATTACATCTTTTCTTTATATGTGTGAGTATTTACACTCTCTACAATTGTAATCATCACGCGGAAAACGAGGACACCCAAGAAGAGTAGTACCCCACCACGTCGGCTCTTTCGCTCATGGAAATCGGTACTAACGCGACAATTAAAGCGTTCTCTTCGTCCCACTCTTCGCGTTCGACGACGCCAACTTTACGGAATTCTCCAATGAGTTTACCGCTCTCGCTGAAAGGAACGCGCAGTTCGACTCTTCGTAACGTTTTCTCTGCCAAGACGGATTCTAAGCCTTTGCGCAATTCGTCCAAGCCTTCGCCGGTTCGAGCGGAGACGATGAAGACTTTGTTACTTTTATTCTTCGAGTTGATTCTCTTCGCGGCTTCTTCGACGTCTTGACGTTGATATTCGGATAAGTTGTCGAGTTTGTTCCAAACGGAAATCTGGGTTGGCATTTCAAACACAGAAGATCCATCTTTCTCGTTTCGTTCGCGAAGCAAAACCTCCAAGGTTTCATCCACCGCCGCCATTTGCGCCGTGGCTAACTCTGAGGAAATATCGATGACGTGCAAGACTAAATTCGCCTCTGCGACTTCCTCTAACGTTGCTCGAAACGCAGCCACGAGTTGTGTCGGTAGCTTTTGAATAAATCCAACCGTATCGACGACTCGACAGTTCCCTCCAGACGGCAAGTTCAATCGACGCGTGAGCGGGTCGAGCGTGTGAAAGAGTTCATCTTGAACCCGCGCGTGGTCGTCACCGCATAACGCATTCATCAAGCTTGACTTTCCAGCGTTGGTATAACCAGCTAAAGCAATGGTTGGTGCGATCGGCGCTCCGTTCTTATCTCTGTTTTGGTCTCTCCTCTGGTCGCGAGAGGTTTTCACCGAGCGCAATTTTTTTCTCAACTGCGAGATTTTGTCCTTTAACAAACGCTTATCGATTTCAATTTGCTTCTCGCCCATACCTTTTACGTTACCACTCCCGGATTGACGCTCCAAATGCGTCCATAACTTGGTAATTCTCGGTAACTGGTACTCCAATTGGCCGATTTCTACTTGCATGGCGCCTTCCGCCGTTCTCGCGCGTTGAGAGAAGATATCCAAAATCAAAGCCGTTCGATCGCACACGCGAAGCTTATCGCCCAAGGCTTTCTCTATGTTTACGCCTTGCTTCGGGGTTAACTCGTCGTCAAAAACGACTAAATCTGCAAACTGTTTGCGTTTAAACGCAAAGATTTCGTCGTCGTCGTCGTCGTCGCCGCCGCCATAATCATCATCGTCGCCGTAGTCCTTGTAATACATTTCAAACGAACTCCCGGAGCTGTCGTCTTCCTCCTCCTCCTCCTCCTCCCATTCCTCGTCTTCGTCCTCGCTTTCGTCCCAATCAAAACTCCCACCTTCGTCCTCGTTATTATCACCGTATTCTTCTTTCTCATTCAACTTCATCTTCTTCCCTTCAGCGACGACATTCGGACTCTCCACGCCGCAAACCTCTCGTAACTCGCTAATTTTCCCTCTTCCTAAAAACGTTCTCGCGTTTGGCGTTCGTAAATTCTGCGTCACCCTCCCCACCACAACCAACCCAGCCGCATCGCACAACCTCTCCAACTCGCTCAAAGAATCGTCCACGGAGAATGTCGCGTCTGCGTTCTTCTTCTCGTTCTTCTTAAACTCGGGGCGCCCTTTCTTCCCGACGCCAACGACCACGCAGCGCAGCGGTTGCATCCGCGTCTCCCAGTAATCCTTCGAGTCGTCGTCGTCGTCGTTGCGCGAACCATCGCGACCACCTAAATCGTATCTGCGAGAGGTAGAGCGAGACGCTAACGGAGACACCATCGACGATTTTTGCGTCCCTCCTCCGTATTCTCTCTCGATGATTTCCTCCCACGTTAAATTTTCGTACTCGTCTTTCGCCTCTTCTTTCACCTCCTCAACCGCTTCCGTTGATGTTGTTGTTGTTGTTGTTGTTCTTCCTCGAGTAGTACTCCTCTTCGTTTTCGTCGCATCGTCACCACCGATACTACCGCTCTCTTCTCCTCGATCTTCTTTTGTATCGTTCACATCTTCTTTCGTCCACTCGTCCTCGTCCTCTAAAAACGCGTCTACGTCGTTTACGTCATCATCCGTCGACACATCGTGCGTCTCGCAGTTCTTCTTCGTTGCCGACGACACCACTTTTGCGCCGAGCACACGCCCCACTTTGGCACGTTTTGGTGGTCCTTTTTGCCCTTTTCGTCGTCGTCTGAAATCATCGTTCAACGAATAACGATGATACCTCTTCGTCGTCGTCGTCGTGACCGTCGTCGTCGATGCCATCTCGCCGCAGGAGAGCAGCCGCGCGAGACGACGCGAACGAAGAAGAAGATGTTGATGACGACGAATTAAGTGTGGAGTTGGAAACGAAATTCGCCGCCACGTGTCTTTTCTCCATTTTAAGAGCTTGCGCTCTCAAGACGCGGTGGTGCATTACGACGACGAAAACGACCCGAGATGACGACGACGACGACGACGACGACGAAAACGACGACGACGAGAGCGCTCTCTTTTTCTCTCCTCTTCTTCTTTTTTTTGGGAAGTTTGCGCTTTGAGGAGGCGAACGCGTACTCGCATTCAACGACATCATCGGATGCGTCTTCAACGGACCCGGAGTATTACTGCGTCGGCGTCTGCGAAACCTCCGTGGCGGATGCAGCCTGCGGCGGAGACGCGGCGAATCAACGCACCACGGAGTGCAACGCGTACGACAGCACGAGCGCGGACAAGATAACGTTGAGCCAAGTCGGCGCGAGCGCATTGACTGATGTGAAAGGGTTCGTTGGGTGCAAGGAAACGTCCTGCGCGAGTTATTGCGCGATGTCCGGGGTCACTTCGGAAATTCCGTTCAAGTTAATGAATCTCGATGGAAGGAACGTCATCTGCGTGGTCAGTGGGAAAACGATGTTCATGACCGAATCTCAAGCGGTGATGCACGCGTACTCGAAAGGGTGCACGGGAGCGCACGCGATGGGCGATCCCGCGATGTACATGGCAGGGGCGACGCACACGGCGTGCGATCACAGCGATGCTACGACGACGACGAGTGGTGCTGCGTATTCTTCGACGATGATGTCGCAAAATGCGTTGGCGGTTTCTTCGGCGTGCGTCGCCTCGCTCGTCGCGCTGCTCCTGCTGGCGTGTTGAGACCGCGAGAGCGAAAAGGCGAGCGAGCGAAAAGGCGAGCGAGCGAAAACAGCGCCAATGTTGCAATCAACTCTCTATATCACAGTCGTTTCTTTCAGAAAGTTCCATCTCCCACCCTTTACCACCCGTATACGCGCTTCTTCCGTTGTTTCTCAAAGAGTCTTTTGAGAGGATTTTTGCTTCTTTTCCTTTGCTTCTTTTCCCCCCATCGCGTCACACCGTTTCCACGCGGCCTACGGCCCTTAAAACGACGCGTTTGTGTATACACACACATCACACATTTTCACCGATGATGATGAGGAATCTTTTCCTTTTCTTTTCGGCGATGATGATGATGACTTTAATGGTCGTCGTCGAAGCCTCTTGGTTCCGCAAAAGCAACACCTTTAACGGCGGGGGAAAATCCAATTCCGAAACGCCTTCTTCGTCCTCGTCGTCGGTATCATCCTCGTCACCAAAATCTCACCCACTGAAAGACGAAACAGAGCTTCAGTTCTCTCACGTAAACGCGACGAAGTTACTCTTGGAAGAGTTATCGTGCGATGCCTGCGTCGCCGCGAACGTGCAGATCTTTCAGCAGATACGGAACCGAGCGGAATTGTACGAGAGAGCTATTTCCGGTGCGGATTCGATCGACGCGACGACGTTGACGTGGACGACGCAAAAGAAGCTCGAGACGTCGAAGAAATGGTTACAACCGGACGTGGCGTGCGGGACGAGATTTCGGAACCGGAATTTGTACAGTTTGAAACCGGTTTTCGAAGGAAGAGATAACTTGTACATGGCTGGACCTGGGTTTGATCACATGAGGAAAAATCCGAGAAATACCATGTTTCGGCGAGAAGTGGAATCCGTTTTGTACCAGACGTGCGCGAAGAGTTTACGAGAACACGACGCGATTGAAGTGTATAAGAAAGCGATCGACGAAGTCTCCTCGCAATCACCAGGAGGAAGATCCGGAGTGACGTACAACGGCGTTTTGATATCGTTCGTGACGCGAATGTGTTTGTTCCCCGGGCCGAACAATTTAGACGACGTCGTGAACGCCTCGAGGGAGGAGAAAAAGCAAGCGAAGGAGTTGCTGAAGAGACAGACGCAGTATTGTAAAGGCGAGAGAAGAGAGGAGCGGGCGCAAAATTATCACGACGAAAGTCAGCGCGTGTCGAAACTTTTAGACGAGATCAAAACGAAAGCGTTGACAGACGCGTCACAGAATGCCATCGACGAAACGACTGGGAAATCGAATTTGCAAGTCGCCAAGAGAATGTGCTTGTCCGGAAAGTTGGAAGAGACGACGTGTTTGTTCATTCGTTTGGAATTCGCAAACGCGGTGCCGAAATTGGTCGCGCAGTTACAAAATATCACCGAAAATCAAAAGAAGTTAGAGCACGAGATATCACAAACGGACGAGGACGAAAATTTCGATTACGATGACGAGGATTACGACGGCGACGGCGACTTCGAGGAACGGTTTTTAGAGGCGAAGAAAACGAGATTGGACGCGAATTTCAATTACACGTTGAAAATGGCAACGACGGCGTGCGCGTCGCTGTTAGAGATGAAGCCAAACTCAGCGTCCGGGACGCACAACAGCGCCGCCGTTCGCCGGTACGCGAAGGATGAAAACGCTATGGAAGATGCCATCGCGTTTGCGAAGAAGGCAATCGATTTGCACGTGAAAAACGAGGACAAGATGGAAGGGTACAAGTTCATAAGCGAGGCGAATTACGCGTTGGAAAAATACGACGAGGCGATGAAGTACGCGCAAATGGCGAAAGATTCGATCGATGCCCTGTCACCAGGAAGAGTACACGCGTACCGCTTATTAGCGAGCTTACACGTAGCCAGAACCTTTCGCGAGATGGCCAGTGGCGAAATCTTGACCAACGCCGCACGCATCGAGAAAGACGAACTCGATCACCAAGAGAAAGAAAGCGGTTCGTCCAAAGCTTTGTCGAACGAGGAAATGGACTTGAAAAGACGAGCTGTGAAACTGCACGACGAATTGAAGGAAAACTTGGAAGCTGCTGCCAAAATGCTCGACGACGTCATCTGGGAAGACCCGCGACGCGAACATCTCATCAATATGGGCATCGTCTTGTACCTCATCGAAGCCGCCAACGACAACGCGTTGGGTCGGTTTACCAAAATACAACACGACGCGTTAACCGAAGCGAAACAGCTCTGCCTCTTAAAACCCGAGCACATGGAAGACCACGAGAAAGCGTTGTGTCGAGACGTCCTCTCGCTCACCGGTCGAAAACTTGTAAAAGAACATTTCTTCGCCTTGGCCGGCGACGCTTTGCACATGTCATTGATGTACGGCGAAGAAAGTTCCATCTTGTGGGCCGACGTCGGGTTCACCCAGTATTCCATCGGTAAACTCGAAATTGCCAAGATGTGTTTCGACAACGCGAAAAAGTACGACCCGGAAAACTTCGTCTTGCCGGAAGACATTCGCGCGGCGTTGGAAGACGTCGGCGAGAACGTGTTGTTGCAACAGCACGACGAAATAGAACAGGCGAAAAAGAAGCGAGAGGAGGATGAGGAGGAGGATGAGGAGAAGGAGGAAGGCGAAAACGCCGGCGATATCGGCGAAAGTATACGCATAAGTAGTAGTAGTAGTAGTAGTCATAGTAGTTCCGAGCACCGCCCGGAGTTGTAGTCGTACCACCATCGAACAAAATCGAACCCCCGACGATAATATCATCATCATCATCATCTTTATCAGTATCATTATCGTCGTCGTCGGACAACACCTTTTGCGTTCGTGGTTGTCTCGTTTGTTTTGTTGTGTGCTCACATTTTCCCAATTTTCCGTTGTGTCTCCATTCAAATCCCTCACAACAAAAAGGTATATAAAGAATTCTCTCTCTCTCTCTTTCCGAACGACGACGATCGTAATCTCTCGTCCACTTTTCGGTCGCCCAGCAAGATAGAAGAGCTTTCTTCCGTTCCTTCATTTTGTGTATAGAGTATCATTCGTGTTCGTATTCTCAGAGAAAGAAGAAGAAGCTTGGGGAGATTTGATCCACAACGGCGTAAAATGGTGAAAGCAACGGCTTCGGTCTCTTCGCCGAAACCGAACAAGAATAACAAGAACGCGCAAAAACAAAAGGCGTCTAAGAAGACCACCACTAAAGACGACGCCACGAACACTGCGTCTATAAAAAGCGAGGAGAGTGGTTTTCCTTTAAACGGTGGTCCGATAACCGTGGCCGTGTTGTTATTGCTCAACGGGGATCTGGAATCGCCAACTTTGCCGAGAGAGATGCGCTTGCAAGATTTACTCATCGAGGGAAAGAAAGGAAAAAATTTAGGCACCCGTGCGCAAAGTCAGAATAGAAAAGAAGACAACAGACAACGAAAAGAAGACGACGATGAGGAGGATTCGAAGCTCGAGGAAGAGTTAGACAACGTCCCGGAGGAACAAACGATCGTCATTGGACGAAACAATACGAACACGTACGTTTTAGACGTGCCGGATTTGCCGTATCTTTTGTCGCGAACGCACGCCAAGTGCGTGAGCGCGGGAGACGAACATTTCATTTACGATTTTAAGACGACCAATGGGACGTACGTGAACGGGAAGATGATCGAGAAGCAAAAGTACGTGAAGTTGATGCACGGGGATATCGTTTCGTTTGGCGGGCCGGCGAATGTTTTGAGGAACGAGAAATCGATGAAGAATCCGTTTCGATTTCGGTATTTGAGGACGAAAGTGGCGAGAGAGAGCGGCGCCGTTTTGAGAGCGTCGCAGCAACAGAAAGAGCACGAATTATCACGACAGAATGCGGCAAACAACGATGCAAGTGGAACGTCAGGAGCAGTTTCTGGAAAGAGAGATCACGGAGTGGTCGGAAACGCCACCGTCGCCGGCGCGAGAGGAGGGAACGTTGGGAAAAAGTTGAAAATGAGTACGTTTCCTCTCGTCGGCAAAGGCGTCGACGCGCAGCCGTTGACTTTAGGTGGCGGGTACGACGACGAGTTTGTCCCAATTTTCTCGCAAGGTCCGAGTCAAGAGATTGATGATTACGTAACGAACGTGCACAGTCAAAACCACGATGGCACTGGCGAACACGAGAAGATACGAGAGATGTTCGAGGAAGGTTTGCTGCAACTATTTCAAGCGCGAGGCGGAGAGTTTACGCGGAAGTTTAACAGCGCTTTCATGAACTTTCCGATTAAAGAAGATGAGAAAGGAGTAGTAGGAAAAGACGTGGTAGAGGGTAATGGCAACGGTGGTGGCGATGCGGGCGTTGTAGGAGAGAAAAGAGAAGGTGAAGACGCGAAGATGGAATCGGCGGACGAGTCACCAGAGGACGAATCGCAAAGGAAGAAGAACAAGAAGGGCGCAAAAATGGCCGCAGCTGCGGCGAACGACGACGATTTCACGCAACCAGTTGGCAGAGGAGGTGATAACATCAGCGATGGGAGCAACGGAGACCACGATATGGAAACGGGAGACCACGAGAAGAAGAGTAATCTTGACGTACAGTTGATCGCGAAACTTTCGCAGGCGTGCGCGAACCGCATTGTACCAACCGAGGATGCGCAGCATGAAATGCCGCCATGGATTGAGCACGAGTTGCGCTGTCCAGTCTGTCGCGAATTTCTCGTGCGTCCACATTGCGTGCAAGGCTGCGGTCACGTTTTTTGCTTCGGATGCATTCATCCGTGGTTGGCGAAGAGTAAACCGTGCCCGCTTTGTCGCCATAAACCGGCGGTGTGCTTACCTCCAAAAATAGACCACATCGAAGCGGCGCGTTCGTTCGAAATGATTGGTCCTAGAGCGTACGCGGTAAAACAACAACTCACGCCGTGTCACGTGCACGAAAAATTGCTCAAAATGTACGTCTTGAAGTGGCTCACGCCGGCGCAAAAGTTGAAACGCTTGAACTTTGAAGAGGAAGGTAAACGCGTCGAAAAATTGATGGAAGAGCGCGAGTTAAAACGCATGAAGCAAGAACAAGAATATGAAGCCAGTGAAGTCCCGGACGGGGCAGTGGGAAGAAGCACCGATGTGATGACTGAATTAGGTTTACGCGCGGCTTTTCTGCGCGCGTACCACATGGAACGTGCGGCGCAACATCTTGATTTCGAGCGAAGAAACAGCATCGCCGCATCTCTAGAAAACGCCGCCGCCGCCAATATCAACGACGCCTCGCAAGAGCGCAGCGCCGTTCGCATGCAATTTGAAGCCGCGCACTTACCTTCGGAAGAACACGTTCGTGACGGCGACTTGAACAACTCGCAGCAGCAACATCATCAGCAAGAAGAAGAAGAAGAAGTTAAAGAAGAAGAAGGAGAGGAAGAAGACGCGCGAATGCTCCAGAGCGCGCAAGAAACGGCGGCTCAGGCCAGAGAGGCGGCTCGCAAGACCCAAGAAGCAGGAGATAATAAATAGATTTTAGGGAACAAGATAATAGCAGAAAAGCATATAAAGAGTAGTAATAACGCGGAGATGGTGGAGAGAAGAAGTGTAATAATAAAAAGTCTATCTCTCTTTCTTCGTCCTTGTCTGTTGTTGTTGTGTTGTATTTTCCCTCTTGATCTTTTTTGTTTTTTTGGGACTTTTGCCTTTTCCTTCTTTTCTCTTCTCTCTTAGACCCGAACTCGTCAAATCGTCACTAAAAAAGCACTCTAAAACAATGGGTACGTCTCTTTTCTAGTAATTCTCTTTCATCGATAAAGGCGATCTCTTCTCTTATTCGAGCGAATCGATGTGCACATCGCGCGCGGATCGATCGTCGAGGACGAATTTCCATCCGCCTCGTCGCCCTTTGCGCGCGAATCCGATTAGACAATTTTTCTTCCCTTATACGGCCCGCTCGGTTTTAAGCCCTGCTGCATCAAAATTTTCCGCGGAAATGAGTGGCGGTTTGGTTAGCTTTGCACGCGAGAAATGTGAAATGTATCGGTCGAAAGGAGTGCGCACGCGTTTCTTTCGCGCGTTTACGTCGTCGCGGGGTTGCGCGCGCGTTCGCGTGCGTGCACTTCGAGCCGTGATTGCATCATCTTCTCTTTCGGCGGTGTTTGTGTTTTTCTCCTCCCTGGTGGGAACCTCTCTCTCTCTTTCTTTCTCTGAAAAATACTTACCTTTGTCCACTTTTCTCTTCTTCTTTCCTCATCGAATAAACAGGTAAAACGAGAGGTTTAGGGGCCGGCCGTAAGCTCAAGACGCACCGTCGCGAGCAAAGATGGGCGGACAAAGATTTTAACAAAGCCAACTTGGGTTCCGAATGGAAAAAGCCATTCGCCGGTTGCTCGCACTCCAAAGGCATCGTTTTGGAAAAGATTGGTATCGAAGCGAAACAGCCGAACTCGGCTATTCGTAAGTGCGTTCGCGTTCAGCTCATCAAGAACGGTAAGAAGGTTGCGTGCTTCGTCCCGAGAGATGGTTGCTTGAACTTTGTCGACGAAAACGACGAAGTTTTGGTGTCTGGTTTTGGCAGAAAGGGTCACGCCGTCGGGGATATCCCGGGCGTTCGATTCAAGGTCGTGAAGGTTGCCGGCGTTGCTTTGAGCGCGCTGTTCCGCGAGAAGAAGGAAAAACCGCGTTCTTAATTTTGTAGAGAGATATAATCAGATATAGATAATATGTTTAATTGATAAACTTAATATAATTTAGTAGCTTTATTAAAATAAAAACAAACATCACGTTCTCGGCTTGATGTGTTTTGTGATGTAATAGTACGTACTACGTTTTTTGTTTTACAAGTTCTTATATTCTCCTGCTGCTTATTTTATATTCTATGTATATATATATGTATATATATCAATCAATCAGTCGATCATGAGATCCTCTGTGTCTCCTTCTTGCGCACCTCTCTCCCTCGCCTTGTTCAGGATCTCCGTGATTGTTTCAACCTGTTCGTTGTTCATTTTCACCGAACGGTCTTTGTTCACCTCTATGAGCATCGCGCTCCTACTATCTTCTAATCTCTTACTCTCTACTTTATCGTGCAGATTCTGCAAACATGCGTCGTACGTGGGTGCAAATCTGTCGACAAAATCTCTCACTTGCGCATCTGTCAACCCGCCGTTGTTTTTTCTCTCTTGCTCTTGGCGCCACTCGTACGCCCACCTCCAATCGCCGGCTTTAATAATCATCCACGAATCAATCACGTTGTTGAACACCGATTCGTATTCCATCAAATACTCGTTAATAGGCGCAAAATACACTCTCGCGTCTACGCTGGAAATCAGCGATTCAAACTCTCTCGGCCGTTCAAATCCTAAACACCACCCTTCCAAAAACACGATATCCGTAGGCCCGCTCACGCTCGGCCAATCCTCTCGGGGTAATCGATCGCCTCTCCCATTGCACGCCTTCTTGTTATACCTGGGCAAAGCCACGGTCGTTTGCCCATCACCTAACCCTACGTTGATGCTCTTCAACTTCTTAATCGTCTCCCGAGCTAACGGTAAATCGTGCGTCCCTGGATTCCCTCGAAACGTCAACAGAGGGTTCCCCGGGTGCTTCTTCTGCCCGAGGTCTTGCTGCTCCTCGCGCGGTAAATATAAATCATCTAAAGATAACACCACCGAGTTATCAATTAACGTTTGCAACACGTCCACTAACGTCGATTTCCCGAGTCCTTGAGGCGCTTCGATCCCAATAAACAACGGTTTCGGATAAAACTCTTTTTTCTTACTCTCGCCTTTTTCTTCTTTTTTCTTCTCTTGCGATAAAAGGAAAGAGTCCATATCCTCCTTTTGTTTCTTCTTGTGTTCTTCCAACAAAAACATCACCCGAAATAAAATCGGGAGGTAGAAGTGGTACACTCGACTGGCGATCGCGTCCGAGTGAACGGATAAATTGCTCATCACTTCCGTGTTGTGGAGTAACTCTATGCTGTTGTATAAAACGTGCAACTCGGCGTTTTTCCTCCACTCTTGGATTGGAATTTTCTCGTGAATGGCGGAATCGTACAGAGGTCCGGCTCGGATTAACTTCTCGAGCTCGTCGTCTTTGAGGAACTGTAAAGTCGCGTCGTACGCCATTATATATTCTTTTCTCTCTCTCTTATTCTCCTCCTTCTTTTATGCAAAAATGGAGAGAGAAAGGAAACAAGAGTACGTATAGAGTGTGTGTATGTCTGGGGAGTGTTGATGTGGAAAAACCTTTATCTGGTTTTCTGTTTTCTTGAGTCAGCAAATAACGTGAGAACCAAACAACAGTCCAGCCAGAGACAAAAAGCGAGAGAAGCGTCTTGATTATTGAGATTGAGAACAACAACCATTTCGCGACCAGAAAAACACAAATCAAAAATGTTTTTTCCCGCCCTTTTTGAGCCACATTTTCCTTTCTCTCGGGGCCTCGAGTTTGAAGATATTTAAAATAATCGCCACATACTACTAAACAGCATCACCGACAGTACGAACGTACTGATCTCATCGTCGTTTTAGTCATCATCATGGCCTCGACCGCTATTTCTGTTTCGATGATCGCGTGTTCTTCGTCTTCTTTTTCTTCCTCTTCTTCGAAACGTTTCGAGAAATCGAAATCGCAGCCGAAGACGTTTTCCATCGTCCGACAAAAATCATCATCGTCGTCGTCCTCGAAGTCGTCTTCGTCTTTGTCCTCGTTCGCGCTGAACGCTCGACGCAAAAAAGACGAGGACGCATCCGTGGACGCGGAGATTTTAGACGCCGTCGATGACAAGAAGAGTAGCGGTAAAAATAATAACGGCGTCTCGATCGCGAAAGTAATAAACGGATCCTCATCATCATCGTCCGAAGCGACGTTTCGCTCCTTACGAGACGGCGCGTTGGACGACGACAACATGATCGACACTGTGCAAGTGGTCACGGTGAGATTTCAGATCAAAATGGAAGTCGGTTTTGGGGACGTGATGCGAATCTGCGGCTCGCACGAATCCATGGGCGAGTGGGACGTCGCCAACGCGTTACTCTTGAACTGGTCGGAAGGGAACGTTTGGACGAGCGAAGAGGTCGAGTTACCGGTGGATGGTATTTATATTTACAAGTACTGCGTGGCGCCGGCGTCCAATCCGAACGCGCCGTCCAGTTGGCAGTCTGGGAATAACCAGGTGTTGTCGTTATCCCCGGAGGATGGACCAATTTTATACGTGAAAGATTCGTGGAGCGGGAACCCGAACGAAACGGCGGTGTTCAGCGCCGAAGGCGTGAAGCAAAGCAAAGACGAACGCTTAGTCGAACGAGTGAGGAAGCAAGACGAAACGGTGAAGAGGCAAACGGGGGAGATCAAGGTTTTGAGAACGGAATTGAAAACGTCGAAGATGCAAGTGAAAGCGCTGAGAGAAGAGGCGAGGTTGAGCGCGAACGTGAGAATCGCGTTGAAGGATCAGTTAAACGCGGAGAAGAAGAGAAATTTGGTGTTTGAAGAACAAGTCGGCGCGTGGAAGAAACGATTCATGCAAATCACCGGAAACGGCGATAAAGAAGATAAAAAGTCGAGCAAGCAAGAGAGTCGTTAGTGATACATTATGTATGATAGAAGAGAGGAAGAGAGAGAGAGAGAAAGAGAGAACGACTATCATATATATATTATCTATTGATTTTTTAAGATGTAATGAAAACAACCATCTTACTCATATTGCACGCGCTAAACTATAAATTAAACGTCCATCGCCTCAGTACTACGGTTTTCGACTTTATATACTACTTTGACTATTTCTACTGTATGTCTTTTTCATAACAACAACGAATGTTGCAACATCACAACAACTGTTTCAACATCCCCATTGCTTGCGAGCGGTATCCACCGCCGAACATGTTGTAATGATTCAAGATGTGATACAACTGATACATAATTTTTCTCTCTTCGAACCCGCCTTCGTCTTTTTCAATCACCGACCAATACGCTTCGAAAAACGCAGGGCTAAAACCAGCGCACCAGGACATGCCAAAATCAGCCTCGTGATGCCCGTAATACACCGCCGGGTCAAAAATACTCGGCTTCCCGTCCACCGTACCTATGTTTCCGCTCCACAAATCGCCGTGCAAAATACTCGGTTTAATATTCAACCCTTTAAACATCTCCGGAACTCTCTTCTCGATAACTTCGTCTCCTAACCGTTGCAACTCGTTATCCCGACTCATTTTCAACTGCGGCAACAATCGACTCTCCACCCAAAACGTTTCCCAATCCTTCGTCATCGGCACGTTCTTTTGCGGCGTTTCGCCAATCGTATTGTTCACTTCGAAACCAAACTCCTCCGCGCCGTCGATTTTCGCCGCGTGCATCTTCGCTAAAGCCGTACCAAATTCGCCTTGATCGCCTCTCGCGCCAAAGTTGAGATGTTCCATGATAATCATCGAGTTCCCGTCGCGAAATCCGTCCGGAACACCGCCCGCGTAGAACACTTTCGGTACGACCATCAACGGACTTCCCGCTTCGCGCAACGCCTCCAAACCTGCTTTTTCGCCTCGAAACATCGAATCGTCTTTTCTCGAGAGTTTCACGAAGAATTTTTTTCCCTCGTCCGCGGTTTCGTACTTCCGAAACGACGCCCACTGCGAAGAGCCGCAGGATGTTTGCTTGGTTACGTCGCAGTTTTCTCGTTCGGAGATGAACCGAGCGATTTCATCCATCTTTTGACTCGTCGCGACTTTGCCACCAAAAATTCGATTCCGATGATGATTCCGACGACGGGGACAAAGAAGATGATGAAGAAGCGCGTTATTATTCGTAGTATTTTTCTCCAGCAAAGGCCTTCTTTGGGAGAAAGCGTGGTGGTGAGTAAACATTGTTGTTGTCAGTTACGTACGCTCAGATATCCTTAATCCTTTTATATTGCTTTAAATATGAGTACAGTAAGTGCGCGTCTAAACTCTGCAGAAATGCGCCACTTCTGCAACGCACATCACCCCTAAAGACGCTCGTTCTTGTCGCGTCGTTGTGTCGTCGCTTTATCTTCTCTCGATGCAAACGACGACGACGATGCTCACCCGCACAAAAACCACCATCTCTTCTTCTTTGCCTTCTTCATCGTCATCATCGACTTTTAGGACGAGGAGGAAAAGGAGACACACGAGGACGGAGAGAAATGCAATCATCATCCTTTCCGCTCCCAACGGCTTTTCTCCCCAAAGTCGACGAGAACGACGAAGAACGAGACAACGACGACGACGCGTCGTCGTCCGGAACGATTTAGGCGGCGGCACGATGCCACCACCACCACCTTTACCGCCGCTTTCCACCACAAAACCTCGGGTCATCGATGTTCTCCTCGGCGTCCACCCGGCGAAAGCAGAGGGAAGCGTGCGAGACGCAACCGCAGAGCACTTGATCGAAGCGTTCGAGGAGTTGCCGAAAAAAGAGCAAATTGTGATGGTGAAGAAACTGTTGCGAGACGCGCTGCGCGAAGACGAGATGAATGAGACTATGGTTTTGGAGCGAGCGCCGGAGGTGAAGATTTCTAAAAGCGAGGGAGATGAGAGAGCGATGGATGGTACGGCTTCTTCTTCTTCTTCTTCTTCGACGACGATGACGAATGAAAGAGAAATCTTGGAACGCGCGGTGAGGGAGCTGCCAAACGCGAGACCCGAGCAAAGGGCGAAAGCGGCGGAGATTTTGAGACGGTTGGAAGAGGAAACGGGAAAAGTAAGGGGAGAGAAAGAAGAAGAGAGCGCATCGACGAAGAATGCGTCTTACGACGCGAGTAATAGCGGTTCTAGTAGTAGATTAGAGAACAATAGATTTAACGATTTTGAAAAGGAAGAAACCGAAGAGAAGGACGATAATCCGTTCGAGGACGAGGACATCGTGTGGGATTTGCGAAGCGCCGTGGCATCGCTGACGACTGTGGCGAAAGCAAAATTGATACCGCCGCTCGCGTTCGGTACCGGATTTGCCGCGTTGGCGTTTGTGCTGACGAAAATGGTAGGCGGAGATGACGCCGGTAACGAGACGAGGGACGAGGCGCGAATGAACGATGAAAGTGACGCTCGAATATCTCCTCCTCCTCCTCCTCCTCCTTCAACGATTATGAACGACAGAAACGACAACGACGCTGGTGACATTGCACCTCCGTTACTTCCCATGGAAGAGGCTAAACGACTTTTATTCGAAAGTCAAGCAATACAACCACCGCCCGTGTCAACGACTACGAGTAAAACGAAGAAGATGAAGAAAAGCGAGAATCGAGGACGAGGCGTCGCTACTAATACTACCAGTTCTGGTGGTAACAGCAACAGCGTGCTCTGGAAACGGAAAGAGGAAAAATATGACGCGTTATTAGAAGCAGCAGTAGAAGAAGAGGACGAGGATATCGAAGACCCCTTTGAAGACGACGACGACGAACCAGAACGAGGCGAAGAAGCGCGAGAGATGTCACCGCCTCCACGAAAATCCGCCGCCAGCGGCAGCACCAGCGGCGGCGTGAAAAAGCAACGACGACCGCCGCCAGATCTTACCTCTGCCTCGTTCTTGAGCGAAGAAGATCGCGAGAAGAATTTTGAGAACATTCGCGCGAGACGTCCGAGATGAGATACGCCGAGCGAGAAGCGACGACGCGATGAAACAAACTGTTCAGAGAACGAGACTCTTCTTCATTTGTATACTAACCAAATGCAGCGCGCGCAACACGCCGCCGCCGCCTGTTGTTGTCGGGCACAACACGTCGTGCGAACACCAAACAAAGTAACTGTCGTTCAAAACACAAAAAAGAACCGCCGCCAGTTTCTCTCGTCGTCCGCATCTTCTTCCACCGCCGCGCTTTTTCTCTTCCTCGCAACAACAACAACGACGAGTTTTCCCCAGAACGCCGAAGCGTCGTCGTCTGATGAAAAAGAAGGTGTCAGCGAGAACGGATTACTGCTGGTAAACTACGTCGGCAAATTGAAAGACGGCACGGTGTTTGATACCACGTACGGCGGTGAAATCGTGTCCACGTCGGAGAATTCCGTCTCCGTTCGCGAAAGCGAGACGCAACCCGTCGTGATTAATTTAGCAGCAAACGCTGTGCAACCAGGACAGGTAAAAGGCTTGAAACGAGGCTTAATCGGCGCCAAGAGAGGCGAAACGAGAGAAATTATGGTCAAAGCAGAAGACGGATTTGGATCGAGTAGCGTGGTGTCTCCGTTGAGAGTTCGAGTGCCGGCAGAGAGCGAGTTATTTTACACCGTGGAGGTGTTGCGCGTATCGAACACCGGCGTCGACGATTTATTCAAAGGCGTCTCGCTGTGCTCCGTCGGCGTGGCGAATAAGACCACGGCGGGCTGTAGCGATCTCTGATAACAAAAAATGTCTAGACTATATAATCTAACGCTATATTTGTACGTGTATTATTATGGTATTCTACATCGCCATCCTCGGTTTTTGCATCTCGCCTTCTTCGACTTTATGATCCTCCGCCATCGGCTTGGTCTCGTACACCGCCGTGACGATCATATCCCGCCTGTTCCCGCTCGCTTCACCTCGTAACCCTACGTACGATATCTCCGTCCGCATCTCCTCCCCTCTTAAACTCGCCATATTTTTCGACACGAATATCGTCACCGAGGAAACTGAGCTAAACTTCGTCCGATCCGTTTCGTACTCTAAAACGCCTAAAAAATCTTCCTGCCAGTCAAACTTTTGCGTCGGTTTCTTTCTGTGTGCGTTTTCCAAATCTATTTTGTTCTTATCGTTCGCGAAGAGTTTCACTTCCGCCGGGTGCGTTCCATTTTTACCTCCGACGATGACCACGCCGGTCAGTTTCACGTCCTCCGTGAATGGTACTCTCAAGATGAGTTCGCAATCGTTCTCGTCGCTTTGGATGCCGACGGGATCCGTATCTAATCTCGAGTTCCATTCTCGGAAAACGTTTCGGCAATCTGCTTCTGCTTGGACGTTTTGGGAGGAGAGTTTCGAGAGGTCTACGAACCCGTGCAAAGAACTGGTCGCGCAGGAGGATTCGTCGCAGTCGTGGTCGTGCGAGCAGCAGTTTTGTTGTTGTTCTTCTCGGCTCATGTCTGTGTGATATGTTTCTGATATTTCTCGATAAGCGCGCTTTTGTGTCGCAGTTTTAACGAAGTTTCCCCAAACGTAATTCTCCATTGTTGTTGTTGTTGTTGTCGTAAATACAATGGTGACCCCGCCGAACAACTACGCGGACGTCGGCGTCTCTCAAAAAGCGGCCAAGCAAGTCCTCCTGTCGTTTTTTGGCACCATCGCTTCCGCGACGTTTCTCCTCGTCGGCAGCTCAGCCGCGTTCAACGTCGTCGGGAAACAACTCGTGAAAACGAACAAAAAACGTACCGGGAGGAAGTGCAACTTGTGCGACGGGTTACGGTTTATATCGTGCGGGACGTGCAAAGGGAGAGGCGCTTTGGAGTGGCAACCGATACGAGAGGCGGAGATGGAGAGGGTGTGCCTGTGCCCGACGTGTTCGGGGACGAAGATGAGCAAGTGTTTACGATGCGTAGGTATTGGATACTTGTGATATGAGCTCGAAGGCGATGATATCTCGGAGCGGTAGATATATATAGGTTCTAGTTTAGGTTGTGTTGTACATTAGTATTATTAGCTAGTAGTAAATAGTGCGTTCTATTCATACTCTCTCTTTCTGCGAGTTCGTCCAAGCCGCCGCGGGGACGAGTGGTCGTTTCTCCTCTCCCTCTTCCAGTACCGGCTTAATGGCGCACAACGCGACGCCAAACTGCGTGGCGTCCCATCTCTTATTCAACGCCTCTTGTTCCTCGTCCGTCCAGTTTTGTAAACCTTGTTTTTTCCTCTCTACTTCCTCGGTCTCGGAGAACTTACGGTTTCTCGACCATTTTTCTTCCTGTTTGTACCGCAACGTGGCGGAGTCGCCGACGGCAGTGGCGACGAGAAGTAAAGAGTTTGCCGGAAGTTCATCCCAAATTCTAGCGACGCGCGAGTCGAGATTTTGCGTGGCCTCGATGCGTTCGATAAAGTGTTCTTTTCTCGCGGTAGAATCGTCGTCGTCGTCGTCTCCTCCTTTGGCTTTTTTATTTTTCTTCTTCTTCTCCTTCAAAGCGTGCTTCTCTAAAACATCCTCCAATTCTCTCAAATAGCCGAAACAGAGTAAAGACATGTCCTCGGGCGCCTCGCGCATGGACATTTGCATTTTCATCGTCACGTCATCATCAGAAACGCACTTGTACGTTTCTGTTGCTCCAGAAACTCCAATCGTCTCGTTATTACTATTCGTAATCGTTTCAAAAACGAGCACCTCGCATTCATTCTCCAAGCCTCCTCCTCGCGTTTTATTTTCCTTGGCGATGTGATCGAATAAAGACTCGCTGTCTTCGAAATTCTCGCTGATGTCGTTGCCGAACGTTTCGCCTCGAATGAGTTTCAAGTAAACCAACTCGAGCGTCGCTCGGGCATCGGTTACGGAGTCGTGCGTGCCTTCGTGTTGTATCTTTCGCCTCAGATATCTTTCGGTGAGAAATCGGAGAGCGTTACGAAACGGCGCGCCTCGTTTGTGCGGGTACATTTGCACCGTATCCACCACGTTCGGATGACACATTTTAAGCATCATTAAATCGTTTTCTAAAGAGTGTCCCGCAATAACACATTCGCTCGGGATGAGCTCTAACAACTCTTTTTGCACGTCCTCTAACGTCGTCGTCACGTTTCGCATTTGCTCTTTCGTGATGCCGGAAAATTCAGTGTTGTAATTCACGATTGGCGTCGGCGGTAAGACGAGTTTGTCGTAGATGACTGTGCCACAATCGTCGACGACGGAGCATCGCGCCAAAGCTAAACCGGTTTCAATAGTGACCATTTCACAATCCATGGCGACAATCTCCGGGTACTCGGCGTTGGCGACGCCCATGCCGGCAGGTTGCGTGCACACGAATCCTCCCTCTGGAAGTTTCAGCACTTCTTTCACTTCTGCTTTTTCTTTCTTCTTTATCAACGTCGGTAACGGGTATCTCATATCCGCCATATCTTCCGCCGTCAATGTCGCGCTTTTTACCGAGAGCTTCCTCGGTGCGTCTCGTAAAAATTGCAACAATTTCGTCTCCGTCGTTACTCGTTCGTTATTCGTCGTCGTCGTACTCGTTTTGTTGTTCTTTCCTCCATTTTTTGCCGTCTTCTTCAAAGCACCATTGTTATCATCATCACCTGCTTCTGCTTCTCCTTCTCCTTCTTCTTTGACTGCTGCTTTCGCTTGCTCTTTAGCCAACCTATAAGCCTGCGCGGCCTCGTCGTTCTTATACTTCGCCTCCCTCTTCTTCTTCGTCTCCGCTCCAGACGCCCATCCTCCGTTGTACAAAATCGACCGCGCGTGCGTCGCGCCTTTCGCCGTAGGATTCATACTCTTCGTCGCCACACACTGACTCCCTCCTTTACCTCCCTCAATCCTATTCCTAAATATCCTCTTCATGTTTTTGCAGTGCAACGCGCCGAACGTGTCCACGTACATCTTATGTTCCAACCCGGGCGCGAGCACGACGGCTATTTTCTTCACCAGTGGTTTGTTCGTAAATCTCCCGTAGTCGCAATTTATCCCGCTCGATTGACACGCGACGGATGCGAGAATATCGGAGAGTTTTTGTAAGTGGACCCGGTGCCGGTGTTCCTCCAAGAAGTGAAACGTTGCCGAGGCGTTCGGGCCGTATATATCGGAATACGCGGCAGCATTAGCATCATCATCGTCAAAATCATCATCGCTTTTCCTCGTTTTCTTCTTCCTCTTCTTCATCGCGTCGTCTCGTTGGAAAATTTCTCCTTCTTCTTCTTCTTCCTCTTCTCCTCCAGTCGTTCGTTCTCGTTTCTTCTTTGCTTTTCCTTCCTCCATTTTTCTTTTATATACACATCTGCTGCTCTGAAACAACAACAACAACAACAAAACACCAAGAGTTCGTTATTCTTAAAAACGAGGAGAGAAAAAAGTGGCTGCCAAAGCAGAAAAGAAAGAAGAGATTTTTTTTTCTCTCTCTCTCGATCAGTTAGATATAATTGCCCGCACAACATTACCAACAACAAGAACAACACGTTACCCTTTGCGAAAGAAGACGCGAACACATTTCACGCGTTCTCGCACCAAATTCACGCGCAAAGAGATCGTTCGTTCTCGATTTCTTTGAGTGCAAAGAGAGAGAGAGAGAGCGCTTTTGTTTTCCCGCTTTTGGAGTTTAGGAGAGACAAAGTCAATTCGCGCGAAACGAGAGAGAAACAAATCTTCTTGGAACGCACAAAAAAATTAAGAAGAGAAAACAATGAACTTTGGTGGCCAACAACCGCCTCAGCAAGCGTCGTACCCGGCGCACAACGCGTACGAGTGAGTGCACATATTTTTCGTTCGCGGGTTTCTTTCGTTTTAGAGACGTTCTCTCGGTCGCGAGAGGTTTGCGTTTTGCGTTTTCGGATTCTCGTTATAATTCTCTCTTTCTCTTCCGCTTAATATCATCGCGTCTCTTCCTCTTCGAGACGTTTGACAATTACACAAAAAACTAACCGAAGAACTCTTTTCATCATCATCGAAACACAGTCCAAACTTGGTCCCAACGCAAGCGCCAGATAACTGGAAAGACCAGATCAAAGCTCCAGCGCGCGACGAGCGATACCAAACCGAAGATGTGACCGCGACAAAAGGAAACGAATTCGAGGATTATTTCTTGAAGAGAGAACTTTTGATGGGCATTTTCGAGAAAGGCTTCGAAAGACCTTCGCCGATTCAAGAAGAGTCGATTCCGATCGCGTTAACTGGGAGAGATATTTTAGCGAGAGCGAAGAACGGGACGGGTAAAACCGCGGCGTTTACGATTCCAATTTTGGAAAAGACGGATGCTACAAAGAATATCATCCAAGCGGTTATTTTGGTCCCTACGAGAGAATTGGCGTTGCAAACCGCGCAGGTGTGCAAAGAACTCGGGAAGCACTTGGGGACGCAAGTCATGGTGACGACGGGTGGTACCTCTTTGAAGGACGACATTATGCGTTTGCACCAAACGGTGCACGTCGTCGTGGCGACGCCGGGTCGTTTGGTCGATTTGGCCGGGAAAGGCGTCGCGAAGTTATCCAACGTCACGATGTTGGCCATGGATGAAGCCGATAAGTTGTTGGCGCCGGAGTTTGAACCAGTCATCGCGCAAGTTATTGATTTCTGCGCGAAGAACCGACAAATTTTGTTGTACTCGGCGACGTTTCCGGTTACAGTCAAATCGTTCAAAGACAAGTGGCTCAGAAAGCCTTACGTCATTAACTTGATGGAAGAGTTGACCTTGAAAGGTATCACGCAATACTACGCCTTTGTGGAAGAGAGACAGAAAGTGCACTGCTTGAACACGTTGTTTTCGAAGTTACAAATCAATCAGTCGATGATTTTTTGCAACTCTGTGAACAGAGTTGAACTGCTCGCGAGGAAAATTACCGAGCTTGGCTATTCGTGCTTTTACATCCACGCGAAAATGCAACAAGGCGACCGGAACAAAGTCTTCCACGATTTCAGAGCTGGATCGTGCAGAAACTTGGTCTCCTCGGATTTGTTCACGCGAGGTATCGACATTCAATCCGTGAACGTCGTCATCAACTTTGATTTTCCGAAATCTGGCGAGACGTATTTGCACAGAGTCGGTAGATCCGGGCGATTCGGTCACTTGGGTATCGCCGTGAACCTGGTGACATACGAAGATCGCTTCAACTTGTTCAGAATTGAGCAAGAGTTAGGGACGGAGATTCAACAAATCCCGCAGAACATCGATCCTGCAAAGTATTGTCGATAACAATTTTGCAACATTCATCACCATCATCCGTGTTTATAGAAAGTGTTATTTAGAAAATTGTTTGTATAAAAGATATAGAAGAAGGAAGAAGAGGAGGAGGAAGAGGAGAGAAGGAAAATTAGAGAGAGGATTGTATTCTTAGGAAGGAAGGAAATAGGAAAGTAAACGAGAATGAAAGATTGAGTGAGACGCGGAGGAAATTGCGCTGATACTGTTTCTTTGTTGTACAATCATCAACTTGAATTGATGTAAAAGAAACAGTACCTCTTTGTATCGCGGAATACGTTTTTTATTATTCCGTGACAACAGCGGAGCGAGCCAAGTCTGATCCGAGCCGGGTTTAGTAAAAATACCCAGTTGAACAAAAAAAAGAAGAACGAGGCGTCGTCGAACGATACCATCTGATTCGAGTTTACTGTACGAAAGAGTTTCGATTTTGAGAGTGTAGTCATAAAGAAGAGATTTTGAAGAGATGAGAGAAAGTAAGAGTTGCGAGCGCGTTGACATCTCCATCGCTGGAAGAGCGCAATATTAACGCGCGACTGCAAAACAACGTTTTGAGTGTTTGTTAGTCTGTGCCAAACCGTTCAGGAAGAACAGAGTGGCGAAGTACTACAAATTCTATATCGCTCGAACGTCAAGAAAACCTTCGGCTCTGCCGAGAGGCTACTACAAGAGCACCCTTGATTCTGTCGAGAGGTCGCTAATATCTTAAAGTATCAAAGAGAAAGAAACGCAAAGAGAAAGAAGCGCCCATACATCGTGCGCGTGTTCATAACGACATCGTGCCCGTGTGTAGGTAGTAACAGTGCTACGAATCTACGATTAGAATAAGTTTTACATCTGAATTTGTACGTGCTACGAACTGTTTCAACACGTGTATTTCTTCAATCCCGTTCTTTTCTTCCTAATGATTGTTTTGCCGCTCTCGGTCATCAAATAATGGTCGTCTAAAATCAATCCTCTCGGCAACATAATGCTACGATAGGCTTGATTACACGAGTACCCAACTCTCCCTGGAATGTACGAGGAAAATAACCCCCAATTATCCCCTGCTCCGTGTTTTATCGCCGTCTCCAAGAACAACTGAATCTCGTCTTCCTCCCAAGGTCCCCACTTCGGCTCTTCCCCCGGTTTGCAGTGTCGATAAAAATACATGTTCGGATTCGTGTGCAAACACTTCCTCGAATGCTCTTTCGCGTTTGCCGCTTTCCCCATCCTTCCTACCGCTTCTCTAGGGCCACTCACTCCCATCCTCTGCCAGTGCTCCTCTTGCGTCGGCGCAAAATTCAACTCCTTGCACGTCTTCTCTTCCACCCACCCTTCAAAATCTCTCTCAATCTTTAACCCATTCTTCAACCCTTTGCTCTCGCAATATTCCTCGCACGACATCAAATTCTCGTCTAAGTTTGGATCTATGTATCCCATCGACGAGCTCTTCCCTTCAAACGCTCTCTCCGCCGCTTTTAACACCTTATCGTAGGCGTCAAAGTTGTAGTTTACGTTTTGCGACTTCTCCCGCGCCGATCGTCGCGTCGGTTCCAACTGTTCCTTTGGTTTTCTCTTCTTTGGCGCATTCGATGTCGTTTTGGATGCGCTCGCGACGACTGGTTTCGGTAAATCTAAAGCCGCCAATCGTAACTTGTTTCGTTTGATGTTTTCCTGTAGTGTGAATGAAGTGTTTGTTTATTTTAATAGTAGTATTGAAGAAGAGAAAGTCAGGTGTCAGTCACTCGAGTCAAAAATGTCTCGCGTTGGTTCCCTACCTCTCTCTCTAACTCGTACGAGGTTAAACTCGCGATCCGTTTCGCCTCTTCCTCTTTCGTCAGCTCTTTCGGCTGAAACTGCGCGTCTGGATTTCGGCACTTTTGGCACCCGTTTCTGCTATATCGGCACTTGGAACATCCGAAAGACTTTGCCATTTTTAAAAGTATCGATTGTTTTGAATTCTGCGGGGCGGTTGTCTCTCTCTCTCTCTCTCTCTCTCCCTCGGCTTCGCTTAAGCTCGAGAAGAAGCGCCTTCAAAATCGCGCTTCGTTTTTAGTCCTCGCGTCTCTCTTTCGCGGCACTCGCGCTCGACGGACCCGATGGGTGCTTCTGTTTTCGCGAGTGTTTTGCTCTCGTGGCAATTTTTTATGTCGCCCCCACCCGAAAGAAGGGCAATTGAAAACGAAATGCAAGAGCGCGCGAGTTTGCTTTTATGGTGGTACAACAGTATTATTATTAGTATTATTTACAATTCGACTTATATACGCGTGCATTCCTACTCTCGGCGACGGCCCTCCGGAGAATCAGCAACGGCAACAACAGGAGCTCGTGTTCACGCCAATCTCGGAAGCTATTCCGGAAATCTCCCCTCGCTCGCGCTCACAAAACAAAAGCAAACGTTTTTGTGATCTTCGTCACCCGGGCGATGCCCTCGCCGCGCTCGAGCGTGCCTTTGAAACTGCCTCTTTCCAAGCGGATACGGAAAATAACGGCGACTGGTCGGAAATCTTCAAAAAACTCTTCGAAGATGAAATCGAATTCGGCACGCGGGAGAAACAAAAACGGTTCAACCGCTCCTACAGCAACAGAGACCTCTTCAACCAACGGTTCCTGGGCGCTGGAGACAGCACCGACACGCCCGACCGCTCGCTCACCGCCATGTTCCCCTCCATCTTCCGCGGTCTCGCCGCCAAAGAATACACCGGCGAAGCCGAACGCAAACCCGAAGACGAAGCCGAAGACGCCAACGTCGGCGTCCACACCTCCCGGTTCTACGAGCGCGACAGGATGGCCGATTGGACGCCCCAAATGCAGTGCGCGGAAGACAACGTCATGGTATCCGATGCCGGAGAAGACGGTGGCGGTGGTCGACTCACGCCTTCGCAGCAAAAATCTTTCGGCGTGTGGGGCGTGAGCGTCGGCGGGAGTAATCAGCAAGAGAAAGACGCGCTCGCAAAGCAGCAGCAAAGATGATACACGTGATAAGCGAGAGCCTAGCGAGAACACGACCGCTAAAAAAAACGCCAAATGGCGAGAAAATACGCCTCCCACGAGTTTCTGAATCCAATCGAATTAGAAACGTAGCCAAGCAAACCCCATATGGGTAACAACGAGATTGAAAATAACGCGGAAACCACCATCGCTTGATTCGAGGCGTTCAATTTACGCTTGATGAGGAGAAAGAGGAAGTTCCCAACCGCGGCGGATAAAGGTGCCAACAACGCAATCAAGAACAAACCCGTCGTCCCCGTGCACATATCTCTCTGAGCGTACAAGACGCCTAAACCAGCGATTGTCGAAAATCCATCGGTGTAAGCGAAATACAAAATCAGAAACGAAAACGTCACGGGAAACTTTGATTTCGCCTCCGCGATGGTTCTCGCGAATCTCCCCAAAGAGTCTTTCATTCTCGCGAGTTCCGAGTTCTCTTGCTGTTCCTGTTTTTCTTCTTCATTTATTTCGTCGTCTCTTAATTTTTCGCAAAAGTACACGCCGAAACCTAACCACCAAGCACCGGCCAAGACGATGCACCAGCGAAACGCCGAAGACGCTTTGTTATCGCTCGCGTCTTCGTCGGACTTCGTCGGAACCACCAGAGAGGAACAAAACGACCAGCGATAACAATAAGCCGAGAACGCCGCTTAAATAACCCGCCGCGTACCCTTTCGTGCTCAATTCGTTTTCGTAATCGTGATCTTCCTCCTTCCCTTCCGATAAAATCGCCTCGCTCTCTTTCGCGAGTATAGGCAAGTAGCTGTTGTAAAAAATAACGGACAGCCCGTACATGGTGTTGCTAAACACCGCTAATATAGCCGCCAACACGTGCTTATACCCCGCGTGTCGTTCGCTGAACGCCGCAAACACGAGCAAACTCGCGCCTCCTAAAACTGTCGTCATCCTCAACCCTTTCTTCCGGTACCCGGTATCCCCTCTCGCCCCGTACAAGGCGAACACGAGCAACTGCGAGACGCAACTGAAACTGATAATCACGAACGCGAACGAGGACGGACGAAACCCGCCGGAAACGCGCACAGTTTCCAAGTCTTCGCAGTTTTCTCGATTCAATCCCGGACCTGTTCGTATCCGATTTCAGAGAGAGAGAGAGAGAGAGAGAGAGAGAGATGTGAGCGAGAAAGAACACAAAATATCTTTCCTCTGCTCCTTTAGAGAGAGAGAGAGAGAGAATTCAAAAGAGCATACAAACGCGAGCGGCTGATGCGTTTCTACGCGTTCTAAAAGAGATAAATCGATTCAACGCGACCACAAAACCAAAACGCCTCACCGGAACAGAGCAAATTCCCCTCTCCAACTCGACACTCCAAACATTTCTCGCTGTATTCTACGTCCAAGGTTGAACACATTTTCGGTTTCAGTTTCCCTCGCCACGCTTCACTCTCCGCGTACGCGTTTAACACCAACGGCAAGAACGTCGCGATGGCGACGGTGGCGTAACAGCTGTTCGCGAAATCGTACCCGATCCATGCTTTTCGCTCGCGGGCGAGAGATAGAGATTTATCTTCGTTAGACATCTTTGGTTGTTTCTTTAAAGTGAGTTTTTCTCGGTAACGAACTTTTCTTTGTGAGGGAGGAAAAATGGTAAAAACGCTCTAAACGCTCTCTAAACATTTGACTACAACTGAGCTATCTGAACATCTTTTGTCTTCTCTAACGAACTCACAAATTATGGAGTAAAACCGCGATTGGGTACCAAAACCAAAAAACTGGCCGCGATTGGGTACCCTTCCCTCATTTTTACCACGCAAAAATAGTAATCATCAATATACGGCTTCTATGTCTTTATATAGCGCGTAAAAAGCATTTGAGAACATGAAGAATACATAGTTTGATCGATCCGCGTCGTTTTCTCGGAAATTCATGACGCCATTGAATCTCCAGCTCTCGAGAAGCACGCCAGCAGACGATTTATAGGGGAGAAAACTCTCTCTTGCATCGGAATTCTGAAAAAGCGCACACTCGCATGGTTGCGGGAGTGTGAACGCGATAAAAACACGCGCAGCGCGTAGAATGTTGATAGTAATGATGTTTAGTCGTAACTTTGCGTTTTTAAAAGAAAAATATGGAGCGTGATATCGTCCGTTCGGGGCGTTTTTTGCCCATTTTGGGCCTTTTTGGCAACCTGTTAAAAGAAAAATAAAAGTGCGAGAAGTAACTCACATTGCGAATTCGGAGTAGGAGAAAAAAAGATAATGTTGATGCGGTGGAAGATTTCGAGGAGTATTTAAAACGGAGACGAGAACGGAGAGAGCGAAATGATGATGATTCAGATGATGATAACGACTTAGGTGGTGGGGTGGGAACGATTTGTGCGTAAGTATCTTTATTCTTTCGGTTCGATTGTAAAAAATGAATCTATATGCTCGTGTGGGGAATTGATGCATCAAATCAGATTTTCATCCAATGTCGATCGTTTCTCGTTTCGTTTCTCTTGTGATTGCGGTTTCTGGTAAGGAGTGGCTGCTTCCGACAAAGCATACGTTTGCTCTCTGGTTACTTCTTTTTCGCTTATTTTTTGCCGCCGCAACCACGACCTTTTGGGCATCTCCAGCGGCGGCCCTCCTTCTCTCTGTCCGCTGCGCGATGGTGATCTCCGGCGGGAAGAATCTTCCCACACCGCGTACACGGGGCCTCCGGCCATTTCTTCTTGGCTGCTTCTTTGCCGGCGGCGTTTTGGCAATAGCCTTCTTGGCATCTCCAACCGTCGTTTACTTTGTCCTTTGCGCGATTGCGATCTCCGGCGGGAAGAAGCTTCCCGCACAGCGTACACGTGGTCTTCGGCCATTTCTTCTCGGCTACTTCTTTGCCGGCGGCGTTTTTTTGGCAATAGCCTTCTACGCATTTCCAACACCCGTCGCCGTTTACTCTGTCCGCTGCGCGATGGCGATTTCCGGCGGGAAGAATCTTCCCACACCGCGTACACGGGGCCTCCGGCCATTTCTTCTCGGCTGCTTCTTTGCCGGCGGCGTTTTTTTGGCAATAGCCTTCTACGCATTTCCAACACCCGTCGCCGTTTACTCTGTCCGCTGCGCGATGGTGATCTCCGGCGGGAAGAATCTTCCCACACCGCGTACACGGGGCCTCCGGCCATTTCTTCTCGGCTGCTTCTTTGCCGGCGTCGTTTTGGCAAAAGCCTTCTAAGCATTTCCAACACCCGTCGCCGTTTACTCTGTCCGCTGCGCGATAGCGATCTCCGGCGGGAAGATGCTTCCCACACTGCGTACACGTGGTCTCCGGCCATTTCTTCTTGGCTGCTTCTTTGCCGGCGGCGTTTTGGCAATAGCCTTCTTGGCATTTCCAGCCGTCGTTTACTTTGTCCTTTGCGCGAAAGCTATTTCCGGCGGGGAGAAGCTTCCCACACCGCGTACACGGGGTCTCTGGGCGAGCACATCTTCCGCACAAATATCGACCGAGATTATTCGAATCGACGATTCGGTTTTCGATAGGGCCACAAAACACACCTTTAGTGTTATTGGCTAAATATCTCGTCTCGCCTTTTTTTATGATGCCGTTATTTGGGCAATTGTCTCCGCCCGCGCACGGTTGTTCCTCCCCTGCTTTTGGTAGTTTTGCTAGTATCGTCGTCGTCGGTTTCGTCGGGCGACTGCTTCGTCGCGGCGTTTCTTCAGCTTTCTTCGCCGGCGTTTTCGAACTTCTTCCGTTGCTCGAAAGCTTTTTGGAACTAAGATTGGTTGTTTGGAATTTCATGCCGAGTTTTTCCATTCCGCGTCTTTCTTCAGCAACGGCGGCGGCTAAGTCGTCGTTGTCGTCGAATTCGTCATCGTTGTCTTCGTCCATTGCGTCTGTGTTTTCAAACGCATTCGAGTCGTCGTCGTTGTAATCGTCGTCTTCCTCCTCGTCGTCGTCTTCCTCGTCGTTGTAATCATCGTCGTTGTCGTCGTCGTCGTCTTCGTCGTCGTCGTCTTCGTCGTCGTCGGCGGCTAAATCGTCGTCTAAATTAGAAGCGTTCACTTTTCTTTTGAGTGACGCAACTTTCTTCTTTTCGTCTTTCGCTAAAATTTCATCGGCTAATTTCTCGTTGGATTCCAAGAACTTTTCGTCTTTTGTTTTCACGTACTTTTCGACGTTTTCTATAGTCACGATGCACGCTCCGACTCTCCGCGCTTCTCTTACGTAGGACGCTCCCCCGAGTAGGTCGACGACGAGGAAACCGGTTTGGCGAGTTACATGTACACTTACGGTTGCGCCGTTCTTTTTGACATACCTGTGTAAAGCGGCCTTCGCATTCTTTCGGTTAGTCCCGATGGCTTGAAATGCGCCCGTGAAGCAAAACGACTTGTTCGCTAAAGCCTTTTCGTTTTCCTTGTTGGCGTCGGCGTCGTCGCGAATTACCTTCGCCGTAAAAGTGGCCTCTTTATCGTCTGAGAGGAGAAAGTCGAGTAAATCCTTCACGGAAACGAAGGTTGAACCAACGTTCTCACTGCTTTTCGTATCGACAACCACGATAATATTGTGCGCGTCTTCGCCGTTCACACTTTTCACAATCTTGCCGCCTTCTTCTTTGATCGCGTCTATTATCTCTTCGCGATCGATCGCATTCTTTCCGTCGCGGAAAGTAGCTTTCTCGCCCACGTAAAATCTGTAGCCTTTGAGTTTTTTCTCGCTTAAATTGGTCGTCGTTTCTTTTGTCGTCGTGTAGTTTAATGCGTTCTGAATGCCCAGATTCGTCGGATGAGTGCACGTTGTCTTCAGTCTCGGCATCTTTTTTCTTTCTTTTCGTGCTTAAACTGTGGCGGCGGCGGCGGGTCAGAGGGGATCGTCTTCGGGAATAAAAGCAACTTTTTGTGGATTGTCGTGGAACAATCGGATTTTTTTTTCTTCCCCCTCCTCGAAAAATGAAAATGAAAGGAGGGGGGAGTGGTCAAAACAAAAAATACCAAGAAGAAGGGAGAGAGTTGGAAGTCGCTTCAATAAAAAAGAAATCGCGCTCTTTCTCTCTTCTTTTTTACGCATCAACATGGCAGTCACGCTCTCGGGTTCGCGCTTCTTCGGCGCTTTCTCGTCGTGTGATTCCGATATTATCGATGGTACGAGTACGTTACGCAGCGGCGTTGTTGGTTGGTTTTTTTATTATTTCTTTCGCGACTCGTTTTTCCTCGAACGAAGACCAAAAAACCAAGAGAAAGAGAAACGAAAAGTAGGAAGAAAACGGGAGAAAGAGACGAAGAGTCGCGTCGCGATGGCGACGATTAAACGCTCCTTCGCGAAGCGTCACTCTGAGTCGACTCTCTGTCGCTCGTTTCCCGTTCGTACTCTTCTTTTTCCTCTTCTTTTTTTTCCTCTCTTGGTTTTCGTTTAAAAAAGCAAAAGTGAGAGGAGGCGAAGTAGATTCCACAAGTCTACACGTTTCTTCCAAATCGAAGTTGAACGTTTGACGCTTCACCGATCTGATGTAGTCGCTCGTCGCGTAACGAAGGAGGCAATTAATCGCTAACCCCGTCGTTTTTATCTTTTTCCATCCAGTTGGATCTCGCAGCAGCTGCAAGGAGGAAGACGAGAAGAGATCGTGCTTTACGAATCCAAAACAAACAAACAACTTTGGAACAACTCGTCGAGGAGGAGGCAAAGTTTATGTTCAAAATCGAAAGCAACGTGGCTTTGTAGATGATAACCCCGCGCGGCGACGAAACTGGGGTGCCGATGCCGTCAATGCGCGTGAGATTGAAGTGCTCCGGCAGTTTGCTTTGCTTTCCTGTGTTGTTATTCAGAGCGTGGCGACTTCGGCGTTGGCGACGACGACGACGACGAGTTTGCGAAAACGCGACGTCGATTCGACGAGAGCTGTTGCGCTCTGCGAGACGACGGGGGAAAGTACGACGGGAAATGTTTCGTTGAGTGTTGGTGACGCGCTCACTGTTATCGGTAGTGAGAATGGAAATACAGATGTGGGAGGTGACTCGGATCGAACGCCGCGAGGAGACGAATCAAACTTTGACGCGAATAGACGCACTCGTGGCGGTGGATCCGCCGATAGAAGTGATCGTAGTTTTCATGATAATCGTGATGGCGGTGGTAGTGGTGGTGGCGGTAGTGGCGGAAATCAACAAGGTTCTTCTGGCCCAGGCGTAAGCGATGAGGAAGAAGGCGTTGAGAAGAAGTTATTCGGTGTTCTGCTCTCGTCTCTGACGGATGAAGAAGAACAAAAAGAATTTCGGGAAACGTGTATCGGAATTGGAATGAATATGGAAAAATACATTCTTAATTCTTTAAGCACTGATGAACGTACCGATATACTTGCTGCGATCGAAGATGCTTTGAGAGGCGGTAACGTGACAAAGATGCTGACGGTTGATGAGAAGGCGAAAGCAATCATGGATATGTTGTTCAAGTTCAAAGTGTTCGTGACGAAAGCAACAGCGGAGAATTTGCGGAAGAATGGTGTAAATCGCGAAAAGATCCAATCGTGGAAGCCAGGAAAATCGGAGTCTTTTCTCGAGCACAGAGTGGAAACGACCAGAGCGGAAACGATAAAGGCGTATATGGCACAACTTCAAACTCGTCCTTCAGACGAAGAAATCGAAAAGAAGTACGAGACTTGGAAAAACGAATTAGAGAAAAAATTGTCGTCGTTATCGAAAACTGAAGGATTTCGAGCATACGTAGATAATACTGTTTGCAACTATGCATACGGTGTTCGTCGCGGAGAGTCCGACTCTGTGATGGATTCCGTCGAGTGTCACTTTTACGAGTTGTTTTATAACGGCATCACCGGCGCCGTCGACCCGATGACGCGATGGAAAATACATTTCAAAGAAATTCTTTCGCCAACCGTTCGGTCTCAAGCGTGTCAGAAAGTTGCACGTTTTTGTCTTCTGACTAAACCACGTTCGAGTTCTTCGCCCTCGGACACCGACGTCATGGACGACGAGGACGACGACGAGGACGACTGCATTACTTCATTACCGTCTTCTTTGATGGATGATTTTTTCGAGTTTTACCCGGTTTGGATTCCAACCGCTGAAAACATTTCGGAAATTTTACGTACGTTTATCGACGAACTGAAGGCGTTATACCAAAGAAGTCGAGGTGAGGGTGATTTCATTGTTCCGATTGGTGCGTTGGCGCTCTTTCCGGCGTTTCTTTCGTGTTTTCGCGAGCTGACGACTACGCTCGGATTTAAAACACACGAGACGTTTGAGACGCGCGAAGAGAGAAAATTCTCCGCGAACGTACAAATGCCACTTGGAAGTACACGTCCACCACCAGTGGTGCTAAAGATGGAAGCAACACTAACTTCAAATGCCTTTCAACGCCTCTCTTACGTTTCTATTTTTTATGAGCATGGAAGCGACTTGAATCAGGCAACGAATGAAGCGAAAAAGAATATTGGAAAAGCTGCGTCACTTCTTCAGAACAAGTTAAAGGAATGGGCGGAGAAATATTCGCCAGAGCTCGATGAAGTTATGGATCTTTCCATTGATACACGAAGCAAGTATGGCATTCATACGTCTCAAATGACTCGGAGAGAGTTTCTGAAACATATAAATTGTCCCCTGGTTGACTATGTCGATTCTGATTACACGCGCGAGAGCGCCGCGAGATTTATCGTTCATTTCTTCGTTGAAATAGCGAAAAAGCTTCGCGACGACTTATTCTTATCGAAAGACCCAAGCGTTCGTTTGTGTTTTCTTTTTGGAGACATAAACAGAAAGACGAATATTCGGAATTCACAAAACTCGTTTCTTGTTCAGTTACAAAACTTACTGCACGGAGCGAGTGGCGGTGAAGAGCTTATTGCAAACGTGCTTCTCAGAGCCATAGCGGAGAAGAAATTTATCGAGTGCATCATTGGTGAAAATACAGCGACGAAAGTTTGGCGTGATATGATTCTGCGCGCGGTATCCATCGTGAAGCCGAAAAAAGGTATCACTACTGTTTCGAAATTCGACGCGGATTTCCCACTATTCAGTATGAGTGCTCGCCGATCGTTGGAAAATTTTGTATACCTTGAAACTGATTTAGGAGAAAAGTTCCACGGTTTTAAATCTTTGAAGACCCTTTGGACGGAACGATCGCGCCAACAAATAGAGAAGAATGATGGCTTTACCCGTGACTTACTAAAGCAGAAGCGTTGGATGCTGGACAACAAATTTCCGAAGAAAATGGCCTTGGATCTTATGTTTTCCGTGATAGTTATGTACATCGGCATCAATTCTTCCGAGAGTACCTACGCAGACGAGGAAAAAGAACTTATGCTTCGTTGTGAAGACAAGCGCGTCCAGTCGTACATGAAAAACTTCTTTAAAAATTCGTAGGACACGCACTCAGATTTTAATGCACATCGATTTCTCCGTCACTATAACAATAACAAACATTAATAATCGTTTCATTCGCACCAGTCACTAATCATTGAAAACTGAAAAAGACCACACACGCAAGAAAAATTCAACAAATTACACCATTTCACACAGTTTGTGGAACGTCTCTTTGCTCTTATCACCGTCGCGAGCGTTTGAGTACATGAGAAAAAATAAAGACGACGACGAAGATGATGCGAATGAGCAACGGCTAAGTAACTCTCTCGGCGCTCGCACGATGCGGTTTTTGCGTTTGCGTCTTTGGAAGAATATATATAATATCAATTTCGAAGCAAAGGAATTTTTTCCCCCTACAACTTAACGAATCGTGTGTGTTTTTGTTCGATGACGCGCGCGTTTGAAAAGATAGCTTCGCGCGCACAAACACGAATCAGAAGAAGAAGTATGCTTTCCTAGTTTCGATGCGATCGTTAAAGCTGAAATTCATGACGATTCGAGAGAGCATCGCGCTCTTATTCAAGGCGATTGGCGATTTTGTACTAAGAATGACTGTTTAGGGCGACAGATTTCGCTGTACTTCGTTCTTGCCCAGTGTGAGACCGTTTTACGCCGCGCAAACGTCGTCAACGTTCTCGAAACGCACGCAAACCGTGATTTTCGCGAAGATTTTTTTCGCGCGAGTACGTTTCGCGAGCGAGCCCGGAGGGTGGCATCTTTGGAGAGGTATCTTTGGAGGAAAAGGCAAACTCATTTGTGTGCACGCAAGGAAAAAATAAAAAAAGTGAGAATCGCGTCCCAACTCTTTCGTTACTTCTTTGACTTTTTTTCCCCTTCTTTTAGAACTTGAGAGTCGCCGCGATAAAGATGAACCCGGAAGGCTACGAGAACGTTGTATATCCATCCTTGGATTCGGCGTGGAAAGTTTTGTTCGAGAAGGAGCTCTATCCGGATGAATTAGCACTCGTCGATGAAAACGCGCGAACGACGTATCAGATTCGGAATCCTTGGGGTTTGCGCACCAAGTGTTATCTCTTCAGAGATACGAAAGACTACTTACAACTGCGCGAGAACGATCGGTGCGTCGAAGATGGAACATCGATACCACCACTAACCTCAACTACTACGACACCCGGCGATGATTTGAACGGTTGTTTCGTGGTGGGCGTTGAACTGTTTGCGTTGAACAGAACGTCGACGCTGGAGAGTTGCTTGACCATCGCTTTGTACGAGAATTCCCATCCAAAATACGTGCATCGAGTCACGGACGAACAGTTTCTGAGAGGTGGAGAACACGTTCCCGTCTTCTTTCGTGATTTTTTGCCGCACTCGACGCGTGAACGCGCGGATTTGATTCGTCGCGCGCGTCGATTGGTACCGCGCGTAAAGTTGAATAGAAAACTTATCCAACACGAAAAAGTTAGAGTCAGTGAGATTAAATTGGGAGCGAGCGACGCTGGATTGATCGACCTCTTCTTCTCCGATTACGTGACCGCGTCGTTTGAGTTGCGTCGCGACGAAAACATCGACGAAACGCCCGACGAGAACAGTTGTAGCGATAGCGATGAAAGCGATGAAATCGCCGCCGAGAAGGAAGAATTGGACGTTTTCAACGGCGACGACTTTTTATTGTTGGCTTATTTTCGCGGTAAAAGAGATCCGTATGAACGATCTGGCGACGAGATTGCGCCGTTCGCGACGCACAGACTGATCAACGTACGAACGTTAGAGGACGTGTGGTTGAGTCCCGGTCATTTCGCGCGGCTTTGCCGCTACAGAAGAGGAGATTTGTTGGTGGACATAAAAGACGCGTTGAAGAAAGCGTTGGTGGACATAAAGACCAGGACGGGAAAAACAGATTCTGGTTTGATTCGTTCGATCGAGTTGCGAAGAAACGCTCGATTCTCGTTGTGCATCGGATCTGGTTCGTGCATGAGCGCGGTCGAAGCGCTCAATCGTTCTCCGATTATTCCAAGCAACGGGAGGAGGAGGATTTTTATATGCATAGATCCACATATCAGTGCATTGGCTTCTCCGGAAGCGTGGGCGCATCCTCAAATCGTTTTTGTGAGTTGCAAAATCGAAGACATCAACCCGGCGCATCTCCCGCCCGAAGGCATCTTTCGCTCCATCGGTAACGCGCCGGAGTGTTCGCCGTATTCAATAGCAAAGTTCCCGGCACTCGCGGCGAGGATAAAAGAGCTTGGCGAGGAGGAGGCAGCATTGATTTTACAAATGGAAGTCGACGACGCAAACGTCCAAGTGCGCGCCGCGGTGGACATCGCCAATTATTTAGTGATTTGTCTGTGGATTGAAAATCCAAAAGGGAACGAGAAAGCTGGATTGTGGAACGAATATTCCCCTTTCCTCGGATGCGCGTACGACGTGCACGCCATTTCCTATTGCAAATACGGGAGAAAATATCGAAAAAACACGGTCATTTTAGAGAACTGGTTTGCATTGAAGCTCCGGCCGGAGTGCGCGGGAAGCACTATGTGCAAACACAAACGAGTCCACGACCGACACGCCGAACACTGCAAATTCGACGGCGCCGCGCGAAGCGAGAACAAAATCCATCCCCGGTTATTAGTTCAATCCATCGACGCGCAGATTGAATCGTTTTACGAAAAGTGTTCCGCGTTGCATTCGTGAGCGCTTTCTTTCTTTCTTTCTTTCATTCTTTCTTTCCGGTGTCGCTGATTTTTTATATCAAATGGACACATCGTTGTTCGGGGAACCAGAAATGGACACATCGCGTGTACTCAGAAAATAGTCAACATCACGAACCAGAAATGGACACATCGTGCGAACCAGAAATGGACACATCGCGTGTACTCAGAAATGGACACATCGTGCGAACCAGAAATGGTTTAAGACCAACTATATATAACATACCATTCTACCAAATCAAAATCGGCCCATTTCTTCACTCTCTCAATATATAATGAGTTCGTTTTGAAGCACATAACACCCTCGCAGCCACTACAAACGCACGGACCGATGCGATTGAACAGCGTCCAAATGACGTTCTGAAGATCTGTCGGCAGAATACCATCAGTTGCTTCGTGGATCGACTCACGTTTCTCTTTCGAACGACGTCAGAAAAAAAAAAAAAATGGAAGAGAAATATCATCATCACCAACGTTCGTTGAACGGAACGACGTTTTACTTTCTGAACGACGAGAATGACTTGAGTGACATCAGAACAGAACTAGAACGGTTAGACGCAACGTGTTTACAACCTCCTCGCGACACTCACAAGAACGTAAACATAACGCACGTCGTGGCTGATTACATAGACGATTGGGACGACTCGTGGGAGAGCGCACGGGAACGAATCGAAAATTTTAGCACAACCACCACCACCACCACCACCACCACAACAACAACAACAACAACAACAACAACCAAAGAACCTTTCGTCGTTTCCGACTGGTACGTGAGCGCGTGCATTCAGCGACAGCAGCTGGTTCCGTTAACATCTACATCGTTGTTGTTTTACGCACCTCGACGATTTTGGGAAACGCTGCTGAGTGGATTTGTATTCGCCCTCGATCCGAGAACTAAATTTGATGACCAAGAAGAACGATTCGAAATTAATAAACTCGTCACGACGTTGGGCGCAAACCCTCACGATCTCGAACCTCCTGGCACGCCTTTCACGCACCTCGTCGGTCGAAGCAACGTTGAGTTTAGTGGTGTTTCAGTACCGACAACGTACACGTGTGTCACGCGCGAATGGTTGGAAGAGTGTTGTCGTCAAGGACGAGTGGTTCCCGCGCCGGCGAAGAAAGAAGAGACGACGCGTCCGCCTTTGCAACGAATCAATACGTTATTGATTGTTGATGATGACAACAAAAACAAAAACAAAAGCACAACAAACAAGAAAAAGCAAAGGAAAGTAAAGGTGGTGTCGACGACGACGACGACGACGACGCACGAAGAGAACGAAAAGAACGAAGAGAATAAAGAGAACGAAGAGAATAAAGAAATCAAAGAAAACAAGGAAAAGGAAGAAGACTCGTTCAGCTCGTTCAACGGAGCGTCTTCTTTATCCGAGTTCATGGAAAGTATGGATAAACGCGCCGCGGCGTTATCAGAAAGCAAGAGTGGCAACGTCCTACCACGCAAAAAAAGAAACACGGCGAGTGAGTACGTCAAGAACTGGAAACAAGTACATGCGTACATCAAGTCCTTCGTCAACCACCAAACCAATCTCTACGCAATCGCAGAGCAAAGATTAGTCAAAGTTTCGCAAACCGATGCGACGAAAGAGTACCCGTTGGAACACGATAAAAAATACAAGCACAAGTGGAAGACTGAGTTGTGCAAGTTAAAGCAATATTTGGATCAAAACGACAACGCCACCGCGAATAAAATCAAAGCGATTTGGTCGCTCGAATCTTCTTTGCGATGAAACTGAATTTTTTGTTTTGCGATGGTGAGCGAGCGAATGACAGAACAACTTTTCGTTATATGTAACCGCTGAACAAGCGTTTACTTTATGACGACGATTACTTTTTGTCGAAAGAAGAAGATGAAGAAGAAGAAGAAGAAGTGTGTTGTTGTTGTTGTTGTTGTTGTTGTTGTTGTTGTTGTTGTTGTTGTTGTTTAAACACGAGCAGGAAAAGATAGTGTTTTTTTTTTTTGAATATAAAATGGACATAAAACCAGAAATGGACTCTCAGGGTTTAGGGTTAAACCCTAAAACCCTAAACTCTCACCCGGTGGCGGCATCCACGGCGGAGTCGTTCAGCGCGCAACACACCACGGCTTTGTGGTGTCCGTTATACACGCGAATAGCTTCGCCGCTGCTGCAATCCCAAAGTCGAGCGCTTCCGTCGCTACTGGCGGTGACTAAATACGCCGCGTCGACGCTGAATACGCAGTCCCACACCCACCTCGAGTGCCCTTTCAAAGTCCGTTCTAATCCTAACCCGTCTAAATTCCATAATTTTACCGTCTTATCGCTACTCGTCGTCGCTAAACTCCTCACGTCTGGCGAAATCAAACACTTCAACACGTACTCGTCCGGGTGCGCTCTCAACTTGTGCAACGGTTCGAAATGCGCCGTCGTCTTTGCATCCTTTTGCAACCGCCACACGTAACACGTCCCAGTAGAGTTTCCTGCGACGACTAAACTCCCATCCGACGCCACGCTGACGCTTCTCACCGCTACTCCAACCTCTGGAACTAACTCGCACGAACACGCGTTCATCGTCAAATCCCACACGCGAATATTCCCATTCGCGTCTCCAGATAACAACTCCGCGCCGTTCGGGTGCAACGCGACCGTCGTCACTGCCGCTCTCGACTCGTACTCCCTCGTGTGTCTCGATCCTTGCCTCGCGTCCCATAACTTCACCGTCCCGTCGTCCGACCCGGAATACATCCATCTCCCGTCTCTTTCGAACCCAATCGCAGTCACGTTCCCTTGGTGTCCTTCGTGCGTTAATATCGGCGACGGATTCGACGCGTTCACTTCAAATATCTTAATCGTCGGGTTCCCAGCCGCGGCTAATATCTGCTTATCCGGTGATATTTCCAGTTTGTTCACTTGCGAGTCTTGGTGTTGCAACGTCCGGTAACACACACCTCGCGTGGCTTCCCAAAATCGAATGGTGTGGTCGTACCCAGCCGTGGCTAAAACCACGAACGGGTTCGGCATTTTTTTACTTATCCGTGTGAATACTCGCGCGCACCTCTCGTTTACAGAGCAGCGCTCCACTTTTACGCGCTCCTCGTCCTCAACTCGAGGCGTTTTTGTTGTTGTTGTTGTTGTGCGGAATATAGAATCGAACTTTTGGGGAATTGAACGAGACATCCAAGAGCACTTGTGCTCCTCATTAATTCGAGAGAGTGAAAGAGACACGCTTTTACGCGCAACATAAACAACTTAAAAAAGAACAGTTGAAGAGAGATGATGTCTCGCATCTAAAGCGACGACGAAAAGAGCGCAGAAAAGGCGAACGATAGGGAAGAGAGAGAGATCGAGAACCCGCGCTTTTCATCAAAAGACGATGATGCACAATTCCGAACGGTGTGACTACAGGACAGACGAAGAAAACGAGCGGCTAAAAAAAGCGAGAAAACAGATCCGAAAGCTCGAGAAGGTCGCGGTCGATATCGAGAGGAAACCGATGATGCTGTGGCGATTGTTCAGGGACGCTTTGTTGGACGGCGGCGAGTGCAGAGACATCGTGGAGAAGCACGTTCTTCCGAGATTGAATCGAACGGATGTGAAATTCTTGTATGGAGTGAATACGGAGACGAGAAAGTTGATTAAGAGATCGTCTCGCGCGGGTAATTTGAAAGAGAAGTTTAAAGTTGAAGAGATTTCGTCGATATCGACTTTGGAGTTTGCGTGGGAGCGTGAATGGTTGTGGCCGAGACACTGGCGCAAAGACGAAACAACTTTCTGCTGGAAAGTTGCTGGCACGAATAAACTCGAGTTGCTCAAGTGGGTGCGAGAGGAGAAAGAGTGTGAGTGGCATGGAGAGACGATTAATGCGGTCGCAGAGCACGGTAATCTGGAAATGTTAAAGTATTGCGTTGCAAATGAGTGTCCTATGGATGAGATGGCGTGTGGAATTGCTGCCCAATTCGGTCATCTCGAGTGCCTCAAATACTTACACGAAGAAGCGAAAGTGCCTTGGGATGAGTATACTGCCGTTTGGGCGGCTGGAAATGGTCAGCTCCACATACTCGAATACCTTGTTGAGCGTAAGTATGATAAATATGACACGTTGGCGTGTGAGCGTGCAGCCTCGTACGGCCCCCACTTGGACTGTTTGAAGTACTTACACGAAACCGCCAAAGCGCCTTGGGACGAGGACGCCGTATGGGAAGCGCACGACAACAACCAAACCGAATGTTTACAATACCTCCTCGACAACAACTGTCCTCTCCCAGAAGGCTGGTCTTACGAAGGAGGAGTACTGCACGCTCCCAAACCCGACAGACCCGCCGTCGTTGATGATGACGATGATTTCTCTGATTCCTCTTCATTATCGTCGTCTTCGTCGTAAGATCTCAGGATTAAAAATACTAGTACCATCTGTCTTTGTCTGATAAACCACATTTTTGCGAACAAGAATTCACCACACAAACCAACACCTCTCGAGCACAAACACGTTCGCCGCCATCTAAAGATTTCTCCACAAATCATCTCCCCGCTCTTTTCTAATACTACGTCGCGGTAGTACGTCCACGCTTTCTCTCGCGCATTCACAAGAGAGAGAAAGAGAGATCTCTGTTCTCGCGACGGAATTTTCGAGCGTGTATAGTCTGACTTTCACGTGCACGCGCGCGAAAGATTTCCCTCGCAAAGCAAAGAAGATAAACGAAGGAAAAATCAATCATCCGTTGAGAGTATACGAATACATACACACACACGCGCACTATTCAGAGTAGAATACAATGAATCTCATCCAACAGCTTCAGAAGAAACCGAAACCGACGCTTTCGCACATCGAGTCGTTCGAAGATTTCACCGCCATCATCGATGGCGAAGGACAGGATTACATCAACTTACGCCTGGAGTACGACCAGACGAAAGTCCCTTCGGGTGGGAGCGAAGTCACCGGCGCGACCGCGCAAATGTTCATTCGCGCGTCGAACACGAAAGAAGCCGCAGGGAGACACTTCCACGCGAAAGCGAGACAATCTTTAGGTCTGGAACCGACGGACGAGAAGTATTTGCGAGCGGCGAAATTAGCCGGGAGAGGTCGAGACTCGTTGAGTTCGTTCCAAAACGACGACGACGAGGAAGAGGAAGAGGAAGAGGAGGAAGAAACGGTGGAGGATTTGATGAAATCTGCGGCGTTTCAGAAGAAGAAAACGATCAAGAAAGGATCGAAAGAGTATCCAGATCATTACGGGGCGATTGGTTTAGCCGTGGAGAGGTATTTGGCGACCACGGAGCAAATTAAGGAGAATTTCCAGGAGTATTCGATGAAGTTGCACCCGGACAAGTGCGGCATCGCCGGCGCGGACGAAGAAGGAAAAGAAGCGATCGAGCAGAGGTATAAAGCGGTCGCGATCGCGTACGAGGTGTTGTCGGATGATAAGAGAAGAAGAGAGTACGATTCCGTAGACGCGCCGAAACACGATTTGCCGACGAGCGTTAAAGCCGGGAAGACGTGGTTTACGACCTTCATTCCGGCGTTTCAAAAGTTGGAGAGATGGTCGGAAGTCAAAGGTGGACACGTAATTTGCGAAGACGAAGATGCGCCGTACGAGGACGTGAAGAAGATGTACGTCTCATGGACTAAGTTCAAGTCGTGGAGAGAGTTTCCGCACGACCAAGAGAACGATTTGGAATCCGCGAACGATAGGTACCACAAGAGGCAAATGCAAAAGGAAAACGAGACGAAGAGGAAGGAGAAGAAGAAGGAAGAGTCGGTGAAGTTGAGAGCGTTTTTCGAAGCGGCGGAGAACTTAGATCCGAGAGTAATTAAGGAGAAGGAGAGAAAAGCGGCAGAGAGAGAGGCGAAGAAGGCGGAAAAGAGCGGTTCGGGTGGTAAAGGTGGCGGCTCTAAGGCGGAGAACGAGGCTGCGGCGGCGGAGGCGAAAGCCGCCGCGGAAGCTGCGGCGGCGGACGCGAAGGCAGCAGCGGCAGCGGCGAAGAAGAAGAAAGAGGCGGAAAAGAAGGAAATGCAAAAGACGAGAAAAGCGATGAGAGCGATTCGCGACGAGGCGGAAGGCGCGCCGGAGGAGTTTGATTTGGATCAGTTGATGCTCAAGTTGGACATCTCCGGCATAAAGGTATTGCTCGACGAGTGCTCCGGGAAGTCGGCGGCGGAATCTGGCGCGATTTTGAAAGCTGCGGTAGAGAAAGGCGCGTAAATGATAAGAATGGAGAAGAAGAAAGAGAGAGAGAGATTGAGATAAGAGTAAGGTAACCAACAAAACTACTAAACTTAAATTATTTTTGTGCATATACAACAACGACTGGGTATGGACTTTATTATTGACAACCTTTTTTTATCTAACTTTCGCAACTACTCTTCCAATCACTTGGTCCCCGTCCGTGCACCGTTCGGAAACGAAGACCGCATCGTGCAACGCGTTATTCTCCGCGATGTTTTCAAAAGTCAGCAAGTGTTTCGCGCCTGCAAACTCGGCGAAAACGCTCACACTGTCGAGCCGTCCTTTGCCTTTATCGATGAACCCCCACTTGCCTTTACCCCACGGCGTCGTTAAATCGCCGCGTTCTAAGAACCGTAAACCAGGGACTCCACCCCAGGAGAACGGTTCGTTTTCGCCTAATTGGGATAATATAGACGCCACGTGCGCTTTTTCTGAGTAACTTTCTGTGCTTTCCGTGGGAGAAACCATTCGTAATTTGCATAGGATTTTAGAATCAGCGGCGACTTCGCCGAATCCTTCGCCGTGCGTCCATCGCTCGAAATTCGAAATCGTTTTTGCGCTCGCACCCAGGACGGTGTTCTGCTTCATTTCCTCGTAGTAATTGTACGCGTCTGTCATTCTTTGCGCGGTTTCTTTTAATCGCAAGTGGTAACTCATGCGTATGGCAACTGGGATGAACTTTTTCGCCTTTGCATCCTTCTTAGCGAAGCGATAAATCATCTTCGAGTTTGCAAAGCATAAATAATTCAGCGTCCTTTTGATGACACCAGGACCGACATAATCACCGTGGGCAGGCAAATCGAGCGCTTCATTGAACGCTTCGTGTGCTCTGGTTGCAATATCCGCGGATGAAGAGCCTTTCATGCCTAAGAGTATCCTCGCGACGCGCGTCGCGAGCGCCAACGATTCCTCCGTCGCTTCAAATCTCGCAAACCCGTCGTCTCTGCTCGCTGCGCGTCCGCCGTGACAATATCTCGACCAATCCATGTGAGGGTCATCGACGACGTGGTCGTAGCCGTACGCGGTCATATCGTCCCAACCGTCCGACATGGCTTCTACGTCTGCGTCTCGATAAAAATACGTCGACGGGTCGTGCATGAGCACGGTTTCCGGATCTATCGCAATCGTGTGCACGCCATTCTCTAACAGTCGCTTCATGGCAATCCATTTCAGAATGGCCGCCTCGTAACTACTCGACTCCAACACGGATATTTTATCAGAGACAGTTCGTGCAATATTCGCCGCTTTCGGTGAATTTGTGACGACAATGACACGTTTGTCCACCTTTAATTTCTTCGTGCCTCGTTCGAGGAAGACTTTCAAATGGTCCGCGTTGTCCTCGTTGGCCGAAACGATTATGGCGGATGACTGTTCACCTTTAAAAACATCGCCTTTCCTGGATAATATTTCGTCAATTTGTACGGATATGCCATCGTTTGACGGTGGTGTCGGTGTTTTTGAAATCGCGTGTAACGAGCGTCCTAAATCGGTAATTTTCCCAGACCAGTCTTTCATCGGCGCGCACTGAGAGGAATATGCCGCAGGCGCACCTTCCTTCCAATTCTTAGAACCAATGATCCCATCGTTAACGGCGTGTTTATGCTTTCCTTCCAATTCCTCGATGGATTTTAACTCTCCTGAACAACCAACTGTGCATTCTAAAGACGCGACGTTCGCGTCGTGGTTGTAATACTTATCGACGAGTTGCATTTTCCGTTCTTTATCCGTGTGGTAGTTCGCGTGCATAGCAACTGGTCTGTGCCTATCTTTAGCCAACTCCTTTTTATGTCTCACGATACGAAACATCACTTTGCTGTTTAAGAAACAATACGGATTCATCACCCGAACCGTCGCGCCGCTCGTTTGGTGCCAATCTCGACTGGCGAACCATAATTCTAAATTATAGCCGGCTTGATCCCACAAATCTTCCGTCGCCATTCTATGCGCCATAATGGACATGAGCCTATACGAAGCTTCCGTTGCGGCGACGTACCACAATCCAGAATTCAACGCGGAAACTCGAAACGCTTTCACTCGCGCGCGTCCAGATCTTCCCATAGCCGCATCGTCGATGACTTGATGAAACCCATTCGCGGTTTGATTGTCCCACCCGTCAGACATAGACTCGATATCGTGATCGCGATATAAGTACGGAAATGGGTTTTGTAAGTACACGACGTCCGTATCTGTCAATAAGACGGAACACCCAACTTTGACGAAATCTTTTATGATGCCAAACTTTTGCGCGGAGATTTTGTGCGACCCTCTCGCGTCGTTCTTCACTCTATACGTCGCCACTCCTTTATCTTTCAAGTTCTTTTCCAACATATCGTCCAAGCATATGACGAGAAAGTTTGTGACTTCCAAGGATTTAATCGAATCGACAAACTTATAAATTCCTGGCGCGGCGGAATTCGCCACCGCCGCCAAGACTTCTCTATCAATCGCAATCTCCTTGACGACTTCGCACAAGGCTTTTAAATCTCCTTCGCAATTCTGCGGCCAATTGGTATCAGTCTTAGCTACGGAGAAGTCCAACCTTCTGGCAGAACCCCACGCGTCCTTGTTGATTGTTTTCGGTTCACACACTTTGTTCGGTTCATCAGACATGGACGGCAAGGCGAACGCGTTCGGGTAGGTATCCGTGAGCGGTTTGATATTCGCGAGCAGAGAAGACGACGACGAGGACGAACGACGAGTACTACTACTACTACTGCTGCTGCCGCTGCTGCTACTACTACTACCACTCATCTGCGTCGACACCGTACCCATCACCGCTTCTTCTTGATTTTCCTCCCGCTCAAACGGCGTCTTCTCTCCTTCTCGCCCCCGAACACCTCTTTCGTCGCCAGTCTCGGAACTCCTCCTCAAACCCGCATCCCCCATGCGCCTGTTATTATTACTATTACTCTTCCCATTCGAACCGCTGTTAAAACTCATCATCGCTCTCTCGTGTTCGACTCTCGATCTCTTCAAGTGTCCTTCATCTCTCTGGTGTTTCAGTAAACTCACGAGAACACCGAGCGCGCACCCGAACGCGATCGACTTCCCGAGTTTATTCAAAGGCGAAGCCGAGTTTGATCGCTTCTCGACTCTCTCGCTCATCATCGTCGATTCCTACTTCGAAGACGAGGACGACGAAGGCGCGTCGAAAAACTGATTCCAGATGAACTTCCTGTTCGTTTCGAGCCACGCGGACCAGTCGACGCAAATCTCCGCGCACTTACGAACCTCGGAATTTTTAATCTTCCGAGAGTTAATGACGACGATGTTCTTATCTCGCAAGTATCCGAGCACACAGAGAGAGGACGAGGCGATGAAAAGGTATTTCGTCGCGGAGCGGAACATTTAGTAAACGCTCGGGATGCGAGTCTTTGGATTGATTTTTTTGTGTCGTCTTTTCGATTTAAAAACGCTTCTTCTTGTGATCTCGCTAAAAATGTCTACGCGTGAGTATGCGCGCGTCATTACATTGTGCTATTAATAGACTTCGTCGCACGCCGTTTTCCACGCCGAGACGAAACAGTGCACGCCGTCGTCTCGTGATATCATCCGCTCGTGCCACTTCGTCAAGTTTTTTACTCGCTCGATGAACGCTTCGATGTCTTCTTTGTAGACGTAGTGTTTCTGGATGGTTCCGACGGCGGAGCGGACGTGGTCGGCCAAAGAGTAGGCGCATGCGGTCGCTAAACCCGCGACGATTTGCTCTTGACCTCGCGTGATTTCTTTGAATTCGTCGTTTTGGCGCACGCGGTGCATTTCAATGGCCAGTCGGCGCGAATACGACGCGAAGAGTTGCTCGATAGATTTGAACTCTTTCTCGATGAAGAAAGGCACCGCGGTTTTTTTGACTTTTTCTCCTCCGTTGTCTTCTTTGATCTTGTTGATGTCGTTGTTATTGTTCCTGTGGTCCAGTCTATCTGGTTCTACTTTATTACTATATGTTTCGTTCGCTACTTTCTGTTTCTTTTGCACCTGCATGAACAAACTGTTCACTCTTGGTTGCGTCTTATCTGGAACGTGAACTTTCGATTGAGGGCCGATTAAACCTTGCGCCGGGCCTCGATAGTCCGTTCGTAAACCGACGACCCGCTTCTTCGGATTCTTTTCAGGCGACCCGGTAGTGTTCTCAAAATGCAACCTCACGCATAAACCGCGAATAGTCTCGATGCCCAAATGAATTTCCTCGTTTAACTTGTTTAAAATCGCTCGAACTTTCTCGTTGATAACTTTTGAATCGTTCGTCGCGTTGGTCAAGTTTTGCGATCTCGAGTATTCGTGACAAGGGCCGTGACCTAAGAAACCCTTCTTTTTAGTGCTTTTTACATCTTTCGAGAGCATGATTTCAAATGTGATTGATTTTGCGCGGCGATCTCCCAACATTTTAGCTCTGTCGCAAACAACTTTTGACATGTCTTTTAAAACTGCCAGAACTCTTTCCTTGGTTTCGAAGCGAACGCCCCACGAAATTTTCATGCTCGTTGTTTGCGGCGGTGGATCTGGCATCCACTCTGTTTCGTCTATTCCCTTGGCTTTTTGGATTAAGTTATAAGTCGCCACATCGCCTCCTACGGCATCCACGAGTTGCATAAATCGCTGGCTTCCCACTTCAATCGCTTGCAAATCTGCGCACGTCCGAATCTTCTCTTCGCTCAATTTTCTGAACAAAACGTGTCCCACCCCCGGGAGGTCCTGCACGGGTAACTTTGCCATAAAATCACGAGCATTTTCTTCCGAAACGTAATAAAAAGGATTATCGCTCATGCCGTTTGGTTTCGCGTACTTTGACGTCGCACATTTCGCGACCAACTTGTTCGGCCCCGAGCCGACGGAGCATTTCAATTTACACTTCTCGGTGACGTGCTTTTGGATAAACTTCGCCATCGCTTTTCCTCTGATGCTCGCGTTCTCGCTCTCTATGCCTACTTCTTTAACACCATCTAGCTTCAATCCATTCGTGACGTCCAAATACGCCTCATCGCAACTCGATCCAATCACGTGATCGGTCAACTCGAACAGCGCCTCGTAAAAGTTCGTCGCGAATTCGACGTACGCGTCGAAACAGTAACTCAACACGAGAACATTCTCCGGCTTTTTTCTATCGCTCTCGTTAAACCGCATCCCGGCGTGTAACCCTAACGCTCGAGCGGCGTAGTTCGCGCAACTAATCTCCCCGGTTTCTCCCCACGAGACGACCATGGGTGTTTCGGTATCCTCGATTAAATCCGGTCGCAAAGTGCGCACCGAGCCTTGGAGAAAAAAACAATCGATATCGATATGAACGACAATTCGTGAGTGATTCTCTAATTCGCTCGGTTGGAGTTTACTCGCGTTCGGGAGGAGTCTTTGCTTAATCGCGTAATACCTGTGTTTCCACGTTCCTAATAAACGAAAGAGAGAGAGAAAGAGAGAAGGGTGTCATTAAAAAGAAAACAGGGAGCGCGCAACAAAGAGGGAGGAGAAAAATGAATTCCCGGGGGCCCCCAAGAAGAAGGTAAAATCTCCTCGACAGAATACTAATCTCGTCGCGAATCGCGCGTACCTATAAACCCCAACCGGGTCTTTTCCGTGTAATTCGCCACGAAATTTGTGTCCGTTTCTGTCGTTCGCACGTTATTACCGTACATTTTATTCGTGGTATTATTATACTATTGCACAAAAGTGTTTGTGTGTGTCTTAATGTGATCAATGAAGAGATTTAGAGAGATCCCAAAAGAGGAGAAAAGGTGGTAAAAAAATGTGAGCACCCCTTAAAAAAACCAAAATTCTCTTTCTAGAAAGAGAATTTTTGAGCTCTTGACCTAAGACACGAATAACGAACTTTGAAGATAAAACCACACAATAACTGTAAAGAATACGATGTTTACTACCCTTTCCACCCCCACGCGGACGATTCAGACGACGATTCAGACGACGATTCAGACGAGAAGGAGACGACGACCTGCTTCTGCGCTCGCTTCGGATGAGAATGCTTCTGAACAGAACAAACGACAACAACAACGGATGATGCGAACTGATGATGATGATGATGAAAGAACATTAACGCGCTCTAAAGAAAAGAGAGAAACGAGGAGAGAAGATGAGAACGTTTCGACGAATATGAACAGAAGAAAGTCGATATTTATGGTCAACATGTCCTGGGGGTGTTTTGCGCTGGCTTTTAATTCAAACGTGCAACCGACGAGTGCGATGTTTAACAGCGGTTTGGATGTGCCCATCGAGGAACCTTTGCGAGCCGTCGCGGTGGTCTTGGCGGTGAAAGTGGCGTTGCAAGACATCGCGAACCAAAACGAAGAGTTCCGGAAAACGTGCGATGCACCGGTGTATAATTGCGATTTATCGCAACTGAACGTGAAGTGCGCGACTCGAGTGTCAGGTCCCATGACGCGGGCGTTACCGACGATTTTAGAGACGTACGGTTTAGACGCGTACGAGGTCGAAGCGTTGAAACAATCAATTCAAGAGTTGGAAACGCAATTGAAAGCGAACAACGCGCGCGTGGCGGTGAACTTTAAAGCGCCGGCGGAATATTTTGGATTAATCGACAGACAAATCGACGAATTGTTGGCACAAATTCCCGAGGACGCGATGACGAACGCGAGAGATATGTTCGAGAAAGAGTGCGATTTGAGCGTACCGGCGGAACAGCCCGCGGAACTCGATTGTAGAATCGCCAGAGCCGTGAGTCAAGGGAAACGACCCAGCGGGGGGGTTTCTTAGTCTTCAATCTTTATATTTTAATCATAAGAACAAATTTGAACATCAATGTATTGCCGTTAATAAAGATTTAATAGTACTAAAGAGTGCGATACAGTAGTGCATCAAACATCAATCAATACCTTTTCGTGTTTGTGTTTCACACGAACAAAAAATACGCGAAGAGGACAACAGATTTTATTATATTTCCACACTTTAAAACATGAAAGAAGACTTTGGTGAAATCAAAGAGTGCACGTCGTCTTCCTCCTCCTCCTCTTCCTCTTCCGACGAAGGGGAAGAGGAGGCGAAGGAAGGAGAAGACTTTGCGTTAAACATCGAGCGGACATCATCGAGTAAAGTAAAGAAGAAAAAGAAGAAGAAACGTTTTTTTTTCTCATCGAAGAAAAAAAATGTTCCTTCGTCATCGGATGAGGATGACGACGACGAGTCCATTGATTTCATCGACTTCTTGGACGACGAAGAGCGCGCGCTCATGAGCACGAATAAACTCGAGCACAGAATCGAAAATCTAGACGCGAAAACCGACCGCGCGTTTTCCATTTTGCACGCGCAATTTTTTACGCAAACGTCCGTGGACGTGGAGAAATTCGTCAAACCGCTCTTGCACGACGAAGAGGACGCGACGTTTGTGAAGTTTAAAGTCGCCGCGGAACGATTAAGAGCGAAAGTGCATCGACACCAGTCGCATCGTAAGATAGAGGAACACGAGATTAGGCAGGCAGCTGCGAACGCAAACCGTCCCGGGTGTAAGATGTTTACGAATTTGAAGGGGAAATTTTTACGCCTTGACGAAAACGCAAATTCGGCGCCCAAGACGGCGAATTTGAGATCGGACGTGGCCAACGCGGATACCGCGGTGAATATTGGATTGAAATTGGCGGAGTGTTTGAGAAGAGATTCAGTGTTTCAGAGTCGAGAGGTGACGACGTACGATGGAGAGAATAACATCGTGTGCGCGGATGGAGAGGACGAGAACGCGAGCCGCTGGAGCCTAGAGCCAGATTTACACTTTGACGGCGAAGACGAATCCGTAAAACGTTTTCTACTCGCAACGCGGCTCATTATTGCTCAAATCGCAGAAATATTACGTCCGCGCGGGCCCGGGTTTAATGAAAAGTCGCCCTCCTCGGCGGAAAACGATGCCGGTGAAGACGCGTCGATGAAGAAGAAGAAGAGCGAAACCGAGGAGGTGACGTATAACCATGCCGATCCTTTCGACGCGTACGATTCGAGCGACGAAGAAAAAGCCGTTCGAAGCGATACGGGAGTTCTGGCTTTGCCCCCACCTCTCGGATCACACGTCGTGCGATGCGTGGAAACGCCTGAAAGTCTCGATTTCGTGCGATCGATCCCAGACGGCACGCCGTTGAGCGTCTACTTCCAAGAAAACAACGCGTACAACTTCAAAGATATTCGCACTGCGGATCACTTTCTCGACGGCTCGAGGCAAAAGATACGAAGTTCGACGAAGATTCAAGCCATTCCAAGAGCTGAAATGTACGGCGCTTCGCTCTTGATTCATTTAGAACTGCCCGGTCCGATGGATCGAGAAGAGAGCGCGCCGAAGGACGTTTGCCGAGAAGGTTGTTACGTCGAGTTATACGGTGCGAGCGGACATCCGGATTACTTATCGCGCTGGCGAAGACGCGATAACTGTCCGAGATCGGAACGAAGCATCGATACCGAAGTGTACACGTTCACGTTACCGACGCTCAAAGCGCACGAGTTTTACTTGCGTAAACCCATCGGCGAGCTCTGCGGCGACGTGAAAATCGAGTGCGAAAAAACCGGTTTAGAAGCCATTTTGAAATTCCACGAGTACGATGCCGAGTTTTCGCCGGCGATGCGTAATCTCGTTACGGGCGTCGTTACGAAAAAAGAGACGAACGAAGTCAAGCGCATGCTCTTCGGCACGTGGGATTCGGTCATCTTTTGGGAAGATCCAGCCGAAACGAAAAGCGACGACTTGCAAGTCGTATTCGCCGAAGCCGAGAAACTCTCGAAAGGCATTTTATACGACGACCGTAAACACGCCGTCACGCAGAGAGGATTTGTTCGGCCTTTATCGCAATCGACGACGAACAAAGTTCATTCGCTCGCAACGGCCATCAAATGTCCACAAACCATGTCGCGCGAAAAATTGTGGATGGCCATCCAATCCGCGATTCGATACTCCAAGAAACTCGGCCATTTAGGCTCTTTCTGCTCGAAACTGCTTTTGGGATCCGAAACGCTCGAAGGCCAAGACGAACAGAGAGGCACGGGTACGCTCGATTTAGACATGGGCTGGGAGATGACCACTCTGGTGGCCACAAAACTTCCAGCGGACGCGGAACCTCCTTTACCGGGTATTTGGGAGATGCGACCGTCGCCGCCGCCTAGAGCTGGGCATGTGGAGAAGTACGCTTGCGGCTTGTTTAACAGAGTTACAGAAGGCGAAAAAGAAGAAGAAGAAACAGAAAAAAAGAAGAGCGAAAGAGAAGCGAAGTAAATACGCGACGATAATACTAACTATGCGCTGCTGAGTATAAATAACGACCGCATATCAAGATTGACTCTCTCTCCTACTTGTATCGCACCAACTCAATTCTATACCGATCGTTCTGCTGCTCCAAAATTTCTTTCACTTCTACTCTTCCTCTTCCTCGGCAACTAATCATATCACCTTGCCCAACTGTCGCGTTCTTCTTTTCGCACACGTTGTAGTTTAGCTTCACGTTTCCTTTTACGATATCCTCACCCATCTTACTTCTCGCACACCGAAATCCAGCAGATGCCACGGCGTCTAACCGAAGCGAGGCTTCGTAAGTTCTTACCGGTTCTTGAACCTGCGCGCCTTGGGCGCCTTCTAATTCGCTAAGAGGAAAAAGCTCCACGGTCACTTTAACCGTGCGCACAGATTCCAACGCTCTCGTCAAGAAAACCGCAATCGCAGGCGTCGCCAAAACTTTCGCTCCACCCTCGGAAGAATTATTGACCAAGATGTCTCCAATCTTCTCGCGTTTCACGCCGGCGTTGAGCACCGCGCCTAAAAAATCCGGATGGGACGCCGGATCGAACGCAAACTTTCCGCTTATGTTCACGCACGCGATCGCGCAGTTGTTCGTATCCACTTCACCTTCGTCCTCTTCGTTCGCGAAAAACTCATCTTTCTTCGCCAACTCGAACAGTTCTTCGCTGTTGTCCCGTCTCGCGAGCAGAACCCTCTGCTGTTCCGCCCCGGAAAATCCTCCGAACCTGTTGCACACAATCGCTTCTCCAAAGTTTTTCTTCACCGCGGCTTCGATCCAATCGCACAACGGAGGAGAATAGAAGTCGGTGATTTCGCACGACCAAACTTTCTCCGCTCTTTTCGCTTGTTCTAACGCTCGCGTGACGTCTTTCTGGAACGCCGAGGGCATGCTTCCCGGGAACTCGTATCTCGAGTTTTCATTCTTCTTTTTGTTTGCTTTGCTTTTCTGTTGTTGCTGAGCGTGGATTCTCTTATTCACCCGGACGCGCGCTCCAGTTTGGTCGCTGGTTGACGGGACACTGTTCGTGGTGACGCGATGCGAGAGCAGGAGGCGAGAACGCGCCGCGGAGGACATGTGTTTTTTGTCTCTCTGGAGGTGATTAGTGAAGCCAAATTTTCCCTAAGTGAGAGGAGTGGATGTTTAGGTGTGATATTTCGTTCACCTTTTAAACGCGAGCGCCGCCGATGGGATGAACCAAATAACAATACAACACTAATAACACGATATAAATATACGTCATCCGATCATCTCTCTTTCTTTCTCTCTTCTCTTTATTATCTGCTGTTGGACAACTTACAGACGCAGTCGTATACGTTCGCGCCTAACCTCTTGGCGTTGATTTCAGATTTCACCATCGCCAAGTTCAAGACGTCCACGTGCGGTTGCACGTATTTGCCGCACTCCCAGTTCGATTCTAAGGAGCGGCCCATGCCATCTAAAACGACGAGCCACTTCAGCTTTTTACCTTCCATGTCGACTCCACCGACTGTATCTTCGCGCTTGACCCAATCGTTGATATCTTTGCCGGTGGCGTTCAAGTTGAGTAACGTGGACGCTTGGCCGGAGGAGAGGAGGGCGATTTTGCCGTTTTCGCGGTACAGTTGTAAATACTCTGGGTCGTGTTCTTCGCACACCCGGTAAAACTCTTCGAGTTCGTTGATGGTGACGTCATTCAGCGCGGCCAATTCGTTCGCGACCAACGCGACTTTCGCGCCTTTAGTTCTTTTGGCCAATTCTCTCGCTAATAGCGTCATCCCTAAGACGTCCGCGCCGGCGTTATCGCAAAACACGCACACGCGGTCGTACTCGTTCGCTCGCAACTCATCCAAATCGTCACACAACCACTCGCTATTTCTCACTCGTTTCCTCGATGCCTCAAACGCAAACTGTAAATCCTCGCTGTTCTTAAACGCAAACTTATTCGAATCTCCTTTAAACGAGCTCCCGCCGACGACGTTTTGCACCGCCTGCGCCGCTCCAGCATCGAACAAGTTCCCCGCCAACGCGATTTCAATCGCAGATTTCAACGAATCCTCCGAATTATCCACGTCATCTCTCAACGATTGAAACAAAACGTCCGAGCACAGCGCGTTCTCCGACGCTTTCACCGCGCGAAACAAATCCGGCAACCCGTATTCCCGCAACAACTTCTCCTTCTCGCTGACCACGTTCAACAACGTCCCGCCTTGATACGCATCGCTCTCTACGCTCGATAAAAACATATCGTATTTTCTCTCCCACTCGTGATACCTCTCCAGAAAACTCTCGTCCTCCTGGTGAAACATATCCTTCGTCCGTTTCGCGTTCGCCCTGTGAGACGGGTGTTGACTTCTCAACAGAACCACCCACGCGGCGCGAATGGCCACGTCCGAGGCGTGCGCATCGCACACGCCAGGAGAAACGTGCGTGTACGACGATGACGACAAAAGTTGTTCTCGCGCAGAGTCGTTTGCGAACGACAGCAGTGGAAACGGCGACGCTTCGGACGGTTTCGCCGACCCATTCTCGCTTATCGTCTCCCCGGTGTCTGATGAAGAAGCGCAGCAAAACTCTCCATCTCTCTTTAAACGACGACGATTTAGACGACGATGAGAACAACAACGACTTTTGAGCTTAGGAGAAGAGAAAGCACGAGACGTGGAGGCGAACGCGTGCGTGGAATATCTCGCCGATATCTGGGGGGCAGTCATTTCAGAGTGAAGAAAATTTTCCATTTTATCCAAAGAGTAATACTAAAATACAGACATTTTTTATCACAACGAAGGAGGTATCCACATGCACCTCTTCAACAAGATGGCGACGATGGCGACGATTAAGCACACGGAGATGGAGTCGAGAAGTTTTATAGCTGAAGTCCGATGATCGGGGTCTCTTTGTTGTCGTTGTTGTTGTTGTTGTTGTTGTTGTTGTTGTTCTGGCGAGGCGGGTCTCCGCTCGATGCCGCGCGTGGTTGTTTGCGTTGTTCTACTATTTCTTTGTCTTTGTACATCGTCGTCGTTCTCGTTGTTCTCGTTATTGGCGGCGTTTCGAGGCGAAGGAGCAGGTGATGGTGTTTGTTGTTGTTGTTGTTGTTGTTGTTGTTGTTCTAGCGTAGCCGTGGATGTCGTCGGCGCCTCGGCGTTCGTTCCGTTCCCACCATCACTCCTCTCCCGAGCATCTTTTTCTTCCCTTTCTCTTTTCTCCATCGCCATCTTCCTCGCCGCTTGTTTCGCTTTTCCCATTCGTCCTAACATTTTCTCGTGTACCAGTCTCGTGACTTCTCTTCTCTTTTCGCTCCCAAAGGTAAAATTAACCTCCTTCGCTCGACTCTTCTCCGCGAGTTCTCTCCTTTGCTCTTCACTAAAATCAATCCCACCTAACGCGCCTTCGCTCGGTGTCACCATAAACGCTCGAATCGCCGTCAACGCCGTCCTCACCGACCAACTCGGTTGCCAATGTTCCGCGTGGTACGACGTAATCGACAAACAGATTTTCGTCAACGTTTCGAATCTGCCGTTTGGCGTCAAGAGCATAAAGTTTGGCGGTTTGAACGGGTACTCCACCGGGAGTAAAATGCGACCGTGGTATATGCCGCCTTCAAACGCAGTGCCTGTTATTTGATTATGGGGCGGGGGAAGAGAGAGAGAGAGAGATTGCATGTGAGTATTCGGCGCGTAACCGCCAACACAGCGAAAGACAACAGAGAGAGAAAGAAGCACAAACACACAAACACGAAGAACAAACAGACGACAACGAAGAGCATCTCTCCTCTCTCGCGTACCTTCCGCGCCGTATATCGCAAAGTGCCACTCAAAAATATCGTCCTCCAGCGGTTCCGCCCACGTGGCAAACGCGTTGTTATCCACCATCATCGACCCGTCCTTCTCCTGTTGTTGGTCGTCGTCGGTTCCATCTTCCATCTGCCTTTCGCTCTCGAGGAATTCTTTCACCTCTTGAGAGATGCGTCGAACGGCGTTGTTCGAGGAGGAGAATTTAGACGTCATGGTACTCTTTATTCTTATCAGGAGGAGGAGAGATTATGATGGTGGTTTTGACCGGTTGAAAGCGCAGATAATAGACGCGCGTGTGCGGAAGAGAAAGTTCTGAGGAGTTTGGGGAAATCCATTTCCCCTCAAATCTTCTAAGCGCTCTTATACGAATAAACACACATGTCTCCTTCTCCTTTTCGAAGCGAAGGAGAGGACAGAAGACGACGACGATCGAAATCTCCCTCGCCGTCGTCTTCGTCTTTCTCTCGCGAGAGGAGGAGGAGGAGGATTAGACGAGAGAGAAGATCCGACGATGATGATTTTTCCGACAGCGGAGACGAAGAAAGACGGACGAGAAGAAGACGAAGAAGAGATCGAAGTTCCTCTCTTTCGGAAGAAGAATTCGACGAAGAGGAGAGACGACGAAAAGGACGACGAGGAGATTCTTTTACTCGAAGAGCGAGGAGGAGAAGGAGTTATTCATCGCGAAGCCGGTCGCGCGAGGATGATGATGGTGATGACACGAGAGATGGTCGTTACGAGAGCAGCCGCCGAGACCGCTCTCGCCGCGAGTTTGATGAGTACGAAAGAAGACCAATGCGAGAGGAAGAAGGTGGTCGTCGTTGTGATGATGATGATCGTTATTATGATCATCGTCATCGACGCGACGACGACAGAGAATTCGCGAGACGAGACGGGGGCGAAGACCTCGATGTCGATGTTCCTCCTCCGTTCGCGCGAGGCGAGATTCGGAAAGGTATCGTGCGTTCGATTCAGCCGTACGGATTGTTCGTGCGTTTGATGGAGGAAGCGGAGGAGGAGAATAAAGAGGACGTATACGGAGGAGGAGGAGGAAGAGGAGGAAGAGGAAGGAGACATTTACCGGATGGTTTAGTCCACGCGAGTCAAGTTTCGAACGATATCACGTTCCAAAGAGACGATACGGACGAGGCGAAAGTGCAGTCTTTGTCGTACTTTTTCCCGGTGGATGCGAAAGTGTTTGCGAAAGTTTTAAAATGCGAGAAAGATCCCGCGAGAGGGTGGAAAGTGAGTTTATCGATGAAAAATGTCGATCAAGAGAGCGGGGAAGACAAGGATCCAGAGAACAGAGAAAATGGATTTAACGCTAATAACAACACGAATAACAGCCACGATGGATATAGAAATAACAACAACAACGCGTCGACGGCATCGTTCACGGCTGATTTATTCGGCGTGTACGAAGGCAAAGTATCTTCGATTAAACCGTACGGCGTATTTGTAAATTTAGAAAATACTCGAACGTCGGCTTTGATTCACGTTTCCGAGATTAGCGAACACTTACGGTTTTCTAGAGAAGATACGGACGAGGATAAAGTTATGGGCATTGAAGGAGTTTTGTCGGTTGGCGAATCGTGCTTCGTTAAAATAATCGAAATGAAACCGCCGGAAAGCGAACGCGATCGAATGAAACTCTCCGGGTCGATTCGACTCGTCGATCAGAAATCGGGCGAAGATCTAGATCCGGAAAACAGGAAACTTCGCGAACGACGCGACGGTGGTGGTGGAGGCGATGGCGGACGATTCAACAAGAAACCCGTCGGCGCAGACGCTGGCGAAAAAGTGCAACCTGGCGGCATCGTCCACTGGGGACACGAAAAAGCCGACGTCAAAGAACAGAGCAAAAACGCATACGATTTCGTCGTCGACGTCGAAGACGACCAAAAACACGAACCGAAAGCGGACGACTATTCCAAACCGAGGTTTGGTCACGGATTAGAAGGGTACGTCCCGGAAATCAAAAAAGGCAAGAAGAGGAAAGACTCGTCGTCGTCCAAAAAAGACAAGAAGAAAGATTCGAAGAAACGCAAGAAGCGGGAGAAGAAAGAGAAGAAGAAGAGAAAGAAGAGCAGGAAGCGAGACAAGAGAAAGAAGAAGAGCAGTTCCTCCTCTCACTCCTCCTCCTCCTCCGACTCCGATAGTTACAGCAGTAGCTCGTATTAATCTTAAAGTATAAAGCTCATAATAATTTTTCATTCAACATAAATGATATGATTTGAAAGCTCGACACGCGCATACTAATCGATGCTAGTTCGACGCTATTAAAATACGTATATATATTCATCAATATATATATATAAATCCTCTCGCACAGAGTAGTGGTTGTATAACATTCGTAAGAATCTCACAACTCCTTCATCGTCGCCGTGTCGTATTTACCCGTGTGCCTATCCATCCCTTCCTTTCTATCCTTCTTCTTCTTCTTCCACTCGGCTTTCGACACGCACTGCGGCGACAACTCGTAACACACGTACTGTTCGACGTTCGTCTCGTTCAACTTCTCCTCGTACAACAACGTCTGCAACTCTTCCTCCACTTCCTCCATCACTCGTTCGCAGTACGTCTGAATCTCTCTCTGTTCCGTTTTCGCTTGCGCGCCTCGAACCGTCCCTTTCGGCGCTTTATACCACGAGTCCTCCGTCTCGTTTCGAGATAAGTCCGCTTTGCTCAGTTGATAATCCGGAACTCTGCTCGTCTCGCAAAAATCCTCCACGAGCTCTAAGTATCTCTGTTCGGAGACCGAGTACGGAATTAACTTCCCGTATCGTTGGCCTTTAGAATCCAAGCGACCTCGCATGTCGATGTGGTTTCTTTGCTTGTTTTCTTTGTTCAAAGCTTCTTGGAGTTCCGCGGAGACTGCTTTACAGGCGGAACATTTCCCCGCGATGGCATACGCTTTCTCCGGGAATAGTGCGACGATGATGGCGCAGAAACAGAACGTCTCGAGGAGGAAATGATGGCGACGATGCGCCACCATCTTTTTCAAACGATTAAAACAACAACAAGAGATGCTCGAGACGACAACAACACCGAGCAGCGCAGATGATCGTTTTTTTTCTCTCTGACGTTTCGGATGGATTTTTTGGATCTTCTTTTCGAAAAGGAAAAATCGAGAACAAATACTACACGTCGTGGTTGGTTGCGTCGGATGACGCGGGATGAGTAGTACGCGCGTTGAATACTTCTTTCTTTCTTTCTATTGTTACTCGATCGATGATGACATCTTTTCGCATTTTCAATGATTTGGAGTTAGAAGTGCTGCTATTTTTATTATAATACTCGTATAAATATATTCGTATTCGATTTTTATCATCCCGCTCTGGCTCGAATTTGCTCTAACCTTTTGACGATTTCTGACGGCGTGCGGTCCATCTCTTCGCTTATGCGTCGCTGCGCGTCAGCGCCGAGTCGACCGAATTGTTCGCACAAGTCACCGTCGACGACCGCTTTGACCGGGAAGTAGGAGGAGCGGAAGGCGCCGTGTTCGTTGCCTAAGACTGGCGGCGCTTCTATGCGCAAGTGCATTTCGAGGTGGGTGCAGAAATCGGCTTCGTCTTTGCTCGCAAACGGGACGAAAGCGCCGAGCGCGCCGCCGAGAGTGGCGTAGACAATGACTTCGGAACCACCGGTTTGTAACGCGCATTTTGTCAAGGAACAGATGACGTCGCCGACGTGGAATTGAGCGCAGGCTTGAAGCTTGTTGTTCGCGCCGTTGAGCGCGCCGAGGGCCGCCGAGGACGTCAACGCCGCGTGTTTGCCGCCGGAAATGTCCGATTCGATTTCGTCTGACACGTCTTTTGGGAGACGCAAGGCAGCAAAGTTCCCGAATTTATCCGAGACGGCTACCGTGTCGCGATCTAAGGGGAGCATGGAGGTGACGTACCGCGGCGCGATGTCGTCGGCGAAGATGTGCATGGAACATTCCTGGTCGTCTTCGCGAACGTACTTGACAAAGAAGGCGGATTCGCAGGCGTCGGTGACGAAAAAGCGGTCGCCGGAGCATCGAATATCGTTGATGAAACTCGGAAACTTTTGCGCGCACTCGGCTTTGCGCAATAATTTCTTCTTACCGAAGTCATACAGGCGTAAAACGTCGTCGACGCCGACCAGTAGTTTGCCTTCAAAATTTCGCAACGCAAACGGCGCGCCTTCGCAAGGGGTTTCGTGCACCAGTTCTAAACCGGTGATGGCTTTGTTCGCTCCAGATTTCCCGTTCGCAGTTGTTTCGCCATTCGATGATTTCCCACCGCCGCGTTTGTATCTGTAACATCGAATCATGCCGCCATCGCAATCGCGAGGTTGGAGCACAAAATTCTTCACGGAACCGACGACTAATAACACTTCGTCCGCTTTGGCGAAATAGGCGTGCGCGACGGAAACAAGACGTTCGTTGTTTTTAATCTCTTGCACGCACAAAGTTTCCGCGTTGGCCGCATCGACAATGTGAACGCACGATGACCAGTTGTTATTGTCGTTCGCGGTCGATTTCGGCGCGCCAAACTGCTCGATGGGTGCTAATTGATACGCGTCGTCTTCTTCGTCGTCTTCTTCGTCCTCTTCTTCGTTTTTCTTCGGTTTCTTTGCCGGAGGCGCTTCGACGATGTATTCGTTCCTCGTCTCTTCGCCAGTTCTATCCTCAAATCCAATTATGCCTCTATCGGTTTCAATTATCGCGACGACGTCGGGGTCGTCTGGATGCGTCGACATGGCGCGCGGCGTGTATCTCGCTTTTTCTGAGCTTTGCGAAAAAGCTTCTCCAAGATTTTCGCACGCTAAAATCCGTAAACTTCCATCCACGACGGCAACGATACCTTCAGGAACTTGTTCCGAAGCGAAGCCACACGCGCGGTCGATGGTTTCGTGACATGCTGGGACGATTGAAAATCGACCGTTTTCGTTGAAGCCCAACCACGGTCGCGTGGATAAAGCTACGAATCCAGACTCTTCGTTCATTTCGATGCGATTGAGTTTCGGAGGTCTTTGGCCAACAAAGCGCGAGCGCGCGTCAGACAGTGCGCCGGAAACGCGATCGACTTCACACCTGACTAAAATGCCGTTAGATAAGCCAACGTTCAAGAACATGGACGGCGGCGCGCTGCTGCCCGCTTTTTTGTTCTTCGTGGTCTTATTGTTCACCTCTAAAAGCAAGACAGATTCTGGCGGCGACGGGGTCGCTTGGACGCCGACCGTTCGCAACGCTTCTCCTGGATTCAATGATAACACTCGAACGGTAGAATCGTAACCAGCAACGGCGGCAAACTTGGCTCGCAAAGATCCATCCGGAATCGGCGGGATGTCCACGCTGACAACCTCCGAGCTCGTTTCAATCTTTTCAATCTCCAAAAGTTGTCCAGCTTCGTCTAATTCGAAATACACGAGTTCGCCACCGGTTAAGGCAACGATCGCTTGACCTCGGTTACACGCGCACGCGGTGATTTTCTTCCTGCCCGGCGCTCGCCATTCGTTGACGCCTTTGTTGTTTCCGCGAACGTGTCGCACGCCGCTCGGGTGGATCTGAATCAAAGACCCGTCGTCGTCATCTCCTAACGCGGAAACAGCTAACGTCGACGACGTGGCGAGAATACCAGTATCAGTGACCTCCTCGACGGTATCGCCGATGGATAATACCAAAGTCGCGTTCGTAAACGAGACGACGATGTACGCGTCCGTGGTATCGCTTTTCGATTTACGAATGGTGAAAACGCCGTTTGGATTCCCGGGGAGTGGCGAACGCGCCATTTCTGAAAGCGGTACGCCTTGACGCAACACGCGAAACGTCGAGCGCGGACCTTGGCCGCACAGAGCTAATAAACGAGGCGTTTCTTCCTTTCTCGAGATGTTCGACGCTAACGCGATGGTTGGCGAAAGCGATTCGATTTCATCAATCAAGGCGAGGTTTTTCAGTTTTCTCGGGTTGAAAAACACCGGTTGAAAGTTGTCTTCTTCTTCGTCGTCCTCGTCGTCGTTCTTGCCTCTTCCTTTCTTCTTCGTTGCGTTGTCAATTTTCTTTAAAGTTTTCGAGGAAGATTCCGCAGACTCTTCGTCGTCGCCGAGCGCGATGAACTGAAACAACGCGTGCGCGCCAAACTCAGACCCGCAAAATAAAAATCCAGTCTTCAACACGCACAACGCGCTGCACACCGGCACCGTATCGAAATACTTCATCTTCAATTCTGAAACTTTTCTATTCGTCCAATCTAAGGTTACTTTATAACAGTCGCCGTATTCGCTCTGCGCGATGAAGAAAAACCCGTTTTTACTTCGGTGCGACGCGAACGAGGCGATCAAAACGCCTCTTTCCGCATCCAAACTCGTTCGTCTCGGAATGACGCACCGAATTTCCTCGTGTTTCTCCGCTCTGTACACCAAGAAGTTTTCGCAACAGACAATCACTCCGCCCGGTCCGTCGCTTCCTCCCGGCACCGGTATCAACTTATTCGCTCCGTTATCAACCGGTTCCGACCACTTCCTCGCCACGTGATTCAATCCTAAATCGAGCTCGTAATACGTCAGCATCTTCTGCGCTTCCGCGGCGGCTTCTCCCGTATCGTCCACGTCCGCTTCTCCGTAAAACAACTCAATCGCCATAAACCCGGGATTCTCCAACCCGTTGTCCAAAGCGCACACGTCGAAGGCAATCGTCTTCCCTTTATTCGCCTCTAAAGGACTACTGATGGTTAAATTCGCCTGAGAATCCCTGTTCAAAACGTACACCACTTTTTGCTTCTCTAACGCAGCTAACATGACCGCTCTTCCTTTCGGATCCACGCAGCAAAACTGCCCCGGTACCACTCGCCGCACGCCCGACTTCCCGAACGTTTCTTTATGCACTTGCTCGAACTGATTCTTCTCCGCATCAAATCTCAAAACCACTATCCTCCCCGAATCCGACCCGATAACCACGTGATCTTTGTTCGCACCGGCTAAGCGAAACGCGGCCATCGATCGAATAATCCCGAAACACTCCCGAAACGCGATCGATTTCAGTTTCCCGTGTTGGTCCGGTCGCAGTAATTCAATCGCCGTCCCTTTACTCGCGATGATTTCTTGCACTTTCGGCGCGGAAAAATTGCCGTTAATCGCCGTTTGGCACGCGCCTGGGCGTTGTAACGTCACGTTGTACAGGTGCATCCTTTCTCTTCCTCACTTTTGTGGTGGAATTACGTACTCTCGTTCGTGCTCGTGCGTGTTTGTGTGTGTGCGTTGCTTTTCTCTCTCTCTCTCTCTTAATTCTTAATTTCGATCTCTCGTCCAACAAACCCTAAACACTTTTTTGTGTTGGATTTCCTCCAAAAATGCTCTTGAGGAGTTTTCCACACAAAAAAGAAGATATAAAACACAATCACGTTAAACAATGTCTTTGTCTGGAAGACAGAGAGGCGCTTTTTCGAGGATCGCGCTTCGGTTGCTGAGAAGAAGGAACACCAACGCGTTATTCAGTTCGTCTTCTTCGTCTTCTTTCGCTCCGAGGAGCAATACTACCGTGTACGCTTTGTCGTGCGCAGATGAAAGAATGTGCAACGACGTCAAAAAAAGGGGAGACTTGCGTGACCTCCAGATGCCTTTGTTTGGTTTGGGGAGGAGTTTTGCCGCCGCCGCCGACGCGTCCTCGGTCGTCGCGAGGAAGAAGAAGACGCTGAAAACCGGCGCGGTCGTTGGGACGACGACGAATGCGAGTTCTTCTTCTTCTTCCTCTTCTGCTTCGAATAATGCGACGACGAATTCGATGACGAGAAGACAGACGAAAAAATTGGACTTAAATCCACCGACGATTCCGGGGGTGTTTGATTCCATCGAAGACGCGGCGTGGAACGCCGCCGTGGCCGAGGTGGAACGAGAGAGGGAATTAGAAGATATTGGGGAGGAGGACGTGCGATACGATGAGAATGGGAACGTTTTGAATAACCCCGCCGCCAGAGAAGAATATAGGAATACCGCCGCCGCCGCGAGTAATAGCGGTAATAGTCCTTTGAGTCGATTCGATTACTCGTTACCGGTTCGAGCGTATTATTTAGGATCGACGGTGGACTTTCGGCGCTTGGCGAGGGAGTTGCCGACGTACCCGAAGGAGTTTACCAGAGAGTGCGTGGTGATTCGGTTAGCTGCGAGACGGTCGGTGGAGTTAGCGTCGGGCGGTGTTGGCGGTAACAGCAGCGTTAGTCATTTAGTGAACAGTGGTAGTAGTAGTAGTAGTAGTAGTAGTAGTAGTAATGTTAACGACGAGAGAAAGCTGAACACGTTGGCGAGTTTAAGGGAAGCGGCGGAGGAGGTGTTGAATAAGAGGAAGAAAGGCGTTCTTAAGGGAGAGAATGGTGAGCATATTTTGGAACAGAAAGATATGGAAACGTCCACGAGCGCAGAGGAGACGACGACAGCGACAGCAGCAGCTACAACAACGACAACATCCCCGTCCCAAAGAGGAGTCGGTATTCCGAGCACGGATTTGATGCGATACATGGTTGTTTTCAAATTCGGTTCGGTGGTTTTTTATAACGTCGGCGCTCAGGAACGCGAGGAGTGTTTGGAATTGACGAGAAACTTTGTCGAATCGCCGTTGGCTTACCCGATGAAAGAAGATTATTTAGTGAAGGTATCGCCACGGTTAGACGAGTGGGCAAAATTAGAATCCGATCACATTGTTCTGAAGCGGTTAGACGTGAACAACATTAGTGTCATTAGCGCGGTGTTGGCGCAAACGGTGGCGTTGGAGCACTACGAACACAAAGTTGACGCGATGGTTGAGATCTTCTCGAAACTGAATAAGAGTACCGAATTGACCGGAGATTTGAACATTTCCAAGAAACGATTGTTTTCGTTAGTCGCGGAAAATAACAACACGTTGACGGAATTGATCACCAGGTTAGGTTTGTTGGGAAGATCGGACACGGCGTGGCAATACGCGCAGTATAACATCGTTTGGGAAGGATTGAGACAAGATTTCGAATTGGAAGATCGGTTCCAGGATTTGGATTACAAGTTGAACTTGATTCAAACGCAAGTGAAGTTCTATTTGGAGATTTTGCAGAATAGAAAGAGCGACTTCTTGGAGTGGACGATTATAGTTTTGATCGCCTTAGAAATTTGCGTGTCGTTGTACGACATGAGCGATAAACTTCCGAGCTTGCCGTTTTAGAGTAGATAGTATATGCATAGTATATGTAACGTAATGCACGCGTGTAAATGTAAACGAGTGTTATTCAAAACTCACGATTCAGAAACGCTTTCAATTCTATCTCCGCTTCGCGCTCTTTCGGAATATGATTACTATTTTGTTGCATTTCTTTTTTCTCCTCTCGTAAACGCGAGCGGAACATGACGGGTTTCCCGTTTGGCTTTTTTCTAGCAGGCGAGGCAGCTCTCTCTAAAGTTTTCTTCAATCGCAACTCTTGCTCGGCTTTTTGTTGCTGCATCTTCAACTCTCGATTTCTGTGTCGTCGTTCTTTTTCTATCTTGCGTTCGCGCTCGGCGACGACGTCTTTGGGCATTTTTTCAATCTCGACAAAGTATCGCTCGAGCGTCTCTTCAATTTCCCTCAACATATCGACCGCTTCGATAGAAGAAGCTTTTGTCTCTGTAATAACCACGCTTTCGTACACCTCTCTCACTTTCTCGGTCAGTTTTGCCAACTCTTGTTCGGGCGAAGGTGAGGACAAGGACGTCGAAGCAGAAGCAGAAGAAGCAGAAGAAGATTCCAGACCATACGCTTTTTTCTTCTGCATCTCCTCCACAATCGCTTCTCGCAGCCTGGTAATCTCCATTTGGTTTCCTCGACTCTCAATTTCCATCTGACTCAGCTCCTTTGCTCTTTTCTCCGTATCTCGTTCGAGTTGATCTTCGATATCCTGCGCCTCGCTTATGAGCGTTAAATTTTCCTCCTCCAATTTTGCAAACACATCCAAAAGCTGTTTCGGATGCGTAAAATACATCGGCACCGGTTTATTCTTTTCTAGTTCGTCTTCATCTCCTCCTCCTTCATTCTTTTCCTCTGCCGCTCCATCTTCACTTTCCAACCCAATCTCACCGTCGTCCGCAACCTCCCTAAACTCCGCCAACCACTCTTTCGGCGTCAACCCGTCCAAAAATCTCAAATACTCTTCGCACTCCTCCAACTTATCCTCTCTCCTCCCTAAATCCAATCGCGCAGTCGCGATTTCACCGTTCAACCGCTTCACCTCGTTCGCCTTCTCCCTCTTCTTCTTCGCCTCTTTCTCCGCTCTTTTCGTCGCCTCTCGCACCCGCTCGTCGTTTTCTTTCAAAAATAAATCGAAACGTTTTTTATCCTCCTCGAGCATCCTCTCCGCGTTCCGCAACGCCTCTTCTCTTTGCGCGGCGCGTTTCTCGAGCTTATCGATTTCTTCTTTCCTCACATCGACGGCCATTTGCGCTAAAAACGTTTCGCGTTTGCGCCGGACGATGTCTCGCGCGGATTCCTCGCGCGGATGATGGTGGTGCGCAGAACAGGAGGAGGAGGATCTCGAAAAAGCACTAAGCGCCCGTTTCCCGACGATGTTGCCATTATCATTCTTTCGCGCATAAGGGCCACTCGAACAGCCGCCGTCCACATCTGTTCTATCGTTGACGGTAACAGCCGTCGTCTGAATCGTCGTCATGCGCGTCTCGTACTCTTGCTCTCTCTTCAATAAAAACCTCTCGTCGTTTGACTCTTTCTCCGCGTATTTTTTTGTGTATCTAATTTAGGCAGTCAACGCGTTTTTGTGTCATTTTTTTTCATCGTTCGTTTTGTTAAAGCCCGTCGAGAGAGACACGACGACGACGACGACGCGTTTTTTGTTGCGATGTCGTCGAAAGCGATTTCGACGCGAGCGCAGAAAAGACGGTTGGGGGAGAGAGATTCTTTGTGGGATGTGATCGTGAAGTGCGACGATATTTGTTTCACACATATTCTTCCGAGATTGAATCAAACGGATCTCAAATTCTTGTATGGAGTGAATACGGAGACGAGAAAGTTGATTAAGAGATCGTCTCGCAAGGGGGAGTTGAAAGAGGAGTTTTGGATTGAAGAGATGTCGTCGATATCGACTTTGGAAGTAGCGTGGGAGCATAAATCGTTGTGGCGGAGGAGCTGGGACGAACCATATTTCTGCTGGCAAGTTGCTCGAACGAATAAACTCGAGTTGCTCAAGTGGGTGCGAGAGGAGAAAAAGTGTGAGTGGGATAGAAGGACGATTAAGGCGGCCGCATGGCATGGTAATCTGGAAATGATAAAGTATTGCGTTGCAAATGAGTGTCCTATCAATGAGTGGACGTGTGCAAATGCTGCCAAAAACGGTCAACTCGAGTGCCTCAAATACTTACGCGAAGAAGTCAAAGCGCCTTGGGATTCGGTAACTGCCGAATGGGCGGCTGAAAATGGTCATCTCCACATACTCGAATATCTTTTTGAGCGTAAGTATGATAAATATAACGTAGATGCGTGTGAGTTGGCGGCCAGAGAAGGCCACTTGGACTGTTTGAAGTACTTACACGAAACCGCCAAAGCGCCTTGGGACTATCGCGCCGTACGAGACGCTCACGAGAACAAACACCCCGAGTGTTTACAATACCTCCTCGACAACAACTGCCCTCTACCACGCGGTTGGCGATACGAGCATGGAGTACTACACGAAACGTAGTCATCATCATCATTATCATCATCGTAAATCTTGTAATAAAAGATACCAAAGAGAGAGACATGCAGACGCGGTAAAGCGCAGAAGATACATTCGACTCAAAATCACCTAAATTGCTTTTCCAAACTCTCTCGCTCTTCATTCTTTCATCCGCAACAAAACGAAAGAGAGATGAAAACGTCCTCCGCGGCGCACAAATCGTGCGCTCCGACGACGTTCAGATGGAAGCACCATCTTCACAGATATGTAACGACCAAAGCGCGACAAAATGCGTCGAAGAGAGCATCATCGATGAAGCCGTATTCGTGCGCACAAAACGGAGCACAACTTGAAGCGGATAACAAGAACGCGATGACAATGAGAGACGTGACGTTTTGCATCGACCGAGGCGGGACGTTTACGGACGTCTACTGCGAATACATAGAGTCAGGAACGAAGAAGAAGATGGCTATTAAACTTTTATCGGAAGACCCGAAGAATTATCAATCCGCACCCCGGGAAGGTATTCGACGCGCGTTGGAAATCATCACGAAGGAAAGCATTCCGAGAGAGGTGAAAACGCCAACCGCGAGGATTAAATCGGTACGGATGGGGACGACGGTTGGGACGAACGCGTTGCTGGAAAGGAAAGGAGCGAAAGTTGTCGTCGTCGTCACGCGAGGATTCAAAGATTTGCTCACGGTTGGGAACCAATCGAGACCGGAGATTTTCAAGTTGGACGCGAGGCGGCCGGCGAGTTTAGCCGAGAGAGGCATCGAGGCGGAGGAAAGGGTGAGACCGGTTCGATGTTCGACGATGAGTGGATATGGAGAATTCTATTATAGAAAAGGGAACGAGGTGGTTGATATGGCTAAAGTGAAAACAAACGAGGAGATTGAAATCGTGGAAAAATTAAACGTGGAGAGTTTACGGCAATCGCTTTTGGAGGCAAAAAAGGATGGGTTCACCTCCGTGGCGGTAGTTTTGATGCACTCGTACGCGTATCCAGAACACGAAATTATGATTGGTGAATTAGCCGAGGAGCTTGGTTTCGAGCAAATTTCGTTATCGTCCGCGTTGACGCCGATGGCGAGGGCGGTGCCGAGAGGACACACCGCTGCCGTGGATGCCTACTTGACGCCAAAGATCAAAGAGTACGTGAAGACGTTTGTGGAAGGGTTTGATGACGGGTTAATGCGAGATGTTCCGGTGTTGTTCATGCAAAGCGACGGAGGCATGACGTCTGCGGATAGATTTTGTGGGTATAAAGCGATTCTGAGCGGACCAGCGGGAGGAGTTGTCGGGTACGCTCGCACGGCGACGGAGGAAAGTAGTAGTAGTAGTAATCCGAACGAAGAAGATGACGAAAAAATAGAATCCGTAATTGGGTTTGATATGGGTGGTACGTCCACGGACGTTTCACGATACGATCCGAAACAAGGGTACGAGCACGTTACCGAAACCGTCACCGCAGGTGTCGTCGTGCAGTGTCCGCAACTTGACATTTCCACCGTAGCCGCGGGCGGAGGGAGTAAACTGAAATTCTTCGCCGGAGGATTCCAAGTTGGTCCGGAAAGTGTTGGCAGTGAACCTGGACCGGCATGTTATAGAAAAGGCGGCGAGTTAGCAGTCACAGATGCGAATGTCGTTTTGGGACGAGTGCTACCGGAATACTTTCCAAAAATTTTCGGTCCGGATGAGAATGAGCCGCTCGATCGAGCGGCGTCGGTGGCAAAATTTGAACAGTTGCGAGATGAAATCAACGCTTGGTTTCGCGAGCGCGAAATAGAAAATAGCAATAGTAATAGCAGCAGCAGTCACATAGATTTATCGACCGAAGAGGTCGCATTAGGTTTCCTTCGCGTCGCGAACGAGGCCATGTGCCGCCCGATTCGAGAAATTACCGAATCGAAGGGGTTTGAAACGTCCAAGCATATTTTATCCGCCTTTGGTGGTGCTGGTCCGCAACACGCGTGCGCGGTGGCGAAAGCGTTAGGCATTCGATCCGTCAAAGTTCACAAATACTCAGGAATATTGAGCGCTTTTGGTATGGGTTTAGCCGATGTCGTTCGAGAAAAACAAACCGCGTGCTTCGCGGCGTATTCCAAAGAGAACGAAAAGTTATTCGAAAAGACTGCCGATGAGCTTCGCGAAGTCGTCACGCGAGAATTAGTCGAAGAAGAAGGGTTTACCAGAGACGTCATCGAAACCGAACTATATTTGAACATGCGCTTTGAAGGCACGGACGCTCCGATGATGATTAAAGAGCCATCGAAAAAATCCAACCCTTCGCGTTCGTTCATGGATGAATTTCGAGACCGCTTTCGCGCGGAGTACGGATTCGTGATGGAAAATCGCGAAGCAATCGTCGATGACGTTCGCGTGAGAGGCGTTGCGAAATCCGAAGTGAATTTATTAGTTTCTGAAGGAGAAGAAACACGTCAAGAAATGCAAAAGAATGGCAGCACCAGAAGCTTAGAGCAGCGAGAGAAATCGCAAACAAAGACGTACTTTGAAGGCGAGAACGGATGGACCGAAACGCCGGTGTACGAATTGCTCGATTTATTCCCGCGAGATGAAATCGTTGGACCGGCTATAATTATGAACGGCACATCCACGTGCGTCATCGAACCCGAGTGCGTCGCGTTGGTAACAGGTGCGGGCGATCTCGAGATTACCGTCGATGGAATGTCATCATCAAAATCTTCCTCTTCGGGCAAAAAAGCTTCTTTTGAATTAGGGGTTGATGAGGACGACGACGACTTCGACGAAGTTGCGTTTTCGAAAAAAATCGCTGATCCTGTGCTCGTTTCGTTATACAACAATCGATTCATGGGTATCGCAGAGCAAATGGGACGCACTTTACAACGCACGGCGGTATCTACCAACATAAAAGAGCGTTTGGATTTTTCGTGTGCGATTTTCTCGCCGAGCGGAGGGTTGGTCGCCAACGCGCCGCACGTGCCCGTTCATTTGGGTGCAATGTCCTCAACTGTTTCTTGGCAGCTGAAACATTTGAAAGGCGATTTACAAGACGGCGACGTGCTTGTCACCAACCACCCGTGCTCGGGTGGCTCGCATTTACCGGACATTACCGTTGTCACCCCCGTGTTCTTCAAAGGAAACAAGTTGGAGTTTCTCGTCGCGTCGAGAGGGCATCACGCGGATGTTGGCGGGGCGACGCCGGGTTCTATGCCGCCATTTTCAACAAAGTTGAGTGAAGAAGGCGTGGCAATTGAATCTTTCAAGATATTAAAGAAAGGCGTGTACGACGAGGAAGGTTTGGTGAAGATATTGAAAGAAGGCAAATCGAGAAAGATTGAGGACAATTTGAACGATTTGCGCGCGCAAGTTGCAGCCAACGCGCGAGGGATTCAATTGATTCGCGAGTTAATGCGGGATTCTGGGACAAAAGAAACGAGAGAGTACATGCGTTTCGTGCAAATGAACGCCGAACTAGCCGTCCGTGAAACGTTAAAAGCGTTTGCGAGTAAGATTCTTGCAAAAAGAAACGATACTCGAAGCGAGACGGTGACGGTTGAGGCGTCTGATTTCATGGACGACGGTTCTGAAATTAAACTTTCACTGACGCTGAACGCCAAAGACGGCTCGGCCATTTTTGATTTCGCGGGAACTGCTCCAGAAGTTGTGGGAAACTGGAACGCTCCACCGGCGGTTACCGTTGCCGCGGTGATCTACGCCTTGCGATGTATCGTAGATGAACCGATCCCACTGAATCAAGGCTGTTTAGCGCCAGTCGACGTTCGAATCCCAGACGGGTGCTTCTTGTCCCCGTCATCGACTGCCGCTGTCGTCGGTGGCAACGTCTTAACTTCGCAGCGAGTCACCGATGTCATTTTCGAAGCTTTCGAAGCGGCGGCGAATTCGCAAGGATGCATGAATAACTTCACCTTTGGAGACGAAACGTTTGGCTATTACGAAACCATCGGTGGTGGTGCCGGTGCGGGTCCAGACTTTGTCGGTGCGAGCGGTACGCAAACGCACATGACCAATACGCGCATCACGGACGTGGAAATCCTCGAACGTCGATACCCTGTGCTCGTAAATACGTTCGCGTTGAGGCAAGGTTCCGGCGGCGAAGGTAAGAACAAAGGCGGCGATGGATTAGTCAGAGAGTTTACGTTTCTCAAACCGCTCGTGGCGAACGTGTTGAGCGAACGACGCGAGAGGAATCCGAGAGGGTTGGGTGGTGGTCACGACGGTGCGAAAGGAAGAAATCTACTCAAGAGGAAAGGGAGTGAAAACTTTGAAGTCATCGGCGGGAAGGTGTCCATCAACGTCGACGCGGGCGATGTTTTGAGAATCGAAACGCCCGGGGGTGGTGGATATGGGCCTAAATGAATTAGAAAGCACTACTCATATAATACATGTACTAAGACGCTCGTCTATTTTTACTGCAATGAATGATGACTACTACTATTGATGCATATTCTCTTTCCTGTGTATTTTAATAAATGTAAAGAGCGAGAATGGTCAGAATCGATAATAAATCAAGAAGAAGAACAAAAACAAAAAGAAGAAAAAAAATGTCGACGGACAGTTAGACAGCGAGCCCATAACTAAAGGCTCCGCCGCTCTGTTACTATTCGTCTGAGTTCGATTTTGCATAACGGTTTAACTCGCGACCCGTGGCCTAAGGGCTTTAAGCTGGTACGCATGCACAAGAAACAAAAAGACGAGAGAGGAAAGAAAAAAAACGAACGCGAAGCACAAACCTTCTTCTTGATCATCATCGTGAAATTAATGGTCCGGCAATGCCGTCCCTCTTTCAAGATTCGCTTTAATCTCCTTCGTGTACTTCCCGTAGTGTCGATCCAATTTCGCGTTAAACTTGGAGTTCCCATCGTTAATCCCATCCCCTTTGGAATCTTTAATCTTCTCCGCCACGACCCGTTTCCTTCTCTTCTCGTCTCTTTCCTTCATAAACTTTTGCAACTTTTCGATGCCTTCTTTGCTCGCCTTATCGGTACCGTATAACAACGAATCCGCGTCTCGATAAAACTCAGCCGATTGAAGTTTCTTTTTTTCGTACTCTTCCTCGGATACTTTAATGTCGTTCACGTTTCGTTCGTACCGAATGGCTTGTTTTTCTTGAGCGAATCGATTGTGCGGATTTTTGTCCTCAAATTTCGGCTTCTTCTTTATCCGTTCGACTTGTTCCGCGGTCTGCGTCAACAGATACTTCCCCGGGTCCACGCCTTTTAATTTCGCTTCCTCTTCGCGTCTATGCTTCACTTGTTCTATTTGTTTCCGTCTCGCTTGCTCGGCGTACTCGTCTGGATTATCCTCTCGTTTCTTCTCGTCTAAAACCGCGCTGTGATTCAACGTCCTCCCGAGGTTCATCCGTTGCCGTAACTCGTACAATTTCCTTTGCTTCGCGGTCATTTTATCTAAATCCGGCGCCGCGCTCAACGTCACTTCGAGTTGATCAAAACCGTCGTCGTGGTTCTCCCGATTCGTATTCTCTTCGTTCTTCATCTCGCTCATCATCCTTCGCGCCGCCTTGGCTCTCTCGTCGTTCTCCCTCTCCTCCCGAAACTGATCTTCCATCTTCTTCGCCTCGGCTAAATCCACCCGCTTCTTCGTCTTCACCGCGTCGTCGTCTCCCATATCTTCGTCCTTCTCCAACTGTTCGTCGATTTCGCCGCATTCCATCACGCGTATGACTTTCGACGTCTTTCCCGATTTCGAGCCGAACGTTTCCATCTTCCTCACCACTTCCATCCCAGACTTCGTCACTTGTCCAAAAACCACGTGTTTCCCGTCCAACCATTGCGTTTTCGAAGTGCAGAGAAAAAATTGGCTCCCGTTCGTGTTCGGCCCCGAGTTCGCCATGGAGACGACGCCCGGTCCGGAATGCTTCAAGATGAAGTTTTCGTCCGGAAACGTCTTCCCGTAAATCGATTTCCCACCGGTTCCGTCGTTGTTGGTAAAATCGCCGCCTTGGCACATGAAATTCGGTATTATTCGGTGAAACGTGGAGTTCTTAAACCCACCTTTGAAGTCTGCGTTGTAGTTATTGTTGTTATTCGTCGTCGTTTCACCTCCTCCTCGAAGATGATGATCGACGCACAGCCGTCGGAAATTCTCGCACGTCTTCGGACAGACGTCGTCTCTGAGGACGACGGTGATTCGACCCAGCGGCGTTTGGTCCGCCGCCACGTCTAAAAAAACTTTCATCACCTTTTTCTCTTTTCCCTGCTTTTGGTAAGCTTTTAGTAAAAGTCGCGTGTGCGCCTAAAGGAGGAGTGCAAAAGAACACGAGTGAGGAAACTTCGTTCGTTTTTTCCAATTCAGCAGCCGCCACATTCCTCACACAAAAAGAGAAAGAAAGCGCGCGTAAACGATGGGCAAAAACGTCCGCAAGACGAAAAAGTTCGCGCTGACCAAACGCCTTTTGAACCCAAAAGACGCCAAGCAGCAAACGCGAATGAACAGTGGTGGACAAGAGAGTCACAGGAGTAAAAACCAATTCAAATCGAAGGAAAACGAGATGAAAATCAAACGCATCGAAGCGGTCTCTTCGCACATGTTCAACGAACACAACGCGTCGATTAAACCACCGTACTCGGTTTTAGTGGACACAAACTTTATCAATTTCTCCATCAAGAATAAAATCGATTTAGTGAAAGGGATGATGGATTGTTTATACGCGAATTGCGTCCCACACGTGACGGATTGCGTGATTGGGGAGTTGGAGAAACTCGGGACGAAATATCGCGTCGCGCTGAGAGTGGCGAAAGACCCGAGGTTCGTAAAATTACCGTGCATGCACCGAGGGACGTACGCGGACGACTGCATCGTGGACAGGTGCAGGAAACACAGATGTTACGTCGTGGCCACGTGCGATACGGATTTGAAACGAAGGTTACGGAAAATCCCGGGCGTGCCAATCATGTATCTTCAGAATCATAAGTACAGCGTCGAGAGGTTGCCCGCGGCCGGGAACATCGGGAACGCGCCCAGATTGTAGGTTATAGTTTTAGTTTTAATGTAGATGAGATGTATGATGACTTCGCGCGACGTCAACATTTTTCCCCTCAATAAGTCTCTTTCTTTCCTCCTCTGACACAAGTGTTTAAAAATAGAGTGCAGCGCATCAGAATAAACACAGCTAAAAAGAACACACACACGCACGCATTATGCGGCAAACGAGCATCGTCGCCTGCGTCGGGTTGAAAGAGGAGAAGGACGAGATGATGGGTAGTAGTACTGCTGCTCCTCCGGGCGCGTCGTCGTCATCGAGAGGAGGAGGAAATGGAAGACACGGAAGACATGGAATTTCAAAAATGTACGACGCGCGCGATGTGCTTTTGCAGAACAACAAGTCGCACGCGGCGCAAGTGATGGAAGCGGAGACTTTGGCGGCGCTTTACAGTCCACTTTCGGAGAATCATCGTCGAGCGATTGGAGAAGAAAAAGAAGAAGAACATTTCGATGCGAATGAATCAGAGAAGAAGAAGATGGACAAATCGAAACAATATCAGAGAGACTTGCTGCTTCAAATCGAACAGAACCGAGAACGCAAGCGAAACGAGAAAGAGGACGAGAGACGAATGGAAAGGATTCGGATGATGTCTTCGTCCGCCGCGTCGTCGACGAACGGCGGTCGCGGCGGTAAAGTCGACGTAACGGCTGCGTACGGACGAAGAGAATTGTACGCGCGGGAGAAAGCGAACGCTGAATACGAAAGCGCGTTGAAAATGCAAATCGAAGAGAAGAAACGGAGGAAAGAGGAAGAAAAACGGAAAATGAGAGAGATGGAGATTGAGGACGAGAGGAGGATTTTACGAGATTTAGAGAGGATGAACGTGAACAATGCGAGCGGCGACTTTAGTACTGGGTTTGGAGCGCGCGGTAAAAGCAAATCAGAGGAGCCCGTAGTCGATGACGCGAAAAATGTAGCAAACGTCGTCGTCGTCGTCAAAGAAGAAGAAGTGGGCGAATTATTAAGCTTTAGCGAGTTTGTCTTCCCGACAACGGACGAAGAACTCGACGGTGGTAATACTTAGCCGTGACGCGTGCACACTGTATTTATGTACCTACTCCCGAACTACTACGAATATCACTACTACTGCTACACTACTACTACTACTACTACTACTACCAATACTACTCTTTGTCTAAAGCCGTCGATAAACATCCGACGCAGTTATGCAACCGGTCGTGAATGTATACATCGCACGCGAAGCAAAATTCTTTCTCGCATTTGAGACACTTACTCAACATCCCAGTCGACGCATCCACCACGACACAACATCCAAAGCACTCTCTGAGAAATTGTCCATCATCATCATCATCTTTACCGCTGTTTTTTTTTCTCTTCTTCTCCTCTTCCTCCTCGTTTTTTGAATCGCCGTCTACTTTCACTTCCACAAACGGCATCACCGGGAACAAATGGTGGTAACTTCTCGCCAAGTGCGGCGAAGATACCAACGATAACTGACACGTCCCACACTGACTCGGTAGCTCCTCCGCTCTCGCCTCACATCTCGGACACCGATACTCTCCGTTCCTAGGTCCAATAGTCAACACGTCTCGATCGTCCTCGTCTCCGGCGCCTAGGCCAAACTTCCTCGGCTCTCGTCTCGGAAATCCCATCTCCACCAACGCCGGTTTCGCGGTTTCCAACAACAACGCCGGCGGAGGCGCGCACTCCATAATCAATCTCGTCAAATGCGACTGGTCCAAACTCACGCTAAACTTCCCTTTTGTCTCCTCGCTTAACTTTTTAAACACCCTCGTCTCCGCCGCCACGCAAATAACGTTCGTCCTCGCTTTCATCTTCTTCACTTTCCTCACCGAATCGTTGATATTCCCCGGATCGCACGTGCTCAAACTCGAAATAATCGCTATAATCTCCCTCGCACCAAACGGTGGCACGTCTCTCAATCCTTCCATCGCTTGCTCTAACCCGTTTTGTAACGAAAAACTCCCCCCGACGCCGTCGCTCGCAAACGCCTTCTTAATCGCCTTCACGTGCGTCTCCGGAGATCCGGACAGTTCGGTAATCCGTTCCGCTTTCCCATCTTTACACGCGATCAAACCTAACTGCGACAAGGGGTTTTGATTGAAAAACTCTCGAACGAATTTAATCATCAGCGGTAATAGGACTGCGCTTCGATTCGGTCGCATGTCTTCCACGTGTATTGCGTCGCTCAAATCGAGAATCACGTAACAGTACCGAATCATCCCTTTGGCAACTCTGGACTGCGACGCTTCTTTCTCGATTTTCTTCCTCTTTTCGTTCGCCAGAAACCGCCGTCGCTGAGATCGGTCCTTTTCCAGCGAGGACGAGCGTAAGTTTCCCTCGGCATCTTCCGTTAAATCTTCCCACGTGCGTTCTTTTTGGTACCGTTTTTCGTACGCTTTCAACGCGTTTTCTTCCTCTTCGGCGGTGAATTCGTACCGAGGGTCGTCCGGTTCGAACGGGATTCGGTTTCCCCGTTCTTCTTCTTCGAGCGACGACATTTTGAAAAACACCAACAATTACTACTCTAGTATTATATATGTATACTAACGAAGTGGCAGAGAGAAGAAGTGATGTGTGTAAGTGTGTGTTTTGCGCGTAATAATGACGAAATGTTTGAGAGAGATTCCAATTGGTCTGACACTGATAAAATTTTCAAAGAGAGAGACCATCGAGACCATCTATCGCTGCTGATCGTCTACTACGTTTTAGCTCTACATTTTCAAAGAGAGAGAGACCAAGAGCACTTTGGATGCGCTCTCTCTTCTTCTATCTCCGTTTTCCCCGATTACTCACCCGCCGCTCGGAGGAAATATCGGCCACACGCGACAGCACCCGTCTTGTCGAGTGCACACGAGTAACTCTTTTCCGCCTTTTTTGCGAAACTGGACCGAAGCGACGCCGGGGAGTCGGTCGGTTCGGACCAACTTTTCCGTTTTTAAACACGCGAGAATGGGCCCTATACGGTGTGCGGGTCCGGAGTCCCAGCATTTTCGGTGGGAGAAGATGCGGGTTTTCCCGTCCCAGTACCCGACGGCGAGGAGTTTGCGGTCGGCGCGGAAGGAGAGAGAGGCGACGCCTTGGGTGGATTCGTCCGGGGAGTGATACGGACCTTTCGTGGAGTCTTTTTTTAGAGCGAAAATTTCTTCGTAGACACCTTCTGAGACAGACAGAAGTGAAAAGTTCGCGATCACAGACCTGAAGAGTTCGATTCCCATATAGAGGGTGACGGAGCCGTCCGCGCACCCGATGGCGACTACGTGCATTCTATCCTTGCAATCTATGTTCTCATCTTCTTCATCGTTCTTCCTCTGTACGTAACTGTCTATGCACGTGACCATATCTTTAAAACATCGTTCGGTGTTGTTTGGTAGATGAACATTTGAGTTCGATGAGCCGGCGTCGAGGAAGTCTCCCTCGTCTGTTCTCACGACAGTCACGTGTCCGCTTTCGTATCCAATCATTAAAGTTCGTCTGGAGAGAAACTTCAACGCAGACACGCTCCCGTACTTTTCGTTGTCCTCTTCCTCTTCCTCTTCTCCTTCTTCGCTCCCTTCTCCCGTCGTCACCTTTTCCCTCTTCTCCAACAGTATCGGTTTCGACGTCATCCTTCCTCCTTCCAAATCGACCGATACGAGCTCCACGGCGCCTCGTTCGCTCGCCGGTCGAGCTACTACTACTCCACGTTTTATTTCCTCTTCTAACGACGACACCGTTGTTATCACGTTCGACATTGGACAAAACGTGTGACACTCGCTCTCTGTTTCTAACACTTGTTTCAGCATCGGTTTCCGTCGCCACCGTTTCGGCGGGAAAATATCTTCGTCTTTCTCTTCGTTCTCTTCAGGTGAGGAAACCCACAAGCAAACCGTGCCGTCTCTTTCGTGCGTGAGAAACGTACATCTGTCTGACTCTTTACAGTCTTCGACAATTTCGATCGCTAAAATCGACGAGGAAACTTTCCTTTTGGGGTCGCGCGTGGTGTTCTCGTCGTCGTCGTCATCGTCGTCGTCATCACCGACCGTCCACACGTTCCTTTTCGTTTCCCCGTTCCAAAGTTTCACTCGTCCGTCGCCGTCTGCGGTCAACAGCAAAAACCGATCGTTCTCTCCACATTCGACGACGGAGGAGCACTGACAATCGGTGCCACTTTGGCCACGAAACACGGACGGGTCCGGCGGTGGCGGTTTCTTCGACTCTTCTTCCGCGTTTTTGTTCTTAATCATGCGGGTGTCTTTTTGTGTCGTGCATTGGGAAACAGTTGCTTGGTTTTGCGAGATATTTTGTGTGTTGTCGATGCTAACAGAATACGATGATTTCGTTGTTCATGATGGTGATACACGGTGGTTGCTACTATTTTTAGTTTATCTTTCCTTTATTCAGCACCTACGTTGATGTGTGTTTGTGCTGCGGCGAGATATTTTGTTGTTGATGTTGATACATGGTCGACGACCCGCTCGCGGTCGTCGTCGCGTGGTGGTTCATCGGCGATCCGCTCGCGCTGCTGCTTCCGTTATTGTTGATGAGTTGCTCTTCGATCGGCATGGACCACTTACTGGCGATGGATTTCGCGCGTCTCCACGGCGGCGTGTCCATCTTCCTCGCCGCAAAACTCGAGTTCAACTTGACCGCCATGAAGTCGATGATTTCCAAAAGCCTCGAGAAAGTGCCGACGAATTCGCTCGGTAACTCGTCCAACAAACGTTGGTACCGCGGCGTGGCGTTGGCGATGACAAAGTGCGACCGTAAATCTGCCTCGACGATGATTCTTTGCAAATTGAGCTCGTTCGGCGGTAACGACGACGACGACGAAGACATCCGGGACGAATACGAACTCGCCGACCCAACCGCGTGTTGTCGTCCTTGCATCGTCATCATCTCTTCTTCGTTGTACGCTCTCTCGCCCACGCGCGCGTACTCCGGGTCTATCCAGACGTACGAGTGCACTAAATTCCTCAACGCGCACGCGCCTCGAAACTTGCTGCTCGTCGCCACGCGCACTTCTCGATCTTCCCGCCCTGTTTTCGCGAACATTTCTTCAATCGTTTGTTTCAATCTGAAGCATTTTTCTCGCTCTCGTTCCTCGTCTTCCGATTCTCTTCGAGTTATTTGGTGGAGAGTCGGTGTTGCTATTGTCTTTTCGTTGTTGTTGATGTTCTGCGCGGAGGCAGCATCCTTTTTTTTGTTTTTGTTGTTGTTTATAGAAGATATCCTCTGAAAACTCGTCCTCGCGATTTCCAACACCTCGCGTTCCACCTCGGTTTCCGGCCTCGTCAGGCGTCGTATCGCGTTCACGTCTTTCATCTCTTCGTACTCTTCGTTTTCAAATTCCTGTTTTTGTTTTTGTTGTTTTTGTTCTTCTTCGTGTGGTAATTCCGGCGTCGTCGTCTGGCTCCTCCTCGACTTAAACCTTTCGTCTCGATGATGATGTTCCCTTCGCTTCGGCGGCACCGGTGGCGGTTTTTCCTCCTCCTCGTCCTCGCATAATTCTTCTCCGAAGAGCAAATCCTCGAAGTATTGCGCGTCGTCTTTCACCACAAAGTCTCTCTCGTTGCCTCCTCTTTTCGAGTTGAAAGAGTCGTCCTCTCTTTTAAACGCCTTCTTCTTTTTCGCGTCGTCGTCGTAAGAGAGAGACGGTTTCCACGCCGTCATCCTTGGTCTTCTTGATGTTACTTTTAGATATTCCTGAGGATATTCCTTTCCCGGGGAGAACAAATTTTCGTATCTATTCGTTTAAAATGAAATCTTCTACGAATGCGCGCGCTCGCTTTTCAGAAGAGATATAAAACGTAAACTCTCCTTTTAACGAATACACTATCGCTCTTTTCGCGTTTCAAAGGATTTGCTATATTGTCGTTTTGTGCTTTAATATGTGCTAAAGAACGAGCACAAGCGCGCGTGAAATGGCGTGTGTCGTCCTTCTGTTCTCTCTTTTGTTCTCTTCTTTTTGAAGATTTTTTGGGATTTTTGAGATTTTGCTGACTCGACACAAAGATGTTGCTGACCGACACAAAAGTAAAGGACTGCATTGACCCGCCTCTTCTGGACTACGAAAAGAGATGGAGACGTCTTTGTTATGAGTAACGACTTTGTGCGATTATATCTGCGTTTTTGGGGAGACGTGCTTTTAGTATCTCTATTGTCTTCTAAAGTATTTGTATTATATATATTTTAAGGCAACTTTGGTTCTAGAAACCAGGCGGCTATGGCAACCAGCAGGACGTTTCTGCAGTCGTTTTTACTGTTGTTCTCGTTATTAGTAGTATGAGTTCGTCGTCGGCCGTTTTCCGCCAGGGCGGTAAAATTCGTCTTTTCGAGAACGAATTCGAGCGAGGAGAGCTTGCGGTCGAGTTCGGCGACGTGTCGCTCGAGAAAATTCGTTTGAACCTGCAAGAAGTTTTCGGAGAAGCAGGCGTTTTTTGGGAGCATATTTGGGACGGTCGCGTGTAATTCCTCGAGCAAATCCGCGAATTTTTCTCGCACGCGCTCTATTTTTGGTCTCAAATCGCGTTCGAGCTTCGCGCGCCAGGCGAGGACGGCGGTTTCGCGTTTCAGCGCCGCCGCTCGCGAGTAGGCTTTGTTTTCCTCCTCCGTGGGGAATACTAATAAAGAGAACGGCGGCGACGACGACGTCGATGCAACGCCGCTGTAATTATTCGTATTTTCCATCCTCAAATACGCGTTCGAGTATTCGGTCAACATCTCTCTCCCTCTTCTCTTCGCGACGGCGTCGTATTCCGTTTTCAGTTTCTTCGCGTTGGTATCAATCGTCCGGAGTTTCGAGTTCAGCTCGTGAATTGGCACTTCGTTTGAACTCATCGTCCTCGTAAACGTTCGCTCTTCTTCAAAACTCTAAATCTAAGCCTTGCGGCGTCAACACGACGAGCTCTCGAAACCTTCTCAAATAGTGCTCGTACTCTTTCTCCGAAGACGAATCTGCTGATGCTGCTGAGAAAAGCCCCGCGTGGCCTTCGTCGTCGTATCGTCGTCGTAACTCTGGGTTTGAGAGCACTCCGTACGCTTCGGAGATTTGTTGAAACCGTTCTTTGTTCGCGTCTTCTTCTTCTTCGTCTTCTTCTTCTTCTTGTTGTTGTCGGCGCCGTCGTCCGAATTTATCGGGGTGGCATCTTAAGGCTAACTTTAAATACGCTCTGCGAATCTCCTCGTCCGAAGCGAACGTGGAGACGAGTAAGGTTTCGTAGTGATTATTCGTATTGGCCTTGTCCTCTTTTTCTGGTCCTCCGCGCGATGGTGGTGACTTTGCGTCTTCTTCTTGCGCGTTCATTTGTGAAGAAGGAAACGTGTTGGATAAAAATGTGGCCATTTTATGCGCAATGATGAATGCGCGAATACGATCAGAGAACGCCACGAAAGAGCGAGAAAAAAGGCACGGAATGAAACTTTGCCACGTGTTCTCACTCCTCGATGGCATCGAGGCGTCCAAAACGCGCTCGCGTGTGGTCTAAAACAGACCTTTGTATTTAAGGTTTGACGATATATTTATTTCTTATTTTTGGCTTTGAGAGCGCAAATTCGCTTTTGTGGCCAAGTGGTTAAGGCGCCCGCTTAGTAAGCGGGAGATCGCGAGTTCAATTCTCGCCAAAAGCATCACTCTTTTTTTGCTGCTTGGCGCCGCGTTTTGTTACGATATATATACGCGAACAACAACGGTGGTGTGTGTTATTTCAATCTGTGTCTCTTTTGAATTCAAGTAGTATTACAAGTTTTTTTCGCTCGCCGTTCGTTACCACGTGTGCGTGTATGAGTCGTCATCTTCGTCGGTAACATCATAATAGTCGTCGTCGGAATCGGTAGTGTGTAGTACTCCACCTTCATATGACCAGTCTTCTGGTAATGGACAGTTATTGTTGAGGAGGTATTGTACACATTCGGGGTGGTTGTTCTCATGTGCGAATCGAACGGCCTGAGAGTCCCAAGGCGCTTCGGCGGTTTCGTGCAAGTACTTCAAACAGTCTAATTGGCCGTTCATGGCTGCATTCGCACACGCCCATTCGTTATATTGATCATACTTACGCTCAACAAGATATTCGAGTATGTGGAGATGACCACTTTCAGCCGCCCATTCGGCAGTACCCGAAGTCCAAGGCACTTTGCCTTCTTCGTGTAAGTATTTGAGCATCTCGAGTTGACCTCCTATGGCAGCAATTTCACACGCCCTCCCATCGATAGGACACTCATTTGCAACGCAATACTTTACCATTTCCAGATTACGTTGGTTTACAGCCACAGTAATCGTCCCTTCATCCCACTCACACTTTTTCTCCTCTCGCGCCCACTTGAGCAACTCGAGTTTATTCGTTTTAGCAACTCGAATGCAGAAAGAAGTTTCGCCTTCGCCCCACCAACTCGGCCACAACGATCGATTCTCCCATGCAAACTCCAAAGTCGATATCGATGACATCTGTTCAATATAACACTTCCATTTCAACTCCTCCTCGCGAGATGATCTCTTAATCAACTTTCTCGTTTCACCATTCACTTCGTACAAGAATTTCACATCCATCGAATTCAATCTCGGAAGAATGTGAGCGAAACAAATATCGTCGTTATTCACGATCAAATCCCACACATCCCTCTCCCCAATCCGCCTTTTCTGCCCTCGCGTCCTCACTCCAGAAGACATGACCTTCTCGCGAGAGACGACAAAAACAGCAGCGGTGTTCTTTTTCTTCTTCGTCTTTACGTGTTTGTTTTTTCCATCATCACCACAAAAGTGCGGCCGTTTTGGACTTTTGCGCACAACAACAACAACGTAATAAATACTAGTTAGAGTACTAATAAGATCACAAACGCGGCGCATCACGCGCGAATATAAGAGAGATAGAGAGATAGAAAAAGACAGTAGAGTAGAGAGTTTTATAACACCGCGTAAAAAATGAGCAGCGAAGGAGGCGGACACCACATGCGACGCACCTCCTCCTTGGCAAACATCAAACAGATGGCAAATCACTTCCCGAAACACGTCCGAGAACAAGCCGCGAAACAAGATTTTAAACACGAAGCCGTGCAATACGCGTTGTGGATTCCGTTTGGGTTGGTATGTCAACACTTCGAGTACGAGAAGATGGCGAACTTATTCTTCACGTGGTTTATTCTCGGAGAGTTGATGCTGATTTTCATGCACGTGGACAGAACGTTTTCGTCCGTGTTGAAGTGGTACAACGTGTTATTATTCGTCGTGCCGGTGGCGATTTATTTCATCAAAGAGCTGATGATTCCAGAGAATAGCTTTTACATGTTTTTCGTGGAGTACGTGATATTCGGGACGTTGGCGTTTGCGATCGTTATTCCGTTCATTCCGAGACATTTGTTGCGCGGGTTCGACTGGTACCCGATGATAAAGAAGATGGGATTTAAGAGTTGAGATCGATTGACTATGCGCTACCGCAAACGACTACTGCTTTTATACAAAACTATTTTACATATCTAAACGCTGCTGCTTTTTAACATTTGCTCTTCCAAGTCGCACTTGTGCAAGTCTCGGATGAACTCGTCCAAGCCGAATCCGTCGAGAAGTTTTTGGACGTCGTTCACGACGACGCCGGTACCTCTGTGGTCTTTACAACGACCGTCTTTAAAGTTATACGTTCGAATTCTTTCCGAGCGGTCTGCGCTTCCTATCAAACTTCGTCGCATCTGCGCGTTTTCGGCGGCAACCTTACGTCGTTCGATGTCGTATACTCTCGCTCGCAACACGGACAAAGCTTTCGCTTTATTCTTGTGTTGCGACCGTTCGTCTTGGATGACGACGGTGACGCCGGTCGGGATGTGGACGATTCGAACGGCTGAATTCGTGGTATTGACGTGCTGTCCACCCGCGCCAGACGCTCGCATGGTTTCAATTCTCACGTCCTTTGTTTCGTCGATGTGAATGTCACTCTCTTCGGCTTTCGGGATAATCGCCACGGAAGCGGTGGAGGTGTGAATTCGCCCTTGCGTTTCCGTCGCCGGGACGCGTTGCACTCGATGGACGCCGGATTCAAACTTTAAATTTTTATACACGCCTCCGTTTGCTAACTCGTCCTCTTCCCCGTCTTCTTCGTTGAGATGAATCGTCGGATTACCATTGCTATTAATTTCCGCCATAGCTTCTCGAACTCCGCCGCCTTTTTCTTCTTCGCTGTAACTCATCAAATCAAACTTCCAGTTTCTCCTCCTGGCGTACATTTCGTACATGCGAAACAACTCGGCGGCGAATTTTGCCGCCTCGGCACCACCCGCGCCCGCTCGAACTTCTAAAATAACGTCTCTCGAATCTTCTGGGTCTTTCGGTAACAGTTGATGTTTCAGCTTTGTTTCTAATTCCGGCAACGTGTCGTTTTGTAACGCGTTCAATTCGGATTCCAACTCGGCGTCTTTCGATTTCTTGTTCTTGTTCTCTTCGTTGATGAGTTGTCTCAACACGTCGATTTCTTCCAGCGTATCTTTATACTTTTGGTACAACGAGACCAACGACTTCAACTCGCCGGCACTTTTATAGTCGTTGTTTTCGGTGTATTCGTGGAATAGCTTCAACTGATCTTCGAGCTTTTCAATCGGGAAATTCGTCGACGAAGTTGACGTTGAATACATTCTCCGCGTTTTCGAGGAAATTTTCCGTTCCAGAGCGCTCGCCACGCGCAACATTCCAGCCTCCCGAAACATCGGCGCCGTGACTTGCATACCAATCGGACGTCCATTTGACACGCTTCTGCCGCACGGAATAGATACGCTCGGTAATCCAGCCAAGGACATTGGCACCGTCAAAGCGTCTTGCGCGTACGATTCAACTTTCGATTCTCTCAAAACATCCTCTAAAAATGGCGCTTCCCGAGCGCTCGTCGGAGTTAAGAGAACATCGCACGAGCGTTCGAAGATGTCCTTAAACTCGTTCGATATCCTCTGGCGAATCTTTTCGCTGTTTTTGTACGCGCCTTCGACTCTTTGTGAAGATAAAGAAAACGCGCCTGAAACGATTCGTCGTTTGACTTCCTCGCCGAATCCGTCGTCTCGCGAAGCGCTGAATTTTATATCGTCGTACCGGTTCAAATTTGAAGACGCTTCCGCGCACACCAAGACGTAATACGCCGGTAACGCTAACTTTACGGACGGTAAAGATACCGGAACAATCGTCGCGCCTAATTCTTCGAACGCTTCGATTGATTTTGTCCAACTTTCCATCACTGCCGGAGTCGTTTCTTCGAGGAAAAATTCACCCGGGATGCCCACGCGCACGCCTAACAATGGCAAGACTCTATCGCTATTACTACTACTACTACTATTACTACCGCTACCATTATTGTTTCCACCTTTCGTCTTCCCTGATTCCAACCACTCTTTAAAATTCATCTGCGATTCCGAAATCAACTCAGTCGCGACGCTCGAAATGCGTCCGTCTTCCTCCACCGTTTGCCCGTCTTTCGGGTCCGCGCCTTGCATGATGGCTAAAGTAATCGCCGCATCGCAGACGTTTCTGGTCAAAATCCCCGGGCAATCGAACGAGCTCGCGTACGCGATTAAACCGTACCTCGAACACCTTCCGTAGCTCGGTTTCGTACCGACGACGCCTTGAAACGCCGCCGGTAATCGAACGCTCCCACCCGTATCGCTCCCGATGGCGACTAAACACGTCCCGTTCGCCACCGCCGCGGCGGACCCGCCGGAAGAGCCCCCGGGACTCAACCTCCCATCGATTGGATTCTTCACCGGCGCGTTTATACCGTTTCGCGAGTGACTCCCCATCCCGAACTCGTCCATCGTCGTCTGCCCGAAGACCACCGCGCCGCTCTGCTCCAATCGATCGATCACCGTCGCCGTATACGAGCACTCGTTTTTGCTCAACATTTTCGACCCCGCCGATACGATTTCCCCTCGCATGGCAAAATTATCTTTCACCGCGATTGGTATCCCGTCTAAAAACGATATCGACGGCTTTCCGTCTCTTCTGTTCGCATCCGATTTTCTCGCCTTTTCCAACGCTTTCCCGAGCAAATCTTGCGACTGTTTCTCTCGTCCTTTCCCCACGAACGCGTGCATCATTAGTTGCCCGTCTAAATCGACCCTCCGTTTGGAAAAGAGGACTAAATCTTCGCTCGTCAAAGTTTCTCGCGCGAACTGTAACTGCGCCTCGACGGCGGTTTCGGGAATCTTCGTCCTCGCGATGGGTTCGCCTAAACTCCCGCTCGTGCTGCTGAAACGACGACTCCAACTTCTCCTCCGCCTCCAAATGGTGGCGAGCAGACTCCTTTTCCCTCCTCGCGACCCCATCGTCGTTTCTTTCGCTCAAAAGAAGAAGGTTATGAATAAAAGCGTTCGACAACTTGTGAAGAATGCATTCCTTCGGGAAAACGTCAGACATTTTCTTCATCATCATCATGTCTTCTTCATCGACGGTTACGACGCCGTGTTATCACCGCCCGCGCTTTTGCGAGTACTCGCATCGTCACCACTCTCGATGTAATCATCCTCATCGAGGATTAGGACGAAAAAGCGCGTTAAAAGTCTCCTTAAAGGCGCAAAGAAGAGGAGGAAAAGGAACCGATGACGACGACGCAGACGATAAAGAGTTGACGGAGTACGAGAAAAAACTCCTCCGACAGAAGGAAACGAGGGACACCAGGAACGCATTCATCGGGTTCTCACTCGGCGCGGCGTTAGTAGCCACCGTAGCGGTGAGTTCATCCACGTCGGGCGTGTACAACATCGATTTCATGGACGCGTTTCACGAACGAGATCCCGTGAGGAGTTTCACCGTCTACGGAGACGTGAGCAAAGAGTACAAGGTGAACAAATACGACAACGTGGGACACATCATCGGACGAACCAGAGGAGTGTCCGTGACCTCGTGCGCACAACTGGTGCCGTATTCGGGCGATTCTCGAGGGGATAAAGGCATCACGAGACCTCCGAACGAGGATTTTCGATCGTGCGAAAACATCGCGCAGCCGCTGGAAAAGGTGGAGACGGTGGCGGATATCGCGCCGAGTTGCGAGCGAGCGTGCGGGAGGAGTTGTCGAGAGGCGACGAAGGCATACGACGAAGATCAGAAGAAAAGGTTTGGGTTTGGGTTCGATAAAGAGGAGGAAGGGAAAGTGTTGCAAGCGTGCGGGCGGCAGTGCAATGCGAACTGTATTAAAAGTGGAACCGGGCAGTACAATTTTTTGATACCGTTTCGATTTTGAAACCTTACTTAGGGCGCCGCTGCCGCCGCGAGAACGTCAACCCACTAGTAAAAGGGAACAAGCATTTAAGCTGATCTAACATTACGTAAAACATCTAGTTCGCGACTGTATTCTCTTCTTCGCGCTTGAACTGCTCCAATCGACTCTTGGCGTCGGTTTCGTATTTTGATTTCGTCGTCGCGTCTAATTCTTTCCACATGGCGCCTAATTTTTTCGAAGCTTCGCCGAGCGAGACTCCGGGGTTTTCCTTCTTGACGTTTTCTCTGTTGTCTTTTGCGAATTGAAAATACGCCGTGAGCGGTTTCTTTCTCTTCGGCGTCGTTTCCTTTTCGTCGTTTACGTCGCTTTCTTTCGAGGTGGCTTTTTTCGTCGTCGTCGTCTTTGTCGTCTTCGCTTTCGCCGCTCGCTGCTTCTTCTTCTCGGCTTTTTCTTTCGCGACCTTTTCTTTCGCCGCCTTGGACGCGAATCGTCCTTTGGTCCGAGTGCTGTCCGGTTTCCTGCGTTTCTTCTCGATCAAATCCTTCGCTTGCGCTAACGTCATATTTCTGGGGTCGTTTTGTAACTCCTCGCGCATGAACTTTGCGGGAATCGAAGCGAGAGTTTCGCCGAATTTCACGTAGTACCCGAATTTACCTAAACTCAACGTCACTTCGCCGCAGTGCGCTTCGCGGTTGATTTCTTTTTCCTCGTCGACGAACGCCTCAGTGGCGTGTTCGCCGAGGTGAATGGGAAACGCGAGAAAGTACAGAGCATCTTCGAGCGTTACTTCTTCCGGTTTTTTGCCGATGTTCGAAACGCCGACGCGTCTTGGTTTCTCAGCTTTTTGTGTTGCCTTTTTTGTCTTTTTTGTCTTTTTCTTTTCGCTTCCGTCTTCTTCCTCGCTCTCGTCTTCGACCACCTGCTCTGCCGATGGCACGACGATGGTATGATCGACTAATTCTACGTACGGTCCATACGGTCCCATCTTCATGACGACTTCTTTCATGTTGTTCGTATTTGGCATGAATCCGAGACTTTTCGGAAACGCTTCCATTTGCGCGCTTTCGGAATTCTCGTCTCCCAATCCTTTCAGAGGACGCAACGGAGCCGTGAACGAACACGCGGGGTAGTTGGAGCACCCGATAAAACCACCTTGTTTGGATGGTTTCAACCCGAGTCGGCCGTTTTCACAACTCGGACACTTTCTATTTGCGCCTTCCTCCGCGTCCTCATCGACGCGACCGAATAAATGCATGCCCAACCGCTCGTCGAGCGCGTCTACCACGGCCCGAACTTCAACCGTCGAGACTTCCTCGCACTCGCTTTTAAACGGCGTCCAGAAATCCGTCAGTAAGTCCGTGTATCGCTTCTGTTCGTTGGCAACATCGTCTAAGGTATCTTCCATCGTCGCCGTGAAATCGTATTCCACGTACTTGGAGAAGTACGAAGCTAAAAACGCAGAGACGAGAATCCCTCTGGAATCGGGAACGAGTTGGGCGCCGTTCTTAGCGACGTAGCCTCGGGCGACTAACGCGCGAAGCACGGACGCGTACGTCGACGGTCGACCAATGCCTCGCTCTTCCAGAGCTTTAACGAGCGTTCCTTCGGAAAATCTCGGCGGTGGTGCCGTTTCGTGGCGGGACGGAGAACACTCGGCGACGTAAATCGAATCGCCTTGGTTCAATTTGGGAAGCCACGATTCGTTTCCAGGCGACGACGTTGACGCCGCCGATGATGAATCGTCTTCATCGTCGTCGTCCTCGTTCGAATCCTTTTCATCACCATCATCGTCTTCATTCACTTGAGCGTCTTCGGGATCGTCCTCTTTTCCTCTTCTCGCGCTGACGACATTATATGCGGCTAAATATCCTTCAAACGTCAACCTGTGCCCGTTCGCGCGCAACACTATTTCTTTCTTCTTCTCCGATTCGTTGTTGTGCACGTCCAACGCGATTTTCTCCACCGTGGCGGAGCTCATTTGAGACGCCATTGAGCGCGCCCAAATCAAAGCGTATAAACGCGCCTCGTCGGAAAATTCACCAAGTCTTTTACCAACCTCTTTGGGATGTCGCGCGGCAGACGTTGGTCGAATCGCCTCGTGCGCTTCTTGCGCGTTCTTCTGCTTCTTTCTAAAATATCGAGGTTCATCCGGAACGTGCTGCTTAGAGAAGATGCCTTCGATGACTTTGCGCATCTCCGCTACGGCAGTTTTTGACGCGTGCGTCCCGTCCGTTCTCGGGTACGTGATTAAACCATCGCCAAAACTGCCTCCTTCGTAGAGTTTCTGCGCGGCGCTCATGCACCTCGACGCCCCGAAACCTAAACGCTTGGACGCTTCTTGTTGCATCGTCGACGTCGTAAACGGCGGTCCCGCCGATCGTTTCGTTTCTTTCTCGGTCACTTCTTTCACTATCCACGCGCGCGTATTTTTGATGCGTCGCACCATTTCTGCCGCGTTCTCATCGCTTTCGATTGTAAACTTTGAAATTTTCTTCCCTTCGAAACTGAGCAACTTTGCGTCGAACGCGCTCCTGTCTGGACTGCTTTCCCCGCCTAAAGTCGCCTGGACCGACCAATACGGTTTCGGAACGAACGCCTCGACTTCCGTTTCTCTCTCCACGACTAATCTCAACGCCGCCGATTGCACTCTTCCAGCCGACAAACTGGTCGCGTTCGGTAACTTTCTCCAAAGCACGCCGCTCAACGTAAACCCGTATAAATAATCTAAAGCTCTTCGCGCTAAATACGCGTCCACTAACCGTAAATCAATCTCCCTTGGTTTCCCGAACGCCTCTAAAACTGCATTCTTCGTGACTTCCGTAAACGTCACTCTCGATACGTGCTTACTCTTACTCTTACTACTACTGCTACCACTCGACGACGTCGTCGTCGTCGTTGCTTTTTTATCCTCGCCGCTCAACAGCTTCTTCTTCTTCAACATCTCCAGCACGTGCCACGAGATCGCCTCGCCTTCTCTATCCGGATCGGTCGCTAAAACCACCGCATCGCACTTCTTGCACGCGTCGTAAATCTCCCTCATATATTTCGCATTCTGCACGGTCGCAGTCCACTTCATCTCGAAGTTGTTGTTAAAATCAACGCTCCCTTCTTTGTTCACCAAGTCTCTCACGTGTCCTCTCGTCGCGAGCACGCGGTAGTCCTTACCGAGATAGTTTTCAATCGTTTTCGCTTTCGCCGGAGATTCCACGATGACTAAAGACTTCTTTCGTTCATCAGCACTCGAATTCAAACTTGACCTGCCATATATAGATTCAACCGAAGACGAAGATGCGAACGTTCGTAAAAGTATTCCTCCTCTTCGCCAAGACGTAGGCGTCTTAGGTATTCCCACAAAACCTCCCACGAAGGAGTGACTGCATCTCTTTCCTCCTCCTCCCCAGGAAAGAGACACAGGTACTAAAACACCTCCTCGTTTTCCTCCTCGTAACACTCTGCGCATCATTGTCATCGTGTTATCCTTTCTCGTTGTCTTCTTCTTCCCAAAAGGAACGCACACGCCTCTCTTTTGTTCTCCAATTGGTTGAAACGACAGTTGCATTTGAACGCGAGATGAGAGACAGAAAGGCGCGCAGAAAAGCGAGAACACTTTTAGTAGCACAGAGTCGCTCTCGCCGCCGAATTGAGTGCGCAGAGATAAACGACGCGCATCTATTTTTCTCTCTTTATTTCTTTCGTGTACTCGTCGTGATCTTTCGTTTACGTGGTTTCTTTCTCTCTTTCTTTGGGGAAAATGGAACCAATTGGCGGCACTTTGAATCTCTCGATCGACGCGTAAAGATTACAATCTCTGAAGCGAAAAGAGGAGAGTATTTATACACGCACGCGCGAGTAAAATGGCGAGGAAGAAGAAACCCCCACCTCCACCGCACAGCCGGAAATTCTCCTTCCCGATCTACGCCTCGGTGTTTTACGACTCCGTTTTTTTCCTCGTCGCCGGTGGCGGAGGGAAAAAATCGTCCGGCATTCGAAACTTAGTGACCGTGTCGTCCTTCCACGATGGATGCGTTTCGGAACCGATAACCGCCGCCGCGACGGACGACGACGCGCCGCAAAGGTTAGCGTTACATCCGGACGGGGTTTTTGTCGTCTGCGTGTTCGGAGGGTCGATCGGGGTGTTTCGAATGGAACGGAATTTGAGTTCGAATTCGACGAATGGTCTGAACCATCACAATCCGTTGAGCAGGAACGATTCGACGGAGGATTTACGAAACCGACCGGAAGTGAACATGATTCGCTCGAACGAGTTTCCCAGACGCGTGGCGTTGACCGCGGACGATAGGGACGTGAAGTGTGCGGTTTTCTCTCCATCTGGGAGGCAATTGGCGATTGGATTGGAGACGGGCGAGGTGAAGATTGTGCAGTGGCCGAGTTTAGAGGTGGATATGGAGTTGGGCGCGCACGAGAGCGGAGCGGCGGTGACGGATATCGCGTGGAGTCCAGACGAGAGGGTGATTGTGAGTTGCGCCGCGGAGAGGATTGGGAGTAGTAATAACAGTAGTAGTAATAGTAACGGACAACAACAACAACAACAACAAAATCAACAACAACAACAAGGAGAACAACAACAAAAGACGACGAAAGGCGCCATCATGTGGTCGATTGAAAGAGGTGAAAGGATTACGGCGTTGCCGGATCCAACCAGCGCTCGATTTAACTGCAAAGGGTTTCCTTCGTCCTCGAGAAAACCAAACTGTTTGAAAGTTTTCCGAGGGGCGAGCTTTTCGAACACCGGGGAGTTTTTCTTTTGCGGGATCAACGTCGACGGCGTCGGGTATTTAGTGAAATTTGAGACAACCAATTGGACGCCGATGGCTGCGATTCGCGCGTTCCGGGACGCGCCGATATCTGCATACGCAGCGAATAAGAACGGTTCTCGACACGCGTGCGGGAGTGCCGAAGGCGACGTCGTCGCCTTTGATGGTGGAGGATTAAGGAAACAAAGCTCCAACTCGAGAAAACGTTCGTTGAAACGCATCGCAGCGGCGCGAAACGCGCACATGATCTTCGTCACGACCATATCCTGGAACGCGAGAGGTGACGTTGTTTTATCTGGAAGTGCGGACGCGAGCGTGTATTGCTTGCACGTGAAGAATAAATTTAAATCTGGCCTGTACGGAAGCTTGATGAAACTGTTCTTGTGGATGACTGTTTTGATCGCGTGTTTACTCGGGTGGGTGTTTTTGTTGATGAAGGTGTTCGACGAGAGCACGGTGCCGTTATTGAACAACAACAACAACAACAACAACAACAACAACAACGCCGAAAGAGGGCTTTCGTCGTTAGACGAACGACAGCGAGTCATTTCGAAGCGCTCCGCTGGAATTCCTCTGGACGACAGAGAGAGAGAAGTGTTCGAGGAGATGGAGAGTGAAAACGCGGCGTCAGAGGAAGAACAAAGAGCAGCCGAAGGAGATTATTACGGCGGCAACGACGACCCGCACGCGTCCGCGAGTCGAGCGTACCACGACTCAGTCGAATACGAAAAGCAAAAAGAGTTGGAATACGCCGAAGCGAGAGCGATGGAGGAGAAGCAGAAACGAGAGTGGGAGTTACAAAACGAAGCAAACTTACGGAAAATGCAGTTTGCCGAGGAGGAAAAGAAACGGCAAAAAGAAGCCGCGGAACGGGAAACAGTCGCCGATGACAAACAGGAGAAAGAAGAAAAAGGAGAAGAAGAAGAAGAAGAAGAAGAAGAAGAAGAAGAAAAAGACCGAGAAGCGGAGGAATCCGAACCCGAATCCGAACCGGAACAAGAGGAGGAAGAAGAAAAAGAAGAAGAAGAAGAACTCGACACCGAGGAAGCGATGGAACAAATACAGCGGGAGATGGCGGAAGCGAAAGAGCGACGAGAAAACGGCGATGACGACGAGCCTTCGGGAGAAATCAACAACGAGGATGATCCGTACAGCGCAGATGCCCAAGCTGAATTCGAATGGGGCGATAACGACGACGACGAAGACGAGGACGAATAACGTTTCACCTATACATAGGGAACACTGTTTTATTGTACAAAAAAGGAGCTACTCGCTATCTCTATTTTAACGCGCGAAAGAAGGATCTCATCACAAAGAGATGCACACATCGCCAATCCCCAATCGCCTCTCTCTCTCTCTCTCAATCATCAAATCTCTACTTCGTCTCGTCCTCCTTCTCTCGATCGCTCATCTTTGAAACTTGCTCGTCCAACTCTTCGATTCGGTTTCCTAAATCGTCGATTTTCGTGATGATCTCGTCGCTCATCTGTTGAAACCGACTCTGCATTTGCGCGAGCATGGATTGGACGAACGTGGTGAGTTCCTCCGCGGACTGCGGTCCCGCTTTAGAGTCTGCCATGAGTGCTCTTAGCTCTTCGCACTTTTCACAGAGAGTGAGAGAATGAAGTAAAGAGAGAGATGATTTTTTCTTTTCCCAAAGGAGAGAAAAAAGAGTTGATTGAGAAAAAAATAAAAAAAACGGCAGTTTTTTCTTCTGAGAGAAAAACAATCTCACAATCTCACATGCACGTGGGAAAAGAAGACGAGAGAGAGAGGAAAGAAGAAGAAGAACGAAAAGAACTTTTGCCGCTGTTTTTTGTCATGTCTGGAGGAGTGAGGACGCGAGCGCAGAAAAGACGGATGGGGGAGAGAGATGTGTGGGATTTGATCGTGAATAACGACGATATTTGTTTCAAACACATTCTTCCGAGATTGAATGGGACCGATCTTAAATTCTTGTACGAGGTGAATAGTGAAACGAGAAAGTTGATTAAGAGATCATCTCGCAAGGGGGAGTTGAAAGAGAAGTTTAAAGTGAACGAGATGTCGTCGATATCGACTTTGGAGTTTGCGTGGGAGAATAAATCGTTGTGGTGGCTGGGATGGGACGAAACATATTTCTGCTATCGAGTTGCTCTAACGAATAAACTCGAGTTGCTCAAGTGGGCGCGAGAGGAGAAAAAGTGTAATTGGGATGGATGGACGATTAATACGGCCGCACGTCAAGGTAATTTGGAAATGGTAAAGTATTGCGTTGCAAATGAGTGTCCTGTCAATGATTATGCGTGTGCATGTGCTGCCCGATACGGTCATCTCGAGTGCCTCAAATACTTACACGAAGAAGCGAAAGTGCCTTGGGATGAGTATACTGCCGGTTGGGCGGCTGGAAAGGGTCAGCTCCACATACTCGAATACCTTGTTGAGCGTAAGTATGATAAATTTGACGCACATGCGTGTTGGTATGCAGCCAAGAACGGCCACTTGGACTGTTTGAAGTACTTGCACGAAACCGCCAAAGCGCCGTGGAACAGTGGCGCCGTACGAGACGCTCACGAGAACAACCACCCAGACTGTTTACAATACCTCCTCGACAACGACTGTCCTCTCCCAACCGGTTGGTCTCACGAAGGAGGAACTTTACACGCCTCATAAACACACACACACACAAAGAGAGAGAAGGAAAGAACTAAAGAAAGAAAGAGAAACACAAAACCAAGCTTGTAAAAAAGAAACGCGCAACGCCGCGTAGTATTTTTTCCTCTTCTCTATGGGTCCGATCTCACGCTCTTCGAGTCCAATTCCGATCAGAAATCTCCTCATATTTTTGTATTCCCCGACGCAAAGCAAACGCTCACATCGATCACAGAAACACCAATCATGGCCTCCTCGCGACAACTCTTAAAATCTATTTCCTCCTCCGCTCGCCTTTTCTCGAACCACCGCACTCAAAATCAAACGAGAGGGTACAAAGTCGCCGTTTTAGGCGCCGCCGGCGGCATCGGCCAACCGTGCGGATTGCTCATGAAGATGAACCCGTTGGTGACGGAACTTCGCTTGTACGACATCGCCGGAACCCCAGGAGTCGCCGCGGACGTCTCGCACATCAACACCAAGGCGCAAGTGAAAGGGTACTCGCAAGCGGACGACGGCGAGGACGGGTTGAAGAACGCTTTGAAAGATTGCGATTTGGTCATCATTCCCGCCGGTGTGCCCAGGAAGCCAGGGATGACGCGAGACGATTTGTTCAAGATCAACGCGGGCATCGTGAAAGGTTTAGTGGAAGCGTGCGCGGAGAACTGCCCGAAAGCGATGTTGAACATCATTTCGAACCCGGTGAACTCGACGGTTCCGATCGCGGCGGAGACTTTGAAGCAGAAAGGGGTGTACGATAAGAAAAAATTGTTCGGCGTGACGACGCTGGACGTGGTGAGAGCGAAGACTTTTTACGCGGAAAAGAAAGGGTTGGAGACGGCGAAAGTGGACGTGCCGGTGATTGGCGGTCACGCTGGGGTGACTATTTTGCCGTTGTTTAGTCAAGCGACGCCGAAAGCGGCTTTGACGGACGACGAGATCGACGCGTTGACGAAGAGAACGCAAGACGGCGGGACCGAAGTCGTCGCCGCCAAGGCTGGTAAAGGTTCGGCGACGTTGAGTATGGCGTACGCCGGGGCGTTGTTTGGCGACGCGTGCTTGAGAGCGAAGAATGGCGAAGCCGGCGTCGTGGAATGCACGTACGTTGAGTCGGACGTCGTCCCAGGGGTTGAGTTTTTCGCCACCAAGGTGAGTTTGGGGAGAGAAGGCGTGGAGAAGATTCACGGAACGGGCGCGTTGACCGCGTACGAGCAAGCGGGCTTGGACGGTATGATGTCGGAGTTGAAGGACAGCATCCAAAAAGGTTTGGATTTCGCCAAAGGCGCGTAAATGTTTAAATTAATACTGATGAGAAAGAGAGAGAGAGAGAAAGAGAGAAGTAATGATGAGAGAGAACAAAATCTTCTTCGCGAATAAAATGGAGGAAAGACACTTTGATCTGTTGGAAGAAGATATTTTTACGAGTACACACACGTTCACCACTTCTCACTTCTCACTACCACTACTCTATATGCTCCTTTTTACTACCACAGTTTCAGTTTCCCGAACACTATTCCTACGACTACGGCGACGCCAACTCGGACTAGTCCCCTAATCTTCTCTCTTCTCTCCGTCTCTCTTTTACTTCCGTACACGTAGATTCTGTTATACCGACTCGAGTCCACGCCTTTCCGCTCTCGTTTCCGCGAGTCTTCAAACGCGACTTCTTTCATCAATCGTTTCTCCCAAAACTTGTCCTCGTTTTGATCATCTGGAAGCTTAAACATGTAACAAATTACTCTGCACCGATCGTTCATTCGTTCGCGTAACAGTTTCGCGACCTTTTCGTTCCCTCGCGGCAGCAGGTACAAAAACACGCAATCCGCTCGATGGACGTCCGTAACGGTCATGGCGTCTTGCGTTCGAATTTCCACTCGGTCTTCGAGATTCATTTTTTGAACGTTTATTCGAGCGTTTGAAGCCGCCACTGGGTCGATTTCAACGCCTACACCTCTCACGTTCGAGTTTTTTTGACACGCGGCGATTAAGACGCGCGCGTCGTTGCATCCCAGGTCGTAGACGAGGACTTGTTTTTTCTCATCTCCAACGCCGTCGCCGTTGAAGAGATTTGTTTTCGTTTTTGACGATTTAGATGATGAAGTGGAGGAAGAACGAGGAGGAAAAATGGCGTCGACGATGCGTTCGCACATCAACTGCGGCGTCGCCGAAACTGGGCCGAGGTAGTTTTCATGGGAGAAGGAAGATTCCGTTTTTAAGCGCGTTCGTGGTGGCATTTGGTTCAGTGATGAAAGTGAGGAAAAATGTTTCATTCTGTTAGTTTGTCGCATCGTCATCACTAACAACAACAGTAATAATTAGTACTCAAACCACAAGGTCCAAAACACGTCCTCGATGTCGCCTAAATCGACGAGAAGCATGCGCGTTTTCTCCTCGAATCGCCAACTGCTGACGTCGTGTTTCTTCCCGTTTGCCGCGCGACTCGTCGCGGAGATTTTCTTTGGTTTTTCGCTGCTGTAACACGCGATTTGGCCGCAGGATTTGGATAAAAGGACCGTCGCTCGGTAACTTTTGCCGCTGATTTTCTCGAGCTTGCAGTTTTGAACGACGGCGTTACCGTTCATCATCTTCGAGAGGCCGAAACAGGCGAAGCGGATGTTGGCGCGTTTGAGTTTTTTGATCAGTTGTTGGGTAGTTTTCTTCTCGGCGGTGTTGTTGTTGTTGAGCTTTACGCTTCCACTTTCGATGGGACTGTTCTCCGTGGAAGGTGGCTTCGCTTTGATCGGAGAAGCGATCTCCGGAGTGGCAGGTACGGACGTGTCCACGGAAGATAAGCCTTCCTCTTCGAAGGATTCGTCTGGTGCGGAGCGTCTGGCGCGGAAGGACTCAAACACCGGCGTGATGGTGAACACGTCCCAATCTTTGCGCGTCAACGCGACTTCGGTCTTTTCGTGAAGACGCAAGATGTCGACATCGCCAGTTCGGTGTGAACGCACGGCAAACATTTGGTCGCCTATGGCATTTGGTCCGTTGTTGCCATTCTGTCCAGATGACTCTTTCCTACTCGAGACTTCCTCGTCTTTTTCACTGGGACTATTATTATTACTACCACCGTATTGGGAACGAAAGCCTTCGATATCTCGCGGTCGCACGCACGCGGATACCGTTTGTCCGTCTTTACCGCCAAACAAAATGTATTGGTTCACTTCTCGGGACCAACACGCGCCTTGGACGTTGAATGTCCCGACAACACCACCGACGCTGTTTCTGTTCCATATTTTCAACGCCGTCTTCCCGTCTCTACACACGTCTTTGAACAAACAATCTCTCGTCGGGCGACCGGGAAATTTCCCGCGTAATATCGACCCAGACGGCATCACCAACTGGCCTAAAACGTTAAAGTCGTGTTTGTCTGGATGATCTGAGACGTATATTGGGCATCCTCCAACCGCTCTCGCGGCGGCGTGTAACCCTCCAGTACTCGAAGCCGATTGAAACATGTCCCAATCCGGAATGACAATCTCACCCATAAACATGGAGTTGTAGGACACGTTGACGATGTGAACCGTGTGCGAAGCCTCGTTGGTCGGATAGAAATCGTCCGACACTCTCGCTAAGTTTGACATTTTAAAGTTGTACAAGTTCTCCGTGGAATGGCACATGCAATTGATTAACCCGTTGGTCGGGAAAAATTTCATGACGGATTTCTCCAAAGCCTCGTGGGTGTTTCTCGCCAACGCCGGGCCTCCACCGTTCGGTCCGTTCCCGTAGCCTAACGCGCCAATGACAGCTTGCGCGTCTACTTTGACTCCATCTACACCAGCCGCGGCGAGGTATTCGTGCAACTCGTTATAAAAGTGTTGCATTTTCTCCGGCGCCGGGACTCCGACGCCGCACACGGTCAACGGATCCCACGCCTGCGAAGGCTCCACCGCTAACAACGACGGGTTGTGTCTCGGATACTTTAGTTTCGCGCCAAACTCTCTCACATTCTCTTCGTCTGGGTGCACGCCGCCCCAATACCCAAGCAACGCGTGCCAACAGTAGACGTAATCCACGTCGTACTTTTTCTTAATCGCTCGAACGACGTTGCCTAGCCCGTCGATTTCGCCTCGCAGTTTATTCTTTTCATGTCCAGCTAAATCCATCTGCTGGTCCGCAGACCGCAAAGAATCTAACGACGGTCTCGAATGCGAAAACTTTGGCGACCCTGGCGGGGACATTTTATCCAAAAACTCTAAACTACCCACCGTTTTTATCGCTTTTTGCATCTTTTTCCCGGCTTTGCCCGCCAACGACGCTAAACTCCCAAACGGCGAACGTTTCCCACTAAAGCTGCCTCTCCGGAACCCCGTAAACGTAGAAAACTTCTTATTCGCTCGAATAGACACGACTCTGTGATTGAAATACGACAACGACGCCGTTTTCATGGCCACAAACGCGTACAACACGTAATTGATCAAAATACGAAGGGTATGCCAAAACACGCCGTGCGCTCGCATGGCGTGTAACCTCCGCCAATAAAACGCGTAAAACCACGCTGCAATATACCCAGGCGGCGTAACAGTCGGAGTTGTCAACGGCGCTTGCGCTTCGTCGTCGTCTTCGTCGCCGTCGTCGAATTCGTCCTCTTCTTCTATTACTTGGTCTTCGTCGTTTTTGCTAGGTTCTCGGCTATTGTCTTTACTACTTCCCGTTGTCGACGTCCGACTGTTTCTATACTCCTTATCTGGCTCTACGTTCTGCCACCCGTCGTCGATAATCACAAACTTCGGGGGCGAATTCCCGTTTTGTAAACTCGTCAACCCTTTCCCGATTCGTTTCGGACTGACTTTCTCGTAAAAAGCATCCCACGTGCACCACCCGAACACGTCCGCCACCGGCGGCGTCACCTTCTCCTCTCTCGGTTTAAAGCTCTCTTTCAAAACTAAACTGGCCATTTTAATCGCTTTTTTCGACGCATCGTACGGGTTATTCGCCCACGATATGATCGCCACGTTATCGATCCCGTCCGCTTTCACTTCCTCGCACGCGCTCTCGACGACGAGAAAAGACCCTCGCCTTTCCCACATTGGATGAAACCCGGACAAAGTCGCTCTGAACTTATCTCCCGACAGCGGCAAAATGCACACGTATCCGCTTTTCCCGTCTTCCCCGAGCTCGAGCATCAAATACTGCGTCTCCGCGGGTAAGTCTTTCCCTAAATCTCTCCCCCACGCCGGGGACATCCACCACAGTTTACATCTCGCCGTGCACATGAATGAGCTCACCAATGGTTCTGTGTTCGTGCTAAACTGTAAAACGTGCCTGCTTTGCGCGTCGTTCGGTGAATTCGTGGCGACCTTTCGTAAAATCTGTACGGTCGGGTCGTTCGATATAAACGCGCTCTTCTTATTCGGAATCGTGGATAAGGCGAGCGAGCCGCCGGATAAGATCGCCGTGCGTGAATCCAATAACAGTTTCCCGTTCGAGAACTCGATTTTCTTTTCCCCGTCGGTCATCATCATCATCATCGGACAAAAAAAGATACCAACGTAATCACTCTTCTCTCGCTCTCTCTCTGTTCTTCTTCCTCCGTGCGGCGCTCCCTCGAAGAAAATATACTTCTCTCTCTGTATTTGCACTCTTCTTTCTCTTTCTCTCTCTCTCGCTCTGGAGAGACAACAACAACAGACAAGAATATCGAGAAAAGAATCGAGAGTTTTATTCTACTCGTGTATAGAGAGAAAACCTTCCCTTTCTGTGGGCGGCTGCTCCGCCTTTTTTTGAGGCAAAAATGACTGGACAGCTTTTTTGCTTGACCTTCTTTCGTCTTTCTTCGAGAAAAGAAAAAAAAGAAAAACGTCTTTTCGTTCGATCTCACCACATCTCTGACAGAAGGAGATTCAACACATTCAACGAAGAAGAAAAGAACCTGACACAAAAAGTATACACGATGTTCTCCTCGATGTTCTCCAACGCCACGAACAACTGCGAGTATTTGAACAAGAGAAAAGATGGAGATGAAAACGACCCGATGGAAACGATTTCTCGCGAGTTCGATCGCGAAGATATCGTGGCAAAGTTGGAGCGAGAATGCGAGGCGTTGGAGGACATGGAGAAAAAATATCAAGAAGAATTGAAAGAGAAAAAACAGGAGGAAGAGGAGAAGAAAGCGACGTTGGAAAAGGAGATGAAGAAAGCGAGAGAACGAGAGGAAGAGTTGAGACATTTACAAGAAGAGATGAACCACCAGGAAGGAGAAATCTGTCGCTTGAGAGAAGAGTTGAAAAGAGAAACGTTCGAACACTTGAGAGAAAAAGAGGAGAAGAGGCGAAACAGGGTGAAGTTACTCGAGGAGTACGAAAAGCTGGCGAGTCAGATGGAGGAGATTAAGAAATATCCGGAAGAGATTAAGAAAGAAGAAGAGAAAATGAGACTGGTCGAGGCGAGGTTGAGGAAAATGTGCGAAGGGAAATTCGTCGACGTGAAGTTTGAAACGTTCGAAGATTTCGGGAAGGAGATGAACGCGCACTTCGATCGCGTCATCGCGAAAGAGAAAGACTTGGAGCGGAGAACGGTGTTGGCGGCGAACGAGCTTTTGACGAAGAAAAGCGGCGCTTTTGCGCACGACGTGGACGATAGGAAGAGAAAAGAGCCAGAAGAACAAGAAGAAGAAGAAGAAGAAGAAAAAGGGGAAGAAAAAGAAGAAATTGAACCAACCACGCCGCTTGACGACACGAAGGATTGATGAGTGTTTTCGTAACGCGTTATGAACACCAGAGAGAAAGAAGAAGAAGAAAGGAGAGAGACACGCTTGAAACAAGAATACTGTTTTACTTATTACTGTTTAAAAAATACAATTACAAATACATTGTTATATCGATGAAATATACATCCATTCACAGCAACGGGAAGAAGGGATTGTTGATGCTATGTGCTCCCTATTCTTCTTGTTGATACACGCGAAACGAGGTGGTTTCGAAACCTTTCTGCGCGACGTCGTCAGAACCATCACTACCGCTCGAGCCTTGATTCTTATTGCCTCCGGGTTGGTTTTGGTTCCTACTACCGCTCCCACTTCCGCTCCCGCTGCCTCCGTTGTTGCTTCGGCGCGTAGCTCTCCCACCGCTGACTTGCTTCGTGACCTTCTCCGCGGCGACAACCGCTGCCGCTCGTCGAGAGCGTCTTCCAGTCGTCGTCGTCGTCGTCGTCGTCGTCGTGTTCGTGATGGTATCTTTGTTACTGTTGTCGGCGTTTTTATTTTCTTCCTCTTCCGTGGCCTTATCTGAGTCCGGACTTTTTTCCTTATTGGCGACGGCGAGTTCAATCTCTTTCGGGACTTGCGGAGCGTTCGGTTTTCGCGACGCTGCAATCATCTTCGCCGTTTTACCTGCATCAGTAGCCTCCGCTGGCGTTTGCGTCGCCGCTTGGGCCTTTCTAGCCGTCTTCACCTCACCAGCAGCGTTCTTCTCTTGCGTCGCCGCCGCGGCTTCCGACTTGACACCTGCGGCGTACGCGATGTTGTTTTGTTGTTGTCGTTGTTGTTGCGCCATCGCCATGTTACCCATTTGCTGGTGCTGGAGGAACTGTGCAAAGCTATTCGGATCTTGCATCGCCGCCAACGCCGCCATTTGCGCGTTCCAATACTGCATCTGTTGATGTTGTTGCACCGCAGCCATTACGGCGGAATCGTTGTTGTTATTACTACTGTTATTGATATTATTCGCCGTCGTCGTCGTGGTTGCCGCGCTTCCGGTTTGACGATATTGATTACTATTCGTCGTCGTCGTCGTCGTCGTCGGTCTCACGTAACCAGAGAATGCAGACTGCGAATTCGGCTTGAGTGATGCTTTTGCGTCTTCGGAAACTTCAGAGTTCTTTGTTTTATCCGTCGTCGTAGTTGTTGTCGGTTTAGCTTCTTCGGTTCCACTTTTATTATTATTCGCGTCAGTCGTCGTCGTCGTCGTCGTCAGCTTTGCGTTATTGTTGTTGTTGTTGTTATTCATAGTCGCGAAGCTGGGAATGAACGAGCCGCCGTTGCTGTTTGCGGCAACAGCAGCCATATTCGGCATACCCGGAAGACCTCCGCCAAAGTTCATGGCGGTAAACATCGGATTCGCCGCCATGAGCGCATGCAGCTGCGACAACGGATTCGGAACTTCTTGTTGCATCGCGAGATGCGCGAGAAGCGGATTCGCCGTCGTATCGTTGTTATTCCCATTCTTATTATTTTGTCGTTGTTGCTGTTGTTGTTGCAATAAATGTTGCATCTGCATCTCTTGAATCATTCTGTTGCGAACCATTTCAGACGTGGCGTTCATGAGCGCCTGCGCCGCCGACGCGGACGCGTGCTGCTCAACGTTCGCCACGTCAATCAAAGAGTTGTTGATCGAATGCCCTTTCTTCTTATTATTAACGTTCACGAAACCAACTGGTAACACCCCTCGTACTTGTATCTCGGTCAATGAACTTTGTTTTCTCGGGTACGGGTGCGACGGTTTCCGTTTCGGTCTCGCCGGCGGAATATCCGAAGCCGTCGTCTTCCCTCCCGTGGACATGCTCGACGTCCTCTTCACCGTCGCCGGCTTATCTCCACTCGCCGCCAAGTTACTCAACAACTCCGCCTCGTCTTCTTCCTTTGTATTTCCCGTCACTTCGCTCTTACTCTTCTTCCCCATCAACGCTTGAATCAACAACTTGGAATTATTATTTCCGCTAATCTTCTTCGCCGTATCGGCGTCTTTAATATTCTCCGTCGTCGTCTGCGTCAACCCACCTTCCCCACTCGTCTGCGTATCTCTCGTCGCCGTCGCTCCATCTTCCGTGGTCCCACCACCTCTCGTCACGTCCGATAATTGGTCCGCCTCTAAATTCTTCTGATGTTCCTTCTGTAATTTCGCGAAGAACTTCTGCGCGTGGCTTCGAATCTGCACCGCCGTCTTCGTCCCAATGTGCTCCTCGATTTTCCTCCACGCTCTCCCGTGTAACTTTAACGCCTCCACGAACCGGTCGTGCTCGCGTTCCGTCCACCGTTCGCGCTGTTTCGTGATCGTGTACGGTTTGCGTACTTTCACCGTTTGGCCGTTCACCGTGTGATGCGTTGGAATAGGTTGTTGTTGTCCGCCGAGAGTGTATCCGCTCGCGCTTGTATTTTGGGGCAAAAAATGCCCTTCCGACGGTGCCATCGTGGCACCGACGAGGACGCTTTTTTGACCATTTGCCGTTGGTTTTCCGTTGTTCGCGTACTGTTGTTGTTGTTGTTGTTGACTCATTTGGTTCACGACGACGGGTTGTCCGTGCAAATTATAATTCACGAACGGAAACTGCGGGTGAAAGGTGTTGGTATTGTTCGCGTTGTTGTTTTGAGCAGTCGCGTTGTTTTCCATCATCCTTTGCGCGGAATTGTTGTTTTGTACGTTTTGGTCTCGGTGCTGGGCGGCGAGCATTTGCGCCACGAGCGCGTACTGCTGTTGTTGTTGACTCGAATCTCCCATAACAAAAAGATTCGAGTCCGATGGTATATAAATAACGTTTTGTTCTTCTTTCTTTCGCGATCGCGCGTTCGCAAGATGTTGCCGTCGTCTCTCTCGTTTGTCGTTTGCGCGCGAATTCTTTCTTAGGTTAAATGGGGCAAACGCGAGAGGCACTTTTTGAATCAAAAAATCCCGTCGAAAAATCTGAAACGACCACACAAACCGCTTTTTTTTATCCACTTTTCTCTGCATGAAGAAAAAGAATAAAAATATTCAGAGCAGAAAGAAGAACAGAGAGAGAGCACACACAAGTATGTTTCGCGAAACGAGAGACGGGGAGCGTTTTTGAAGAGATGCGCGCACCTCTCTCTCTCTCTCTCTCGGGGTGGTGGCACGCGACGACGACGACGACGACCGGAGAGAACGAGAACGAGAGAGAGAGGGAAAAAATCGAAAACTGTTTTGCAATATATTTTGTGCCTTTTCGCGCGTGCGTAAAAAAATTTTTTCCGAATCGTTTTTTTTTTCTCCCTCTTCTTCGCTTTCAAAACGCACCACGCGCGATGCGTTCGAACAACAACAACAACGACACGAACAGAAGAGAGAAAGAGAGAGAGAGAGAGAGACCTCTTTTTCCCTTTCACGCGATCGTAAAAATGCGCTTCTTTTAAGCGCGTTGTTGTGTGTTTGCGCCGGCGTGCGCAAAAAAAACCATTTTAATTAACCTTAAAATAAAACAAGAGCACAAAAACTTTTTATCTCTTTTGGATATTTGCTTCGTTGGATTTTTTGCGCTCGTCTTTTTGGACTGTTTCGAAGGTCACGTCTCGCCCCTTAAAAGTTATGAAGATATGAACACAAAGGAGAGCGAGAACAACAACAACAACAACAACGAGAACAACAAAAGCCCTACACCCGGAAGAAGAAGAGGAACACAGATAGAGGACATCAGGTACGCGAGTGAGAAGATTTTGAGTGGTTTTTGTGACGGTGGTGGTGTTGCGACTGCTTTTGGAGAGTCATCAAAATCATCATCCCCTGTGGTCGCGCGCGAGGAGGCGTCTCGACGCGCGATGGAAGGGTTGCTGCTGCTCGATGATGAAGACGATTCAGACGACGATTCAGACGACGACGACAAGGAGGGTTTACTGTTGGAGAAGGCGAAAACGACGAAACTGTTACCCAAGGAAACGAAAGCGGTCGTCGATATGATCAGGAGAGATGCATCAAACGCGTTGAAATTCGCACTGATGAGTTGTGGTTGTTCCAACAAGAACCCAACAGTCGCCGGCGAGATGTTTGCGACGCGAGAGATTTTATTTCCGGGTCGAGGAGGAGTTTTAGGAGAAGGAAAAGAAGAACGAGACGATGATGAGAACGATTTTGACGATGATGATATCGCCGATATAAAAGATAAAATACTGTCGCGGAAAACGATGGAGTTTTGGGAAGCCGCGGTGAGCAGGATAGAGTTTGAATACGAGAGGAGGAACGATAGCGCGAGAATCGAAGCCGCCGCGAAGCGGGTTCGCGCGCGGTACAACGAGTTTCTTTCCCAGTACGTCTACGCGTTAGACGCAAAGTACAGAGAGGATAAAGAAAACAGATCCGCGAACGAAGCGATGGATAATTTGAAGTTACGCGTGTCGTTGTTAAAAGACGCGGTGATGAAACGGAGAGAAGGCGACAAGGCGAGAATTTTTAGTAAAAAGTTTGCGTTGGAAGCGAAACATTTACTCGTGGAGTTGAAGATGCCTTCGCCGGAAGCGGTGGCGTTGTATCAGTTCGTCAGTTCGATAGATTTAGCAAACAACAAATAGAAAGAATAGTCGTTATAGTAGTTCTTCGATTAGTGTATTATATAATGTACAAATGTATCATCTCTCTCTCGTTTTTCTTCTCTCGTTTTTCATTTCGACGGGGGTTTAGACGTTTCTCGATACTCGGACGATTCCAGCGTGACCGTGTTTGTTTTTCCGAAGATGACGACCTCGGCGCGAACCACGCCGTCTTCTAACCGTTCGACGACATTTCCGTGAAACCCTTTGAACGGTCCGTTAAATATTTCTAAATCGTACGTCTTTTTCTTCGCTTTCTTTTCTTCTTCTTCTTCGGTTGGATTCTCCGCTCTCAACTCTGCGACCCGTTCCGTGCGTTTCTTCATCTTCACGCCATAAATGTTTGTCTCTTCTTCCTCTCTCTTGGACAAATCCATCTCGCTCATCAATTCTTTAATTTTCGCGTCGTATTCAACTCTGGACACAATCGTCGGCGCCGAAGCTCGGATTAAACTTTCAAACAACCCGGGGTCAATCGGCTCGGCGATTTCGCGTCGCGTCGCCTGTCGTTTCCCGAAACTCGTCGTCCCACCCGTCGCCAAACCTTGGACAAAGTACTCGCTCTCTAAACTTCGAATAGTGTCTTGAGACATGTTTGCAATTTTCGCGAGGATGAACCCAGCCTGTATCGGTTCGCCCTCAACAATCAATTGTCGAATTTCTAAATCCGTTCTCCCGTGCGTCTCTTCTTCGGCCAAAACAAACCCGGGGGGAGGTTTTCGCGGACACCACACGTCCACCACTCCAGAAACGTTCAAGCAATTTGCCATCGCCGCGTTTTCTCGCATTTCTGAGCATTCAATCGTGTACCACATCGCTTCATCACTGGAAGCCGAAGCGTCGCTCTCTCCTCCCGATGATGATCCTTTCGCCTTTTCGCTCGTCGACGCGTTTACGAACGAATTCAACAAATGATCTCTCGCGTACGACCGTTTTCGCTCCGTCATCTCCTCCCCTTGAAACGTCTCTTTCAGGACATTCTCCACGTTCGCCGAATTTGCCACGGTAAACTCCGCGTCTTCAATACCTGCATCGGTCGTCGCCGCCTCCGCCGCCGCCCTCCTCCTCGTCGTCGTCGGCATCCTCCCGCTTCTCAATCTCCTCCTCTCCCGTCGATCGTTCAACTCTCGCGCTACGTTCTCTTTCGTCGACTCTTCTTCTTTCTTCCTCATTTTATACATCTTCAGTGGATCTTTCCCGTCTTGTTCGTCCACTTTGGCGTAGGCCAATCTCTCCGCCAGGTCGATTTTCTTCCCGGGCGATTGTGGCACTCGCAACTGTTTCAAACTTTCTTTCAATTCCGTCGCTTTCATCGCGGAGGAAATGGAGAGGAACTCCTCGAACGTCTTCTTTTTTTCCTCTGTCTCCTTTTCTTCTTCTTTTTCCTCCTCGTCGTTCGTTTCTTTCGTCGTCGCTTGAAGAACAAAAGAAGAAGAGAATCTCTTTTCGTTGTTGTTGTTGACGGCGCTGCTCCTTTTCTTAATCATCGAAGCGCTCGTTCTTCTTCTTTTACTGAGAGTACTCAAACCGCATCCTGCGCCGAAAAAAATCCTCGTCTGAATCCTCGTCGTCGTCGTCATTCTCTTTTTAATAATACTAATTTGCCCCGAAAGGTTTGTTGTGTGGTCGCGTTTCAAAGCAGCGCAACAATAACGTGCGTGTAATGAATGAATGGTTCGTCTTGTGAAGAGTTGTTTTTGCCCTAAAAAAATGTTTGGGGACAAACGCACTCCTAAACTCTAATACATTTGAGGCGAATTTGTCTTTTGGAAGAAGCGTTCGTCACATTCAGCAGAGACGAAACCACGCGCGCGCGCACACTCGACGAGACAGAGAGTCAGAGAGAGTAGTAATACTACTACTAATAATGGTTGACGATGATGACGACAAGTACAACAAAAAAAAAGCGCTTCCGGTTCCTAAATTTACGACGAGGCAAACGACGACATCATCCTTGACGCCGGATGGGAAAACGAGGAAAGAGCGATCGATGGGAGGAGGTTTAGGAGGACAGTCGTCAAAGTCCGCGCAGAATTCACCACAAAATCAATTCGATTCGAATCGCTTGGCGGCGAAATTGGATTTCTTATCCGCGAGAGTGAACTTTGACGGCGAAGAGGAGACGCAAACGAAAGTACACAACGCGTTGGACCGATTGTCGTTTGCAACGCAAGTGCACCACACGGCGGACGCGTTCGGGCAAGCGCTGACGGACGCGAAGGAAGAGGTTGGAGAGTACGCTTTGAAAGCGGCGGAGTCGGTGGCGAGGTTTCAAGCGACGCAATACGCGGCGAAATGGATGCCGTTGGAAACGAACGTGAACTTGAAGCCGACGTACGTGAAGGTACCGGTGAGTACGGTGGAACGGTTGAAATTTTACGAGGACGAGAACGTGCGGCAGATTGTCGCGCAACATTTAATCGAGAAGGAGACGATATTAGCCGAGAACGCCGGGTTGAGGAGTTTAGTGCCTGGTTTGCAAGACGAGGTATCGTCTGAGCAGGTGGCAAATATTCGAGAGACGGAAGACGGCGTCAATCGCGCGCTGTTGTTAGCCGCGGTGGAGGAGATTGCAAAGTTGAAAACGAGAGTGACCGTGTTGGAAGGCGAGGCGGCGAAACATCGAGTCACCTCCGCTGGATTTGGGTTGATTGGTGTGAACGCGAGCGAACATTCTGGGGAGATTGCCGAACACGCGAGGAAGTTGACGACGGAATTGGCGAGAGTGGAGGAAGATAACGGAAGACAGAAGTGGTTAATCGGCGAGAAGGATAAGGAGATTGAAACGATTAAAGGTAAGTTCATGGATACGTATCAGTACTCGTTAGAGGAGAGGTTGCAGGAAAGCACGGAAGCGTTGGAAGTGGCGGCGAACTTACAAGGAGAGCAGTTGCAGTATTTAGAAGACCACGCGTTGAAAGTGCTGGCGAAAAAGAACGAAAAGTTGGACGATTTGGTCTACCAGTTAGAAACGTTGGCTTCGCACCGAGAGCAAACGAGAGAACATTTGACGGCGTTTTTGGAACGAAACGACGAGACAGTGGTGTCTATTTTGTGTTCATTGGCTGGGTTTTCGAGCAAAAAAACGAAAGAGATTGTAGAACACCGACGAAGTCGATCGTTAACTGGGAGATTGGCGTGGTTAGGGAAGAACTTGAAACCGGTGAGTAGCGCTTTATCGAACGCGTTGATGGCGTGCGCTTCTCCGCCGGGAGGGATACCGCGCGAAGGCGACGCGATTTTAGCAGACGCGGCGGCGGATACAAAAAATACTACCACCATTACTACGAGCAGCACGAGTGATGAAGACTCCTTGACGAAAGCAGCAGCACCGGAAAAGAACGCGGCGGGGGAAAGTAGCGATGATAGCAAAGAGAAAGAAAAGAAAGCAGACGGCGGCGGGGAAGCGAAAAAAGAAGAAGACAAAGAAGAAACCAAAAAAGAAACGCATCGAGAAGAAGAAGAATCAAACGCGACGATAAAAGTCCCCGAACGTAGCCGCTCGCGTCCAAAACCAAAAAGTCCTCGTAAAAACGAGAAAACCAGCGGTTTCCACGGATTCGACGACCCGGAAGCAGCCGCGAGAGAGGCGAAAAAAAGAGCCAAAGAACGCGCGGCGTTGCCGGCGCCGAAACTCATCGGTCGAGCCGCCGAACGCGAAGCCGAAAAGATGCGCCAACGAGAGAAAAGTGGCTTCGGGGGTTTTGGAAGCGAGGCGGAAAGTTCCGACGACTCCGATTAAATCGTTACTGTTGTTATTTATTCATCGTACGCGTCGTCGTTGTTCTTTCACCTCTTCTGCTCTTTCTCGCTACTCCTATCTTTTCGACTACTCTCACTCCTACTTTTATTATTCTCACTACGCTTACTTTTCTCATCGTCGTCGTCATCATCATCGTCGTCATTACCGCCACCCTCGTCGTCCATTTCCCCGTAATATCCGGGATCTTTCATCATGCACTCTCTCAGCGCGGTCGTTTCCTCGACACATTTCGCGACGAAATCTTCCTCGTTCGCCTTCGCGTCGTCCACGCATTTTTCCCAACATATGAATTCCTGTTTACACGACCCGCCTTTCATGTACGCGCAGAATCCGCACGTTTCTTCCTCCTCCTCTTCCGTTGCTTCGAGTTGTTCCTCTTTATTCTTAGTATTATCGTTCTTATTCTTTTCCTCGATTTCTTTTGCTTTCGCTGCTTCTTCTTTCGTCATCTTTCGATGCAACACGTGTTCCGTTACAGTCTGACGTAATTTCCCCGCACAAGTGTTGCACTCTCTCTCTCTCTCTTTCCTTCTTCCGGGAAGACAAAGAAGACGACAAAGAAGAGAGCGTCTCTCTGCCTCTCCGCTCTTTTACACGCGTAATCATTTTCTGTCCTCCCGCTTTTTCTGCGGAGAGACGCGATACAACAACGCAGAGAGAGAAGAGCGCGTTGAAATCAGAGCGATGGCGAACGATGAGCGGAGGACATCCTCGTGGGCGACGGACGCCGCCGTCGATCTCCTCAACAGCTCGAAACTCACCTCGAACGCGTCGGAAAAACTGGAAAAACTGAAACAAATCGAAGAACTCTTTCGCGGGAACACCTTCAACAAAGACGACGACCAAGAGAGCGAGGCAAAAGACGCGATGACGGTCGTGTTGCGCCCGATGTTTGAATCGATCGTGACGGAAACCGATCCGCGAGTGCGCAAGTTCGGGTGCGAATTGAGCGAACGCGTGTGCGTTTTACTCGGAGAAAACATGTCCACTCTCTCGTCCGCATCGTCCGTCTCGTCGAGAGCGGCGGTGGAACGCAACGGAGGACATTTCGCGTCTGTGTTGGAGAGTTTGTTCGTCTTAGTCTCCGACGGGCAATTTCCAGCGGTGCAAAAGAGAGCGACGGCGGCGAGCGCGAACGCGTTTCGAGAAGTTTTAGTGAACGCGGCGATCGAAGGCGCGAACGTCGATCCGATGATTGATTCGGAGGGTTCGTTAGACGAGGGAGAGGAGAAGACGAATACACAGACGACGAAGAAGAAGACGAAGAAGAAAGAGCAATATTCAAACGTCGCTTTGATGTGGGAGAAAGCGTTGGCGCTGGCGCGCGCGATAAGCGCGAACGTCTCGAACGAAACAGTCAACGACGGCGTGCGAATGCAATCGGCAAAGTTTTGCGAAAGCGCGTGCTTACTTTTAGCCGGCGTCGGGTGGGGGGCCTCGGTCGTCAAGCCGACGCATAAGTTGTTGAAATTGGACGAGTTGGGAAAGTTGTCGGACGAGAAAAGGGACGCTTTAGGGGACGGGCTGAAAGTAACCATCGAGAAAGGCGCGAAACCGTGCGGACCGTTTACGTTGACCTTAATTGGCGCGCTGGGGACGGTGTGCGTGAAATCGGAGAGACACGCGGTAGAATCGTTACAGGCGCTGGTGAACGCGTCTTCGACCTTGAGTAAACGGTTTAAATCTGAGGAGGGTAGCGGTGGTAGTAGCGGTGGTGCTATTTCCGCGTCGGCGAAAGCGTCGGCGTCGAAAGCGTTCGCGCAAACGTTTACGGAAATTGCCAAGAAAGCGCCTTCGTTTGCTATTTCCGGAGAATTAAAAGATGGATTAGCTTCGGCGTGTAGAGAATTGGGCGCGACCGCGGCGTTTGAACAAGCGATGCGACAGAGAGAGCGGGAGAGAGGGAAGAGCGCGTTGTTGAAGAACGCGGCGGGCGGCGGCGGTTCCTCGATTCGAGGCGGGAGTGGCATTAAGCGAGAACGATCAGAGGACGCTTCTTTAGCGCCGTTAACGGCGGGTGGGGACGACGGCGGGATGAAGAGAGCGCGTTTACGCGCTCCGCCGCCACCGCCGCCGTTACAACAGCAGCAGTTTCAATATTACCAGCAGCAACAACAACAGCCGTATTATCATCAGCAACAACCAGTACATTACGGAGGCGCGGGGTTGCCGATGATGCAACAACCGCACCACGTTGTCAGTCTAGGTGGACACGGGATTCCACCTCCGCCACCGCCGGCGCCGTTACACCCGAGAACTGATCCCGGGATTTTACAACAAGTTTTAGCAACTTTAGAACAACTCGCGGCGTCGGATTTGAACATGTTGCAGAATTTTGTGACGCAGTTAGGGACGACGTCGCCAGCCGCCTTGGCGGACGCGGTGCTTTTATTCTTTAGAAATCCGGCGACGACATTGAATCAAGCGGTTTTGGGGATGAATTTTGCGCCTACTCAAGGTGCGCTCGCTCCGGCGGCGCCTTCATCGCTGGAAAATGCGCAACAGAAAGACTTGGGCACCGGGGCGATTCTTTCCGCCATCGCCCGCGTGCAGAAGCTTTCGAAAAGTGCAAATCGTAAATTCGCGTTGGATTGCGCCAAACGCATACGAGCGTACGGAGCACTGAGAGCCGATGGCGACGCCAAGGCGAATTCATTGAGTAGTATTCGATTAGCGCTCATAGCACGATTAGCCTGCGCGGATGCGATTCCAGACGGTTCTTCCGTCGGTAGCGGTAATAATAATAGTAAGAAGAACGAAGACGAAGACGGGGAAGAGGACCGAAATCAACGGCCACCCATGGCGACCGAAACGAAAGTTGGCGTTTTGAAACCGATGGATGGGAATCTTCGAATAGCGTCCCACGTCGCCGACGCGCCGATGGTTGCTCGTTCGATTTTGTTCCCGGTGGACGATGAGAACGCGCCTTTAGAAAGAGACGGCGTGCAATCGTGCGCGAGATGGTTAGCTGCGTTGCACGCGGCGGAGCTCGCGCAGAGTTTAGGCGCTTCATCCGCGAAAGCGGAAAACAATAAAAAGAAGAAGAAAAAAGACGAAGACGCCGCCAACGCGCAGGACAAAGACGGGTTTCACTACTACTCCATGGGCGTGCGCAAAGATGACGCCATTCGCGCCGTCATGCGCATTCTCGCCTCCGACCCTCGCGCCAGAAGACACGAAATCTCCGAAAAAAGGCTCACGGGCGAAAAGAAACTCCTCTCAAAAATTCTCTGTGAAATTCCGTTCGATATTCCTAATAAAGCCTGGGACGCGCTTCGCGAGATGCTCGGTATGAGCGGCATCGACGAATACGACGTATCTCGAGACGAGGCGTTTAGCGTCGAATCGAACAAGAACGACGATTCTGTCGTGAACCTTGCGTTGCACGTGTTGAGAGATTTGTGCGTCGACCGACCACCGGCGCGAGCAAACGCGTTGGAAATTCTCTTAGAGTGTGCGACGAACACGGACGCGAGCGCGGACGAACGCACGAGGGCGAAAGCTATTCGTCTCGTGGCGAATCGATTACACCAACAGCACGCGGCTGAGGCGGACGCGAGTACGACTGGGGTGATAACAACCAACGAAGTTGAGCAGTACGCCATCAAATCGGCGACGGAGAACGGCCGCGATATTGGTGCGGCGCAGTTGCAATTAGCCAACGAAGCGATCGAGGCGCGCGCGATTGAAAAGAACGAAGCGGAAGCCATCAAAGGCATGACGACTGGAATTGAAGACACCGCGGAACAAGAAGGCGACGACCATCGAGAGAAAGAAGAAAGGGAGGAAGAGCAAGAACTGTCCGACCCGTACGCGAGCGCGAAAAAGATTGCCGTTGCGCCTTCTTTGCTTTTGTGCGCGTTGACTGCGAAAAATCCGTCTTTACTTCCAAACGTCCTCGCGGCGTACGAAGCGCTTCCTCTCGAACTTCGCGAAGGATTGCACGGACCAGTCGCTGGCTTAGCCCGGCGGTTAGGCCCATCATCTCCCGACATTGTTCGTGTCATCGCATCTTCTACGATCGAATCGAGGCCGTTGATACTGTACATCGTCCAAGCGCTCGCTAAAGCCTCCGCGCCGGCACCGTTGCCGAAAGCGCTCGTGAACGCTTGCGAAACGCTCGCGGTTGAATCGACCAAAAAAGATTCGAGTTTACCGGACGCTTACATGGAAGTTGCTCTTGTTTTCGGGTCCATCGAAAAAGAGAAAGCCAAAGAATTGCTCCCAAAACTGGTGGACGTGCCTTCGCCGTCGGCGTTTGAATGCGCCGTCGTGAGTTTGCAAAACTCCAACCTCGAAGCTCGGGCGTCCGCCACGGACGTTCTCGTCGCCTTGCACGAACTCGACATTCGCACCACCGACGACGCCGCAAACGACACCGCGAATAAAGCAGGAGTCTCCCTCAAATCGCTCGTCAACGTTTGCAACACCTGCTTCTCTGCCGATACCGCGGACTACTTCACCTCCTCTGCGGTGGCCTCGGCGCTTTCGCATCTCGTCGACCGAACGCCTCTGCCGAAACTCTTCATGCGCACCGCCATGCTCGCGGAAACCGCGCACCCGTCGCTGAAAGAATTCTCCCTGGAACTTCTCGAAAAGCTCGCGAAAAGAAAAGTCTGGACGATGGACCGCGGCATCTGGGAGGGTTTCGCGCGAAGCTGCAAAAAAGCCGCGCCGCGGTCCTTCCCCGTGCTCGCGAACATGTTGCCCATGGACAAGACGAAGGAAATTTTAGAAAAATTCGGTACGCATTTGCGAGCGCCTTTGAAAGCGTACGCGGAAGCGACCGGCGCGAAGAATTTGTTGGACGTTTTGAAGGAGGATGAAGAGGTTTAAAGAGGAGGATTAGGAGAAGAAGACGCGTAGAAAAGAGAGAAGACTTCGTCAAAGTCCGTTGCGATTATGATCAGATGATAGCGTTTTAGTTCTCTTCGTTAAGAATTCATCAATTCAACACAAGTCTCCTCTGCTTCCATTTTATCCATTTTTAGTCCGCATTGTAAAGGAAATACAAAACAAACATGCACGCGTCGATTTTGCCCTCTCATCGCGCAGCATCATCTCGGGTGTCTGATAACCACAGATTGGAACTTCATCGTCTGCGTCGCGTGCGTCGTTCTTACGTTTCTTCTTCTTCATCTTTTTCGGCCTCGGAAGCGACGACGACGACGACGGGGAAAACACCATCGTCATCATCATCATCAACGAAAGAAGGCATTAAACTGGAACTGATCAAACTCGGCGCGAAAACCGATCGAGGGCAACTCCTCTTCCCGCAAAAAGCGTACGCGCCGTTAGACGAGTACAACCGGAAACACAGAGAGGAAGTGAAAGTATTGGTGGAGCTCTTGACATCGTACCCAGTATCGACGGGGAACTCCAACAAAATCGAGAAAGAGCAGTTAAACGGAGAGTGGGAGTGCGTGTTGGCGACGAAGCAGATTTTCCGCTCTTCTCCATTCTTCATGGCCATTCAAGACTCGTTCGGGGACGCGACGTTTGGCGATGCGAAAAGTTCCGAGGTGTTCTTTCGTCTGCACGACTTGCAAGTCATGTCGTGGGGGGCGTCGACGGTGGGAAGAGTCGCGCAACGCATCGACGTCGAAAAGAAGACGTTAGAATCAGACTTCGACACGATATTATTCAAATCGACCGTGATTCCCATCCTTGGATGGTTTAAGCTCTTGCCGACGTTCGGGGGAAGGGTGGTTTCTTTCGCCGAAAATATGGACGTGGACGAAACGACCGGTCGCGTAGATTTGGAGCTCGTGAAAACGAGAGTCGAACGAACGGAGGGCATTCCCGAACCGCCTCTCTTTTTACCGTGGTTCTTAGATCGAGACTATCCCGTGAACAGAGTATGGAAACTGCTCCCGTGGAACAAAGGTAAGCCACCCCTCGCGACGACGTACGTGAAATACGTAGACGAGGATTTTCGGGTCATGATGGATCGAGACGGCGAGTGCTTCGTGTACGTGAAAGTAAAATAACATGTGACAGCGACGACCACCGCGAGAGGGACGGAGAGACAGTCAGACAGAGAAAGAGAAAGAGAGAGAGTAACGCGCGCGCATAAAAATTGTATGTAATAACAGCAAAAGTAGTAACATCACCTAAACATCTCGCGTTTGGGCATCGCGCGTTTCTTTCACATTCGTCACTTTCCGCCGCATCGCATAAAAAACACGAACAAGAACACTCACAGGTTTACATAACAATACTCATTCAAATGTCCGAACTCGCCGGCGCGGATAGGTTCAACATTAATTCGCAGCTCGAGGCGTTGCAAACCCGGTACGTCGGCACCGGGCACGCCGACGTCTCCAAGTACGAGTGGATCGTCAATCAACATCGAGACTCGTTAGCGCAATACGTCGGGAAACATTCCATGCTCCAATATTTCGCAGTCGCGGAGAACGAGAGCATCAGCAGAGTCGGGTACCAGATGAAACAGAAGATGCTCCTGCCGTGCGGATTACCACCACCACCGAAAGAAGAGGAGGGGGAAGACGAGTAGGAGATGTGCGTTTAATAACACGAGTGAATGAATTCAATCGGGGAGCTGCTCGAATGCGAAAGGGTTCGCACAGCGCGCGTTGTAGAAAAGTATAGCGTTTAGAATAATGTAGATGTAAGGATAGATATACGGTAGCACGAATCAATTTCGGGATGTTCGAGCGCATGCTGTGTCACATTTCAACGCGCGTTTGTATGTATAAATGGAACTCCTCTCTTTCTTTTTTTCTTTCCTTCTTCGTTTGGACGCCTCCTCTTCTCCTCGCACTCAGGCGTTTCCTCAAAAGCTCGTTTACGCTTTCGAAGAGGCGGTGTATTTCTCGCGCAACGTGTCGTCTTCGTTGAAGAAGCGCTCGTGTCTTCGCGTTCGAGTGCAGGAAACCCCGCCCAAGATTAAGCTGGTGCAAATCATGAGAAACGCGATGACGGCAAATACCAACGCCGGAACGGCTAAGCGTTCCAACTCGTCTTTGGTGATGGTGTTGGCGTCTTCACTTTTCAAAGCCGCAATGGTCGCTTCGTAGTCCGCCTTGAGCTTTTCAAAGTCGGCGACGAGTTGCTCTCGTTCGACATCCGCCCAACGTTTACGTTTGACGGAGAGAACGTGCGTGCCCATGCCGGTGCCGGCCAAGGTGGAGAGTTCGTGGATGAACATGGTCGAAGTGGCGGCGAATTTCAACTGCGCGAGACCGGCGACGCCTTTTGCAATGATGGAAGCCGGGACGGCGTTTGCACCGAAGTCCGGGAGCATCGCTTGACCTTCGGTGGATAAGACCATTTCCGCGAACGCTTTGACGGCTGGGCCAGAGCGACCCAGGGAGGTCAAATCCTTTCGAATGAACATGAACGAAAACGCGGTGATTGGCCACGTCTTTTCGCCACCCAAATCGAGCAAAGACAAATTGTCGTTGTCCCAATCGCCGTCGGCGTTTGGAATGGAGGACATAATTTGCATCACGGCGGAGCCAATGTCGGCATCCGCGGCCGTCAAGTAGTTGCCGTCTTTGTTTTGCAAGGCAACTTCGGCGAGGCCCAACGCTTGTCCGTGACCGGATTCGATGTACCCGATGGAATACTCCGTGGCGCTGATGGCGTCGGAAACGCCACCAGAACCTTCCGCGCCGACCGTGTCGGAGGGCCAAAATGGCGCCTTCGTCGGCACCGTCGGGTTCGAACTCGCCGCGTTACCCGAGCCAACACCGATGTCCCAATCACTCGGGCACACCTTGTGGAGGTATTGGGAGATCAACGACGTCGAGGAAGAACCGTAAATGCGTCGCACGACGGTAATTTCTTTACCCGCCGGTGGTGAAAAGCCAGGATTGGAGCTCAAAATGTCCGCATGGTCCCAAGTTTTGATTTTTCGAGTAAAAATCTTAGCCAAAACGCACGGTTGTAAGTCCAACGCTTTGCCATCCGGAACGCCCGGAACGTTGTGGAAGAAGGAAATCGCGCCGAGTTGGAACGGAATCGTCACGAAGCCTTTGCCGGCGTTGTTCAAGTCGGTATAATCCGCCGTAGGGACGACGATATCCCCAGAACCAAAGTGCGAATAAGGTTCGTAACCGTTGTCAGCGCCGACAAATTCTTTAATGCCGGTACTCGAGCCGACCGCGCGGTAGGACATGGACAAGTGGATTCTCGAACGCTCTTCCAAAGTGTCCATGAGTTTCCAAAAGAATTTCGACGGGTTGGTCGTCCCAGAGCCGTGAACGGGTATAGACTCCATCGATTGCAAGTTCGCCACGGAGGACTCCAAGACGTCCACTTTGGAAACGAGCAGTTCGCGCTCGTAATCGCCGTAAGATTTCCGCTTACCAGAAAACACGTCTGCGCCCATACCGTCAGTCGGTTGAGTGGCGGAAGCCAATTCAAATGTCCACGTAGTTAAAGCAATCTTTGATTCCACCTGCATTCTCATCGATGCCGTCGTCGTGCTGTCGAGCGCGTAAAACAAAAAGTCCGGAACCATGGCTTGACCTTCGTCGGATAAACAATACATCATGAACGATTTGACGAGCCTCCCGACCTCGCCGGTAAGGGTCGTTCTCGCGTAAATGTACGTAAACGCGGTAATCGGCCACACATCTTCACCATCCAAGTTAATCAAAGACACCATACTCCAATCGTCTTCAATCGATGGTAAGGTACCATACTCCGTCGCCGCTTTGGGAATGTTCGCCTCTTTCGAAACCAACTGTTGACCGAACTTGTTTTCCAAGGAAATTTCTTGAAACCCGAGCTCGTGACCGTGACCGGCGTCGATGTACCCAATTGAATACTGGTTCTCAGCGATTGCGTTTGCCACGTTACCGCTTCCTTGCCGAGGTAACGCGTACGTCGCATCCGGAGGGAACAAATCTGCATTTTTCGAAACGCCGCCGGTCCAAACGTCAGGACACGCCTTGGACAAATAACTCGTAATCCCGAACGTCGAACTCGACCCGTCCGATCGATGGATGATCGTAATCGGTTGCCCAGCCGGGACAGATAAGTTCGGGTTGTCCGCGACAATCGTCGCATGGTCCCAGGTCGTGATCTGTCTTAAAAAGATCTTCGCCAACGTACAGCTGGTCAAGTTCAATCGACCGGCGACGCCCAAGTCGTCCGCGGCGACGTTGTGAAAGAAACTCACCGCGCCGAGCTGAAACGGCACTTGCACGACAGTACCAGCGAAACCGCTGTGTTGAGTGCTGCTCAACGGAATATCTGCGGAACCAAAGTCCGAAACGTCCCCGATGAACTCGGATTGTCCCGTCCCAGACCCGACGGCTCGGTACGTCATTCGCACCGGTTTCCCCGCTCGCTCTTCCAAAATATCCATCGCCTTCCAGAAGTACTTGGACGGGTTGGTCGTGCCAGAACCGTGCATTTCAATCGTCGTCGCGGCATCCGACGACACGGACGCCTCGACAACCCCCGAAGAAAAGAGGAAGAAAGAGAGCGAGAGGAAAGAGAAAAGCGTGGATTTCGCCGCCGCCATTCGCGCGCACTTCGTCTGCCTCTTCGGATCGCGCATCATCAGAGAGACGTTCAAAAAGCTACCAGAGTACAAAAAGAATGCGTTCTACTGCTCTGCGTTTTATCCTCGAGGAATCCCCAAAAAGTCTCGATATCGTTGTTGCTGTCCCGCGTAGTAGATCTCCCGAACGATTTAGTTTAGGTCTATACAGGGGCAAAAAGTGTGACGATTTTCAACAGCGAAAGACCAGTTTGCGCGTAGAAAAGAAAGCGTTTTTATCGCACGTTTTAAAAGACGCACACACACACAATCACACACACACACGCTCTCTCAGACAGTCCTCCAGTCTTCCACTCTCAGAGTTTCCATTTCGTGATGAGAATTCAAACGCCGTCTCGCGGGATGCCGCCGTCGCGATAATACTTCCCTCCGTAATCCGCCTCGTCTTCTCGCAACGCGTACGCTTTGCGCTCTAAATCCCTCGCTTCGTCTCTCAATTCCTTCGCTCGATTTTCCAGCTCTCTCGTTCTTTGGCGTCGGTGTCGTTCGATGCGTTTCCTCGCCATGTCGGCGGCTTCCTCCAACGCGATCGCGTCTTCTCTCAAAGAAGACGCTTTCGCTTCCAAGTGCGCTGGCTTCGTTTCTGGGTTTTCGCCGTACTCCTCCGCGGAGATTTCTTCCTCCATTAACTCGCGCTGTTTTCGATCCAACATCTCCTCTGCCTCCTCTGTTCGTTCTTTCGCAAATTCTTTCGTTTTCTCCTCAACATCTTTATTGCTTTTGGACGTAAACGACGACGAAAAGAAAGCGCCGGCTCCGGAGGACGACTTCATAGGAAACAACCACCTGCGTTTCCCCGACAACAAAGTCCTCGCCACCAAGCCGCGCTTATGTCGAAGCATGATCAATGATTCCAAAAATATCTGAAAAAGAGAGTAAAAAATAGTTCACGATGTGCGATATGATATACACTGATGAATACTGCGCGTGTATATATTCAGAGGCAAAGATGCACAACGCAGCGCGCGCGTTTCCCGCTTTCTTTTCGTATCTCAGTTCGTCTCTTCCCGAGTATTTTCTAAACCATAATTTAGGGTTTTGGTGTCCTTCAAAAAGCTCAAGCAAAACGAACGAAAAATCTTTAGAAAAAGACTGTTGTGCTGCGATGATGATGATGATAATGATGACGACGACGCTGAGAAAAGAGGACGAGCACTGCTGCGCGTAAGAATACTAATCTTTTTTGACTACGATAAGAAGAACGAACCTTGATTGAACCTACGACGGAAGAGTTTTAGAGAGAGAAAAAAGATGCGGATGATTTGCGTGAATTCTCACGGCGGTGTTGGGGATGTCGTTCCTCCGAGGAGGAGGAGTGTTGTTGGTGCACAAAACATCTCACCGGCCAAAAAGCAACCGCAAGGACACCAACACCAACGGCCGAGTCGTTGTCGAGGAGGAGGACGCGGTTGTCGTGGTGATGAGAGTCGTCTGTTGTTTGGGAAAAGAAAAAGTTCGACCGCAATTTCGTCGAGTGCTTCTTCAACGGATAATCCAACACCAATCCTCCGCGAGGACGGCGGATCTTCTTCTTCGTCGTCGTTTCGCATGCGCGACGGCATCGTGTCCGCGCGGAAATCGCTCTTCTTTTTCGGCGCGAAGAGAGAGATGCGCGTGTCTGTCTGTCGCGAGATGACGAGGAGGGGTGGACGAAGGCGGTACGCGCACGGCGTCGTGACGTTTGCTCTCGCTTCGTCGTCGAGGAGTTGTTGGTGTTGTTGTTGTTCTTCTTCTTCTTCTTCTTTTGGAGGATTCGAGGAGAAAAGGAAAGAACTATGGCGACGACGACGACGACGACGAGCGGGGATGACGCGTCAGACATCGATGAAGGACGGAGAAGAGACGAACGAGGAATATTTGGATGCGATGAACGTGACTGGTAGGAAGATTGTTTCGGAGGATGAAGGCGACGAGGATTTTGATTTGGACGCGGCGTTTAACGAGAAGTTTTCAAAGTCGAAGGAGCGCGACGAAGAGCAACCGCTTCCGGAAGGGACCATTCGCGTTAAAGCTAAGACTTCGTCCACGACTTCGTCTTCATCGTTGAGATCTTCTCCCACGGAAAAGAAAATGAATAGAAATGGTCGAGCGGAGAAAGATGATTTAGCGTTTGATCCTTTAGCTGGCTCCGTGGACGTATCTATGGATGATTTTTCGTACGATCCGGAACAGCAACAACAGATGCTCTTGCAAAAGCAAAAAGACAAAGAAGAGCGAGAGCGAAAAGAAGAAGAGGCGAACAAAAAGAAGAGAATGGCAACCGATGGGACGGTCATTCGTCGCGTGTCGAAAGTAGCTGCGATGCCGTTGAGAAATAAAGTGCCACCGACGAGACAATCGTTTGCAATCAACGCGGCAAACGAAGAGGCGTTGAAAGCGGTGAAGCAAAAGTTTTCGCTCAGAAATCTCGTCAGTAAGAAGAACGATGATAATAAACAGAATTATACCGCTGATTCGAGTGCGAAGCCGATTCGAGTAGGGACAGTCATACGGAAAATCTCAAAACCGGCGCGTCTAAATGATGATGAAAAGGAGAACAACGCGCAAAAAGCGCTCGCGCTCATCACGTCGCAAGCCCTGGCAGCTTTGTCGTTTCGCGAGCAACTTCTAAAAACGCTGAAGGACAGCACTCTGGGAGACGCTCTTGCGGTCTTCGATGCGCTCTGGCAAAGCTTTTGGATCCAATGGCGTTCCCGGCTCGAGAATACGGCGAAATGGGTTCTCTTTGCGTCCACGGCGCTCACGGCGATGTGTCATTACGTCATCGGCCCTGGAATGATTGGCCCGAGATTACCGCAAATTGGAGAGTTAGCATCATCCGTTGTTGGTCGTCCAGTGCGCGTAGGCAGATGCAAACTCTTTTCGTTTCCTGGCATTTTAGGTTTTGGACCGGTTTTAGAAGTTGGGCCCTTAGTCGTGGGCGCGGAAACGACTGGAGGCGAAAAATCAATCGTCGAAGTCGACACCGCGAAAATTTCATACGATTTAGTGCGCTCCATCACTCGGAGGAAAATAGTTGCGGAAATTCGGTTGGATGGCGTCAAAGCGACTTTGAAGCAAGGCGTCAATCAGTCTTGGTTTGGGTACCCGGAAGATTTACCCACTTTTCAAGCGAATTTGCCCTCGGCGCGACCGTCGTTTAATTTAGATGCCGTGAAAAAAGCGAGCGCGGAGGCGACGAATGCAATCAGTGAAAATAAAACAGCGAGTGGTCCAAGCTTTGAAGTGCGCGTGATTAAGCTCGAACGTGGCGTTGCGGCTTTGCACATGGCTGGAGATTCTCAACCGAGGAACGTGAAGAACCTTTCGGCGACTATGAAAATATCGCCGAAAGGTGAGCTCGATCTAGACGCAAAGTTCAATCCAATTTCTCGAGTGACGCCTCCAGAACAGAGACAAAACACGTTCATCGCGAATTTTGCGGCCCGAAATCTTCGAGGTCACAACTCTGACGCCGAAGAACGAAGTTTGAAATATGAAAAGAGTCGTACCGATAACGGCGGCTTGCTTAAAGTGAACGTGCAGTATAAAAATCCCGAGAAGAATCAGAAACCAATGGGTGAAGACGATATAGCCATGCCAGATTTGAAAGTTAAAGTGAACGCTTCCAACACTTCTGCGGCGTTTGTTGACCGATGCATCCCGGGTTTACCGATCGATATGCACGCTGGGCGCTTGGACGGCGAGATTAACATCTTGGCGAAAGACCAATCGACGTGGCTTTTCCCAGAGTTTTCCGGCGAGTTGAGAGGGAAGCACTTGCGTTTCCACTTTTACGACGCCACGGATGACTTCGCGGACACGGAGTTAGATTTAGTTTTCCAGAAAAGACGCATGTACATTCACAACGGGAGAGGTCACTACGGTCACGTTCCAATTACAGTCACGGGCGATTTGGATTTGAACCCGCTTCCGGTGAAAAGTTTACTTTTAGGTCCGGACGCGAAAGTTCACGCGCCGAGAGGAGAATATCGCCTTTCCGGTCAAATCGCACCAATAGAGGCACACGCTTTGCGAGAAACACTAGGTGTCCGTCCTCCACCGAGACCGCTCGCGGGCGCCTTGAAAGGATTCTTGTACGTTTCTGGCCCTTTGGAAGCGCCTGTCTTCACCGGGCAAGCGGAAACGACAGATTTTTTACCAGAAGAGAACGCGAAAGATTTCAGCGCTACGATGGAAGAGGAGAAAGCCTGGTCGTATCGCGCGGTGAAGAAGTACGAAAAGGAAGGCGCCGTTGCAGCTTACGATCGTGTTCCCATTCGGAACGTGAAAGCGACATGGACGGTGGAACCAAAGAAGGATATTTTCGTCTTGCATTCGGCAGAAGGTCAGTTGGTTGCGGGCGGCAAAGTGCGTGCGAGCGGATCGATCAAGATAAATCCGGACGCGTTGCATGACCCAGCCGCGATTAACGTGGAAGCAACGGCAACAGACGTTGATCCGAGAGCATTATCGAGACAAGTAGCAACAACAGGATTCGATAATAGCATTAGTAACGCGAATGGGAGTGGGGACGAAAACTCGCCATCGACTAGTAATAGCACCACTGACGCAGAAAATGAAATCGGCGCTTGGATTGACCGCGTGTGTCCTCCTGGCTACGCGGATGCTACGGCGACCATCGAAGGCGCACATTCCGGTCCCAAGGTTAACGTTGACTGGAACATAGATCACGACGCCGATGTGGGCGGTAGAGTAACAATAGAACGGAAAGGTATCACCGCAAAGCTGAAAACACCTTCAATTGAAATCGATGCAGACGTAAAGACGGAATTTCCTCCCTTAGAAAAAGCGTTAGCTGCTGTAACCGTGGAAGATGCGATTGAAGCTGGGAAGCCTGCATACACGGCCGCTGAAGTTGATGGACGAGCGAACGGGTTTGATTTGTTTGATTTAGAAGATGGTCGGGAAGAAGGTGGCGAAGCTGTTTCGGAAAAGTTGCGATACGTTCGAGATCCCGACCGCGTTCGATTGCGAGTAACCGGGCGCGCGCGCGTGAAAGGTAAATTTTCAACTCCAACGGCATCCGTCGCCGGTGCTGAGAACTCCGATGGCGTCGCTGCAACGGATGATAAAGGTAGCGAAATCGCCGCGAGTGACGAAGAGAAGAAACAAAGTAGCGCCTTCCCGACGTTTGAAGGTACCGCGCAGTTGGATAACTTGAAACTGAACAAACTCGAGCTTGCTCCGAAATTGACCGGCAAAGTTTTCGCCTCGGCCACTGATGGTTTATCGCTCTCGGCGAAAGGCAGATCAGACGAGTCCTTGTCGGCGGAAATATCTGCCGACGGTAAAGCATCTGCGGCATTACGTCGCGGCGCTTTACGAGCGGGCGTTGAGTTTGGTGATTTTGCAGGCGCATTCGAACTCGCTGGCTTGAAATTGGACGACTTGGAACTCGGATCTTTGAGAGGTCGCGTGGACGTCGCGTCTGCGCGATTAGATTTACGAGAAAAAGTTGGCGAAGGGGTTTTACGCGTCGAAAAGCCACGTCTGAGTGGTTTCACCGGCGATTTAGCAGAAGGCGAGGTTTCTTGGAGCGGTAAAACGGTAAAACTTCACTCGGCAACTCTCGAGCAAGCGCGTTCGAGGTACGAAGCTGATGGCGAGTACATGTTACCGGACGCCGTGTGGTCCAAATTGCCAGAATCTAGAGTCGAGAGACAAAAACGAACAATGTCGGAAGGCGATGCCTCGCTATTGTCTGACCTTATTGATGTCGATTTAGTCGCGGAAGCAGGTAAAGAAGAAGATGCCGTAACGGAGCCAGCGTTAGCGGTGACGTCGTCAGAGAATGAAACTTCTTCAGTCGTCGCCGCCGCCGCGGCGGATGCGATGAAGGAAACCAAAAATAACGACAACAACAACAATAGCAACAATAAAGGTTTATTTTCCGGATTCTTCTCTGACATGAAAAAGCACCCGGCGGCAAACTTAATCAAGGAACAGCAAACACTTTCATCTCCATCGACTCAGGGTGACGACGAGATCAACAAAGGCGAGGAAGTTCGAACGAAAACACCGGAAGAGTTGGAAGAGGAAGCTCGCATCGTGCGCATGGAACAACTCGAAATGCAAGAGCAGATTGACGAAGACGCAGACGAAGACGACGCCTTTGACCGAGAACAATGCCAACAACACGATAAAGCGACGAAAGCAACGCCAACAACGTCATCGATGATCTCGAGCGAATACACGGACAACGGGTCCGTGAAACCGTACATCTCTCCTTTTGAAGAACGTAACGTGGAAACTCCGTTTGGCTCTATCGCGTCGGCGTCCACCTCACAACCGTTGTCCTACGAACGCGACGCGTGGTTCCAAGAAAAGATGAACGACACGCCGTCAACGGAAACCCAAGCCGTGAAGAAAGATCGCTTCTCGAACGTGTTTAAACAGTTTAAACCACGAAACCGCCGAAACGGAGATGCTGATGGACGGAATCGCACGAGTGGAGCGCCAAATTTCAACAAACCAGGTGCGCCTTCGTTACAGAAGCTTCCGCCCATGAACCCCGAGGAAGCGCCAAAAGCAGAAGGCGAGTGGCGTTTCCGACTTGCGGTGCCGTCTGCAGACGTTGAAGAAATGCTCCCCGCTGTTCGCCTCTTTGCGAGTTTACGCGAAGAGTCGACGCCGCAGGAGTACGGTAGAGCCAAGGAGGCGTTCGTGAATGCGATTTCTCAAGCATCGGTGATATCGCAAGACATATCTCGAGACGTTTTCGAACAGTTGATGGAATCGAGAGAGAAAAAAATGACCTCCAACGCAGTCGATAAGAAAAAACAGCGACAGAATAACAACAAAAAGAAGCGAAAGTCTAAACTGCAGCGTCATCGAAGAACGACGGAGTTCATCGACGTCGACGACATCGACGACGATTTAGCGGATACAGAGAAGAAGGCGGTGCAATTGCCCGGGTTACAAGATTTGAAAGGTGAATGGCGTGGAGTCGTGCAAGCGTCGGGAAATTCAATCAAGAAGACAAGCGTCCCAACTGCACTCCTCGATGAAGAAGACGCCGGTAAAGACGAACAGGCTGCAGCGAATGGCGACTTTTTCAAAGATTCCTCGAGAGCGTTTAACACCGCTTTGAGTAACTTAGAAAGTTCACATCCGACGTCCGTTCAATTCGACGTGTCGGGTGAAAACCTTCTCTGGGGGCCACACGTTGTTCGAAAAGCTGAGGCGTTAGGTTCCGCGAACGAGAAAGACGGCATGAAGCTCGAACGCCTTGAAATCACCTCCGACGCTGCATCCTTGTCCGCGCAAGGCGCCGTCGGCGGCGAGGTGCAAGACGCCAACTTTAGTCTGCGAGACTTACCGATTGGTTTTCTTACCGAGGTTTTTCGACCTTTATGGCCATCTGCGCTACCTCGAATCGACGGGAACTTGTTAGTGCAAGGGCACTTGGGAGGTTCCGTGGAAGAACCGACTGGGGACGTCCTCGTTCGACTTCGCGATGGTAAGATTGGATCCACGAAGCTCTCCGCGGTGGAAGCGAGAGCGTTGTTGAACGACCAACAACGCGTTGAATTTGATTTTGAAGCGTCGCCGATGACGAGTGCTTCTGATGGCGGTTCGAGTGGTATCGTTCGCGCGTCTGGTATCGTACCATTACCAGAAGCTGACGATCAGTCTTTAGCCGTGGATGCGAAAGTTCGAGACGCCGGGATGTGCATTCTGTGCGCCGCCGCTTCCGGTGGTACCGATAACGTCGAATGGCAAAGCGGGAACGCGGACATCGCGTTACACGCTCGAGGTACATCTGAAAACCCAGTGTTCGATGGAGTTGCTGAAATAAGACGCGCGAAAATTGTCTCTCCGTTCCTGGCGAAACCTTTTGCGCCGACGAACGCTACGATTCGAATTCAACGAAACACGCTGTACGCAGACGATATCGAAGGGAGATGCGGTAAAGGTTTCGTAAAAATTAAAGGCGCAATCCCAGTTATTCAAAGGCGAAAGTCACGAGGCGGAGATACATGGGATAATTTAGTCGCTCGAGCGGATACGCAAGCTGGATTGAAAGTTGATATTCAAGGATTGGACGTGCGCGCGAGAAACGCGTACAACGGTCAAGTCAATGCCGGTCTCGTTTTGAAGGGAACAATCAGCGCACCTGAAGTCGGAGGTTCCATACAACTTTCAAAAGGCCAAGTCACCGCAACGCCTGGTCAGCCGGAAGACGCCGCAATTTCAGGAGCCGAAAATGGGAAAAAAGATGTCGACATTCCAGGCGCAAACAGAGGCAAGGATGATTTGCTTTCGCGTATCGATCGCGAAGGCAAACAATCGACAGATTTGGCGAGCGTTTTGCAACGCGCGGCTATTGCGAATGACCCAGAAGCTTGGGCAGCTTTAGAGAAAGCGCGGTTACGTCGGGAACGTAACTTGGACAAGCTCTCGGATGTTCGCTTTCGCGGTTTAAAAGTCCAAATCGGTCCGGAAATGTCCATCGTGTATCCGTTCGTTTTGAACTTTGGCGTCAGCGGCGAAGTGACCATCGATGGTGCAGCCGACGCGAAGCGTTTACGCCCATCTGGCGTGATTAATTTTGATAGAGGCGACGTGAACTTGGTCGCTGCGCAAGTCCGTTTGAACCGAGAACACCCGAACCGCGCAGTTTTTATCCCAGAAAACGGTCTCGATCCAATGGTGGACGTCTCCTTACTCGGCGCCGATGTCCGAGCTTTGATTCAAGGCCAAGCTTCAGAGTGGTCGAAAAATCTCGTCTTATCTTCAGCGACGGAATCTGCGTCTGGTTCGGGTGGCGAAGGCGGCGGTTTAGCCAGTCTCTCGAGTTTATCTCCCGAAGAAGCGGCGAGGATTTTCGAAGGACAGCTCTCGCAATCGTTGTTAGAACGCGATGGACGAATCGCGTTTTCCTCCTTAGCCTCGTCGACATTAGCGTCGTTGATGCCTAAAATCGAAGCCGGTGGGAACGTCGGTAACGCGCGATGGCGCGTGACGGCCGCACCTTCCCTCCCTGGTCTCTTGTCGCTAGATCCTGGCATGGACCCGTTCGCAACTGGTGCGCAGTTTACTCTCGGTTCCGAGGCTGAAATCGCGTTTGGTGACTCTTTGCAAGCGTCCATGTCTCGAACGTTAGCAGCGGATGAAACGCAAACCGAAACCCAATTTTCGCTCATGTATAAGCTGACTAAAAAGTTGCGCATGCAACTCGTCTCAGTGTCCAGCGCGGCCACTAGGCTTTTGTTCGAGTATACAAACCGGGACTAAGAAAAGAGGAGAGAAAAAGTGGAAGAAAAGAATTCATCGTCATTTCTGTAGTTGTATTGCATTCATTGCTCGTTTTGTAAAAATACACTTATTGTTTCTAAATCTAATAGCTAATGCATCCGCGCGCGTTCTCTCTCTCGATGAACCCGTCCACTGCTTTGACGCATAGTCTTTGTACCAATTCGTCCCTCGCAATATGCGAATATGCGACCGCGTTTGACCACTCTTTTTCTTTCTCGTTGTCTTCGGAAAGCGTGGCAGCGCGAACGATGCGCTCGGCACCTTTCCGAGGATGTTCTAGCAAACCAACCGTTCGCATGGGAATTTCGTACAACAAACGCAAAGCTTTCGGCCACGTTCGCGTGAGTTTCGTGCGGCACAATCCCGGATCGACCACTTTTACCCTCACGAAACTATCGTCTCTATCTTCTTCTTCTCTCATCTTTCCGAGCGCGTACGCGGTCACCATCAGCTTGCTCAGCGCGTACCTCACACCTAACGTTTCAAAATCTTTCTCTTTCCTTGCGCTCGCGCACCGATCGAGACGATTTATCCACTCTTTCGCGTTCGCTCGCGTGCATACCCCAAGTCTCGCTCGATGCGTAAACGACCCGACAAACACCACCGTTTTCTTCATCGCGCCGCCGCCGCCGTCCTCGCGGTTATCGTTTACGCTCATTTCATCTCTCCACAGCTTGGTCAAAACCGCCGGCCCGAGGACGTTACACATCGCCTCTCGATCTACACCACCTTCTTCGAGCACTAAAACCTTCCTCTCCGCGTTGCACTCCGCCGCGCAGTGAATCAAAACGTCCACCTCGTTCTCGGCGAAGTACTTCCTCGCTCGCTTTCGAGCGCCGGCGTCGATGGCCAACGTCGCGCAATCCAAATCAATCTTTGCCAAAACAATCCTGTTCTTCTTCTCCTTCTCGCCCGTTTCAATTAAACCTCTCGATTTTGCCTCGCTTCGCAGCCTTTTTCCCGCATCGTTTGCTTCTTCGTCTCCGCCTTCTCTCAAACGCCCTTTATTACCCACTCCTCCTGGGGGAAAAGCTCGAGTTGGCAAATGCAACTCCACCACCATTTCTTCTTCTTTATGTCCTTGCAAAAGCGACAAACACGTCTCAAACCCGATGCCAGAGGACCATCCAGTCACGAAGTACGCGACTCTTTTGCCTTTAGGTTTTCGTTTCGGTGGTACTCCTTTTTCCCGCCCGTTCTTCTTCTTCTCGCGCGCGTATTCGCGACGACGAGAAAGATTCCAACGACGCAGAACGTGTCGACGCTTCGAAACGAACATCTGTTCCGCGTACGCGAGGAACCACGCAAATAAGTGCACCATATTTCGCACTCTCCACACTGACGAGGGAGAGAACTTTGTCATCGTTCGCTTCTTTTTCCCATCGTTTTATGTGTGCGTGTATTCATATGCGCGTGCATACATTTTGTGAGTGAATTTGGGGAAACTCCCCTCACTAAATGAGCAGCACTTTCGCTGCGCTCAGACGAAGAATGTCTTCATCTTTTTCTCTCGCACCTGCACCACCACCACTCCTGCGTTCGAAAACGACGATGGCTTCGACTTCTTCGAGTTGTTCTTCCTCTCGGTGCGTCTTCGTGCCGTCGCCCTCTTCAAAGAAGGGATTACATTCATTTTATCCAAAGTCTCATCCGTCTGCGTCGATGGGTGTGTTGCGTTCTTCTTCTTCTTCTCCTTTCCGTCCTCGAAAGTTCTCCGTTATCTCCTCCGCGTCGCAGACGTCGTCCTCGGAAGGAGCATCGGGTGAAGAGAAAAAAGAAAGGATGAAACGGGTCTTATCCGGCGTCCAACCGACCGGTTCCATCCACCTGGGGAACTATTTCGGAGCGATTCAAAACTACGTGAAATTGCAGGACGAACACGAAGCGTTTTACTGCGTGGTGGATTTACACGCGATTACGGCTGGCGGACACTCGCCGAAAGAGCTGGAAGAGAGCACGAGGAAATCGGCGGCGATATACTTAGCCGCTGGGGTGAGTCCGGAGAAAGCGTCGGTTTTCGTGCAATCGCACGTCGCCGCGCACAGCGAACTGTGTTGGCTGTTGAACTGCGTGTCGCCAATCGGATGGTTGGAGAAGATGATTCAGTTCAAAGAAAAAGCGAGGAAACAAGGCGAGGACGTGTCTGTTGGACTTTTAGATTATCCGGTGTTGATGGCGGCGGATATTTTGTTGTATAACGCGGATTTAGTTCCAGTTGGGGAGGATCAAAGGCAGCATTTAGAGTTGACGAGAGACATCGCCGGGAGATTTAACAATTTATACGGCGGGAATAAATGGAAAAAACGAGGGAAGAACGAGAAGTCGCCGAGTGGGAGATTTCGGGGGAAAGACGTATTGATTGTACCAGAGGCGTTTACGCCGAAGAGTGGCGGGCGGGTGATGAGTTTGACCGATGGAAGCGCGAAGATGAGTAAGAGCAACCCGGCGGAAGGGAGTCGGATTAACGTTTTGGATTCGCCGGACGTGATCGCGCAGAAGATTAAAAGGTGCAAAACAGATGCCATAGAAGGGATGAATTACGACGACGAACGACCAGAAGCGAAGAATTTGTTGACCATGTACGAGTTATGTACCGGTATGAGTAGAGAGGAGGTGTTGAATGAGTGCGCGAGCATGCGATGGGGGGAATTCAAACCGGCGTTGACTGAAGTCGTGGTGGATCATTTGAAACCGATTCAAGAAAAGTACGAGGAAATTATGAACGAGGAAGGGTATTTAGACTCGGTGTTAGAACAAGGGGCGGTGCGAGCGAACGAGGTGGCGGAAAAGACGTGCGCGGACGTGAGAGATGCCATGGGATTTGTTCATAGAAAGAGCAGATATATGTGATTTTTATTGTCTATATTTATAACTCCGCGTGCACTTTCGTCTTCTCCTTCTTCTCCTCCTCTTCCTCGAGGTTCTCTTTCTTCAAAGGCACGTACTCCGCGCACTCGTCGTCTTCCGGGAACAGTTCGCAAAACGGTACCGAAGCGTCCGCGCTCGAGTTGATCGTGTTGTTATTCGCAGTCGCGTTTACCAACAAGCTCGAATTGTTATTCTTTAAATCTCCTTCTAAACCACCACTCGCCGCGGTCGCATTCGCGGACGTCTCGTTAGAACCTTCCAAAAACCCTTTCTTTAAGTGAAATTGTTCCAATATCGCATCGTGCGCTCTCCCGACAATCTTCAACGCCTGCGTCTTTTCCGGCGCGATTTTATACACCCCGACCAACGCGCCGCTTAAAATCCCTGTCCCTAAAATTCTCTGCACGATTCCAATCTTCCCGACCACGTTTCCGCTCGCGTCCAAATCGTCAAACATCCACATCGGCGAAAACACTTCGTTGATTGGAATCTCGTCGCTGGCAATGTTTGGTAAAATCCAAAAGTGTCTCCCCGAGACCAACCACACGCCGGCGAAAACCACCCCTCGCGCGACCAAAATAACCGTAAAGAACATCAAAATCGCCACACACAAGTACAAAATAATCTTCTTGAACCAAATCGGCGCCAACGGAAACAAGCACGCCAGCATGACCAAAATAGCCACCGCCCAAGAGGCGATCAAAAACGTCCAACTCATCGGCTGGTCGTACGTCCACGCGTAAAACGAATCGTCGTCGTTGGACGGATACGCGAACGATTGATTCTTCGTCTTCTCCAAATAGTGCGGATATTTCACTCGTTTCGTCCTCCCTTTCCTCGGCGCCTTATATATCCGTTCGCATCTTTGAATCAACCCGCAGTGTAACAACACGTTCCCGAGATATTCGATTTTATCATCCATCGTCTTCCCTCCGATCGTGCACTCTTTCTCCACGAAATCCGGATCTTCCCGTAAGCTCCGGTAGAAATCTTTCGCGCGAAAAAACGACACCCGGTCGTCTCTTAAACGCGCCGACCGTTGTTCCAACGTCGAGTGTTTCGACGCTCGCAGGTAATGCGCGATCGATCGCGCTTTTTCTTTCAACTGTTCCTGGTGGTTTAACGCTCGCTTTTGTGACGATGATGATGATGATGATGTTCCATCTTGTTGTTGTTTACTCTCGTTCGCAGCATTGCGCGACACCCCGGATTGACTCATCGGGGAAAGAACGCGCAATACCACGCACGAATGAATCTCTCTTTACACTCTTTCGTTTGATCGATAGTATTTTGCGCTTTTCCGTGCAAAAGAATGAAGAATTTGGAGGCATTTCGATGAGATCTCGAGAGGAAAGTCGCCACAAAGAAACACGCGAGAGAGAGGTGTTTCGACACACAAACAATGTCCTCAATTCCCTCTTCAATCGATAAAGACGCGAAAAACGAGGAGGAGGATTCGTACGCCTCCGAAATCCTCCAGCGTCTGGACGATTTGGGCGTCTCAATTCCTCCAAACACCTCGCCGAAAACGCTCCGAAATCACAAACATTCCCCGCTGGAATTTACAAAGATAGCGCAGCACTTAGCGTGCGCGATTGGACCTTTAATCAAAATGACCGGCGCGGATAACGTGAACTTAGCGTTGCAATCGTGCGTGACCTTGAAGAATATCCGAGGGGCGAGCTACGAGGATTGCGCGAGCCGAGCGTTAGGAGCGCTGGCGGTGTTAGCGACCATGCTGGACGAACGATTCAGAGATAAAATCGGGACGTTTCGAGTGTTTGAAATACTCGTGGCGTATTTACAAGCGGCGAGATTGATGAAGGAAAGCATGGAGAAAAAGCAACGAGAGAAGGAGAAGACATCACAACAAACGACGAAAGAGGACGAGAGAAAGACGATTCAGACGATGAAAAGACCGCCGACACCGAACCCGCTATTTAACGAGGTGTTTCGAGAGTTGGAGCACGCTGCGGGGGAGAAGGCGTACGGGTATCACGCGGCGCACACGGCGAAAGAGATTGCGATTGGCGCGAAGCGCGTCGCGGAGACGTTTTCGGCGAGCGCGAAGGATAAATCGGTGTTAGATAAGCATAAGGGTCAAGTCGTTGAACGGAGAGAGATCGAAGCAATGACGGAACAGGAAGTGGAGATTACGAGAGAGGCGAACGACGCGATCAAGGCGGAGTTCAAGAAGAGGAAAGAAATGATTGCGAAGAGAGCCGGCGTGAGCGTCCAGTCGTTGACAAAGAGTAGCAATAATAACAACACCAACAATAGTAGCAATCAAGGAACGAAACGGACGAGAAAGATGGAAGATTTGGATAGCGCAAAGTACGAAAATGATGCGTTTTCGTTGGCTTCGTACGATGGAGGTAACGGCGGCGATAACCTCGACATCGCCTTTCCGGATTCGTTGTTCGATATGAGAGGCGCAGATGTCGCAAAATCTGGTCTGAAAGCTGGAAGTGGTAGGAGTAGACAAAAAACGAGGTTAGTTGGCGACGATGGGTTCGATGCAAAGACAGTAACGATTGGCGCGGTGCCAGACAGAGGAGGTCGAGTGGACGAGAGCGGAAGGTTCGTCGCTAAATTCAAAGGCGGAAAGCCGGGAGGAAGCAAAGGCGAAACCAGCGAGGCCACGACGAATAACAACAAGCGTCAATGGAGAAAGCGAAAGTAAACTAAAGTAAGCAGTAGCAGTAGTAAAAGCACGCGGTGTGTTGGCCATTCTTTTTCATCATGCTATTGTAAATAAAACCGAAAATAATGTACATAAGGTTCTTTCAAAAGAGTTCTAAATTTTAGTAACATAGTATATTATTAGTTCGACGACGACACCATCTTTTCCGCTTCCATCGTCGCTTGTAACGTCTCTCCGATCGTCCGCAAGCGCTTCCCAGCGCACGTTTGCACGACCATACCCGCCACTCTACTCGGCACGTTTTCTACGTTGACGACGCGAATCTCCGCCGACTTCACCTTTGGCCACTCCAAAGGCACTTCCAAAACTGCCACTGGTCTTGGCTCCGTGGACGAAGACATTGCCGCTCTCACGTTTGCATCAAACGCGGACCATTTCAGAGGCGTTCGACTCGCGGCTGCCGCCAACGCTTCGCATCTTTGCGCCGTGGCGGCGATTCGATCGCGAATGTTGCACAAGGCGCTCGCGCAATCCGTCGTGCCTAAGAACATCCTCGCCACGTCTTCAATCGGCGCATCCGCAGGATCTAACGTGATTGAGTTCAACCGAGCCGTTTTCTCGATGAAGCCTAAAGTTACCACGTGCGTTACTCTCCCCACTCCTCTCGCTCGTGACGACTCCATCGCTTCAGTATCTGTCTCCGGCAAATGGCTCGCCAATCGCAGCGAAATCGAGTCTTCGCCAATCTCCAACAACTCCGTTCCTTGCAACGCACTGACCAAGTTCATTTGCTCTTGGATTCTCATAGACATTTCCGCTAACGTCTTGGATGCCTCCGACTCTCTCGCCGCCGCTTTACTCGCGCCAATGAGATACTTCGATTGCGCTCTCAACTCTACGAACTGCGCGTCCAACGGCGCAATCTCCTCGTCAATCTTTCGACAACTCGCCTCTTTCTGCGCAATCCCTCGGTTCATTCTCTTCAACGCGTTATCCAACTCCTTCAATTCGTTTTGTAACTCCTCCTTCGTCTTCTTCTCGTCCAGCAACTCCGACGCTCGATTGCTCGTTTGCAACCCTTGACTCCTCGCCAACTCTCGCATCTCCGCCGCTTTCGACTCGTCCTCCAACTGCGCCACCTCGTCGATAATCTTCTGCAGCTCTTCTTTTTCCTTCACGTATAAACCGTACTCCTCGTGCACACGCGCAATCGTTTCCTCGGTCTCTTTTTCTCTCTTCTTATTCTCCTCTTGTAACTGTTTCACTTCCGCGTGCAATTTTTTATACTCCTCCGTCTCCTCGAGCGCCGACTTCGCGTGTTTCCCAAACATAACCTCATCCTCCTTTCCAGATAACAACGCTTTCAAAAAACCTTGCTCCGTGCTCAGTTCAATCGTGCCAAACTTTAAGCGTTTCAACGCCGCGCGTATGCGATCCAGGTCTTGTTGATTGTTCCCGACTGCTTTTTCCTTGGCCACTTCGAGTATTTTTTGAATCGATTCCTCCGTGTGGTTTAATTCTTTCAAAGCGCTGTTTTGTATTTAATTTAGACAAAAGAGATGTAAAAAGAGGTCAGCGGCATGCTTTTAAAGAACGGAAACAAAGAGAGACTTATATGTACTAAACACGCGCAAAGTCACTCTCGTCCGACGACGACGACGAAAACGACCCCTCCTTTAAGAGTCTTGAGAGAAGTCACTCCGTAACGAAAAGAATTCCAAGGGGAAAAATTCAAATTTTCAAATTTACCTTCGTAAACTGTGCGCGTTGGGATCTTTCTTTGCTTTTTTAATCAACGTCACGTCTTCTTCTTTTTCTTTGTTATCGTTACTCTTAGTACCGGGAAAGAAGTAACGCTCGTACTCGGTGACGCTCTGCGTCAACTCGTGGGTCGCGTCCACGAACGTGAGCTTTTTCGCCGGGAGTAAGTCTTGCGTTAACGTCGTGTCTTGCATCATTTCTTTGTCTACTTCTGAGGAATGATTTGCTTTGTAAAGGGGGAAACAAAAGCAGGTCTCTATTTAGGGTTTTTGAATTTTAGGCAAGCACCAGAGCTTTAATATATTAAGAACGCACTATACTCAAATCAAATCAAATTGAACGTGACGACGGCGCCATGACCAGTGGCTATATTCCTCATCAAGTTATCTTTCCAATTGTAGTTGATCCATTTTTTTGTGGTGAGATCTACAGGTTTGCCACCTAAAGGTAAAAAAATTCGACACACGTCGACGTCTTCGCGTTTCATTCCGGAAAGCACGGACGCGGTCGCGACGTAGGACCAACATTTTAAGCTCGTCTTGTTTTTCGCTTTTTTAAAGTGCTTCAGCTCGAGAATAAAGGCTGAATTTTCGGGGATGTGTCCAACTGTCGTTTGAAAGCAGCACTCCGCGCCGGAGGTGTAATAAATATTCGAAGTGCCGCTCAACTTGCGCTGAACTCCTTCTCGCACCTCTTCACTCACGGCGTCGTTTCGAACGTCGAGACAATTCCATCTCTCAATAACATCACCTTCTTTACTCGCGAGCGACAGCGTCACACTCACTCCTTCCATGAGTTCCGCATCTTTCAAATTCGTAAACGCGTCGACGCGCATGAATATCGTTCTCGTCGACTCGGCGTTTACCACGTCGGCGAGCGTCTCGATGTCCGCGCTACTCTCCACCTTGGCTATTTCGAGCTCCAGTCTTTCTTTTTCTCTGTCCAAAATCCGTTTCCCTTCCTCCGTGTTGTTTACAATCTCCAACAGTTCTTTATTCGTAAACTCTCTCTGTTCTCTTCTCGAGAAAAATTTCTCCTTCTCTTCCAACTTCCTCGCGATTAACCTCGCGCGTTCTCTCTCTAACTTCTCTTCCTCTTCCTCTTTTCGTCTTAACTCTTCTTCCTCTTCGATTCGTTTTTTTTCTTCCTCGATTCGTTTCTCCTTTGCCATTTGTGCCATCGATTCTCGTTCTTCCGTGTTTTCGCGTTCGCGTATTATTTTCGCCACCTCGTCCGTGTACTTTAAAAGCCTCTCTTCTCCGCTGCATAATACAACCGTCTTGAACTCTCTCTGTTCGTATTCGTTCAAGTAAGTGCAAAAGAGATTTTCGTAGCATTTGGAGCACACGACCGGGTTCATTTCATCTGTTGTTGTTATTCTTTTCCCGCACTTCGAGTATCCCAGGTAGACTTTGTCGTCTTCGTTTTCGTTCGAATGAATATTCTCATCGTCATCATCGTCTTCGTTTATTACCTTCATCTTTGTCTTCTTCTTCTTCCCTTTATCCGTTTTTAATTTGTTGATAAACAGTCGGCATGAAAACGATTTTACCGAAACCTTGTCCACGAGTCTCACGAAACGAGCGCACTCCTCCGGTGGGTCCCGGAAAGGAGTAATTACTCCTACGCGCGTCTCCTTTTCGTCGTCGTCGCATTCAATCTCGCTTTTGTCGGTGGTGGTCGAAGCGCTCATATTGGTATTACGTTATATTGTGTTGTGTTATCTTCAATTAAAAAAAAAGGCCCCCCCTCTTCAATTAAAATAAAGAAAAGGCGAACAACAGAGGAGCAAAAAACGTAACCATGCCTGAACCCGCTAAAGATACGGCGATAGAAATCACGCCGAAAGCGCCCCCAGTACTTAGTCGCGTTCAGAGCATTGTTTCAGAATTCAACCGCGCTACCAGTTCGCGCGTAGGTGGTAGAAATAAAAAAGAAGAAAAGAATGATGCTCGAGTTTTGGAAAACGACGAACCAACGCCGTCGCGAAATATCCCTGAAGTCACGCGGATTATACGAGAGAATACCGTTCCCCGCGTCGGTGTAAGCGTATCTCTACGGGTGGTTTTGTGCCTTCTTTTAATCGTGAATTGCGTTTTTCTCGTACGCATAGACGATGGTATTCGCACGGGTGGCGCCAATACTGGTTTGGGTATTTGGACGAACGAGTCCCCTCCTCCTCCTCCTCCTCCTCCTCCTCCGCCGCCGCCGCCACAACCTTCTCCACCACCACCTCCGCCACATCCTTCTCCACCACCTCCGCCACCGCATCCTTCTCCGCCACCGCCACCGCATCCTTCGCCTCCTCCTCATCCTAAACCACCACCACTCGTTGTTGCAAGAGAAAGCTTGGAATATAAGTCAGTTGTTTGGGACAGCGCACGTCAAGGAAACCTTGAAGATAGTTTTACGGAAGTTCTCAAAGATGAAGAAATTACAGAGGACGAGATATCTACATGCTCCTATGGTTCAAGCAGTGGTGTATTATTGAGTTGGGGTAGTGCTTCCACCAAAACCAGAACGTGTGTCTTGATGCTATTGATAAATAAGTTGGGACAGGAGAGTTGGAAGATGGTCAGCGTACCTGAATATTGGGATGATAATTACAGAGGTGTGACTTTCACAAGGTCTAGTTCTGGAGGTTCTTCTTCACGCACACCAAGCCCCGGGGTATCTGGTACAGTCTCGTTACACGACGACACGTTCTATACCGCAGTCAGAATGTGTCTCGGTGAAGAGCCTTATTTTGGTTTGTGTGAAAATGAAGGTTCAAGTACTGGTTTTGGAACCATGCCCGCTTGGAATACGAGTTTAATCACAACAATGAAGGGACTGTTTCAGAATAATTATAATTTTAACGGTGATTTGAGCGCTTGGGACACGTCCTCCGTGACCGATATGAGCGAGATGTTCCAAGGTGCATTAGCTTTGGTCAATCCTGAGATTGGTACTTGGGACACTTCTCAAGTCACGACCATGGCTTCCATGTTTTATTTTGCCTCTTCGTTTAATTCGGATATTAATGATTGGGACACGTCTCGTGTTGAGGACATGTCGCTCATGTTTAACTCTGCGTCGTCGTTTAATCAGGATATAAGTTTGTGGGACACTTCGCAGGTCACGGATATGGGACACATGTTTAAGTATGCTTCTGCGTTCAGTAGGAACACTGAAAGTTGGAATAAAGTGAAAGTGAGAAATGCAAACTCTATGTATGGTATTTATATCACCGACGACAACTTTTTACACGCCATTCAGTCGTGTTTGAATACGAACCCCTCCGACGGTTTGTGTGCATACAGTGAGTACGGACAAATGCCGAACTGGGACGTGAGTCGTGTTACGAACATGAGGAGTGCATTTTTGAGTAAAAGTGGGTTCCGTGCAAATATTGGAAGCTGGAACACATCTCAGGTTACGGACATGACTTCTATGTTTCAATCTGCAGGTAGTTTTAACCAAGATATAGGGGATTGGGACACGTCTCAAGTGACGGATATGACTTCTATGTTTCAAAGTGCAGGTAGCTTTAACCAAGACATTGGGAATTGGGATACGTCGAAGGTGGTGGGTATGGGCTATATGTTTTATAGTTCGACTGCTTTCAACCAGTACATTGGCGGTTGGGATACGTCAAATGTGGAGAGTATGGCTTCAATGTTTCGAAGTGCCGGTAACTTTAATCAATATATTGGTGGGTGGGATACGTCAAAAGTGACGACTATGACTTTTATGTTTTACAGTGCGTATAACTTCAACCAATACATCGGCGATTGGAACACAGGACAAGTGACGGATATGTCTTTTATGTTTTTCCAAGTTACTTTCTTCAATCAAGACATTGGGAGTTGGAATACAGGACAGGTAACGAGTTTATATCAGATGTTTTACCAAGCCACTTTCTTCAACCAGGATATTAGCTCTTGGGACGATTCAAATTTGAGAAAGGACGCAAACCAGTACTACGAAAGCTATTATGGTAGTATTTATGACGATGGTAAAGCCAATATGTTCTACCAAGCGACTGCTTTTCAACAAGCCTTTTTCTGTGAAAGCGTTACAAGTGGTCCACCAAGTTCGTGTAACAATACGTTGGATGATTATTCGATGAATAATGCAATATCTCTCTGTTTAGCCGAAGCTCCAGTTGATGGTTTGTGTACGAAGTTTGGGTCGGCGAGAAAGATTGGAACCATGCCGAATTGGGATACGAGTTTGGTGACAAATATGAATGGAGGCTATTCCAGCTATTACAGAATGTTTAATCGAAATCCTTCCTTTAATGGCGACATTTCTAAATGGGATACATCGGGTGTGACGAGTATGCAATATATGTTTTATTCCGCTACTTCGTTCAACCAACCTATTGGGAATTGGGACACGTCCAAGGTGACGAGCATGTATTCTATGTTTCAATCCGCCACTTCGTTCAACCAACCTATTGGGAATTGGGATACGTCCAAGGTGACGAGCATGTATTATATGTTTTATTTGGCTACTTCCTTTAACCACTACGTCGGCGATTGGGACACGTCCTCGTTGAGTTCTTACTCGTATGTCTTCACTGGAGCAACATCGTTTCAGGCAAAATATACGTGTGCTTCCAGTGGTACCGGAACGCAGCAAACACCAAATTCACACAAACCGTCGTGGTGTAAAACGGTTCTCTCAACTTGGGTCGCACCGCCGCCTCCAGCAACTTCCTAATATTTTCAAATTGTAACATAAATAACATACCTAGGTACCTAAGTCAACACACCTACTCGTATTTTTAACTGCATACGCTCTGCATACATTATCTCATAATCGTGCCGAAAAAACCCTAAACCAATAAAATAACGAGCGACGGTTCGTTTGCACATTTGTCTGCACATGTGTTTCGTTTTTACTCTGCATCATCATCAGAAGAGAAACACACGCCGCGCGTAATAAACACTTAAATCGATACGAAGGAAGGTCCGAATCACGACAAAAAATAACTTTTTTCTTCGTTGTTGAGAGAGCAAACACGACGCGCGCATATAAAATACACACACCTTGACCTCCGGGAAGGGAGAGGTAAAGAGCGGAAAACATTCCTTCGCGGGGAAAAAAAGTCAACATTTACCGGACTGATTTTTATTGTGTACGAAGACTACGTACGAAGACTACGACTATGTTTTCGATGTACCAAGGCGGGACGCACGTGGAAGTGTTCGACGCCGGGACGACGAAATTTTGCACAAATATCACAACATCAACGACCAGCAGTCGCGGGTTGAACGCGTCATCAGGAGCGTGTGGTGACGACGATTCGTCAAAAAAGTCTTCAAAGTCACTTTTTGCTGCTTCAAACACCAACAACGCGCAGTCGGCGCTTCGCCAGGCGAGAAACCAGCGAGGCGTCCAGTGGCAAATTTCAGACGCGAGGAAAACGGTCAACTCGAGGAATAAGAAGTATTACGAGTCTACCGCGAAAGGGTACGTGTTGCAGCTGGAAAACGCGTCCATTGAAACCGTCGTTCAACAACACTCGAATAATACTACCTCTTCTTCGGCGAAAGCGCGACAACTCACGCAGCCGATGGTGTGCGCGCAGATTTACGTCGAGAAACCGGAGGATAAGTTTACCATCGAGTTTGTGTTTTCCGAAGTTGAAACGAGGAGAGACAGGCGGAGAGTGGTTCTCTCGACCGCGTTCTTAGAGACGAAAACGTCGCCTTTGCACTGTCAGGTGCCTATCGTCGCGAAGAAGAGGAGAGTGACGAAGAGTGTTTCGGCGAAAAGCGCAGTAGTTCCAAACAAGAAGAAACACCATCAACAACACGAAGATGAGAACGATCTCACGAGAACATCGAGAGATAGTACTCGACAGTTCACGTACGACTCGTGGGTAAACTTTATCGTTCCTATTCCGAAGCTTTTGAAAAAGTGCTTCGGCGACGCGGCTACGAAACAGAAATACGCGATTGAGAAAATTCGCATCTCCGGGACGTGTTTAATCAAGCGCGTGTTGACGTTGCGAGGAGACCGATTATCATCTGGTGGATTCTTTGGTGAAGACGATTACGTCCCAGCGAGCGTGGACTTCCCGAACGGAGTCGACCGAAAATCTATCCTGTTCTTGGGCGAAGAAGACGAAGAAGTTCGCGTTGATTCGAGATCGACGAAAACCGCCGCGGTGCGCGAAGAAGGTCGATCCCCCGCGAGGAAGAAGCAGAAAGACAACGACATCATCGCACATATCGCTACACCTGCTCGACTTACGTATCGCGAACGTCGCCAGCAGAATCATCGACAAAGTAACATCAACGCGGCGATCAAATCTTCGCTTTCGACTGCCCTCAAAGCCATCGATACGAATTACGAAAAATTGACGAAAATTTCGTCACGTTCGCCGTCACCTCCGTCACCTCCGTCGTCGTTTTCGTCGTTTTCATCATCCGCCAGATCGTCTCGAGATGACAAGAACGAGAAAAAGACGGTCCGATTTGCACCAGATACGCCGCCAAACGAGGTGGAAGATGTCGAGGAAAAGAGTGAAGACGCGCGTTCGTCGCATTCGGATGGATCGATAATATCGAGATCATCGTCTTCTTCATCTCGCTCGCAACCTATGATCGGCGGCGGCTGCGGCGACGAAGACGACGAAAACGACGACGAGAATGGAAAAGATTCTCCTGAAAAACTGATCTCTTTTGTCGACGTTGTTCCGTTACCGAGAAATGATCTCTCGGTCCGAGTGCCCAACTCGAGGCGGTCAAACTTGTACCGCGACTCGGCTGAATATAAATCGTCCTCAGAAAGCGACGACGACGACGACAACGACAAGGAAGACGACGAAGAAAAAGAGGACTTGGATGAAAATGGTAAAGACGAACAACTACCCCCTTCGAACTGGGACGCCGCGCTCGGTTTCAGCAGCGATGATGATGAAGAAGAAGAAGAAGCGTAAAACAGATGTGACTTCTCTCTAAATTTACTACTTGAAAATACAACGCGTTCTCTATGATAGAAGCGTAAAATCTCTCTCTCTCTCTCTCTCTCTGGATGTGTGTGCGTGTTATTATCCACATTCACATCTCAAACTAATACCCAACGCTCACCGCGGCGTTGACGACGATAAAGTCGTCGTTCGCTCGCCCGTCCGCGTCGAAGCCGTCGCCCATGGCTTCTATCGCGATCCCACTCGACGCCACCATCCCTCCTCTCACTAACTCCACGTCCACCGAACCGTACGGAAATACTTTTTTCACCTCATCCACGTCCACTGGATACGCATCAATCGGCGCGGCTACGAGTACGTGTAACTTCATCCCGCCGTACCCGCCCGGTATCAAGTCCGCGATAGCCGGTAACGAGTTGAAACTAATCGCATCTTTACACGCTCGCACCGCGGCTTTCGTGCCGTCTTGTCCGTGTTGATCCGACCCAACTCCGAGTTCCACGAACAAGGTTTTCGACATTTTGTCGTGCTTTTCCACGTTTTCTGTTCTTTGTCGCGTCTCCGATGATGATGAAGCTTTCGCGCGCAGAAGGAATCGATTCACCATCGCTCTTTTCCCGAACGAAAGACTTTTACCAGAGGAGGAGGAGGAGGACCCGGAAAGGAGTACAAACGGAGACGTCGCTCGCACGAACATTACTCTCTCTCTCTCCTTCTCTCGTTCGAGTGAATGGTGCGTGTGATGTGCGCAGAAGAGAAGCGCGCGCAAGTTTGTGAAGAATTCCAGTTCCGTTCGGGAAATACCGTTAGAGATACGAATGGATTCCTCATTCGACGCGCGCTTTGCGGGCGAGAGATACATACTAAAGACAAAGATATGAACGCTCCCAGAACACGCGCAACGACCAAAACGACCACCACCACGGCGTGTCAAATGTGCGACATCGCGCTCGAATACGACGCGCTGTCGGCGGAGTTTTTAGCGTCTCGAAAAGTCCAGTGCGGCAGGTGTACGTTCGTCAACGACATCAGAGTCGACGCGGAGGAGAAGACGAAGACGAAGACAGCATCGTCGTCATCATCATCAGAAGGAGTAGTAAAAGGCGACGAAGCATTCGCGAGACGATTACAGAAGGAAGAAGACGCGAGAGGAAGTCATCATCGCGGGAGGAGTTTTGGGTCGTGGATGAAGGATTTGTTTTCAGCGCTTCCTTTGCCTCAGGAGGAGGCGAAGAAACGACCGCCTACATGCGCCAAGTGCGAACGAACGGTGACGGACGTCGGGGTGTTCGATCCCGGCGAGCGAGTGACACAAAACAACGTGTTCTCTCGAACAACGACGGTGAGATATTATCAAACCTCGGAGTATTGGAACGAGTTTTTGTGTCGGGAGTGCTTCGAGGGCGAGAGACGCGGATATGTGGTTCGGTGCGACGGGTGTCAAAAGATCGAAAGCGAGCGGTGTAAGCGAGAGTTGGGTGGATTCGTGAGGCTTCCGGAGGAAGAGCAAGGACCAGGGAATGCTGGTGCAGATGGTGGTGGAAGATATTTGTGTTTAGAGTGTTCTGGGTCTGTCGTGGTCGATAACGAGGACGCGTGGATATTGTACGAGGAAATAAAGCAGTTCATGATGAACGAGTTAGATTTAACGATGCCGGAGAGGATGCCGCCGTTGCACGTGGTGACGGAAGAATCAATGCGCTTATCCATGGGGAGAGACCAAAATACAACAGCGCACGTGTACAACGACGACGACGTAAACGACGACGACAGAGCAGGAGGAGGCGCAGATTTTAGCAACACCCGAACTCGAGGTTTATGTCTGTCCACCGAACACACGCTCACTCGCGTCGTGCGTCGCCCGGAATTCTCCTGGCAAGAAGGCCTCACATTCTCTGAGACGCCCATCCACGTCGGCTCTCGGAGCAACGTCACCGCCATCATCGTCGTCAACTGCCTCCCGCGACTCCTCTTCGGCTCCATCCTCGCTCACGAAATGACCCACGCGCACTTCCGCCTCACCCCGGGCTACCCTCGAAAAATCAACCGCAAAGTCGAAGAAGGCTTGTGCCAACTCATCGCCTGTCTCTGGACCGAACGCGAAGCGCAAAAGATCGACGGAAACGACGAGGAGGCGAAAAACCAGCTCGCGTTAGCCGGATGCATAGCGCACAACATCCGCAACGAACCGTCGGAAATCTACGGCGACGGCGCCAGAATCGCTCTGCACAGGTACGAAAAACTCGGCAACTGCAGAGACGTGTTCGACTGCGTCAAAAGTACCGGACAGTTCCCCGAGTACGACGCATGATCATCTCTCTCGATAGTTTTAGATTATTAGAATACTCTCCATAAATAAGAGCTTGTTTTGTGTCTTTTCCTTTCTTTTTTTGCTTACAAATTCCTCATTTTTATCCACAAAAGAAGTAAAAATGTCCTCGGATACGGCGGAATCGGTCTCTGCGCAAATCGCCTCGCAAGGCGCCATCGTGAAAGCGTTGAAACTTTCCGGGAAAACAAACGACGACCCGGACGTGTCTTCGGCCGTCTCGCATTTGAAACAGTTAAAAGCAAAGTTAGCCGAGCTCACCGGCGTGGAAGAGATTGTTGGCGGCAGGGAAAAGAAGAAAAAAAAGGACGGAGGAGGGAAAAAACCAGCACCATCGTCGACGAACAAAGAGATGAAGAAAGAGACGAAACTGGGGATGCACGTCGGGATCAACGAAGATTTCGGGGCGTGGTACTCCCAAGTCGTCGTCGAAGCGGAACTGATTGATTATTACGACATCAGCGGGTGTTACATTTTACGTCCGTACGCGTTCACGCAATGGGAGTACATTCAGGAGTTTTTTAACAAGGAGATTAAAAAGTTGGGCGTAGAGAACGCGTACTTTCCGATGTTTGTCTCGCAGTCTCGATTGGAAGCGGAGAAGGATCACATCGAAGATTTTAGCCCAGAAGTCGCGTGGGTGACGAGATCGGGGGATTCAGAGTTGGAGTGTCCAATTGCAGTCAGGCCGACGTCGGAGACGGTGATGTACCCGCACTACGCGAACTGGATCCGGTCGCACAGAGATTTGCCGCTGTTGTTGAATCAGTGGTGCAACGTCGTGAGATGGGAGTTTAAACACCCGACGCCGTTTATCCGGTCGAGAGAGTTTTTATGGCAGGAAGGGCACACGGCGCACGCGACGAAGAAAGCGTGCGACGAGGAGGTGAGGACGATTTTAGATTTGTATCGACAAGTGTACGAGGACTTGTTAGCCGTGCCGGTGATTCCGGGGGTAAAGAGCGAGAAGGAGAAGTTTGCCGGAGGTTTGTATACGACCACCGTGGAAGCGTTCGTGCCTTACACTGGAAGAGGGATTCAAGGCGCGACCAGTCATTGTTTGGGACAGAATTTTGCAAAGATGTTTGACATTACCTTTGAGAACGATAAAGGCGGACGATCCATGGTGTGGCAAAACTCGTGGGGGATGACGACGAGAATGTTGGGCGTGTGTTACATGGTGCACGGTGACGACGTCGGGTTGAGGTTACCACCGAGAATTGCGCCGATACAAGTGGTCATCGTGACCATTCCAAACTCAAAGTTGAGCGAAGAGAAGGCGCAGATGTTGAAAGGTATGTTTTTCGTCTCGCGACATAAAAATCGCGATTTTGTTTTTGCGCGTTTGTTTCTCGTACCGACTCTCTTACCTTGTGTTTGCGACTTTATTCGTGTCGTCGACGCTCTTTTCATAAAGAGTCGAAGATTAAAGATTAGAATTACTCCTTTACCAATAGTCCATCGAAGTTATCGTTGGGTTATAATGGCTTGGAGCCGACATTTTTTTTTTCATTTCTTTCTGTTGGTTTTTTTTTGTCTCTCTCACTCACTCACTCACTCACTCATTCACTCACTCGCGCTTTCAAAATCAAACACAGATAATGCTGAAGCGATCGGGAAATCTCTCACGGATAGCGCGAATGTCCGCGTCAAGACGGATACCAGAGACAACTACACGCCGGGATGGAAGTATTCGCATTGGGAAGTTAAAGGCGTTCCGATTCGTCTCGAGTTTGGACCGCGGGATTTGGACAACGAAACGTGCGTTTTAGTTCGCAGAGACACTCGCGAAAAAGAGGTGTGCAAATTAGCCGACGTAAACGCGAGAGTGCCAGAGCTTTTGGTTGAAATTCAACAAAACATGTTCAATCAAGCCAAGGCGATTCGCGACACGTCTACGATTACGGTCACGGAATGGAAAGATTTCGTCCCGGCGTTGGACAAAAAGAAGATGGTGTTGACCCCGTGGTGCGAGACGAAAGAGTCCGAAGAAGAGGTGAAGAAACGCTCGTCGGAAGAAAGCGAAGGCGGGGCGGCGAAGACGTTGTGCATCCCATTCATTCAGCCGCCGTTAAAAGAAGGAACGAAGTGCTTCATCACCGGGAAACCTGCCACGGTCTGGGTGTTGTGGGGAAGATCGTACTAAGGAGAAAGAGGAGAAGGGGAAAATATCTATTTAAATGAATATTGTTATTGTAACCATCTACATTCTCTAAAACTACCAGTCGGTACTATGTTTTCGTCTTACTATCATCTAGAACTAGAACGAGTTTCGACTTCTATTCGCTACGTTTGGTCCCCACTCCTCGTACGCGCTTTTACTAATTTGTTGATTCAAGTTCCACGTCACTTTACCGAGCACCGCGCCTCCAGTCCAGCTCAAGTGCTCCATACTTTTCTCGTGCAAATAGTCCGGCGCGGATGCGACGACGTTCACTTTGGCACTTTCCGGTGCAATCTTTGTTCGAATGTCTTCGCCTAACCGTTCGCGGAGACCTTTGACGGAACTTTCCGTGCCGTGCGCGACGACGCACTCGAACGCGTTTTCTTTCCCGTGAGAAAAGAAATGCCCAGCTTGCGCGTGTCTGAAGGAATTCTCTACCGCCGACTGTATGGCTTCGACAATTTTACTATTCGCGTCGTCGTCCGTATTTGAGGAACAACAATACAACGCGTCGCCGAGCGCAAACGCGTCTTTCGTTTCCACGCTAATCTTATTTCCATCCGGCAACTGATACGACTCCATTCCCTCTCCTCCTCCGTTCTTTCCATCATCATCGGCGTTCCATCTCACCCTCGCTAAGTGTCTATTCACAATCATCCTCTCCCATTTCTCCATCTCCGCGTAAATCTCTTTCCCTTCTCGCACCGTCGTTCCACTCAACGCTTTCTCGCAACACCGCTCGCCCCCGCCTTCGATCCGTCGACACGTGCTCTCCACAATCTTCCCGTCCGAAACCGTCGCGCAATCCACCGTCTCCGCGCCAACGTCCACCGATATCCCGTTCAACCTCCCGACTCCAGCTAACGCGCACACCGCCGCGTTCTCCGCCGCGTACCCGGACACTCGAAACTCCTCGAATAACATTTGACACACGCGTTCTCGTTCTCGTCTCGAGGCTAAAATCGGTTCCACGATAAACACGTTCTTTTTGTTCTTCTCTTCCTCTTCCTCTTCCTCGGGTTTAATCCACCCGAAATTCTCGTAAAAGAGCGCTTCGAACACCGCTCGCAAGGCGTCGAACGATTCCACGCGTCTCCCAAGAATCGCGCTTTCCAAGTTCGACCTTTCTTCGACGACGGTGCAGTCCGAGGAAACTCTCGTCGGTTCTTGCGTTTGATGTTCTCGTTGGTGTTTGCTTACCATCGACGAGGAGGAGTACCCGCCGAGAATATGGTTTCGATTGCCGTAATCGATCACGACGATCGGTACCGCGTTGTTGGCTTTCGACAGGTACGCGTCCATTTAGAGAGAGAGATGATTTGAGTGATGCTGATGTCGCGTTGTTAGTGTTTTGATGAGATGAACTTCTGCCGCACAATTTCCCCGCAAAACACACTGCTTTCGTGTTAAATATGTATTACCAAACCTTAACGACGAAGATGTTTTCTCTCGCGACGACGCGAAGGATGATGCTCGCGCGGAGGAACTACTGTTACGCTTCTTCTTTTCACGCGAGTGCTGCTGGGAAGAGGAAAACGTCGTCCTCGTCGTCGTCTTTCTCGGCGTTAAACAACGACAACGACGAGAACAACGTCGTCGTTCTCGTCGAGGATGATGATTACGACGACGACGCGAGACGCGAGAGTAGCAGCAGCAGCAGTAGCAGTAATAATACGAATAATAATGGTCACATAGTGCTCGTCGACGGCATGTCCTTCTTATTCCGCGCGTTTTACGGCTTCCAAGCGCGCTCGGACGCGACCAAACTCATAAACAGCAAAGGCGAAGATGTGGGCGTTTTGCACGCGTACGCGCACGCCATGTGCGCTCTGTTGGAATCGAAACCGTCGCATTTCGCGGTGTGTTTTGATAGCAAAGGGAAGACGTTTCGACACGAAATGTTTGTGGATTATAAAGCGAATCGGCCGCCAACTCCCGAGGCGTTGATTGCCTTGATTCCGAAGGTGAGCGAGTTAGTCGAGGCGATGGCCATCGAGACGGTGAAAGTGAGCGGCGTGGAAGCGGACGATATCATCGGGACGTTAGCGACGCGGTCGGTGACGGAGAAAGGGTTTAAGGTGTCCATTGCGAGTCCGGATAAGGATTTTTGTCAGTTGTTGAACGAAAACGTTCGGATGTTGCGGCCGGGCGGCGGAGGGCAGTTTAGCGCGTTCACTTTGAGAGAGTTCGCAAAGACCCACGAAGAGTTGATTCAGCCGGAACAATTCGTAGATTTCTTAGCGTTAGTTGGAGATTCAAGCGATAACGTCCCTGGAGTCGAAGGCGTTGGACCGAAAACGGCGAGAAAATTGTTGAATAAATACGCCAACGTGGACGCGATATTAGAAGCGGCGAAGAACGGCGAGGACGAGTTTGAAAAGCTGGGCACGAAGAAAGTGAGAGAGGCGTTGAAATCGGAGAAAGGACAAAAAAGCGCGCAGTTATCGCGAAAGTTGGTGGAAATTCGTACGAAACTGGCCGCACCAGACGTGAATGGTGATTTAGACGCGTTTCGCGTGACGACGCCGGACGATTACGGGCGCAAAGCTATGGACTGCTTCGAAAGGTACGAGTTACCGAGCGCCGCGGATAGATGGAAAGCCATACACAACATCATACTTTAGATTTCTTTTTATATCATCATTATCGCTAAAGCCTACGTACCTACGCTATAGTATTATCATCATCTTTGTGTTTTATTATTCGTCTTCTTTACTACTACTACTACTACTCATATCTTTCGCGGTTGTTCCTACTAACAACGCGAACACGAGAACCACGTTCATCAACGCAAACACATCCAGAAACCAAAATCCGGTGATAGATCCTAACCCTTCAATCGGCGAGGCCGATTCAAACACGTTCGCGAGCGCGTTCGAACCTTCCGTTGGCGGTTGCCAGACGGTTACTCCCGCGATGGATGCATCTTCTAACAACTGTGGCGTTGATGTTGGGGAAACGTTCGCTGCTTTCGATATATTCACACCCCTCCTCTCGAAACTGCTTTTGTTGTTCTTCTTCGTATTATTTATTCTCCTTCTGCTGGAGGTGAAAGGCCCAAACGCATAGGATGGTGGAACACGACAGACGGCTGCGTGGTGCATCTCTCGTTTTATTAATTTATGCGTAGTACAGAGAGCGTCTTGTTTCGCCTACTTTGTCGAGTTACACGTGTAGGGGAAATTTCAAAATGAGGGAAACTAAAGTGCACGTTGTTGTGTGGTTCTTCTCTCTTACGATACTGAGGTATGGTTGAGATAAGAATCTCAATTTGTTTTTGCTCTCGTTGTTGTTACCAACAGCGAGAAGAGGCCGTGAACGCTTACGCGGAGGTAAACTCTGTTGTTTTGATGATGAGAGAAGTAATCATAAAGAGAGAATTGGAAAGGTGAGTAAATTTCGACCCGTTGAAGGAATTTAAAAAAAAACGCACTGGTGACAGCCTTGGTCCCTTCGGAGACGGCGTGCTTGGCCAATTCACCCGGCAAGATCAATCGAACGGACGTTTGGATTTCTCTGGACGTCACGGTCGGCTTCTTGTTGTATCGGGCCAATTTCGCGGCTTCAGTCGCGATCTTTTCGAAGATGTCGTTGATGAAGGAGTTCATGATGCTCATCGCCTTGGAGGAGATGCCGGTGTCCGGGTGCACTTGCTTCAAGACCTTGTAGATGTAGATCTTGTAGGTTTCGACCTTCTTCTTGGAGGACTTCTTGGCGCCGCCTTTGACGGTCTTCTTTGCTGGTTTCTTGCCGGCCATTTTTGTTGTGTGTGTGTGTATGTGAGTGTTAATAATGGCGTCTGTATTGGAGGGGAATGGTCAGAGGCGTTTGAAAATTTGAATGTCGAGTCCTCGGATTTTTCTACAATTACAAAATCTGTTGAAAAAAAGCAGAATCGAATGGATCGCAGCTTCTTCTACGCGCGATCAATTGGCGCGCAAAATGTCACGCGCGGTTCCAATTGGTGTAATGAGTGAACAGTGAGCATTGGATACCTTTTAATGGAGCATTGGTCACTCGAGACGAAGAACACTGGATTTGTCCGAATTTGGCTTCAGAAAGATGCATTTCGAGTGGACACTTTTTCAGTTCCCCCTAAAAAACACAAAAACGCCACCAACTTCCTCATTAAAACAAACAAACACAGAACACAATGTCTGGACGTGGTAAAGGTAAATCCTCCAAAAAAGCTGTCTCGCGATCCGCGAAGGCTGGCCTCCAATTCCCGGTTGGCCGTATCGCTAGGTACGTTTTGTTATATCGTTTACATTTTTTACAGTCCCAAAACCCAAAACCTTGACGAGAGCGATTTGGATGAGTTGGAAATGCGTCCGTTCCTCGAATACTACGATTTTGAAATTACAAGCGCTGACTTTAAACTCTCTTTCTATCCATAAACAGATACCTCAAGGTTGGCAAATTCGCCACCCGTGTTGGTGCCGGCGCCCCGGTCTACTTGGCCGCGGTCTTGGAATACTTAGCGGCTGAAGTTCTCGAACTCGCCGGGAACGCTTCCAGAGACAACAAAAAGTCCAGAATCGTACCGAGACACATCCAATTGGCCATCAGAAACGACGAGGAATTGTCCAAGTTGTTGGGCACGGTCACGATCGCGTCTGGCGGTGTCTTGCCGAACATCCACTCGGTCTTGTTGCCGAAGAAGTCCAAGAAGTAAACGATTAAAGTTTCTTCTTGAGATGTTGTATAGTAGTACACACGAACAAAAACAAAGGAAATTCTTATTTCCTCCAACAACTGAAAACGAATAAGATTCCAAAACAACACACACGCGCACACACGCACTTGTACCTATTACCATTCCTACCGCACGGGATGCTCATAGTAGTTACGTTATACTTCGCGTTACGATTTTTTTTATAATCAAACAACAAAAACAAAAAGAATGTTCTACTACTGTACGTGAATGAGGTGGTGGTCTTTCTCTCTCAATCTCAACTACTCGTTTTTTTTTCGGCGGATGATGAAGTTTTCTTCGCGTTCAACACCCCGGAACTGTCGATTTCTCTCATCACGTTTTGTCCGACGAAAAACGCCAAGATCAAATCCAAACAACCGGATTCAGATATGGTACCACCGAACAAACTCGCGCCGCAGTTCACGTACATCGGCCCGGGACACACGCCGGCGAGCCCCCAACCGGCGCCGAAGAGCGCTCCCCCGACTAAGAGTTTCGGAGTGATGCCTTTAAACGGTTCCGCGAACGCGCTTTTTTCCGGGTGAAATGTCGGTCGTTCTACACCGTTTTTAATGACATAAAACCCTGGGATCAACACGGCCAATGCCGAAGCCATCAACACCATCAACGACGGATCGAAGCTTCGTTTGGTGAATTCCAAAAACGCCGCCACTTTTGCCGGGTTGACCATCCCGCCGACGCACAAACCGACGCCGAAGAACGCGCCGGTGGCGTATTCGTGCACCGCTCGAATCGCCGCACCGACTTGCCCGCTTCTCGGTATCAATCCTTTCCTTCCAGCCAACGCGATTGTCCCAGAGATGATAGCTCCGGTGACCAAAAACGTCCCGAACAAAGAAAACTCCTCGCTCGTCAACCATCGCACGGAATCCAACGTCCTCGCTCTTTGCGACACGCCCAACGCCCCAGTCGTATCAAACATCAACGCCGTGATCGCCCCAGACGCCATAAAAACGCACGTGTTAATCAAACTCCTCACGGACAATCTCCCAATCCCGGACAACCCGTGTCCACTCGTGCATCCGTTTCCGGCGACGCTTCCCACGCCGACCAACAAACCAGCCGCGGCTCGCCTCGTCGAGCTCGCGACTAAACCAAACCCTCCAACCGGGATTAACTGTTGCGAAAACCCGAGCAAAGGAATCCACTTCGCGCTGGTGAACAACCCCGCTAAAAACGGTAAGTGATTCAAGCGTTCTTCGAACGCGATTTTTTTATGCGTAAACGCGCGAAAGAGTCCACTCGCCCCGACCGCTTTCCCACAATTTAAGTAATGCGCCAAAGAGGAAACGCCGAGGATTAAGCCTCCGGCGATGGCGGCGCCTGGAGTGAACGCAACTGTTTCATGTGTTAAAGTTTGTGTTGTTTGTGCGCACCCGTAGTGCGAGAGCACACGTAAAGAGAGTAAAAGGTGAGCGCACATAGCATATCATCTTTGCAATAATGGAATAATCACGTAATGGAGAAATATCTCATAACGTCATGGAAACATGGAAACATGGAAAACAAAGACACCGAGGGAGAGAGAGAAAGAGAAAGAAAGAAAGAGAGAGACTTTTCAAAAAGACGAGAGACGACACTTTTTTGTCGCGTTCGAGTGCAAAGTCAGAGCAGTGGCAGAGAGTAAGCACTCACGCGGGAGGGAAAACATGTGTGATGTTGATGTTGGTATTTTATGAGTAAAAGGAGAGATTTTTCTCCATATTAAGCGAGAGAGAACAAAAAAGATTCGTTTTCGAAAAGCGGAGAAAGGCGGAAGAAGGCGAGAGCAGGCATATATACATATCTTCTCGAATATATATACATAGATTCGTCGGTGTTACAGGTAGTATTATTATAAGTATTAGTATCGTAGTAGCAGTAGTACTGGTAGTATTAAAACAGTTCGTAGCGCAATGCGTAATACGTGTATAGTATCGCGCGTTCGATCTCGCGTGGTGCGTTTATATTATTTCTTCTTAAGCGGAGCCCTCTAACACGTCTCGGGTGATTCTCGCCAAAGTCTGGCCGACCCAAAATGAAAGCAAGGCCAATCCGCAACCACCGGTGGCGGAAATAGATTGATTCGTCAACGCGGCGCCGACGTTGACGAATAACGGGCCTGGGCACATGCCGGCTAATCCCCAACCGGTGCCGAAGATGGCACCGCCGACGATGAGTTTGGCGTCGATATCAGCGGTGATTGGATCCGGGAGCTTGAACGCGTCGCCGAACGTGGAGGTATTGAGTTGATTTTTGATGATGAGGATACCAGGGATTATTGCAGCTAACGCGGCACCCATGACGACACCTAACGACGGGTCCCACGTGCTTTGCGTGAACTGTAAGAAGGTGGACACTTTCGCCGGGTTGACCATTTGGGAGACGACTAAACCGACGCCGAAGAGGACACCGGTGGCACCGTGGACCGCGGATTTGACGACATCCGCCATTTTCGAGCCACGCTTGATGAGAATGTTGTTTTTAGCGAGATAACCGATGGTGGCGTACCCGGCAAATGCCGAGGTCAGAATTTTACCGTACAACGCTTTATCCGCTTGCGTCGCCGCGACCGTATTTGCGATGGCGTTCACCGCGGTGGCCGCTTTGCCTTTCCCCGTTGTCGTGACCACGTGTAATAACGCGTTCGTGTTGAACATCGTCGCGGCGAGCGCGCCAAACACCATGAAGGTGCACACGTTCGCCAACGATCGAACCGACAAGCGCCCGATGCCGGACAACCCGTGTCCGCTCGTGCATCCGTCGCCTAACTTTGAGCCAAAACCGACCAATATCATCGCCAAAACTAACCGCGAAGTCCCTTCGATGACTTCATATCCACCCGTCGGGAGTAAATGTGCCAAACCTAAATAGGGTAAAACCAACGGCGTGGCTACGATACCCAGGAATAAGGGCAATTTCGTTTCCCAAGCGTCTTTGGAGACTCCTGAAAATGAAAAAGGCGAGACCAGGTGCGAACATCCAATCGCTTCCCCGGTGGATAAATATCTCCCCAACACCGCGGCGGCTAAGATTACACCTCCAGCGGCGGCGTTTTCTGGTTCAAAAGTCGCCACGTAATCCGCTCCGTGGTGCGCGATCGAAATCTTTCTTCGCATTTGCTTTCTTCTTCTTCCTTTTACACTCGATTTTAATGCTGAGCTGGCAGACGATTGCATTGGATTCGAAATCCCAATTCTCCCATTCAACTTTGACGTGAGGTTTTTATCACGACTGGATCTTCTTGCACAAGCAGCAGCATTAGATGCTGAAATTTGTTGGGCGAATAACGATTGCATTTCGAGATATTGTCTCTCTCTCTCTCTTATAAATATATAAATATACCTTCTTTGCGTATGTTCCGCGCAAAATAATTGAGGAGTTCTTCTGAAGCAAAAATCATCAGATCGATTTTTTTTGTTTAGGGTTTTTAAAATTTTTTCCAAACGTTTTTTTTTTTCTTCCTTCCAAACAAACAAACACATGTCACATTTTGAGAGTGATCAACGCGGGTTTGACGACGCGAGAATGCCAAACTTTGGAAGCAAGAAGAAGCGCGCGAAGAAGACGAAGAAGACGAAGGATTTGGAGGACAAACTTTTGGATTTGAATTTAGAAACGACCACCACGGACGAAGAAGAGGAAGAATTGGAGGCGAAGAAGGCGAGGCGAAAGCAGAAAAAGCTTTCCGAGAAGAAGAAGAGAAAGACCCCGAAAGAAGCGGAGGAGAAGACGTCGTACCGGCCGCCGTACGAGTGGCTGGACGACAACGAGGAGGATGGGGACGACGATGCTTCGTTTCTGCCGCGCGTGTGCACGGAAGAAAACGACGAAGAACGCAACGTCGCCTTTGAAGGGTTCGATATCACAACCTTTTACGGATCAGAGAGGTGGCAGTTTGAAAGCGACGTATTTGGAGAAGATCGAATACACAGAGGTTCGGAGAAATTCTCCTGCGCCTTAACGTGCGGACCGAGGAATGAGACGGTGTATTTTCATTTCAAAAGTAGAGTGAACTTGTTAAAGTTTCAGAAACGACCGCGACGGTTTCTTCCGATGTGCGGCGGCTTCTGTTGCGTCGGCGTGATTTTTTCAAGCGATCCGGATTCGTGTTGTTTCAATCGTTTATTTCGAGGGGATCCATCGAAATTTGCGAGAAAAGATCAGAAAGTGTACATGTTTGCGGACGAAGCGAGCAAACAGTATTTTTTATCGTACGCGCAGGAGTTGTCGAAGGTGTGCGAGGAAGCTTTCGAAAGGAGAGGGTTTCAAGAAAACGCAGAGGTATGCGACGGAGGGTATCACGATGGTCACTATGCTCCGTTTGGAAAGATTGATGGGTATCCAGAACACTTTAACTAATCAAATTTTGTGCATGCTTTTACTACTACTTTACTACCTTCTGCTTTTGCTCATATCGCTATTTGTTAATTTATTGAAACGCCTTCAAGGAAATCTTGCCCGGCTTTCTCTCGTCTACATCATCACCATCATCGCAATCATCGACGACGACGCTCGAATAGTCCAACAAAGCCTTAAACTGAACTCTCGTAGAAGAAATCATACCAGACACCGCGCATCGAGCGGCGAGCGGTTGTTCGCGCACCGCGGCGTTCGAGAGTCTAGAGGCATCCAGCGCCATTTTTTTACTGGTAACGTTACTAGTACCCAAAGTCTCAATCGCAATCGCAAACATCGCCGCCAAGATATTCGCGGATAAGTTCTTCGCATCCTTTTCTGCCACATTTTTAAGGAACTTGAGCGTACTTGACACGAATAAAACATTCAAATCGGCATCAACTCGGTTCATGGATTCCGAATTCTCCCCTTTTGCCGTTTGTCTCGAAAATACAGCAATCGAAGGCGCAAGTTTTCGCAAGACGACGACGTCGTCCTCCGACGCAGAAGATTTGGAGTCAAGATAGACATCCAAAGCCATCAGCGCCACCAAAGCGCTGTTTAAATTTGTCGAAATAGATTCTTCACTCTCCAAGCGCTCCACGAGTATCTCTTCGAACTTTTTTCGATTAACTTTTTCCATTTGCGCGAGTAAGTTTGCCAAGGCGATGAATTTCTTTTCCTTCTTCTCGTACGAAATCGAAGCTTCGACGACGTCGTCTTCGATCAAATCCATGAGCAAGTTTTCATCCGTAAAACCACTGGTCGTCGTTATCGACACTTTATTCGGGGATGCTTTACCGTTGAATGGAACAGCAGCCGATGATGACGAATTCAAAAACTCAATCGCGGCATCTCGAATCTTACGATACGCCTCAGAGGATTTCGTGCAATCGAACGCAGCTTTTCCAAGCTTGTCGTTTAATAAACTTTGCGCCGCAGATTCGGCGAAAGAATGAGCGTTCTCAAACGTTTTCAACCCGCGCAAAGCGGTTTCAACTTGCTCGACATCATTGGTACGGGCGTTGAACATGAAACTCAAAGGTATGCGCGCGGCGTCTACTTCTTTGGCATCCGGAGTCGGATTGAAACGCTCGATCGCGTCGGAACTTTCGTCAGATAAAGTTCTCGTACACGCAGCGAATGGTTCGTCCAAAGAAGCGAGTAAAATAGGTTTCAAATAGTGCTCGCGAAGAGTCGACCATTGCTGTGTATCACTGACTCTCACGGAAGCTTTCACACACGGTAGAAACGCCTCGGCGACATCTTGTACTAAACTTGGACACGCCGTGACGAGCTCTCCGGGTAAAAGTTCAAACTTGTCCATAATCATATTGTCCAGCATTTGTTTCTCGGAGCCTTCACGAAGCTCTACGCTTCGTTTAATGAGTTCGACGTCGTGGGGTAGATACGTCCACGCAGGCACGAACGCCTCGACGACGTCGGAAGGAATGGATGTAGAATCTTCTTCATTGCATATGTATGCCGTCGCTAAACACATGCACGCGGCGATTCGCGCACGCACCATCACAGCTTCGCAACACGCGTTCATTAAGGTTAAATTGTTCAAGGATGATGCTGATGATGACGACGACGACGACGAAGCTTTTGGGTACACCGGCAGCCATTCTTTCGCAAAATCAACGATGCATGCGTGCAATCGTTTCGACACGGAATCGTCCGAGCCGTGCACTTTTGCAGAGAGTGCGTGTGCCGCTAATCTCGCGCCCGCGACACGCACATCGAGCGGTGTATCGGAACTTCGAGAAGCACGAACGGCGGAGAGGATTTGTGCTTGAAATTGTTCGAGCGTTTTGATGGACCTTTTCCTATTTCGCGCACTCGGGATGTTGCGCTGATGGAAGCCATCTCCTCCGTCCTCGTCTGAGTCGTCGTCGTCGATGTGATAAAACGCGTCCGGATCCTCGTCATTTCCCCATAATTTGACAAGAAAAGACATCATTTGTAATCCTCTCGCGCGCAATTTCGAAGCACTTGCCGTGGATAATGAATACGCAATTTGGAAACACCTTTGCCCGTGCGTCGGTAAATATGCGTTTGGAGAATCCGATGCGCGACTTAATTTAACGCTTCTATGCTCCGGAATATTACTTTCTTGAATCCAGAAAGGGATTCTCGAAAGTAGCGAAGCTGCAAATATGCGCGCCGGGAGACGCGGGTGATTATTCGCACGATTTGCATCGATATCGGATTCGTCGATTTCTTTCTCGTCCATCTCTCCCTCCTCGTTTTCTTCGTCTTCATCTTCGTCGTCGTTAAACGCATCTTCGTCGTCTTCCGATTCCTCGTCTTCGGATTCTTCCACGAGTCGTTGGTCGTCGAAGGAAAGCGCCGATAAAGCTTTGAGCGCCCGTTTGGGGTCTCTGATGGATAACTCTCTGGCCAAGACTCGCGCGCAGTTCTTTGCGTCTCGGATGACTCTTCTCGAAGCGCCTTTCGTCACACATTTTACAATGTCTCTCAACAACATCGACCCAAATTTTGACGATGATTTCGTTGACTTGGAGGCGTACTCGAAAGATATCCCTGAATTGTTTTCGTCATCGTCTGGGTATAATAATTTATGAGCGTCTTTCATGGCGAGAAACGAGAGCGTTTCCAGGGCTACTGGCTTCGTCGCGTAATGCCGCAAGGCGTCTCTAAGCGTTACGGTGACAGTCGTCATATCGATAGCGTTCGGGGCAAACATAGCCATGTGTTCAATAAAAACAACTTCAGCGTAAACAACGTCGTCGCTTTCGTTGAAGTTATCTTCAACATCATCGTTTTTCGACGTTGCCGACAGCGTCGGATATTGCTGCCGCAACTCCTGCTGAGAATTCGGATTTCTTTTTCCTCCACCTACTCCTTTACCGTTTCGGTTATCCAACGCTAAGCGGAAATTTTGAAAACGTGAATGGCTTTGCACGTCGCGTATAATTGCAGCAACATTCATCGCTTTTATGAACACTTTATGTTCCGCCGATAAGTCCGGGCCAATGGCAATAGCAGCCGCATTCGCCAGGTGCCCACATTCCGGGACGAAAGAGACGACGTTTTTTAACAGCGCTTCTTGCGCGGGTAACGAATCTAACATATGCATAGACAGATCAACCGCACGATCCGAATCTCTCGCAAATCTACTACCACAAACTTCTGCGACGTGTGCTAATGCCCGAATTGCAAACGCGTGCGTAGATCTGTGCGTAGGATCTATGTTGAGAGAAATTTTTGAGAGCGCCTCGATGAGCCTGCGCAGCGTCGTTTCACCGATGGACATCGCGCCAATGTGCTCGATGGATTTTGAGAGGGATAAACATTCAATGGCGATGTTCCAAGTGCGCCTGTTATGTCCAGTATCTTGCATGTCCATATCGCGTGAATACGTTTCGAACAAATTATATGCGCGCTCTCTGACTTCCTCGCTCGATGCGGTTTGCTCGATGCACTTGGCGCAAAGTAGCGCAGACTCGAGAGGTGCGTGTGATGAGAGAGCGTTCTGAAGTGCTCTAGAGTACCTCGAAAACATCTTTAGATGTAACTGAGAACTTTCGTTCGCATCTTCGCGCAGCATGTGAGAAACGCTCAGTATATCCGCGAATCGCCTCGATACAGCCGCATCGCATCTCAAAAAATCAGTCAACACAGGCTTTTTCGGGTGGTTGAACAGCGAAACATGTTTTTTCCGATACTCAGACGAGTTCAAATTTACGAGCATTTTACTGTGCTCGATAACCTGAATGCACCGTTCCTCCCATGCATAGAGAAGTTGTGCTAGCGCTGCTTGTAACTTTGCATCTTTACCCCCGTCAGCGATAGCAACCTCTACAGCGCGAGAGAAGCAGGCGCGACTCGCCTCGTCTATCTGGTCGACTACGGTTGCCGCAAAAGGGAAGACATCTTTCCTCACTATGTTATCGCTCTCTTTACTGTCATCAAACACGTGCGATGGCGAATTTGGAGGTGCGTTTGAGTTTCCCCTGTACGCTCTCAGATCTGCAAACGCTTGCGAAACCGTCTCGTCTCCGTTTTCTAACGTCACGACGTGCGTGTTCACGAGCAATTCGCGTTCCGCTTCGTCCAAGAAAGAAGAAAGCGACGTCAAGCGTCCAAAATCGAGTCTATCCGTATCATCGTCGTCGTAAACGAGATCTTCTTCATCTTGATTGAACAATACATTCTTGTCATCTTCCCTCACTTCTTTTGCAAACGCTTCAAAGTTAGAAATCAAGTTTGCAATCTGTGGCGTGAAATCTTGAAATCGGCACGCCTTCTCGACATCTTTCGAACACGAGGCGTACGCAGACATTGCTCGTAGATGCAAAAGCAACTTTCGACGAACGATTTCGATATTTTCGATGCTAATTTGCGCGTCTCTCAGTTGAATTCTTTCGCAGGCGCACAAAAGAGATCCGAGCATAAGTTTTGTCGCTCGACCGTTTTCTTCCTCCGCGCTGGCGAATCTGGCGTACGCCTCGACAGCCTCTGCAGCTGCGCACGCCGCCGCCAAATCATCCCTACTCGTCGTTTCTTCTCCTTCAGAGCTTGTTTGCATCGCGGATGCTACTTCATCAAACGTGGAAGAGATGACAAATGCGATGTTTTCAAACTTTTTCCTCTTCTCCTCGTCGCGTCTTTGCGAATAGATGAAAATCGAGGAGCGCGCTAACGAGGATGCCGAGAGACAAATAAAGCCAGCTTCTCTCGCTTTTGCCGAGGCGTTCAACATGCAAAGCCTCGCGCCAACTTCTTCGACGCGATCGATGGCGTCTATGGGCACACCAAGCGGCCAACTCGCCGTTTTTTCACCGATGAGCGCGCAAATAAAGCGCGCATCGGCAATGAGCTCGTCGTCGAATCTATACGAGGGAGCGTTGCTGTCTGCGCCATGTGCATTTCCATCTTCTTTTTCTCCTTTTTCTTCTCCTCCTTTTTTTCTATCACTATTATGCATCGTTAGCGGAAACTTGACGAACATTTCCAACTTTGAGAGCGTTCTCGCGAGTTCTCGCGTCGCCATTTCATGTCCAGCAGATAACGCCGCTTTCGCCAAAGCTCCTGCGCGTTCGTTCACTCGCCATTTCGTTCGAAAGAGCGCGTCGCCGTGCTTACTCGAAAACACGTTTTTTATGTATAAAAACGATTCGGCGTCGACGTACCCGATCGCATCTATCCCGTCTCTCACCGCGCGAAGTATAGAAACAATTCGTAAATCGTTCGTATTGTCGATTAATTTTCCTCTCCTCTTCTGCTTTGCGTTTTTCAATTTCTCGTCGGCGGTGGACACGATTTGGCAACGTAAAATATCGAGAATTTGTTTTAACGTCGCTTTTCTCGTCGACTCGTCCACGCGCTTCTCGAACGCGGCGACTCGTAACACGGCCAACCCACATGCTGCGGCAAAACAGTCGTTCTTTCTTAATTTCGACGCGAAACCTACTTTGACGATATCTCTCGTGCACTCCTCCACCGAGTACGACTTGCCGCTGAATTGTGGGTTGGTCGCGTAGCGCATCCACGCGCGCGCGACGGCATCTTGTATCGCTCTCGAATCTTTAAAAGTCGTTACTTCACTCGTTTCAAACAAAGGTTTGATAAAACACGTTTTTACGGTGTACAAAGAAGACGACGAGGATGACGTCGAGAGGGCGCGATCTTCATCGGCGAACTCGCCCCCCATCGTATCGTCGTCGTCTCCGATATCGTCCACTACACCTTCCTCCTCGGTAGATTGGGTCAATTGACTGCTACTTCCTCTGATACCAACGCTAGCAGTAGTACCTATTTTTCGCTCCACTTGACTCGCCACGGTTGCGAATGCCGATATGACTTCCACCCCAGAATTACCTAAATTTTTCGTCTCGGCGATTAGATTCAGAACGTTTTTACCTTTTCCGTACTGCTCGATTTCGCCCAAAGCGTGATACCCAGCCGAGTATACGTTATTCGAATCGCCGCGTCCGTTGAACGCTTCTATTTCTAGTTTTATGCTATTTGCATCGCTTTTCTTCATCGCCATCAACATTGCCGCTCGTAACTCCAACGCTCTTCGCTTCGCCTCTTGCGTCGCTCTCGAGATTTCCGTGGAGGCTCTTCTCCCGCCTTCTAAAGCGACAACTCGTTTAATCATTCTCCGCATATGATCGATAGTCTTTGCGGTTAACTTTAATCCGCCATCACTGACCGCGTCTGGATTCCCAACACATCTCGCCGCAACCTTTAACGCCACGGTGGCAACTTTAATCCCCGATATGTCGTCCTTGTACGCCCGATTATCAACCGCCTTCATCGCGCTCGCGCACGCCGAATCGCAAAATTGCCCAGTGCCCAGCTCTTTCCCGAACGACCAAATCAAAGCTTCCAAGCAATCGCACGCGCCGTAAAACCGTTCCATTTTCTCCCACACATTTTCACCCACGACACCTTGAAACGCGCTCTTACGTTTCGGGAAATCGTCGATATCGTTTAACCGTTCGTTCGTGAATCGGAAGACGCTTTGTCTGTCGTATTATTAAAGAGAAGATAGATACGGTAAGAAAACACGTGAAATGCTGATATTAATACTTAGTAGTAATGACTCACCTGTTACCGAACGAAAACGTCAGCACTAAACAGTCTCTGGCGATCGCCCTCGCGCTTCGACCAAAAGGTACGCTTTGGTACCCATTTTTTTCATCCTCCCTCTTCAACACCCCTACGACGGCAATCTGAAACAACACCTTCTCCAATCGATCGTGCAAACGCTTGATTTCGTTTTCTTTGCCGCTGTTTTTTGCTGCGATAAAACGTGTCCGCGAATCCACCAAAGCCGAGCGCAAACTCGCGAGTTTTGCGAACAACAACGTCGACGACGCGCTTTGTTGTTTCGATGATGATGCTGATTTTGTCACTGATTTTGTTGCGTCGCTTTTTTCACCAAAACGTAAAATTATGTCCTCCACGTCCTTCACTCTTTGCTCTAATTCGGATACAACATCCTCCTCCACCTTCTCCTCTGAAGCTTTACCATCATCGTTCGCGCTCGTCGTCGTCGTCGGAGGAGGAAAAGTCGAAGCAGAAGAAGAAGAAGGAGAGGAGACAACGCTCATCGTGTGTGTTCTCTCTCTCTCTCTCTCTCTCTCTCTCTCTGTAGTCTGTAGTTTCTAACGAGAATTTTTTGCTTCTTGCTTTTTTTTTTGAAAACCCTAAACACTCCTTTTTTTAGGGGAATTCTTTTTCGGAGGTACGAAGGTACTTACTACAGAAACCGACCGCTTGCTCTCTCTTCTTTGAGGAGCTTCGAGGAGCGCGAGAAAGACTACCGCGCATATACCTGCTATCAGAGGATATTTTTTGTGCAGGTGCTTTTCCTGCTTTAAAGAGCGAGAGTTTAAAGAGAGAAAAAGGGCACATCATGGCATCGGAAACCACGTTGGATAAAATCACATCCAGCGGCTCATCGTCGAACACGAACGCGGGGATGGTGAATCACCAGATGAAAACCTTCGTCCTCGTCCTCCTTTACTTAGGTTTGAACAGTTCGTTAAACCTTTTAAACCGGTACACGCTCGGGCACGCCGGGTTTTCGTTTCCGATTTTACTCACCGTCGCGCACTTATCGTTCTCGGTGATATGTTTATCTCCAATCATGTTATCTCCAAAGTTGAGCTATGCGAGTTCGCACCAGGAGATATTACCGAGGGTGAAAAACGCGGTGGTGAAGATTGGTTTGTTCATGAGTTTGAACATCGCGATGAATAACGCGAGTTTAGTGTCTATGCCGTTATCGTTAAATCAAGTGATTCGAGCGTCCATTCCTGTGGTGTGCGCGGTGTGCGCGATGTTCGTGGAAGGACGAGTACCGGGCGGGATCGAAAGTATCGGGTTACTCTTCGTCGCCGGTGGAGTTATGTTTTGTATTAGTGGGAGTTACGCGGCAGCGAGTAGTGGTGGTGGTGGTGGTGTTTCATCGAAGGAGAAGGAGCGGACGTTGAGCGGATTATTGTATTGCGTAACCGCGACGATTTCAAACGCGTTGATGATGACGTTTAGCGGGAAGATCATGGGCGGAGAAAAATTGGACGCGTTGCGACTGACGTTTTATACCGCTCCGGTGACATTGTGCGCGTTACTCCCCGTCGCTTTACTCTTAGAAGGCGATCGGTTCGTCAACAAATATTTCGGCTCGAACTCGTTCGACGTGCAATCGAGGGAAGCTTTGATGTACGGCGACGAATACGTATCGCCGATTAAAGTCTTGACGTTAGTCTTACTCGGGTGTTTGAACGCGGTGTCATATAATTTCGTTCACTTCGCGTTAGTCGGGGCGACGTCGGCGGTGACCACGACAGTTCTCGGAAACATTAAAGTCGCTCTGTTAATCTTATGCTCGCGCGTGTTATTCGGCGAGACGAAAGATTGGAGCGTATCCATGGTTTTCGGAGCGTTCGTCGCTTTGGCTGGGTTCGGTTTGTACTCTTTCGCGCGAGTCAAGGTGTCGCATCAGCAAATGAATACGCACAGCGCTAAGAAATAATACTAATAGAGAGAGAGAGATTGTTTTATGTAGCAGTAAAGTTTGGCCATTCGCGAAACGCAAAACTTCGCCTCGAACTTTTTTTTCCTCATTGTAAATGCACAGTTTGCACACGACAAAACCGCAGCTCATCCTCGCGCAAGAGCGACAGAAACAGACCTCTCGTCGTTCCAAAACCATCGTCGTTCCCGTCATGAGCAACGACACCGTTGAACTCTCCTCGTTAGCGACCGCATTCTCGCGACAACAATCCGGTCCGGGCGCCTTGTGGGCCGAAATCACCGCGCTCTCTCGACAAGAAGGGGTGATTGATATCGGGCAAGGGTACCCTGATTTCGGTTCGAACGCGATCGCGAAACAAAGCGCGAAGCGAGCGATATCGATGGACGAAAAGACAATTTCGGGAGACGTTCCAGACGCTCGAGCGAATCAATACGCACCGATTCCAGGAACGGCGGATATGCTGGATGCGGTGAAACGGTATTACAGAGACACGGCGAGAAATGTATCCTCGGTGGACGAATCGAGAGACAGTTCGTTGGTGACGACGTCGGCGACGGAAGGGTTGTACGTGGTGTTTCGAACGTTGTTGAACAAAGACGACGAGGTGATGACGTTAAGTCCGTTCTTCCCGTGGTATTTAGCGCACGCGACGGTAACGGAGTGTACGCTACTTGGAGTCCCGTTAAATCCGGAGGATGGATTTGCGGTGACCGAAGAGATGTTAGAACGAGCGTACGCCAAGAGCAACAAGAGAGTAAAGATTTTCGTGCACTGTTCGCCGCATAATCCAACCGGTCATTGCGCGAGCGAAGAAGAACTGGAAATTATCGCCAGGTTTTGTAGGAATCATAAGATCGTGGCGATCGCGGACGAAGTGTACGAACGGTCTACGTTTCTAGAAAGCAAGCCGCATTTGCGTTTGCGAGAGTATTTACCGGAAAGAACGGTAACGGTTGGCACGTCGAGTAAGCTGATGAATTTATCGGGCTGGAGAGTGGGATGGATATACGGCCCAAAAGTCATCGTCGACGCGTGCAATACATTCCACTCCTACGCCTCTTTTTCCACGCCAACGCCGTTACAAGCCGGCGTCGCGGACGCGTTAAACGACATCTGCGACCGAGCGAAACCGGGCGAAGGCGTCACCCCGGACGAAAACGCCCAAATCCTCGCCTCGAACGCCCAAATCCTCGCATCCGCGCTCACCGCCTCCGGCTTGAAAGTCTACCCACCCGAAGGCGGCTTCTTCCTCGTCGCCTCCGTCAAAAACATCAAATCTGTCGACGGCGACGCCATCCAATACTGCAAAAATCTCGCTCGCCGAGGCGCCAAAGTCAGCGCGGTTCCGATGACGCCCTTCTACGACCCATCCTCCCCCGAAAACCCGACCGATTTAGTCCGGTTCGCGATATGTAAAAAACGCGAAACCATCGCGGAAGCCGCGAGGAGAATACGCGAGAACCCTTTGTAGAGAGAAGGAGTTTCCATAGCCAGATATTATTTATGTATCCATCGCACCGCTTTTTATAGTAAAATTAGAGATGTCACACCCCTAAAAAGTAGGACAAAATTTGAAAAACGCGCTCTTTTGTTCTCGTTTGGCCCGGATACGTGCGCACACTCCTCGACGCGCGAAAATGAAAAAAATCTTAACGCACATCATCAAACGCGCGTGCAAACGCTTTAATATCGAGCGTGAGGACCTCTTTGATGCTCCTGACTCGTCCGCGCGGTCGAAATCATCACCGCGCGAACCCGTCGCTGAAGGTGACGAAAATGTGGATTGGCTTGCCTTGGACGCGACAAAAAGATGTACCGAAAAAAAGCGGACGAGGATGTCTGGAGAAGGAGTCGCGACGAGATCGCGGAAGAGGAAGATTGCGCAGAGAGATTCTTTGTGGGATTTGATCGTGAATAACGACGATATTTGTTTCACACACATTCTTCCGAGATTGGATTTGAATGATGTGAAATTCTTGTACGAAGTGAATAGTGAAACGAGAAAGTTGGTGAAGAGATCGTCTCGCAAGGGGGAGTTGAAAGAGACGTTTTTTGTGAGCGAGATGTCGTCGATATCGACTTTGAAAGTAGCGTGGGAGCATTATCCGTGGGAAGCGTATGACTACGATGCGGAAGAAGAGACGGACGAAACATATTTCTCCGAGCAAGTTGCTAAAACGAATAAACTCGAGTTGCTCAAGTGGGCGCGAGAGGAGAAAAAGTGTGAGTGGGATGATCGGACGATTTGGGCGGCCGCACGTCAAGGTAATCTGGGAATGGTAAAGTATTGCGTTGCAAATGAGTGTCCTATCGATGAGAACGCGTGTGCATATGCTGCCGAAAGCGGTAATCTCGAGTGCCTCAAATACTTACACGAAGAAGTCAAAGCGCCTTGGGAATCTTGTACTGCCTCTTGGGCGGCTGAAAGTGGTCATCTCCACATACTCGAATATCTTGTTGAGCGTGAGTATGATGAATATGGCGAAAATGCGTGTTGGTATGCTGCCAGGAACGGCCATTTAGACTGTTTGAAGTACTTGCACGAAACCGCCAAAGCGCCTTGGAACTCTTGGTGCGTTCAAGTAGCGCACGAGAGCAACAACCCCGAATGTTTACAATACCTCCTCGACAACAACTGTCCTCTACCAGACGGTTATCGATACGAAGATGGAGAGTTATACGTACCAGAACCAGAATCAGAATCAGAATTAGAATAATGAAAACATGTAATACCACGCGCGTTGTGATTTTTCCTCGAAAAAAGTCCAAGACTACGTCACACTTTCATATCCAAAATACACACACACACACACACACAATGCTCGCATCAACCGGCATAAACGCGTATTCTTCGCGCTCGTTCGCGTCCAGATTCGCGTCTTCTTCGTCCTCTTCTTCTCCTTCTTCCTCTTTTCGCAAAGCGGCGGCGGCGAAAGCTTCGACGACGACTAATCGATTCAGCGCGTTGTTCGTCTCGTCAGCATTTCCCCAAAGCGACGACACCACTCCGAAAGGCAACACCAAAGAAAACGACGACACAAACACCTCAGCACTATCATCATCATCATCATCATCATTTAGCTTCTCGAAAGATGCCATCGATTCCGCGTCCATTACGATTGGTTCGACCGCATTCGCGCACTTCGTGACTGCGTTTCCAGCTTTTGCAGATGAAGGTCTCGAGGCAGCTCCAGGGGTCCTCGACGGCCAAACGAGCAAGAGTTACTACGCGACGTTATTTTTGTTCGTGTTATCCGCACCTGGGTTGTACTCGTTGGTGAAACGGTCCGCGAAATCGAAGATTTCGAGAAAGACGTTCGAACTTCCGGGTCCGATGGCGGCCGGGGACGCCGCGTTGCCGTTGGACGACGTCGCGAGAGAGATTTCGATGTACTTCAAGAGGAACAACTACGTGGTCGCGGACGCCGGGGAGGTGATTACGTTTGAAGGGAACATCGCGCCGGAACGAGGGACGGCGGCGTACATTACTTTTTGTATCGCCGTTGGTCTCTTGTGCGTTGGTTTGGTGTGTTCAATCGCCTTGCCCGGCGGGAATCTCTGGTACTCTTTGGCGTTAATTTCGCCTCTGAGCGGAAAGTATTACTTGGATAACGCCGGACGAAAAGAAAAAGTAAAAGTGAAAATGGTCGATAACGAGGTCACGACAGATGTCATCGTCGAAGGCGACGCGGAAGAAATCGAAAGGTTTCGAAGAGATTTGAACTTGTGCGAGAAAGGGATGGTCAGAGTGAAAGGGATATTGGAGCAGTAATAAGGAACGCGCCGCTCGCTTCTATTTAAACTATACTTTTACACACGTTTTAACGATACACGGATACTTTACCAGGTACTCATCAATACGTATTCATCTCATCTTCTGTTCCTTTTCCTATTTCCTTCTGGACATCATCCGCGCGCTCTCGCGTCGTTGTATACCATATTCCACACATCGAAAGAACTTCACAAACACGCACAAAGAAAGAGAGCGCGAAAAGAAGAACATGCCCCTCGCGAAGTATCCGTCTCGAGGAAGCGCGTTTACGAATCATCATCATCATCATCAGCAGCAAACGACATCGATTCAGACGACGTCGTACACTCCGAAACAATCCTCTCTCACGAACGGCTTGAAAGACTTTCCGAGACAAAAGCATCCGTCGACGACAGATTCATTCTTTCCACCACCTTCGCGTTTAACATCCGATCCAACGTCGATTGTGATCCGCGCGTTGGAAGTCCATCGCATGCGCGCGGAACGTTTGAACAAAGAGAAATCGGAACACGTGAGAATACGAAAAGAGAACGAAAAGAAACGCTTGTTGGAGGCGCAACGAGAGGCGACGTTAGGGAAGATTCAAAAAGTGAAAGAGGAGCTCTTTGCTTCCACGAAGACGGATACGAGGACGAATCCGGAAGCCGGAGGAGGATTCACGGCTTTTGCTGTTGTTCCGAAGAAAGAAGCCACCTTGGAGACTCGCGTTTCGCCGAGGAAGAAGAAAAGAGAAGAGGAAGTAGAGGAGGAGAGAGGTGGCCGCGTTGGCGAGAGAAATCCGTTCGCGAGAGGGAACGACAAAGGCGCTACTGTAAAGAAAGCGAAGAGAGGAGGAGGGAAGAAAGGGAAGAAGTAGAGAGTTGCGGATTAACCGTTGGCGAACATGACGACGCGGCCAGGGAGGAAAGGATCGAAGATATCTCGAACGCATTTCGAGAGCGCTGCGAAGGCTCACGCGGAAAAGAGAGATGCGACGGTTTGTCGATACGTCGGGAGAGGCGACGATGGGAACGAGGAAGGCGCGTTTTTGGCGTTTCGAAATGTTGGGACGGTGGCGTACGAACAACGAGAAGAGGAGGAGGAAGAGGACGACAACGAAGTCGACGAAGGATATTTTGAAGAAGATGTCGTCTTTATTGTTCGCCACCGTAAGAATGACACGAGTAAAGCTTCCTCGAGAGCTCGAGTAGAAGTCGACGTCATCTATTCCCCATCCTACGAGGTCCCGGTGTTGTGTCTCCGCGCGTTTGATTCGCGGAGCGGCTCGGCGCTGAGTTTAGACCAAACTAATCGCGCGTTGGTGACGAAGCTTCACAACAAAGATAACGACAACGACGACGACATCTTCGCGCAACTTCTCGCCCCTTGGGATCGACAACAAAAACTTCCAAAGTGTTCCGTTGGCGGTGGATGGGTGTGCGTGCACCCGTGCGAAACGTCCAAATCGTTAGATATGCTGAATGAAACGTCGCAAACAGATGAAGAATTCGAGTTCCCGTTCGAAAGATGGCTTCGGTACGCCGCGTCGCGATTGAAAATAGAGTTATTTTAAAACTTATTAGGTTTAGAAAATTTTGTACACTACGCAATTCACAGAACGCGCTAAAAAGCTAGTATCCGCTAAACTATCCACCGCCGCTCTAAATCTACTTTCCTCCTCACCTCTAAAAAAGCCCGCGCGCTCCTCACCATCTCTCCTCCGTCACTCGCCTCGCCACCATCGTTCTTCTTCTTCTTCTTCTCCTCCGCCGCCTCTTCCGCCGCCTCTCTGCACAACCCGAAAAGCGCCTCGCACGCGCTCGTTTCTTCCCCGTAAAACCGCCACGACGCTTCTATCCTTTCCATCGACTCAAACATGTGCGACGATGCTTGTGATTTCTCATCAAAGCCTCCTCCCGTTTTTCTCGATTGCGTTTGTTCTCGATTTCCTCGACTGACTACTTTTTCCATCTCGTCCACGAACTGTTTCATTCGATCTCGCTCTCGGTCTAACTTTTCCAGAATCACTCCTAACTGTTCCATCTGTTTCGCGACCGTCTCTTTATGCACCGAGTTGGATCCCGCAACGCGTCGTCGATGCGTCCGTTTTTCTTTCTCAATATTCACCACACTCTCATTCTCACCGTTATTCTCATCGTCATCGCACTCTTCTTCTTCTTCTTCCTCCTCCTCCTCGGACGAAGGAGGGTACAAACGTTTCTCTTTCAACATCGGCACTCGGGAAACGACGTCGAGGACGACGTCGAAAAGCTCGAACGCGTGGTCGCGAGACTCGCGCCAGGTGCGGACGAACGCGCGCATTTTTTTATTCTCGCGCTGCTGCTCGGAGTCGTTCATCGATCGCTTCGTTTATCCAGGCATGAAATAAGAGCGCAACACGATTCGACGTACACGACGACGCGAGACGACCACAAACCAAAAGGTTTTCGTATGACGCAAATTGGACGAAATGCCTCAGTTTTATCTCACACAAACCATCGCATATAAACGCGCGTAAAAGAAGCCTTTGAGCGCCTCCCGAACGAGAACAGCAGCGGCAACATTCGTTTTAGTAGTATTATTAGTAGTATACTCTGTAGTAGTAAAAGAAGCGGAGGAGTAAAAAAGATATGAGCGCGACGACGACGACGACGAAAAACGCGCAAACTTTACTCGCGAGAATGCTTCGCGTCGCCAAGTCGTATAAAGATTACAACGTCCGCGAGTACCTCGTGCGAAGGACGAACGATGCGTACGAAGGTACGAAAGAAAAACCGGAGGAGTTTGAAAAGTTCGCGGAGAAAGAGCTGAAATGGATGGAAAGGCAAGAGAAAGTGTACGAGATGTACGGGAGCGAACGGAAGAGCGTTTTGGACGATTCGACAGACGACGTGGCAACGACGAGGAAGTAGAGAAAATTTTCATCAATATCTGTTGTACAATGTAGTGTTTCTTCGTTTAAATAGAACTGTGCACTTCTCTTTCTTTCTTTCTTTCTTTCTTTCTTTCTCTCTCTCTCTCTCTCTGCCGCGGGTCTGTCTATTCGTGAGTGAGGAACAAAGCTTCGCGAACTGTCTCGATCGCGCTCGATATTCCCGACTTTTCGTCGTCGGCGAAAAACAACGCCTTCTCTTCTCGAAAGCGGGAGAACAAATACTGAACTCCCGCTCGAGCGCCGATGGAACACTCTTTACCACCTTGGAACGCGTTTTCTTCGTCCGACTTTTCCGCTCTGGACGCGACTGCGGAGGCGGTTTGTAAAACTGTTTCGGGTAAACCGGCTAAGCGAGCGACGTTGACGCCGTGGGATTTCGGGCACGAACCGGAGACGACTTTGTGCGTGAACGCGACTCGGGGCGGGACTCGAGTGGAGTCGACGAGCGCTTCGACGTGTTTTAATATCGCGCTAGAGGCGAACGCGAAGTAATCCGCGAGTTTGTGGTAGTGCGTGCTGAAGAGCGTGCGGGATTTGTTTCGCAACATCAAGTGTTTGCCGCAACTTAAAGCGATGGCGCAGCCGTCGGTGGTGGACGTGCCTCGACCGAGTTCATCGACACACACCAAGGAATTTTTCGTAGCTTCGCGCAACGGCTTCGCGATTTCGGACATTTCCACCGCAAACGTGGAAAATCCAGAGCGCAAGTCGTCTCTCGCGCCCATGCGAACGAAAATGGCGTCGCATGCGGAGAGGTTGAAAGTCTTCGCGGGGACCGACGAGCCCATGTGCGCGAGGATGGTGGCTACGCAGATTTGTCGGAGATACGTGGATTTTCCACCCATGTTCGCACCGGAGAGAAGGAGGAAGTTTTTATCCGCGGAAAAGTGACAATCGTTTGGAACGAACTGCTTGTTTAAGAGAGATGCACACGGGTGTGTCAAAACGTCGCACTCGAGGAATGCGCTCTTACCATCCCCGGGAAAAGGCGAGACGTTCGGTTTCACCGCGTGGCCTTCGCCGAGCAAAGCGAACTCATCCGAAACCACCGCGAGCGCGCCGAGCGCGTCGACTTCGGCGATGCACTCCGTCGCCAAACGCCACTCGCGCCAGTTTGCGCGGAATTTTAAGATTAAACCTTTCATCACGCCTTCCATGGCGGTTTCTTTTGCCTCCATCGCGTTCGCGCGCGCCTCTCTCAAGGGATCAACCGTCTCGCACGAGAATCGCTCAAACCCTTTTCGCTTACCTTCTCTCGTCCACATTTCTGGAACCCGTCGAGATAATCGATCTGGGATTTCAATAATGTGCGTGTCGCGCATGACGGTGACGAATTGTAGCTCGGATTTTTGACACTGCAACAACGCTCTCGCTTCGTCGAGCCAGTTTTCCAACTTTGCATCTGCTTGTCGGATGGCTTCGTCCGCGGCGTCCACGGCGGCGTCTACACCAGCGGCTGGTTCGATGCGGCCGCATTCTTTCGCTTTCACCCAATCAAAGGCGGTTTCAAACTCGCGCAAACCTTTAATAATTTCGTCTTTCGGGAAGAAGAGGTCTCCGCAGTAATCTTCTTCGTCGGCGTTTGTTTTTTCGCCGGTGACTAAAGCTCTGAGCAAATTTGATTTTTCCAACACGTGCTCGTTGCTCGAGATCTCCTCGGCGACATCGCGGACCGCGCGAACGCTTTCTAAAGCCGCTAAAAAGTCATTCAACTTTGCTTTGCGCATGTCTTCGTACAAAACGACGCGATCGGCGTTTCTGTTTGAATCCCCGCTGCCGACGCATCTCGCCACGCACCGCTCGTAATCTGGACTCGCTTTCAACAGCGCTCGAATTTTTTGAAACGTATCGACGGAGTCGTTCGAGCGCAACGCGTCTATTGCCTTTTGCTTCGATCGAATCACTGACGCGTCGCACGATGGGCGACAACATTGCATTCGGAGGACGCGCGTGCCTGGTGCAGATGCCGCTCGGGAGACGAGCTCTAACAAACTTCCCGATCTCCCGCCTTCAGTGTTTTCTAGAATCTCGAGACCGGACAAAGCAGCAGCGTCCAGGCGCATGAACGCGTGTTGGTATTGTAACCTTTTCGTAGTCGCAGCCGATGTCGTTGTCGCTTCTTGTTCCATGGCGGATGGCGAAGGCGGTGCGGAAGAATTCACAACACTTCCTTCGACCCCGAAAAACGTCTCGTCGTTGGCGATGGTTTCGTATTTTCCGTAGGGCACAACATCGTGTGCGACCAAATTATCGTTCAAGTAGAGCAGACACGTGCCGAAAGCTACGAGCGCAGCTTCGGCATTAATATTACTTGCGTTGCCAAAAAAAGTTTCAATAACATCCGGGTACGCCGCGAGTGGTTTAAAATAGCCTTGTTTTTCAACTTCCTCTCTTACGCCTTTTGAGGACGTCATCGAAGACGAACACACGTATCGAATGTGTGCATTTGGCACGCAATCTCTGAGCGCCGCCGCCACGGCCGGTCCAGGGAACTCTTTAGCATCCGTCTCGCCCCTTCTAAAAATAATTTCCACCGGGTTCAGCTCGCACAACGTCGTTCGTAAACTCGACAGGGTTTCTTCGTCGCCGCTTCCTGGCACGACCTTATACGCGCCGAGAACAAACTTCCCCGCCGCACATTCTGCCGCGCAGACGCCAAAATGCATAGCCCCATCTTCATTCTTTCGAAACTCTGAAATTGCCAACACGTGAGACGCATCCGGACAACTTTCTACCATCACGCGATCAATCATCGTCCCTCTCGTCACCACCGCAATCTTCTCGCGTTTCACCACCGTATCTTTGCATCTCGAGTCTTTCTTTTTCCTCTCCGCGAGCATGGCGGGCGTTTCTGTTTGCTCAATCGTGACCACTTTGTGCCCGTTTCTCGCCAATGTTTCGGCATTCTTCTGGTAGTTCTTTTCCGGGAAACCCGCGTGTGGTTGTTCTCCTTTCATGTAAATCAATCCGAGTTCTTTCACGCCGACGTGCGCGTCCATCTCGTACATTTCGTAAAATTTGCCCATCTTGAACAATAAAACGGCATCAAAGTGCGTGGCTTTGAACTGCCACCACTGTTGCTGTCCCGGAGAGATTTTATGCTGAGAGCCATCCGTGCTCGGAAAGCTCTTCGGGAAGGTTTTCGGGAGTAACAACGTGGTTGGATCGTATTTTGGGCTGTCGAAAAGGTTTCCGTTTTGATCCTTCAGTTTCGGAGGGAACATGAAGGAAAACAAACGACGCTCTCGTTCGTCAAACTTTGATATTTGGTCCGCTTGGAGTCCGTTTTGTTGCTGCGACGAGGACGGTTGTTGTTTCGGCGGTGACGCGCGTTGCTTTATCGGCGCTACCGTCGCGGACGCTTTCGAAGCTTGCGCCGACGGAGGCTTTTTCTTCGTCTTTTTGTTTGCCACCGGCGAGTCTTCTTCTTCGAAGTCGTCGTCGTCGTCGTCGCCATCCTCGGACTCTTCCGGTGCAAAGTCCGATTCGCTTCCTCCTTCCTCCTCTTCGTTCTCGTCATCATCGCTCGAATCCATAATCACCGTTTTCTTCCTCTTCCTCTTCGCCTCTTCCTCTTCCCGCCTCGTCGCCCGGGTCGGTCGTTTCGCGATCGACGACGCGGCGTTCGACCGCTTGCGCTTGTTCCTTCGCGCGAAGGAAATTGGATTTTCCTCCTCCTCCTCTTCTTCGAAATCTACGTCCACGTCCATCTTTTCCTCTGTTCTCTCGTTCTCTTTTACCGTCGATGTGGTTCTCCCCGTCGCTCTCGTGGCTTCCGCGATCATCTCGACGCCTTTCCTCTCCTCGCTTACGCTCGCCAAAGAAGGTGCATTCTGGGCACCATTTTTCTTGGAAACATCACCTCCTTTTGTTACTTGCTTCGCATCGTCATCAGCAGCGATTGCCTGCACCTTTTCCTTTTCCTTTGCAAAGACGATTCCGATGGACTCCTTTTCTTCTTTCGCGTTCTCCTTTTCCCCGGAGAACGACGACGAAATATGCGTTGGTTTCCTGTTCTCATCGTCCCCGTGCGATAATTTTGAATCCTCTTTCTCCCCTAAAGTCTTTTGAATCATCTTCATCGCATCATCGCTCTTCTTTTTCTTGTTCGAGGAACTGACAGTCGTCGTCGTGGAAAAGAAAGATTTGAGCGTTTTTTGCCGACCACCGTCGCGAATTTGGGAGAGAGGCGTTTTGTTGGTGGTGGTGTTGTCGTCGTTTGGTACCATTTCGTTCGTTGTTCGAGATGAATTTTTTTTGTGAGAACCGATTTCAAAAATAGTGTTTCCCTGATGTGTTTGATGACGACGCGCGAAAAGACGCAGTAGTAAAGAAGAAGACGCGATCGATGACGAGAAGAAAGAAGAAGCTTTGATTAAATTGTATTTTAAATATATATATATTACGTAAGTGTTTACACGTGCACAACAACAAATTCTCTACAAATAGTATTATTAATCGCCTCGAAACAAAGTCCTTTTGGCCACGGAAACGATATCGGCTGGTTTCGGCAAGGCCATCGCTTCCAAGTTTGCGGCGTAGGGCATCGGGATGTCGACGCCGGTGACTCTTTCCACCGGGGCGTCCAAGTAGTCGAACGCGTCTTCGTTCACGCAGGCGGCGATTTCAGACCCGACGCCGCATTGCGGCCAGCCTTCTTCGACGATGACGACGCGTCCGGTTTTTTTGGCCGATCGAGCGACGGCTTCGCGGTCGAACGGACGCAAAGAGCGAAGGTTGATGACTTCCGCGTTCACGCCGTCTTTTTCGAGCTCTTCGGCGGCTTTTAAGCAGTAGCCGACCATTTTGGAGAAGGCGACGAAAGTGACGTCGGAACCTTCTCGCATGATTTTTGCTTTGCCAATTTCAATGGTGAAATCTTCGTCTAAGGCTTCTTTCGGGAGTTGGAAGCTTTCGCCGTATAAGAGTTCGTTTTCGAGGAAAACGACTGGATCCGGGTCGCGAATGGCGGCTTTCATTAACCCTCTCGCGTCTTCCGCGTCGTACGGGGCTAAAACTTTCAAACCGGGGATGGACATGTACCAGGCGGCGAAGCACTGGGAGTGCTGCGCACCGACTCCGGCGGCGGCGCCGTTTGGACCTCTGAATACAATCGGACACGAGATGGTACCGGCGGACATGTATAGCGTCTTCGCGGCGGAGTTGACGATGTGATCAATCGATTGTAACGCAAAGTTGAACGTCATAAACTCGACGACTGGTTTTAAACCCATAAATGCGGCACCACACGCGATGCCGGTAAAACCGGCTTCGGTGATGGGCGTATCTCGAACGCGTTCGGCGCCAAACTTTTGGTGCAACCCTTTGGTGATTTTATACGCGCCTTGGTATTCGCCGACTTCTTCCCCAATGATGAACACTTTTTCGTCTCTGGTCATTTCTTCGGACAACGCGGAGTTCAAGGCGTCGCGGACGGTCATACTTGGTGAATCCGCTGGGAGTTTTGAAGCCGTGGCGGTACCGCCGTTCAAATCTTCGTCTTTCGATCCGTCTAAGTCTCTCCCAGCCGCTCGCGAGTTTCTCGTCAAATCTCCTTTTTTAATCGCCTCGTACTCCGGTCGTTCCAAAATCGCTTTCGCCGCGGGTTCGTCCGCCGCGGATGCTAAAGAAGTTTCGCCACTGTCCAACACAGAAGCATTACCAACGGTATCTTCCGCCACGTAATCCGCGAATTTCCCCACGTCCTCCTCGTTTTCGCACGTCACCGCAATCGCTCTTCCAATCGGTATATCGTCCGCTTCTCCAGCTGGAACCAAAATCTTCGCCAAGTACCCGTCGTCCATGCATTCCATCTCCATGGTCGCCTTATCGGTTTGAATTTCCGCTAAAATATCCCCGGCGTTAATCTTCGCGCCTTCGCTCACCGCCCACGACGCGACGCCGCCTTGCGTCATCGTCGGCGAGAGCGACGGAAACGGAATCACCGAGTGCGGAGGGTAATCCTCCGGAGATTTCGCTGCCGCTGCCGCAAATCCTCTGTTAGATCTCGCGATCGTTTTATTATCATTCTGGAAAACGCTGCTACTGCTACTATTCTTCTTTGGTATTTTTCCTCCGATTGCATCATCGCCGCCATGATGAGAGTCGTTCTTCTTCTCTTTCGTCGTCGTTGTCACCACCCCCCTTCTTTGTTGTCTCTTTTGCGACGACAACAAAGACGACGAAGAGGACGGAGAACAGCGCGCCGAGTTTGAGGACGAAGAGGAGGAAGAAGAAGAAGAAAACACCACCAACGGATGATGATGATGATGATGATGATGAAGATTTCGAACCGACGTCTGATTTTGGGAGGAGAAAAATCGCGCCAAAATCTGTTGACTCGTCGTACTTTCAACGAACTGTCGTCGTCCTCCTCTGGAAATCATAGTTAACGCTCTCGAGAGATCTCTACGCAAATATTCTATTTCTTGCGTTACCGTGACTTTTACGCCTCTCTGAAGCCTCTCTAAAGCCTCTCTTCAAACAGAGCGAAAACAACACGCAACGCAACACCCCTACGAAATGTTCGAATTTTTTCTAAAGAACAGAACAAAAGAGAGAAACGAGAGAGATCTGAAAAGAGCGACGCTTAAACCCTAATTAGGATTGATACCCTAAATAATTTTTTTTTGACCTTTTCTCTCTTGAAGAAAATAACAGACACGACACACATTTTACGCGCACCTACAACAGAAGTCCGAAGATGACTTTACGACGACGACGAGAGATTCCTTTCGATGCGCGCGACAGTTAAGAAGAAGGAGGAGGAAAGCGAGAAGAAGAAGAAGCTTGATGAACCCGCGTCTTCTTCTTCTTCTCTGGATGTGTTGACCGAAGGGTTGAAACGATCCATTTTGCCTCAGATTCGCAAATTGGACGGGACGATCGCAAACGCGAGATGGATGCAAAAAGAAGTCACGGATGCAACCGATCGGTGTTCTCTCGAAGTGGAGAGAGTGATTTCTACCACGGTTGGAGAAGAAGAAGAAGAAGACAACACTACGAAAGGAGAAAGAGAAAGAGAGGAAGAAGAAATCGACGAGCGGTTACGAAACGTGCTCGAATCGGTCTCCAAATTGCGCCAAAGAATGGCCAAAGTGGTCGAACGAGAGCGAGCGCAACGAGAGAAACTTTTACGCATGCGGAGGTGCGATTTGGACGTTCTCCGAGCGAATAAAGGAGAGGAGTGCGATTTTGAAGCCGTTTTGAGAGCAGAGGCGTACGCGAAACAGCAACGATAAAGACGATAAAACGAAGACGACTCTACCGCGGGGGCGACGCGTTGAATATACGTAAAATGTATTACGAGCGCAAAGCGCGATATGTGTGTTTGCTACTACACCTTCTTCTTTCTATTAGTATTTCATCCCTCCGTGTGGTCTTCTTTTTCTCATCATCTATTTGCCTTTCGGTCCATTTAACCCTAATCCTAACCTTTGTTCCATGACTTCGTGCGTCGTCTGTCTCGTCCTCGCTTCCGGTTGGAACTCCATCTGCCCTAAATAGTCCTCGAATCCGATCCGATCGACGTTCCCGCTTAAAATCTCCAACCCGAATCGTTTGCTTTTCACCGTTTGATTGTTCGGTAATCGTTCCACGTTTTGTAATATTTGTCGTTCGATGTCCATTTGTGCCGGTAAGGCGATGCCGTAGATGTGCGCGAGGTGGTTTTTCTTCGTTTGAGAGAGCACGTACGGGTGCGAATGGTTTTGGATCTGCTCGACGGGATGGGTCGTTGTCGTCGTCGTCGTCGTCGTAGTGTGATGTAAACCATCGCGCATGGGGTCCCTCGGCACGTGCGAAAAACGCTCCCTGGTGAAGTCAACACCGTTGGCCTCGTTATCCTCCATGGACGTAGAGTTCATCAGAGTTCTTTCGTGCGTCTTTGTTGTGTGTTTGTTGTGCAAGCGTTTTAACTGACGATCTTGGTGTTGTTTGACCTCTCTCTCTCTCTCTCAACGAGCGGGATACGTTTAGAGTAATATATAAGTACAGATCTGATTATAATTTATGTGCCTTTTCACGAAATGTTTTACGCGCGCGTTTGTTCTACCATTTCTCTCTTTTTCTCTCTCTTCGTCTTTGATCGTTTTTCTCGAAACGACGAGTGCGAGTGAAAGAGGTCGCTCTCGCAAAGCGAGCGAGCGTTTCTTTATTATTTCGTGAACCGCCCCAAAGCGCCTCCGAAGAACTTGAATATCCCTTTCACGATTTCTTTCCTCAATGCGGCGAGACCTTTCCCAAACTCCCCTCCCGGCCCAGCGTTCGTCTCTCGAATGAATAACGTAAATATTACCCCCCAGACGCCGTTTATGAGAAAGAGAAAGAGGAAGCCAACCGCGATGGGCGGTTCGCGCTCGATGAAAATCTCCAAGTCTTTAAAGAACCCTTGGCCGAGTTCCGGTTTGTTTTCTTCATTCACGTTGTTGTTATTATTATTGGCTACCGCGTTGTCGTTCAATTCTTGCTTCTCGGAAGAAGAACTGCTCGTCGCTATTTCAAACATCCTCCGCCGCCGTTCCTCCGCGTTCGTACTAAAAAGTTGTTCCTTCGTCGTTTCCTCTGAAGAGGCAGAGGAGGACAAAATCGTCGACGCATTCGCGACGTTACTACTTTCATTTAGCGCGAGAAACGCCGACATCACAAAAGCGCTAAAAATCATCTTCGAACCGCTAAAACTCCGACCGCTCGTCGAACAACAGCAGCAGTCTTCTGCTTCTTCTTCTTCTGTTCCTCTTTTAAACGCGCGGGTTTGAGTTTCCGTCAAAGTTTTTCGATCTTCGATGGAAAAATAATTCGTTTGTTTGTCGCGAATGAATCGAGCGCGAGGACGACGACCAACTGCGCCGAAATGCGCGGAAGAGTACGCCGAGGAGGAGGAAAGGGATTTTGACGACGACGACATCGAGAGTACGATGCAATTGGTCATCCTGTGAATGAATAAATATTTTTTTATGCGGGGGAGAAACAACAAAATGTTTTGCTCAAGTATTCATTCCCAAACAAACTGCCAATGAAAACTCTTGGAAATCTCTTTTTCCTCGCTCTTTTGAGAGGAAGAGGAGGAACAGAGCGAAAAAAGGCCCGTCGAGGTAACGTAGTATTTCGGCAGTATTTAGGTGTTCTTACAAAAAAAACGTCTCTATATACGCACGCGCGCGAGGCTATCTATGCGTGGTGAATCTTTTCTCTCTCCTAGTGTGAATACTTTTCCAACAACTGGTTTTGAGTATCTCTCCTCCTTGTTCATTCAGCGGGCACGTACCGAAACATTTGCACTCTCGAGTGTAAGCTGTGGTAGGTCGTTTGACTTTCTGAGGAGGAGGCGGCGTCCGCGCACGCCAACTCGAAGACGAACGCGAACGCGGATTTCCGGCCGCCGTCGAAATCGAACGCGAGTTGCGTTCGCGGCGCGTTTTTTAGAAGCGGGATGCGGAAGTCGCCAATGTGCTCGGCGTCGTCTAAGGTTTCGTTTCGGAAGGAGGAGACGCGGAGGCACCAGAAGAGAGAGGAAGAGGAGGAGGAAATAGAGGAAAGGACGGGGATCGGAGGCGGCATGAATTTGAACCCGTCGACTTCGATCGTTGGCGATGATGTCGGTGGTGATGGTGATGAAGTCGATGGTGAACCCGGTACGCTGAGTAGTTTCCTCGACGATCCTTTCGTCGCGGTGAACGCAACCGCACAGTAAATGTGGCGTCCGCGAAGAGTCAAAAAGTGAGCGTCGTCGGGAGTCTCTTCCGCGACGTCTTTCACGCGTTCTCTCTTCACTCTCGAGCGCGATTTCAATTCTTCGAGGATAGCTTCTGCCGTGTCGTCGCTCTTTGTGTCGTTCACAAGGCGCGAGGATGGAGATTGATCAAACTCTTGCGAAATTCTCGCCGCTGATGCGTTTCCGAACGAAGCGCTGTGCGAAAGAACATCCGCGGATTCGTCTAAAGATATCGCCAAATCGCGAAGGACGGAAAGCTTTGTCAACACGCGCCGTTCGTTCTCGTCGTCCAACCGCTTCTTTTCTACCAAGACCGGTGAGATAGGAACGATATTATGAGAGACCATCTTTTCCGGAGAGGAGTGACTGCCTCCACCGCCGCCGCTGTGGATGGAATCTCCTCTCCCAGTTTCGTTCTTATTCGAGATAGATAACCCCTCCATGGCGGCGGTAGAATCTTTCAAACTACCGCTAAGCTTAGAACCTGCCGTATTGGCGATTGAGTTCGCAAATCCGGCAAATTTACTCGCCGCCGCGGTAGCGACGGATGTTAAACTCGCGGATGAAGTCAACGCGCCGCCGAGTATCGGTGTTTTCGATCGAGACATCGTTTGAGCCTCTTCCGGAAAATACGTCGCGCCTGACATGGTTTTATCCGCAGTAGAAGTCTTTAACGATACATTGCCGACGCTTTGAGACGCATTTGTAGCGTTGCCGACGGCGCTATGCTTCACTGGATTCTCTTTCTGTAATCGAAGATTTTCCAAGATTCGCCTGGCGCGTCGCGTCCGCAACATGGTCGTCGGGTCGAGTTTCTCGGGATCGACGTTTCGTAAGTTTGTAAACTTTGCGTCGCGAAACTTTGACGTCAAACGCAAACGTAAACGCAAAATCTCGAGCATCAAGTTCGCGTTAAGTCGGTCTTCGAAATCTTGGGTATTTGCATGCTCGACAATCTCTACTGCCACGCGCTCGTAGGCGTCTAAAGTAAAGTTTTGCTCGAGATACGCCTCATCTTCCGGGCTTAGTGTACCAACGATATCTTTGTCTGAAATTGACGCGCCATCATCGCCACCAAGTATTTCAACGCGACCGAGCGCCATGGTGAGCGCTAACGCCGACGGTGACGTGCCCACCGTGCGTGGTTCAAACGTCAATTTGATCTTTGATGTGGCGCTTTCGCTGCTCGGAGTAATCTCATTTTGACGTTCTCTGGCGATACCTCCTTCTTGCTCGTAGAACTCGACGTCTTCGAAATTCCTATCCAGTCTCTTATAGCTGTACTTCCACACGCCTTCTTCGGCGTCGAACGGCCCGGCGCACTCTACGAGAGGCAATGCCATCGTCGCATGCGTTGGGATTATTGGAAGCTTGAGTACGATAGAAAATTTCTTCTTCCTACTGGCAGAAAGAAAGGTTACGCGAACGCGACCTGGCGCGAAACGTTCGTTCGCCCCTTTCGGGTCGGTTAGCAACAACCAATTCTCGACACCACCGCTGCTATCGACTTGATCACCAAACTCTCGCACTTCATACGTGAGCGATTCGGAACGCGAGCTTCGTGGACACGGCCAAACCGATTTAAAAAACTGACCGATCGCGACTTTGTCGTTACCATTACTTTCGTTGCCGTAAGAAGAAGCGCTACTACCACTAGTTTCGGATAAACCAGACTCTTCGCCGAGGAAAAAAGATTCCTCGGTGAGCATTTCACCGTTCTGTACTAAATTAATGGCACATCTCGGTGCCGCTAATAATGCACCGAACGAAGCTCGTGACTTCACCACTCTTCCCTTTTCTTCCAGCGGGTCTTGCACCAAGCTTGGAAAGTAATATTTCCGTCGAAGGCCTAAAAACAACTCAAACTGCGTCTGACGGAACCCGTCCGAGACTAAGTTTACGAACCGTCTCTGAACGCTAATACTCAGGTTCGACGCCGTTGACTGCGAAGACTTAAACCGCGAGTTTGAATCGTGACTTGTCGTTGAATCCAACAAATGCATCATCGCCGTGTGCGACGCTCGCGTCGACGTGTAAATCAAAGCGTGTAAATCCCCGTTTTGCAAGTATACCTCCGACGCCGCCGATAAGGCCGCTCGAGACATATTCACTCGCAAAGTGTCCACAGTTCGTTCGAGCCAAACGTACGAGTCTTGCTCGGATGGAAATATCGAATGTTCAGATACGTTTGTAGTCTTATCCATATCGAACAGTTTTCGTTCAGCTTCCTCTTTCTCCTTTTCGCGTATCACGGCGTCGTCCTTGCGTTTTTGAAGAATAGCTTCGCGTTTTGTCTGTCGTTCTTTTCTCTCTTCGTCGACGACTTTTACGAAATCGTCCGGTAACGCCCAAGACGTTGAGCGCATGTTGTGGTCGATGTAAAACGTTCTTCCAGTCGTCGTGTCTAAACGTGACTCCCACCCCTCGGGTAATCGCGCGCTTAAATCTTCATCAGCCGAGCGCAAGAATTGATCCTCTTTCGCCTTCTCCATGAGCTTCGTCGATTGTAACGAGTTACTCTCAGGGTCGGTGAGCACGTCCGCTAATCCTAGACGCTTTGTTTGCTCCGCGAGCAATTGAACTGCAACAAAAAATCCGGCTAAGTTCGTTCGATCTAAAGAATCCGCGCAGTTGTATCTCAACACGCCCGCTTGTTTCCTGAGCGTTATCATTTCCCCCGTGGCTTCGTCGAACGTCCCGTAACCGTAACCGTGCTGTCCAATCTTATCGCGAAGTACTTTCCACATCGCTTCGACTGCACTCGCATCGCCCATACTTTTCACATTCGTGTGCCAATCGAAATTCGTCACCGTCAAGTTTGGATCGTTTGGTAAAATGTTGCGACATAATTCTACGCACTCGTGGAAATGTCTGGACAACTCCGCCTCGGGTTTCCCGGGTGCAATCCGCAACAAGTTCACGCACGCGATCGGGTTGCACTCTCCATAACTTTCGCGCAGTCGGGCAAAATATCGATCGGCATTCTTATACGTGTCTTTAGTCTCCACCTCGATTTGTGCGTCGCCGACGGTTTGTTTGATCTCCTGTTTCCATCGAAGCGGCACGGAACCTCTGCGCCACACGTACGACGTCCAAATAGTTTTTTTCCTACCACTATTACTACCACTACTATTACCATTACTTGAACGCCAGACCATTTGTTCCATCTCAACTTCGTTCCCTGGATTCCCGTCCTCGTTTATTCCTCTCGCTAAAAACCTCGTCCCCGGGTGTAATCGACTCCGTTTCCCAAACACCGCAAAGTGCCACGATCCTTTCTTCGGATCGGTCGCGTCCACTAAAATCTCTCTGCACTCCGCTAAACCTTGAATCATAACTGGAACGTATCGAGACGCATCGTCCTCTAACACATCTCTCAACGGTTTTGCAATCGCCTCGTTCCACACCCACTCGCTTTCCTCCTCCTCCTCCTCCTTTGGCGGCGGCGACGCCAAAGACGAAGAACGAGACGAATCTCGAAACGCTAAACTCTTCCTCAAATCAAACGTCTCGCTATAAAAATGTAACCCATCGATTGGAAAATCCATCAACGCTCTCGCGTGTTCCTTCTCTTGCTCCGTCAATAGTCTCACCGGACTCGAAATTGAAGTCGTTTTAATCCACTTCGTCTCGCAAATCCGAAACACGTCCTCTCCGGTAGGTAATCGCATCGCTTTTTGCACTTTCGTCGCCACCAGCGCGGCGACTTGGTCGCCTAAACGCGCGATGCCTAAAACGCACGTCCCTCTCGTCGCGTTTTTTACTTTCCCGAGTTCTTTGAGGTACGTCAACGCGTCCAAATCGGATGCAAAAAACACGCTTTCCTCCTCCTCGTCGTTTCCCCAACCGCGGGGTCTCTTCACGCGCAAAAGCGCGCCGGATGTCGGACACACTCGCACGACTCTCGCTTTCGGCGCGTATCGAGCGGCGACGAGTACGATGTGAATCTCCGACGCGTCCGATTCTGTCACCACGCACGAGCCTTTCGGGAACGACGAACCATTATCGGAGGAAGAAACATCGTCCGAGGAAGAGGAAACGGCAGCGCTGTGTCGATGCATCTCTCGATGACCTTTCGAGCGAGTTATGATGAGAGAAGTTTATTCGAAGAAGAAGCTATACACGTTTCAAGAACAGTATTCGTCTTTTTCGTCGCAGCAGTCTCGAGATAAAGAAGGCTCAAACATCCTCTCGTGTACTATACGCGGAGCGTTCTTCTTCCTCTCTTTGCGTTTGCGCTTGTGAGTGTGTTTATGTGTATGTGTATTGTGCGTTAAATAATTTGTGCGGAAAATGCTTCATTCTTTCCCCGCGTAATCGCTTTCTCTCTCGCATCTCTGTCGTCCTTTTGTCTCCGTCGTGAGATGCAATTTACGACGTCGTCGCGGTCTCTTGCGTTTTTACCCTCACCCGCGGCGAAGAAGGCTTCTTCTCGCGTAATAACAACGAAAGCGCTTTTATCATCGAAACGGTCTCGTCGTAAACGTCAAATTCTGAATCATCATCATCGAGCGAGAGAAGTGAAAATGTCGACCACATCGTCGTCGGAAATGATTTCCGTGGAACAACTCCTGACGGATTGCATCGAAAGCTGCTTTCTCGGATGCGTCCAAATCCGGGAAGTGCGATCGAAAGGAATATCTTCGGTGCGATCGAAAATCGAAGGCGACGCGCGGTCGGCGTTGACCGAAGCGGACGTGAAAGCGCAAGCGGTCGTTATCGGGAGCTTGAGGAAGACGTACGGTGCGAGATTGAACGTCGTCGGCGAGGAGGACGGGAACGAGGACGCGACGCCGACGGAAAGCGAAGTGTGCGAGAGTTTACGGAAAGACGTGCGGTTTAGCGAGTGCGTGAAGGAGGCGGTGAGAAAAGCGTGCGAAGATGGTGGTTTTCGACAGGGCGAAGACGCGGTTTCGATGGAAGACGTGTGCGTGTTCGTCGATCCCGTGGACGGGACGAGGGAGTTCGTGGAAGGGAGATTGGAGAACTGTCAGTGCTTGATTGGTATTTCCGTGAATGGACGCGCCGTGGCGGGGGCGATTGGGTTGCCGTTTCCAAAAGGCGCGAAAGGGTTTGAGGAGGATAAAGATGACGCGGAGAAATCGGCGATTGTGTTTGGTTTGTGCGGAATGGGAGGCGCGGACGATCCGGAGAGCGATAAAGGCGTCGTCGGGGTGTTTAACGAACATTTACTAGCCGATGGGTACGTAACCACGAGCGAAGTAAATGGAAGTGAACGGTTTTCAATTACCACAGGGGATAGTAAGAACTTACTGTTGAAAGCGAGCGTAGACGCCGTCGTCGAAGCGGCGAAGGAAAACCAATCGTATTTACAGGACATAGATAGACCTTTAGTCGGAGGCGCGGGCAGTAAGATTGTCAACGTCGCGTTCGGTAAAGCCGACGTCGCGTTGATGCATCCGACGTGTTTGTGGGATAGTTGCGCACCAGAGGCTGTTTTGAAAGCGGCTGGAGGGTACGTGTCGGATTTTTTCGGCGCGCCTTTGTGTCACAGTAAAGACGCGAGGACGGTGGAAAACAATCTCGGGATCATAGCATCTATGCCGAGAGAAAAGACGCCGAAGAGAGCGGAAATGTGCGCGAAACTGCGCGAGAGCGAGACTTTGCGCGCTTTGTTCGGCAAAGAGGCGGGTTTTTCCGAGGACGGTAGTGTAAAAAAGAGCGACGTTCAAAAAGCTCAAGCTTTTGACATCGCGAGAGCGTTGGACGGAGCCCCGTTGACGGTAGATTATTTAAACGACGAGATTCTTTGTAGTTTGAGTAGGAAAAGCGCGTACTCGGACGACGACGAGAAAACTGACGATGTCATGTCCATGACCTCATCGAACGCGTTAGTTTCGTACTCAGTAAACGAAGACACCGCGGTTCGAGGATTGATGTCCGACGCCGTTCGAATACACTTGGAGTGGAAAGACAACTCGGAAAAATCGAGGACGCCAAAATCGTTATTTTATAAACGCGTGGACATGCAAAGTCTCGCGCACGTTCGTTTGAAGAAAAGTACCGCGCCGATGAAAATTGGACGCGACGTGAGGTCTTTCTACGTCGAGTCTGCGTTCCTTTCTTCGAACGCGGCGAGAGCTTTGCACTCCGCCGGCGTCGGCGTGCCCAGATGCTACGCCTCGGCGTTTCAACTCAACGAAAATTCCTCCGTGGACTCGAAATTCGCGCTGTGCTTGGAAGATTTCTCGCCTGAGGACGGGTGGTACCAAGAAAAGTCGCTCAACTTGGCGCAAGCGAAAAGCGCCGTTATCGCTTTGGCGAGAATGCACGCGTTTTTCCTACCCGACGCAAACTATTTGAAAGAATCAGAAGAGAACATTCGGGAATTAGAAAGCGCCGTCTGGCGCTCGGGAACGTACTGGCAACCGTCCATGCAAACCATGGACGAGCAAGTCGCGAATCTTCCTCAACGATGGGAAAATTACTTGAAATCCTTCGAAAAGGAAATCGCCGAACACGTACCGAAAACCAACGACATCGGTACCGTCGGCGAGCGGTTACAAAAAGTTGCGGTGGCCATTGGAAACGAAGCGTTTCCGTTCGACGTTGACGATATCGCCTCCGTTCCAGAAAGACTTCGAAAGCAGCGCACCATCGCTCACGGCGATCCAAAGGCGGGCAACATTTTCTTAAAAGAATCGTCATCGTCTTCGTCGTCGTACGACTGCGGTCTCATCGATTTTCAATGGTCCGGCTTCGGTCTTCCCGGCACTGACCTCGGCCACTTCATCTGCGCCTCCGTCACCGCCGACGCGCTCTTCGACGACGGCCAAACCTTAATCGACGTCTACTACGAAAACTTTTGCACCTTTGCTACTGAATTCGGCTGCGGTGCAAACGTTTCCGAATCCATACTCACCAAAGACGAACTCCGGCGTCAAGTCGACGTTTCCATTTTAGACACCATGCGGTGCATCTTCGGCTACCAATGGCACCGCGCGAAAGCCTCGCCAGATATGTTAGAGAGGAATAAAAACAGCGTAGGGAGGAACTCGTACAATAAATGCACGTTCAACGCCGTGTGGGTCATGCGAAGGTGCGACGAGTTGCTCCGATTGAATGCTTTCCATCGATAGCTTTTAGAGCCTTGTTTCTACCAACCAATAATCAAGCTAGACCTATACTAAGAATACTATGCTATCTAAAACTATTCTCTAAAACAAGTCACTAAAGATCCAAGAGCAGGTACAGACCTGCGGAACTGTGATTTATTCGTAAAGGACAGACAGACAGAAATTCAAATTTTCTCTCAACACTTCACAACACACACGCGCTTTGTTTTATAAAAGCAAGAAAGAGAGAGACGTAGAAATCACACTCATGGACCGACCAACGCTCTCGTCACCTCCGAAAGACTTCTCGCAAAAAGAGGAGCTGTCGACGTCCACGACCACGCAAACGACGGCCACGCGAGGCGTCGGAGAGAAGTTTCAAAGTTTAAGCATCGACTTTTTTGGAAACAAGTGCGCGAACGACGACGACGACGACGGTTTGACGACGACGAGGAATACGAAGAAGAAGAATGCGAGAAGCGCGAGAGGAAGAATGAAACGAGAGGACGGACACGTTCCGAGCGGGTTTCGCGCCGTCCACGGGGAGCCTTTTCCCGCGTTTGAGTGTTATTCAATACCCGATGAGGAAAAGAAGAATCGAGACGAGAAGAAGAATACAAAGAAGATTTTTATGCTCTTTCCTGGCAGTCGGTTGTCCGCGAGGAGGAACGCGCGCGCGAAAAGAGCATATAACGCCGAACACGATGAGATTGTCGCGTTGGAAGAAGGAACGACGAATACTTTGGTTTGGATGTCGTCGTCGGAATACGGGCGAACGGTTCGCGCGAAACTGGCGCTTCCGAGCGACGTTTTAGACGTTCAGTTTTGTAGGTTTGGGCTTTCGAGAAGCGGCGGTGCGGGAGGCGCGGCGAGTTTGTGCGCGTTGCACGAAGACGGCGTTTTGGTGTATAATCCGTTATCGGGAGATATTTTGGACGTGCCGAGACCAGAGGGGTGTCGGGAGATGTGGCCGTGCGCGTTTGGTTTAATATTCAGGAGGGAAGAGGACGGGAAGTTGTTTTTGGTGGAGCACCCGACAGATGCGCCGCACGAGTTGAAAAGAATTGGCGGTGATGGAAACGATCACAGTGAAGTAGATATATCTGGCGTAGAAATTGTTTGGAGTGATTTGGATGACGCGCTCATCGTGTGCAGAAATGTTGCATCAAATACATTTTGCGTGTTCCGAGCGGAAACGGTCTCGGACCCGTCTTCGATTGATATCGAAGCGAATTTAGCGACGAATTTGATTTATAGAGAGAAGTGCGTGGCGTTGTTTGAAGCTTGGACGGAACCTACGAACACGCAAGATAACGTTGAGTTCATCAAAGCGAGAGGAATGGAAGTAGAGTTCGCAGAGTCGACGGGAGCGGGCGGGTCCAGGCGTTTGCATTTTTGTTTCCCTGAGATAAAAATGCGCACGAGTATCGATTTGGCACCAATGACGATAAACAAAGCGAAGAAAAAGAACAGTCGTCACGAAAGGTCCACACAAAATTGGGTGCTCTCGGGAACACCGTGTGCATCAATTACGAGCGTCCAGTCGACAAGAGCGCCGTATTTAGACATTCTCGTCGTCGGTGAGGACGACTGCGTTGAATTGTATCGCGATAGCAACAACGAAGACGTTCTGGTGTGTCGTTTGGCAGTTTTGCATTCGAACGAAGGCCAGGCTATCGATACCGACGACCAAGCAAACGCGGGCGTTAATCGATCGGCAATAGTTAAGTGCACGGGTAAAGTTTGGGGATCGATAGGTAATCTCGTTAACGTCGACGTCTCGGAAGATGCGAAGAGAAGGACGCTTAGATGTATTCTCCCTGGCCCTCCTTCGGACCCGGCGGTAAGGAACGTTATTGATGCCATGGTTGAAAGCGATGATAAGTCCTTGATTTTATCTAGATTTTATGAGAAATACTGTGCGGGTTCGTTGCAAGCAGATGCGGAATGGGCGAGTTTTTGCACCGTCGCGAAAGAGTCGTGTGGGTTCCTTGTAGGGGTAGAGGAGGAGAAAGATGACGCAATGGCAACAACATTACAAGACGAAAAAGAAAATATCAACAAGAACGAGATGTCAATTCTAGAAGACGACGATGCAAATTGGCAATTCACTATAGAAAGTGATATGCATTCGAAATACGCGAACTCTTTTGCCTTTTTGAGAAAGCTCGAAAACAGAAAATCGACTGACTCGAATAGAGGCGGTTCTGTGAAGGACAAACAAACTACGAGACTAGAGCGCAATAGGCAAACGACGGCAGAAGTGACATCGGCATCAACGATATCGTTGTCCATATTGCGTGATCCGAATGCGTTTTTAGAAGCCTTGCACGTTGCCTATGAATGCGCAAAGCTCGATACGACACAACGTTTGACGACGCTCGTGAAACTCGGCGCGCTAATTAGAGAGCTGGCGTCAGGGTTAGGGCATGGGAATTTACTCGCGTATCATTCGCTCGAGTGTGGTAATCCGATTGCAACGGATGTAGAACATGTTACTAATGAACACAAGATTTTTGACGTGATCAAAGCGTGCGAAATGGCTTTGAAAGGTACCTTGACAGAAGAGTACCTTCCGAAGGTTCTCGGTAGGGTTGTTTGCGATGACATGTATCGAATCGAGTCGAGCAACTCGAGCATTTGCGATTGGGCTAGCGATGTCCTTCGATGCTGCCACGAGCTTTCCCCAATGCGAGCATTCGCTGACCTTGATGATAACATCAACTTGAGGAGTGACAGAGATCGTTACAGAATGGAATCGAAGTTTGCTTTCAGGCATCTCGAGACGTCGAACCGATTCGCCTATCTCGCCGCGCAGAGAAATTTTACGCTCGCGAGAATAGCCCGTTTACCATCCGGTTTACAGTTGTGCTTTCGTTCGGCATTGCGGCTAAGTCGCGAAAATCCGCCTAGAAATTGGCCATCTTCGGCGTATCTTCTCATCGGGAGAGACGATATGGCGGAGCTTTCCACGCGCGACGCTGCGGCGAAACATAAAATGTACGCCATCGCAAATAGGAAAATTGAATCGTCCCGCGACGGTATCGATGACGATGATGATGACGATAACTTTGGAACGAAAATTGCGTCTGCGCGAGCTTCCGCATCGTCTGCCGTCGGTTTGAAATCCGCCGATGACGCTTTCGATGCGTACGACGGAATGGATCACATCGAGGCGTTTGTCGGTCCGCTTCGGTTTCCCAAAGATAGGCGCATCGTTGAGTTGAGGAATCTACTCGCCACGGCACGTCCAGCGCCCATATACTTGGGAAATCCGAACGCATCAAATGTAGATGGTGACGATGACGACCAAGAAGGACAAAATACATCGGCTGTAAATGAAGATGACCCGAACGCGGCTAGTGATCCAGACGCTGTGACGCAGCAACAGGCAAAGTTGTGGGCGCGTGCCACTCGAACGTCTGCAGCACCGGTCGGGAGAGGTGCGGCGACGCTGAGAACTTTGCGTCCAAAGCCTACGGAACCATTGAAAGTTCCGAAATTGTGTTTCTCTGGAACATTACCGGCGCAACGAAACGCAGTCTTAAGATTAGATTTGAACGCGAATCCCAAAGCCAAGGCGGATTTCACAGATTGGCCCGATTTTCACAACGGCGTCGCCAGTGGTTTAGCTTTGAAAGCCGCCAATGAAATTAACGACCTAAACGGAGAGTCTACATCCAACCGTAACAACAATAATAACAATGATGGTGAAGTTACTCGTTCTTGGATTGTTTTCAATCGACCAAAGCAGGCGAGTCATTCGCACGCCGGCGCGCTCATGGCGCTCGGCTTGAACGGCCACCTCTCCAGAATGACGGCGACAGACTTGTACAGATATTTAGCGCAAGAACATGAAGCTACGACGGTTGCGGCATTAATCGGTATAGCTGCGGCAAATCGAGGTACCGCTGACCCGGCCACGGCACGCGTGTGCTTTTTGCACTTACCAGCTCGACATCCGTTATCGTTCCCGGAGCTCGAACTTCCCGCGCTCGTTCAAGCCGCCGCGTTGCTTTCGGTTGGTATTTTACACGAAAGTACGGCGGATAGAATGATGGTTGAGATTCTTTTGGCTGAAATTGGCGCGCAGCCGTCTGGTGAGCGTGGCGATTTCGGCCGCGAAGGCTACACGCTCGCCGCAGGATTCGCGCTTGGATTGACCACTTTAGGGTTGGGGGACAACGCCATCGGTTTGGCCGATTTAAAGATTAAGGAGCGTTTGCGACGATACGCTATTGGAGGTTCTGCACACGCGAAAGGATTTTCTGGTAACTATGGAGGTGCGAATGGTCCTTCTCTTCGCAAAACGTCGACTTATTACTCCGACGGTAGCTCGGGCGGCAGCAAACGCGTCGACGATAAGTACATCAATTACGACCCAGTCATGGCTACTTTCGAAGAAAGTGAATATCAAACGGAAGATGATATGATGATGAATGGTAGAGCTGGGGGTGGTACTGGCGCAGGTGGTGGCGGATCTATGAGTAACGGTTACGTGCTTGAAGGTAACGTGGTCAACGTGGACCTTTCCGCCCCTGGAGCGATGCTCGCGCTCGGGTTGATGTATTTGAAAACGAACGACGAAGACGCTGCGGAACATTTGTGCGTCCCATCAACGCGGTACGAGTTAGATCACACGCAACCTGATTTCGTTTTACTTCGTGTTGTCGCCAAATCGCTCATTTTGTGGGATTCCGTACGACCGACGAGGAAATGGGTCGAGTCGAACTGTCCGAATCTCTTGAAACGGTCCGCGAAGGACTTGGATCGAGGGTACATAAAAACAAAAGATATCGTGAAAAAGACTAATAATACTTCGAGCGAAGACGATGTAGAAGGAGACGACACCGATGACGACGAACAACCGAGAAGTTTTCGTGAAGGTTCCGACCGCGAAGCGGAAGCGCAGGCTCGCGTCCACGCCATCGCCGGCGCGTGTCTGTCCTTGGGTCTTCGGTACGCGGGTACAGCGGACGAAACGGCGGCGAATACTTTGCGCCATTACTGCTTACAGTTTCTAGAATGGAAGAAAGCGGCTTTGAATGCAGGTGAACGCAAAGCGGTTGTCGATAGACCAACTTTGGAAAAATGCGTCGGATGCTGCGCGATGGCTGCCGCCACAGTCATGGCGGGAACCGGTGACGTCCCCACGTTGCGTCTTCTCAGGCACTTGCGCGCGAGACTCGAAGCGCCCGAATCGAATCAAGCGCAATCCTCGAACAAAGAAAAGGATAAAAATAAAAGTGGAATGTCTTATGGTGCACACATGGCGATTCAAACTGCCATCGGGTTTCTCTTCCTCGGCGGCGCCGCTCGAACGTTTTCGACCGAAAATGATGCCATTGCGTATCTTTTAATCGCCATGTATCCGAGATTTCCAACCGACACCAACGACCACCGGTGCCATTGCCAAGCGTTCCGACATTTGTACGTGTTAGCGAGTCGAGAACGATTGTTAACGACAGTTGATGTGGAATCGAAAGCACAAACGTCTGCGTCGGTGGAAATTGAGGTCCTCGTCGACGCAAAAAGAAGGAAATATAAAACCATCAAAACGACGACGCCGTGTTTGGCACCCGATACAAAATCCATTCGAGAAATCCGCGTGACTTCTAAGAACCTCTGGCCGACATCGAGACGTTTTTTTTTCTGTATAGGAGAAGATATAAAGAATCGAATCGTCAACTTGGAAATACCAGTCATGCAACGTCTTCGGGGCGATATTGCGGTCCAAAGTAACGATGCGTCGGACGACGTGAACGCGGCGTCTTTACGTCCACCCATCATCGATGCTTTCCTTTCCGTTGGCGGTGACGGCTATAGCTCCGCATCGCTCGACATTGAACTCATTCGTAACGAAGGCGGCGGTTCAAATTTGAACCCGCGAACGCACTCTGAAATGTTTGGATTTGATGCCTTATCAAACGCCTCAGTTTTGTTACCTCCAGATTTCAAACGGAGCAGGATTGATAAGAGTTGGATTGATCGCGTAAACTTCTCTAAAGCTGCACAACGCGAGTGCACGAGACGTGAGATTCCAGACGCGTTGCCATGTTATGTGGACTTGTACAGTGCGCTCGAGCATCTCGCCGCAGCTTGTTCGGATGTTAGTGATGACAACCGCGCGATTGGCGAAACAGACGTTCGAAAATTTTCCGCGTTTACATCGGATGTGAAAATCTTGCAGACGTTTCTAGAGTCTCGATGTTTCACCAACGAATCGAATTTAGTAGACACCACGAAAACGACGTCGTTTTCAAAGTTTATCTCGCTTATGCGCAACATGAGCGATATCGGAGACGATTCCAACGACGCGTTAGCGACGATGGCGATTCCAGCCAAATTAATCAACGCCATTCGAAGTTCGACGGAAATTTTGGTAGAGCAAAGAACGAGAGCGTATCTTTCGCGAGCGATTGCGTCTGAAGACGATGGATTTCAGCCAAGTAGCGGTGGTGAATTGTTGTGTGCGTATTCGAGATTACTCGAATTACCGTCTCTGAGTATTTTAAAAGCCGCCACGCGTCTCGCCATGGACACGTTTGGAGACGTTTCAGCGGCGTCTCTGGCTTATGCGCTCGCGGAAACGACGAAGAATGCGGGGAAGGTACCGTCCTCGAGCCTTTTAGTAAAGTTTGCGAGTTTATTTAGTTCATAGTTCATAAATAGCGCATACATATAGATACAAACGTGTGCTTAGATGATGATAGTTACTGCGAGCTTTGCTCTTCGCCTGCGCCATCTTCGCTCTTTACCTCTTCACCAGATTTCGTGGATGCCACTTCCCCGCAATTCAACAAGGTCACTTTCGCAAACGGTTTTCCAAAGCTTTTCTCGGAAACCAACGCTCTTTTATCTCCGATGCTCTTCGCAACTTGGAAAAACGGCGAATCGCTGTTATCTGGCACCGTCGGCAAAGAACCAATCTGCGCTAAAACATCAAACCCGCTAATAACCTCCCCAACTACCACATTCGTCACGTCTAAATCCTCCGAAGGCGCGTACGTGATCGAAAAGCTCGTCCCGTTTGGCTCCGGCGGCAACGGTTCATACACCCTCTCAAACTTCCCTCTGTTCGACACCAACTTCGATTTCGGCTCTGGTTTCGGCATTCTCGGATCGTCTCTCACCTGAACGCTCACCAAATTCGCCCGGTCGTGTTTCATTTTACCCAAATCCATCAACAACTCTTCATTCGTCAATCCTCCCGGCACGGTATTAATCGCCTCGCCCGTCCCGGGCGCTTCAAACTTGGCAATCGCGGACGAAGTAATCCACAAAGGCGTCTCGACCGTTTCGTCCTCGTTCTCCTCGATCCCAATGATTGGTTTTCGTCGATACGAAAGCCCTTGGATTCCTTTCGACAGAGCCAGGAATCTTCGCGCGGTTATTGATTCGTTTCCGTACACGCCAACCACGACTCGGCCGATTTTTGTCCCATCGATTGCAAATTCAAAGAACACTTGATTCGTAATCAACTTTTGATGTTTCGTTTCATCATCATCCAAAGCCGCCGCCCACGCGTTGAACGCGTTCGTTGGGAAAACGAAAGCAGAAGATGTGAGCATCATTAGGTCTCTTCTTCTTCTTCGCGGGTGGTTAAACGCAGTTGTGGTGGTTTCCTCGTCGTCCTCGTCTCGGGAAAGAATGGATTCGATGGTGCATCCATTTTTGATGTTGCGAGGAGGAGGTCTCCTCTCGCGCCGCGTCATGAACGCCGCTCTGGACGATACCGAGTTTAAGGACGACGACGACGAGGAGGAGGAGGAGGAGGAGGACGAAACGTGCGCGAGAGAACGCATCATCATCATCGAAATAAAGCGAGTATAATCAAACTTGAATGAGCGAGTAAATTGTGAAGATATTTACACCGAAACAGAATCTAAAAAATGCCACTCGAAGCGCCGCCGGGCGGCGCTAACACTCTGGAGGAGTTCCTTCCGGTTAAAAAGTTCCCAACGTTTTGCGAATTCGAACGCACGTAGTTATTGTTGTTATTGTTTTCGTTGCTCAGTGGCACGCGATTAAGCGTGGTAGTACTATTCCCGGTGTTGGTGTTGTTCTTCGTCGAGGAGGAAGGCGGTCCGAGACTACTCGTGGTGGTCTTTGTCTTGACCGCCAGTACGCTCACGCCGCGCGCGATCATCTCTTCCAATCTTTCCACCAGCGTCTCTTTACACCCGGCGGGCTGAATGTTATTGTATCGGCAAAGTATTCTCAGGTCTGGTAAAGTCATCGATTTTAGCGCGGACGGGTCGATCGTGCTCGACGTTTCCTCTTCGTTGTGTCTCCCCGAAACAGTTGGGAAAGACGGTTGGGCAGCTAATCTGGACGCCCCTCCGAGATACGCCTCCTCCTCTTCCTCCCCCAGCGTGAAACTTTGCGTCCCACCGGGCGCTTGTAAAACCCTCGAGGTATTTCTACCGGTCATGACGTTGCCGCAGTTTTGGTCGCCGCCGGAGGCGAACGCGTTCGCCGATATTGCCGTTCTGTGTTCATAACACCAAAGCGATAGTTCCCCGTTAAAAAAGTGAAGTGCTTCGGGAAATGCATTTATATTCTCGCGGCGAAAGAGAGGAGAGAAAAAGTAAAAAGGAACTGAGAAAGAGTAAGAATAATACCAAAGAAACACTTACGTGTTGTCGTGACCGAAGTACGCGTGCATTTTACGAGCGTATGTATCCGTGATGAAAGAGGTGTGGTGGTAACAGAATGGCGTTTTGAGAAATGTTTTGACTTTTTGTAAATTTTGACTGTGCAGCTGCTCATTTTGTCTCTCATTCAGAAGTGTTCAAGTGTTCTTCGAGTGGAGAAGTTGTTCTCGACGAAGCATCCGAGGAACATCGGCGTTTTTATCTCAAAATTTGACATTAATCAAGAGGTACCCCAAAGCCGTACGGATTTCTTCCTGCTTCAACAACTCATTGCCTTTGCGTTTGTTACATGTCGCGCACGCGGTCGTTAAATTCGTCCACGACCTTTCGCCGCCTTTCGACCGCGGAAGGATATGGTCGATGGTCAAATCGTCACTCGCGTATCGTCGTCCGCAATACGTGCACACGTGATGATCTCTAATAAACACGTTCTCCCTCTTCAACGCGACCCACTCAATCTTTTCATCAAATCGACAACTATTTAAAATATGCAAAGTTTTAAGTGTAACAGGCGCCCCGTTGTCGACGACGTATTTCAAAATCCCACAATCGTCGACATTGTTATAATGGATACTTGCCGCTACATTTGCGGTTCCTTTTGAAAACGAATAGTGAAGATGCTCGTGCGCGTAGCGAACCATCTCCAACTTGCGGGTTTGTTGTATGATTGTGTTTATATGCGTCGGAACGTGATCCAAGGAAAACGCAAGAATTTGATAGTCTTTCGCCGAGAGAACTGTTTGCATCGCCACTCGACTCTCTCGATTCACTCGCCTCAACGTGACTCGTTCTCTTTTCCACAGTTTAGGTAACACGTGCTTTTCGAACACCTCTCGCTGCTCTAACGTGAACACTTTAAACAGCACAGACATGTTTGTATTCCTCTTTCTCTTCTTCTTTCGAATGCTCGTATTTTTTGACGACTCGTCTCGATATTTTTTTCGTATCTAAAAAATACTTCACAAAAGTAACAAACACATATCACACAGCAACATTCATTCATCAACAGCGACATCATCCACGATGTCTTCTCAAAGCAAATCGCTCAATGCGATGACACTTCTCGTCCTCGCGACGGCGATGTTGTTTTCGGTTGGTTTTTTAAAAGGAGTTGAAGGAAGAAAACTTCTCCAAGAAGAAGAAACGTTCCCAAGCGAAGATATTCTCGAAGAGCAAGATCTGATAGGAGAAGAGTACGCGATGGCAATGGCACCAGCGCCGGCACCAGCACCTACAATGATGACGATGGAGGAAGAATCGATCGTTGTTGAAGGAGAAGGAGAGGTTCCAGCGAAGCGCCGTCGATCGCTTTTGCAAGAACTCGGGAACGGTCCAGTTCCGAGTGGTGAGGAAATTCTTGGAGAAATCTATGACATCTACGACGAGATGTTCGCGCCGGCGCCGGCGCCGGCGACGACGACGGAAGAAGGGGAGATTTTACCACCGGTGAGGAGAAAGTTGCTCCAGATGATGGAGGGTATGATGCCGGATATGACTGGGATGCCGGATCCGTTACCTTCAACCGGCGACGGCGCCATGGACGAAGGCGAGGCGCCTTCGCCGGCGCCGACTGCCACGACCGACGAAGAGATTCTCGACGAAGAAGTTATTCCGCCGGTAAGAAAGTTGCTTCAAGAAGAAGGTGACGTCATAATGGACGAAGTTATCGCAGTTCCGCCGACAGAAGCACCTATCGCCGAAGCACCCGCGCCGGCTCCAATTGAAGACATCGGGATGATCGTCGAAGAGACTCCCGGTCGAAAGCTCCTCCAAGAAGAACTCGAACCGCAACCAGTAATAAACGGAGAAGAAGAACAAGAAGTACCGCCAACGACGGAAGAAGAAGAGGCTACCGCCGAAGCACCGTCCCCAATCATCGGTACTTTTGAAATAACAACAATCACCGGCACCATCACTGCCGCGGAAGATTATGACCCAGACATGACGGGGCCAAACTAAAAGCGGCGAGAGCAAGACGGTGAGACGGAAAGAATCTCAAAGAAAGAAAAACGAGAGACAAATGTACAAGTGTACACGTGCACGCTTTGCAATTACGACGAATTAAACTTTTAACAAGTTTAAAAGAGAGAGAGAGAGAGATAGAGAGAGAGATGTGCGTCTCGCGTAAAATGTTGTGAACTCAAACTCCTTCCCTCTTAATACTCCACTATAAAACTCAATCCCCCCATTTCTACAAAGAGCATGAACGGGGAACTCGCGTTCGCGTACGTCGGCGAATATTCCAAGCAAAACCCAAACGTACCTCACGGACACGGGTCTGTTCTGTACCACGACCAAGGTGGGCTGTATCAAGGTCGCTTTCGAGAAGGAAAACGACACGGACAAGGGGAGTTGATTTTAGGGGATTCCCCGTTCGAGGAAAACGCAAAAACGTCCTGCGCGAAGTTTAAAGGCGAATGGAAGGACGATTTGTTCGATGGAAATGAGAATGAATTCTCCAACGGACAAGGGTTGAAGCTAACGGGAACGTGGAAAAGAGGAGAGATTCAGTTCGGGGTGGAAATCGACGAAGAGGATGGTAATGTGGTCGTGTACCACGGCAGTTACAGAGAGAAGAAAAGAGAAGGGAAACTGTGCTACGAACGCGCGCGGGACGGCGGCGAAATTTTCGGAGGGTTTAAAGAAGGAAAGATGCACGGCTGTTGCGTGTACGTGTATCCAATGAGTAGCAGCACTAGGAGTAAATCGAATAATTTAGCGAAAGAAAGTGTGTTAGAGTATTGGGACGAATCGAATCGACCGGCGTTGCGTGGGATTTTCGTCGAAGGAAGGTTGCTGAAGGATACGGCGGAGTATTTCGAGAAAGGCTTGAGCAGAGAGAGTGTGAAAGAATACATAGAGAACACGCCGGTAAAATCAGCTATTCGAGGATGCGTATTTGAGGATGATAAGAGAGATCCGAGGGAGCGGGATATAGTGGAGATGGTGAAGGGTAAGTTGGTGGCGAGGAAAGACGTGAGATGGAGCGGGAAAGACACAAAGTCGGTAGAGTTTGTGGCGTTAGTGACGGGTACTCTCGTTCGACACGATAAAGGTGCGAGTAAAGTGAGGTGGTTTCCAGAGCAAAGAATCACTGTTTTGGACGATTTAACTTCCTCAGATGAAGATGACGATGACGATGGCAACGGTCGAGGGAAAAAGAAGGGAAGGAAGACGAACGACGGGGGAAATGTCGCCATCGGAGGCTACTTTTTTGAATACGATGGGAAGTTAGAACACTCGTTGGGGTGCGAGGCAACTATCGTGCGGAATGCAAGAGACGCAAACGTTAAACGCCGCACGTATTTTAGCCCGTATCTAGGTAAATGCATAGCGCTCGTCCCTACTCGGCACATCAAGAAAGGCGAGGATATCAAGGTTCTTCCCGATTATGCCGCCGGCCATCGCCTTGGACCGAAACGGTATCGTTCTCTAGTCACACGTGAAGAAGAAAAAGAAGGGTGATACCAGTATGTATAGTAAAAATAATAACTACTACCTGGTAGGTACCTAGTACCAGTATCTAATACATATACAAGAATGCTAAAGCAATCGTCGTCGAACAACCGTTCCGGATCGAGACGCGTGTCCGACTTCGTTCACCGCCGCTATGTACCAACACTTCTCAAACACTCTAATTCTATCGCCAAATCCTCTCTGTTCCATGATCCACTTGACGTACGGAAACGAAATCTGGTCTCTTCCGAATGGTGAGCGCAAGATTTCGTGCGCCCACCTGGCGCTTAACTCGAACCCAATCGCATTCGTCCTTCGAATGAACAACCCCGTATCCGGCAATCCTTTCCCTTGGAACCCTTCCTCTTTATACCTTTTCACGGTTTGACTCAACCATCGGCTTCGATCCGAATCGTACGTCTCGTTTACGCTCAACGCTCCGTGAAACATCTTCGTCAACTTATCCGCCTCCGCAAACACATCCTCCCTGACATGATTCTCACTCACCGCCACGTCAAACTCGTACGGCCTTTCGTGTCTCTTCACCCTGGTAATCTTCGGGTGCGTGTTCGCTCTCAACAAGACATCAACCACCGCCGTCGCGTCTTCGCTCAACTCTAGCTTTGAATCAATCCACACGGTCACTTTACTCTCCGGAAAATGAAATGGCAACAACGCTTTCACTAATCTCGCTTTCATTCGACTGTCCGGGAACCCCGGGTGTGAATACTCGACCACGTTCCAAGCGTCGAAACACCCGCTCTGGTACCCAAACTTTTCAATCGTCGGCTTATCCACAAACGCCACAAAACACACGTCATCTTGCTTATACCGAGTCGGATCCGCACCAATCGGTCTGTGCAACGTATCCTGCGCGCCAAACGACGCAGTCACGACCACAATCTGGCAATACCGAAACCTTGCCAACTGTTCGTCGATGAACCCGTCGCGCCCGCTAAACAAAATCGAAATCGCTTTCCGGCCTACCGCTTTATCCGTATCATCGAACGCGCCGAAATCTTTCCCCTCGTACGCGTACTGCTCCAACTCCTTCAACTTCCCAACCGGAGGAAGCGAGACTAACACCTCCTCAAACTTCACCTTCTTTATCGCCCTTCCTTCCTCGTCTCTCCGTCTCTGGTAATGAAATCGAGACGACACTTGCATCTGCTTCTTAAACTTCTCCGAACACTGCGTCCGCCATCCAGGTTTCGCTTTAAACAGGTCCTCGCGTAACACGCTCAGCGTTTTCGTCTCGCACAGAGGCGGTAACCTGTTCGGGTTCACGTCTTTTGCTCCTCCCAAGCCAAAGGAAAGTGAGACAAAATCGGACGATTTTTGCATCACATCGAGCACCGCGTCGTGGAGCACGGAGACGAACGCCGCCACGAAAAGGACGAACAAAACTCTTAGCAAGAGAGTTTGACGTTTGCTTCGTTTGTTCTTCACCATCATCGCACAAAGAAAAGGCGGGAGTTCCTCGTTTTCATGCGAGAGATGTGAGTGGATATAATGGAGAATCTTTGGAAAATCTCCTCAAATGTAATACGCGCGCAATAAACAACAACAAACAAACAACTTTAACTCTCGCGATCTCTCTTTAAACACGCGCAAGACGACGTCACCATCTTTGCGCTTCGCTGCTTCGGCGGCAAAATCATCGATATTATCCATAACGAACCGAAGAAGAAGGAGTAAGAGGAACATCATCATCATGGAGCGGTTTCTGATTCGAAAATTCGCGACGGCTTCGTCGTCCCAAGACGAGACGACGACGAAGAAGCAAAAGACGAACGAGAAGTGTGTAAAATGGCACGCACTTCACGCCTCGTTACTCCTCCGCGTGGATCATTCCTGCCCGAACAAAAACGCGAGCAAAATCGCGTGTTTTGATCTCGACGAAACGTTGCAAAAGACGAAATCCGGCAAGAAACCGTTCATGACGCACGAGAACGACTTTACGTTTCGAGACCAATCGGTGAGAACCGCGTTGAATTTGTTACACGAGAATGGGTATAAGATTGTGATTTTTTCGAATCAAGGGATGGTGAAAAGCGCGGTGGATGGGAAGAAAGCGGAACAGATTCGGAAACGGGTTGAGATTTTCGCGGGTGAGGTACGTGCGTTTGTGTTGTCGCTTCTTGGTCTTCGCTTCGTTCTTCGCGAGCGTTTTTTGTTCGTTTCTTACTCCTTTCATCGCGCTGACTTTTGATCGTGGTCGTTTCTTTTCTTACCTTTAATTGATGACAAAAAACAGCTCGGGGAGGCCAAGTTTGACTTTTACGCGGCGACGCAATCCGGCGAGAGAGACGTCAAAGGGTACCGCAAACCAAACGTCGGCATGTGGCGAGAGATGCTTTCGCGAAGAGAAAAAATACAAGTAGAGGAATTAGAAGGAAACGAAATAACGAGCACATTCTACGTCGGCGACGCGGCGAATCGTCCGCAGGACCACTCCGACGCCGATATCGCTTTCGCTCGAAACTGCAACGTTGAATTTTTCCTCCCGGAACAGTTCTTCGAAGGCGGGGCCTTTCGAAAGTTTCTTCAACGTCTCGAAACCGACAAAGACGACGACGACGATTCACCACCAAAAGAAGAAACGGAAGAAGAAAAACAAAAAGGAGTGACACGAGGAGATTAGTGGCAGAAATAACAATAGCGCGTGTCTAGACATTATATAAACAAGCAGCGCGTATTTAGAACGCTCGCATTCATTCCCCCAATTTTCCTCACAAGTAGCCCCTCAAACACATTTCCCCAAACACTTTTCAAACGGGTATCACACACTCACTCGAGAGTAAACACGCAATAAACAGTAAAAAGATGCCACCGAAGAAGAGCAAGAAACCAACATCACTGAAAGTCCCGGAGACGGAATCGGCGAGGAAGAAGCTCACCGTCGCGCAGCTGAGAAACGTTTTAGTTTCGTTAGGTTTGTCCGTGGACGGATTGAAAGCGGATTTGTTGTTAAGATTGGAAACGCATCTTTTGGAGGAGAAGAAGAAAGACGAAGAGAAGGGGGGAGAAGTGGGCGCGAGGAAACGAGCTCGATCGGAGGAGAAGAAGGAGAAGGAGGAGGAGGAGGACAAAACCGCCGTTCCCGAGAAAGAAGAAGAATTGAATACAGAATTGGGGGACACGTTGGGAAAATTTTCGCCAAAACCACAACCAACCGAAGAACAAGAAGGAGCGGCGAAGAAGACAAAGAAGGCGAAGGTGGAGGAGGAAAATGGTGATACGATCGCAAAAAGAGAGAAAAGCGCGAAGTCGTCGATGCCGCGAGTAGATTTAACGCAGATTGGCGCGTACGAGCGTTTGCGCGCGAGACGAGTGGAGATTCGCTACGAAAATTTTCCGGCGGATGCGGACGAGGCGCTGGTGAGACGCGTCTTTGAGACGTACGGCGACGTAAGAGAGATTTTCAGCTCTGGTTCGAATGGCGTCGTGAGGTTTCAGACGCAAGAAGCGGCCGAAAGCGCGTTAGCTGCGTTGGAAAATGGGTCGTACGTGATGGACGGGTGCGAAAAAGGTGTGCGAGTTAGATGGGCGACGTGGGAGGAAGACTTGAAGTCGAACGCGACTGAAGTGGAGTTGGATTTACGAAAGTTTGTCGAGGAGGAGTGCGACGAGACGACGAGAAGTTCCAAACAGATTTGGATAGGCGCGTCGTCGAAATTAGCGAGCGATGAGCTAGTCAAGGCGTGGCTGGAACGGTTCGGCGAGGTTGAATCGTTCAAAGCGTTTAGAAAGGAGAAGCATTTTTCGTTCTTGGCGACGTATGCGAAAGAGGAGGATGCGAAGCTGTGTTTTGACAGCTTAAACGAGAAACAGCCACCAGGTTCGTTGGTATATCACGCGCCTTTAAGGGTGGACTTTACGATTGTAGACGAAACGACGAGAATGAGTTTAGAGAAAATGGCGCAAAAAGTAATCAACCCGCAACAACAACAACAACAACAACAACAAAGTCCAGGCGGCAAGGCTTTATTGACTCCGGTTGTTAAAACAACGGAGAGTCCTGCGAAGAAGCAAGAAGGCGATCACATGAAACGGTCAGACTCTCGAGACGCCATGCCTCCTGGAATGGTCGTGGAACCGCCGTCTTCTTCGGAACCGACTACGCCCGATGTCATCGCCAGGTACCTCCGATCCGTGTACTCGAACGGTAAAAAATTACCGAGACGGGGTCAGTTCGACCCACCAAACGTACATCATTATGGACCTCCGTCTGAAAAACTCTATGTCTCGAGCATACCCGCGTGTTTTGATAAAAACGCCGTCGCGCCTATGTTTGAAGCGTTGGGCGAGGTAACCGACGTGCACATTTTATTCGACCGCCATACAAAAAAACACAAAGGCAGTGGCTTTGTCACCTTTCGAACGGTCGAAGAAGCGGAGCGAACGATCGCTTTGCTCGACCAAAATTACATCTTAGACAACAGAGACCCGAATCTACCGACGAACAAGCCGATTTATTTCAAGTTTGCAAAAGGTAATCAGCAAGCTTCCGCACAGCAACATGTGTTCCAGCAAGGCGCGCCGCATCAAGGATATCAACATGGAGGAGGAGGAGGAGGAGGAGGACAAAGCATGCAAAGCATGGCGATGCAAAACCAGCATCAGTATTTGCAAATGCAGCAGATGCAACAAATGCAACAACAACAACAAATGCAGCAGCAGCAATACTGGCAAATGATGGCGCAACAGCAGCAACAACAACAGTTTCAGCAGCAACATCTACAACAAGGCCAACCGTTCATGCCGCCGCAGCAGTTTCCACCGCCTCAGTGAAGAATATTACGAGTAATTAATAGTAGTTTAGTGGGTAATTTATATAGTTAAGCACCAATATTATTGAATGGAACGATACGTTCTCTTTATTAAAAACTACGAAACCTTCTTTTCTTTGTACACTTCATTATAAAGCTAATACGGCGACGATCCGGGAGCACCACCACCACCTCTTCCGCGCCCACCACCTCTGCCACCTCTGCCACCTCTGCCTCTCCCTCTTCCGTATGGCATCATCATCGGAACCATCATCATTCCGCCGGGAAACCCACCGAATCGTCCTCCCCCTCTTCCCCGGCCTCTCCCGCCAGCCTTCATCCCCGGCACGTTCGTTCTCTTCGCGCTCACTTTCAACTTCCTCTGCGGGAACTCCTCCAACCCGGTCCCATCCAGCAACACCGCCGCATCCACCGCGTCCTTTTCCAAAAACTCAACGTACGCGAACCCTTTTGGATTTTCAAACTTATCGGTTAAAATAGTCACCCGGTTCACCGTCCCGCACTTCTTAAAGTGTTCCGCCAGCATCCCAGGTTCCGCGCCGTAATCCACTTGGCCGACGAACACCGACCGAGAGTCAATCTCTTGTCGCTCGGCTTTCTCCTTCTCCAACTCTTCCGGCGTTTTTTGCGGTTTTCCACCCTGTCCTTGACCGTTATTGTCGGAATGGTGATGTTTCGCCATTTCTTCGTCCAAAGCTTTCCCGTCGATCCCTTGCTCTTGTTCTCGCAGCGAGGACGCTTCGCGTTCCATTTCCGCCAGTTTTTCTTTCATTTTCAAGATCTCGTCGTCCTCGGCCGTCATCGTCGCTTCCAGCTGTTGTGTGTTTTCAACATCGCATCAGAGATAATAAAACGTTTCAGGTCAGACAGAGCACGAGATTGAATGAATTGGATGAATTGAATCGGCAACTCGTTGCCGTAAAGAAGTGAACAAAAGAGCTCGAGAAAGAATACGAAAGCAAACAAAAGCAAACAAAAAGAATACTTACCTCCTCGTGGCCTTCGGCGTCCATGGCGTCGGAAGTATTCGCGTTACCGCGCGTCGATTTGCGCGCTTTAGGCATTGTGTATTAAATAATAATAATTGTGTGCGTCTTTTTGTTTCCAAATGAGGGGAATTTTTGTGTGGTAAAGAGAAGGAAAAACAACGTAAGATGTACGCTGTGCACGAAAGAACACTTTCAACTTAACAACTACTCGCATTCGTAATTAATAGTATTGTTATTATTCGTCGTTTCCGTTATCGTTCCCGGATGATGACGAGGAGGCGTCGTCGAAGGATGCCTCGATGATTTCCCCTCCTTCGAAGAAATCCTCGTCGTCGTCGTTTCTAGTATTCGTCCCGTTTGCGTCAATCACGACGTCGACGTTTCGACCAACCCCTCCTCCCCCGACGCCGTCGACTTCAAAACTTTCTCCGTTTCTTAAAGTGGCGACGACGGTGACGTTTTTCTTCCCGGTCGTGACCGATTCCATGGTGACTGCGATCGAGGCTACTTTGTTACCGCTCGAGGACGAAGCGATCATCCCAATCCTCGTCACGTCCGTCCTTTTCCCGTTGACGTTCATCGAGTTGCTCATTTGCGTCGTAACCGGTCCAACGATTACGTCCTCGCCGCCTAAAGCTTCTCTCAACTTCCCGTCCTTTTCGCACTTACTCCTCGCGATTTCGTACGCGTCCTCTACGTTCGTTCGCATCTCGGACATCCCTTCAGCGAGTTGACCCGCGAGATTGTTAATCACACCAGTCGCTACTCGCCCCATTAAACCTTTCCCGAAGAGTTGTTCTCGCTGCGTCGAGTTAATCAGTTCGTTCTTTTTATTCTTTCTGTTATTCATATTCATCTGTTGTTCTCGTTCGGTGGTGGTTAATGCATTCTCCTTCTTCTTGAATGGATTCAACTTCTCGAAGAACGATTCTTCTTCCGCTTTTGCAAACACTCTCCTTTTCCTCCTCTTCGCGCGATGACGATGACGATGCTCAAGACGATGAAACGCTCCTCTCGAGGATACCCCCGCAGATGATGATGATTGCGTCGCAGATGATGCAGTCATAACTCTCGCATTCCCGGGAAAGATTGCAAAACTGCTCATGAGATATGAATTTTGGAAAGATATATTGCCGCTGCTACTGCTGCTCGAATACTGCTGAGACGAAAGAATGAACCCTCTCTTCCTCCGCTCTCCTTTGGCTTCTTTAGCGACTTCGAAAGTGTCGTATTTGTTTGTGGACACGCGCGATAGATATGTGGCGTTTTATGGGGGAAATCCCCTTCTTTTGCTGACTCAGACATTTCGTTTTGTCCGCATAATTCGAACACGCGCGTGGATGAAGCGAGGCGAGCGCTGATACCGAACAAAAAGGCTTTGAAAAGATACACGGGCGAATTTTAGTGACGGCGGTATCATACCAATGCTGAGCTTCGTTCGTATCGTCGTCGCGCTTCTTTGCTTTTCCTCGATGGTTTCGAGTTCGTCGTCGAGTTTTGGTTTTGCCGTCGAGGACGACGAAGGAGGAGAAGGACATGACGTCGTCGGTGGTGTTGCCAGCAGAAATACGGGGAGGATAAGGACGACGACCACAATAAGGACTCGTAAACTCCTCTCCCGCTCGGGTCTCCCCATCGACGACTTGGAGGAGTTCGAAACCTGGGACGTTGGTGGAGGATTCGAGGAGCGCGACGACGACGATGCAGACGACGACGAATACGAAGATAAAGAACGCAAACGCGCAGAAAAACGCTTACTCGAGAAGCGAGAGAAAGTGCGAGTGCGCGTGGGAAAGCTTCGCGCGAGACGGGCGGATAAACGCCGCGCGAAACGGTTAGCGAGCGGTGAAGACGTGTTGGAGGAGGAAGAGGACGAAGCACAACACACGGAGTTGACGGATGAAGAGATATTGGCGGAATACGAGGACGAGGACGAGGAGGAAAACGAAGAGGAAGAAGACGCGTTCGATCGAAACGATTTGAGAGACCGCGATGATCCGGACGACGAGGATGACGATTACGCGTTGAAGACGACGGAGGAGTTGCGGCAAACGAAGAAGGCGATGGATTTGTTCGACGAAGACGACGACGAAGAGGAGGAGGATGCAGATGGGGAGGATGGGGGTGAGAAGAAGATTAAGAAGAAGAAGAGGCCAACGTCCGACTTAGACGAGTACGAAGATATCGACGAGGTGGATTTGGATTACGACTCGGAAGGCGTGCACGCGGACGACGAGAACGATGTTTTCCGAGAAGACGACGAGTACGAAGACGAGCAAGAGTATGATTTAGATAGCGACGACGACGAGGACGTAAACGATGAAGAATATAGCGGTAAAGAAAAGGATTTTTAGAAAGAAAGAGAGATTAGAACACGTGAAATACTACGGTACCCGAGGTACGATTACATTCGCACGCGAATGAGAGAGAAAGACGACGTTTGTATAGAAAGATTGGAAAATTTTCATTTGTATGTATATCTCTTGGTGCGTGTATTACAAAATTTGTGTGTGTGTGCCTGTGTTTACAAGCTGTGTAACTCTCCATCTTCGTATCGCCAACCGATTGGGAGAGGACAGCGTTTGTCGAGGAGGTATTGTACACATTCGGTTTGGTTGTTCTCGTGCGCGTAGCGTACGGCGCGAGAGTCCCACGGCGCTTTGGCGGTTTCGCGCAAGTACTTCAAACAGTCGAAGTGGCCGTTCCTGGCTGCAAGCTCACACGCCGATACGCTATATTTATCATACTTACGCTCAACAAGATATTCGAGTATGTGGAGATGACCCTTTAAAGCCGCCCAACTGGCAGTAAGATCATCCCAAGGCGCTTTGACTTCTTCGCGTAAGTATTTGAGGCACTCGAGATGACCGTATCGGGCAGCATTTGCACACGCCCACCTATTAAAAGGACACTTCTTTGCCACGCAATACTTTATCATTTCCAGATTACCTTTTTCTGCGGCCCTATTAATCGTCCCTTCATCCCACTTACACTTTTTCTCCTCTCGCGCCCACTTGAGCAACTCGAGTTTATTCGTTTCAGCAACTCGAGAGCAGAACCATTTTTCATCGTCCCAGTCACTCGGCCACAACGATCGATTCTCCCACACAAACTCCAAAGTCGATATCGATGACATCTCTTCAACTTTGAAACTCTTCTTCAAATCTTTTGCACGAGATGATCTCTTAATCAACTTTCTCGTCTCTGTATTCACTCCGTACAAGAATTTCACATCAGTCGCATTCAATCTCGGAAGAATGTGTTTGAAACAAATATCGTCGTTCTTCACGATCAAATCCCACACATCTCTCTCCCCCATCCGTCTTTTCTGCCCTCGCGTCCTCACTCCGGAAGACATGACGCGAGAGACGACAAAAACAGAGCAGCAGTGTTCTTTTTCTTCTTCGTCTTTACGTGTCCATCATCTTCATCACAAAAGTGCCGTTTTGGGCGAAAAAAAGAAGAGGAAAAGAGATACGAAAAGCGACACAGAAAAGCCGCATAAAACTCTCTCTCTCTGTCTGCTCGTATTAATGCTCCTCCTGAGAGCGGTGGCGTCTTCTTTTCCGTCTTTTCAAAACACCCACGCGAGGAGGATACCACTGAAGAAACGTTTGGCAACACTATCGTCATCATCATCATCATCCAAAATGGAAACGACGACGAAAACCATCGAAAGCGATGGAACGCAAACGCCGTTAAAAATCGTGCAACTCCCGGCGCTTTCCGATAACTACGTGTTCCTGTTGCACTGCGCGAATACGAAATCGACCGCGGTGATAGACACTCCGGAAGTTGGACCAATCTTGAGAGAATTGAAGAAACGAAACTGGCAATTGACGCACATCTTAAACACGCACTGGCACAGCGACCATACCGGTGGGAACTTAGAGCTGAAAAAAGAGTTTCCCGAGGTGCAAATAATCGGTCCGAGAGGTGAGAAGGCGAAAACGCCCGGCGCGGAGAAGATTCCCGGCGTCGATAGGAAAGTAGAACAAGACGACGTCGTGTTCGTCGGGGACGTGAAGTTACACGTGATGGACGTTCCCGGTCACACTTTAGGGCACTGCGCGTACTACTCTCCGTCGGCGAATTCGGCGTTTGTCGGCGACTGCGTTTTCGCGATGGGATGCGGAAGAGTGTTCGAAGGGACGCATCCCCAGATGTTTGCGAGCATCACGAAGATTATGAGTTTACCGGAGACGACGAAATTGTATTGCGCTCACGAGTATACTTTAGCGAACATTAAGTTTGCAAAGAGCGTAGATGGACAGAACGAGGCTTTGTTGGAGCGGGAAAGGAAGTGCAAGGCGTTGCGAGAGAAGAACGAGCCTACGGTCCCGACGACGGTCGGTGAGGAGAAGAAAACAAACCCGTTTTGTAGAAGCGGGGATGAGAAAATTAGAAAGTTTTTAGGGATGGAGGAGAAGAGAGACGTGGAGGTGTTCGCGCAGTTGAGAACGATGAAGGATAATTTCTAGAATTTCCTCTTTTTGTATCTACTACTCGATTATGGTGAAGACATATCACGATATGTCTTCGAAGTTGTCTTAAAGTTGTCTGGAAGTTGTCTGTGCCGGAATATATTTTGGCCTTAAAAAAAAGGGGTACTGCCTTGGTGCTGCCTTTGTACGACCTAAATATATTCCTTTTGAAACATTTTTCTCGCCAGACAGTTTTGGTTTGAAGGCACCCTCCTGCTTCTTTTTGTCGTGTGCCTTTTCGACAAAAAGAATAACTAACCTCATCACTATTCAAACGCGAAGATGAGCGATTATCAAACACCGCAGAAGGACGGTGAAGTTGATATCTTATTCAAGAAGCCGGGTGCTGAGGCGATGTCCCGCAACACCAAGGGAGACGTGATGCCGCAAACCGAAGCGCTGGCGTACGCTTCTGCCCTTCCCCCCGCGCAAAGGTCAGACGTCAGCGGTTGCTACTGCCTGAAATGCGTCCCTTGTGGGTCGTTTCCCATCGCGACGCACTGTGTTTGCGGCGGTGATTCGCTGTGCTGGGGGTTTGGAACGATTCCATTCGCGTGCTGTTCGCTCCCGATGCCTTTCATAGACCCATACTTTAGGAGCGTCAAGCGAGACTGCACGGTGATGTTAGTCGACGCCGAACGCGGAACACTCGCGTGCTATCCGGGAGAAAAAGCTGAGAAACCGTGCTGCATCTGGTCCAAGCTTTGGTGAGAGGGCTGACCGCGACTGGAGGTGCGGTGGCGTCGGGGGGCAACCGCGGGGTAGCATCGTGGTGGAGGTTGATCTACCAGGAGTCGAGAACAAGAGGGACATCAAGTTTTGTAGTCTGTTTTGTCTTAAATCTGCCACCTGGCATATTTGTGATTTTAACATATTATATAATTTACTGGTTCAAAATTGTTAATGTTTTCAAAGATATGTACATAAAATTTTAGGAGATTATTCCACACAGTTTTAAGTCTCGTTCGGGGGGAATGACAACGTAATGACAACGTTCGGGGGGAATAGTAGAAACGACTTTCAGACGCCAACGAGACGAGAGAGAGACGAAGAAAATGTTGAAGAAACAAATAACGAACAGGGAGACGAGGACAGTCCTTTATCATCGGGGGACGGTGATAGAGGGAACGCTCTAAGGTTTCACGGATGTATATATACAAATGTTACTAAATTCTTTTTTCTTCATCATCACGCATAAAAGCTGCTAGTTTTCTCCACGGACATCTCCATCGCGTGGACGTCCATGCTTTCTCTCGTGGCTAACTTACACGTCACCAGCGCGTGTCTTAATAATCTCAACAATTCCTCGTCGTCGCCGCAAGCGTCTAACAACACCGACCGCCTCGGACCCATATCTTCCCACTTACCAAACTTTCCAAAACAAAAGCCCCAACCAAATGGCGTCTCGTGCAACTCTCCAGCGTTCGTTTTCGCCGAAGTGCTCGCGAACCGAGGTCGTCGACGAAGCATCAAAGGCGTGTTCATGATTGCGCGAAGGTACGTCCCGGTGCGATCTTTCGACAATAAACGGCGAATGGTCTTCTTTTGCAAGGCGTTCCCTCCAGCTCCGCCCAGAACGACGTGAGCGACGGCGTGGACGACCAGAGCGACCGCGACTGGTGGTGCTTCGAATGGTAAACGGGCGCCTCTCGAACCAATGCCGCCGTAATCCCACCCTTCGAATTTCTCCCACGATGCGAACCATTTATCTAAATCGCCCGATTCTAACGACGAGATGTACAGCTCAAACATTTCAGGATCTTGCTCGCCTCCGCGAGGTAACATGACGTGCGAATGAATAGGCTCGACTAACTTTGCAATACTCGGAAGTAGATGTAGGCTCAAATTTTCGCGCAAAGCGATCCAACAGGAAGCTCGAGCTTTGGCGGGAACGTCCGCGCGGAGCCAAAAACTGATGTGTCTTCCAAACAAAGCATCCGCGTAAGAAGTTGTGCCAAAGGCAATCGCCAAAGCGGAAGACACGGATGCGTCTCCAGACCCTTCGGGAACGTGTAAAGGGTCGCTCAACGATTTTTCGTTCGGTTTGATTCTTTTCGTGTAGCCTAAAGGAGAGGATGACGATTGCATGGCATCGTTTTGTAAAAACTCAAAGACGGTTTGCGACCAGTATAAATCGGTCAACGCGGCTAACGGCGCCGTGACGGCAGGATCGCGCCATATAACCATTTCCTTCAAGAAGACGTTGGACAACGCGGAGAGCTTTTTTGAAGAGTTCAACTCGACAATTGTCGATGCGTGTAACTTTTCGTAACCGAGAACAAGTGATAGATTGGACGCGATACTCGCGACGTCCCATCCGCGTACAGCGGAGGACGGAGACAACGGAGCGAAAAACCAATCGCTAAAAGTTGGCAAAACAGACTTCATCGGATCGCAACCGTATTTGCGTGCCTCGGAGGCGGTGGTGAACTCAATCGTGTACCCACCAAGAAGCGCGTCGCGACAATCCTCCGCGGGTGGTACGAGCGATTTCGCCGCCAAGGACAGAATGACTCCACACTCTTGCGCTGCGCTGACGACTTTGGTCATGTTTGAAGGCGTGATGTTATTCGCCGTATTTATGAAATCACGCTCGGCATCCAACAACGCAGTTCTCGTCGAATCTAACGCAGCGTCAAGCGACTGCGTCGACATGACGCCGTTTTTCAGGGCGAGTTTCGCCAAGCTGCCCGCACCCGGCGGTAACGAGCGCAACAACGTCGCCGTCGCGTATAAACACGTCTTTGTGTACTCCGCGCGTTGCTGCTTCTTGCGACATTTCTTCTCTTCTTCATCCATCGGCGGTGCGAATTCATCTTCGACAATTTCCGGCAAACCAAACTGTTCGAGAATCTCCAACGCTTGCACTAAAGCACGTTGAATGGGAAGCGTCGCGGAGGCCCAGAACACGCGCAAACCCATAAATGTGGTCACTTCGTGCGCATGCGCTTCTTGGACAGACTCCTCGCCGGAATAGTTCTCAAAGTACAGTTTTTCCAACTCGTCGTTTCTGTCCGAAGCCCTATCAAAGTCTGCGCCGCCGACGCGTTTTTGCGCCGATGATGATTGATCCGTGGTAAATCCTTCGCGCACGGCAACTAAAGCCGGAGATGGGCTGTTCGTTTGACTTCTGTTTGGAAGATTTTTATCCTCGGCAACGAGCGTCGCGGCGACTTTTTCTGTATTACCGATGCGTGCTTTTTGCTGAAATGCAGCCGAAATCTGGTTAGATGTGGTATCAAAAGACATGCGCTTCTTCGTAAACGCCTCGTTTGTGTGGATGAGACCACCACCACCACCACCACCTAAAGGCGGCGATGAACTTAAAAGACCAATGTCATCGCTCGGACTACCAGCAGACCCAACGAGCGGCGGTTTCTTCGTCTGCGGTCTACTGGGAGACATTCCTGATTTCGGTGAAATTTGTCCTCTCGCAGCTCTCGCGTCGCCGCTCCGAACATCCAGCGATAACCCGCGGTGCCGCGCACGTTGCTGACGCATCTTCATGTCAGCACGTCTCGCACGCTCAATACCAACTGTCTCTCGATACATCGCAGCACACAGCGTATCGATAGCTTCTAATGCTTTATTTTGAGCGATGGTCTTGATGTATTCGTCCACGCTCGATTCGCGCATCTCTTCGTTCTCCTCGTAGCTTTCGTTTACACCACCAGCGAGCGCTTTGAGAACGCACAGCACGCCGTGCATTGCAGCGCCTCTGGATGCTCTCGCTTTATAAAAATCCGAACTAGCAATGATACCTCGGGCGTAATCTGCCGCCAACTCTCGCAGTAAAATGTCGCACGCCTTTGAGAGCGCGTTTGCGAGTCGTCTTCGCGTGTTGGAATTTACATCGTCCTCGTTACCCTCGTTCTCGTTACCTTCCTCGCCAATTCCGGCAAGATTCGCAGAATCGAGGAAAAAAGCAGCGGACGCAAACGTAAAGCGAGAACGGGCGCCGCCTACTGAAAACGACTCGTAATTCTTTAGAATCCAATGGCTCGCGAAGCCGGAAATTTTCTCTAACAGCGGCGTCGACGCTTTCATGTTCTTATGATTTGAGCAAAACGACGAGAACGCGTTGAATGCCTCGCGAACGGTTTCGTAACCTTCATTTGAAACATTTTTAGGGTCCACATCCACGCAGTTTGCTAACAGTGAGAAATAATCGTCCGCGTTCGGACACGTCGGGACCCCTCGGTTGGCGCAAAGCGACCACAAACGCATGGCTTGGCACCAGCAATTTACCGATGCAGGTTCGAAGTCTTCCATTGGATTGATAGAGGACACGAGCTGTATCGCGCTGTGTGCGATATTTAATCTATCGTTGCTCGCATCCGATGGTTCAAATACAACGCCTGTACCGGCGACGCGTACGATGGAACATATCGTTTCCAAAACGTACGCGCGCGAGGCAATTGAGTTCGCACCTTCTGGCGGCGCCGATGACGACGACGACGACGCAAAGCTCGTCACTCGCCTACACAACACGTCCAGCAGTCTCGGACACTTCGCAACCGCAACCGCGGCGGACGTTGAGTGCGTCGCCGCCGTGGACAAAAACTGTAACAGAGGGACTTCCGCCACTGGACTCCGTTCCATCTCGAGTAAATATCTCACTCGTTCTAAAGTCTTCGCTCGCAATAAAGCCGCGATTGGATCGACCGCTCGTTCGGATTCTATCCGTCTCAGCTCGGCTTCTGCTTCCGGATCTAGTTTTGCACCAGTCGTGGCGGCTTGCATGACACTGTTTGCGATTTCCTCGTCTTCCTCGTCGCAACACACCAAATTTGTGCTCTGATCAATCTCGATGACCCCTCCGGCGGGTTCCCACGCTTTCGGTTCATACCCTCGACCGCCTTTAGGTGCGTCATCTCGCGATTCTCTCCACATGGGCGCGTGGCACGTGACCGCAGAATACGCCTTCGAAATCGCAGGGACGCCTGCAAACGATTCTAATTGTGACATTAACCGTTCTTCGGTCCCGAACACGCCCCCGCCGCCTCGGCCGCAACACAACTCTCGCATCGCCAACGCGGCGGAGGAGAAAACGAGCGGGTTTGAATCGTCCAGCCCTCGTCGAACAAGCGATACGGCGCCAACATCCACGACTGCAGAGACCCATATACCGGCCCAGGTGCTTCCTAGTGGCAACTCTTGCGGCTCCTCCGTCGCGACTCTTTCCGGCGCGTGACCAAATCTTCGCGCCGATTTGAACACGTTGGCTAACAAACGATACCCTAATGCGCGCTGGCCTGGAACCGACGAGACGCACAACTGTCGAGCTTCTAATAAAGTGTACCCTGGATCGTCACTCTCTTCTGCCGACGTCGAAGCCGCGATGTTTGGTTTATTAAACAATCCCCCGGCGCGAACAAAATCGCGTTCGGTGGGCGCGGGAATCCGTCCTTCCTGCGCGGAGATGTTTTGGTAGTGTTCCACCGGTACGATTGGTTCACCGGAAGCTGTAAACCGAACATCAGCAGCGTGCACTCTGGACATTGGATCCACGTTCGCTTTCATCAGTTTCATCGCGTCTGGTTTCTTACTCGTGCTTTTGTTGTTAAGTTTACTACTATTCCCCGACGTTGTTGTGGTCAAACGAGGCGGCGCCGCTTCAGACGCCCCCGCCTCTTTTTTATCCTCGCTCGTCGCATCCATCTTCTTTCGATTGCGATTCCTAAAGAACCCCACAATTTTTGGATCCATCTTCTCCTCCAGTTCTTTCCTCTGCTTCATCGCCTCTTCCACGCTCATGGACGCCAACACTCTCTTCGTTTCCGCCGCCACGTCTTTATCCTCGTGTTCCGGAATCATCGCCGCCGCCGCCGCCGACGACGCGCCATCCGCTCTCCCCTTCTTCATCACATCCGGTTCGTGCACGTCCAAAATCTTCTCCCCGCGCATCTCCGCGCGTCTCCTGGCAAACTTACTCAAAATTTTCGGATCATTATCATCACCACCTTTACCACCGCCTTCCTTCGACCGATGCTCCGCTTTCGGAAAACCTCTCGTTTCGCTCCCATCGTCTCTCTTCATTGGCGGTGTTGGTATCACCGTCGACGTGTCCCGCTCCACAATTTTCAGCGACGCTTCTTCCACCACGAACGGTTTCTCAACGTTGTTACTGTTCTTGCTCGCATTCGTTTCCTCCTCCTCCTCCTCCTTTTCGTCGTCGTCCTCGTCGTTCGTTCTTTTCTCTTTCCTCAGCGCTTTCGCCGCAGGCGTTTCCTTCCTCTCCAGAAACGCGCGCTGTTCCTCGAGGAGCTCTTCCTCCGTCGTCGGCAAAGGGCGACCGAAACGAGACGAAGGGTGCATCTTTTATTCTCTCTCTCACACTCTTTCTTCAAACAACGGGCGAGCAAGCGCGTGTGTGTGCTCCGCGAGTAAATGTGAAATCCGCGTGCAAAAAAGTGCCGCACAATCGTCACTTGAAGAGATACAGAGATGGGTTTCGTATTGCGCAAGAACAAGCCAAACGATGCGACGACGACGAACGAAACGAAGAAAAAGTGTCAGCGATGTTTCTCTCTCGAGCACTGGACGTTCGAGTGTGTATTAAAACCCGGCGACCAAGGGACGTACGTGAAACGACAGTCCAAGACGGAACTGTTGAAGAAACGCAGAGAGGAGGAAGACAACTCGGGGAAATCGAACACCAACAAGGGGTTTCAAGAGTTTATGAAAATCGGGAAGAAGGAAAGACGGGAGGTGTTTCGAGACCCGAGAGAACGACGAGCGCGGGCGTTGAAGAGGAAAGTGGACGCGCTGAGAGGGACGAAGAAGAGAAAGAAGAAGAAGAAGAGCGGACGAGGGAGTTCGAGCAGCAGCAGCAGCAGCAGCAGCTCGAGCGAAAGTAGCGGTAGTAGTAGCAGCAGCAGCAGCGGTAGTTCTTCTTCTTCTTCTTCTTCCTCTCTTTCTGTGTCGTCGTCGTCGTCGTCGTTATCGATCAGTAGTGGTTCGTCGTCTTTGTCGTCGAGCGGAAGTTCTTCGAGTTCGTCTTAGCGTCATTTTTAATAAAGCTTCTATCTATTGTTCTAATAAGAGGATGTCTCGCACGAGCTCGAACACGAACTCCGACGAAGTGTCGGTGTCGTGCTCGTCGCTTTCTCGAGCGTGCGTGTCGTTCTCGTCCTCGGCGTGCGCTTTCGCGAATTCATCGTCTAAAACCACCCGTAACTTTTTAAACAAAGTCGCCGTGACGGCGTCGACGTTTAACACTTTCAGCCAGTCGTCCAAAACGACTCGTTTCATCTCGTGTTCCACGTTCACTTTTCTGCCGGCAAAAAGCAAAACTTCAACGGGCGAGACTTTCGTGCACTCGCGCAAAAACGTTCGCGACGTTTTAACTTTCTCCGCGTACACGCAGAATTGTCGAGGTGGGAGTTTTGTTCCCGGCGAGCGCGAGATTTTAGAAACGAGCGAGGACGGGTGCGGATACACGTCCGCGTTTCGCGAGTCTTTCCATTCGAAGATGGTTTTCTTATCGGCGGCGTTTTTCGGGCCTATTTCCACGGCGTCGGCGTAGGCGAGGTTTGGGTATAATCCAGCGACCAACGCGGCTTTGATGAGCTTTGGTCTCTTAGCGTCCGCGTTCCACGGAGAGAGCAGGTTGTCCATGGAAGAGTAATCGTACTTTGCGTTGTTCCCATCGAGGACGTTCCCGGCTTTCAACGCATCGAAAAACTGTTTGCGTAAATCGGACAGTTGTCGCAACACGTCGTGATCAAGGCCGCTTTCACGAGCAAACTTTTTCTGAGTGGCTGCGTTATTTTTGCCGATTTCGTTCCATTTTTCGTACGCGGCGGCGTGGACGAGATGGTCGGAAACTTCGTTTTTCGCCACACTGCTGTCGTTTTCTTTCACGTTTTTTGTCAAGTTTTTCTTCATCACGGAAGCGGCGCTCGTTTCGTCGTTTTCGGAGTCACTCGCGCGCCAGGGAACTTTATGGCTGACAATTGCGGCAATTGTGAGTGCTGGTGAGAGACATCGCAACAGAACTGCAAAGAGGAGCATTTTTGCCAACGCGGCGTCGAGCGGGAGCATCGAGAGGCGCTTTCCGAGAGGCGTGAGCGCGAGAATTGTGTTTGCGTTGTTCATCTCCCCGTTTACGTCATCGTCGTCCTCGTCGTCCCATCCTACCGCTTCTTCATCGTCGTCGCCATCGTCCTTATTACTCGTAGAATTTCGCTTTCTTCTCGCTCTTCGCTCCAAGGCACCAATGTTCACCAATGTGTCTACCGCGCGATCGATGGACTCCTCCGAAGGCGGTTCCGGTGCTCGCGAGAGTACTGCGCGAGGATCGGCGTCGTCGTCGTCGTCGCGACCACCTCCTAAGGATGCAATTTGCAAAACTACTTCCGTCAACGGTGCTCGTTTCATCTCCGGTTCTTGGTGAGACTTCATCAAAACCTCGTGTCGCTTGGACGTATACAAAGAGAAGCATTTACCTTCTCTCACGCGACCTGCCCGACCACGTCGTTGTTTCGCGGACGCTCGAGAGATGAAGCATTCTTCTAAACTCGCCAGACCACGCTTTGGGTCCCATCTTCTTTCTTTCACGCGTCCGGTATCAATTACGCACGTGATGTCTGGAATAGTCACGGAGGTTTCCGCGACGTTCGTGGCGACGACAATCTTACGAACGTGAGAATCGAGATTGACATTGAAACAAATCTTTTGGTCACGATTGCTCACGTTCGAGTGTAACGGCAACACGATTGCGTCTCGAAAACGTTTCGAGCCTCTCAAACGATCGACCATCCTTTCGACTTCGCCTTTGCCGGGTAGAAAGACCAAAAACGCGCCTCCGCCGTTACTCGGTCCCGCGCGTTCTTCGGTCTCGTCGAGATGCGCGAGTAATTGTTCGATGAGATCGTAATCGATAGCGTGTTCGTCCAATCGAGATAGACACAAACGTGCCTTCGAGCTACAATGTTCAAGAAAAGCGTCGTTGGCGTCATAATCTGGATTTTCTGGATACTCTTCCCCGCCAAACAAGGAGTTGGCATCCTCGCCCCAACTATCGATGAGTTGCGCGTTTCGTCGACGATCGCTTCCTCCTCCGCCGGCTCGCATGGCTGATTTCGCCTCGTCCTCAAAGCCGCGCGGGCGGCGACACGCTCTATTTTCCGGGTCTAAAACGTATTCTAACGATTCGTATATGTTTTCCAAAAACGAAGTGGACACTGGAAACGTTCGTCCCGGCGCAGTTACCACAGGCGCGTTGTCCAAGTATCTGCTGAAAAGGTCGGAGTCGATGGTCGCAGACATCAATACCAACTTCAGCGGCGGCAAACTCATTCGCCGTCGTTGTTCAGGCACGTCGCGAAGTAATGCAAGCGCAAAGTCTGAGTCTAAACTCCGCTCGTGTACCTCGTCTAGTAAGACGTGCGTCACGCCTTTCAAGTATCGATCGCCTTGCAATCGTCTCAGGAGAATACCGACCGTACAAAACGTCAACTTTGTCGAGCTACGATTCGTCTTGTTGTCGCCTCTGACCTGATATCCGACATCACTCGTTCTTCCACCGACGCCATCTCTTTCGCATCTTTCGAAACAAACGCGTTCAGCGACTGAAGTTGCGGCGACGCGACGAGGTTGCGTGCAAATAATATTCGCGCTCGCGCCACGCAGATTTTCAATCTCGTCGTCCAAGACGAATTGCGGGATTTGCGTCGTTTTACCGCAGCCAGTTTCGCCGCACACGACGACAGTATCTTTCACAGATAATGCGCGCAAAAAATCGTCTCTGAGTTTGGCAATCGGTAAGTCGTTACGCTTGGACTCGATATCTTTCCACGCCGGTGTTTGTTTTTTTTCGCGAAAGGTTTGCAAAATACGTTCGGAGAGCGCTCGTTTCTGTTCCTCTTTTTCTTTTACGACGTCAGAATCTCTTTCGCGATTTTTATTCGCAGCAGTAGTCGATGTAGCCGCGCGGTTCTTCGATGGTGCTTTATCGGCATCTTTATCGGCATTACCAAGCTCTCTTTCGAATTTCTGATTCCACTCTGTTCGAGCAGCGCAGAGCGTTTTCCGAACCCGCACCGCAAACGTTTCCCAATCTTCTTCATCTCCTCCCTCATTTCGTGTTTTGTCATCACTACTCTCGCACGCTTCGCCTCCATCGATTCCAGAGAACAACTCGCGAAGTAACAAGGATTGCCGATAGTAATCTCGCCATTGATGATTTAACTCGCTCGGTACGACGAATTTCATCTCCCTTTCGACAAACAAGATACGGAAAAGCGCGACACACGCGGCGGCGTCCTGCGCTTCCGTCACGCTCTTCCAACCACCGTCCGGCTCGTTACCAGCTTTCTCTTCAAAAGAGATTGTCTGCACTAGTATCGTCGGTTTTCGAAGATATTTTGGCCCGGAAGATCGCTCGATTGTCGCGCTGTATCGAATTGTTTTTTTATCGTCGGTTTTTAATCGATCGTAGCGAGGCGTCAACCATTTCTCTTTTTCACACATCTTGGCAAGAAGCGCTTTAGGCGCGACCAGCGCAGCCGATGCACTTTCAGCCACTCCTCCGCCCCCAACTTTTTTCTTGGAATATTTCGTCGCTTCGATGGCGGCACCAACGGTGCCTTCGACGTGTAAGACTGGTCCAACAACTACCGAAGCTTCGATATTTTTGCGCTTCGCTTTCGCTTCGTCTTCCGGCGTTAGCTTCAACGCTTCAGGCTCGTCGTCACCGAAAACGTCAAGAATTTGGAAATCATCGTCGTCGTCGTCGTCGTCGTCGTCGCTGTTGGCATCGCGTTTTATCTCTTTCGCTTCCACTGTCTTTTCTACTACTTCATTCTTTGTTTCTAGTCTATCCAGTTTTTCTTCTACTTCTACTTCTACTTCAACCTCCTGCTTTTCTGCGCACGCCCTTTCTTCCTCCTCCAATTCTTTCTCGCCAATCTTAAACGTCTCCGCGATATTCAAAATCTTCCTCACCCCCTCCGCTAACTCCTTCGCTCTCTTTTTATCCATCTTCTTTCCAGCTTTCCTCTTCTCCTCTTGCGCCGTCTGTTTGGCTTCTTTCAATTTTTTTCGCAGTTCGCTCACAAACCCGACTCTGTTTTCCGCGAACATTTTCGCGTTCCTCTTGTGACTCTTCCTCCGCGCGATTTCTTCCTCGCTCAACCCGAAATTCTCGAGAGAATCCTCCGAATCCGAGGATGACCCTTCCTCTTCCGACGACCCAGACGCCGCCGCCGCTGCCTCCGTCGCTCGAACCATCCTCATCTGCGCCTCGCGAAACGCCTTCGCCTCCGCTTTCTCCCGCTCTTCCAGTTTTTCTCGTCGTCGCTCGTTCGCCACGCGAACCATTTCCTCGCGCTCTTTGATCACCTTTATCCTTCGTTCTTCGAGTTCTTTATCATCTTCATTTCTTTCGCATATCGATGTCGTCGTCGTCCGTACTTTTGGTTTCTCAACTGTCACCACGAGCACCTTTTCCAAGTCTTCGCCTTCCGTCGTAGTATTTGTAGAAGCGACGGCGCCGCCTCGAAACGCTCTCGGCAGTCGTTGCCTCTCCACCTGCATCAGTAATCGGTCGAAGCATTTCTCCACCCACTCGTTATTCTTCCACTCTTTTTCATCATCTTCATCGTCTTCGAGAAGTGCGTCCAAAACGCATCGTTTCACGTCCGCTCGCGTAAATCCTCGAGACTCGATGTCCGCGCAGAGTTTCTTAATCGCGCGCGCCGAGGGAAGGAAACGGTTTCGCTGGTTCTTCTTCCTCTTCGTCTTCCTCTCCTCCTCTTTCTTCGAGACGAGGTCGCGGACGCGCTTTTCCAATCTCGCGGTGAGCATTTTAATTCTAACGAGAATTTGTAAATTGTGTTCGTGCGTGATGCAGGAGGGATGGAAAAATGTCAAACTTACTTCAGATGCAAGAGATGATGCGCGTGAAAGAGCGCTATTATATTCTCTCTCTTCTCTCTCTCTCTCTCTCTCTCTCTTATATATCACACGTGTCTACGCATATCTCTCTCGCTACTTTTACATGGCGTTGTTGAACAACATCCTGGCGCTTTCCATGGCGCTTTCCGAGCCTTGGACGACTAACAGGCTGTTCCCGGCGCCTCCTTTGGTTTCGTCGATGTTCACGCGGACGACTTTGCTTCGCTCGGAGACGGATTTGATAGTCGCTCCGCCTTTACCGATGAGTCGACCGCAAATGAGTTTTGGGATGACGACTTCGATGGTGTGTTCGGTTTTTGGAGGTGTTTTTGTCACGGACCGATCGAATTTACCGTTGGCGTAGGACCACGTGTATCGACCGTCTTTTCCGGCGTCGCCGTCGAGTTTGACCGCGTTGAGGTCTTTCGCTTTATTTTTGGCATCCTCTTCTTTACGTTTGAGCGCTTCCGCGGCTTCGCGTTCGGCTTTTTCTTTTTCGAATAATCGTTTGGCTTCCGCTTTTTCCGCTTCCTTGCGTTGTTCGTCCGTGAGGGCGTACATGAACGTCGGTTTCGATTTTTGCTTTTGTTTTTGTTTGCGCGCCAAGAGCGCTTCTTCGTCGTCCGAGTCGATGGGTTCGTCGGAATCTTCGCCGTCGTCGTTATTCCCGGCGCCGCTAATGACTAACTCTTCCATGCGTTTCAAATTTTCCGCGTCTTCTTTCAAGCGTTTTTCCAGGGCTACTTTTCTCGCTTTTTCCGCTTGTTTTTCCACGAGCTTCCGTTTGAACTTTTCTTTTTCCTTCTTTGACATTTTGGACATGCGCTCTTCGAGTTCGGATTCCGTCTCAGAAACGTCGCCGTCTTGTTCTTCTTGTTCTTCTTTTCCGGCGTCTCCCGTCGTCTCTTCTTTCTTCTCTTCTTTTTCTTCTTTTTCTTCGTCTTCGTCTTCGCTTTCTTCTTTCTTCTTCTTTGAACTTTTCACCGCGTTCCCGGCTTTCTTCGCCAATCCCGTCTTGCAATTTTTTCTCACGTACGTTAAGAGCTCCTTGACGAACTTATCGCTCTTCCCCATCATCTTTTTAATCTTGGAGTCCTTGATCGGATTATCGTCTAAATCAATCTCACGGACTTTTTTCTCTTTCAACTCGCCCCACTCTCCCGGTAACTCTTCGATGTTGTTCTTGTTCAACAAGATTTCCGTCAACAGCGTGCACTTCCCGATATCCGACGGCGCATCCACGATTTCGTTGTTATTTGCGCTCAAAGTAATCAACCTCGACTTGGAGCCTAAATCGAAATCGTCCAACGTTCGCAATCGATTGTTATCCACCACTAAAGTTACTAAATTATTCATCTTTTTCAACGCGCTCAAATCTTTGATCTGATTCCTCCCTAAACGCAAGATTTCCAAATTTTGCAACTTGCTCAACTCCTCCGGCAACGCTTCCAACTTATTCCCCTCGCACTCCAACACTCTCAAGTTCTTCAACTTTCCAATCTCTTTCGGTAAACTCGTCAACCCGTTCTCGCTCACAATCAACGTCAACAAACCTTTCAGTTTTTTAATCTCTTTCGGTAAACTCGTCAACGATTTCCCGCACTCGATTTTCAGCGTGTTCACGCTCGAACAATAAAACATCGCCAAATCCAATTCCTCCCCATCTTCCAATTTCCTCGAAATCGTCAATTCCTTCGCTTTTTCCTTCATCGCCTTCTTCACTTCAGGCCATTTCGGTTCCGGCGCCTCTTTCCCGTCGTCCTCCTCTTCGTCCTTATCCTTCTTGCTCTCTCCCTTCTTGCTCTCCTTCGCCGCGACCGCCGCGCCGCCGCCGCCGCGCTCCTTCGCTTCCATCTCCTTCTTCTTCCTCTTGCTTCTTTGCGTCGCCGTCTCGCCTTCCACTGCGTTTGCATCTTCCTCTTCCTCTCCCTCTTCTTCCTCCTCTTCGCTTTCTTCCCCGCCTCGTTCGATCAGGCGTGCCAACTTTTCGTTTTTCCCTTCCGCTCTCGCGTAATCCGCCGCCGTCTTCCCTCGTCCACACTTTACCTTGAAGTCACACCCGGCGTCTAACAGTTCCGAACACGATTCTTCGTGCCCAAACTTCGCCGCCATCATTAACGCGGTCACGCCGTCCCCGTTCCCGTCGGTTAAATCCAGTTGTTCTCGCATTCTCGCCCTTCGAGTCCAGTCGCAAAGCATCTGCAACGCTTTGTGTTTGTTCAAGGAGGCGCAAATCATTAAAGCGGTCATGCCGTTTTCGTCGCGCGAGGACGGTTGTTGCCCGCCGGCGTTGATCCCCCAACGGACCGTGTCCAACTTTTGGTTGCGACACGCGGTCAGGAATTGGTCTTTTTTAGAGCTCATTTATTAAAGTTGTTGTTTATTATTATTACGTTCGTGTGTTGTGTGTGCGATGATGTTTTGGGGAAAGTAAGGAGGATGGATTTTCTTTGCAAGAGAGAGACGAACGATTTTTGCGCTCGATTTTAACGCAATGATCTGCCAACAGCGATTGGCTTCTTCAATGTAAAATACAATCTCTCTACTTTCTATGACTATTGGTACGTCTTCTACGCTTTCTTCTTCTACTCGCTTTCGCGCGAATTTTCTTCTACTACTCGCCGCTCTACTCGATTTTTTTCATGGCGGATGCTTCTTCTTCTTCTCCCGGCAGAACGATGGCTTTATTCGAGCTGGAGGATAAGAACGAGCTGGCTAGGATTAAAGCGCCGCCTATGTAGCCGTTTATACCCATGCGTTCGCCTAACAAAACGTACGCGAACGCGGCGCCCCAGAGCGGTTCCGTCGTGTAAATCACGCTCGCTTTTTCAGACGGGATGTATTTCAGCGCGACGGTTTCCGCGTATAACGCGAACGCGGTGGTTACAACGCCGGTGTACGCGACTAAGAACCACGGAACGGAGTGCCAATCGAATGTGGAGAGTTCAGCGAGGCTGTTGGTGAAGAGGGTGGATAACTGTCCATCGTCGCGCGGGACGTCGTTCAGTAAAGTTCCGCCGAAAAAGAGCGTCACGACGAAGAGTTGAATCGAACACATGCCCATCATTTCTTTCGTGCCTAAGTGTTCTTCGTTCGCTAGGACGTCCGTGCGAAAAACTTGCACGGCAAACACTACGGCGGAAATAAGAATGGCGAAGTCACCGTATAAGCTTTGGACGGTTTCCACCGTGGCGACTTCGGCGATGTCGGTTACGCTTTCCAAAGGAAGCGACAACGCCGAGTCCAAGACTTCAAACGGGTTCGATTGGACAACCTCTCCAGTCAACACGGACGTCGAGACGACGTCAGAAACCGCATCGGAGACAATTGATAGCGCTTCTTTGGTATCGTGCGCTTCTAAACCGGGTATAGGCACCACGCCTTCGATTAACGCTAAACCAAAAATAGCCACCGCGATGGCCGCCCACGTGCTCTTCGGCACTTTCCTCCCCGCCCACATGGCAATCAACGGCACGGAAATAACCGTAAACGATGAAATGAACGACGCGGACGACGCGTCCGTGATATCCAAACCAACCGCTTGAAAATAATACCCCACCGCGCACCAAAACCCAAGCTCTATTCCCATCTTCAAAATCCTCGAATCTCTCAAAGCGTACTTCGAAAACGGCAAAAACGTCAAACTCGCCGCCAAAAAGCGAAACAACCCAAACGCGTCCGGACTTATATTCGTCTGCGCCATTTTCACCAAAACTATGTTCGAACCCATCATAAAAATGATCAAGTTAAACAAAAGAAACCCTCTGGTTTCCGCGCTCACGTTTCGAAACAATTCATTTTTCGACAACGACGCCACGAAATCTTCCTCGCCTTCGAAATCAAAGTCATCCGGATCCTTCTCTAACGCGTCGACTTCTCGTCGCAACTCTCCCTGAGGAAAAAGAATGTCCTCAATCGTGGTCGGTTCGTCTATGGTTGAATCAACACCCAACGTTAATAAAGAGTTGTTTTCAATCCTCTCGTCGTTTCCTTTTGAAGTAGTATTAGTACCGCTATTACCGCTCGTCTCCTCTTCCTCCTCCTCCTCCTCCTCGTAGGACGACCCTAACTGTCTTTCGATCCGCTCTTGCCTTTGCTCCTCCGTCGTCCCGAGTTTGTACTCAAAAAACAACTTCTTTTTTGCGTTGTTGTTGTTGTTGTTGTTGTTGAAAACGTCGTCCATCATCTCGTTCGCGTATTCGGCGACTAAAGAGAGTCTTCTTCGAAGGGCTTCGTCCATCGTCGGATTCAATTTTGAATTCTTCTTCTTCTTCGATGATGAAAGCGACGACGAGGACAGGAGGAAAGAGAAGAGCTTTTTCGGAGTTTGCACACGACGTAAACGACGAAAACGCGTCGCGGTCGTATTCTCAATACCGTCGTCCTCCTTTTCGTCGCTCTTTCTGTTGCCGTTGTCGTTGTTGTTTCTGAGCATCGCTCTCGCGATGCAATCACAGCGGCGGCGATTTTTCCCCTCCTGTTTCGACGAAATCAAAGACTTTGAGGACGGTAGAAAAGCGCTTCTTCTCGCGACGATACCTCTCGTCGACGAACGAGACGACGACGAAGAACATCCTCGCGTTTGGCAAGGGAGAAAGGTTTCGAAGACGCCGATCATTATATATATATGTGTATGTATATGTGCGTGAAAGTCCTACCCCCCTAAAAGGAGAGGAAAAAGTGAAGATATTTTTATTCAAATAAAGAAGAAAATCAACACCTCTCCGCAATCGAAAGAACAAAAAAGAACGCCGCGCAAACGTCGGACGCATCTCTCGAGAAGCAGTCGATCGTTTCGCGCAGTTCTCACGGGAAACGCTTCCGCAGTCGAAGAGACGCGTGCGTTGACATTCTGCCTTTTTTTCAACACCAAAAGTATTTTCAAGGGGAAAAGATATTTTTGTAGTCTGAGTTTGGGGGAGTTTTAGTACTCTCCAAAATGAGAAAAAAGAATCCACACCCGCAGCGCGCGGTGAACGCGAAAACGGTGGTGGTCGCGAGCGACAGAGAGGAGAGAGAAGAACGATTATTGAAGCGAGAAGAAGAAGAACGAGCGCTGTTGCGTTTGAGAATCCCTGATGATGAGGAGGAGGAGGAGGACGAACAGATACGAGAAGAAGAGATGACTCCTGTTAGGAAAGGAGCGAAGAGAAAGAGAGCGTACGAATGTGATGTGTGCGAGAAGGTGCTTCGATATCCATCCAAATTGGCCGAACACATGCGTACGCACACGAAAGAGAAACCGTACGAATGCGATGTGTGCGAGAAGCGTTTTCGTCATTCTAGTGCTTTGCAAAACCACATGCGTATTCACACGAACGAGAAACCGTATGAATGTGATGTGTGCGAGAAGCGTTTTCGTCAATCTGGTAGTTTGACACAGCACAAGCGTACTCACACGAACGAGAAACCGTACCAGTGTGATGTGTGCGAGAAGCGTTTTCGTATATCTAGTAATTTGAGAAGGCACGTGCGTACTCAACATTAAAGCTTTTATAGTCATAGTGTACAAATATACATTAGTGCAGAAGTACCAGGTACCATGGTACCTTTTACTATTCATTATCGATATCATCGTCACTTTTCGTCGCATTTATCCAAAAACTTGAAATGGTCCTCCAAACTGGTCAAAGTGTTCGCGCAAATAACGCCACTCCCGGCCGCCGCGGGAACGCCGACGCCAGGCGCGACGCTATCGCCGACTCGGTAGAGGTTTTTGACGCCTTTAACTGCCGGCCCTGGGAACATTTTCGGCGCCGGGATGACGGCGCCGTAGGTACCTCGGTACCTTCGCAACCATTTTTCGTGAGAGGCCGGCGAGGCAAGGAGTTCTAGGACGACGCGAGAGCGGACGTCTGGGATGACCGTTTCTAACGCTTTAAAGAGAACGTCGCACTTTTCTTTTTTCTTTTCTTCGTAGGCTTTTCGGTCGGTGGCTTTTAACTCCGTCCAGCCGTCGTACGGTTCCATGGTGTAACAGTGGACGCAGTGGTGTCCGTCCGGGGCCATTTCTGGTGACCACACGGTTGCGATGGAGATCATGCACACGTTTCCGGGCGCATCAAGCGGTTTCGATTTATCGTTCACGACGACGTGGTGACCTCCCAAGTGCGAAAAGTCTAATCCATCTGCTTTAATGCCCAAGTGAATGTGCATGAACGAGTCCGAGCAGTCAATCGTCGTGTTCTTTTGGTACTCTTGAGCGGAAATTTTCGCATCTTTTGGGAGTAGTTTTTCGTACGTGTCCCAAACGCTTGCGTTGGACAACACCCCTTTTTTCGCTTTGATGACAACCTCGGGATCCATTCGCATTCTCACCCCGATGGCTTCATCTTTCTTATCGTTCAACGCCACCTCTTTCACGTGCGCGTTCACGCGAATTTCTCCACCTCTCTTTTCAATAGCTCTCACCAACGCATCCGAAATCGCTTTCCCTCCTCCCACTGGGAACTCGGATTTCTTAAAATAATCCGACGCGCCAAACACGCTGGCAAACTCCGCGCTCACCGTTCCGCTCGCATCCATACCGCTCAGCAAAAAACACTCTAAATCGCATAAATATTTCACCCACGGATCTCTCACGTCCAAGAAATCTAACAACGCGTTCGTCGGTTGTCCCAACACCCCGCCGTACTTCCCAAGTTTACTCATCTTCTCCAAATATCTTTTTCCTATGACTAACAAAATCCGCCAATCCGTTCGCAGCGCAATCGTCGGTAACCCACTCAACGCTTCAAACATATCTCTAATTTTCGGCACCGCCAACCTCACTTCCTTCGCGCCACCTTCGCTAAATCTTTCGATTTCCTCGCACAACAAATCTAAATCCGCGTGCCTTCTCAACCCGGGAACGCCTTTCTCGATGTGAAAGGTTCCCAACGGATCGTATTTCACCGTCTCCAACGGTTCTCCGAGCACCTCCAGAACGCTCGCCAACGGATTCAGCGCGTTTGGGGTGGTCAATCCAGCGAAGAAGGATGGACCGGTATCGAACACAAACTCGAGACTTTCGTTCGTGTCGTCGTCTTCGTCGTCGTCTTTACTCTCGTTCTCGTCGCCCTTTTTACTCTTTTGGCTGGTGTCAATCTCATCTCTTTTCTTCTTCACGCGTCTGGTAAACCCGTGCGCGGCGCCGCCGGTCTCGTAGTGCGACTCGAGCACTAACACTGAATTCCCGTGATACGAAAGCATCGCGGCGGCGGTGAGACCGCCAATGCCGGAGCCGACGACGATGTAATCGTACGCAGACGAAGATGACGACGACGAAGCGCAGATACGCGTTTTGTGGTGTCGCTCACATCGCGCGGCGGAAAGACGACGCGACGATGATGCGCGAGGCTCCTTCCGTCCGACAGAAGATGTCGAGCAACACAAAGTGGAAGATGCGCGCATTTTTGAGACGTTTTGTTCTGCAGGCGCAGAGTAGCCGGGCGTGTTTAATAGAAGTGGTGCATTTTCATATCCAAAAGAAGAAGTGTCTTGGGGGCAAAATGAAAGCGAGAACGCCGATTGATTCTTATTGGCGAGTAATAGCAGTACACGCACATACCTTCTCTACAAACATAAACTAAATAAACCCTTTCCGAGCGAGCGTGTCATCTCTCTCTTTTTTTCTCTCTCTCTCTCTTACATCTTAATTTTTACAGCCGATTTGCATTCTGCTCTCGTCCACCACGGTCGGATTTAAGCACAACAACTTCACGTCTTGGTCTCCGATCAAAGCCTCCTCGAAGTTCGCCCCGGTCAAATTCGCGCCTTCATAACTCACGCCGGTTAAAACTGCGTTTTGAAAATTCGCTCCCGTCATATCGCTCCCGTCAAACGTCGCTCGGTCTATGACCGCGTTCGTAAAGTTGACGTTCTTAAAGCTCGCTTTCGTCGCGTACACTTTACTCATAACCGTCTCGCTAAAATCCGAGTTATCGAAAACGCTGTCCACCATCAACGCTCCAGATAAGGTGATACCTTTCACGGAAACGTTATCGTATTGGCACTTGCGCAAATCCAAAGTCTTATCCGAAACCGCGTTGGCTTGACCAATCGTGTTCCCGACAAACGCGCGTTCGCATCTGTTCGGGTCGTTGTCGATGGGTGGTAATCGGACCTCGGTGCCTCGATCGGCCATCGCAGCGAAAGGAGTGGCGAGCGCGAAAGTCGCGGAAAGAGATGCCGCAAGAAACGTTCTCTTTATCGTACTCGCAGAGACTGGGAGGGTCGCTTTGTTGGATTCTTCTTCCTCTGTTTCTTTCGTATTCCTTCGCACATTTGTTGCCCACGAAGCCGTCGACGTGGATTTTATGCGCCGGTGTTGTCGTATAAAAGAAGACGACGAGCTTTTGTTATTACGATTAATAGTATTAATCGTCGTCGTCGTCGAAAAGGACGACGTCAAAGAAGAAGAGGAGGCGAACATGGTGGTGCTTTTATGTGTGAGCGAGAAGTGTTTGAGAGTCTCGAGCGGCGCGCTTTTTAATGGAAGATTTTGGTGTTTGAGATAAGAAGGAAGAGGAGTGTGATTTTACGTAGTAGTAGGAGTAAAGCGTACAGGATCGATCGATCATTTCAAGGCTCAATGTCATCACCTATTAAGAGCCGTCTACCGGTCCAAAAGCGCTTTTTTCTTTGCTGCTGCTCTTGCCTTTGTTCTTGCCCTCGCTCGTCGGCGAGATCTTCTTCATACTCTCCGTCTCCTCCTCCGAAGTCCTCCGAGGAAGTCGCCTCTCCTTCCTCCCCTTCTCCGCTACGCTCTTCTCCTCCTCCGGACGTTCCTTCGTCTTCCCACTCGATCGTCGTCTTCACCGGCTCCACTTCCACCTCTTCCTCTTCTTCGATCCTTGGCATCGCCTTCTTCTTCGCTAAAATGGCTTTTCTGACCAACCCGCTCGCTTTCCCGTTACTCAACATCGCCAACGCGCTCAAGCGAATCAACCCGATCGAGACGTCGTTTTCATTCTTGGCGTCCGTGCAGTGCACTCGTCCTTCCAAATACACCACGTCCGTCAAAGGAAACATCCCAGCAAACTCTCTTTGCACTTTTTCCACCCACGCGTCTTGCTTTTCTCTCTTCAAAAACGTCTTCACGGGAATCTCACTCGCTTTCTCCGGCAACCTCTCCAACGTCGTCTTCAAATATCTCAACGCCCGTTCCGTATTCCTTCTCCTCTCCGCTTTCTCCACCGCCCATCCACTCTCCATCTCGCACGTGGCCACGCCACCGAGCGCGCTCGGCTTCACCGTCGCCAACGGAACCACGTAACTCATCGAGACTCCGGGCGCGAACACCACCGGTCGTTTCATCTCCAACTTTTCAAACAGTTGCTCTTGGAACGAACTCCTCGCCAAGTCCGAGCTCGCCGCGAACTTCTTCTCCCCTTCCGATCGTCCGTATCCCGGCATATCGCACGCCACCGATCGCACGTTTTTCTTCGCCAACTGATTCCCGATCGACTCTTTCTTCTCGTACCAATCTTGCGAGTCCGTCGTTTCGTCGTGCCAGAGAAACACGTCCGAAAGTTCCATGCTCTTGTTATCTTCCGTCTCCTCGGCTTCGTTTTTCTTATTCTTTTTCTTTCCTGCTCGCGGTTGCATGTCCAAACACCAGACTCTGATCTTTTGCGCTTTCGTCGTCGCCAAGACGCCTCTGTTGAAGAGGACGTCCGAGCTGTCCACCGGGACGGAGGCGGAGACGACGACTTTGAACAAAACGCCGCTTTCCAGCTTTTGTTGAGAGATCACCGTTTTCTGTTGTTGTTGTTGTTCCGACGCGTTCGCACGGCAGCAAGACAGCAGCAAAAGCAGCGGTAAAAGAAGCGAGGACGAGAAACTCGTCATCTTTTCGCCGCCGACGCGGTGGATCTTCTTCATCTTCTTTCTCTCTCGATGAGGATGCTGTGACAATACTACTACTACTCTCGCGTTCAAAAGTGGAGATTTTCGAGTGGAAAAAGAGAAACCAATCCTCCAAAAATCCCCTCAAAACGTCTCGCACGCTTCTTCCTCTCGTCGCGAACTCCTTCTTCGATTTTCAGCGAAGAACGCGCTCGAAAACGCGTTGGTAGTGGTTCGTCTGTTCGCGCGTTTTGTGTGTTTTTGCGTGTTTAAGAGAGAGAGAGAGATCGTCTTCATCAAGAGCACGTTCACAAATACATTTACTCTATAAAGCGACGGCTCTCTGGATACTTTGATGGAGAATAACAGCGAGGACGAGGAGGAGAGGAGAGAGGAGAGACAGATGGACGGAGGACGACGACAAAAGGTACGACGCTTTGTTGTTGTTATTATTATTAATCGTCATCGTTTTTGTGTTTTTCGTTTTTGTTGCAGACGAAGACGTCGAGAAGTCGTCGGTTTTGTCAAAGCTTGTTTGTTCGCTCTGTGTTTCCTCTTCTTTTCGCTGACTTTGCGCATATACGCGCCCGTTTCTTAATGTCTCTTGTTTTTCACACAGGGCCGAGGCTTTGAGAACGCGGACATTATCGACGACGAGGTCAAACACTCTCGAAACGACCGGTACGAAACTTTGCGAGACAGCGAAGGAGAAAGAGGCCAACCTCAAAAATCCATCGAAGGCTGGGTCGTCCTCGTCACCGGCGTCCACGAAGAAGCGCAAGAGGAAGACGTGCACGAAAACTTTGGCGATTTCGGGGAGATTTCAAACTTGCACTTAAATTTAGACCGGAGAACTGGGTTCGTTAAGGGCTACTGTTTGATTGAGTATAAAGAGAAGGAAGAGGCGAAGAGTGCGATCGAGAACATGGACGGGAAGTTGATGTTGGACCAGGAGGTGAGAGTAGATTGGGCGTTCGTGAACGCGCCGGAGAAAAAATCGAGAAGGAGTATAAGGCGATAGAATATGAGATTCAGAGAGCGAGAGTAGAGTAATAGTAGAAGATTGCATAAGAAGTACGACATTTGTTGTATGCTTAATTCAAGTTTACGCGAAGTTCTCGTGCGCTTCGTTCTTTTGAATCTCTTCTCTCTGGTGATTTCAAACTCGTCTTGGATTTGAAAATCGCCGCACAAAAAGAACGCTCGAGAAAAGCAACGTACCTTTCCATCTCATCATCATGTTCGAAGCGCGCATTCTCCAAGGGTCCATTTTGAAAAAAGTCCTCGAATCTATCAAGGATTTAGTCACCGATGCGAACTTTGAGTGCACCGCCAACGGGTTCGCGTTGCAAGCGATGGATTCCTCGCACGTTTCTTTGGTGGCGTTGATGTTACGAAGCACCGGTTTTGACCACTACCGATGCGACCGAGACGTGACCATGGGGATGAACTTGTTGAACATGGTGCGTTTCGTACACATCTTTGTCTTCTGTGCATCGCTCTCGATCGTTTCGATAACGATCGAGAGATGCAACGGATACGCGACGACCGCGTTGTATCGAAGAAGAGCAAAGTTTGTTGTTGTGGTTTTCCCAACGAGCAAAAGTCTCACATTTTTGAATTTTTCCAACGTAATCCGATCTTTTTCCTTTCTCTTTTCCGCGCGAGAGAGACGACGGGCGCAGCGAAAGAACGGGAACGTTCCTTTCGGTGGACTCGTCGTCGTCGTCTCGTTGTTTGCGCGATGAAAGTGACAATGCGAGAGAGTGACCGCCGAAAACAAGGACAACTTTTCCTTCTTTTTGTTTTTGAGAGATCGTATGTTTTAAACGAGAGAGAACGAGAGACTGACCAAAGCCAAAAATCATCCTCTTTTCGATATAATTTTTTGTTTCGACATGATAACAGAGCAAAATGTTAAAGTGCGCGGATAACGACGACACGATAACGATGAAAGCGGACGATGCCGGCGACGTGGTGACGTTCATGTTTGAAAACCCGAAAGCGGATAAAATTTCCGATTTTCAAATGAAGTTGATGGATATCGACACGGAACATTTGGGCATCCCGGATACGGAGTACGAAGCGACGGTGAAGATGTCCTCGAACGAGTTTCAAAGAATTTGCAGAGATTTATCGTCGATTGGTGATACGGTGACTATTGCGGTGACGAAAGATAGCGTGAAATTTACGACTTCGGGTGATATTGGGGAGGCGAATATTACGTGCCGCCGCACCTCGGACGGAGACATGAAGGAAGAGAAAGTGAAAACGGAAGAAGACGGCGAGAAAGTGCATAACACGAAGTCCTCGGAAGGCCAAAATGTAGACATCGATTTGCAAGAACCGGTGACGTTGACGTTTGCTTTGCGATACTTGAACTCTTTTTGCAAAGCGACGAGTTTATGCGAGAACGTGCGTTTACAGTTGAGCAAAGAGTTACCGGTAGTCGTGCAGTACTTGATAGAGGACATGGGGTACGTCCGGTTTTACTTAGCGCCAAAGATTGAGGAGGAAGACGCGGACGAGAGTTAAATTGAGAAGAAGATAATAATACGCGTCGTACATTGCTCTTCTCGAAAAAGAATTGAAGAAAGAGAGAGAAGAAGGAGAGAGCGAGGAGAAGAAGGGCGCTAGTATTACCGCCGCTATACAAAATACGCACCACTTTAGCGAGAAAGGCGAAACAGACAAAAGAGAGAGAGAGCGAAAGAGAAAGAAAGACTTTTTTACATACTAATAAAACATTAATAAAGCGTACATCATAACACATCGCAAGCCTCCTCTCTTCGTGCCTCTTGGAATCCACAGCGCGCGACGACTCGACGCGCTTATTACAGAAAAATCTTCATAAGCCTCCTCCTCCTCCTCTTGCAATCTCTCGAAAAAAACAAACAAAAACACCAAAAGAATTCCGCGTCGCGTCGCGGGCGGCACCATCACGAAGACGAAGACGAAGAAGCGCTCTCTGTCTCTTTCTTTCTCGCATCATGGCCGGCGTCGATCTCGCGATGGAAGGTATTCCCAGGTACGTAAAAGATCTCTTCTTCTTCTTTTTTCTGTCTTTTGAAGTCGACGCATTCGAAGCGCGACATGATGTTTCAAATCAACAACAACATGCGTTTTTCGACCAAGATTCGACTTCTTCAATGTTCGGAATGTCGTTCTCTCCCCGCATGCGTGTGCGCTAAACGTGCACACGCTTCTCCGTTGTTGTCTTCTTTATTCAAAAACAAATTCCTAAAACGTGCGCACTAAAACGTGACGAAAACAACAGAGGATCTGGAATATTCAAAACCGCCGCGATCTACGTTTTACGGAAAGAGAAAAGGTTGCTCACCACCGGACAGATTACCAGGTAACGTTATTCGTAGTCGCTCGTTCGTGTGGTTTGAACCGGATTTGAAAGGGCAAAATCTGGGCACTTAATTGTCTGTCCTCTCATTTTTTTTTTCACTTGTGCCTTGCCTCTTTTTGAAACGATGCGCGAAACGCGTTGTCTTGGGATGCCGCGATGATGATGATGTTTTTAATGTCCTCATTCGTCTTGTTTTTCTTCCTCTTGTTCTGTATCTTTCTTGATGGCGTTTTTATTCACTGACGCGTGGTTGCGTCGATTTTTTTGTATAGGTACGCGCTCGAGAACGACCTTCTCGGGAACCTTCCCGGGAAGACGCCGGAAGCGACCATGGCGTCGGCGTGTTACACGGACTTGAAGAAGAAGGACGTGAATAAGAGGGTGTTTGCGAGACCGTCGGAAGGGCACTTTGGTTTGAGAGAGTGGGCGAACGATCCGGAGTTGACGCACTTGTTGCAACCGAAGTTGCACAGGTTGGCGGAGACGTTTGAGGAGGAGCAGAAACCGAAGGTGGAGAAGCCTTGGAAGCAACCGGCACCGATGGCAAAGCGTAAAAATAATACCGCCGCTAAGAAGTTCGTAGATGGGAAGCCGCGCAGGGATAGACACGGGTTCGTGCACGCGATCATAGAGCCGAGCAGAGGTGAGTACGGGCCGCCGAAGATGCAGATGCCGCCGCCGCAACAGCAGTACGGATCGCTTTCGACGCACGATACGATGGATTTAGATGCGTTGGTAGATGCTGCGGCGAACCAAGAAGACGAGGACGACTACAGGAACAACGATAACGATGAAAACGACGACCAAGACGGCAACGGCGCGTATAATGGAGGAAATGATGATCACGAGGAAGAGGACGCCAACACGAAGGACCAAAGCGGTGTAACCGCCGGTGTTGATAAATCGTTCGATAACGATCCGAACGCCGAGGAAGCGAGTCCCAGCAAAACTAACATCATTAGGAACAACAACAACGACGACGACGACGACGACAACAAATCGGAAGGAGAAAGAGAAGATATCGCCGCCGAGAGCGAGGAGGAAAATAAAGGAGAAGAAGAAGAAAATGCGCCTCTGGTTTTAATCAACCCGGACCCGAACCTTTCAAACGACGAGTACGAAGCGCACCTCGCGAGTCTCGTTCAACAGCAACAAGAGAAAGAGTTGCGCGTGGCAAAACGAAAAGAGAGAGAAAAAGAACGAGCTAGGACGCAGGAGTTGGTCAAAGCCGGATTGATTCCGGCGCCGCTGTCGGCAAAGAAAAAGTCCAGTTACGTCCCAGTTGCATATAAAAAAGACGGTCGTGGGCGTCCGCGAAAGCATTTCGACGGGATACCGCCGGCACCAATTTTGTCTGTCTCGGCCAACGAAGCGGAAGAGGCACCGCTTACGAACAACAAAAAGGCGCGGTTTACGAGTACTGCTGTTTTGCATCAGCAGCAACAGCAACAACAGCAACAACAATTGCAGCTTCAACAACGACAGCGACAACAACAACAGAAAGACGGTTTTGAGCAGATTCAAGAGCACCATCAACCTCGCGCTGGGCACGATTCGTTCGTAGTTGACACGCAAGGTGTCGACGGTATATCGCACGAAGAAATCGCTAACGAAAGTATCGTTGCGAAAGCTACGCGAGCGGGCATGAAGAATTGGAACTCAAAGGTGAACAAGTTCTACTCCACTGCGTTTTTCACGGAGATCATCGATCCAAAACTTCCAACGAGTATTCCGGCTTTTGCGTTCAAAATGTCCCAGAACGATGCGGAACGCGAGAAAATTTTGACGCAAAACGCAATGCGACGCGTCTTCAACGAATTCGCCGAAGGTTGCGATCCTGTCAAGCAATCTTTGAACGAACTTTCCGCGTCGCTCGAACGTTTACGCGCTCAACAAGGTAACCATGAAAACGTCATGTATTCCGCTTTGATATACGCCGTTGCGTGCTATCGTTCGGATTATCCAGAAGAGGCCACTTTGGCGCTTTCGAAAGCTTGGGACGTCTACTATTCTCTCAAAGGCGGCAACGAAACGAATGCGCAAAACGCCGCGTTCATGGATAAAATCCGAAAGGACTACGAGAAAATCGTAAGCGAAGCGTTGGATGCATAATATTCAACATAATCAACGATATGATACTACGATAAGATACGATAAGATATTTTTGTACTACTATATGTACCCGAGAGAAGTACATATGTGCCCATATATAACATCGACGTGGATATATAATAGTTCTTCTAAGAAGTTTGTTAATGCGCGATTTGATATTACATAAAAAACATACACTACTACGTACCATGGTACCTGGTACTTAGGTACCTACCTACCTATTCATGCTCCCTTCCTAATGCTAACACTACTCATACGAACCCGTCTTTCTTTTGGAAGCTGCGACAGCATCGGCAACTTTAGCGATATCTGCGTGAAGTTTCACGTCGTGCGCTCGAACTGCGTTTGCGCCATTCATCAGAGCAACAATCGCCGCCGCCGCCGAAGCTACGTCGCGCGCATCTTTCGGAACGTCTTTCCTTTTTTCATCAACGAGCATATTTCCTACGAATCGTTTTCGCGACATACCGACGAGCATTGGCGCTTTCGCTAGGCCGCCACATTCGTTCTTCGCAAGCGACGCGCGAACGTCCTTTAAATCCGATAACAATTCCACGCACTGTTCCTCCGACTTTGCAAACCCGAATCCGGGATCGATCCAACATCGCCACGCCGAAATACCCGATGGCAAAACTTTGCGCAAATACTGCGACGCGATTTCATCTCCAACCGTTTTTGCCACCGAACCAACCGGGTAGGATGCATTCTTACTCATGACTTGTGGGTTTCCTCGTTGATGCGATAGAACATATCCTAGTGGCACTTTTGTATTCGCCACGGCGGAAAGCATCCCTTCGTCCCAATCGCCTCCGGAAACGTCGTTTATGATATCCACCCCGATCGCATCCGCAACTTTTACCACTTCCCCGTAAAACGTATCCACCGAAACGGCAATATTTCTCGGATCGTTCTTAAACCGTTCGCATATTGCCTCTAAAACCGGTGCCACTCTCGCGATTTCATCCGCCGCCGACACTCTAGACGCGCCAGGTCTCGTCGACTGTCCTCCCACGTCGATAATCCTCGACCCTTCATCAGCCAACTGCTCCGCGCGTCTCAACGCCGTACTCACGCTCGTGTTAAACACGCCTCCGTCGGAAAACGAATCCGGAGTGACGTTCAAAACTCCCATAACTTTCGCTCGTCCTTCGTATGGTTCCAATCGCATGTTCCTCTTAAATGGCGCTACTCTTTGGAGCAAAATGTCATCCTCGCTTGCTTCTTCAAAATTCTTCGTCGGCGTCTGCATTATCCGTCTCTCCTCCTCTTTCCAAAGTCTCGCCATGGCCGTCATTTGGTTTGCCATCGTGATCGACACGTCTCCGCTCTTATCAAAACTCATCTTTTCCGTCAAATCCGCAATCGGTGCTAACACGAACGCGCGCTCTTTGATCCTCCCGTGCGGCACTTCTAACCAAAACTTCTTTTCGTACGACGACAAAGACGAGGAAGACGAGGAAGGAAAAGGAGGAGGATCGTACCTCACCATCGGTTCTTTTTCGCTGAACAAAATGTCTAAATCAATCACCCGCGGTCCTTTATCCGTGTTGTATACGTCTCTGCCCATTTCTCGTTCGATGTCTTTCATTTTCCCTAGACATTCTAAAACCGACCACTCTCTCGGGTGCCTCAACACGCACGCCGAGTTTAGAAATTTCGGCTGGTTTTCAATCAAAGTGTCCACAGGTTTCGTCTCGTACACGCTCGCGAGCTTTTTAATCTCGAACCCTCGCTCTTGGAGAAGACGCAAGGCGACGTGGAAGTGCTGAAATCGAGAGGAAGAGTCTGCATCTTCGCCTTCACGTACGTCGAGGTTCGACCCGATGGCGACGCACACGTCTGCAAATTTCCCCGAAGTCGAGGAGGAAGACGATTCAGACGACGACGAGGAGAAGAGACGCACGCGAAGAGAGCTCGAGAAGTACTTCAGAGTCACCGCACGGTGAGCTCTGCGCATGTTCTTGGACTCGATGCGTATAAATATATCGCCGCCGCCGCGAATAAAAAGTGAGGAAGAGTTTGTTACATTTATCCAAAAAGTCTCGAGTGCCCACTCCGCGGTGCGTCTATACAAACGTTTACTATTACTATCGCTACACATATCTATTTTACCTCAACTACGCCGGCATGTACGCGCTACAGTACAAATCTCTTTTTCTTACGACTACTTCGGCTTGAACCCTCTCGGCGGCGTCGGATCTTTATCCCTCGGAAACGTCCCGAAACAAAACCTCTTCTCGTACCCGTACGTAGATTCGTGCACGGTCACCGTCGGTTGCGTCCGGCACTTGCTCTTGCAGTGCGAAAACGCGTCCGAAAAATACCCAGTCTGCGGCTGCATGCGTCCAATCGGTTCTCGCGTTCGATCGGTTTCCGCGGTGGAGACTTTCGCGTTTTGGCAACACGACACGCACGACTCGTACGTTCCGCAGCACTTCTCGGTTTCGCCGCCTTTGGCGAGGTCGCACGCGGAACACCCGTAGCGTTTCTCGATCGCTTTCTCCGGTGGGCAACACCCGGTTGGAGGGAACACGTCGAACCAGTCGCACGTGTACCCGTTGTCGTCGGTGATGTGATGTAAGCCTTGCTTGGTATTTACGCACTGACGCTTCTCCTCATCCATCGGTCGAATCGCGACTGCGGACAAACACCAAAGCGAAGACGAGGAAAGAAGGAGCGTCGTCATCATCACGGTCAACATCACCCCTCCTCTCCTTTGTCTCGTCACCCTTACAGTCCTCGTCCTCGTCCTCGTCCAATCCGCTTTTCCAACACCACGGAATCCCATCGCAATCACCTCTTTCTCTCTCTCTCGTGTTCTCGCGTAACGTTTGACAGAAGACAGAAGAGAGAGAGAGAGATAAAGTTGTTCTCGTTTCGTCGAGAAAGAGAGAGGAACGAAGGAACGAAGGAAACGAGAGAAACGTTCAGAACGAGGACAAAGACCACCGCACAGAGCGCGCTTTCTCGTTCTCTCGAAATCTGAGGCATTAGACCTTTTTCCCCCGGGGAAAAGTCTTCACTTTCATCAGAGCAGATAAAACCTTTCCGGCGGCGCGGGTGGTTCGTTGCGGAAGAAGAAGTTAAAGAAGAAGACAAAGCGCGCACTTTTATTTGAGGCAGTTGTGCTCGAGAAATTCACGAACGACGAGTGGTACGTTTCAGAGAGAGAAAGAGATGGAGGAGGAAGCGCTGACGGAGAAAATGTCGGAAGCGAGTGTGCAGGAACCAACAACGCACCCGTCGGGTTTATCCTTGGACGAACGAGTGAACCTTTGCCTGTCCATCGGCGAAGAGTGCATCCAACCGGACGAGTTGAGACGTTTGCTGGAGAAAAAACCAAACCCGTGCGCGTACGATGGGTTTGAACCGTCCGGGCGAATGCACATCGCGCAAGGGGTGATGAAATGCTTGAACGTGAACAAATTGACCAAATCGGGGGTAACGTTTAAGTTTTGGATCGCGGATTGGTTCGCACAAATGAACAACAAAATGGGCGGGGACATTAAGAAGATACAAAAAGTTGGGTTGTACATGGTGGAGGTGTGGAAAGCGGTTGGGATGGATTTGAGTAAAGTGGAGTTTATTTGGTCGAGCGAGGAGATTAATAGCCGAGCGCACGAGTATTGGCCGTTGGTGTTGGACATCGCGAGGAAGAATTCGTTGGGGAGGATTATTCGGTGCTCGCAGATCATGGGACGGTCGGAGAGCGACGATTTAGCGGCGAGTCAGATATTTTATCCGGTGATGCAATGCGCGGACATATTTTTCTTAGGCGCGGATATTTGCCAGCTCGGGATGGACCAGAGGAAAGTGAACATGTTGGCGAGGGAGTATTGCGACGATATCAAGAGGAAGAATAAACCGATCATATTGAGTCACAAGATGTTAGCTGGTTTGAAGGAAGGACAGGAGAAGATGAGTAAAAGCGATCCGAACTCGGCGATATTTATGGAAGACAGCGAAAAAGACGTGCAATCGAAGATTAAGAAAGCGTATTGCCCTCCAGGCGTGGTCGAGAAGAATCCGTGTTTGGAGTACATCAAGTACGTGATTTTTCCGTGGTGCGAGGAGTTTAAGTTGTACCGTAAAAGCGAAGAAGAGCCGGAGACGGGAAAATTGGAGGTATACGAGTCGTACGAACGGTTTGAGAAGGAGTACGTGGAGGAGAAGATTCACCCCGGGGATTTGAAACCGAGTTTATCGAAACATTTGAACGCGATTTTACAACCGGTCAGAGATCACTTCGAGAACGACGAAAACGCGAAGAACTTATTGAAAACTATCAAGGCGTACAAAGTGACGAAGTAAAAGAGTTCTTCGAGGAGGGAGAGAGAGAAGGAAGAGAAGGAAAGAGAGACGTGCGCAGATCATGTGGGTATTAAAACTTTGAAAATAAAGTGCAGAATTTATTTAATTTTCTTCTTATACATTACATTGGTACAAGCGTCGCGTTATATATACTAAAACTTACTGGCAATCGCGCTCGCGACACCTAACGACACGCCTACGGCTAAACCTACGCTCAGCGGCACCGAGCCGGTGATTTCATTCATAACGAAAACAAGCGCTCGAAGAGCTTTCCCTTGGGCCGAATCTTCGAGCGCCAACTCGACTTTACGAAAATCGCCGGTTTTCGGCTTCAACGACCCTGGTTTGAACACTCGAGCTTCGCAGTTTTCAAACTGCTCGCCAGTCAAGGAGAAGCAGACCCCCCAGTGCGCGACTAAGGCGATGACGTCTTCGTCTCGGTCGTTTATCCAATCTATCAAGTCGTCCATTCTTTGCTCGAAGACGTCCACGGGTTCTAAGGAAACTTCGCCGAACGTTTTCTTTTCGTTTTCAGCGCCGACGTACCACCACGGTTCGGATTCAGACTCAATGTGCGAGAAATCAAAGTCCGCGTGCGTTTGTTCGAGTTCTTTTCTCGTCTTCCCGTGGTCGGAGGCGTGAAAGACTCTTTCGCGCGCGAAAACGCACACCGCTCTCGGCGTCGTTTGGTCGTGTTCGAAGACGTACTTCGCCGTTGCGATGGCGCGAGATAACGGCGACGCGACGATCAATTCTGGTTTTGGTTCCAGTTTTTCCACGAACACTTGCGCTAACTGCGCGCCCGCGATGCCGGCTTTCGACAGTTTCGTGTCGTATAAAAGAGGATCTTTGAACTTTTCATCCGCCCAATGATTTGAGGCGAGATATTCATTCATTTCCGTTTTCCCGTGTCGCACCAGGATGACTGTTTTTTCGTTCGTTTTACTACTCTTTCTTCTATCAGCATCCATACCGCTCGTCGTGCGCACCAACGTCGTCGCGCTGCTCATTTTTCTCCCGATTATTCTTCGCTGTTTTCTTCTCAACGTGAACAACACCTTCGAAGACGATGATGATGAGAATGATGTCGGTGTTGGTGTTGACGTCGCCATTCAACAAAAGAAAAGTCTCGAACAAACACCGCCGGTTTTGGGTCCCAGCGGCAGAGGTATAAACAGAGCGCACAAAAAAAAACGTCCACAAAGTCACGCAGTTTCTCTCTCTTTCTTTCTCTTTCTCTCGGCGGTGTAAACGACGGAGAGGAAGGCGCAGACCGTGCGACGAATATTCCTTTGAAATGGAGAGATTTTGGTTTTTCCTCCCCATGGGAAAAAAACGGCTTCTCGTTTGAATGTCACATGTGCTTTCACTTTTTCTCAACGCGCCAGACTGCGCAAAAAGACGATGTCGAGCGAAGAGGTGGTCGAGGAAAACAACGCGCTGTGGAGGTTGTTTCAAAACGCCGGAGAGTTTTCGGGAGGCGTGTGTCGCGATGTCGTGGAGAAACACGTGCTTCCGAGATTGAATTCGAACGATGTGAAATTCTTGTACGGAGTGAATACGGAGACGAGAAAGTTGATTAAGAGATCGTCTCGCAAGGGGGAGTTGAAGGAGAGGTTTATAGTGAGAGAGATGTCATCGGTATCGACTTTGGAGTTTGCGTGGGAGAATAAATCGTTGTAGCCGAGTGACTGGGATGAAACATGGTTTTGCATTCGAGTTGCTCAAACGAATAAACTCGAGTTGCTCAAGTGGGCGCGAGAGGAGAAAAAGTGTGAGTGGAATGGAAAGACGATTAATGCGGCCGCAGGTCAAGGTAATCTGGAAATGATAAAGTATTGCGTTGCAAATGAGTGTCCTATCGATAAGATCGCGTGTGCATACGCTGCCGAAAGCGGTAATCTCGAGATACTCAAATACTTACGGGAAGAAGTCGAAGCGCCTTGGGGGTGGAGAACTGCCATTTTGGCGGCTGAAAATGGTCATCTTCATATACTCGAATACCTTGTTGAGCGAAAGTATGATCAATACGACGAAGGAGCGTGTGAGGGTGCGGCCACGTTCGGCCACTTGGACTGTTTGAAGTACTTGCACGAAACCGCCAAAGCACCGTGGAGCTATTTGGCCGTACATAACGCGCACTACAACAAACACCCCGAATGTTTACAATACCTCCTCGACAATAACTGTCCTCTCCCACGCGGTTGGCGATACGAAGGAGGAGTGTTACGCAGGTGGTCGGATACACAAAGAGAAAGAGAGAGATAACGAGAGAGAGAGATAACAAGAAGAAGAGAGAGAAATACTACTACCCAAAAAACAAGAAAGAAGTTGTGAGAAGAGAGACACCCCCCCCCTTAATTTTCATTTACGAAAACGTTTGAAAAAAAGCAAAACGAACCTCCTCTCAAACGCACGAGAGTCACTTGTTTTCTCGACTCGAGATGAAAGATATTCTCTCTCGTGGTCTCGTTTAACCGACAGCGAAAGAGTCCTTACTCGTTCTCGAATATCTCCATTAGTATTCGCACAGACAACCTCTACTTAATCAACAATAAAAATGTTCGCTCAGCAGCAAACGCAACAACTCGTCGGTTCGGCGCGCACGGCTCGCGTCGTTTCGTCCAGGTACGTTTTTCACATCGACGAACGCAAAGACGAAGAAAGAGAGATCTCACTCGTTCTTTGAATTCTTTCTTTTTCCAATTTTAAACGCGCGGCGGGGCCGTCGACGTAGACTTTGGATCTCATTTCTCGCGCGTTTCTGGGTCAACGAAATGATATCAAAAAGGAGCATTTACAGCAAAAAGGAAAACGAAAAGGGAGAACGAGAACGCGTCACCTCTCTCGTCTCGTTCGAAAGAGAGAGAGAGAGAGAGAACGAGACGTTTATTCCTCGTGCAACGCGTTCCAATTCTTGTTGGAGGAGACTAATCTTTTTTCTTTTTTTCTCCCCAACTGCCTCTCTGGGATGGACAAAATTTTCGTTTCTTTCTCACAAAATACTCACAAAATATCACTCTCTTTCGAACGCAACAATATAACACAGAAGACGAACCACCACGGTCGTCTCCGCCAAGAAGACCACTACCACGACGAAAGTGGAAAAAGAACCGCTCGTCGTCCCGGACGTGGCAGAAAGACCGATGAAAATCGTCTTCGTCTCGACCGAGTGCGCGCCGTACTCGAAAACCGGCGGCTTGGGCGACGTCGTCGGCTCGTTACCGATTGAATTGGCCAAGAGAGGCCACAAGGTGATGTCCATCTCGCCGAGATACGATCAGTACGAAGGCGCGTGGGATACCTCGGTGTCTACCACGGCTTTGGGGGAAACGGTTGGTTTCTTCCACGAGAAGAAGAAGGGCGTCGATCGCGTCTTTGTCGATCACCCGTTGTTTTTGGCCAAGGTTTGGGGCAAGACTGGCGACAAGTTGTACGGGAAAGCCTCTGGTGCGGACTACGCGGACAACGCGAAGAGATTTGCTTTGTTTGCCAAGGCTGTTTTGGACGCGCCAACGATGTTGCCGCTTGAATACGGCGAGGACGTCGTTTTCGTCTGCAACGACTGGCACTCCTCGTTGGTGCCGGTGTTGTTGAAGCACGAGTGCAAGCCGAACGGCAAGTTCGTCGACGCCAAGAGCATCATGTGCGTCCACAACATCGCGTTTCAAGGAAGATTCTGGCCGCAACCGTTGGAAGAGTTGGGCATTCCAGCCTCCGCGGCGGATGACTTCTTCTTCGAAGACGGCAACGCGAAGATTTACGACGAGACGAACCCGATGAAACCGGGAGAGAAGGACGAAGCGCCGACTGGCCAAATCTACCGCAAGATGAACTGGTTGCAAGCCGGTTTCAAGAACGCGGATAAGTGCGTCACGGTTTCCGTCAACTACGCCAAGGAGTTGGTCTCCGGCCCGGCCAAGGGTGTCGAGTTGAACAAGGTTTTGAGCGCCATCGGTATCGAAGGCATCGTCAACGGCATGGACCCGACGGAGTGGAACCCGGCCAAGGATAAGTTCTTGGACTTCCCGTACGACAAAACGACCGTCATTGAAGGTAAAGCCTGCGCCAAGCAAGCGTTGCAAGCCGAAGTTGGTTTACCGATCGACCCGGAAGCTCCGTTGTTTGGTTACATCGGTCGTTTGGAAGAACAAAAAGGTTGCGACATCATGTTTGAAGCCATCCCGAAGTTGATCGAACAAGTCCCGAACGCGCAAGTCGTCGTTTTGGGTACCGGTAAGAAGTCCATGGAAAAGACGCTCGAACAGTTGGGTGAAACTTTACCGGCGACGAACTTTGCCGGCGTCTGCAAATTCTCCGCGCCGACCGCGCACTTTATCAACGCCGGCGCCGACTTCTTGATGGTGCCGTCCAGATTTGAACCGTGCGGTTTGATCCAGCTCCACGCCATGTCCTACGGCACGGTCCCGATCGTCTCCACCACCGGTGGTTTGGTCGACACCGTCAAGGAAGGCGTCACTGGCTACCACATGGGCGCCATGGATGCCGACAACTTGATGCCGGAAGACGTCGATGCGATGGTTGAGACGTGCGTTGCCGCCGCCGCGGACTTTGGCACTCCAGCCTACGAAAAGATGGTCAAGACGTGCATCAAGCAAGACTTGACCTGGAAGGAACCGGCGAAGAAGTGGGAAGCCTTGTTAGAAGAACTCGCGTTTGGCACGGAAGAATCCGCCAAAAAGGCTGAAGTTGTCGAGCCGGAGAAGCTCGCGACGGGCATCGCCGCCGTCACTGCGTAAACTACTTCCTTGGTTTTTACGCTCCAACTACTAAATTTTACTTTTTACATTTTGAAAAAAGAGCGCTTAACAATAATAATAAGATAGCCAACATGTTGTATTACTTGAATCAACGCTTTATACTACTACACTAATACTAAATGACAAATTTGTACACGCGGTACCTCGAGTTTGGGTCGTCATCGCAAAAACAATAATAATATAAATACGGATTACTCTGAATAAATATACTACTAATATTATTACAACGCTTCTCGCTCTTTCATGCGTTCTTCTAAGAGCAAACCTGGTTTCATCTTGACGTCCGCGTACGGCTCCTCTTGCTCCACGTCTAAATACCCGTGCGTACGTAATACCAACACTTGGTAAAACATCTTCGCCGCGTCCGCTCTCGTTTTGCCTCTGACTTGTTCTTCTAAGCTGAGCTCGTTCGAGTCGGTTTTATCAAACTGCGCGCTCAAATGGTCGAGCATTTTCTTCGATCCAACCGACCAATCCATGGCTTTATCGCCACTTTCTTCCGCTTTATCGTAATTATCGTCGCCGTCTAAGCTGAATCCTTTTCTAGGCGTATCCATGTTGTCGTTGTTATTGTTGTTGAAGTCGTCATCGTCGTCAAAGCCATCCGCGCCTCCTCCTCCTCCTCCAAAGTCGTCGTCGTCGTCGTTTTCTACGTTTCCACCGAACAAATCCTTCTTCAAGCCATCCTTCGTCGCGTTTGGCGTCGTCGGTTGACTTTCAAAGTTCACCCAGCACGATTGCGCGTTTCTGGCGTAAATAGCCGCTAACTTCGGATGCACTTCGCCCGGTAAACACCTCTCCTCCGCCGCGCAAGCTCGAGGAATTTGAACCGGTGGACCTCTGTTCGCTCCACGGGCGCACACGATATCGCTCGTATCTTGCAACTGGTGACGAATTTGATCGTTCGTCAACGACGTGATTCGATCAAAGACGATGACTCTTTCCACTCTTCGTCTTTTCGCGTTTGGGCCGGCGCGAGACTTTTGCGCAGTTTTCCCAAACACAAACTCTTTGGCTTGTTGTGGATCGTTTTCTGAACCGGGCGTTTGGTACGGATTCGCACCAAACAACACGACCCTCTTCTCTTGTTGTTGTTGTTCTTGTCCTTTCTCTTGCTCTAGCCTTTGCGCGTTCACGTTGACGTCGCCTAAAATAGCCCCTTCCAACTCTTTCCTCGCGTCCTCGTCCAACGGCAACGGCTGCGCGTCCTCCATATCGTCGTCATCATCATCATTACCACCACCCGCGTTGTATCCCATCCCAAACTCTTCGTCCATATCCGCAGCATTTCCTTGCAACGCTGCTCTCGCGTCTGGATTCGTCCTCATCCCGTCCCCGTCCTCGTTGTTATACACCGCGTCGTACAAATCCGCGCCTTCCTCGCCCTCCGCCACCGCCAATTCTCTCTCTTCCGCCGCTCTTTGAAACTCCGTCTCGAACTCGTCCTCTTCGAACTCGTCCATTAACGTGATCGACTGTCTGTCCACTCTGAGTGCTAACCTCACGTGCTCCCCGTCCTCGCCTAAATCTTCCATCATGACTCCGTACTTGGCGTTCGGGTCGTAATACATCTCCAAATCGTCGTAATTCTCCGGCAACGTGATCGTCCTCTCCTCCGCGATCGCGGATTCCGGGTCTAAATCCACCTGTCCTTGAGAATCTCTTCGAAACACCTGTTTCGCTTTCGCCAGCGCTTCCGAGCAGTCGTGGAAGAGATAGTTCATTTTCCTGTCGTACACTTTCACCACCCCGAGCATGAGTTGTCCGCTCGTTCTCAACGCGATTGGGGCGTCCGGGTTTATGATCGTTTGCACGGCTTGGATGATGTCTTGCTTGGTGATGGTGTCTTTGTTCAGCTTTCGGTCCATGTGCGCGGCGAGCCAGATTGTCCCCAGAGGGCCTCGTTTGGAGAGGATTTCCGCGGAGTAGAACATTATGGTTTCTCTTCTTCGTCGTAATCCAATTCAAACGATTCTCAGGCGAGAGGAGTTCAAATTCAAACTACGTACTCTCGAATGGAATTAAATCACAAGAATATTATGTTTTCTTTACTATCGGTGTTGTTTATATAAATATAAACACACGACGAATAAATAAATAAATAAATAAAGTTTTGTCGTCTCTCTTCGTGTGTCGTCTGTTCGTCAAAATCGTAACACGACTACTCGAGAGAGATGATGAAAGCGCGACTGAAAGAGGAAGACGTGTGACGAGAATTTGAAGAGATTTTTCCTTTAAAATTGAAGCAAAAAGTGTTAAACCCTAAACACTCTTCTTTATCTCTCTTCTTCTCAAAAAAAGACTATAAAGCTACGCACGCGCGGGGCGTCTGCCGGTTGGAACATTTCGTCTTCTGTAGCCCTTTTCATTCCCTCCGGGAGGTTAGGAAGTTCGCCTTCATCCGTAACGAGCACTTTATGTTCTTCTATAAAATCGAGAGGAAATCTTCTATCTCGAGGAGAACGCCCTGTCGTCGCGCGACGACATCAATCACGAGGAGCTACCGGAGAATACATACTATACGTATATATTCTTAATAATACTATCACATTATTTAAAACATCAATACCGTTTGTTCGAATCCATCTTATCGATGATAACACCAACCCCGTCCGTTTCTCGAAACTCTATTCTATCGTCGCAGAGCGCGGCGACGACTTCGGGGAACACCTCGTGTTCTTCCTTTAACACGCGGCGAGCGACCTCCTCCGCGGTCCAACTCGGATCGATCCCTATGATTCTCTGGGCGACGATTTTACCTTCGTCGAAGTTTTCGTTGACGAAATGAACGGTTGGACCGGTAAAGCGTGCTCCAGAATTGACCACGGCTTCGTGGACTTTCGCGCCGTGCATGCCGCGACCGCCAAACGCCGGTAAGAGCGCCGGGTGGATGTTTAACATCTTATTCTCGAACGTTCGGCACAGTTCCGGCGGGATCAGTCTTAAATACCCGGCTAATAAGACCACGTCGATTTTATATTCGTTTTTGAGAAACTCGTTCAATTCGGACGGGGATATTCGTTCCGACTCCTCTAAATCCTTCCCGCCCGGGTAGAGCAACACCGGCACGTCTCTGTCCATCGCCCACTCGACGCCGCCTGCATTATACGAAGAGGTCACGACGAGGGATATTTGTCCGTGAATTTCCCCGGTTTCGCACGCGGCGTGAACTGCTCGCATGTTCGACCCTCCGCCGGAGATGAACACGGCGATGTTTTTCTTCGGTTTCTTTTCGTTTCGTTGGTGTTGTTGCTTCGTCTTCGTCGCATCTTCATCTTCATCTAAATCATCATCGTTTCCCGATGTCCGTTGCGCAGCACAAACGCGGAGAAACAAAACTCTTCTTTGACGACGAGAAGAAGAAGAAGAAGGACGACTTTGACGACTTGTGCGTCGAGAACAACGACCACCACCCACTCCCTGATGATTTTGGAGGAAGCACGACGCGCACGAGGAGAAAGAGGAAGATGTCATTTTTGCGCGCTGATTTTGAATTTATTATGGCGGGTGCACTCGTTGGTAAAAATGTCAAAAACTGCTACTGAACGCGCTTTTGCGTCGCTTCTCGAACGCAGCAAAGTGATGATGATAAATGATTTTGAACGTATGGCGCGTTGCATTTGTGTGTTACAAATGTCAAGAACTGCTACTGAACTCGCTACTCGTGTCGCTGCTCGAATTTTCGCCGCTCTCGTCGGCGAAACTCGCGTGGTGGTTTCGCCGAAAGTTGGTATTCTTGTGCAACGGCGGGAGCGAGGAGGAGGAGGAGGATTCTTTTTCTTCTTCTTCTTCCTCTCTGTTCTCTTGGCCGATGATGAGCGTGTTGTTCTCGGCGACGGCGGTCCCCGCGACGAGCGGCGTGGCGGCGGCGGACCACCCGTTTTCGCCTCCTTTTCGCTTCTCTTTCCTCTTACTTTTCTTCCCTCCGTTTTCTATCCGCAACTTTTCCTCGATTTTTAACAAATCGTCCGGAGATATCGTCCGTCTGACGTCCTCGCTAATTTTGTTCGTGTATTCCGTGTCGTCTTCGGCGAAGATTTCCGGCCACAGCGCTCTTCTTTTGACGCTTTTGATTTGCTCGCGAGTCAACACCCGTTTCAGTTCGCCGGTGACTTTGCCGCCGAGGCCGCCGTTGCCGGACGACGATACTCTTTTCGTCGTCCTCGTCCGTCCCACCGACAAATCCGTGGACGTCGAAGCGACCAACTCTTGTTGCTGTCGTTTTCGCATCTCCCGCTCTTCTTCTTCTTCTTTGCCTTCTTCTTCTTCTTCTTCCGTCTTTTGCGCAAAACCAACGAATCCAGTGCAAAGAATAAAACACCCTCTTCGAACGAAGTAAATGTTCGCGAAGCGACTCGGAATGCGCACCATCGCGCGCTCACCGCTCGGTTTCGTCACCTGTGATATACACACGCGCGCGCGCGTAAAAGAGAGCGTCAGAGAGAGTCATTCGCGACAGTCAGAGAGAGATAAACGATGTCTCGAAAGGTTGTTACACACCGGGGAAAAACAAGATACAAATATACACCCGTCGTACCTCAATCACGTTCCCGCCTTTCACGTCTTCGACTCGGCACACCACGTCGCCTTCCTTTTCGTGAATCTCCACGTCTAAGTCGTGGACGTGCGCGCGGACGTGTTTCCGTCTCGCGCTCATTTATTTATATCTACACAGAGAGAGAGAAAACAAGCGCACATCGAGGTGGTTTCCACGCGTGTTTTTCTGTCCAAATTCGCTCGACATTCGACACATTTTACGGAACAAACTTACCCACACTCTCGAGCGACGTTTGATCGTTTCAGATACACACACATACAACACACAAAAGATGAATCCAGTGGAACGATCGGGCGAATCTGGCATTTTCTTCGACACGCAAGAGCCGCAGTTTTTAAACCTAAAGTGCGTCGTCGTCGGCGACGGCGCGGTCGGGAAAACCTCCATGCTGCTCTGTTACACGACGAACACGTTCCCGACCGATCACATGCCGACGATTTTCGATAACTACAGCAAGAACGTGACCATGCGAGATGGGCGCGTGGTGAATTTAGGGTTGTGGGATACGGCAGGACAAGACGAGTACGCGGACTTTCGACCGCTGAGTTATTCCGCGGCGGATTGTTTTATCGTCGCGTTTTCCTTGTGCGATCGGGAGAGTTTTCGGAACGTGGAGCAAAAGTGGTTGAACGAGTTGCGGTCGAAAGCGCCGAAGACGCCGATTGTTTTAGTGGGGACAAAGTTAGATTTACGAGGAGGTGGGGGAGGAGGAAATTCGTATAATAGCAAGAGAGGTGGAGGTAGTATGGGTGATAGGCTTAGCAACGATATGCGAGCCGGCGGAGGAGGCTCGAACGGAGAAGAGGAATCCGAACCGATAAGCGAGGCGGAAGGGCAAGCGTTGGCGAGACGGATCAAAGCGGTCAGTTACGTCGAGTGTTCGAGTTTAGTGCAAACGAATTTGAGTTTAGTGTTCGAGGAGGTGATCGAGGCGCACGTCAATCCGGCGGTTGTGAAAATCGAAGAGCAAAAGTCGTGCTGCGCTATTCAGTAAAAATAGAGCAGTTTTAAGAATATTGTACACAGCCGCACGCGGGAAACGAGAGAGAGAGAGAGAGAGAGAGAAAGAAAGAGAGAGAAGGAGGGCGACTCCGCGCTTTTGCCGCGCTCATAATAATAGTAATGCGCACTCGTTTAGGGACGCGCGCGCACTTGTAATGTAACATGTATCAGATGTATTAAAGCGCGTTTGTTGTTAAAACTTCTTTGTTTAGAACGAAGCCTCACAAATATTTCGCCGCCACCTCCGTCAGAGGAAGAATACGAAGAAAACATGTCACCAGCTTCGGCGAGGAAAAGAGAGGAAGAACCTGGTGGTCACGACGAGGAGGAGGATGAGACGACGACGAAGAGTAAGAAGCGAACTTTAGTGGTGGTAAACGAGGACTCGGGCGGTCTCGACCCCGAGCTCGCGACAAAACTTCCCCGTCGACACCAAATCAAAACGGACGAAGATTTCCTTCTCAAGTCCGGCTGCGCGCGCATACACCCCGCGAATCAGTTCCAGCACGGGTGTTTGCACGATATGGTCTGCCCGGAGAACTACCAACCGTCGAAGAAGAAAATGCCGAAAGTACCGGCGAAGAAATATCCGTTCGAATTGGACACGTTTCAGGAGCAATCCGTGCTCTGCTTGGAAAGGCAAGAGTCGGTGTTGGTGTCGGCGCACACATCGGCCGGGAAAACGGTCGTCGCGGAATACGCCATCGCGATGGCAAAAAGAGACGGGCAGAGAGTGGTGTACACGAGTCCTCTGAAAGCGTTATCGAATCAGAAGTATCGAGAGTTGAAGGAGGAGTTTTCGGACGTCGGGTTGATGACGGGAGATACGGTTATAAATCCCAACGCGAGTTGTTTGGTGATGACGACGGAGGTGTTAAGGAGCATGTTGTATAAAGGCGGGGAGGTCACCAGAGAGGTTGGGTGGGTGATTTACGACGAAATTCATTACATGAGAGATAAGGAGAGAGGGGTTGTGTGGGAAGAAAGCATCGTGTTGTTGCCGGATACGGTGAAGTACGTGTTTTTATCGGCGACGATTCCAAACGCGAGAGAGTTTAGCGAGTGGGTGTGTAAAGTGCACGATATTCCGTGTCACATCGTGTATACTGATTTTCGGCCGACGCCGTTGGAACACTACATTTACCCGAGCGGCGGAGATGGGATATTTTTGATCGTGGATAAAACAAGCGCGTTTAAGGAGGATAATTTTTTGAAAGCGATTTCAATCGCCAACGAGAAAGGCGCGGAGGTGGCGCAAGCGAGGACGGCGGCGAGGAAAGCGAGCGAGATGAACGGTGGAGATGGAACGCAGGCAAAGTTAGCGCAAAACACGGACGTTTTTAAGATTATTAAGATGATTGTAGATAGGAATTACGATCCAGTGATTGTGTTTGCTTTTAATAAAGGCGAGTGCGAATCGTTTGCAAACGCGTTGCACAAGGTGGACTTGTGCGACGAGAACGAGAAAGAGATGATCGATGCGATTTATTGGAACGCGATGGATGCGTTGAGTGAGAGCGATAAGAAGTTACCGCAGGTTGCGTCGATGCCAAACTTGTTGAGGAGAGGGTTAGGCGTTCACCACAGCGGGTTGTTGCCAATTTTGAAAGAAGTGATTGAAATTTTGTTTCAGGAGGGTCTGATTAAAGTTTTGTTCGCCACGGAGACCATGTCGGTTGGTTTAAACATGCCGGCGAGAACTTGCGTATTCGCGTCGCCGAGAAAGTTTGATGGCACCGGGTTTCGTTGGATTACGAGTGGAGAGTACACGCAAATGAGTGGCAGAGCCGGGAGAAGAGGAAAAGACGATCGCGGTTTGGTCGTGCTCATGGTAGATGAAAAAATGGACGCGCCGACGGCGAAAGATATGTTGAGAGGCCGATCAGATCCGTTGGATTCGGCGTTTCACGTGAGTTACGCGACGTTGTTGAATTTGATGCGCGTGGAAGGCGCGGAACCGGAAGATATGATTATGAATTCGTTTGCGCAGTTTCAAAACATGCGACGAGTGCCGCAGTTGGAAGCGAAAGTTGCGCTTTTGGAGAAGAAAAGAGACGAGATTAAGATTGAACACGAAGAGCAGGTGAATGAATATGTGAAGCTGAGAGATGGTTTAGATGCGTTGACGAGTGAACGACGCGCGATCACGAATTTACCGACCCATAGCGTACCGTTTTTACAACCCGGTCGATTGGTGCGCGTTTGCGTGGACGCGCCTGGTTCGTCTCTATTTTCGAGCTCCGATACAGAGGCTTTGACGCGGATGACTGTAGATGCAGACGACCAATACGACGACGAAGTTCGTAATCCGCTATCGTTCGACGAAACGCTGCTAAGAAAATCGGTCGAAGACGGTAACGATAGCGTCTGGGGCGTCATCGTCCATTTTGAAAAAGTCGGGAGCAAGAAACATTCAAAGCATCAAAAGTATTTGGTGGACGTTCTCGTGAAATGCGCGGAAAAGTTGAAACTTTCGGATGCCGATCGCGAAACTTTAAAACTTAATGACCCGGTGTTTTCGCTGTTGAACAGCTCAGAGCGACACAGTTTGTTGCAATGCGAAGAAAATAGAGTGGTGGACGAACTTCCCGCGGTTGAGTTTCGCGTAGTTCGCGTTCCTTTAGAGCAACTCGATTGCATGTCTTCGATACGCGTATACTTACCGAAAGATTTATACCCGATCGAAGCACGAACACGTTGTGGAGCGTCTATTAGAGAAGTTTTGAAACGGTTCGAGGAAAGAAGTAAAGAGGAACGAGAACGAAAAGAACAAAAAGAAGAAGAGGAAGAAGATGAAATTGTCATTCCGATGCTCGACGCCGAGAAAGATATGAAAGTTACCGATAAAGCCTACGCAAAAACTGTCCAAAAGATTCAAATGCTTTCAAAAATGATGCAAGATCATGGTTTCAAAACGTCCGAAAATGCCATCGAAAGACTTAGAAAGCACGTCGAGAAAAGGCGCTTGGAGTACTTGGTCAAACACGCCAAAAAAGAAGTCACGGTGGCGTCTGGGATGATCAAAGCGGACGTCCTCAAACGCATGCGACGCGTGTTGAGACGACTCGGGTACGTTTCCGAAGACGGCGTCGTCACTCAAAAAGGTAGGTGCGCGTGTGAGCTTGCCGGAGCGGACGAACTCGTCGCCACGGAGTTGATTTTCAACGGTACGTTTAAAGCGTTGCCGTTACACATGCTTGTCGCTACGGTTTCGTGTCTCGTTTGGAAAGAAAAAACGGGAGGAAAAGGAGGTAAAGATGTCAACGGTAAGAAGCAAGGCATGAACGTGAGCGAAGATGTGTTCAGCGCGCACTCTAACGTGAAAGACGCGGCTCGAAAAGTGTTCAAGCAGCAGTTGGAGTGCAAGTTAAAAGTCGACGTCGAAGACTCGATCGAGCGTTTGCGTTGGGACTTGATGGAAGTCATGCTTGCGTGGTGTAAAGGCAACACGTTTAGCGAGATCATGAAAATGACCGAAGCATTCGAAGGATCAATTGTGCGCGCGATCAGGAGGATTGAAGAGTTGATGCGACAGCTCGCGTCGGCGTGTAAAGTCATCGGAGAGTCGGATTTGGAGAAGAAGTTTCTGGACGCCTGCGAGCTCGTGAAAAGAGACATCGTCTTCACGCCGTCGCTCTTCGTGTAAAGAAAAAATATATGCAGCGATTAATATTAGTAAAGTAGCAATCAATCTAGCGAGTAGACGATGCGGCGCGATATTAGTTATTCTAGGTGGTGTAATTAGTGTAAAAACACGGTTAAATCAACCATATTAAATTATTAAAGTTCTGCTAATGTCTACAATTTTTATAAAAGTCACCCTCTTTTGCTTTTCTCGCTCTGTTCTATGAAAACTATACAATGCTCTCCCGTCTCCCTCTCTCTTCCAACTTAGTTGGATTTGATACCGGATCGGAGCTTTGCTTGTTGTCTTCTAGTGTATTTCTTCGGTTCTTCCGCTCTCGCTACCGGTTCTTCCTTTTCCTCCAACATAAGCTCGACGTGGCACGGCGAAGACATGTACGGGTTGATGCGACCGTGCGCTCTGTACGTTCGTCTTCTTTGCGGGATGGCCTTATTGACTTGGATGTGCGTGATGTAGAGATTGTCAATGTCCAACCCCTTAACCTCGGCATTCGATTCCGCGTTCTTGAGCAAGTTGATCAAGATCTCCGCGCACTTCTTCGGCCATCTGCCTTGGCCGTTCGTGGAGCCTTCTTGCTTGGCTTGGGCCGTTCTCCCGACGCCACCGCAAAATCTGCGAAAGACGACGCATCGCTCCATCTTCATAACAGAGTTCAAGAAACCTGTTGTATGTGGTAGTGTTGATTGAAAAAGAAGCGTTGGTGAAGGGTCAGCGTGATGATGATGGTGACGATACATACAGACGACGACGCGTAGAAAGATACGTCGACTCTCAAATCGTTTGGAGTAGTTTGTAGTCCTAAAATTTCGAGGACCTAAAGAAGAGGGCGACACCCTGCTGCGAACGAACGCACAAAAGAACCATCGAACGAGTCGCTCTCGGATAAAACCCGCGCGAAACGAGCGGATAAAACGTTCGCGCGTTCAATTCCACTCGTCCTTTGCGAATTCAACCTTCGCGAAAGGGTTGGTGTAACCCTCCTTCTCGCCCAAAAATTACGCGTTAAAAGCCTCCTCTCTCTCCGCAGGCAAAATCGATTGCGCTCTTTAAAAAAAATTACAAAATGCGTACCTTGCGCGTCGCTCAAACTTCGCCCCTTGATGTTCATCGCCGTTTCTCTCATGTTCTTAAAATGAACTCTCAAATCCGTGCCTCGAGCTTTGCACGATTTCGTCGCGTCGTTGGACTCTCGCGCGTATTTCACCATGGCTGTTTTCCGAGAGAATTTGTTCTTGTGTTTTATCACGCCAAAGCAGTCTCTCTCGAAGAAAGAAAGGAGAAAAAAAAAGGAACCAGACCAATTAGGGTTTAATACCCTAAACATTTTCCTTCTCGTTTCTCTTTTCAAAACTTCGCGCAAACGCGAGAGAAAAAGGAGAAGAAGAAGCGTAAGAAGAAGAAGACCAAGAAGGATGACGAGCGAAAACCTCTCGGTGTGCACGCGCTACCAAACCTTACTCCTGCACTTGAAATCCTTGCAATCGTACGAGTATCTTTTAATAAGAAGCAAGAAAAGAGAAGAAGAACCTTTAAACGATGACGGAGAGGAAATCACCAACTTTGCAACGGCGCTCGAATCGACGTTTCCGATTTTGAACAAATACGCTTTGTGTTTACAACGACCGATGGAAATTTCCGGTAAAAACGCGCGCGAGAGAAACGAAGTGATGCAGTCTCGCGTGGCCGTGATCCCTTCGACCGGTGTGAGTGTGCCTTTAGGGGATATCGACGTCGAGAATGCGATTTTGATTTCAGACCAGTTCAACGTCTCGGAGTTTCACGCGATAGAGGCGTTGGCGGGAAGCGCGGGGAGAATCGCCCCGGCGAGAGGAGGCGACGAAGACGACGCAGAAACAACGAGACTGTTTGCCGCCGGGAACATCTTTCAGGAACGCGCGAGCTGTTTGGAAAGTTTGAGCGTTTTGTTGAGGGCGAGGCAAACGGTGAGAGCGTTGGAGAGAGACTCGAACTATCGAGGCGCGAACGAGGCGAGTCGAAACGCGTTTCGAGAGTTTTCAGGGTTCGTGGACGAGGTTGTTTTGATGGGTAAACGCTTTGATGGTGGTCGCGATGGGAACGCGGCGGCGGCTTCTTTGGACGAGCAGAGTTTAGCGAATAGATTGGCAAAGTTGATTCGAGCGGCGCCGACGGGCGGGCCGTTGGGTGGTCAGCCGGCGCAAAGGACCGGGCAGCCTCCAGCGATCGGGGGTGGTCTTTTCGGTGGATTTGGATCGCAGCAACAAAACCAACAAGTGCAGATAATGCAAGCGGACAAGTTTGAAATTATATACGATTCGCGCAACCGGGCAAACTTGCGCTCGGATGTTTTAGCCAAGGAAAAGACGCAAGTCGCGGAGTTATTATTTTTAGCGGCATCCTTGTCGCCGCCGTTATCGCAAGGCGACGCGGTAGAAGTATTCTCACTCGCCGGTTGGGCCGCAGAGCAAATGCGGTTTCCTTCGCAAACGCCGCCGGATTATTTGCCGACGTGTTATTCGACGTTATTCGCCTCGGTAACGGCGTTGATGTCTCCGTTGGAAGACGTGCGGAACGTTTTAGACCAAGTGCACGACCCGAAAAGAAAAAAGTTGGAAGCGTTTTTGAAGTCCATCGAGACGACGGTAAAGTCACCAAATCCTCCCGCGCCGTTTGCGATCGTTCGCTTGGCGTGGTCTTGCGTTGCCATGCGTCTTGGGTTTGAGAGCGGCGAGGAGGTCGCGAAGAGCGCGATACGAGACGGCGCTTTCGACGCGATGACGGCCATTTTACAAACTGGCGCGTTTCAAGACGATCGGGAAGATAACAGAAGAAATTACTTGCATCTCGTCGCGAACGCTGTGTTAGGTGAGTTCACGAGTTTAGCTTTAGATAGACCGACGCTATCGATTTCGTTAACGGACGGGACGTGTACGCCGACGTTTATGGAACTCGAAGCCGCGAATAGGATTTCAAACGGGGACCTCGGCGACAGTGAATTCGAAGAACCGTGTCCTACCAGCGCGTTGGCGTCTTTGATGATTGCTTTGGCAGAAACGTGTTCGCAAGATCCTTCGTTGGTTGGTGACGAAGAGTCTGCGGCTGCTTTCAACGCCGCGACGACGTCGCCGGATTACGACCCAGAACAGGACGATTACGAGATGAGTAAACAATCACCGGCTTTACGATTGGTAGACGCGTGCATCGATCTCGAGCACTCCGTAGTTTCTCTCATGGCGCTTCTCGATTTGTGTGCTGCGGTTTCCAAGCACGATATTGGATCTAAAATTGCCTTCAAAGTTTTAGCGAGAGGCGCCGGCGGGTGTAATTGGGACGAATTGTTAAAAGGGATCACCGGCTACATAGCGAGGTACGATTTATCGCGAGGCTTGGAAGAAAACACCGCGGACGGATCGATGCGATCGCTAGTGAGCGAAGAAATTGAAGGCTTGGGTGAAAATCAACAGTACGATCCACGAATGGGCGAACCAGAAATGAACGACGCCGACGTGAAAGCTTTAGAAAAGTATTTGAAAGCATTAGCTGCGTGCTTTTCTACGCAAGCTCGCGAATACGAGGAAAGTAGAGGTGAGACCGGCGCGAAAGCATCATCGTCTGGGCGAGAGCAACACAAACAACACAAACAAAACGATTCGAATGACAACAACGACGGCAATAATACCATCGGGACATCCTCTAGAGGCGGTTCGTTTGATCAAGTCGGCGCGGCTGCCTTGGAGGCTGCCAGAGGCGAAGATCCGAGACGAAGATGGATTCGGTACCTTGAGGAACGCATGGATATGGATTTGTGCGAAGCTCTTTTGAATCTGTACGTCGACCCGGTTCCGCCAAAAATGAAAGCAGCGCTCTTGAATTGCATCCAGTCGCTTTGCGAAGGGTGTGTCCAGAAAACGAACGATGCTTGGGGATTTCTCGAAATGAAAGGCGCTTTACACGTTCCCACGCCAGTGGACGCGAGAGTTGATCTCAAAGACGTTTCTTCTGCCTTGACCATTGTGCCCACACTTCCAGGCTCAAACATGGACGTGGCTTATCATTACTATCAAACGGAACGAAACCATAGTCAATACGAGGGAACTTTAGCGTATGCGAGGTTTTTTAACTTTGCGTTGGAGACGACAAAAGATGCGGGATATTTGGACGGTGCTCTCGATATGGATTCGGCGGGCGCGTGCTCGTTTAATGGACGATCAGCGTGGCATCACGCGAGGTTTTTGAGATTTGATGTCTTTGGACAGCTCCAAAGCAGACGACACGTGGAAGATTCAGAACGATGGATGTTAGCTGGCGAGTGCTTGCGCGCATTTCAGTCGTGCTTAGAACTCTACGACGTCGCCGACGAAGAAGAGAAGATCATTCCGATTAAAACGAGTTCAAACAGGGGACAATTCAACGATCATGACAGGCAACCGTTAGAGATTGGATTCAACGTATCTTTGCCTTTAGCAGCGGCGGGTGAGATGCGCGACCGTCTCGAGCTCATAGCTCGAGACTCCGTACCACCCGGCCGCGATTTGATTCTCGATTTTCTTCACGATGGAATCACGTTTCGAGGTATCTTGGACGTCATCTCTGTCGGCGCAGAGCGCTTGAGTCGAGAGCGATCAAAACCGTACGGTGAATCCCTCGAAAACGCCGTGTTACGATCTTTGAACGTCCTTTCCACGGCTTTAACTATGGATCTCGAGCACTTGGAGCGTTTACACGATGCCAAGCGCGATGTTGGATTTAAAGCGTTGGACGTCTATTTAGTTTTCAGGGAGGACGGTCAACGCTTTGCGGATATTGTGTCTTATTGTCAATACCCCTTTAATCCTTCACTCGCGCTCGCGGCTTTGGAGATTGCCACGGAAATCTCTCGTCGCGTCGACGGTTTACCGAGGATGCTTCGACCGGAAGTGCGAGCGGGATTGATCGAAGGCTGTTCGACGTTGTTGGAACAATCCTTTTCCTTACAACCTCCTGCAACTAACGATATGTATGAAAGTGGTGACACGTATCGATCCGATCGCGAACTCTTCGCAGAAGCATGTGGCGAAAGCGTTTTGAATTTGATCGACGAAAGCATCGCGTCGCATCCTTCACCGAACATGGCGGAGTTACTGCTCGGATTTGACATCACTGGTGCCTGTAGAACGACGCCTTTGCGACCGGATCTCGAGTTTACGTGCTCGACCGTACTCATTGAATGTCTCGAATCGAGTCCGCCATCGATGGCGGCTTCGTTCGTGGTTCCGTTGCGGGCGCCTGAAATAGGGATGAAGATTTTGTTCGAGTGTTCTCGACGGTTCGAGACGGCACCGAGTACGCTCGATTTTCTTCGATCATGGAACGCTTTTCCAGTGTTGGTAGACGATGCATGTCGCGCTGCGATGGCGAGTAATGACACGAATCAAATCGCAAGCTGCAAAGTACTCGAAAAACGCATCTCCGTCGCCGCTCACAAGGCGTGGATTTTCGAATTGGCGACGAATATGCTCATCGCGGATTCTCCGTCGCGCAAAAACCAACGAAGTGAAGGCGAGGTTCCAACGTGGGTTGTGGATATCGTCGACGCTATGTTGGCGTTGCGTCGACGCGATCAGTACGAGCAAGACGCGATCGACGGTCGTGTACCTGCGCTCGATGCGGCGTTGACTCTCGGTGAATCCATCGACAACGTTTTGGTCTCTCGGACCATCTCTCGAATCTCGTCCGAGGTAAAGCGAACTATCGACGAGTTGGACTGCGAAAAGTATTTGAAACCAGGCGGAGGCTGTGAAAGAACTTCGAGTCGAGGCGATATCGTTACGGATGTTGGGAAACTCAAGCGCAAATTACTCGCGGAAGCCGTTGCGCGCGACGATGACGGATCCAACAGACAAGGGAGATCATCGCGAACGACGAATAGTCCAGGTGACGGACTTTCGGGAGTATCTTTAGCGCTCATCGACGAGAGCGATGCGTACGCTCAAAGCATCCCAAGACTCGTTTCGCGAAATCGAGAACGAGCTATATTAGCTGCAGCGGAAATTGCTATAGCGAAAAATCTAGAGATTGAAGACTCGAATGCGCGACGTCGCGCTTTTGAGGCGTGGGAGACGTGCGTCTCGACGGCTATTTGTCGCGCGTTGCCGTCGGCGGAGTTTGTGCAAGCTATGAACGGTACTTACGATCAACTCATAAACATCGAAGGCGGCAGTGGAGAAGACCAGATGACCGCGTTGCGAAGCCGTCCGAGAACCGATCGCGCGTTTCTCGCGTACGAAGTTTTGGATGGTTGCATGCGCCTTTTGAACGATTCGAACCGGGGCGGCGGCTCGGATTCTCCCAAATCTATCGCGTGCTGCGCGCTCGCTGCAAAGATCATGAAGAAATTGACGTACTTTGCGAAGGAGAAGCTTGAAGATGCCGCACCGCTATCGGTGTCCGCGTGTCGCACGACTTTGCGCGGTATCTTTGGATCCTTAACGCATAGATTTCGCGTCAATGCGGCTTCGAGGATGCGGTTGATCGATTGCTTGAGAGAATACTTGGAATACTGCAGAAGGATTCGCGAGGACCCGAGGTCTTCGAGCTTCCTAGAGAGCAAGAAAGCACGAAAAAGCTCCGAGTTTCAAAACGGAACAATGGGTTATCCAGACTCCGTACTTCTCGATGGCGACGTGGAGAAGGCAAACGCGGATATAATTCGTCGCGAAGCCGGTTTGATTTTGGAACAACTCTCCAGAGACGTTTCTCACGGCAGCGAAGAGGCTCGAGCGGCAGCGGCTGATGCTTTGGAAGCTATACTCACGGCGGTTTGCGTCACGACGACGACGACGACGACGTCGTCAAGTAGTGAACCGTCCTCTTCGAATTTTGGTTTCGCGAGCAGTGCGAACGTTTCCACGTCTTCTTCGACAAACTTGGAAAGGGAGTACGTGCGACTCGGGATATTCTCTCGAGCGTGCGATATCATTGCCAGTTCGAAGATGTCCGAACTCGCGCTCGAAACGAGTTACGCGGAAAGTCGCTTTAAAACGACGCTGAGTTCAATTAAATTACTCTTGACTGCATCTATCGCGTGTCCAAACGCAATTGCGTTCAATGAACCAAACAATAACATCCTTGGCGCGTTTGATGCCTTGATACATTGCGATACTTTGGACGCTTACGCAGACGTGAACGGAGCGGCGTGCGCGGAGTCGAGCGCGAAAGCCGGTACGCCGATTGCGCCCTTACCGCTCTCGAGAAGACGGCATCACGAAATTTTCGTCAACGCGTTGAGAGTGATTCATTCTTTGTTGAAGTCTGCGCAAGTTGAAGACGATGAAGACGTCAAGAATGCTAAATACGACATCCTCGCCGGCGAAAATATTGACGGAAAGAATCAAACGTACGAGCAAAAGCAAAGGAAGCGGGAAGAATTTTTCAAGCACGTTCAGCAGAGAAGAGAAGCGGTGTACGCCGCCGTGGTCCAAAAGACTGAACAGTTCATCGATAGACACAGAGACGTTATCGCGCGAGCACTCGCCGATCGCGCGTTGGTGCCTCACGTGGCTGATTTGAGCGAGCTCGAGGCATCTTTGTGCGTCGTCTCTTCGCTCTTGAAGATTTCTCCGAACGATTCGCCCAAATTGCGAGAGACGCTCGATCACGTGACGGTTCGATTTTGCGGACCAGAGTCGCCGATGGATAAGTATTTGAAGTATTGCAGAGATGCAGAAACAAGAGAATTGACTGGGAAAGGGAACCGTATTTATGATGATGATGATGATGATAAAGAGGACGATTACAATAACAACATCAACGAACAGGATTATTACGGCGTTCGCGAGGCGCGAAGGCAAGAAAAGATTGCGATGCATGCAAAGCAAACGCGAATCATTCGCGAATCTGCAGAAAATCTTTTGCGAGGTTCGCGCATTGTTCGCTCGACGACGTGTAAAGCGCAGCGAGATTTACTCGTACGCAATAAACGTCCGTCGTTACAAGTGTCCTCGATAACTTCTTCTTCGATGAACGCCGGCGCCGCGCCAACGTTGTCGATGTTTGCGAGCTTAGCTTCGGATGTTGGAAGAGAGTTACTCGTCGAGCTTCGCGCGAGGGACGAGATTATTAGAGAAGCGAAACGTGCCGATGGCATTTACGAAGAAGAAGAAGAAGACGGAGATGAGAATAATAATGAAGAAGACGATGGAGAAGATGCGTTGTACGATGAAAACGAAAACATCCACGGCGCGCTTCTGGAAAAGAATTCTTTCGTACCTTCCGACGCCGAAACACGATCGGTTCTGGCTACAAAAGACGGTGCGATTGCAATCCTCCTCGAAACTTTCGAGGCGAGTCTAGAAATCGTTCTCTTACACGCTAAAGCGAGCCGATTGGAGGATTCGAGCGCGTCTTCCGCCTTTGCTCGAGAAAAGAAGGACGCGAACTTCCTCTCGACGAGTCGTCGCCACCACAACGTTCTAAACAACGTCCTCGTGCGCGAATCGCACGAATACGTCCGCACGTCCGCTTTTAGCCGCCACGACATCGAACAGCTCTCCCATCTCTCCTCCGCTGCGTTAACTTCTATCGACAAAGCCACCAAGAGAAGGCGCAAGTACATCTTCTCTTCCAACGCTCGCTCGTTTCTTCGCGCGAAACGACTCGCCGAAAACGTCAAAGTCGTCTTATCCGTAACCAGCGAAATGAGGTCCATTTTGCAGCAACAACAAAATCAACAATACCAAAGAGGTGTTCTCGGTGGTAGCACGAATACCACGCGCACGTGGTAGAGTATATAATAAACTATTGATAGATAACTCAAACCACATACTGGTACTTTCCTGTTATTTTTCGCTTGCAAAAAATCCATCCTTCGGAAGATTTTTTTTTTGAAGTTTTGAGAGTTGATTAATTAATTAATCAATCAACCTCGCGCGAATATCATCGTGCGTCACTTTTGTTCCCTCCAACGCGCCGATAACAAAACGTCGCGTTCGTTTGCTCGGCACGAAAGTAACGATGTCAAAGAAAACTGGCGTTGGTACGTTGAAATCAATTTCGCATCGGTCTTTGTTTGCACATTTCGCGTCATCTCGTATTCCCTTTTTCGTTCGCTTTTTACCTTTTTCTCGACGATTTGTAACTGACGAGGACTAAAAATCCGAACGATCACTCACGTCATCCTCTTTCTCTCTTCCGTCTCTGTCTCTTTCGCGCGACTCCAAAATGAAATAAAAAACAGTCAAATGGTTCAACGCGAGTAAAGGGTTCGGGTTTATCATCCCGGACGACGGGAGCGAGGAAATCTTCGTCCACCAGTCGCACTTGAAAGCGGAAGGATTTCGCAGTTTACGAGAGGTACGAGATACGCTTTTTGGCTTCTTCCCCGAAAAAAGGGCGGGCGTTTTTTTTTCCACGCGCTTTCCCTCTTCAAAGGTCCACGTGGAAAACAGGAGGAGGACTTTTTCCTTTTCCTCATTCCTTGTCTCGTTCTTTGTCCATCAGCAATTAGTATTCTCCTCGCGAACGGAGGGGAAAGGACGGGAGGAAACCCCCAAGAAGAGTCGTTTTATTGTTTGCTGCGGTGGCATTTTTCTTTTTTTGAGATACGAGGCACTGACACACTTTGGCGCTCCTCAAACGAATACAACTATACAGAGCGAAAAGGTAGAATACGACGTGGACGCGACCGAAGGCGAAAAGACGAAAGCAATCAACGTGACTGGACCAGACGGGTCGAACGTGTTAGGTTCAAAACGGCTGTATCGCAAGCATAAAGGAGGAGGGAGTGGAGGGCCGGACGGCGAGGAGGCTCCGGGAGAACCGGAAGCGCATTGACGCGACGATACCGCAATAGCTACTATATATAAAAGGACGACAAGAACAACAACAACAACAACAACAACGAAGGAACTCCGAGAATAATGCATATATTCAAATAAGAGAAGAGGAGAGAAAGAACAGAGAGAGATTTAAATAGACGTCATCACCATGTACATCATCAAAGCGCGTGAGAGAAAATTTGCGCATATTAACTCACGCCTCAGTGTTGAAATTTAAAAATCCTTATAGTAAGAGTTGACATGAACGCACACAACAAAAGTACTCCTTTACACGCATTTACCACCATAATAATGTTCAATAATGAGTAACGACGACGATTCTTCCGTCGCTGCTTTGCAAAAGTGGAAAGAAACGTTCAAACGTGTCCGCCGCGTTTGCATCGATTCGTATCTTTCCCGAGGTGAATTGGAAAAAGTGAGAGAGGAGTACGAACGCGTTCGAGAGAGACATCGTCGTCTTCAAATCCCGGGGTGTCATGTAGGAAGGGGCGAAGAAGACGACGAGCAATGGATCGTGCGCGAGAATGGATGCGTGCTCTCTTCCTTCGTGTGTGATTGCGCTTTTTACAACAACGACGAGAGAAGAAACAGTTGTTGGACAAATACGAGAAAGAAAGAGAAGGAGAAGGCGGAGGAGGAGGAGGAGAACGCGAAAAGAATCATCGCAAAAGCGGTCGCGCACGAGACGTGGAACCATCGAGAGTGCTCGAAATATACTCACTCGGGGAGCATTTTTGGGAAAGAAGTGAGCGAGTTGGCGATGACGGGGAAGATTGGACACGCGGCGGAGTTTCTGTTGAGAGCGATCGAGGAGGAGGAGGAGAAGGAAGAAGAAGAAGAAGAAGAAGAAGAAGAAGAAAGAGAAGAGAAGCGCTTGAAAGCGACGCGAAAACGAAGAAGGGTCGTTGGCGATGCGCGCAAAGAAAGCGATAGAGCGTACATGTTTAACGACCAGTACATCGTGAAACCACCGCACGTGCGCGGCGTGGAGTTTCCGTGGCACCGGGACGGGCAATACGAGACGTGGAAAACTCCCGAAACATCCGTCGCGTTGCCGTACCTTTCTGCGTGGGTGGCCTTAGACGACGTGAGCGAAGAGAATGGCGCGTTGAGGTTTAAGAAGAATGAAAAAGAAAGGTTCGGTCCCGATGTCGATGTTGCGTCGATTCGAGACGAAGAAGACGATACCATAGCGACCATGAACGCCGGCTCGGTTGTCTTTTTTATGAGCGACGTTTTACACGCGAGCGGGAAAAACATGTCGGAAGAGACGCGGCGCGCGTGGATGCCGCAATTTAGTTTAGGATTGCCGAAAGAACAGGAGGATAGCAGTAGAAATAGCGATAGCTTAAGATGTTTGCGGACAGCACTTTCTGATTTTTGATAAATACGGGTGTTGCTATGTACAATCATGCGATAAAAAAAGTTGACTGCACGCATTGTTCTCTACTCGCTCATAAGCGCTCGCCTGTACTATCTTCACGCCGCCGTATGCTGATGTGCAGCTCCAGCACCAGCAAGCTCAGCAGCGGCCAGTTTTGCCTTACTTCTTTGCCGCTCTTTTTTACCTTTCCGTTTAAATACTTGTGGGTGTTGTTGCTGCTGTTGCTGTTGCTGCGGAGGACCTTGAATCATCCCGATTTGTTGCATGACGTTCAAGGCGTTATTCGTCGTAGGCGCGACGATACGATGGTCGTAAGCAGCGTTTGCTTGTTGGTGATGATGACGATTATGATCTTGTGCGGGTGATGGAGGGAGACTGACTGCGTTTTGAAATATCACGTGCAATGGATCTGCGACCGAGTTGTTGTTATTGTTGTTGTAGTTATTCGACGACGGTTCTCCTCCTTGCATCATCGTCGGCTCTTTCCGAACGATGTTCTTTTTCGAATTACGCTTCTTCTTTGGCGGTGAATCCGATCGCTGCTTTTCGTCGTCTCCGTCGTCGTCCCCCCCGGCGTTCTTTTTATTCTTGTTCGGCTTTTTCTGATGCTGAGCCGGCGGGGGAATGCTCATCGTTGGCAACGGCGGAGGAATGCTCATCGGCGCGCGCGGTAGAACCCCAGTAGTATCATTGTTGTTCGGATCCTTCTTCTTGATGTTCTTGATGTTCTTGTTGTTCTCTTTCTTCGTTTTTGCATTCTTTTGTACTCCAACATCTTCTCTCGTCAAAGTCGTCGCCGCGGTTTTCTTGTTCTTCTTATTTTCAGCGTTATTCTTATTCTTACTTTTATTCTTCGCGTTCTTCGGTACAACCTCTTCAAACATCATCGCCTCTTCCTTTTCCTTCCTTTTCTTCTCTTCCAACGCGATCCGTTCTCTCGCCAATCGCTCTCTTTCCATTTCAATCTCCCTTTGTTTTTCCATCGCAATCTTCTCTAAAATCTCTTTCCGGATTTTTTCGTTCCTCTCGCTCGGAAGTTCGTCGTACTCGTCTGGATCTCTGTTCCCTTTCGCGGCTAAAGGCCAAAACGGTCTTGGACTCGCCTCGTCGCTATTATTGCTCGGTCCGCAACCCACGAACGGGTGCGCTTTCACGTCCTCGTCGTCGTCGTGGTAATCTAAATCTACAACAACAACGGTCACGTCGTCTCGATTATCAAACTTGGCTTTTTGCGACAACTTCACCAACGCCGCGGCCGCGTTTTGACAGTTCATCTTCCTCGTCTCCGCACTGACCATCTTTGGCGTCGCCGCATCCCACAAGCCATCGCTCGCGACGACAATCCTACACGCCATGACCCCTCCCGAAGAAGAATTCGCTCCTCTTTCCAACAAAACTCTGCTCACGTCCGGAGTCGCGATGACCCCGCCTTTCTTCCCGTCCCGATCGCCGATACTTCTGGAAACCGCTAACCCGCCCGGCCAAACTCTCAGCGGCCCAACTCCTCGTCTCTCCCCATTTGGTCCATCCTCAAACTCCGTCGGTCGCACTTCACCGCCGCTCTCTACAATCCGCTTCCTCTCTCCGTCCGAACAATCCAACCGGTGTTCGTTGCTCAATCTCGACGTCCCTTTCCTATTCGGCACGTCCAAAGTTGCCAACGAATCTCCAACCGCCGCCGTCGTCACGTTCCTCCCGTTCACGATAACGACCGTCGCCGTGCACCCGGAGTGTATGTCTTTCCGTAAAAATTTTTCGTCTAGATTTTCAAACGCCAACTTCAACGCCTGCGGGAGAAGATACTCGAACACGTCTTCCGGATTCTGTTGTCAAACACACACACACACACACACAGAGAGAGAGAGAGAGAGAGTAAAGAGGTCAGTCACAAAACCGCGCGGATGAAACGACAAAGTCATATGGGAGAAAGAGAGAGAAAAGGAGAGATTTTATAAAGACGACTTACCTCGTTCTGCTCCACCACCTTCTGCTTCTCCTCTTTCTTCAGCTCCGCTTCTAAACTGTTCAGCGCTTTCAAGAGCGACGATAACGTTTCTTTCGCGCAAAAATCCGCGCACTCTTTACCACCGTGGCCGTCGAATACAGACAGGAAGAAAAATTCGCACGAGCTGAGGTCTTCCATTCTCGTTTCGTCTTCCTTCGCATCGTTTTGATTCATCCGATGACGACGACGGTTGAGAATGCTTTTGGAAACCCATCGCGCGTTCGGTGCGCAAAACTCAAAGTCTTCACCTTTTTGAATCTTTCTGGACTTGGCGAAACGGACGTGTGGGTAGTTTCTCAACGAATAATGGTCGTCCGAGGGGGGGCGCTGTCTGTGCGACGCCATTTTTTGTTTATTACTTCGCGCGCGAGCGCTTATTTGTGTCGCAAAAGGAGATTGAGGAGAGATCGGTGTTTAAGTTCGTGTTCGCCGCGCTCGCGACATTTTTAGTTATATATACATACATAATACAGCTCTCGCACATCTCTCTCTCTCTCTTTCTTTCTACTGCATATCGCTCACATCTTCCACGTCGACGTCGCAGGATAATTCGTCCTCCAACTTTTCCATCTCTCTCGTAAACTTCTCCTCCTCGAACGAGCCTTCGATGAGTCTCACCGTCGTCTCGCAAAAGTACATCTCGTCGCCGCCTACGCCTGCACCTAGATTAGTATTGTTGCTGTTATTATTATTATTATTATTATTATTACTAAAAGGCGACGATTTCGTGTCCATCCTCAACGTTTCGATGTTTAAACCGCAGTTGGATAAAGTCTCCGTGATTCGCGCGGTTATGCCCGGAAAATTCGTCGCTCGGATGATTAACTTCTTGTACCCTCGCGCTCTCGATTGCTCCTCGTTCTGCCTCGTTTCCGGAGGTACCTCGCGAACGTCGAAGGTAAAATTATCGATTCTCGTATCCAAGGCGTCTTGTAACCGCTTCTTCGTCTCGCACTCGGTTCCCGCGGATGTCGTCGCCTCTCCTTCCTCTTCTTCCTCCTCTTCTTCTAAAACACTGCTTCTGATTTTATGGTGATCCGCGTGCGTTTTCACGTTCGTTCGTTTCCTCGGTTGTTTCCGCGTTCTGTTTACAAAGAAGGACACCAATGCGGTGATTGTAAAATCCGGACCGAGTCTCGCCAATCGACTGCTCTCCACGTCCGCGCGGATGTTCAGCATCGCGCGGGAGAATTGTCCGTAAATTCCCGGTCGGTCCAAACCGTATCCGGTGACCACGAACGAGCGTTTGTTGTTCGTGTTGTTGTTCGAGGAGGAGGAAAAGGAGGAGAAGGAGAGCGGAAAATTGAACGCGACGTCCTTCTTCATCTCCTTCGTCTTCGTCTTTGTCTTCTTCATCAAACTCTCGGAGGGAAAAAGAGGGATTGGAATAATCGATTCGTCCGCTCCAATTCGCCGCCGGGGTGGTCGTAACGGTGACGACGATGATGATTCGAGAGGAGGAAACGAAGACGAAGAAGAAACGAAGAAACCGCGCGAGAACAACAACGCCGAGAAAGAAGAACAACGAGACAAAGCAGTCGCCGAAGAAGCTCTCATCGTCCTCGTCGTCATCTCTTTATACTAATCGGTCTCTTCTTGTTGCGCGTCGTTGCATTTTCGTCCAGAGAGAGATTTTTGGCGGTTTTTTTTTGTTTAGGGTCTTCAACCCTAATACGTGTGCATGTCTTTCGTTCCTTTCTTTTTCTCTATCTTTCTTGTCAGATGTTATATAAAGGAGTGCGCGTACAGCAGTCACGCAAAGGGAGAGGGTTTTCAGAGAGAAACCGACACACACACACACACAGAGAGAGAGAGAGGTGTGTGTGTGTGTGTGTTTGTGAGAAAATAAGATGAGCGTTTTCGTCGCTTCTTTTTCTTCTCCTTCGCGGTGGTGTTCTCTGTTAAAAGGATCGACATCATCATCAAAATCATCATCTTCATCGTCCGGAAGAAGAAACGAACGAGGCGCGACGATCCAAAAGCGAGGAGGCGCAAAAACGTCCGCATCGTCTCTTTCCTCTGAGAACCACTCGCGAGGAAAACCGAACAAATCTGAACCGTATAAGTTCATGGGGCGGACGGTCAAAGAGAAGCACGTGTTTGATTCTCAAATGGCGAACGAATTAGCCTTGGAAGTCGTCAGCGAGGAAACCGGAGTGGAGAAAGAAGAGTTAAAGAAGACGTTGCAAAATTTGCAAAGTTTGTTGCCGGAACTCTCATCGTCGTCTTTATCGAGTAACGCGGACGCGTATCGAGCGTCGCTGGATATAAAATTGGTCGCCAGAAACGCGATTCAGATTAAATCCGTGTTTCGAGAGTTGCGGTCGAACGTGTCTGAGATGATCGCGAAGGATTTACGGTTGGCGTTGGATCCGAGAGCGAGCGAAAGGTGCGAAAAGGCGTTGGAGGTTTTGACCGGTAGAGGCGAGATGACGAGAGAAGAGGCGGAAAACTTGGTATTTGCGACGCACAGGTATTGCGCGGATAAGAAGAAAATGCTGGCGTTCTGCGAGGAGGAGACGGTGTTGGAGGTGTGCGAGAACGTGAGGAGAATACGTTCGGCGGTTGGTGGAGAGGCGTTCTTAGCGCACAAAGTGTGCGAAAAAGGTGACGCGGCGGCAAATATGCTCTTTGAATCCGAGAAAAACGAAGCGGCGTGCAATGCAGCGAAAGCTTTGGTCGAGAGAATGCCGAAAGATTGCAACGTGGCGTTGATGGTGTCGGACTTTCCGAATTTGTTACTCATGGATATCGATCGGTTGTTTTCCGATTTGACGAACGCGTTCAAATCGACGCCGCCGGAAGAGACGTTGCGAAGAGATCCTAGCGTTTCATTCAGGGTGCGTTCGTTTAATAATTCGTACGAGGATGATGGATTTTCTGAAGACGATCGCATCTGATTCTTCGTTTTCGTTGTCGTCGTTGTCGTCGATTCGCGTTCGGCAACTACTTGTGGTCTCAAAACTAATTTCTCTCTCCCTCACTCTCTCTCTCTCTCTCTGCTCTACTCTCTTCTTCTTCATGATGGATGCGTATAAAAAGTTTGAGAAGAACTCGAATCGCTTTCGGAATCTGCGCTGACGAAGAAATACAATCATCTCTTTCATTCTTAATATATACGCGTTATATATATAGTTTGAAAATAACAGCGCAAAGTCCCAAGCACTCGGGCCGGCGGCGAATACAATGCAAGCCGAGGAAGACAATTTTGGGCTGATGCGCGAGATGCCGAACAGTCGCCGCGATATCTTGGCTGGCGCGTTCGCGGCGTTTCTTTTTGGCGGCAACTTATCGCTCACAACACCGCAACAGTTTGCGTACGCGTATTCCGAGGAATACGAAAAAGACACCTTAGATTTGCTCGCAAAGACCAAGGCGTTTATCGCCAAGCAAAACTATTACGAGGACGTGTACGAGTCGTACGCGAAGTGGAACACGAAATACAGCGTTCCTGGCGCGGTGGATACGAAGAGATTTGGCAAGAGTTTTCTTTTAACGACAAAGATTTTCAGCTTGGTGAAAGGCGGAAACATCGAGGGCTTGGAACAAAAAGCGAACGAGTGGGTGAACGTCGCCTCCGCCTTAACCGACGGAACGTTAAGCGGCAAAGAGGCGAGAGATACCTATGGAAATTTGGTCTGGGCAAATAACGATAAGTCTGATCCGAAGAACAGAATCGGTCTGTGCGCGTTTGGCGAAACCGCGGGAACGAAGTTCTTCAATATTAACTGCGATGGATTTTAGTTCGTTTGTATGTAATGTTGTACAAATAGTATTCAAAATGAAAAACGTCCGCTATCGCGAATCTGGCACCACTGCATCTCTCGGTCGAACGACTTGTCCAAACAAACCGGCGACTTCCGGTATGTTAAGCCCGCCCAAATCATCCTGCGCTCGACTCGCCAATCGCGCGCTCAATTTGCTCGCAAACTTTGAGGACATGTTTTGAATACCCGGCGCGGCTTCTGGAATCAAACTCATCAACGCCTCGATTTCGTTCGGCGCGAGCATTCTTAAATTGTTGATCTCCGCCTGCGGTAACTGTCTCGTCTCGGCGGCTCTTTCGATTGCTTTACCGAGAGACGGGACGCCAAATAACTCTAAAATAGATCTCAACAACGCCAAATTTCTCTTATCGTCCATCGTGAGCGTGATTTTTTCTTGATTATTCGCCGCTAAAACGGAGAGAAGGAACGGCAAGTTTAAGCCGGGGATTAAAATCGCTCCCGATAACAAGGACGAGGCGGCGATGACTGGCGATAACGTCGCCAACGCTCTCCACGTAGCCGTCGCGGATTGCCTCGATAACGAATCGGCAGCGCGAACGGCTTCGTCTACGACTAATTCTTGCAAATAGTTTCCATTCTCGTTGAACAAAAGTCTGACGACGTCTTTCGTCGCCGGGTCGATGTTCGCGCCAGTCATCGAGGCGTTCATTTCCGCGGTGCCCATGCTATTGGTAAACTGCGAAAACCCGGACGAAATCGAACGAACTCTCGAAACCCGTAATCGGTCTGATCCCCCGTAAATGAACGATTTCAACGCTTTCCTCATTCTCGGTGAATCGTCCGATAATAATCGCCTAGCAATGTACGGAAAACACTGATCGACGATGGCGTAGTTCTCATCCGTGCTCAATCCTAAACCTTCGAGCGTCCCGAACGCTCTCAAAATCAGAACGAAATACGGGGGCAGCTGCAGCGGGTACTCTTTCGATAAAGCCTCTAACTTGTTCGATAACTCGCCGACTCTCGAGCTTTGCTGCTCTTGTAATGACGCGATTTTCGTCGTCGCGCCGCCTCCCGATCCGTATAAAGTTTCCAGCATCTCCGCGAGAACCGGGACGACGATGTTTTTGTTCTCCTCGGAATCCGCCAACGCTCGCGGGATGAAGCCTAAATTTACCAAATCATCGAGCGTTTTTGAGTACTCTTTCGCGGACAAGTGCGCTATGTACTCTACGAACGCAATGCGTTGTTCTTCGCCGATTTCTGTCATCATCCCGTAATCGAGAATGGCCAATCTTCCGTCTTCCATCAACATGAAGTTTCCGGGGTGCGGATCCGCGTGGAGAAAACCGGTTTCCAAGAACTGCACCATGTACGAGTTGAGCAAAGTTTCGACGAGTTTTTTTCGAACAGCTAACGACTTTTCCGAGTTATCCATTGCAATTTCCGTCAATTTCTGCCCTACCACCCACTCTTGACAGATTACTTGTCTATCGCTAATTTCGCGGAAGACGTGCGGGACTTTAATCGCGCCTCGAACGACGGAGATTGAGTTCATATCCTTTTCAAATCGAGACGCGTTTCGTCCTTCAATTTCGTAATCTAATTCTTCCAAAAACCGCTCCGCGGCGACGTCGAGAACTGGGATGAATCCCTCGCACCCGTTGACTAAATCAAAAGTTTGTTCCGTTTTCGGGATTGAGGAGAAAATGTCCAGGAAGGATCGAATGACGAACAAATCAATGCTCACGGCTTCTAATATGTCCGGTCGTTGCACTTTAACCGCCACAGTTCGTCCGTATTCCTCGGTTTCCTCTCCTGATTTTTTCAACGCGCCTTTTTTCAGCGTCGCTTTATACACTTGCCCAATGCTCGCCGCGGCGACGGGTTTATCGAAGCACGAGACATCCTCGAAAACGTCTTCCAACCGAACGTTTTCGCCAATCGTCTTCTGAATCAATTTTCTCGCATCTTCCGAAGGAAACGCTTCCACTTGATCTAACAACGTCTGGAATTCTTCCAAATACGCCGGCGGCAACAAATCTGGTCGAATCGCCACCGCTTGGCCAACCTTGACGAACGCCGCGCCTTGCCTCGCGATCAACTCTTTCAACGCTTTCGCCCGAATAGGCGCGTTCTGTTCCACCGTATTCGACGTCACGTCCCCAACCAACGCAGTCGCCCACGTCAACACTTCCGTCAACAACCCCGCCGACCGTTTCATCACCGCAATCGGCCGTCTCGCCCAATATTTTGCAATCTTCTCGCTGTCGTACGCTTTCGGCAAATCGTCTTCGTCCAACGCCCCTCGCTTAAACACCCACCGCGCGACGGCGACGGAGAACGATCCCGACGCGAACGCGGCAAACGCGCCGGCTAAAACTGGGTGCCTCTCTGCGATTGTTTCCATCGAATGCATCATCAAAGGGTCCAGGGATTGTTCAAAATTTTCCAAAGCTTTTACCGCGGAGGCGAGTTGATTGTGAACAAAAATCGACGTGTCCTCGACCGAAGACGAAGGAATCGTCAAGTTCTTCTCCGTGACGCCGCTCATCTCCGCGACTTTCCCAGAGATGCGTTCAATCGTTTCTCTGATTCCACCTTTCACTTTTTCCACGTCAAAATCATCGATATTCATCGTCCCGTTCGTCGTCGTCATCGCTTTTCGCGACTTTGACATCTTTTCGTTGCGACGTCGACAGCCAGAACGACTAATCATCTTTTCCCGCATCATCGTCGAGAGGTTGCCGACGCTTTGTTTTTGCGTCGCCGTCATCACGGAAGAAGTAGAAGAAGACAAAGAAGAAGAAGATAACATCGCACCGTATTCGTTCGGAGTATTCTTATCTTGGGAACAGACAGAGTTCTGTGCCTTGAACAGTTTTTGTGTCGTACTCTCCTTATATCTCTCGAATCTCTTTCTCGTGCGCTTTTTTTAATGACTTTTTGTGGTCAGACGAGTGCGGTTGCTCTTTTTTTTTGTTTTTTTGTTTTTTTTTGGCGGGAGGGAATCAAGCAGTCAATTAAAATCCTTTTTTATTAAATTCTTTGGAGAACAAAAAAAGACAGACCTTTCTCTTTCTCATCAGACGAGACAAAAAGACATTACCTACTTGATGAATTGAAGCGTATAAATGCGCATAAATAATGTCTCTTCTCTGTTAAAACGAACGCCGAGAGATGAAGGTGCTCGCTTTTCATCTTCATCTTTTTTGTCCTCCTTTCGAAGTTTTGGCGTCGTCGCTTCTTTAGCGGGGCGAAATTGGTCCTCTTCTTCCCGTGGGAAAATTAATGGTGGCGCTGCGAAGTCTTGGAGAACGAGCGATGGAAGAAGAACGACCGCCGCGAGGAGTGCTGCTTCGAGTTCTTCTCACTCGACGAACGCGTCGTCGTCGTTCACATCGTCGTCGTCGTCACAGTCGTCGTGGCTTTTACCGATCGTTGGAACAGTCGGGTTAACCTTTGGATGCGTGACGCTCGGCATGGAGTATCAAAAAAGGACCGAGAAAGCATCGAGAGAAGCCTTGGGAGGAGGAGGAGGAGAGACGCCAATCGAGGCCGCGCCGACATCGACGACGACGACACCGGCGAAAAATAAAGAAAAGAAGAAAGAGAAGAAAGAAGGCAGCTCTTCGTCGTCCTCGAACGGAGGGGTGAAATCCGAAGCTGATTTATTGTTTAATTTACACAACAAAGCGAGAACCGTGTTCGTAACCGGGACCATAGACGACCGGTTATCGCACCGAGTGGTGGCGCAGCTCGTGCATTTGAACAACGAGAATGCAAAGTTACCGATCGTGATGGTCATTAATTCAGGTGGGGGTGTCGTGACGAGCGGATACGCGATATTAGATACCATGAAAGCGCTGGATGCGCCGGTAGTAACGTACGCGGTTGGGCACGCGGAGTCGATGGCGGCGATACTGCTAGCGGCTGGGGAAAAAGGAAGAAGATTTTGTGCCCCAAACGCTCGGATTATGATTCATCAGCCGCATCATTCGATGAGCGGAATGACGAGTGACATATTAATTAAAGCGACAAAAGCGGAGGAGACGAGAAATGCTTTGACCATGTCGTTGGTGGAGACGACGGGGCGCACGTTCGAGGAGGTAGAGAAGGCTTTAGATAGGAACACGTATCTGTTCGCGGAGAGCGCGAAACAGTTCGGCATCGTAGATCGAGTGTGCGTGAATTGGAAAGATTTGACGACTGAGGAAGAGAAGGAAGCGACAACAGTTAAAAAAAACGGAGAAGAAGAGAAAGAGAAGAGTGTAGCAACCGTTACTTCCTCGCGCGTGAGCGGAGGGAGAGGAATAGGACAACAACAAGAACAACAAAAGAAAGTAGACGAGACGAAGAAGAAGACAGACGCGACGACGACGGAGACAAAAAATAAATAGAAATTGTTATAGTGAATAGGGGTGTTTTTAACTATGTATTACCTACTGTAGGTACACGGGCTACTTACTACTTAGTATGCATCGCCATCCATTGCTCTTTGGACATTTCGCGCAACATCCCGCTCGAACACTCTCTTCCGATGGTGGAGAAATTTCCATTATAAGCGTGTCCTGGATACACGACGCAATTCTTATCTAATAATTGTCTACACTTCTTCATGCTCTCGTACATTTTCTCCGCGCTCCCATCTGGCATGTCCAACCTACCGCACGACCCGGGAAATATCGTGTCTCCGCTCAACACGATTCCTTGACCTTTCCCCGTCCCGGACGCCACGTCCCCGCTAAATACCAAAACTGCACTTCCCGGAGAATGACCCGGCGTGTGCATCCACCGCATCTTCTTCCTCCCAATCATCTGCGTTGAGTTATCTGCGTACATCTGCACCCTCGTATCTTTAATCGTCGGATTATCGCTCAGAATCCTTTCGGCGTCGTGGACCGGCACGTGCGCCAAAAAGTTCGCCTCCTTCTCAAACTTTTCCAATATCGTCGCTAATCCGGGTACTTTAATCCCCAACGCGTTGAACGGGCTCGGCGGCGTCCCGCCAACGTGATCGAAGTGATAATGCGTCGCCACAGCCCCGATGAGTTTCATCTTCTCGTTCTCTACGTACTCTACGATGCCTTCTACGTCCCAGCACGCGTCCACCACCACGCACTCTCTCGTCTTCGCGTCGCCGACTAAATATATAAAGTTCTGCATCTGTTTCGCCGCTTGAAACACTTGCATCTCCACCATCGCGCTCATCTTCCCGCTCGCTTTCACGCACACGTCTTTCCCCGGCGTTAACTGTCGAAAGTAAAACCCGTTCTCCGACAACGCCTCTTCCACCAGCTCTATGCGTTCCAGCAAACGGTGCAACGTCGCTTTCTCGTTCGTTTTCGTCCTCGCGATTTCGTATTGCACCTTCGCCTCCACGAACGATTTCTCCTCGAACAAACACTCCGCGAGGCGAAAATAACCTTTCTCCCACTCTGGTCTCAGGTGAATCGCGTTTTTCGCGCGGAGCTTTGCCATCGGCATTTTCGCGAGTTTCAACTCCACGAGGGAAAGATTCGATTCGATGGCACCTTTCTCCGCGTTCGTATTCGCGAACGCTAACGCGCACTGGTACTTTTCCAAGGCTAAGGAGAGGTTGTGAGACGCGAGCGCCGCCGCGCCTTCGGCTTTGAGCGCGTCCATCTTTTTTTCTTATTTAAGTGTAAGTGCGTGGGAACAATGAAGAGACAGGGTGAGTTTAATTGAAACGCTTTTCCTTCCGATACAATATACAACTACGCGCTCTACTACGTACGCGCGATCTAAAAATGCTGGCTTATATTTCCTAAAACAACTGTTATATCATCATTTCTTCTTCTTGTTGGAGCTGCGAGTGGTCACCGCCGACGCCAATGTGAGCTTTTTCGGGCTCTTTTGTTGAAACGATTTCTTCGTCGGCGGCGGCGTCTTCTTCTTCTTCTTCTTCTCGGCGGTTGGAGAAGAGGAGGCGTTGGCCGCTTTCTTTTTCGTCTGGTGGTTCTTTTTTGATTTGATGACAAGTGTTGTTATGACTTGTTTCATCTTTTTCTGTTTCTTGCGCTCCGCTTTGTCTTTCTTCGCTTGCATCTTCTCTCGCTTGGTCTTCTTGAACTCGCTTCGTTTGAACTTGTTTAAGTTATCGTTGACGCTATTTTTTGCGTTAGCGAGAAAGCTGTGTTCGGCGGACCAAGGACCGGTTCTATGCGACGTGATGGCACCTTTCCGTGAATGCATGCCCCCAGACTCTTCCCACATGCCGTTGAGCTCTGCTGCGGTTGGTTTTTTGTACGTGTTCGGTTTCGCTCGCTTCTCGCCTTTCAATCGAATCAACTCAGGTCCAGGGCGTTTGAAAGTGAACTTTTTGCCGCCTCGCATGACGTGCACGGTGTTAGCATTTTGCGGAGGTTTGAACGCGTTTGCTATTTCCTCTAAAAACTCTAACCCGTTCTTCGAAGACATGCTTCGTAAACACTTTTCGAACAACTGCTTCACTTCTTTGAACCGATACGCCGAGGCGGTGATGTTCCTGCTCCTTTCCTGCGGGTCTTCGCAAATGATAAACGGTCGAGGTCCAAACGGATTCGGCGCGACATCGACGGAACCGACCGAACAGGTTCCCGTCGGACGCGAGGCTGCAATAGCGGTGGTTTCGTAATCGTGAGTGACCCCAAACCGTCGGAAGAAACCTAAGAGCAAATCTCCCAACCCGTCCTTCTTATCGCGCATAGCCGGCGTGCATTGTTTCAAATGCGAAACGACCAAGGATATCAAAAGGTACCCACCGCACCCGCCCGTGGCGGCGTTGTTCAGCTTATGAATTTGTAACAATCGCTTTAAAACCAAAACGAGTGGTTTCAACGCGGGAAACTCGCCCACTTGTTCCCGGATCCACTGCGCAGCGGCTAATCCGTTGCTCACGCCAATCGCTAAATCGAGTTTGATGTGCGTCTTTGTCTCCGCGTGGTAGGCGTCTAATTTCGCAATCGGAACTTTTGCCGACGATATGATTTCTGCGCGTTTACACACGCCTTTATTTCGCAAAGTCTTCGCAATAGTCCGCAAATGCTGCACCAATAATTGCTTCTCGCTTCTCGTGAATCCACCGCCGCCACCTTTCACCGATTGCGGCCCGACGCCTAAAATGACTAAATCTACGTCCGCATCTTTCAGCGCCAAACCAGTGGCTCCGGAACCAAATCTGTGGACCTGTGCTTTTGAAAACGAGTATTTCTGTATAGTTTCTCGAACCGTTTGTTCTATCTCGTCCCTAGCCGACGTTTCGGCTTCGTTTTGAACGTTTTCCGAAGCGAATCGCTCGATGTCGTCGTGTAATGGGCATCTCCTGATCATCGCTTTTTGTTCTTCGCCGTTCCCGATTCCGCCGCCGAAAAACTTTGCAAACAACGCTTTCTGTCCATCCTTCCCATCCTCATCGTAATCCGACTCGGACTCCGAGCTGTCCGGATCGTTCGGATCGACTAATCCGAGTTTCCTCTTCTTTGGATTCAAATTCGAACCTTCCGCCGGCGATCGACCGTTGCTCAGAACCGAACTCGGCCGTTCGTCCAGCTCTTTCATTGATAAGGAAATTTCGTCCTCTTCCTCGTCGTCTGAGAAACCTCGCAAATTATATTCTAGGTTTACATCGTCAGAGGAGGAGGATATCGATACCGAAACGTCCGAGGAGAAGTCCTCCGACTCTTCCTCGTCCTCTTCCTCGTAGTCGTCGTCGTCTTCTTCATCTTCGTCTTCTTCCTCCTCCTCCTTCTTCTTCTCCTCCTCCTCCTCCTCGCTTTCTTCTTCCACTTCTGGCTTCCCTAAATCCAGCACTTTCTCCACCGCGTCCGTGTACCCGACGTAACTCGGCAGCTTCCCTAAATCCCCGCCCATTTGTTCGTACCATTCTCTCGCCTCGCAAAACTCCACGAAACTTTTACTCAGAGCGTTCGGAAACTTAAACGTCTGTTTCCTGCTCGTGTGCCAGGACGGGTATATCCCTGGGTTTCGTCCACGAACGACCGCGTAGAAGGTTGGTGGTTTCACCGAAGAAGGCGGCGGCGGTGGAGGTTTCCCGGGAGGTGGTTTCGGTGGTTTCGGGTGTTCGCCACGCGTCGGGGGTTGAGGATTCATTTCTCTCTTGGCCGCCAAAAGGAGTCGAGGAACGTTTCTCAAATCCAATTTTGCATCATCGTGTTTTTACTCCAAACAAAGAGAGAGAAAGAGAGAGGAACAAAGAGCGAGGAATACGATCGCGCCGAAATTTAACAATTGGGGCTTTTGTAAGCAGCGATACGACCCGCGTGTGTGCGTATATATCGCGCGCAGGCAAAATTTGCCCAAATTTTTGTGGAGAAGAAGAGAGAAGGAGGCAAAACTTTAGTATATATTTTTAGGCGCGTCGCTCTTATTACACGAGTTTTGTATCTCTCTCTCTGTTTCACTCTCTCTGTGTGAATGTATGTTTTATCACCACGAAGGTGTATGTAAAGTGCCATGTTCGTATCGCCAACCGTCTGGGAGAGGACAGTTATTGTCGAGGAGGTATTGTAAACACTCGGGGTGTTTGTACTTGTATGCTCCTCGTACAGAGTCCTCGTCCCAAGGCGCTTTCGCGGCTTCGTGCAAGTACTTCAAACAGTCTAAGTGGCCGTTCTGGGCTGCAACCTCACATGCCAATACGCTATATTGATCATACTTACGCTCAACAAGATATTCGAGTATGTGAAGATGACCATTTTGAGCCGCCCATTCGGCAGTATGCGAATCCCATGGCGCTTTCGCTTCTTCGCGTAAGTATTTGAGTACCTCGAGATGTCCGTATCGGGCAGCGCATTTACACGTCCACTCATCAACAGGACACTCATTCGCCACGCAATACTTTACCATTTCCAGATTACCTTTTTTTGCGGCCGTTCTAATCGTCCATCTATCCCAGTGGCCCCACTTACACTTTTTCTCCTCTCGCGCCCACTTGAGCAACTCGAGTTTATTCGTTAGAACAACTCGATTGCAGAAAGATATTCCCTTTTCCCAGTCACCCGGCCACAACGATTTATTCTCCCACGCAACTTCCAAAGTCGATATCGACGACATCTCGTTCACTTTAAACCCCTTCTTCAACTCCTCCTTGCGAGACGATCTCTTAATCAACTTTCTCGTTTCACTATTCACCTCGTACAAGAATTTCACATCAGTCCCATTCAATCTCGGCAAAATATGAGCGAAACAAATATCGTCGTTATTCACGATCACACTCCACAACAAAGAATCTCTCTCATCCCCTCTCCGTCTTTTCTGCCCTCCTTTCTGCGTCTTCATCGCTCCCGAACAAGACGGAAAAGAAGACGAAGAAGAGCGCATCATCATCTCTCTCTGCTTCGTATTCTTCTGAAGCACATTTTAGGGAAAAGACAGACTTCTCGAGAGAGAGAAAATCTCTCCAGAGACACACCACGACGCAGAGAACAGAAGCACTTCCCGTGCTCCTCTTTTGCTGCGAGAGGAAGAAAGAGAGAGAAGCGCGACCTTTTTGTGGTACCGCTGTTCTGCGTTTTCTCTCTCTTTAATTCGGCTGTATTGCCATTCTATCGCGAGAGAAGATATATAGAAACACAAATGCGCGCTTCTTTCGTCCAATCCTTCCACGTGGCAATGACGGTGCGCGAAAGATGGAGACGCGAAGGACGCGAGCTTCCAGGAACGCGAAGAACGAGCGGTGCTTTGACGAGGCGAACGAAGAAGGAAATTCTGCGCGCGGTGATGACGACGTCGTCGGATTCTTCTTCGTCGTCGTCGTCGTCGTCGTCGTCGGAAACACCACCGGTATCGATAAAAAATTCGGAGGAAGAAGTCCGGGAAAAGGTCCACGCGAGAGTTGCGAGAGCGAAGGCGAAAGCGATGGAACTGGCGAAGACGACGAAAAGGACGAGAGGAAACGACGACGAAAAACAGGATGAGGAAAAGGAGGACGAAGAGGAGAGAAAGGCGGTGAAGACGGCGTCGTCGAAGCGCGTGTTGGCGGCGGAGACTTTGCAGAAAAGTTTGGACCTTTTAGCGGCGAAAGGAGAGGAGGAGGACGAGGAGGAAGATGTGGACGCGAGGAGGAAAAGGAGCGCCGACGCCGTCGTCGCCGACGAAGAGTTTTCTCGGAGTCGTTCTGAGAGTTTTAGCAGTGATGATTCAACGTTTGAACGCGTTGCAGAGAGCGAGAAGGAGGAGGCGCAAAAAGTGTTGGTCGAAGCGCTCGAAGCGAAACTCGCCGAACGAGAGGAAAACGTGAACGCGTTAGAGAGGAAAGTTGAAGAGATGGAGATGGAATTTCGAAACGCGAGCGAGGCGTTGAGAGCGACGCAAAAAGAGCTCGAAGAGAAGGAGAGCAAAATGCAAGAAGAACGAGACGCTCGAGAAGAGAAAGAAGTCGAGGCGTTTCTCGCGCTCGAGAGAACGTTTCAGTTAGAGATGGGGAGTTTGAAGAAAGAGCTTGAAAGTTCGGAGAGAGACGCGGAGACGGCGCGAGCGGAACTGGAAGATATTAAGAGGAAATTAGAGATGGACATCGCGCGGGAAAAAAAGGTGAGCGAAGAGCTACGAAAGAAGGTGGAAGAATTGAAAGGAAGGCAGTCGGAAGACGCGTCCGGAGAAGTAGAGAAGAAAATTCGCGAAAACGCGCAATTGACGGCGGAAATCAACGTTTTGAAGGATAAAGTGGCTCACCTGACGGCATTAGAGTCGGAAGTGACGCGATTGAAAGAAAAGGAAACCTTGAATGCGTCTTTAGAGAATGAGATCGAAAAAATGCGCGTGGAAATAGCCAACAACAAACTCAACGATTCGGATGCGGTTATCGACGAAAACGAGTTATCCGCGCTCGTCGACGAAAACGCATCGTTGAAAGAGGAAATCGGAACGCTGAAATTGAAGGTGGAAAGTTTGCAAGAGTCGTTGAAAACAACCAAAGCGACGATCGACGTATTTCAAGCGACGACTGAGAGGTTTGATTTAGAAACGAGCGAACTCATGGACGAACGCGAAACGCTGGTAAAAAAAATCGTCGACTTGGAGCGCATGCTCCAGGAATCGATTGAGGAGCAGAAAGCGTTGCAACAGGCACTCGCGGACGAGCAAGAAGAGAATACGAAATTAGTACTAGCGCAAAAAGAAAAAGCATCAGCACCGGTACCGGTGGCATCGTCGTCGTCGTCGTCGTCGTCTTTATCTTCGACGACGGAAAGAGGTATCGTCATCAACCACCACGACGAAAACGAGTTGCGTCGCCAAGGCGTTCCGGTAGGGGAGGAATTAGACGCCTTAACGAAAGATGTCGGCGATCGCGCGTATATAAAGCTCTACGACCATCAAGCGGAAGCGTTAATGATAGAAGCCGTCCGAATAGTTGACGCTCGAAATACCGCTAAAGATTCCGTCAAAAAGTTTGACAACGCGTTTGAGAGCGTCCGAAACGTCTATGCGTGCACGTCGAGACCACTCGCCGGGGAGAAAGTAACCATTTTGTACAATCGAAAACAGTTACTTCCTAACAATAGCGCGGTTTCGGGCGAGGAGAAAGTCATGTTTGCGATGGTTGGATACAACGGTTGGAGTCTTCAGCATGCCATCAAAGTAGATTTACAGCCGATTGAAAACTTCCACTCACCCCCCAAAAATCACGATCAAGAAAAATGCGAGTGGTGGGAATTCGCGTTGGATGTACCGAGCGAAGCGATGGTGATTGATTTCGTCGTAGGTGATTCCAAAGGAAAATTCGATAACAACAATGGGAAAGATTACCACATCGAGGCAGCGGTAGAGACGGATGAAATCGTGGAAGATAACTCGAGAGAGGCGCAAATCGAGCGCGAGTATCATCTGATAGCCGAGAAGAGGAGAGAAAAAAATCATGAAGAGCTGGCGTTTGCGAGAAAATGCGCGGAAAGTGCGGTGAGAGCTAAGGCAGCTTTACTGGCGAAGAAGGCTATATCTTCCATTCGAGGCGAGTTTCGTGTCTTCACGGATCCTTTGCGGCCGAAAGCTGGCGAGCGGGTAACGATTAGGTATCGACCGGATGGGGGGCCGTTGACATTCGCTCGAGCCATTTACGTCGATATAAACTTTAATCGCACGCAAAATCATCCAGCTAAGATGGAAAAAGTGAACATGCGCGCGGGATTAAATGGTGGCGTTTTAGAAACAACCATAGACGTACCTCTCGATGCGCATGTCGTCGATTTTTCGTTCAGAGATAACGGAATTTTCGTGGACGACAACGAAGGCGCGGATTACCATTGCGACGTCATTGGCGCGTCAGGTATAGCACCGAAGTTACGAATTGCACACTTAGCGGTTGAAATGGCGCCAATTGCAAAAGTTGGCGGGCTGGGCGACGTTGTCACCGCTTTGTCGCGGTCTGTTCAAGAACAAGGGCACCACGTGGACGTGTACGTCCCGAAATATGATTGCATGAACTACAAAGAAATCGAAGGGTTGCGCAAAGTCGATCAGTTTCATTACGGCAACGACGTGATAAACATTTATCAAGGCTTCGTCGAAGGTGTGCGAGTGACGTTCATCGATCCAGAATGCGGGCACTTCCGAGTCGGGTGCATATACGGCCGAGGCGACGACCACGTTCGATTCGGGTACTTCTCGGACGCGTGTGTCGCGTACATGAAACGCGCCAACTGTTTCCCAGACGTCTTGCACGTTCACGATTGGCAGACTGCGCCGGCAATATGGAGTCCAGACAGACCCAAAACAACCGCCACGGCGTTAACTATCCATAACTTGCAGTTTGGTCAAGATCTCATTCGCCGCGCGATGATTGAGTGCACGTTTGCCACCACGGTCTCCCCTACCTACGCCGAAGAAATCAAGCACCACCCATCGATTAACGTCATTCCGGAAAACGAATCCACCAAGTTCAAGGGGATACGCAACGGTATCGATAATGACATCTGGGATCCATCGAATGACGAATTCTTACCGCTGCGATACGACTGGCAAACATGTAAAGAAGGTAAACGCGAAGCGAAACTCGAATTGCTTAAACGCATGCGCATGGACGCGACAGATTTTGAATCAAAACCTATCGTTGCCTGCGTCACGCGTTTAACCGAACAGAAAGGTGTTCACTTGATAAAAAAAGCATGTCGATACGCGCTCGAAAAAGGCGCCTACTTTGTCCTTCTCGGCTCCGCCCCGGACGATCGCATCGCGAACGATTTCGCCAACCTCGCCAACGAGATGAAATCCCAACACCCCGGTCGGTGCGGTTTCTTCTTCTCTTACGACGAACCGTTATCCCACCTCATCTACGCCGGTGCCGACATTTTCTGCGTCCCTTCCATATTCGAACCGTGCGGGTTGACGCAAATGATTGCCATGCGTTACGGTGCCGTGCCTTTGGTTCGCAGAACCGGCGGTTTACGAGACACCGTCTTTGACGTCCAACTCGACCCGGCTCGAGCCGCGTCTTACGGAAAATCCTGCAACGGCTACAACTTTGACGGCGAACATGAACAAGACATAGAATACGCGCTCAAACGCGCTTTGGGTGACTACTTCGACCGCGAAAAATGGAATCAAATGAACCTCCCGTCCGTCGGCATGCGCCAAGACTGGTCTTGGACCGCGCCGAGCGAACGATACATCGATCTCTACTGGAACGCCAGGAGGAAAGCGAATAGACAACAGTAATAAGAATAAACAAGCACGTAGAACAAATAGTGTGTTTTGGAGAGAAGAGTTGCTGAGCGCGCGTTGTAATACCACCACACCGAATGCATACCGCCGCGCTCTTCGAATCGCTTTTTGCTCGTATTTCAGTCATCAACTCTTTAAAGAAAAGGTGCCTTTCGAATCTCCACATATTCCCGCACTTTGCGCTGATACTACACACACACACACGAAGCATGCCGCTCATCTACGCCTTCGTCGCCGTCACCAAAGGCCCGACGAAAACTATTTTGGCGGAATACACCGCGTATTCCGGGAACTTTTCCACCATCGCCACGCAGGTACTTCTTCTTCTTCTTCTTCGAGATCTCCCACCGGCAACGGACACTTGTGGGGAACGAAGGACTGACAAAATGTATTCATTCTCTTTTCACTCAAACGTAACAGGCTTTAGATAAAGTCCCTCACACGGACGCTAAGTTCACGTACAACGCGGACCGACACACGTTCAACTACTTGGTGGACTCCGGTTTTACCTACCTCGTCGTCGCGGACGACGATTGCGGGAGGCAGATGCCTTTTCAGTTCTTGGAGAAGGTGAAAACAGTCTTCGCGCAAAAATTCGCCGGATCGATTAACGAGGGGAGCGTGAACGCGCACAGTTTGGACAGGACGTTTGGACCTACGCTGAAAAAAGAGATGGAAGAAACGATGGCGATGGAGCAGTTGAGTGGTGGCGGTGGTGATGGCGTTGGCGGCGCGCAGACCGGGAGTAATAAAGTCGCGTCCGTGCAGCAACAAGTCAGCGAGGTGAAGGAAATCATGATGGATAACATCGAGAAAGTTTTGGATCGAGGGGAGAAGATTGAGGTGTTGGTGGATAAGACGGAGGCGTTGAGGTTTCAGGCGGATAATTTCCACAAGCAAGGGAGGGCGTTGAGGAATCGCATGTGGTGGAATAATTTGAAGATGAAGTTGATATTGTTGGTCTTCGTTATCGGCGTCGGGATTATTATTTTTTGCGTGTTTTGTTTCGGAGGGGAGAAGAATTGCACGGCGAAGAAGAAGAGCAGCGGCCAAGAGACGGCGAGAAGATTGGCGAGAAGACTCTTGTTGGGTTTGGTTGTCGCCGGAGTTGGGGTGGGTGATGGAGTGGACGTGGAGATGGAGAATAACGGAGCGGGGGCGTTTCTCTTGGAAAATTAGAAGAAAACGCACTCAATCGCTTCTTTGTAAAAACACAATTTTTGTTATATATATAATACACATACACGGTACGTACCGAAAAGTGCGTGGAAACATACTCTCTTTACCCGTTCAACGGTTGAGGACTCGCCAACGGTTTCTTTTCCTGATACTTAAGCGCCTTCTCCAGTTTCTCGTGTCGCGCGAAATCGAACGCTCTCCTCGCCGCTTCGACAATGTTTGCGTGCCACATCTCGAATCGAAAGGCTAACCTCCCATCGCGCGTTTTGCAGCCCGCAGCCAATGGTTGACCGTCGACTATTTTGGATAAATTAAACTGCGCGATACCTAAATCGCAAATGTACTTTGAAAAGTCAATCTGCGCCTGCCAGAAGCAAAACGTGTACACGTTCTCGGTGTCAAAAACGGGCACTTTTGCTGCCGGTTCAGTTGAACCCGAGGACGAAGTTTTCTTCAATTGCGCGCTTTTGATTTGCTTGAGGTATTTCAAAATGAACTTTCGCCTTTCCGCGTGGCTTAAATCGTTCGGCATGTACTCTAAAAGATTCGTATCTTCAATCGCCGCGCCGGTGACGTCCGGTTCTTCACCTGGTTTTGAAACGCATATCGTTTGGGCGGCTAATATTAAAGGCGCGCGAATGAATGGTCGCGCATCGGATGGCGAGGATAAGATCATGGTATATTTCGCGCCAAACGATTGACACACTCTCGTGGCGAGTGCCAGTAACCATCGCGAAGGTAAATTAACCATCGGTCGAACCATAAATTGGCCAAACACCAAATCGTCAATTGGGACGGGTTCTTTGAATTTACCTTGAACACAGATTTGTATTTGTCTCGCTTTCCCGTTGAACACTTCTTCCGGCGTTGACGGAACGTTGCGTATGAAAAACACGCACTTGCCGCTAAAAAGTTCCGATTCAAAGTGAAACGGTCTTTGCAACGGCACGTCTCCGCTTTCTTTTTGTCGCTCGGAGACGGTATTTCCAACGAGTCGTTGGAACGTATTCAGAGGAGATAAACGTACACCAACGTCTCCATTTTGATTTTCTTTCCAAGACTTGACGTCATCTTCGCCCGGCGGTGGCGAAGCGTAGTCTTCTGGCATAGTTCGCATCTCCTCGCGCGCGCTGAGTTGCGGCTCGATGCTGCTTCGGCGCAATTTCGACGATAATCGTCGACTAACGTTACCGACGGAAATGACGCTCGACGTGCGCTCGAGAAGGCTTGGATTTGCCGAAGATGATGGCGACGTGACGTTGCCTCCGTATCTCCCTCCTTTAGCGACATTGTCGTCCAACCCCGTCATCTTTAAACTCGTCTCTTCGTTGCTCTTCTCCAAATCGGACGAATCCATAAACATATTCGACAACATTTCACCTCCATCTTGTAAGAACAAACTCACAATCGCCGCAAAGAGCGCAACAATCGCCGTCACTTCCAACGTCCTCGACACGATGATCGACAACACGCCAAATTTAAAAGTAGAATCCGTAGACGCCTCTCCGAAACCACCACTACTCGCGACTGCGCTCATATACATCTTCCTCTGATTAAACACCATCAGCAACACCCCAATCGCCAAAGCGACGACGGCAGACCGCGCCCAATGTAATTGAGTCCGAATAGCCATAATAATCCTTTCCGCTCTCTCCATATTCGCCGCCGTCTCTCGCGCTAAAAACCTCACTCCGCTCTTCGTATTTTCCGTTTGACTCGCCAAATTCTTCATCTCTTCCGTCATCTTCTCTAACTCTACGCTCAGTTGCACGAATCTTTGCGTGGATAAACCGCTATTCGTATCTCTCGCCAACAAATTATTGGAAGAGGAAAACTTTGTATTCTTCTCGTCCACGAAGTTATACCTATACAAGAAACTCCTATTCGCGAACCCGCCCTTGCGTTTCAAAGGCACAATCATGTTGAGCTTCACCATGTGGTTCCCTAACTCTACGCACTCCTTCAAGTTGCTTCGAATCTTATTCGCCAGCATCCATTGCACCGCCACTCTCCCGGTGAAGCAATTCCGATATTGTCTCAATTTTCTTCGGTGCGTCGAGCTGACGATTTGCGTGCTCATTCGTACCGTCAGCTGAAACAGTCTGGCGATTTCATCTCTCGAATCTCTTCTCGCGATGGCATCGACGTCGTCGTTGAGGACTTCTTCGTCCTCTTCCTCGGAGTCGGAGTCGGAATACTCCGAGAAATCCGATTTGTAGCCGTTGTTTGGCGTCTCGCGGGCGGTTTGGAAGATGGTGTGAGTGTGGTCGTTGGTGTCGTCTTTCGTGTTCTTGGTGGAATAATTTTCTTCCCCGGGAGTGGATATTTGGATTTGGCCTCGTCGATCGACGTGTTTACGAGACGGCGACGACGGCATTGTTTACGTCTGCCTTTGTGTGTGTGTGTGTGTGTGTGTGTGTGTATGTCAGCCTCTTTCTCTCTCCGCGTGAGCGTGTGAGAAGCAGAGAGAGAGAGAGAGAATATTTGAGGGAAAGAGGTCGTTGGGTTGACCTTTTAAGAAACGAAAGAAACGAAAGGTACCCTTACCTTACCAAAGGGAATGAACGCGTGGAAGTGATAACTAACGTGAAACTGGTGAAATGCACTCTCTATACATTCAAAATTGATAACACGCGGTGATTAATATAGTATATAAATATATAACGAGAATAAACGCCTCTCTTTCGCTCTCTTTATTTCTCTTCCTCCTCCGCCGGCGCCGCCGGTTGGGTGTAATCCATCACCCGCATCACCGGCTCTTCCGCCGGCGCCGCCGTCTCGGCAACCTCTGCGACAAACTGTGGTTCTTCCGCGCTCAATTCTCCGGGGACGGCACCACCCCACGCGGCTCGCTTCGACGCCTCGATCATATCTTCGCTCACGGCGTCGTTCGCCTCCGCCATCGCTTGACTCGCCTTCGCTTGCTCCGTCATCTCAAACTGCACGCTCGCGTTCATCTCCTTAATCCTCTCTTCATCTTCCACGTTAACTTCTCTAATTGGCGGCGGTGTGACTCTCTTTTGCGGCGCTAACGGTTTCGAGATGTCGTCGATCCCAACTTCGTTCGACAACGTCTCTTGAAACTCTTGCGAGACTTGTTGGAGCTCTTGAATCGTAGGTTTGAACGCTCTCAACGTTTCTCCTAAACCTTTGGCCAAATCGGCTAAACCTTTCGGACCAAACACGACTAAAGCGACGACGCCGATGACTAACGCCTCCGGCGCGCCGACGCCGAAGATTGACGCGGAAACTTGTAACGATCCTCTCTTGTTGTTGTTGTTGCTGTTTCTTTTGTTGGTGTTACGATTCGATCGATTTTTTCCAATCGAGAATCGTGTTCTCGCCGCCGGGAACGACGAAGCGGAGGATTGCGCCGCCGAACAACGGCGAGAGGAGAAGGAAGTGGAGGTCACCGGTGCGTGCATGGTCGCCGCGCGGAGCATTTTTGTTACGATGTTTTGTTCGTGTGCGTGTGCAATGTGAAAGTGTGGTAAAATGTGGATAAAATAAGATTTTGTGTATTAAGATGGTTTGGATTAAAAAAATACGCAAGCGTATATGTGTGTCTCTCTCTCTTTCTCAAACGATTCTCCAGGAAAACGGCAAGGTTTTCGGAACAGAAAATCGCCCCGCGCCGGCGCATCTTCAGGCGATGTTCCCAGTCGGCGCTTCCGTTTTCTTCACCACGGACTCGCCTTTGCCGGGACTGGCGATGCCGTAATCGACCTCGCCGAAGTTCCCCATCGGTACGACTTCTTTTTCGTACGTGGTGTTGGTGAGCTCACCGGCGGCGGCGTAGACCGCCGAGAGGGCGGTCCAGATGCCCCAGCCACCGGTAAACTTCATGAGGAACGAGTCTGAACTCGTTTGTTCCGCCGCGGAGAGGAGGACGAAGAAGAAGGTGAGGTTCGCAAAGAGCAACGCGATGGCCATGTTGATTTTAAACGTTTGAATGAGTAAGATGAACGTGACCACGGCCCACGCGGCTGAGTAGTAGGACAACGTGTTTGCGTCTGGAACAAACACACCGGTCGTTTCCATAATCTTCCAAACGCCGTAGGAGAGCCAAAACCCGCCGTATACGCAAAACGCAGTTGCCGAAAACTCGTTGTTTCGGACAAACTCGATGATACCGGCGAGAAATTGTACGACGCCGCCGAAACCAAACGCAAAGCCTACGGTCAACGCCGCGTTTCGATCTTTTTCGGCGATGGTGCATAAACCTGCGGACAGAATAGCAGTTGTTGTACCAAACGCGAGGAGACCGAGTGGAGTCGCGTTTGCAATCGGACGATAACTCGATGACATCTTTGTATCTGAAGAGAGAGAAAGGTAAAGAAGATAAACGGGTCAGTAGTAGTAGCAGAGTAAGTATTAGTAAACGAGACTTATATATCGTTTGGCTCAGATTACTACTAATCAATCACGTTGATTTCAGTAAGAGGAAACAATCTTGTTAAGTATTTCTCATCATCATCGCCAACGAAAATCTATCCTCTCTCTCTCTTTTCTTTTCTTTCCCACGCAAGCTTTGTTCAGAGTAGATACAAAAAGAAACGCGTCTGTCCAGGACTCAGATCGGAACAACGATCTTTTTGTACATCAACGCATACGTTCAGAGCACTCTCGGGATTTTCATCATCATCGTCCAAAGCATCGCCGAAATCTTCTTCTCCACCCTGGTGCGTTGTCGTCGGCGAAAGAAGAAGAGAAAGAGAGACACAGCGCGCGCGCGCGCGACGCAAAAAAGAGAGAGAGATACAAAAAAAAACAGAGAGAAAGACCCCCAGAACCGAGCAAAAAACGAGAGAAGAGACTTTATCACATGATCACTCTCGCGCGTGGTCTTCAGAAACGTTCTCATCAGATCTGATCGAACGCGCGCCCATCATCGCTCGAAGATATCAGATAGAGCAAAACACACCTGCTTCTCTTTTATGTATGCGCACGTGTGTGTTTTGTAGTGTTACTGAGAGAGGGTAACCGCTTTTTTTTTGTCGCGTATTTTTTGCTTTTTTTTGTTATTTTTTGGTTAAAAATTTTCGCTTACTACTTTTCCGTCCTTTTGTGTCGTTCTTCACTTTTTAGTAACCCGTCGTCTTCTTTATCATCATCGGAAACGAGGAGACACTTCTGCGCCGAGAGAGAGAGAGAGATAAAGAGAGAGAGATTTGAGAGGGAGGTCTTTGACTCGAGGGGCGAAACGCGGTTAGTAAACACACGCGCGCACGAAACGTAAATAACACAACCTTTCGATCGTCATCAAATCCCGAGACGAGAAAAAACAGATAACGGTCTCCCGAAAACAATGAAGAGAAATGAATCGTCGTGGAACGCGATCGACGATGAAGACGAGGAGGAAGATTCAGACAAAGAAAAGGAGGAGGACGCCGCGCGTGGTCGAGAAGACGACGACGACGACGCGATGATCGAGGAGGAGGATCAACGAGAATTGGAAGAAGAGAGGAGGACGGAAACGACGACGACAAGTTCTAAAACGAACATGAAACGAGAAAATTCGAGCAACCATTTGCTGAAATACTTGAAAAAATCGATATCGACGATTGACTTACCGGACTTACCGGATCTGGCGTTTGAGGCGTCGAAGGAGTTGATCGAGGACGTTCGAATGAGGATGACGACGTTGTTAAGCACGAGCTCGGAGAACGCCTCTCGATTGATCGCGAGAATGTCGCAATCGATGCAGTCTCGATTGAACTTGGGATACGAGTTGTATAAAACGAACTGGACGAGAGAGAATAGAAAAGTGACTTTATTTTTAGTCGCGTTTACGTTTGCCGCGTTAATTCTCGTTCTGTTTTGGTTGTTCGTGCTCTATTTAGCGTGGAAAGAGTTAGGGAGATGGTTGACGAGTAAAGTTGTGATTGCGATATCGGCGATTATTGGATCCGCCGTGGCGCCGCCGCTGTTCCCGAACATTTTCGCGCACGTGTTGGCGTTCGCATTAATCGGGATGGAGTTGTTTAGTTTGACGTTGAACTTGATATTATTAGGTGGCGTGCATTTGATCGTGTTTGCAAATCGAGTGTTGAGTTTAAAGTGGTTTTTTGTGAGTCGATTGGAAAAGTCGTCGTTGTTAGTCAACGCGGCCGGGAGCAAGACGAAGGCCACAACCAATCGCGTACAGTTGATTGAAAAATTACGTGTGGCGAAGGATTACAAGGAGTGGCTAGACATCGCTTTGCAGCTGGATGCATTACCGGTGGACACCGGTGAAGGTGGTAATGATTGGAAAAGGGACGAAACGTCGGACGCGTACGATTACGCGTTGGTGAGAGGATACGCGGAGACTATGATTGCGGCGAGGGAAAGGAAAGACGTAAACGCGATTGGTTTAGCGTTGCGAACGGTTTTACACAGAAATTTTGCTGGATTAGATAGATTGATGAAGTTGCAACACTCGCGAGTTGGCACAAAGTTACTCGCCACGCGGTTTAAAGATGAAACTGTGCGCGCGATTGAGTTCATCTCCTCGGACGAGTATTGCGAAGATGAAGATGTCGTGGATACGTTAAAACTCGTCCGCGAGGCGCACAGAAGTTTAGGAAGGACGGGATTGTGTCTCTCTGGTGGCGGCGCGTTAGCCATGTACCATTTTGGCGTCATTCGGTGTTTGTTAGAGGAAGGTTTGTGCCCTTTGGTGGTTTCCGGGACGTCCGGCGGATCTATAGTGGCGGCGTTCATTTCCATGCTTTCCGAGGAGGATCTATTGGGCACGATTAAGGACGATATTAGCGTTCGACACGGCGTTCGATGGTTCCCGCCGGTGTGGAAAATGATCGCGCACTTCCTCCAACATGGCGTCTTAATGTCCGAGGTTGACTTTGGAAACACGACCAAGAAGTATTTCGGCGACATCACGTTCGAGGAAGCCTACGCGATTTCAAAGCGACACGTGAGCATTCAAGTCAGCGTCGGTTCCGGGCATGGTTTCGTTTTGAACCACGTGACGTCTCCTCGGGCGTTAGTGCGAACCGCCGTGTGCGCCTCGTGCGCTTTACCGGGACTCATGCGTCCATCGCCCATTCTTTGCAAAGCCTCCGACGGCAGCTTGGAATCGTTTCATCCTCCGGGCGTTTCCTCGTTCGACGGAACCATCACTCAAGACATTCCGGCCGCGCGCTTAACCGAACTGTTCAACTGCAACAACTTCATCGTCTCCCAAGTGAACCCACACTTGAACTTTGTCTTGCACCTCGCCGAAGAGTCGCACGGTCGACGAAGATCCACCTACGCCGAACGAGGTAAAAATCGCCGCGCCGCGGTAACGAAACTTCTCCGCGTGGCCAACTTCCTTCTCTTGAACATCAAATACTCCATCCAGAAACTTCTCGAAGTCGATTTACTGAACCTTCGAATCTTGCGAACGTTGCAAGGCATCTTAGTCCAAGACTTCCAAGGCCACATCACCGTCCTCCCATCGCTCACGTTCAAAGACTATTGCTCCATCGGCGCCCAACCGAGCGAACAAGACATGCACCGATTCATCCGACGAGGCACTCAAACCACCTGGGCGCACATCGAAACAATCAGGCACACCATGGAAGTCGAAACGGCTTTGAAAAAAGCCACCGCGCGGTTAACCGCGCGAGCGAAAACGTTGAAAAGAGCCGCCAAGAAAACCCCGGGGCCTTCTCTCGCGAACGCGACCCCGCCTGCGAAAGTTCGCGTTCTGAGTACGAGCAACAGTAGCAGAAATAATACCCCCGTGGCGTCCCCGAGAGTCGGTTTAGAAGACGACATGATGCTTCACGATTGATTAGTTTTACTTTAAAATAGAATACTAATAATTTTAGCGATGAAAACTAGGAGTAAAAGGATCTCATCTTTCACACACAAAAAATCTTTATCCAAAAAGGCATCACATCGTCACCCTCGTCCCTCTAAAGTCCAGTGCCTCATTCCTTGAAGAGAAGACAAAACACCTTCAACACCTTCAACACATTCAATAGCAGTCGCTTTGGTATATCTTTGTCGCGGCACGTCACGAGACACACATATTTAAAAATGTTTTCTCTCTCACACCGATGCCATTCCGCAGTCGCATCGTCATCTTTCCATGTAGCGTCCTCCAAACATAGCTCGTCGAAAACATCGACCATTCATCATCAAAGAGGAGCACACCTTCACCCGCACGCGACCGTCGTCATCAACCACGAAGGAAAAGATTACACGGTGGAAGTGCAAGACGGGGAAACCATCCTGGACGCCGGTTTAGACGCCGGGATTGATTTACGACACGACTGCAAAATGGGCGTTTGCATGATGTGTCCGGCGAAAAAAGTGACCGGAGAAGTCGAGCAAGCGAACGCGATGTTATCCGACGACGTCTTGGAGCAAGGGTTCGTCTTGTTGTGCTGCGCGGAACCGGTCGGGGAAGGCGTGAAGATTACCACCGTGGACGAGGACGAGTTGTTGGAGGTACAGCTGAACGCATGAGTGAGATGATGTGGGTTGCGTTTTAATGGTATTCTGTTTTATCTGTGTTTATTTCTACTCCGTGTTGAGCGCTTCTGTCATCGGTCGAGCTTTGGACGCCGCGGCGTCGACGACTTCTTTTTCTTTTTGATCGTACTTTTTCTCTCCGACTTGACGTCTTTTACTTTCTTGAGTTTCGACCACGGTGTTTTCGACGGGGAAAGTTCCGGTTGCGGCGTGCTCTCCATGGCTGCTTTGACTTCCTCTTCTACTTCTTCTTCTCCTCGCTCGTAAAATTTCTTCATATCGAGAGAGTGCTGCCTTCGAACAGGCGAGCGAGGAGAAATATGAGTGGAAACCATCACGGCTGGCGAGACGTACGGTTCAGGAGAGGACGTCGAGGGTGTAATTTGTGGTGGGGACTGCGCGGCGGCAGCTGCTTTCTTGGCAGCTTCATCCGTGAGTTCGAGCGTATCGGTGATAATCTTGCCCATGAGCTTTGCGAAAATAGACAACGGCGACGCGGTTGGTGGAGAGGAGGAGGAGGGCGCCGGCGCTGGTTGGTCGCGAAACTCTTCTGGAGCGTCTTGAGATGCAGGAGACACGCGGAACGCAAACTCTTCGTCGGTTTGATTAGTCGCAGTAGCTGATGGATCTGGCGTCGTCGCTATCGATGGCAGAGGTGGCGTCACGCCTTCGTACTCCAGCGTCCTTTGACTTCTACTATTATCCATGGACTGGCGTCTCGGTACTTCAGTCGTGGGCGACTTGGGCGACTCACGAACAATCATCGCCATCGCTTCGGAAACAATCAACTTGTTTTCGTGTTCGATGGCTGCTTGCGCAAAATCAGCCGTATCTACTTTTTGGATGGTTTTGAACTCAAACTCTTCCGAGGACGAGGCCGAGCGAGGCGCGACAGAAGCGTCATTCACAGTTTCTCTCGTACTTTCTTCCTCTTTCGGCGTCTTCACTTCTACTTCTTCTGCTTCCTCGATCTTCTCCGATGCCTCTATCGCTTCGTTCATTTTCATCGTCACCAACTCTTTCAACTTCTCTGATAATTCCTCCGTCGGTTGCGCCTTTCTCGAAATACCTGTGCGTAAGGCCAAACACGCAGCCTCCTCGTCGCCTCGCGCGAGCGCCACGTTGCACTTCTTCAACCAAAACACCGATTGATTTGCATTTGGAAGTGATTTAAAAGACTCCTTCTTGGAACCGAGCGACTTGAACGCAACCGCTCTGGCTACCGCGGACGGTGGAGGCGGTGGCGCTGGAATTGGCGCAACGACTGCTTCGTCTTTCTCCTTCTGTTCCTCCTCTCGCGCTCTCATCTCTACTCCTACTTCTTCGACTTCTTCGACTCTCTTTCCTTCGTTTTCTACTACTGCTACCATTTCCAATGGTTTCGGCTTTGGCGGCGGTGCGACGACGACGACGACATCCTTTTCTGCAACATGCGGCTTCTTCTTCTCTTCTTTTTCTTCTTTTTCCTCGTCTTCTTCTCGGCTCGCCACCGCGGGAGGAACTACTACTCCGCCAACGTCAATAGTATTACAATGTACTTTCGCCTTCGCCGCCGCTAATATCCTAGCCACGCGTTCGCTCGTACTACAACCGACGCTCGTCGTTGCCTTGTTCGTCTCCATCATTCTGTGCCTCGCGTACTCCATCGCTCGTTTTACTCTCGGCGACGCCGCCGGTTTCGTACTCTCCGAGGCGGCGGTTATAACTCTCGACACGCAAGAGTGCTCCCGCGCGTACTTATTCGTGTACTTCGGACTGACGTATTCCATCGAATCTCGTTTTATCGTCGTCGCAGTGCTATTATTATTAGTAGTAGTATTCGCCGGTGAAGGAGACGATGTTGTTTTCATTCGCGGCGAAGCCGACACGTTTGGCGAAGCGACACCCATTTTTCCCTTTGGCTGTTCATTCTTCCTCATCATCACGGGAGTTGTACGTCCAAACGCGACGACGGTCGTCGTCGATTTTTTTCGTCGACCGGATAAAGTCACGCTTGCCTCATAAGGGGAGTCTTTCGCCACGTTCTGCGTTTATGTTTATGCGAAAAGAACAGAGAGAGATGTCAGTAAACAAAACAGGTATTCGGGAAAGCAAATTCATATCTTTTGTTCCCCCCCGATGATGTGATGAACGAACTATGAGTAGTACCTTTACAGCAGGAGAAATGAAGCCCAAATCATCGTCGTTCTTCATTCGCAGAAAAGACGGAGATTTGGAAAACGATCGATGATGCTCTTCTGTCGTCGTCCCGTCTCGCGGCGATCGGGTCGACGGGGAAGTTCTTTCCATTTCTTTTGTTTTTTAGGGGAAGTTTTGTGGCGATTTCCTTGAAAATTAACAGAAGGTATTGTACACAGACGAGCGTTATTCTACTCGCGACGATCGATGCTAAAAATCCTCCTCCTCCGAACACGCGCCGAATATGTCCCCGTCGTTGTCGTCGTCGTCCTCACCATCATCCTCTCGCAGTCCTTTTAACAAATCTCGAATCCCGGACGCGAGCTCTAACACGTCTCCTTTATCGCTGTTAAAGACAGAGAGAAGAAACGCTTTCCCGTTTTCGCGGTACTCGCGAAGGACGTTTTCGGAGCACGCGACGCAATTGGTGAACGGAGGCGCTTGGAAGATGGTTTGGGTGAATTGACGGAGTGAGCCTCGGATTTGGTGAGGGATTTCGCTCGCTTCGTGTTCGGCGAGATCGTCGTGAATGCCGAAGATTGAGGAGGAGGCGTTTGATTTTTCATCTTTTCGACGAGCCTCTTCGCTCGCGGTGACCCAAAGTTCGACGGCTAACGCGCCGGCAATTTGCGCCAATCCTGGACGCGTGACAGTGCACTGTTGGTCTAAAGACCGGTCGCGCGTGGAGTCGATTGGAGCGACGACGTCGTTACAGAAGTAGCATCCTTTGCGGTTGGAGAGGGCGTCGGTCGGGACGCCGTGGCGCATGGCGAGGTAGGTATCGAAGCCTAACGCGCAGTTGTAGCACTGAATATTGTGCACAGCGCATAAGACAGTTGGTAACCATCGCGATTCTCGCGTGTCCGTCAATAAAAAGACCGCGTCGGCGTTTCGAATCTCCTTTTCGAGGGCATCGATCGATTCGAGAACTTCGTCGCGTTCAACCTCGGCGACCGCGTGACCTGGCATCGGTACCCGCATTTCTATATAGTTTGCGTTAATATCTGGCACGATGTCCTTTAAACGCTCCGCTGCCGCTCGAGCTTTCGGTTTGCCTCCATCTAAGCAGTCTTCAAACGTAAAGAGACTTTGCCGCGCGGGATTTGAAAAGGACACTCGTCCGTCGTCGATGAACGTGATGTTTCGAACGCCCCAACCGAGAAGCGTTCGCGCGACTGAACATCCCAAAGTGCCTGCCCCGACTAATACAATTTTCGATTTCGAAATAGCGTCGACGTGTAATGTGGGTGCTTGTCTCCATCGCATGAGTTTCAAGTTCAAATCGACCGCCTCTCTGGCTAATTTCTCCGGATCCATCGCGCTGGACAAATCTGCTTTCCTCGGTTTCAGTCTGTTCTTATCGTCGCGCTCCCATCCTATGCATTTAAATCCTATCGTGTTAATATTTTCGAGAACTTCGTTCTTGAGCGGTTGAACCTGCTTTAAAAACAAACACGTTTTGAACTCGAAAATACCTTTATTGTTTGCGCGAATACACGCGACGTCGATCGGTTTCGTTCGTTGGAATCGAACGTCCAAAAATGTGAGCACGTTGAGAAGAGAAATGCTCGGCGCATCTCCCGTCGCGGTGTCGACGAAACAAATCTCCAGCGTTCTATCCGTACCACCTTCTGTTAAGGTAACATCTTTACACAGCTCCATAAACTTGGACAACGCGTGATTGGAAGAAACGTAGGTATTGTTCTCTTTTCTGACGGTTTCCACACACCACGCGAAATCACTTTGCGGCTTATCCAGCCACGATTTCATGCACTCCGCTCTGCTCTTCGCATTCTCATTCCCGCACAAAGTCTCCTCCTCGTCCCCGCTCCTCTTCTCCACAAACTCGTACGGCGCAAACATGACGCTCGGGAAAAAGAACCAATAGAAAAACTTCCATTTTTTCAAATCCGCGTGCATAAACACTCTGAACGTGTTCAATCTGTTTACGACTACATCTGCATCCATCGTTTTCATCGCGTCCAAGAGATCCTGCCCTATCCTCTTCGCCTCCTCGTTCGGTTTCATTTCAAACAAACGTTCTTTCACGTTGAAGTTCATCGCGTCGCCTCGAGCGCGCCAACATCCAATAATGCCGTCGTTCTTGTCGTTCTTGCCACCATAAGCACCATTCGCATCATCTTCGTCCGCAAGAACGTTCCCTCCGTTCACAAACATCGGCACGTCCACGCCGTCGTTTCTCGACATGTGAAACTCGCTCTCGCACTCGATTTCTTTCTCGGACAGGTGCATTCGATTCAGTTTTAACTCGGCAATTTTGTGCCAAAACGACGGGTCCACCGCTGAACTCCACCCGGTAAATTGAAGAAGAAGCATCGTCTGCGGCTTCCCCTCGTCGTCGCTCTTTTCTCCTTCTCCTTTCCCTCCCAACGTCGTCCTCGTCGCGGTGAGATAGATGCTTCTTCTTCTCTCTCTCTTTCACCCAAAAATCATGTACAAAACGCACCCGACGATGCACCCACACAACGCCGCGACGATGGTTTTCAAATCCGAAGACGACGAAGAAGACGAGGACGATAAAGCGCTCGTCGTCGTTTTTGCAATTTTGTCACGTCTCGCCCCGATTGGCATTTAAAAGAATACGAATCAAAGCAACAGAATATTACTTTTTAAGAAGTGGGGGAAAAGACGGCACAAATTGAAAGAGAGATGATGATGTGTTCACGCGCGGCTGTCGTGGGACGAGGAAACGTCGTTTTGAGAACGAGGACGATTCAGAGGACGACGACGAAAAGAAGCGCTGCGACGCGTATGACCACGAAAAATAACAGCAACAAAGACGACGAAGTCTATCGAGTGATGAGCAAAAACCAAGAGCTCTCCGTGATTTCGGTGACGGCGACGAAGATGGTCGCGGAGGCGCAAGGGAGGCACAAAGCCGCCCCGACGGCCACGGCGGCGATCGGGAGAAACTTAATCGCGTCGTTATTACTCGGGTCGTTCAAAGGAGACGAAGAGACCGTGCAAGTGACGTTCCGAGGGGACGGACCTCTGGGGCAACTGACGGCTGTCAGTGACAACTTAGGGAACGCGAAGTGCTTAGTCGGGAACGCTTTAGCGGATCCGCCGTTACGACCGGACGGGAAGTTGAACGTCGGGATGGCAGTCGGGAAAGGGATACTTTCAGTGTCTCGGTCGCATCCGAGCTGGGTGCAACCGTATAACGGGCAGGTGAGCATTTACACCGGGGAGATTGCTGAAGATATCGCGGTGTACATGCGCGACAGCGAACAGACGAACAGCGCGATTTCGGTCGGCGTGCAGTTGGATAGAGAGTTGACGGTAGTGGGTGCGGGGGGATATATGGTACAGGTGTTGCCGTTTGCCAGCGATGAGACGTTAGATTATTTGGAGAAACATATCCCGACTTTGGATTCGCCGAGTACGATGGTGGAAAGCGGGATGACGGCGGAGGAAATCGCCAAAGCCATCTTGGGAGATTTGGGTGCCTTCGAAGAGGTGGAAACGAGGTTGACGCCAAAATATGGGCCGTGTTGTCGAGAGGAGTTGGAAGGTAGAATGTTGAAAGCGGTCGCCAGTCTTGGACGAGAAGAAGCGATGAAAATTATAGAAGAAGATGGTAAAATTGAAGTGACGTGCGAGTTCTGCAAAGAGGATTTGGTATTCAACGAAGAGGAAATAGAGAAGGCATTGCAAGGGATTTGAAACCGGGTTAATCTCATATCTACTACTACTATGACATGTTGTAAATAATAGATATAACTACGCACCCGGTACATGGTACCATGGTACCTTGCTTTTATTACATATTATCGTTCATTTTCACCTCGGCGCTTTGACTCCACTCCCATTGGAGGCGATTTTGTTACTATTGGAGCTCCCCGTATTATTCGTAGCGGTCCCGGTGTTGTTGTTGTTGTTGTTGCTGCTCTTTCTTTCGCGGAAGTTGGTGTATAAATCGTCGAACATGTCGTTCAAATTAACTTGTTGCGGCCCGACGTCCATGAGCGATTTGACCTCGTCGCGGTACCTCACCATTCTGTGACATTCCAACCGTCTCACGCGTTCTTTTTGGTCAAACTTTTGCAAATCTCTCAGTCTTTCGAAAATCGTGGGACCTACTGTCATCTTCGATTCTAAGCGTCTCTCTTTGTTCGATAAATCCACGATGTCCATCTTGCTCGGCTCCAAATCCGTCTTCATCAACGTTGAATCTTCCTCGTCGAACGACCCCGAGCTCGCGTCGGACAAATCCTTGATCTCTTCTCTGCCTAAAGCAGCCGCTAAAGCGTAGTCTTCGCTCGCCGCAGTCTCGTTCGCGAACGAGAACAGAGTCTGTCGCGCCTTCAAAAATCGTTGTCGTCGAATGCGTTTCACCCACTTTGCTATTTTCTCGTTTCGCGGTCCAATCCCGGGCACGTTAATTTTCTCCGGTTGTAACGGATCGTAATCAATCGATTGCAACGCTTCGTTTCGTTTCTTCAACGAACTCTTGTACGCTTCCGTGACGATGGCTTTTTGCCTCCACAAAATCCCAGACCCGCCGTACCATCGCGGCAATTCCGCAAACTTCCCGGGTTGGTCGCTGTCTAAATAAATACCCTCGCCGCAGTGAACGTACGGTTGCGTCACCCCTGGTCGAGACATGGGCAAAAACGGGAATATGTCGTCTTTTTGCACCACTCTTAAGATTTTCAACCCGGCTCTTTCTGCGGCGTCTTGCGTATCTTTCGGCCCGAGTTTTGGACTCCCAAACGTCACCACTCTTCTCACTTTCGTCTTGCCTTCGTGATGATAAAGCAACGCCAAGGCTAAAGAGCACGCTCCGCCTAACGAGTGGCCTTGTAAATCAACCTCGTACCCGTCTTTCAGAAACTGGTCCACTTCTCTCTTCACGACCATCGCGATCGTTCGGTACCCTCGATGCATCTTCACGTTAAAATCCGGAAACTCTTCAAACAGCTCTTTCCTCCTCGCGTCGGTGATTGTCGGAAACTTAATCGTCGGGAACCGCCTTTGTTGTTGCTGCTGTTGCTGCGTACCATCTATGTTACTACCGAAACTACCACCTAAACTAATGTTATTCCTAAACGTCGGTGCTGACGTCGTCAATCTTAAATTCTGAGCCGCGTTCACCAACGTCTTCGTCCCTCTTAAACAAATCGTAATCCTCTTCTCCCGATCGTTCACCGCCAAAACCACTCTCTGATCGATCGACGGTACTTCCAACACCCTCGCATCCTCCCCTCGTTTCTTGAAATACTCCTTCACGTCTTCCTCCTTCCAATCGTTCATGGTTGCGATTTCCGCGTGTCTATACAGCTCCGAAAACGTCCCGACGACCGGGACGGCAATTTTATCCACCCGTCTCGATTTTATCGCGCGCGCGATCGAACCAACCACCGGAGCTTCGTTTATTAGAGATAACTTATTAGTACTCGTTTTCTTCTTCTCTTTCGTTTGTTCTGTTTGTCCTTTCGATGATACAGATGATACTTTTCCCCCTGACAAAAAGCGGGAGAAGTTCGACTTTTTGTCTTCTTCTTTGTCTTCTTCTTCTTCTTCTTTATCCTTCTTTTTCTTACTCTCATTGAAAAACAAATTCCCGACGAACGAGAGCGACGATCTCTTCTTCTTCAAACCCCCGTCCTCCTCCTGCACCTCGTTCTTCATCTTCATCTTCTTTGTCTTCTTCTTCTTCGAGAAAAGAAGATCAAACGACGACGACATAGAAAAGTCTTCCTCTTTTTCATCCTCTTTTTTTGCCTTTCCCAGCGCGGAAAAGACTGTGAAAACGGCGCCTGTTCCTCTTCCTCTTCTTCCTCCTCCTCGAACGACCGCAAAGCGCATTCTCCCTCCTTTTCCTCCTCCTCGAACAACTCCTCGGGAGGAGGGATGCGGGGAAAAGCATCGCGCTTCCGCCGCGAGAAGCGACCAACGCATTTGGGATGTGTGGTGCGTCGATAAAGCAGCAAAGAATTTGTGGCGGAAAGAGGAATAAACTTGTTTTTTATTCTTCTTTTTGTCTGTTTGTGGATCAAAATTTGTGAAAAAGGTCTCATTCAGACAGAAACAAAAGGACAAGATGCAGGTATTATGTATTTTCGTGTGTGTTGTGTATTAAAATCTCGCGTAATATTTCTCTCTCTCTCTCTCTCTTTCTTTCACTCTCTCTCGCGCTTCTTAAAATCTTCTCTCTCCCTTTACTTCTTTACTTCTTTTTTCATCTCTTTCTCTCTCTCTCTCTCGCTTTACAATGTCATCTCTCGTTCGTACTTTTTTTATTTACTCTTGCTTGGCTCGTTTTCTCGCTTTCATTTCGCTCAACTTTTGGGCCATCATGAAGGACAACTCGATCGCTTGGCTCGCGTTCAAGCGCGGGTCGCAGTGGGTTAAATAACGCAACTCTAAGTCCGTCTGGGAGACGCTCGCGTTGCCGGAACCTCCCGTGCATTCGGTGACGTTTTGGCCAGTCATTTCTAAGTGGACGCCGCCCGGGTGCGTTCCCATTTTTTCGTGCACTTCGAAAAAGGCCATGACTTCTTCGAGGATAGATTCGAACGGTCTCGTTTTGAAGCCGTTGTCGGTTTTGATGGTATTGCCGTGCATGGGGTCGGCGACCCACAAGACGTTCAAGTTCGCATCTTCGATGGCGGTGATGAGTCGGGGGAGGTGTTCTCTTAACGCCTTGGCGCCCATTCTCGAGACGAGCGTGATTCTACCCGGAATGTTGTCCGGATTCAAGTGTTTCACTAAAGAAACGACGCCGTCGCCGTCGGATTTGTCGGAAATTTTGATACCAATTGGGTTGGAAATGCCTCTAAAGTATTCCATGTGCGCACCTTCCGGTTGGCGGGTGCGTTCGCCGCACCATAAGAAGTGCGCCGAGCAGCCGTAGAAATCATTCGTCGTCGAATCCAATCGAGTCAAGGATTCTTCGTAGCCCAAGTGCAAGGCTTCGTGCGCGGTGTAGAAATCGGTCGAATTCATCACCGAATGGTTCTCATCGATCCCGCACGCGTGCATGAACTCGATGGCTCTGTCCACGTCCGCGGCAAGCTTTTCGTACTGCGCGGATTTCGGCGAGCCTTGCATAAACTCCAAGTTCCACTTGCTGACTCTTTGCATCGCCGCGTAGCCGCCGTTGGAGAACGCTCGCAACAAGTTCAACGTAGACACGGATTGGTCGTACGCTTTGATCAATCTGTTCGGGTCCGGTCTTCTCGCTTCCGGAGTAAACTCGCACGAGTTGATGTTATCCCCTCTGTAGGACGGCAAAGATACGCCGTCGATGGTTTCCAAATCCTCCGACCTCGGCTTGGCGAATTGCCCAGCCATTCTCCCCAACTTCACCACCGGCATACCAGCCCCGTACATCAAAACCACCGCCATCTGCAGCAAAACTCTGTACGTATCTCTCACGTTATCCGCTCTAAACTCTTTAAACGACTCCGCGCAATCGCCGCCGAATAACACAAACGCGTTTCCGTTCGCCGCGTTGGCCAACTGGCTTTGCAACTTTCTCGACTCCCCGGCGAAGACCAGCGGCGGTAAATCTTCCATGTGCCTCAAAACCGCATCGATTTCCGACTGATCCGTGTAGTTCGGCTGTTGCAACGCCTCTCTCGCTCTGTACGAAGACGGCGTCCAATCTTTCAAGTTTGCGCCCGTGGCGGATATTTTTCGCGTTCGGCGTTCCGCGATCTCGGAGAGGTTGCTAAGGTCGAACGACGGCGATTTCGACGGCGGGTCAGAAATCGCTCGAGATCTGATGTTGTTTTTTCAGAAGAAGTTAAAGAGAAGAAGACGTCGTCAGCGTGCGTTTGCGCGAAAGAAGAAGCGCGAAAGAGAACGAAACAGAGAGAGGGATGATCTTTCTTCGCATCATCGAAAGAGAAGGAAAGAGAGATGACTCTCTCAGTGCTATTATTATGAATCTCCGCGTTGTCCGCTTTTTATTATCCCCTTGAAAAAAGAACACGGAAAGCGCTCTTCACGCGCGGAGAGGGCGGCGGCTTTACCACTTGAAGTAAAACGAGGCGACGACGACGACGCAATAAAACGCGAAAACTCGAGCAGGAGGAAAAGGAGGAGAGAAGACCGAGAATGGTCGTCGTTTACGTCGTAAACCCACGACAAATCATCATCTCTCGATGATGGAGCCGTCAAAAACCTACGAAAATCCTTCCAATTATTGTCTCTCGCGTACCTGATGATGCTTCTTTGTCGACGATGCCGCGCCGCGTTGATATTCTTCTTCGTGTTATTATGTGATCTAGTGGTGTTTTTTCGTGCTATTAAAGATGATGTCGACGCGCTCGTCGGGGTCCTCTGACTCCCTCGCGCGTTCATGCCGTGTAACGCCACCGCGTGCGTAGAGAGGACGTTCATTTGAGTTTTGTGTGTGCTTCTTTTTTATGCAGAACAGAGCCGAAAAGAGCGCACTCTCGAAGGAACTTTTTGACGCTCGATCGTCCCCAAAAGCGCGAGGGAGTGAAAAAGTGTTCGTTTTTGGGTTTTTTAGTAGAGAGCCGTTTGAAAGAGAATGGCCCCAGAGCCACACAGACATGAAATTGAAAAAATCTCACAAGAAAAAGCACTTGAAAAACTGCATAAAAAGCAAAGCATATCTTCTCGTCATTTATATTCTGCGAGACTCTCGCGCATATACACAGAGAGATATATATAATCACGTCTCGCATCTGAGAGCAATATACATAATACGCAGTCGCAGAGCACTCGCGGAACGATAACTCGAGACATAATACGTAAGTCTCGCGCGCGCGTTTGCGGAAAGAGCAGAATATAAATTTTATTCGATGACGATGATGATGAGGACCGTTAACTGCGTCAATAATCATCTTCCCCCGAATTTGTTCTCTTCCTCTTCCTCTTCCTCCTCTCGAAAAGGAGCGAGAAAGAACGAGAACTGTGGAAGAACAAAAGTCACGAAGACGACTCCGACGAGAGCGTCCTCGTCTTCCCTGAGAGGTACTGATGTCTCCTTCTTTGAATAGATCTGCTTTTTGAAACGCGCGAGAGAGAAAGAACGCGTCTTGGTTTTATGCGCCTAAGCGACGTTTCGTTTAAAAATTTTTGTCTGTTTGTTTGAAAAAAAACTCAAAAAAATATTCCTCTCATCTCTCTCTCTTGTTGTTTGAATAAACTAAAAATTTTAACAGACGAAACGACGAATAATACCATCGGCAAAATGTCCGAAAACGTCCACTTGAACTCGCAGTTTACGAATTCGTCGGGAATATCGAACAAAAACGACGGCGATGTGGTCATACAGGACGATTTAACGGAAATGTTATCCATCGTCCCGGAGGACGTGCGCGAGAAGATTTCGAAACACGCGCACAGGTCGAAACTTTTAGAGATTGTTTTGGATTTAGGACGGCAACCGGAGGCGAGGTTTAGCGGGATGGAAGATGTGAAGAAACAAAGCGAGACTTTGAGAGATGATGTGGTGACGCAGGAAGAGTTGGATCACGCGGAACGAGTGGTTGGAGAGTTTGGTGGGGACAACCGCGCGGGCGTGACCGGGACGTTGCATAGGATTTCGTGCATACGGAATCGAAGCGGGAAGATTATTGGTTTGACCTGCCGAGTTGGTCGAGCGGTGACTGGGCACGTGGATATGATTGCGGACGTGTTGAACAGAGACAATGGTGAGTCTGTGTTGTTTCTCGGAAAACCAGGGGTTGGGAAAACAACCGTCATTCGCGAGATTGCGAGAGTGTTGTCGGACGATTTGCAAAAACGGGTGGTGATTATCGACACGTCCAACGAGATTGGTGGTGATGGGGACATTCCACACCCAGCTATTGGAAGCGCACGACGGATGCAAGTGCCGAATCCAAGCGAACAACACAAGGTTATGATCGAAGCGGTGGAAAATCACACGCCGGAGATTATTATTGTCGATGAAATCGGCACGGAGATGGAAGCTTTGGCGTGTCGAACGATCGCGGAAAGAGGCGTGCAGTTGATCGGTACCGCCCACGGACGACTTTTGGAAAATTTAATCAAAAACCCAACATTATCGGATCTGGTTGGTGGCGTGACCACTGTGACGTTAGGCGACGACGAGGCGCGATCTCGCGGGTGTCAGAAAACCATCTCGGAAAGAGCGGCGCCGGCGACGTTTCCGATCGTCGTCGAGATGCACGCGAGGAGCATGTGGGTCGAACACGACGTGGAGGTTTCCGTGGACGACATTTTGGTCGGGAACAGACCAGTGGTGAATTTAAGAACTCGGGACGAAGAGAAGCGAGTGCAAGTGTTTCCGTGCGTGTACGATATGGATTTGGTCGCGAACGAAAGCTTGGATGAGCAGGAAAGTAGTAGTAACGGCAACTTTCGCGCGAATCCGCAACCCGGGTTCGCGGTGTCGAAAACGACCAGCGGTCGAGACGTGAGCGAGTTGACGCGAATCGGAGAGTATAATAATAATAACAGTAGAAGCAATAATAACAGGCGAGGCGGCAGCAGCAATAATAGTAGGTACGGCGGCGGTACTTCCATCGACGATCCGTACGCTTGGGCGCAGAGTTTAGGACAAATCCCCGACAAAGACGCGCTCAACGCCTTGCTGTTTGAGAATAATACAATGAATGGAAAGAAACAAAAGAAAATAAAAAAGAATTTGGGTGCAAGATAATAACCAATATATAATACGATCGATGATGAGATACTGTACATAAATATAAATGTTTGTATATATAGCGATTATTTTAGCAAGGAAACAACAGACAAAAAGAAAAACTAAAGAGAGAGTGCGTGTGTGTTTATTAGCGTATATTTATTATTTACGGATTGAGTACTTTTGCGTGTATTTTACCTTTGGTTCAATAAATGTATTACATCTCGCGCGGCGCTTTTGCCATTCTCTCCAAAATACTCTCCCCTGTTCGGGAAAGCGCTCAATCCGGTAAAAAGTAAATATAGAAATAAATATGAATCATCCTCTTCTCTTCTCTTCTCTTCTCTTATTCTTCGTTTATCCGCGCCCGTACGCTCGTCTGAAATCTTCCCCAGACGGTCCTGGCTGGACACCGACTTGATGCGGTCGTAAAACGACCGTCTTTTTCACGACTTTGTTTGGCGTGCGTTGGTAAACAACCGTGGGCGTCAACGTCGGCACTTCGTCAGTCACGCCGGGTATCAAGTTCTTCGATATGGACTTCCACGTTTTACCGATGAACATGGCCACAGATACTGTCGTCTTTTGCACGTTTCTGGCGGCTCTTTGCAAGTCACGAACATCTCTCGCGCCAGTGGCGTAGGAACCAACCGCTGAAACGATGACAAAAGACGCGCCAATCGTGGAGGCGGCTTTCGCGACTCGCAGAAGCGCCGGGTGAACGTTCAGCGATCTCTTGTTCTTCTTCTTCGTCTTCGTCTTTTCTTTCTCTTGTTCATTCGTCGCGGCAATATCGGTAGCTTTTTCGATTGGCTTTTTGATGTAGACCATTTGTCCAGGCGAGATCATCTTAGCAATCATGACGTCGCTCTCCGTCGCGTCTTCCTCTCCCTCGTCCTCTTCCTCGTACGACGACGAAATGCCTCTGTTCGTCTCTCTGCTTTCCACTGGCGTCAAAATTGTCGAACGCTTCTTCGATTCTTGCACTGGAGTTTTGTACGACGAAACGACAGCGGAAGGTCCCGTGGCGTTCATGGAATTTTCGTTCGGCTCGTCGATGGCGATGATCGAACGCCTGACTTTCGGCTTTTGTTTCGGGTTCTCGCGGCTTAAAAAGGCGTTCTTCGCGCCGACGGCAACGTTCGTGATCGTCTTGAACGGGTTAAAGAAAGACGAAGGACGCGTCGTCTTGTCTCTCTTCGAACCCATAGCTCCAGCGTTTTCTTTATCTTCCTCCATGTCGCCGCCGTTTGTAGTAAACTTCGGCACGATCCTCGTCGGCGTGACCGTCCCTACGCCGCCGCCTCTTTGCGCTTGCCGCGCCGGCGTCGGATTGGATTGCTCCGACGCTCTCGCATTCGCCCCCATTCCGCGTCTCTTATTCTCCGCGCTCACCCAATTTGCTCTGCCATTCGCGTGTGCCACTCTCTCGCTTTCCAATCTCTGTCTCTCTCTCTCCGCCGCGCGGCTCGCGCCTTCTCGTACTCTTCGTAAACTCTCCTCCTCCGCTCTCAATATCTCCGCCTCTCTGGCCAATATCGTCGCTCGATCTCCGCTCGCCAGCATATCTAAAGAAAACTCCGGCGAGTCTTTATCCAACTGTCTTCTCAATTCCTCCGCCGCGTCGCGTTTCATTCGGTTTTCTTTCTCCATTAAATCCCGTTCCAATCGAGACGCCGAGTCTTCGAACGTTCCGTACGCTTCTCGAACAAAGGTGCGTGCTTTTTTGGTATAATTCTCGTTGGTATTCGTCGGGCTTCGTTCTGCCGCTTCCAGCATTTGGTTCATTTCTTGGAGCACGTCCAGAGGTTCGTCCGGGTCGTAGTTATTGTATCCTTTTCCTTTTCCTCTTCCTCTTCCTCTCCCGGCTGTCGGAGACGGAGAAGAAAAATTCTCAACGACATTCTTCGTAGCCGTTGGGGAAGACAAAGAAAAAGAAGATTTCGATTTCCGATTCGGACTGACGTATTCTTCATCGAACCCGGATAAAATGGTCGAAAATGCCGCGAACTCGTTCGCGGAGTTATCCAGTATTGTCGTCGTCATCGTTTCAGACGGAGAGATGTTATATAAATATGTGTGTGTGCGTTTGAAAGTACGTCGTCGTTCAAAGCGTCGTCGTCCGTGTAAAGTCAAACTCTCTTCTTTTGTGTGTTGTGACGGACCGAAAGCTGTCGATTACAATTTTAACAAAATTCTCAAATTTTCTAAATCCTACACCCTAAACATTTGTGCTGCCTTCTTTTTGGTCCTTTTTTCTTATAATAAGATTTACTCTATGGAGAGAGAAAGCGCGGCAGAACACACACACAGACGTAGTAAACGCTTCGCTTTGCGCACGTATATATTCACATGGCGGAAGAAAAGAATATTTTTGACAACGTGGCGTTAGTCTCCGCCCTTTTGGCGTTACTCGTCGCGCAATTGTTAAAACCTTTAACGCATTACGTCGGGACGAAGAAATGGAAACCTTCGTTAGCGATCGGGTCCGGGGGATTTCCATCCTCGCACGCATCGTTCGTCGTCGCGTTAGCGACTGGCGCAGGGGTGGAGAGAGGCACCGCGGATACGTCGTTCGCGGTGGCGGCGGTGTTAGCGATCGTGGTGATGTACGATGCGATGGGGGTGCGACGGCAGGCTGGGTACCACGCGTCCGCGATTAATAGTTTGATTTCAGGCGCGTACGGGAGCAACAGTCAGAATAGGAATAGCAGTAGCGGGAATATCGACGCGACGCTCGAGTTGGAGGACGAGGAAACGCCGACGCCGAAATCGCCGTTATTTAGCGCGGACGGGTTCGATCAGTTCATAAAGAATATACAGAATCAACCTTTGAGAGAGCACATCGGGCACACGCCGGTGCAAGTGTGCTTCGGCGGGTTGACGGGGTTAGTCATCGGTTTAGTCGTCGGCTTGAACGCGCAAATCGAACATCGAGGGTTGTTTCATTCGTAAATTCATTTCTTATTGTTGTTGTACATCTATTATAAAACTGCTATAAATACTAATTTTGAACTGCTACTACCAAAAACGTATACGTACTACTCTTTGTTGTTGTTGTATCATCATAGCTTTTGGAGGATTATGATGATGGTCATCAAGACGCACATGAACATGAGAAAGTATATGCAAATGATGAGCCCGCCGGCGCGTTGAGTGTGCTCGGCTTTGACCAACTCTTTCCTGCCTTCGTCTACTTGCATGGCAGTGGTGGCGCAGTTGTATTCGATGGAATCTAAAATCGTTCCTTGGTCGATGATGAGTTTGGACATGTCTTGCATGACCATCGCTAAATCGGTCACGGACTGTAAAATTTTCTTCACCTCCGTGTCTCTCTCTTCCGCTTCCAAGGACATGACGTCTTGATTCGCAAAACCTTGTCGTTGTTGCATTTGAGAACTCGTCGTACCACCTTCGTCGCTTTGCTCTAAAAAGCCACTGTGACTTCTCGCCACTCTGTTCCGAAACACGTCCTCCAAGGCGTCCACGCCTTCCGCGCCCGGTCCTCGGTCTTGCCTATTCTTCAACTCGTTCAAATACTCTTTCTGTCTCTGTCTAAACGCCTGCGACAGACGACTCAACTCCATCGCCAGCTTCCTCGTCGCGTTCTTTCTCATTTTCGTTCCTATATCGTCGAACTCGTTCGCTGTATTCGTAACCTCCGCGTCGCTCCCTAACCTCTTCAACTGCGCCTCGCACCGTTTGAACAACCTCCCGCACTCGCCCGTTAACTGCTCCACGATTTTCTCGTCGTTCACATCGTCCACATCAAAAGTTGGCAACAAAGCTTTCTGTTGCGCTTTCTGTAACTGTTGAATTTTCGCTTTCGCTTTCCCCACGTCTCTTTGAATGTGTTCGCAAACGTCCACCCACGCCGGCGGTAAAAAAGACGACGACGACTGAAGCTCATCACCACTTTCCCCTAATCCTCTTTTCCCTCCATCATAAGTTGAAGAAGAAGAATCAATCGCGGCTTCGAGCAATCTCGACGTCCCTTTCGTGGCCTCACCGTCATCATTCAGGTTGTTGTCGTTCCCAGAGTTCCTCCTCTTCCCGCTGGGAAAGGAGGAGGACACGTATTCCTCCCGGTAACTCTCGTATCGTTTCGTTTGGTTTCGAAACGTGCCTTGGAATCCCACCGGGGCGAGATTTTCTTCATGATTTTCCTCAAAATCGTGGTCGTTCTTCATCATCATATCGAGATCGAGAATTTTCGCGAAAAGCGATTCTTCGCCAAAGCGCGCTCCGACAAAGTGTCCTCGGAATGATTTCCGCGCCGCGCGACGATATCAATTTATATAGTATGTGTTTATAGCGATGTGATGTGTGTGGTCGGTCCTTTTCCCGAAGAAAGTTTGGCTCTTCCTCTATTTAGGGTTTTAAAAAAACCCTAAACAATTCGCGTTTCGTGTTCCTCCTTCGTTTTCGAACAAAACTTTTCAAAAAAAGAGTTGCCGTTTGACTCATTCTTCCAACCGATAAAAATGGCAAAGAAGAAGACGACGACGACGACGAAAGGAGGTGCAGGTTTTGGTGGCACTCAAAACGACGACGACGAGAGCGGCGTGATGAAAGAGACGACCGTGAACGACGAGAATTTTTCCTTCGACGTGGGCACTCCGGTGTGGGTGAAAGATGCGAACCACGCGTGGGTCGCCGCGTCGATTTCGAAAGTTGGTTCCGGTGACCTTTCCTCCGGTGAAGGCACATCGTCTTTGTTTTTTGAGTGCACGTTCGCGGAGGACGAAGACGACGGACGCGAGGAGAAGAAGAAGAACAACAGTAACGGAGGAAACGGTGGTGGTGGTAAAGGTGGTGGTAAAGGTGGTGACCTGTCGTTGGCGAGCGCGCAACCGACGACGATCGTTATCACCAAAGAAAACGCGAAAGAAGATCTCGCCTTGCGAGAACGGAACACGGAAGAGGACATGGTGAAACTCTCCTATCTTCACGAGGCGGGCGTTTTGCACAACTTACGAAGACGGTACTCGAGAGATGAGATATACACGTACACCGGGCAGATTTTGATCGCGGTGAACCCGTTTCAAAAAATCCCACACTTATACGATCAAGCCATGATGGAAATGTACGGCGGCGCGGAGCAAGGCGAGTTGAGTCCGCACGTGTACGCCGTCGCCGAGGCGGCGTATAAACAGATGTTGAGCGAGGGGGGGTCTCAATCTATTTTAGTTTCCGGAGAGTCCGGGGCAGGGAAGACTGAAACTGCGAAACACATCATGCAGTACTTGGCGCACTCGGCGAAGCACGAAGACGGGACCAGCGGCGTGGAAAAGCAAGTTTTAGAGACGAATCCGTTGTTAGAGGCGTTCGGTAACGCCAAGACGGTCAGGAACGACAACTCGTCCAGGTTCGGGAAGTTTACGGAAATTTTGTTCGACGAAGAGGATAAGATTAGCGGGGCAGCCATACGGACGTATTTGTTGGAGCGCTCCAGAGTCGTACGCGTATCCGATCCGGAGAGAAACTTTCACGTGTTTTATCAAATCTTAGCCGGGGCGTCGAAAGAGGAAAAAAGTAAGTGGCGTTTGGACGGTAAGACGTTTGAAGATTTTTATTACTTGAATCAATCGAAATGCGTGAAATTGGAACGTATTTCCGACGTGGTCGGGTACGAGGAAACCCAAAACGCCATGGAGGTGGTCGGTATTTCGGAATCGGAAAGAGAGGACGTGTTTGGAGTCGTTTCGGGGGTGTTGCATTTAGGTAATATAGATTTCTCGCCTTCGCCAGAGGACGAAGACGCGTCCGTCGTCGCTTCAAATGCGAAAGGAAGCTTAGAAGACGCCGCGTCGGTTTTGAAAGTGGATAAAGATCGCTTAGAGAAAGCGCTGATTTCGAGACAGATTGTCACCGCGGACGGGGCGATTTTGAAACCTTTGAGCGTCTCGGACGCGAAGCACAATCGCGACTCGTTGGCGAAGATGTTGTATTCGCGTTTGTTCGATTGGCTCGTCGAAAGGATTAACCAAGCGATTGGGAATAAGAAAGAGGACGAAGAAGACGCGGAAGATGGAGAGAATATCACTGGCGGCAAAAAAAGTAAAAGACGATTCATTGGCGTGCTCGATATTTACGGCTTTGAGAGCTTCAAAAAGAACTCCTTCGAACAGTTTTGCATCAACTTTGCTAACGAAAAATTGCAGCAACATTTTAACCAAAAAGTGTTTAAAATGGAACAAGAAGAGTACGAAAAAGAAGCCATCGATTGGTCGTATATTGAGTTTGTGGATAACCAGGACATTTTAGACGTCATCGAACGTAAAGTTGGCGGTATTATCAGTCTTTTAGACGAGTCGTGCATCATGACATCGACGACGTCTGAGCAATTTGCGCAAAAGCTCTTCTCCGCGTTGGACGACGAGAAACGATTTTCGAAACCAAAACGGTCGCAAATAGATTTTACGTTGAACCATTACGCCGGCGACGTCACGTACGAGAGCGAAAACTTCATCGAAAAGAACAAAGATTACGCGATTTTGGAACACACGGAAGTTTTATCCACCTCGGAAACGAACATTTTGCGTCTCATTTTCGAGGAGAAGGAGAACGAAATCTTGAACGAAGGGAACAAACCGCCGCCGCCGCGCGCGAAGAAATCCGCCATGAAGTTCACCTCCATCGGGAACTCGTTCAAGCACCAACTCAATGATTTGATGAAAAAATTACACGGAACCGAACCGCATTTTGTTCGATGCGTGAAACCGAACCAAGCTTCCGTGCCGAGCACGTTTGAGAACGCCAACATTTTGCAGCAGTTGCGCTGCGGCGGCGTCTTGGAAGCGGTGCGGATTTCCTGCGCCGGATATCCGTCGAGGAAGCCGATCGAGTTATTTTTGACTCGATTCGGTTTATTAGCTCCCGACGAAGCCGCAAAGTTCTTTACGCCCGGGAAAGAGCGAGAGGCTTTGGAAGGTATTTTGAACGTTGCGAATTTACAAGAGTGGCAAATCGGCAAGACGAAAGTCTTCTTGCGTTCAGGGCAAATGGCCGTTTTGGATACCTTGCGATCGAAAAAACTCGGGTGGGCCGCGGTTGAGATTCAAAAGCATGTCAAGCGACGCGTCGCGCAAAAGCAGTACAAACGAACGAAATCGGCGGCGGAAACTGTCAACAAATACGCCCGGGGTATGTTTGCTAGAAAAATCGTTCGGGAGATTCGCCAAACAAAGGCGGTGACTGCCATCCAAGCGTTTGTGAGAATGTCCATCTGCAAGAAGCAATTCGCGGAGACGAAAGAGGCGGCTGTAAAGATTCAAACGCTCGCGCGAGCAGTCAAAGCGAGGAAAGAGTTTTTGGAGCTCAAGGAAAGAAACTTGGCTGCAATCAGAGCGCAAAGCGTGTACCGAGGCCAATTGGCGCGCAACCGCGTCAAGGAAATCAAAAAAGAACAAAGAGACGTGGCGAAAATGTTGGAGGCGAAATCAGAGTTAGAAAAGAAATTAGAAGCCGAACGCGCGCGAGCGAAGATGTTGGAATTACAACGCGAAGAAGAAAAAGTGAAACGCGAAGCCGAGGAGGAAGAGAAGAGGAAAAACGCCGAAAAAGAACGCGAGGAACGAGAAGCCAAGGAGAAAATCGAACGAGAAAAACAACAAGAAGAAGCGGCGTTGGCGGCGAAGAAAGCGGAGGAGGAGCTAAAAGAACTTCGAGAAAGAGCCCAGAAAGAGGAGCTTTTGCGGCAAGAAACCGAGCAAACGGTCAAGAAAGAACTCGAAGAAGCGAACAAAACGGCAGACCAGTATGAAAAAGCGTTGCGCGAAGCGTTGGAGGAAAACGAAAAACTTCGAGACCGGTTGGCGGTGGCTGAAGCCGAATTGGATTCTTTCCGAAACGGTTTGAAAACGCCCGGAACGGCTATGATGACTGGTGGTCCAGGAGGTGGGAAATCGAGAGCTCGAATAATGAACGGCACGCCTTTATCTGCGAGTTCTTTGAATACGCCCATGTCCGCCGGCGGCGGCGAAATGGACCAGTCTGTGGATAAAGAGGTTCCCGATTCCACGTCGCCACAAACGATTTCGTTGAAGGAAGACCACGAAGCGTTGAGAGCTCTGTTGGGTCACGAAAGAGCGCACGAAATCTTCGCCACTCCAGACGGGTCCCCGGCTTTGGCAGTCATCGTGTTCAGATGTTTACTGAGATGGAAGGCGTTTTCGTTGGAGAGAACGTCTTTGTTCGAACGCATCCTCGGAGCGTTTGAAAATTCACTCAACAGGAACGCGAAAGATGACAATAAAGCCGTGGCGTTTTGGTTAACGAACGCGTTTGCGTTGTTGCACTTGCTCCATCGAACTTTAAAGAACAGCGGGAACAGAAATAGACGAGGGGGCGTTGGGATTTTAGACCGCATCAACTCCACCATCTCTTCGAGATTAAAGAGCCCGCCGACGATGTTTAACCAACAACCGTCCATCAGCGGCTCTTCGGATAAAGAAAACGCGGACGCGAATAAAACGCGACGAACGAGTGTTGATGGTAATGGACATGGAAACGGAGGAGGAGGAGGAGGAGGAGAGGAATCCGTGACGGCTATATTGGGCGTGAAGCAAATCGAGGCGAAATACCCGGGCTTTCTCTTCCGCCAATCGCTTGGCATGTTTTGCGAGAAGGCATACGGTATCTTGCGCGATAACACGAAATCAATGATCTCTCCGCACTTGGGATCGTGCATTCAAGCGCCGAGACAACGAACGGGCGCCATCGTCGGCGGTAAATCGACTAACGATAAAGACGGGAAGCACATGCAACTCTCTTCGCACTGGATGTCCATCCTCGAGGAGTTGGATACGATTCTCCTCGCGTTTACGGAAAACAACGTTCCGAAAGCGTTGACGTCCAAGTTTTTCACTCAAATATTTTGTTTCATCAACGTCAACATGTTTAACGCTCTGTTGTTACGAAGAGAGTGCTGTTCGTTCTCCAACGGTGAATATATCGCCGCCGGTTTGAGCGAGCTCGAAAACTGGCTCAACAAGAACGCCGCCGTCGTCGGCGAAGCGCCGAAGAAAGAGTTACGGTTTATCAACCAAGCCGTTCAATTACTCGTGATTAACCAAAAACCGAGGAAAACTCTGAACGAAATAACCTTGGAACTGTGTCCGGTGTTATCTATTCAACAGTTATACCGCATTTGTACCATGTATTGGGACGACAAATACGGCACGGAAACGGTCAACCAAGACGTCTTGAAGCAAATGAAAAATTCCATGATGGACCAGCAATCGAATAACCAACACAATTCATTCTTACTGGATGACGATTCGAGCATTCACTTCAACGTGGAGGAGATTGCGGAAAGTTCGTTGGAAATTACTCTCGATTTCCAATCGAAAGACGATTTACCGGAGGAGTTGGCCGAGAATGAAAAGTTTGCGTTCTTATCGACGCGATTGACGGCGGGCGGAGCGTGATATCGGTATATATAAAACGACGATTATTAAATACTGCATAGCCATTTTTTATTTACAACAAAAGGATATATATCAACTTTTTCTCTCAACCAGACTCTTGTATCGTGCGCGCGGGATTTCCGAGTAAGCTCCCGAACCCTTTCCTCCCTCCGCCGCTTTCCCCGGCATCCAATCCACCGCTACCACTCAACGCTAATCCAGAAAACTTCCCACTCCCACCTTCTTTCGTCCCAGCTTCGGCGTCCATGACCTCGCTCAAAGCCAACGCGAACTTGGCGGCGTCGCCGGCTCTCACGCGCATCTCCATAGACGCCTTCTCGCCGCTTTTCGTCGTGTATTGAAAAATCGTCGTTTGCAATTCCGTGTACGCTCGTCCAAAGTGTGTGGAATGGTCTAACCCTTGACTTTCGACGGCGGACGCCACTCGGAGTGGAACTTTCACCACGTTTTCCAAAAAGACAATCGAAGCGTAAATCATCGCCGCGGTGAAAGAAGTGACCACGAGAAGGCCAACTAAAGCCGCAGCTAAAACGTTCCCGGCGTTCTTCCCACACCCTATAAACGCACCGCAGTACGCTCTCTGCGAATCAGGCGTGTTATAGACTAGATTGTAAAAACTTTCCTTGGTGAACAACGCGGTCGCGATGAGCCCCCAGACGCCGCCGAAAAGATGGATCGGCACCGCGTCGACGACGTCATCGATTCGTCTCCTGAGCAACAAACTCGAACTCAAGCTATACACGATCCCGGCGACAATGCCGATCAACACGGCGAGTGCCGGGTGTACCAACGCGCACGATCCGGAAATGGATACCAACCCAGTCAAAATCCCATTATTCATCCTTTGCGGGGAAATTTGCTTTTTGTTTCTCGCCAAATCGAACACGACGACGCTCAACCCGCCAAACGCCGCCGCAATCGTCGTACAAACCGCCGTTCTCGCCACGATATACCTCGAAGCGCCTTCAAATTGATCGCCTCGGACATAAACTCCAACACTTCCGGTGTTAAACCCGTACCACCCGAACCACATTAAAATTGTCCCAAACATTTGAAACACCGGCGATTGCATCGGCAACTCGTTTATCTTCCCTCCAATCCCAAACCGTTCCGATCTCGGCCCGATGTACCAACACGCCACCAAAGCAGCCGTCCCACCAACCACGTGGACGACTAAGCTCCCCGCGAAATCCACAACCCCAACCCCGAACAGTCTGCTCCCCGCATCTACTTTAAACGCAGACATCCACCCTTTCGACGACCACACCCAGTGCGCGACCATCGGATAAATAAACGAAACCGTCAACACCGTCAGCGGGATGTACGCCTTAAAGTTCATCCTCTCCGCGACAGCTCCGCTCATAATCGTCGCCGCCGTCGCGGCAAAACTCAACGCAAACGCAAAGTGCGCGTAAAAAAACGCCGCGTCCGCTCGCAAATGGCCTTGCGATATCGACCCGGCGAACGAATTCTCCCCCGAGCTCCTCCTTTTCTCCATGTCTGACAACGCGAATTCCGTGGTTCCAATGAACCCTCCCGACGAGTCGTCTCCGTACGCGAACGCGTACCCCCACAAATAAAAACAGCACGCGGAGATGCACACGTCGAAGGCGTTTTTGAACAAGATGTTTTTCGTGTTTCGGATGGAGACCGAGCCGACTTCGAGGAGCATGAACCCTCCTTGCATGATGAACACCAAGGTGGTCGCCCAGAGGAGGAAAAAAACGTTGAGGTCGATTTCAGTCGATTCTAAAGTTAATAAATTACGACTTATATGGTTCATCATCATCACTTTACGCTCTAAAATGCATGTAAATACTCTCTGTCTCTCTGACGCTCTCTGTCTCTCCAGTTTGAGGCAGGGTAAGATATATACTACAGATGTGTGAAGAGATTTCCCTGAGGACAAAAGGACAAAGTAAGCCGCCAGATTTAGTTTAGGGTTGTTGTGCTTGGGGTTTAGGCAACATGAAAGGAGGGAGAATTTGGAGAAAAATCACTTCAAAAAATGGCAACCACAACAACATGATATGATGGGCGACGACGAAGAAGACAAAGGAGGATCAGGAGAGCGAGGAGTGTTTACGTGTTTACACGTGGCGGAGAAACCGTCTCTGGCGAAATCTATCGCGCAGCTTTTATCGTCGTCGTCCTCGTCGTCTTTGGATGATTGCGATGAGAAGAGTTCGTTGGGGAACAAAAGAGGCACAGGATTAAAAACGAAGAAAACAACCGTCGGTTCGATCGAGATACACGAGTTTTACCGACCGTTTTTACGGAAGAAATGTTTGCATCGATTCACCTCCGTCGCCGGGCACGTGTGCTCGATCGATTTTCCGGACAAATTTCAAGACTGGGACCTCGATCCGAAACTGTTGTTCGATTGCAAGACGGAAAAGAAAGTCACCGCTGGGAGAATACGAGGGAGTTTAGAACGAGAAGCGAGAACGTGCGACGCGCTGGTGTTGTGGTTAGATTGCGATCGAGAAGGGGAGAACATATGTTTTGAAGTCATGGACGCGGTCGTGCCTCGCATGAGAGGAGGAGGAGGAAGGTATGAGAATGTTTACCGGGCAAAGTTTAGCGCGATATCGAAACCGAGCGTAGAAAACGCGATGAAAAATTTAACGAAACCGAATAAGAACGAAAGCGACGCGGTGGACGCGAGGCAAGAACTGGATTTGAAAATGGGCGTCGCGTTCACGCGGTTTCAGACGAAGTATTTTCAGGATAAGTTTAGCGGGTTTGATTCGAGGTGCGTGAGTTACGGGCCGTGTCAAACGCCGACGCTTGGATTTTGCGTGAAGAGACATTTGGAGATTATACGGTTCGTCCCGGAGAGTTTTTGGCGGTTAAAGTTGAATTTACCAACAGTTGCGGCGGCGAGTTTAAAACAAAGCGATGATGACGTCGTCATCGTCGACGACGATAACGGAATGGCGACGAAGACGACGAGTTACGAAATAGCCGAATGGAAGTGGCATCGCGAACGCGTTTTCGACGAATCGAGCGCGATATCTTTAGAAGCGTTGTGTTCGGATTTTCTGAAAAAGAAGGACAAGAAAGGCACATTGGTCGGTACGATCCGTTCGAAGCAATCGAAACGGCCTCCGCCAGGCATGAATACGGTTGAAATGTTGAAAACGTGTTCGAAAATGGGCATCGGCGCGCACCGAGCGATGCAAATCGCCGAGAGATTATACTTGGACGGGTTCATTTCCTACCCGCGAACGGAATCGTCGGCGTATCCGCCCGGGTTTGATTTCAAAAGCATCGTCGCCTCCCAAACGAGCAACGACGAGTGGGGCGACGTCGCTAAAAAGATTTTAAGTTTTTCTTCGATTCGAAAACCGTCCGGTGGACAAGACGCCGGCGATCACCCGCCGATTACGCCCGCGGGAAGATTCGGGAATCGAAATTCCATGAACGGCGAAATGTTTCGCGTGTATGAGCTCATATCTAGACACTTTTTAGCGACGTTACTTCCGGATCTAGTATTGGAAAACATAGAGAGCGAAATTGTGATTGCCGAAAGCGAACGGTGGAAAGCGAAAGGGGTGAAAATTCTCGATTTCGGTTGGACCGAGGCGTTGCCGAGACGAGCGCCGAAACTTAAAATAATCCCAGACGCGTATCAATTGTCCGATAACGAGAGTAAAAATAATAAAAGCAGAGACGTGGACGTGATTTCAGTCACAATTGAGCGAGGCGAAACGCAACCGCCGAATTATCTCACGGAATCTGAACTCATAGGCACGATGGAGAAAAACGGCATCGGCACCGACGCTTCCATTCCAACGCACATCAACACCGTCGAGGCGCGTAAATATTGCGAAATCGTCCCAAGAGACGGACGAAGAGTCATACCAACTGATTTAGGAATCACTTTATGTCGAGCGTATGCGTCCATCGACGAAGAGCTCGCGTTGCCGACCGTTCGCGCGCACATTGAAAAACAACTCGATTTAATCGCCGAAGGTAAAGCGGATAAAAACGCCGTCGTTTCGCAGGCGTTGATGCAAATCAAAGCTAAGTTCATACATTTCGAGAAGAACATCGCCATCGTTGACAACTTATTCGAAGCCTCGTTCGCGTCTCCGAAAGAGCTTCAATCTACCCCACACACCGTGTGCGGTCGATGTCGAAGGTACCTGAAACTTCAAGCGTCCGGGAGACGCCACGGACGGAAAACGTTTAGATTGTTTTGCGAAACCGAGGCGGAAACGTTTGAGTGTCCACGAAACGCGAGCTCGATTAAACCGTGGTCGGGAAGATTTTGCGAGATTTGCGATTTCGAGTTATCCATATACGAAACATCCGACGGCGAACGCGCGTATCCGTTCTGTCCGTTTTGCTATAACCATCCGCCAGATTTTGGGACTTCTTCGAGTAAAAGCGGCGGGTGTCCACATTCCGTTTTACACCCGATCGTGAGCGAACGCGCGATTGCTCCTTGTCCAAATTGTGAAAAAGAAACCGCGAAGGATCCGTATTACTTGGCAAACGCGACTTTGGGTGCCGCGGGATCGTCCTCGACGGCAGCCTCCGTGGTTTCTTTACCGCAACTCTTGCTCGACCCGATTTTACGCAAAGGCGGACGATGGCGCTTAAACTGTACCAAATGCGACTTAATCGTTGGCTTACCCAAAGGTTTAAAAAAAGTTGAGGTTTCCGACGAGCACGAGTGTTCCGCGTGCGACGCGAAGTGTTTGATCATGACAAAAATCTACGGCGAGCGAGACGAGACGGAGGAGTTTGAGAAAATTGCTTGTTGTTTCTGCGAAGACGACATTCGAGAAACGTCGACTGTTCAATTCGCGAGTTCTCTCTCTCTCGGAGGTGGAGGTGGTGGTAGAGGAGGCAGAGGAGGCGGAAGAAGATAGAATTGAGGAGCAAAGGAACGTGGCAATTGTAACAGATGTACTAGTAGTAGTAGTAGAGATAATAGAGATAATAGTAATGATAAGAGCTAAAATTTACGTTTTGTTGAATTAAAAAAATCTAAGTGTGTTGTGTTTCATCTCAATTAAGCCATCGCCTTCTTGACAATCGCGGATCTCTTCGATCTCGCAATCGCAACCTTAAATCTATCAAAATCAGTCAACGTCTTTCTCGCGCTTTGCCTCGCGATCTTTTGCCCCCACTTAGACGCCGCGAATTCCGCCGCCGCGCCTTTGTGCGCCGCCGCCAACGCCGCCGCGTCCGGACATCTCCCCGTGTCCAATTTAATCGGCGTGATTGCTAAGCGTTTCAAGTTGATGATGCATCGCTTGATGCCCGGCGCGTCGACTAAAACTCTGTTTTGGTCCACCAAGTCGACGACGACGACGAGCTTGCCGTACAATTTGTCCGCTTTCAAGTTGACCAGCGCGACTCGGCCTAATTCGATGTTTCTCTGTTGTTCATATTGGTAGGAGAGGAAAAAGACGTTTTGGTAAGTATGCGTTGCCAAGAGCGAGCAGAGAAAGTCATCGAGCGCTCTCCCCCGGATGACTTTACGACGACGACGACGAGTGACATCGAGAGGCTTTCGCCCCGAGAGACGGAGAGAAAACAGAACACCATCGCCGCGAAAGAGCGACCGCGCTCTCTCTCAACGAGAGCGGAAAAACCCCATCCGGTCGCAAAGTCGCGCGTAAACGCGCGCAATCGTACGAAAACCCTCTCGCACATCCAACCATCCGGTTCGAAAGCATACGCCTCGAACGAACGACTCTTTGCTGCGCGCGACGAAGCACCCCAACGCGCATTCAACTCCTCGCGCGTGCACCGTCCGCCCCGATTTCCGACTTTCAAAGCGCAAAGAAGCGCAATTTTCTCGTTCGCATCAGGAGACTCGTCTTTCGCGCGCAAAATTAAAAAAATCCAAATCCATGCGACGACGCGTAGAAAGGACGCGACCGTCCAATCCGCCACGCGTCGAGCGCATCGAATCGCACGAAATGCGCTGAATATCAAAAGAATATAGAAACAGAGAGGGAGAGACGAATGTGTCTGTGCGCACCTGGAACGGCATGTTTTTTCTCGACTAAATCGTTTTGTGGTTTTTTTTTATGAGGAGGAAAAGGACAACTCTTTTGGGGAGAAAAAATTGGCTTCAAAAAAGAAGCACGTTTGGACAAAATTGGACACTTTACGAAGAGCGTTGCTATATCTTACGAAACATTCATTCACACACCGAAAGAGAGAAAAAGAGAGAGCACAGAAAATGACGATCGATTACTCGAAGTGGGATGCGATCGAATGTTCGTCGTCTGATTCAGAAGAGTTTACCAATGCCGACGCGAACGATGATGATTATGATGATGATTTCGAGGGTGAAGAGGTCGTTGAGAGAGATACGGGCAAGAAGAAGAATGATGAGAACGAAAAAGAACCCACGAAACGGGATGACGAAAAACGAGACGCGTTGCATGAGAACTACGACGTCGTCGTAGGCGAGAGACTCTTTAAGGAGGATGAGAAACTCACTAAAATGAAGGAAATGTTTTACGACTACACAATCGAGCGAGATATGAAGAGGGTAGAGAAAGAGTACCGGGAGAAACAGAAGAGAAATCCGCAGGATTTTTCAATGACGTACGAACCTTCTGGAGAGAAAGAATGGCGAACGATCGGGACGAACATATTCTCAGTCGCTTTGTGCGAGTTTCCTAAGACCCTGCGGAAGTTTTTGAAACGAGTTGGACGGGAGTGGGTGGAAACGTTCGCGTGTACGGTGAGACGAGAGGAATTGAAAAAAGAAGTATATTTGCCAAAAGAGGATTCGTATCACGTGAGCATATGTTGTGTTCAAGACGTGGCAAAAGATGATGAGAATGTCGGTGTATTAGGGAAGCCGGATGACGCGCTCGACGACGAACAGTTGATTGCGATTATGAGAAAACTAGTTACAATTACGAAAGAAACGAATGGTTTTATTGAACTGAAACCAGTCGGCGTTCGTCTCGGAACGGATGGAGGTGTCGTCCTGGCGTGTGAAATAGATAAAACGCTACAAGAACTTAGAGAGAAAACGATCGAGGCAACGATGGAAGCAACAAATGGTCTTTTCACGGGACGCGCGAAACCAATGGTTCTCATCACCATCGCGCGAACGCTCGAGAATCCAATCGTCACGTCTTTTCAAAGCAAAGTTATTAAAATTTTCAAGGAGAAGTACGAACGCGTCTATTTAGCGCCGATTCGAATCAAATCAATATTTTTCTCGCACGAGACTCGATGGATGCACGAGAAGATAGATTATCGTTGCGAATTAATGTTAGGCAAAGAGAACGGCGAAGCGCTGGAAGATTTCGACGAGTATTTAATACGGAGACGAGAACGGAGAGAGCGAAACGATGATGATTCAGATGATGATGATTCAGATGATGACGATGATGATTCATCTGGGTGGGACTCGGACGAATACAAGAAAGCGTGCGAAAAAGATAAAGTAGGTCTACCCGGAGATCTTATGCGCGTATTGAATAACTACATCGATATCCGCAGAGAGGTGGGGGATGAGGGATAAGAGCCAGTTTTAATCTCCAAAATAAAATACAATAACACATCTCTCTGTAAAACTGCGCGTAGTAATCAGCATGAGGCTTTGCGCTTTGACGACGATTCAGACGACGACGACGCGTTGTTGTTGCTCTTTACTTCTGTTTTTTATGGTGACTTTTACGAGAACGATGCATGCGGAGGCGTACATGGCGGCGATAAACCCGGCAAAAGTGTCTAATCAGGCGGCAACATCATCATCGGATTCGTCCAATGATTTCGATTTCGAGTCGCTCGGAGAAGGGACGGCGCCGTCGTTAAACCCGAACGATTACAAAGAGTTTAAAGAATCCTATTCAGAACAGGCTTTAATGAATAATAGAAACGAAGAAGACGAGACGGAATATCACGCGGAAAACGACGTGGAAGGGAACTTGGATTTGTCTTCGAAAGCGACGACGCACGAGATTTTGGAAGCGTTGTCCGATCAGTCCATCGCGGACGACGCGGAGGAGCAAATAGAATCGATCGCGGATGGAGAGGAAATCGCGGATAAAGATGGGTTTGTGGTCGAACACGATCACGGGGACCCGAACGGGCACAGGTGTAAACCGTTAGTCGGGTTGAGAGGTTTGGAGACGCTTCGTAAGAACGAAAAGAGATTGAAGGAGGCGCACGAACGCGGGTTGAATCGGGACGAGTTGAAGAAGAATCCGGAAGGTTTATTAGAGAGAGAGGCGGCATACATCGACGCCGAGGAGACGAGGATTGGGTACGAAAACTGTTTGACGACCGTGATGCCGACGTTGTTAAAAACGACGGATTTTACGGCCACCATACGGTGCGAGACGAAAACCGCGCACGAAAATTTTAACAAATACCGAAGAGACGCTTTGAAGAACAAGCAGTGGTACGACGAGTTACCAGAGCGAGGACGTTTTTCGCACACCCGAGGCACGGTCTCAAAAAAAGCCGGGAAAGTCATCGCGTTATACAACGGGTACGCCGTTTGCGTCAAAGAAACCATCCCGACGTTACATTTACATCTCATGGATTTACACAAGGTTGCGAAAAACAAAGACGACACGCACCATTTAATCGAGCGCCCGAAGTACGATCCGAGAGGTATTTATAAGACCAACGGGAAACCAAGCGGAGGGAACGCCGGGTTGGAGAGAAGCGTCAAAGAGGCGTTTCATTTGTTCAGCACGAAAGATGAAAATGGGAATAAAAAGAAAGGCAATACTAAGAAAGGATCGCGGCGGATGAAATCGTTGTAATCGAAATGTGCTTTGCTTTAGACTCTTACATAGTAGTAAAAAACACCGGTGTAAAAATAATTTTCTCGAGTTGAATTTTCTTCATTTTTCTTCTCTCGACTAATCGAACGAAAGAGAAGAGCGTTAGTAGAGTCGTATTCCTAAATAAACTGCGATTATTATTGTGAAGAAGAAGAAGAGGAGAAGAGGAGAACCCGTGTATAGATACATATATACATATAAGCAAACTCTGTCTTCTCGCTTTCGCTCTCGTGAGTTGCGCTAAACATACGGACGAGGAAGAGGAAAGGAAGAATTTCGATCGATCGGAAACGCAAAACTCATTGAATTCAAATCGGATTGAACGCAAACCAACGCCGCGTTCGCGTTGCTTGCGCTGCCGTTGAAAAGTCGCCATGGCAGAGGCCGAGGAAGAGGAAGCGCGAGAGGAGGACGTCGACGATGGAGAAAACGGATTGAGAGGAGGAGAAGAACCAGAAAAGGCGGCAGCGAAAGGCGGTGACGACGACGAGGAGGAAAAATTAGACGCCGGCGTTGGTGCGGAAGAAAACGACGAGAAGGATTCAGAAGACGATTCAGACGACGATTCAGACGACGATTCAGACGACGATTCAGAGGAGGAGGAGGAATCTGGCGACGAGGAACCGTCCGATGCGGAAGATCTCGAGGGTGACGAAGAAGAAGAAGAAGAAGAAGAGAATACTAGGAAAAAGAAGACACAAAAGAAAAAGAAACGCAAAAACAAGTTCATCGACGACGTCGCGGACGAAGACGACGACGAGGACGACCGACGAAAAAAGAAGAAGAAACGAGCGAAAGGTAAAGATGGTAAAGCGGTGAGTCGATTTATCGACGACATCGCGGACGCGGCTGGATCGGACGACGAGGAAGACGAGGAAGGCGACGAGGACGAACCCATCGACGACGCGGAAAGAGAGGCTTTGGCGAGAGAGATGGACACGAGGTTACACGCGAGAGTCGAACAAGCGCAGAGGATTGATGCCGCGGACGATGAAGAGTTGGAGAGAATGGTAAAGGAGAGGTACGAGTCCAGACGGTACGCGGACGCCTACGACGAGGAAGGTCAGAGACGAGGTCCGATCGTGAACGAGTACGTCGATCAGCAGTCGTTGCATCCAACCGTTCGCGATCCGAAATTGTGGATGGTCGCGGTGAAGCAAGGTAAAGAGAGAGAAGTGACGATTTGTTTGATGCAGAAGATGATCAACTTGCAAAAAACGAACAAGCCGCCGATGAAAATCATGTCCGTGGTGACGCAAGATCATTTGAAAGGGTACGTCTACGTCGAAGCCATGCGCGACGATCACGTCAAGAAGGCGTTGCAAGGGTTGAGGCACGTGTATCACATGAAACCTCCGAAATTGGTGCCGTTGAAGGAAATGGTAGAATCAATTTCCGTGGCGAAGAAAGAAGTCGAGGTTATTCGACCGGATTCGTGGGTGCGCATGCGATCGGGGGTGTACAAAGCGGATTTGGCTAAAGTTGTCGAAGTGAACTACGGGGATAACTCGTGCGTGGTGAAAATCTTACCTCGATTCGATTACCAACATTTGGCGGATAAAGAATCCGGCGAGGCGAAGAATAAGCCGAAACCGACGGTGCGACCAGCCGCGAGATTGTTTTCTGAAACCGAAGCCAAAAATAAGAATTTATCGTTCGAGCGCGGGAAATTCGACCGAACGTTGAACGACCGCGTGGACGTTTTATGTGGAACGCACAAGATTAAAGACGGGTACTTGCTGAAACGATGCGCGTTGACGACGGTGAAATTGACCGAAGCGCCTTCGCTAGATGAGATTCAAAAGTTTGCCCCGGGCGGCGATGAAGAGGACGACGACTTTGACGACGAAGAAGACGATGAAGACGGCGGAGCGCGACGAAAGAAGTCGACGAACAACCACATCAATCGTCTCGCGAAACTAACTATGAATGAAAAGAAAGCGAGCAAGAGCGCGGCGGCGAGATTTCTCGTCGGCGATCAAGTCATCGTCGTTGAAGGTGATCTTCGAAACTTGGAAGGCGTGATTAAACGCGTCGATGCCGATGGACGCGTTATAGTCGATCCTTCGCACAAAGATCTCACCGATCCGTTGCCATTCAACCCGGAGCAGTTAAGAAAACACTTTAAAGTTGGTTCTACCGTTCGCGTCGTTCACGGCGCGCACGAAGGCGCGAGCGGGATGGTGGTCAAAGTTTCTGACCAAATCGCGACTGTTTTTTCCACGTCCACGAACGAGGAGTTTTCCGTCTTCATGCGCGATCTTGCAGACGATGCTGAAGCGGCGACGCGCGTCGACCGCATCGGCGAGTACGCTTTACACGATTTGGCCATGTTGGACGACGGAAACGTCGGCGTTTTGACTCGAGTTGAGAAAGATGTCGCGTTTGTGCTCACGAACGTCGGCACATTAGAACGACCAAACGTGAAAGCTTGCAAGCTCGCGGATTTCAAACGAAAGATGAACTCGAGAAATCAAACCGCGCAAGACGGTGCGATGGAACTCATCGACGTTGGATCTATCGTCCGAATAAACGAAGGCCAACTGAAAGACGTCAACGCGACGGTAGAACACATCTATAAAGGCACGATTTGGGTCAAAGCCAGAGGCGTTCAAAGAGACGGCGGGATTGTTTGTTTGCGATCTCGTCAGTGCTTCGTCCACGGTGGACAAGGAACTCGACAAGGTGGAGCCATCCCTGGTCTCACGCCTGCCATGCAATCGGCGTTTACCAACGCGCCGAAATCGCCGGGTCATGCGCTCATCGCGCAATCCATGGGTCTCACGGCCCAAATGGCCAACGCGAGCGGTGGCATGTACCAACAGCCAGCGGTGCAACAGCGACGACCGGTTATTCAACAGCGCATGGGCAGAGAACGTGCGGATCCTATGGTTGGTAAGCTCGTTACCATTCGCCGAGGCGTGTATGCCGGATACAAAGGGAAAGTGGTCGATTGCGGACCGAAAACTGCACGAGTTGAGTTACAAGCGCAAGCCAGAACGGTCACGGTTAACAGAGACGAACTCGGTGGTGGACCTGGCTCTACGACTACGTATGGTACGGCTGCTCCAGCTGCGTACGGAGGCTACGGCTACGGGCAACAACCGGTGGATCGATACGCGGCGCAAACGCCGGCACACACGGCGGCAACTCCGGCGCACGGTGCAGGCTACGCGACAACGCCGGCCAGAGACAACGCTTGGAACCCAACGATGACTCCAGGAAGAGACGACGCGTGGGGTGCGGACGAACCCGCTGGGGCTCATGCCGGGTCCATCGCCGCCGAATACGGCAAAAACGATAAGGGTGGAAAGAAACAACTCGTTCCTGATGGTTACGACGGCGATTACTTGCCTGGTACGGTCGTGAAGCTCATGAACGGCTCGCAAGGTGTCGTGAAGAGAGTTCACGGCGTCGGCGGTTCAGCGTTAGACGTCCAACCGGGCATCTCCAACGTCAAATCTGGCGTGGAACACTTTGAGAAAATTTCTCGAGGCGCTCGCGCGGAAACCGTGGCGGAAGAAAACGTCGAGTTGGTCGTCCCGCTCAAAGGCGACGACGTCATCGTCGTCAACGGGGACGAGAGAGGGGAAGTTGCCGAATTGGTCATGGTGGACGGTGCAGATGGCGTTTTGAAAATCAAATCGAGCAATCAAGAAAAGAACGGAGAAGTCATCATCGTCGACATGTCGCGATTGGCGAGGTATTTCGACGATAAATAATTTACGATTGATTGAAAAGAAGGAGAAGAAGAAGAAGAAGAAGAAAATATAACAAGAAAATATAACAACACAACAAACATTTTGAGTTGAACATGCAATGATAAAAATACTTACGCTACTACGTACATATCTAGATTTAATTTCTATAAAATACTACCTAACTACTACTCTCTATATCGCTGTTATATTCACGTATCTATTATTTATTTACCCGGTCCGCCTAACAGGCCAACGCAGCCTTCTTTCGAAGCCATGCATCTCGAATACGTCTCGCGCTGAAATTTCACCAAGTTTCCTACAACCGGCTGTCGTTCCACGATGTTCCCATCCGGCAGATAATCTCGATGATATTTCACCAAATCGCTCCCATCTTCCATAAATTTCAACACGGTTACCCCGGGAAGATCTCGAAAGCTCCCTATCCCCAAATCCATGCTTAAATTCCATTCCGCGACGTACTTATCCGCGTCGCACACTTCGTCCGTTACGCTTAACCATTGCCGGGAAAAATCAAACTGGTTCTTCAAGTATTGCCGCATGTTGTCCCGCCCAACGACTCTGGTCAACCCCGGTCCGTCCGTGTACTCCACGTTTGCGGAGTAATGCGACAAGCACGCTTGCTTCCAGTTCTTCGCGCCGGACTCTTGGTTGCAGATTAATATTTGCCTCGCGATATCCAACCGTTCTTTGGAGAAGTTCCCGCACGTTGAGGTCAAAGGCACGCTCGTTTCCGGTATTGGCAGAAACTTCGTCTCCGCGAATGCCACGAAAAATGGGTTGTGGTCGTTTACCATCGTCATCGTCGTCGTCATCATCATCGCTACCGCCATCATCGCCGCCGCTTCGGACTTTGTTTCCTCCATCATATCTATATTTTTACCTTCGCCAAAATCATCATCATCACGACGACTACAAACCTTCCTCCTCTTCTTCATTTTCTTCGCTTTTGCTCCCACGCGGTGGTGGTTGAGCATCGAGTTACGGTGGTTACGGTGGTCGATGCAACAAATGCCAGAAAAAGTCGTCTGAATCGTCGACATTTTTCCGCCTTAATAATATGGTTATGAATGAGGTGGTTTGATGACAAAAAATGAAGCGAATGTGCTTCAGTTTTTTCCCTAACGAACAAGTTTGATGGGGAAGAGTTTCGCGCATAAAAAACGAAATAAAAGAAGACGGGAAAGGGAGAAGGAGGAAAATGAACGACTGCAGAGACTGCGGGGGATAGACGAGGAGGAGAGGCGAGGGAACGTTTTGTTGTGGGATTTGATCGTGAATAACGACGATATTTGTTTTAAACATATCATTCCGAGATTAGATTCGAACGATGTGAAATTCTTCTACGAAGTGAACAGTGAAACGAGCAAGTTGATTAAGAGATCATCTCGCGAGAGAGATTTGAAAAAGTGGTTTCATATTGAAGAGATGTCGTCGATATCGACTTTGGAAGTAGCGTGGAAGCATTATTCGTGGGGCGATTATGATCACGATTTTGATATAGACTGGGACGAACCACGTTTCTGCTCTTTAGTTGCTAAAACGAATAAACTCGAATTGCTCAAGTGGGTGCGAGAGGAGAAAAAGTGTGATTGGGATGTAGGGACGATTAATAGGGCCGCAGAACAAGGCAATCTGGAAATGGTAAAGTATTGCGTGGTAAAGAAGTGTCCTATCGGTACGTATGCGTGTGCACGTGCTGCCGAAAACGGTCATCTCAAGGTACTCAAATACTTACACGAAAACGTCAAAGCGCCTTGGGATTCTTATACTGCCGCTTGGGCGGCTCGAAATGGTCATTTTCATATACTCGAATATCTTGTCAAGCGTAAATTTGATAATTATAACGAAGGTGCGTGTGCGTGTGCGGCCTCAGGAGGTCATCTCGAGGTACTCAAATACTTACACGAAGAAGTCAAAGCGCCTTGGGGACCGCAAACTGCCAATTGGGCGGCTCATAATGGTCATCTTCACATACTCGAATATCTTGTTGAGCGTAAATTTGATCAATTTGACGTATTGGCGTGTAGGAATGCAGCCATGTACGGCCACTTAGACTGTTTGAAGTACTTGCGCGAAACTACCAAAGTGCCTTGGAACAGTGGCGCATTTGCTTTCGAAACCTGCGAGAACGACCACCCCGAGTGTGTACGATACCTCCTCGACAACAACTGTCCTCTCCCACCCGGTTGGCTATACGAAGATGGAACGTTACGCACGTCGTATAATCGTATCGTAAACGCGTGCTCGGATACACAAAATTTACGCGCGCACACGCACAGCTTGTAATGTAAAAAAGAAGATATACTAGTAGTTAGCGATGACCTTTTCCTTCCGTTCTCGCGTGTTTCGCACGAATTTAAGCTCCTTCGCTTGTCCATTCTATCCATTATAACTCGATCATCATCCTCACTTTCTTTCCTCGCGCGCATACAGTAAAGACACTTTAAAGCCTTCCTTCTGCTCTTACGAAACCACACGAACAACGTTACGGTACACAATGTTCTCGATGACGAATATTGCGGCGAAATCTTCGCATTTCAGCGCGATCAAATCGTGCACTTTATCCCAACGCGTTCACGTCGGATACCACTGCGCGTTGTTACGAAATCGACGTTCGAAGGTCCGGCACGTGAGAAGTACGTCGGCGTCTTCTTCGGTCGCGCACCCAGAGGATGTGGAGATTAAAATCCCACCGAACGACGGCACCGTCCGCGTTCGGTTCGCGCCGTCTCCGACCGGGAGTTTACACGTTGGCGGAGCGAGAACGGCGTTGTTTAACTGGTTGTACGCGAAAAAAACGAACGGGAAGTTCATCTTGCGAGTGGAGGATACGGACACGGCGAGGTCGACCCGAGAGAGCGAACAGAGCATGCTGGCAGATTTGAACTGGTTAGGTCTGGATTACGACGAAGGACCGGAAAAAGGAGGCGAATTCGGACCGTATCGACAATCGGAGAGAGGCGCTATTTACCAAACGCTCGCGCGGAGATTGATGACATCGGGACACGTGTACAAGTGTTTTTGCACGGACGAGGAGTTGGAACAGATGCGAGCGGAACAAGAGGCGAAGAAATTACCGCCGAAGTACGTGGGGAAGTGGAAGACGGCGTCGGAGGAGGAAGTGAAGGCGATGGAGGCGACTGGCGCGCCGTATACGTACAGATTTCGCGTACCGGAAGGCGAACGCATTGAAATCGACGATTTGATTAGAGGTAAAGTTGGGTGGGATACGGACACGCTCGGGGATTTTGTTATTTTACGATCGAACGGGATCCCCGTGTATAATTTTTGCGTGGCGGTGGACGATGCGACCATGGGGATTACGCACGTTTTACGAGCCGAAGAGCATTTGCCGAACACGTTGAGACAAGCGTTGGTGTACGACGCGTTGGAGTTTAAGAGACCGACTTTCGGGCACATGTCGTTGATTTTAGCGCCGGATCGCTCCAAGTTGAGTAAACGACACGGCGCGACGTCTGTTGGACAATTTAAAGAGCAAGGATATTTACAGAAAACTATGATTAACTTTTTAGCGTTGTTAGGGTGGAACGATGGCACCGAAAAAGAGATTTACGAGGTGGACGAGTTAGCGCCTTTGTTTGCGATTGAACGCATCAACAAGAGCCCGGCGGTGTTTGATACGGTAAAGTTGAACTGGATGAACGGTCAACACATTAGGTTATTACCAGAAAGCGAACAAAACGAAATGTTAGGGTTGGCGATGGAGAAATCCGGGGTGATGAGCGCGACGGCGAGCGACGAGGCGAAGAAAATGGCGATTAGTTTGGTAAAGGATTCCATCGAGTTAACCGAGGACGTCAGCGCGAAAGTGAAGGAAATTTTGGAATATCCGTTGCAAGAGGAAATGAAAACGAACGAACAAATGCAAAAAGTTATCGAGGATGATTTTCAACCGATCGTAGATGCGATCGTGAGTGCGCACGAATCCGGCGAGTTGCAAGAGTGCGTAAAGAACAACGACGTGAAAAAATTCATCAACGCGACGGGTAAAGCGTTGGAAAGAAAAGGTAAAAGGTTGTTCATGCCGTTTAGAATCGCGTTGACTGGACGAACAGCTGGGCCAGAAGTCGGGGACGCTTTAGTGTTGTTGGGTATGTTGAAAGATGGGGATTCATCGAGTGCGGTTTTGTTGGACGAAAGAATCAAAACGTTGAAGGAAACCTTCTCGAAATAATAACTTTATTACGTTGGATGAAAATGCGATCGTACGACCGGTAATAACAATAATAATATATAATATAATAATAAAACAAACAACAACGGCGGACGCGAAAAAGTTTTAAACGCGTCGTTTAATCCTCGTCGTCTTCTTTTGGTTCTTCGGATTCAACCGGGGCCGCCGCGACGACCGGCTTCGGCGTCTCGGATTTTTTCGGGTAGCTGGTCTTTTTCGTGTTGCTCGACACCGTGTTCACGGTATCTTTGACTAACCCAACCGTGGAATTCGTCAGCTCTCGAACGTCCAACCCGGTTTGCGATTCGACCTCGTCTAGCGTTTTAGACAAACCCAAATCGTCGTCTTTGACGACTAACGAGTACACGAAATACGCCGATACGCCCAATCCAATCAATTCAAAAACGTCTCCCAACGCCACTGGCAAAACGACTAAAGAAGAGAAAGAGGCCAAGGAAAAAGCGGCGATCAAACCGTAAGTGCCGATTTCGTCTCTGGACATGTCATCATTCGCCTTCTTTTGCTCTTCTTTCTTCTTCATTTGCACTGGCAACGCGATTTTGACCGCCTTCGCGGCAGGAGGCGGCGCGACCGCCGGAGAAGCAGTCTTCTTCGTCTTCTTCTCTCCGCCGCCGCTCAAACTTGCGAATATGTTCGAAAACACCAAAGTCTGCGCTCTCTTCGTCGCCGGCGCCTTCGTCGCAACCTTCCCTCTCGAATTCACGATTTGCTTCACTGGTTTAATCGGTTGCTTCTTAATCGTATACTGCGACTTGACCGGCGGTCCCGAGCGCTTCAGCGCCGGAAACGGCGTGTACACCGGCTTCTTCTTCTTCGGAACGTTCAAACGTTTCGGCTTTGGCGCCGCGAACGACGACTTCTTCTTCGGCGTCGTCGCGGCGAACGAAATCGGTTTAATCTTGATGATTGGTTTCGAAATCATCGGTTTTGCTTTCGGTTTCATCATCAACGGTTTCTTCTTTGGCGCTTGAAACTTCTTCTTGTTCGCCCCACCCGAAGCCGAAGACTTGTAGAATTGCGTGCCAGATTTGGCAAATTTCATCGGTGTAAACGTTCCGGCGTAAAACGAGTTCCTCAAACCGACCGAGTTTTTCGTTTTCTTCCCGGCGTCGAGGTACGATTTCACTTTCGCTTTTTCATCGTTCTCTGAAGCAGAGACGACGACTTTGACGCGTCGCTGCGGTTGCTGCTGTTGTTGTTTTCCTTTATTTCCGATGATGGATGATGCGCTTCCTCCGTTGAGGACGATGCTGTTCCCGAAAGAGAAAGAAACCGACGTCATCTCGCACAAAGCGTGTAGTATTACTTAAACGTGTGTTTACGTGTGTTTACGCGTGTACGTGTTGAAAGTAAACTCGAATTAACGCGCGTTCGTTGGAGAGTCGTCGTCGTACTCCTACGAAGAGAGCGAGTTCTACGTTTTGGGGGATGATGTGCGCAAACGATACGAGAAAGATTTTTCATCGATCACTCGAAGAGAAAAGATATTTCGAGAGCAGAAAAGAACGACTTTGAGAGAAGAAAACTTTTCATAAGAGAGAGAGAGAGAGAGGATTTGGCGAGAGCAGCAGCAATAAAAAACTTTTTTGCTGCGATTGATTGGTGGTTCCAAAACTTTTTGTTTTGTTTTCCTTTTTTTCCTCTTCTCCTGCTTTTTCAACAGGCTGTGTTACAGGCAAAAAGAATGAAAAGTTTGGTTTGAACTCTGCTTCGAAACGGCCTCATTGAAAGAGAGACAATTACACTCGAATATCAGCAACTATGGCCAAAAGAACGAAATCGGCGAGAAAAGCCGCGAAATCGGTACGACCAAACAGAGAGCTTCTCGCGCGTGAAGATGAGACGCGCTCTCACCTTTTGCTGCCCTTCTTTTTTGCGCGCTTTTAAGCGTGTTTATATATATATATCTGATGTATAAATCTCGATTCCCCCAATTCAAAGGGGTTTCCTTCCCCCAATTCTCTCATTCCCGAGGGGATTAATTTGTAAAAAAAAGACACACTTTTGGCGTGAGTATTCACCTTTCTCCCTCCCTCTCCCTTTAAAACAGAAACCGTCCGCCCCGAGACAACGCACGCCCGCGCGTAAAGGCTACAAAGTCTGGACGGAACCGGAAAAGGTAGCCTTGACCGCCGGGGTAGCGAAATACGGTCCAGGTAATTTCTAATTTTTTTGTTATTTTTTGTTGTTGGAAAAAGGGCTGCTTTTTGCTGTATTTTTTAAAAGCTTTCTTCTTCTCTCGCTCTCTTTTTGCGCGGCGCGAGGAAGGAGTCTGTCTGTTTCTTTCGCTTTGAGGAGATGCGGGAGAGTGATGGAGAGCGATGTGGCAGAGAAGGCGTTTCTTCTTCTCTCGTCGTCGTCATCTTTCGATCGAGGCAAAAAAGGGAGGAAAGCCCTATTTTCCCCCTTTTTTTATTTTAAGAGAAAAAGGAAACAAACGGCTAATTTTTTTTTCAATGAATCGCTCTTTTTGACCAAAAACTCACACAAAAAAATGTTCTCTCTCTTGATATACGCAAAGGCCAATGGAAGAAAATCTTGGACGACCCGGCGTTTGGCCCGAAACTGACCAACCGATCGAACGTGGATCTGAAGGACAAGTGGCGCGGCGCGTCCCCGACGCCGACGAAGAAGACGAAGACGCCGGTGGCGGTGAGCAAAGCGACGAAACCGTCTTCGGCGAAGAAGTTGGCGTTTACGAAGAGTCCGCCGATTGGCGTGAGAAGATCGCCGTCGAAAACGAGACCGAGTTATACGAAGACGAAACCGGCGCCGCCGCCGAGAAGGCCGAGCAGCGCGAGAAAAGCGGCGAAGCCGGTCGCGGCGAAGAAGCCGTCGGCTCCGGCGAAGAAGGCGAGTTCGCCGGCGCCGGCGAAGAAGAGCGCTCCGGCAAAGGCTTCGAGCGGCGGATGCGTTATTATGTAACATGTTTTGAACTTTTACTAAAGAGACCGAGAAAGAGAGAAAAAGAGGGAGAGATGACGAGTGATTAGGAGAGAGAAAGAGAGAAAGGCAATCGTTCGTTACATGTAAATGAAAAATTTTAGAGGAAAGAGAAAAAGAGAGATTGGAAGACACAAACGAGAAGTTATTCGATTCGTACTACTTAGGAAAATTTTATATATGAAAAAACTAAAACTATTTTATATCACAACACACGACAGCATCTTTAATCGGAATTGCTGCTGACCATTTCGATCCATTGTCTCAATAAATCGCTAATCGTCGACGGTAATTGGTTCGATTCCTGAACGACCACGTAATACGGAAACGGAAACGAGTCCAAGTATTTCGTCATTTTCGGTTTGCCTTTTTCAAACGACACGGATTGCATGTCCAATAAAGACTTTTCTGGGTTATCGAGGACGATAAACGCGATTAAAACGCCTTTTTGATTTCCAAATTCGCGCATGACTTTCGTTAAGGCTTCTTTCTCGTGGAATTGTCCGTCGGCGATGATGAGGACGAGTTGTTGGAGGTTCGAGCCGGCCTCGGCGCTGCCTCGAGAACTGGAATTTTCTCGCGCTAAAGAAAGTTGCTGGTGCAAACTCTCCAGTAAAGTCACCATCGGCCGATCGGCCAACGTGCTGTCTTGACGAAACGTGAGCTTAGAGACCAGTTTTGGGCCGTTTTGGTCCACAAAAGGTTCACCGAGTGGGTGTAACGTCTTCACGCATCCGCCGAAACCGACGACGCCGATGTCGCCAACTTCTAATCGACTCATCGCTCTCGCCAATAAGACCATCGCCTCGAGCGCCGCTCGATCGCGCTTATTCTCCGACATTGATAACGAATCATCCACGGCTAATACGACTTGGTACCTTCTCTCAGACGGTTTCGATCGACGAAGCCAAATTTTGTCCTTTCGGAAATCGGAGGCGATGTACGGGATGATTTTTCGCATATTCAAACGTTTTCCGGTTCGGTAGTCGCCGCGTAAACGAGATGCTAACGTCGGTTCGAGAATCAATCGGAGTTGCTCGCTCAATTCGCCAGAGAGAGAACCGGTTAAATCTTCTAGAGTTCGCCAAAGATGTTCGGCGGCATCTTCGTCCATTTCAGACAAGGCGTTGTCTTTATCTTCTCGGAACATTTGTAAATCTTTCTCGGCTTCCGCGCGCGCGAGTTCAATCTCTTCTTCGGTTAGTTCGCGCGTTCGGTTGACATTCTCTTCTTCGTTGTTATCGTGCTCGATGTTGGCATTTTTCAGCTCGACGATAGCTTCTTCGAGTAAGCGTTTTTCCTTCAGTTCTTTCTTCTTTCGCTCTTCGTCGGTTTCGTCGTCAGATGCCATTTTTTCATCGTCGCCATCCTTTTCATCGTCGTCATCCTTTACTTCACCTCCATTGGCGTCAACATTTTCTTCAAGTTGCAACTCCTCGTTTGGCGCGAAGTTCTTGTCGCGTTGACTTTTCTTTTTGTTGCTCTTCTTTTGTTGCTGCTTTTCTGCCATCTCGCCGGAGACATCTTCCTCGTTCTTCTCCATCGGATCTTCTTTATGCTTGTTTTTCGCGTCGAGATCAGCCTCATCAACTTTCTTCATCTTTTCGTCTTCCTTCTTAAAGAACTCTTCGGCGTTGATTTCTTTTTCATCGTCGTTGAGCCGTTCATCGTCTTCTTCGCCAGTATTCGCGCCTTTGAGTTTTTGCGTCACGGCTTGTTCCTCGGTCGCCGGAGCCAACGCGGCTGGTCCTTTCTCTTCGTTCTCTTCACCCCCGTGTATGAACTGAAATTCCGCCGCGGCGTCGTTTTCGTTTTGAATTATATCGTCCGCATCGCCTACATCCTTTGTGTTTTGGTCTTCTTCGTCATTGTCGTCGCTGACGATCGATAAGTTCTCGCGCCATTTCTTCATTGCCGCGGCGAGGGAGCGGTGAGGGTTCATCTCCGGACCACCGCTCTTCTTCGATTTGTTCTCCTCGTTTTGATTCGCGTTGTTCTGCTCGGCGTCGTCCATGGGTTGTGCGGAAGTCGGAACCGCGGCACCTTTACCAGCGGCTTCGCCGTCGCCGTCGCCATCGCCGGCATCGTCCTCGTCCTCGTTTTGATTCTGAAATCCAGCCGTGGATCGCATCGGCGCTTCTTGCTGTACTTCTTTTTGCTCCTTCGTGAAATTCTGGTCGTCGTCGTTTTCACGTTCGTCTTGGCCGCCAGCGTTTTTGTTTGGTTGTGTCCGTGCGCTTCCATCGCCGGCCGTTCCGCGTGCACTCGCCGCGCCTTGTTCGCCGCCTTGACCGTGTTGTTGCTGTTGCTCGGATTCGTCGATTTCGCAGTCGTCTCCGCCGCCGCCGTCTCCGGCACCTTTCGGTCCAGCTTGATTCCGAGCGTCTTTATCCTCCTCTTCGTGTGCTTCCTGAGCGTTAGCATCGTTAACCGCGTCGTCTTTGCCGTCTTGACCGATTTGACCGTCTTCCTCTTCTTCCTCGTTATCGACGTCCATGTCGTCATTGCCGGCTTCTTTTTCATTCTCCCGCGCGTCGTCGTCTGGGTTCAACTCGGCGTCGTCTCGATCGTCTCGATCGTCTTTGTTTTCGCCATTTTCACCGGTTAAGTCACCATCATCGTTCATGTCGTCGTCAGTTGGTTTCGATCCGTCGTCTTCTTCACCTTTCTCTTCTTCCGCTTCATCGCCTCCGTCGAGTTGCATGTCGTCATCTCCGAGATCGATATCCAAGTCATCGTTCGCATCGTCGTCCCCGTCTTCTTCTTCACCCTTAGGCGTGATACCAGTAGCATCTTTGACCTCTTGGTCGTTCATATTATTGTCGTCTTTCGTATCGTCGGCTTCCTCGTCTGGACCTTCATTCGTATCCTCTTTATTAGCCTCCGGCTTGCCTTTCTCCTTGTCGTCTGGTTTTCGAGGAGGTTTCTTTCCGTCCTCTTTCCCATCATCTTTCCCTTCCTCGTCCTCGTCTTTCCCTCGCATCTCTTCGTCTCTGGCATCTTCTCGTTTCATCGCGTCTCCTTTTTCAAACTCATCCGGTCCCTCGTCTTTCCCTTCCTCTTTTTCCTTCTTGTCGTCTTCGTCGTTCCATAACCTCTCGTCGATGATGTCGTCACCGTCTTCGTGGTCCCCCATTTCCTTCTCCAAATCTTCGTCTTCGTTGCCATCTTCTGGTTCGTTTTCCACGTCGTGCGTGACGCCCTCAAAGTCGGATTTCATTTCAATGCCGCGATCTTCCTCTTCTTCTTCTTCTCCGCCTTTTTTCGTTTGTTCCTTCTTTTCCTCGTCTTGTTTCTCCGCGTCTTCCATGCCCAAAATTTGTTCCTCGTTATCGATTTGCTCCGAAACGTCTTTTTTACCTTCACCTTCAGCCGCACCGGTACCGTCTTTGTCGTCCGAGAGCTTCATGTTCTCGCCGTCACCGGTACCTTTACCGTCTCCGTCGTCCTTGGCACCGCAGAAACCTTCCTCGCAAAGACCGCAGAAGACGGCGGTTAACACTTTGGCTAATTTCGTCGACGCTCGATGGTACTTGGAGTACTCGACGATGGTTTCTTTCGCAACTAAAGCGATGGAGCGGAACATCGGAGCAAGTTTTGCCGCGTTTGCGATGACATTTTGACGATTTCTTTCAGTAGAAGAAGAATAGGGCGAAGTGATACTTTCCGTGACGCGAGCGTAGGCAAGAGAGGCTTCGCGGATGGCATCGCAGAGCGTTTCGAGACGCTTGGCGCCGACGGCGTTGCCGCAGTGTTTTTCGTACACTTTGAACGAGGCTAGCCCGTCGTCTTCACCGTCGTTCTCGTTGTCGTTTTTGCCATCATCAGTGCTCGCATTGGTTGCTTTCTTTTCCGTTTCTTCCTCTTCGTCCGTCATTGCGGCTTTGTGAACCCCTTGCGCCCAAATCAACGCGCGTTCGATGCACATCTCGAGCGATGCGTTGAACGAATTTAAGCCGTCGATTTCGGCGGCTTTAGTCTCCTCAATTTCAGTAGTGGTGTTGTTCTTGTTTTCGTTCCTCTCGAAGTGAGTAATCGCGGTGGATAAGATCGTACCTAAAAGTTTGCGCAACGGATCCCAACCTGGGCAGTTCTCGCAATCCGCCGCGTACGTGCCGTAGGTCTCCACGACATCTTTCGATCGCGCAGATTCTATAACCGCATCGTGCGCGGCTTCAATATCTTTCGACGCAACTCTTAGACGATCAAGTCCCACGGAGAGAGCGCGTTTGGCTTGCAAACCGAGCATTGGCACCGCTCGCCACGACGCGAACATTTCTTTTCCAGAAGTAGTATTTTGCGCCGTTGACGACAACCGAGAGCTCGCTTGTGCGACAGCCGCAAATGACAGCTTCACGTACGGATTGAGCGCTTCTCGAGCTTCCTCGCACCTCAATTCAACGTTTAGCAAAGCTTCTCTCGCTGCCTTCTCGCTCCATGAGCCTCGAAGCTTTGGAACGGATTCGCAACTCGAAGACGCGATGGATGCCAAAATGGCGTCTTTCGCCGCGTTGGAGACAGCTTCGATGAAGGCGCGCACATTGCACATCCATTGAGCGAGAGTTACACCCGATGATGAACGAAAAAGTGAGAGAGTATCTTCCTCTTGCATGCTACTCTGTTCTTCGGCTTCCTCGACCAGTTTTTCTAACGAAGAAGCGAATTCATCCAAGACATTCTCTGACGCAAGTGCGGAAGATAACGTCTTGCGTTGCGCGCGAAGCCTGTGCAAAAGATGTTCGCACATCGCCACCGCTCTGGTCGTTTGAATCACCTCTAAATCAGGATTGGGAGGATTATTATTCGTCACGTTTTGCAATCTTTGCACCCGAGACATTGCAACGTAATACGACTGGTCGGCAGAATCGAGTTCGTCTCCTTCTTCGGGAAGAAACCTTTCTTTTTGCCCGGTGGAGAGCGGTTCTAGAGGCGGTTCGGTAAACCATCGCGCAGGTTCGCGAAATTTTTCCGGAACCGCCGCGCGCTTGTGCGTGATCCCGAGTTCAGGCAAAGTCTTCATGAGATCGTTGAGAGCTTTCTTTTTTATGGCCTTTTTCACCGTTTCGTCTGTGCGCAAAGCTGTAGCTCTGCGCGCGATTCGAGACGCGAATGCGTCTATGTCGACGCCTCCGGCACGAATTTGAGATCGGCGTGAAGTTTCCATGGTCGACGTTGCCAAGACGGATGTGATCTTTTTCGTCAAAGCATCTACGCGGTGTAAAAGAGACGATGCGTTCCCTTCTTCGCTTTCAATTGATTTCAATCGAGAAACTCGAGCGAGTAATACTTTCGTCGAAGTATCAAACGCCCGCTTCTTCACCGTCAAATCGGCATCCAACTGTTCGAGCTTTCTCTTTGCAATCTCTTCTCTTTTGTCCCGCTCGCGTTTTATCGTCGCCGCTTTGACCGCTTTATCGAATCGCTTTTTCTTCTTCTCCTCGTCTTCTTCTTCAATATCTTCAAAGATCACTTCCAAGGGGTCTTCGTCCGTCGGCGCTGCCGTCGCCTCTTCGTCGTCTTTTGATTGTTCCTTCGGCAAAACGGCTAACCCGGTGCTGTTTCTCGACGCAGATTCCAAGATGGGTAAGACGAGTTTTTGCAAAGCGCGATCAAACTGACGAACGTGTTTGTGCAAAACGCGCTCGTTGGATTCCGCTTGTTGTTTCATGAAGTGGTAGCCGCGGTTTTCCCATTTCGCCAACTTGGCGTGATCCTCGAGCTTCCTCGCCGGCGTGGCGCGTTCGTTTTCAATTTCAGTTTCCACAGCAGGTTTGAATTGATGGTAATAACGGTACGTATTGTGCAGCACGCATCGTAAGGCTGCATCGCCTCTTCTTGGAAGTAAGTTCAAGGCAGCTCGAGCGCGGATATCCGCGGTTAAGTGATGTTCGAACGTTTTCACGAGAGAGAGTCGTGCGAGGAATTCCCCTAAAGTGGAGCCTTGGAGGTACTCTTCGAGCGCGCGCGTGATTTCGCGAATGCCTTGAATATCGCCTTCGTCTTCTTCTTCATCGATTTCATCCATGGTAGTGATAGTCTTGTCGTCTTCGACTGCATCAAAAGGGATGGACGATTGCACGGATTTCAAAAGTCTGTGCAACGCGAACCACGTTCGCCTGGCTCGCGCGGCGTGTCTTTCCGAACACCTCTCTAACAGTCTCGACCACGCGTGTAACTCACGTCGTCGCCAACGCATAGCCACGTTTGCCATAGCCGTAAGCTCATCAAGTAAAGACGTTTCAGTCGATGCCGATTGTTCCCACGTTTGCGCTCGAGCGAGAAGCAACTCGAGACCAGTTAAGAAGGTTTTCACGGGACCGAGCAAAGGCAGCTTTAAAATCCGATCGCAAATCTCCGCGAGTTGCGTCAACAAAGGATGTTCTGGCCATTCTTGCAGCAGCGCGGTAATTTTACGTCGACAATTTGCTACGACTGGGAGCGCCAGAGAGGTTTCTCCCGGTGCGTCGCCTCTGGACATTTCGTGATCGATGGCATCCGCGTGTCTTTGCAATTTTTTGTGGTTGAACTTTTCGTCTTTTGACTGATCGACACCTTCAGGCGAGTCTTCGGACATCGTGCCTCTCGAAACCGCAAGATGTTCTAAACACACTCGGGTCAAGTTACCGAGTTGACTGGTATCATCGAGCACTCTCGGTAACGATTGCATTCTGTCGTCCTTAATCGCAGCGCGTCGCAAGATCATGAAACCGACGTCGTGCGCGTCGACAAACGACGTGGCGCGATTCGCGAGGGGTTCTGTGAGCTCCTTTGCGTTCGTGTGCAAAAACTTAGATGGGTTCACGGCGCGTCGTTCCGTATCGTATGAGGTTTCGATATTAGCACCGATTGAAGTGCTCGCACCAATCGCACACACGACGTCGTGCGTTGCCACGAGCTCGAGGAGCAGAGCGCCTTCGAGCAAACCGGCTGTTTTCGCCGCAATCGCTGCGTTATTGTCCATCTCGTCATCCGAATCGTCCTCTTCTGATTTCTTGTTCTCGTCTCCTTCTTCGACACAATCGTGATCGAGTTGCAAAATATCACCCGGCGCATCCTTGAAATCTTTCCATTGTTCGACAAAGGTACCAAAAGTCGTTTCAGAAAATCTCCTCTCAGTTTCGTCGTCGTCGCCTTCCATGATCTCCATCGCCGTCGGCGCCGCTACGACGCGACGAAACACGGCAATCTTATCATCATGTTCGTAAAGGGTGTCATCTTTCTCCATTTCAATATCTCGCACTGATTTCCAAAGATCGGCTAAGCGGTCAAAAACAGAAGACGCGTTTTTCCACAGCTGCGGCGAGAGAGACTTTTCTTTAATCACGTCGTCGCGAACTTTCTGCATAGCGACTTTGAGCACCGCGACGCGGAGTTCCCCTGATTTTTCGAGCTTTTGTAACGATTTGAGCGTGGAAACGTCCGTGAGCAAACTTGACGACGCTCTTGCCATGCTCTCTACGTTTCTTTCTAAACTCTTTTCATCGTACTCGTCGGAAGAAGAAAACTTGAAAAGCTCTCTCATCGCTCTCGTCGCCAACGCTCGAGAAGGGTCTACCATACCCCCGCTTAAACCATCCTCTAATAGTTTCAAGCCTCGGGTAAGTTCCGCCGCGGCGAGTCTCAGCGGTTTCGTGGCATCCGCATATCCTGAATACTGTGGCGTCTCTAAAGTTTCCGACCAGTGTTTAGCGGCATCTGAAAGCACTTTCACTTCTTGGTACGCTTTCTCAAATGCACCGGCTTCAGAAAAGGTATCTTTCGAAGACGCTTTCAAGGAACCTTCGAGAGATTTTAAGGTTGCTTCGAGCCTTTCTGGCTCCGCTAATCCGCCTTTCTCGTGCGAAAAACGATGAATATGGCGCATAAGCTGACGCCATTTTGGAACGCTCGGTCGAGGCGCGAACATTCTTCGCAACTTTATTTGATGCGCTTCGAGTTCAGTCTTTGCCTGTTCGACTCGTTGCTTCTCGGGATCGGCATCGCTACCCAAGGCGAGAAGCGGCGATCGCTCGTGAAACTCAATGATTTCGATTGCCGGAATGCTCTCAAAATTAATTTCTCGATCTACGCGCTTTGCATCGTTACTTGTCTCCGCCATTGGATCCGACATCCCCGAAGGGAACATGCAGTGCAGCCGCAAACACCCGAGACGGGTCCAGGCCATACCTCGAAGGAATCGGTCGCGGTTTGCTCTTTGATGATAACCTATATTACTTATGTAATGCTCAGACAGACATTCGAATAGACCTTCGAGCGTCACGCTCACCGACGTTGAAGAATATTTGAACTGTTGTGTCAAATTTCTGCTCACGACGTTACGCTGCTCATCGAAAAGGGATTGTCGTGTCACGTTTCCTAAAGTAGTATTCTTGGATACCAACTCTTCCCTCAACCCTAATGCATACTCACATATCATGCCATCTGCACCGTAAGCGCACATGGTGTGGACGAAAATACCACGCAACGTATTCCAATCTTTCGCACTCTCGTCCTCAGCATTGTCCCGACGCATTCTCAATTGCCTTGCAGCCAATCGTAATTGCGCGACTCTTTGTCCGCGTTCTTCAAGACCGACGGTGGAGACGAACAACGCCGAGGTCAGGATGGTTTGAAGCGCGCGTTCTGTACGGGCTGGTCCATCGCAGGAGAGCCATTTAGTCTCGAGCTCTGCCAATACTTGCTCATTTTTCGAGCCTATATTGATCGACGATTTTTTAGTCGTCTTCAAAAAATGGGGAAGCTGCGAGAGCGCTCCTGAGCGATGCGCGTCGTGCCAAGATAGAAAAATTTCCAAAGCTCTTCGGGATAGAGCAGACGCATCTACGGTCGTTTGACTGGGATCACTCATGTCCCATAGGAATTTTCGATGGCCTTCGAAATCAGACGCAGCACGCGGAGAGTGAGACACACCGAATGATAAAGCCTTCGAGGTTGCCTCGTGTAGTCGCTCCAAGAGCTTTTCTCTTCTATGATGATCCTTTTCCTCTTCATTACTACTGTCAAAACTCAAAATCAGCGCGAGACGTGCGAGAACTTCTCTATCAAGCTCGAGAGAGCATAACTCTGCAAACGGAGAAAGCTGTGCGTTCTTGAACGTAATATCCTTCCATTTCAAAGTCCAGTGCGGAAAAGAAAACCTCGGCGGAGCGAGAACCGCCGACGAGGTTTCCAGCGACCAAGATTCATCGTCATCGAGCGATTTGACAAGTTCTCGGTTTGGAATTTCAAACGCAAATGGAGCATTGGTGCCATTTCTATCCAAATCGACGGTATCGTTGTCCATTATCATCATCGCATCCGAAATTTCTTCTTCGAACTCGCTCGATGACGACAACGAATCGTATATTTTAAGAATGGCCTTGGCGCGCTCTTGCGTAGACGCATCCCACGCGCCCGAGTCCACACAATGCTGATACAGTTGACGAGAAAGCAGCGATGGTAGTGCCGTAGCATCATTATCTGCTATCCCATTTTCGCTCGAAGCAATACCGACGTGTGTGAAGCTGAAAAAACACAACGCTTCCAAGGCGGTGAATCGCAGTTTCGCCGATGCGCCTAAATTGGCAGCCTCTTTAGCCAAGAATGCAATCGCTCTACTCGAAGGATCATTCCTCGAAGAGCGAGTGTAATCCAAAAGTGTGTTTACTCGGGAGCCGTTGTTTTGGAGTGCTCTAGATGCTATGCGAACGATTTCCTCGGCTGTGCGAAGAGTATCACTTTGCGGCAAGGTTGGTTTCCCGATAGCGTGCCAGAGGAACGGTACTCCTGGAGGCTTGGATGGAACACCAAATGCTTCGTCTACGAGAAGCGAACGCTTTTCATCGCGCAAGCCTGCTCTATCATTAGGAGCAGTAGTGTTTTTATTTTGCAAGGATAACCAACTTTCGTAATTTTGCGCGGCTTGTTTTGTTTGTAACCAAGCCACCGCAAGGTTTTCAAGCGCCGCGTCGAGATTACCATTGGCCACCTCAAAGTCTTCATACGGCGTTGAACGAATGAGCACATCAAAATGTGACTTCCACGATACGAAACTATTCAAAAGTTTCATTGATTCAATATTCAATGGCCCAGTACACGAGAGCGACTCCTGAAGCAAAACTTCGTTCGTTTCTTCTAATAGCTGGTTCGCGAGAGCTATTTTATCCAGAGACGCGTGCACAGCGCTTTGCCTCGCCTTCTCTTTCGCGTTCTTCGCGCGATAGCAGGACATGGTCAAAGCTTTCATGTCACCAACGTGCGCAGTTGACGATAAGAAGCATGTATCTGTATATGCCTTTTCAAAGGAATATCGCGCACAGAGGGGCGCAAGTAGTTGAACCGTTTCCGCCAAAGGCTCCCTATTTTCAAACAACCGCTGGAAAAGTGTCCAGGCGAGAACACTCGATTCGATTTGCGGAACATTGCACGTTGATGTGATGGCACTCGCGAAAAAGTTCCAACTCACTCGACTTTTATCCAGAGATGCTCCAGATGAGTTATTTTTAAGCGCGTAAATGGTGGAGGCACGGAAGAGTTCGATTACCTTGCTGTTCCACGCGGCTTCGTCTTCTTCGAGAGAGGTTTCAAACGCACCCCCTTGAAAATACTTCATAAGCTGCGAAGTCGGTAGGTTTGCTACGAGCGATTGCTTCTCGTGCAATATCGGCAGTATGTCTTCGTCTTTGCTTTTATCCCTCGACGTTTTCTGAACAAAGCACTGCGCAGCAAGAAGTGCGGCTGCGTGCGTGGACAGCGAAAATCCTGAGAATTGCTCCAAAGACGTTAGCGCCAATCGATCTTCTCGCGATATCCTATTTGCCGTAGCAAGACGATTCGGCCAACCAGATGGTGATGATATGAACGAATGCAAGGTGTTTCCAGCAAGATACACCGAATTCATATGTGGCACAAATATTTCATCGTAAACGAAGTTCGATTCTTCGCTGGGCACGTTATACGCGTGCGGTAAACTCAAACGAAACGCTCGCATGACGGGTACTCCCCTATTGACGAGCTCGAGCGCGAGCTCGGCCCATCGACAGGAATCGCGCGACGTTAAATGCACGTGATTTCCAATCGTCATTTTGAGTTTAATGATCATAGCAAAGTGTGTTTGCACGATCGCATCTGCTAGAATACCATTTGGGATACCCTTTGCCAAGACCATAGATTTGATATCCTCGTTAATCGACGGTGAAGAGCTCGGCATTTCCGCCAGTCCCAGTTGTTTGGAGAACAAGCTTGTCTGCTCGTTGTCTGACGGGCTTTCGTATCTTTTTGGATGCAAAAATACCTCAACTCCACGATTGCGCATCGCTCGCGATACTTCCCCTCTTCTTGGATCGACTGCTAAGAATAATCGAAACCCTTCGTGCGCCTTTACGATGCGGCTTTCGCCATTTGGTAAGAAACCGCATTCGTTTACCAACAAAGTCCCCTCCGGTTCCAGCAAAGGATTCAAACGATCGAGCACGGTTGGAGAGCATAGATTTGCGTTTTCGAGTAAAACCCAATCGCCTCGTTCGACGGCTTTTAGCAAAGCCCCGTCGACCCACTCGAATCGACCGGCATCTTTCTTAGGTCCGACATTGAACGAAGTTGGCGTGACAATGGCTTCAAAGTTCTCATGAAGCCAGGAGATTTCAGAATGAACATCGTCTTGCAAAGATGATGCGTTCGAAGTAGCCGCGGCACTTAATGCAACGATCACCTCGCGGAGAATGTACACTGCGTTCTCCGCGTCGTTTTCTGACATTGCTTCTGATGTCTGCGTGGCGGCTCTGTAGGATTCCCACATTTTCCAAGCGCGCGTGGTTGAACTCACATCACCGAACGCACTCGATTCGCAAATGCCTTGGAGTAGACTAAAGATGCGAGATTCAAAGTCCACGCGATCTCTCGACGACTCTTTTTGCTCAAAAGATCCGAGTAATTCGCTCGTATCCGTAGCTGAAGTCAACGCGATGCGTTGTAAATCTTTTCCGGCAAGTCTGGCGAGGGTTTTCACCAGCGTCGTTTTACCAGACGCGGCTTGTCCGACAACGATTGTCATCCATCCGCGATCGATACAGAAAGAAGCCGCTTCGAGGGAATCTAAGTTCCCTCTTAGAATTGCGAAATTTTCCTCTTCGTCGATGCAAGCAATACCAGCATCAGCGCTAGATTTTGATGTAGAGGATGTATGTCTGCGTAAAACTGCATTGCCAATTTCGAGATATCCATCCTTTCGCATTTTCATGTGGGAAGCGGTTGGAATCTCGTCTGCGTTAAGACCGAATGCTCGAGCAAACGCGTGCTTTGCAATTATTCGGTCGTTCACAGTTCGTAAGCGCTGAGTATATAATGCATTAAATACCGATGCGCACACCCGGACGTATGAATTTTCATCCATCTCGTTTTCTGGGATGATAGAAGTAACGAGTTCGCACCATCTCATGATATCTCGAAGGTTGAATTCCCACGGTGCACCGGCTCTAGCAAACCTATATCCAGTCGTATCCGTGGTACTACTCAAACGAGCTAACTCTGCGTTACAGTGGACCATCTTTTCGATGACGCTCTCGATAACGTTCGGATGTAGACTTTTCGCGATGTGCTCGACGTCGTTAATACGCATGGGCTCAACGAATACTCTCGTGAAACGATTAAGAAAAGATTTTGGCAATCCTTTTCTTCCACCGCCTTGTGCAGCAGGGTTTTGAGCTGCAAATACTCTAAATGTTGATGGGCATTTGAACGTCTTACCGAGCTCTGGCACAAACACTTCTGCGCGATGATCGAGCGCGGCATTCAAGCCCTCTAAAACCGGTTGCGGCGCCAAATTCAATTCGTCCAAAAGAACCCAATCACCATTTTTCAAAGCCGCTAAAAATGCTCCATCGGACCATTTAAACTCACCGGCTTCACCATCAGATGCTGGTAGATCTGCTCCCAGAAGATCCATCATATCAGTCTGCTCCGAGAGATTTAATCTTACCAGTTTGTGCCCCGCAGCCTTCGCCAGAGCCGAGACTATAGACGTCTTACCAACTCCGGGTGAACCTTCCAATAATATTGGTTTCCGAGCGAGTTGCAATGCGCGAAGGAGTCGCGCAACGTTGCGCCTGGTTGACGGGGCAGTTAAAGCGAATTCAGATGTTGAGGGAATCGGATGCGTGCCACAACTAATCGTGAATGACGAGATGCCAAATCGAGTGCCGTTGTCAACTGCAGCGCAGTTGAGGAGATCTTCCTTCTGGTCTTCTGCACTCGGATCGTGCGCATACGACGCTCTTTGTAATATTTGTTCGTTCAAGGTTCGGATCTGTTAGAAAAAGAAAGAGAAGGAAGTTCGGTCAATAAAATCAATGGTGATGATAGTAAAATTGTGAAGGCAGAGAAACTATACCAATAATACGCTCAGGGTTGTAGGGGTTTCTCATCATGGAAGATCAGAAACTTACCAGGTACAACAAAAACTTCACGGCGCAATGTAGTAAAAAAAATGCAGGCGAGATCGACATCGACGTTTCAAAAAAAAAATGTGATTGCTGACGTACCTCTGTGTCTGGTATGCGCGCGCGCAAATACTCGACGCATTTTCGATTGAGCGCTTTAGCTGTTTCCTCTGGCATCCCTAAACCCAGACCGAGGCCATCTAAAAGCGTTAAGTACGCCCCGTGCGCGAACGCAGCAAATCCTAACAGCGCGTTCGGCCCTTTTCTATTCTCTACTTCGTTGATGAATTGAGCCCAAGCCAAAATATCTCTGGTTTGCAAACACGCCTTTGCTTGTCCGGCGCCGGCGATGCTTTGATAGAATTCCCAGAATAAGGCTAATTCTTTCGCATGGTCGTGCGCGTAAATAGTATCCATATTTTGAGAATGAACCAGACGCCGTGAAACTATCTCTTCCATCTCTTTTGCCGAAGATACGCCCCCGACCCAAATTTCTGTGAATCTGTTTCGCAGCGCCGGAGATAACTCCTTCTTTCCGAAATCCCCACCCGGGTTCATCGTTCCTATCAATCGAAAATTCGGGTGAGCGATGAGCTCTTCGACATCGATACCGCCTTTTTCAGGTAAAGTAATCGCTCGTCCGGGTTCTAAGACGGAATTTAACCTCTCCAATACGGAATCTTCTGCGAGTGAAAGCTCATCGACGAGTAAAATATCCCCTTCGCGCATGGCTTTAATCAAAGGTCCATCTTCCCACGCGAATGGTGCGTCTCCTTGTCTTGCAGGTCGAAAGCCTCCTATGAAATCACCAGTTTCCGTGTGTTGGTGACAGTTTAATACACGTAACTTTTGCCCATGAATCATTGCAAGGATCTGCACCACAGTTGTCTTCCCGCAACCAGTTTCACCTACAAGCAAAGCGGGTTCTTTATGCTCAACGCAGGCTTCGACCAAAGCATATAAACGACGCATAGCGGGTGTCCACGCGATAGAACGTGCCATAATGATTTCTTCAGCTGAAATGTCGCAATTTTTAGCCGTCAAAGCAACTTCCAAACGTCCTTCTAAATTTTCACTGGATGCCGCCTCGTACAGTTGTTCTAGAGAAATCTCTGGGACTTTTAAAGCTTTCTCGAGAACTCTCTTCAGCGACATCCTTTCGTTTTCCGATCGCAATCGCTCGCCAAGCACACGAAAGCCATCGCTGGCTAAGTTTTCGTATCCAACGGATTTCCTATTCGCCCAGCGAAACAAATCGCGGGCGGTGATGTATCCATCTTTACCGGCAAAAGCTCGAGAACCTCTTCGCATACCTTGCAAAGCGCGCATAGATTCTACGAGCTTCACGCAATAGCTCGGTGCGATTTCACACCGCTTATTCAGAATGACTTTGAGTTCTTCGTCGGGAATGTCACCGATGTGTAACTCAACGAATCTGTTACGAAAGGCTTTCGACAATACCTTGCGCCCTCCATAAATTGCACCTGGAGGATTTTGCGTCGCAAACAGGACAAAGTGGGGGTGAGGTCTAATCGTTTCTTGTAACTCGGGAACAAAAAGTTCTCTGTTATCGTCTAAAAGTCTATTCAAAGCTTCTAATACATCAGAAGGCGCTAGATTCAACTCGTCAAGAACGACCCAGTACCCTCGGCGTACCGCTTGCACGAGTGCGCCTTCTTGGAAGGTCAAAGCACCTAAAGTGTGAATGAAAATAGAAAGTGGTTAGAGATGATAAATCGGTGAACACAAAAGCACAACGAAACGTGAGATGCGAACTGAACTGAAGAAGAATATAGCCTTGGAAGTCACGCGAATGTCCTGAGATGCTCTGGTAAAGAGCGACGACGGATTCCCGCAAGCGACCAACTCCCGAGGCGCATAAATCTACGGACTGCTTTCCGATCCCCCGGATTCTATTGTATAAGAACGACGGATAACGAACTAGCGTCCGAAAAAAGAGAAGAAAAAGATAAAAATAGAAGATGCAAGGCCATATACGTACCCTTCTCATCCGTTATGTACGTGCCAAGGTACTCTTGTAGATCTGTATGCTCGTGATTGTTGATGCGCATGAAACGATGTCCAGTACGCTTCGCGAGATATTCAATGATGGAAGTTTTTCCTGCTGAGGTCGGTCCTTGCAATAAAATTGGGTGTCTTCTGAGAAGCACCGCGCGTGCTAAATTCGAGAGGTGTGATTTGACGCTCTCAGTCACGACGTAACCTATGATATGTAAAAGAAAGAGATTAAGTGTCAAAATGAATTTCCAACCCAAGGGAAGTACGGAGAAAAAAAACATAAAAAAACATGTTGACGTTGGTGGCTCAGTAGAAGAAATTCAACCATAATATCTTTTTGTGCATCATAAACGAGTTTAAGAAGCGCGGATATGTGTTCATCATTGCCAAGTCGTCTTTCGTTTCAAAGAAAAAAAATGCGCGCAAAGAGAATATGCTTACCTTCGGGATCGACGCGTTCTAATTCTCCGGCTTCTACCCAAAAGTGCTCGATGAGAACGTGTGTATCGTCTTCCGGTGCCGGCGGTGGTTTCATGATTCCCTGTGTATTTATGGTGTAGAGAGAAGAAGAAGTTTATACGGTGTTAGTACTACGAGGCACAACAGCAAAAGATGTGCGGGACAAGTCTTCCGAACATTCATAGAGTCGTGACCGGAATAGGTGTATTGTCCAACAATTGAATATACCGCAGTTTCTAGACCGAGCACGCCATGGAATATTGACAAGCTCAGCGCTTAACTGCGGATACGAACAAATCACGATGATAATAATAGCGCACACTTACCTTGATCGCCTTGCCACCCAACAGATGCTTATGCATCAATTTTTCTAAAATCTCTTGACCTTCCTTTTTTAAAAGCGTCAGGAATGACATCGAGAAACCATCCATCATCGCTCTTTGGACGCCATATAACGGACTCGCCGCAGAAACGTACTCTAAAGCACGCGCCAGGGTTCTAAGTGAATATCGAGGCTTTTGATCCGCCGAGTCTAAGAGAACCGTGTGCGCCGCTCGTTTCGCTTCAACGTAGAAGTCGACGATTGGGGCTATTACCCCACTCGGAACATCTCTTAGATATCCACGAACCAAGAGCTGCAAATCTTCTCTGGATTCCGTTTCTCCGCAATACACCTCCGCAAAGCGGTGTTTCAAAGCGGGGGGTAAGTCGCGTTTACCAACATCAGTCGCCGGATTCATAGCCGCGAACAGACGAAACCGTGGGTGACGATACACTGGAGTCGCATCCCCGCGCTCGGAAAGAACAACGGAGCCTTTACGCGACTCTAACACGCCATTCAGTCTTTCGAGTGTTTCTGCAGGTGCTAAATTGATTTCATCGAGAAGAATCCAGTGACCTTCGCGTAGTGCTGTGACTAAAGCACCTTCTACAAAGGCAAAAATAGGTCCACCCCCAGAGGACGAGGCCACGTCCCCAATCGCTCGTTCGGCTACGACTAAATCCCGATCAAACGATTGCCAAGATTCGACGAGATCGTCTGAAATCGTGAATGCAGGCTTTTTTGAAGCTTCTTTTTTATTTGTGCTTCCCGCTTTCTTCTTCATAGCAGCGCTTGTTTTTTGACGCTTGTTACTGGTATCGGCAACTGACGAGGTACATACTTTTTCATTTTTACCCTTCTTACCAGTAGTTTGTGAACGCGTTGCCCGTGTTGTAGGCGCGGCAACTGCAGGTGTCGCTTCCTCCATGACATCGTCATTGGTGGGGAGTTCTTCTCCGTCTTCAGTAGAATCAAGCATCTTATCTTCGTCATCTTTATCGACGACGGACGCCACGCGATCCACGCCGGCACGGAACGCCTTCAACAAGTGTATCCATTTTCTTTTTTCTGCAAATTTAGACACTCTTCCTAGAAATTCAGCGTTAGATCGACTCGGGAAAGTTTCTCCAAACAACTCAAGGAACCGTTTCAGTAACGGCAAACACAAATGTCGCGCACCGGCTGGTCGGAATCCTCCAAGAAAATCACTTGACTCTGATTGATTGGAAAGATTCACAACCGTCAGTGGCGCACCAGTTAAACGCGCAAGCTCTTGAACCAGAGCAGTTTTACCGGTACCAGTTTCCCCTACGAGAAGAGCGGGTTCGTTCACTGAAACCGCGCACGAAACTCTCTCGAGCATTCTCAGCGCGTGGCCCGTTTTTGCAAAATTCCGAAAACTGCCCACCGTATCCTCGTTTTCTTCGCAAGGTAACATGGTGCGTCCAACGCGCACGCTATCTTCTGACGACAAAACATCCGGTTTACGAAGTAAATCTGTCGTATTCGCAGTCTCTTCAGGATTTAATCCCCAAATTTCAGCAACCGCTTGTAAAGCTTTTCTTCGTCCGATACCGGGAGGCAAAGCGCCTAATAAAACATCAGCCGCTTCGTCATACATCGCCTGGCGAGTTTGTGGAGGAGGCGCTTTACCTTTCTTCATGAGCTTTAGTTCCGCTTTACGCAAAGCGGCAGCTCTTTTTGCCCAACGGAGTAAATCTCGAAGAGTGAATGTCCTACCCACAGAGGCTCGAGACGACGACGCGGCTTCGCTGGACGCTAAATCTTCCAGAGATGTCATCTTTTCCGCATCCTCCGCTGCTACGTCTAATTCGTTCGTATCGTCCGTGTGAACGTTCTCGACATCCATCATCATCACGTATTTGTCATCGTCGGCGTTCGCGTTGTTGTTATCAAATCGTTCGTCGCCTAAACCGGCTAACCGCGTCACATGGCCTCCGCCTTGGCCCACCAGAGTCTGCGCGACTCTCATCGTCTTAAGCATGCGTCTCTTTACGTCGACATCGCCGAATTGCGGATATATTTCCGCGAGTATTCTGCCAGGCTCCTCGCCGCTTGGTTGTTCTACGCTAACACGAGTCCATAAACCGCTCAACGGATCATTCTCGCGATTGGAAACTTTGGACCCGCCCACCGTGGCAGATCCAAACAGCTGAAATTGGGGATGTGCTACAACAGTTTCACCTCTACCGGCAATGTATAGCTTACGTTCTTCCAACAGAGGAATTAAAGCCGAGAGAACTTCGAATGGAGCGACGTCCACGTCTTCAATCAAAACCCATTTCCCAGATCTTACAGCTCTCGTGAGCGACCCGGGTTGCCATTCGAATTCTCCCGGACTTGCTCCGCACACGTACGCTCCAAGGAGAGATTTTGAATCTGTATGAGCATCAAAGTGTAAGACAACGACGTCGTTATCTTCGTAAGATCGTCCGAATCTTCGGGCAGCTTCACGAAGCGTCGCTGATTTGCCACACCCAGCCGGTCCTTCGAGTAAAACGGGCCTATTTTGACACAAGGCGTACGCGACGGCAACCAAGTTACGTTCTGCGGACGGTACTAAAACAAAATCCGTCGCGATTCTGCTAACCTTCTTCTTGTTATTGTTCATCTTACCACTTGTGGAAGCCCTGTTGTCATTTCCTCCATCATCATCATCATCACGTTGTGTGCGTACTTCGATGGCGCCTAAGCGTTCGTATCCGGGCGCCGCAGGTATGCCCTCTTCTCGTACTCTTTCACTCTCGTCTTCTAGCTCTGTGCACTCCAGAGTATGGCTTCCTTCTACTTTGAAACTACTATCATGTTCATTCTGTTCTTTTTCGCAAACTCTGGGTAGCAAAAACGACGCGCGTTCAATCCGAAACGCCGTTTGGCGTTCCTCCCACTCTCGTTGGAACTGTGCCAGTGTCACTTCGTCTTCGTCAATTAAAGTCTTCTTTCTTGCCGTGTGCACCGCATCGTCGCTCAAACATAAAGCTTCGCAAACTATTCCACACGCAATCCATCGAACATGAGCGTCTTCGTGCGTCAAAAATATCCCACATTGGCTCCAATCCCAGGAGGCGCCAGAAATCGCTCCTTTCTTACACCCAAAGCACTCGGCGATATCCATTGAACTCCTCAAAACCATCCGGAGATGCGCGAATAAATCCTCCTTGCTTTTGCTATTCTTTTTCTTCGTGTTACTCGTCGTCTTCTTCGTCGTCGTCCTCGCGGCTTCTGCAGCTACTCTCGAAAACACCGGATGCTTCTCCCTCGCTAAAACTCTCTCCGATATCAACTGCCGGCAGTGCGGCAGCAATTTCGCCACCGATATCAACGCGCACATCCCTCGCTCTCTCTTCTCCACGTCGCTCGTAAATCGCGCGTCGTTTGCATCATTCATAACTTCCACGGCTCTCGCAAGCACGTGCAAAATCACTCCGCGCAAACACGAGGCCAAGACGATGCTCTCTTTCGCGTCAGAGCTGAGCAGCATCTCGGCGGCGGCAGAGAGCGCATTTTGCTCCGATACACTTTTTCTGTTCGTACTCGTATCCTCGTCGTTTGACAAGAGCGCGCGTAAAGCATCAGACGTCGACGAAGACGCCGGTAAGCGTTTCTTCGCCAGAGATAAAGAGGTGAGCAGTGCCTCGAGGAGAGGAGATGGGTCGTTCGGTTTTCTTTTCCTCGTCGTCATTTTCTTCTTGATGCCAAAACGTGTTTGGGAGAAAATTTAATGAAGAAAACCAAAATTAAATGTACGAGTACAGCACAAAATGTGCATCCGCGAGACGAAAAACGCGACCGGATTTTTAAACGTAAACGTATTATATATGGTATTAAAACATCTTTTTTTTATATGTGTGTTGTGTGATTAATTTTACGCCTTCTTTGGCTTGATCTTATCGGAAAACGCCGCGCACGCCAACGCGGTGAGACAGATGGACATGGCCACGACGCCGTTCGTGTACTCTTTCGGCACCGTCATGGCTTTTTCGCTCATCATGAGCGGGATTTGCAACAAGGCGACGGTCGCCATGCGGTAGAGAGCGAAGGATTTTTGCTCGTTATCCGAGCCGGACATTAACATGAAGTAGGTCATCATGTTGACCATGAACCACATGCTCGAGGTGAACACGTTGATGTCGTAAAAGACGGAGTCTTTAGCTCGGCAGAATCCTCTGCCTTGGCAGGCGATGTAGTTCTGCGATGGGAAATCGCCCAATTGAAAGGTCGTGATGTAGAAGAAGAAGCACGCCCAGTAGATGATTAAGCATCCGTGAGTCAATCCTTTGCAACCTTTTAAGAAGTGTCTTTTCGCAGGTTCCATGCCGCCCGCCAACCCAGCGCTCATCACAAATGTTAACGCGAGCGTTAAGAATCCGCCCATGACGTGTTCCTTGTGAACAAGCTTACCGCCGAATTTTTGGGAGGAGAAGCACGCGTGCACGGCCAACATCAACATGTTATGCATGATTTGACCGTTGCAAACTCTTTGTTGCACGGCTTTGCTACATTTCAACGCCGCGTAGAGCAAGTCGAGCGTCATGACGAACAAACCGAGACCTCCCCAATCGCTCGCAGATTTTCGCATGGCGTTATTCTTCTGACCAAAAAACTTCTCAGAGAACGACGGCATTCCAATTCGGTCCCCGAAGAACGCGGTTAAGTAGAAAGCGCACAACGCCGCTTTCAAGAGTAAAACTTTTTGTAGTTTGGTGTATTCTGCCATCATTTTTTTTTATGCTTGAGTGTGTAAATAATTTGTATCTGTAGTTTCAGAGGAGAGATGGTCAGTCTCTAATAATGAATCACCATCGACATCCTCCGCACGCGCGCGCCGAAAAGCGTCTCTCTCTCGAAAAAGAAGTGGACAAAAGGGGCGCGGAAAAAGAAAGCTTTTCACGAACGCGCGCGGGGAAACATCACACACAATTGTGTCTCAATTATATTCTCTCGTTGAAAATTTCCAATCTGAGCACAGAAAATTAAAAGAAAGCCGAAACGCGTCTGTTGGTCTTTTTTGGAGAGAGAAGAGAGAAAGAAAGAACGCCCGCAAAAACAACGCGACGACGAGAGAGCGAGAGAGAGAGAGATGATATGTGTGTTTGTGGTGTCGCGCGTGATACAAAAAAATCACCACACGTACCGCAACAAATGAAAGTGAGGAGGAATTGGACTAGGGGAATATTTTTCTCGTTCCCCCTTTACTTTTTTTTGTTTTGGAAATTCTTCTCGAAACCAAAACACAACAAACACCAACACGCGACGACGATGCGCGACGACGAGCACGACTGAGACTCCTCGCACACACAACACTTGCACGAAACAAAAGAATGTCACCACCGCTGGGGCCCCAATCCTCGCGTTCCTCGGAGTATTCCTTCGCGTTTTTCGGGACAAAGATGAGGGAAACAACAACCGGTGGTGGTGGACGAGAACAAAATCACCATCACGAACAACCACTTTCGAAGAAGTTTAAGAAGAACAAACAAAAGGAACAACAAATCGCCACGGACGAGCAGGGCCGCCGGCGCTTCCACGGCGCGTTTACCGGAGGGTTTTCCGCGGGGTATTTCAACACGGTCGGGAGTAAAGAAGGGTGGCAACCGAAACAGTTCAAGAGCTCGAGAGCGAATGACGAGAAAAAACAACAACAACAGACGATGGAAGATTTCATGGACGAGCAGGAATTGGAAGAGTACGAGAAAGGGAAGATGAGGACAAACGCAGAGTACGACGCGTTCGGGAAGGAAGGGGAGGTGATGGCCGGATTCCGACGGATCGAAGGCGAAGAAGAGGAAGAGGAGGAGGAAGACGGAACAACCGGGCGGCGGATGGCGTTCGGTACCGCCGCGGCGGAGGAGAGGACGAAGCGAGAAGAAGAAAAGAAGCGAGGGTTTTCAAAAGCCTTGGCGAAAAGTATACTCGACTACGTGAAACCAGTCATTAGTGGCATCGGGACGAAATTGTTGGTGAAAATGGGATGGAGAGTCGGGAAGTCCTTGGGGAGACGTAAGAAGAAAGTGAACGGTAAAATCGTGTTCAAAGCGACGAAAGAGGACGAGCAGGCGTGGAGAACACGGTACGGGCAACAGCTGGTGTCACTGTTAGGAGGAGGAGGAGGAGTGATCAATGTTAAAGATAACAGTTGGGGCATCGGGTACGATCCGTACGCAGGAGCGGAAGAATTTCGGAAAAGAGACCAACACGAGTTGATGAAGAAAAGAGAGCGATATTCGAAAGAAGGCGAGAAGAAACAGCGAGGCGCGGCATTTGGGTTAGGCGCGTTTGAAGTAGACGACGATATGAACGTATACGACGAAAGACCTAGAGAAAAGAAAGCGGAGTATACTTTTGAATTAAACTCCGAGGACGAGGAAAAGGACGACGACGAGAACGATCGATTCGGGCGCGGAGCCGATCACCGGCAAAAAGACGCGTTACGGAATCCTTTAGGGGTAAAACGGTTACCGGATCGTGCAACAAGAGACGCGATCGAAAGAGGGCATAAGTTCCCAGGATTTGTGGAGAGTGATACGGTACCGGAAGAAATAGAGTGGTTTCAAGCGCCGGAAGTGCCGAAAGAGTTTAACGAGCGACACGTTTTCGATACAGACGGCGTTACCAAGGATACCATCGATAAGGAAAAAGAAGAGGACGAAGAAGAAGAATTACCGCCGCCGCCGCCTCAAATGCGCAAACTTTCCGAGGAGAAACGTAAAGTCATCGAATCGTTGGCGCGTTTTGTCGCGCGAAACGGCGAGGCGTTCGAGAAGTTGGCGAAACAAAAGCAAAAGAAGGATAAGAAATTTTCGTTTCTTTTTGGCGGCGAAGGCGCGAGCTCGTACGCGTACTGTTTGAAAAAAGCAAAGTTGGAAGAGAGGAGAAACGCGCGGATAGTGTTGGCGAGCGCGAAAGAAAAGATTGCGCCGTTACTTTCCGCGGCAAAAGGGTACGACATCTCGAAACAGCAAAAGCACGACGCGGAGTCTCGAGGGAAACTTTTAGGAGAAGAACCTTTGAAACGCACGGTACCGCCGCCGCCGCCGCAACCACCATCAGTCCAAGACGAAATGATGAAAATTCCAGCGCGAGGTCAACCAATCGTCGATGACGTCAAGAAGGTCAACCTTTCAGCCGCAATCAATGAAAAAGATAAAAGTCAGATCTTAGCGACCATGTCGAATATGTTCACCACCTCGGGACATATCGTCAACGCGGAAGTGCCGTCTGGTGGTTTACAAACCGCTAAAGAACTCGCCAAGATTCGCGAAGAGAGAGAGAAACTGGAAGCTGTCGAGGCAGCAAACTTGAAGAACGTCGAGAAAGAGCGAGATGCGCAACGCGAGGCAATGTCGAGGATGATTGTAAACACGAGAACGACTATTCCGTGGTCGCCGGCGTTACTCTTGTGTAAACGCCTCGGTATTCAAGACCCGTACGCCGGACGCGAACACGCGCGACCGTCAAAGTTCAAAGCGAGCTTTAAAACAGAAACTGTGGATCTCCTCCCAGAGACGACGCAGATCCGTTTGGGAAAGCAGCCAAAGCTCATGTCAAAAAAGGAAAGAGAAGATATGACGAATAAAAAGACAGACGACGATGACGCAAAAGTGGTGAAGGCGCCAAAAGATGATCAAGACGATGTGGGAGAATTGGACGCTCCAGGCCAGTTGATGCAAGTGCCTCCACCTCCTCCTCCCTTACCTTTACGCGAGAAGCCGATGGATTTGTTCAAAGCTATTTTCGAAGACTCCGACGATGAGGAGGAGGAAGAGGATGAAAGTTCTTCCGAAGAGGAAGAAGAAGACGAAAAGGAGCAGCAACAACGACAACAACAACAACAAAGAGAGGAAGTAGAAGGAGACCTCGACAAACCGATGCCTCCTCCGAAATTCATCCCTAGACCGAAAAAATCTGTCGAATCACTTCCTCCTCCACCACCGCCAGTTTTTGGAAAAAAGGAGGAGGAAAAGCCCCCTGTTTTCCTTGGATCTTCCGCGTTTGGAAAGAACAAGAGCGATAGGAAACGAAGTTCTGAAGATGATTCCGACGACGACGACGACGACGACCGACGACGCAAACGTTCGAAAAAGAAAGAAAGAAAGAAGAAGAAAGAGAAAAAGAAAAAGAAAGAGAAAAAGCGCAAAGATAGGAAAGAGAAGAAGAAAAAGAAGAAGAGAAGTCGACGAGATGAGAGTTCATCGAGTAGCAGCAGCAGCGATAGCGATAGCGATAGTTAAATTCTAGTAGTAGTTAGCTCCTAAATGGAATCTTCGTCCTCATCGACGTCGGCGACATCGTCTTCTGCGATGCTCCCGGTCCATTCACCAAAGCCGTCTTCGGACTCCGTCACAGAAATGCCACTTTCCTTTGCGCGCGCCAGAAACGAACGGACTTTTTCCCTCTCTTCTTCCGTCAACTCTTTCATCAAATCTTCGTCTGCGTCGTAGCTGCTTTCCTCATCATCGTCATCGCCGCCACTAGCGGTATTAGACGCAGGAACGGTTTCATATTCCGTCGTCGGTTCAATACTCGCGCCGACAAAGAAAAATACGTTGCGCAACGCGTCGATGCGCATGTCGCTCACGCAATCTACGAACGCCTTGGCGCCGTCAATTTTAAACTCTTCCTTCGGGTCCAAGTGGCCAAACGCTCGAACTTGCACAGAATCTTTCAAACTGGACATGTGAACGAGATGTTGTTTATAACGCTCGTCAATTGCGCGTAAAACCCACAGACGTTCGACATCTTCGAGTTCCTCTCGGATGTAATCCAACCTCGCCAGGCGCGCGAACCGATCTAGGTATTGCTGAATAGCCGCTTCGGAGAGGTACGCTCTCAGTTGCCTCGCTTTCTTCGCGTGCCGTCCGGAACTGAATGCCTTGACGACATCTTTTGAAGAACTTTCTTCTTTTGGCGGCTCTAAGCGCTTTTTTAATCGTTCGGAGATGGCATCTTCTTCAGCTTCCGGTTCCGTGTCGGCGACGGAACCGGATGAATCGGTTTTCTCTAATCCGCCGGCAAGTCCTGAGCCATCGGCATAGGCTAAGTTTACGCCTGAAATAGACGCTCTCACGGCGACAGGATTTGCGTCTAAGGGCGGCATGCGTCTCGGTTCTGGTAACGTTCTCGATCCATTCTTATCGTCCAAGTGTAACAAAGCGTCTTTCAAATCTGCCGCGGAGACGCCGGGCAAATAGTGGGGGTGAGGAGATACCGGTTCGTTATTGGTCAGTCGGAACCTGTCTTTACGTCCAGCGAAAACTTCTCTCAACAAATCCATGAGCAATTCAACATTCCAATCTTTCGCTGGGGTTGAACCGCTCACGTTTGCCGCGACGCAATAGTTGTCCACGATGGCGTCAACGTACCTAAACAGACGCTCGCGCAAGGTTTGTTGACCGCCGACTAACACCATTCTCCGTAACTCGTATACCGCGTTTCTTTGCGAATCTAACACCCTATCGGCATCGAACGTCGATTGCCTTCCCGCGCTAAGATAATCTTCGATGTTTTTTTGGATGCCTTCTAACTGAATGTCGACGAGTGATCCGTACATCGGCTCCTCTGGCGCCAAACCGGCGAAATCCCACGCGCTCGATTGTTTCGACATTGCCGGGCTGTACGTGCGAATCATCTCGTCATCTAAGGAGAGGCAAAATACAGTCGAACCGGGGTCACCTTGTCTTCCCGCGCGACCTCGCAGTTGTCTATCGATGCGTCGAGACTCGTGTAAAGCGGTACCGACGACTTGCAAGCCACCTCGACGAATAACCTCCTGCGACTCGAGCTTGCACAAACGCGCGGTTTCGCGAAGCGTTTGTTCGGCAGCAAAATCAATCGCAATTTCAAAGGGAACTCTTTTCTTTTCTTTCTCGTCATTAATTTCCTCGTCGTCGTCTTCGTTGGTGTTTATCCCTTGCGCTTCCCAGCCAGTCAGCAACAATCTTTGCTTCTTCTGTTCCTCGCGTCTAATTTTCTCTCCCGCTTTCTCCACCGATCGAACCAGCATCTCGTTCGCCGAATCGATATTCATCGGTCCCGCACTCTCGCACGCGGCTTTAGCGATCAACCTCGCTTGTTCCAACGCTATTTGCGCGGGTGTTTCCGATAAATTTACCGTCGCTAGCGATTCTGAAACGCTTTGAAACGCCGTTTCGCGTTCTTCTTCTAACACGTCCCCTAGCCCGAGCGCCTCGAATAAGTGCTCTTTCATCGCTTTTCTCGCTAATCCCTCCGCGTTACCTCCAAGTAAAATATCCGTACCTCTCCCAGCCATGTTCGTCGCAATAGTAACTGCACCTAATCTGCCGGCTTGTGCGATCGTTTCCGCCTCTCTCGCGGCATATTGCGGACGCGCGTTGAGTAAGTTATGCGCGACGCCTTTCACCACGGTATCGTCCGGCGCGCGCCATAAATACTCGTCTAAAACCATCGATAACGTTTCCGAATCTTCTACCGAAGTTGTTCCGACTAATACCGGTCTACCTTCGTAGTGACAGGATACGACAACATTCGCGACGGCATTCCACCGGGTCATCGCGTCTCGGAACATTGCCGTCGGCGCATCGACGCGAGCGTTTGGCCGGTGCTTCGGCACGACGATGACGCGCAAGTTGTAAATAATTTCAAACTCTTCGGCTTCCGTTGTCGCCGTACCAGTCATTCCAGACAATTTTTTATACAGTTTGAAGAAACATTGGTACGATACGCTCGCTATGATTGCGTTTTCGCTGTGAATTTCCACTTTTTCTTTCGCCTCTACGGCTTGGTGTAAGTTATCGTTCCATCGGCGATTCATCTGTACCCGCCCGGTACCCGGATCGACGATGATCACCTGATCGTCGCGAACGATATAATCCACGTCTCGTATGAACAACGCTTTTGCTTTTACGGCTAAAATGACGTATTTTCCCCACGGGTCGACCGGGTCCCACAAATCTTCCACGTCTAACAAAATCTCCGCGTTCGTCATGCCTTCGTCGGTCATTTCGATTGTTTTTTCTTTCCTATCGGCTTTGTAATCCCTCCCTTCGACGAGACTCTCTGCTATTTTCGCCGCCGCGACGTACCTCGGGCCCTCGTCCATATCGGATGGACCGGTTATTAATAACGGGTTCCGTCCTTCATCGATTAAAACTGAATCGACTTCATCCACGATGGCAAAGTTCAAAGGTCTCGTCATCACTACCAACTCGTCTACGCTCGTCGCCATGTTATCTCTCAAATAATCAAAACCAATCTCTTGGTTTGTCACGTACGTGATATCGCAATCGTACGATTTCCTCCTCTCTTCCGGCGAGTCTTCGCTCAAAACGTATCCAACTGTTAGACCTAACGCCCCGTGAATCTTCGCCGTCGTCAACGCGTCTCTCTCCGCTAAATAGTCGTTCACCGTGACGATGTGCACGCCTCTCCGACTCAACGCGTTTAAATACGCCGGCAACGTCGCCACCAACGTCTTACCTTCCCCGGTCGCCATCTCTGCGACCACACCTTTATGTAACAAAGCTCCACCAACTAACTGCACGTCAAAATGTCTCAAACCGAGTTCTCTCCTCGACGCCTCTCGAACCGCCGCGAACGCTTCCACGAGCACGTCTTCCAGCGTCTCCCCTAACCGTAACCGCGCTCGAAATTCCAACGTTTTCGCTCTCAACTCCACGCTCGTCAGTTTTCGCATTTCCGGTTCGAGCTTGTTCACCGGGTTCACCACTGTTTCGTATAGTTTTTCAATCAATCGCGTGGACCTTAACGTTTCGACGTCGCTCGTTTTCGCGTCTTCTTCTCGAGGTCGAACCGTTGGAATCTGAATTTTTTCTTCATCTCCTTCGCGTTCCTCAGAAGAAGAAGAAGAAGAAGAAGCGACCGGTCCATTTCCTCCTCTTCTCGAAAACTCAAAGTCAATTTCCAAATCCTTTTCGTTCGTGAGAAACTCGTGCTCGAGGTCGTCGTCGTCTTCTGCTTCTTCTTCGTTTTTGTTCTCATCAATCTTCGCTTCCATCGCGGTGCGACGCCGGCTTCTTTCATCATCATCATCATCAAAAGCAGCAAAAACGCTCCCCCGGACAGGTTTCGTTCGCCTTTGCCTCCTCCTTCTCAAATTTGAGAAGAGATCATTACGAGAAGAAGAACAGTACGAATACCGCGATTGTTGTTGGCAGCGCGCAGAAGCGCTCATTGCGTATTCTTCTTCTTCTTCTTCTTCTTCTGTGTGTTGTTTATTCTATACGACGTGTGTTTCGTGTCTCTCTCGCCTTTTTTTTATGAGAGTCGTTCCAACACAACAAAGGAGAGGAAGAAAAACGCAGAGAAAAAATATTTAGGGTTTTATGACAATTAGGGTTTAGGTAAACTCTCTTGGTCTTGTTCTTTTTTCTCTCTTTCTCTTTGATTCTTTTTTGGATCTTCTTTGGAAAGAAACACCATACAAAATGCCAGTCGTGATGCGCGTTCTCTCTCCCGCGAAGATGATCTCTTCTTCTCTCTCGTCGTCGTCGTCGTTTTCAAGAAGCGCGACGACGAGTTCTTCCTCGAGGTATTCTACTACGACTGCTCGCAGTCACGGGAGAACGACGAGTTGTTCCACTTCGTGTTCTTCTTCTTCTTCTTCTTCTGTATTCTCGTCTTTGTCTCATTACGGAGGACTTTTACCCCCCAAGAGAAGGAGGAAAAATCAGATCTCTCTCGCGACCAGCGCGAACGTCGAACCGTCGGACGCACCCGGCGAAGGCAAAAAACGGTTCCCTCTCCTCGCCGAAGAGAGCAGACACTCGCGCTCGGAACCGAGGAAGTACAAACACCCGCAAAACGAAGGGTGCGCGGTGACGTATTCGTTCGATACGGATGCGTTCGGGAACTTTAAAGTGGTGGAGATTCGCGAGGACGGGGTGGTGAAACCGATGGACGCGCCTGGCGAAGGGAAGAAACGAGCGCCGGAAGCGATGCAGGAGAGAGAAAAAGACGACGGGTGGGACGCGAAGAAAGGACACGGGTTGATGTTCGGGTACGTGGAGGAGAGGAATCCGGATAACGCGTGTTAGAATTCAAAGAGATCAAACGTTCCAACGTGCTGACTGTGTATATACTACTTGTTTAGAGCGAGAGAGAAAGAGAGGGTAACGCCTTTATTCTTCCGTCTGAATTTGAAAATGTTGTAAATATAGATAATTTAATATCGTTATTGAGTGTTAATGGTACGACGACCGACTAATCTGCGGCTATATCTAATCTTCTATTTCTACCCTTTTTATTGCCTATCGTCGTCGCTCCCCGAGGCCGAAGAACCGCCTTGAATCCACTTTTCTAAAAGTTCGTCTCGTTTTCGTAATCTGGCGTCGGCCCAATTTCCGTCCGCGTCGGTGCGTTCCTTCTTCCTTGTATTCTTCGTTTTGATGCCACTCGGTATGTCCTCTTCCGTATCCTCCTCCTCGTCGTTACCGCCAAAGCGACTCTTCAACTCTCGTTTCCTCTGCTCCTCTTTTTCCTTCACCCTCGCCATCTCCTTCACCGCCTTCTTCGCTTTCCTCTTCGTCTCCACGTCTGCCTCCTCGCTCTTGGAAAGTTCCTTCAGACGAGTTTCCACCGATATCTGTATCAACTTTTGCCTCTGCATCGCCTTCCCGGCTTTACACTTCTTCCCGCCCGCGCATACAATTTTCCCTTCGCCTTGGCACCGTTTACACGCCTTCCGCGACCGTTTCGGTTTCCCAATCAACGCCCCAGAATTGTCCCGCGCTTCATTGTCCCACTCTATGTTTTCCTTTTGTTGCCATCCCGCCGCCCACTTCTCTCGATTTTTCAATTCAACCAGTGGAACTTCAATCGTTTGTTCGCGGTCGCACGTGGCGGATAACGTCACGAATTTGCTTCTCGTCTCAGAATCCACTCGTTTCGCCGTCGCTTCGAAATGTCTCCACCCTTTTGTTCGCAGAAGCGCCGTCCAATTGGTCCCGAGAACTTTGTCAAAGTTGATGGAATTTTTCGAGGAGAAGCCGCCAGAAGGGAGCGAGCCGAACCCTTCGCACGTTTGGCACGTTTGGTATCCCGTATCTGAGCACCGTTCGCATTGGAACGGAGACGACGCTTCCTCACAAACAACATTAATGGAATACGTGTTGCAATACCGGTGTCTTTTATTAAGCAAAAGTTTACGACGGTTACTTTTAAATAATAAAGGAGGAAGAACAGAGAACGCGGAGGACAGCGACGACGCGCGCATATCTCTCTCTTCCGATAGATAAAAGAGCGCGTAAGCGCAAGTGGTAATAACACAACAAAACTTAAATGAAGAAGAAATCTTTCTTAAAAGGACAGAGTAAAATGTGACTCCTAAAAATATGACTCCTACGAAAGGACGCATGAAAGCGCAAACGTCTTGACGAAGTATCGCGCGTAATTTGAAACGCGATGTGGAATGGTACCGTCGGAGAAGACGACCAGAGTCCAAAGGCAAGACCTGTTCATTGCGGCTTTGAGTCGCGATGATACTACTACTCCTCTTCTTCTTTCATCTGCTTCTTTTTTTGGAGCGGCAACGGAGGAGGAGAGAAGGCGCGAGCGTTCGAGGAGGACGCCGAAGGTGTTCGCGAGGAAGAAGTACATCCAGCGACGGTCGGAGAAGGAGACGTCGTGGAAACAGGCGCTGACGAGGAATGTTAAAGCGATGGCGACGGTTTTGCTCTCGCGTTTGCTGTAGATGTTTCGCGCGAAGAAGTCTCGGAAGCTGACGTGGAAATTCCACCACAGCGTTCGAAAACTGGCGAGACAGTCGTAGAGGAAGAGCGGCGTGTCGTCGGCGACGTCGGTGAAGAGCATGGCGTGAGCGATAACTCTGCCTAAATTGAATGCAATTCGGGAGGTGGCGAAGATGTGTAAAAGTCTCGAGAGAAGACGTAAAGACGACGACGGTGGTGCAGATAATATCGTTTGACTTGTAGCCAAGAAATTCGAAACCAGAAACCAACCGAAAAGATCCAACGCGTCCTTCGCGAATTGCCGCGCGACACGTTTAATAGTGTTTTGCTTGCTAGCAGCATTAAAGCGACGCGTGGAGGATATCTTTTTCAGACGTTTGGAAAAAGTATCAAAACCGCCGCGTATTAACGGTCCGCACTGAAACAAAGGCGCGAAAAATACGTAATGTAAGAACGTTATCATGTCCCCATCATCCGTAGCGTTCTGGTTGCCGGCGGTCGCGGATGATAGGTAATAATCAACGACGCGTAGTACGACGTATCTGGCTGCACGAAAAATGTGGAAGGAGGTCTTGCCATACATGCCATCTAAAAGTGACGAACCGGTAGTATCGATGTGACCAGAAGCAGCCAAGAGCGGAGTAGAAGTGTGCTTGCGTTCCAACTGAGCAACGCACGCGAAGGATACGCACGCGACGGGCCAGATGAAAGACGGTTTTCTAAACAGACGCGGTGCTTTCTTCCTCGCTCTGAACGAAAGCACGCAGCATAAAATTAACCACGCTGCTTTTGAAACGCCATGCATCATCACGCAGCTCAGCAGACCAAACCAAGCACCTATCAGATTGATGGATTCGTAACGCTGCGCGCGAGTTATCGCGAAGACAAATTTATAGAGGAGTAAAGATATGAGTTGAAAAGGAACCAGTACATATAACCACTCATTCGCTCGATTGTCGTAAAAGTGCGGTATCACGCGTGGTTGCTGCGCTGTATTATCCGCGAGCATTTGATTACCGTTATGTTGCGCGGCAAATAAGAGTAGGAACAACGCTGCGAACCGCGCGCTCGGAAATCGTTTCTTCGTCGGCGTCTCGTTCTTGGTGGCGATGATGCTATTGTCGTTGAAGCATTGATCATAGTCGTCGTCTAATGCTCGCTTTACGAGTACAGATATGTCTCGCGCGTTCGTACACGAGAGCAGATGATAAGTATCCAAAGTTATTTCTAACCGTTTCGTGATTTCGATTCCAATTTTTGTAAATTGAACGGACGTTGCCCCGAGGAGGGGCGTTCGAAGCGTCCTCGCACCTTTTCCATCGACACTTTCTTGTCGGACGATCTCGAGCACAACTTTATCGATTTCATCCGTTTCATCATTTTCGCCGTTTTCGTCAGCGTCATCTTCTTCAGCGATAGCTTCAATCCCTTTTTCAATGTATTTTCTGCGGACGGCATATCGCCGAACTTTACCGCTCGTCGTTCTCGGCGTCGAGCGCGGATACGTCAAAAGAACCTCGAATCGCCTTCTGGGAAATTCACCGTACGTTTTGAGTACTTCACACTCGATTTCGCGACGAAGTGCATTGACGGATTTAGATTTCGAAAAAAACGCATCGGATACTTCGACGACGAAAACAATTCTCGCGCTTTCGTGTTTTCCGACGCCGAACGCAGACGCCGAGCCTCTCCGAACGACATTTTGAACCGAACACATCGGCCCCGCTAACGCGACGCGTTCAAACTCGTTCGCTTGAATTCTCGACGACGCACCTTCGCGAATATTATTTGCAAAGAAAGAGATGTCGAGAATATCCACGATGCGTCCGAGAATAAACACGCGTCCGTCTTGGAGAACGAACCCTTCGTCTCCGGTAACGACTTCCTTTCGATGAAAATTAAAAGTCGCGCGGGTTCTCGCTTCGTCGTTTACGTACCCGGAGCAAACGGAACGGGTATTCGTAATCACGATGCGACCAACTTGACCTGGAGCTTTTACCTCACAATTTGAATCAAACTCGAGTATTTTGAAACAGTTTCGCGTATTCACGCCGACGCAAGCGACTTCAATGAACGGTTCTCCATTTTTTGCTTCTTTTGCTACGCGAATGTCTCCGGACTCGAGCGCGTCTCGATTCGCGCGGAAAAACTCGACGTGATGTTCCGTCGCGTACACACAAATTTCGGCCAATCCATATCCGACGCGTAAACTTGATCTCTTCAAACCGTATTGTTGAAACGTATCGAAAAAAACGTTCACGGTTTGCGAACGTACAGGTTCGGATGCGTTCAACACGTGACGAAGTGAGTGCAATCGCAACGTTTCCGCGTTTCTCAAATCGCTCGAGCTAAACTTCCTCGCGGCTAACGTGAATGCGAAATCCGGCGCTTGCGTCATTGTCGATTCGTATTTTGACATGAGTCGGATCCAAACCGACGGATCTTTTGCAAAAGCAATCGGGCTGATAAAAACACACGTCGTTTTTTTCGGAAGTAAACTCACGTCGATATCGTCGTACCCGCACGCGATTGTCAACGGAACGAAAAAACCGCCGATAAGCCCCATATCGTGATATTGAGGTAACCACGAACACAGCGAGTCGTACGGATTCGTTTTGAACCCTTTTCGGATGGCCGCGCAATTTTCAGTTAACGCTCGATGCGAAAGAATAACGCCTTTTGGCTTCCCCGTCGATCCGGACGTGTATTGTATGAACGCCGTCGCTTCGGGATCGCGTTTCCAAATCGGCTCTTTTTCCTCCTCCTCGTCCTCGCGAAACTCACTCGCCGTCTCGAATTTTGTCTCAAATCCATCCACCACCCACATCTGGCAGTTCAACCCGTGCGTGTCCAACAATTTCAATCTCGTCAACTTCAACGCCGTCGCCATCTTCGAACTGCACACGACTCCCGCGCATTCCTTCGCCAGCGTTTTCAAAAACTCGTACCTTTCTCTCAGAACGTCTCTCGCTGTCGTCATGGGATCTATCGGATACACCACGCACGGTACCACGCTCGCACGCATCAGCGCCAAAAATACCGGAAACCAATCAACCCCAGGTTCATAGAGAAATATCACTCTTTTATTCTCCTTTTCTCTCTCCTCCATCGTCCGCGTCGTCCAGGAAAATGTCTTCTCGGAGTTGAACATTTTCGCCAGCTTTCGATGCCTCGAACGCATATCTCTCGCCGTGAACTTCCTCTCTTCTGTTTCTTTTCCCGCCGAACAGGACACGTACGTGTACGAAAACGCATCGTTTCCTTTCAAAAGGTTCACCCAGTGATCTAACCCATCGATTGGATGCTGGTAATCGTTTATATCATCATCGTCATCGGTCATTATTGTTGTTATGAAACGCTCGCTTTTTTTTCTCTTTGAGTATTTTTTCTGAAGTAAAAATATTCGTATGGAATTTAAGCGTTGCGTAAAAATAATAATGGAGAAGGGTTTTGCGCGCGCGTGAATTGTTTCGCGCAGGAAACGAAGATATTCCAAATGTGGAGAATACGTTTGTGCTTTTCGCGTCGCTGCCTGATTCATGTTATTACAAGTTTTGTTCTCGCGCCGCCGTTCGATTTTACTCTTTGCCTCGCTTCGGCCGGCGCGCGTGTCTTTTACGACGATGAGGATGATGACGATAATGCGTCAGAGTTCAATCATCAAACTCGTCACTGTTTTCATCGGCAGTGTGTAATGTTCCTCCTTCATAAAGCCAACCATCTGGTAAAAGGCAGTCGTTGTCGAGGAGGTATTGTAAACATTCGGTTTGGTTGTTCTCGTGCGCTTCTCGTAACACTTCTTCGTTCCAAGGCACTTTGGCGGTTTCGTGCAAGTACTTCAAACAGTCTAAGTGGCCGAATGCGGCTGCATACTCACACGCATACTCGAATTCATCATACTTACGTTCAACAAGATACTCGAGTATGTGGAGATGACCCTTTTCAGCCGCCCTTGCGGCAGTACTCGAATCCCAAGGCGCTTTCGCTTCTTCGCGTAAGTATTTGAGTACCTCGAGATGACCGCCACCGGCAGCCCATGCACACGCCCTCCCATCGATATGACACCCATTTGCAACGCAATACTTTACCATTTCCATATAACCTTGAGATGCGGCTTCATTAATCGTCCCTTCATCCCACTCACACTTTTTCTCCTCTCGCGCCCACTTGAGCAACTCGAGTTTATTCGTTTGAGCAACTTTCCAGCAGAAATATGTTTCGTCCATCTCTTCTTCCGCATCGTAGTCATACTCGTCCCACGGAAAATGCTCCCACGCAACTTCCAAAGTCGAAATCGACGACATCTCTTCAACTTTAAACTTCTCTTTCAACTCCTTCTTGCGAGATGATCTCTTAATCAACTTTCTCGTTTCACTGTTCACTCCGTGCAAGAATTTCACATCCGTCCTATTCAACCTCGGCAAAATATGAGTGAAAGTTATATCGTCGCACTTCACGACCACATCCCACAAAGAAGAATCTCTCTCGTCCCCTCTCCGTCTTTTCTGCGCTCGCGTCCTCACTCCCACTCCCAATAATAGAGTCGCAGCAGTCGCAGCATCAGAAGAAGACATCTGTGCGCCTCTCGTTGTGTTCACTCTGACGGGGAAAAACTCTGGGGAAAAAAGATATCTCACGTCTTCATATCTTTGACGCGTTTGTTCTTTCTCTCTCTCTCTCGCTCTCTCTTTGCTTTAAAACGCGCGCGTTTTGCACGACACCCGAGAAGCGAGCAGCGCTGATATACCGAGTCATCTTCTCGGAGGAGAGAGATTGAAGCTGTGCGAAGATATTCGTAAAGAAAGGAGTTTATGATGACGATGACGATGACGACGGGGATATCCTCGATTGGAACCAAGAAGAACAGCATTAACCGCGCGAAGGTGTCGTCGACGAGAAGAACACGAAGAGTCCGAGCTGCTCTTTCCAGCAGCGGCAGCAAAGGGAGCAACTTTGTGGTGCGCGCGTCTTCGTCTTCGTCTTCTCCTTCTGACGACGAGAACAACTCTTTGGGTATTAAAGATACGATCATCGTCGGTGGTGGTGTCTCTGGGTTGTCCACGGCGTTTACGATGAAATCGAAGAACGCATCGTGCGATATCATGGTCACGGAAATCCGAGACCGCGTCGGAGGGAACGTGACCTCGAAGAATGACGGTCAATACATATGGGAGGAAGGACCGAACTCGTACCAACCGGGAGACGCGGTGTTGAAGTTAGCGTGCGACGCCGGGATGAAGGAGGATATCGTTCTCGCGAACCCGGATTCGGATAGGTACGTGTTGTGGGATGGGGAGTTGAGAGCGTTGCCAAAGGATATACCGACCGCAGTGCTCGGGGATTTTTTGACCTGGCCCGGGAAGATTCGAGCTGGTTTAGGGGCGGTGGGTATTCGCATGCCGAAAGAGGAAGGTAAGGAGGAAACGGTGAAGGAGTTTGTATCTAGAAATTTAGGCGAAGAGGCGTTTCAGAGATTAATTGAACCGTTTTGCTCGGGCGTGTACGCCGGTGATCCGGCGATGTTGAGCGCGGAAGCCGCGACGGGTAGAGTTTCGGTATTAGAGAATAAAGGTCCGTGGCCGGGTTTGTTTCCGGGCGCGTTGAAAGCGCAATACGAAGGCGCGAAGAAGAAGAAGGAAAATCCGAGAGATCCGAGATTGCCGGTGATTGAGGGTCAAACGGTTGGGAGTTTTAAAGGCGGTTTGCAAACGTTACCGGAAGGATTGGCGAAGCAGTTAGGAGAGGGCATCGTGAAGTTGCAGTGGAAGCTGATCAAAACGGAAAAAACCGAGGACGGTCTGTTCTCTTTGACGTACGAAACTCCAGAAGGGGAGAAGAAAGTGAAGGCGAAATCCGTCGTGTTTACGCAACCGGCGTACGTGGTCGCGGATACGGTGCGAAGTATCGCGCCAGAAGCTGCGAAATCGTTCGAGAAGTTCTACTATCCACCTGTTGCGTCTGTCACCGTCGCATACAAACGCGACGCGTTTAAATTAGACGGCCGTTCAGCCTTGCCTGAAGGCGGCTTGACCGGTTTCGGTCAACTCCATCCGCGAACGCAAAAAGTGCGCACGCTAGGCACCATCTACTCCTCCTACTTATGGGCCGACGACGGACGATGCCCTAAAGACGAATTCATGATCCTCAACTACATCGGCGGCGCCCGAGACGTCGAAATTCAAAAACTCAATGAAGACGAACTCGTCCAAGCCGTCCACGCCGACGCTTTAAAAACCATCTTAAAACCAGACACGCCGTTGCCGAAAAAAGTTGGCGTTCGCATGTGGTCCAAAGCTATCCCGCAGTTTAACCTCGGTCACTGGAAACTCTTAGACGAAGCTAAAGAACTTTTGAAAAAAGAAAAGTGCAGCGAAGAGGACGGTTTATTTTTAGGCGGAAACTACGTCGCCGGCGTCGCGTTTGGCCGGTGCGTCGAATACGGCGTCGATCAAGCCTCGGACGTGTTGAACTTTTTAGATAAGCAGAGACGAACCGTATAATAATATTATAGTACTACTTTATACTCGTACAAAAGCACACCGATACCGCGTGCCACTGAATACACGTTTCGAAGCTCTTCTTCTTTTTGTCCTTCTTTTCCTTCTTCTTCTTCTTCTTCTTCCGCGCAGAGTTACGCTCTCGTCTGCGAGTTTTGCCTCCGATTTTGTTTCAAACACCTCATTATAAAGGAGCTCGATTTCCTCGGATTTACGAATATGGGCGTCCCTAAATTCTACCGATGGCTGAGCGAGCGGTACCCGATGCTGAATCAGCAAGTCAACGCGGCCGGTGTGCCGGACATTGATAATTTGGTACGTGTTCTCTTCGTCATCGTTTCTCTTATCGATGATGTTGTTGGTTTTATCTACTAAACCCGCGCGGTTTAAGTGCAATTTTGCGCGGGAAATTTGTGATCGCACAACGGGGAAAATGCGATGTAATTTCTGTTCTTTCAAACGACAGAGAGCGGATGACGACGACGACCAAAACGAGACATCAAAAGTGTTCGCGCGTCGTCGTCGTTCATCGCGTTTCTTTCTGTTCCTTTGACCGCTTTTTCCGGCTTCGAAAGAGAGACGGATATGACTCTCGAGTAGTCTAATTCTTGTTACTTTTAACTAATAATTCTCTCTCTGTTTCTCTCTCTACAGTATTTGGACATGAACGGGGTCATTCACAACTGCTCCCACGGCGCAGGAACGGATACGAACACGCGCATGACCGAAGAAGAGATGATGGCGAAAGTATTCGCGTATTTAGACCACATATATCGAATGGTGCGACCGAAAAAGTTGCTGTATATGGCGATCGACGGCGTCGCGCCGAGAGCGAAGATGAATCAACAGCGGTCGAGACGGTTTCGGTCGGCGAAGGAAGCGGAAGAGGCGAAGGCGGAGGCGTTGGCGAAAGGCGAACCGGAAGCGCAGGGGGAACCGTTCGATAGTAACTGCATTACGCCCGGGACGGAATTTATGGCGAGATTGACGGAGCATTTGAAGTTTTACGTGAGGAAGAAGCAAACGGAGGACGTGGCGTGGAGGAACGTGAAAGTGATTTTGAGCGGGCACGAAGTCAGAGGAGAAGGCGAACATAAAATCATGGAATATATTCGTTGGGAGAGATTGAAACCGGATTACGACGCGAACATGTCGCATTGCTTATACGGTTTGGATGCCGATTTGATCATGTTGGCCTTGGTGACGCACGAACCGCACTTTTGTTTGCTGAGAGAGGTTGTGAAATTTGGCGGTGGTGAGAGAGGGCAACCATCGAGAGAGATTTTAGAACGTCCGAGCGACGATGGTTTTTTGATGTTACAGGTTGGTTTGCTGAGAGAGTATTTGGATTTGGAATTTCAACGATCGGTGAAAGGAGCGTGCGGATTCGCCTACGACGTGGAGAGAGTTATCGACGATATCGTGTTTTTGTGCATGCTGGTCGGGAACGATTTCTTACCGCCATTACCGACGTTAGATATCGCCGAAGGTGCTTTGAATACGCTTTTTGATACGTACCGAGACATGCTTCCGTCTTTGGGCGGGTACATTTCCGGCGACGAAGGAGGCGGAACGTTCAACGCGCCTCGCTTGGAAAAGATTCTAACGCGCATGGCGGGTTTCGAACGCGACGTTTTGGAGCAACGAGCGATGGATGTGCAAGAATTCGACGAGAAACAAGCCAAACGAAATAATAAGAATGGTAAGAGAAATGGTCATCCTTCGGATTCGGAATCGTTTACCGATTTAACCGCCATGGAACAATTTGAAGCCGAATTACTCAAGGCGAAAGAGGAAGGGAAACCAGAACCGACGATGATGTCCGTCGCGAAACGAAACGCCATTCTCGAAGGCGGCGCCGACGGTCTTCAACAATACAAGGACATGTATTACAGAGAGAAACTCGAGTTGAAAGTCGGCGAAAAAGCGCCGGTCGATGAGTTACGCCAGGCATACTTTGAAGGTTTGAATTGGGTCTTGAGATACTACTACCGTGGCGTTGCCAGTTGGACGTGGTATTATCCGTATCATTACGCGCCGATGGCGAGTGATTTATGTGCGGGGTTAGGTCAGTTGACGGTTAAGTTTAATTACGGGCGACCGTTTTATCCTTTCGAGCAGCTCATGGCGGTCCAACCTCCGGCTTCAAGCCATCTGCTCCCGGAACTCTTTCGTCACTTCATGACGGAAGAATCGTCGCCGCTGAAACCGTTCTTCCCGGATGAAATCAAAATAGATTTCGAAGGTAAAAGAAACAGTTGGGAAGGCGTCGTTTTACTCCCGTTCTTAGACGAGAAGGTGTTGAAAGATGCCATCGCTTCCGTTTCAAAAGAGAAGCTCACGGATGCGCAAAACAAACGCAACGCGCCGGGCGAGTGCATCGTTTTCGAACGCGACGAAAACTGTACCGATGCTGTAAACTCAACCGTTCCGAAAACATTTGCCGGCTTGTTCCCGGCTAAATCGAAGATGACGTACGAACAACCGCCCGGGGAGTTCCCAGACGATGCCAAGTGTTTGGGAGGTAAGAATCCATTGTTGCCGGGTTTGAAAATCGAAACCATCGCGGATTACCCTCGAGGATACCCGACATTTAAAACCGTAGAAATCGTTCGTGGCGATTTGAAACACGCGAAATGCGTGGTGTTTCAAACTGCGACGAGGAAAGAGTCTTTAATCGTAAAAATTGGGAAAGGTTCCGAAGATTTCATTGGAAAAGCGTTGCCGAATGTGGCGGACAAATCCGTCGGTCTCACCGCAGAAGCCGTCGCGAAGACGTATCTCAACGAACGCGTCTACGTGAAATGGCCGTATTTGAAAGAGTCCTTGTGCGTGGGTGTTTCCGATCAAAAGTGTAAATACGTCGTCGGTCCGGGCCAAACCACCGTCGCGAAGCCGCACGACAGCGCGCAATGGCACGCGGACGTGACAAACGGCAGCAACGAGCTAATGCGAACGCAAGGCGTGGATTGTGCGAACACGAAAATTGCTTTACACGTTCGATCGTGCGAAGGATTAGTGAGGCATCCAGATGGGACGTTACAAAAACGGTTCTCGAAAACCGAAGTAGTCGTCCCGATGCAGTTGTGTCTCGCCGCGCACCCGAGAGATAAAAGCGAAGCGGAAGCGGCGAAAGATTTAGGCGTCTCGGAAGACGACGACATGAAAGTCACGTGGCGCGAAGGCGACGAGGCTTTATTCTTAGGTCGCTCGCATTTCGGTTCCCACGTCAAAGTCGTTTCGAAAGACCTGAAATCTGGGAACTTATTCGTCGATGTCGAACCTGTGAGATTAGACACCGGCGTCGGGAGAAGAATTCTCCAAGGGTACGCCTCTCGCTTTGAATCCGCCGGTCAAATCGCTCGAAAGCTCGGCATCGATCCGAGAGTCATGGGTCAAATCACATCTGCCGTCTGGACGCGTTTAACTAAGGATGCGGGCAAGAACGAACGCGTGGACGTCGGTTTGAACTTGCGCAAATCCTCGGAAGACTTGTGCGTCGCCGGGTTTTCTCGCAAAGGCGAGAAAGGGTGGGAATACTCCGTGGACGCTCAGAGATTAATTTCGGAATATAAAAAGCATCACCCGTGGGTGTTTGAAGCTTTGAGAAACGAAGCTGGAAGCGATAACGGAGGAGTGATTACGATGTCGGAACTCTTCGAAACGCACGATTTAGATACGAACAAACATTTAGTGGCTGAAGCGAAGAAGTGGCTCAAGTCGCAACCGGCGTCGAGACGACCGTTGGTGCCTTCGGACTCTGTCGTCGCGGCCGAGGAAGCGGTGAGAGCGTTAGCGGCGACGATTGGCGATCAGTCTGCGAACTACAAGCAACCTATGCCGGTGGCGTTGGAAGGCGTCAGTCCTCTGTTGCTCATGAAACCAGTCATTCCAGGTGAAGTGATGGATTTATACGCCGGAGGTGACTTTGAATTGGGCGATCGCGTGGCGTACGTCGGTGAATCCGGGACGCCTCCATTCTGCTCTCGTGGCACGGTCGTCGCCATTCATGGGTATACCGACGCGCACACCACGCACATGGTTGCCGAACACGTGGAGATTATGTTTGACGGAACGTTCGTTGGTGGAAGTGATTTGAGAGGGGCGCTGCCAGATTGCAGAGGTGCGATGATTGCGGTGTCTTCGGTTGTGAACTTGTCGCATCCGCCGGCGATGCCGAGCTTAGGTAAAGCGGCGCCGGACGTCGTCAAAAAAGTTGAGAACATAAGTTTAGAGGACGTAATGAACTTGAACTGGAAAGGCGGGTCGGAGAACGTCAAGAAGCAAGCGGAGAAGCCGAAACCGGTTCCGGTCGCCGTCGCGAACCGACAACCAACGTTACCGGGCGAGAAGGGTTTTTCAAAATCCGCTGGTCGCGGTAGAGGCGTATTAGCTGCATCGAACTCAACGGCGCCTGGCAAACCGCTCGGTGCCATGGAACAAATCAAATTGCTCGAGCAAAAAGCGTTGGCGGAACAACAACAACAACAACAACAACAACAACAACAACAACAACAACAAACGAAACCTCCACCTCCGACGAAGAAAAAAGGCATCATCGGATCTTTGAAAGACTTGTTGAAGAAGACGCCGCCGCCGAAACCGGAAGAAGAGGCGGACGAAAAAGCTACGACGAAGCCGAAGAAACCGGCAGCGCCTGCCGTCGTGTCTTCTTTAGCCGATATCGAAGCAAAGTTAGCGCAACAAACACAACCGGTTGTTGCTGCTTCTGCGCCGTCCTCTTTGGCGGCCTTAGAAGCAAAGCTCACGCAGCAATCGATATCTCAAGCTCCACCTTCAAGCGGCGGCGGCAGCACTTCGTTGCAAGCGCTCGAAGCCAAACTGTTACACTCTTCCGCGGCGCCCGTTCCTCCAACGCCGCCGCCGCAAAAGTCAATGCCTCCGCCGCCCAAACCTCAACAAGAACAAAAGCCAAAGAAAACCGGCTGGGCTCCGGTGGAATCCGTCCAACCCGTCAACGTCATGTCCGGCAAACCATCTTCAAAAGCACCAACGCCTTCCCAACAGCAAAGACCGCCGCCGGTGGTTAAAGACGAAACGCCTCCGCCGCTTCCGTCCAAACCGGTCGAAGCGACGAAAGCGAAACCTTCCTTCGTCCCGAGATCCGCGGCGAGGAAAATCGCCGCGAAACCCAAAGAACAACTGCAGAAACAAAAAGAACAAAAGGAAGAGTTGCACTTGTAATAATAACACTACTAAAAGAGAGAAGAAGAATATCAGAAGTGGCGAGAGAGAGAGAGAGAGAGAGAGAGAGAGAGAGAAGAGAGAGAGAGTCATTAATTAGTCTTGTGTTGTATTAAATTTTCGTACGTTCCAAAAATGAACAAAAGGAGAATCAAAAAAAATTCTCATCTTTCGTCGACGTTTTCGGCATAAAAAATCTTCAAGATGTCAGCACTGGTGGGAGTATCCTCCTCCTCGTTTGGGGCGATTTTGTCCTCCCCGAGGACGAGCAGAAGAGCACAACACACTAGAAACAACAACAACAACAGCATCATCAATCACGCGACGATGAGTAGCAGCAAAAGCGCGCGTAAATCTACTTTGCGCGGGGTGGGCGTCGTTCGCGGGGAAAAAATGGTGATTACACCGTCGTCATCATCGAGGACGATCTGCGCCGTGAACAAGGCTTTATCCTCCTCCTCTTCCTCCTCCTTTTTCACCAAGCAGAAGATAAGATCGGTGAAAATGAACGCGGGGATGTTTAACAACAACAATGATTCCTCGGGAGGAGACGATGAGTTCAAAAAAATCGTCAACGATATCGTGTACGTGGACCCAGTGGTCGGGGCGAAGCGATTCTCGAATTACTTTTGGGCCTCGGTCGTGACCGCCGGCGCGAGCGGGTTTTTGATCACCGGCGCGAGCGCGTATTTCAAACACAATTTGGTGTTTTTCTTGGACGCTTCGGACATTCAATTCTTTCCGCAAGGGTTGGTGATGAGCTTTTACGGTATCGCGGGTTTGTTGTTGGCGACGTATTTATGGTTGACGATCAACTGGAACGTCGGCGCCGGGTATAACGAGTTTAACAAAGAGGAAGGGATTTTTCGAGTGTTTAGGTATGGGTTTCCGGGGAAGAATAGACGGGTGAACTTGTTGACGGATTTGAAAGACGTGACGGCGGTGAGAGTGGAGATCTCTGACGGGATTAACCCGAGACGGGTTGTGTACGTGAAGTGCAAAGGTAAAGGCGATATCCCGTTGACGCGCATCGGCCAACCGTTGACGTTGGCGGAGGTGGAGAGGCAAGCGGCGGAGTTGGCGAAGTTTTTGCAAGTTCCTATTGAAGGGCTTTAAACATATTTTTGAATTCGTTTGATGATTTGGTAATAAATAAGTACTATTGGCACCGAATGTACGCTTTTCTCTAAAATTTACTCGCTGAGTTGGGTCACCAACGCCACTCCTCTTTTAATCCAGTGTTCCGCGGGTTCTTTCGTGGGCATTTTCATGTGCATGACAAAGTTTGTCGAGTGTCCAGTCGTCGCGAGCGTACCTCTTCTTTCTGCCGTTCGATAGCAAGGGCAATCGTACCTCGCGTTTTGCTTAATCTCGTCTGCTTTTCTCGGCTTGAACCAAAATATAGGCGCTTTCGAGTGTAAGACGTTTTTCTCCGATTCAACCAGTTGCATGTTTTCTTCGTCCCACCCGCATCCTTCTAAGAATAGACCGGAGACGTACACTCCAGCTTCGGGTGGTTCGGTAATATCACTCGCGTCGCCTTTGATTGGCTCAAAATCGAACGCTATTTCGTCCACGGGGAGTTTGTGTTTGCGGCTATAGTTCTGCAACGCGGCCGTTAAGAACGACTGCGCGAAGAAGAAACCAGAGATCCAAAACACCGCGGGTGGCTTTCCATTCCTATCCCAAGTCTCGAGCATGGTGCAACGCTCCAAGAGGTCGTCAAAGTACGAGGAGAAAGGTTTGAGCGACGGATAACTCACTTTTTTCCAGGCTTCCGGAACGGCGTTGCGCTCGATTGCTTTCTTCGACGCTTCGGACTCGGCTGAGAAAGCTGCGCGTCCGGCGAGAGCGGCTTCAATCTCGTGTAAAGATTTTCGGATGTTGAGCAAAAGCTTGTTATATCGGGACATTTCTTGACACAAAGTTGTTCCGAGAGAATCCGCGTAGGCGTCAGGGAGCTTTTCTCGCGTCTTTTCGACATTAAAATTAGACGGAAGACGGGCGATTGCGTCGTTGATGACTTCTTTTAACGCAGTGTTCGTATCCGCAGCCTCATTTGTGGTGGTACTAGATGAATCTTCTTCGCAGTCATCCTTTTCCTTCGTTGCGTGTTCATCACTTTCTTCTGTCTCGAGATTCTCGTTTGTTTCCTCGCTCGCGCTATCGCCGGACATTTTTAGTAGATCTCGACACATCGCCTCTGCATCCGCGCGATCTTTAGAGACGTCAGCGTTCGCGTGCAAACCAAAAACCTCTGGTTCTGGTAAAGCGGGTAATGCGTCCACGTGTTCGAGAAGCTGCGCGCGACTTGGATTCAAGATGGACGGAGTTGCGTATTTTCCAGAGGCGGATAACGCAAAATTATTCGACGACGCGGCTTCTTCTGAGTAGCACTTTTCAAGAATAGTCGCGAGCAGAATGCGGTCGTTAGCGTCTGTTACTCTGCCTCCATAGTTACATTCACCGGCTAAATAACGTAAAGCCTCGAGAGGTAACTTCGAGACTGCTTTCGATACGAGCGCTTTTTCGTCATCATCGGCAACGGTAGTGGCAGCACCACCAGTAGCTTCGTCTTCGATGCTACCATCCTCTTCATCCTCGTCTTTTTCATCGAGGAACATTTTTAGTTGTCGTGCAGATATCGATAAATCACCGTCGTCGAAGCCATACGGAACGTTCCAACCGATAGGCCCAAACGCTCGTCGTTCTTGAACGTTGGCGTGAAAAAAACACAACGAAAATAACAATCGCTTAAACTCGTTAGGCCTTGCACATTTATCGAAAAAGTCATCATCGCAAAGCGGCTGTACACTTAAAGCGCGTTTCACATTCGCTCGGATCCCTCTGGGCGGCTCGTTGGTCATTTTCACCGCGTTCTGTAAAATCGTCATCGGAAAGTCTTTCGACGGATACGACGTCATCCACAATCTGAACCTATTGTGCGCTTCACCTTCACCAGCGACTAAATCTTCGCATATTTTCTCCAAAGCTTTCATCCACGAAGGTGCTAGATGACAATTCTGTAAAACAACCCAACCGCCGTTTACGCGAGCTTCATCGATGAGCTTCTTTGCCTTGGGGCCTTGGCCTTGACCGAGCGAGATCGATTTCACCGCATCGGCCTCCCCTTTCGACGCCGCAAACTGTAAGAGCTTTGCCATTGGATCTGAACCTGCGGACAAGACAAAGACTAGCGGTGCACGCGGTCCTGCATCTGCGTAACATTTCTCCAAATCGAAAGTTGGAGGCGTTATGAACTTTTCGCCAAGCGTCGCGCCGACATATTTACGAGCAGCCGGGATAAGCTTATCCGGGCGCAAACAACGAATAATACACAAACGACTGAATTCAGAAAGCGTGTCATACGGTTTCGGGAAAGCAGCTTCGTGCGGAGTAGGACTATCATACGCAGCTTTCCACGTTTCTTGCGATTCGATATTGGTTGTATCTAAAATACTTTCACAAATATCCGAAAATCTCGGAAGAAAGGATAAATTAGCAAAATCATTCGCGCGCTTTTCATCGATCCAGTCCACAGTTTGTACGAGTTCTTCTACTAGATTCTTGTCAACTTTTGATCCAATCTGAACGCCCGTGAGTAGAAAGTTCCACTCTTGTCCGTCGAGCATCCCTTCGTCCCGAGAAATGCGCGAACACAGCGAGAACGAGAACAGAAGTTTATCGCATTCAAAGAGCGAGCGGCAGACATTATCGTAGAGACTTTTCGTGAAGTGCGTTCGGATATCTCTCAGTCGAGTATCGACCGAATCTTCGACGGCGGTCTCCTCCACTGATGATGATACTGATGTACCTTTCTCAAATTTGGAGTTTACGACAGAGGCGATGAATAATCGCGAGAACCATTGCAGCGAGTACTGATACATCGATTCAATCGCAGCCAAATCTGATATGCAGAAAAAGAGTAAAGCTGCGTAAGATCCAGAACTTGAGTACGCAGATCTTGCAGCGTTAATGTCTTTCTCAGTCTCTTCTGCCTCAGCTTGAGCTTGCGTAACGGATTCAGAGACCGACTTGGAGTCTGTAATAATTTTAATCGCACGCTCGTCGTCGAGGATGTTGCCGTCAGAGTTTGATAAAACCTCTAGAATCTGATCTTCCAGCTGTTTCAACTCTCGCGCATTCTTCGCAGATTGCGTAACGAGCTCATCTTTCTGCTTTTCCAGATCCGGGCGTTCTTTTGCAACGATCAAGGCGAGAAGTTGATCGCTCAAACCTTCTCGTGTGATTGCGAAATCGAGCAATGTCACTTTCACCGCCGTCTCCGGTAAATAGTGCGGGTTTCGAAGTTTCGTCGTAATGTAAAGTCTAAAGTCTTCCGAATACTCAACTGTTGCGTCTCCCAATCGCATACACGTCACGCCTCCGCTTTTAAATGTTTGCTTCAAAAGTAAAGGCTCTAGACTTGGATCGAGTTCTTCTCCGACGTTCTCTAGTAATACCGGCGTACCAAACTGAATGGCGTTTTCGAGTTCCCGCATATGCGCTCCATCTTCAGACAGTTTCACGACTCTGAGGTTATTCTTCTTCTCCATATTTTTAATCCAAGCGTTTGCTTGCCCTTGTGGATCAATCATAAGAGGCCAACGTCTCGCATTTTCGATTATGATGGCGTTCTCAATGGAGAATTGATCGTTTGGCAACGCCGCAACTTGCCATTCCCTAATTCTGACGGCATCGCCGAGAATGTCAATCAACTCGCATTTAGTCGAACAGATTATTTTCGATTTATTGAGCTCATGCATCCACATATCATGCATCTCTTGTCTGCAAGACATTGGATATGCACCCAAGTATGCGATAGTACCGGCGGAAAGGATCGCGTCGCCAACAATATTTTCATACTGTCGACCGAGATCTTCCGCTTTTTTCTTCCAACGAGCGCGCTCGCCGCCTAAACCTGAAATCAAACTCTCGGCGCGTTGTAACTTTACTGCGCACAAATTCGCTTCTGCTTCGAGGTTAGCTTTTTTATCGTTCTGCTTCTTCAACTCTGTCTCCATAGCTTCGAGCTTATCTAATATCGTTTTCAAATCCGCTCTGGTGGCGTTTAATCCCACCATGACTTCATCGTACGCCGCTTCGGCTTCCTTCAACGCTTCTTGCTTCGGGGCGACGATTTTTGCAACTTTATCGTACTTGTCCATTGCACAAACCCATTTGCACAAACCTTCGGCAGCGCTCGACGCATTCGCAGCTTTTTCAGGCGTGAACAACGGGTTCGAGATGTATACTGATCGAATTTTCTGTATGACTTTTATCGGTATGTTATCTTTGTCGTACGATTTAAGCGTTTCCAGGAAATCTTTGTCGTTTAGTAATCCACACGATGGTTTCCAGTAGTCATCGACAGTGCGACCCGTGTCTGGATCTTTTGCCCGAGCTGGTTTGACTTCTAAAATGACACAGACGGCTTCGAGGACGAGTTTAATAATCGCCGGCGGGTTTTTCAACTGTTTCACGTAATTAATATCCGCCGGTTTCAACGTATCCAAGGCGGCAATAGCGTCGTTGAGAATAGGCATGGCCTCTGCTAATATGTTCTCGCATTCTTCTTTCACTCCGTTAGCTTCCCTAGCTTTTTCCGCGGCGACGGCTTCATCGGCTTCGACAATCTTACGTTTCGGCTCGACTACTGTCTCCTTCTCGTTTTGAATTTCTTTCATCATTTCGGCGACTTCAATTGCGGACTCTTTCAGCTTCGGTTGCAGAGCTTCGAGTTCACTTTGCATGCCCGCAACTTGCTCTGCCGAAGATGCGAGCTTTTCCAGACCAACTTCGTATCGTCTCTTCAATCGCATAGTTTCCTCTCTTCGCTTACCCACTAAACTCGCAAACGTGCTCAAAAGTTCGAGATAACTCGTTGGCGTGACGTAATTCTTCCGTCCAGTTCTCGCGTAGTACCGTTCAGATAACTCTGCCACGGACGAGTGCATGATACCACACACACTCGTAAGCGCACTCGCGGCCTCGGCCGAAATACCATCCACGGATTCCCGGAGAATCTTACCGGCGACCGCTTCTAAGGCATCTTCCGGCCACGCTTTGAACCAATCAATAGTGCAGCAATTGACCAACGACGGAAATTGACGCAAACGTTCTCGGAAAGCCTCGCCGGCCGGAGATAAGCACAGAACGACGTGAAGTTTACGGCGACACCTCGATACGAAGTACGCCCACAGCTCCGATTGCGTGGCATCCTCTCCAATTTCTTTCGTGGCATCTTTTCGAACCATTTCTAAAACTTGAGCCTTCTCGTCCGTTGGAAAAGCGTTTGGAATCTCACCGGCGTTGAGTAAGTTGTTGATATCTTCGATGAATGCCTCGTCTTTTATTTGCGCGTCGCTGAATAAGAAGACGACGTCTCGGTTCTCCCCGCCAGACATACGCAGCATATTTTTCAAATCTTCCCTCCATTCGAGCATACCATACGTCTTTGTCATTTCAATTTCTTTCACGAACATTTCTCCACTCGCATGCGCAGCTAGTCTTGCGAGCGATTTGCGTCCCGAACCACCGACGCCAACCAAGAGAGCGTGTCCACCAGGTTGTGCTAAAATGCGGCAAATTCGTGAAATATGCTCCGCGGCGTAAACAAACATGGTAATATTCATAGGCTGTTTTGAATAATGATTGTAATAGTTCAAATGCTCGTCCATGATTGAAACCCAACTATGAGCATCTCCAGAAAGTTCTTCGTAACTTGGAGGAGGTACTTGTAGCTCGAGATTGTTCGCGTCGTCGTCGTCGTCGTCGTCGAATTCATCGCGTATTTTCGGTGGATTTGCATATTTACCAAACGCCAAAAGTTTCGTATCGTTCATATTCAAGTGTGAAAACAAGCCGTCGAAGTTTTCTCGGAAATGTGTTGACACAGCGACCCGCATGGAGTCAACCAGTATTCTTTCATCCGCTACGTCAACTAAGCGATCTCCAAAGACCCTCAATATTTCGTGAGTCCACAGTCTCGTGATTCGAAGTCGGCCAAAATCGCTCTCATTCTCCACTTGCGAGAGCGGTAACATAGTCAAACCCTGCGCGACTCGCGAAAAATCTCGCAAATTGAACGAATAGTGCGATTTCTCCGGCGTAGGAAGTAACTTCTCGAGGCAAGTTTGGTATACGACCAGCGTAGCGCAAACGGCGTCCGGAGCCATGTTGACGATAGAATTATGAAACTCGCAGTTCTGAAAGTGTTGCGATAAAATGGCGTTATAAATTCCTTTCAAAGCCGATTCGTCTACTTCCGGAACTGAAACGAGTGAAAAGTGACGCAAGTACCGCTCCGTCACTGGATTTCTACCTCCACCGGCTGGACCCATCGCGGCGACGAATTGGATATCTTGGAGTGTTACAAACGCGTTGTCTCTACCGTACCAACCTCCGTAATCATGGAATTGTCGAAGAATTTCAATAGGAGGTTGCGCGCCATACGATTCGCGTTGCGGCATATTAACGTCATCGATAAAGAATACGCCCTTAGCACCTGGAATTGGTCCATATACACCTTTTCGCCTCTTATCGAGACGTCCATCCACTTGCGCTTGTGTAGCGTTCGCAGATGTTCTCGCAGAAAACCCAATAGTTGTCGGTTGCCATTTACTCTTATCTAAGGAGCGTAATCTGCGCTGTACGATGGTTGATTTTCCAGTACCCGTGGGGCCGCAGAAGAGTATCGGGTACCCATGCCGCAAAGCGCAATCGAGCAAGTGATCGCACGTAGCCGTTTCTTTCGTTGGAACAATTGTTGCATCAAAAGGAAGGTCTTTTGGAATAATTCGAGCTTGCGCCGGAATAGAGTCAATCCATTTTTGCCACGCAATACCGTGCAAACGTTCAACACCGGCTCCTTTGGGAGCGGAAATTTTGAAATCGTAGACGGTGGCACTTTCATCGCGCCAAAATGTTTCCGGACATGACAGAGAACTGGTTTTGGACGCAATTGCAGATTTTAAGAACGTATCAAATGCTGATCTGCTCTTTGTATCGACACATCCACCAACAGACCACACCAAGGCGAATAGGAACGAGGCGTCAATCGCAGTAATAGGTGGGTTAAGATAACGAGACACGACGCTCGACTCGCTTTCGTCGCTCGCAATTCCAGCCGTATGCGCAGCGTCGTTACTCACGTCAGAACTATTTTCATATCCTGTGATCAAATCTTTCAGCGTCGCGTCAAATAGGCGCGTAAGCGATGCCGTGAGATTTCCTTCGCCCGCCGGGGAGATCTTCTTCAACTCGCCGACTTTCTCAACCGATGCCGGGAGAAACGTTTCAAATAATGTCGATAGGCGATCGTGCGCTTCGTTTCCGTACATTACACGTGCTTCAGATACCCACGATTTGAATTGCGGCTTCCATCCAACTTCAGCGGGTTCCATGTAAACCATACCGCATCGAGATACCGTCGCCGGACTCGCCACGGCCAAATCGGCAACCTCAAAAATCAAGTTCATCAACCCCGTCATTGCAATAATCTCAGAATTCGGGAGGCATAACTTTTTATTATCGTCTAAAACTGTGTTCATGTTCTCGATCCAAATTGCATCGACGGGACCATCCATAACGAGCCATTTTCTGATGTGGGTTTCGCGCATATTCGCGAGTTTACGGAAGTGTAAACCCAACACCCCCTCTCTCCACTCTTGTGTCACGTTATCTGTTTCACCATAAAGTTGTCCCATCGTGACTGCCTTTGGATTTAAATACGTCGCAATGACCTCTTTCTCATCGTTCAGTCCTTTCTCGTGTAAATCTGTAAGGGCACCAGCTAATACAGCCAACGCTGATGATTTTCCACTCATCGTCTCGCCGACTAGCATCAAACCGTGTCGAACCACAATCATCTCATACAATTGCGTAATCTTGGTCAAAAAATACTCCGTGGGCTGTAAATTCCTCGCAGTACACTGATCAATCACAGCAGCGTGCAGATTTTCGTAATCTGTTTTCGGTAGAACAACCCCGGGGAATAAATCACCGACGATGCCATAAAACAAAGGAACGTCGTGGGCGAGAAATTTACACAAGTTCACGTCGATGATGGCACGTAACGTCAAAACAAATTCACACTCCTCTGGATGCTTTCGCTTCAAATTGCCTGCGGCCCTGAGCACAGCAATGACGGCACGCATGCCATAATCGTAGTGATCCTGAGAAGAAAGCTGTTCTGAACACAAACGATACGTCGCTACAATCTTTCGCGCACACGCTCGCGCGTTAAGATACCCATCAGAATAGAGCAAAATCTCAGAAATCAACGCGTAGTCAGGAACCATCATAGCTACTGTTCGGAAGAGCGCTTTCAAGTTATCTGGAAGTTCGGATCTACCCGCATAACCAGGGTTCATCGTGATGAACACATTGCACGTCGGACGCAACGTAAGTTCTGAACCTTCAAAGAAGAACTTCTTCACGTTATTCTTCACGGCGATTTGAATCTCAAGCACTTGCTGGGCTACAACAGATAGCACTTCCAAATCGATGCGATTGAATTCATCGAAGCACGCCCACGCACCGGACGAAGCTAAACCTTTGAAGAATCGTGCCATCGTTAAATAGTCCAAAGAATCGGAACAGTTGAAAACAACGCACTGTCTTGCCAGCGCTTTTGCGAGATCTTTGGTTGTTTCTGTTTTACCAGTACCAGCTGGACCTTCCGGTGCACCTCCCAAGTTGAGATGAATTGCTCCCATGAGCGTACGATAGCAGCGGTCGGTTAACGGCGTAATCACAAGGCGCGACGAGTTTCCTAGGTATTCGTAACCATATTCGACGGAAGCATTCATCATGCGCAACATCACGGTCTCTTTTCTATCGTACGAACCGTCATCTTTTTGCACTTTCTTCAATTCGTACGTCGCACGCAACTGTGACAACCAGGAAAAATCGCGTTCGGAGGATACGCCATCTTCGGCAAGCTTACGGGCCACGTCTCGATTGTGGACATCCATGACCACCAAAGCAGAGAGCGTTTTACGCTGTAAAGGAGTCAGGTCACCTCTCACTAACTCGATAATCTCTTTCAATTGCCGATCGCACTTCTCCGCGGCTTTCTTCACGCTCCCTGGATTGGATTTTTCGTTTCGTAAAGCTTCGGCGATGTCGCGAGTCCAATAAATCTGCGACCCAAGTAATACCACTTGACCGGGCCATTCCAACACCCATTTTTTCCGCTCCGTGGTCGCATACGCGCGAACTCCAGCAGCGCACTGTTTCTCAACTGCTTCTAACATTGACGTTTCGACTTCGCATAACCATCTTTCGACGGCACCGTTAGCCTTTGCCGGTTCTATAAACGTGTTGAACGGCACTTCTTCGCCTTCGACAGAATTCATGGCAACAATATATTCTCGATCGTCTTCTTCATTTTTTTCAAAAGTCACGGAATCTATACCTTCGAAGCACTTTCTCAAATGCGGTTGCACTCTGCGTGGATCTTTTGTTTCACTCAATATCTCGAGCATCTCGTCGTTCGAGAGAAAGAAGAAGCGCGGGAATGCGATGCGCTTCAACTCCAGGTAGGATTGTAAACCTCGCTGAATTTCATCGAGTAACGTGTTTGCGGCTTCCAAACTTTGTAATCGCGTTTCATCTCTGCCGCATTGTATCGCCGACGGATTCTTTGCGGTTGCATCCACGACGTTACGGTACATCTGATCCACAGACTTGAACTTTTCCCCTTCTACGGGCATCTGCTTCACGATATCTTCAGAGGCAAAAATTGGCTCCAAGTATTGCCAAGTCGCTTGACACGATCCCCACTGATCGAGCGTATCTTGTAAACGCTGCAGGGTCTCGCTCCAAACTACTGCGCGGTCGCCGAACGGCTGCGAAAATGGAGACGCGCGAATGGATTGGGTCTTCACGAGTTGATCGTCCAGAAGCGCCTGAGCGTCTTCCGTTCCGCCGAGGACGCACGTGCCAGTATCCTTGTATGGCGTACACACGAAATCTATACCATCCCAATCTTTCTCCATTTTTATTAAAGCGGACTCTAGCGCATTTTCCTTCGAAGCGCGCGCGACGATATCGCGGATAACATCGATTTTTGATTGTAAACCAGCTTCCAGAGCTTTCTCCAAGGTAAGCGTGGAAGAGGAGCTATTTTTTGTCTCAGATAACGTCTCTGTTGACGTAGGCGAATCTGACGACAACTCAGATGATATAAACTTATCTTCCGTGGTATCGTCCAATGCCAGTACAGGTTGGTTGTCATCTACTACGTTGAGTAATTCTCGAATATCTTTCCAATGCCGTTCTTTCAACGCGTCGCTCGATAACGTTTCAAGCGCCGGTAACGTTGCCTCGAAGTTTTGAACGCACTTATCCAAACGTGATACTACTTCATCGCGTTTGTCTTTCCTCATGCGTTTCAACTTTCCTAATTGTACCTTTGTCTTTTCAATCTTTTCGAGAACACTATCTACGTTAACGTCTACGATGGCAGAATGCATCCATTCTGTGGAAATGGATTGGAACGTATTCAATTGTTCCCATGCGGTTTCTCTTATTGTCAATTCGCGATTGGCGTCGTCGAGCGCTCGGAAATTAAACGCACTCGATACATTCGAAGCAATATTCTCCCCCTCCACACCGTCTCTCGCATCGGACTCAACCGAGGATAACGAGTAAGTTTCGGCGTACGACTTCAAAGCGGCGGCGCGATCTCGCATACCGTCTAATCGCATTCTCGTTTCTTTCAACGATTCAATCACCACAGAGGGAAGAATACACTCGTTCATAACCTCTTCACCAGTAGGTCCTCCTGGTAGTTGCTCAAAAATTTCTTCGCCACTCTTCTCTAAACGTTCGGATTCTGACTTTAAAATCGCGATATTTGCTTCGTCGCGTGTATCCAAGTAGGTTTTCGCGTCTTCCAACGCCTTGCCATGTTCCTCTACAGCGACGCGCAAATCATCAAGTTTAACCTGATCGTGCGCCGGAATCTTCACCGAATGCGTTGATGCGAGTGAATACATCGTTTCAATCGAAACAGACTCCATTTCGAACGAACGAACATTTTCTGCTGCTTTCACCACAGTTCGTTTATAGCGAACGCTTTCGTCAAGCGCCCCCGACGCCACTTTTGCTGATTCGTCATTTCTAGTGTCTATTGCGCCATCTTCCGCGTTCATACTAACTTGTCCGCCTGTCTCGTCATCTTTTTTGACGTCTTGTTCACAGTGACCTTCGTCACTTTCTTCTCGTCCAGTCTTGGGATAGTCTCGCAACATCTCCATGGACGCTTCCAACGTGCTAAGCAAGGCTACCGTTTTTGCTTTTGCTGTTGTAATTAATCTCTCCTTCACTTTAATCGCAGCTTCGGCACAGATTGGCGTCACAATTTTTTTAATTTGAGAAGTGTCGACGCGCAGCGATCCTATTTGGCGCGATTTCTCGATAGAATCGATATCAGCAGTCCATGCGGCGACAATCGAAAGCGCAGAAGTAAAGTCCTCCGTCGACGGTGGCTTATTTTTGCCTTCTACTTTCACGAGTTCTCGAGTCGGATTCGTTTCGCCAAAATCATATATCGCGCGAGCGTTCATAAATTGCGTCAACGCGCAATACTCGATGGCTTTATCGAAATCTTCGCGTAATCTACTCCGCGCCTTTTCCATCGCTTCGTGCGCTCGCGCGCTCTCTTTAGCTATCTTCGACGCCGAAAACGTTTGCGCGAGAAAGGGTACGTCTGCATCCGCTGGAAGCGAAGTTGCAGTGGCGCTCAAAATTCTCGGCACAGAATTCACGAGTTGTAACGAATGTGAGCGCGAAGACTTCTCAATATTCTCCAACAGCGCATCAAACTCTGGCGTCAACGCGGTGGTGACGCCGGCAATCGCCGGGAACAAAGCTTCTACAACAAACACGCCGTCATTGTTATTCTCGTCCGCTTGTACCGTATTGATTTCATTAAAAACCGTTTCTGATACTTTGATGACGCTTTCTGCGAGTTGCGAATTGACGACTAAATCGCAAAATCTTGTAAAATGACCCAGTCGATCCTTCTCCCTTTCGAGTATTTTCCGCGTTTTCTCGCGCTTTCGCATTTTCGAAGCTTCCTCGGCGAGTGAAGTGGAAGAAGACAGTGACGGCGCCGGTGCCATCAGTAATGCCGACGCAGAAAACTCTTCTTCTACTTCTTTTGTGATACACTCCTCCTCTTTTACCATCCTCTCGTCGCTCTCCTCGTCTCCATCACCTTCTTCTTCCTCCTCCTTTTCGACGGAATCTGTTTCCATACCGCCGCTGCCTAACATTGCGCAACTTCTCACGACCGATGCGTTCACTCTGTTCGCTACCCTCGTCGCCTCTTCTACTTTCAAATCAATTACAGGTTGCACAACTTTGACTCTGTGCGTATCGCAATGCGTCTTAAACGCCTCTGCGGTATACGCAAAACCATCTCGTTTCGGCACGAACGACGTTTCGTCAATCGCGCTCGCAATCGCAAACAACTTTTGCATCGCCGGCGCAAACCTCTCCGACGCCACGAACGCTCTCTTCTCAATCTGCATCCTTGTCCTCTCAAACATTCTTCTTCTCACTTCCGCTCTCCAAATCCGTATCGCCTTTCTCTCCCTATACCTCGCGTACGTCGACAAACATCGCATGGCGCGTACCAAATGCTTCTCTCGCATCCACTCGGACAACGCGTAACATTTACTCGCCGACCCATCCGCCGGGTGGTGCACCACCGCCGTCGCGGAAACGATAAACAAATCCTCTTTCGACGAAGACGCATTGAAGAACCCTCTCTTCTCTTCTCGTTCTCTCCTTTTCCTTTCCTTCTCGTCGATTTCAACCAACGCGTACGCGTCGTAGGGTTCTTTCCCACTCGCGTCGGCCACAGTTTTCTCGTAGGAACTTTTCCGTTCGCACATGAAAAACTCTCTTTTTGGTCGCTCGCCTCGTTCCGCGCACGTGAGGTAATACACGATGATATCCTCGTCCGTTTGTTTCTTCTTCTCCTCCTCAAACTCGTCGGTAAGATCCTCTCCATCTTCTCCTCTTTTGAGCTTCTTTCTCGTCGTTTCCGTCGTCGTCAAAGGAGAAAAGTCGTCGAAACGTAAAAAACTCGCCAAGTTCCTCACGTCGTTTCGCCTCGCCAAACCTCTCCTTCGTCTCGCTAAAGAAGAAGACGGTTCAACCAACATCTTCTTCGCGCCTTCTCTCTCTCCCTCTCTCTTTCTCAGAAGAACCTGCGCCCCACCACGGGCAGACAGAGAGAGAGAGAGAGAGAGAGTCAAAGAGATGCGCGTTCTTCTTCTCGCGTGGCTATTTTTGGTCTTTATTTTTTTATTTTTTTTCTCTCGCGAGATACAAAATTTTAAAATACGAGTAGTGTAAGACACATACCATCGACAAAAAGCTTGATTATTATCTAGGAATCATTTTAATGATCATCCACGCACATCTCACGCGACTGTCCGTTTGCTCTTCTTGCATTCGTGAGATGAAACACAATTATTTTCCATCGTGCGAAAGGATTTCTTCTTCATTCTCGCGATCGAGTCATAGGAAGCTTTCACGTGGCAAAACTTCAATCAGATCCAAATGAAAAAAAGACGTTTTAGGGGAAAACCCCCAGAAGAAGACCACAGAGAGAAAAGCGAATTGTTTAAGCGAGAGCAGAGAGTTAGAGAGAGAGTTTTTTATTACGATGATGACGATGCCGGCGACGAGGGAGAGGAGGAGGAAGAGTCGTGGTCGTGTGCACTCTTGGTCTTCTTCTTCTGCGGTACTTTCTGCGTACGCGAATCAAACGTTAAAACCGATTGGAATTCATATAAACGGCGAATGCACGTCGTTCCACCATCGCGCGCGAGAAGAACGCTCTCGCCTACTCTCGATCTTAAAAACGAACAAAACGACGTCATTCAATGGAAAAGTACGCGACGAAATCGCCTTGCTCGAAAAGCTCTGCAAAAATTCCCACGCGCAACACCGAAGGTCGAAATTGTTTCAAAGTGTACAAATGGTTGTCAAAGAGGTGCTGTTTTTACTCAAAACGGTCAACGCTCCTCTCGCCTTGGCAAAGTTGGAGAAGAGTTTACACGAACATTTTGAAGAGGAGAAGAAAGATAAAAGCAAAGAGAGAGAAACGATTTTAGCGCCGTCGAGAGAACAGTTGGCGGTGTGCGTGAACGCGTTGCGAGCGACGGCGTTTGGTATCGGCGGCGGCGAGGGTAGGGGCGTTCGGGAGAAGATTCAGACGTGCGGGATACACGCGACGACGGAGATTTCGAGGTCATTTTTTGTGCCGTTTGCGACGGTGGTTTTGAGTGCTCTCGCGCGAGTGCAGATTTTGGTGTTTCAATGGTGCGCGGAGTGCGCGGAGTTGCACAACGTGCTCGCCGGTTTTGGAGGGTGTTTGCCTTCGTCTTCGTCTCGTTCGTTCGGGGAGGAGAACGGGGTACCGAAAACGAACGCGTTTAAAGAGGAGTTGGTAGTTGAATGGGAAAAAGAAAAGACGAAGAAAAATAAAGAAGAAGAAGAAGATGAAGATGATGAGAATGATAAGGAAGAAAAAAAGGACACGAGTGGTCGCTTCAAAGACGTCGTACCTCGCGTGCGCGCGTTCGAGTCTGGCAACGATATTTTCGGATGGGACGAAAATTGGGCGCCGCTCCTCGTTTCCTCGCCGTCCCGCATATCTGCTGTTGTAGCGCAACGACGAGATAGTTCTATTACCACTGAAGCAGTAGCAAACGAAAAAGAGGACGATGTAGATCTCGGAGCAAAAGTCGATCGCGAGGGACTCACGAAGCCGCCGACGATGACGACGAAACCATCGCCGGCGACGACCACCGTGTCGTTAGGCTTAGGTGTCCCTTTAGTGGACGTCGACAAAGATTTGCAAAAAAAAATAGCGCAATCCAAACCTAACTATAAGGACGGTCAAGGCCGAGACGCCTCTGGTAAGCGTTCGCTCGACGCCGCGATGACGAAGAAGGAGAAAAAGTTAAGAAAGAAGGAAGAGATGGAGAAGAAGCAAAAGTTAGCCGTGGATCCAGTCGCGCGCTTGAAAGCTATATTCGAAGGATAGAGTATACTGAAGCTAGTTAGCATGTAATAATAGTAGATGTAATAGTAATCGTGTATATATTATGAGTATCAAAAATCGTTATGAAGAGTAGTAGTAAAAATACATCATCGCTGTGAGAATAAACCGCGCCGCCGCCGGTAGCGAAAAAGTCAAAGCGAAGCGAGACCTACGAAGTTGTTGGTTACGAGCCCTTTCGACACCCACGGAAACTTCGCCCAAAAGTCTCCACTCACGTTCTCCCTGAGCGTTATATCGTCCGCGAGAACCGCCGCGACGATTAAAATCCACATCCATACCCAAAGTTGGAGGGCTTTGGTGAGTATGGCGAAGAGTATTTTTACCCACCGATACTTCCCGTTCCTCTTCGAGGAGACTGTCGACGCGAACCCTGTTCCACTCCCTCCCCCACGCGCGGCCAAAACCATCGCGTCTTCGTATCCAACCTCCTCGGCAATCTGATCCAACGCCTCCTTCACGTATTCATTCCTCTTCTTCTTCCTTTCCTCTTCGTCCTCTTCTTCGCCTCGACTTTTGTGGTCAATCCTCTCGCCTCCGCCGCCGCCCGTACCGCTAACGTCCCGGTGGTACAAAACAACCCCATCCTCGGTCTCGCACGCCTCGAGCGTCTCTAACAACTTCACAACTTTCGCGTTCGCACCAACTGCTGCGTCCATCGCTCGTTTCGTCTCCTCTCGCAAAGTCTCTTTCACGTTCGCCAGTCGCGTCGAAAACAGTTCGAGCAGGTCCTTTTGCTCCTTCGTCGTCCTCTCCTCGTCGCTCTTTTCCTCCTTTTCCAACTGTTCCACGCGCATGCGAAGCGATCTGTTTTCCTTTTGAGATTCCAGCATCAAGAATTCGAGCCGTTTCACTCGCGCTTCCATCGTTTCCTTTTCTTCTTCTTCTTCTTCTTCTTCTTCTTCTTCTTCTTCTTCTTCAGGAGTTAAAGTCGTCGTCGGCGACGCGAAGTTCTTCTTCGTCTCCTCTTCCTCGCGAAAAGAAAAGGACGAGGAGGAGGACGGAGAGAGAGAGAAGGTGAGTTCGTCGTTCTCGGAGGAGGAGGACATCTTTTGGTTCGTCGTCGCGGAGAGGTCTCGCGAATACGCGCAGAGTAAAGTGTGTCAAGGAGTTCCGTGAAAAAAGAAGTGAAGACAAAGAGACAAGACAGGAGGATTTTCGTATAATTTAAGCGTCATCACGAATACATTATAATATGACTATTCTAGAAAGCTTCGCGTTGTATACGCACAAGAGGCGCGGTGCAGGGCACACCACGCAACTTTAATCTCATCGTCTCGACTTTTAGACAAAATCTGTGACGAAAGACTCGTACGATTTGTTGCCGTACCCGACGCCGCAGAAGAGCAAGCCGTGAGGGGGCGCCGGCGGAGCGGAAGCCATTCGGTCGCGGTTTCGGGCGAGATCGAGAAGCGCGTCTTCGTTGAACTTTTTTGAACTCGAGAGCGAAGATGATGCTTCTCGGCAGGCGGTAGAGACTATGCATCGGACCATTTTGCGAAGGAAGCGATCGGCGACGAGCTCTATGGCGATGCATTCGAGGGGTTCTTCTTCTTCTTCTTCTTCTTTTTCCGTTCTTGTCGCGCGATGAAAAGCGGTCTCGTCGTAAAGTAGCGACGTGTCTTTATACCGCCGGTCGCGGTATCGTTTCCCGTATTTACTCGTCGCTGCTTTCATTTGAAACTTTGGAATCGATATGGTTTTTGCTCGCGCGTAGAGCATTTTGCACTCCGTCGATTTACCTTTCGGCGTATCTCTCGCGTACGCGTAAAAGTCGAGAGTTTTATTTTCAAACTTCCGCAGCATTCTATCCAGCAAATCGCAATCAATCTCTTCTTTGGAATGGTGCGCGAACGCGTCTACATCTTCTACATCTGTTTCACCTCCTTCTACTTTTCTCAGCTCTTCCTTCACTTCGTCGACGTCTAACGTTTTTTTCGGTATTATGTACACGTACCTTCTCCACGTCGCCGAAAACGTCGCGTGCCATTCCGCGTTGACTCTAAAACACTCCACCGCTTTCAAATACCCGCGCTTCCCAACCTCCGTGGACTCATTAATCGCTCTTCGAATCAACTCGCACTTCCTCTCCTCCTCTGTTTCGTCCACGTACCTCCGCTCCAAGTGATTTTTCGCGTCTCTAAATATTTGCACAATCTGCCCCGCGCCGGAAACGTTTCGATCCGTCCGTCCGCTTTGGTACACGACGGGATGCTTCTCCTTATCGAATCCCGCGCAGTGCTCGCCTAAACTTTCCCGTATCGTTGCCACAACGCTCGCATTTCCAGGTTGCCAGTTATCGCCGTAAAATCTCTCGCTGGAATGTTTACTCGTATCGTCCACGTTTTTATCCCACGCGAACGACGCGAACGCGTTGCCGAAATACTTCAATCTGACGCAATATTTCGCGCGTTTGCTGTGTTTGTTAAAAGAAGAAAGGTCAGTTCAAAACATTATCAACATCCGCAAAATTTTACCTTTCCGTCTGCGTTCGATGGCTCCTTTGTTTCGCATCCTTCGCCTCTTCTAACGTCTTTTGCACAGAAAAATTCCAAGGCAAATCCGGTTCCGCGTCGGCGACGTGTACGTCTGACAAGTTCTTTTCCTCTCTCACGATTTGGAGTAAAAACCGTTCCACGGATAACCAATCTCGAAAATCCATCGATCGCACGTTCGAGTCGTTTATGAACGTTTCGTTGGTAGAAGAAGAGGAAGACATCATCATTTCGTTCCGGGGAAAATCACCTCTCACACTCGTTGTTGTTTCTCTGATGCGCGGGCGATAAGAATAATAGTAATACCAATAACGTTTCAAAAAAGCGCCGTTTCGCGAGGAGGAAAAGGAGGAGAAGATGCGCGCGCGCGTGCGCATGTGAATGCGCGTTCGCTCTCGCTCCTTTCTCGCGCGCTTGTTTTATTTGTTAGTATAATGCCGCCAAAAACCGTTTAGATACGAGAGAAGCTTTTGGTTGGTTTTTTCCCTGGTGGCTAATTAAATTTATTTTTTAAAAATACGCGGGAGGAGAAAAACAGCAAAAATAACCACCAAACAAGTTTGACCGCACAACAACTGAGCGCGAAAGCGAGAGAGAAAAGAGCGCACTCATGGCAGAAGGAGCTCACGGAGAAGATGATGCGAAGGACACGAACCAATCGTCGTCCTCGAAAAGCAGCTCGAATTTGATGCTCGAACGACAACGACAGAAACAGAAACCGTTTTCCCCGACGAGAAGTACGACTCACAACGGGAGAAGTAAAAGAAGGAAAAAAACGATGATAGATGCGTCCGCGTTACCGAGCGCTCGTTTATACCAGTCCTTTTCGGATTGGAAATACATCGCCACGTTTGCCTCGGTCGCGCTCGTCGTGGTGACTGTATTCTTTATCTATCTCTCTTTAGCCGCGTGGACGAGGTGCACGAGAAACATCACCTCAGAGTTACAAAAAGAGAAAGGGCGAGAGGAATTGGTGAAGACGTGGTTGACGTGCACGTACGCCAGGGAAGTTGGAAACGCGTACAAGCCGTGGAAATGGGACGATTTTGCGGTGCTGTTCGTTCGCTTGTGCATGCTTTCGCAATTCGGCGAGGTTGTGTTTCACCAGATGGTCGGATGGCACGTCTCGAGGTTTCGAAATTGGCGAACGAAGACGTGCGTGTACTCGTTCGGTTTATATAATTTGACGTACTTCGGAACGATAGCTATTCTTGGATTTTATCATCAATACACGCAATACGCGTGTTATTATCTCTTTGGCATTCTCATGTGGAGTGGGTTATCGGCGTTTGATTTTTGGTCCACCAAAGGCATTTCCTACGGGTTCGTGTATATTTATTTGATGGCAATTATAGGAAAGAACGTGGTTGAATTTTTCTTAATCGTCATGAGCGACCAATCGGTATCACCGATGATGAAACTGTTCATTCGGTTTGGTTTAGACCCGATTTTCTGGGAGCTCGTGAGAGGAGCGGAAAGGCATTTCGCGCGTTTGAATCCATCGCCTGGGCCGTGTTTGCAAATTCCGTATTACCTCTCCTTCGCGTTGCAACAGGCGTTTTTTTCGAGGTACGTGATGTTCCTCTTAGCCGCAGACGGGACGGTGAAATCGATGGCTACCGTACAAACGATTCTTTCCTTGCACGAACTCATGATTGCACTGACGACGAAAGATCGCGACAAGTATTTAGCCCGCGCGTTTTTAGGCAAACAAACCGCCGAGGCGTTGTTGACGACGCAAAAGCAACACGATATTTTAGCGATGAACTCCATCATTTCCGCGTTTGCGGAGATAGCGGCTATCATCGTCATCTCTATTTACTTGTACATATTTCGAATGGCTAAAGTTGGGAACGAGTCTATCGTTTCTTTTAAAAGTTACGCGATTCAAGCGGTCAATTTGATTGCGATTGAAATCGCGTTGTCCTTTTTGACCGTGTACGTCCAACAACGTTTTCACGGCATGCGACATAAGCGCATGTTTCCGAAAATCAAGAAGAAGAAGAAGAACAACAACGATATAAACAACAATAACAAAAGAAGGAGTGTTAAAGAAGGAAATACGAAGAAACAACAGCAATGGTTTGGGGGCGTTCGAAGGTTTCTCGAGCAGCCGCCGTATGCGTTTTACGTCTTCATTTGGGTCGGCGTCATGCTCATCCATAAAATCACCACGTACTTGGTCGGCGGTCAATTTCATCGGTATTTGTGCCCGCGAGTGGACGAACGCGACGGGTCTATATACACGTTTCAATGCACCACCGAGGATCTGGATTTAGCCCCAGGCGGATTCTATTTCAACATGCGCGGGTTTATGATTCAAATGATTGACTTTCCAGTCGCGAATAACGAGGAACGGTTTTATCGAAACACTTCGCAAAGTTGGGCGTATAACAAGAACCACGACGGTTAACGAGGCGACGAGATGATGAATATGTTGTGGTTTTTTATTATATTATGAGAATGATTATTAGAATAAAGCTCGTCGTCGTTGCATCATGTTAATAAACATTTACGCCCACTCGATCGGGAACACTTCCGCTTTCGGGTCGTACTTCGCCGCGTATTCTTGCAACCCCTTCCACAAGTTCGGCTCGACGCCGATCGTCCCTTTCTTCTTGTTTTCGGCGGCCAACGCGTCGCCTCTTTCGCCCGGCAAGTTGATCGAACTCACGCCTTCCTTCCTCTCCGCGTTCTTCACGCGCTCCATCACGAACGCGCTTTGCTCTAAGAAATCGTCGTTACCCAAGATCTTCGGGTCAATGGCGAACACCAAGTTACCCCAGTTCTTCGCCGCCTTCTTATCGTTGTACGCGGCGCCGACCAACGGACCGGCTAACAACTCGATGCACAAGGACAAGTTGCTAGACTTGTACCCGCAATCAAAGGTCATGATCGCCCCACCATCCAACGCGGCGTTCGCATCCGTGGTCATGTTCCCGTCCTTGTCTTGTGCAACGTTCGGAGGTAACGGTTTACCACTCGTCTTGGCTTCCAACAACCCGAAGAAGGCGTACGCCGAAGTCGCCATGTCCAAAGTCATCGGCTCGCCGCCTTTCCTCGGGATCGAGCATCCGATTGGGTTGGTCCCAAAAATCGCTTGCTTCGCCCCAGCCGGCGCCACAAACTCCGGCGATTGCGCCAAGACAATCCCAACCATGCCTTGCTCGCCAATCTTCTTCGCGTAGTACCCCAACGCCCCGGTACTCGTAAACGTGTGGTTCGTCCCGACGACCCCGACCCCGTGTTGCTTGCACTTCTCGATCGCAATCTCCGCCGCTTTGTCCAAAACAATCATCCCGTGGTTGTTACCGCCATCGATTGCAGCCGATAAAGGCACCGGTTCGGTGATTTTGATCGGCGTCGCCTCCGGGTCTCGCGCGATGCCGTTCGTCGTCACTTTGATAATCCCTTGGTTGTTCCCACGCAGTTGGGCGTACATCAAAATATCCAAAATGCATTCGGTGGCTTTTTCGTCGTACCCGTAGGTTTTGATCGCTTTTCGCGTGGTTTCCGTGAGTTCGTCGATGGAGACCATGGTGTCTCCTGAAGCTTTCACGACGAAAGACTTCTTCGAAGCGGAGGAAACTCTTCCTCGTTTGAGAGGAGATTTCGATTTCATCATCGTCACCCCGGGGGTGATGGATGCAGATTTTAATGAAAAACTCATCTTTGTGTGTGTCTTATTTTATATTTGAAAAGGAACTACTTTGTGTGAGCAGTAATAAATATATACTACGCGTAAAATAATAATAACTTTTGCGATAACTTTTGTGCGTGTAAAAAGAAAGCGCGTTGAAGTCGTGTTTATTGTGATGCGATTGATTGATGTGATTACACAAACTCTCTCTCGATGAGAATGGATAGAGAGATATTTCCTCCTAATAAGCCACGGAAGGAACTTGACACGTCATCTCGATATTTAAAAAACCCTAAATGAACAGTTTTTCTTTCCTCCTCTTGTCTTTTTTTTTTTGAAGTTTTCTGGAGTTTTGGAGCAACTGAAGAAGCACTTTAGTAGTAGCAGCAGTGAGAGAGAGAGGACACAAAGTGAAAGAATGTCGAAGAAAGGAGCGGGTCCGTGGTGTTTACACGTCGCTCTGGAGTTGAAGAAAGAATTCGTGGACAAGTTTCTTTTGAAATTTGCGGAGTTAGCGAGACACGTGGAAGCGAACGAGCCGGAGACACTTTCGTACGAAATCGGACGAAGCGACGAAAATGAATGCAAATTTATCATCGTCGAACGGTATTCGAAGAAAGAATATTTAGCGGAACCGCACCAGACGTCGGAAATGTTTAAGAAATTTAAGCAGTGGATGAGTGCGAACGAGGAGATGTTTGTCTCGAAGGATGGGTTTAGCTTTTACGAACAGCAGATTGGGTACATGCACAGATGATGTGAATATATTTATCATTAGATTACATTTTTACAAATTTGTTTCTCTATTTGGCGACCGAAACAAACGCCGCCTGAAATCGCTCTTTTTTCATCGCGCGAGCTTCGTCTACCCACCTTTGAATCTCTTTGACTTCTAACAAACGCGCTCGTTTCACGCTCGTCGGGTCGTTTTTGCTCGAAAACATCAAATCGTTGTGATGCGCGCCTTCGTCGATTTTCACTAAAACGACGCGCGGATTGGACGTTTCCAAGACGCCCAGTAAGTGCCACGGGTCTAACATACCGTTTGAAAAGACAATGTTTGAGGCAAAGTTCTCGACCATTTTGCGACCGCCGTAAGTTTCTTGGGCGAAATACGGTCTCGGTTGGACGTCGTACGCGTCGCGACAGTAGCGAAACTCGTTGGTTTCGTTCCAAGAAGAGAGCCAGTACATGTCGTTTTCTCCGCCGGTCGTTTCCATTGGCATGAACATCTCCGAGCAGTACTGATATCCCCAGAGATCTTCGGTGGCTTTGGTGTCGTCGTTCGGTGACGGGTCGCCGATTGTAAAGCACTGCTCGGTTTTCGTGGCGTTGTAGTAGATGCTGACCGCCTCTCTCAGGTTTTCTAACAGCGCTAACGAAGTCGAGTTTGACGCGTTCGGATCGTCGACCATCATCTCGTTGCACACCACTTTCATCGGCCACGCGGGCAACGTTCCTTTCCCTGATAACATGTACCCACTCTCGACTGGGTAATCACCCATCGCGATGTAATCCAACGCCGATTGCGCCCACTCGGCGACTTCGTACGGCGACTCGATATCGTCGCACGCTCTAAACGTGTGTTTTAAAACGTCCAAATATATCTTATCGCTTTCATCTCCAGAGTCTATCAACAAAGTAAACGCGTCTTGTATTCTCTTTGGACACTCCGCGCCGTGTCCGCTCACCATGGCGGTATACGTCGACCCTCTGGCGAACGCGTTCGGATCTACCGGCGGATCTTCCCCGTCGAACGCATAAATAGGCGCTGATGCTGCAATCGCCCCGTCCACTACGTGCGGGTACTTCATCCTCATCCACGACGCTAACATGCCGCCATAAGACCCACCAAACGCAATCACCGCCACGGCGTCCTCGTACTCTTCTCTCAACTCTCTGACCAACGAAGCGTAATCCGCCAACGCTTCCATCGAGTTCAAATGTTTCAACGTATTCTTATTCGTATCCTCCTCGTCATCATCACTCATTGGTGACGATTTCCCGTAATATCGATGCTCCGCGAACACTAACAACGCGTTAAAATGTTCCGCGTTTTCCCACATCAAACCCGTATTTTCCAAGTAACTTTCCACGTTCGCCTCGTTTCCAGTGTATAAGAAAATGGGCGAATCCTTTCGATAAAATTCAGAACACACGAAATATCTCGTCTTAAACTCTCCTCCTCCTTCTCCTCCTCGTTCCTCCTCCTCCTCGCTGTTCCAAGAGAAGTGCGAGAGCGGCTGTTGAATCCACCTCTCCTCGCACCGCGAGACGTATTTGTTTTCTTCTTCTTGATGAAATCTCGTTAAAAGCATTCCTCGTCGTCGTCGTCGTCGTTCTCTGCTCGGTTTTGGTTGCCGTTTTAATGGTGGTTCCGTCGCCGTCGTCTGAATCGTCGAGGAGGAAGAGGAGGAGGACAAATGAATCGCGCGACTTTCAGCGATGGTGACAGCGTGTGAGAGCAGGAAGAGGAGAACGAAAAACATCATCATTTGCGCGCAAATGAGAAAAAAAGTGACGCACTGAAGTCTCTCGTTTCATGAAAACAAAAATTATTCACATTAAAAATTCACCCCCTGCCGGAGGATCGCTAAACTCTCTCTCTCTCTCTCTCTCTCTCTCTTTCTCTCGTCTCGTTTTATTATCATTATTGTTTAGGCGGTGTTCTCGGGGGTAATCTCGTCGGCGTCCCCGGTTGCGGAAACGCGCTCACGTCCGGTAAGATTTCCATCGATCCGAGCGGCGTCGTGCGCTGCGAGGTGGCGGACCCGGGGATTGAAATGTTCTTTCTCAGAGTACCTTGGCGTCTCGGCGTGGTCGTGCCCACCACGGAGACGTCACTATAGCTATCGTTGGATGTCATGCTATCGTCGTGCGATTTCGAAGACGTTGCTCGTTTTTTGAATTTTTGACCTCCGGCGCCTCCGTCGACTTCGGTGGTCACGCCTAAGCACTGCTTGCACGCACCGCGTTCTAAACTCTCTTCGTTTTGGACGAGTTCGTAAAGGCTTGGTTTGAATAAGCGTTTTAACGAGCTCGCGATGATGTACGGTAACAAGCATAAAAACGTCACCGCCCAAAAGCCGAGCCAATATTTCGGGGTCAACACGGTCGATTCGGTGAAGATTTTGTACGAGTACGTGGAGTAATACACGTCCGTGTGACTCAAGACGACGTTTAAGATCCACCACAACGCGAAGGATCCCCAAATGGTTAAATGATGGATCCACGTCCAGTAATTTATGAACAAACCGATTTGTAAGTTCAACGTGAACACTAAGGAGGTATACATGGTCGTGCCAACTTCCCACAAACCAAAAACGTGGCCGTCCTCGTGATCGGCTTCGCCCGAGTGCACGGCTTTCATGATGGACCAATAGGTGACGATAGCGACCCAGATGGCGTTCAACGCCCACACGGCTTGAGATTTCTTGTTGAAATTTTTGTTCCATTGCGTTTCGGAGTACAACTCTGGGTGCTTCAAACTCGAATCCGGTCGAACGTCTTGGTCGAAGAGGCCGAGAATGATCACCGGATAACACACGAAGAAGATGTTAAACGAGGACATCAACCAATCGTTGTAGATGACTTGGCCACTCGCGGCGGCGTGTAAGTTGTAAATGAATATGGTCAGACCAAACGCCAAGTTCTTATAGAAGAAGTAGCACACCATTCGGGCGATTCTTTTATAAGAGTACCGACCGTGCAAAAGCAACAGACGTTCGAGAAATCGAAACTGAGCAAAGGCGAAATCAGACGCCATGACGGCTTGCATGCCTTCCTGTCCGGAAATGCCGACACCGATGTGCGCGGCTTGAATCATCCCAACGTCGTTGGCGCCGTCGCCAATGGCTAACGTGATTTTACCGGAATCTTTCACGAGTTTTGTCACCAACGCTTTTTGTAACGGCGAGACGCGACAGCAAATCACCGCCGCGCAAGACGTCCCCAATTTCAAAAAGTTATCCTTCAACTCTGCAGATAACGCGAACGATAACGATCGCCCGTCGATGACTAAACCCATCTCCGCGTCCACTTCCGCGCACTGTTTCGCGATTTCCAAACCGTCGTCAATTTGCTTCGAAACAGCTTCTAATCCTTGGGTTTTCATTTCTTCCTTGGAAATTTCGCCTTCGGATTCGAGCTTGACCAATTCTTCGACGTTGATTACTTTTAAACTCATTTGTGGGGTGATTAAAGAACACGCGGAGCCGATGTTGATAGCCGTGTCTTGTTTATCGCCGGTGAGTACCCAAACAGCGATACCGGCGCGCATTAATTGCTCAATACAGCGCGGCACGCCCATTTGGAGCTTATCCTCAATCGCCGTCGCGCCAACTAATTCCAAGTCTTTTTCTATGAGTTCCGCGACGGCGTCCAACTCTTCGTCGCGCTTCTTCATCGCTTGGGAAGCTTTGATGAATTTCTTGTTCCACGCTTCGTACTCGCTGGAAGAAATTTCTCTCTGCGCTAAACACAAGGTTCTCAAACCGCAGGCGGCGTAATCGTCGATGTGTTGTTGCGTGGACTCTTTAGCTGCGTTACCACCTTTGTTACCGACCGCTAACCGCTCGTAAATGACTGAATCCGCACCTTTAGTCATCAAAATGATTTTATTATCGTCTTTCGAGCGAACGACGACGGACATGCGTTTCCTCGTCGAATTGAATTCCAACAAGTTCAAAACCTCGTACGTTCTCACGGAGTCTTTTTCGCTCTTATTCACGGATTGTTCGAGAACTTCCACCGTCGTGCTCGTTCGGTTGTTGAAGAAAAATCCAAACCTTTTGGCGGCGACGACAAACGCGAGTTCATCCGGCGATTCCGCTTGGTAAACGACTTGCTCGGGAGTTCGTTCGCCTTCCGGGATGACGGTTTGACAGACGGCTAAAATTCGAAAGAACGAACGCAACTGTTCGCGATCGGGCGACGTTCGCCATTGACCGTCCGTTAAGCGGCTATCGATGAAGTTAAACGACGGCTCGATGGCTTTGGACGATCGCGCGGGTGGATTCCCACCTTGCCTTTTGATCAAAGCGTGTTCGATTTCGGTAATACCTTCGCCGTACGAGACGCCGTTGACGGACAATTTGAAAAACTCCATCGCGTTACAGGTTAACGTCCCGGTTTTATCGGATAAAACGGTGTGTACCATCCCGAGTTCCTCGTTCAAGTTACTCGTTCGTGCGCTCATCGGCGTGTCCGTTTCTTCGTGATACATCTTTCGGTCCCGATTTAACAAAACCATCGCTTGGAAAACTTTCACGAATTCCAACGAGACGTATAAAGAAATAGGAATCAAATATCCGTACAACACGTAGGAGGTAAAGAATGCAAACACACCGACAATGTCGGTTTTATTCACGTCGAAGGGTTCGTCCGAATTCGCGGTATCCAAGTACCAATGCTTTGGACTTTCGTTTTTCACCCACCAGGAACAATAAATTGCGGAAATCGTGGACATGGAGAGCAACAAAATGAGCATACCTAAAACGACATAATCCATCTGTTTCTCCACGTGCGACCGTTTCGATGGCGTTTCCGATGCGTTCATCATAACTTTTGAATCGTGTCCGGTGTAAATGACAATACCGTAAACGTATTCCGTGTTTCTTAACTGCGACCCTCTCAACAAAACGTTCGTCGGCGTCACGGCTATTTTCTTTTTTTCCGACACAAAAGGCGGTTTCAACTCCAAGTTCCCGCTGAACGTGTATAAAGAGTTATTCGGGTGTTCGCACTCGACCGTGCATAGATTGCCACTCAAGTGATCCTCTGCATTCGCCATCACGTCGTCTCGTTGAGAGTTGCGACACAAATTCGCCAGCTTTGCGTTTGAAATCACCTTGACCCCATCGCCCATATCTACGCTCCTTTTCAACTTCAAGTTCGTCTCGCCGTCTAAATTCTTCGTTTCCACGTAACACGTTCTCTCCTCGTTGCTCGATCCAATCATGATCAAATCGCACGGAAAAAACGCATCTCGTACCACCCTCACGACGTCGCCACACACCAAATCTCGCCACTCCTTATTCTCCATGCACTCTCCGTTAAACCGTTCAATCGGCGTTCGATTTTGCTCGTTATCTTGCTTGTGCCTCTTATAATCCTCCACGGCTTCTTTCGTCATGCTCAACGTGATGATAAACGTCAGCGGCACCCACATCGTGTACGGCTTAATCGGCGAAATGCTCTCGAAACACGAAATCGTCGCCACGGATAAAAAGTACAAGTTCGCGACTCTCCGAAACTGTTCGTATAAACCTTTGGGAAGAAACGTCACCACGTTATACTTCGACGTCGATATCGAGTTGCTCTTGAACTTTAACGGCGCGTTCGTCTCTCGGTCAGAGCTGATTGAAAACACCCGCGATATCGGTTTTTCCTGTTCTTTTTTAAACATCGACGTCGCTCGTTCGAGAACCGAAGGTGATTTCGTCAAGGATTTGTTCCTTTTTTGCAGCTTCGAATTCGACGAAGACGACGAGACCGACGGTCTCGATTCCAACGCATTTGCCGGGTCGACATCCGTCGTCGTTTGCGTCGTTTTATCTCTCGCTTTCTCTGCATCACCGCTGCTCATTCTTAGTATCAGATATCAAACTCTAAAACCAAAGCGCGCTTCGTTTACGCGCGCGTGTGTGTGTGTGTGTATATCTTTCCTCCGAAATGCGTTCGATTTCTGTTGACCTCGTCCCGAGACGATGATGACGATCCCAAATCGCAAACGGTTTTCGTTCTTCACGAACAAAAACACTCGGCAAAGTTTCTCCCGAAAATCCTCCCTCGATATATCCTTTTCGTCGGAGTCGTTCTCTCGAAAAGAAGACAAAGAAGACAAAGAGAACGTCTCCTTCTCCTCTGTAATCAACACGAGAGGAAGAATATTAATTTTCAAAGAATTTTGACGTTTTTTGGACTGCAGCTGGCAATTTACGTGAAATTTGTGAGATTTCAAATGTGTGTTGAGATATATAATACGCTTTCGCGCGCGGACGAGATGTGTCTGTCGTTTTTCGTTTTATGCATCAAAACGGTTCACACGGTGGGTGCGTTTGTTTTAGGCAAACCTTCGGCGTCGACGCACTCGTACGCCTTGTCGTCGACGGGGACTTTGTCTTCGCTGCCGACGATACACACCGTCATCGGTTTGTTCAGGAGGTACTCCTGCGCGACTCTGGTCATGTCTTCTGCTGTGCAATCGAGCAGACGCGTGCGGAAGTTTTGACGTTGGGCGTCGGTCATTCTCTGCGCGTATAAGGATTGGCCGCGAGAGGCTGGGGCGATCGGCGAGTCGATGGATTTGAACGCGCGCAAATGCGCCTCTTCGACCATGGTTTTCGTGATTGAGCTCGGTTGAGCGGCCCATTCGCAGGCTTTTTGGAACGTTTCGATAGTTTCGAGCGTGTTCGGGTCGCGGTAGGAGGAAAAGTAGAAGATGCCGGCAGACGGGACGAACGAGGAACCGCCGCCGTAAGCGCCGCCTTTCTCGCGAATCTCTCGGTGGAGGAATTCAGTGCTCATGGCTTGCGAGAGGAGGAAGAGCGCCGGGGCGTCCGGATGTTCGTACCCGACGGTTTCGATCGCGCCGGTGCAGTAGTTGGTTTGACCTTTGATGGCGACGTAGGTTTTCGACGCGGATTGCGGGGTAAACGCGGCCAATTTCGCGTTCAACGACGATCCATCCGAGGAAGAAGGTTTACTTCCCGTGGACGGCAACGCCGACAACCATTTCGCCAACTGCGCTTTGCCAGCTTCCACGTCTTGCGCTTGAGACGCGACGCGGCATCTCTTCACGTTCTCTGGCGTCAAGAGTAAACTTTGAATTTCAGAGCACGCGGCTTTGACTTCTTCCACGCCTGCTTGTTCGGCTTTCGCTAAGCGTTGCGCCAATGCAACCTGTGGAAGACCGCCGGTGCGGTTTTCGAGTTCTCCCGCGGCGGACATTTTGGACGCGCACACGGCTTTACCGTACCCCATGCCGTTTTGCGCGACGGACGCGCCTAACTGCGCGGACCGACGTTTGATCAAGAACTTCAATCGTTCGTCGTCGCCGAACCATTTCGCATCCGTGCAGACGTCCAACAAGATGTCGCCCATAGCGTCGGCGTTACGCGCTAAACAGTGAGATCCGATGTTCATGGCAACTTCGCCGTTCTCGGTCCATTTCAACGGCATGTTCGTGTCATTGTTACTGAGAACATCGATGGATACGCCACCGCTGACGCCTTTGATTTTCTCCGCGAAGTCTTTGTACCCAACTTTCGATGTGCCGATTTGGTCCACGTAATCCGCGAAATAGTCCAAGTACGGCGTCAATCTGTCCGGTAATTGAGAGCAATCAAACATGGCGCCGACGTAGACCACCCCATTCGTCGGTTGCTCGTCCACTTGTAACTTCAAGTCGATGTTGTTCGAGTTCAATCGTAACTTTTCCTCTTTCGATCCCCACTTTTTGATCGATCGGTCCACCGCTTCAGCGACTTTTAACGTCGGCAACAGCTCGGCGTTTTGTTCGCCGTCTTGCGCGGCTTTCAATTTAACGCCGTCCTCGACAATTTTCTTCTTTTCGTCTTCGGAAAGTTTAGATTCTAATTCTTTCAACAACGCGTTCTCGGCTTCTTCCAATTTGGCGTCGTACTTTTCGTCCGATCGCGCACGAACGATAACTTTGTGTTGGTTATTCAAAAAGTACTTCGAGATTAAGTTTTGCCAATACTGAGGATCGGAATCCAATTTCTCTTGCAATTGCCTCGCGAGCGAGAGTGTTCTCAGCGGTCTCAAAGCGTCGCCGTCGTGCACCCACGTGGACATGGTCCCGATGCCAACCATTAAACCAAAGTTTGGCTTCACAGCTGCGGCGTCTAATTCGATTTGGTGCAACGTCGAGTCGACCCGGTTTCTCGGAAACCCGGATTTCGCGACACTTTCCAACGTTTCTTGAATCTTTTGTTCGACGATTGGAATCTCCTCTTCCCCGACGCCTTTCACGCCAACCGAGAAGGAGGTTTCTCTTCTCGAGTTGCCGTAGCCGCTGCCCGGCGCCAAGCCGCTCCCGTACCCGGGCTCTAAAAGCGCCTCGTGGAAATACGATTGCGGACCGGAAAGCAACAAATCCGACGCGATCGATAACGCAAAGTTATCCAATTTCGCGTTCGCGTCGTCCTTGACGTTGTTCAACATCAACCACGCGGTGGACGTTATGGCGGTTTTCTTCGGATCGTTCACCACGGAGTCTCTCGGGACGGAAACTTCCGCCACGACCGGCGACGTGTATCTACTCTCGTCCGCGATATCCAACTTGGACACGTCGATCGCTTCGAACTGGTTCAACGCCATCGTTTCCGCGTTTATCAACGTCTCTTCCAACGGGAAATCGCCGTAGGTGTAAAACCGAGCGTTGGACGGGTGATAGTGCAAAGCGTGAAACGCTTTCAACTGTTCGTACGTCAGATCTGGAATCGCAGTCGGGTCACCGCCGGAATTGTAATGAAACGTGGACGTGGGGAACAAATTCGCCCCGAGCGCTCGCATAAACCTCGCATTTTGCGACCCCATCGCGCCTTTCATTTCGTTAAACACGACCCCTTTATACTTCAATCCGGAACTCGCGTCTTCGGTCTTGGCGAATTCAAACCTGTGCCCTTCCTGTTTAAAGTCCTGTTCTTCGAGTTTTGGGAAGAAAACTGCGTCTAAATACACGCTCAACAAGTTATCGTAATCAACTCTGTTCATCGTCGCGAACGGATAACACGTAAAATCCGCGCTCGTCATCGCGTTCATAAACGTCGACAGCGACCTTCGCAACATGTTAAAAAACGGGTCTCGAATCGGGTACTTGTTCGACCCGCACAAGGTCGTGTGCTCCAAAATATGCGCCACTCCGGTGTCATCCATCGGTACCGTTTTAAAGCCAACGTTAAACGCGTTGTTCGAATCATCCGCCCCGATGTGCAGCCAATGCGCGCCTGTTTTCACGTGTTTCAAAGACACCGAGACGACTTGGTAATCCGGCACCGGTTCGACTTTTTCCACTCGGAACGCGCCGTTGGCGAGTAAATCCCCAGCTTTCAGTGATTTCAACTGTTCCAAACTTTTCTTTGATTCGTCCGTCGCGACTACCGAGGACGCGGAGACGTTGTTGCCTTGCGACGACGATGCTTTCATCACAATCATCCCGGACGCGGAGGACATCAGCATTTGCCTTCGCGTCGTTCCCACTTGCGTTCGGATGAGTTTTCTCTGCGTTGATGTTGTCGCTGATGTCGATGACGCTTTACTCCTGGAGAATAAAGAAGAAACGAACGTTTTCCCGGTGTGTCTCGCAGAAGAGGAGACTTTTAACGCGTTCGCCGTTGCTCTGATTTGCATTTGTTTGCGTGTGCGCGTGTGTCGAGCGGATTCGTTCGAAAATTTGTGACGTATGCACTTAAACATACGTAAGGCAACTGCTCTGACTTTGGTACAGAAATGCTTCTTTTCCACACGATACGTTCACTAACTCACAAAAAACGCCTCAATTTCATTCGTGGGAGAAAAAAACACCACGGTCGTCACTGTTGACCCCGACCGATACACGCATACATAAAGAATGGGGAAGCAGTTATCTGGAGCGCAGAAGAGGAAGAAGAGGAAAGAGAAAGAAGAGCTCGCGAAGGAGGCCGTGGAGGAAATGGAGCGTTTAAAGCTTGGACCGACGGAGTTGTGGACGGGATTGGTGTTGCATCACAAGGATGTGTTTGTCTCGCATGTGCTTCCGAAATTGAATAGGACAGATCGGTGTTTCTTTTCGAGAGTGAATAGAGAGAGTCGGGGTGTGCTTGAATACGCCGGGGTAAACGTATCGGAATTATGTTACAATGTTGACGAATGTTCATCGATTTCGACGTTGGAATTGGCGTGGAATCACTTTCCCTGGGCAGAGAAAGATAACGATGGAGACGTGGCAGATCAAGCCTGGTTTTGCGAGGGAGTTGCTGCAACGAACAAACTCGAGTTTCTCAAGTGGGCGAGAGAAGTGAAACAGTGCCAGTGGGATGAAAAGACGATTACTGTGGCAGCACGTGAAGGCAATCTCGAGATGTTAAAGTACTGCTTCTCTAACGATTGTCCATGTGATGAAAAAAAGGCGTGTAAACATGCTGCTGCAGGAGGAAACCTCGACTGTCTTCGGTTTCTTTTCGACAAAGTGGAACCTTCGCGAGATACGGAAAGAGAAGCGGCAATACAAGCAACATGCGGTGGTCACGTGGACATCTTGAAATATTTCGTAGAAGAAAGAAAGATATCTTTCGATGATTTGAAGCTCGACTGCGTGGGAAACGCTACAACGTATGGCCGACTCGATTGCATCAAATACTTAGTCGAAGAGGCGAAAGTGCCTCTGAACGACTGGCGATACATCGCTTGGGCTCGGTATCGCGAGCACCCCGACTGCCTCAACTACTTGCTCGAAAAAGGGTCTCCAGAACCAACGGACGAAGAATACGCTCGACTTGTCAAACGAATGAAAGAACGGCAGTAGAACACGAGCAGAGCAGCACTGGAAAGAACTATCGCACACACACACACACACACATTTTTTCAATACTAACGAATAAGAGAGAGACGTACCCCACAAATCTAAAACGCACGAAGAATAAAGGAAAGCGTCGCTTCCGCTGGAATAAAGAGAGAGAAAAAGAGGGAAAAGAAGCTTTACGCATCTGCTTTTAAAGTAGGCACACGCGCACGTTATATACACATATATGCGCGAAAGAGCGATGCGGTTTCTTCTTCTCGCTTTGAGTCAAAATCCGTCCCCGCCGGCGGCGAATTTTGGACGAAGATTGGTTTCCAATTCTTCTTCATCATGCTCGAGGAGAAGACCGTCGTCGTTTAATCTTCGCATGGCTGGCAGAGGAGGAAGAACAGCGCTTTCTTCTTTCCCGTCCTCCTCGTCATCTGCGGGATCGACGAGTGAAGGTGATGATGAAATGAATTTGTTTTTGCAGAGTAAAAACGTCCAGTTACCGACCAGCTGTCCTGGCTGCGGCACCGCCTTGCAACGCGCGGATAAAAATTTACCGGGTTTCTACGTCGTACCGAGCAAGTTATTGGAAGAGGAAACAGAAGGCGAAGACGTGGACGAGGAAGAGTACATGAGACTGATGATGAAAGAGGGGAAGAAGGAGAAGAAGAAGAAGAAAACGCCGGAGGATTGGAGTCAACTGTCGCCGGACGAACTGGCGAGGCGGATCATGGCGGAGAATAGTAGCGTTCACGAAGGAGGAGGAGAAGAAGAATCGGAGGACGATTTTGATTTCGAGGACGTTACTTTTGTGAAGGACGATGAAATTGAAGACGAAGACGAAGACGGTAAAGAAGCCATCGACGCGTTTGAATCGTTATTCTTTGAGAAGGACGATGGAAAAGAAATCGACGAAGATTACGAGTTGGAAATGGCCGCGCTGAAAAAGATGAATCGATTGAAACGGAAACCGCCGGCGATTGTCTGCGCGAGGTGCTTTAGCTTGAGGAACACTGGACGGCCGAAAAATGTAAACGCGGAGATTTTACTCCCGTCGTTCGATTTCAAACGATCGGTTGGGACGCAAATGGAACGGTATCCGAATAATTCGAAAAAAGGCGTCGTTTTAGTCGTCGTCGATTTAGTGGATTTTGATGGGAGCTTCCCCGTCGACGCGGTGGATGCGTTAGAACCGCACGCGGAAAGAGGTGCAATTGAAATTGTATTAGTCGCGAATAAAGTGGATTTGATGCCCGCGCAAGCGACGAGAGCGAGATTGACGCAGTTTGTGAGACGTCGCGCGAAAGCGTTTGGGATGCAAAGCGCGAGCGAGGTTTTGTTAGCCTCCGCGACGGCTGGAATGGGCATAAGAGTTTTGAGCGATGAGTTGGAAGACATCTTACGCAATCGAGGTGGGCACAAAAAGAAAGACGTGTACGTCGTCGGCGCGCAAAACGCAGGCAAATCGAGTTTGATTAACCGTTTGTCGAGCAGATACGACGGACCGACGGACAAAACCGGCGGGCCGTTGGCGTCGCACGTACCCGGGACTACCATTGGCGTCTTAAAACTCGAAGGCATTTTACCCAACGAAACTGATGTTTACGATACTCCGGGTTTGCTTCAGCCGCACCAACTCTCCGCGCGAATGACCGCGGACGAAGCGAAAATAATCTTACCCAAAAAACGCATGATTCCGAGAACGTATAGAATTCAGATCGGAGGTACCATTCACATCGGCGGCGTCTCCAGAATCGATTTACTCGACGCGCCACAAAGAACTATTTATGTAACCGTCTGGTGTTCCAACGACGTGCCTTTGCATTACACCACGAACGGCGCGAAAAATGGAGACGAGATTTACGCGAAACACGCCGGGACGAAACTGACCCCTCCGTTGGGTGGCGAGGAAGGCGCTTTACGCCTCGGTCGGTGGGGAAGCAGAAAAGTTTCCGTCTACGGCGATTCGTGGTCAGAATCTACGCGGGACATTTCCATCGCTGGCGTTGGATGGGTAGCCATCGCGTGCGTCGGAAACGCCGATTTCAAAGTGTGGACGCACGAAGGCGTGCAATTAGAAACGCGAGAGGCGCTCGTGCCGGACATTTCAAAATCGATGATGAAGCCGGGATTTAGTTTCGAGAACGTGGGCGGGACGAGTAGTAATCGAAGACCAGACAAAAGAGCGGGGAGAGAGAGAGGAGGTAGCGGTGGTGGTGGTGGTAGTAGCGGCGGCAGAGGAGGAGGAGGAGGAAGAGGGGGACGAGGTAGTGGCGGTAAGAGAAGCGGCGGGGGCGGCAATAGATGGACTTAATAATTTCGCAGGCGACATTTAATATTAAAGAATACATAGCATCCCTTATTATATTAGGAGTTACTCTCATTCATATCACGACTCTTCCTCATCACCTTCGCCTTCTCCTCTTCCCTCTTCCTCCTTCAACACCTCCGCTTTCGCTTTCAACTTATCCATCACCATTTCCGCCGCGTTTTCCTTCCAATCCTTCTTCTCATCACCTTCGCCTTTCTCCAAGCCTTTCGCCACGCCCAGGACGGATTTCCCCATCACGAACGCCGTCACGAAATCCGCGCCGACTAAAATCACCCCAAACTTCCCCAATCTCCCGAACGTGTCCGAACTCATAATCGGTGCGTCGATGTCGTACCCGTCCGAGCTTAAATCTTCTTTTCGTATGGATTCCCCTAACATGTTCGCGTTGACATTTTTCTCCCAAACTTCATCTCCTTCGTCCACTTTCACTCTCGGGGCGACTTCTGTCGGATCCCAATCTTGTTTTGAACTTTCCCTCATGATGCGCATCAATTCCTCCGGCGACGCTTCCGCGCCAGAGGTGAGCCAATCAACCACTTGCGCCGCATTCGCGTCCAAAGTATCAGAAAGTGCGAGTATCGCGAGCGTCGTCATCAGAGCGTGACGCAGAGTTGAAACCGTTGTTGTTGTTCTTTCCCCGGCGAACTCTTCTTCTTCTTCTTTGATGTCGTTTACGTCCTCGTTTCTCTCCCCAAAACTCCTCCTCCTTTTCGCGAACGACGCAATAACGTCTCTTTTATGACTTTTCCTTTTCGATGATTTCGATGACGTCCTCGTCCATTTTCTCGCGCGCAACGACAGAGTTGTTCTCTGAAACGCAGATATCATGTCTTTTTTCCCAAGTTTTCCCGCCACAAATTCTGACGATTTTCTATCGATCGCATTCACGTTTTCCGCTCGTTTTGCATGTCGAGAATCGGAACACAACAACAAATACAACAACATCAGCAGCAGCAACAACAGTTCTTCACCTCTCGTCGAACGAGTCATCGAAACCTCGCGTCTTCTTCGCATTCTCGATCGATTTTTCTCTCAAATTCGCGGAAATTGAAGAAGGACAATTCTCCTCGTTTCGTCGTCATGCGACGGTGCATTTGTCCTGTTGTTGATGGTGTTGTTGGTGTTGCTGGGCGGAGAGGGAGGGTGTTTTCAACCACTTGGCACACCCCTTTACGCGCTGCTTTTGGAGGGTGGGACGAGAAGAAGATCAACTCTAACAGCGTTTCGAAAGTCGTGACGAACGCTTTGAATAATAGTGGTAATGGGTACAACAACAACAATTACTCGGCGGCGGATGCGGCGGCGAAGGACAATTCGGCCGATTCAACAACTCCTTCGGGACAACAACAACAGTTTTCGAGGAATAGCAACAACGGAGCTACGCGCCAGCCGCCAAACGTGCAGTATTATGGGAACAACAATAGTAATAGTAACAATGCCAACGCGAATGGTGGGTCTCGAACGCCGCCGATGTCGAGACCGCCGCCCGGTCCTCCTCCTTCGCCGAATCAACAACAACAACAACAACAACAGTTTCAGCAACGCAACGTGAACGGTAACAACAACGTGCCACCGAGACCACCGGTGCCAAATCAGCAGCAACAATACTCTGGTATTAACAACAACAACAATCAAAGAGCCGAGAATAGAATTTATAGGCAGCAAGGGCAGACTATCGTGAACGGAGGCGCGAGTAGTAGACCTCCGATGCCACCACCGCCGACGCAATCTGTAGCTCCCTCCTCCTCCTCGTCGTCGTCATACAACGAAGACGAGGAAGATTACAGCGCTCCACAAAATACCGGACCGACCGCGCTGCGCGACATTTTGCTCGAGAAACGAATCGTCATGCAATCGTACACGCCCGGGCAACACAGAGAGATGTGTCCGCAGTGCAACGGAGGCTCCGGCGGCGAGCGGTCGCTAGCGGTAAGAATCGAGCCGGGTGGACGCCAAGCCGTGTACGTGTGCCACAGAGCGACGTGCGAGTGGTCTGGTGCGGCAGATTTGGATTTTGTGCCCGGGAAAGCGAAAGGATCTTCCTCGGCTCAAGGAGGCAAATCATCGTCGAGCAATACCGCCACGAATACCAACACCAACAACCAAAGAACGATTCTAAAGAAACCAAACCTGCCTAAACCGGAAGATTTGAAACGCGTCGGTCCAGGTGCGCTCGACGAATCCGCCAAGCCTTGGGCGGAAATGATCGAAGAAAGAGGCATCTCTCTCGAAGTTGCCGAACGAAACGGCGTCGCCGTTCAAAGCGTCTTTTCGCCGATTGAAGGCAAACACGTCGACGCGCTCGTGTTCCCGTACGTTCGCGACGGACAAATCGTCAACGCCAAGTACCGCGGGCCAAACAAATCGTTTTGGCAAGTCAAAGGTGCGGAGAAAGTCTTGTACGGTTTGGACGATTGCATAGATTGCGAAGAGATTATCATCGTCGAAGGCGAGTTTGATAAATTAGCTTTCGAGGAAGCCGGGTATACGAATGTCGTTTCCGTTCCAGACGGCGCGCCGGGGAAAGTGAAAGAAGGCGACGTGCCAAACCCAGAAGACGATAAGAAATACGAGTACTTGTGGAATTGTCGAGCACAATTAGATACGGTAAAACGGTTCGTCATTGCCACCGATAGCGACGGGCCGGGCAAAGCCTTGGCGGAAGAACTCGCAAGACGACTCGGTAAAGAACGCTGTTTTACCGTGAACTGGCCGGAAGGGTGTAAAGACGCGAACGAGACTTTGCAATCGGGTGGCGTCGAACTCATTCGCGACTCAATCAGCTCCGCCGAGGGCTTCCCGCTGCGTGGTTTGTTCAAATTCGCTGATTTCTCCGGAGACATCGAGCAATACTTTAACATGGACGCCGGTTCCGAATTGCGGGGCGTTTCCACCGGATGGCGTTCGGTTGATAAGCACTACCGCGTCGTCCCTGGTGAACTCACCGTAGTCACCGGCGTTCCAAACTCTGGTAAATCCGAGTGGGTGGACGCGTTAATGTCCAACTTAGCCGTCCAACACGGCTGGACTTTCGCGCTCTGTTCTCTCGAAAACAAAGTTCACGAACACGCGCGAAAATTGGTTGAAAAATACGTCGGCGAACCGTGGTTCGACACCACTACCTACGCCAAAGGCGCGCAAAGAATGAACCCACAAACCATGAAGCGTGGTATGCGTTGGCTCAACGACCACTTTGTTTTAATCCGACACGAAGATGACGAGTTACCGTCGGTCGATTGGATCCTAGGCCTTGCCAGAGCCGCCGTCTTACGGCACGGCATCCGAGGTTTACTCATCGATCCGTACAACGAACTCGACCACAAACGACCAACTGGACAAACGGAAACCGAATACGTGAGCCAAATGCTCACTCGAATTAAACGTTTCGCGCAGCATTACGACGTGCACGTCTGGTTCGTCGCGCACCCGAGACAACTCCACAACTGGAAAGGCGAAATGCCCGGGTTATACGACATCTCCGGCTCCGCGCACTTCATCAACAAATGCGACAACGGCATCGTCATTCACAGAAACCGGGACGAGAAAATGGGCAGCTTACGAGAAGTCACCGTGAACTTGGCGAAAGTCAGAAACAAAGTCGCCGGTTCCATCGGCGACCCGAAACTCGAGTACAACGTCAGGAACGGCCGGTACGAAGATTTGCCCGAAGACGCTGCTCAAAATACCAACAACAACGCGAACAAACAGTAGTAGCAGATATATATTCATTCATGTATTATTAATATAATAGTAGTTTATTCCATTATTAAAAAAGACGAACGTTACTACTTTTTACTCTAAGAACGGAAAGCATTGTTTCGCGTCCAACTTCGGGTGTTTATTCTCCGCGTGCTTTTTCAACTCCGAGTGACTCAGCGTCGACACGAACGCTTGCATGCACACTTTGCACTGGATCGATTTCGCCGCTTCGTTTGCCTCTGTTGTGATAATAATAGAGAAAGAAGAGAGAGAATGAAAAGTGAGCCCCAGAGGTGTTTTGTTTCCAATTCGGAATGTACTAATGGATATCTCAAAAACAAAGAGAGAGAGAGAGAGAAGACGAAGAAAAAAACGTACTCAGCATGCTCCCAGCGCCGCCTTTCGCCGCTTTCGCCTGCGCTTTCTCCCTCGCTTTGGCTGATTTTTGGCCGTTGCCCCCGCCCATGATGTTTAGAAAGTTGAGAAAACTTAAGAGAAAAAATTGGAGGAAAAAACTGAAGCACAATTGGAAAAGTTTTTGCTCTTCTTTTCTCCGTCGTAATAAAAACACTAACTCGTATATTGGTACGCAGTGATGGTACGCCTTTGATGGCTTTTGCAATGACGGACTTTGACCCGGACAGGGAGAAACTGTTGCATTTTTTACAAGTCGGAGGAGGAGGAGGACAATATCGTCGTCGTAATCATCATCAGCATCAGCAGCCGTCGCGAGCGGGGACGACGAGACGAGGGAAGAAGAAGAAAAAAAGCTTCTTTTGCTGCTTAAACGGGTGGTGGTGTTTGAAACGCGCGTTAGGAACGAGGACGACGACGACGCAGAAAGTGCTCCTGTTCGCGCCGATGGTGTGGTTCGCGGTGAGTGTGCTCTCGCTGGCGAGGTTTAAAACGAGCAGCGAGGGAGAAAGGAGCGATGGGGTGGCGAAGACGTTGTTAACAACAAGGGGAGCGAGCGAAAGAGGAGAACGTCGTCAACATCGACCACAAAATCATAATCCTCATAAAATGCGTTCGAACGAAGAAAACGAGAGGGTAGTAAAGAGCAGCTTTGCACACGAGAAAGCACCGATACCGATACTAACGTTCGAATCGGACGAGAAGATGCGAGCAGAGCGAGAGCGAGAAGAAGCGACGAGCGCGCAAAATCGACATCCGTGTTTGAACAACGGCGTGTATAAAGTGGAAACGGACGAGTGCGTCTGTCACGGAGGGTGGAAAGGGGAGAATTGCGATCGGGCGATATGCGAGCAGGTGAATTGCGTGCACGGGAGGTGCGTGAAACCGGACGTGTGCGAGTGCTTCCCGGGATTTAGCACGTTTGATTGCTCGAAAGATTTCATTCGAGACGAGAGCGGGATGTTGTTGGACCATTTGCAAGTGCGGTTGCACACGACGTCAATTGGTCTGTCCAAGAAAGATCCGGCAGAGGCCATCGAGTTAGTTCAAAGGTGGGGGAGCAGTGGTAGTAGTAGTAGTAGTAGTAGTAGTAGTAGCCGTAGTAAAAGCGAAAACGAGGTGGACGGTCCTTGGTTGGCGAGAGAAGACGCGCTCGGCAATCGAGTTTTGAAAACGGACCAGAATCCGCACAACAAGCTATTTCTCAGTTGCGCCGTGGTTGGGAATAGCTTTCATTTAGAAAAAGTAGACGGGTTAGCGGAAGTTGTGGACGAACACGAGGCGGTTATTCGACTGGATGCTGCGCCGACGGCGGGAAGGTTTGCGAGCATGGTGGGCACGAAGACCACCGTGCGCGTCTTGTCGGATGCGTTTTTGGAAGAGGCGCTGAAAAACCCGTCCAAGTACGCGAAACTGTTCACGAGCGCGAACGCGGCTTCAAACAGCGGCAACTGGGAGACGAAAGGCCTTTTGTGGGAACCAAACTCAGTGAGTAAGTTGAGGCAAGCGCGAAGGGCGTTTCCCGAGTTGGACGTCCAATTCGCATCGCCGGAGATTTTGTATCCGGCCAAGACAATTTTTAACGAAGTGTACGATAGATTAAACGCGGAGACGAAAGAGCACATCGAGAAAGATTTGTTCGGTAGTGGCGGAAATAAAGGTGAAGACGAGAGCAACGGAGGAGGTAGAGGAGGAGGAGGAGGAGGAGGAGGAGTGGGATACTCTTTCTTTTCTTCCTCGAAGTCTTCTCCGGCGGCGACTAACAAATCGGAGTTGAAACCGACTCTCTCCAACGCCTTCTTCGCCGTCTTCCTCTCCTTACAAATGTGCGTCAACGTCAACGTGTACGGCATCGACCCACCGCACGAGTTCCTCCACGACGACGACCACGACGAAACCGACTCCTACTTCGACACTCTCTCCGGCGGTTCCGGCCTGGGCGTCTCCCCGGCGTCCAAAACGTACGAATCCTTGCTTTTGCGCTTGTTCCACGACCGCCGTTTAACGACGAGTTGCGACGGTTTTAACCACATGCAAAAATGCGTCAGTTTCACACCGAGAGGAAGGAAAGGTGTCATCGCTCACCAAGTCATTCATTGGTAATATATAGTCTCTCTCGTGTAATACTATTCGCTTTCGTCAAGTATTTAGTGTGTTTGGTTCAAAGACTTGACCACGTGGACTTTTCTCTCGAGATTTCCACATTGATTATCCAAATTATCCATTCAAGATGCGTCGCGCGCTTCTGCTCACCCGACGAACCACTGCGCGCACTTCTCGCTCTCCTCGTCACGACGACCACTTTTTCGTTTCCTCCACTTATGTTTCGAATAATGCTTTTTTCGAGAGTTTAAGGAGGAGCGGCTTTGCGACTGAGACGACGCGTTGTCGTGCGGCCACCACGACCACCCGTTTTCACTCGCACAATCAAAGACGAGACCAATCCAACGGTGGGCACCAGCGTTTAGCGGAATTGCGAGAGACGTTAGCGAAAGAAGACGCCACGGTTTCGGACTTTGTTCTCGGAACGTCCTTATCCGGCGAAAACGAGTATTCCTCCCCCGCGCCGAAGAACATGAGAGACAAGACGGTGAGGAAACCCGAGTGGCTGAAACGAACGCTCCCGGGCGGGACGGAGGATTCGAAGTATTCAAAGATAAAATCGAGACTGAAAGAGCTAAAGTTGAGCACGGTGTGCGAAGAGGCTAAGTGCCCGAATTTAGGCGAGTGTTGGGGCGGCGGGGACGGGCACACGGCGACGGCGACGATTATGATCATGGGGGACACGTGCACGAGAGGGTGTAAGTTTTGCGCGGTGAAAACGTCGAAAGCGCCTCCGCCGTTGGATAAAGACGAACCGGAAAACGTGGCGAAGGCGATTAGCGAGTGGGGGTTGGATTATATCGTGTTGACGAGCGTTGATAGAGACGATTTAGAGGACCAAGGTGCCGGGCATTTCGCGAAAACGATTAAGAATTTGAAGGAGAAAGTGAAAGGAGGCGGCGAAGGCGGGTTTGTGAGTAACCAGGATAAAGATAAGAGGATTTTAGTCGAGGCGTTGACGCCGGATTTTCGAGGCGAGGATAGATTAATCGATACGGTCGCGTTGAGTGGGCTAGATGTGTTCGCCCACAACGTGGAAACCGTGCCAGAGTTACAAACGCACGCGAGAGATCCGAGAGCGAATTGGGACCAGAGTATCCACGTGTTGAAAAGAGCGAAAAAGACCGCGAAAGATGTCGGAGGTGTGGATTTGATCACCAAGACGAGCATAATGCTCGGTCTGGGCGAAACGAGAACGCAAGTGTACGAAGCGTTGAAGTTGTTGAGAGAAGCTGGCGTGGACGTGGTCACGTTTGGGCAATACATGCGACCGACAAAGAGACATTTGAAAGTCGAGGAGTACGTCACTCCGAAAGCGTTTGATATGTACGGGAAGATGGCGGAAGATTTGGGCTTTTTATACGTCGCGAGCGGACCGATGGTAAGAAGTTCGTACAGAGCCGGCGAGTTTTTCTTGAGGAACGAGTTGAGGAAACGCGAAGGAGAGAAAATGACCGCCGCGTCGTCGTAATAAAGGCATTATTCATACTAGATGAATATTGTTTTTATCATTGTTGTAAAATAAGGAAAAATTAAGCGACAAAAGTGCTGCTCTATTATTCTTATATTCGAAATCGCGATAACTTGACGACCAAACCAGTTTCTTCGTTCACTTCGAAAATCTCGCAAATTTTGACCTTCATCAGCAACATGTCAAACTTGTACAACACCTCCCACTTCGTGATGTGTTTCTCGTCGCCTCTTCCGACGTACGTCGGTCCTTCCACGTTCATGGCGTTGGACTTGATTTGCCGCTTCGACCGCGTGCTCCCCATCATCCGGTTTCGTAAATCGACGATGGCTTTGTCCATGCGACTGAACGCAAATACGCGTCCGCGGATAGTTGCACCATCGATGGTAAAATACTCAAAGTTTTCATCGAACGCTTTCTCGATTTCCGGAGAAGTGGACGTCCAACTTTCAACGTCGGGATCTTCGAGCGCTTTGCGCACGGCTTCGTGCATAATTTGCGGAATTTTCGGCGGTTGCGGACGCTTTGCGTATTTCCTTTTCTTTTTCTTTTTGAGTCGTTTCACGGTTTGCGTGGTCGTTGTTGTCGTGCCATCTTCGTTTGTTACCGTGACTTCTTCCTCCACCTCTTCTTCCACCATCTCTTCTTCTTCCAACTCTTCTTCTTCTTCGCTTTTCTCCGGGACGCCGCTCTTGAACGCTTTCAACGTCCTATAAATCACCTCGGGATCATCCTCCGGTAACGTCTTCACGCTCTCTTCGCACCGTCTCGTGGCCACTTCAATCATCTCGTCCAACAAATCCATCGTCTCCGATTCCCAGTTATCGAATTCCTTGGGATCGTGAAACTTGACGTCCTTCATCCACGTTTGAAAGTCTTTCGATTTATGCGAAAGATCGACGCCTTCGTACCCTCGAAACGACTCGTATTTGGATCCTCCCGGAATAGAACACACTCCGTCGTACAGAACTCTCGATTTTGGATTCGACTCGAGCGCTTTCACGTACGACCTCGTTTTGGGTGCCCTTCGCGTTTGAGAGCTTCCCCGTCTTCTCGAGGAAGAACCTCGTGATCTCGAAAAAAAACTTCTTCGTCTCGAAGAAGAAGAAGAAGACAAAGTCGCACACACATCGCCGCCGCTGCTCGAAGAAACGACGACCGGCGTCGACGACGAACTCGAAGGCGCCGAGAAGGAAATCAGTCTCGGTGCCGACGCGCACGCGCCCATAGTGATTCTCTTTTATGTTGTATACCGGTGGTTCTCCTCTCTCTTACAAAAAGTATTTTAGAGAAGAAAAGAAAGAGAGCCGTTTTTCATAAATTAATTATTACTTTTTTACTCAACGAGGAGGTCGTTTTGGGAGCAAAAAGAGACAGATTTCGAGAGAGAGGAAAAGAGAGCAAAAAAAACGACCAAAAAAGAAGACTTTTTTCTCTCTTGCCTTTTTTCATGTCCTTTTTTCGTGCTTTCCTCTATTTTTTAACGAGACAAAGTCTTCCTTTTCTTTTTCGTAACAAACTCGAGAGTTTTCTCTTCACTTCTTTAAAGCGCTTCTCGTCGCGTGTGCACACAACACCACGCAGAGAGCGATATTTAGATACACAAAAACACTCTAGAGCTCGCACACGCGCATAAATACACACACACATAAAAAAGGTACGAATAACTTTCTCTCTCTCTTTATCCCTCTCTCTCTCTCTCTTTTTCTCTCCATTCGGTGCTTCTCTTCTTCTCGAGTGCAACGACAGAACGCGATGATGATGATGATTCGATGTCTCGCGCGGCCCCATCAGCGGCTCTTCATTCCCGTTCGGGAAATTCAAATCACATCATCATCCCTTTGCGGCGAAGATAAAGAAGAAGATACAGAGCGCGCAATAATATCTCTTTAAATGTCGTTTTGTCTCCGTCTCTCTCTCTCTCTCTGTCTCTCCGTCTCCTTCTGTCGATTCTCCGAATACTGATCTCTTCTATTTTCATTCTGCGTCACAGAAGCTTTTGCGCGGCACCGCGGCCAAAGCGCAGCGCATCTCTCATCATGCCGGGAAGAACCTCGCGCTCGCGATTAACGACAACAACAAATACAACATCGGCGAAAGAGTTTAAAGATGAAAGAAGACACTTGCGAACGACGCGATCGAGCTCGGCGAAAGCGCACTCCGGCATCGTCGACGTCGCGAAGAAACTTTTGTGCACGGTGCATAAACTCGACGGGCACCTTCAAGAAGGAAAGAAGAGAAGCGCTCGCGGCGTTCGGAGGTTTTCAGCAGACGTTGCCATAAAAAACGGCATGCAAGAAGAGGAGGCGTTTGAAGAAGAAGAAGAAGACGACGTGAAGGAGGAGGATTTTTTAGAAGACGTGCACATGGAAGGACAGACGCCGACGGTTGCGAAGACGACGACGAGAAATACGGTAAAGATACATCGAACGCCGGAAGGAACGCCGAAAGACGAGAAGCAAGTGGAAAGAGTCGTCGCTTTGATGCGATTGATCTTAACCGCGAAGAAAGTGAAGGAGGACAAAGTGCCGGCGCTCATCGCGCCGAATCTGTACCTCGGGTCGATCGGCGCGGCGCAAAGCGAGGAGCAGATTAAAGAGAAAGGGATCACGCACGTCCTCACGGTGGCGAGAGGGTTTGAGATTAAACACGTGGAAGGGGTGAAGTATATGACCGTGGAGGTGGCGGATAGGCCAGATGCGGATATTCGAAGCCACTTTCCGCAGTGTTTCGAGTTTATTAGCGGCGCGGTGAAGAGCGGCGGGAACGTGCTCGTGCACTGTTTCGCCGGCCGGTCGAGAAGCGCGTCCGTATGCGCGGCGTACGTCATGTGTCACGAAAACATCAGGTTGGACGAAGCTTTGATGCGAATGCGGTTGGCGAGACCGCAGATTAACCCGAACGCCGGGTTCATGGGCCAGTTGAACCAACTGGATGAAGATTTGATGAAGTGGCGGCGTAAAACCGGCCAAGAGAAGATGAAGGAGGACGAGCAAGAAGTGACTTCGGCGCAATCGCAAAACAGAGATAGCGGACAATCCAAGAGTTCCACCAGCGAAAGTTACAGCATGAGCCACGGCGATCAGCATCACGCCACTAACAAGCGCAACGGCGGCGGCGGCGAAAATTACGCGGAAACTGACCCGGCGAGCGAAATCGCGAAAAATACGCGACGCGCGAAAGCCGGCGCCGCGTCCACCACGACCGAAAGCGGCGGCACCAAGTCCACCTCCTCCGACCAGGACAACTCCACCCCGTACCGAAACCCGGACAAGAACAAGAACAAGAACTTAAACGACAACAACATCTTGGAGCAGCGACCCGAGAGGGGCGGCGGCAAATCCGCGCCAAAGCCGCATCCGCCGCCCAAGACGAGGACGACGACGAAAGCGAGCGCGAAAGGCGGCGCGATCATGATTTCCAGTTCCGGCTCCGACGACGACGACGACCACCACCAACAACAAGAACAAGAAGTCGTCGACATGGACGTGCTTTGATGTTAGTAGCTAAAGTAGCGTGGACGCGGTTAAAGATAGCAGAGACTTGTAAACCAAAGCCAAATACCCTAAATAGAATTGAACGAATTTCCCCACAAAAACTTCGTTTCCCCCACACTTTTGGTTTCAAATCAAATGACGAATAAGCTTCTTTCGCCGACGACTCGGACGACGAGGACGCCGACAATGGACCATCCCCTCGTGGCGAGTCCCATGACTAAAAGAAGAGAGTCGCCGAAACCACCGTTTTCTACCCCGAAGAGAGGAAGAACGAGCAAAAACATGATGAGTTCTTCTTCTCACCTTTCGCCACAAAACGGCAGTCAAATGCGTTTGAATTTCACCCAAAACTCGAATAAGGGAAAAGGTGGGTCGCTTCCGCCGTCTCCGGTCGACGAGACCGTTCTGTTCGCCGACGATGTTGATTCAGACGAGGAGGAGGAAGAGGAGAACGAGGTATTCGAAGACGCCGGGACGCCTTTCGTTGAAGATGAAAATAATGAAAATCTCCAACCACCTTTAAACAACAACAGTACGGCGAAGAGAGTGGAAAAAGGCGCGTTGAATCGAGCTTTGCGAAGAGAGTTATATCAGCTCACAAAATCGAGGGACGAGGTATCCTTGGAGTTGACTAGATTAAGAAACGACCACGAACGGGTGCAAGCGATGCGCGCGAGCGAGATGGAGGCTTTGAACATGCACAAGAGTCGCATCGCGGACGCGGCGCAAGCGACGGCGAAAGAGGCGAATCGAGTGGAAGAGATGAAGAAAGATGTGATCGAGAGGGAGAGGAGAATGAAGGAGGAGTTGGAAGAGGCGATGCAGTTGAAGCGAGACGCAGAGGAGATGCGGATAGAGGCGGAGGAGTTCTTAGAGAGGCAAAGAAGGGCGGAAAAAGCGGAAGCGAAGATGGAGGAGAAAGGAAGGGACATCGAGAGAATGAACGAGTGGTCGAACGAACGCATGGATGAGTTGGAGAGGAAACAAGAGCAAGTAGCGGTGGCGAACGCGGCGTGCGAACGCGAAGCGGGTTTATTGAAGAGAGATTACGAGCGGTTTGAAAAGAACAGACGGGAGGTTTCGAGAGCGTTTGCGAAAAGAGAGATGGACGCGTTGAAAAGAGAGGAGTCGTGCGAAGATCGCGAAAGGAGAGCAGAGAGAGCAACAAAGATGCGCGAGGAGGAGGAACGTTTATTAGTAGAAGCGCAAGAGAAGAAATATTTAGCCGAAAAGCATTTGAGAGAGTTTCTCGAGAAAATGAAAGAGGCTGAATCGAATGCGAAGAAGATTGAACAGGCGAAGGAAGACGCCAGGTTGAAAATGAGAGAGTTGGATCAACTCTTCTCCGAGAAGAAAGCAGCAATTGAACAAGCCGAACACGCGCTGAAGAAAGCAAAAGTCGAAAGAGAACAGATTAAAGAGGAGCTGGACGCTCGCGAACGTCACACCGCCGCGGCTGCAGAAGCCGCCGCGAAAGAGTGCGATACGGTTGCGAACGCTTGGGCGAAGGTCACCGAAGGACGCAAAGAGCTCGAAAAACGCGAGCAGGATTTGAAAATCGCATCGAGCACGATTGCAGAACGCTTATATTTCATGAAAGCCGGCGACGAGGAGTTGGAAGAGAAAGGGAGAGCGTTGGAACAATTGGCCGCGGAAATTCAAAAAGTCGAGTTGGAATTAAAGAAAGATCGCGACCGGGTAGAAGAGGAAAAACAAACGATGCACAAGAAGCGAGAGATGATGGAAGAAGCCGAGCGAACCGCAAAGTTTCGCGTGAACGAAATCGAAAATAGGGAGTTACAATTAGACGCTCGAGAAAACGATGTCGCTTCGCAGCTTTCTCGCGCCGCGATGGTTGAAGAGAACTTGAAGAAAAGAGAGAGCGATTTGAGAGCGTTGATGCGGAGCGGCGAAGGCCAACGCGCGACGACTGTTCGCGAGTTGGAATCTGAAGTCGAAGAGAAGGCGAAAGATATCGAACGATTAAAGGCAAAGCTGGAAGAGTCTGCGAGCGATTCGGAATCAAGTTTGAAAAAACTCACGAACGAGATGGACGTTATGCGGGAATCGTTTCGAACGAAAGAGATTGAAATCGAGGCGCACAGGAAAGCGTTGGAGAATCAATTGAACGAAGCGCGAAAGGAGAACAGAGATTTGGTTTCCGAAGCCGCCGAGGCGAGGAAGGAACGAGAAACGGCGTTATTGCGCATGAGAGATGGTTCTGCTCAAACGACAACAACATCAACGCATAAGAAAAATACTGGAACGCAAAGCAACGACTTTGCTTTTCCCATCGTTGATACTACTCGCAACGAACAACAAATCGACGCGATGCGAAGCGAAATCGCGTTACTCAAACGCGAAATCGCATCGCACCAAACACACAGAGACCATTTGGAAACGCAGCTCGCCGAGGCTCGTCAACTGGCGAGCGCTAACTCGCCGAGCGGTAAGACGAAGAAAGAAACCGAACGTCGCAAAGCGTGGGAGAAAAGCGCCATGGAGGCAGTCAGAGACGCGAGGGATGCGTTGGATGCGCGCGCGGAAACGGTGAAAAAAGCCGCGATGGATGTCAAGAAACGCGAAGAGAACGCGAAACGAAGAGAAAACGAGCTTTTAGACGGTTTAGAGCGTGTGGAAAAAGAGTACGCGAAAGCTCGCCAAGCCGTCGCCGCCGCCGAATCCGAACGAATCGACATCGAAGCTCGTCGCGAATACGTCCGACGAGAACAACTGGAGTTGGAAAAGCACAAAGCCGTCAACGATGCGTTCAGAACCGATGAAGACTCGTTGAAAAAAAAACTCAAAGCGGTCTCTCGCGATCTCGAAGACGCCGAGCGTAAGCTCGAAAACGTCACGCACATGGTCTCTATTCGCAAACAAGAACTCAGCGGTTTAGACTTGGCGAATATCAACGCGACTCGCATTGTAGATTTAGAACAGCGCGAATTGAAAATCCGCGAGTTTACGGATAAAGTCCACCCTGCGCTCCTTCGCGAAGCGGAATCGTTGAAAGAAGCCGGCGATGTTTTACAAAAAGAGAAGATTGAGCTGCAAAATTCCTGGCTCGCTTTGCAAAATCGAGAGAAGATGATGAACGAGCACGCGGCTACGAACAACGCGCGCATCTGCGAATTGAAAGAGTTTGAGAAATCGTTGATGGTAGAACGCGACGAACTTCTCGCATTTCGCGAGGATCTTCTGGAAAAGCAACAAAAACTCGTCCACGCGGAAGACATCATTCACCGCGCGGAGAAAGAAAAGAAAGCTTTAGAGAAGAAACGCAAACACGCGACTCGAGAACACACGTTGGACGAAACGAAATCCTCCTTAAAACGACTCTTGACGCAAATCAAAACCCGAGAAGGAGAAGCGCACCGTAAACTCAAGCGATGCGAAACGCTCTTACACCGCGAAAACATCCACAACTTGCGCGCGAGTTTACTCAAAGTCACCGAAACTCGCGAAGCGCTCGAACGCGACGTGGTAGTCTCGTCGTCGCGGAGCGAAAGAGACGAAGACGAAGACGGCGACGAGAGCGTTCACGTCTTTCAATCCTTACTTCGACGATGCGAACGACAGCTCGTCCGCGCGAACGACTGGTTCGCAGACTTGCAAAACGAGTTGGAAAGCTACCACCAATCTCAGGCTAGTTTGAGATGAGATAATAGATTTATGTATAGAGATATTCAGACGACGCGTAGTACCGCCTAAAGCTCTCCTCCCTCACATTTGTACAAGTCGTCCGGATTTTTGAATTTTCTCTTCATTTCTCTTTCCACACATCAAGAAGAAGAGGAGGAGAGGAGGAGGAGAAACGTCCAACGCCACGCACACGACGGGGAAAAACAACGGGAAACTCCTTTTTCGAGCGGGACGGCGAGGACGAGAGCCTTTTGTTTTTAAGAATGACAGCAAAAACAGAAGACTTTGACGAGGACACGGACGACGGGGAAGAAGTCCATTGGAAGGAAAGGAAAAAAGAAAAAGTACTCGCCAAGTTACAGTTCTTAAACGACCAACGGAAACAAAAGATCGACTCGAATCGCACGAAACGAGATGAAATTTCCGATCCCACGGAGAATGTGGATGCGTTCGCGAGAGAGTTTAAGAAAATGGTGGAGGAGATCGAAAGCGATTTAGTACTAAAAGGAGGAGCAGAAGGAACAGAAGGAAAAGAAAAATCGTTGACCAAAATCGCTCTGTTGCGAGAGAAGGGCGCGCAAAGCGAAATCGATGTAATACAAGGAAAAGGATGTGTTGAAGCTGAAGGAACAGAAGGAAAAGAAAAATCGTTGACCAAAATCGCTCTGTTGCGAGAGAAGGTTGCGAAAAGCGCGTATTTTTTACCATCGTTCGACGCGGAGAAATCGATGAAAACGTGCGACCTGTTGGAAAAGAAAGCGAGGGGGAGAGAAGTTTTTAACGATTTTAATGCCGAAGACGCGGTGGATGAGAGAGTCGGAAAGACGAAGAAGTTTAGCTTCGCAAAATCGAAGACGATGAAGAAGGCTTTCGCGGAGAAGACGACGACCGACTTTTCCGGGAAAGGAGCAGACGACAAAACTTCGCCTTCTTCCGCCGCGGTGATTGAAATGTTGCAAAAGAAGCATCGAGCGACGAATGGTTTGTTAGTCGTTCGGGAGAACAAAGAAGGAGAGACGATTCTTTTGACGAGCGAGGAGTGCGACGGAAAAGACGTGACCATTGAACGGTTGACGAGGTGCGAAGTGACCATCGAAAGTTGCGCGAATCGTAGACCGAGATCGGTTCGAATGCGGAACTTGGTCGAGTGCGAAATCAAAGCCACGGATATCGACGGGAGCGCGTACGTGGAAAATATGAGCGATACGATTGCGTTTATAGGATCGAGGCAACTCCGAATACACGACGCGACGAAGTGTCAGTTTTATTGCCGAGTGGCGAGCGGTCCAATCATTGAGAGATGCCAAGCGGTCGAGTTTGCGCCTTTGTTGTCGAGCGAAAACGACGGAAAAGAAGACGATAACTTATGGAACAAGGTTGAAGATTTCGGATGGATTAAGCAAGAGCATTCGCCAAATTGGAGCGTGATAGAAGAGAAGGATAGAGTTTATTAGAATAGCTTGTTTTGTATAATAGTATGAGTAGAAACCGCGAAAAAAAAGTACTCGCCGGCGCGTGTGAGTATAGAACTGTAAATTAGTATGTTTGATATTAAAATTATCTTCTCGTGTCTTCTTCTTCTCTTTCTTCTTCCTTATGTGTATGTAATAATTCGAGCGCCTCTCTTCTATCTAGTAGTTTTGATCGAAACTCCTAAACGTTTGCTTATTATGTGTGTGTATTTATTATTATTCTTCTTCGCCAAAGCCGGCCCACTCGTCTTCGTCGGTATCGGTGACGACTTCCCCTCTCGCTTTTCTCGCCTTGCGCAGTTTTTCCTTCTTCTTTTGGTCTTTTTTGGAAAGCGCCGTCTTCTTCACGACTTTGACCTCGTTCCCTAACGCGTCGGTGAATTCGGTTTGATCCACAGCGGCGGTGACTTCTTTCTTGGACATTTTTGACATCCACTCGGCGTCGCCTTTGCAGTTACATCGCGCGATGCCGTCGGTTTCGTCCTTCGCCATGAGCCACGTCTCCGGGCACAACGCCGAGCAAAACTCGTTGTTGTGGGTAATCATAACCACACCGCCGTCGTAGTCCTCGATGGCTCCAGCTAAAGCGCCCAAAGAGTCTCTGTCCAAGTAGTTCGTCGGTTCGTCCAAAATGACAATGTGCGGGCAGTTCCACATGCACGCCGCGATGACAACCTTTACTTTTTGGCCTCCGGACAACGCCGCCATTCTCGTGTGCGTGCCAAACTCCTTGTCCAAGCCGACGTTCTCCAAATGTTTTTCCACATTCGCGGTGGTCAACGGAGTAGACAACGCGCCAGCTCTGGCGGCAACTTTTTCGTCCACAATCTTCATGTGTTTGGCGAAACCAGCCTTTTCGAGCTTATCGGCTCTGATGTACCTGTTCGCGTCGTGCGATTGACCGACGAATTGAACTTCGTATTCCACCTCCTTCTTGACCGTCTTACGACCACCGGTGAGCTTCTCAATGGTCCATTTCAATTTGCGGACGTTGCCTTTCTCGTCCGGCGGCAACGAGATTTCGAAAGGCTTCTTGCACTTTTCGATTTCCTCCTCCGTCAAGGTCATGGAATCCTTTTGCAACGCCTCCTTGTCGTCGCCGTGTTGGTATCTCCAGCGGATGTACTCGTTCGGCGTCTTGTCCAAGTGTTGCTCGATGTGATGAAAGGCATGCTGCGCGACGTACGCGACTCTCGCGTTCGGGTGCTTCCAGACCGTACCTTCTTGCGGTTCAACCTCACCAGTCAGTAACTTGATCATGGTGGATTTACCGACGCCGTTCGGGCCGACGCACGCGACGCGGGAGGCCAAGGAGACTTGAACGGTAACGTCCTTCACCGTAGGAACTTGGTTCACCGGGTACGTGTACGTGCAGTTCGCCATCTTCATCAAAGGTTTACCTTTCGACTTGACGCCTTCAATAAATCCAGGTTGAGGGAACTGCATCTTCCATCCAGAGGCAGATTTCAGCTCGAAAAATTGTTTCGCCTTCGGGTTCTTGGCCACGTATTCCGTCAAGTTACCTTTGAACTGTTTCAATTTCAAGTTGTCGATGGCGATGATGTTGTTACACACGCGGTCGAGCAAACCGGTATCGTGCGAGACGATGATGCACGTGACGTTCGTCAACGATAAGAGGTAGGTTTCGACCCATTTGACGTTCATGACGTCCAAGTGGTTCGTCGGTTCGTCCATCAACAAGATGTCGGCGTTCAAACACATCGCTCTCGCCAACGCCAACTTCATTCTCCAACCTCCGGACAAGAAGGTGACCAAGTTTCTCGCACCGTTTTGCATTTCGCCGAAACCGACGTTCAACAACATCTTCTCAACGGTTTCCTCGGTAATACCCGCGGCTTTAATTCTTTCATCCGCCAAAATGTAATCGACGCACGGCAAATCGGACAATTCGCCAACGATATCGGCTTCGACAAAGACCGTTCTTAACTCCGACGCGGGAGGAAAACCTTCGACTTGCTCTTTAGAAATCGCTCTCATCAACGTCGTCTTCCCAGAATCGTTCCCGCCCAACAAACCGTACTTGTAGCCTCTCTTGATCTTCAACTTGGTGTTGTGCAACAAAACTTTCGAGCCGTACGCCAAGGTAAATCGGCAGTTGGCCAATTCCTCGGCGTCTCCGTCGTCTTCGTCTTCCTCGTCGTCCTCGAAGTAAAACTTCTCCAACTTTTCAAAGTACTGCTTCCCTTTGCCTTTCAACGCCTCTTCAAAGTCGTAATCTTCCAACTTGTTCAAGATCAAGGAACTCAAAACGATGACTTCGTACTGCGAAATCTCGTTTCCTAACAACTCCTTCAACTTCGATTCCGTCGGTCTTTTGGAGACAAACTTGGGATCGGCCAATCGTTCGCCGATCGACTTTAACTGATCGGTGCACTTCCCGCACACCGTTCGCGCTTCCGGATCGGAAATCTCGTTGGACGCTTTTTCGACCGAGGTCAACAACTTGTCCAAAAACGGCTCGGCGTCTTCCGGATCTTCAACCAACTTACTCATGTTGTTCAAAATCACCGCGCACATGCGTTTCGTCGATGTCGTTCTCGCCCTGAAACCCAACAAAAGAATTGGCGAAATCAACGCCAACGGCGCCGCAGTAACGGTTTGCACGAACGTCGTCGACGCCAACTTTTGAACGCATTCGTCCGTCTTGTCGTGGTCGATGGTCGCCGCCACCATATCGTCGATGAACGGTTCAATATCCCGGTTATCGATGGTGTGACACACTTTCTCCACCGTCGTTCTCGCGGCTTCGGCAACCACGCTCGAGGCATCGTTCACCAAACCAGTCACCACCGGCATCAACCTCACCAAGTTACAGCTCACGCCGTGCGGACTCGTCTCGGCTAATCTCGAGATAAAATCCAACGCGCCGGCGATCGTCCCGGCTCTGTTCGACGAATCCATCGCTTGAATCAACCCGTCCACGTAGTTCAACACCGCGTGTTCGTTCACCGTTTTCGCCGCTGTTTCCAGTAACTCTTGCGAGGCTTTGCACACATCTTGTGAATTTTTGTCCCCGCAATTGGTTAAAATTGCAGTCAAAGCCTCGGAATCTGTCGCGAACAATTCTTTGGCACTTTGGTCGCCTTTTCGTAAAGCATCTGCGAACGCTTTCGTCGCAGACAGGCGAGCGTCGCAGGACGCTTTGTCCGTTTGTTTTAAAACCGCAGTTTGGCAGTCAAATCCTCCCATTATCTTCTGTCGTACTCTCTCTGTGTGCGTGTCGATGAAGAAACGACGATTGGAAAAAGCGGTTTAAAGTGAGAAAACCGATCAAAAGCGCCGCGAAGAAAGGAAAATCCAATCCGTTTAATTCTAGAATTCGAGGCGCTAAACGTGGAAAAAACAGATCCGATCTCTCGTCTCGCGAAGAAATAAAAGCACTCTCTACAGACAGAGAGAGTGAATTACGTTCGCACCGTCTTTTGATCGAAGGAAGATCTTTTGTTCTTCTGTGTGTGTATGTGTAGTAGATGTAAATAATCGGTTACGTATATAATAAAGTGCGGCGAAATTGAACGAAAAATCTAGTCATTAAAATTCAAAATATCTTCTCGATTTCTCGATCTCGAAACCGCTTTTTTTCTTTTTTTTTTCAGATCGCAAAAATTGTGATTTTTGAGAGTACTCGATTTTAATCGATAGTAGTATTACAAAAAATGTTCGTTTCGTTCTCTTCGTTATTAGTAGTAGAGTAGTGTTAGAGTTATTAAGGCGCGCTAATATTGCCGGTGCTAGTAGTATTCGCAGTAGTCGTATTCAAGTGTCCATCGATGGTTAACGGCAAGCTGTGCAACTTGACGTTATTCGCGACGAAGTATTTCCGGACGTGGTTGTTCACCGCGTTTCTCACCGCCAACGAACGCAAAACGGGTAAGCCGTTGAATTTCAAATCCAGAAAGACGGTGATTCTTATTTTGCCGGTGTAATCGCCACACGGGACGACTTTCAAGAAACACTCGTCCACGTCGGCGGAGTTTAAGGCGGTGAAGTTGTGTAAAGAACTGTTCAAGCCGTCGAAGACTTTGTCGTTCGTTTCCACGTCGACGATCCAATCGAAAGATTCCGTTCGCGTTTTCGATCGGGACATGTTTATCACGGTCGAGCGCATCATCGTTTGGTTGTGGTAATACGTGACTTCACCGTTCCAGTTTTCTGCTTCCGTTTGTAAGATGTTGATGTTTTTTATGACGAAACGGTTCCCGTTGATGAGAATGTTATCGCCGACGTCGTACGGGTGGGTGATGAAGATGAAGATGACGCCTTCGAAACACTCTCTTATGGAGTTGCCAAACATGAACGCGAACGCGAGGATAAAGGAAGAAAGGGTGAGCCACATTTCCAGAACGTTTTGTTCAAAAATCGCGAGGACGATGAAGATGAGAACGATGTATAACGCGGTCAACATCATCCGTTCCAACGTGGCCAAAACCGATCGCGAACCTCCCAACGTCAATTGCATGTTTTTCCTGCTCTCGTAAATTTCAATCACGCGGTCGATGATCATGTCTCTGTCCGCGAAGCCGTGCTTGTCCACGTCGAAGATGTCCATGATGATTTGCGCGACTTCTTTACTCACGCCCAAAGATTTCAAAAACTCGTAGTTGACTCGTAAACGTTTCGCTTTTTGGATTTTGCGCAACGTGACGGCCAATCTCGTGCCGCACGTCGACGCGACAGATTCGTCCAAGATGATATCGTCGATGATTAATGGTTCATCTTTGATGAACGTTTGATTGGCTCTGTCCGCGAACATTCGAGGAATGCGCAAGTTGTATCTTTTGATGTACCTGGCGAGCCTGGCGGCTCTCGTCAACGTCATTTGGTGATGGACTTTTTCCGTAATCGTCGTGCCCCCGAGCAGTTGCCCTCCTCTCTCCCTCACGGGCTCAAACGTCCGTATTTTCTTCTTCACCCCGCCATACATGATCCCGTGTTGTTGAATGATGTAATCTTCACCAACTGGAAACGTCGCGTGGCCGAAGCCGGCGTATTGTTGCAACAAATTCGAGGTCGATCCGACGCGCTTCAGATTTGAAATGTTCGTGGACGAGAGCAATTTTTTATGCGCCACGTTGTAAATTTCTCTTTGCGGCACGATCGCTTTGAACAATTTCATCAGCGCGAACTCCTCGATTAAGATCGTCAGCATTTGGTCAGAATACACGCGCCTCTGCAAATCAACCAACATGTAATTGAATATTCCTCTGGAGACTAAATGCATGCAACATCGAGCGACCCAGGAGGCTAAAATTCGGTACGTCGTCAAATACCAGTACTCTTTCAAATCGCTCTTGTTGACCATATCTTCCATTTGAACGTAATACGACCAGCAACACAAACACAACACGCCGTGAAGCAAATTCACGAACTCTTTTTGCACGCCGTTTAGAATGAAATACAGGCGTTTGCCGACGACGTGCGTCGAAGGTTCCAAAAATATCGCCTGCAAACCAGTCACGACAAAGTTAATAACCGTCGAACCTCCCAACGTGATCGATATAAAACCAAACAATCGAGAGTTCCACACGACGGCTAAAACCAACGTCGCAATCACCGCCGCGTGGAGTAAAAAGTACCCAAGCTGCAACAGTCTCCTGATTTGTCTCTGTTCGTTCGTCAACGCATTCCCGTCGTCTTTACTAAAGAGAAAATTTTTGCGCCTCCCGTGATAAGACGTGTCGTCGTCCGAGTTATCCGAGGAATTTTGCCCCGCATTTGATGTCGTTTGGGGCATTCCCGCACCTTGATTTTGTTGTTGTTGTTGTTGCTGTTGCTCTTCTTTCGTTTGCGTCGATGTCGCGTGAAGCGTTGTTTCCGTCGTCGACGCGCTGTTGTTATCTTGTTGTTTGTTCGTTAAAAACTCCTCCATCAATTCCGCTTTCAAAATCTTCTCCGTCGGCGCAATCGACGCTTCCATCGGGGAATTCAGCGCGAATTGCGGCGTGACTGAAGCGTACATCTCTCTCGAGTTCTTCTCGCTGCTCACGGCGGCGTCTTCGCTGATTTTGGGTAGCGTCGGTGAGGAGCCCATCCCGCCGCCAGAGGCGTCTTTTTTGGGAGATTTCGGCGGCGAATTCATGAATTCATCGTCTGATGATCCTCCTTTTCCTCGAGATAACGGAGGTGGCGTCATTATGAAATCGATTTGACGACTTTAATTCTTTGTTCTTGTGCTGCTCTTTATCTCTCTCTCTTTCTCTCTGCTCTCGCAGAGGAGAGCCTTTTGAGAGAGATTATGAGGAAGACTTTTGACATCTTTCTCTCCTCTCTCCGCTAAAGTTTAGGGTTTTAACAAACTAAAAAAGTTTAGTGTTTAAAATTGAGCTAAATAGGGTTTAAGATATCGTGGCCGAGTTGGTAAGTTCAAAAAATTTGGTGCAAAGAAAAGAACAGCTTCTAACTCGTCCTTCTTTTCAATTAAAGGTCTAAGGCGCCGGATTAAGGCTCCGGTCCGCAAGGGCGCGAGTTCAAATCTCGTCGATATCATTATGTTCTCTTTTTTTTTGCACGCATGATTAAATATTCGCTATTAGTGACTCATTTTGTTGTTGTTGTTACAATCATGACTATCAAGCAATCGTCGTCTTCTGTGTTTTTGTGTCTCTCTCGTCGTCGCTAAAAAATCGTGGCTTTTACTCGTCGTCGTCGCTAAGGAGCTCAATCACCTCTGGATGTTCACGCCTTCTTTCGTCCTCGTTGTCGTCGCCAAATCTGCGCACCTCCTCCTCCTCCTCCTTGGGATGTTCTTTCTCCTCCTCCTCCTTGAGATGTTTTTTCTCCTCCTTTTCCTTCTTTAAACGCTTCAACTGTGCTTCACAACGTTTCGTGAAACCCTCCTTTTCCGCGTCGAGTTGTTGAATTAATCGGAGCATGATTTGTCGATGAACGTCTTGAATGCGTCGCAAATATTCGTTTGATATGCCAGCATCGATTTTCTCTTGCACTTCGGCGTTTTGCGCTCTGAGGAGATATTGTCGCTGATGTTCGTGTTTTAATTCCATCGCGTAAAGGTTCTCGCTTTGAAATTTGGCAACTTCTTTGATACCTTCTTCCGCGCGCCTCGGTCGCGTCGCGGGCAGCTGGTGTTCGGTATGCTTTCCATAATTTTCAACATGCTCAGCTGTTGGAAAAATCTCTTTTTCGTATTTCCATAGCCTCATAGAAAGATCCGATTGATTCACTTCGTCCTTTCGCACTCTTTGCAAATAACTCGCGACGTTATCTCTCGTCACTTCCGGTACGCCCATCTCGTCGCATACGGTCTTGGGGCCGATGCGCTGGTACCTCCTCATTAACTCTTCGAGCGCACTGTATAACTTCTGCTTCAACGCATCCGTCCATTGGAGTTTCTGAGCCGCACCTAGATTTGATGTCCCTCCAAACGATGAATGCACATTTCTTGTGTTTGTTGTTTTTAACCCAGATATTCGAGAGAGCAAAAAGTGCAGTCTCGTTCTCGCGAAGTTTTTGAACTCCTCGAGCTCAATTGGAGTAGTAGTAGTAGTAGTAGTAGTAGTGGGAGGAGGAGGAGGAGGAGGAGGAGGAGGAGGAGGAGGAGGAGGAGGAGAAGATAACTGAGGATGTAACCCTGGGGGATATTGAGATGGAGAATGACGAGAAGCATCGTGAGCCACAGTGGCATCTACGCAAATACTTCCAATCTGTTTTTCGTGAAATATAGCCTCAAGCTGTTCGTTAACTTTCGAGGCGTTCCATGGCGAGTATCCAATCTCCAAACTTCCTCGCAACAAAGCTAAATCGTGCTTGGCCGACCAAGAAGGCGGCGCGTAGAAAGAGTTATCGTCGTACCACGTTTGCGCTGTCAACATCGAAACGTCGTTAATTTCTCCTTCATCTTTCAACGTCGGCAACTCGTCCGGCTTCCAAACGTAATCTTCATCCGTGCGCGTTTTTTCAAACAAATCCGCCAAACATTTCCGCTCGACAAGTCTATTTCGTCGATTTTCGAACGCCTTTTTCACGTCCACGAATAGACCGAGGAAGCGCGGGAAAGCATTCGTAAAGAGAGAGTCGGTATTGGCTAAAGTCTGCGCCGTGACGCTGCAATCTTTGCGCAGAACGTCAAAAATGCCGAGCAACGACCGGGCGACGGCTTTGATCTCTTGCTCTGAGCGTCCAGAGGATGCGACGATGCTCTCTTTTACCTCGCGCGAGAGAATGGCACGTCTTGTATCTTCGTACGGGCAACCGTACGCAAACATGGAGTCGTACACGATTTTAATCTCTCGGTGCGTCCAGCACATTTTGCTCTCTCCCTTCTGCTCTCTCCCTTCTCTTTTTGACGGTTTGTAAGAAACATCTCGTTCCTCTCGTCCTCTCGTTCGTCCACCTTCCAGCAAGCTTAGATTCAAATTATCACCAAAGTTGTTCACGCGGTTTCTTCTTCCGGTTACGATGAGTCGTTCGTCGATAAAACCACGATTCTTCTTCTCTTCTTCCGCCTTTCTCGCGGCGTCTGGGAACATTGTCTTCCAATATTCCGCAGGGTCGATGTCGTCGCCAAACTTCTTTTTGTCTTCCTCTTCTCTCGCGTCAAAAGTGAACGTGGAAAACGCATTTCCTTTCTTCGTACCAATGGCTTTCACATCCGCGCGCTTGCTCAAAATAGTATCGATGTCTTCGTCTTCAAACTTTTTTGATTCTTCGTTGGCGTTTTCTCCCATGCGGGCAAACTGCAAACCTTTCTGTAAGAGCGCGGTGATGCGCTCTGCTTCGTTCTTCTTTTTCTTTGTCTTCTGACCTCCGTTTGCTCTTTGGTTTTCGCCATCGCCGAACTCTTCTTCCACCTCCTCCATATCTTCACCGCCGCCACCGCCAATCAAAACCTCGTCCAAAGCGGCTTTTCGAGACGCCGATTGGAACAGTTCGTACTCGTACGTTCCGTTGGTGACTAAGCGGTAGACTTTCACCTCTTTCGTTTGTCCGATGCGATGACATCTCGCCATAGCTTGTAAATCGTTCTGAGGATTCCAGTCCGAGTCGAAAATAATTGCAGTATCTGCCGCTGTGAGCGTGATTCCAACCCCGCCGGCTCTCGTGGAGAGTAAAAATGCAAACGAATCTTGCTCGGGATCGTTGAATCGGTCGATACCTTCCTGGCGCTGTTGCACCGCGGTGTCGCCATCTAAACGTTCGCAGGGTAAATTCAGCAAGAACAAATAATCTTGTAAAATGTCCAACACGCGTTTAAACTGCGAGAAAATCAAAACTTTGCTCCCGTCCTGTTTCAACTTTGACAACAGTTTCCCGAGAAAGCTCATTTTCCCCGAACTTTGCGTCAGAAGGTCCAGTTGCGACGGCATCTCTTCGCCTTCCTTCAACGCCAACCGGCACCTTTGAATGTAATCGTCCTCCAATCCGTCGCACAAGAACGGGTGGTTGCACACTTTTCGGAGCTCCATGCATATGTTTCTCAACTGCGGCGTGTTTTTACTCTTGGCGCCTTCGAGCAAGACGCCGATGTTCTTCTCAGCAACAGCGGTGTAATAGCCGCGTTGTTGCGCGGACAACTCTACTCTCACCACAATTTCCTCCTTCGCGGGAATCTTCTCTACGTCATCTTTCAATCGTCTCAACATTCTCGGTTTCAACGCCTCTCGTATAGACATAACTTGTTCCGCCGTCGGCTGATGATTTATACTCGCCGCGTTGTCGGGATCCAAGCTGAACTCGTCGACAAACGTCTCCCAGTCTGGATAACTTTTTGGCGCGAGAACGTGCATCAAACCAAACAACTCCTTGACATTATTTTGAATCGGTGTCCCGGTCAACATGAGCATCCAGTCGTATTTCATGGATAAAATCGATCGCGTGGTTGCGTTTTCGATGTTCTTCAAACGATGTCCCTCGTCCACCACGAGCGCTTCAAACGCAAAATCTTTCAAAGCCGTATTGCCGTGTCTTAGAATGTTTTCATAGGAGATTAAAAGAACGTCAAACTTTACCTCTCCCGCTTCTTTGTTTAACCAAAACTCGTACTTTTCGCACTTATCTCTGTCGTCGACGTTGCCGTTGAAGATAATCGCATTCATATCGGTCCATTTCTCAATTTCTCGCCGCCAATGCGTCAACGTTGAAAGCGGCGCGACGACGCAAAACGACGGTCGACACTTGGATTTGTATCTTCTAGCGTATTCTAAGACTGCTATGGTCTGCGCCGTTTTACCTAAACCCATTTCATCGCCTAAAATGACGTTTTTCCTCTTGTAAAAGTTCGTCACCATCCACCGAAAGGAGGATTCTTGGTAGTCCCTCAAACGCATGCCGTTTTTAAACTCCGGGATGGTTGGATCGAGTGATCCGGTCGTATCTTTAAACTTATGTCTCGTCTTCAATAAATGAGCGGTTTCTTTTTGCATCAACGAGCTATCGGGAGGCGATGGATCTGAAAACGCTTCAAAGCGGGCAATTTCTTTCAGATCTTCTTCGCTCGTCAACCTCGACATCGGCTCCCACGTCGCGCTCGAGTAATTCAAACTCTTCCACTTGCAATAATAGTATCTCACCATTTCAAGTTTGGTTGTCGTCTCTTTAGTCTCCTTTTCGTCGTCGTCGTTGTCGTCGTCGTTGTCGTCGTGGATAATTTGAATCTCGCTATCCTCCTCCTTTACCCCCTCGTCGTCCTCCTCATATTCCACCCACTCCTCGCTTTCCTTCGTCGCGAAAATCCTTTCAATTTCCAAATACTCCCTCGGAAACAAATCGTCCGGATCCGGGCTCGGCGCGCCCCCAAACTTTCTTTTGTACGCGGTTACCTTCGAGCTCTCGCCTATACTATTCAAAGTGCTCGCGAGCATCCATTCCAAGTCTCTGTACGAATAATAACTCCACTTGACTAAGTATTCCATCTCGCCGCTTACGCCTACTTTCGAGGATGCTTTTCGACATCCTAACAATTTCTCAATCTTATATGCCTCCTCCATCGCTTCTTCCATATTATCGCTTTTGGTCTTCGTTTTATTACTGCTCTTCTTGTTCTTGTTCTTTTTCTTTATCCGTCCCTCCCTATCGTCGCTATCGTCGCTCCCGTCGTCGTCGTCCTCCTCCTCGCTGCTTTCACCCTCTTCTTCCGAACTCGTTTCAAAAAACGCCTCGTCGTCCGAGCTGATATCTTTAAACACCGCCGGCGCCGCTTTCCTTCTCGCGTACCTCGGAGGACTCCTCTGCGGAACTTCCTTCACGCGTTTTATCGCCGCCATCGGTTCCGAATCCGAAGAATCCTCTTGCCGCTTCTTCCCTTTCTTCCCGCGCACGTCGCTCTTCCCCGTCTTAGTACGCTTTCGGCTTTCTCTCGCCGAGACGCGCGTCGCCGCGTCGTACTCTTCATCGTCGTCGTCCGAATTCTCCTCCTCATCAAACGCCTGTACCGAACCGTTGCCACCACCGCCGTTGCCACCGCGCCCATTCGTATTCGATTTTGCATATTTCAAAAGCATCTTTTGTTTTTCCTCTTTTTCTCGTTTCCTTTTCATTTTTTCCCTCTCTGACGGTCCCAAACGTCCACCTTCTTTCTCCGCCGATTGCAAAAGCATCGTTTCAAACTCCTTCGCGGATTTCTTTTGCAACGTGCGCTTCTTTTTTTTCGTGTTTTGCTTCTTGTTCTCCCGCTTCTCGTCCTCCCGTCCTCTCGTTCGCCACGGGACGTCTTCGTCCTTCTCGTCGTCATCATCGGATGAAGAAGACAAAGCGCTTTCTCCGTAGTGCACCACATTCGTCGCGCGATACCGCGCGCGATAGATCGGCGGAGAAGGCGACGCGGTTGACATCAACTCTCTGAAGCTCTCTCTCGCTCGCTCTCGATGCGCGAATGAAGAACTTCTTCTTTGTCTTCTTCTTCTTCTTCTTGGGTGTTTGATTCGTTTGATGATGTGCGTGTTTTTTTATGAAGATACGACTGGTATTTTGAATTTTCGTGTGCGCGCGTGCTCTGCGCGCGATGTATCATATTACAACGATGATGATGATGATGATGATGATGATAACGACGACGAGATGATGACGATTTTGTTCACATTAAGCTTTCGTTTTCCGATTTTGTCGTCTTCTCTCGTCGCGTTTTGTATCGTTTCTGTTTTCACTGTTCCTTCAACGCGGACAACTCCTCGGCGACTTCCGTAAACTTAGCCTTTACTTTTTCCAAGTGGCCCGCCGGCGAGTTTTCGTTTTCTTTGGCTTCTCTTTCCCATTTGGATCTCAAAGTAGTGATGATGTGGTCGCGTTTGTTTAAGAAGTGCGCGCGTAAGACTTCGTCGAATGGACCATCTTTGGCGGCGGCGTTTTTTTTTTTCCGATTCAAGCGTTTCACGTGGTCTAAGATTGCCCACTCTAAAGTGGCGGTTTTGATCACAGCGCTGTATTCAAAATCTTTCTTATCGCCGACGTCGGTGCCTCGGTCTTTCTCCCAGCCCGGTTCGTTAAAGCACGGGTCGGCGACAAAGATCAGCGACTGGATGCTCACGATAACTTGCAGCATAGTCGAGTGTTGCGCGTTCCACCCTTCGCCTTCGCCGCCGGACCAAGTGCCGAGTAACGATAAGCACACTTTACCGTCGTTGTATAGGTTTGGGTTGAACCGGACGCGACCGCCGCCGGTCGTTTTCAGATTCACCAAAGGCGGTTTGTTCGGAAAGTCTGAGGTGAGCATGACATCGAAAATGAACGCGCCGGAATCGTAAGGCGTATCTTCTGGGCCGGTGATTAAAATAGACCATAATTGCGACTGGTTTTCGTCCACGCGAACAAACGCCGAGGAGGAGACGGAGAGAGGAAGAGACCCGGAAATACCCGCGACGGCGCGCGCTATGGCGTGCGCGTTCGGTTTCGTCGCTTGTTTGAGGAGTTTATCTTTGTAGTGACTCGAATCAGCGAGCACGAAGTTGTCGAACTGAAAGCCCGGGCGACTGAGCGCGTAGCAATAGGTTTTTTCTAGATTTTTCTCGCGCGACTCCGGGGCAGCGATTTTCTTTCGCTTATTGGTTCCTCTCGTCGTCGTCATCGCGTCGTCATCTTTTGTTAAGTCAACGATTGCGTTCGCTTCGATCGCCGTTCCAACTCGAACGATCAACTTTGCCAAATTTTCTAATACAATTTCCTCTTGCTCTCTTTCTTCGTACTTGTCCTCCTCGACTGCATTGGCCGCTTCCGTGACGTGCAAAAAGGTTTTCGCCTGTTGGACGATGTCGCGCATGTTATCGTACTTCTCGAACGCTGCGCGCAAGTTTTCTTTTAACGTCGGTACGAGCGTTTCGTGAAACACGAGAACACACTCGAGCAATGAGGTGTAATACTCGGCGCGATCGGCCATGTTGTTGAAATCGCAAATTTTGAGTTCGCGCGCTAAGAAATACGCCAAGGATGCGTTTTCAAACACGCGAGTCATTCGCGCGCACTCCTCGGCGAGTTCCTCCTCTTCGTCGTCGTCGTCGTCGTCGTCGTCGTCGTCATGATCCATCTGCGGCTGCTGTCCGACGAGGAAGTGCGAAATATCTGCCAATGCCACCTTGGCGAAATCGACCAAATCGCTGCTCATCTTATCCTGCGCCAACTGCGCTTGCTTCGCGTCTTTGAAGTCCCAAAGATTGCGCGACCCTTTTTCGTTCGTGCCAGACGCGGAGCTATACCCAACGCCGCTGTGGAACCCTCTCAATTTCGGTTTGTTTTCCTGGTCTCGCTGTTTTACCAATTTCGCGTTTAACACTTCCATCTCTTTGTCGAGATTTTTTTTCGCGTTGCCGTTCTTCGTCGACGTCATCGGTGCTTGGAGCGTCGTACTAGGGGATAAAGAACTGATTTGAAATCCCCTAATTTCCTCTTCAATCTCTCGTTCTTTCTCGTACAGCTCTTCGAACGCTCGCGGAATCAACGGCGTTTCTCCAGAGCAGGTTAACGCACACAAGGCCAAATCTAATTTACTCGCGCGATCGTCGTACGCACCGTTTAAGTACGCGCGTTTGTTGTTCGCCGGGCAGGTGACGTCAACTCTCGCGAAACGTTCCAGGAACGTTCTCGCGGTGAGCAAAACGTCCGTCATGGACGTCATGGGTTGCCAATTCTTCAGTCGAAACTTAGGATGCAAGCACGATGCCAAGGCGACTATGCCTTCTAATCTTGGACGGACGATAGTCATTTTCGGAGGATAAAACGGGTGCAAATCCTCTTTCAATTCGACTCGGACTTGGACGAATTCGTAGCCGAATTTTTTCTTGACCTTTGCCAAATCGCTCGCGATGTCCCCGTTTTCAAAATTCATGAACTTCACGTCCCAAGTGTACACGGAGTCGTTGTTGGATTCGACAGCGATGTACTTTCTGAACTTATTCGCGCCGTTAAATCTGTGCAAATCTTCGAACTCTTTCAACAACCTTTCAAAGGCGACGTTGCTGGAGAAAATCTGTTCCCTCGCCGCTCGTTTCAAATCCGCGGAGTCTACGAAAGAACCCCCCTTATTTTGTTGTTGTTCGTTCGTGTTATTATTACTACTCATCCCCGCACACGTCATTCCCGTCGTCGTCGTCGTCGTCGCCTCTTTCTCCTGCATCCTCCTCTCTTCGTTCATTTTACACCTCTGCTTCGCTTGCAAAAGCATCCTGGTCAATTTCACCGTTCTTTCCTCGCTCCTCGCGCCGCCGCACACGTCCATCGCGTCGCCACCGCACAAATCGTCCTCCTCTTCGTCCTCGTTCCCTAATCCCCCATCCGCTTCAATCGCCATCCTCTCCGCGTCTCCAACCGTTCGCTCGATGCGCTTCAGCTCTTTCCCTTCAAAAAATGTCGTCCCGACCAATCGCAAGACCTCGAACAAAGTCTTATTCGCGTACCTCCCACTTTCGTCCTCTAACTTTTCGTTCAACTCAGTTTCGTCGATCGCGTTTCCGTCCCCGATGGCCATCACTTCCGACTTCGGGTAGTCTTCCGGAAACATCAAGGTCAACTCCCCGTCTCTTTCCTCCGTTTCCTTCGTCACGCGCAACACGAGCACGTTCGCCGAAGCGTCAAAACGCCTCGTTTCGATTCGATTCTTCCTCTCGTTCTTCTTGGACGCGTGATTGGTGTTTTTGTCGCACGCGGACGAGAAGAAGGCCACGTGCGCGCAAAAGAGCTCGCTTTTTACGTCCCCCTGATCCTCCGCGTCCATGTTTTCTGTCCGTGTCGTTCTTTTTACGAGAGCAGCGCGCTCTCGCGAAAGGCGTTTAAAGCGTGAAAGAAGTGAAGACAACTCTGCGCTCTCGGGAAAAAAGAGAAGATATTTTTCCATTATATTCTCCTTTGTTGTTGTCGTTGGTACCACTCACATCGGATGCGGAAAAGAGGCGACGCACAAAAACGACAAAGACGATTGGTGCTGTTTATGTGTATGCGCGCGTTCTCGTCGAGCGCTTTTGTTTTCGGAGTAAAAACGAGAACGTCGGAGGAGGAGAAGGAAGCGCGTCGCGAATCCGGTCTGCGAAACGAAGTGTTCGCCACGTTTTCCAATTCGTCGTCAGATATACATTCCTCTCGCTGCGTGTTCGAGGGTTTTTCAAACACGCGCACGTTACAGTGGACGTCGAATTACATCCGACGATTACTCCCTCGACACGCGGTGTTTGAGAACAAAACGTGGGAAGGCGCGGAAATATTCACGAACAGTTTGAGTTGGGAACTCATCGACGACTATTCCAACGGGATGATGCTTCTGGAGTTTAATAAAATGCCCAAAGCGCGGAACATCGATCCGTCTTTGAAGCTGTTCCATTTTGGATTATATAAGAACGGGGTGATGAAAAAGTTAGCGGAGTGCGATTACGAGAAAAAAGGTGAGAAGAGCGAATGCATGGGCTTAGAGCGGTCGAAGATATACCCTCGCATTCAGAATTGGTTGAAAGTGTTACACGAGAAGAGCGTACGCGGGACGGAGAGAGAGCGGTTGAACGGAGGGCACGAGTATTGGACGCACACGTGGTTGGAGCACGACATGGAGGATAACAATCGAGTCAGTCCTGTAGGGGCGTCGTTTTTAGAACATTCGGTGCTTGAGTACGGGAGAGATGACGAAGCCGTGGACGCGTTGAAAGATTACTTAGAAGCGACCGGGATGCTCAACGGGTTTAGCGCCGAACACGAGCAAAATGTCAGAGATGTGATTAAATTAGCGACGGATAAAGAGACGACGGGAAAGTATAGCAGGGACACGTGGCGCGCGACGACGTGGCTCGTGGCGGTGATGCATTCGAGGTTAACCGAAGGAGGGACGAGCGAGAAGGTTGGGATACAAGCCATTCGGTTGGCGTTTGTATTTCGACCGAGACTTTTTGACGCAGAAGAAATAGAAGAAAAAGAAATAGAAGAAGAAGAGGAAGAAGAAAGAATAAACGAAGACGAGCTACCGTCCATAATCGAAGACATGTCCGACTTTCTCGCCGCCGCGAATTGGCCGGGCGATTTAGAAGAGTTTGAGAGAATTGGTTTATACGCGCTCGATCGAACGACCATGGGCTACACGTTGCAAGTTGACGTGTTGCCAAAAAAAGTTCGACTGAAAGACGAACAAGGAGGAGAAAAAGATGGAGACGGTAAAAGCAAACACACCGTTCTCGGTCCGAACGTCGGCGTCGAGCTCGCGGCTGCTTCCATCTCTGGAGGCTTCGACGCGCTCGACCAACTCCAATACGCTGTCGAAGACGGCTTAGTCGAACAACCGTTCTGGGACGAACTCCTCGCGAACATCTGCCAACACAACTTGGACGCCAAAGACGAACAGCTCTCGAACAAAGCCGCGATAACATCCACCTCTTACCACGCGTGCACCATCAAACCTCGCAAACCGGCGGATAAGCTCGAACGTTTGCTCCCGAACAACCTGGGCACTCGCAAATCCCCGATCCTCGTCGCGTTGTCCCACATCAAATTCGGTTTGCGAGCGCAAAGCAAACTCTTCGCCAAAGCCTACGTCGGCGCGATGCCAAAAACGTGGTGGTGCCCTGACAGCGCACCGCGACCATTTCGCGAAGAAGAAGAAAACGACGATTACGCACCCATCGAGGACGACGACGATTTTGAGGAAGAAACCAAACGGTTGCGCGAAGAACACGCGAGGCGCGAGTTTCAAACCTTTCGCTACACGCCGTGTAAAACGTAAAAATCGAGAAGTACGAGCGTATACCGGTATCGCGCGCCGGGGTAGCACAGATGATTCGCCATGTTAGCACCTTCACATGTTTTTGTTGTAAAACGACGATCAAACACAGAAGTAGTAGAAGAAGAAGAGATGATACTAATACCGAGGATTTGAGAGAAGAAACATCTCGTCTCGCTCTCCTCATCGTCGTCCGCTCGTCTCGCTTTCCTTTTAAAATCCATCTGAAAACTCCCACTTTCAACACCTTCACACATTAGACCTCTCATTTCTCTCTCTCTCTCTTTCTCTCTTTCTGTGACACTTATTACAGAAGGGAGAGCATCTGAGAACACTTCGAGACGAGAGAGAGGGAGATACGCAACGAAAAGGTTTCACGTGAGCGCGCGTATTTATTCTCGCGTCTGATCTCGTTCTCGGGTTTCTCATCATGTCCAATCATCATCATCTTCACGAGCATCACCATCTTCACCATCGCAACACCGTCACCAACAGAAACACGAACGCGAACAGTAACAACACCAACACCTCTTCTCTCCCGATGATTCATTCCTCCGACACGCTTTCCCCGAACTGGCTGAGGCGTTCGCAAACGTCCATCATCACCCCCGGGGCGCATTTACAAATCGTCTGGAGAGGTTTTTTCTCCCTCGGACGCGAGTTTATGAGTTACCAGAACATGGACGACATGTTCGACGACGAAGGACCGACGACGTCGAACGCGCTGAGAGCGGACTCGGGCGTGTCCGACGGGAACGTCAGCTTGAATAACGACGAAGAGACGAACGATAACGAAACCGGGTCGGACGCGACGCAGATTTTGAGCAACATTTCGGAAAAGCAGACGAGAGGAGGAGAACAACAGACGACGAGCGGCGGGATGACGAGTAAAGAGAGGCAGTTGCGGCTGATGAGGAAACAACGGGAGCGAGAGCGAGAGCGAGAACAGCAGCAGGATGAAACCTCGGTTGAGAATACGAACACGAACAGCGGCGAGAGAGGCGGGGACGTCGTGAATACGAATACGAATGTGAACGCGACGAGAGAAGCCAGTCAGACGAGTAACATGAGTCAAGGGTCGTTTGAAGATCACCATCATAACGAGAATGCGAACAACAACACCGACAACAACAACAACAACAGAGGAGAGAATGATAACGAGAACACGAACAGAGAGCATTCAGAAGATACGGGCGTCGCGCGCGATACTCTTAGCAATAGGGACAGAGATACTAACAACAACGATAACGCGTCGGAACAGCCGCTGTTCAACAACGCGACCGAGTTGATTGCTCGAGCACCACCGATGGGTTTTCGAATCCCAGGGACGGCGGCAGGTGAAGGCGTTGCGAGAGCGCACGCGGCCGGGAACGTTTTACCGGATATTTTGAGGGCGAAACGGGTGACGAGTTTAGACGCCGAGTTTCCAATCGTTTGGGATCCGGTCGCGTTGTTGTGTTTGTATCCCGGTAGCGAAAGGTCGCAAGAGGCGTTTTTGAAGTTGGCACAAAGTTTGAAGGCGAGAAGAGAGGAGATGCCGGAAGATGTAGCGGAGACTGCGAACGTGGGCGGCGCTGGGACGCCGACGGTTTCGAATAATAATAATAATAATAATAGAGATAATAATAACAACAACAACAACGACGTGACAATACCGGCGAGTACGGGTGGACATCACGGACCTGGTAATAGTAGCGCTGGTGGTAGTGGTGGCGGCGGTAGAGGTAGCGGCTTGTTGCGGGAACGAATAACCGCGTCGACGCAATCGTTTAACGATCGAAGTTCGTTGAATTCAAGTCATAGTCACGGCAACGAACGAGAACCTGGAGCAGAGGTTGTTTTATCGCCATTATCGACGAGCGTCCGAGAGCAGCAACAACGAGCGACGGCAGAGGCTGCTGCAGCGACAGCGGCAGAGAATACCACCGGAACGACAACATCTGGGAGTGGAGAGCTGCAGAGAACGCCGTCCATGGTGGAAGTGTCGCAAACCGCAGTAGGCGTAGCAGCGAAAGTAGAGCTACCGGAAGGATATGTCGCGTATATTGTTTCTCAAGAACAACTTCCGGATTTAGCGTACGAAGCCGTCGCAAAAGAACGAGATTTACAACAAGCACCAGCCAACGCCGCGGGTGGATATGATCCCGCGAATGCATCGGAACGACAACAGAGACGAATGCCGGGCATCGCTCGCGAACGGTTTCTCGCGGATGCCGCAAACGCCAACGTGAACACGACGTCGACAAATTATACGAGCAGTAATACGAATTTTCCGACAATCGAACCGCTATGGGTTATTATTCAAACTGTCGAGCCTTTACCGGCGCCTCAACCGATTGCTAATGTGCCAGCACCGGATTCTAGACCGGCGCGGGGTATTTTGAAAGGTTGGACGGCGTCGCAGCTCGGAAATTACTCGAAAGAAACCGGCGCGGTAGCCGGCGGCGCCGGAGGGATCACACAAGGCGCAACTTCTGAAAGAGAACCATTGCACAGGAGGCGAACGTCGCACTCTGGTGCGGGAAGTGGTGGAGGTGGTATGGATACCGCAGGGGCAAATGCGTATTTATCGACGCCGTTAACAGCTGGCGGATTGACCAACGCGGATCCGCGCTCGCAACAACAACATCAGCGACGACCTACGGTTGTCGCGCGGGCGATGAACATGCACAACGTCGTTTCAGATGGTGAATACGACACCGATAACGACTCCAGAGGATTTGGAACTTCCGCCGGAAGTCGCGAAACGGATCCAGATAGTATAGAAAGAGATGAAGGTTCCGAAGGCGCAAACGCCGGCGGTTCAAACATTTCAGGAGCCGTGGTCGATGAAGACGCGAACTTGTTTGAAAACGTGAACGCAAACCGACCTCGAAGTAATATCGCATCAGACGAAGAGACAGAACTAACGTCTGGAATTTCAAATCCATCCGAAGATGCTAAAAACAAGGACGACGTTAGCGCGGTTGACGACAACAACGCCTCGCTCTCTGTTCCCGCAAACGAACAAACGCAACAGACGAGGTCTCATCTGCATAAAATGCGACGCGAACCATCATCACCGCAACATCGAAGTACGCCATCCCCGGCGAGCTCACCGTCTTCTTCGGACGCGACTGAAGACGATATATCGCCGTCGTCGCAAGGAAGAGCACTGGCGGCGTTGGATGCGGCGAATAGAAATTCGTTAGTACCGCAAACTTCTGTCAACGTGACTCGAGTTCGCAAGATTCCAATTCAAGGCGCACGCTTCGCGCTGCTTGGATTCGAGATGGATCATCCGCACGTGAAGTTCTTGTTGCAAAAGATGGAAAGTTTAGGTGCCATTCACGTGCTCTTGACGCACGACAAGAACGACATGGCGGAAAAAGGGCTCGATTTAATCGTCGTCCATCCTCCGTTCTTGCAACTCTTACACGCGAAAGATTTCACGCAGCTGGAAATCCGAGACTTTTTGCGTTCCCGCCGAGCACGTTTTGCGCTCGGTTTGCGTCACTTGGAGTTGTGCATCGAAAACGAACGGTTATTAGACCCGAGAATTGAAACCGCGGAAGTCTTTCCAGAAGGCGTCATTTTAGTCGTCGACGATACGACGTTAGCCATGGGCGAAGAGATTGTTCAAAAGCTTGTGAAACTATTGGGCCAAGCCGCGGCAGCTTCTGCTGCTGCGTCTGCAGCGAAAGGTATTTTGCATTACAACCAAGAAGGGGCTCGAGAAAACCCGCCGTGGCCGTGGGCAATCAAGTTAAACAACGACACGGTTCAGAAATTGATGCTACAGAAAATGCAAGTCGCGCGAACAGATCCGGATAAAGCGTGGAGAATCGAAAATTGTCTTAAGCTCTTACACGCACACAAAGCGACTGGTGATAGAGCTGGTCGAGGCGCGAGAGTTTTAGGCATCGATTGGGAAGAGGCGTCGCATCAACCCATTCAGTTTCCTCCGCAGGAGGTTCGAGACGCAGTGAAGCTCGCTTCTCGCCATGGCGCAACGTGCAGATCGGTATTTTTGGTCTCTGAAAATCCAGAAACCGTCGCCGAAGCCCGAAAATATTCTAAAGTTGTTTTGAGCGGTGATTTGCACGAGTGTTGCGAATGGTTGGAAGAAGTCATCAAAGAAATGTGGGCGGAAACGAAAGCGGCAAGGGACGAAGGACCATGGGTCAACGTGTTGGGATTTCCAACCGTGCAACAAAATCCAGCGGCTACTGCCGTTACGAAGAATGCTGGACTTACGCCAAGTTCTACCGCCGCCGCCGCAACACCAGCGTCGACGGATGTTGCTGCAAAATCAGTCGAAGATGCCGCGGCGAATGTAGCCGCTCGGATAGCGGCGCGTAAAGCGAAAGAGAGCGATACCTCGGCGCGAAAAGAAGCGACGCCTCCCCCGTCGACGAGCGACAACAACGACGGTGTCATGACACGACGCGATTCCGAAGATTCTCTTCAAAACGATGAAAAAACGAAATATTTACTGATGAATAGCCGTCCCTCGAACGATATAATGCCCGATTTTCATACGAAAACCGACGTGACGCTATCGGACGTGAACAAGCATCAAACGCCGTGGATGCCGGGAGCTTTGAAAACGAGTGCCGCGGACCACAAGAAATCGAAAGAGGAGGGTGTGGCACCGCGCGGTGGAGATGCGTCGATGACGCTGGCGACGCCACAACCGCCCGGCGCCACGAATCCATCCGGGCCGAGAACAAATTACAACAACATCTCTGGATCTACCATTTTAACCGGCGCCAACAACAACTCTTCGCAAAAGAAGAAACCGAAAACGGTTCGTTTTCCAACCACCATAGACGACGGCGGCACCATGGGCGCCGGTCGTCGTCGCGGTCGGTACAGTCCACCACCTTCGCCTCCGCGGACAACCTCTGCTATTTCTGGAGACACCGCGGATATGCGCGACACGTTGAGCATGCGCGAAGGCGAAGGCGAAGCGACGGACGTTTCCGAGCTCGATTTAGAAGGCAGCGTGGACGAGAAACCGATTCATCCAGCGGAAAGCGATGGTGGTGGTGGCGTCGTCGGCGAAGGCGAAGAAGGAGGAGGAAAAAGCGACGACAACAATAGCACGCCGTTAACGCTAAAAGCGGAGAAGAAGAAAAGAAAGTCGCCCCCGATGAAGAATACTACCACTACTACTACTACTTCGCCGAGGCGCGAGAGTCCTCGCAACAAAAAGCGACAACGCCATCATCAGAAATAAGATTTCGAAGTGTTCATTATATATTACTACTGCTACCAATCTACCACTATTATTACTACTACTATTACTACTACCACCACTACTACTCGCTGTTGCTGCTGCTCTTCTCGTTGTTGTTGTTCTTGTTGTTGCTGTCGATGGTTTTGCTCTTATTAGTATTCTTCTTTTCTTGCACGGCGTGAAATTCTCTCAACGGTTCGTTGAAAATGAAAAACCCGCTCAGAACGCCGATCGAGGCGCCGGGGAGCCATCCTAAACCGATTCTGCGCGTTTGAATCATAAATCTCGCCGCTGCTGAAAGAAACTACTTCGACGAAAAAGTGTTTCGTTGACCTCTTCTTCTTCTCGACCTTTCCACGGTGTCTGTTCTTTGAGGAGAGCGTCAGAGAGAGAGGAGAGAGAGAGAGACGAGAAAGAACAAAAAACTCTGACCAAAAAAAAAACACGAAAGAATTTTTGAGATTTTCTCTCTCCGTCTGCTCTTTCACTCTTTTTCGCTCTTTTTCTCTCTTTTTCCCTCTTTTCACAGGCGTCCTTTTTGGCACAGCGCGTGCCATATCTGACTTTGTCTCTCGTCATCAGTCCCACGTTGCGCAGAACTTTATCTATACTTTTGATTTTCCTCACAACGAAAAACTTCGCGCGCACTCTCTCTCACTCTCACTCTCACTTTCTCTCACTACGTAACACGCAAAAGATGCAAAGCGTAGTCTCAGCCACGACGACTATAACGCACAGGGCGTCGTCGTCCCAATTTTATCGCGGGGAGAAGACGACGACGACGAAGAGGAATGGATGCTTTTCTTCTTCTTCCTCCAAGATGATGACGAAGCGGAACAAAATGAACAGACGACACCATCAACTCATCAAAGCGGTACAAGGCGAAGTGTTAATCTCCGTGGACAAACCACTCGGCGTGACGTTAAAAGCCAGAGGCGGAGGAATCCCGGGCGTGTGCATCGACAGAGTCGCCGGGAACGGCGCGAAAGCGGGGTTAAAATCCGGCGACGTCGTCATGTATCACTCGTCCTTTTTCGGGGACGAGTTATGGCCGGCAGATCAGCTTGGATTTTCGCGAAGCGCGATAAACGCGTGTCCGAACACGGTGGATTTTATCGTGGTAAGAGGGCCGGGCGAAAAGGAGTTCGACGTGAAAAGGTTACCGAAAAGGCCAGCACCGCCAAAGTTTGGGAGGAAAATGAGCGCGGCGCAAGCGGAACGAGCGTCGCACATTTGCGTCGATTGCGGTTTCGTGTACGCGTTGCCGACGCCGTTCGCGGATCAGGATAAGGAGTACTCGTGCCCACAATGCTCGGCACCGAGAAGCAGGTTCGCGAAGTACGATCCGGAAACAGGGAGAGCTGTTGGTGGCGGGTTGAGCACGCCGTTGGTGACGACGGCGGCGACGGTTGTTGGTTTGGCCGGTATCGCGTATTACGTCGCTCAAATCTTGTAAATTTTCATCACCGTGAGTAAATCTTTATATGTGCGTTTAATTTTTGTCTCTCTCTATATATACTCTATATTTCTATCTCTATGTTACCGTGTCTCTCAAATATCCATGTCGTCTTTGTTGTCGTTGCCTCGCGGTTGTTGTTGTTCCCCGCCTCCGAACATCAACGAAAGCAACGCGTGACCCGTTGGTTGTTGTATTTGTTGTTGTTGTTGATGATGTTGCAGCGACAGTCTGACCAGTTCGTCGTGAGTGTATCCCGTTTTTTGAGGCGCGACACACTCAAAGATGTGGCGCTTCAACTGCGGCATATTCGCGCACGACGAATTACACTTGTGGCATCGCAAGTCGTTCGATTTCACAATCTGTTCAGACCTGGAATCGTCCCATCGTCTGGTCATCGTCATCGCTTTGAAGAAATCGATAAAAAAGTCGTCGTTCGTAAAAGTGTGCCAATGCTGTTTGGTCGTTAACTTTTCCGAAACGAAATCTTGACTGATGACGTGTAGGTGCGCGGGTTCCATGCTCGGTTTCAGGTGGAATCCGACGCGGAATTTCGTTCCCGGTGGAAGATTTTGCAGTTGATCTTTGACGATATCGAGCGCGACGCGTAGCATTCGATCCCAAACGAACTTTCGCTCGTCGTTGTTACTCCCACCAAATTCTCCGCCTTCTTCTTTGAATAAATCAAACGGGTGTTTGAACTTTGGACTTCTCGGCAACACCAACGCGTGAAACTTCGCTTTCGGAAATTTGTCTTTGATTGCGAAACAGGCGTCGTTTATCGTCAAAAGTTCCTCTTTCGAACAAAATCGTTGAGGGTCGCGTTGTTTCTGGAGTAATCCGTCCAGAAAGAATCCCGCGTGTTTTGTTTTCTTGCGTGTGACGTCGTCGTCGTCTTCAAGAAACGCGTTCGCCGGCGGCTTTTGCGTCCCGTCCCATTTCGTCGGGAACGGCGGCAAATCGTGACCAGTCATCGCTTTAATCTTACCGACTGCCACTTCAACTTCCGCCGGCGTTTTGCATCGAAAACACACATCAAAACCTTCTGATTTGTGCGGCGTCGAGCTGTCTCGACTGTATAATTGCTTGTGCACAATCTCCACGCCTTCTCGGCCTTCGACTCTTCCTTCGTGGTTTTTTCTCCGCGCGACTCTCGAAGTCGTCACCGAGACGTCTAAATCCAAATACAAAGAAACGATTTGAATATCAACATCACTTTCACTATTATTATTCACCCGGACGTATTCCACCGCGTCCACAAACTTCTTCCTTTGCTCTGCACTCATATTCGTTCGATCGATAACCACGTGTCGACCGAGCATGAGCCCGTGCTTCGCTTTCATCACGCACTGGTCCGCTTTCTTTCGAAAACACTCTCGCTCGCAGTACGACCCGATCGTGTCTTGATTCACCACGGTCCACTTCTTCTCGGTCAATCCTTTCGCAATAGTCGATTTCCCACTCCCGGACGTGCCCGTGAGCACCAAGCACGTCTGTTTTTGTCCTCGTCGTCCTTCTTTTCTTTGAGACGAACGACTGCTGCTCACTCTCCACGCGCCGATACATTCGCCCAACTTAAACCTGTTCCGAAACACCTTCGCGTCGTCTGGGCAATATCTCGGGGCGAAAAACGAAAACACGATCCCGTTGCGTGTACAGTTGTGGTCCACGACCACCGCCCTTTCTTCACGTTCGATTTTCTGCCAAACGCCTTGGATGTCTTCAAAGTCTTCCTTTTCCCTCTCTTCGAGTGGGGAAAACACCCACACGCAAAGTTTCTCTTTCAACACTTCCACCTCGTACACGTCCTCTCGTATTTCGGTAACTCTGACGTGGTACGGATGGATATATTTCGCGTGGTCTGGAAACCGCGCGCGGTCGTTGAAATCCGCTCGGCCGAACGTTCTCGACCGTCTTCTTTCCTCTCCCTCTTCTTCGAGGAAGAGTTGTTTCAACTCTGGAAGTTTCTCGCTCGATTCCTTCATGTGATTTGTTCTTCCATTACTAAAATCCTCCCTCCTCGGTAGTATTCTCGCAATCGTCAAAGTGAGTAAAAAGAAGAAAAAGAAGCAACCGTTGCTCTCTCATCGCATTAGAAAAGTCTTTCTCTTCTTTCGTGCGTCTCTCTCGTACAGTCTTTATATTCTCTCTGTTCTTTCCGCAACAAAAAACAGCGCGTGTGCATCAATCCATTGTGAGCATCAACCCAAGAAGAAAGAAAAGAAAGAAAAGAGAGAAACTCTCGAAAAAATTTAAAACCCTAAAAAACTAGAGTCTCCCTCAAAAAAATGTGCAAAAAGTAGACAAAAGCTGTCCTAAAAAAAAATAAGCGAGAGAGAGGAGTATAAGAATTATAGAACAGAGAGAGAATCGAGAGACGAGAGAGAAAAGAAAGAGAAGAAGTCTTCTGTTCTCTGTAACGCTCTGACTCTAAGTGTCTCTGTCTGCGTGTCAGTTGTTGGGGTGGTGTTTTTAAAGTTCTTCTCTCTCTCGTCGCGCGTTGTCTCTCGAGGTTCCTTTTCAACAGAGAGCGAATTTAGGGAGAAAGAGAGAGTTTGAAGGTTTTCACATCGATTCAAATCTCTGGCGAGTTTTTACTGTTTACGCTGCGCATCGATTGAAAGAAAACAGAAGAGATGAATGCAAAGGAGGATTTGGTCGAAAAGAACGCGAGCAAATTGAGTCGCGAGGAGCGTTTTAACGACGAGACGGAGGCGTCTGCGTCGAGAAGAAGAAGAAGAACAACACGCTTTTCTGTTGCGAGTCGTGCGAAGAATCGGATCGGACTCGTCGACGGTTTTGGTCGACAAAATTCGTCCTCAGTCTCTTCTTTAACTTCGACCTCTTCTCGGAGAAGAAAGAGAAGCAAAACGCGAGAGAAGAAGAGGAGCGAGATGTTTTTCTTCTGCCTGATCGTGTTGATGACGTTCTTCGGGAAAGAAGTTCAAGGAAAATATCCAGTGGCGAGATTCAAGAACGAAACGGTTGCCATTCTCTCCCCTCTGAAAGACGGGAACACCGAATTATACGTAAACTCGCACGACGTGGAGTTCACCGGCGACGTGTACATAAAAAGTTTAAACGGGAAAGTTTCGGAGAAGATGAAGGCGTTGAAAGAAGGAAACGAACGCGCGTACGAAGGCGTGAAAGTGGTCGCGGAGAGAAACGGGATCGAGAAAGTGTGCGACGTGTACGGGACGCGGTATCAAGCGTACGATTTGGAGACGGAGAAATACGGGGAGTGCACGTGCAAAGAGGCGAGTCACGAGTACGGAAACGACGTGTATTTGGAATATATGGGAGAACTGTGCGATTACGAGGCGTATAAGTTGAAAGACCAGACGTGGCGAATGACGACGGTCAATCCGGGCTACAAAGATAACGTGAATTCACAGTTTGGATCAGGTTTGGCCGTCTCAGATCGAGATAATTGGGAATACGCAGCAATTGGCGCGGCGAAAGCGAAACCGGGCGGGTCGACACAGCCGGCGTACGGGCGGGTTTGGGTGTACGCGAAGACCGGGTGCGACGAAAGTCTTTCCGGGACGAACGAGGACGGGTACGTCGGGTGCCAAACGAAAACGGTGAGTGGACGCACGTGCCAAGCCTGGAGCGTGGATTTGCCTCACGTGAAAAGAGGAGACGTCGATTGGGATTCGGAAGAGACGCTCGACGGCGAGGGCAACCACAATTATTGTAGGAATCCGGACGACTGGTCCGGAGGAATTTGGTGTTATACCACCGATCCCGCGCAACGGTGGGAAGAGTGCAACGCGTTATCCACCTCGGAAGCAGAGAAATTGTTCGTCTATCAATATTTGATGACGGTGGATGGAGATTCGGCAGACGCGGAGTTTGGTAGAAGCGTGGCGGCGTATGGCGGTTACCTCCTCGTCGGCGCGCCTGAGAAACTGATAAACAACGTTAAATCCGGAGTTGTGTACGTTTACAGACTGGAGTCAGTCTCTTCTACCTCTGTCACCTTAGTGGCTACGCTTATTCCACCGGATCCAAAAGCAGGCCAAAGATTTGGTACTTCGCTCTCGTTTGACGGAGATACTTTACTCGTCGGCTCGCCGCAAGGGTATTCTGGATCTACGCAAAGCGGCACGGTGTACGTCTACGCATTCGTTGAACTCAACACGGGATCTGGTTATTGGGTTGAACAAGAAACCACCATAATGAGTCAAAATGCTGTAGCTGGCCAATTATTTGGCACGAGTGTTTCTTTACACGAAGGCATCGCTATAATTGGCAGCGGGAGCGCGTCCGTGAGCGGTAACAACGCCGGCGCCGTCCAATCCTTCGCCATCGAACGCTTCGGTTCCACATCTAGTTCTATTCAGTGGGAATATCGCGGAGAAATCCTCGCGCCGAGTCGATCCACGTTAACCTCCACGAGTTTCGGCGCCGCGTTATCCTTAAACTATTACTCCGCCATCATCTGCGATCCAACCGCGAAGAAAGTCCACATGTTTACCCGAGACGAAAGAGGCGCAACCTGGGTCGAAGAATCCGCCGAAACGAACGGTTTGCAATTGGCAATGGACACCATGAACCACACGTGCGCTTCCGTGACGACCTGGGATCAAGGATACGCCGCCATCGGTTCCCCGTTTTCGTACGAAACTCAAACAGAAGGCATCAAAGACTTGTTCCCGGTGCTCGTGTTCAAAGAGAGCAGTTCGAACGTCCCCGACGACGCCAACGAAGACGCCGCCGTCGAGCTGGATAATACTTATAATAAAAAGAAGAAGAAGTAAAATCTTCAACAACAACACCAAAACGTGATGATTACCGCCACTCGTCGTTTCGTTGGTATTAGTATTATTCTTTTAGACTGATGATTTGAGAGAGATAGAGAGAGAGAGAGTTCAGCGTTGAACTACCTTTGTGTATAAAACAATATTTTAAAGAACAGGAGTCTGCCACATGAAACAAATTACACCATTTCACACAAAAATCTCAATCCTCACAAAAGTAATCTCTTTTGTCGCTGCTCGCGCAACAAAATAAATGTCCACCACCATCTTCTCCCGATTTCTGACTCAAAAAAACGGTCTCGCCAACGTCGTCATGGCGTTTTGCTGCGTCTCGCTCAGCGGGCAGCTCTTACAACGGAGAGGGGAGATGGATGCGTTGAAAGAAGAATTGGAAAAACTGAAGAAAAGGGAAGAGGAAAAGAACAACAGAGAGATGAAGAAGAAGAAGAAGCGGAGGATGGTGGGGTGGTTTTAGAACGCAGCAAAACTAGTATTACTCTCTAAACGCGCGCGATGATGCGCGATATGTAGGTCTTGTGTTATTATTATTTGTGTACGAGTTCAAAAGTCATCGAATCTGTGTGTGTGTGTGTGTGTGTGTATGAAATTCTCTCATCGCTTTTACTCGTATTCATCATATCGTGTACCTGGTAAATAATGTAATTAAATAAACTCTTAATCCTCCTCTCTTTCGTGGTCAAATCTCTGGACCACTTAATTGCGCGTTGTTGTTGTTTATAATTAGTTGTCATCACCGTCGACGTCAAACCCGGTGGCTTTCTTGACGATTCTCGTCGTTTCTTCCTTCAAATCTTCGAGGTCTTCTCGCAACGTGAAATCGCTTTCGTCGTCGGCGTATCTGCCCAAGGCGTAGATCAAAACGCCGGCGCCGGCGAGTTCGAGCAATCTTGGGAGGGATAATGCAAGCACGGAGGCGTGCGCGACTCTGTTGGTGACGTAGGATGCGCCGAGGATAGCCGCGGTCGGGCCGAGTTCTTCAACCGGCGACTCGATGTTTTGGACGGTTTCCGGTAAATCTTCGACGGCTTCTTTGAGCTCGTCGGCGACTTCCTCGACGTCGGTTTCCGCGGCAGCTTTGACGATTTTAGAACCAACTTTCACGGCCGGGGAGACCAAATCGACGACGTCTTTCAAGTTCTTCGGTGAATCCTCTGGAACAGAGGAGAGGAGCTCGTCGAAGTCTTCCGCGAGGTCACCGTCTTTGGCTAACAAGTATTTCGTGGCCAACAACGTGAACGCAATCGTACCGACAGTTTCTAAACCGGCTGGGAGGAGGATGTTCGCGACTGGCAAGTGCGCGAAGGCATCGGCGGCGACGGCTAAGCCGACCGCGCCAACCTTTTGCGTCGGGTTTTCGATGGAGTCAATCTTGTCAAAGACGGCATCGGCGGCGGCTTCGGTATCGCCGGCGGCCAAAGATTCCTTGACTTTCGGGACGAAGAGGACGGTGGCGATGGTGGTGGCCAACGCGATGGTGGTGATGTCGCCGATGACCGCTTTAAACGGTGTCACATTTTTCGCCTTCGCTTCTCGTTGGGCGCGTTTCCTGGCAGCTTCTTGCGCAGATTTCTTTTGCTTTTTCGCTCGTTCGGCTTGCTTCTTCTCTCTCGCTTTCTTTGCGTCTTCCGGAGTAGCAACTTTCGCGCCAGCAGGAGTGGTAGTGGTGGCTTTTTGGGCCGGCGATGTCGTCGTCGCTTTGACGGCGGCGGCCGGTTTGGCGTCGGCTGGCTTTTTCGTGGCAGACTTTTGCTCAAAATTCACGACGACATCGACAGGTTTCTTCGCGACAACCTCCTTGGCGGCCGGAGTGGCTTTCTTTGTCGTCGTCTCCGCGGCTTCGCGTTTCTCTTTCGGCGTTTGCGTCGTCTTGCTCTCGACCGGTTTCGGCGCCTCAACCACCTTCTTGGCCGCCACTACCGGCGCCGGAGCAGCCTTCTTGGACGCGGCGGCTTGTTTGACCTCAGCTTCCTTGGCGGCTTTTTGAGCCGCCGCCGCCTTCTTCGAGGCTTCAAGCTTCATTCTCGCAGCTTCTTGGCGCGCTTTGGTTTCGGCCTCTCTCGCGGCTTGGGCGGATTTCTTAGCTGCCAAAGCGTCCGCTTGCGCTTTCTTCTGCGCTTCGGCTTGGGCTTTTCTCGTCGCTTCTTCTTTAATTCTCTTGGCCGCGGCCGCTTTCGCCTCCGAAGCCTTCTTCGCTTCCGCTTCGGCTTTCTTCGCCGCTAAAGCTTTCGCTTCCGCGGCTTTCTTCGCTTCCGCTTGGACTTTCTTGGCAGCTGGCGCCGGCGCCGGCGCCGGCTTCGGGGCTTCGACCACAGTCTCGACCGCCTTGACCACCGGAGCGGCAACTTCTTGCTTCACCGCTTGGACGACCACCGGAGCGGCAGCTTTCACCGGCGCGGTAGCTTTTTGAGATCGCGCCGCCTTCTTCGCTTCCGCAGCTTTCTTGGCTTGTTCCGCCTTGGCCTTGGCAGCTTCGATTTGTTGCTTCTTGGCCGCGTCCGCCTTCGCCTTGGCGGCTTCTTTCTGCGCCTTGGCTTGTTCCGCCTTGCGAGCCGCGTCCTTCTTGGCCGCTTCTGCCTTTCTTTGCGTTTCCGCTTTCTTCGCCGCTTGCGCTTCGGCTTGGCGTTTCTTGTTCAATTGGTCGATTTCTTGCTGCTTTTGCTTCTTGATTAATGCTTCTTGCTGTTTCTTCGCGCGCGCGAGTTGATCAGCCTTGGCTTTCGCTTCCGCCTGTGCCTTCTTCGCTTCCGCCTCTTTGTTCACCACCGGAGCGGCAACTTGTTGTTGTTCTGGTTTCGCTGCTGATTGTTTTTGCTCGGCTTGCGCCGCAACCACCGGCTTTGGCGCTTCCGCGGCTTTCTTCGCGGCGGCTTGTGCGCGCACTTGCTCGGCTTTCTTGGCCTCTAACGCTCTCGCGTTAGCTTCCTTTTCAGCCTTCGCCTTTGCGGCTTGTTGCGCTTGCGCTCTCGCTTGCTCGGCTTTCTTGGCCTCTAACGCTCTCGCGCTAGCTTCCTTTTCAGCCTTCGCCTTTGCGGCTTGTTGCGCTTGCGCTCTCGCTTGCTCGGCTTTCTTGGCCTCTAACGCTCTCGCACTAGCTTCCTTTTCAGCCTTCGCCTTTGCGGCTTGTTGCGCTTGCGCTCTCGCTTGCTCGGCTTTCTTGGCCTCTAACGCTCTCGCGTTAGCTTCCTTTTCAGCCTTGGCTTGTTGCGCTTGTTGCTGCGCAGCCGCCTGGGCTTGTTGCGCTTTCTTGGCCTCGGCGGCTCTCTTCGCTTCCGCCGCCTTGACGTTCGCGTCGGCAATTTTCTTCGCTTCCGCCTTGGCTTTCGCCGCTTGTTGCGCCGACTCTCTGGCTTTAGTTTCCGCAGCCTTGTCCACCATTTTAATTTGCTTTTGCACGACTTCCTTGTTCTTCGCGACCGTACTTAATCGCTCTCTTTCAGCCTTGGCGGCGGCGGCGGCTTGCTCCTTTTTCTTCGCCTCGGCCGCCTTGATGTTCGCTTCGGCGAGTCTCTTCGCCTCGGCCGCTGCCTTTGCGGTGTCCCTGTTCTTCGCCTCGAGGGCTTTCTTCGCCGCCTCGGATTGCTTCACCGCGTCGGATATGACCTTATCTGACGCGCGGAGCGATTCCGCCTTTCTCGCCGCAGCTTCCCTGGCGTTGGCATCCGCTTTCCTCTTCATCGCCGCATCTCTTTGCTGCTTCTCCGAGTTTTGCGCTCTTTCCACCGCCGCTTCTCTTTGTTTCTTCAAGTCCGCGTTCGCTTTGGCTCTGTATTCGGCGTCTCTCCTCGTCTCTTCCGCTTTAGCCTTGATGGCCGCTTCTCTCTTCGCCGCGTCCGCCTTGGCTTGTTGCGCTTTCTTCTCAACCTCAATTTTAGCGTCCTTATCTTTTTGCAACTGCGACGCCTTGGAAGCTTGCGCCAAAGAACTTTCCGTTCGAGCTTTTTCCGCCGCCTTTCTCTGCGCTTCCGCCGCTCTTCTTTGCGCTTCGGCTTGCGCGTCCTTCGCCTTTGGCGTCGTCGTCGTCGTCTTCGTAACCGCCGCGGTCTTCGCCGGTGTCGTCTTCGACACCACCGCCGTGGACTTCTTCGCCGTCGACACCACCGCAGACTTCGTCTCCGCTTTATACGCTTTCTTCGCCATTTCCATTTGTTTCCTCGCTTTCGCTTTTTCCAACTGCGCTTTCTTCGCCGCGAAGTCCGAGGCTTTCTCAGCTGAAGAAGCTGGGACCGTCATCGTACCCGCGCCGGCGGAAACTTGCGCGATTTCCGAAGACGTGGTCGTGCTCATCTGTGTTTTGGGAATAAAAAGAACGGCAAAAGGCAGTTACGCGTCAGTTTAGAGATTACGGATGAAATCCATCATCATATCCAAAACGGAGAGAAAACGATCCGATCTTTTTTCTCGACGAGTAGAAGAAAGAGAAATATACACATTGTTGCGAGAAAGAAAATCGCACCAACTGAACTTGCGAAGACGACAGCGCGGCGGCTTGCCCCGCCGAGCTCAGGGAAATCGCGGCTGCCACGACCGCGGAGACCGCTTTCCCGGCCAAAGATGATGATGATTGCTCCTCCGTACTAGTCTCGAAATCATCATCTTTCGAGAAAAATCCCGCTCTTGCGCAACTCTTCTTTTTGCTCGAACTTTTTCGTCGGCTGCCCGCGACAAACTGCGCGGAATTAAATGCGCCTCCTTTGCTCGACAGTAACATCGCCGCATTCGGCCCCGCCATTATTACGTGATGCGTGTGTGTATATCTGCAAAGCGTGTGCTGCTCGAATGAAGGTTTTTAGGACGAGAGAATGTGTTGCACTGACACCCGAAAGAGAAGAGAAGAAATTTGAGAGAATCTGGTGGTCGTTCCTTAAACCCTCGTTTATTTGAAGGGCTTTCTTTCTTTTTTTGATTGTTTAGGGTTTTAGAGAAAATATCCTTGTCTCTGCCACGTGTGTAATCGTTTCAAAGAAAGACGCCAATTTCTCTGCCTCTGGAAGAGGGATTTATACACGTGACGTTATAAGAAGTGAGAGATATAAACATGACAGAGAGAGAAGGAAAAGAGGACGATCGGGGAGGCACCGCGGAGGTACGGTTCATTCTTTTTATTTTTACTGTTAGTTTATTAGTGGTAGTATTGCGCGGGTTTTAACGCTTCTGTTTGTTGTTTCCCAAATTACTCGCACTTGAATATAATTGTTTGCCCTCGTGTCGTTGTTTTCTATAATAAAGTTTGAACGACTCACGCGTTTAAACACTTCTCCGTAGATATACCTCCCAAACTACAGAATAGGAAAAACGCTCGGGATAGGCTCGTTCGGGAAAGTGAAAGTCGCCGAGCACGTTCTGACCGGGCACAAAGTGGCCATTAAAATCTTAAACCGGAAAAAAATCAAAGCCATTCACATGGAAGAAAAAGTACGAAGAGAGATTAAAATATTACGCTTATTCATGCACCCACACATTATCCGGTTGTACGAAGTTTTAGAAACCCCGCACGATATATTTGTCGTCATGGAATACGTGAAGAGCGGGGAGTTGTTCGATTACATCGTGGAGAAAGGGAGGTTAGGGGAGAACGAAGCGCGGCATTTTTTTCAGCAAATCGTGAGCGGCGTGGAGTATTGTCACAGGAACATGGTCGTACACAGAGATTTGAAACCGGAAAATTTACTGCTGGACTCGAAGAATAACGTGAAGATTGCGGATTTTGGTTTATCGAACGTGATGAGGGATGGGCATTTTTTAAAGACGTCGTGCGGGTCGCCCAACTACGCCGCGCCGGAAGTTATTTCCGGGAAGTTGTATTCCGGGCCAGAGGTGGACGTGTGGTCGTGCGGGGTCATCATGTACGCGCTGTTGTGTGGGTCGTTGCCGTTTGATGACGAATCGATTCCAAATTTGTTTAAGAAAATAAAGGGGGGGATATATACGTTGCCGAGTTACGTCAGTCCCGGAGCGAGAGACTTAATCAGTCGGATGTTATTAGTCGACCCGTTGAAACGAATTACGATGGCAGAAATTAGGAACCATCCGTGGTGCACGTGTCATTTGCCGAGATACTTAGCGGTTCCGCCACCGGATACGTTGTCACAGGCGACGAATATCGATATCGAGACGTTGGAAGCGACGGTGGCGTTGGGTTTTACCAGAGAGCAAGTGAAGGACGCGTTGAGACATCAAGTGAGAAATAAAGCGAGCGTGACGTACTTTTTGTTGTTGGATAACAGACGTAACTTGTACGGAGGCTATCTAGGCGCAGAGTTTGAGCAAGGAGAGTTGGAAACAGATTCGAGAAACGCGCAAATGTTGGGACAACAAGGCGGGATCGGGTCGCCGACGGGCGCGAGCCCGATGGGCCATCGAAGACCGTCGCAAATTCAATCGAATCTGATGCAACAGAGGTTAGTCACGAGCGAACAGCGGTGGATGTTGGGTAAAAGTACGACGATGGCAGCTCCGGACGTGATGAATGAAATCTTTAGAGTTTTAACGGCGTTGAAAGTGAACTGGAAGAAAATTGGACCGTATAATTTAAAGTGTCGGTTCTTGTTGAAAACGCTCGAGAAATACACGACGACGAATAATAACGGGAGAACCTCGGAAGTCGGATCTCCGCAACGAATGGGAGATAACGACGATTTAGACACCGCGATGGAAGAAGACGCCACGACGACGAATACTAATAACACGAATACTAATAACGAACCGACGACGCCGGACCAGAGCGATTTTAACGAAGGCCAAGACGTCGGACCGGTGATGAAGTTTGAGTTGCAAGTGTATAAAATGAAGGACGATCGGTTTATGATTGATTTCCAACGAATAGAAGGTGGAGTGGTGACTTCTTTAGACGTGGTTTCGTTACTCATGAAGCGATTACAACTCCGATGATAATAATAAAGCGATAATAATACATACTGAGCTCATGAGTTGGTGTTTAATAAAAAAGCAAGCGCGGTGTTGAAAACACATTTTGTATTCTACCTTTTCTTTCGAATCTTCAATCTTTTATCCTACGTACTAGTTTTGAGCTATCTTCTCTTCCCTCTTTCGACGATCACGATATTTCCATCGCGTCGCCACCACCGTTCTCTTCTCCTTTGTCTTCGTCTTCGTCGTCGTCAACGCTCACGGCGCTTTGCGCGGCGTCGAAATAATTCGCGCAATTGAAATCAGTCTCTAAATATTTCCTCGCCGCCGCTTCCGTGCGTAGCGTTTCAAAGTGGAATCGTTTCATCTTTCGTTGCGGCCCGCTTCCTTTCCAAACCAACGTGCACTTGTTATTTTCCGCGCGCTCGATTTCCTCGTCCGTGTAATCTTCGTTCGTTAACTTCCAATCCATCCTTCGCATCATCAACTTTTCGTATCTTTTCAAACCTTTATTAGTGCCTTCGACGATGACAATAGTAAACGTATCCGTGATTATACCAATACCAGTCAAGTGATTCTCTTGCGCGTTCACGTCTATTTTGAACTTGTTCTTCACGTTTCGCATGTTTTCAACCCTATACACGTGCGTGAACACCTCGCCGGCTTCGCTCGTGTTGTCTCTCAACAACTTTCGAATTTTCTTTTCTCTTCGTTCGGCGGGGGTTAACTTTCTCGACAAGTTTCGATCGTCGTGTGCTTGCTGTCTCTCTTCCATCTCCTCTTTCACTTTCTTTTCAATCACGGTTGGATCTAAAACCGCTTCTTCGGTCAACACGCGCATCATGTTTGAAATTTTCACCTTTGGCTTTGGCGGTTCCAACACGCCTTGGCGAATCATCTCCTGTTTTTCCTGTTCTCTGGCGACGCGGCGTTGGTGACGTAATTTCTTTTGCTCCTTCTTGGTGAGTTTTACTGCGGGTGGTGGCGGTGGCGGCGCTTCCATCGGCGGGTCGTCCAAGTACGGGTGCTCGACGTATTTTGTAATCTTGTCCGTGTTCAAAACGCGCTCCCAGAGCGCGCCGACTTTATCGTCCTCCAAGACTCTATCGTCCAAAGGAACGTCCGCGTACGTTTTCCCGTCTTTCAAAAACGGTTTATCCCACCACTCGACGCCGTCTACCGGTCGATCGTGCACGATAGCTTCTCCGATATCTATTTTGACTTCACCCGCGACTGCGGCTTCCAACGCTTCCGTGTGCGCCGCGCGTTTCTTTTCCCGGTCTTCTCGAGCGCGGATTTTTATCGCATCGACTTCGCCGAATTTATTCACGAGACGCGCGAAATCAGCTTGCTTTTCGTACGTGCCTTTAGCCACAAACTGTTCATTTAGAAAGATAGAGAAAGAAGAGAGCGTTAGTGTAAAATTCATCATCATAAGAGAGAAGAAGAAATCCTTTTTCTCCTCTCTACTAGGATTTGAAGCAAACAAAAAAATGAAATATGCACCAGATGGTAAGGAGGCCGCGCTCACTGATTCTAAGCGCGTTTCCAGCTGTCCGGCCCGCTGTTCGATGTCGCAAGGGTAAAAATTCTTTCAAGTCACGGAAATAATAAGACTGACAAGAGAGTGTGCCTTGCATGTGCGAAAAACAGAAGAACCGAATCTTTCGCAAAGAGAAAAACAAACGAGAGAGAGAGAGAGAGAGAGAAAAAAAAAAATCTACGACGACTACTACTACTCTAAATAAGACTCACCTGAAGCGACGGTTTCTTCCTGTTGTGTTTCTGCTTCACCGCAATTTCGGGATCGATCATGTCCTCTTTCGTCCCCTCGTCTTTTTTCCCGCCGGCGGCTGTATCGCCTCGTCGTCGCATCTCTTCCATCGCCACTTCGCGTTCGGCTTGTAAAAACGCCTCTCTCATTTTTTGCTTTTCGTTGACTTTCGTCGTCGCCGAGTAATCTTTCGCTCGAACGATGACTTTCCCATTTTCGTCCACCTCTTGACCTTTCTCGTTGACGCGTAAAACCGGCGCCGGACCGGTCTTTTCAAACTTAGCTTCCGTGCTGGTTTTCGTATTCTTTTTCTGTTGATGTTGCAACGCCGCCAATCGGGCGGCGGTTTCTCGCGCTTTTTCGATGGCGCGTTGCGCCGATATCGGTGGTTGCGCTGTCGCTGCTACTGGTGGCGGTGGTGGCGGTGGTGGTAATGACGGTGGCGGCGGCAGCAGCGACGCTCCTCCCGCTGCTTCCATCTTTTTCATCTTCATCTTCTCCGCCAACGCTTTTTGCTTCTTCATCAACTCCTTCGCTTTCTGCATTTTTCCTCTCATCGCGGCGGCGGCGGCGGCGGCGCTACTGTTCTTCTTCGCTTCCCCTTCTTCTTTAATCGTTTCTAACTTTATTACTTCTTCTTTTTCTTCTTTACCTGCCCCCTGTTTCTTCTCGACGGCGTCATCCTGCATTGGCGGTGGTGGCGACGGCTCCGCGCTTTTCGATCTCGATCGACCTCTTCGCAACGGCGGCGGAGGTGGTTGTTTCCGCGTCGTACTCATTTCGTTGTTGTTGTTGTTGTTGTTGTTCGATTTCTTCTTTTCATTTTCATTTTCATCGTCTTTATCATCGTCTTCTTTCGTTCTTCTTCTTCTCGTCGTCGTCGTCGTTGTTGTTGTTGTTGTTGCTCCAGCGGCGACATTTTCATCATCATCGTCATCTTCTCCTCCCTCTTTGTCTTCGTCTTCTTTCCGCGGTCGTTTCCTACTCTTCGTCGTCCCACTCCTTTTCTCTTCTTCTTGAACTTCTTCTTCTCTCAAAGCCTTCTCCAATCTGTTCAACAGGACGTCTTTCACCCCGTCGGTGGGTAACTCGCGTTTCGATAATTCCGATTTCAATTCCGCCACGGTTCGTTTTTTCGCGTTGTTCCCATTATTACCGTCGTCTTCTTTGCCACCATCAAAACCACGCTTCGTTTTCCTCGTCGTCGTCCTCGTCGTCATTCGCCTCTTTTTTTCCTTCTCTCTCTGAAAACTCTCTTTAGTCTCGCTCTCTCTCTTCCGTTATGTTATTATACACTACTACTACTACTGCGAAAAAGAGAGGGATGAATCGAGATATATACAATGAAGAAAAAATGTTTTGTCGCACTCTCTCGTGTTTTCTTCGTCTTCTTTGTCTTCTTCTTCTTCTTCTTCTTCTTTTTCAGTCGCTTTGTCAGTTCTTCTCTTTTGTTGTGCTCTTCTTTTGTTTTTTTTCTCGTTTTTTGAAAAAAAATGTTTTTAGGGTTTCTGTCTCGAGGTAAAACTTTTTTTGTTCTTCTTCTTCAATTCTTCTTCTTCTTCTTCAATTCTTCAAAGTTCCTTTTTACTGCGTTTTGTTTTTGTTCAGATTAAAAACGGTATACACTACATAGTATCACAGAGAGCAGCGGTATGGCGAGATCATCGTTGACGTCTCGTTCTTCTTCTTCTTCTTCTTCTTCGCGAGGAGGAGGAGGAGGAGGACGAAAAGGCGTCTTTTTCTTCCTCTGTTGTTTTCACATCATCGGTGTCATCGTTTCAATCATCCTCTGTTGCGCATCGGTCGATGTGATTTTGGTTTCCGCTTCTTCTTCGCACGAAGAAGGTTTTGGAGAGGAAGACGAACGTTCCGTGAAATCGTTTAAAGTCTCGCGAAATATAGGGGGGTCTTTGTCTTCTTCGAAGGAGAAGGAGGAGACGAAAGTTTCGTCCTCTTCCTCCTCCAACGCGTTGCTCGATCTCGCGTCGAACAAAAAACACGGCGAAGAGATACAGTTTCCTCTTTGGCACTCGCTCGAGTACTTCATTAATAACGAGAATACGAAAGAAGAAGGTAAAGAAGAAGAGTTCGTGAAAGTAGGGACGATTTCCGGGACGATCGTTTTGGAGAACAACAACAACAACGTGAATAACAACGAGAAGAGTAGTAAAGCGTCTGGTACAAAATTTCGTTTGAAAGATGTGAAAGTCCATAGGGACGAGATGACCACGCGAGAGAAGGACCAATTGCAAAGTTTAGCGAAGAAAGGGCGTAAGTATCGGGTGCGAGTTCCAGCGAACGTCTTGGCACCGAGCGGAAACGCGTTCGCGCAAGCCGCGAGTCCGGCGCGATGTGTCGTGACGAGTCGATTGAGAGAGAGTTTCACGTTGCACATGGACGATAGCGGGAACGTTTTAGCCGTGGATTACGACGCGGAGTGTCCGGCGGAAGTGCATTTATTAGGAGGCGGAGAAGAGGGTAGTTTAGGAGGAGAGGCGGACGGCGGAGGTGACGACGGGGACGCGTCGTTATTCATCGCGGACGGGGCACAGTTTCGATCGGTCGCCACGGCGAGATTTCCGAAACGCGCGCCGCAGTTGAACGCGGACGCGGCGATGACGGACGTCAGAGGGCACGGAGGCCCGATGGACACGAAGAAAGCGCAAGAAATTAAAAACAGAAGAGCGCGAGGGGAGAAGGTGGATGCGACGACGAAAGAGTTGACGTGGTTTCAAAGAAACTACATGTGGGTAGTGCCGGTCGCTTATTTTATGTTTATGAATATGGTGCAAGAGCAAGGAGGAGGAGGAGGAGGAGGAGCTCCTGCTACGCCGGCGACACAAAAGAAATCGAATTAAAGGGTTTTGAATACTAATAACACGTAAAACACGTAAAATAATTGCATTATTACAGCGCGGCTTTCATTCATCGTCTTCATCTTCATCAAAAGCTCCTCGCTTCGGCGGAATCGAGCTCTTCGCTCAACCGCCCGAGCTTCGCGTTCAATCGCACATCCGCCTCGTCGCTAAACTCGTCGATCGCCTTATTCAACTCCGCAATCTTTTGGTTCAAACTCTTCCTCGTTTCCTCCAACTCTTTTTCCGCTCGTTTCTCTAATTTTATCGAGGAGGAGGAAGTCGCGTTCGTCTCCTTTTCCTCTGTCCAATTTTCCTCCTCCTCTTCCTCTTCTTCCTCCAACAAATCGTCCAAGACTTTTTTCCCTTTCAAGATGTGTTTGCTTAACTGCGGCGCGAACAAAAACCCGAGCGCGCCGAATATCGCGCCGCCGATTAACAACCCACCGACAAACCCGCCTTTTGCTTTCCCTCCTGATTTCGGGACGATGTCGTAATCTTCGATGTTTGCTTTTATCTGTGTCGTCGTTTTTTTTTTCTCGGACCGTTGAAAATGTCGTCGGTTTTGCGCAAAATTTCGACCGTCGTTAAAAGAAGAAGACAAAGAAGAAGAATTTGAACTGCACGAGGAAAACGATCCGCTCAGAGATCGTTCTCTTCTTCTTTCTCTTCTCGTCCAGGAGGAAGAAGAAGAAGAAAAGGGAAAGGTTTTCGTCGTCGTAAACGCAAAAGGAGTCATCGAGTGTTTGATAGATTTTTTGTGCAAACTTTTCCCCTCTTCTTTTTTGTGAGCAAAAAAAATGCCAAAACCCTAAACCGAGCATGGACCTGAGAATGAGATAAGAAGGAGAGACACTTTGGAAATGCATTACATCACGACACGCTTAAGAAGAAGAAGACAAAGACAGAGAAGACAAAGAAGATGATGATGCGATCGTTATCGTCATCCTCGTCCAATGGTAATGCTGCCACGTCATCGTGTGCGAGAAGAAGTTACGATGATCATCATCATCGAATACATACGAAGAAGAACAGAAAAGATGCGTCGACGATGAGGAAAAAAAGGGGAGAGATGTTTATGTTGGTGAGAAACAACGCGGTGTCTCAACCTCCCCCGAATAAGAAAAAAGCGGCTTCGAAAGAGAATAATAAAAGCGATGGAAACGAGGTTCTCGTCGTTCCTCCGGAACGAATACGAAACTTTTCCATAATCGCGCACATCGACCACGGGAAATCCACCATCGCGGACCGGCTGTTGGAAATGACCGATACGGTCGCGCAGAGAGACATGCAAGCGCAACTGCTGGATGGGATGGATTTGGAGAGGGAGAGAGGGATTACGATCAAGTTGAACTCTGCGAGAATGAATTTTACGAGCAAGAAAGACGGGGAGACGTACGTGTTGAATCTGATTGATACGCCGGGACACGTGGATTTTTCGTACGAAGTGTCCAGGTCGTTGGCGGCGTGCGAAGGGGCGTTGTTGGTCGTCGATGCCAGTCAAGGCGTGGAAGCGCAGACGTTAGCGAACGTGTATTTGGCGCTGGAGAACGATTTAGAAATCGTGCCGGTTTTGAATAAGATTGATTTGCCGGCGGCAGATTGTGATCGAGTGGCGCAAGAAATCGAGGACGTTTTGGGATTGGACGCGTCCGAGGCGGTGCAATGTTCGGCGAAAGCCGGGATTGGAATGGAGGATATTTTAGAAGACATCGTGCGATTGGTTCCACCGCCGAGAGTGCCGGTGGAAGGTGAACCGTTGCGAGCGTTGATTTTCGATTCGTATTTCGATACGTACAGAGGCGTCGTCGTCGTCTTTCGAGTCTTTGACGGCGAAGTCAACGTCGGGGATAAGATTGAGTTGATGAATACCGGGGCGAAATACGACGTGTTAGAACTTGGCGTGATGAAGCCGAACAAAATCCCGGTGAAAACGTTGCGTCCAGGGGATGTCGGGTATTGCGTGGCTGGGATTAAGGCCGTCAAAGACGCGAGAGTAGGGGATACGATTACGCTAGTGAAACATCGAGCGGAGAAAGCGTTGGCGGGATACAGCGAAGCTATTCCGATGGTGTATTGCGGTTTATTCCCTACCGATACCGATCGATACAACGATTTGAGAGATGCGCTGGAAAAGTTGCAACTGAACGACGCGTCTTTAAATTACGAACCGGAGGTATCTTCGGCGATGGGATTCGGTTTTCGATGCGGCTTTTTAGGGTTACTTCACATGGAAGTCGTCCAAGAACGATTAGAGAGAGAATACGATCTCGATTTGATCACCACGGCACCATCGGTTGTTTATCACGTCTACATGGCCAACGGTGACATGCTCACTGTGGCGAACCCGGCGGAGCTCCCCGACGCCGCCGGTCGAGACCGCATCGAAGAACCCTTCGTTAAACTCGAGTTATTCACGCCGAAAGAATACGTTGGATCGTTGATGGAACTCGCCACCCAACGCAGAGGCGAATACATCGACATGACGTTTCTCTCCCAAGATCGAACGTGTTTGAGATACGACATCCCTTTGGGCGAAGTCGTGACGGACTTCTTCGACCAACTCAAAAGCCGATCGAAAGGCTACGCGAGCATGGAATACAAATTCAACGAATACCGCGAAAACGATTTAGTTCGCTTAGACGTCATGATCAACGGCGAAGTCGCTGAACCGTTAGCTACCATCACCCACCGCTCCAAAGCCTACGGCATCGGACGAGGGTTAGTCGATAAACTCAAAGAACTCATTCCGCGACAACAGTTCAAAATCCCAATCCAAGCCGCGATCGGGAACAAAGTCATCGCGAGCACGCAACTCAGCGCCATGAGAAAAGACGTCTTGGCGAAATGCTACGGCGGGGACATCTCGAGAAAGAAAAAACTGCTCAAAAAGCAAGCCGCGGGTAAAAAAAGAATGAAAGCGTTCGGGAAGGTTGAGATTTCCCAAGAGGCGTTCATGGCGGTGTTGCAAATCGACCAGAGCAACCTCGAACAATAAGGCCTCGAATACGTAAAAAAATTTCGCTCGCAAAGCTCATTGTATAATCAATCGATCAATACATAAGGTATACGTATTAGCTCTGTGTATTTCGTTTTGCCTTCCTCCTTGAACTCGACTGAAATCGGCATCGGCCCGCGTTCTCGTACGTATATTCACCCCAATAGGACATCCGTTGTCGCACAAACTTTTTTTTTCTTTTTTTGCGGGCTCGCCTTTCCCTCACTTTTTCACTGCATTGCGCAGACACACACACGAGAGTTAATTAAATTGCATTCTTTGCGCGATTTTAGTAGTACAAACTCTTTCTCTCTCTCTCTCTCTCTCTCTTTCTTTCTTTCCTCAGCGATTGCACCGCCTTCTTAAACGCGCGCAGTTAAGGAGAAGAAGAGCGACGAGAGTAATAAAGGAGTAAAAAGAGAACACTACACTTCTTTTAAGTTGTTCTCTGTTGGGAAAAACGGGCCTCGAAGTCGTACAAAAATCCGATCGAACATCGAATTCATCTCCGTCGATCGAGAGAGTTTAGACGGCTACAAAGAAGAGTTCTCCTCTAAAACCTGCGACGAGTGAAATGGAAGAAGAAGGAGGAGGAGCAGGAGGAGAAGAACAAGATCCGTTTAATCCGAACAACGAGCAGTACAACGCCGCCACGATTCAGACGACGATTCAGACGGGAGGAGGGCAACGCGAGAATTATTCGGACGAGGACGATCGCGCGCCAAGACGTGGTGGAGGAGGATCAGGAGGTGGGAATAATCAGCCTCGGGAACAACAACAACAACAACAACAACAACGCTCGATGATGGACCAACAAGTACCGCAACCGGATCAGCAACATCCACCGAGATCAAATAATAATAATAATAATAACAATAACAATAACAGGTATAATCAGCCGCCCAACAGAGGAGGAGGAGATTATCAAAGGCCGCAGCACGTGGCGCAGCAGTTCGCGAATAATACCGGCTACGGCGGCCGAGGCGGCGGACGGGGCGGCGGATACCAAGACAGAGGGAGAGGAGGAAGAGGTGATACGAGATACGACTCGAGGTACGACGATAGATATCCGCCCGCGCAACAACACGGGCGAGGAGGGTACGGCGGCGGAGAGAGATACGATCAAAATTCGGCGCCGTATAGAGGAGGATACGACAGAGGAGGAGGAGGAGGAAGAGGGTACGACCGACAGCAACAACAGACCCCGTACGACGCGAGGTACGATGAAAGGTACGATTCCAGGTACCCGCCGTTAGATGCAGGCAGAGGAGGAGGAAGAGGTGCTGGATATGATCGAGGAAGAGGCGGAGGCGGATACCGCGACCGAGAACCAGCTCCATTGAACGCCACTGCGGCGCCGTATCGTTACGACGAGCGCTACGCGGACCCTGCTTTAGAGCCCGTGCAACCGCCGTTACCAGCCGGCGGTAATCCACCGGCTCAAAGAGGGTACGAAGATAGACGGGCGCCACCGCCAGTGAAACCGCGAGACGATGATTACGACGTCTACGTTATGAACACCGAAGGCAACAACGGTTTAGTCGTCGGCCCAAGAGGCGCCAACGTGAAGAAGTTGGAGCAGATGTCCGGTTGTAAAATTAACTGCAATCAAGATAAGACGACGGTGGAAATTTCTGGCCCGCCCCGTGGAATTCAAATGGCCATCGAAGCTATTAATGATTTAATCGATTCAAGGCTTATGGACGCCACCGCGCAAGTTGGAGGAGGAGGAGGAAGAGGACCGCCGCCACACCAACGCGATAGCAGAGATTTGAGACACACGATTGGCGGCGGCGGCGGCGGCGGAAGCGGTATGAAACGAGGTCGATACGAGGACGATTATCCACCATTGGACGATCATGGAGTTGGTGGACCAAACTCCGCCGGAAAACGTCAACGAGGGAACGACGGCGGTATCGTACATCTCACTTTAATAGACAAACTCAGAGAGGAGGCGGCGAGAAGAAACATTCAACCGTACGAGCCAATCCAAACTGATTTCATCTTGCAACTTCCTCAAGATGAGCGAGGCAAAGTCAGTTACGAGGAAGTCGTCGGCGAGAACTTGGGATTGATCATCGGCAAAAAATTCAACACGCACAAAGAGTTGCAACGAATCATGGACTGTTCGTTCAAGGTTTGGGACGAGAAGAAAGCGGTGTCTTACCACGGGTTCCCGGAGAAGGTTATCGAGGCTGTTTTGTTGGTGCAGGAGTTGTGTTATTTAGGCCAAGCGACAAAAAGAGCGCGAGAAGAGGAAGGCGATCCGCTACCGGTAAAACAACACAATCAACATCAACATCATCAGCAGCAACAGCAGCAACAACAACCACAACAACAATCGCGACAACAGAACAATAAAGAGGAAACCTACGAACCGAAGGAGGGCGAAATCATCGAAACGATAGAAGCGCCGGGGAAAATCGGTTTAGTCTTGGGCCGTAAAGGTGTCAACATCACGCGCATTCGAAGAGTGTCCAATTGCAACGTCCATGCGGACAACGAGACGCAATCCATTCGTATCGTTGGCATCCCAGAAAACGTACAAAAATGCGTGGCGTTGATCAACGAAACCATCGAGAGAGGCAATAAGAACAGAGCGGAGAAACAACAACAACAACAACAACAACAACAGCAACAAGGAGAAGCGCCAGCCGCCGCCGCGACTGAAGACGAGCCCATAGCCGACGCGGATGCCGACGCCCAGCAACAAGAGGAAGGCGGAGCGATGGTCCCAGCAGCCGAAGAGCAACACCAACCGGCTGAATTAGCCGACGCGGATGCTGAAAACGCCGCCCCAGCTCCGGCGCCGACGACGACGGAGACCGAACAACAACAACAAGAAACTGACGCCGACTTCTCCAAAATGACCGTCGCGCAACTCAAAGTTGAACTCGAGAAGAGGAACCTCCCGCAAGATGGTCTCAAAGCGGCGCTCATTCAGAGGCTCGAAGAAGCTGCTTGATTTATTATACCATCATCGTCATAAACACATCATTTTTAATTGAAAACAAACTCTCGTTTATATTATGAATACAGAACATCTCGCACACCTTCCAAAAGCAATTTTCAGAAAAAAAAGCGCGCAGTACGCTCTCACGCTTCTCACTCCTTCTTCACCACGATGCGCGCTACTGTGCCTGTTTTAGCTGCGCTCTCGTCGTAAATACATTAAGAGAGGTACTGCGAGGAATACCATGCCTCCCATTTATTACTGTTGCGTGTGGTACTTCATCTTCTGCGGCGGACTCGCGGTCCTTATTCCGTACCTCCCGGTGATATTCCGTCACTGGAATTTATCGCCGTCGCAAATCGGCATCATCGCGGCGTGTAAACCTTTAATAGGATTCGGCATTCAACCAATGTGGGGGCAGATTGCGGATTACACGAAACTGCACAGCAAAATACACGCGTTTTGCTTATTCGCGTCCGCGTGTGGGTACGGAAGTCTTTATTTTCAAAAGAGAGAGTTTGGGAGAATATTAGCGCACGTTTTGGTGACGGAAACGTTCGGCTCGGGTGGCTTTTTCTTGGCGGATAACGCGACGAATTTTATGGTATCGAAACATCTCGAGCGGAATCCGAGAAGTTCGATATCGTACGGGAAGGTGAGGTTGTGGGGTGCCGTAGGATGGGGGTACGTTTTCGCGCCGCTGATGGGATTGGTGTTGACGGAGGAGAAGAACGCGCAGTTCGCGCCATTTTTGGCGTACGTTATTCTGTTTTCGATGGCGAGCGCGATTGCGTTGAGGATGGAGCATCACGAGAAGACAGTAGCGGACGAAGGAGACGATGCAGAGATTGTGGTGATGAATGACGACGAAGGCGAAAACGAAAGGATGGTGGGTGTCGCGAGTAGCAGTAGTCGTAATCGCGGTGGTGGTGGCCGCGGCGGTAGGGTTGGTGCGGACGGCACTCCTTCGAAAATGAAACGAACTGCCTCGTTCGCCGATTTCAACGACGTCTCCAAGCGCACGTTTCGAATCGTCACCGAACCGAGCGCGTTTTTAGTTTTCCTTTTGTTTTTACTCATGGCGTTGAGTATGGCATTAACGGACACGTATTTATTCTTGCACTTGGAGACGTTAGGAGCGCCTCCAATATTGATGGGTCTCGCGCTTTTCTTCACGTGTGTCGCGGAAGTGCCGGTGTTCTTTCACGAGAAGAAAATTAAAGAGTTTTTAGGTTTAGACCGTTCGATGTTACTTATTCTCGTCGCGTACATCTTTCGACAGTTGGGATACGCGTCTTTGAAATCGTTTGGGAGTCCGTGGTTCGTGTTGCCGTTACAATTACTTCACGGCATCACCTTTGGATTGTATTGGTCCGTAGGCGTTGAATTCTCGCGGTTACTCGCGCCGGAAGATTTACGCGCTGCGGTGATGGGGTTCTTCTCCGGGATGAACTCACTGGGAGCTTTTTTAGGCGCTATTTGTGGTGGACGCGTGTACGATAGAGTTGGTGGGGGAGGCTTGTTCTTCATCGCGGCTGCCGGGAATACGATTTTATCACTCGTCTTTGCGTTGAAGATGGCGTTTGGAAAACGAGTCGTGCCGACAACAAACACGGTCGTCGATAACATCATAGAAATAGATATGAGCGGCTTTGTGAGATTAGAAAGTAGCATGCCGCCCTCGTCTTCTTTGAGCGATGCAGGTGAAAGAGATGACCTTGACATTGATAGGAGTATTGATAGTAGAATCTAGATGTTTAGGTATGTGTAGTACTAGTAGTAGGTTAGGTGAAATTAATTGTTGTTTTGTATATTCTTTTGCTTGCGCTACCATTATGTGTTTTAAAGTACATTTAAGAAAAGGGTCTCCCCGCGCCTGTGTAACCACACGTCGTATCACCCGTTCGTGGTGAAATCGTATTCAATCGTCGGCATCGCGGATTGCATAAACTTCAAAAACACGATTAAATATCTCTCCACGCTCGGTTTTTCTTCCTCCTCCTCCTCCTCCTCTTCTTCTTCTCCATCTCCCCCTCCTCCTGCAGCGGACGTTGTCATCATTTTCACCAACTTTTTCATCACGCTCGCGTGTTTGCACGGATGCACCGAAGCCGAGGAGACGTTCGTGTGCGGATGCGGGTCTATCGTGACTGTCTTTTTCGCGTGATCCGCGCTTATGTCTTCGTATACCAATTTCGGTGGGAGACTGTTTCTTTGCTCGTCGTATCCATTCAACCAAACTCGCGGCGTTTGGTAGTATTTATCCCAGGTGATGGAAACGTCGTATGTTCGCGTGCGCAATAAATCTTCGTTGTTTTTTTCCTTCTTCGGCGCGGCGATGAGAATAGCGTCGTCTTCGTCCACGTCTTCCATGTCTGGAATAGACTCGTCGTCGTCGTCGTCGCCGTCGTTATCATCATCTCTATCATTATCTTCTACGTTCACTCGGCTAATATCCGGAATCTCGTCGACGACGCCGTCCTCCCCCTCCCCGTTCCCGCCTTCTCCGTCGTCGTCTAAATCGTCGTCGTCGCCATCCGCGCGTTGCGACGACGGGGCCTCCTTGTTCCCGGCTTCCACCCACCCCTCGTCTTCTCCGCTCAGTGCGACTTCTTTCCCGCAATACTCCTCCATCGCTTTCGCGCGTTTTCTGCACGGCACGTTCCTCGTCGCTAAGTATTGTTTCTCTTCCGGTAAATATTTCTTCCTCGTTTCTCGAGCGCTGCTTTTTTTCCACTGCCACGTCGGGCACGTTTCGACGAGATAGTCCCCCGCTTTGACGAAATCCTCCGGGGTGAGCGTTCCGTTTTCTAAAAATTGCGACGATCCCGTCGGAACAGACGTGATGGATTCCACCGCGGATTTCACCACGGTGTGCACGGAGTGTCGGATCGAAGGTGGGATGAAGTTTGCCATTTCTACGTTTTGTGCAAAACAAACACCTCGTGCGCTCTTCTTTTACTCTTCTTTTTGTAACTGTAAAAAAAACTTTGGATGATGATTTTGAACTCTCTCTCTCTCTTTCTCTCTCTCTCTCGCCTTTGAAGCGCGCACCAACCACGCGACACTTTTGGTCGAACGAATACTGCGCTCGTTTTTTCTCGTCTTTTAGAGTAAACAACAGAAAGTCGACTGATGACTTTCGTGTGCGTTCGTGTGTTCTGCTCTCGTTTTTTGAAAGACTATTGTTTAGGGTTTTTGATGGAAAAAAATTCAAAAATTTTCAAAAACCGTCGTCGTTTGACATCCATCCTCAGAAGAGGTGTTTGGTCACGCGCGCATATCATCCTCATTCGAAAGAAGATGACTTCGACCAAAACGACGACGACGACGCCTCTTTTTGGAAAGAGCGGTGTTTCTTTTGTTCTTGGAGCGACGAGAGTGAAGAATTATAATAAGAATATCAACAGAGGAAGAAGACAGACGACGACGAGATGTGCATCCGCCTCCCCCGAAAAGGAAGCATCATCATCTTTAGAGACGACGAGAAGTACTCGCGTGCTTCGACTCTTCCGAACGCCGTTTCTCTCCGAAGAGGCGTGCGAGACGCTCGTCGCGAAAGTCAATCGTAAACTACTTTCCGAATCATCGTCAGGAAATGAAAGTCTGATCATCGGGTCGATCAAAACCGAGCAGTGTTTCAACGTCGAGTTGACGACTTCGTTGTCGGCGGAGAAGATGGCGACGTTGGAGTGGCTCTTACGGGAGACGTACGAACCGGACTTGTTCGGCGAAAAAACGAGTTTATCCGGCGATATCGCACCATCCGTGGTTGAAGTCGGCCCAAGACTGGCGTTTCAATCCGCGTGGAGCACGAACGCGGTGTCGATATGTAATTCCTGCGGCGTTCCCGAGGTGAAACGTTTGGAGAGGAGCCGAAGGTTCGAGTTGTTTCGCGCGGACGGGACGAAGATGGAAAATCAGGAGGTAAAGGTACTGTTCGCGAAAGAAGTGCACGATCGGATGACGGAGTGCGTGTTCGACGAACCGTTGATGAGTTTTTCGTTGGACGCGACGATTCCGGAGGTGTACGAGGTGCCGATTTTAACCGAAGGGAGGAAAGCGTTGGAGAAGGTGGATAAAGAACTCGGCTTGGCGTTTGACGATCAAGATTTTGATTTTTACATGCAACTGTTCGGGGAGGACATCAAGAGGAATCCAACGAACGTGGAATTGTTCGATATGGCGCAATCAAACTCGGAACACTCGAGGCATTGGTTTTTCAGCGGGAAGTTAACCGTGGACGGGGTGCCGATTGAGAAGTCGTTGTTTAAGATGGTGAAAGAGACGATTGAAGGCGCGCCGATGCATAACTCTTCGATTTCGTTTAAAGATAATTCGAGTGCGATTCGAGGGTACGAGTGCACGCCGTTGAGACCAGTGAACGCCGGAGAGAGCACGAGCATGCAACCGAGGAAAGTGGATTACGATTTGTTGTTAACCGCGGAGACGCACAACTTTCCCAGCGGGGTCGCGCCGTATCCAGGCGCGGAAACTGGCACTGGCGGAAGAATTCGCGACACGCACGCGACTGGCGTTGGGTCGACTTTAGTCGCCGGAACCGCCGGGTATGTCGTCGGTAACTTACAAATGCCCGGGAATGAGTTGCCGCACGAAGACAAATCGTTCCAGTACCCGAGCAACTTGGCGTCGCCGTTGCAAATTTTAATCGACGCCTCGAACGGCGCGAGCGATTACGGGAACAAGTTTGGCGAACCGGTTATTGCTGGTTATTGTCGAACGTTCGGAAGCCGTTTACCGAACGGCGAACGACGCGAATATATTAAGCCAATCATGTTTTCCGCCGGTTTCGGTCAAATCGATCACACCAACTTGGAAAAACAAGAAGGCGATTTGGGCATGTTGGTCGTTAAAATCGGTGGTCCGGCGTATAGAATCGGCATGGGCGGCGGTGCTGCGTCCTCTAAAGCCGGCGGCGAAGACGAAGCGAACGCGAGCTTGGATTTCAACGCCGTCCAAAGAGGCGACGCGGAAATGAGTAACAAATTGAACCGCGTGGTGAAAGCGTGCGTGGAGTTGATGGACAAGAACCCAATTTTGAGCATTCACGATCAAGGTGCCGGCGGGAACTGTAACGTCGTCAAGGAGTTGATCTACCCGAAAGGTGGAGAGATTAACATTCGCGCGGTGAAACTTGGCGACGAGACCATGTCCGTCCTCGAAATTTGGGGCGCCGAGTACCAAGAAAACTCCGCCATGCTCATCAAACCAGAATCGTTACCGATCATCGAAAAGGTTTGTGCGAGAGAGCGATGCCCATTTAGCGTGCTCGGATCTATAAACGGCAGTGGTCGCGTGACGTTGAAAGATCCGTTGGCTAAGCCTGGTACGGTTGGCGAGTTCCCGGAAGATTTGGATTTAGAAAAGGTCTTGGGCGACGTGCCGAAGAAAAAGTACGATTTGAAGAGAGCGCCGCCGTCGGTGAAACCGTTGACGATCACGGATTCGCCAAAAGACGTTCTCGGTCGCGTGTTGAAGTTACCGTCCGTGTGCTCGAAACGCTTTTTAACCACAAAAGTCGATCGTTCAGTTACTGGCTTAATCGTCCAACAACAGTGCGCCGGAGAATTGCAAATCCCGGTGAACGACTGCGCTGTGATTTCGCAAACGCACTTTGGCAAGACTGGTGGTGCGACGAGTATTGGCGAAGCGCCGATCAAGGGTTTAATCGATCCGAGAGCGATGGCGAGAGTCACGTTAGGGGAATCCTTGACTAACTTGGCGTTCGCCAACACCACCGGTTTGAAAGATATCAAGTATTCCGGAAACTGGATGTACGCTGCGAAATTGGACGGGGAAGGCGCGCACATGTACGACGCGTGCGATGCGTTGAAAGATACGATGATTCAACTCGGCGTTGCCATTGATGGTGGCAAGGATTCCTTATCCATGGCGGCTAGAGCGGGTGGTGAAGTTGTCAAAACGCCCGGAACTTTGGTCATGTCTTCGTACGTCACCGTCCCAGACGTGACCAAATGCGTCACCGCCGACGCTAAGTTGCCAGGTTCCGGTAAATTGGTTTTAGTCGAATACGGGTCTAAAGATGGCTCGAAGAGACGATTGGGTGCTTCAGCCATGGCGCAAGCGTACGACCAAGTCGGCGACGACGTTCCGGACATGGACGATATCGAGACGTTTAGAAACGCGTGGGAGACGACGCAACGGCTCGTCGAGGACGGTAAAATTTCCGCCGGTCACGACGTTTCTGATGGTGGACCAGTTGTTTCCGTGTTGGAAATGGCCTTTCCATCCACCACGGCTGGCGTGGACGTCGAGCTCCCCGGCCCAGACGCCAACGCGGCGTTGTTCGCGGAAGAGTTGTCCGTCGTCTTGGAAGTCTCCCCGGAGAACGAACAACACGTCTTGCAAGCGTACGCCGGGAAAAACGTCACGGCGAGAACTATCGGCTCGGTCACCAACGATGGGAAAGTTTCCATCAAGCACAACGGCGCGATTGTCATCGACGACACCACGGCCAACTTACGAGACGCGTGGGAACACACCTCGTTTGAACTCGAAAAATTACAATCCTCGAACAAAACAGTCGCGATGGAGAAAGCCGGCTTGCGCAACCGCAAAGCGCCGACGTGGAAGCTCACGTACGATTTAAAACCAACCGATCCGGCGAAACTTTCGCGAACGAATAAAGCGAAAGTTGCGATCGTCCGTGAAGAGGGTTCCAACGGCGACCGCGAAATGGCTGCCGCGGTTTACTCCGCCGGCATGGACCCGTGGGACGTGACCATGTCCGATTTGCTCACCGGTAAAACCAACTTGAGCGATTTCCGAGGTCTCGTTTTCGTCGGTGGCTTCTCTTACGCGGACGTGTTAGATTCCGCCAAGGGTTGGGCCGGTGGTATTCGATTTAACGAAAACTTAAAGAATCAGTTCAAAGAATTTTACGAACGAAAAGACACGTTTTCCTTGGGCGTATGCAACGGATGCCAGTTGATGGCTTTGTTAGGATTCATCCCGTCTCAAACCGGCAAGGTTGCGGAAACTCCTGACGCAAAACAACCGAGATTTATTCACAACGACTCGGGTAGATTTGAAAGCCGATTTGTGACGGTTGGTATCGATTCAAACACCCCGTCCATTATGCTTAAAGATATGGGTGGGTCGCGAATGGGAGTCTGGTGCGCGCACGGCGAAGGTAAAGCGCACTTCCCAGACTCGAGCGTCATTTCCGAACTCTCCAAATCCGGTCAGTGCGCGGTGCGATACGTCGATAGCGCCGGAAAACCAACCACGGAATATCCGTTGAATCCGAACGGGTCTCCAGAAGGTATCGCAGGTTTGTGCTCAAAAGATGGCCGACACTTGGCGATGATGCCGCACCCGGAGCGCGCGTTTTTGGGATGGCAGTTGCCCTGGTCGCCGAAAGACGCAAACGTTCAAGACGTCGGGCCGTGGTTGAAGATGTTCCAGAACGCCGCCGATTGGTGCGATGCGAACTAATAATAATAAAGAAGAACAACAAAACGGTTTAAAATAAGTGAGAGTAATAATTGAGAAGAAAAAGAGAAAGAGAGAGAGAGAAAGAGGGAGAAAGAAAAGTGTGAACACGCGTAGCCAAAGCGTACGTATAGAGTAATTTATTTCATACGAATATATAAATAATGTGTGACTATCATCATGATCGTCTCTTCTATCGTTTCCCCACTTTGCTGCATTACGGAGGTAACGCGTTCAAGAACGACATCTTATTCTCTCCCCTCTTCTTCGTCGTCGTAGTTCCGAAACCTGACGGCGAATCGACTTCGTCCTCGTCGTCATCTCCGAAAAATACTCGATCGAGTGCGTTTTGCATGGACCCTTCCCCGTCCAACTCCTTGTCTTCGTCCGAAGAAGACAAGGCGTCTGGATGATCGGAGACGACCAAAACGGGCGTTCGAAAAACTTGACCTTGATCGCTTTCGTCGTCCACGCACAGAGCTGCCGCTGGCGTTTGACCGCCGCTCTTGGAAGTCGTCCCAGATGAGACTTCCGAAGTGCTGCTTTTATTCGTATTCTTACCTCCTGAATTCGGGACTGCGTTTAAACCGGAGTGCGAATATAAAGCCGCGGTGGCCGCAAACATCGCAGCCGCTTTGGCCGTCTCCGTGACTTCATCCTTGTTTTGAGCTGCATTTTTTCTCGCGATCGACGCCGCGAGACTATTGTTGTGAGTGCTATCATCGTTATCATTAGCTACTGATGCTGCTGCTGAGGAAGAAATATTCGCCGTCCGCAACTTTTCCAAAGCCGCGTTGTACTGATCGTCCAAATCTAATATGTCGTGTAAGGACTGCGTTTCGGTACGACCCCGACCTCGACCGTCGTCGTCATCGTCTTCTTCGTCTTCTTCGTCTTCGTCCTGCGCGTTGAATAAAGTTTGCACGCCGGACCCGTACGTCGCGCCGCCACTACTCGCTAACGACTTCACCGTGACCGCGTCGTCGTCTTCATCCCCTTCCTCGTCTTCCTCCTCTTCCAGCTTATCTAACCTCGTAAACTCCTCCCTGGCCATCCGCGCCGCTCGCACCAATAACGCGCAATCTTCTTTCGCTTCTTTCAGTGCCATCTTTAACTTTGCGTTCTCTCGTTCCGCCGCGTCTGCGCGCGCTTGAAGTAACGCGTCTCTCAGTTGTTCTCCTCCTCCGGAACCTTCTTCCTCCCGTTTCGCTTTCGACGCCGCCGCCCTGAGCGTCAAATACTCCTTCGCGAGTGCTTTCACTCGAGCTTTCATACTTCTCGCCCGTTCGGCGACACCACGCATCGTCTCCCTTCCGTTGTCGTCCTCGGAATCGTACTCGTTCTTTTTTATCGTCGAAATCGAAATTTGCGTGGAAATCATCGCGTCGATCACATCGCTCGCGTCCGCGATGATTTCTCCGAATCGATCGAACAGAAGTCCTTCCTCGTCCGTCATCTTTGGATGTTAAATGCGTTTTAGTCGTCTCTTCCTCTCTCTCTCGAGTACTCTTCCTCGCCAGACTTCAAACGCGCTCTCGAAAAGACAGACAGACGCGCGATCAAAGAGAGAGAGAGAGATCGACGAGCGGGAGTTTTAACAACAACACCAACACCTTGATGCCCGTTGGGAAAAAGCGTCAAAATATCTTCACACGAAGCGGATTGGATTTGGACGACGTCTTCTTCACTCTCGGGCGCTCCTGGTGCGCTCTTTTCTGGTGACACACGCACACACACACACACACACGAGAGAGAGAGAGAGAGAGAGAGAGAGAGAGGAGAAGGATCTCGCGAGTCGTACGGGGAGAGGAGTAAATAATAGTTTATTGTAGTGCGTTGAGAGTCTCTTTATTCTTAATTGGGTAAACCTTAAATACTTACCAGAGAAGAGTTTTAAAGCGGTAGTAGAGGTTTAATATCATAATATACTATACCTTTCTTTCTTTCTTTCTGTGCGTGTGTGTGTTTATATTCTCACTTCTCGTCGTAGTGTGTAATAAGCATATAAACTTCTCTCTCTCTCTCTCTCTTTCATCAAACTCGTTATTACGCTCAACGTTTTTATACAATGGTGTTGTTGTTGTTGTTATTACGCATGCGAAAACATTTAATTTACGGCAAACCGGCGTTTCTCCACGCCCCGTAGCCACCTTTTAAGACGAAGACTTTGTTGAACCCTTTGTTTTTCAACGCTTTGGCGAACCCTTTGCTGTTGCCGCCGACGATGATGTACTTCTTTCCCTTACCGACGCCGTTCATGGCGCTTACTTTCAACGCGGTGACTTCGACCGATTCGCCTTTGGCGTCCACCTCTAAAACTCTCCCTTTCGGCGGGTTTGGCCCGGATTTCGCTTTGTCATTTTCCGATCGCAAGTCGATGATATTGGTGTTACCAGACAGGACCATTTCGTACGCTTCCAACGCGCCAACGTCGCCGGCGTAGCCTCTCGCCGCGCCGGCGAAGACGCCCAAGACGCCCGGCAAGATCAAGTACGCGACGTACGCGCCGATCGCCAACAAACCGAGCTCGCCGGCCGAAGCCGTGGACACGTACTCCAACGCTTGCTTCCCAATCGGCAACGCCGCATCCACCGCGCTCTTACCGGTCGTCTCGACCACGGAAACAACCGGCGCGACGTCCACGCCTTGCTGCTTCAACGCGCCCGACGCTTGCGTCACCACCCCGCTCGCGCCCGTGGAGGCTTTGCTAATCACATCCGCCGCGACCGGAGCCACGTATTTGTTCGCTAACCCACCAGCCGCTTCCCCTAACGGTTTCGCCGCTTCAAACGCGCGCTCCGCGTACGGCGTCACCACCGGGACTGCTTCGTCGTACGCCTCTTTCACTTGCTTCGCCACTTCCACGGTTTGCGAGACGCCACTGGCGACGGTTTCCGAGGCTGCATCCACGGCGTCTAAGAACCCGGCGAGCTTTTCCGTCAACTCGGACGCACTCGCTGGTAAAGGAGTCGCGGCTAACAACAAAGAAGTGGAGGCGATTCCCAAGAACTGTTGTTGTTGTTGTTGTTGTTGCTTTTGCTCCTTCTTCTTCTTCGAAGAAGAAGAAGAAGAAGCAGATGCCTTCGTTGTTTTGCGGGAAATGGCCGATGATCGAACCGTCGTCGTCGTCGAAGATTTCTTCGTAAAAACAGAAGAAGTGCGAGAAAACATCGCGCTCGTCGTCGCGGAAGAAGAAGCCATCGTGGTATTCACGCTCACTTAGTATGTAACGTAAACGCGCGAGAAGAACAGATCGTCGTCTGTGTATGTGTGCGTGAGATATTTATGTGTGAACAGATGAGAGAAAACGCGAGAAGGTTTTTAAAAAAGATTATAATGGCCAATAGAAAGCGTTCAGAGTCACTCGTTTTCATTTGATTGGAAGACACATCGGCGGATTATTTGAGATCTCAAATTCTTTGCCACGCGCGCTTTTTGCTTTCCGCTTTCCTCCTTTTTTCCCTCTCTCTTTCCTCTTTTTCTTTTTTGCTCTCTTTTTGGTGTTTTTGGTGTTTTTTTTTTTTTTTCATTTTTTTCAAAAAAGACAGAAACGCCAATTTTTTTCCTTTGTGTTCACATCTCATTCAACATCTTAGTATTAGTTCATCTGGCGGGTTGACGAAATTGATATTAGACGATTAATAGTAGAAAGAAGCAAAAAGAGAAGCGAAAGAAATACACAATACATACAATATATATTACACGCGCGAACAACAACAACATTATACAAAGAATTTAAAGAATATTACGAAGAAGAAGGGGAGAAGAACAGATCGCGAGAGTTTCGATAACACGCCTCCGCGACGTCTTCGTAGGACGTTTCTTTACATCCGGCGACGATTTCGCACACCGTCGCGATTTGACACGGTTCGCTGCGGTCTTTAATCATCGAGCCTTTTTGCCATTTTTTCGGTTTCACCGGTGTGCCGAACAGAGTCTGGATTCGATTACTGTTTTCTCCTCCTTCCAAAAATGTGTTCCCAAAGTGCGTTTTTTTGACGGCGCACCACGGCGCGTCCGTTTCCAAGAGCATGCGATCGAGCGGGATGGATTGGACCACGTTTACGTTCTCTTCCGTTTTCAGCGAACACCCGTTGACGCCGATATATATCTTATCGTCCAGCGCTAACAACTCTTCGAATTCTTCTCGAGTTCCCGTGAACGAGTGCACGACGGCTCCTTTTCTCAAGTGCTTTACGTTCCTCTTCAAAATCTCGTAAAAATCCTCCCTCGAGTTTCTCGAGTGCAAAAACAAAGGCAAATCAAACTCCTTCGCCAACTCGAATTGAAATTGAAAATACTTCTTCTGCGTCTCTTTCTCGCAGAAATGCAACCGATCGTAATCTAATCCGCACTCGCCAATCGCTTTAACGACGTCCGCGTTCTCTCGAACGACCGTTTTCAGCGCTTGTAAATACCGTTCGGGCGAGCCGTCGTACTTTTCCTCAAACTCGTCGCACCTGGTCGGATGCACGCCGACCGTGCTGTACATCTTCGGAAACACCCCTTCGCTACCATCCTCATCATCATCAGCCCCTTCTCGGTCATTATTGATACTATTACTACTCTTCCTAAAACTCTTTTCGTTCCACATCCGACACTTGCTCGCCGCCGCTTTCGCCTCCTCCAAAGTTCCCGCGGTGACTAAAATCTCCCTCACGCCCACTCGTTTCGCTCGCTCCAAAACGTCCTCCGAATCCTCCGGATGCGACTGCACTTGCGAGCCGAAGTAAAAACCGTCGAACGTCGAGGGTGAGGCGGAGACTAAATTCGCCCCGATGTCGCAAAACTTCACATCGGGCATTTTGTTTTTGTTCACGTTGTTCACAGAAGAACGAGCAGCGGACGACGAAAACGACAGAAACGACGACCTCGTGCGGGAGCAGCAACACCTCTTCTTCAGAGGGGAAGCGCGACAAAAACGAGCAGCGGCGGTGACAACGCGCGGAGGAAGTCCTGCTCGCATGTGAGATAAAAAATGAAGAAGAAAAAGTCCCCTATTACTATTGCCCCGCAGAACAAAACGAGACCCCCACGAAAAGAAAAAACAACGAGAAACACATACACTATAAATATGGACGCTGTGTTCGGGTATTTCGGCGGCGGTTCCTCCGCGCAGTCGAAGAAAAACAAAAGGCTGCAACAACAACAAAACGAGCGATCGTCGTTACCGTCTTTACGTCAAGGGCACCAGAAATCGTTGTCGTTTGGCGTTGACGATGATTTTGATGATGATGACGAAGATGAGGATGATGAGATTGAAAGGAGTAGCGACGAGGACACGGAGGAGGAAGAGGAGGAGGGAAAAGCGAGCGGGCATAGGAAGAAAAACAAGAAGAACAGTAAGAAGAACGAGAAGAATAAGAAGAACAGTAAAAAACGGAAAGATAAACTGGACGCGTTGCTCGATAACGACGACGAGGAAGATGATTTAGAGGCGGCGGAGGACCAAGCGAAGAGTTTTGAGATGCTGAGAGAAAAATTGGACCAATCGGAACGGTTGCGCGTGTCGGAAATGCGCGAATCGAAACAACGGTTACTGGTGGCGAGGCAACAGTCCGCGGAGTTTTCGAGAATGGTGGCGAAGGATTTGAAGGACATGGAGGAGAAGATTGTAGGAGGGAGTACTAACGACGCGGAAGAGCTTATTGAAATGTTGAAGCAGACGTTGGAGGAGGCGAAAGCGTTTGCGGCGAACGCGACGGAGGAGCAGAAGAGAGCCATACGGGAGGTTGGCGTAGACGCGACGCACGTTATGGCGGCAGACGGAAAAGGAGAAGAAGGAGACGGAAAGGAAGAAGAAGAAGAAGAAGAAAGAGAAGCAGAGGAAGAAGAATTTGATAAAGTTACGGATCAGGTGATGGCGGACGCGAGCGATGTCGCGACGGAGAATATTAATAGGGAGAATAGAAACAACAACAACAACAACACAGGCGGATTTAAGAAAGGTTTTTTGATGGAGAGAAATCCAAACAACGCGATCGAGGTTGAGATGAAAAAACTGGAAGAGGCAAAGAAGAGGAACGGAGGCGGAGCGAATCCGAGAGAGTCCTTCTTAGAGCGCGCCAAATACATACCGCTGCGATTAGATCACGACGAACGGAAATACTTGCGTTTGTTAGAAGCAGCGTTACACGTGAGCGAGTACACCGACGTTGTTGACGTGCAGTCGTGGTCATCCAGGTCGCAACGAATTGCGAGGATGATTAAAGAGATTTGCGCCATCATGTCCGGTTTAGTCGTGGCTTCGGATTACAGAGCTGGGCAAAAACTCATTCAAGACCGCGAGTTTAAGGACAACGCGAACTTTTTCGGGATGATATTTGAAATCGGAAGGAGGCATAAAATCATGAACCCGGAAAAGATGCGATCGGAGTACGGGAAGATGGTGTATTTGTTACAAGACTCGCAATCGCCAGACGTGAGAGAGATGTTGTCGTTTAAGTTGGTGAGACCGTTGAAAACGGCGTACTGGTTGCTTTCGGAATCTGAAAACGGTTTGGACATGCTCAACGATCCCTTAATGTCTACCGCGACGGCGGAAATCATGCACGAAGGGAAGCCGAGACACGAGGTGCAAAGAGAGATCAAGCAAAAAGAACGCGCCAGGGAAACATTGAGCAAAAAATACGCGGCGAGAGATTTAAGTTCGGAAGACATTTTGCACGTCTTATACTCCATCGCGGACAACAACGCGTACTTGCGCTATAATCGCGACCCGGTTGATGAAATGTTAAAATTTCTGACGGATATGTTCGATCCTAAAACACCCGAGGAAGGGTTCTCGTTGGGCATCTCCACAGGGATGGAGGGCGCGCGCCTATCGCATAATCATGGCAGGCAGTACGCGTATGTTTCTCAATCGCTGATGCTGTGGAGAGAAGTCGCGAACGATATGTTCAAACTCTGGTACTTGGCCGAACACGATTTGTTGCGAGATAACAACCGATACACGTTGCAAAATACCGGTCAAGGTCTCAATCGCGTCCAACATTCGCCGCAAACGTTGAAGTGCATGCATGAGATTTTGCACAGATGTCAATCGAAATTAGGTCACTGGGTCGGATCTTCAGTCATTCACTTGGGCGACCACAACGTCCCGAATGCGTTAATGTTTATCGACAAGTACACGCAAGTGGCGAGAATTTTAGCGCCGGTCGTCCTCGTAGTAAAAGAGTTGCCGAAACTGGCGAGCAAAAACCGCGAGTTGCGCCAATACATCGAGAACGCCTTTGACAGCGTGGAGAGCTGTCGTAAGTTGATTTTGACGGACTTTTTTAGGCACGCGTTTGACGGCTCTGGTGCAGATAATTTCTTTGACGCCGGTTCGTGCATCGACGGTCGATTGACGTCCGCTTGGAACTGGTGTTCGAAAATCGAAAAGAAGTCGTACTACCACGTGTTTAAGTTGTGCGGCTTTGCGTCGTTCGATTCTCGGGATCAGTAAAAAATTAACTTTTCTTACAGTAGCACATGTATATGAAGACTACTCATACAAATAATCACTAAATAAAGCGCGGTTTGCCTACTACATCTACTGCTATTATCGCTACTATTTACGTCCTTTGCCGCGTCCACCTCTTCCTCCTGATCTTCCTCCACCTCTTCCTCCCGATCTTCCTCCACCTCGACCGCTCTTTTTCTTCCGGATGTCTTCTTTTCTTCCTTTTCGAATCTGGTCCGCGTTTCTGAGCTCGCTCGGCGCGTTGTTTCCTGAACCATTTCCGCCACCATCCGTACCTTTCGTGTGAAAATGTCGCTTGAACCGGCTCATGCCGCCGCCTTCGGACGCACCGGCTCTCTTCTTCTTATCGTATCTCGCGCGCGTTTTCTCGTCTTCAACCTCACCAACTTGCGAAACGTATCTGTTCGTTTTCGATTGCCACTTCTTATACGTCTTTCCGAGCGTATCTTTCGAAACTACTTTCCCGCTTTCGTTTTTAATCCTCTTTCCGTTCTTGCCGATTTCATTCGCGTCGACTTGGACGTAATTTTTCTTCTTCTTGTCCCAAACGCTGACAAGTTTCTTTTGTTTGCGCATGGACGCGCCGTCTTCGGCGACAATGTCCATGGTCATTTCATCTAAATCGTCCATCGTGCAACCTTCTTTCGTGCTCAATCCAAGCTCTTTGTGATTGATTTTGCGAGGAACGACGTCCATGAAGAACTCGTCGTCGCGAAATTTACCTCGTGAGAAGGCGTCTTGAGAGACTAGCGTTTTCAGCTTCTTCTTACCTCCAGAACCTCCTCCTCCTCCTGCTCCAATGTCGACACCGTTTACTCGTTCGTCGTCTTCGTCGTCGTCGTTGCCTTCGTCGTTATCCGAATCGTCATCGCTGCCATCATCATCATCATCATCAGCGTCATCATCCGCGTGAGTATTTCCGGCGACAATCGGGTTCTCATCATCCCCTAAAGGTCTCAATTTCTTCGTCTTTTCTTCCCCGTTATTCCGCATCTCGATAAACTTTGCGTGCGCTTTTCGTTTCTCACTCATCGCGTTCACCGATACCGAACTTTTCCAGTTCTTTCCGATTTTCCCAGCGGAAGCAAACTCGGCTTCTAAGACGGTCGCGTGCGGGCGGTAATTTTTCATCCCGCGCATGAGTTCGGCCAACTCTTTAGCGTTTTTGTATGTGGTCGTGTTCGCCGTTCCTCCGGCGTTGGACGCTTTTCGAAAGATGGCGGCGCAGAACAACGGGTGTGGCCCACATTCAATGAGTGGTTTCGCGCGAGCAACGGATTCCGAACTTGCTGGAATTCTCGTCTTTTGGTACGCTTTGTACGCGTTCACGGTGGTTTTCTGCAACGCTTCCAGCTCGATGTGCGTTTCGTGCAATTCCCGGACGCGGTCGGCGAGTAAATCTAAGGAACCGATTGGGAACGTCCCCACGACAGACTCTTCGTTTGCGTCGCCTTCTCTCGCTCGTTTTTCCGCTTCTTCTTCGTTTTGTGGTGGCACAATATCCGCCGGTTTGATTTTTCTACCCAAGAACAAGTGTAAATCGACGACGTACCCTAACTCTTCTTTTACCAATATCGAGTGCGCGATACCTTTCCTCCCAGCTCTGGCAACGCGACCGACTCTGTGTACGAACAATTTCGCGTTCGCTGGAAAATCGTAATTAATCACGTTATCTAACAAAGGCACGTCGATACCTCTCGCCGCGACGTCGGTGACGACCATCACGTTCGCCTTACCCGATTTGAACGTCGCCAGAGCGATTTTTCTCGCCGCGAAATCCATCGCCCCGAATATGGACACGCACGAGTGGCCCTCTTTTTTCAGCAGCGTTTCCAAGTGCTCCACGTGATGTCGAGTGCTCGCAAAGACCACTGTTTGAGATTTTTCGTTTTCAACGACCGTTTGTAAGATTCTCAATAAGGCTGCTATTTTCTCCTCTTTGCGCACGAGCGCGAACGTCAATCGCAAATCTTCAGATATTTTCATCTCCGAATCGAGACGTATAACTCGCGGTTCTCTCAACCCGACTTTCACAAACTCCGCCAGCGCGCTCGGCAACGTCGCGGAAAACAACAACGTCTGTCTCGATTGACTCACTTTTTTCATAATCTCCGAAAGTTGCTCCTGAAAACCCATCTCTAACAACCGATCGGCTTCATCTAAAACAACTTTTTCCACCAATCGTAAGCTGAAACTTTCAATCTCGTTCGTGTGGTGCAACACTCTCCCCGGCGTAGCCACAATCACGTCCGGATTATTCGCCAAATCCTCAAACTGCATCTCCATGCTATCGCCGCCGACTAAAGCGCACAACCGTAAATCGGTAAACTTTGCCATATCTCTCGTCACCGCGAAGGTTTGCAACGCCAACTCCCTCGTCGGCGCGAGAATCAACGCTCTCGCGCCGTTCCTCAGCGAGTGCTTCTGCAACGCCGCTAAAACTGGTACCACAAACGCCGCCGTCTTCCCGCTCCCGGTCCTCGCCATCGCCACCACGTCCACGCCGGTGCTTATCACCGGAATCGCTTTCCTCTGAATAGGTGTCGGCAATCGATAGCCTTTGCGCTTAATCGCTCGAAAGATGTCCGGAGGCAAATCCATGCTTTCAAACCCGCCGGATTTCTGCTTTTTCTTGTTCAGTTTCTCTTGTTTCAATCTTCGGCCGGTGAGCTTTTCCACGCGTTCGAATCCGAATTCTTCAACATTCGTCGTCGTCTTATTCTTATTCTCATCAGCATTCTCATCATCATCAGACGACGAATAATTACTGCTCGACGATTCCCCTTCGTCTTCTTTTCTCCCTCTCTTGTTCAAACCCATCTCACGCGTTCTTCTTTGACTTTTTCTTCTTTTTAAACGCCCTGTTGCGTGTGTGTGTGTGTCTTATTCGTAAAGTGATACTCAAAGGATGTAAAGAATTTGAAGACTTTTAGCGCCGTCAAAAACTCTCTCGTGTCTGCTCTTTTTTTCTTATTTTCAGCGAAAACGGTTCCTCATTTTTATCTTCTTCTTTGACTTCTGATCTTTCTTTCTTTCTTTCTTTCTTTCTTTCTTTCTTTCTCTCGAACGTATTCTCTTTCGGGGAGCAAGGCGCGCGCGCGTAAAACGAACAAATCGGCGATGATGAGTAAGAAAATAGCATTCACTTTGAGAGTTGTATCTCGTGATGATAAAAACTGCGCTGAGCCGAAAAAGAACACGCGCGGTTCACTTTTTTTTGTATCTCTGAATTCACTCTTGAGAAGGAGAACGATTTGATGAGAGAGCGGGTGGAGGTTCCCTCTTTCTCTCTCGGTGCGCGTTCGGCGATGATGATTAAAAACAATTTTCTTCCAAGGGGATCTCTGACAATCTCGGGTACCAAACAACCCGCGCTTTGCTATGATTACTTGAATTTCTGAGCCGAAGAGACCAAGCGCGCGAGAGAGGAGAAAACCCTTTGCCCCGGGAAAAAGAGAGAGAGATACAAAAAAATACGCGAAGCGCGCTGCTACGTCCTTCTCTCCTTCGCGCGAAGTTTTCCGACGATGATGTTAAAAAATGTGTCAAACGTCTTAATCTGATGTTCAAAATGATTAAAAGTACATTATTTACTGAGTCGGAAAGCAGAGCGAACGAAAATCGATCGAACAACGAAGCGACAGAACACCGCCCGTGTTAAACGGAATTTCCAACGAACGAAAATTTTGATTTTTAACCACTTTTTTCCTCTATTTTTAGACACAAAACAGAAACATCGCATGACCGCGAATGAAGGTAAAGACGACGATTCAGACGACGAAAACGACGCGGTTTCAGACGACGGGTTCGTGTACGCCAAAGTTGAAGTCGTGAGCGTCGAAGGGACCGACTCCGACGACGAAGATGAGAGGCGGAAGGAAGTGTTGTGTCTTGGGGAGGAAGACCGGCAAAACGGAGGAAGCGAAGCGTCGCCGAGTCTAGAGTTGACCGAGGAGAAGGTAGAGGATGTGAACAACAGTGAGAAGAAGAAAAAGAAGAAAAAGAGGAGAAAGTCAGAGCAAGAAGTAGAAGAGGATCCGACTGAATTCTCCCCTCGAGTGTCGGAAGAAGTTCCGCGAAAGGTGCCGGTCGACGATGCTCCAACGCCTTTCGTTGAATTAGGTATTCACAAAGAGAACGAAGACCAAAAAATACAGAGACAAACGCAATTCACCTCCCTCGCCAACGCCACGAAAACCAACCAAGACGCGCTCTTACTCTGCGAGCGACTCAGGAGAGAAATACAAACGCACAAGACGCACCGCCTTCGTTTAGAGCAAGAAAAACGCGAGCAAATGAAAACCATCAAGCGCTTGAAGAAGGAAGCGGAGGAAGTGTTCGCGCCGGCGATTGAAGATTTGAACGCCAAGTACGGGGTTGCGATGAAAGATAGAACGATGTTGACGATCGAGAGAAATAAGCTGATGAAAAGAGTTAAAGGATTGGAGCAAGAGTTGGAAGAGTTGAAAGATGCGCAGACGAAGAAGAAGAAGACGAAGAAAGAGGAGGAAGAGGAGAAAGCAAAGGCAAAGGCAAAGCCGACGAGTAAAGTGGCCACGCGGGTGAAAGCCATAGAACACAAAGTAGCGAAAGAAGAAGAAGAAAGAGAGGAAGAAGAAGAAGAAGAAAAGGAACGAAAAGAAACATCGTATGCGGCACCTTCGTCCGCTCTTTTGCTGAAAAAGTTCAAAAAACGACAGAAGAAACACGCGGCGAAAACGCGCGTCGTCTCGCAAGAGGAGGTTGGAGAAAATACGCGACGAGAGGCGTTTGACCACGCAGGGCGCGCGAGGCAAACGGACATGTTTGAAGCAACGAAAGAAGAAGAGAAGAAGAAAGAGCGGAAGCATATGCAGACGTTATTATCGCAGTCCCGAACGGAACAACGCCGGGAAAAACCACGAGTGGTAAACGTTACGCATACGAGACTCATTCGTCTACCGAAATCAGACAAAGACCAACGTTTCGCATCTGCTCTACACCCATCGAAAAAGTGCATCGCGTACGGCGACGAGAGCGGTGGATGGAGAATGCTCGACACGAACACGGGAGAAGTTATCGCATCTTTTGAGAATTATGCCGTGTCTACGCAAGAGATATGTACGAGTCGAGTTACCTTTATCAGCTTTGTAAACACGGGTAAAATATTGCTGTGCGGCGACGCTCGAGGCTGCGTATCCTTGTTCGATTTGACGCTCGCGAAACGGATTTTTTTTTTCCCGCATTCGCCTTTAGTAGCGTTACCATCGGTATCTTTAGCACCATCTACGACATGCGATACCGCAGAAGAATCGCTGCTGCAGCCGGCGCCGCCGAAGTTAGATTCTGAGTCTACGTACTGCGTCTTTATCAAGGGTACCGGCAACAACGGCGAGACAAACTCCACGACGACGCCTCTCGAAGCCGCGAAAACACCGGCGGTAAAAGGCATAGCGCTTTCGCCGAATGAATCCTTCGTCGCGGTAACGTACAAACACTCCAACGTCTTCAAAATATTCGATTGCTGTTATTCGATGCCGAAGGAATCACTAGAAGAGAACTCCTTTCTCCTGTGCGAGATTAAGACCGAATGTTCGCCGGATATTTCGAGCGTAGATTTTATAAACGATACCACCGTAATCATCCGCGACGAGACGTCCGCGGCGTACAGAGTATCATTTTAATTCACATCAAATCGGCTATTATAGAATATATATGTATTATATACACAAACGCTGTTGGTTGATTCTACTCTTGCTATTATTAGTAGATTTTCTTACTTCTCTTCTCTCTCTCTCTCTGTCTAAATTTTTTACTTCTTCTTGTTCGATACGCTCTTATCGTTCTCTTTGTCGTTACTCTCTTTCTCCTCTTCTTCCTTCTTCTTCTTCATCGCGTCTTCATCAGCGCCAACGCCGCCGTCGACGGTATCCTCCGCATCGTGCATGTCGCTCACCCGTTCGCGTTCTTTCTGTTCCATCTTGTTATTAATTAAATCGTGCAACGCGACCACGGTTCTTATGAGCGCGCCTAAATAAATTACCAACTGCGCGTCGTTCGTTTCCACCGCGAACGCCTTGACGTAACTCTCTAAATTCAAATTCGGTAACCCGTTGAACGCGTTTTGTAACTCTCCCAATATCTCCTGGTTCACCGGTAACTGATCGCTCAACACCAACTCCATGTATTTCTTAATCTCTTTTAATCTCGTTTCCAATCCTCTCAACGCTCTGGCTTTCTCTTTCACTTGCGTGCTCAGCGTGCTCACCGTCGCGTCCTTCACGTCTCTCAACAAATGCTCAACGCCAATCGCCTCCGGGTCGCTCGCCTCAATCGTACACGGCACGTGCTCGTGCGTCTTCTGCGCTTTCTGCGTCATCGTTCCGTCTTCCTTCACGTCCAACACCGCCCTGTACGCATTCGTCGGCGCGTCGTCCGCCGTCGGCGATAAGTTCACGATAACCAACACCGGATCCGCGCAATATTTCTCAAACAACTCCCCGATGTCTAAATCATTCTCCCGGATTTTCGGCCCGGTGGAATACCATCCGACCACTTTCTCCTTCGCGTGTATTCTCGAGTGCATTCGGTACATTTGTTCCGCGTACGCGTGATCGAAAAACCAAATCGACGCATCCGACGGGTCCTCCTCGAAAGGTACCGCGAACGACGACGTGATGTCCAAACGGTCGTTCGCCACGGAACCGAGTAAGACGCCGACGACGCGTCGTTTCGCCTGTTGGTTCGAATCGTCCTCGTCCTCGTCTTCTTGGTCGTCGTCCTCGTCGCCCTGATTGATAATGATGTTAGTGTGCGTCAATACATTTAAAAGGAAAAAGAGAGAAAAAACATCGATAAAAACATCGCGCTTGAGAGAACACACACACACACACAGAGAGAGATGAAGAGAGAGAGATTGACATCATCATCATCACATCATCATCATCAAAATCAGATCGCAAAAAGTGGGAAAAAACAGAAGAGAAAAAAAACAAGCGACGTTGTGCATTACCTCGTCGACTCTTTTAAAGTGATCGACCACGGAGAGCAAAACTAACGGGTGGACGACGACGGAGTCGAAGTTTGATTTACTCGCGCTCGCACCGCTCGTCGTCTTTGTTTCCTTCTCGTCGTTGGCTGAATCCACGTCTTTCATCTCTCTTCTCTCTCTTGTGACGAGTGCAGAAAATTTTCTCCTCGTGTCTTTCACGTACACAATTAGGTTTTAATACCCTAAACAATTTATTTGCAAAAATTTTTCAAAAGAAAAAAAAACAACCAAGTGACAGCACAAAAATCATCGATTACATCTACTCACTACTCGTTGTCTCTTCTTCTTTGTTTTTCGCTCTCTTCTGTTCGAGAGAGAGAGAGAGAAGAAGAGAGAGAGAGAGAGCGTTTGTTGGTGTTTTTGTGTGTGTTTGTTTTTGGTGCGTTGAAAAGTCTTATTATTAAGAGATAGAGAGAGACCGATTGGAAATTCGATTCCTGAGACATTCATCAGCCGCCGGGTTGGGTGTTTCTCTTCTGTTTTATCGAAAGTATTTTAAAGGAATAAAGAAAGAGTAAGAATGGGTGTCCCGGCGTTTTACCGATGGCTCTCGGTGAAATACCCGAAAATCATCGCCGACGTCGTAGAAGATGAAGTCGTGGATATCAACGGGAATAAAGTGTTCGTGGATTCCTCGAAATCGAACCCGAACGGGCAGGAGTTTGACAATCTGTATCTCGACATGAACGGGATCATCCACCCGTGTTTTCACCCGGAGGACCGACCGCCACCGACGACGGAGGAGGAAGTGTTTTTGAACATTTTCGAGTACATCGAGAGATTGTTTCTCATGATTCGACCGAGGAAGGTTTTATACATGGCCATCGACGGCGTCGCGCCGAGAGCGAAGATGAATCAACAGAGAAGTCGGAGATTTCGAGCGGCGCAAGAAGCCGAGGAGAAGAAAATCGAAGAGGAAAAGTTGAGAGAGAAATTAAGAAGAGACGGGATCGAGGTACCGCCGAAAATTGAAAGCGGCGTTTTTGATTCCAACGTGATTACTCCGGGGACGCCGTTTATGGGACGATTAGCCGAAGCGTTAAAATTTTACGTGCGAAAGAAACAAAATACAGATAAAGGGTGGAAAAACATCAAAGTTATCGTGAGCGACGCGAGCGTTCCGGGAGAAGGCGAGCACAAAGCGATGCATTACATTCGGCAACAGAGAGCGTGTGCGAATGGCGGCGGGTACGACCCAAACACGCGACACGTGGTGTACGGTTTAGACGCCGATTTAATTATGTTGGCTTTAGCGACGCACGAACCGCATTTTCATATTTTACGCGAAGTTGTCTTTCAACAGAAACCAAACGAATCGGCGCAAAACGGGGGCGCTGGTGCGATCGATAAAAACGCGAAGCAAATTGCAATCGCGAGGAAACCGTTTCAATTATTATCGGTGACCATATTACGGGAATATTTGGCGTTAGACTTGAGTCCGCACGTTTTACCGCAGACGTTTACCATCGACCGCGAACGGTTATTCGACGATTTCGTCTTTATGTGCTTCTTCGTCGGGAACGATTTTTTACCTCATTCGCCGACGTTGGAAATTCGAGAAGGCGCGATTGATTTATTGATGACCATTTATAAGCAGGAGTTGGGGAATTTAGGCGGACATTTAGTCGAAGACGGAACGCCGAATTTACGCCGGGTCGGACAATTCGTGCGAGCCGTGGCGCAATTCGAGGAACAGATTTTCCAAAAGAGAGCGAAACGCGAGGCGCAGATGCGTTCGAGAAGGAAACGCGAGAAAGACATGTCCAGACAGTTTTATAAGAAGAACAATCAAGGCAGTTTGGTTGGTAAAAGTGCTTTGGGTGGATCGATAAACGCGTCCGATCGCGCGCCGGCGTATATCGCGGCAAACACGAAAGGTGTGAAACGTAAATCAGCTCAATTTGCCGAGGTGAAACCCATTGGGAGAGACGCCGAGGCGAATGTTTCCGCCGCGGCCGCGTTGAAAGCGAAGTTGTTGGGAAAGAAAGTCGCGTTGGAATCTGAAAAAGCGTTAGCGAAAGAACAAAAAGAAGAAGAAGAAGAAGAAGAGATCAATGACAAAGGGAAGAAGAAAGCGAAAAGTACAACCAAAGTTAAAGAAGAAGAAGAAGAAGAGAAAGACGAGACCAAGAACAGAGTCAAAAACGCGAGCGATTTGTTCAACGAAATCAAGAAAGAAGAAGTCAAACAGGAAGGCGAAGATTCTGGATTTGAATCCATCGAAACCGACGACGACGTGCCGTTTGAGTTTGTCCAAGCAACCGGTGCGGACGCGAGGCCAGGAGATTGGCGGTGTCCGTCCGGTTGCGGCGACATGCAAAAAACGCGCAAATCGTGTTTTCGATGCGGATGTCCGAAACCGTCGGAAATCCCTCGGTTGAAAAAAGGCGACGCGATGGAAAAAGCGGTGTTTTTGAAACAATTGGACGAGCTGTTGGAGAAGAAGAACGATCGCGAGGACGAGATGGAAGCGGATAACATTCGATTAGGGGAAATTGGATGGAAAGAACGGTATTACGACGCGAAGATGGGGTCGCACGATTTAAACTCGCGACGAAAAGTTGTTCGAGGCATGGTGGAAGAGTTCATAAGAGGTTTACTGTGGGTCTGTAAGTACTATTACGAGGGGTGTTGCTCTTGGGGTTGGTTTTATCCGTACCATTACGCGCCGTTCGCGACGGATATGGTGGATTTAGAACTCATCTCCACAGAATTCGAGCTTGGAAAACCTTTCAAACCGTTCGATCAGTTGATGGGCGTGTTACCTGCGGCTTCCGCGCACGCGTTACCTCCGGCGTTTTACCCGTTGATGACGGATGAGGACAGTCCAATCATCGATTTCTACCCGAAACATTTTGATTTGGACATGAACGGCAAACGCTTCGCATGGCAAGCAGTGGCACTGTTACCGTGGATCGATGCCGACCGTTTACTCACGGAAACACGAAATTTGGATTGCACGTTAACGCCGGAAGAAGCGAACCGAAACACGATCAACATCGAGCTCTTATACGCGCACGAACAACTTTCAATTTCCAAGTGCATGTTGAAAATCGCCAACGTCGCGTCGAAAATTGACGACGAGGATATTCGCGAAAAATGTGCGCTGAAAATCCCCGCTGCTGATGCCGACGGCGCGTGTGGTGAAGTGCTCCCTTTGAAAACCTTGGACGGCGATTGTTGCCCGAAACAGATCGAGTCGCCGATGATGCGCGAAGAGAATATCAACGAGAATAGGGTTGTTTGCGCTCGGTATCGATTAGGCACGACGAAAGTGCCGCCGAGGTTGTTGGAAGGTACGGTGTTACCGAAACCTATATTAGACCAGAGCGACGTGCCACCACCACCAAAACTCTTCATCGAAGATTCTCGTTTGCGCGTGAACGTCGTAAGAACGAACGGGAACTCCGCCGGTTTGAACGACGCCGGTAAACGCATCCTCATGCAGTCTTTGCAGATGCAACAACGAGGAGGCGTCATGATGCCACCGCAACAACACGGCGCGTATCAGCAACCTCCCCCGCAATACTACCAGCAAATACCACCAAACCTGGCGTACGCTCAACCACCACCACCACCGCCGGGTACGGGAGGCGCCGCCGCCGGATACTATCAACAACCGCCTCCCGGAGGAGGATACGCGCCCGGCGGTAATCGATTCGCGGCGTTACGAAGACCTCCACCGCCACCGCCTCCACCCGGTAATTGATACCAGTAATAAGAAGAAGAAGAAGAACAACAATTAGTGAACATATTATTCCATTTTATTAGATGCATTACGCGTGTTGCTTTTAAACATCATCGATCGTACTACTGCGTTTTATTAAAGATTCTCTCCCTCATTTTCAAATGCGACACAACAACAATAACAAACAACGCGAATAAATACTCACAACAACACGTACTAAGAATAAATAAATAAAGAATGCGGTACGTCTCCACCCGAGGCGGCACTCATAAGTGTTCCTTACACGCCGCCTCCTTATTGAATCTCCCGAACGACCAAGGTTTGTTCGTCCCGCAGATGATTCCGAAACTCAATCGCGCGCAACTGAAACGCCTTCGCGGTTTAGGATTTGAAGATTTAGCGTTCGAGATTCTGCGCTTATTCATCACCGAAACGGACGTTCCGAAAGAGAAGTTACGGTCGATCGTGAAGAAGTGTTACAAAGGGTTCGAGGAGAGCGATATCGTGGTGCCTTTGGTCGTTTTAGACGAAGATAGTGATGATGATGACGATGAGAAGAAGAAGAGTAAAAAGAGTAAAAAATCTTCCGAAACGAAAGTGCAAATTCACGTGGCGGAGTTATTCCACGGACCGACGCTTTCGGTGAAAGATATTTCGCTCGCGTTCGCGGTGCAGATGATTGAGTTTTTTTTGAGCAAAAAACACGAACGCGCGAACGTGATCGTAGCGACGACGGGAGATACCGGGCCGGCAACGCTGGATGCGATTGAAAAGTTCGGGAACAATCGCATTGATTGTTGGTGTCTGTACCCGAGCGGGAAGATTTCGAAAGCGCAGGAAAGGCAGATGACGACGAAGAGAGGTGACAATGTGAACGCGATTGAAGTGAAAGAGTGCGAAAGAGGGTGCGACGATATCGACGACGTGTGCTCGAAGATCTTTGCGGACGAGGAGTTTGTGCAAAGGAACGGGATCACGTCGTTGAATAGCTGTAACATTTTGAGGATTTTAGCGCAACTGCCTCATTTTTTTTGGTGTTATTTTAGAACCATGCACGGGAAGACGACAGAGGAGGAGATTGAGAACCACACGATGACGTGCGTGGTGCCGACTGGGGCGATGGGACACGCATTCACCGCTCAGCTAGCTCGAGAGATGGGTTTGCCCATGACGGAAGTGGTTTTAGCGACCAACGCGAACGGAGCTGCGCACGAGATTGCGATGACTGGTGAGATTGTAAAAAAGAGCAAAGCAGAGAAGACAGTCGCGTCGGCGATGGATTGCGTGATGCCATATAACTTGTGGCGAGTTGTATATTATTGCGCGGAAGGTGATACCGAAATTTTACGGAGGATTCAAGATACGTACGAATTTTACGGACACGCGACGTTGCCGAAGAAAGTTTTGAGAAATTTCAGAGAGACATTTTTGACCGCGGAGGTGTCGGATTACGACACTTTTGAGAGCATGAAATATAACTTGGACGTGCACAAATACTTGGCATGTCCGCACACGGCAGTAGCTTTACATGCAGCGCAATCGATGGGTTTGAACAACCACGACGGTGAAAATGCTCTCGTCGTTCTGGCGACGGCGCATCCGGGCAAATTCATAGACGCGGTTCAAACAGCTCTCGAGACGGAGGATGTTCCGAAAATGGCAAAACACAAAACCCTCGAAGATGCGAAAATGTCTTTCCAGCGCAAACGAGAGACGAACTTGGAGAATTTAGAGATTGCTTTACGAACCGATATCGATGCGACGTCTCGAGCCAGACGAGGCAGGTACGTCAATTTGACCAAAGAGAGAGCGGCGGGAGTTCTACACGAGAAGTATTTGAGAGGCAACGAACCCGCCATTCCATCGTTTTCGGTGAGCAACCAACAAGACGACCAAAACCCAACTAGTAGTAGCCAAATGGGTCAAATTCGTTCCTCGACGACACCGCCGTCCGCGAAAAATGCTGCCGCCGCCCCCGCGAATAGTAGCGCTCGCGCGGATGAAGAAGACGAAGACGACGAAGAAGAAGTCACGTCCAAGAAGAAGAAACCGAAATCCAAAACCAAACAACAACTGGAACTGGAACAACTAAAATGGACGAGATGGACGCGCCGTCTCTCCATCCTCGCCGCCTGTGTCTCCTTCCACCTCGTCCTCCGCGACCCGAACCGCAAAAACGACATACCCTTCGTCGACGCATTCGGTAAAAAAGCCAACGCGTTTGTCGAAGAGAAAAAGAAAGAGATTGAATCTCTTCTCGAGAAGAGAAAAGAGGAAAAGAAACAAAGACAAAAACGCGGGAAAAACGAAAAGAGTGAAACGTTGTTGATCGAACCAAAAGTGTACATCAGGGAAAGAATAGGGAAAGCCAGGCCGCAGAATCCCGCGTTCGATGTCGCTCGGTAATACTATATGCAGTTGTAGTAGGAGAGTAAAAAAAATGAGGGAAATTTTGTCTCGAGTTCCCTACTAAGAGTACCCCACTAATAGTCTTCTCATTCACGCGCATAAACCACACAAAACACCGGCATAAAACGCGATTTCTCTCTCACTCTGTGCGTCAAAACGCGTTCTTTCGAAGAGCGAGACGACGAGACGCGAAAGTGACACCAACAACACAGCAGAAAGAGCACAACGAAAATGGCAAAAAGAAAACGGCGGCGAGATGATGAATCTTCCTCCTCTGAATCCTCTTCGTCGTCTTCGGAGAGCGAAGAAACGGGAGGATCTTCGTCCTCCTCGTATTCGTCCTCCTCCTCCTCCTCTTCCGAAGAAAGAAGACGACGAAAGAAGACGAAGAAGACGAAGAGAAACGACGACGACGTGACAAAGATGAAGGACAAAAAGCTCCTCCAGAGAAGGAAAGATTTGCTGAAAAAAATTCGACTGTATGAACGCGCGAGCGAACGCGCGGCGGATTTCATGAAGAAGAAGACAAAGGAGGAGAATAACGATGGTGATGATCGGGGTTGGGAACGACGAGGAGTACAACGACCGGCGCCGAGACGGTTTCAAAGGCCACCACCGTCGAATACTCACCGCGACGACAGAGGGAGAGGGATCAGAGAATACGAGGGACCGATGGATCGAGAACGGATGGCGACGACGACGAACGAGTGGACGAGAGAAAAGGAACAGAAGAAGAATACGTCGTTTGTGCCGCCACCGCCGAAGAAAATGAGAGCAAACATCGAAGAGCGTGATGATGCGAACAACGACGACGGAGAAGAAGACGGAGAGGTGAAAGAAGAAGGAGAGCGGAAGGAGAAGTTCGTGCCGCCGCCCGGGGAGATGACGATGAAAGCGGCGCCGTACGTGCCGTCTTCGAAACAAAAAGCGGCCAAGACGTGGACGAGACCGTCGGTGAACTTGAATACGAATAGAAACAGAGCGGACGGGCCGAAAATTCCTGAAATCGGGAGCAGAGGATTTACGAGACAACGCTCGGTATCGCCGGGGATACACGCGAAAGATTTGGCGCCGTGGACGATGAGCGAGCCGGCGAAGAAACCCGAAAAAGCGGCGGGAGAGGAGAAAGAAAAGCCAAAAAACATCCCGGAGACGATACCAGAGGAGAAAGAGATAGACGTCCCGCCACCAGCACGGGCAGAAGCAGCAGTAACAGCAGTAGAGGCGGCGGCTAGAGCGCCGAGAAAGCGCGGCGCCGCTCGATCGTCGAAATCTCCATCTCCCGCGCCAGAAGAACAACCACGACGCTCAACGCGCCGCTCCAAAAGCGCTTCCGTCGAACCCCATCCGCCACCGGGACCGAGCGGCCAATCGTCGAAACAAAAAAATGACGACAAAGAAACGACGACTTCTTTGAGCAAACGAACCGTGAAAGAACTCAAAGAAATGTTAACCGCGAAAGGTTTGCCCGTGGATGGTTTGAAAGCCGATTTAGTGCAACGACTACTCGAAGAGTAATACGAATACTACTAATAGACTACTATCACCAATACCCGCTTCTGCTTTAGTAGAGCTTTCCTTCGTTTTTTATGCGCCATTTTTCGAGCGTTTTTGACGTTTTCCACCTTTCCTTCTTGGGGGTCGAATGCCTCACATCAAACAACGGTCCTTTTCTGTTGTACCTTTACACGCGCAGGAGACAAAGACAAAGACAAAGACAAAGAGGACGAAGACTTTTGCATCATCCCTCGACGCTAGGAAAGAGAGTGAGATGATACAAACGATGGAAATGTCCTCCAACGACAACAAAAATACTCCAACGACACGAATCAAATCGCTCGTCTCCGTCTCCGGGTACACCGGGAAAGTTCTGCGCATCGGATGCTCGACTTTGACGACGACGACGAAGCAGCAAAACGAAGAAAACGAAGAAGGAAAGAAGAAGGCTTTTGCCGAGGACGACATTTTGGAGGAGGAAAAAGAGGAGGACATATTCTTAAACGCAGCCGAGGCGGACCGGAAAACAACGTTAAATTTGAATTCCGATCCTTCGAGAGGAGGAGGAGGAGGAGGAGGAGGAGAACAAGGCGGCGAGAAGACGACGACGACGAAAGGGGACGATGCGCAAAAAAACGAGGACGATGAAGACGAAGACGAAGATGACGACGAAGACGAGCAAGAAGAATCGGAAGACGAGACGAACGAAGTGGACGTCGGCCGAGACTGGGCGACGATGCAAATCGTTTTAGACCGGCAACCGCAGGCGGACGCCATGTTGCAACTCTGGAAACGCGATAAAGGAAAGTGGTTGATTGAATCGAAGAAACGATGGAAGAAAAGACACGACGAGTTAACCGCGAGGAGGAAGAAGGAAGATCCGAATTATACCAGCGGGATTGTCGCGGGAGATCGAGCGAGGAGAGCGGACGAGTTGAGCTTTGTGAACCGAGGGAGCAGGGCGATGAACGCCATGCAGAGAGGACAGATAAACGCAGACGCGCACATGGCGGCGTTCGGGAGACCGGTGAAAGTGGCGGTGAATTTAGCGACGCTGACAAAGCTTGGATTTCTGTTAAATGGGAAGAAGAAGATGTTTGTCGTGTATTTAGGGAACGTGTATACTGGAGATTTGACCGAGGAAGGGGAGATTATTTGCGGGTGCAAAGTGGGCAGCTGCGATCGGAGAGTGTACACGAGTCCGTCGGCGTGGGCGATTCATTGTAAACGGAACGTGAATCCATCCAAAAAAGCAGACGACGGTTGGAAATCCGCTCGGTACGGCAATCCAGAAGGGTACGCGTTGGAACATTTCAAAGGCGTGTACGACGCGTGGCGACGAGGCATAGATTTGACAGACACACACGGCGCGGGAGCGGTTGCGAAGAAGAAGGAAGAGGAGGAGGACGACGACGACGACGCGGATATGGTCAACGACGCGGCGAAAGAGCCGGATAGTTTAGAAAAGAGACAAAGAGATGCCGCAACAGCGGAGAAGGCGTTCGTTTACCCTTTACCGGAAGGGACGCATTACGAGCCGGACGACGAGGACTCCGAAGAAGAAGAAGAAGAGAAGGACGACGGCGATGACAAGATGGACGTAGACGATTGAAGAGAGTCGAAAGCATTAGCGAGCGAATGATGGAAAAGAAACGAACGAACGAAAGTACCCGTATTTTTTCCTCAACTCAAGACTTGTAATAATATTGATATTATAATATGGTTTTTATATATAGTAACTCACGATACGATGCTTGCTCTTACGCGCTTCTTCGTATCTCTTTCTTTCTCTTTCTTTCTCTCTCTCTCTCTCTCTCTCTCTCCTTCACACACACACACACACACTCACACACAAACACTGTTTTCACGCAGTGCATTAATTGTGCTGAAATCGACACGCGTCGCCTCGATCGCACCTCCCTTCTTGGAACGCGTAACACGTGCCGGAAGCTTTCGGCGGGGCGGCGTTTTTATCGTGAGCAAATCGACACGAATCGCCTCTCGTGCACTCACCCTTCAAAAACGCAAAGCAGACGCCACCACCGCCGCCACCGCCACCGCCACCTCTCGACGGCGGTCGGGAACCGCCACCTCCGCCTTCTTCGTGCGAGAACTTGCACGAATCGCCTCTGGTGCACTCGCCTCTTTGATGCGCGTAGCACACCGGAGCGCCGCCGCCGCCGCCCCCGTACGTCGGTTCAGACCCGTGCGAAAACCTGCAATTCTCTCCTCTGGTGCACTCGCCTCTTTCGTACGCGTAACACTTCGGCTTATCTTCTCCAAACCTCGCTTTCTTCGCCGTTTTGCACGCCTCGCATCTCGTTGGCTTGTTTTCCCACCCTTTCGAAGCGTAAAACTCTTGCTCGCCAGAGGTAAACACAAAGTCTTCCGCGCAGTCTCGGCAGGATAGCGTTTCGTCTTCGAACGTGTCCAAGACTTTCCCGCCGACTATTTGCTTGTCCGACTTTTTGTGCACTTTGAAATCGCCATCGTCATCTTCCTCGTCCTGCGTAATAATAAGAAAATTTTTGGTGTTAGTTTGGTAAAACAGGGGAAAAGGAGGGTGGCGGCGGCGCCTCTTTCTCACGAAATCAATCTAATCTCTCTCTCGTTTTAATCACTCTCGCGTCAAGAGAGAGAGAGAAAAGACGTCGACGAGCGCGACATAAAACAACGAATACTGCGTACCTTCTTCGTGTCCTCCTCCTTAGTATTCTCGATGGTCGCAGGTTCCGGCTCTTTCCTTTTCTTCTCTTTCTTTTCTTTCTTTTCTTTCGAGGGAGATCCCGTGGGAGATTCAGAGTCTTTCTTCTCTTTCTTTTCTTTCTTCTCTTTCTTCTCTTTCTTTTCTTTGGACATGATCTCAGGTCTTTGTCTTATATTCTTTGTCGTTTGTGTTGGTGTTGCCGCGTAGAGCTGTTGTGTCGTGTAATCAAACAGAGCGATTACAATGCGGCTTGAGAGGTGTTTGTTGAACCAAATTCGGCGTCTTGTTGTTTAGGGTATTTTAAATTGAACGAAAGCGAGCGAGAATAGTACTACGTGTGGCATATGCATACGCTGACAGTATTTTACAGCACAGTATTTTACAAACGCAGCAAATGACTAATAATATTTTCATCATACGGTGGGATATTCCTCCATTTTCGTCGTCTTCTTTTTCGGTTCTGGAAAGTTAATCTCGAGCCACGCGTCGGATCCTTTCTGCGGCACTTGGTCTTCTTCGCCTTTCGCGATTTTTTTTTCGAGAAGTAGGATATCGCCGACGCGCCAATCGTTTGCGTCCTTTTCCACGAAGCTTCCCACGCCGAGCGGGTCGCTTTCGTCGTCGTTTACGTCGTCGCTCGTTTTCATCTTCGCGAACAAAAAGCGCACGCCTTTCTTGGAAGAAGAAGAAGAAGAAGAAGAAGACTTTTCGAATGTAACGGGACCTGTTACACCTGTACGAAGCGCGTGGCAGACGTACGTTCCGGGCCAATCTTTATCTCCGCCAAACGCAGCCGCCATCGCATCCGTATCGAAATGGAATTGCAACCCGTTTTCTGAAACGGAAAGGACGTCTATACTCGTCGAACACCCGACAATATTTGCGTGAAGCCCGCCTCCGGATCTGTACGTCGAGCCGGGAAGTTTATGCAGATCTGTGTCCGGCCACGTGACTCGAATAGACCTCGCGTCGTCAATCGGCTGCGCGAAAGCGCGTCCCCACGCGACTTTATCACAACTCAAAGGAACGTCGTGCCACTGGCCGTCCGAGCGAAGCGCTTTGACGTTAAAACATAAGCTCTCGTAAAGCGCGTCCGTGTGTACGCCACAAACTCGAATTCCGACGTTGGATTTGTCGAGTACAAACTCCACGTCGAGTTCTTTCCACCAGTGACCGACTAAACCTGCGTTTCCAAATCGAATCATTTCCCCGGGCAAGTTCCACCCAGTTTGCGAGTGCGTTTTATACTCAGAGATACTGAGAGGAAAAGTAAGAGGTGGCATGGCGTGCGATTCGCTGTAATTCAACAACGTCACCGTATCTCCAACTTCCCAATCGTTCTCTTTGGCGTATCCAGCCGGGTTCCAACACCCAACCCCTTCGCCCTTTGGACCGCCCCAAACGCAAATGGCTTTGTTTCCATCTTCTGTCCCGTTCCTTCTCGCTACGAACGACGCTCCAGAACCGCCTTTTATTTCCTGCGTCTTATACGCTTCCGCATCTTCGCACGCCCACTCGCCGACGACGTTTGTTAAATCGACCATCTTGAATCGGAAAAACTTTCCTCTCGGCTCGTTCTTTGCCGGATCTGGAAACTCGACGCTCGTCACTTTGAACTCCGGCGCGATGGCAACCACGCGGCGTCTTGGAAACAGAAATCTTTCTCTGATGTCATCATCGTCATCATCTCGTTCACGAACACTATTACTACTACCATTATTATTATTGTCAATATTAGTATCAATAGTATTATCATTACTATTTTTACTTCCAACATTGCTCTCATTCATCACGAGGAAACGCAGCGCGGCGTCTTTCACGTGCTGCTCGATCAAATCTCGAATCGCAAAGTTCGGCGCGATATCGTCGACATCCATTCGCGCGGATGGATTTAACGGGTCCGTCCCTCTTTTTTCCACCCATTCCTGAAGCGCTTCTCGCTCGTACGTTCGCCCAGATTTCACCGACAAAGCTGGCTCTTTCATAACTCTCAGCGTTATCGCGCATATGAATGATTCGGGAGTACCATCGATGAACTGTTGAGAGTCTTCCAAAGCAGATGGGATTATAAGCGCGGGTGGCCACTTCATTTCTTCTGAAGTTTTGTTTTGTGCGTGGGTGTCGAAATCCCCTAAAAATAGCTAAATATTATAATATTAATATTACAATCGACAGCCGTGTCGCATGGTTGGCCTTCCGTGAGGACAGTTCCACGGCCTCTCCAACGCGGATAAGTTTTGCAAGATTTTCTTCATCCTGCGTCGACTCAAAGGCTGGCCGATCATGATCGACGACCGACAGGCTCTCATGGCGAGCATGTTTCGGACTTTACTCGGACGGAGGACGGTTTTAGTACTACCGCCGGCATCGGCGGCGGAGTTTTTTAATAAACCGACGGAAAGTTGAGAACGAACTGGGACGGCGTATTCTCCCTCGTCGAGCATTGCGACGAGTTCGTGGACGTCCGAGGCGTCGAAGACGGTGTCTTTGCTAAACGGGACCGCGGCGAGCGCCAAGCGAGAGGAGGAGGATTCATCGCCCGGAAAGTTGGGAGGAGATGTTGCAACGTCACAAAACCCAAACCCGTTCATTAAGAACGTCTTTTCGTTCGATCTCGCGATCTGTTCCTCCGCCGGTGACAGTTCCAACCGTTGCGGTTGAATCAACGGTTGCTTGTTCAACGTCGTCGTTTTTTGTAGTCGCTCGAAATTGTAAATCTCGTCGCTGGCGTGTTGATCGACGATGAATATATCGGTATTGTCGCGAACGACAATGATGAAGCCGAGATTGAACTGTCCGACGACGCGAACGTTGGCAAACTCGGATTTATCGAACCGCCGGATGAGCGCGTTGGTTGCCGCCGCGTTATCTTGGTTGTGTAAAGAAGCTTCTTTCAGCAACTCGGCATCCGCGGAGGCTTTTTTCTCCCTTTCGAGCGCTAAACGTTTCTCTCTTTTCGCTCGTTTCAACCTCTTTACGCGAACGACATCGATATTAAACTCGACTTCTTTAAGCGTTTGCTGTTGTTGTCGTTGCTGTTGAGCGTTTCGATGCTCAAAGTTATTTTCTTTCTCGCCGTCTGCGTCGTTTTCAATTATTTCATTCTCCTCCGCTTCGGTCGTCGCGTTTAGATCATCGATTACTTTGCGCTTCTTCGACGAAATTTTACCCGCCATCGTCGCTTTCATCGCGAATGGGTCGAAATCTGCATCCATAATTTCGTCTTCGTCGTTTTCCGAATCCGACGGTAACATCACCGCGCGTTCCTTGTATGTCTCCGGTAACGATTGAAACTTGGTCTCCGTGTTTTCAACCGCGGCGATTTCGGCCGCAATCTTATCGATAACGGCTGTGTTTCTCCTTTGCGTGGCAGGTATAGCTTCTCGAGTGAAACCAAAGGCTTGCAAATCTGTTTGCTGCTGCTGTTGTTGTTGTTGCGTCGAAGCGTCGGCGGAAACTCGCATCGGCTTCTCCTCTTTGACTTGGATCGGCGGCATGGGTAACGCGCAAGCGATACCTTCTTTTCCTTGTTCTCCATCGCTGTCGTCAATCACTTCAAACTCATCGGTATCAATCATCATCGCACCCTTCATCGGGCCATCAATCAACGCGTCTGCGGGCGTCATCGGCAGCTGCGACAGGTCCACCCCGGTTGCTCTAAAATTCCTCACGAGACCATCCGCCGACCCTCTTTCTCCGTTCCCGCCAACCGCGCGTTCGAACGCTTTCTTGATCCCGTTCCTAAAGTACATCAATATGTCGTGTTCGTTCGTAAACATGACCGTTCTCTTATCAGGAGAGACGTTCACGTCCACGAGATGTTTCGGCACTTCAAAATTCAATGCGCAGGACGGATAATTTGCGTTCGTCGTAGTCGCGTTGTACGCGCGAAACGTTTCGTTCAGAGTTTTCGCGATTTTCGGATAATCTACCGGGCGTCCGTTGACGTAAAAGAATTGCCGATCTGCCGAGGCTCGCGCGGAGGTTTTCTTATTTTCGAGACCGGGCAAAGAGACCCACCCTGTACATCGTCCGAAACGATCGTCGTCGTCGTTATCTACATCCTCTACATCCTCTTCTTCTTCTTTTACTTCTTCTTCTAAAATTTCATCCGCGCTCTTCTCTCGCTCTAAACCGATGTCGATTTCAAACACGCTCTCCGCCGTTCTCGCGCCGAAAACCGACGCCACGCGATCGCGGAAACCACCACCACCACCATTTGAAACAGACGCTCGACATTGCAACACCGTTTGCCTGGCGCCGTTTTTACCTTGCTGGTGCGTGGCGACGAATCGACACCCGCTCGTTTCCGAGGCCAACGCGTAGCCTTGTAAAACCCGCAACAACTTCGCGTACTCTTTCGCTTTGTTTCGTTCAAACTGTTTCCGTCTCACCGGTAAGGGATGAAATAACTTCTCAACTCTCACGGTCGTTCCAACCGACCGCGCGCAAATCTCCTCCGTCTCGACGTCGCCGTTTTTATCAAACGTCACCTTCAAGCCTTCCTCGTCGCTCGAAGTTCTCGTGGTGATTATCAATCGCTCGCACGTCCCACACAAGGACGACAACGCTTCGCCTCGAAACCCAAACGTATCCACCCCATCCTCTAAATCCGTAAACGTTCTCAGTTTCGACGTCGCGTATTTCATCGTCAACATCTTCACGTCCTCTCTCGCAACTCCGGAACCGTTATCGCTCACCTCGACGGATTCCAATCCAAACTCTCGCATTCGAATTTCCACGTTCGTCGCCCCGGCGTCTGCGCTGTTCTCGATGAGTTCTTTCGCACACGAGGAAATGTCCAAGATGACTTGGCCGGAACATATTCTGTGCACCGACGAGGGGTCGATCGATTGAATAGTAGCAGTGCGAGTGTTCCTCATCCTTGTGTGTGTGTGTGCTTTGTGTGATATAAAATGCCGTCTTCGTTGTTTTTTCCCAACAAGCGAGAGAAGAAGAGAATTTTAAAAAAATTTCGTTGAGTCATTTAGGGTCTTAAACCCTAAAAGGCAGCGAGGTTTTTGTCTCTCATTAGAAAAAGAAGGAGATCCAATTTCATCAGATTTTATTCGTCGGTGTTTGAGATATCACGCGTATAAAATGGCAGGCCCCACGGTGTACCACGGCGTGGCGCAAAAAGTCTACCTCGTGAAAGAAGCCGTCATCGGGATGTCCTTAGGTTTAGTCGCCGGGGCGGTTTGGAAGTATTCGCACTGGGAAAGACGAAAGGAAATTCAAAGCTATTACGACAAGAAATCATCCAAATGATCTCTCTTTTCTATTCGTGGTAGTATTATGCGCGCGTGGTGCGTGGCAGAGAAGGCGTTGTTGAAAATAGAGAGAGGTTGTGATCGAATAAAACACTACAGTTGTACTACTAATACTACGCGTTGTTTCGCGCGTATTCTTCGTTATTGTTATTAAAAGAAAGAGAATGATGGAAGGGATAAAGCCCCCCTTATGTGTGAAAATAGACTTTGTTTGCGAGAAAAGAGAGCGAGACGAGAGACATCTTCTTTTCAGCGAAACTGCACTCATAATACTCTATTAGTATTATACTCGTATTACTACTACTAAAACTACTACTTGCGTCTTCTATTCGTGGCGACGTGTTTCCTTTCGTTTGGATTCTTCTTGACGTTCCCGCCGCCGATGCTTATGATCGTCTTTTGCGCGTCGCCGACGTGTTTGTATTCGCCGTATTTATCCTCGCTAAACTCGCAGTTGAACACGTCTTCGGTTTTCTTGGAGATGTTGTTCAATTCGCGCTCTTTTTTGGTGATTTTACGTCCGATGAGTTGATCTTCGCGGAGGATGGGTTCCATCTTTTTACCCGTTCGGCCGGATTTAGGCATCGGGATTGAATATTTCGTGCCTTTCAAGACGTGTTTGTTTCGGACGCCGTAGTGTTCGGCGCCGTCCGAGCCGGTGAATTTTTCAACCCGTTCCAAGGCGTTGTTGCCGCACTTTGGGCAGAAGACGCGTTGCGTGTTGGCAGTGACGGTTTCGCACGCGTGGCAACGCAAGACCCATCGTCTGACTTCTTTCACGCGCATGCCGTCTGGGGTGAACAGTTTCAAACCGAGTTGTAAGATGACGTTTTGCATGGCGTAATCGGCGGTGACGACGGAAACGAGAGATTTTTGCCGTTTTTGTTCGTGCTTTTGTTGCTCCTCGGTCAAGATTTGCGTTTTCTCCGTGTATTGACTGAGCGCGTCGTCGTCGTTTCCTTCTTCTTCTTCTTCATCGTCGTCGTCTTCGTCAGTGTCTGGAATCTCTCCCGGTTCGGATTGAAAAAAGGAGACGCCGGCGTTTTCGTCCACGCCTTCATCTCCTTCTTCTTCTTCTTTTTCTTCTTGTTGTTGTTGCATCTCTGCGGCTATTATTTGTTCTCGTTCTTTTTCTATTTCATCCTCGCGCTCTCTGTTTCTTTGTTCTCGTTTCATTCTTCTAACTCGCGTGGTTCTAGAAATCGCAGGTTCCCACTCGTCGTCGTCCTTGTCGTTCGCGCCTTCTTCGTACGCCGCTTCTTTTTCTTCTTCTCGTTCTTTCTCGTCCCCGTCGTCTTTCACTAAACTCTTCGCCTCCAACCCTCTCTGCAACAATTTCTCCTTCTCCAACGCAATCTTCGAGAACCGTTCGGAGACGTCCTCCCCAACCACTAACTTTTTCTCCATCCGTTCCATCTCCGCGTTCATCTCGTCCAATTCTTTCCAATCCTCCGCGTTGCTCACGAAATCCCATCCCGGAAGCGGCTTCGCGCCCGTCTTGCTCGCTTTGCGTCGATATTTCCTCGCCGGCGGCGGAACCGTCCGAATGTGACTCAAATCCCCATCGCACTTCTCTCTCTCTAACTTTAACGCTAACGCGATGACGTTAACATCTGGTTCCGATAACTGCCCAATGTCCCCCGTCAATCGCGCGAACCGTTTCACGAGCGACACCGTCTCCTCGTCCGCTTCCGAGACGCGCAACCGCTGCCAATTCGGGTCGTTTTGCAGCCTCATTCGCGCGTGTTCGTCTTTAATTTCCTTGAGAACTGCCGACGTCGTCACCAACTCTTTGAATAGCAATTCTCCCCCCTCCACTTTGGTGCTTTTTGAGGACAAATTGCTCAAGTTTTGTCCTTTCACGATGGCGTTCGCGTCGACGACGCAGATGGTTTCGTTCGGGAGATTTCGAGGTGGCGGACGAAACGTTTCTGCGTCGAAACGTTTGAGAGCGGCGTTCGGGTCCTCTCGCTTCGCCGCGAGAGCGACCCACGGGGAGGTGGACATTATTATTACGCGCTACTGCTGTACGGGCTTTTTTCGGATGATGCTTAGTGTGAGTATTCGCGCACCGACGAGCGCTGTGTTGAAGTGAAGAGTTTTTTGTGGCGGCGGCCGAGAAAAAACGTGAGAGAAAAACGAACAAACAACACTTACGAACGAAACAACGCATCTGAATTAAAACTCTTACTATATCTCTCTCTGACACGTGCAATTGAAATTGTGCGAATCCGTTCTCGCCGTTGTTGTTGTTGTTTTTCTTTATCCTAGTACTTTTTAATTAAATTCTTTCTCTTCTCGTCCTCTTACGTTTTCGCGCGGTTACTTGCTTCCGGATACGGCGATTTCGGTGCCGTTTTGGATGGAGCCCCAACCGATGAGACGCCAGTGCTTTTCGATTCTTCTAGAAATCGCGACTTTTTCGCCCTCTTTGGTACACACCGGAGAGGTTAATTGCATCTTTGCCAAATCGTTCTTGACCGCGACGACTCTCGCGCCGGTGCACATAGATCCAATGTTCAACATCAACACTTCGCCTTTGCTCAACTTGGAGACTTTGCCGGCTTTTTCCGAGCCTTGCGTCTTGACGCCTAAAAGTCTTCTCAGTAAGAAAAAGTTCACCTCCAATTCGGTGAATACGGACGGCAAGCATCCGACTTGACCAAGAACTTGACCGACTAAGCGATCGGCTCTGGTTAAGGTTGGATCGCACGTTGTGCCGACGCCGATTAAACCGCCCGGGACGGCGTATTGCAACAAGTTTTGTTCGGCGAATAAGGAGACGATTCTCGTTTTGATTGGCGTCGCGGTTACGGCACCTTCCGCATCTTTAGAGACAATCCCTGGTCGGATTTCCACCTCTTGTCCAACTTTTAAAACGCCTTGTAAAATGGAACCACCGGCGACGCCGCCTTGAATGTCGTCTACTTCCGCGCCCGGTTTGTTCACGTCGAAGGATCGAATGACAATCATATTCGGCGGGGACGTGAAATCTCTCACCGGAACTGGAATCTTCTTCACGATGTACTCGCACACCGCGTCGATGTTATACTTCAACTGCGCAGAGATTGGCACAATCGGCGCTCCGTCTGCGATGGTCCCTTGAATAAACTTACAAATTTGATCGTACTGATTCGCCGCGGCGTTTTCTTGAACCAAATCGATTTTGTTTTGCAAAATGATGATGTGTTTCAATCGCATAATCTCCACCGCGGCTAAATGCTCGCTCGTTTGCGGTTGCGGACACGTCTCGTTCCCGGCGACTAGAAGTAACGCCCCGTCCATAACCGCGGCGCCGTTTAACATCGTCGCCATCAGAATATCGTGCCCCGGGCAATCGACAAAAGAGACGTGTCTAATCAGTTTCATCTTCTTATCTTCAAAATCTTTCACCAAACAATCCGGATCGTCCGGTTTCGAACTCGAATACGCGCAATATCTGTCCGGTCTCGGACATTTCGGATCTTCGCACTCGTATATTTTCGCGTTCGCGTACCCGAGTTTAATCGTAATGTTCCTTTCCAATTCGTTCTTAAAACGAACCGTCTGCACGCCGGAAATAGCTTTCACCACCGTGGACTTCCCGTGCGCGACGTGTCCAATCGTCCCGATGTTAATCGTCGCCTGTCTGGAGATGATTTCCGGCGATAAAGGGTTCAGCGAGGAAATGTCTAGTTTAGTCAAGTCTTGCACCGATAACCCGTCCTCTCCTTTCACGTACACCATACTTTTTTCTTCTTTCGTCCTCGTTGGTTCTGTTGTTTTCCCTCTCTCTCTCTCTCTCTCTCTGCTAAAATTCTTCTTCTGATTCTTCTATGCGCTCTTTCGTCTACTTTAAACGTTGTTCTCTAAAACGCCTCTCTCTCTCTCTCTTCAACTCGTAGTCGTGGTATAATATCCCGTCTCCTCTGTCTTCGTCTGATGCGTTCTTTTTTCTCTCTCTTTCGGATGATGAAATTCCAACAAAAGCAGCGCAAAAAACAATACTACGAGAAAGAGGAATTACTCTGCGCAAAACAAACTACGCGGGCCTCCTCTGCCCCGATGCTGTTTTCGACGACGTAATACGCTCTCGCTCTCGTAACAGCAGCACTACGACCGTAAGCGAGAAAATATGATGGGCTCCTCAACGCGGAGAAGAGGCAAAGGTGGTGGTGTTTAATGTGAAGATCCAACCCTACTCTTCTCGGAGGAGACAAAAAAAAAGCGAAGAGAGAAGACAGGAAGAAGAAAAAAGTGTGTGTCTCTCTTTCTCTCTCTCTCTCTCTCTCTCTCTCTTTCTCAATGATCTATCTATCAGTCGCTGTTCTCTTCTAAGCTGGTTGCCGATCCTGGATAAATTTAGCGTATTGTTCGTCCGTCGGTTCTGGGCACCTTTTTTCGAGCAAGTAGTTTTCGCACTCGTGGTGCTCTCTGTAACGAGCCCAAGCGATATAGGACCACAGGTCGAGAGGCACTTTCGCCTCTTCGATTAAGTATTTGAGACAATCGAGTCGGCCATAAAGTGCAGCGTTTCCCACGAGAGCGAACTTTACCACATCAGATATCTTTCTTTCTTCAACAAGATATTTCAAGATGTTTATGCGACCATATCCTGACGCCTGTATTGCCGCTTTCCCCTCCGTATCTCGCGAAGGTTTCACTTTGTCGACAAGAAAGCGAAGACAGTCGAGGTTTCCTCCAATAGCAGCTTGTTTACACGACTTTTCTTCATCACACGGGCAACCATTAGAGAAGCAGTACTTCAGCATCTCGAGATTACCTATATCTGCTGCCACTTTAATCGTACTTTCATCCCACCCGCAATGTTTCACTTCTCTCGCCCACTCGAGGAACTCGAGTTTGTTCGTTTCAGCAACTTGCCTGCAAAACCAGGCTTGATCTACCACGTTTCCTTGAGTATCTTTCTCTCCCCAATCCATGTGATTCCACGCCCATTCCAACGTTGAAATTGATGAACATTCGTAAACACTTGCACTTAATCCCGATACGTTTACCCCGGCATACTTAAGCACATCACAACTCTCTCTATTCACGCTCGCAAAGAAACACCGATCCGTCTCGTTCAATTTCGAAATCACATGCGAGACAAACACATCCTTATGATGCAACACCAACCCGGTCCACAACTTGGTCGGCCCAAGCTTTAAACGCTCCAAATTCTCAATATGCTCCGCTAAAGCGTTTTCTCTCTCCTTCCTCTTCTTCCTCTTCTGCGCGCCGGAGAGTCCTTTCCCCATTATTAGTATTATTAGTATTATTAGTATTAGAACAAAGACGTTTTTTTGTTCTGTCGTATTTCTCTCGTATTTGTACTCCATTATTTTTACATCATAATCTCTCTACTTTAATTCGTTTTGCGCTTTGTGTAGTAGTATATTGCCATCTAAAAGAAGTTTAGTGGAAGAAAATGGCAGACACGAAGAAGAGGAAAGATATTTCTTCGTTGGCAAAGAGGAAACCCCGGACGAACGATGAGTCTTTTGACGAGGACGATTTAGACGACGGTAAAATTTCCAACAAAGCGACGAAAATCTCCGATGCGCAGCAACATCAGGTTGAACAAATAGTATTAAAAGCGAAACTGGAATCGAAAGCGAGGTTAAAATATGCACACGCAACTGATAACGAATTGTGCGAACCGAAAAGAGACGGCCCAGAGGTGAACTTTCCAACGAGTAAAGAAGAGTACGAGGAGTTACGGCAACGACATTCAAAAGCGGCGGCGAAAACAACAACGAAAGAAGAAAAAGAAGAAGAAGAAAAAGACGAAGAGGAAACGACGACGACGACGAAATGGGTCCAATCGTACGACCAGACGCAAGAGGAGTTTTATTACTTCAACCCGCAAACGAGAGAGACGAGGTGGGAAGAGCCGGAGGAAACGACGATTAAGATTGTCAGAGACGAAAGCGCGTTGGCGGAACACAAGAAACGAGCGCTGTTCGCGAGCGTGAGTAAAGAAGAGTTGGAGGAGATTGAGCGAGAAGCGAGAGGAGAGATTGGGGGATCCGGACGAGCAAAATCGCCACCATCTCCGACGGGTACGAGCGTCGTCGCGGCAAATGCGCCGCAAATGGGATGGGAGTACGAAGACGATTCTGGAAATTGGCAAGGACCGTTCCAAACGGAACAGTTGCAAATGTGGCGAGCGGCGTTGCCGATGAATTTGAAGGTGAGGCAACACGGAACGACAAAAAAGGAATCTGATGAGTGCACCTCGTTAGCTTTGTTATTAGGTGACGCACATTTAAGGAAAAGATGCGAAGCGTTAGGTGCGGTATTACCGTTGAGATGTACGGCGGTAGAAGCGGAGCAGGTGATGATGGCGGCCATCGCGGCGCGAGATCGAATCGCGAAAGAAAATTTGAACGGGCTAGCCAGCGATGATGGAGATGAATATGACGAAGGAGAAGATAAAAAGAACAACGGCATAGAAAAACTGAACCGATGGGCGCAAGCTGCTTTGGAAGGTTTACCGGAAAACGACCGAATAGAACAAGAAAAAATAGCCATGGAGAACGCGACAGGCGTGCGCTCAAGCGCGCGTATCGACGCGAACGATGAAGGCGAAGACGCGTCGGAACGGTTCGCCTCTGTTGGTACGTATAACAAAGTCACCGGTCGCGTCACCGCCGAGGTCAACGAGCTCCTCCAACGGCGTCGCGCGGCTGGTCCACCCGGCGGCGCCGGCGCAGCGTACCGAAACATTGGTTTAGAAAATTACATCGACCCGGCAAAGATGGACGAGGCCATGAGAGAGATTCAAAAAGCTAGACACCAAAAGTTATCGAGAACGGAAATCGAAAAAAGAAAAGCGCGAAAGAAGGAGATGAAAAAGAAACACGGCGATAACTGGCTCCGCGAAGATTGGGCCGACTGATAGCCGCCTGATATTATAGCACATAGATAAATTTTAGCATACGCGTTTTTAATTGATAAAAATTAAAATAGAAAGTAACAACAAAGCATCGACGAAGCGTTCTGTTGTCTTTCATGTCTTTCGTTGTTCGAATTGTTTTAGAACGAATAAATCTTCACGCCATCATCATCTATGGACGAGGGCGAGGAAGCTGTCGGAGACGAAGAACCACCGCCTCTGTCTTTAAACCTCCAGTAACCGGCGAGCATAGAACCGAGGCAGCTGTGCACGGTGGCGGAAATCGCGGGAACTACCGCCACCAACGGATCCTTCGCGAAGTGTGCCGCGGCTAACACGACGCCCAACGCGGAATTTTGCATGCCGACTTCAATACTCGCCGTTCTCGCGTCTCGACTCGGAAAACCGAAGATTTTCGCACCGATGTACCCGAACATAAACCCAAGCGCGTGTAAACAGATAACTGCAAACAAAATATCCTGTCCGGCACCTAAGATCGCCTCGGAGTGTTTCCCGATGACCGAAGAGCAAATTAACGCCACCGCGCCGACGGCTAACAACGGACACACCGGAGACACAATCCTCGCAACTCTCGGAAAGACCTTCTTCAACGCAAATCCAGCGGTAACTGGCATTACCACCACTTGCGCGACGGAAGCGACCATAGCCATGGAATCAACCTCGATGATCCCAGTCGGCGCGCCTTTCGTCTTGGACGCCGCTACTAACAACGGCGCCATCAACTTGCTCGTCAGAAACGGCGTCGCAAACGCCGCCAAACACGTGCTCAACGTCGTCAACGCCACCGACAAAGAGACGTTTGCGTTCGCCAAAAACGCCACCACATTCGAAGCCGCTCCGCCTGGACAACACCCGACCAAAATCAACCCGAGTCTCGCGCTCTTCTCCAACCCGAACATCTGGCCGACGAAGAACCCGAGCAACGGCATTATGGTAAACTGTAACAAAGACCCGAGAAACACGCGCGCGGACCCTTTCACCGAGAGCATTTGCCTCAACGACCCTTCGTCCAACGTCACGCCCATGCCGAGCATGGCGATTCCCAACGCCGGCGTCACGATTTCCGATTTCGAGAGCGGCGCGACCACAGTTGGGTTAAAAAGCCCAACGAGAGCGCCCAAGACAATCCACAGTGGAAACAAGTTCGCCAGAGTGTTTAAACTCGATTCGATCGAATATCGCAAATTTATCGCGTTCGTTTTCAAATCGCCTCTTCTTTTCCTTCTTTTGTTATTATACTCATTCTTCAACACGCTCGAGGAGGAGGATACGGAGGAAGAAGAAGATGAAAATGCAGTCGTTTTTGCGTTTCGCGCTTTTATGGCGAAAGGAGGTTTTGGGTGCACCCCCATCATCACCAACGCGCGCGTCGTCTTTACTCTTCTCCTTGAAACGCAGAGTGAACTTTTCCCAACCACAAAAGATCCATTCTTAGGACCGTTAGGAGACCACCCGAATCTGTCGCCACCGCATAAAAAACCACCACCAAAACTTTTCCTCGAGGACGAGGAGGAGGATTTGGAGGAGAGCACGCAATTTAAGCATCGTTGTTGCGTGTGCACTGTCGCTGCTGAAATCATCGTCATCATCGCATCGTCTAAATCTCTTTTAAGAGTCGTATTAGTATGGACTCTTTGCTCTTTTTTTCCTTTTGAAAAAAAAAAAGGAAGAGAGAGAGTCAAAAACAGTCAATAGGGTTGGACACCCCAACCTAAATTTCCCGCCTTTTTGAGACCAGACCTTTCTTTCGAAAAAAACTGTTGTTGTTCGTCATCCTTCATTTCTCCAAGACTCTTCTTCTCTTCGTTACCGGCACACACATCACATCTAAAGACCAAGCGGTATCTGATACTACCCGTTTGGAGAGCACGTCACCGTTATTAGAATCACACGTCTGAGCACATCTCTTGGCGTTTTTTACCATTGAACGGAGTAGAAACTGAGTGAGAGTCAGAGAGTAAATTCTGAATTTGTTTTCTTCATCCTTCGTTTTCCCGAGAGAGTATCTACTTCTTCTCTTTCGATTACCTAAACGCGAGAAACATGACGGAGCGAGAGCGCAATAATCGAGAGAGAACGCAACAACAACAACAACAACAACAGATGGAAGAGATTCGCTCGTTACACGCGGCGAGGTTTCGAAACGAACGCGCTTTACCGTTACCGCCGAGGAATCATTCCGTCGTGCAAAATCCAAATCCGCCTCCTCCGCTTCCGAATCAAACGACGACGAGAAGGGAGGAGGAACGACAACAACCGCCGCGAGAACAACAACAAAATCAACAACAACAGAGAACGCATACGAGTGGGATTCCAAATTTTATACCGGGCGCGTTAAACGTTGGGATCGCGATGGCGCACGCGAGGCACGCGTTAGGGAGACACTTGCAGCAGCAGCAGCAGCAAAGGCACCAAGAAGGAACGACTTCTACGCCGCCGGGCGGAGAAGATGTAGAAGAAGATGTAGATGAAGATGTAGATGAAGATATTGAAGAAGAAGAAGAAGAAGAAGACATTGCAGACGAGGAGGTGTTGCCGAAACCGTCGTATCTGACCGACGACCATTTGCTCGCGATGGAGTGCGCCAAGACCGGGAAGGCGCCGGAGCAGTTGGAGAGCGAATATAAAGACGAGGTGTTGGCGAGGAAGTGGCAGATGAAAGAGGCGAGGATGGAAGAGACGAGGCAGAGGAGGATGGTGGAGAGACGACAGGCGCATCAGCAGCAGCAACAACAACAACAACAACAACAACAAGGAGGGTCGAGAGTTCGAAGAAGAGACGAAGTGAACGAAAGGCCCGGCGATTCCGTTCGCCGAAGGCAAACGAGGATCGAGATACAAGTCGGAGGGCCAAATGGACCAGTTTTTCGATCCGTCATGGGTGGTCCGGGTATGATGGATATGCTCGGCGGAAATAGCGGACAGCAGCATCAGCAACAACAACAACAACAACAACAACAACAACAACAACAAAACGGGATGCCAGGCGGCGATCCGTTCTTAGAAATCATGCGAGAAGTGCTCGGACAACGCGCGCCGGGCGAGGCAAGGGAGGACGTTTTGAACGATAACAATCGATTCGAGAGGGCGTTTAGGAACATGTTTCAATCGATAGAGCAGGAAAACGCGGCGACGATGGGTGATGGTGCGATGCCGCCTGGATTTATGCCTGGTTCCATCCGAGGTTTCCACGACTTGTTACGAGCCATGCACGGCTTCGCCGCCGAGCACGCCAACGGAGGCGAAAATTTAGCCGAAGCGCCTTTGACGCAACAACAAATCGACGCCATGGAAATCATTACCGCTAAAGGTGACGAGAATAATGGTGCGTGTGCGAGTTGCTCGGTTTGTTTGTCCGATATTGAAGGCGGAGAAAATATGAAGAGGTTGTCGTGCGGTCACTGTTATCATTCGCCGTGTATAGATACGTGGTTGTTACGATCTCGCATTTGCCCCACCTGTAGACACGACTCGACGAAACCGCCGATGGCAGCCGCGTCGACGGAGGCGCAACGAAGGAGCGACATGGATTAGATACATACATACATACATGGATTAGATACATACTTTACTGCGGGCTACGCTTTAGCTACTATTAGTACAACAACAGAAATTTGCTATTATTCGCCCTTACTTGGATTGCTTGCGCTGCGATTCTTTCTAAGTCCGCGGACGTTTTCTCTTTTCTACTTTCATTTTTTCCCATAGCAACCTTAAATCGTTATCGATCTCAGAGTCCTGCTCCTCTTTTTCTATTTCGGGTTCAACGACGGTGCCGTTCTCCATATCGTCAGAGTCTCTCGATCTCTTATTCGCTGCCGCTTCCATTTTTTCCCTCGCCGCATCTTCCTCCAGTTTCTTCAATCTCGATTTCTTATTCTGAAACCAATTAAACACGTTGCACTCTTGAATGGGGCCGAGCGCGCTCAACTCTTCCGTCACTTGTTTCAATTTTTCTCCCCGCGGCGTCGTCGTATCATTCGCGAAGAGCTGTTCTAAACGCTCGAGCTGTGCTGTCGTCCGTTGCCATCGAACTTTCCCGGGAACGGAATACACTCCAGTGTTGGAGAATATCGAGGCTGGTGTTTTTCGCTCTTTGTGCGGTTTCTCTACTGACTTGGATTCCTTGTCGTCCATCTCGTCCTCGTTTTCATTATCATCGTCGGAGTTGTCGCCATCGTTATATTCTTCTTCTTCTTCTTCTTCTTCTTCTTCATCATCTTCGTCGTCGTCGTCGGATGATGATGCATCTGAATCCGCATATCTTAGAGGATTTGATTTCCGAAGCTTTTTTACTTTCTTCTTTCGTTGCGGTCGCTTCTTTACCTCTCGCTCCTCTTCTTTTACTTCTTCTTCTGCTACTCCTTCTGTCTCTCTGACATCGTCTTTTACGTCTTGCTCTGTCTTCAACTCGCGTTTACGCTTTAATCGACTTCCCTCCTTCCGTGAATTGTTGCGCTTCTTCCTTACTATGGTTGTGTCTCGGTCGATGACCTTGAAGTAAATGCAGTCCTGTATTTTTTCCTTGTACGCCTTTAAAGAGCACCCGAATTTCTTTTCTAGCTCTTTGCGAACCTCCTTGGTTGATATTCGTTTGCCTCCTCCCTCTTTGACTCGTACGATTATCTCGAACACTGCCTCCTTCAGCTCTTCTTCAGTCGGCGGTGATCCAGATTTGCGCGCGCGATGATGACTTCCCCGAATTGGCATGTCATCGTCGTCGTCGTCTTCGCTGGCATCGCCACTGTTATTATTGTTGTTCTTATTATTATCATTATCGAGTTCTTCTTCGGCGGCGGCGGCGGCGGCGGCGGCGTCTTCTCGCTCTTCGCCAACATCCGCACCATCTTCTTTTGGCTTTTCCACGCTCAAATACGAGCCATCGATTAATGCTGGAAATGTTGCTTCTAATTGACTCGTGTACGTCTCTTTGTTCCCGTCATCGACGGTGTCTTTGAGAGTGTGGCCTGCGTCGCGCGCTTTAAGCTTCGCGTGAAGCATGGCGAGTTCTCGAACTCGGTCCAACATAGCTCTCGGGATTTCTCGTTTCTTGTCGCCGCCGGACTTACCAGCGGCTTCTCGTCCAGACGGCGTCGGTAATGTTGCGGTTCGAAGCAAGGTGCGCCACTTGTCCTTCAAATCAACCGCGGTGCGATGTTCAATTTCCGGAAACCCAAGCTTTTTAATATCGGCCCATTTACCGCCGCCGCATCTGGAGACGCCTTCAATCAAAGCCTGAGTTTCGTCTAATCCCCACGGGTTGTGATGTTTCGAACGTCGAGGACCGCCTTGAGGGTTCGGTTCACTACCACACGCGGCGGTGGTTCCGGTTGATTTCGTATTTGTACCGGCGATCGCGTCGTTGCCACCGCCATGCTCTGCTTCGCCATCGTTGTCGTCCATGTCAGTGACTTTCGCAGTGATATCCGCTTGTATTTTTGCGTGTGTTTCAATAACATTTACTATTTCCTTGAAACGCATTGAACCCGGGCTTCCGGGTTCCCAATCGTTCCATTCTTTATCAATAGTAGCATGGTTTGGTGGTGGTATAACCATCCCATCAACTTCGTCGTCTGGGACAATAAAATCCTCAAGATCACTTCCGTCATCTTCAGATTCGTCTACGATTTCACTGTCTTCATCCGAATCTATATCATCTATCATTGTTGTGCACTCGTCATCATCTTCTTCTTTTTCTTCTTCTTTTTCTTCTTCTTTTTCTTCTTCTTTTACTCTCGGTTCCGGTAACTTTTCTTCCAAAGGAGTTTTCTTCTCACCATTTCTCGAGAACAACCGTTTCACCGGCCCTATGATGGATGAAAACCATTTACTAGGGCTCGCGAGCGTTGCTGTCACCTCTTTTTCTTCGTTCCCGTGCCCGATGGCTCCGTCAGCTGACTGCGTAGGAACAATATCGTCGTCGGCGTCCTCCTCCTCCTCCTCCTCCTCCTCCTCCTCCTCCTCCTCCTCCTCCTTCTCTTCCACTTCTTCCTCTTCTTCGTCGTCTTCATCCTCAATATCTGCGTCGGCGTTGACGTCGCCGAGCTCTTGTTGTCTCTCTCTTTCGAGGCGCTCTTCTTCTTTTTGTCTCATTCTCTGTTCGAGATATGCGTTCAGCACGTCGAATCCGTCGCTTTTTTGATTGTTCACGAGCGGTATGCGGTTGACTGGCTGTTCCTTCGATGGGCCTCGCACGGACGGCTGCGATTTGAGGTTTGACTTGATGTACAAATCTTCTTCCGAAGAATGAAGAATGACATCCCGAGTCGTCGTTAAGCTCTTCGGTAACGGTAGCCTTCTTCTATTCGGTGGTAGAGGTAGCACAGAAATCTCCTCCGGGGTTTCTTCTTCTGGAGTTTCTTCTTCTTTCTCTTCTTCTTCTTCCTCTTCTTCTTCTTCTTCTTCTTCTTCTTCTTCTTCTTCTTCTTCTTCTTCTCTTTCTTGCGGCTTTGTGGCGTCGTTTTCTCGTTCTTTTTGTTGAAACCGTTGTAAACGTAGCGGTAACTTTTTATTCGCGAGCGCGTACTTCGTCGCTGGCTTGCTCGGCGAAACGATCCTCATTTTGTGAAGCGTTTCTTTCACGTCGCCTTTGACGCCTCGTGGCGACGACGCCGAAAGCAGTCGCACGTCTGAAATGTCGTCTCTAGGCGAATTGACCGACAGTTTCGTCGTGTTCATTTTTGTCGTCGTCGCTGTCGCTTGCTCGCGTCTTCTTTCTGTTTCAAAAACTGCTTTTAACACTAAGTTCTCTTCCGATTGCGACGATGGCCGCAGAAACGTTTTCAGACTCCTCACGTGTACCGAGCGAACTTCTGATAACCCTTTCCTCTCCGCCTCTTTCACGGTGTCGTCCCTCGTGTTGCCGATAATCTTCCTCGGTTGGATTCTTTTCACGAACGTTTCCAGTTCGCTGTAACTGCTGTGTAAAGAATACGGAACCGATCGGCGAACCCAGTCTGTTTTCTCCTCGTTCGTCATCTTTTCCCGTCGTTCCGTATCCATCTCTTGTTTCTCGTCCTCCTCTCGCATCTGTTCGGTGACGCGCGCCCAGCCCGTCGGACTGATGACCAACGGTCCCCACTCCTTAAAGTTCTTCAACCCGGCCACCAACGGTCCGCACACGTTCTCTTTGTGTCTCCCCATGGCCTTGGGGAGTACGCGCACTCTCGTGCTTTCGTTTTCTCCGAGACTGTTACACACGTACTCTTTCTCAAATCCTAACTTTAACCAATCGTTGTATCGATCTTTGTGCAAATAGACTTTCGATTTCGTCGCTTGGCTCAGCGCTATGACGATGTCTTCTTTACCTAAAGAATCTAACAAAAGAATCACCGGACGCTCCGGCTCGATTTCCGTGACTAACTTTACGATGCGTTCCAAAGCGACAGCTCTGGGTGGATGATCGTACTCTGGATTGTTGTACGTGTTGTCGAGATACAAAACGTCCACCGCTTGCGTTTTCGAATTATCGAGCACTTTCGGCAACGGCGTCGCGTTCTTCAAAGTTGTGTTATTGTTGTTGTCGTACCCGAGGTCCTGGGAACCCGTCGTCAAACTCGGACTGCTCGAAGACCACATCGCAGAAAGTGGCACGTCGTTCAACATGCTAAAAAAATTCTTCCTCAACCCGTTGTTGCTTCCGCTTCCGTTGCTCCCGGGCGTCGGTAAACTCATCCTCTTCCCGCTCGGCAAACTCCCGCTCCAATCTTCCCTCCGGAAATCCCCGGTGTGTAAAACTTTCCCAAACGTTCCTTCGAAGACAAACATCGCGGACCCGGGACAGTGCCCGGCGTCCAAGCAGTACACGTTGAACCTCAAATCTTCTTCTTTCGTGTTTTTCTTATTAGAAACAACCTCGACCACCTCCACGGAATCAAACTCCAACACTTTGACTTTCGATTCCAACCTCGGAAATCGTTTCACCAGTAAAATATTCGTGATTTCCGTGCAATATATCCTCCCATTATTATCGTTCTCGAACGTATCTTCCCGTAATCCTCGCAAGTGATCTTGGTGCATGTGCGTTAGAAAGTAAAACGTTGGGATTTGATGAAGGATGTTGTCGTTGTTGTTTGTTGAGAATGCATTTTTTTTCCCCCAAGTGTCCACGCGTATTTCGAATCTGTTTTCAACTCGTATCGTGCACTCCGAGAGTAACGCACCTCCTCCCGAACCGAGGGCATGAGAAGTAGTAGTGTTGTGACCACCAAAACCACCACCACGATCGTTCATGGTGTTGTTCGTGTTGTTCATCAGCAGAGCGTTTTTTTTCTGGACCCTCGAGGGGTTTTTGGTTTGTGTGCTCACAATTAAATTTTAAAATTTGAAGCAAAAAACGACGTGACCGCACATTTTTCTAATACGAAGAAAAAAGAATAATAAAATAGAGCATAATAGAGCATAATACTCTTTGAGAAAGAAGAAGAAGAAGGAGCGGGTCGTCATGGCGGAAGCTGTGGTAGATGTGGAGCGTTTAAAGCTTGGTCCGACGAAGTTGTGGACGGGATTGGTGTTGCATCATAAGGATGTGTTTGTCTCGCATGTGATTCCGAAATTGAATAGGACAGATCGGTGTTTCTTTTCACTGGTGAATAGAGAGAGTTGGGATGTGCTTCAGTATGCCGGGGTAAACGTATCGGAATTAAGATTGACTGTTGCCAAATGTTCATCGATTTCGACGTTGGAAGTGGTGTGGAATAACTTTCCCTGGGGAGAGAGAGATAAAAGCGGAAGAGTGGCAGATCAAGCCTTGTTTTGCTGGCAAGTTGCTACAACGAGCAAACTCGAGTTGCTCAAGTGGGCGAGAGAAGTGAAACAGTGCGAGTGGGATGAAAGGACGATTGTCGAGGCGGCATGTTTTGGTAATCTCGAGATACTTAAGTACTGCTTCTCTAATGGTTGCCCGTGTGATGAAGAAAAGTCGTGTAAACAAGCTGCTGCTAGAGGACACCTCGACTGTGTTCGATTTCTTTTCGACAAAGTGAAACCTTCGCGAGATACGGAAGAAGATGCGGCACATCAGGCGGCAGGACATGGTCGCATAAACATCTTGAAATATCTTATTGAAGAAAGAAAGGTATTTTATGCAGTAAAACTCGACTGTGTGGCAACCGCTACAAGGTTTGGCAAACTCGATTGCCTCAAATACTTAGTCGAAGAGGCGAGAGTGCCTCTTGACAACTGTCGATACGTCGCTTTCGCTCGGTATTACGAGCAACCCGAGTGCGAAAACTACTTGCTCGAAAAAGGGTTCTCGGAACCAACGGACGAAGAATACGCCGCATTTGTCGAGGAAGAACCCCATCACCATCAGTAGAGAACGTCCACCTTCAAGAAAGAGTTCATCATCGATGGATTGATGATTTAGAAAAAGAGAGAGAGAGAGAGAGAGACAATATTTTGTTGAATAAAATTGAAACACACAGACCCATTTTCTTTCAGAAAACGTCAGTCAGATTCTCTCGTTTAACAGAGCACGCGCAAGAAAACAAAGACAAAGACAAAAGAGAGAAGAGTTCTTCTCACCTTCTTCTGTTGAGCTATTCTATAGTTGTGTCGATCGATATTGGCGATAAAGAAATATGGATTTAGACGGCGTTTTCGACGACGACGACGGCACCGCCGAAGTCCTCAACGATCTGAAAAATTCCACCACGGAGGACGTCCTCGTGCGCGTCCGTTTACTCGAAAACGAAATACGAGTCCTGCGAGACGAAAGCAACCGATTACAACTGGACGTCGGCAGCGAACGAGAACGAGTGAAAGATAACATGGAGAAAGTGAAACTGAACAAACAGCTTCCGTATTTAGTGGCCTCGATCGTGGAAATTTTAGATCTCCAACCGGAAGACGAGGACGAGGAGGCGGACGCGCAAGCGGATTTGGACGCGCAAAGGAGCGGGAAAGCGGTGGTTTTGAAAACAACCACCAGACAGACTATCTTTCTCCCGATAGCTGGGTTAGTAGACGCGAAGGATTTGAAACCGAGCGACTTAGTCGGCGTGAATAAGGATTCGTATTTGATCTTGGATACGCTTCCGGCGGAGTACGACTCGAGGGTGAAAGCGATGGAGGTGGACGAGAAACCAGTCGAGGATTACTCCGACGTCGGGGGGTTAGATAAGCAGATTCAAGAGATGAGAGAGGCGATTGTTTTGCCGATGACGCACAGAGAACACTTCGTAAAACTTGGCATACGAGCGCCAAAAGGATGTTTGTTATACGGCCCGCCGGGAACGGGGAAAACGCTGTTGGCGCGAGCGTGCGCGGCGCAAACGAACGCTTGTTATTTGAAGTTAGCTGGGCCTTTGTTGGTGCAAATGTTCATCGGAGACGGGGCGAAATTAGTTCGAGACGCGTTCGAGTTGGCGAAAGAGAAAGCGCCGGCGATTATATTCATCGATGAAATCGACGCCATCGGTACGAAACGTTTCGATTCCGATACCAACGGCGATCGCGAGGTGCAAAGAACTATGTTAGAATTGTTGAACCAATTAGATGGTTTTAGTTCGGACGATCGAGTGAAAATTATCGCCGCGACCAACCGAGCGGACATTTTAGATCCCGCGTTGTTGCGCTCTGGACGTTTAGATCGAAAAATCGAGTTCCCTCACCCGAACGAAGACGCCCGTTCGCACATCTTACAAATCCACGCGCGCAAAATGAACGTCTCCCCGGACGTAAACTACGACGAATTAGCCCGAGGCACGGACGATTTCAACGGCGCGCAATTAAAAGCCGTCTGCGTGGAAGCTGGGATGTTAGCGTTGCGAAGAGACGGGACGACGGTCAACCACGAAGATTTCGTCGAAGGCATCGTACAAGTCCAAGCGAAGAAAAAGAGCGACTTGGCGTACTTCGCTTAATAGAAAAAGGGAAGTCAAAGAAGAACAAAGGAAAAAGAAGAGCACAACAAAACGCGTGATACTAGCAATACTATTTTTAGAGAAGAAAGGCATATAATTATACACATAAAGTGTGCCTTACTCTTGGGCAAAGTGAACCTATAAAGTTCCTCCTCCTTTAAAATGTCGATTTTCCTCTCTTTTCCTCTGTGTCTCAGAAGTCAAAAATTGGGGCTTATGTCCTCAGATTAACACACACTTTGAACACAACAACACGATCAAAAATGGCGATCGCAGAACCTCAGACGACTTCAAAGAAAGAGGACGATGAAATCTCTCTGGCGGATTCCGACGACATGGGCGTCGACGACGACGCGGCGTTCGCGTTACCGCCGACCAAAATCGAAATCGATCCTTCCACGGGGATCAAAACGGTCACGGAGTACCGAGTGAAAGAAGACGGATCGAAAGTTCGGTCGATCAAACGAGTGAAAGTGCACAAAGTGTCCAAAACGGTGACGAAGGAAATGCTGGAGAGGAAAAACTGGGCCAGGTTTGGCGACGCGGCGAGGTATAAAACAGGAGACGAGAGCATGACGGCGGTGTCTTTAGAGGAGATTTTCTTGGAGCGAGCGAGGTTGCAACCGAAATCGGAGTTGGAGAAAGCGAACGATCCGTTGAAGGCGATGGCGAGCAGTCAAACGTCTCTGTTAGTGTGTAGAATTTGCGGGAAGAAAGGGGATCACTGGACGACGAAGTGTCCGTATAAAGATTTGGCGGCGATGGGCGACAAACCGCCGGGAAGCGACGGACCGGGCGGCGATAAAGCCGGCGGCGGCGCCGGCGGGTACGTGCCGCCGTCGAGAAGAGCCGGGGCGAGCGCTGGTGAAGGTGACTCCATGAACAGACGAAGAGAAGAAAATTCGGTCCGAGTATCCAACTTATCCGAAGACACGAGAGAGCAAGATTTACAAGAGTTGTTCAGACCGTTTGGTCCCGTGACCAGAATCTACGTCGCGTTCAACCGAGAAACCGGAGAGAGCAGAGGGTTCGCTTTCGTCAATTTCGTCAACAGAGACGACGGTCAAAGAGCCATCGACCGTTTGGATGGGTTCGGTTACGATAACTTGATCTTAAGAGTCGAATGGTCCGCGCCGAGAGAGGAAAGACGATAAAATTTCATCGTCGAGAGCCAACCAAGAATCAAAGAGGGACGACGAGAGGAAAAGAAGAGGAGACATTCATCATCATCATCATCATTAGCGCGTAATACTAAACTTTAAAGTGTTTTTATATTTTAGAAAGAAGAAGAGAAGAAAATGAATACCCTGCGTACGCGCTCAAAAGTCACAGACACATATGAAAACCATGCAAGCACGATAAGGCAAAAGAAAGATTAAATCGTCACACTTTCCTGCGCTTAATAAAGACAAAGACAAAGAAGATCATCGCGATGGCACAGACCTGTTGCGGTTGTTATCGTCCTCATCGTTCTTCTCCCGTTCTGTCTCGCGTTCAGCCGATAAAGGAGAAGACAACAAAGAAGAACAACGGGATTTTGGGGAGAAATGCGCAGCCGTCACGGATAACAAAACGAGGCGAAATGCAGAAAAGGAACGCGGCACCGCCTTCGGAAGGCGGGCCGAAGAAACCTCCGGCGAGCAGAGAGGAGATGATTGACTTTTTACGGAGCGGGTGCAAACCGAAAGAGAATTGGAGGTACGTTCGATGACGATGATGAGATCATGTATCGTTTGTTCGTTTAAGTAGTTGTTTGGATAATAACACCAAAGATTGGTGGGGCAACAACAAAAAGTCGCGCGCGCACGTTTCGATACTCAGAGAACTGACGACCGTGATCTTCTCTCGTCGCGTTTAATAATTATTATCTTTTTGTTCTTCGTATTATTCTTCTCGCTGTGATTAACGACGACTCTCTTTGACAACAAACATCTACTAAACAGAATTGGAACCGAACACGAAAAGTTTGGCTTTTCGTTGACCGATAACAGCCGGATGCCGTACGCGGTTATCGATTACGTGTTGAGCGGGTTAGTCGAGAGATACGGGTGGGCTCCGTTGAACGAGAAGTGTCCAATAATTGGTTCGTGCACGAATGCGGATGGGACCGTGCGAACGGTGAATATCATCGGCGCGACGAAGAATGGAATGAACGTGACTTTGGAACCGGGAGGACAGTTTGAGCTTTCCGGAGCGCCGTTGGATACGTTGCACGAAACCGTAGAGGAGACGAGAGCGCACATTAAGCAAGTGTGCGAACTCGCTGCGGAGAAAGGGTACGGGTTTTCCGGAATTGGATTCGACCCGAAACATTCCGTGGAGGAAGTGCCGATGATGCCGAAAGGGAGATATAACATCATGAAGAACTACATGCCTAAAGTCGGGACGACTGGGTTGGATATGATGTTTCGCACGTGCACGATTCAAGTCAACGTGGATTTCTCGAGCGAGGCGGATATGGTGAAGAAATTTCAAACGTCATTGGCGTTGCAACCGCTAGCTACGGCGTTGTTCGCGAACTCGCCGTTTAAAGATGGTAAAGATTGCAACATGTGTTCGTTGCGATCGGACGTGTGGAAAGATACGGATAACGACAGGTGTGGGACGTTACAGTGGGCGTTTGACGACGATTTTGGGTTTGAGAAGTATGCCGAGTACATGATGGACGTGCCGATGTATTTCATATATAGAAATGGAGGGTATATTGATGTTACCGGTTTATCTTTCCGCGATTTCATGGCTGGGACTTTGAAAATTTTACCAGGTGAAAAGCCGACGATTGATGATTGGGAGCAACACTTAACGACGAGTTTCCCGGAAGTGCGATTGAAAAAGTACATGGAAATGCGAGGTGCTGATGGTGGAAGTGAGGAAATGATCACCGCGTTGAGCGCGTTTTGGGTTGGGATTTTATACGACGAGAAGAGTTTGGACGACGCTTGGTCTATTTGTAAAAATTGGACGAGCGAGGAGCGAGAATGGTTGCGGAACGACGTCACCGCAAACGGGTTACGGTCGACGTTTGAAGGCGGGATGACGTGTTTAGATTTGTGTAAAAAGTGCGTGCAGTTCGCGGAGGATGGGTTAAAGAACCGGAATTTGGGCGAGGAAAAGTACCTAGCGCCGTTGTGGAACATCGTAAACACTGGAAAATCGCAGGCGGATATCTTGCGCGAGAAGTTACACAGCGAGTGGAACGGAGACGCGACGATGGCGTTCAAAGCGACGCAATATAAAGTATGACTGTGAAATGGACAGTAAAAGTTTAAAAAAAGACTAAATTTGTACTGTAGTATGTTTTAATGTGAAAAGAAAAGAATAGTGTGTTGAAAGTTACTACACGTTACTTATACTTTCTCACCGTCTTTGCCACGTCCCGAAAGTTTTCGTGCTCGGCTCCACCCATCTCTTCGAACAAAAACATCTCCGTCGTCGTCATCGTCGCGCCGAGCTCTTTCATTTTTTCTAAAGCGACTTCGCGGTCCACGCCCCTTTGCGACTGCACTCCGTCGCACAACACGAACGGCTTCAAAATATTCCGTCCCGCTTTCTCGTTGTGTTCCATAATCTGCTTCACCGTTTGGTACACGCACACGTGCGCTTCTACTCCCAACAACAAAACGCGTATCTCGTCCGCGTCGTACATCATCTTCGCTAAACTTTCCTCCCCGCACAGCGAGTTCGGCTGAACGTTCAAGTCGCCGTCTTTACCCATCAAAATCGCCCGAAGCATACCAAAATCCGATTTCGCGATTGGAAACTTTTCCTTTATCACCTTCTCCTCGTTTTCAGGGTGCATCTCTCTCATGCATTGCAAAACCTCCTCGGCGGTCCTCCCGAGTTTGCTCGGAACTTGTTCCGTCGCGAACACCGGCCAGTTGAATATCTTTGCAGATTCGATTAAAATCTTTGAACTTCGAACGACGCCATCGAACGCATCGATCGACGGGCGGAAACATTCTTGCACGTCGCACATAAAAACGACCGTCTTTTGAAAATCTTTCTTCCGGTCGCGATGCGTCTCGGATTGTTCCGGGTACCTATATAAGAAGAATACATCGTGATGAGTTTTCCAATGCAAAAAGATACGAAAAGTGGTTACATTGATTCTATCGCTTGGGTTATGAGATCTTTCTTGCTCGTGTTCATTCCAATTTCCATTTTTCTGTTATTGCTTTTGTTGTTGATGATTATGTTGTTTCTTACATTCGTTCGTCTCGAGCTTGTTGGGATAAAAAAGGTAATGCTGCTTCGATGAATTAGGAGTGTTTTGATTCGATGATGCATTTGTTATGACGCGTTTTCGTAAATGTTGGTGAACTTTATAACGTGTTGTATCGCGCGCATGTGAGCGCGTTTTGGGTATTATGTATTAATAAAACTCTCTAAAGTCGCGAGAAGAACATCACCCAAGCCAAATCATTCGATGAAAAATTATCGTCACGGCGTCCGTTCCCATTTCTTCGCTTCTTCTTCTTTAATACGTCGTCTAAATCAGCAGCTTCTCGATGTTTTGCTTCAAACTCTCGATGCTGGTTTTCAACTGACTCCCTTCGTTCGTCGTGACCGAGGCGGAAATCACCGGTCTGGAAACCCCGCACGCTCTCCCGAGCGCCTGTTTACTCGGCACGAAAACGTACGGCACGTTCTTATCCTCCGCCAATAAAGGTAAGTGTAACAAAATCTCCAGCGGTTCCGTATCCGCCGCCAGAACGATAAACTCGCAAATGCCTCTGTTCAAGGTCTTCGTCGCTTCGTTGGCGCCTTTTTTCAGTTGCTTGTAGTTGTTCGCCTGTTGGACGATGTCGAGGATGCTGATGGTTAATTGCGCGTCCGCGAGCGGGTACGCTTTCGGGTTTTCGTTGTTGGACATTTTTTTGTTAATGCTGTCTGTGGGTTTTATTGAATACGAGAAGAGGAAGAATTCAATTTGGTCAGCTCAAGTGCGCAAAGAAAGTCCGCTCGAAAGAAAGAACGAATAAAGAGATTTACACCAAAATAAAGCGCGTTACGAGGACGACGTGTGCACGACGTAAACGACGACGCAATAATTGGAAAACGAACCAACTTCTTAAGCGGACAATTCAGAGAGAGAATGAGAGAATTCTTTACGGGAAAGAAAAGACAACACACAATTATATACTACCTTTTAAACACAACAAGAAAGTGTATTATTATATAGTTTATATGTAATAAAGCTTCACGGCTCTCACTGTTTTTCTTCTTCTTCTTCTTTGTTGAAGAGGAGAGAGAACTCGAGCTCGGCGTTGGAATGCTGTTTGTTTGCGCGTGTTTTTGCGTTGACAATTCTGATGAATTTGAGCGCAAGAACAGCCGCCTTTTTCTTTCTTTTGAGCTCCAACGTGGTACTAAACCCTAAACCCTAAATACTACAGAGGGAATTTTCCCACAAACACTTAACAAAAAAAAAAAACACTCTGCTGCTGCTTTTTATCCTCCTCCTTTTCTTCTTTCGAAGAAGAGAGGATGATGCTTTTCGCGTCGTCGTCGTTTAGTACTACTACTCAATCGTCTGAGAAGTCCCGCTTTGTTTGTCACATCATCCACGGAAACGAGAGGACAAGAAGGAGGAAGAGAAAAGAGTTTTTTTGGCGGCGAAATTCGCAAAAATGGTGTTCAAGCAGCAACAACAACAAACGGACGACGACGAGGATGATGGCGACGACGATGGAAAACTCTTCCAGCAACAACGATACGATCGTGGCGATCGCGACGCCGATTGTTCCTCAGTTAGGCGGGGTTTCTATCGTTCGAATCAGCGGAGAGAACGCGAGGGAGATTGCGAATGAGATTTTTAAACCAACCGGGAAAAGAAAAGATTGTTTTCAGTCGCACGTGGTCCTTCACGGGACGATTGTGAACAACAACGACGGAGAAGTTATCGACGAAGTTCTCCTTTTACCAATGCTGAAACCTCGATCGTACACCGCGGAAGACGTGGTTGAAATACACACGCACGGCGGGTCCGTGTGCGCCGCGAGAGTGTTAGACGCGTGCTTACGCACGAACGCGTGTCGATTGGCGAGGAACGGCGAGTTTACCATGCGAGCGTTTTTGAACGGGAGGTTGGATTTGTCGCAAGCGGAAGCGGTGCATTCGTTGATTCGAGCGGAGACGGATGAGGCAGCGGTGCAAGCGCTGAAGACGTTGAGAGGTGGTTTGTCCAACGACGTCAAAGAGGCGAGAAGGAGGATGATTGATGTTTTGGCAGAGTTGGAAGCGCGGTTGGACTTTGACGACGAGATGGTACCTCTGGACGTCGATAAGATTGCGAAAGAAGTGGACGAGGCGAAAGAAGTGGCGTTGAGCGCGTTGAAAACGTCGCAGAAGAACGCGAGTTTGTCGGTTGGGTGCACGCTGGCGATTGTCGGACGTCCAAACGCGGGAAAATCGAGATTGTTGAATCGATGGACGAAGAGCGAACGATCGATAGTCACCGACGTGGAAGGGACGACGAGAGATGTGGTCGAGGCGGCGGTAAATGTGAGTGGCGTGAAGGTCACTCTGTTAGATACGGCTGGCATAAGAGGTGGAAGTAGTAGGAGTAGTAGTAATAGTAGTAATAGTAACGGTAGTAGCGGTAGTGATGATAGTAACAAAGAAGAGGAAACCGAAATAATAGATAAAGTGGAAGCGGTCGGAATCGAGCGTTCGAAAATAGCCGCGCGAGGAGCAGATTTGTGCGCGTTCGTTTTAGACGCCAGTCGAGGGTGGGAACGCGCCGACGAGACCGTTTGGAGAGAAGCTTTAGACGTGGCGAAAAACGTGATTTTTGTGGCAAATAAAATGGACGATATCACGGAGAACGCATCTCTGATTGAAGAAATGAAAAGTGACCCGAGCGGGAAGATGAAACCGTTCTTGACGAATCAATTGCGCGTGCCCGAATACGTGTTGGACAAGTGCAATTTAAACAACGTCGTCTTCTTATCTGCCAAAGAAGGGTTTGGTATCGAAGATTTAGAGTCAAAAGTGTCCAACGCTTTCGAATCTGGTCTTTCCAGCGTCGAAGGCGACGCTTATTTTGTCTCCTCTCGGCAAAGCGAAGCGTTGAAACACGCCGTAGAAGCCATGGAACGCGTGAAAGAATCCGCGCTGAACGATTTACCCGTAGACTTTTGGACGATTGATTTACGAGAAGCCGCGGTGGCGTTGGGGGAAGTTACCGGCGAAGACGTTTCGGAGGATATTTTAGGGACCATATTCGAGCGATTTTGTATTGGCAAATAATAATATTATTACATCTTCTAATGCGTTGTTCTACGTTTTATTACATTTTGTTCCCCTGCTTTATTAGAACGCTTTCGTCGACAAAGCTCTCAACTGCGACGCGAATGGGCTATACTTCTTCACTATTTCACTCTCGTCGTCTGAATCGTCGTCACTACATTTGGAATCAACGGACACGATCGCCATGAGCACATCCGACATCGCCTTAAACACGTTCAAAACAGAATCGACGTTTCCAGGTCCTCTCTCATCGTTTTCTTCGTCCCCGTATCCGCGAACCGCCTGTCGCCAAGCGTGCGCTCGCTCGGCGGTAACGCTCGCGTTCTTCGTAATACCGCTCGCGCGTTTCGAAAAGTGCAACACGTTCGCCTCTAACGCACACTTCAGCTTCGCTCGTATCCTCTTCAACATTTTATCATTCTCGTCGTCGTTTTTGTCTAACATCACCACCGGGTCCACTCGCCTTAAAAGCGACTCCAACGAAACCTCCTTCTCCTCCTCGCTTTTACTTTTTTTCCTCCTCCTCTTTTCGTCCTCCGCATCGTCGTCGTTTACGTCTGAATCGTCCGACTTTGACGACGTCTTCTTCCTCTTAAACTCCTTTTTCGTCTCCTTTTCCTTCTCCTTTTTATGCTTCTTCTTCTCTTTTCGTCGTCGTTTTTCTCCTCGTTTCTCTTTCTCGTCGTCGTCGTTACACTCTTCGTCCTTCTCGTTCGCCGCCGTCGTCGTTTGCTGCTTATGCTGCGCTTTCAACATCCTCGCGATCGCGGCTAAACCGCCGCTGTCTTTCAGCTGCTCCGTGGTGCGCATTCTTTCAGTTCTTCTGTGGTTGTGTGTAATGTAAGTTGCGTTCGACTTTTTATGACGTGTTTTTCACCGCTGCGCGGATGTGATGGTAAACAAGAGTACATGTGTGTCGTATAGTATTACAAAGCGAGCGCGGGAATAATCATTGGGATTCATTCTCTCATCATCAGCGAAGAATCAGGATCGATCGACTAGTATATTATCGTAACAAATTCGTCGTCTTTTTATTCGTAATCCCGATGGTGATCATCTGTTCTTTCAACTTCACGGTACACGCGCTCCCGTTCGCCCTTACTCGAAACGCGTTGGTCCGTTTCTCTCTCGTCACGTCCACCGGTATTGAAATCTTACATCGACTCCCACTCGCGAACGGGAGTTTCACTTCCCGTTCCAGTTTCCCACTCGCGTGGCCGATTTCTTTCATCACGCCTATGGCGCCTACGGATAATATTAACGGGTTTAACGGTACCGCCTCGAACGCGAAGAACGGATCTCGTTTTTTGAAGTTGTACCCACAGGACAACGAGACGGAACATTTCCCGAATTTGTTCCTTTCGAACGCGCGGAACTTCTTCTTCAATTCGACTTGGCTCGAGTCTAAAACGATCGTCGGTGTCCACGTGTTGAACTCTTTTTCGTCGAGAAGAGACACTTTTGAAGGCACGTCGTATTCGAGTTTCCCGTAGGTACTTATTTCTTTCTTTTGGACGAACGCGGAGGCGCCGACGGTGAAGCGAACGTTTTGCGGTTTCAGTAAGATTGTTTTCTCCAATTGGAACACGGATTGGAAGTGGTCGTGGACGGAAAAGGATAACGGGATGGAGGATTTCTTCAATCGCTCGGAAAACGTGGAAGTGCGCTGTAAAGGAGGAGGTTTAGGAGGAGACGAAGGCATTGGTTCTTGCGCTGGTTCCGGACTTTCCATGTTAAATGAGTTCGCTCTTTGTTGTGAAGCGAAAAGAGGGAGAAAAGAGTGTTATAAACTTTTGACGATGAAATGATGATGAAAATGATGCAGACTTTCCGACTTTCGTAAATCTATTGTTGCGTATTTATAACAACCGATGTTCGCACGCTAATAAGTATCTGTTGACTACTGTGTTTGTGTGTGAGCTAAATGAAACAAACGCGAAATGTAACAGCGACGGTGCGTCCTTAAGTCCGAAGTCCAACTCCTCCTCAAAATCTCTCTCTTCATATCTATATACTCTCTCTGAAAATTAATATTTATTATAAAAATCGGGTTCATTTACTTGTCCGCGCTACCCAATTCCTTGGCCACCTTTCTTAACCTCTTCGCCGTCTTGGCTTGAGACTTCACCCCCATGACGCCACCACCCCACGTTCGCGCGTGCTCCTTGGCCTTTTCGTTGTACGACGCCTTGATCGCTTCGACTAACTTAGAAAGCTCCATCTTGTCTTCCTGCTTCACCGCCGTCAACGCCAACGCCGTGGCGGTTTTCTTGTGCACGACGGCACCCAAACGCGCCTTACCCTTCACGATGCAATACGGGACGTTCATGCGTTGGCACAACGCCGGGAGCCAAATGACCAACTCGAGCGGGTCGACGTCGTGCGCAATGACGACTAATTCCGCCTTGCCTTGCTCGACCAAGTACGTGATGTGGTTAATACCGTACTTGACAACAACTGGTTTCTTGACGTCGGACTCCTTGCCTTCCGCGGCATCCTTGGCCATATCCGTCAAACGTTCCTTCTTTTGCGCGTTGTCCTCCGGGCGATACTTCATGAGCATCTTGAACAAGTTCGTCGCCATGTTCTTGTCCAAAGTCTTCGTGAACTGGTTAATCGCCGGCGGCACTCGCAATCTCTTTTTCAACACTTGTCGTTGTCTTTGAATGCGAACGTATTTCGGCCATTTCACGTATCTGTTTAACGGCGTTTTCGGCATCATGTCGTTGCCAATGCCAAAGTTTTTCGGTTCGCGAACAAATCGCGGGTCCGTCGGTTCCTTGACCGTGTTCGCGGCAATCTTCGCCTTGATGGCGGCAGGGACGGCGGCGACTTTCTTTTTCGGTGGCTGTGTTGTTGTTAAGAGAGAGGAGAGAAGGTCAGCGGTTGTTTCGATGTAGAAACGACGACGACGAGGCATACGTATGATGGACGAGAGAGAGAGATTTTTTTCCATTTTAGGACTTGAGCCCGTCCGTCATCATCGCGCAGAATGGTGATGGAAATGCAAAAAGACTCCCATTACGCGAAATACGCATCGCAGGTCACGCGTACGCGTTGCGTGCGAAAGAACGCGTGGATTTCGATTTTTCAATCGCTTCTTCCAGTTGTTCGGTGGTCTCGCAGACACTCTCTCTACCCGCATACGCGCACTCCTAAAAAACCCGATTTACCAAAAATTCGCGCGTAAAAAGCATCATCATCATCATCGCTCTTCTTCGTAAAAGAGAAAGACGCGAACGCGACTCTCCCGCTTTTACGAGCTTTTCTCTTTCAGAAGAGAAAAGAAAACGAAGAATACCACGAACACAAATGCTATACGTATTCGCGCATTTAAGTGTATAGAGAACGTACCATTATTTTAGGTCGAGTGTTATTAATGTTGTGTGTGTTCTCGCGAACAAAAAAAATGTGAAGAGAGAGAACGAAAGAGAGAACGAAAGAAGCGAAAGAGTAGAAAAAGCAGAGACGAAAAACAACAGAAGACAGAGAGAAGCTGTTTGCCCGAGAAAAAAAGAAGAGCAAAAAACGAGACAAAAATTCACTCTTTTTCTCTCTCGACCAATTGGAGGTGTTGGTGTGCTTCAGTAGTAGTACGAATACTAATACTACGAATAACAACAACAACAACAACAATAAAGGCGTCTGAACGCTGTGATTCTTCTCAAAAGCGCTCTCGAAAGAAGCGAAAGAAAGAAGCAAGACAGGGAAGAGAGCGCTTTTTCGTACGGAATAAGAGAGACTAAATAAGAGAGAGAATTCGAAACGTTTTCCAAGGGATTCGATTCTTCTCGTGTATTCGAATTGGCTTCATCAGAGAACGAGAGCAAAAAAGACTTTCCACGCGCAGTAGTTTGAACAACAACAACAACTTGAAAGCAGAAGTAATCAGGAAGCGGTGGTTGTTTCTCTCTCTTTGCTCCGCGTTCAAGAAGAAAAAGACGGGATAAAAGCGAAAAGAAACGTACCATAGTTTTATACATTTCGGCGGCGAAAAATGGACCGGGATGATTGGATTCGACCGCCGAAGAGTGGAGAGGTAAACAACAACACGAGCGTCATCATCGCGAACGACGAGAGCAAAAAGACTTCGACGCGTACGAAGACCAATCGCGGTATTCGTCGTCGCTCGTCTTTGCGGGTTCTTGGTTCCTCGAGAACCCGATCTGGATGCGTTTTTAAAACGCGTGCCTCGAAAGCCACGTCACAGTCGAATTCGTCCGTATCGTTTTCTTCGTTTTCTTCTCAACCTTCTTTTTCCTCTTCTTCTTTAACAGCGAAACGACGACGACAAAGACCCGCGATACGACGATACGATACGATGCGATCGAAGAAAAGTAGTAGACCACGCGAAAAAGAACAACAACAAAGACGAGAACCAGCGCTTTTCTTTTCATCCTCGTCGTCGTCGCTTTCGTCGTTACGGACGCCGCCGGAGGAGGAGACCATCCGCGAGGAGGACGTTTCGCTGAGTTTAGTAGAAAACATCGAGAAAGACAACGCGTTCTTTTCGCCGTCGTTTAGCGTGGACGAGCTTACGCGTATTTTTCACGAAGGAGGTCATCATCCGGACGACGATGATGATAACACGTTCGATAACCATTTCTTCGCTGACCTGGATTCCACTCTTTTTTCATCACCTCGTTATTCTTTCCCTCCATCTTTCTCACATTTGTGGAACGACGATAAACATCATCAGATACTGACGACGCGACAAGATGCAGAAAAAAGAGCGGAAAAGTTACCGCCCGGGTTTGCTTTAGCCGGATTACCTGGATTTCCGAACGAGTTACACGTCTTTAAAGGTATTCCCGCCCCGATTGGTGCCGATGTGAGCGCGGCCTCGTTATGGGGGGGTGGAGCAGGTAGTAACAAGCGCAAATTAGATAGCAAAGATAGCGTAGGAGCGAAGAAGGGTAGCGCGGCGAGCATGAAGAAGGCGGCCAAGATGATAAACGCAGGGCCGAAGCGACCACCGAGCAGAGGTGGTGCTAAAACAGACACGCCGCGTAGTAAGAAGCAAAAGTTAGCGTCGCATAAGTCGTTACCGGCTCATGGCGGCATGTTTGATATTCCCGATATCATGGGTTCCGATATCGCCCGATACCACTCCATGAACGGCGGCATGCACGAACTCCCACACGACGTGCTCGGCTTAACCGAAATCGAGCGGCAACAGGAGTATTTACTCACGCAACAAAAACTCCGAACACCCGCGCAGATTCAAGAAGAGAAAGAACAGAAGATTGCGCTGAAGAAAAAGCTCGGCGAGGTACAAGCTTTGGTGGAAAGTTTAGAGACGAGAGCCGTGGCGGTGGCGAACGAGCGCGATAAAAAGTTTGAGAAGATGCACGAAGACCAACAAGACTATCAACAAAAAGACGAAATGCGAAAGAAACACGCCGCGTTTAGAGTCATCACCACGCAGAGGACGAAATCTGGCGCGAAATCGGAGTTCAAGGAAGGTTTCGAAGTGTTGCGATATCGCTCGTTGCTCGACGTCGTCCACCGTCAATGCTTAGCCGCGGTGAGACAAGTCATGTCGCACGATTGGGGTGGACCGTTCCGCATGCCCGTCGATGCCGTGGCGTTGGGTTTGGCAAACTATCACACGATAATTACCAATCCGATGGACCTCGGAACGATTAAAAAGTTCATCGAAGACGGCGGTAAATACGAACTCGCGAAAGAGGTTCACGAGGACGTCGAGTTGACGTTTAACAACGCCATGAAGTTTAACGCGGAAGGAACAGATGTGCACGTGATGGCAAAGACCTTGTTGGCGCTTTGGCACACGAAATACGAAGGTATCGTCGCGCGAGAAAAGGAAGTCGAGGAAGGTTTGTTACTGGACCGAGACGCGTGTATCGCCAAAGCCGCCGCGGCGGCGTCGAAATTAGAGTATCAAACGATTCAAAGCGAGTGCCAAACGATCATGCAAGCCTTGGGATTAGCACAAAATCAGCTATCCGACCTCGAATTAAAATCGATCGTTTTGTTCAAACCGATGACGGCGGACGAGAAGAGCGCGTTGGGCGACATCTTGAAGAGCTTGACCGCCGAAGACTCGGAGAAAGCGAGACAGATTTTATCCGACGGGCCGACGAAAGAGTACGATCGCCAAATTCTTGAGGCCGAGGCACAACACAGACAACGATTGAACGCGAATGTTGGCGCTACTTCTGAATGGGACAACCACCCGGACGAACGGCAGATGTACGTGCCGACGACGGCGACGGATATTACCAGTCGAAGGTTGCAAAGATTCACGAGGATGGTTGCCCGAAACAAAGTCGCGCAGAAGGAAGGTTGGTGCGGAAATCCTCTTCCGGAGACGAAGAAAGAACGCGTGATTGAAGCATTCGGTGGCGAGAAGAACGCGAGCGACTTGTTGGTGGTCTCGTCTCCGTCCGCCGCGGTAAAAGAAGATGAAGAAGAAGAAGAGCAAAAAATAGAAGAAGAAGAAGAAAATAAGAAGGAAGAAACTACCCCCGGGGGAAAAGGCGAAGGAGAAGGAGAAGAGAAGAAGACGACAGAGTCGGACGACGGCGCGGAAACGACGACCGTCGACGGTAACGGTGGCGCTGGTGATGATGTCGCGACGGAGGACAAGAAAGAACCGGTGGTTGCTCCTCTAGAGGCGGCGGCGAGTGTTCAGATCAAGCAAGAGAAAGCGGGCAGCGGGAGCGACGGTGCGACAACTATAGGCCAAGATCCACTGCATGTGTTCGCGTTGACGCTTGGTTCGGACAGTAAAGCCGTCCAAGAAGCTCAACGACGACGAGAAGAACACAAAAAGCACCTGGAAGAACACAAACAACGCCTGGAAGAAGAAAAAGCGCGCTTGCAAGAGCAACAGAAGCAGCAAGAGCAAGAACGCCAACGTCAAATCGCGATTCAACAACAGCTCGAACGAGAAGAAATGCTCAAACAACGCATGCTTGCGCAGCAAAAGAAAGCCTCTCTCACGCAGTTCGACTCCATCATGGACGGGTTCGATCCGGGACTGCCTGCCGGAGGGAACAAGAAGAAAAAGAAGAAGAAACCGGCCACGCCTTCTAACCCGACGCCGGCGGCGCCAGCGCCTGTGCCAGCGGGACCCAACCTCCACGCCCTTCCACACCCACAACTCGACGACGACTTCGAGCAGAATCTGCGAGGCATCGACGAGCTCGGCGACGCGGACGACTTTGACTTTGACGCTCTTTTAGGAGAGAACATATTCTAAACGACCGCTCGCGGCAAAAAAATTGTACTCCTCCAAGTCGCGCACATCGCGCGCGATATATATCATTATTTTTATAAAGAAAACAAAAGGTCATCAACCATATACTAAGAAAACCACGAGTTGTTCATTGTTGTTGTTGTTATTATTGTTATTATTATTACACACACACACACACACACGCATTATTCGCGCAAACACATGCGCGTACGCGTTTTTCCTTTCGCTCTTCTCTGGTGTATTTTCTTCATTCGCAGAATTTTCACTAAAAAAAAGTTTGCTTCCCTGTTGTTCAAATCGATCAAAATCTCTCCTTTTCCCTCACACTCCTCTGAGAGACTCCTCGAGTAAAAGAAAAGAAAAATGGACGCGGCGACTCACGGATTACAGATGGATTTACGCGCGCGACAGAAACGCGCCGTCGTGAGAATGTTCGACGACGTTTTGCTCGAGAGTACGCGTCACAGCGCGCAACTGCGCGACGATGCATTCGGAGGAAGATCACATCATCATCACGGGGACATTCAGTACAAAATCTTAATCCTGGACAAGTTCACGTTCGATGTCATCGCACCTCTCTTAAAAGTGAACGAACTCAGACAGCACGGCATCACGTTAACTTTACTGTTAGAGAGCGAACGCGAGCAGATTCCAGACGTCCCGGCGGTCTATTTCGTGCAACCGACCGCGAGAAACGTGCAAAGAATGTCGCACGATTTGGGCGAGAACTTGTACGAGAGTTATCACTTTCACTTCACGAGAGAACTGCCGAGAAGCGCCTTGGAAGAGCTGGCGACGGCTTCGGTGAAAGCCAACATCGCGAATCGAATAAAAAGAGTGTTCGATCAAAACTTGGATTTCGTGAGTTTAGAGCGCGACGTGTTTTCAATCATGCGACCGGACGCGTTTAAGAAGTTGAACGATCCGAAGAGCAGAGGCGAGGACATCGAAAAGTGCATCGCGGACGTGACCAACGGTCTGTTCGCGACGGTCATGACGATGGGGCAAGTGCCGGTTATTCGGTGTCCTAAAGGTGGCGCCGCGGAAATGGTCGGGAGAGAGTTGGAAAGCAAACTCAGAGATTATTTGGGGAGTAAAAACGGGAGCGGGTTTGGGCAGATGCCGCTGATTGGCGTCGGCAACGCGAACGGCGCAGCGGCGCAGCAAATGGCGAGGCCGATACTCGCGATTTTTGACAGAAACTACGATTTTACCGCCAGTTTACAACACGCGTGGCACTACGAACCGTTAGTGCACGACGTGTTGCACATGAAGTTGAATCGAGTGGACGTGAAGCCGGATAAAAATGCCGTCGGCGCGGACGCCAAGACGAAATCGTACGCGTTGGACGATTCGGATGATTTCTGGAAAAAGTATAAAGACGCGCAGTTTCCCAAAGTGGCCGAAAGCGTAGAGGTGGAGTTGGCGGAATATAAAAGAGCGATCGCGGAAGTCAACGCCGCGTCTGCATCCGCGGCGAATTCCACCGGGGGCGACGACGCCGACGATCAAACCGGCGCGAGCACGGCCAAGTTGACGAAAGCGGTGGAGTCGTTGCCGAAATTACAAGAGCACAAAAAGTTAATCGATAAGCACACGAACATTGCCACCGCTCTGTTAAAAGAAATTAAACAAAGAGGTTTGGACGAGTACTTTTCCATCGAGGAAGATTTCTGCAACGGCAAAGGCGATTGGAAAGCGGCGTTGAGTTTGTTGAGCGCCACGGGCAGAGGTTCCGCGAGCGACAAAATCCGCTTAGCGTTGATACTGTTGCTCACCTCGCAACTGAACAGTTCTGGAAATACCGGTAAAATCGACGACGAGGCCATCGAAGGCGCGTTGAGAGCGAGCGGGTGCGAAGTCGCCGCGTATAACTACGTCAAAAAAATGCTCTCGTTGAATCAACAGTTACAACAAAACAAAGGCGGCAACGCGAATAGCAGCAGCAATAGATCTCAAGCGGATATTTTAGACTGGGCGGATAGATTATACGGCCAATCGGTTGATTTAATCACGAAAACAGCGAAACACTTGTTGTCCGGCGAACGACAACTCCCCATAGCCGCCGCAGTCGAGGCGTTATTAGCGAACCAACCGTCTTCTTCATCTTCCGCGGACGTCGGCGGCGACGCGGTCGTGGATACTTTCGCCTACTTTGACGCGAAAGCGTCCGCTTCCCAACGCGCGAGCGTTCCTCTTTCAAATCGATCGTCGCACCAAGACGAACACGCCGGTGGGTACGCCTCTGCCGTCGCCTTCGTCTTGGGCGGCGGATGCTACGCCGAAGTCTTGGCGTTGCGAGAACTCGCGCAAAGAGAGCGAACGAACGGACGCGCGAAGAGCGTCTGTTACGGAGCGACGGACATGTGCGGCGGCGACGACTTCGTCTCCGAACTCGGTGAAATTGGTGGTGGTAGTAGTCGTAATAGCGATGGAGCTGCGAAGTAGAGTGCAACCGACTCCCGTATTTACATTTTTTTCTCCTCACTTGTTCTACTATCTCTTCACTCTTGTTCGTCTCTCACACACGCGAAAGAAGATGAAGAAAATGAAGAAGAAAAAGAGAACAGCAACAGCGAGAACACCAAAAACGCCGCGCTTCTTCCTCGTCTTCCTTTTCCTCGCGTTCGGGAACACCCTTTCTGGGATTCAATCGTTCTCGTATTCATCGAAAGATGAAGAAAATCATCCGCCAACGCCGGACACGATGCGAGATTTCATCATCCCGTTACCGTCGCCGTTTTTCTTCACCAGAACGGAACGAAGCACCGAAAAAGACCAAGAAGCAACGCACCGGTACGAAACGACGATGAACGGGCTCGGTTTTGGCGCTTCGTCGTCGTCGAATCATCAACAAAAGCAAGTGCAAAAAATCGTCCACAGATTGCTCTCAAAAGAGGAAGACAACGAAGAAGGAGAAGGTTTCGCGCAGACGTCGATGAACATCGTTCGAGACGATGTAAAGGCGAATTTTTTCTACGGGTACGCGGAATCGGACAAATGGTACGAGCGAGAACAGATTGGTAAAGAAGAGTTCGGCACGGGGAAGATTGCGGACACGAAACATCACGTGATTAAGACGAAGATTCGAACGACGCAAGAGTTGCAATTCGGCGCGACGGTGGTGGAACATCCGGATCCTCCGGGGATGGCGAATGATGGACACGGGGAACCGGAGAAGAGTTTGAACGCGAAGCAGGAGGCAATGAGAATTTTAGAGGCGCAGAGGAGAGCGAAGGAGGAGTTATTGGCATTAAATACTATGAGGACGACGACGACGACGACGACGAACAGCGTCGAGACGGAGGAGAAAATAGCGGCGAGAGAAGCGAAAAGAAAAGCACACGCCGAACAGGTGAAACAGAAACGAAGAGAAAAGAGACGCTCGAAGAATTCGTTCCAAAACATGGAACGGTTTAAGCGAGACGCGATCGTGAGTGGCGAACGAATGGGGTGCGAATTGTGCGATTCAATCGCGATTGAGTGTTTTAAAGAGTTGCGGTGGAAGTATTTGATGGAGAGAAACGCGTTTAAGAATAACGAGTACGAGCCGGCGGAGAAGGCGGTGATGTCGTGTCTGGTGAGCAAGTGCGGAGGCGTGACGGCGAATCCAGCGAACGCGATGAAAAATCGAGCGGTGGTGCCGGTGCCGAAACCACCGATGACGGATAATAAAAATAATAACAGAGAAGATCCACAAGAGGAGCAAAACTTTGGATTGGCGTCGATTGAGTTATCGACGATTCGAGCGCCGATGACGCACTTCGATTCCTACGCGTTAACGACGGCGTGCGAAGAGGCGTTTGATGTTCAAACCCGGAACGATGTGGCATCAAAAATAGCAAACGCGTTGAAGGATTTACGAGACCGAGATGAATTCGTTCGCAGCGAAAGAGCGAGACGAGGCGAGATTACCTCGAAAACGACCAAAAAAGATCTGTTAGCGGAGGACGCGATTGGCATCAACGCGGCAAAGCTTGGATGCGCTTTCGTGTGCGAGTTGAATAAAATGCACGTAAAAGACGAATCGAAAGAAGAAGAAATAGAAGAACAACAGTGTTCGTCTGGATTTAGCAAAGAAGAGGGAGAAGGAGAAGATGGACAACCGCCCCCTCCTCCGAAGTGCGCCACTCCTGAGGACGTGCAGGACACCGCTGCAAACGACTTTGACGACGACGACAACGACGACGATTACGAAGAGGATGTAAACTCGCGCGAACGCCACGACGAAGACGCGAACAGAAACACCCGCGACGCGCATCCTCCTCGATTTTTCACTCGCGCGCAGCACTCCAAAGCCCGTTTCCTCGCTCGAAGCGCGTTACGAAAATTAGGATGCCATCGATCCAGCTCTGGATGGTGGTCGTACGAAATTTGCTTCGAGCAGAACATCACGCAATACCACGCGACGTTCGACAACGCTCAGAAACGAGTCGTCATCGACACGAGCACGCAATCTTCCCTGGGTACTTTCAGCGCCTCAGGCACCGAAGCGCGATTACACGCGCTTTACGGCGGCAACGATCATAGTCATCGACATCAACACCACCAAAATCACCACCACGCGCCGGGACGCGACGGTGAAGACGACGCCCAACTCCTCGTGGACGGATTCGTCCCTGACAAAGCGTTCCTCCCAGGCATGACCAAAACCTTACCCGGATACGTCGTCGCGCACTTGAAAGGCGCTTATTGCGACGCCATAAACGCCCATCGCGAATCCGTCGTCCTTTACGCCTGTTCCAACGACTTACAAACACACGTCAAAGTTTACGAACAAAAAACGTGTAAGTATATCGTCGTCGTCTTCGTTAAAGAGTTGTGCGTGTTTAAACACTTTCAAAGAGAGGAAAACGTTTTGATTCGAGCCGTGAAGTAGTACGATGATACGTCGTAGCAGTAAAATTAGAACTTAATTTATTGAAGAAAAAAGTCGCCAGAACAGAAAAGAATATTCACCGCTGTACCAACACCGATGACATCGAGCAAACAAGGCATATTGGAAATCACCATCGTCTCCGCGAGCAAGTTAAAAAACACCGCCTACCTGGGCAAAATGGACCCGTACTGCGTGGTGTTCTTTCTCGGCGAAAAGACGCGGACGAAGACGGTTAAAAACGGCGGAAGTAATCCGGTTTGGGAGGAAAGTTACAAATGCAAAACGTCCTCAGATATCACCGACCAGACGATAAAACTGATGATCAAAAACGAAAACAGAATGCTCTCGGACGAAATAATCGGCGTGAGCGAGATGTCCTTAGGGGATTGTTTTCGTCTGGGGAAGGACACCATCGACGCGCCGGTGTTGAGCGCAAAGACGAGAGAACGAGTTGGAGATGTGCGAGTTCGGTGCGAATTTCGAGCGAACGAAAGCGACGCCACGAGAGTGGAGAAATCGATGGAGAAGATGGTGGCGGAGAAAGTGAAAGAGGTGGTTTCTTCGAAAAGTAACATGACAATTAGCGGGAGCATGGATAAGTTGGTATTAGAAGAAGAGAAAAAACCGCAGTATAGAGTGAATAAGATTAGCGAAGCGGTGGTCGGAGCGAACGAAGGCTGGTATTAAAATATCTCTTTATGCGAAGAACTTTTTACAACGGTCTCCCGAACAACTTTTTAATGCCAACGTCCGGGGTATCTTGCTTTACCAACGACTCTCCGACTAAGATCGCGCCACACCCGGCGTTTTGCACCACGTTGACGTCGTCGATGGTGAAAATACCGGATTCGCCAACCATGACGATGTTTCTCTCCTTCACTTCCTTGCCTAACTCCGTCGCCATTAACTCTACCGTGACGTTTAAATCGACTTTGAACGTTCCTAAATCGCGGTTGTTGATGCCTAATAAGTCGATTTCAAAGTCTCCGGACAAGACCCGTTTCATTTCGCCGTACGTGTGCACTTCCAACAAGACTTTCATCCCGACCGAGTGCGCGATTTTCGTGAAATACTTCAAATCTTGGTTATCCAAAACCGCGGTGATCAACAAAATCGCATCCGCGCCTCTCGCTCTCGCCAAATAAATTTGATACGCGTCCACGATGAACTCCTTACACAAGAGCGGACACGTGACCCCAGCTTCTTTAATCAACTTTAAATTCTCAAACCCGCCTTGGAAAAATTTCTCGTCCGTCAAAACGCTCAAACACGCCGCGCCGCCTTCCTCGTACGCTTTGGCGATTTTCACCGGATCGAAGTTCGGTTGAATCACCCCTTTCGACGGCGACGCTTTCTTCACCTCTGCGATTAACCCTGGTTGTCCTGTTTTTTCCATTTGATCTATAATCGCTTGTTTAAAATCCAACACCGGAGGCGCTAACTTCACTTGTCCTCTGACTAAACTCAGCGGCATTTTTTCCTTCATCAACGTCAACTCGTAATCTTTATACCAGACGATTTCTTCCAGAATATTCCTCGGTTTATTCTCCTCGTTATCGATTCGTTCGCCTTCCGGTGTTACCGCTTCCATCTTAAACGCGAAGCGTTCGGAACCCATGCCGAGATGTTCCTTATGGCCCGCCGGTGGTCTTCGGCGAATGGTCACTTCCCCGGTGTCGTCCATCACCGCAGCACCACCTGCGGCTTTAATTTTCATCGTCGGTGGTCTTCTTCCTCCTCCTCTGATAGTAGATGTCGTTTTACTCGTAGTACGAACGGTGTTGAAGACGTGTTGATTTTGATGCGAGGCGGCGAACATGACGACGAGAATAGAAAGATGTGTTGCGTGTGATGTGTGCAAAAGGATAAAATTCTGAGGTTTTTTGAAGCTGGAAAGAAAGAACAGACTCATAAGAAGAAGAAGAATACGATAGAGTATACTATGAATGATGAAGAATAAAGAATGGTATAATGATAATAATAATAATACAAGTTGTCTTTGACGTAATAATAAACATAATAAACATAATGAGAACAATTTCTTGTTCAATTCTTCTTCTTCTTTAAGAAGATTTGGCCGCGCGAACCAAGTCGGCGTACTTGGGGCACCCCAAATCGTGTTCCAACGCATTAGCGAACTCGTCGATATTCCAATCCATGCCGCGACCTCCGGTGATTTCGGCAGACTTGAACAAAACGACTCTGGCGCCGTCGCCGAGTTTTCGGTTGGAAAACTTTTTGTCTAATTCGCGTTTGATGTTCAGAAACGGAGTGACGACGATCGGGATCGAGGCAGACGCGAACGGGACGTTGAGGAACTGGAGGAAGAATAAGCCGCCGTCATATAAGGAGTCGACGCAGACGTCCACGTAGACGGTTTCTAACGGCGCTTGTTCGATTTGCTCGTCGTCCGAGGAGGTATCCGAGATGGATGAGATGGAGTTCTCGTTGTCGTTCTTGAGAGAAATTCCCCCTTCCCTTCTCTTGCGTGCTTCGAGTTCGTAGTGCTCCATCTCGTCGGACGCGTCGAGTGGCATCTCGTCGGACTCTTTCATCCACATCGCGTGGCGAGCTCTTTCGGTTTGACGAAGCTTCGACAACGGCAGTTTGAATAAAGCAATCGAACTTCCGCTTTTCTTTTGCTCCGAATTCTGCTGATCATCGCTGCTGTGCATGAAGATCTCCTCGACGTCAGCCTTGCCGTGTAATCGAGCGCATAAAGTTATGTTCTTCAAACTTCTTCCGTGGATTTGGATGCGAGTTCTCACGCCCGGCAAAACGCACATCGGGGAGACTGAGATGATTCGCGGGTACGAGTGCGGAAATCGAGATTGCGACTTGACAGTCAATGCGTTGATGTTAATGTCGTTGTTCGTCACTGCACCAGATGGCAAGCCAGCGCGCATGTCCGCGTACGCCGTCTTCTTCGCTCGTCCAACGCCAAAGGAGCATTTGATCGGTTTGATCTTCTCCGCGACAGCTCGAATGGGCATGTTGTCCGGCGTAAAACCTCTCCACACGGAGCAAGACATCACGTTGTTTCCTTTTCCTTCTATGCGAACGCTTAAATCGTGTAATTCCCCGTTTGAATTGTTTGAAACGACGACAGATTTTGAGTGAAGATCTTTCAATTTTTGAAGAACTTGCGTAAACTCTCGATCGACTAATCGGATCGTTTCCGCGTTGCGCTTGTACGTTCCGCTCTTTCTCGTGTACGGAAACAAAATATTTCTCGCCGATAGCGCTGGTTTGAACGCAGAAAATATGGATGTCTCAGATTCACTCCTTCCACCAGATGTCGAAGGAGGCGGCGGGTGAATGACGACGTGCGTGCCGTCCATGACGGTGCACTCTTCTTCAACCGAACGGCCGCACAACTCTCCGATGTAGTCGTAACGCTCGTTTGGCACGTCGATGAACGACAAAGCTTGTCGGCTTCTCAGATCAGTACTTCCTATATCTAAAACATCCCCGTCGGAGCCGTCCTTGGAAGTATTCAGCGAGGACGGCGGCGAGTCTCTCAAACGTTTACTTCTACTTTTCAAGTGAATACCAAAACCTAAAACTTCGAGAAAGTTATTATCCCCGGTGTAGTTTGAGTTGTTGTTGTTGTTCCTGGCAGGAGACGAAGGAGAATTGGTCTGTGACCTCGTCCTCCTTCGCGTCACCGTCCGTGTTACTGCTACTACGGGTGTTGCTGTCGTTCTTCTATCGTTTGCTTTCCTCCTCGTTGGCGAAAGGGTTGGCATTTCTTCTTCTTCTTCTTCTTCTTCTTCTTCTTCTTCGAGAACTTCCTCTTTCTCTGCATTTTGTTCATCGCCGGTGAAACGCACTCGATCAAATCGACTCTTCTCCCTATCGTATACGATCGCCGTCGTCGCCAAACTAAGATTGATATACTTCTTGGACGTGCCCGCTGCGTTGACCACGAGGTACATCAAGTGCATCACCAACGGCGTGAAGAATATAAAAGCCATATATTGCGGTGAGCATCTAGAATACATCTTCGCCGTCACGTCCATAAACGTCTCAAATTTGTTCTCAAACCACATTTCTCTCACTTCAGGCGCCGAGAACTGAAATAAAAACGCGTACACCGTAGCCATGATGGAGTAAAAGAACGAATACTTCAAGCTCGAGTACCTCGAAATACTATACTTGCCGATGATCAGAGGCATAAACACAATCGCCCCAAACTGAACCGAGGAGAACTCGTGCGAGACTGGCCCGTACAATCCGGCTAACGCCAATGTCACCTGCGGATGTCTCAAAAACGTCTTGATCATTTGTCTCCAAAAATATACTTTTTCCTCGTACTCTGCGTCGTACTCGAACTTCCCTCGCGCGCCGATTCGTTTCCTCACGCCTAAACACAAAAACGCCAGGTCAATCGCAAACTGTAACGGTACAAACGTCATCAATATGTTCTTCACGTACACCGAATACATTTCTGACGTCAAAAACCTTTTCTCATCCGGGACGATCTGTTTCACGCCGACGATGGCAATTTTCGTTTCCATAATCAAAACGCAAAGGAAGTACATCACGAATGATTTCAAACGAGGATCCCACGCGATCTTATCAATCGTCGGTAACAATTTTAAGAACTTGAATCGAGGAAGAGTCAAAAAACCAACACCACCACCCTGGTTATTGTTCTCGTTAAAAGCACCTTTAGGCGCGGAGTTTTGTTGCCGACATTCCTGATCGCGTCGCTGAAGATCTTCCTTTTTCCTCGTCGTCGTTTTTGTCATCATCGCGGGAGGAGGACGAGGAGGAGGCGCGTCGTACAAAGACTGATGGTGCATCCCCGCGATGTCTTTCCTCTCCATGATCGCATGAATCCACCTCTGAAAATTCTCCTTCAACTCCTTCGCGTGTTCTAAAAGCACCGAATGTGATTTCTGGTGCTCGACATCACTTTGCATCATCATCATCATCGCCTCGCCGTCGTTTTCCTCGTACGATCCTCGCATCTTCTTCTTCGTTTTTGTCGTCATCATCACTTCAGCGGCGTTGTTCTTCTCCTCACTCTCCGTCTTCTTCGTCAACAAAGTAGTATTCGTTTTTCGGTGGTGGTGTTGTTGTTCCAAATCCTCGGCAATTTTATGATGAACTCGTCGTCTTCTCCGCGTTGTAGTTGTTGTTGTTCTTGGTAAAAGTGGTCCGTTGCATTCCTCCCCGTCGTCTTGTTTCTCGCCTCCTGAAATTGGTAACGGTTGCGTTTCCGACGCGGTCGGGGACGTTTCAAACATCTTCTTTACGGATTAGGGAAGCTTTGACACAGTAGACAAGAAAAAAAGAGGACAGACAAAATTAAAACTAACGTGTTCTTCAATTCTCTCTTCTTTCCTCTCTTTTCCCTCCTCTTTTCGTCTCGCACGCACACACACTCTCTCTTATTTGCTCGCGTTGTTTTCCGTCGTTTACGTCGTTCACGGGTCGTTTATAACGTTGAAAAGAAAGAAAGAGAGAGCGGCTTTTCAATTGCTTTTTTTTGACCTTTTCCTTTCGGAGACGAGTTCACTAAAAAAATGTCGAAGAAAGAAGGTTGTATGGACTCTTTTAAGAGGAGAAAGACCAAAACTTCTTTTTGATTTCGACTCTCGATTAGGGTTTAGCAGAGGTACTTTTGAAAAGAATGGCGTTCTCCTCAAAAGTACAACACAGAACAACAACAACAACAACAACGACAACGACAACCACAATTGAAGAGAAAAAATGACTTTGACGATGATAACGAGCACAAACGCTGGTATTCACAGAATTACTGCGAAGAACAATTTCGTCAGAGGACGAAGAGGTGGTGGTTTTGCTCGTCGCGGAGTGAATAATAAAGAAGGTGTTTCTTTCTCCTCCGCGAGAACGAATGCGAATGCGGGGGTTAGTGTCTTCTTTCCATCATCGATTCAGACGACGACGACGAGAGAAGAAGTGAAAGACGTAGTGATGAAAGAAAAAGTAGAAAAAGAAAACAAAGGCCAGGCGATTTTAGACGTATGCAAGAAGCAATCATCCGTGCACGTGTTCACAGTCGCCGCGACGACCATGGTGGATAAAAAAATGGTCGCGCTGATAACGCAATCCGTGGCCTCGTTTATCAAATTGTATTTACTTTTACTCTTCGTGCGAGTTCTTTTGACGTGGTTTCCGAACGTGAACTGGATGCGTCAACCGTGGACGATGCTGAGACAAGTGACCGATCCGTATTTGAACCTGTTTCGTAACTTGATTCCTCCGATTATGGGGCAAATCGACTTTACGCCGATTCTCGGCTTTATGGTTTTGCAGTTCTTGGCGAGAGTGTTGAGCACGGATCCGAGTTTGGGGAGGTTTTAATAATCGAATCGAAGAGCAGTATGTCTATTCCATTTTACTACTACTTTTATATATATATATATACAAAATACTTTACAGCGCGCGCCTTGTATTATTAATTAAAAGTTTGCGAACGGGTTGTTCCCCGGGCGCGAAGGAGAACCTTCCTCCTCGTCCACTACATTAATTGATTCGCCGCCGCTCTCGTTTCCTTGATGATGATGCTCTTTTGAGGCATAGTTTTCTCTCAAGGATGTTGGAGCTTCGTAAGGAGAGGGAGAATCTGCCATCACAAATTCGTTGTTGCTGTCGCCGTCGTCGTCGGCAAACGCTTGGAACCGCTGTGCCCGCGGTCTGGCGTCTCGAGAATTTTGGAATAGATTCTTCTTCACGCTCGATGAAAATGCGTGCAAACCTCCGGATATGGTCGCCGTTCCACCGTTCTTTTTATAGTACCAATACCAAATCGATGTCATAACGGCTAAGAATAACATCACGGTGAAAAATATAGCCGCCGTGTGATTCGTGTTGTCTTTCATCGCGTCCTCGCTACTACTCTCTCGAATAATCCAAAACGAATCCAAAACACGGTTTCCGTTCACGGCGTCGATGAATCTTCCGAATAAATGCGTCGAATTGTGCGCGTGCAAGTCCACGAAGCCGTGTTCGTACACCACTTTTTCAGTAAAAAACATGTTTACGTCGTTCTTGGTAAACTCCGCGCCTCCGGTACCGACGACAAAACTGATTGGATACTCCGGTTTTTCGTAAACGTTGTTCAAATTTTCGCTCACAGTTTTCGACTTCAAGGAACACTCAGTTTCAGTCAACTGGGATTTGAGCGAACACGAACGCTGATAGGCGTGATTGTGGCCCCAGAACACCATATCGACCTTAAATTCAACAAACATCGGCCACAAGTGCTCTTGGATTTCCTTCATGACGGCGACGTCCGAGCTATCTTTCTTGTTCGCCGAGGCCGGCGCTTCCTCCGCGTAACTCGAATCCACTAAACCAGGTCGATGGCCGACGACAATCAACCACGGCGTCTTCGTTCGATCGAATTCAGTTTCCAAGATCATCCGCAACTCGGCGTATTGGTCGGACGACATCGAATTGAAATCGACTTCGGTATTGATCGAGACGACGAAAATGTTCCCGATGGCGACGCCAAACCAATCTTTCTCGGCACTTTTTCTTGGCGTGTTGAAGAGCGCGTTGGACATGACGCCACACTCGCCGCCGGAATCGTGGCCGCCGTATAAATCTCGCGTTCTCCCAGACGCGTGCGCGTCCCATCCGCTCTCGAAATAATCAAATTCGTGGTTCCCGCTGTTCACAAGGAATGGGATTTTATGCGCAAAATACGAGCTCATTTGATGCAAAAACTCGTCCCAGACGCTGATGTATCCAACCGCGTAGGACAAATCGCCAAACAGAAATACCGCGTCGATCGGGTGTTTATTCGTATTGTCGTTGGACAAATCTCCGAGCGATTCGGCGACTTGTAAACCCGGTTGTCCGTACTCCCTCCACGTCTCGCTATCGTCGGTTGTCCCGACGCCCATATCTGCAAATAAAGCTAACGTCGTGTGCGACGCGCCGACGACGGGTAAAAACTTCCCCTTGTAGACTCTCGTTGACTCTTTGAAATCGCTGATATCGTCGCCGAGTTGGTACTCGAACGCTCTCTTATTATCCACTTTGTTTTCAATTTCCGCGTAGTGTTGATACCCGCTGTGCCTGTACCCAAACGCGTTCGCTGGTGCGCCACAAAACTGGTCTTTCGTCACCTCTACCGCGGGTTCGGACGCAATCGTCGGCTCCCAATTTGCCTCTCCCACGTATCGCCACCGAACTTTCGCGTTTGCATCTTTCCTCCCCGACGTCCACGTGATGGAAACCTTTTTCTGATCATCACTCTTCGTCACACCAATTCTAGGGACAATGGGCTCGTCCTTATCGTCTTCAAACGTAACTCTTTCACTCCTCGCGATCGGTTGCGAGTCGCCTAAAATATTCGCCCAATCCGAAAAGTTCTTGTGATAAATAGCGTGCGTCGACTGCGGGTCGTTGGAGCTGAACAAGACGAAATCAAAGTCCTCACGCATTTTGTGTAAATCAAAGTTTAAACCGCCTATCCCGGACGCTACGTATGCGTTTGAATACTTCTCGACGATTGAATATTTCACCGGTGCTGTTTCATTGAGCATCGAAGCGTTCGCCGGCGAATACACGCCTACCCAGTGCCTCTTGAGAGTCTCGGACGTGTAATCCGTTCTTGAATCATTATTCAACACATCTATTGGCACTGTAACAGTGACGTTAATCCGAGGTTTATCCCCACTAATCTTTGTCTTCTCGGCTTTTATGGTCACCCCGTCCGTGGAGTACGAGTTTCCGTCCGGGCCATAAGTAGGATCGATCGGTAAAGGAGACTGAAACTTTCGAATCCCGGAAAGCGCGTTGTGGGAGTTGACTCGACCGAAATATTTATTCCTTTCACGTTCATCATCAGTTTCCAGCGACAATACCGACGACGATTCAAACGAGGAAGCGTGAGATGTGAGAAGCGTCTTTGTGAATCCTCCAAAAAGGGAGAAGAAGAGGAAGAGAAGACTTCTTGTCGTCATCATCTGAAGGTATATATGATGTGTGGTGTTTGTTGTAACGACTTTACGACAGATTTTCAAAGTAGTATGAACACGTTTACGAGTACAAACTCCGGCTTAATGAAGCCCGAGAAACACATATTACAAAACGCAATAAGTACTACAGCATTTTATAGTATTACACTCTCTTCTATTTAAACGACTATGTGCGCGGCAACTTTCATGCTCTTCCTAAAAATCTCTCTCACGTTCGCCTCGATTTTCTCCGTACCGATGCTCTCTTTCGCGTGTTCGACCATTTTCATCAACTTACCCGTAGGAATTGTACTCCCGGTGTCGCTTCCGTGTTCGCTGAACTCGAGGCAACTGGAGGATAAATAGGACGGTAAGCCTTGCGCCATGAGAATGGTGTCGCAGGCGGATTTGGTATCGTCTGGGAGGACATCGATGGTTCTCGAGACGTATTCGGAGAGGAGGAAATCGAGTTCGGTGTAGTCGTCGTCGTCGCTTTCGTCGTCGTAGTCTTCGAACAGGTTTGCGTCGTTTTCATCGATTTCAATGGATTTAATGACGTCTCTTTCTTCCGACGAAGTTGAGGGGGAGGAGTTCGTGGTGACGATGACGGCGAGTTTACGTCCGCGTTCTGGCGCCGATGCGATCATTTCGAGGACGACTCGAGCCATTTCTTTGTTCCCGTCCGGGATTTGTCCAGTCGCTCGATCGACGCCGAGTAACACGTCCAAATCGTCGATAATAATCGCGGACAATTTTCCTTTGGCGGCATCGTCGAACGCATTTTTGATGGCATAGACGACCGAAGAGGCTGTCAAAGACGGGTCTTCGACTTTTTTTAATATGTCGTGCGCGCTGATTATTCTCGCGTGCGGGTACTTTGCGTCCGTGACGGCTTTACACGCCAACGTCGTTTTGCCGCTGTTTCTCGCGCCTCGAACTTGAACGATAGTTTGCGCGATACCGCTGATATTGTGTCCGTCGTTTTTACCTCCGCCGCTGTTTCGTAACGTGACCAAAGTTTCCGTGAGTTCATCGAAGGCTTCGGTTTGTTTCTCTAGTTGGACAAAGTTTTCCGGGACGATGTTGGCGACTTCCTTCGCGTCTTGCTTCATGGCCGAGACGAACTCTTTCATCGCGGCGATGAAATCGTCCATGGTAACTTTCGGGTTCTCTTCCAGTGAGGAAGAAGAAGAAGTGTCGACTTGTGCGATGTCGTCAGTCCCCATACCTAAATGTCTCGCCAACGCGTGACTGGTCGCCGCTCTCACTAAACCTTTCAATTCCGCGCCGCTGTGGTTCTCGGTCATCTGCGCCAACCGTTCCAAATCCACGCACTCGCTCAAAGTCCCGCTCTCTTTCATCGATTTCGTGTGAATGCCTAAAATCTGTAACCGTCCGTACGCATCCGGTAAACCAATCTCTAATTGCAACTCCAATCGACCCGGTCGTAACAACGCTTTGTCTAACAAATCTCTTCGATTCGTAATGCCGACGACGAGCACGTTGTTCAGCGTCCGCATCCCGTCCAACTTTGTCAACAACTGGTTCACCACGTTATCGTGCACCACAGACGCGGTCACGCCTCCCGAACCTCTCGCTTTGCACACCGCATCGATTTCATCGAACACAATCACGTGTAACTTACTCTCTTCGCCTCGAATTTTATACTCCAATTCGGCGTCCGCGAACAGACCTCGGATGTTCTCCTCGGATTGACCGACGAACCTTTGCAAAATTTCCGGTCCGTTGACAATTTTCGGCGGGTGCGCGTGCAAAAGCTCACCAAGCGCTTTCGCGACTAACGTCTTCCCAGTCCCGGGAGGCCCGTGCAACAAAACCCCTCGCACGTGTTCCAACTCCATCTTCTTCGCCACGATCGGGTCGATCATCCTCGACGCGAACACTCGTCGAAACAACGTCGCGAAGTGATCGTCCAAACCGCCGACGCCGCAAAACGCAAACGACGGTAAGTTTCTCTTCTCACCTGAATCGTCTTCGATACCGTTGTTATTGTTTTTCTCCTTCTCTTTCTTCAAAATGTCCAACAAATGCGTCTGCCCTATTCGTTCGTCCTTCGGTTTCTCTTTGATGGTGTTCGCACTCCCACGACCGATTCGGTTGTCCGAGGCTTCCGTTTGCGCGGTCCCTTGCGCCGTGGCGGCTCGTTTCATCGGTTTCGCTTTTGGTTTGTTGTCCCCCATGAAATCATCGATCGGGGTGATTTCCGAGGGCGTGCCGCCACCGATGACGCCGAAAGAGTATCCCGCGCACGGCGAGGATGACGTCCAGATTGTTCTCTCATCGTTCCGATGATATCTTTCCCGAAACGTCGTCGTCGTCCTCAAAGTCGTCGTTTGATGACGACCACCGCAAGAAGCCGACGACGTAAACGACGACGTAAACGAAGAAGAACTAATGCGAGGAATACTTCTGAAGAGCGTCTTTTCCCAAGTTCTTCTCATTTTAATGAGATATAGAGTATGTGTGTAATACTTTTATACACAAACGCGTTACAAATGCACAAACAATAAGTGATGTGTTTTGTGTGCACTCTCTCCGTCTCGCGACGAAAAACACCGCAAAAAAACAACCACCAAAACAGGAATGCGCACCAGGGGCATTCGGACGAGGAAAAAGGAGATGACGTGTTTCATCATCAGATGGTGTTTGAACAAAAAAAAAAATTTCACAAAAAAAAATGAAACTCTTGTTCGACGACCAGTTTTTTTATGCATCGTGCATATTTCGTTCTGATAGTATTTCAACCTAATTAGTGCGCGGACGACGGATCAACCTCGATGCCTAAATTCCTCTTCATGAACTCGTACGCGGTCCAACAAATAGCCGCGGCTGGAACGTGGAAGAGGACGCGAGCGGTAGCGCCGGAGAACAAAGCTTTTGCGCCTTCGCGTTCGGCGACGTGTCGAGCGACTTTGAAAGCGTTGGCGGACGCGTAGACGCTTCGAGACGACGACGAGAGCGGCGGCGCAGTCGGCGTCGGCGTCGAAGATGTTGTTGTTGAAACGCACAACTTTGGATCGCCTCGAACGGCGCACGTTTGGTTCGCCGTCGCCGTTTCCACGGTTTTGCTCACGTCGCACCCCAAGGCTACCTCGCAGTGCGTTTGCATTCGAGTCTTGACGACGTCCATCGGCGTGGTCAAAAACCCGGCGATGCCTCCCGCGAAACCGCCGGCTAAAAATTGCGTTCGAAAACCCTCGTCTTCCTCTTCAATCTTTAACGCTCTCTTCGCGCTTTCGTATAAACCGACGTGAATGGCCGTGAACGGCACGTTCATAATCAACGTTGTCGGATACGATCGGTATAAAACGTGCGCGCCTTCGTTCCTAACGATTGTTCTCAGCGCGTCAAACGCGCTTTTAAACTTTCTCGTCGCCGCAGGCCCGGTGGTATTGCTACTACTACTAGAAATACTATTCATACTAATTCTACTACTACTACTGCCGCCGCCGATACCTTCCCCGCTCATCGCCTTCACCTCGCTCGGACAGTTCCCGCCTAATTGCATTTGCATCCTCTGTTTCACCGTATCCAACGGCGTTTGCACCGCGTCTCCTACAATCGTCGCTAACGCCCCCGCGCTCGCGTCTGCCACAAACTCGCCGTACGCTGATGACGATGACGATGATGATGATGATGATCCTATCGGGTTTAAACGAAACATCTTCTTCCCGTACTCGTACGTGGCGAAATACACCGCGTGCGCCGGCCCAGCCCCTAACCCACCAGCGACGACGCCTCGATACAGACCTTTCACCCCGTCGGTTTTCAAGATCGATCGAATCGCGTTCGGTATCGTGCTTTTAATCATATTTATAGAACTACTCGTACTGCTACTACTACTCGTTAAAGAAGAAGACGAAGAAGCAGAAGAAGAAGAAGACGCGGCGGCGACCAGTTGCATTCGCGTCTTCACGGTATCCACCGGGAACATCACCGTGTGTTCCATCGTCCCGGCGAACGCGCCCGCGAACATGTGCTGCGTGTATTCCATCGACGACTTCGTCTGTTGTTGCGACGAAAGAGACGACGAAAGAGTAGTAGTATTCATGGTGGTGGTATTCGTCGTATTCATTATGCTCTCAAGAAAGAGCTCTTCTCTGGGAAGAAAGAAAGAAGAGATTACTCTTACGATGTCTAGGAAAAGAATGAATGACGGCGATCGGTTCCATCCTTGAGAGTGGTAAAAAAGGGGTTTAGGGTTTAAAAAGTCTGTTTTTTTGCCCTTTGGACGAACGAACAATAAAGGCCAACCCTCGAAAAAAAGAAAAACTGTTCTCTCGTCAACTTTGTCTCTTCTGTCTCGTCTCACGAAAAAGGCATCTCACGAAACAAAAATTGGCAAAAGAAGGGAGAGAAAATGCTCGGATGAATTCTCTGCTGTGTGGTAGAGTAGTATGATATTGTAACCACCAAATTACCACTCTGTTAAAGTCGTTCTTGTCGTAGGAGGAGGAGGAGGAGTACTCTACGAGTACTACTGTTGTTTCGTGCGTGTGTTGCTGCTGCTTTTGTGAGAAGAGAGCGCATTTTTGTCGTCATCGTCAGACGTAGGAAACAACAACAAAAATTCATTGAGAACACATCATCATCATCATCATGAGCGACTCATCTGATGAATTCGACGACGAGTTTTCAGTCGCTTCTGCGCGTCATCATCGTAAGAAGAATCATCATAAAAAAGAAGAGAAAGAAGAAAAAGAGGTGGTGGTAAAATATCCGTCCGAGTGTTTCTCTCTGTGTGTTCTCTCTTTGGCGTACTGTTACGTCGGGTGCGACGCAACAAAACTCGCGAGTCGGTTTGCGTTTCATCCACCGAAACCGAGTCATTACGAGTTGAAAACGACCAACCGAGGGACCAGGTACCCGACCATTTCTCAGTTTCATCCGACGTACATGCACAAAAACGCGGACGCGAGAGTGGCGAGCAAAGCGTTCGCCTCGTTTCAGTGCTACGAGATTCCTTTTTTAGAAGAGGGAGAAGATAAAGGAGAAAAAAAGACTTCGTCGAAGAAGAATAGTATATGCGTCTTCTTCCGACCGGCGCCGAGAGACGCGAAGCGAGCGAGGTTGATTATTCACTCGCACGGAAACGCGATGGATTGTGGAGGTGGGTTTGAGATGTTAGCGGAGATTGGGGATCAGTTAGACGTGTCGATTTTAAGTTACGATTACAGAGGGTACGGGAAATCGGGAGATGTATACGACCAGCCGACGGCGGAGTCGTGCGCGGAGGATTTACGGAGAGTCGTGGCTTGGGCGACGAAAGCGAGAGGTTTAGTCGGTGGACAAACCGGAGATTATAATCGAGATCGGTTTGGTTTAGACGATATCGTTTTGTGGGGGCAATCGATCGGGTCTGGACCGTCCACGAAAGTCGCCACGGAAAAAGAGGTTGGAGGATTGATTTTAGAGTGCGCTTTGGCGAGCGGTACGAGAGTTTTAATCGGCGAAGCGAAGGAAAAACACGGGATACTAAGCCCGGTGAGATGTTTTCGAAAGTGTGAGGTGTACGATAACCAAGGTTTAGCGGTGAACGTGAAGTGTCCTGCTTTAGTCATGCACGGTATGAAAGATTTCGAGATTCACCATTCCCACAGCAAGTTAATTTTCGACAAGTTGCAAGCGAGAGGAGATTCTAAAGAGAGGTTTAAAACGTACGCGTATTGGTCGCAAACAGCCGGTCACGACGACGTGTTTTACGACAACCCTCGCGAGTGCATTCGACAGGTACAAAAGTTCGTGCGAACGTTACCGACCACCGAACGCATCCAAAACGCGATCGCATCGTCCTCTCGCGCGGAGAAAGGTTTATCGGCGGACGATTTAGCCAATCCTTCTCTCCTCGGTAGCGAAAGAAGGCGAGAAAATAAGGAGAAGAAACCGTACAACGATAAGTTTAATCGCGTCAATCAAGAGTTGTTTTACCAATCGCCGCCCAAGAAACAACACATGAAAAAGTGATTATTGAAGGTGTTTTCTTATGTTTGTGCGCATTATTTAGTGGTAGTACTTAGTAGGTAGTTTTATATCGTCGAGTGTTGTTTTACTTTCATATTGACAAGCCACAACCTCAAAACTCATTTTTTTCATCTTCTTTCTTCTCTCTCTCTCTTCTCTTTCATTATTCTAGTACACTCATACACAATTCACACATTCAATAGATACGTCACTATTATTATTATCATTATTTTATTATTTATCTTATTATCATTATTGGGTGGAGACGACGGCTTTGTTCATCAACAACGGCGAATATTCGCCAGCGTTTTGGTCGACAAACTTGTTCGCCGCGGACAATTTTCTCGCCTTTCGCGCGATACCAGCGACAACCGCTAAAGTTGCCGCCATGGCACCAGCTAAGGGAGCAACTCCCGTGAACTCTTTTCCAGACGGTAAAGTGTCTCGCATTTGCTCGTCCCACATTTTAATCATGTCTAATTCCGTGATGGTTTCCTTCCCGTTGGCGATTGCTTCGCCGAGCTGCGAAGACAACGCCGCGGAGGAGGTTGACGCCACGCCGGGGTTCTTGCTCGGGTCGCGTCTATATTCTCTCTTATAATACGAGCCAGTCGTGCACGTCTCGTCGCTACCGAGTTCCGCGCCTCCGTCGTCGTCCGCGTGTCTCACAACCGGGTAGACGGATTCGAAGAGCAAACCGCACGTGGAGAATCCATTCTCGTCGTATTGGTTTTCGTTCAACGTTACCGGGCCTTTAGGTCCTCTCTCTAATTTGAAGTATCCATCCTCGCCAAAACTCGTCCCGTACGAGTTCTTCACCAGCCAGTACGGCGTGTCCCCGTACTTATGGTCGATTCCCCAACCGACGACCAAAGCGGCGTGGTTAATGGACGCGATACCTCTCCCGGCCGGGCCGCAATCGTCAAACTTAATCACGCCCTCGTCGTACATTTGTAAGTTGTTGGCATTGATACCAATCGCAACTGGACCTTTTTCGTAGATAGCTTTCATCAACGCATCGTTACCTTCGGTTTGCGCGATATCGCACATCCCCGGTGTCGTCCATTTCTTCTCCACGTTCTCCATGCACTGCATCTCGTCTTGGTCTTCCTCGGTGAACGAGAGACCAGAAGAGGACAAAACGGAATCATATTTATCTTTCGACGCAATCCCGCCGCTCTCGTCCACGTACATATACGCCGTGTACATGTTCCCGGTATTACACCCGTGATCTCTGGAGTCGCAGTTCATCAACTGTTTGACGGACAAAATGACGATGTCGTCTTTGGTCATGACCGCGGCGCGAGCCGCGATGGAGTCGGCGGAGACGAACGCCCAGCACGAAGCGCACGTGTCTCGTTGATCGTGAACTTCGCCAACCAAGTCTCTCGGCCATCCTTCTGGCGGGTCGGTCCACGAAAATTCCTCCGGGTAGTTATCCACACCGAGTAAAGAGGCGCGATCGTTCGGAAGAGAGGTGGAAGAAGAATATTCATCGTCGCCGACGCTCGAGGAGGACGAGTCTACGTCCTCGTCGCTCGTGAACATCTCACCTATGATGTTTTCGTACGAATTGTCATCATCGGAGGAGGCGTGCGATTCATGATGCCCTTCCTTAGCCTCGTTGATTATTCGGTTCGCATCTTTGTTGTTGTTGTTGTTTTGCTTCACTGCAGCATCTTTTCTCGCGTCTTGATTTTGCTGTTGTTGTTGTTGATTCGGTTGTTGTTGATTGTTGTCGTTGTTGTCGTTATTGTTATCCTTGTTCGCATTTTGCTTCTCGGCTTCTTCAACGACTAAAGATTGTTTCGATTCCAAAGTTGGCGCATTGACGCTTTCATCCTCGACCGCTTTCTCCAACTTCCCGAATGCCTTCTCGAACGACTTTTCAGCCTCGGCTGGAATCTCAACCTTCGGATCGTCCGGTTGTCTCCCAGCTCTGTTCGCAGCAATCTCCATCTGCTCTTTCTTCCAACTCTTATACGTCAAATGTTTCGCGATGAACTCTTCTTGCGTCAAATCCGCGAATTCCGTCACTCGCATCCCAAACGCTTTCCCGCTCTTCGCGTTGTGTTGGTTCATTTTCAACAAGTTCGTCTCGAAGATCTTCTCTCTCTTGATTGATTCCGAGCACGGTTTCTCAATCTCCGAAGGTTTGTTTTCCGGACAGTAGTTCTTGTCGTGCGCTCTCATGAATTCCACGAAGTTTTGTTTGTGTTTGTGTTCGTTTTCATCGACTCCCGCGAGTTGTTGTTGTCGTTCGCCGATTCGCGTTTTTTCCGCCGAAGCGCCATTTTTTGAATCTTCTTCTTCCTCCTCAGCTTTTTCTCCAACACCATTTCTGCCATCAAAATCGTGATTTTCAACAACGAATGAGGAAGGTAACGGCGCTTTCTTCGTCTCCAAATGAGTATTCATTCCTTCCCGATGCTGTAACTGCTGCTGCTCGAAGTGTTGTTGCTGTTGTTGTTGTTGTTGCGCGCGTTTTTTCCCACCACCGAACGATAACGAGGCGACATCATCTCCTTCCGAGGAGGATGATTTTTGCTTCTGCAGATCCCCGGAGGAATGCGCGGCCTCATTTTTCTTCCCTGATAAAACTCTTTCTTTTCCTCCTCCTTGGTTTTGTTTCACGTTATGTTTTAAAGACAAAGAACTCGCTGTCGCCGCTGAAACACCGTTGTTGGTATTCGCAACTGTGACGGCAGAGATGACTCCAGCGCAGAGCATCGCTTTCTTCATTTCTTTTTGTTATTATTAGATTTACACGCCCAGCAGCAAAGCGCGCGTGCAATCCTCTCTTCTTTTCTGATGTGTGTGTTGTCGTGGCTTTGAAAAAATGTGTTCTACATAATTGTTTAGGGTTTTTGAAATTTTACTGAAATTATTTCTCTTTTAAGGAAACGTTTGACACCGCGGGGAAAGGGATTGTGCTTTTGTCTCTCTTCCTCTTTCCTCATTACTCACTTGTGTTGTTAGAAGAAATTGTGGGTGTAGAAGAAACATCATCATGAACACGTTTACTGCGAAGAACGAGAAAGAAACGCAGTCTTTACTCTCTCAGAAGAACGAAGAAGGAGAGACTAAGAAGAAGACTACTTCTGCGAAGAAGAATGTTTTTCTAACCGTGGGCGGTCTCGCGGCGGTCGGGATTTTGGGATTGGCGTCGTCAAAAGCATCATCGTTCGGTTCCGCGGCTCCATTCACGAATGGAAGCCGATTAGGGCAAACGCAATCGACGATTCGCTTGTCCGTCGGGTGCTCGCCGCAGGACGTTTTATCGTTACTGCCGTTCGAACCGAAATCTTGGAGAGGTGCGCAGTTTATTCTTTTAGTATACGTGTATATCGTTTCGTCGTTTATATTCCTCGCGCGATCAAATTTTCTCTCTCGGAACCTACGACGAGTGAGAAACAGACCAAAGAGCTGTTTGACAACGAAATACGACGCGTCGCTGACATTTTTTCTACACTCTACTGTTATATCATTACATTCCAAATCATCATCTCAAAACAACATCAATGATGATAATAATAATATTAAAACAGGCAAAGTGGGCGCGAAATTCATCACCGCGAACATGTCCCCGAACTTTTCGTACGAGAACGCGATCGACATGCCGGAAGAAATGTGCGGCGTGTTTGCGGTTCCGCACGAACTCGCGCACGACGCTCGCTACGGTTTCTTTTTATACGAGAAAGCGAACCCGGAGAACTTTGTGTCCGATATCGGGGTCCAACCGAAAGGCGGGTACGCCGACATTGAAATCGTGGAGGAAGAAGTTCAGACTGCTGCCAAACCAGTCTCGAAGAAGGAAGAGAAGAAGCAAGAGAAAGCGAAGGAGATGAAGCAGAAGGAGGGCGAGTTTGAAGACGGGACGAAGATGACACCGACGCAAAAAGAGTTCTTCGAGAAGAAGGCGACGCTGGCGCACAAAGAGTCCAAGTCCTCTTCCTCGAAGAAGGCGTCCAAGAAGTCTGCCGCTGCTGCTGACGAGGACGACGACAAAGAAGAAGAAGAAGAAGAAACAGAAGCGAAGAAATCTTCTTCTTCTTCTTCCAAGAAAGAAACCGCCGAGGAGAAGATGGTGCGTTTGCAACAAGAAAAGATTGACATATTGGAGAAAGAAGTCCAAGAAGCGAGAGAGGCGGACGCGGAGAAAGAACGTCTCGCCACCGAAGAGGAAGCGAAACACAACGAAGAAGCAGAACGAGAGAAAGAGCAGCTGGAGCGAGAAGAGTTTCTCAAGCAAGAGAAGGATGAGTTGGAGAAGGCGAAGACGCTCGCCAAGGAGAAGAAAAACGTCGGCGCGTTCTTCGATTGGGGATGGTGGTCCTCCTCCTTGTTCCACGCGGAAGAGGAGATTGCGCAGCAATCCAAAGAAGAAAGCGCTAAGATCAAATCCAGACGCGCGCTTCTTTCTTCCGCCCACAAACCGGTGCAAAAGTTGGCCGTGCCGCACAAGAAGACCGCCGCGAAATTGTCCGCCGAACAACAAAAGAAGGTTGAGGAGTACGACAGAGAAGTCTCGATGATCAAAAGCGCCAAGAAGCAGCACAAGGATGTTGAAATTTCCTCTGAAAACCCAATCGAAGTGGAAGTTGTGCAAGCGAGAATCGAGTACCCGGTGCAATTCATCTCTACCATGGCTTCGTGCAACACCAAGCACGAGTTGGAAGACACGGAATACTACCCGAGAAAGGGCGTTGCGAACCCGATGGGGAACAACGTCTTTATCTTTGGCGCGTGTCGCTCGGACGTGCCGCAGTGCGGCAACCCGGCGCAAAGGCACCCGGGGTCGTGCCAAGTGCCGAAACCGGACGACGATACGTTCAAGTTAGCCGTCAAGGCGTGCTTGGACGAAGACCCGACGGAAGGTAACTGCCACAAATTTGCCAAGCAATCCGAGTTTGGCGTTATGTCCATGTGGGACGTCTCCGAAGTCACCGACATGAGCGAAGCGTTCGCGGATCAAGACAGATTCAACGGCGATTTGTCGCAGTGGGATACTCGATCTGTTAAGTACTTCGACAGAATGTTTAGCGGCGCGGCGTCCTTCGACCAAGACATTTCCGCGTGGAGATACGCGGCGAAAAAGACGGACAATCACATGTTCGCCGGTGCGACTGCGTTCAAAGCCTCGTGGGAGTGCGGTTTTAGACCGTCCGGTTTACTCGACTTCCACTCGTGCACCTCCTCGAAAGTGATGGATGACATCGTCAACGGCAGAGGAGATGCGGCTGGTGCCTCGACTAGCAAAAAAACATCCTCCTCTTCTTTGTACAACTCGATCTCCGCGGCGAAAAACCAACCGATCGCTGCGGCCGAGAAGCTCTCGACCTCCAACAATGAAGCGTCGTTTGGAACGGAAGAAGCTGGTGTGTTGACCGATGCGAACATTATGGATGAAGTCACGGATTGTTTGCTCGCCGAACCGGTGAGAGGTGACTGCCACGGCCAAGCCTTTGGCCCGTTGTCCACCTGGGACGTCTCTCGCGTGACGAACATGGACCAATTGTTCATGGACCCGCCGAAATCAGTCGAAGGCGACAGACACTCCTCGTTCAATGGCGACTTATCCAAATGGGACGTCTCTAGCGTCACGTCGATGATTCGCATGTTCAACAGAGCGAACGCCTTCAACGGCGATTTGTCTCGATGGGACGTGTCCAAGGTTCAATCCTTCTCCGGCATGTTCAAGCATACGGATAGATTTAACGGAGATATCACCAACTGGAACATGAAATCTGCGAAGTCTGTGGACGAAATGTTCATGATGGCCTTAAGGTTCAACCAAGACATCTCCAAATGGTCTTTGCCGCAGTGCAGAAACTACGACAGAATGTTTGAATTCACTGGTGAGAACGGGTTCGCGCACGACATTTCCAACTGGGACATGCGCGCGAGCACGCACCAAGACATGTTCAGAGATGCGTTTGCGTTTCAACAAAAATTTACGTGCGCGGATGCCGCTCACGGTCCGGCGCACACGTGTCGACCGAATGCTAGTGCGGCGACTACTCCGTTGACGGCGACGAGACAACCGGCGGTTGCGGCGACGAAACAACCGGTGGTTGAGGCGGGTAAATTTGTTCCGCAAAGTGAATACGATCGCGTCATTGATTTGGGCGCGTAATCTCGTTCCAAGATCAAACAACAAACCTCTGTACTATTCTAACGAAATAATATTTAATTATAAAAATATACAAACTACTACTAACGTACTACTAATGAATACAACTTTACTAAACTACGCCGCGCCTAATTCGTTCACTGCGTCATTCGCTTGCAACAACGTTTTCACGTCTTCTCTTTCGGTTATAAAGAAAAGGCGTTTGGTACGATCTGCGATGACTCGGGACCAAAGCCACGCATCGTGGCCAGGTCGCGTCGCTCTTTCTATTGTTGTTGATGTTCTTGTCGCAGAACTTCCAGATTCGTCTTCTTCTAATACCGATTCCATCTCGTCTCTGAGCTTCGTCGCTTCTCTTTTTGAAATCAAGCTCAACGCGTCCAACGACTTCGACGCGCTCGTTTGAACAAAACATCCGCTCCTATTTTCCCTCTCTTCTAGCACGTACGCCACATCCTCGTCGTCTTTCGTTTCTGTTACACTACTTGTCTTCATCATCGCGCCGCCCATCGCAAACGACGACGACGATTCGTCGTTCAACCTCTCCCCTAATCGATCGATTAACCTCTTCAACTCTTCCTTCCATTTTCTCTTTTCCTCCTCTTCGCTGCTGCTCGATGTTCCGCGACGACGCCGTTCCGCGTCGGCGGCGACGACGAGTGGTGCCGTGTCGTCGTTTACGAATAACTTCTCTTTCACTTCTCTCTCCATCACGTCTCGTAACACCCGTAAGCGCTCGTTCCCTTGTTGTTGATGATGTTGTTGTTGTTGTTGTTCCATCTCGAGTGGATATCTTCTCGACGAAGAGGAGTCGACGGAAACTTCGACGACTGCCAACCAAACCGAGGAAAGGACATTCACCGCGCAGTAAAATTTCCCTCTCGTTTTCGCGCCGATGAAGGACGAATCAGACGAGGAAAATCCTTTCTTTTCCGTCGTCGTCTTTTCATCCTCCTCTTTTTCGTCGTCGTCTTCTTTTTCTTCTTCGTTTTCATCGTCCTCGCTCGTAAGAAACGTCGACATGAACGCGTCCAATCCGCACAAAAACGCGCTCGTTTCGCATTGGATTCGTTCCGAAGTCTCTTCGGGATAGAAATGAACCACGCGTTCGATTTCATTGTTTTCGTTGGAGATTGAACTGTCGTACGCGAAAACGTAATAAAAAGGTGACGACGAGGAGGAAGGGGAGGAGGATGGGATGGTGGACATGGTGGTTTGTTGGTGTGTTTGTGTGACAAAACGTGTAAATGTTGTGTGGAGTGATTTCATCAAACTTTACGAGTTTACGCGTCGTCCGGATCGGTTTCATCACGTCTCGCCAACGCATGGCCTCAAAACGACTTTTAGTATAACTACTACTAATATAACTACTTCTAGGGTAAGAATTTCTCGAGCGCGAAATGCATGCATCCACCGACGAGGACGCCGACGAACCAGGCGCAATCGTACGCCAGCGCTAAACACTGCGGCAACATCGAAGACGGCCAGAGACCTACGGCGTGTAAAAATCCAGGCAAGTTTGCGAGGACGCCTACGGCGAAGGCGAGCATCGCTTTATAGTTGACGCCGTTGGTGAAGTAATACGAACTGTTCTTGTCGGCGGAGTATAAGTCTTCCAAGACTAAGTATTGGTTTCGTATGAGGAAGTAATCGCAAAGCATGATTCCTAAAATCGGAGCGAGGAACGCGCCGTATCCAGTCAACCACACGAATATGTACGAGTTCGCGTCGCTGGTGAGTTTCCAAGGGAGACATAAGGTGCCTAAAATCATCGAAAGAATCGCGGACGTTCGAAAAGACAATTTCGAAGGGGCTAAATTTTGAATGGCATTGGCTGGTGCTAAAATATTCGCCGCGATGTTTGTGCTTAGCGTCGCCGTTAATATACCAATCGCGGCCAAAACGCTCGCTATTTTACCCCAATTGAAATGCGTCGACAACAACGATGTCACCACCATCGGATCGGTAATCAAATTTGAACTCGTGTTCAAAATGTGTGCGGCCGATGACGTTACCACTATCGAAGCGAACGCGAACACAGCCATCGCTAAAGGCATAGCAAACGACGCTTTCTCGAAACTCTCTCGCGATTTCGAAAACCTCGAGAAATCGCTCACGTTACATATCATCGTCGCCCAAAACGAAGCCGACGCCGTCGCCGCTTGGAAAAACGTTTTCCACGAGAAACTGCCAGCGATACTATTACTACTCATGTTACTACCACCACCATTCGTCGCAAACGCAGAGAGAACCGATTGCACGACACCTCCGGAAGAAACGCACGTAAATATAAACAAGAGAAGCGTCAAAAACAGCAAAATCGGCGCCGCGAGCTTCTCGATCGTCTTTATGCTCTCCACGTCGTTCCAAACCACGTACGCTTGCAAGAGCCAAAATATGATATAACATATGCCTCCCAAATACGGCGACGATACACCCGATGCCACCCCGAAATCTACCGCTAAACTTCTCAAACAGTTCGCGCCCACCACCGTCTGAATCCCGAACCACGCGCTCGCGATAAACCCGCGACTCAATCCAGCCACGTTCGCGCCTTTCACCCCGAACGATGACCGCGCGTGCACCACGAACGGGATCCCGTATTTAACACCCGCGTTTGCTTGCAACACAATCGGCCACACGACGAATAAATTCGCCACAAACACCAGCAATAGCGCTAGAAAAGCGCTCAAATTTCCAATCCCCATGAGACTGGAGACCAGTTGCCAGGCGGGAACGCAGACGACTAAACCGACCCACAAGGAAGCGGTATCGAAGGTTGAAAACGTTCGATTCTGTTTCAGAACGGGAGATAAATCGTCGTTGTGGAGTGCACTGGATGCTTTCGAGCTCTCGAAAGACTCGACGATATCATCACGAGTAAACCCCTTACTCCCCGTCGATGATGATGAAGATGATGACGATGCGGTTGTGACTCGTCTTTTTGTCGTAACGAACTTTGCATCGCGCGTTCTTCCCAAAACTGTATCCGTCGTCTGTATCCTCGTCATTTTCTTTGAAACAGCGCGACAAGAGAAACAACAACAACAACAACTGCGACTACTCGTATAACTGCGACTATTTCTGCGCGATGACGATGAAAGTGAAGACGCTCTCATCATCAGTATCTTATTCGCTGGTGTTGTCGAAGGAGTCATAATATTGTTTTTTTATCCTTAAAATTTCTCTCTGCTGTTTTTTCACTCATCGACAGTCTCGAGAAGAATTTTTGAATTTTTTCGTACTTCCTTCACTGCTTTTTCTGCTCTGCGAGAAGAATGGGAACGAACACAACACCTGAGTTCGGCTTTGGCCAAGACGACGACGACGACGACGACGACGACGACGTGTGGGCGAACGTGGACGCCAGGTGAGTTTATTTGTTTTCTTGCGAAGAAGCTCTTTCTATTTCTCTCTCTTTCTTTCTCTCTTCTCATCCCTCGTTTTGTTTGTTTGTGTGTGTGTTCGTTCCCGGGGGGGATTTTTATCTAGGCATCTGCAACATGTATTAAACTTACTCTCTGACTCTCAATAGTAACTTTGACTCCATCATCGAGCAAGCGGAAAAGGCGAGCAGGCAAAGAGGCGGTGGCACTGGAACGAGCGGCGGGAACGCGACGACGACGACGCAACAAACCGTGAATAATAATAATAATAATGTGAATAATAATCTCGTCAACATCACGCAATCTCAACAGCAGCAGCGACAGATGGGCGACGTCTCGCAACAACAACAAAAACAACAACAACAGAAGAACAATACGAACAATTTAGAAGTAACAGACGCGCATTTTTTACAATCCCGATTACACGAGCTCGAGCGGAGAGATAAAGATAAAGATGGCATGCTCTCGTTGCTCCGCTCTCGCGTGGAGCAATACGAGAAGGAAAACGCCAAGCTGAAACGGGAGGCGAAGGATACGACGGCGGGAGGCGGACAAAGTGGTAGGATAGCGATCGCGCACGGTCATCAGCAACAATCGGAGGTTGCGATCGCGACGACGTCGTACGCGAACACGAGCGCGGCGCATCACGTTGCAGCGGCAGAAATCCGAGAGATGCGAAAAGAGGTTGAAAAATTGAGAAATTTGCTCGGATTTAAAGACGAAGAGTTGCAAGAGGCGCAGGAGAGAGAAGAGAACGCGAGAAGGCGGTCGAGGAGGGAGAAACAAGAGTTGATGAACGAGATTTACGGTTTGAGAGAGCAAGTAAAGAAGAGAGAGAATGAATTCGAGGAACAAAAGCTACAGAAGAAGAAAAGAAGCGAGGATGAAACTGGGACGGTCACAGGGAACGAGGCGAAGCGAAGGAAACAAGATGTGGAAGGCGGTGGTGGTGGTTTGAGCGTATCGGATGCAATTAAACGGTTCGACAACAACAACGTCCATCAAAAGCAGCATTCCCTCAGCGTAGCCGCGAATGCTGCTACTGGTGCGACAAATCGACAAGCGCAACAACAGCAACAACAAATCAAGAACATGGATACGACAAAGACGATAGCATCGGTGCCAAAAGCAATGACGACGACGACGACGACGACGACGACGACATGTAAAGAAGTTTCGGACTGGCGACCGATACTACCGAAAGCACCGAAAGGTTTGTTTGATCAAGCTTCAATGGCAGCTTCAGCGTTGTACCACTATCACGGTAATGCTACCAACAATAACAACGCGGACAATCAAAGAGGAACCTCGTCGAAGAAGTTTGCGTTCTTTTTAGATTCTTTTGCCAAACGTGATGCTTTGGTGTTTCTCGGTTTCCACACTCAAGCTGTTGAAAAAGGTGCCACGTTGGCGTCTTTGAGAAAGAAGAAAAATAGTAGTAGTAGTCATACCAATAGCAAGAAAGTCGGGAGCGGACTGCGCAATATAGAGGAAGGATGGGAGTACCACAGCGTGGCGATTGGCCGAGCGCTCGCTTCTGTTTTCCTCGACGATGAAGATCAGGGAGACGATAATAGCTATGTAGACGGTACCCCGAAGAACAGCGGATATAGAATTGATAGTATCAATGAGGTATTCAGTAACGCGAATTTCCTCATCACGCTTCTTGAGGCGCTGAAATCTGTCGCAGCGTTTGACGGCGACAAAGACTTGAATCCACCGAGGAACGAGTTTGCGGACGATAACGCCCGAGATGAACTCGCGGCTTCAGCAGCGAGACTTTTGCTAATTCTGCTTAAGAACGATCAAACGTGCTGTCGAAGAGTGATTGAAGCTCGGCGGCGCAACTTGCTCAGAAATCTCTCAACATCGCAACCGCCCCCAAGAGGTGGAGCTACTGAAGATGACGAAGCGGAAGATTCTGTAGAGGAAGATGACATGATGATCACCGATAAAGCGACGGTCGCAGCTTCGATAATGACAAATGTTAGAGGTAACGAGAAGAGAAAGATCCTTCGCAGAAGAATCAACGGTTCAGAGTTTGATGTGGCGAGCGCGTGCGCCGGTTCTTTCGCCGGCGGTTCATTGCTACCGCACCCGCTCTCAACCACTGGGAGAGTTTTCGTGCACACGAAAGAGCAAGTTCCCACAGAAGATTACATCACCGCTCCATCTAAGGGCGCGTCAAAATCGAAAAAGAGCGACGCTTCTTCGAGCGCTCCTTCTCGAAGCGCTACCGCTGTAGTGGATGAGAAGTTTGATGCGGTGGCGATTGTCGTTGATTGTTTGCGTAGATGTGTTGGTGCACGAGCATGGGAAGCTACATCGCCTCTCCTAGGTGCTCTCACTTGGTTAACCTCATTTGCTGCTTCTGAATTTACAAATGGGAGAGATGTAGTTGGTAGTCGCGTATTACCCGCGAGTGATTTGGTGATGACAATGGTTGCGTCGAGACGGGCGGTCCCGACGACAAATTTAAAAACTGGAGAAGATGAGATCCCACAATCCGGTGTTATCTCGGCGCCAAAGCAGTCACAGATTACGACTTCGTGTTGGTTGAACTATTGCTTGAAAGCAAGCTCGCCGCAAGATACGCGAATGGCATGCCTGTCTCTCATCCGGACGCTATCTACGTGTAAATCATTCCAAGACGCCTTGAACGAATATGCGGTGTTGAGCGATGTAGTATCTGTTTTGAGGAACGAAATCCCTTCGACGTCCACGAATATCATGGATATTGCGACGACGCAGGATCAAAATGCAACTTACATAAACTACACGTGCTCTCGATCGAGAGAGCTCGTCGATTTATCTTTGCGCGTCTTAGCCGCGTTTGCGCACTTGGATTGGAAAGGGTGGCCAAGAGTTGTTCGTAAGGAAAACGTTTTGGCCGCAGCGGCAAACACGGCGCTTTGGGAGATGGCGGTTCAGAAAGCTAAGATCAAGACAAGGAAAACGCCGTCGTCTAAAGTCGCGCCAGTTTCTGGGATCAACGCGAGAGTCTTGCGATATGCGCTCATTATGATTGCGCATATTCTTTCGATTACGGAAACGCAGGAATCTGCGATGCGGATGCTGGCGGAGAATGCAAATTTGAGCCGCATGATGGCTCGGTGTGCAAGAGGCGCCAGTGAACTTGGTCCAACAGAAGTGAAGATTGGTGCATTTGTTATGAAATGCGTAGAAAAAGCCGCGCGCACGCATTACTATTAAAAAATTCTAAGGTCGGGGTATGTTAGCTCCACGAAAAAATGTATGAGAAGAACAATCATAGTAGTTGTCGTTCATCTTCAAATCTTCCGGAATGCAGTTCGCACCGTTTCTTGTAACCCTTGTAAACTTAGTAGAAACCCTTTCGTCGGTTTCACATTGTGCGTGTCGTGCTTCGTGTGCTGTACGTTCGGGTCATCGCAATAGCTACCAACTGGTGCACCTTCAAGATACGCAGCAATGCTCTTTAATATCGAGGCTCGACGACTTTTGAAGTGCGCTCGAACGAGCGCCTCAAACCCTACGGGTGGGCGTTTGATCGTTTGTATCATCGTCTTCAAGTTGAGAAGATACGCATTTTCTGAATACATGGCTGAGTTTCGAATGCCTTCTTCCGTTCCACGTTGTTTTTCGTAGCCCGCTTCGTTGTAATAAGGCTTATCGTTCAGCACTAACGCTTGAAGCGAAACTAAAACCTGCAACGCACTTGATGAACTGCTCCATCTTTCCGAATTTTCCTCCGAGTCCCACGTATTGAGCAACGACAGGCAGACTTTGCCTTCCTTGTACAAGTTTGGATTGAGTCGGTATCCGTACGAGTGATAATGAACTTTTGGAGGAACAGACGGATAGTTCTCGTCGAACAAAATGTCAAAGCAAAATAAACCGTCGTGGTAAGGCGTCAACGATGGTCCTTTGATCATCGCCCGCAAAACGTTCATTTTCGCTTGCGACGATTTTACCCAAATTTCGTTCGCGGGCAAGCCTTTATGTAAGATTGACCATTCTTTTTGAACAGCTTTCTGAACTTGTCGCGGCAAATTCATTTGAGAACTCGAATCTCTGAGTAAAAAATCAGAAAAGCCGCCGTCGACGACATCAAAACTTGTAGACAATGCCTCTTCATCCTCGTCGTTGATATTATTCTCATCCGCGATCGTTGCATCGTCGTCAACTTTCGACAACGTTTGCCTTGGACTGCGACAAAGAAATTGGTTCTCGAGCTGCTTCACTTTCTCCTTCCTCTCTTGTCTCCAGACGAAATTGAGCGAATCCAATAATGACGGCATTTCATCTCTAGAGGTATTGCGAGGTCCGTTCGCTTCTACCAAGGAATGGAAAGCGTTCAACCCAACCATATTTGAGCGTATACTAGAGTCCCGTAACACATCAGAAACAGTGGTCCGGGCGTCGTCTGCATCCAGAAATATACCAGGATAGGCTTTTGCGATGTTGCGTGGATGTGCCATATCCTTGTATCTCCGAGATCTGGCGGCATATTCGGCGTTCAACTGTGCTTTCGAGACAAAATCCTTCTCGAGATCACTTGGCTCTGCATTATCTCCTAACACTTCGTCGTCTTCTTCAAAGCCAGCCCCCCTTCTTCTGCGCCAGAAGTGAGTGGAGATGAGCAATAGCTTCAGCTCTTCGTCGGAATACCTGGTCAAAGTCTTCTTCAGCTCAGTATGTGCGCTGAAGCTCAGTTTTTTGTATCTTTCCATGATGTCGTCAACTGCCGCGTCGGCAGTGTCTTCTTCGAATAGACCAGGCGGTAACGCATTTTTGACCAAGCGAGATATCGAATCTGCGTCGATAGACCCACTACTCTTCTTTATATCGTCTTGGTCTTTCCCGAAGATTTTACCTCTCCAGATAAAATCCTTCGCCGCTGTATCTTCAACCATTCGACGGATTGATTCAAGTTGGCCATCGAGAAGCGAACCAAATACGGCTACTGAACCAGCACCGCGTTCGATTGTACCATTCTCATCGTCAAGAAGGTCCAAGTCTTCGCTACCGCTAACCCTGTCACTCTCCTCATCGTCGAAGGAATCGTCATCAATCGTCAAACCCATATCTCCTTCTTCTCCTTCTTCTTCTCCTTCATCACCACTAAAATCCATCATTGGCACACTGGAAAGTTCCGAGTCTGAAAACCCATCATCAGAATGTGTTTCCGAGATTCTGCCGGTGGGGAAACTCCCCCATGATTGGTCGTCTTCCTCTTGGTCTAACTCCGAATAATAATCTTCGTTCTCATCTGTTTCCCATCCGCTCTCCATAGAATCGTCTGAATCGCCATCATCCGAATCACTATCGTCTGAATCATCCAAAAGCTCGCACAGCTCGATGTTAAAAGGCGGTTGATGTGTATTTGTTCCACTACCCCACGCTATCTTCATCAGACCAGCACTCGATTCTACGATCTCTCCGACCCACGAAACGTCTTGTACAAAACTTGAGATGTATGTACGCGCGCCGAATTCGTCTAATTTAGTCGAATTCAGTCTAGGGTGTTTCGCGTGTCTGTGCTTGTAAGCTTCTGCGGCGGCGAAACCCCACACTCGCACGTGTTCACCATGCGATTGTTGCCATTCCGGGGAAGTTGCGATTAACCTTTTTGGAGTTTTGGAAGATCCTCGGAACCAATACACATTCTCCTCGAGTTTGGGAACGGACCACGGGTTCCCAGGTACAACTTGTAATTCGCGTTCATAGAAAGGCACGAAAACATCCTTCACAGCACTGCACAAGAAGTGAACAGGATCGCGTTTTGTGGCGTCGATATGAATTGATCCTAGTATGCGTTCACACGCCGCCAACGCATGCGGTGGCGCCAGATCACGATTGAAAATATCGTGATTCTTCAACTCGTGCATGAATCTGGTCGAACCCCACTGTTCTACTAAAGAGTCTAAAACTTTAGGCCCAGTCGAAGCTGAAACTTCTTTGTTATTGTCGTTAGGAACAGTCATGAAATCTTCGATGCCCATAGTATCAGGCTGATCATTTTCCACAAGCAATTGGTCGATTCCCGGAATATTTCTCAAAACGACGTCATTTCCAGACGCTTGGAACAATACCGAAGGGTATGACTGAAGTGCGTACACCGGAACCGTTTCTCTGGACTTAAATCTTACAACGCCACGTTTAGTACATTCATTTTCTCCCGCTTTTCTTTTCTTTAGCTCCAGTAACTTGTTCATGGTATTGGCGTAATATTTGTTATAGTGATTATCGAAATACGAAGCACCGCCGCCATCGATGGAAACTTGCGGGGGTTTACCTTCGCTCGAGAAATCATCATCATCCCAGTCTTCGCGCCATTTGAGCTCCATGACGTGCGGTGGTCGTTCTTTACCTTCTGCGTTTGCTAAGAACCTCTCGTTGTCATTCTCTGAAGCTTCAAATACAAACGCATCGGCGATCCAGACAACGTCTGCCGTGCGCTCTTCGCTGTTCGTAGCTTCGACGTAACCAACTGCGAAAGTGTCAAGAACTGTTTTCTCGCTATACTGTTCGCGTTTCCTCATTAAATCGTCCTCCCACGTCTTCTCGAGATCTTGCACTTTCTCCGACCCGACAGCTTTCTTAAACTCGCTGGATTTCACCACAAAGTCACCGCACATGTACACGTGGTCTTCTAAGTGTTCCATTTTCAATAAATCTTTAGCCTTTTCAAGCGTTCTGGACCCGTCTTGCCACAGAACTTCGCACGTGGTTTCAGTAGAAATGACGCGAGCGCAATAAACTTCATCGTTTGACGTTAACGAAGATTTGTAAAAGTTCTGTTTTTCTTCCTCTTTCTTCTCCTCCTGCACCCAAAGCTTCTCGCGCTTTTCTTCGAAGCGAAGCGCGCGTTTATGCGCTTCCGGAAAGTATTTTTTCAGAGCATTTTTATCGCACAAGACGTGATCTCCGGCTTGTAAAAAGTGAGCACAGAACTTATCGACAACGGTGAGCATTGACGATGGCATATAGCGCGGAGGTTTCTCCTGTACTTTGCACGAACCTTCACACCATGGCGGCAAAAAATGTTCAGGATTGCCATCGGGAGGCGCATCTTCTTCTTCTTCTAAAACTACTTCTTCTTCCTCGCAAGGAAGTTTCTTCGGTGCAACTCGACGTAAAGGATCGTCTTTATACTCTCGAGCATTTCGTACCATACCTTCTTCTTTATAAAGGTGTTGCATCTTCCACTTCACCTGTGCCATGCCGTCGTGGATGGATTTCACGACTGCCCTTTGCGCCATGCTATGCTTTTGGTATACAAGTTTCTTGCACACAACGGCCATCTTTGCGTCGTATTGTTCGTCTTGTTTACTTGTAATTTCTTCGTAATCCTCTGCATAATGGGGTTCGTTATCTACTGCAAACGCCGAAAAGAGTGTGACCCATTCGTCGTCATCCTCGTCACCTTTAATCCAACAGTGTTCGAGAAAATCTGCGCGGTCGAGTCTTACCTTATCCCTTCCATCGCGCAGAACTTCCTGTACAGCTCGCCCTACTTTTTGTTCCTCCACGTCAACGATATCGCCTGGGCGATAGCACCCGCACTGCGTCGATGCAAGATGGAACCTGTCAACTCTACTTGATTCGGCCTCGTCGCAATGGCGGAGGCCGAGCGTGTTCATATAATAATATTCCCGTTCCTCTTCGTCCGATAATTCTTCACCGTCGCTGGCATACTCGTCCGATTGCCCGCTCGGCTTCACTTCCACTAGCAAATCTGGCAACTCCTCGTCCAGATACGCGTGATTTTCGACATCTTCTCGATCTTTTTCTTTCTTGACGAAAGCATCACCGGCTGGTAGCGGCCAAGAGGGTTTCAGCCATTTCCCGGTTTTCTTCTTCTTTGTAGCCTTCTTTCCGTTGTCCTTCAACAATCCCACCCTGATAACATCTGTCACAGTCTCTACGATCCCTATCCAGTTTCCATAAACAACCGTGGCCTCAGGATACACTCTCCGTAACGTCTGGCACTCGTTCGAGTCTACTCCGTCCGCGTACTCCTTCGTCGCCGGACAGAACAGCGTCGCCTTCACGTTCATGTCCACAATTTTCCCGCACATCCCCAACGTATTCTTTGCCTTCACGCAATTATCGCCAACTGCGAAATACCGTCTGTCTAATATCGTCAAGTCCTCTACTTTAGAACAGATCAAGTCTGACCCCCCTTTGTTGACTCTCATCCCACCCCAAGTCTCTCCCATTTTCAGCTCCGTCGTCCCGAACGCGACTAAAACTTCCGTGTCGTCCTCTAAAATCTGTCCCTCTGAGTCGTAATCAAAAAATTCCGAATCCGAGTCGTGATAGGTATCCGCGACTGTCCCTATGTGGTACGCGTTCTCAAACGCTTCGTTTATTTCTATCGGTACATCTTGTTCCTCCTTTTCCTCCTCCTCATCCTCCTCCTCCTCATCACCTACATTCTTCGTTGTATTCCTACTTTTTTTCCTCCTCGACATCGTTTTCTTCTTCTTTACCTTCTTCTTCTTTTGTCGTCTCTTTTCGCAGAACACTAAATCTGCCGGTTGTAACAACCGCGAGGAGTCGTCGTTGAAGTAATGCGTGCTGCCGTTCGGGAGCACCATTTGAAACGCGGGCTTTTCTCTCTGCCTTCTTTGTCTTCTTTGTCTTCTTCTTTAACTTCTTCTTTAACTTCTTCTTCTTCTTCTTCTTAGAGTTTGATGATTTGAGACAAGACAACAGAAATTACATCACCTAGAACGAGATACACAACAAAAAAACTGACGGACGATGAAAAACACAAACGAAAAAACAAGCAAAAAAAGGCAACAGAGTTTTGAAAAAAAATTCAAAAAATTCGTTTTTTTGTCTTTTTTTCTTCTTCACAGTTCTTTTTCTTTCTCTCTCTCTCGCGCGCGCGCTCACATTAAAAACAACATTATTAACAAGAAGAAGAGTATATGATGTCAAAACGGAGAGTTCAGACGGTGCAGTTCGACCAGACTTCTGCAATCCCGACCCCTTACGTCGTTCATTTGTGCTCTTTGCTCGAAATCGCGTGCCAACCAAACTCAGAGGTTAAAGGGATTTCTTCGGTAGGGAAAAAGAAACGACTCGATGACGATGATTTTGATGAGAGGGAAGAAGAAGAGGAGGAGAGGAAAAAGTATTACGACGCGGAAAACGCGTACGAGAGTTTAACCTTGAAGTTTCGAAAAAAAATCGTTCGGTTCGTGACGAAAGAGGTTTTGATGGAGAGAGGGAAGACGTCGTCGTCGAATGGATTGGTGTTGTGCGAACCAGATTCGGAGGAGTTTTGGAGACGAGTGTATCGGTTTTTTGTGCTTCCTTCTTCCTCCAAGAAGAAGAAGAAGACAAAGAAGAAGAGCGAAGAAGAAGAAGACGAAGAGATGGAAGTGTCGAGAGCGAATAATAATAATGGTTACGATGAATACGAAGAAGAGTACGCTGATGATGATGATGATGATGATGATGAAACGAGATGCGATAAAGCGCAGCAAATCGAGGATTTCTTCCACGTGTTGCAAACGAAGGAGAAGTATTTACTCGAGTCGGTTGACGAACTGGTGAGAAAATTTGAACGTCTGCCGAGATGTTTAGCGAGGGAGGCGAGAGATTGTTTCGCGGTGTCGAGCGGTGAAGATTTAGCGGTGAGGAAGATTGATCCGGAAAGTGTGTGCGGGAGGTTTTTACGACGACAGTTAGTTGAATTTGAGCGCTTGTCGTTTGACGGCGTGTGCGAGTGTCACGAGATGTTGAGAAGGTATCGGGAGGATTTCGATGCGTTCGTGAACGCGGCGGCGGAAGAGATGAACGGTGGAGAGAAAGGAGAAGTTACTTTTTTGCTGCACAGAACGTGCAAAGCGAACGAACGCGCGATTGTGGACACGTTGGTGGAGAAGTGCGAACGATTAGGGGTTAAGAAGAGTTCGGCGAAGGAAGAGGAAAGTAACGACGAGGAGGACGAAACGCTTCCGTTTGGCATCGCTATGGGTTTAGGAGGTATTCTTGACCCGAGAGAGAAAGATACCAGCACTAGAAATACTAACAGTCGCAGCAATAGTGGGAATTCTGGTCTTCCGACGAAGAACAACAAGAGCGTAGGCGCGGTGCTTCGTAAAGTTTTAGCGGAACATGAGAACACGGCGATTCACAACAGGCATCCGCGCGCGAGACACGTGGAGAGTTTAAAACAAAAAGATGTCGTCAACGCTTTGTTCCATTTACACAGACACTTTGAAATAAACGGAGATATCCCCGCGGACGAGTCTGTTTTGTTGCACGAGTTGATTAGCGCTGGCGGTGGAGGAAGTCGCAGCGCGCACTCCATAACGCCCGTGTCGCAATCTGGAAGACGAGCAGCGGAGGCTTTAATTGCGCTCGGCGCAACGCACGCGCAGTTTCAACATCGAAAAGAAACCGCGAGAGCGTTAGAAGAGGCGACGCGAATCGCGCAGCAATCTGGAGATGAAGACGCATTAGCGAAGGCGTTAGCGTTGAGTGGGCTTTTAGCCGAGTCGGAGTATTTCGACGATGACGACGACGACGTGGACGTAGACGAGGATGAAGATAGCGATGAGGACGACGACGAGCCTTTCGAAGAATATTTAGACAACATCAAACAACAACAACAACGACAACAACAACAACAAAAGTATAGTTCCTCGACATCCTCTTCGTTATCTTCGTCTTCATCAGTCTTGAAAAAAGCGAAGCGATCTCGAACACTTTTACGTCGGTGTTTAAAGCTTGGAAGACAGTTGAAAAATCCCGCGCTGGCGAGCTACGCCGAGTTGGCGTTAGCTAGACAAGTGGCGGCGTTTCCGAACGATGCTGGAAGAGACCGCGTTATGGAGGAACGCAGAGCGGCATTAACGAGCAAAAACGCTGGCGTAGCGGCTGCAACGACGAAAGGTACCACCTCGTTCGTTTCCGCGCCTACATCGACTCAAATATCTGCACCAGAAGTTGTTGAAAAAGCTATTCAAAACGTCGAAGTTTTGTCGCATAAAACAACGCTCGTTGCTTCCGCGCCAGCTACGAGAACGACCGCAGAACATATGCGCAAACAAGAGATAATTTTACGAGAAAAGGGCGCTTCGAATAACCCGTCTTCCGGAAATACCGGAGGTGCGAACGGCGGCGCGAATACCACCGGACAACAACAAACGCAAGGCGGCGGTAACCAATCGCTTGATGCCATCGCCGTCGCACAGGCGACGTCTTTGATTCGAATGAACGAAATATATCCCGCTTCTTCATCCACGATGGCGTCTTCCTCAACATCTGGTGGGAAAGTTACGCACACGTCTTTAGGCACCTTACAACGTTACGCCACTTTTGACACCGCCAAAGAAACGAAAAACGCCATCAACTGTTTGCGCACGCCGGCGTTTTCGATGCAATCGACGACGTGGTCGACGCGAGGCGACGACGGGTTAGCGAGGGTTGCCACTTTGAAAGCATTATCCGAGGGTACTTTGAAAGATGCTTCGCCCGTGGACGCCGCGCGAGCATTTGCAGTTTTATCGAAATCCACGCAAAGGACGAGAGGTACCAAACGCGCGTTGATGGAACTCGAAAAAGCGGAATCGCGTTTGCGCGAACACGTGGATGATAACGAGGAAGTTTCGAGAGAGTTGAACGCGGCGAGAATTTCGATACTATTCGACGATGCTATCGCACGGAACGAGTGTTTCGAAGCGAACGAGTGCATGCGACAGATGCACGCGTTGGTTCATCCGATTGGCGAGAAGACGGATTCGAGTGCGGTATTAGAGGCGAATCGGGCGTTGGCTGAAATTTACGCCATGAACAGAAACTACGCAGAATCATTCGAAAGCTTTCTGAGAGGTGCAGATATTCTGACCTTCGCTTCCTCCCAACTCGAAAGCGATTCGTCGATGAAAAACGGAAATAGCAGCGCGGACCCGAGAAACGCGATGCACGTTTTGAAATCGGAGTTGGGCGTCGCGGAGACGTTTAAGAATTCGCAAAACTACGCGTTTGCATTGTTGAGAGCGTTAGGAGTGGATAAGCGCGCGACAGATTTAGGCGTCGACCAGTACGCGTTGTTCGCGAAACTTATCGTCGCGGAGTGTTTGATTGAATTGAAAGGCTCGCACGCGAACTTGGGCAAACTCTATTTGGAGAAGTACTCGAGAGCGTTTTTAAGCTCGAACGAGCTGCGCTTACGAGCTCGGTTTCATTTGATCAACGCCAAAGCGTCTTTGGAAGTCAACATCCAAGATGAAACGGACGAGGAAATGGAAGAAACGATTGAATCTATCGTCGATGACCTGAACCGTGCCTCTTTATTCGGAGAAAAGCTCGGCAACATCGACATCGTCAAAGAATCGCAATATTTACTCGCGCAGACGTACCATTTCACGAACGATGTTGAGAATCGTAACGAGGCCTCCAGAGCGTTTCGCGAACTCAGTCAACAGTATTACAATCATTATTAATAATAATTAAGTGTTTCATAGATACTACCGGTATATTAGGAATAGCAACTGAGTAATAACAACAGCAACAACAACGCAGCAAATTAGTATATTACCATCGGTACCGTACCGTGAAGTGTATTAATAGATAGATATTATTATTATTATTATTATTATTAAAGCATATTAGTAGTAATATTAGCATGTTACCATCGGTACCGTACCACGATGGTGTATTATTAATAGATAAGCAAGTATTATTAGTACTGTTATTATTATTACGCGCTCGCGGCTGCGGCGTCGAATCCGAATTGTTTATCGTGCACGTAGACCAACTTGCAATCTTCCAAATATTTCGCGTCGTGTATGCGCCCACCTTCGATGTACCCCGCATCGCCTTTGTTCAAAATTAACGGTTTCCCGTCCTCGACGAGTTTCTCCCCGTCTTTTTTGAAGAATTGCACGGACATTTTCCCTTCTATGACCACGGTCATGTCATCGACCGATGCGAATGCGGAGGCTCTGAACTTCCCCGTTCCCACATTTCCATCATCACATCGACGCCGTTCTCGTCCGTGGGGACAGTTCCTCGCATGGTAAACCCCGCGGGTGTCTCCGGAACGACTTTGTGGTGCTTCCAAACGCCAGAGGTGGCAGACGTGGACATTGTTCTTATTAAAGGGTTCGATGCGAGTATGAATCGATTGCAGGCGGCGCGAAGCATGTGTGTGACAGATAGAATAGATATTGTGACGTGGATGTTTGTTTCCTCAATTTTATCTAAAAACTATTTGTAGCCGTCAAAAACGCATATCATCTCACGATCAGCTTTTAGAAGAAGTAAAAAGAAAGCTCTCGAAGAACGCTTGAACGCCACCGGCGAGACGACGATCGGTGTCGTCTTCTTCCTCCTCTTCTTGTTTTTCTTCTTGTTTTTCTTCTTCATTTTCGTGAGAGAGTGTTTGCGCGTCGCTAGAGCTAAGAACGCTGTTATTGTCTACTATTTTGTCTTGTTTTTCTTCTTCTTCTTCTTCTTCTTCTTCTGTTTCTTCTTCTTCTTCTTCTAGAATGGAATCGAGTAACTGTTCTTCCACGTCGCCGTTGGCTTCTACGTCTTCTTCCAAAAATGGTTTTGGCGTTCCGACGAAAGCAGACGCCGCGCATAACAGCATCGCGGAACAGCCGATTATGGTAATCAAGACGACGAAGAGAATCCGGGTCCATTTGATGGTGACGTGCGCACTCGCCAACGTGGCTGAGATGTCTTCCGTTCGCGCGTTGAACATTCGGAGAACTATCGCGTCTGTTTGGTTCGTCGTCGTTCCAATCGGGACGCCGAGGGTAAAGATACCCAAGGTATTCGGTACGGCATTTGGAGCGATATCGTCGTCGTCGTTGAACTTGGAGTAAGTTAAAGAGAGAACTTTAATCTGATCATCGTCTACCCCTTTATTATTATTATTCGAGGAATACGCCAAAATCGGTTCAATCGGTGATTTCAGTTTCGAGGAAACTAAAATCGCTTTGCTCGAGAACATTTGTAATCGAAACATTCCGTCGTTTTTCTTTTGTCTCTCTAAAGCAACCACGTAATCATCAACCGCTTGGAACGCTATCGGTTCGTATTCTCGAGAAACTATGTAGGAAAAACTCGAAACGTCGCCATCTACCTTTATTCCGTCGTCCTCGTTCAACTCCGCACAAAACCCGTTATAAATCACTCTCCCTCCGGCTCGTCTCGTTTCCAAACACATCGCGCACAACTTTTCTTTTTGATGTTCAGAACTCTCTCTATTCACGTGAAAGAGCGTAAACACTTCCTTATTCTTCGCGCAGTGCACGCTCACGCTTTCTTGAAATGGTTTCGTGATGTTCTTTACGTTCCCCGGCTTTTCTTCATCGTATCCCAAAACCTCCCCGTCCTCTCGCAACGCGAATACGGAGGATGAAACAGACGACGACGTCGTCACCGCTTTGATCCTTCCGTCTCCGCTAAAATATCTACCAACCTCTGCCCCTTTTCCTCCCACGTTTACCAAACTCCTCCTCGTCGCTCGATTCTTGTTCTTTGTTCTCGAAAACACGAGTTCCATCGTCACGAATTCGCCGGTGGATTCGTATACTTCCATCGCCGGTCCTCTTCTGTCGTCTGAATATCTCGCACCAATCACATCTTTCAACGAGAACGATTTCGTCGTTTCCTCGTCGTCGTCTTCGTTTTTTAACGACCACCGCACGTTCCCGGATCGTTCAAACAACCATCGAGCTCTGTTCCCCACATCAGCAGCGTTTGAAGAAGAAGAAGAAGAAGAAGAACCACCGAGAAAACTTTGACGACGACCTTTCGCATCATCATTTTCATCATCATCGTTAAAACCACCACTCCTCCTCAAAAACGTATTCTTTGAATCCTCCTCCTCCTCCTCAAACTCGGCAACAAAAGCAGACGACGAGACGAACAAAAGAGAAAAGAGGACAAAAACGCCGTGAAATCGCAATAATGGAAGTTTCACCACCATTTTCATCACCAAAACCTCTAAGATGATGTTGACGATGTTTTTTCTGTCTTCGCCATTTTCGTGTCTTGTCTCTCGAATTGTAGTGAGAGAGGAGACTTGTGTGTTTGACCAAAAAAATGAAAAAATGAAAAATTTGCTTCAAAAAGAAACACAAAACTATGAATCATATGACGACGAGAGCGAATATGAGAACAATGACAACAACAATAAGAACAATACGAAGCAGTACTCGCAAGAGCAGAAGTCCGTCTTCTGTGCATTTGTCTCCGAGGAGGAGGAGGAGGAGAGGGTGCTTTTGTGTCGGTGCTCTTTCTAATAAAGACGACGACGCGAAAATGACGTTTCAAAATCGAACGAAAGATGATGATGATGATGATGATGACGACGAAAACAACAAAAACGAAGAATACTCCAAAGCTGCGCTCACGGCGCGATTATCCAACTATTGCTACAAAAACAACTTGAAAGAGTTGTTAGAATCGGACGGGTATTCACTCGTGTACGAGAAATACACCTCGGTGACGAGAGTCTACATCGCGGATAGAAAAATTGGGTTCGATGAAATGAAGAAAGAAGATATCGTGGAAAGAACTATCGTGGCGAGAGGCGCGGTGTGGGGCGACGACCAGAACGTGGATAGGATTCGATTATCGAATCAAATTAGTAAAGTTTGGCCGACGCAAGTGCACCCGGATGTACCAGTCGGGTGTCACACGGGCGTGTACGAGATGACCGAGGAGTTCTTCAACGAAATAACGCCGTACATCAAAGGACCGGACGTAGGGGAAGAAGTGAAGAAGTTGACGTTTTGCGGACATTCGTTGGGAGGATCGATTGCGATGATATTAGCGGCTTGGACGAAATTGAGATTAGATGTGGATTGTGTGAAGATGAAAGTAAACGTGCACACGTACGGGTCGCCGAACGTTTTGGCGTTGGACATGTCGCTGTTGAACAAAATGGAAAAGGAAGAGAAGGAGACGTTTCGAGGGTACCCGAAATCGGCGTTGGATGCGATTGGTTTGGAAGAATCTACGTTGAGAGCGCACGTTTTGAGCAACGATATCGTTCCCAGGATGTGGTTATCGCACGATCCAGTGTTTAACACCTTGAAATCGAACGAATGGGGCGCGAATTTATTGAAATGGAAAGAAGAAACGTTCGGGAGAAGAGGCATGTTAACCATGGATCGATTTTTATACGAAGTGAGTGGATATTTGATTTTTTTAGAGCTAGGGAACGATAACGCGGCAAAACGAGCGGTGGTTAAAGAGACTGCGAACTTAGAGACGCATTTGGAACGGTTAACGTGGCAGCTGGAAGATTTCACGTCTGGCGCGCAGAACAATCCGTTGAGGGCGTTGGCGCCGGCGTTGGAACACAACTCTCAGAATTACGTAGACGTCATGCAATACCTGGCGGTGAACGCGTTGTTGGTAAAGAGGAAACAGTGAATTAATAGGAATAGGAATAGGAATAGAATACAATACAATACTTGATACGTACAAAAGTTTTCTTCTCGTTTATTTCTTCTTTCTGGCAGCTTTGGCTTCCTCTCGTTCCTGGATCCGTCGTTGCGCTCGGTTGAGTTTTTTCGGAGCAACATCCGCTGGTTGTCCAGCACTAGCACTATTATCACTACTCCCAGCCGACGCCGGTGGGGTTGAGTGACTCACCCATAATTGAGATACCCATTTCTCGCACCCGTTCTCCGCCTCTGTGGCCGTGTGTAACGTCCTCGGATCCGGCATCGCCGCCACGCTCGCGGGGAAGAAAACCAAGCACTTCCCTTTTTTCGGTTGGACATCCAAATCTAAATACTCGAATCGAGTGACTCCACCATTCGGAACATCGTTCAAATACACCAAGACCGTCGCTCTTCTCTGATACCCTTTCTCCGTGGCGATGCCAATCGGAAACGCGTCTTCGTGTTTCTTAAAATATTCTCCGCCGCTATAATGCGCAACTTGCGGCAACTCGAACGCCCACTCGCTCTTCCCACCCGCCGGTGCTTTAAACGCGTTCTTTTTTGTACTCAATCCTCGTATATCAGGCAATAATTTCTCCGCGCTCGCTAAAATCGCCTTCTTACTCGCGTGATTTTCCAACCCGTGCGAGTTCAACGCCACCGTCTTACTCGTGCGAATGTTCTCGTTCGCGGCGCCGCCGCCTATGGCGGAGACTTTTAAACCACCGCTCGTTTTCGCCGCTAATACTAAATTGTCGCACTCCTGTTCCGAGATGAACTCCTCCACCGTAAATATTGGAGGATCCAGGTTCAACACTGAAATTTTCGTCTCGTCGTACGTTTCGTCCATGGACATGAACTCGTACGCTAAAAACCTTCGGAAGGAGACTTTGAAATCCTCGTTTTGTGCGGACAATCGCATGCCCCCAGAAGCGAGCTGTTCCGGAGGAATTTTCGATAACGTTTGTCGTTCGTGCGCGGGAATAAACGCAGGCTGGGGTTGTTGTTGAGAAGTGCTGCTCGTCGGAGATCCTTCGGCGGCGTTCACCGTCGTCTTTGGTTTACTAAAACGTGATGACAAAGAAATAGGTTTGTTTGTTCTTCTTCTTCTTCCACTTCTCAAAACCTCGAAATTGTTGTTGTTGGTCGTCGTCCTCCGAAAAGAAGAAGAAGACAAAGAAGAAGAGCGAACAACGCGCGTTACTGACGACGACGAGGACACGCGACTGGCATCAAAAGGAGTAGTCGCAACCGTCGTCATGATGGTGAGTCGTCGTCCTTCTTTTGTTTGCGAAGAAAGAAAAGAAAAGAAAGAGGGGTTGGTCTCTCACTCTTTTTTTTTTGACGGCTTCAAAGCTTTTTGTCAATTTTAACAACACGCAGACCCCCTTTTCTCTTCTCTTCTTCAGAAAAAAAAAAATCAACTCGTCAAAATCATCATCATCATGGCCAGAAGAGATGATGATGCAGAGCACACAAAACGACGCACGAATAGCGTTGAGAATAGCAGTAGCGAAGACGATTCAGAAGATGATGAAAAGAGTCAAACATATCTCGGCTTTAGCGGCCGAATGGTCTCTTCAAAAGACGTCTACGAATTGGACGCTTTTGCCACGAAAGTTGGCGGCGAACCAAATTTCAAGTTCGCCAACGATGATGATGACGCGTCCGAAAGAGCGAATAATGTGTTTTTGAGAGAGGAGCAAATGCGATGTACATCGTGCGAGAGTAAACTCTCGCTGATTTTCCAGGCGTACGCGCCGTTGACAAGGACGAGAGACGGAACAGAGGAAGATATTCTCGAGCGAACGTTGTACGTGTTTTCGTGCACAAATTTTCAAAACTGTTGTCCTCCTCCTAATAGCGAATCGACGATGGGAGGAAAGTGGCGAGCGTTTCGAGTGCAAAAGAGAACACGGAAAGGGAATGAGACCACGAGCGAAAATAGAAGGGATGTGAATAATGCGAAGAAGGAAGAGTGTTTGAATGAAAACGAAAATTTGTTTGGAACGAACGACGATTGGGGATGCGCGGAGAGCAAAGACGATTGGAACGGCGAAGCGAAGAATGGAGCGAAGAAAGAAGAGGAAGAGTCTTTGGAGCAGCTGACGAAACAGTTGGACGAGGTGATGTTGAAAGAAAAAGAGAGGAAAAAGGCGGTCGAGTTGCTCGAAGAAGAAGAAGGAGGCGATGAAACACTCATTGAATCGTATCACGAAGACGCCCCAAACGCGTTGCCGGAATTTTACGTGTGTTCAGATTTGGAGCCTACGAAGGCCGAGGCGAAGAGAAAGGCGTTAGGTTTGAGTGCGAAAGTAGATTCCATGTTGAATAAGTACGCGCAAGAGGAAGGTTTGGAGGTTTCGGAGATTGAGAAGAGTTTGCTCGCGTTGCACGCCGGAGGGAAAGCCGTGGAGATGAAGGACATGATGGACGAATCTGGGACGAAGGAAGTGTCTTCCTCGTGGCAAGGCGAAACGTACGAAAAAGGCGAATCCATCAACGCGTCCGAACAGTATTTGAAATTTCAAAAACGCATAGCTCGAGCGCCGGCGCAAATCGCTCGATATTGCTTTCGAACGCGCGATTGCGATATCGTTTGGCCAGACGGCGATTTGCCGACGAGAAAATCAAAACCGTGCGAGAAATGCAAAGGCAAACGCGAAATGGAGTTACAGTTAACCCCTGGATTGTTAAAAGAAATCGAAGACGCTTTACGATTGCGCGCGAAGGCTGGGAGGAAAGGTGGGATTTCGGAATCCGATGCGATTGCGTTCGATTTCAATTCTGTAGGAATCTGGACGTGCACAAACTCGTGTTTCGATGGGAGCGAGACGACGTGCGTTCGGGAGGAGGAGGTTTTCGTCGCGACGGATGGTATAGACCAATCCGTATTAGCAAAATTAGCCGCCGCTATATAGAAGTAAATAATACGAATATTTAAGAGCTACTATCATACTGTATTTTCTAAAAATTCTAAATTACATTACTACATGCGCGAAACTATATCGGCGACGCGCTCAACAGTCGCTTTTCTAATGCTTTCGTCGTGGAAGAGTTTCAACTCGACGCGGTACCGTTTCAATTCGTTCGCCATTTCTTTAGTGACCTCACAAATGGACGAGTTGTTATTTGACTCGTTAATTTCTTCTTCTTCATCATCAACATCGATTTGGGCGTTGTTAAACTTCTCAAATATTCGCGAGCTCGCTATTTCAGCGCCCTCGCTCGCGTCGATCCATTGGAACTGCTTTTCCGATCGAAGCCACGTGAATTGTCTCTTCGCGTACATTCTCGTTTCTCTTTGTAACTCGTCGATAAACTCGAGGAGTAAAGTGGCGTCATTGTTTATCGACGACTCACTGTTATTCTCTTTTTCACGCTTACATTTCAGTAAATAATCGATCGCTTGCGCGTACCCGATCGCTCTCGACGCCGAATTCGTATTCGGCTTCACGCCTTCTCTCAACAAATACGCCGCTTCGTCCAATATGCCGTTTGCAACCATCTCTTCGACTCTTTGATCCATTCTTCGATATAAATCGACTCTGTTCATCGACAACGCGTAACAGTGAAACTGTTTACTCTCATCTTTGACTGGTTGAAACGATCCTTTCGGTTTTCCTCCGGAAACGTCTAAGATTTCCAACGCTCTCGTTAATCGATACCAGTCGTTTCGAGCTAATTTCCCGGCGGTTTCCGAATCCCCTCGCTGTTTTAAGTACTTGATGGCTTCATCCCACGCCTGCGCTTTATTCCCATCATCGTCATCATCGTTATTACTACTAGTATTACTATATCGATCTCGTATCTCTCGCACTTCCTTTTCTGCTCTCAAACTGCTCTCTTTCGTCGATTTCGGCACGTTCGGCTTCCCGTCGGTTAACCATTTCACGTACATCCCGGTCCCGCCGCACACGATCGGTACTTTCCCTCTCGCGTGAATATCGTCTATGTACCCATTCGCTAACTCATAAAACTCCCCGACATCAAAATCTTCCGTCACAGGTGATTTCAAATCCAACATGTGATGTCGAATCGATTGCATGTCTTCTTTAGAAAGTTTCGCGGAACCGACGTTCAAGTTTCGATACACTTGCACAGAGTCGGCGGAGACTATTTCTCCGTCGACGCGTTTCGCGATGGAGATGGCCACGGAGGATTTCCCCACCGACGTTGGACCTGAAATTACCAACACTCGTTTTTTCTTCTTCTTCTTTCTGTTTTCGTCTGAATCGTCTGAACTACTTTGAATCGTCGCGCTGCTTTTTTGTTGACATCGAATTTCCAACTGTTTTCCAATTCCAATGCCTCGTTGTTCTCGTTGTTGTTGTTGTCTTCTTCTTCCTCCTCTTCCTCTTCCTCCTCCTCTCGTCTGAATCGTCCTACTCGTCGTCGTCGTCGTCGCGAGGGGGAGAAGAGCAGCGCGAGCAGCGTGAGGAGCACAACGAGCAGCCCTCATCATCATCATCATCCTCAGAGATTATGTTGTGTTGATGTGTGTTCAGTGCCAAATCTCTCTCTGTCTCTTCTGTTTGTTTGTTTGTGTGTTTTATGGTTGTTGTTGATTTTGAAGAAAAAATTTTGCATGAGAAAAAAGAAGCAAAAAAATAAAATGTCTCCGAAGCCGCCATTTTTATTGGTGTCGTTGGTGTTCCATCACTCTACACATCATCATCATCATCATGTCAAACAACAACACGAATAACGCGATGAAACGCGTCGAACGCTTGAAAACGCACTTTGTCGTTTCTGCGCCTCTTTTAAATAACGAGAGTTCTACTACGAATAACAGTTTCGTGGAACGACAGGAGACGTCTTTCTTTTCCTCTCCGTTCGGGGTGCGTTCGTTTGTGTATTGTTTTTTTCTTCATCTTTGATGTGTTGTGTGTTGTGCGCGTTTTTATCATCATCCTTGAAGTCGTCGTTGTCGTCTCTCACAGCAAATCATCTCTTCTTTCTAAATAAATGTAGTCGTCGAAACACCCAGACGACGTGGTCATCGTCTGCGCGTTAAGAACGCCAATCACTCGCGCGAGAAAAGGCGGATTAAAAGACACCACCGCGGACGATCTCGTGGCAACGGTTTTAGCTGCCGCTTTAAGAGAGACGGAGAATATCAACGCGAACGATATCGGCGACGTGGTCGTTGGATCAGTTTTAGGAGATTCGAGTCAACGCGCGAACGAGTGTAGAATTGGAATGTTTTTAGCCGGGTTCCCGGTGAAAGTTCCCGTGAGAACGGTGAACAGACAGTGTTCGAGCGGATTGCAAGCGTGCGCGGACGTGGCGAGCGCGATTAAAGCCGGATATTACGAGGTTGGCATCGCGGCTGGCGTGGAGACGATGAGTAAGAATCCCATGAAATGGGACGGAGGGTTCAACCCAAAAGCCGCGAGCGTGACGAACGCGCAGAATTGTTTGATTCCTATGGGAGTCACGAGTGAAAACGTCGCCGCGAAGTGGCACATTTCGAGAGAGACGCAAGACGCGTTCGCCGCGGAGAGTCACCGGAGAGCCGCCGAGGCGAGACGAAACGGGAAGTTTAAGAGTCAAATTGTGCCAGTGGTGACGAAAATTATCGATAAAGAGACGAAAGAGGAGAAAGAAATCGTCGTATCTGAGGACGACGGGATTCGAGAGGGCGTGACGGTGGAAAATTTAGCAAAGTTGAAACCGGTGTTTAAAAAAGGCGGGAGCACGACAGCCGGGAACGCGAGTCAAGTCAGCGACGGCGCCGGGGTAGTTATTTTGTGTAAACGATCGTACGCGACGAAAAACGGGTTGAAAATTATGGCCAAATGGAAATCGTTCAGCGCGGTTGGGTGTCCGCCGGAAATTATGGGCATTGGTCCAGCCGTGGCCATTCCGGACGCGTGCGAGAGAGCCGGCGTGAAAGTTTCGGATATCAATTTATTCGAGTTGAACGAAGCGTTCGCGAGTCAAGCGTCGTATTGCGTGAACCATTTGAAGCTGAGCAAGGATATCGTAAACGTAAACGGAGGGGCTATCGCGCTCGGGCACCCGTTAGGGGCGACCGGGGCGAGATGCATGGCGACGTTGTTGCACGAGATGCATAGCAGAGACGCGTCGTGTAAGCTCGGAGTAGTGTCGATGTGTATCGGAAGCGGGATGGGCGCCGCCGCCGTCGTGGAAAGAGAGTAATATACGAATTACTATTATATAATAGAGGTATTTAATATGATATAACGAAACAGGAATGTACATACAAATGATTGATTTGATGATGTTGATATTATTACTAAACATTACTGATTTGCTTCTTCTAGTTTTTGCTATCTATCATTTTAAATATTTTCTTCCTCTTCTTCTTCTTCTTCTTCTTCTTCTTCTTCTTCTTCTTCTTCTTCGGCGTCTTCGAACGCGGCGAGGTCGTCTCTCGACCCACACGAAGCGGAAACGGACGACGTGTGTCCTCCACCAAGGACAAATTCTGCTGCGTCCAACTTTAACCTCGAAACCGCCGCGGTTGCTTTCTCCGCCAGGCCTTTACCTCGTCCTCTGCTGAAACCTGAAGTACCGTCCGGGCCTTTCGAAAGCGTGAATTGAGAACCGACGAACTGTGGTCTTGGCGAATCGCGTCCGTTGTTATCACTTCCCATGGCTGAGTTTGACCTTGTTGGCGTCGAAACTCCAGCATTCGGACCTTCTTTCGTTCGTTTAATACGTTTCGCCGTGTACTCTTTATTCTCGCCTTGCGATTGGTTCACGAAATACGTCGCCTCGTCGCCTTCGAATAAGGTCACGCCGCCATCCACATCCGCGCCGTGGAAGAACGCTTTTCCGATTTCGCCGGTATCTGGATCGCTGTGCGAAAAAAAGCCATACGAACCTTCGCTTTTCGCACTCACAACGGTACCGGTAAATTGAACTAATTTCACTTTCGTCGCGAACTGTTTCTTCTCGTCTCGTTTATCAGTGGCGACGCAAAAAGAAACCAAATCTCCGGGTTTCGGATTGCAGTTTCGGTCGACGACGGTTTTAAATTTGTAACTTTGCGAAGTTCCGCCCGCGTTTTCGACGACAACCGTTCCATTGTTGCTCGCATTGGACGAAAATGAGGATTTTCCGAAACTTCGACCGGAGGCAAATACCAGGCGTTCTTTACAGACGCCTCGAATGCTTCGTTCATCGACGGTTTCAAAGACTACTTTCGAGCCTTCTGGAGCTTCGCACACGTCGTGTGCGACCATTGCGTCTCTTTTTTGATCTCTGTGGACAGTGAATTGAACGATTTTTCCCACTTTCGGGTTTTCGAAATTCTTCAATTGTGTGAAATGGAAAAACACATCCTCCACGCGTTCTTCGCATTTGATGAAACCGAAACCGTTCTTGATGACGGCAATTTTACCCAATTCTAACGAAACCGAAGAATCATTTTGCTGTTCCGACGACGATGCATTTTCTTCTTCCCCAGATGCCGGCGCTTCTACGTATTTTTTACCATTTTTGCTATTATTACTCTCGTCGACGACGTTTACTTTCTTCTTACCCCAGGAATCACCATCGATGCCGTCTTTATCGAGCAAAGCGGCGTTTTTCTCTTTCTCGGCGAGCTTACGCTGAAGTCTGAGTTCCGACTCGATCGCTCGAACGGTTTCCTCGTCGCATAATTGAACGTTTATTGCGTTTGCTTTCTTACCTTTAGCGCTCCCTGTACTCACCTTGACGATTTCAAAACTTACCGCGGTGCCGACGGTCAACTTTCCTACATCCGTCTTGTCTTTTAAAGCCGTGTAATGAAAGAATAAACCTTGTTCTTCTCTCCTGTTGCCGTTGTTGTGCGAAGGCATTCTGCCGTGCGCTTTCTGAATAAACCCGAACGATTGCGAGAGTTTATCGACGCGTCCGTAGGATGTTGGAATCTCTTCGAAATACTCGTCTTCTTCTTCTTCCTCGATTTTTTTATCTTGGTCGTCGTCGTTTTCATCTCCTTCCTTCTTCTTCGTTTTCTTCTCTTCAACGCCTCCTCCTTCTATCGGCGCTATGTCTACGACCACGTATTTTCTCGTCGTCGGTTCTCGACCTAAACTAAACTGAACTTTCATTCCTTGCTTCAACTTTTTCTTACAACTCTCCGCGACGTTCGCGCCGGCGAATTCGAGCTCCATAAGCTTCTTCTTCTCCTCTTCTTTGTTCTCCTTTGTTGATGTTAGTAAAGAACACGACACGCACCCACCGTACGCTTCGTGTTTCGTTTTCCCTTTCAACCCTCTTTTCACCACACCTTCCACCTGTTCCTGTATAATTTTCACTCTCAAATCTCCTTTCGAACATCGCATGACGTCCGTCGCTTTGTGCGTTTTTCCTTCCTTGTTCTCGTTTTGTTGTTTCCCGCCTGTTCCTTTTTCTTGTCCTCCTCGGACGACTTTAAACTTCACCATATCTCCGGCCAGTAACGGTCGATCCTCTTCTTCTTCTCCTTCTTTTTGTTGTAACTCTGGGTTTTTAAAGTACTCGGTGATGTGGAAAAACAGTTGCGCTTGCGCGCGTAGAGTCGGTACACGCTTTGATGATGATGATGATGTTGCATCAACATCATCAAAAACAACAACATCATCATCATCACAAATATCCTCCTCCTCGGGGTCGTAATAATCGTGCGTTAACCGTAAAAAACCAAACGAGTCTTTCAAAACGACCACCGTTCCAAAACACGACGACTGCTCTTTTCCTTCTTTATCGTCATCCCTTCTTCTTCTTGTTGTTGTTGTTGTTGTCTTCTTCTGTATCATTATTAGTATTCTTCCTAATATTCTTAGGAAAACACAAAAGAAGGGTGTGACGCTCTTTTCATCATTCGTAGGTGGTCTCGAATAAAAGAAGAAGCAGACAAAAAAAGAAAAAAAAGAAAAAAAAGAAAAAAAAAGGCTGACACACAAACAAACAAAAGGGGAAGGAAGCAAAACAACTGTTTGAGGGGGAAATTTTATCAGATATTTCCTCATTTACTCACACACACACACACTCATATTCATCATCATGTCGTCACCACTGCTCGAGAACGTGGTGAAAGCGGTCTCACCGTCCATGCACGCGAAATTGTACCCGTTATCTTCGAGTAGTTTTAATACTACTCACGAGAAGACGAAGTCGTCGTCCCCGTTGTCGTCGAATTTGATTTCATCATCATCGGGGAAGAAAAATTCAGTTGCTAGGAAGACGACTTCTTTTTCGAGCGGCGGTGGAGAGAAGAAGATAAAGAAGATAAAGAAGAGCGTAAAAGAGGATTCCTCCGAAGACGAAGAAGACGACGACGAGCCGCAGTGCACGCCGGAGAAAGAGGAAGTGAACGAGATATTGCCGAAATCACCGCACAAATCGGCGCTGAAACCTCTCGAATTACGACTGGCTGCTCGTTTTGGCCAAGACTCGCCGAGACGAAAATCGATATCGTTCGCGAACGAGGAAGAGTTTCAAGTGAAATTGATTCCAAAGAATCAAACCGGGACACCGGAAGTGACGTGCATGATTTCTGGGTCTATGAAGAGGAAAGTTGGGGAAGCAGAGAGATTGGCGCAAGAGTCCTGGGGGTTATCCGTGTTGAGCGGGAAAAGAGAGAGGAAGCCGTCGAGGATATCGTTTACGTGCAACAAGAACACGAATACTACTGCATCGACGACGACGCCGACGTCTTCGAACGAAGATAAAGAGAATGAGAACAACGATAAGAACAATAATAACAATAAGAAACCGAGGCGTTCGTCTGTGTCGTTCAAACCGGCGTGTTCGGACGACGAAGATACGACGCCCCCTACGAGAAAATCGGGCGCGAGGAAAGTGCAAGATACGCCGGCGACGAAAAAGTCACACAACACGAACAACAACAACTCCAACATGACGCCATCGCCAAATTCATCGATTGAAACAAACAAGACGAACAAGACGGCCCCGTTAACGAGTGGTGGGTTGAAGAGCCGACCCCAAGCGCCGAATAATACGCCCGCCAATACGAACGGGAACGAGATTTTCAACCTCGAAGGCTTTGATTTGTTTCGATCGACGCCGAACGCGAAAGCCATTCGCGACGCGTTGTTTGAAACCAAAGAGGAGGACGCGAAAGACGACATCGCAGCGACGAAGTGTTTGAACGATTGCGAAAAGTTGTTAAAGTCGCAGCCGCCAGCGATGGAACTCGCCCAAGCTCTCGAAAAGTTGGCGGAGCCGCAAGTGACTCCCGGGAGAGCCGTGATGGAATGGTTGAGCGATGCAGAGAACCACTCCAACGAGGACGAGAACGAAGAGGAAGAAGAATTTGACGAAGGCAAGGAGAACGCGAAGACGCCGCCTTCTTCGACGAAAAGCAGCAACAAGTCTCCGGCGACGCTATGCATCAAGGCGAAAAAGTCAAAGAAAATGTCAAAGAAGATGAAGAAGAACAAGAAAGAAAAGAGCATGTCGTACGCGTTAGCGTTGAAGTTCGAGCAATTGCACAACGCTTTAGAGCAAACGCAGCTGGCGTTGCTCAAAGAAAGAAAGAAGACGATGAAATTAAGAAAGCTTTTGCTCGAAGCGGCGGAAAGAGAGAACAACAAAGAGGAAAGAAAAGTGAGCACCAAGAGTTTGACGGAAGAGAAGACAGAAAAGAAAAAAAACGATACGACGTGCGTGATGTGCAATGAAATAAACGACACGGTGAAAGTTACGATGCGATGCGTCAAGTGCAACTGCTTCGCGCACGGCAAATGCTGCAAGCCGGCTTTGCGACGAGCGCCAAAGGAATGGACGTGCCCAAAATGTTAAAGCGACACCTATTTTTAATACATAAATACGATCTCATAAAAAAAATACTGGTAGTACAAAATAACTCCTTTCACTTTTGGCTGTTCTTCTTTCGTTTGCTCTGTTCCAGTTGATCTTGCAACACGATGAGCGCGTCTTGCGCTGCTGCCAGCTTGGCCTTAAATTCTTCGATCGAACTTTCGAAATTTTCCTGAGCGTCCCTCTCGTCCATCCATCCTTTCAAGCGTTCCAAAGGCGCCGGAGACGACTCAGAACGATCAACTTCGGCCACATCTTCTTTCTCTTCGACAACTTCTACCGTCGGCAGCGGTGTGGTGACTTTCACTTCTTCCGCTACTTCTTTCTCGACGAGTTTTGTTTCTACCGATACCGCTTCTATTTCTTCGTTGCTACTATTACTATCTCTAGTACTACTACTACTACTACTAATACCACTACTCTCTACTTCGAAACCCACTTCTTTCTTCTCTTCTTCTTCTTTTTCTTCTTTTCCCTTACCATCTCGACCGATATTTGTCGCTACCAACGCCATGCTCAACACCGCCGCCCCGACGCCAACTCCAAAAGATGTCGTAAACGGCACCGAGGCGGTTACGCTTCGCGGGACGACTTGTATTAAGGATGCAGTACTGGCATCGCTTTTATTCGTCGTCTCCACTTTTAAGCGCTCAATCTTTCTCATTATTGCTTCTTTCGCGTTCTCGGGCACGAGTCGTAAGATTTTCTTCACGTTTTGTTCTTTCTCTTCTGTCGTCGTCTCATCAGTCGGAGACGTCGTCGATGGAGAAGAAGATGAAACGATCTCCTTCTCCTTCTCAACAGTAGTCTTCTCTTCATCTGTGCTGCTCGTAATCATCATCGTCGTCATCTTTGCGCGTTCAATAATCTTATACCCAACATCAGCATCGCCAACATTTCCTTCAAAATCGCTCACGATCAATTCCTCTCCGACTTGTAAAGTTCTCCGCGTACCTAACCCGTTCAATCGAACAATATCTGGAATCGATATCCCGTTCTCTTTGGAGACGATCGATAAAGTTTGCTGCGGTTGGACTTTCACGATGATTTTTTTCTTATTAACAACACTATTATTATTCGTTGTTGTTGTTGATGATGATGATGATGATGGTGATGATGAAGGTGATGCGGTCGCACGAGGAGTCACGCATAAAGTAGTCGTGCGAAAAGTCGCACTACTGCTCCTTTTACGCGAGGAGATCGGCGTCGCGTGAGGAGGAGGAGGAGCCGTCGGTAGCAGCAGCCGCGGCAGAAACAAAGCGTTCATAGGGGTAGTGGTGAACATCTCTTCTATTCTGAAAGTAGTCGAGAGCTTTCGAGTGAAACTTTTTTTGTGAAGCCGAAGAAAATTCTTCATTTGTTTTTGATTCGTCAAATTCATACTTCTGCGGTTTTTTTAACAAAAGTCGTCAAAACACTTTAACAGAAGACACTCTATTATTATTATTATGTTTACTTCTTCTTTTGTGACTGCGACGACCTCCTCTCTCTCCTCCACATCCTCCTCCCGTTTTGCTCGGCTCCGGCGGCCGGGCAAACAGAGTACTCTCATCGCTACTTTTCGGGAAAGAAGAAGAGACAAAAATTCGGTGATGATGTTGAGAAGAACAACACCTAGTAGCAACAACAACAAAAGAAGAAGGAACAAAACGAACGCGTTGTTGGAAGGCGAAGAAGCCTTATCATCGCTAGATGTGACGTATCCGATCGCTTTACTTCTAGGATTAAGTTTAGGTTTTGGCATCGCCCGAATAATCGTGTACACGCGCTTGCAATACATCGCGGCGAAATTCTTGACGTTGCGAATATTTCAACCGGACGCGAGAGTGCTGGAGTACGATTGCGGGAACAGCGGAAGAAACTTGTATTATTATCCAAAAAACGTGAAGTTTGTCACGTATAAAGGTCCAGAGGTGAAAGGAGATCTTTTAGGGCAGATCTCCGTTCAGGCGGAGATTCCCGTGCAGATTGAAACCGCGGCGTACGAGAAGAGTTTGTCCGGGATGCGGGAGGAGTCGATGGACGCGGTGGTCAGTACCGGGGCATTTACGCGAGTGTTGAAGGAAAAAGGAAGAGAAGTTTTAGGAGATGTGCTGAAAGAAAGCTCGAGAGTGTTGAAATCAGACGGTCAAGCGGCGATGATTTTCATCGAGCCGAAATCGGACGAGTTGATGGACGTTTTAGAGAAGAACGGCCGAGCGCTCTTTAACCCGATGGAAGTGGACGAGAAGTGGGAGACGTTACCGCTATTTCCGTATTTAATTGGAACGATGACGAAGAAAGAGAGAGGTAGCAGTAGTAATATCAATAGTGACGGAGAAAAGCCGAAGAGTGAATTGCAATCTATTCGGAGCAGACGCAAGCCGAAGAAATAATGAATTATTTCATTTAGGTATTAGGTAGGGAGCGCTAATAAAACTACGAGTATATCGAATTAGAAGAAGACATCTTCTCTGCTATGCTTCCTCCATAGACGCTTGCTCCTCTCCTTTCTTCTCCCCTTCTTTCTCTCCTCCTTCTTTCTCTCCTTTTCCATCTTCTACTACTTCTTTTTCTTCTAACATCTCTCTAAAAGTTTGACACAAGTGATTCTTCCTTCCGTCGGTGATAATCTTCTTGTCCAAAAACGGGTTCACGCCTAAACTCGAATCTGACGACCCACACGCCGGACAGTAATTCGATTGCCCGACGATCATCTTCGAGCTAATGCACTGGAAGCAAAACGAGTGCAAACATTCCGTCTGTTGTTGTTTGTTTGATAAAAGTAAAAAGAGAGAGGAGAGAGAGGAGAAACATTTTTAAAAATCATCATTTAAAAAAACTAATAAAAAACATACCACCGTGTTCGCCTCTCTGAGTATATTCTTGCACATTTCGCACGTTAAGCTCGCTCTCAAAATATCCGCGTCCACTTCGATGTGCTCCAACGCCGGGTTTATGCTCGCGTTTTGTCCTCGGCGTCTTTTCAACATATTATTATTTTTTATTTTTTTATGCAGAAAACAACAACACCTGCAAAAAGCAGAAAGATTTTTTCCTTTTTTTCTTTTTCACTTGTTTTTGCAGCCCGCACACTGACTGATGATGATCACACTGATGATGCATGAAACACAAAAAACAACACACATTATTATTAGTCGAACTCGCACAAAGTTTGGACATCACAAAAATCACCAAAAGTGAATGGATGAGAAAAAATGATGTCCACCTCTTCTTCGAACAACGCCTCTCGGTTACTTCGGAAATCAGCTCTGAACGCGACACGATTTTCCACGACGAAAACGCCGTGGTTTTTCGCGGCTGTTTGTTTTCTGTGGGCGTCGTTTTTAACCGTCACCATGCTTTCGTCGAACGAACAAAGTTTAGAATTCAATCGAGAGCGAATGAATCGAGAAATTGAAGCACGAGTGACGCGCGAATTGGTGAAACGAGAGAAGAAGTTAAAGAAGAAGAAATTGTTGGTTCCTTCAGCAGATGAAGAAGAAGAAGAAGAAGAAGAAGAAGAAGAAGAAGAAGAAGAAAATAGCGGTAATAAGAACAACAGGGAGAGAATCCGAAAAGGCCCGTTAGCCGGGGCGTACAGAAGTAGAAATCGCCAAGCAGCAGCATTAGCAGCGGAGAAGAGTGATAAAAATAATGAAAAAAGACAGTTTAAAGGTCCGTTTGGTCGCGTGGAACGTCTCATATTCGAGAAAGGCCAGGCGAAGAAGAAACTGGAACTGGAACACCTGGAGAAAGAGAGAACGAGACGGGCGTTGGACGCGCACTTGGAAGACGCGGACGAGGACGAAGAGAAGACGCCGGGAGATACGTTGGACGTGGAGGAGAAGATACAAGAGGCGTTGGGCGGAGCGCTTGAGAGAGAGAAATCGCACGACGAGGAAGAGGACGAAGACGAGAAAAGGAGACGATTGATTGAGATGGATGGTAGTGATAGTGCGACGGAAAGCGAGCCCTTAACAACATTTCCGCAAAGCATATACGGGCAAGCGCACTTACTCAAAGATTTACCGGGCTTTCCGGAAATGCCGCCGTTGGTGTTGAGTGCGGTTAAACCGAAAGCGTATTTGTTTAGAAACTTTCTCTCGGCGGAAGAGTGCGATCATTTGATGAAGTTGGCTAAAGCAGAGTTGGCGCCGAGTACCGTGGTTGGCGCCGGTGGTACCTCGGTGCCTTCCACCATCCGAACTTCTGCGGGAATGTTTCTTCGCAAAGCCGCGGATAAAACTTTGGAAAATATAGAATATAGAATAGCCGCGGCTTCGGGGACGCCCGAACCGAACGGTGAAGGCATGCAAATCTTGCGCTACGATGTTGGTCAGAAATACGATCCGCACTTTGATTACTTCCACGACGCGGTTAATCCTTCGCCGAAACGAGGAGGCCAACGCATGGCCACCATGCTGATTTACTTGGAAAACACCAAGGAAGGCGGAGAGACTATATTTCCGAGAGGTACGAGAGCTGAGACGTTTGATTTAACGGAAGAAGGTAATCCTCACGAGTGGTCCGAATGTACCAAACACGGCTTACCGGTGAAATCTGTCAAAGGCGATGCCCTGTTATTTTGGTCGTTGACGGATGATTATAAACTGGACATGGGAAGTTTACACGGCGCGTGCCCAGTTGTCAAAGGCCAAAAATGGACCGCAGTGAAATGGATACGAGTAGCTAAGTTCGATGGGATGTTCACTTCTCCGTTACCGATGCCGGCGTTATCGAGACGCACGGAACAACACGGCAAGTGCGTGGACGAATGGGACGAGTGCGCGAAATGGGCGAAAGACGGTTGGTGTGAAAAAAATAAGGACTTTATGGTTTCGAACGGTGGCGCGAGGGATAGTAAAGGCCCCGCGTGTCCAGTCTCCTGTAACGTCCCGTGTCCGGAACAATAGTAATAGATACAATAGAAAGTGCCGAACAAGAATAAACTACTACTTTAGACAGTTGTTGTATGTGATTTTAAAAACTTGTTTGTAAAACTTATATTAAAAAGTAAAGTAAAAGTGTTGAATTCTCTTTTTCTCATTCTCTCAAAATCTTCTTCATTTTACCGCACGCTAATTAGTACATCATCACCGACAAACTCAGAGAGAGAGAAAGAGAGAGAGGGGGAGAGAGAGTGTTCATAGTTGTAAACATCTTTTTACAAAAAACGTTTATCTGCTTCTCTTCGCCTTCAACTCGGCCGCTTTTGCCTTCGCCCACGCCTTGGCGTCTTCGCCGTTGGACGAAGTCACCACCCTCGCGCCGCCGCCAGACGGCTTGTATTCGTGATCCAAAATCAAGCCAATCGTGTTCGCGTTCGTAGTCATCGCCGCATTCGCGTCATCGTACGACACCGTCGCGGTATCGACCCACCCTCGGTCCGCTTTACCCCAGGAGTTTTCCGAGATGTTCGTCAAACCGACGTACGTCGTCGCTAAGATGGTATCGCCCACCGACACTTTGCCGAGCGCTTTGCCCCCAGGGCGAACGGTTTTCACCACCGGTCTGCCGTCCTCCCCTGGTTTTAACAGTAAACCGAGCGCGATGTTCGACTGAGAGCAGTCCAAAACAACCTGTAATAGTTTGATTGATGAGTACGAAGGAAAAAAAATGTTTCATTTTAAAGTTTTTAGTTTTATTTTTGAATGAAAAGGAAGCAGAGAGGAGAGAAGAGATTTTCTCGTATCTCTGCTTCGTCGTCGGCGTAGGGCAAAAAAAATGATCAATTGGAGAATGCAAACAGCTTCTTCTTCTTCTCTTTCATCGCCAAGATCAACAGAAGACATTGGTTTTGTCGATGATGAATCGTAACAACGGAACAAGAGAGAGGGAAAACAGAAGGAAAGGTTCAAAAACTTTTTACCTTGTAAACGCTCCCTCCGACGGGATATTTCGCGTCGATTTCCGCATCGCTCATCGCTTTACACGAAAACGCGTGAGAATTTCTTGAATTTCTTTTGTTTTGCTTCTTGAGAGGAGTCGAGACTCTCGAGGAGAGCAAAGAGGAAGATGACACCACGCTGAATGCCATTTTTGAGATGTATGTATTAGGTGTGTTAGATGTTGTGTGTGTGTGTGTGTGTGTGTGTGTTTATTTATGAAGACAACTCTGATGAGAAAAGCGTCTCCTAACGAGAATTAGAGAGAGATAAAGGGAGTTTGTGGGCAAATTTTTGTGTTTTCGTGACTAGACATCGGCAGACGTGTCTCAATCTCGTTTGATTTTCTTGATTTCGTCGTCCTTCGCGTTTCAAGAAAAAGGAGGAGAACGCAGGAAACTTTTGAAATTTTTGATTTTTTGGTTGGCTGTTTCGAGACCAACAAATTTTGGCAAAAAATGAAAATTCGTCTCCTCCTCTTTCTTCTCTCTCTACGAATACACGTTCTTCACATTAAAACTTGGTGGTAGCTTGAGCGATTGATATTAGAATAAAAGAAACACCCAAAGAAGAGATAGATCATCATCACCATCATCATCATCATGCAAGCGATAGAAGCCATCTCTCAAAACTACGTGGACAGCGCCAAGCTGATACGGTTCCAGTTCATCGCGGACGCTCTTCTGAAACGTTTGGAAAAAGACGACGACCAAGAAGAAGAAGAAGAATTTAAAGAAGAAGAAGAAGAAAAAAGTCGTTACGATGTTGAGATCGCGAGAGAAGCGCTGAGAAGAGCGGGAGAGATTTGCAAAAGAGGCGGGACGAGGAACGCGGAGATTTTCAAGTCCATTCGGGAGAGGAAGATAAAGTTGAAGGAGTTAAGAGGAGGAGGAGATGTGAACATGGACGACAACGGAGGAGGAGGAGAAGAAGAAGAAGAAGAGGGAGAAGATTTCGTGGAAAATTGGTCACGTCAGATGGATTTGGAAAACCAAAACGAAAGAAAACGATTGGACGAAGGGTTAACTTCCTCGAAAGCGAGCTCTTTGAAAGAGTCCATTCGATTAGCGCACAACGATTTGGGCGATTATTACTACAACATTGGTGACTTGAAAGAAGCGTTCCAATGTTACGCGAAATCCAGAGAGTACGGGACGTCCGTGAAACACACGTTGGCGCTGTGCGTGAATAGCATTAGAGTTGCTTTGGAGTTGAACTCTATGGCGCAGGTTTTGCTGTACGCGAACAAAGGATTGGCGATTTTGAAGAACGTGGACCAGCAGTCGGCGGCGGGCGAAACCGAGAAGAAAATGGCGCAACGACCGTCGATTATACAACAAGCGGGAGGCGGCATCGAAGGGATAGGCGGCGCGGGAGAAAACAAAGAAGAACAAAATTTGACGAGAGCAAAGTTTACGTGCGCGGCGGCGTTGGCGCATTTGCACTTTGGCAAGTACGCGGAAGCCGCGAAGCACTTTACGAGCTTGAAAACGGAGATTGGAAACTCGTACGCGGAGGTTATCTCTCAACAAGACGTCGCCGTCTACGGCGGCTTGTGCGCTTTGGCTACGTTTGACCGAGTGCAATTGAAGAAACGCGTTGTCCACGAAAACTTCACGTTTCGAGACATGCTGAGTACGGCTCCGGAAATGCGCGATATTGTGGAAGATTTTTGGAATTCGCGATATCCGCAATGCTTATCCAAACTCGACGTGATTAAAAAAGAGTTACTCTTGGACATCCACGTCGGGAAACACGTCCACAAACTCTTTTCACTCATCCGTCAAAAAGCGTTGATTCAATACACCAAGCCGTTTTCTGCGTTGAGCTTAACTACCATGGCGTCTGCGTTCAATTGTGACTCGGTGGAAAACCTCGAAAAAGAAATCGCAGACTTGATCACGGCGGACAAAATCCGCGCTCGAATCGACTCTCGAGGCGAGAAAATTTTACGCGCCAAGGAGTTTGATAAGAGAATGGAAACGTTCGAACACGTACAAAGTACCGCGGAGAAGTTCGTCGAGAACGCTGGTGAGGCACTGTTGAGATCCTCCTTGAATAGATTAGACTTAGCTTTATAATAAGAGAAGAGAGAAGAGGAGAGAGAAGAGAGAAGAGAGAAGAGAGCGCTTCGATTGTAAAAGTAATATCAAACACTTCCCACACAAAATTGAAAAAATGGCATGCAATAAAATCTTCTCAAAAAAAAACATCATCTCATCTCTCTCAAATCATCTTCGTCGAAAAGTTCGGACTAAAAAGCGTCAAAAGTCTTTCGTTTTGTGTAAGAACAGAACGACAAGAAGAAGAAGAAGAAGAAGAAAGTAGCAGCAGCGGTAGTAGAGTAGTAGTAAATATACGAGACAGATAAGATACATGGAGGAGTACGAGAAGGTGCGCCACCCAGTTTTCTTCTTCTTCCTCTAAAAAAAATGTCTCTCTTCTTCTTCGACAAAAATTTTTACTTCTCTCTTTTCCGTCCGATGAGATTACTAACAACGATTTAATACTAATGATAACTTCTCTCGTCGTATTATATTATTAAAATAAAACAAAATATAACAGGTGGATACGATTGGTGAAGGCACGTACGGGGTCGTGTATAAAGCGCGGGTGCGCTCGACCGGAGAGATTTTAGCCTTGAAACGTATTCGTTTAGAGCAAGAAGAAGAAGGCGTCCCGTCAACTGCCATTCGAGAGATCTCTTTGTTGAAAGAACTCAGGCACGAAAACATCGTGAAACTGGTGGACGTGGTGCACTTGGAGAAAAAGCTCTACTTAGTGTTTGAATATTTAGATTTAGATTTGAAAAAGCACATGGACGCGAGTCCGCACATATCGAACGATCGAATGGTGATTAAAGGATACGTGTATCAAATGTGCGCCGGCATCGCGTTTTGTCACTCGCACAGAGTGTTGCACAGAGATTTAAAGCCACAGAATTTATTAATCGATACGGAAACGAACTCGTTGAAGTTAGCGGATTTTGGGTTGGCGAGAGCGTTTGCGATTCCGTTGAGGGCGTACACGCACGAGGTAGTGACGTTATGGTATCGAGCGCCGGAAATTTTGTTAGGCGCGAAGCAATATTCCACGCCGGTGGACGTGTGGTCGATTGGGTGTATTTTCGCGGAGATGATTAATCAGTCGCCGTTATTTCCTGGAGACTCTGAAATCGATCAGTTATTTAAGATATTTCGCGGGTTAGGGACTCCAGTCGACACCGTTTGGCCAGAAGTGTCGCAACTGCCGGATTACAAGGAGGAGTTTCCCAAATGGAAGGCGAAGGAGATGAAGGAGTTGTGCCCGAAAGTCGACGAGTTTGGTTTAGATTTATTGAAGAGGATGTTGGTGTATCCGCCACACATGAGAGTGTCAGCGAAAGATGCGTTGAGACATCGATACTTTGAAGATTACGATCCGAAAAGTCACGTGAAGAACGTGGAGAGAGCTTTGAATTCTTCACTCGATGGGGGCAACGAATAAAAAAACGTTGACGATTTTTGTTTTAGACAAAAAGCAGAGCACGCGCGCGCGAATTGTGAAGAAGTCATTTTTATACGAGAGAGAGTAGAACAACGCATGTAATAACAGTTTTGTATTTGTAAGAAGTAAACGGTATTTGAGCAAGCAATGATAATGATAAAATGATAATAATGATATTATAACAATAGCAACGCAACGCCAAGAGAGAAAAAATATTATCGCTTCTCTTTCTTCTCCGCGAACAACCCTTTAAACACATTCTTCTTTTCCGGGACGCCAACAATGTTACCGTCGCCATCAATTTGTGCCGGCAACGCCGCCGCCGTACTCGTGAAGAAGTTCAACGCCGTAAACGCGAGAATCGGAGACAGGTCGATTCCGCCCAACGGCGGAATGATGCCTCGGAACAAGTTCAAGTACGGGTCGCAGATAGTCGCCAACGGGTACACGATTTGCTGCGGTGCAGCTGGAAACCACGTGACGATCAATCTTCCAATCAACAGAGTGTTGTATATGTTCAACGTGGAGAACAACCCGGAGGTTAAGACGACTTCAACGGCGGAATCGCCCGGGATCATCGCGCCTAAAAACTTGTTTGTTCCTCGGATGGGAACCATGATTTCGTTCATCGTGTTCTTATTATTATTACTTCTTCTATTATTATGTTTGCTATTATATTGCGCCGCGCTCATGCTCGCGCAAAACACCGCGTTTGCCTTCTTCGCGTCTTTGTTCTCGGAAATGTTCTTTCTGGCGGAGTTGAAACCAGACCGAGCGGCTTGTCGCAATTCGTTCAGAGGATTAAAGAGAAACGACGTCGATGACGACGACGACGACGAGGATGATGCGACGGCAATCGCTCTCCCTAACTGCGCCATCGGCGAGGTCATCGACGGTAGCATTCCTCTGCCGTGTTCCTCTTTCGTCGTAATCATCGTTTTGTTGTTGTTATTAATCATGTTGGATGTGTGGGGAAAATGTAGTGTATCGTACTGGAAGAGTGAAGAAGTGCGGTGTTGAAAAGATTAAACTCTCCTCTCTCCGTCTGTCTCGAGCAAGCAAGAAGGAAAGAGCGCTTCTCATTTTTCGCTCGAAAACAGGTTTAAATACGAGTGGAGCTGCACTCCTCCAGAAGAGACGAGGCGGAAAGACAGACGAGAGATTTTTCAATCTCTTTTTATAAAACCTGAGACGCAAAAAAGCCCACACCCAAAAAAAGGCCTCAGCGTTAATCCGGAACTTTGCGAACGTGCGAACGTCGTCACTTATTTGAAGCGCTTTTTGCTTTCAGTAATATTTTACAACGAATATTCTAATGTCTGCAATGTCTAGTGCCGTCAGGATGGCCGCGAATATGTCCATGAAGGTACGCGTGGATGCGTTTACGAGCGCATTACGAACACAATTTTTTTCTTTTTGTGCGGTGCATTTCTTACGTCGCTTTTTTGTGCGCACCGCCGCCCCCCCGTGCAAAATCCGAGAGGCAAATCAGCGCTCAATGTGTACTCAATACTCACCGAATCTCTCATCTAATCACAGGCATGCGTCGTTCGCTCCAACACTATCAGAAATTCCAACAAGTTTAGGTACGCTTTATATCGCACGTGTGGTCATTCGGGCGGTTTCCGAGTTTTTTTTTCTTCGTCGGAGACACGTAGTCATTTGCTTGTGGATAAAGTGAAATGAAAGAGATTTGATGCATTTTTCCATTGCGCGCGTCGCTGCTCGTTTCGCGTACCCTTTCGAGATTGAAAATCACTTTCGAGAGAACTTGCCTTTCTAACGACTCTTTCTGCATATTTTCTTGACTACAAAAACAACAGTTTGGCGAGACCGACGACGACGACGACGACGAGAACGCTCGCCACCACGGTATCGGCTGCGGAAGCTGAAGCTTCGAGCGAAGCCGCCACGACCACGGATGAAGCGAAGCCGAAGCGCCGCTTTCCGAAGAAGACCGTCACGGTGCATGAATCAGACCTCGAAGTTGGTAAGGAATTTACCGGCAAAGTTAAATCAACGACGGTGTATGGTGCGTTTGTGGACTTCGGCGCCAAGAACGACGGTTTGGTGCACATCTCTGAGTTGCAGTCTGGCTTTGTCGAGAACGTCGGCGATGTCGTTGCCGTTGACCAAGAGGTCAAGATTTGGATTAAATCCATTGAAAAAGGACGCATCTCTTTGACGATGAAGCAGCCGCCGACGGAAGCGGAAGTTGCGCAGCAAGCTGCGGACCAACAGGCAAAGTTTGAGGCGAGACAAGCGTTCAAGTTGCAAAAGGAGAAACAGTCTGAAATCGCGGGTAACTTGAAGAAGGGTGCGGTTTTGGAAGGCTGCGAAGTGAAATCGATCCAAAACTACGGTATTTTTGTTGAAATTGCGGAAGGTGTGGAAGGTTTGGTTCACATCTCGGAGTTATCCGATGACTTTGGGGTCGAGGCGAAGGATATCGCCAACGTCGGCGATAAGGTCACCGTTCGCGTCTTAGGCGTCGACGGCAGCAAAGTGAAATTATCCATGAAGGAGAAGCTCGACGTAAGTGCCTCACTTGATTTTATTGTATGATTGCTTTTTATCCTCCTTCTCGCGAGGATTTTTTTCGTCGGCAAACCGCGGGAGCATCGTTCCTCTTTTTATCTCGATAAGGACGGAGAAGCCGTGAGAACAGATAAGGAAAAGAGAAAATTTTTTACTGACCACATTCATTTCTCTCTCTCACTCTCTTCTTCTCATCACCACAGTTGGACGAAATGGCTTCGGATATGAACGTTGAAGTTGAATCGTCGGCGTCGGCGATTCAGTTTGCGTTCAAATCTATCGGATTATCGGCGGACAACTTCCCGCAAGCAAAGAAGTCTGGATCGGCATCGGCGAGCATGTCTACGTCTGCCGCACCGACTGAGGAACCTGCGGTAAGTAGCTAATAGGGAAAACTTTGAAACCTCGTTTGTTTTTTCTCCAGAATAGCCCGCGCGTCGACGTAAATCCGCGCATTTGTAATAGATGACGACAACACTTTTTTATTGTTTTATGTAAAAAATACTCACGTTTTTTTCATTTTTTCAGGCCGCCGCCCCAGCTGCTAAAGAGGAACCCGCACCAGCCGCCGCTGCTGCCGCTCCAGTCGCCGAACCGGCCGCACCAGCTGCTGCCGCTCCAGTTGCCGAACCGGCCGCACCAGCTGCTGCTCCGGCTGCTGATGGTGCCGCCATCTCCGCGGCTACGGTTAAAGAGCTCCGACAAATGTCCGGTGCAGGTATGATGGATTGCAAGAAAGCTTTGATTGAAAACAACGGTGACGTCCAAAAAGCGCAAGAGTGGTTGCGCGTCAAGGGCATGGCCTCTGCGGACAAGAAGCAAGGCCGCATCGCCGCCGAAGGTGTTGTTATTGACTACATCCACGCCGGCTCTAGAATTGGTGTCTTGGTAGAAGTCAACTGCGAAACCGACTTTGTCGCCAGAGGCGATAAATTTAAAGAACTCGCGAAGGATGTCGCGATGCAAATCGCCGCGTGCCCGGAAGTTGAATACATCTCCGCCGACGACTGCGATCCGGCGATGATTGCCCGAGAGAAGGAAATCGAAATGAAGAAGGAAGATCTCCAATCCAAGCCGGAGAACATCAGAGAGAAGATTGTCCAAGGCCGCATCGACAAAATGGTCAACGAAAAGGCGCTCTTGCCGAAGGATTACATCAAGGACACGTCCAAGACGGTTGAAGAATTGATCAAAGAAGCCACCGCGGAATTGGGCGAGAAGATCTCCATCCGTCGCTTCGAAAGATTTAACTTGGGTGAAGGTATCGAGAAGAAGGAATCTAACTTTGCGGCTGAGATTGCCGAGGCGACTGCCGTCAAGGCTGAAGCGCCGAAGCCAGCTGAGCCGAAGAAAGAAGAGCCGAAGGACGACGCTCCGGTTGAGATGGTTGCCGTCTCCGCGGCTGCCGTCAAGGAGCTCAGACAAATGTCCGGTGCCGGTATGATGGATTGCAAGAAAGCTCTCGGCCTGAACGGTGGTGATGTTCAGAAGGCGCAAGAGTGGTTGCGCGTCAAGGGCATGGCCTCTGCGGACAAGAAGCAAGGCCGCATCGCCGCCGAAGGCGGTGTTTTCTCGTACATTCACGCTGGTTCCAAGATCGGTGTTTTGGTTGAAGTCAACTGCGAAACCGACTTTGTCGCCAGAGGCGATAAATTCAAGGATCTCGCGAAGGATGTCGCGATGCAAGTCGCCGCGTGCCCGGAAGTTGAATACATCTCCGCCGACGACTGCGATCCGGCGATGATTGCCCGAGAGAAGGAAATCGAAATGAAGAAGGAAGATCTCCAATCCAAGCCGGAGAACATCAGAGAGAAGATTGTCCAAGGCCGCATCGACAAAATGGTCAACGAAAAGGCGCTCTTGCCGAAGGATTACATCAAGGACACGTCCAAGACGGTTGAAGAATTGATCAAAGAAGCCACCGCGGAATTGGGCGAGAAGATCTCCATCCGTCGCTTCGAAAGATTTAACTTGGGTGAAGGTATCGAGAAGAAGGAATCTAACTTCGCGGCTGAGATTGCCGCCGCGACTGGCCAAGCTTAAACTTAATTTGAGAGGGAAGGAAAGTAGCGGTAATAATGTACGACGAGTTGTTTACACACGGTGGGTGAGATTTCTTAAGAAGAGAGCATATACGATAGCAATTGCGAATGTTTTTAAGTCAGCAGAATATTATTATATAAGTATAAGTATTTTTCTCAGTGTGGCTTTAATCACCTTTAGTCAATTCGGAAATATCAACGCCGGTCACGTCCAACGCCACCTTCGCCGCGGCTGCGAACCCGGCGATCCAAAAGATACCCAAAAGCACGTAGTTTTCAAAATACAAGCACGTCGCGGTTCCGCCAACCGCCAACGCCGCCACACCTGCGATGCTCACGGCTACTGTCCCCGGATCTAACTTTGCTGATCCACTCGAGCTCGCATCCTCCAATACCTGTCCATCCTCCGTGTACATTCTCGGCTCGATGCCGAAAACGTTGTTGTTCTCCAAACTCGTGTCCGACCCACCTTTAAAGGATTGCGAGACAAACCCTGGACCTAAACTCCCATCTTTCACGCCAACGTAAATCGCATCCTCCTCTTCCGCGACCACGACTGGAAACACTTCCATATTTCTACACGTCTCCTGCGGCGTTAATTTCGCCAACACTGGATTATCCGGATACCAGGCTTTAATCTCCCCGGTTTTCAAGTCAAACGTCGTTTTTGTCGTCGGGCACTCGATGCACGCGTCTTGCGTCAATCGAGCTCTCTCAAACCCCTCGGAATACGCGCCTTCTGATGGTGATCTCGACTCAATCGCGCAAATCGTATCTCTGTACCAAAAGAGTAAAATAGACTTCCCCAAAGCGTCGATTTTCTTTCGGTCGCCTCTCGGTAAGTCGGAGAACGAGAGAAGTTTGATGTACGACTCCGGGACTTGCGTTTTCGGGGAAGCTGCTGGAGCCGCCGTGGCTGGCGCCGCCTCTTGTCCATCGCCGCCTTCCGCGCGAACGACGACGTTTGGTCCCGTTTTTGACGACAATGCTCTTTTGGACGATGATGATGATGATGATGATGATGAGTGCTGAAACGTCGACGACGATAACGCGACCGATGATGATGATTTTTGTTGTTGTTGTTGTTTATGTTGTTGTTGTAAAGAACTTCGAACGATCGTTCTTTTAGACGACGCGACGGTTTTGGACGTCGAAACGAAGACGCGCGACCCCGAGGACGTGAAGGCAGCAGTGTTGGTCATGATTAATAATAATAATAATAATAATAATACTACGCGCTTTAAATAATGATGAAGATGACGTTGCCACGCTGGATTTTTTTAGAAGAATTTTGCCATCTGTGGACCACAACAGACAGACAGAAGGAACCCAAACTGACTGACTGAAAAAAAGAAAAAAAAAGAAAAGAACACAAAGGGAAAGGAACCAACAAAATCAACCAAAAATCAAGTACTATTTTTACATCGACTAACTAAAAGCCAGCCTCGGCGGCGGCGAGCAAAGCTTGCTTTTGCAACTCACTCGCAAAAGACGCTTTGCGGTGGTTCATTTTATCATCGCTACTGTGGTTACTCTCGAGAACGACTTCGCCTCTTTGCAAGGCGAGTTTCCTCTGTTTGCGACTGAGAAAAGGTTTCGTTTTATCGTCCTCGTTTCCTCGCGTGGCCGCATTCTCCTCTTCTCCTTTTTTACTCATCATCATCCGCCGCCGCCGCTGTCGTTTCTTACTATGACTACTATTGTCCTCGTCATCGTCGTCGTCGTGACTCTTGACAACCACGAACTGTTCTCTGCCCTGCTTCTCTTTTAACCTTTGCTTCCACAACATCTCCTCGTTTTTCTTTCCCATCTTCGTCAGAGATTTCCCGCCGAAACCGTCCACGTGCTCGTCGAACAGTTCTTGGAACTTTTCCGAAAAGTACTCGTCGGAAATGTCCACGTATACGCTCGGTTTAGCAAATCCAGCGCCTCCGTATTTCGCTCGCACCGGTTGTAATACCGTTTTGAACATCTTCGCCAGTTCTTGCTCCGTCAGCGCTCTCGAGAGTGGTAAAGAACGCAATATACGAATTCGTCGTTCTTTGGCGCCGGCTCTTTTTGACTTCCATTTTTTATTCGTATTGGCGTCTCCACCTTTATCAAAACCGTTGTTGTTTTTGTTGTTTGGAGAGGAAGTAAAGCCATTCTTCCCCTCGTTCACGCCGCGTTGTTGTTTCTTCGTCGTTGTCGTGATGATGGAAGTATAATTTTGTTCTTTGCTCTCGAAATCCGCCGCTTTTTTCCCGTCTCTAAACGTCGTCGCTTTCGCTCGGTATTGCTTTAACAATCCCATTCTTTTCTCTCTGTGTCGTCTATCTATCCATACTCCTCATTATTTGTTGCGCATATCCTCCAAATTAAACGCGCTGCTTTTCTGGAAAGAACACAACACAAGAAGAAGAAGGGAGAGGAGGAGGAGGAGGAGAAAAGAAAAAGTGACAACACAACACAAAAAAGAAAAAGAGTCGTCACACAGAAGTCACTTTTTATTAATTTTAATTCAGAGTTGTTGTTGTTGTTGTTGTTGTTATAAATACATTTGTTTTTGTCGAAAAGACAGGTGTGTATGCGACGCTCTTCTCTGGCGTTCTCATCATCGTCGTCGCCGTCGTCGTTATTATTAGTAGTAAAGGATAGTATTATTCTTAATCAACAACAAAAACAAAAACGCGGGGCAACGATGATGATGATGTTGAATTTTACAAAGTTGACGGCGGGGACGTTTTGTGCTCATCATCATCAAACGCGCTCTTCTTCTTCTTCCTCTTCAACAACAACAAAGTTGTTCGTTAAAAGTAGTAGCAACAACGGTAATAGCAATAGTAGTAGTAATAATAATAACGGGAGTAAGAACAACAACAACAACAACAGTTGGGCGACGCAAACGAGAGGAGGGAGAAAAACGCGCTTTAACGGCGATATCGTCCAAACGCCCCAGGAGAAGAAATTGAACAAACTGGAAGGGCAGAGATTGTCGAAAGCGTTGGCGGCGTTGGGCGTCGCCTCGCGACGAGGCTCGGAAACGATCATCTTCGACGGACGAGTGAAAGTAAACGGGACGAAAGTTTTAGAGCCGCAGTTTAAGGTGAACTTGGACGTGGACGTGATTGAGTTGGACGATAAAGTCGTCCAAGGCGGCGTCGAATACGCAGGCGAACACTTTTATTTCCTAGTGAACAAACCGAAAGGGTACGTCTGCTCGACCAAAACTGGTGGTATTCTAAACAACAACAACAACGGTAACAACAGAGGAGAAAAGGAAGAAACTGGCACTGGTGGAAAGAAAGCGTTGGATTTGTTGCAAACGTGGACGGAACAGTGGAAGAAGGGGAATCCGGGAAAGTTACCGCCGAGATTGTTTACGGTTGGTCGATTGGACGTTCAAACGACGGGCATGTTGTTGGTGACGACGGACGGGAAATGGTCGCAAAGAGTCGCACACCCATCGTCGGGGGTTGTGAAGAGATACGTGATTACGGCACCGGAGAGAGTGACGAGTGCGCAGATCACAAAGATGCGGAAAGGGACGGAAGTGGATGGCGCGCACGTGACGCCGGTGCTGGTGGAAGCAGTCACCGGGGACGGAGGACCAAAAAATCGCGTCGCGGTGGAAGTGGAAGACGGACGGAATCGAGAGGTTAGACGGATTGCAGAGAGTGCCGGGGTAGAGGTGAAGAATTTGAAGCGGACGAGAATCGGTGGGTTAAAAATGCCTTCGGAACTACCAGCTGGGATGTTTTGTTCCTTGAAACCGCATCAAGTTTCGTACGTTTTAGAGAAATCGCTCCAGCAAATCGGAGGAAATTTTTGATACTTACTATATACAACGTTGTAACTAATGCATTGCGAATTCCTACTGTACTGTATTTATTTACGTCTACTATTGCTATTGCTATTTATCAGCTGGGTTTTTTGCGCTAAAGCCCGACATGAACGCGTCCCGTTCGTTTTTCTCGTTCTTCGTGGGCGTTTTGAACAATTTCTTGAAAATCGATTTCTTCTTGGCGGGAGACATCACCGAACTGGTTTGTTTTGATGAAGACGCGAACGGAGCGGTCGCGTTGTTACTGTCGCTCAAATTTTCTCCTGCAGTCTGTGCGACAGCTGCGACTGGTACTACTACTGCCGCACCATCGTTCGCCGCAGCTTTAATCTTGGTAAGTTTTCGTCCCGCGAATCCAGTCACCGACTTCAGAGCAGACCATGCCAAGTTACCTTTCAACTGCCCGACAAGTTCTCTCCATCTTCCTTCAAACGATTCGCAAGTGTAGGAATCGAGCAACAGTCTGACATCTTTGAACGAACCCGCTGATCCGTGATAAGACACTTTCACTTTCGATTCGTTGAATCGCAAATATTTCACTTGCACAACCTTTGGACCAGAAATGGGCGCTGTATCCTCGTCGTCGTCGTCGTCTTCACCACCAACAACCTCTGCCGTCTTTCTCGATGATCCTTCGTCAACCTTAGGTAAACTGTCTGTAGAAGTTTTGGTAGCTGTTGTCGAAGTCGTCTTAGTAGTAGTAGTAGCAACGGTTGCCTTTGATTTCTGAAACTCTTTTTCGAATGCCAAGTGCATCTTTTTTGACTTGATCTCTCGTTCCGACGGAAATGCGTAGTCATAAATCATTTGATAGATTTCCTTCGTGATGTCAATTTTGAACGGTGAGAGGAGAACTTCTAAATGATTCCAAATTGGTGCTTCTGGTGGGCTCGCCGCGCGGTATGCCGATACTTGAAGAAAATTAGGTTTTGTCCGTATCGCCGCCGGAACGTTATCCCAATCTTCATCCAGAAGCCATCTTCCTACGACTACTTTTTCAACAGTTTGTAAGTGTAATCCCTTCAATTTGAAAAGAGTAACGCCAGATGAATCGACGTGCCGTTCTCGCGAAAGACTTAGATTTGTAATTTCCGCATTCATGAACGTCTTCCCGGCTTTTCTGAGCGCCCACGCTCCTCGCTCGATTTCCAACTCCATTTGCATCGCCGCTCTTTTACGATTATACTTCGTCAAGGACTCCGCTCGCCGTATCGATTTCGCCAACGCTTTTTCTTTACGTTTCACGTCATCAAGATAACCTCGTCTCTTCAAATCTTCGTTCTCTTTCGCGCCGCCAGTCGTCATTTCTGTTCTGTCGTCTTCAAGTTTCTGAAAATCAATGTCATGTAGTCTCAGTGCGTGGATAGATTTGATATATTCCAACAAAGGAGCCGCAACGATCGCCGACGCAGCTGCATCTTCTTGGTCAAATAAACTTCTCTGTCCTTTTTTCCTCAGCAGAGCGACTGCGTTGTGTTCCGGACTGGGAGGCGCGAAATTTGATGGAGTTAAAAACAACGAGCCGATAATATCGACTAGTACAGCCTGCTGTTCGGATTCCATTGTGGCGTCAATATCTGGAGATTTGAAAGAGAATTTTGTGGGTGCGTCTGAATCGTCAGATTCACCGCTATCACTTGTTTGCACGGAGTGCTTGAAGATCATCTCGCACGGAGCGAAGATTTGTCTCAGCAAGCTAGATTTTTTTGGCTGTAAATGCGTGACTTCTTCATCGGAGCCTTTATCTTCGAGCCATTGTACGCCAGCTCGGAGGTCGACGTCTGTAGGTGCAACATGAGCTGCTACGTGGTGTAAATTCACGTCTACCAACCGTTGCTTCTGTGTCGCCGAAGAGGAATCCGAAGATGAAGACACTACGCGTCGACCAACAACGAGTCCATTATCCGCTGCGAGTAATAATCGCCCATTTCGATCGTTACCTCGTAAATTTATTTGCGGTTCTGAAATTTGGACGACGAACAAACATTCATCGGCAATTACTTGAGTTGGAGGAGATTTTTTCATCTCGCTGACAACATTTTCACCGCCATTATTCACGACACCCGGTTTAATCAACTCCAGCAAATCTAATTCGGTGTTCGCAGTTTTCGCGTTCGATTGCGAGGACTCGCTGAATCCACTCGTCGCACTGATATTTTTTCTATGCTTGCTGTATTGATCAAGGTCCATATCGACCAGATTTTCACTGAGCTTTTCTAATTCAAACATCGACGGTGGCTTCTCGATTGAGGGATCATCGCCTAGCGAAGCTTGCCACATCTCACGAATCCACGTCAAAACCTTTTCTCTCGTTTTCGATTCGAGTAATACTCTAGGAGCGTCCACGTCGACTCGCACCTCATCTTTCGCCGAAGGTTTGCGTACTCGAAATTCGCGACTTTCAAGCACTAACATCGAGTCCGTGACCATTTCCCGCAGCGACGATGCAGTGACTTTATTCTCGATAGGACCGTTACCATCACCGACTCTCAATGCACGCGGCGAAGGGATTGTGTTCGAGCCTCTCAACATTTCGCGCATGGTCTCGTCGAAATTTGCCGATATCATTTGATTCGGCTCAAAAGTTGCCTCATTTTCTTCTTTTTCGGGTAAAAATATGCGTAAATCCTTCGCGTGGACGTTCAAGTTTTCACTCGCGTTAGATATGTAACTGAATCCTTCCAAAAAAGCAGCTATGCTTTGGACAGTTTCGTCTTTCTCCTTTGTCGGTAAGGAATAATTCAAATACTCCGCCGTTACCTCCCAGCTCGGTTGTTTCGAATATAATATGGAAACCATAGACTTGCCTTTCACTTTTTTTGTCTTACCGTAACTTTTCTCCGTTGCTTTGGTCTTTCCATATTGTTTGTACCTCCACGCGTTCCGTAACGATACCAAATCGGGTTTCATCAGCGCTCTCCACCATTTTTTCATGTACCTCATATCCTCTGCGGTGAATCTAAAATATGGAGTTTCCGTGAACTGAGAATTCATGCTGATACCGTCGAATGAATTGAGGACACTGTGCAGATCTGATATATTACGCGCACGCGCTGGCGAAAGTAGAACTGAAGACGTTCTCGATGGCGAAAGCTTGAGTGCCGAAATTCTAGTTTTGAAGTCATCGGAATGCCATTTTGCGAGCGGTGAAGACGATAAAGAAGCTTTATTACCATTTGCGTCCATCGCGGTAGTCTGAAACGAAGACAACGGCGTTTGGAAGTTATCAATAGTGCCTTTCCTCGATGACTTCGGAGTCAAGAAATCTTCTTCATCCGCTGAGTCTTCTGCTATGCTAGAACTCATTTTCGTTTCAATATCATCGAGTATGTGATCAACGCGCCATCCTGGGAGCAAGGTATCTTTGCATGCGAATTGTATGCTGAGCTCGTGCGAACCTTCGCAACTTTTGCATTCAGACAGGGTGTGCAATTCTACGCCTGTTGTTGGATCGAAACGATACGATGTCGCGTATCCGTTTATATTATCTTTAGTCAACCATTCATACTTCACACCAATCTCGACCGCCGGAGCAACAAAAAGCGTATGGGAAACTGCATCCGAAAAAGAAGGTTCCCTCGATACGGCAAAGCGAGCAGCGCGGAGAAGGATATGCCCTGATTTGTAAGACATTTCGCATTTGGAGGCTTTGAAAGCAAGCGCGTGACGAGTTTGAGTATCCTTCAAAGATGAATCCAGGACGATTTGAGAGTTCCTTGCGATAATCGTGAAGTCACCTCGCCATAAGTTCCTTAAGTTATCCCACCACGGAAAGTTGTCTTTTACTTTTGCCGGAGATGAATCGTCGTTAGGGGCATCACGATGCCTTGATTTCGGAACCATACGATTTGATATTTCGCGCGAAAGAATAGCGTACTTCGGTTCTGAGGATGCCAAATACCGTACTTTCCCGTCAATCCAAGTCTGCGTTAAATTAGTGAACGCTAAAACGCTTGGCCTAGAAGGAGATTGAGCCGAGCGGATGGCTGCAAATCTTCGCTTGCCGACCGGGAACGGTAGTAAGTGCGTGTCTTTGGACTGGACGCTCTGCTTTGCTAAAACAACCGGTCCTTGCATGGAAATGGTTTTTGCCTCGAACATAGCGCAATCCTCGCCACCCAGGAACATATCAAACTTTTCGCACGTCCAATCGACGGTTTGGTATTGGGTTATGTGCAAATCGACGCCATCCGAGTATGGAGCGTCGGTGCAACGGCAGAAATGTCCTATTTTCTCACGTTCGTCTGCGTCACAACCATATTTGAAAGACCAATCCAGCGTTTGCGCACGAACTGTCAAAATATTATCCACCAGATTCAGGAAGTGCACGTCTTTCTTCTTATTCTCGTTAAAGCCATCGACACCTTTCTTATACGCTTTTGCAACATTCTGAAATATTTGCTGAATCATTTGAGCATCCTTAGTTTCGTCAGCGTCTCTTAATAATTTTCTCGAGCGTTTCAATTCCGGCTTCAGAAATTTTTCTTGCATACGCAAGAAGCTTTCGAGTTTATCTGAATCTTCGATTATGAACGTGTTTCCTCCGGTCGACTTCCAGCGCACTTCTCCTATCGAATCCGGTAAATTCAAAACTGTTCCATTTTCATTCGATGATGCTTTTTTGGAGATGATTTTGGACTTGTCGGCTGCGGAGGCAGCCGTGGAGGTGAACTTCTTCAGCGCTTGTTTGAAAGCACTCTCGCCAGCGAACAAAGCAGCGTAAAAATCGCCGAAATCTAAGTCTCGAGCAAACTTAACAGCGGCTGTACTCGTTGTGATATCCCAACCGCTATCGTGCTTTCGCTTCTCGAGGGCGAGCGATTTCGTCGTGAAAAACGTCTCCGCGTTTGTTTCGATTTCAAAATTTTCAACGTTTATCGTCGAGATCTGTTCGAGATGTACGCGCGTCGAAGCGAAGCGAACATTCGCTCCGAGCGTCAAATCCGCAGCAAACGAAACGTTGGTAGCATCAAGGGAAATGTTACGATCCCGCGATGCTTTCATCTCTTTCTCCTGCTTGGACTGATCCTTCGTCTTTAGGAAGGCCAGACTCCCGAGGAACTTTTTCGTATCTTCTGAAAGCGTTTCGATTAGGAAATGTGCATCAGGATCCCAGTCCATCTGCACGTAATCCATTGTTATTTTCGTCGTTGCCGGTTGCACCGTTTGGGTACTGCTTGAGTGATGCTCAATTTCGAGTTTGCCGATTTCAACTTTTCGAGAGTAAGTTTCCAGAGAACAATCATCTTGAAAATCGAGCGAAACACCCAACATTTTCATTGACGCGGTCGTATTTTTGTTGCCGCCAGCTTCATCCATGGTGCCTCTACTGCTTCGTCCTTTGCGCCGATCGCTATTTGTTGCTCGAAACACTCCACTAATTTCAGGCACAGTCAATAAAACCGAAGACTTTACGCGTGCATTCAACGTGTTGGAATCTATTTGATCCTGCACGAGCGCATCCGCGAGCGAGTTTTGGAAACAAAAACATTCAGAGCGCGCATTCCTGATCTCGTACCCGAGAGCAAACGTAGATTTGATGTTTGTGTCGTCTTTTACCCTCCTATCATCGCGAACTTGATGAATTCGAACGCTTTCTATCCACGCGTGATTGAACAAATCCTGCGAATCATCCGTGAATACTGGATCTATCCCCAACAGTTCAACTTGCACATCGCTCACTTTACCTATTTTCGTCAAATCAGCCCTGAGTGAACACGATACTTTCGAAATTGCTATGGCAACATTGTCTTTCTTACCGACGCGAACCGATTTCGGAACTATTCGAATGCCGTTTGGCATATTCACGAACACCGTCAGCGCATCTGCTACAGGTTTCGTCGTCAAAACCATTTGTGTCGTCGTAACGGTGAAAACATCCTCATCGTACACTCTTAAATCTACTAAATTGATTTCCAAAAGCGAGAGAAACCTCGCGACGACACGCTTCTTAAAACTTTCCTTTATCCGTTTACTCGCCCTATCTGTTTTATTGTCGTTTGTGTTGTTGTTGGTGGTGGTGATGTTGCTCGTCGATTTCGCCTTCTCCTCCTCTTCCTCCTCTTCCTCGACGTAATCGCCATCCAAATCGTCCTCGTAATCTTCTTGTTTATTTGTCTTCCTCGCGCTCCGTCTTTTAACTTGCACGTCGAAACATCGAATGGGGACGTTCATCATCCTGTTCCGATTTTGCACGACAACTTCTTTACTCGACGAGGCGTCGTCTCCTTCTTCGGGCACGTCAACATCTCCTTCCTTGATAGTAGTAGTGGTGCTGGTAGTAGTTGAAGACGTACTTCCAGTTGCAGGAGACGGTGAATATAACGTTTTCAACATCCAATTCACCAAGTGCCTCAGTCTTCCCGCGTATCTGATTTCTCCGATGGATATCTGCTCGATATCTCCCCCTCCTTCAGCAGGAGACGAAAAGTTCAAAATCACATCCGTCGCGGAAAGGAACCCAATCGACCCGACCGTCACGCGCACGCCTTTCGTCGCCACAAATTTCAATCCCAATTGCAACAGCGAAGGAAATATCCATCGTCGAACGGCAAAGAGCGTCGGGAAGAAGGAGAGTACACCGGTGAATAAAATCAGAACGAGCGTTTCCAACGAGTTCGTTCCTTCTTCTCCGCTCATCTCGTTGGTCTCTCGACGAAGAGTGAATTTGGTTAAAAGAAGAAAAGAAGATACCGCGTTGGAAATGGTGGTGGTCATCGCGTTATAGGTGGAGGAGGAGGAAAAGAAGGTGGAGGATCAAGAGTTTAAGGCGTTCAAAGAGGAAGAAAACTCTGCGCGTGTTTACGAGCGCTTGTTATTCTCATACTGTGTGTGGTAAAAGAATAAATTCTTGTGTGGGCACCTCTTTTTTTTTTGAAAAAAAAACTTCTCCTCAAAAATGAGGAGCCGGAGGAGTTTCCTTCTCTCACTGGTAAAACATCATCATCATCATCGGATGAACAACCCTCTTCTCGTGTTGAACGCATCATCATCATCATCATCACTTTTTCATCGTCGTCGGTGTTCCTATTCGCACAACAACAAGAAGAAGAAGAGTAGAACATTCTGCTGCTCTTTCTCCTCTTCTTCGTCTTCTTCTTCTTCTTCTTCTTACGTTGATGAAAAAACGTTGATACCGTTGAACGAACGAAAAGCGACGTTCGACTCTACGAGAGAGGAATTAAAACGATGGCAAACGTGGGCAAAAGAGAAGATAACAAAGAGTAAAGGAGCGTTTTCTTCGTTCGATGGCGGTAATAAAGACAGTGGTCAACAGAGTCATCATCATCGTCATCATCATCATGACACTACTAATAATGACCCAGTAGATGAACAGTCGTTAGTTACCGAATTGGAGTGGCTGTTGGAAGACGTCGTCGCAAACGAAGGAAAAAGTGATGATATCTCAATGCGCATGAATTTCGACCAATTGACAGCTTTATGGAACAAGCGCATTGATGACCGGTACCCGATTCAGTATTTAACGAAGTCTTCGCAGTTTCGGACGGTATCCTTGTACGTCGCGCCGGGCGTTTTAATACCTCGACCGGAAACAGAACTCTTGATTGATTTTGCATACCAGCACGTGAAAATATACGGGAAGAACGAACATTTAAAAGAGTTGCCTTGGTTAGATTTAGGCACCGGGTCTGGAGCAATTGCATGCGCGTTAGCCACGGAGTTGAAGGATATGTTCTCGAAGACGAACCCGGGGGTGTACGCCACAGATTTTTCCAAGGAAGCGCTGGAGATTGCAAAGATAAACGTAGAGCGTTTAAGGTTGAACGATACGGTTTCTTTGTTGCATGGGTCGTGGTTCGACGCTTTACGCGAGCATAATGGTATCAAGTTTGCCGGAATCGTATCAAATCCACCTTATATTCCCTCGGACGTCGCCGCAAATTTGCAGCCAGAGGTTGGTCGACACGAACCAATGTCCGCGTTGGATGGTAGAGGCGAATTGGGGATGGGTGATTTAGATGTAATTTGTGAATTTTCGCACGAATACTTAGCTCCTGGGGGTTTTTTGGCGTTAGAAACGCACGGTGGAGAACAAGCTTTACTAGTGTGGGAGAAATTATGGAAGACGAACCTCTACGAGGACGTTCGCGTTCGGAGTGATTACGCCGGCGTGGAGAGATTCGTTACGGCGCGATTGATCGATGCTAAGAAAGTGCATAGGTTTAGTAATACTAGCTTTAAAGATTAGAGCATTCATAGCAATATATGTGATAGTGGATTGAAGTATAACAATCATTATAGTAAGTACAGATACTGGTAGACAACTCGGCAGGTATTTCTTCTTCTTCTTCTTTCAACAAACGTTTATCTCGCAACAGCTTGGGTGTTCTTTTCTGCGCTGAACCCGTACTCGTTATCGAGCGCGTTGAAGTACAAGTCGTAATACGTTTGCGCGGATTCCAACTGATCCAACTCAGTGTACAAGTCCGCAATCTTGCCGTAATTATCCGTAATTTCCGCCATATCTTTATGCTCCAACGCTAAATTGAGCACCTTCTTTGTCATTTCCAAAGACTTCGCGGTGGACCCCAGACGACTCGCCGCGGCCGCAATACCTTTCAACGCCTTCCTCTCCGCTTTCCACGGCACGTTCAACTTTTCTTTACCGCTCTCTGCGATGATTAACGCGTATGCTTCTTCAAACTTACCCAAAGCTTCTTCCAATTTCTCCTTCGATTCGTCCATCTTCAACATCGCCTTACCCGATCGAAGCAACATTAAAATTTTCTCCACGTACTCATCGCCGTCGCTATCAATGCTCATGTCCACGCCAGGTGTCTTGCTTTGTTTCTCTCTTCGTAATTCCTTCTTAATTTTCCCGTTCACTTCCAAAAGCGACTTGTTCAATTGCGTGATCTCCTGCGCTCTCTTTTTCGCTTCCAATCCGCCGGCAATGGCCCCGGCGAAACCAATCGCTTGGCCGAGAATAATCGTAGAGACTAATATCTTGTGATCTACTTTCAAACCAGCGAAGGATACGTTAAAGTCTTCCTCGAAAATCGGGTCTGGTTTAGTGAGTTCGCTCGGCAAATATCGCGCCGGTCCATTGATGCTAATCTTATTCGTCACGTCCAGAGGGGCAGCTGCTACAGGCTCTTGTGGTACACCCGCGACGGCTAAAACCAAGGACGCCGTCGCAGTCACGAACGCTTTCTTCAACGATTTACTCAGCGCATCGCTTTCTCTTTCTCCTTTTTCTTCTTCTTCTTTATCTTCTTTTTTATTATTATTGATATCGATTGAGGACGACGACGTAGTTAACGACGAGGACGATCGCGCTTTCACCGCAAATTTTATCGAGGACGATGATTTCTTAGAAACAACCATAGGTTTTCTCGCCGCCGCGCTTTGTTTGGTGTTGAGTTTTGCAGCACCGCAGCAGTGCATCTGCGCTGATACTATTCCAGAAGACATGATTTCTTTTGAATCTCTCTTCTTTCTCTCTTCTTTTTATTTAACGTGTTGTTGTTGTTCAAAGAGACCTGGGATTTGACGTTTGTGCGTTTCGTGCGTTTTCTTTTTTCCTTTTTTCTTGGAAAAGGCGGGAAAGAGTAATCATATACCCTAAACAAAACTTCATCTCAAAAAAAAGGGGAACGTTTGTTTTTCCCTTTTCAGAATTTGTATCATCATAATAAAAGCACACAACACGCTACACACGAAACGCGCGCGAATCAAGAAGAAGATGGGCATACGAACGTACTCATCAAAAATTACGAACGGGCGAAACCCGTTATCGTTGAAACAGGAGGAACCGAATGTCGACAACAACAACACCAACAACAAGCCTTCGTCGTCGTCTGGGAAGAGACCAACTTCGGGCGTGGAATCGATTTTTAAAAACGACTCGGTCGAAGTCGGGAAAGAGTTTAAAGAGAACGTGAGAACGTGGAACGTGAACAGAGAGAGAGGACACTCTGGACACGGAATTTTTTCGCAGAAAACGCCACCGAAGTTTCTGAAAGTGCCCGTAGATAGAAAGAAGGAAGATGATGCGCAAATTGCAGGAGGGGTGGTGAAACCCGTGGACTTGAAACAGTTGACGCTTCAAGAGTTAAGAACGGCGTGCAGAGAGAGGAAAGTAAACCCGGCTGGGAGTAAAGACGCGTTGGTCGAACGACTGGAAGAAGCCGTGAAGAGTGGATTCTGTAAGGCAGAGTTTAAAACGTCGACGACATCGACGGTAGGTGCTGGCGTGCGCTTCGACGATAGGCAAAAGAAAGGTTTCCATTGGAACACTTCGAAAGTGCGTTTGACGAGCGAGTTGCATCAAAAAGGCATGTATAAAGGAAACGAGATTTTTTCCTCGAATTTTACGGACGATCGAAGACAGACAGCGCACACGAGAGTGGTTGGTAATGCCAACGTGGAAGGCGGAGGGGTGCTTCCATCCTCTTCCTCGGCAGAACAAAAAGGGGTTGCCGCCGGAGCTGATTTTTCGTTTCATACGACACATACCAGGACGAAAAAAGAAGAACAAGAACAAAATCCACCGCAAGCGAGCGAAGCGAGAATGAAATACTGGGACTCCGCCAGAGGTCACGATTTGTTTGGTTCGTGGACGCAACCAACCGCTGAAGGAGAAGAAGAAGAAGATGATGAAAAAGAGGAGCAAGCGGCGACGCCGAAGATGATGATGGTGCCTCCGACGACGGTTGAAGATATCGTCCAAGAAGAAGTGAAAGAAGAAGAAGAAAAAGTAGAAAAAGAAGAAGAAGAAGAAGAAGATATCGATGAATACAAGAGACGTCAAACCATGTCTCTTGAAGAAATGAAACTGCTGAGAAGTGAGAATGACGCCAAGTTGCCGTCCACGCCTTCTGTCGAAGATAAAGAAGAAGCGGATGAAGAATACAGCCCGAGTCCGGCTAAAACTGTCATCTTCACCGCAACCAAGGCGGAGAAAAACTCTTCGCCGGTCTTTATGTGTCCAAAGTCACCCTATCACGCGTACTTGAATGGCTCTGACAACGAAGAAGATGATGGCGATGACGATGAAGAAGCTATTCGTCTCGCCGACCAGGCGGTTCGAGAAGTCGAAGAAGAGCTGAAAGCCGAAAGCTTTGAGAGCTCGTTGAATATCACCGAAGAAGGAGCTTCTTCCATGCAGTAAACGACTTACTAACGATATTTTCATACATAAATACTAGATTCTTTTTGTTAACATTTATTATACTGTACATACCTGGTTCCAGGTTTAATATTGAACCCCCCGTGTATTCACGGCGATTTTTTTTGAACGCGCAACGACAGTTCGATTTTTGATCGAGACAAAGGGAAAAATTTCAAAAATTACTTTATTCGTACACTCCCAGACGACGACGCTCTTGGCAACACGCGCGGGTCATGAATGACGTCGAAGACGATGATATCATCGTCGCCACGCACGACGACAACGACGAAGACGAGTCAACGTATCGTCACGTGAAAAAGAAAAATAAAGCGATAAACATCGGGGAAAGCGTACTTGGGACGTGTCCCGTGTGCGGATGCGACGTGCACCGCGTTTTGATTCAGGAGCACGTCGAATTTTGTCTAACTGGAAAACACAGAGTGCGCGACGAGAAAGAGAACGCGAAAACGTTGAGAGAAAGGACGAATTATGACGAACCGCACCGAGAGGAAGAGAACGAGAAGAGTAAGAAGAAGAAGAAGAAGAAGAAACCTAACGCGCAGTTCAGCATTCTGAAATTTTTGCAAAAGAAGAAACAAAGAGAAGAAGAGGAAGAAGAAGAAAAGAAAAGCGACGAGACCGAGACAACGAGAAGAACAAATGATAACAATACTAACAATAACAATAGCAATAACAATAACAACAACGCTAGCATCGATGATGCCGAAATGAACGAAGAAGAAGAAGAAGAAGTTGATTTGATTGCCATAAATACTCAAATTGAAGGCGGTAAAATTCCGGATAAAGTGTCGTTTCTACTGAACACCATGAGTGGGAATTATTCCGAATGTGGCATATGCTTGGAACCTTTCGACGAAGAGAAGAATGTCGTGCGTTACCTCTTTTACCCGTGTATGCATGCGAGGCAATGCAAAGAATGTGCAATCAGAGTTTGGCAGACGAAAAAAATCAGAGGGAAATATAAAACAAACAGAATTTCCCAATGTTGTTGGTGTTCGCAGAAAATTGAAGTGAGACCGCGACCGTTTCGTCCCTTCTTATAAAAGCTCTAATACAAACAAAATTCATCGTAGCAAAGTAATAATAATAATAGAAAAGCAATACGCAAAGCAATACCAATAAAATTACAAACAACTTTTCTATCAATCAGTTGTCTTCCAGCTTCTGTTGATTCGTCTCTGGAAGCAAGTAATGCACGCTAGCTAATGCTAATACACCGACGAACGTGTACGCTACAAAAACATTACACGCACCAAAAGTATCCACAAAGGATAGAAATGTGAAAGTGACGAGAACATTACACAGCCACTGGACGAGCGTTGCAAGCGCAACACCAGAACTTCGAGCATCCTTCGGGAAAACTTCGGAAGATACGACGTATGGTATTGGTCCCAACGATAAGGAAAATGAAACTCGGAATATAAGAATGCCGAGTATTGCTATGAGCCCAGTGCTTACACTACCAGCGGCAGTAGAGTAAGAGAACGCTAATAAAGCGCAGCCTGAGATTATACCACAAATACCAATCATCGCCATCTTCTTTCTTCCGTAGACGTCAATCTTCTGCGATAAATACGTACCAAAGCAAATTTGGACCATAGAAACTATCACTGTGAGCAAAATAGATTCACGTTTACCGTATCCTAACGAATTCAATATTTTTGGCGCGTAGTAAACGATCACGTTTATTCCACAAAACTGCTGGAGCATATTCATGCCGCATGCGACTCCCGTTGCCTTGATGTGTTTGGATGACTTGAACAATCCGAAAAATCCAGCATCTTCAATCGGCCGCGCGTCTGAAGTCGCCAAGCTCGCGACACTGTTCGACGGCAACGTCTGTCCTAAAGATTTCATAATACCACGAGCTTCTTGATAGCGCCCACGACTTGCTAACCATCTCGGTGATTCAGGACATGCGCCTGGCATATATCTAAAAACATACTCTTGAGCTAAACACGGTAAAATTGGTACCAGTAACATCAATCGCCACACGAGCGAAGACGAAGCCTCTCCAGTGACACTGACTGCAGCGGTGGCATCCAAATTAGCAACCCCGAATATAGAAGCTATGACTAAACTCATCACAAATGCGTACATTAAACCGACCGTTCCGAAAAGTGGCGAGAGTGAGGTGTACTTCCCTCGTGTTTTGGCCGGGACACACTCGGAAATGAAAACCGTCGTTATTGCCGTTGAACACCCACACGCGAGACCAGACATAAAGCGTGCGACGATGAGGATCGTATAAGAATTCGACAAAGAAGCGAGAGCAGCTGAAGCGAGATATAGCGCATTTGCAAACCGAAAAATATCTCTCCTGCCAAACCTTTCGCTCACTGTTTTGGAACCAATCGCCAAACACGCTGTAGCAGCGCCTAACGGAAGAGCAGCAACTATTGCACCTTTGATTTCGGAACTTAAAAAAACCGTCGCTGAAGGAGTTCCGAATTCAACGTACACGAGCGCTCCTGCGATGCATCCGCATGCCGCACCGAATGCCAACATCGACAGGCACGCCGCAAGCGTAAGTGTGTAGAGTTTTTTCTCGTCCTCGCTACTCATCGCTGCTGCCGAGGAAGCAACATAATAGCCTCCTGAGCTCGCGGCACTCGCTGCAGAATAGGCATTCACGGTACTTCTTGGCATTCTCCTCTTATTTCTCTCTACTACTGCTACTACTATTCTATCTTGTATCGATTCAAACCGAATGGGAATATCTTTATCGTCGTCGGGTAGCGAGGCACGGAGTGGGCGACCGTTATATAGGTAATTTTTCTTCTCTTTTCTCTGCTTTTTGTGCGCGGCGGTGATGAACGAAGGCGACTTGGATGATAGAATGAAAACCGAGGACGATAATGAGGCTGATGCGTAAAGAGACGATGGAGTCATGAATGAATGAGCACCACCGGCGCGGTATAGTTTCTCGCGTGCTTCGAAATGCGTTTTCCTGCAGAGCGTCAAAAATTTGTATCGCAGAGGGGAGCGAAGCCACGAGGGGGACAATTTTTCGTATATGGTGGCTTTCTTAGGGGAAGCGCGAGTTGTCGTGTACAAGTAAAAGTGTAAAATATCTATTGAATAAATAATATTCAGACTGAAACTATCAATCATCTAAATTCAGAGTCATGCATACACCTTGGAGTACCCAGTGCGATTCATGCACGTCCGATTGAAGAGAGGCTTCAAAAACTAAACCTTTTCCCATGGCGTTCCTTCTCGCCTGCGTGATGTACACCGGGACCCGTAATTCGCCGGCTTTTGCGCTTTCATTTTTTTCGACCGGGATTATATGCATGACGGGAAGTTCCTCCACAAGCTCGTTATTCTTTTGGTTGGCCAGCGCGTGAGATTCAAAATCCCATCTGGCACCCTCTAAGTATAACCCAGAGACGAAGCACCCGTTTTCAGGAGGCTCCGTAATCGAGCGTGCATCTTTTACGCGCGTGAGCTGTGTTTTCACGTGCGCGACATCGAGTGGCCAGCCTTTCTTTCTGCATGATGTTTGAACAAGAGCAGCAATAAAGGTTTCGGGTGACTGCAAACCTGATAGCCAGACGCACGGCGGTAAGTTACCGTCATGTTGAGCGACCCAATCGCTAAATTGAGAGACGCGCTTGCGGTACCACTGGATCCAGGAAGTGATATTTTTTCCAGTTTCTGGCGCTTCTTTTTTCCATGAACTCGGAACGAAGCCAGAGTTCAAAGACACCGCAACATCATCAAGCACGGATGACATTGCTATTTCACCATTCAAAGCCTTACGTAAATTCAACAGCGTTTGCTTCATCACGCTCGTTAATTTGTTATGTTTCTCAAGTTCTTGTAAAAGTGCGATGCGAATCGGAGTAATCGCGTTTGCCCATTTTTTCCTCAACTTTCTCGCGTCAAAGTTTCTATCCTCTTTCTGCGGTAAGACTGATAAAATATCGACAGCTATGGAATCGAGTACGTGTTCTGGACGCTTTGCTTTATTTCCAGTGAGATTATCGTGCACACCATCATCTCCGTCATTCGCGTTTCTTGGAGCCTGAGGAGAGGTGATTTGTGGTTGCAAAGCGACTAAATTTTCCCACATGAGTTTTGCAGCTCTCGTGCAGTGCGCAACATCTGCGTTCATGTGTAAACCCAATACTTTGGGAGTTTGAACGACGGGAATGCGAGATATTGCGTCGATTAACGCTTCGTAAGATGTTTGTCGGGGCAACCCAAACAAGCTTTGGTAGTTTACGTCATCTTCAGCAGGGGAAGCGTCCCTTACGCTTAACGATGTATCCTTGTTCTTATCACCGGTATCGTCCCTCTCTTCACTCAGTTCGTGTTTGCACATGTAAAACGCAAACGGTCGATCCCTATCAAACAAGAAGTCACCAAAGTACTCGTTCAAATACGTGACGAGAATGCGTCTGTCGTAAAAATCAGATACACGACCGCCGTACATGGCTTCACCAATTAAATATCTCAGGGTTGACCACGGAATATCTGCTTTTGGTTTCTGCTTCGGCGCGGTCGATATTGTTGACAAGGGATCTTCGGCAGCGATATGATCATGTTCTTCTTCATCGCCGACATCAGAGACGCATACTTTGTTGAGATAGGTTTCTATCAATGATAATGAAATTCTAAAATCAGTTTCATTAAAATCATAGGGAACGTTCCATCCCAATTTACCATATTTGCGGCGTTCTTGCACAACGGCGTGGAAAAATGTCAGCACGTATGAAAGATTTCTGAAAGCCGGGTGGTTGCATTTACTGAGAGAGTCTTCAGACAACTTTGCGAACGATGCTCTCATATTCAGCTGCAAACCAGCTGGTGGTTCTGTAACAACTTTCAGAGAACTTTGCAATACCCCTAGCGGGAAAGCAGCGACGGGCTCAGTCGTCAACCATAAACGAAAATCTTCGTGAACTTCGCCTAAATCTTCTAATATTTTCTCCAATGATCCAAGCCATGAAGGCAACAGATGGCAGTTCTGTAACATTGCCCACTTGCCCTCGCGTGCAGAAGATGATATAAGCTCGGCGGCTCGTGGTCCCATACCCTGTCCCAGCGCCATAAACTCCAATTTTTCCCCGAGACGGAAACCCTTCTTCTCCCCAAGTTTCAGCACATCAAAAGCTGGATCGGCACCGGGTGACAGAACAAAGACCACTGGTGTCCTCGCACTAGTTGCATTAAATATAGAATCATAATTGACTATAGGTGGCGTTACATATTGCTCGCCAAGTGTAGAAGAGATAAACTGTGTTGTAGCCGCGGTAATCCTGTCGACCCGAGCGCATCTCAACAAGCACAAGAACTCAAACGGAGTCAATCTGCTTTGAATATCATCAGGTATGGCGGATATTTCTGGGGTTTTACTCGATAACCACTTCTTCCATTTATCCTCATTCGTTGAAATATCAACGATCAAAGATTTCATACGCTCGCTACTGGATTCGAGCGTCACTAATTGCTCCAAGTCCCGTAATCCAGATTTTGGCCAAAACTCACCTAAAGCTTTTGTTGTGAAGGATTTACGAGTAGAACTCATCGCTTCGTTGCTGTTACTACTACTATCTTCGTCGGCATTTCCATCTAATTTGAAACCGCCTTTGGTGAAAAAATTAACCTGCTCTATATCCACGACACCGTCTCCAAGCAAAATTTGGAGCGTCATATGCATCGAAAGCGTCAACTTATCACGTTCAAACAATCCTAATGAAGCAAATTCGTATACCGCGAGGGTTAAGTCATTAACAAATTCTGTGATAGTATTTTGTAAAGACTTATCATGACCGTGTTTACTATCATCTGTCGATGTACTTGACCCGCAGTTGTTTTTTTCTCGTGTTTTCGCTAGCGAGGACCTGAAAACTTCCAGATACGATGTCAACGAGTATTCATACATCGAGTTTACTTTGTTGAGGTTCTGAAGAACAAAATATAAGATGGCTCCTCGTTTTGCGATAGGTTCATATGCTCGTCTCGCCAATACAAGTTTCTCACTCGCAGCTTTCGCTTCTTCGAGCTTACAGCTAATCTCCTTTGCCTTGTACTTCGTCTCATCCAGCGTGGTTATCAGTTCTACGTTATCAAGTATTTCACCCGAAGCTGAAGACAATTCCATTAGTAATGTATCTTCGAGGTCTTTAAGTAAAGATTTGTTGACGGAAGTTTCTTGAACGAGAGATTCGCGCTGCAGTTCTAAATCTGGTCGCTCCATTTTGACTGTCACGTTGAGAAGTTGTTCCTGAAGTCCTACGAGAGTGACGCCGTAATTAATAATCATCGTTTTACCTGAAACTTCGGGCCCGTAACTTGGATTTGGGAGTTTGGAAGTCATATATAGCCTGAAGTTATCGTCCCATTCTACCTCGGAATCTCCTATTTGAACCGTCTTGATACCATTCCGCTCAGTGATGCGACGTTCTAAAACGTTATCGATTACTGGATCCAAGTGTTTGCCAACATTCTCAAAGAGAAATGGCAGCCCATACTTTACGGCGAGTTCGAGTTGTTTGAGAAAATCTGCATCGCTGAACGTTTTAATCTTCCCAATGAGATTTTTACCTTCGCGCTGCTTGATCCATCTCACGGCTTGCATTTGTGGATCTATACATAGCGGATATCGAGATGCCTTCGTTGTCAAAATACCATTTTGAACACTCAAATCGTCCGTCGGCAAACCCTCGCTCGCCCATTTCCCGAGTTCCACATCCGTCGTCAACAGATTTTCTAAACGGAAAGATGGAGAGACCGGAATATTCCGCGCTTTCACGTCTTCATATAGCGTATCGTACGTAAACTTTTTGCGAAACTCAAACGTGAATGCGCCAGAGTAGGATAAAAATGAGCTCGTCAACAAACAATCTCCTACTAAATTTTTCATACTTTCATCGAGTTCGTTCATTTCTTTTGCCCATCTGACGCGTTCAGACTCCAAGCCTTTCAAAAGCTTTTCAGCTGCAGATAAGCGCGCTTCCATGGTTTCAGCGCTTTCTTTTAATCTCTTCTGGTTCGACGTTTTTTCTTGAAATTGTTCAGTCAGAGACGTGAGTTCCTCAGATAGTTGTTCAACTTCAAGTTTTGTCTTCGCTAGCTCTTTCGTTTTTGTCCGAAGCAATTTTTCAGCAGATGCAGCTGCTGCTCGCTTTGGATTCACCGTCCGAGCGACCTCGTTGTACTTGATCATGGCAAAAACCCACTTGAGGAGACCACCCCCAGCGCTAGAAATTTTCGTCACCTCCTCCGGAGTAAATTTTGAATCTTTCGTGTACGTTTTTAGCTCTTTTGCTTGCTTATCCTTTATGGCATCTTTATCAAATTCAATTAGCGACTTCAAGAAATTAGTATCTGTCATCATCGCTTTTGCGCCTGACCAAGAAACGTTGGGCAGACCTTTCAAGATCATTACGCACTCACAAACTTTCTGAACGGCAATATTCGGCTTTGCGAATGACTTCAATTCAGTAATTTCTTCCTTTTTCAGTGAATTGAGCGCCAATGCCGCAGCCTCCAACGCGGGAATTGCTTTCGCCAAGTCGCTTTCTGCTTCTTTCTTCTTCGTACCTATCGTCTCTTTCTCTTTTTGTAACTCTATTTCTTTTAAACTTGCCGCTTCTTGCTTCGATTTGACATCAGTCGTAGATGCCGTGATTACTTTCAGCAACTCTTCGCATGCTTTCGTCTCACCTTCAACGACTTCCTTCGCCTGGTTGAGGGACTTTTGCATAGCATCAACTTCACTCCCAGCTTGAATCAATTTCGAAGAGCCACCTTCTAAACGGGCTTTCAATTCACCGATTCTTTTCCGGTTCAAACCAAGCATCCTCGAGTAGTTTGCGATAAAGTCCAAATAATTCTTTGGAGTGACATAATTCGATCTATTCAGCTCCCTTTTATACTTTATCGATAGTTCCGTGACGAGTTGGTGCGTATATACCACATGATTTGCAATTGGACCGCGTAAATCTGATGGGATCTCGTCGATTGAGCTCAAAAATGTCGTCGCAACAGATAAAAGTGCTTCGTCCGGCCACGCTGTAAACCAATCAATGACAGTATCGTTTACCAAACCAGGAAAATTCCTACACCTAGAACGCAGTAAATCTCCGGTTGGGGACATGCATAGCACAATGTGTAAGTTCATTCGCGCGCGAGAGATGAAAAAACGCCAAAGTTCTTCTTTAGAATCGCGTACGTTTTCTTTGAGAGCGTCATCTCTGACCGATCGCATAATAACATGTTTTTCGTCATCCGGGTACAGCGCGGGAACTGCACCGCTCGTCAAAATACTGTTGATGTGTTCTAAGAAGCTTTCGTTTGCAACGTGGTTATCTGTGAATAAGAACAATACTTTCTCGTTGTCTACTCCTACTCTAGTGAACAAACGTTTCAAATCTTCTCGAAAAGAGTTCTCATCGTACCCACGTGTCAAAGTGATCTCGAACACTGAACAACCCGCTGCTGCCGCGGCAAGTTTTGCTAAAGACTGTTTCCCAAAGCCACCATCTCCGATAAGGAGCATATGTCCACGCTCTTGTCTCAAAACTCTGTGGATTCGGGTCGCATGCTCGAGAGCATCGTGGAAAAAGACCAAATTCATTTTTTTGTTCGGACCCTCTTTACGTCCGCAACTATCCAGCGCTTTCTGGAAAGTAATTTTAACATCTTCATAGGTTCCCACATCTTTGTATTGAGCTCGCGTTGTCTTCAAAGCGCTCTCGACTGAGAAATCATTCGGCTCTTGCACACCCTCGCTGCATCCATCTTGAACTTCTGGTACTCCTGTATCTTCTCCTTCCATGGTTTCTTCTCCAACGAGTAACTCTGTCCTAAAGTCGGCGAATAAAACCGGATCCGAAAGGGCATGCTTCAATAAATTCTCATCGCAGTCGAAATAATCAATAACGAGAGATCCTATTTTTTGCTTTACCAAATTTCGATCGATAGAGTCTACTAATCGATCATGAAACACCCGCAACACCTCGTTTCGCCATAATCTCACAAACGCACTTTCTGAAGCAATGCTATCGGCACATGATTGACTCATACCTTCAAAGACGCGCGATAAATCGCGGAGGTTGAATATGTAATGAAATTTCGAGGGTGTTGGTGGGAAAGCATCGAGCACATAATCATAAAGCTCGAGAGTAGCGCCGAGAATTTTTTCGCACACCAAGCTGCTAATACACGGTGTCCCGTCATCATTTACGCCAAGCTCGCTGGCCAGCTTTTCGAGAATGCTTCGGTAGATGGCTTTTAGGTTCTCTTCAGACGGTGCCTCAATTTCAAAAATATTGAATAGAGAAGCGAAGCGTGCGTCAACTGTGTTTCGCGCTCCGCCCGGGTGTCCCATTGCACAAATGAAACGCGTATCTTTGACAGTTTTCCAGTTTAGCTCCTTACCGCGATCGTAAAAGCCGTCACGTTCGAGCATAGTTTTTAACAATGCGATGGGTTGTTGCGTTCCGTATAAATCTTCTTTTGGCATGTTCAAATCGTCAATGAATACAATTAATTTTCGACCAAGCGGTGGCCCGTACACATCTTTGGTGCGCTTCTCAATACAATCTTCAATAGCTCGCTGCACATCAAGAGAGCTCGTTCTCGAACTCAAATTCATGGTTATGTAAGACATTTTACTATCGTTGCCTGTCATTTCAGCGAGTACCTTTTCTATAGTAACAGTTTTTGCCGTGCCAGATGCACCTACAAAGAGGATAGGCTTATTTGAGGCGTTACCTAACGTTTGTAATAACCAAGAAGATCTGACGGTATCTGCTGTGGGAATAAGTAGAGATGAAAACGACGAGCGCGCAGCTAACGGAATATTTTCGGCTTTGGATTCCCAGGAGAAGAACGTATCGCTGGAACGATCATAACCATAGTCGTACATTGTACCAGAATCCGGTAAATTGAGAGGACACGAACACGCGGGATCGTAGGTAAGCTTCCGAAGAAACGTGTCAAATTTAATCCTATCTGACTTAATCACCGTGGCGCCAAACGACCACGTCAGAGCAAAGATAGACATTCTCTCGATCTTTCTTGCAAATTCCACTACTTGCTCATCCGGTGCAGTGATATTGCTTTCTCCGAAAGAAATCCCGCGATGGCTTTCTGCATCTTTTGAAGAGAGTGGAAGTAAACTATCGAGGAGAGAACATAGTTGCTCCACATAATTCGACGACGTTCTTTCGATGCTAGAAGTTGGGGGTAGCTCCTCGTCAGAAACACCTTCCAAACAAAATTCTACGAGAGTACCAACGTATTTATCGAATATGCGCGAGAGCACGCTTTGAAGTAGCTCCGTACCCTGTTTTTTTATCCAAGAAGTACAAATCGGTTGAAATCCCAATGTTTTCGGATCCACATAGACCATACCGCATCGAGAAACAGTCGCTGGTGATGCGTGCGCTAGATTAGCAACTTCGAATAGCAATTTGCAATGATCTCTAAGTCTAATGCGTTCGCCGTTGGGTAACGTCAATAGTTTATTATCGTCCATCACGGAGTTCATATTTTCTACCCACACGGCGTCAACGTCACCATCAAAAACGATATAACGAGATTCACTTTCTCTGTTTTCCGGTAGGGGACGATTAGCTTCGCGAAATATGTTTGATAACAGCCCATCAGTCCATTCACGGGTATCTCTGTCCAGCGAGCCATAAAGCTCAGAAACTGATTGCGCCTTTGGATTCAGCAAAATCAACTTGGTTGGTTTACCGAGCGCATCTTGAGCACGGGCGAGAGTTTTAATGATAACTGACTTCCCGCCCCCAGTTTCTCCAACAACCATAGTTGTGTGTCTCGTCAGCATTGTCTCGTATAATTGAATAATCTTATCAACTTGCTCAGAAGGACCGGTAAGAACCTGATACCCGCTATTCTCTAAATCTTTCTCCACGGCGTCGTTCAGATTTGGATACCGAACGCGCGGACAATCCATTCCTGGGAACAAGTCATTTATCAAACCAAGAAATAAAGGAGCATCTTCGAACACAAATTTCGGCAAATTCATATCTCTCAGTGCGCGCATTAATACGAGCTGTTCATCGAGTTCTGGGGATTCTCTCTTCAAAGCTCCGGCCATGATGAGCACCGATTTCAAAGCTCTCAAACCAAAATCATAATGAGATTGCTTCGAAAGTTGCTCTTTTGCGAGCTTGTACAAGACTGTCATCTTCTTCGCGAGTTCTTTAGCACTGTCGAAACCTTCTGAGAATAGCATGATTTCGCAAATTTGCTGAAGATCCGGAACGATCATCTGAACTGGGCGGAACAAAGCTTTCAGATTATCCGGCAACTCTGTTCTGCCGGCGTATCCAGGGTTCATGGTGATAAAAATCCCTGTCCTAGAGTCTAAAGCGATGTCCTTGCCTTCAAAGTTGAAACGCTTTGCGTTTGTTTTCAAGCTTTCCTGGATGAGGTGGATTTGGGATGATACCACACTGAGCACTTCGGCGTCAATTCTATTAAACTCATCGAAACAACCCCAAGCGCCACACTGTACGAGACCAGTAAAGATAGCCCCCATCGCTTTGTAATCTAGTCCTTCTCCACAGTTGAATACCACGCAAAGCAATGCCATAGACTTTGCTAAATCCTTTGTAGTTTCTGTTTTACCCGTCCCAGCAGGTCCAGCCGGGGCGCCCCCAAGCCGGTACGTCAATGCCGTCGTGAGTGTCATATAGCATCTATCGGTTAGGCCCGTAATTACTAATCGTCCATTTAGACCCATATATTCGTATCCATATAAAAATTCTCCGGAGCACTGGTTGATTACGATGTCATCTCGCTTTTTATCCCATTTGAAGCGAAGCTGAGATTCCCATGCAAACTCAGATTCATCTAGAATCGAGTCTCGGACAAAGCTTTCTATGATATCGCGAGCGTGTACGTCGATTATAATCATAGTATTCACTTTCTTCCGCTCCAGGTTTGTTAAATCAGAACGTACGAGCTTAGTAAGATCTGCTAGCTGCGCCGTCAGTTTTTCTGAAAGTAGCTTCATCGCCATCTTATCTTGACCGTTCTTGACGCGACGAAAAACATCGATAACCTCCCAAGTCCACCAAATCTGAGAGCCGACGAGCGCAACCATACCTAATTCCTCCAGTATCCATGTTGTACGCGAAGATGCGTTGACATACCTCCGAATTCCTTTCTTGCATATCTCTTTCAGCGTGATGCGCATGGCGCTTTCAACTTTTCTCATCCAAACTTCGACCGGTAAACCTAAAACTTGAACCGGCTCAGAGAGCTCGAACGACTCGCCTTCGCTACTCATCAACCCAATGATGGATTCATCGTTTGGACCAAAGATCAGTTTCGCGCAGTTATCGAAGAGCTTCAGCATGTGCTCTTGAACAAGCGTTGGATCAGAGGTGCCAAGTATGGACAAGAGCTCGTCGTCAGAAATGAAGAAAAATCTCGGGAACGCATCGCGCTTCGTGTTCAGATATTGAGATAGCGACTTTTGACAGGATTCCAATTGCAAAGAGAGTTCTTTTAAATGGTGCAATCGCCCTTCAACTCTGCATGATTCTAGTACCTTCGATTCGAGATTTTCTTGCGTGCTTCGCATAATTTCTCTCCAGGCAAGATCAATTTGGTCGAATTGGTCTGCTTCACGGGGAAGTTGAGCCCGGATATCATCGGCTCCACAAAAAATTGATTGTAAATACAACCATTTGCGTTGAGTCCCAATCCACGCCTCTAACACGTCCGAAATATGAGCCAAATTATACTCCCAACTCTGAACGGTGTCTTGGAATGGTGCCGCGTGTTTAGATGCCGACATTGATTGAAGCGTCAGGCTTGAATCTTCCAGCGAAAGTGTGATATCATCAACGGAGCAAAGGATCAGAGTCTTCTCGCGGGTCTCTTTTGATTCTCGTGCGAGCGGCCGCAAATCAAATTTGGCGTCCTCCCACTCCGCACTAAGTTTGATCAAATCATCCTCGATTTTCATTTCTCGTTCGGCTCTGTTCGTGATATCTCTGACATGTTGTGCATGTTCATATAGTCGAAGCTTCAACACGTCCTCTAGGGATACGGTAGTCAATGCGATCGATGTCTTCGCCAATCTTGCCAACTCTTCCCAGTGCCTTGGACGCATTGCCGGTGACTTGAGAGTACAAAACAAATCAAGAGTCTCTTCAAATAATGCTATGCTCTTTTTAATGCTCATGATCAATTCGAATGTCTTGGAACTTTCAGTGATATTTGTTTCGCAATCCCTTTTGGACTCTTCGGCAATTGCACGCAGTTTTTCAATATCGATAGCATCCCATAACACGCGCGAATGAACTTTAACTTTCGAATCAAATCTTTCGATTACTGCGTAACAGCTCATATATTCTTCAATATTTTCTCGCAACTCTTGCAAACTTGAAACCGAACGTGGGGGAAATTGGAACGCTTTTTCAGAGTCACGCAAGGCTTCGCGCCGATTGCTTAAATCAACGATTTTCGTTTTAAACTCGTTTAATTTCAAAGCTCCAGCGTGTAGATCTAGTAAACTTTTATCAGATGCTGGTCCATTTTTTAGCATGTCGTTTCGCGTTTCTTCGCACGCACTCTCAAATTCATTCAAATCGTTACGCAATTGATCTTCATACTTCATCCGAACGTGCCTGGAGTCCACATCCACTCTTTCAATCTTCTCCTCGCAAGCTTTCCAATTCGCCAACGTGTCTAAGGCGGCATTCATATCCTCACAAATGGCGTCGATTTGTGTTGTAGATGATGGCGTCGATGGTGATAAGGACTCCTCTGGTCTCACACGAAGGCGGAGTTTGACCCTGTCTTTAATTTTCAGAATATTTATTTCGGTCTCCCAATCTATACGTATATCTTGAACCAATCTCACAAACACTTTCATTTCATCCAAACTTGACGGAACTGCGTCCATCACATCGTTCACATTTTGAAACTTTGAATTCATTTCCGATAGATAATTACGGTCCTGCGCGGCTGAAATGCGAGAAAGCTCTTTGATCCAGATGTCGCATTCTTGAGCGATCCCGTCGATGAGTGGCGTTGCATCCATATTTGCACAAGAAATGATCAAATTTCGTTTCGAATCCGCTAATGCTCTACTTTTATATTGATTGAACAAAGCGAACGATTCGTCGAGCGGTGCAAATTCAAGACCAGAAAGATCTGTGAACATCTGCAGAGATTCTTCACGGGCTTTCGTGTTCACCGCGTGCTGAAACTTATCCCAACTTTCGACATATTTCACAATTTTCCGCGAAAGTCTTTCAATGGCGCGGTGTGAAGCAACCAATGATTTGTTCAATACGATAGATGACTTAAGATCACGCGCGAATGTAATACCAAACGTATCGCCTTCTTTTTCGTGGACAGAAGTGTCTGCCGTCACGAGGATATTGTCATTCTCTAAACCGCCTGAGATGCAGCGGTAACCGTCGTAATCCTCATCGCTTACTTCATCATCATCAACGCACTGGGTTTGCAACACTTCGCGACAAGTTCCGTGCATCCATCTAGTAAACTTTGATCCTATCTTCTGCATCGAATCGACGAATGAGTTCAGTCGAGTGGTAATTTCTTCCAAAGACGGAGATATGACTACGTCTTGCGAGCATAATTTAATTGTACATCGAAAATATGCAGCATTCGCACCGTCACGACGAGAGATAAAATCCCTTCGAAACGAGCGTAAACTTGAGCATATGGCTCTGACGAGAGCGCGATACACGCTTCTCTCAGAAAATTCGTAAAATGCTTGCATTTCTGGAGCCTTTTTGGATCGCGTACCAATGACGCAAAACTCTATATCTGATAAAAGATTCGAAACTTCCTTATACTTTCCTACTGCTCTTTCCATGATTTCATCGCGCGTACGTTCTAATGTACCCATCACATCGTCTAATTCTGGCAACACCCCAATATCACCTTCTGCCTCGTCTGTGTAGGACGGAGAGAAAAAATTCAATTCCGATATCGTTTCCGTAAGCTCTTTGATCGATTTCGAGATACGCCTGACTTCAAGTACTGATTTTTCAAAGGAATCGATCGCACATCGCGCCGAATGAACGAATGTGTTGAAACCTAGCGCATTCCAGTTCAATTTCGAGCAACCCGGCTCAAAGGCTTCTTCCACTTCGATCAATTTTTCCTTGAATAACGCAAACTCTTGGAATGTCAAACCAGACGTAACCCGCGAATACTCCGAGCATACATCTTTCAAATTATTCAGATGGGATCGATAAACATCTTCTTGAAGAACAACAGCTTTCGCCGCTGACGGGATCTCGTGTCCTAATTGCGAAATACTCTTGGCTTCGCTTATTAAAACGGATAAATTTTCGTGGAAATTTGGACGAAACAAAGGCACTGACGAGTGCGGAAGCCTTCCATTCACCCCGAGAACCTCTGTAATAGGATCCTTTATCAGAATAAAGGATCGCAGACTAGCTGCAGATTCATCAACGACTGTAGAGCTCCAATCTCGAACCAGCTCTTTCTCATAATCTAAGACAGTCTTGGAAAAATGAAGATACTTGTTCTCGATATCGAGAGCGGCCGCGCTTTGAATATCCTCTCCAAGAGATGTAAACTTAAATATACGCATAGTTCTTCTAACTGATACAAAGAGAGCACGGGACCATGCAATTTTACCACTCACGCTAGGCTGATTGCGCAGCAATGGAACATTTCTTCTTTGTGTGTGAAAAAAATGTTGGGTTTGATCGATTTCTCTACCAAACTGGTCCAAAATATCACGCGTCGTATCTCTCATCTGTTTATTCAGAACATCTCTTACTGGAGAAGTTCGTAAAGAAGAATTTTCACGATGGCCATTGGCGTCTCTTGCAGTACCTAGCAATTCTGAGTTCATCGGAATTGATGGAATATTGAACATAGTTCGAAAGCTGTGAAGCAATTCAAAGGCTGCTTTGGCGGATGTGGAATTTTTAAACGATTGGTCAATGAATGATCTCACTACTCGTTCAATTCGGACGCGATCTCCATTAAAGACTTGAACAATATCGGCCCAGTCTTCAGCTTTTGATGGATCAAACGCGTTGAATGAGCAACGATTAACTCGGTTGTTCATATTCGAAACTCGTCTCACTGCGTCGTCAAAACCTACTTGATCAAGCGTCACCGCTCGGAACTTGGGACTTAGAAAGGTTTGAAAATCTAACGATGCCGAAAGCATTTCGCCCAAATCGTCGCACACACGCGCAATATGATCAGTTCGAGAAAATAGTCGTTCGCGGTCGAACTCCCATCTTGTGTCGCGATTGGAACGCTCTATACTTTCGCGCACTTTTAAATAATTTGTCTTCCAGCTCCGCAGTGCTAAAGATGCATCTCGTAGCTTCTCCGATAACGTAAGATTACTATTATCCTGAATATCGGCTATGATTGGATGTAGACTTGGTGAATGTTTGATATTTGCTGTCGTCGATGTTGTCAGCAATGAGAGATGATCAGCGTGATCTTCTGCTCTATCTTTCGTAATTCCATCGTCTTCACGAGACTCCGTTAAAACCATCTTTGGGTCAATTTCAGAGTTTATCCTCAATGATAACTCGTCTGCTATTCGACCCATGAGCTGTCCCATTCGATCATCATTAGAGTAATAACGCGAAATTATCCAAACTAATCTGAGTGCTTCAAGCGTCGGTTCTAAGCAATTAGCAATACGTTTGAACGAGCCGCGCGAGATGGTCATAAAATGCCCTTCCAACGTAGCGAGAAATTTCACATTCTCCTTCGATTGAGCACACAGAGCTTCAAGGTTGTCGCGCAAATATCGAAACTTAGTGAGCGTTTGATGTGCTTTTGAGAGCTGCTCAGGGTCTTCTATCATCGCAGAGTGTATTGAATCTTCTAAGCTTTGCTCGGTTTTTTTCATCTCTTGGCAAGTCAGCTGTTCGTAAAGTGTGTGTCTCTCCACGTTTCGTTCTTTCCACCTCTCTATTTCTCGAAGCGGGCCCGTCGTAGTCGTCTTCATCGTCGTCTGCGCTATTTCATTACTACTCTTACTCCTACTGCTACCACTGCTATGAATACCATTTCCACCGTCGTTAATCGTGATATCGAGGTCGCGTTTTATGAAGGAGGATATAACGTCCGACCACTCCGTGATACAGTCAATCAAGCGTCGCGCGTTCGTTTGCGCTGCTCGGTTCCCATACCCGGACGTTTTTTTGCCCTCCTCATCCTTCTTCTCTCTTTCCACCGGTGGTTGAAGATCTGGCGCTCCATCTGGCGCTTCGCGATGCAGTTTCTCTGTATCTCCCTCTTGTTCTTCTCCATCTCCGCGCTCCGCGGCCATCGCGCGCGCGTCTTCACGTTTCTTTTTTCCGGGGTCAATATCTCTCTCTACCAGAAGGGGAGTTTTGGGTCTCATTCCTTTTCGTCCACCTTCGAGTATTTTTGACCACGCTCTAAAAATAAACCATCGTCTCCTCAAAACACTTCTTTTTCTTTGTTTGACCGTTTTCTCTTCTTCATTATTTTAATCGCGGGCGTAGATTGATGATGGACGACGATAGACCAAGACACATCGGGGAGAGCATCGATGCATACATCCGTACGCACAAAATCGATGATTTGTTCACTCGGATGTTATCTGCGACGCTCACCGAGAGGCCAGACAACGCGCGCGAATATATCCGAAAACTCTGTTCCAACGACAATATCAAAGAAGAAAACGACACGACGAAGATGATGAAGGAGGAGAGCGACGACCGTAGAAAAGAAGAGCAGGAAAAGAAAGAAGACGACGACGATAGAGAAGAAAGCGAGGATGGTGCTGTCAAATCTAAAGTCACAGTCAAGCATTCCGATGAAAACGCGAGCTCATATTTGAACGAAACTTTGGGCGTATCGCACCTTTTTGCTCTTCTCTCCGATGCGCTCGTTGAGAATGCAATGTCACACCAAGATCCACTCGAAGCTCTTTCGAATACGATTCTTAAACTTCGCAGCAGCAACGTGGAGGTAGAAAATGCGACGCAAAAAACCGATAATATCCTAGACGAGGGAACGAATGACTGGGAGAATGTAAGCATCGCACAGCAGGCGCCGGCTCGCGTCGAAGACGAGGAAGGATGCCGGGATGAACCAAGTGAACACGAGGAGGATGAAACAGAAGAGGAAGAGGAGGAAGAAGGATCTCACGAAAACGCCGAAGAGAGCAGTGAGGACGATCATGAGATCGTGGATATCGTGAGCGAATTGCCATCGTCGACATCGACGACGTTGAATAACGGTCAATCATCTCAGCGTCCAGCATTTCGTCGCCGTCAATCCGTCTCTGCAGAATGTATTGACCGAAGTCAACTGCTCATGCAAATGAAAGAAAACGAGTCCATCGAGAGCATAAAAAGTCTTGGAGACAAGAAAGATGCATCACACGATAAAAAAATGGACGATACTGTTCCAGGTAAGGAAGCGAAAAACGAAGGCGTAGCTGCCACAGAAATGGAACGAGAAGTTCTGTTGAAAATCATCTCCGCGTCTCCACTTATGTCTCGTCTATCCATCCAAATTCAAAAAGAGCTCGTCAGCAATTTGAGAAAAGAGCGTGCTTTCAATAAAGGCGATAGTATCATTGATCAAGGTGGTACAGCTAACTGTTTGTATATTTTGGAGCAAGGTGAGTGCGAAGTCTTCAAGACTGTTTCAGAAGAGGAAGGCGCTAAGAAAGTCAATGTAGTCGAACCAGGAACGTGTTTTGGCGAGCTCGGATTATTACACGATTGTCCACGTGCAGCTTCAGTAATTTGCTCATCCGATGATGGGGCTGTAGTTTGGAGTCTCGATAGATCCATTTTTAGAAAGCTCGTTATGTTTGCTGGCGCATCTGAACGGGTAGATTGAGTGAAATCCAACAAGGTGTTTCGTCTTGAACCACGCGTTAATTACTATTTTTTTAATTCTACAATACATACAACGTTCTAATGCAACGAGACTATCATTTTCGATCGCTTGCTATTGATTGCATGAGTGTCGCCGATCTTCTTTCAGCAATCTCAAGTCTACGTTTGTAGTCGTTTGCTTCAGTTTCTGATCTCCTAAGTTGTACCCGAAGTTGGGCCAACACTTTCCGATCCGAATCTGTCCCGCCACCAACGCCAGCAGATGCTCGCGATACTGCAGAACTGATCACTGACGTCGAATTTCCAACAGTCGATTGATTCCGTTTATTCTGATTACTTAAAAGCACCTTTGCTTCTGATAATTCTCGAGTCAAACGCGCTCTCTCTGCTCTCAACATTGTTAATTGTTTCGATTCAGACGCTTTTGGAGACGACACAGTAGCTTCGCCAGCGTTTCCTTGTCGCGCCTGTGCGATAAGGTTTTCTCTCTGCTCCCTGGCGAGATCCAAGTCTTCTTCTAACGCTTTGATTTTCGTCTCCGCCGCTCGAAGCTTAGCGGTTACCTTTGAAAGCTCGAACGATAAATTCTGAACTTCCTCATCGCCAGTCTCTAATATCACCAACGCCGAAGGCGTACCCGCATGTTCGCTCTGCTTTTTCTGTTGTTCTTTCAAGAGATCTTTTTGCAGTTGCGTGATTCTTCGTTGTGCTTTTTCATCTTGTCCAGCAAGAGCAGTTCTCATTATTTGCAAATTTCTATGCGCTTCGCTCAACTCTTCGTTCCGAGTCTTCAAGTCTCTCGATAGTTCCGCGTTGTTCTTTTGTACTGCACCGAGCGTTGTTGTAAGCGTTTTCTGTACATCTTCGTTGTGTTGATCGGCTTCGCGTTTCATGTGTTCGATTGTACCTTTCAGACTTTCGATAAATTCGTTCGCTTCGTTTTGTTTTTGAACAATTTCATACAATCTCTCCGTCGCACTCTCTACGGCGCGTGCGATTTTCTCGTCCGCCCTTTCTTGCATTTGTTGTGCGGTCGTTTCCTCATCGTTGTTGTCTTCTGAGATGCCGAGCTCTTCCGCTTCTTCCACGGCGTCTCGAAATTCGCCATTGTCGATGACCGAGAGCGGCTCGCAAACGTCAAACGTTCGCTGTTTCCACATCTCCGCTACTCTGTTCGATTCCTCCACGGCTATTTCGTATTCCTCCGTTCTCGCTTTCACTTCCTTTTCTAACTTTTTCGCTTTCACTTTCCATGAAGACAGCTCTTCGTGCATTTCCTTAACGTTCAATACAATCGGCTCGGGTTTCTTTTCCGTTAAGCTCTCGATTTCCTCTCGCAACTTTTCATTTTCGACTTCTACTTCTGCCGTGGCTGCCGCGAAGCTTTTGTTCAAAGCTCCCGTACTCGCGGACATGATGTACTCTCTCTCTAACTCTAATATATTTTTCTTCATCTGTTGCACCTCTTCCAATTGTAATCGCGCTCTCGCTTCGTCTATCAACTTGGCATCCGCGACGCGTTGTCTCTCTCTGGCGACGGCATTTTGCAGCTGATAATCATCGCCGCCCGTGCCTTCATCACCGCCACCGAACCAGGACGAGAACATGTCTTCTTCTTTGTATTCTTCTTCTTCTTCTTTTTGTTGAAGATATGATTTGATTTTTGTGTTTTCTGAGGAGTTTTTTGTTTTGCACCCTATAAGTCGAAAACACCTTTGAGTGAAAAAGATAAACACCTATGCAATGAAAAAGAAATAAAGGAATATCAATCCATTGTAGGAGCATTAACTTGGATTGCAACTTTTGCGTCAAAACTGTCTCGCACCTAAAATTCAATAAATAGGACTTCATATTGAATATGGTGTGCATACGACCGGCAACCGTGGAGGATCTGGCCGCCATGCAGCATTGCAATCTCATGTGTCTCCCGGAGAACTATCAGATGAAATACTACGTCTACCACGGTACGTCTTTTCTTATTTCTGTTGTCTCTTCTTTCTTTGACATCGCGTCGTCACCGTCTTCATCTCACTCATTTTGTGTCACATCGTCAACGTAAAATAACGAAGAAGTACTGACGAGAAAGTTTACACCACCTTTACTTTAATAAACAGCCGTTTCGTGGCCGACACTTTTACACGTCGCGGAGGATCGCGGGAAAATAGTCGGATACGTTCTCGCCAAGCTCGACGAGGAGTCTCCCAAAGTAGCTAAAGGACACATCACCTCGTTATCGGTTCTCAGGACGCATAGAAAATTAGGCATAGCCGCAAAGTTGATGATTGCCGCGAACGACGCGTTAATGACCACGTACAAAACAGAAAGTTGCTCGTTACACGTTCGCGTTTCGAACAAAGCTGCGCTCCATTTATACGTGGACACGTTAGGATACGAAAATACGGGTACGGAGAAGGCGTATTATGCGGATGGAGAAGACGCCCATAACATGCGCCTTACGTTCAAATACGGCTTGAAGGATCAAGGATTGACAGATGACGAGATGAAAGTGCTGGAGAGGTTGGGTTTGTTAGACGTGAAGTGAATTAAAAGCTGCGCTATTAGCCTTGTTGTAAAATAGATACGTGTTTTAGAAGAAGAATCACCTGCTCTCAGAAAATTCGTTCGTAACCAAACAATTTACACGTCAAAAGTCAGTAACAAACACGCACAGAAGAAAACACTGGGGTGCATTTAGATAGATGGATAGATAGAGACGCGCGTTCTCAATATTATCTAATAACGCTTCAAATACTAATGTCTGCCTTCGAAGAATTCGGGATTTGTCCAGAGCTCATCACTTCCTGTGAAGAGAACGAGTGGAACATTCCGACGGCGGTTCAAGCCGAAGCGATGCCGTTAATTTTGACCGGCGGCGACGTCTTGGTGGCTTCGGAAACCGGGAGCGGCAAGACTGGCGCGTTTGGATTACCGGTTTTACAAATCGTCCACGAAGTTCTCGTCGAGCGCATGAAGAACGAAGTAGTGCGTGGAAATCATGGTGGTGGGAACGCCGGTGCGGAAGCACTAACGAAGCAGACAAAAACGACGAAGAAGCAAAAGGTGGCAAAAACAAACGAAGAAGGAACGAAAAAGATACCGCGATTATCGAGCACAGATCGAAACGCACTTTTTGCTATAGACGAAGAAACCTCAAATGGACTTAAAGCCGAATGCAGGGCAAAGCATGCGTGGGCAGGCGCGAGATGTACAACGGGGTATTGCACTTCTGGGAACAACAACAACGACGACAACAAAAAGAAGCACGCCAAAGTAGGATACGAGTGTTCCGTCTTGGACGACGGTTTAGTCAGGCTTGGATTTAGCTTTGTCAATGCCTCTTTGGATGGATTAGGAACAGACGCGTCCTCGTGGGGTTACGGAGGAACTGGTAAGAAGTCCCACGGTAAGAAATTTGAAGATTACGGAACAAAGTTTGGAAAAGGCGACGTCGTCACGTGCATGTTGAACTTGGAAACCATGGAAATTTCATACGCGCTCAATGGAACAGAATTTCCGAAACAGAGCGCCGTTGCGTTCAAACTTAAGAGAAACTCCAAAGATGGACAGGACGTATACTTTCCTGCAATATGTGTGAAAGACGCTGAAGTGGAAATGAATTTTGGGAGCACGCCGTTGAAATTCCCTGACCTTTTGAAAAGAAACGGTTTCGTATCGTGCGCCGAATGCGAGGAGCAAAACATCAAATCATTCGTAGAAGCGTCGCAGAACAACAATAGCAATACTAGTAAAGGCGATGGATCAATGGCAAATAAAAAACCACTCGCGATAATTCTGGAACCGGTGAGAGATTTGGCGGAACAAACGCAAGATGTTTTGATCTCCTTCAAGAAATATTTGAAAAATCCTGAAATCGAGTGCGCTTTATTTACCGGCGGTGGCGTCGACGATAAAAAACAAAGAAAGTGGCTCGCCGAAGGCTGCGATATCATCACAGGCACGCCGAGTAAAATCGTCGATCTCGTCGAAAAAGGGGTCATCGACGTTTCGAACGTCAAATTCTTCATTCTTGATGAAGCTGATCGCTTGGTTAGCATGGGAAATCAGTCAGCAATTCTAAAACTCGCCGAGCAATTACAAAAATTCAACGGGAATGATGTTGGTATCGATCGATTGCAGACGCTCATGTTTTCTGCAACTTTGCATTCACCGGAGATAACGCGTCTCGCTGGTAAGCTTTGCGTAAATCCAACTTGGGTCGATTTAAAAGGGAGAGACGCCGTCATCCCGGATTCCGTGCACCACGCGTGCGTTCGCATAGATCCGACAAACCACGATGAAAATGAGAACATTAGAGGTTTGAAAGAGTTCATCTCAACCGATGGAGTACACGTGTTTGATAGCGATAGTAACGACACGAAATCAAAGTTATCCGAAGCTATCAAAATGCTCAAACCTCGCGTCTTGAAAGAGTTGATTGATACGCATTCCATCACAAAGTGCATGATTTTTTGTCGAACAAACTTCGATTGCGATAATCTTGCCAACTTTTTTCATAAGTGTGGATACGATAAATCGGCTAATTTGCAAACTTCGGCGTATTCCTGCGCAGTATTGGGTGGCGCAAAATCCATGGATGAACGCAGAGCAAATTTATCAGCTTTTAAAGCTGGAGAAATCAAATTTCTCATTTGTACTGATGTTGCGGCTCGAGGTTTAGACATCTCAGGTCTCCCGTTCGTGATCAATATGACTTTACCAGATCGGAGTGAAGATTACGTGCACAGAATTGGTCGTGTCGGTCGTGCCGACTCCATGGGATTGGCAATCTCGTTGGTCGCCGCGAATTGCGAAGAAAAGGTGTGGTTTTGCACGAAGAAAGGGTATAAGCCATGGCTTAATCCGACGAAAAACGACGTGAAACCCAACAAACAAGGCGGTCACACGACGTGGCTGGATGAATCGCACGCGCTCACGGAGATTGAGCGAAAACTTGGGAACTCGACGGTTGAGTCTCTCGGTGAGAATTACGCAATACCGGATCACTTTGGAACTATGGAGCAATACGGCAAGACTAAAAAAATCACCGTAACAATAGATGAGGAACAGATACGAAGATTAGAAATGTATGCGCCCAATGTGCGCGCTTTGGCCGATTTAGAAGCTGAAGTTTCGTTGAGCTATTGGACGCTGAAAAGAAAGTTCAATCAAATGACGTGAAAAGAAATAGGTTCCGCAATATAAATGAAAACATTGAAAACGCAATGTTACAACAAGCTGCTAAGTTCTTACGAAACTGACATCATTTCGCTGGCCTTCTCTTCCTAGGTGCTCTCAGAGGCGCAGGAGGCGCAATTTTCTTGTTGATTTCACTCAGAAATTTATCCCGCTCCTCCTTCGTGTAGGATTGCCCCCCTTTTTCCATGTGTTTCTTTTCTTTTTCTAGCAACATCGATCTCGCTAAGCAGTAATGCGGCATTGGGCTCTTTTCCCATGCTATTCTCCCTTCCTTTGTGGCTTCTTCGCCGTAAAAATCAGACCTCTCCGACATGCATCTCTTACAATCGTCTGGATTATCGGTGTGACATTCTTCTATGCACGGTTCCTTAAACGAAGCTAACTTGTGTCGAGCAAATCTCTGAAACATTAACCACTCCGCTTGGTCTCTCTCGCCGTACGGTTGAGGGCATCGGTTGTGGTAATGATACGGAACACCCTGCGCTTCTGAAATTTGCATGCCGTACAATTTTACTTCCGTACAAACGTTGACCGCCAAAATTAATCCAGTCCACCCACTTGTTGGCGTGTAATCGCCGGCGTTGAAACCTCCCGGTAAATTATCGAACGAATTCGACAATTGGTATGCCATTTCTCCGACGTAATTTACGAAACTCGAAGATAAAAGATAAAATTTCTCGTCTTTTCCTTTCTCTGCGCGGCGCTTGATGTAATCTTCGAGCGCTCCTGCTCCTCTCATGTTCCACAAGATAACTTCATCTTTCGATTCTCTAAAATCTAACCATTTTGAATTTACCAATCTAAACGTTGTTTTTGTCCCGACGCGATTTTCTAAACCCTTCGTAGGTGCTCCGTTGAATCGTATGACGACGTCGTGGGAATCAATCTCCTTCCCGTTTTGCCCGTACGCCAACATCCCGGAGTTTCCCACAACGGCGCAACTTTTATACGGCTTTTTGGAGACGACATCTTTTAAAGGCACACCGGCTTGTTCCACAGATTTGCACGTACCGATAACTCGCATTGGCGGTACTTTACCCGGTAAGAACACTTTAATGTTCCCATCTTCGCACGTTTTGCGAAGTTGCTCTTTGTTCGTCGTGAAGTCGCCTTCAAACTGTAAAGGAATGTCAACTTTTCTCGAAGACGGAAGCTTTTCGCTCGATTTACTCTTGAACGAGAAGATGTTCGGACCTTCCTCGCACGTTCTGCCGCGCCACAATTTCAAGCACTGACACTTGTTGTTCACGACAATCCCTCTCTTGTTGCAGTTGGAAGGAGAAGAAGAAGAAGAAAGAGAAGAACTCCCCTCATCATTTCTATTATTGTGCGCAATAACATCATCTTCGTCGTCGTCTTCGATTTGACCCACGTGTCCGTAACTCTTGGCAATCGATGTTCGATGTTGATCGTGTAAAGAAGAGAAGTGATGATGTGCGAAGGTGGATATTCGGCTCTCTCCTCGCTTCGTTTGCGGGTGCGACTCGTGATTTTGATGGTAAACCAGTGGGGCGAGAAAAGAAACGAAAGCTAACAACATCACGTATCGTCTCGTTCTCTTGGCTTCCCTTCGACTCGAAAGAGACGACACAGACGACGACGGTGGTGGCTTCATCGCTTATGAGATATACTTTTTAATACATACTCTATTTAAATGCGGTTTGATTTTATTTTATTTATCTGTTTACAAGTTGAGCTTGCGCATGGCTGAAACCCATCTATTCGGCGAACCAGCTGCAGGCGAGGGGATTTTGACATCGTTATAATTCGTCATCTCAGTGAACGTTGGACGATTGAGTAAGCCGTGGAGAAACTCTTCTGGCGTTAAATCTAAATCAGACCCAAAAGTGGCGGCATCAGCGAGACTGTCGTGCCTGGCGATGACTTCATCGTTCCAGAACTTACTCATGTGTCGCAATCCGGCGTCGCATGCGATGGTCACAATCACCTTCCCTTCGCCGAGTTCGCGAGCGCACATGAGTGCTGAAACTAAGTTCACTGCACTAGAACTTCCTATAAAGAGCCCATCTCTAGCACACAACCACCTGGACATTGCCACGGCTTGCGCGTCAGTTACTCTGTACGCCCCATATAACTTCACCGAACTCCCCGCCTGAGGTTCTAAAACGAGCGCGTTGTTTTTCGTAATTCTATTTATACCGACGCCTTCAGTTATGGTATCGTACGGGTTACGTTTTCTCGTGCCTTCTCTTTCGACGTTGGAAAACATGACACCTCTGGTAACTTTATTAAACACTCCAGATCCTTGCGGGTCGGCGGCGAAGCACTTTATACTGGGTTGCATTTTTTGTAAGTACGTCGCGACGCCGGCTAGAGTACCGCCGGTGCCAGTGGCGCACACGAAAGCGTCCAATTTCTTTTCATTATCAATCATTTGTTCATATATTTCTTTCCCAGTACCATTATAATGCGCTCTAAAATTTGCCAGATTTTCGAATTGATCCGCGAAATACCCGGAGCCCTCTCCAAACTGCTCGTTACTTTCCTCCGCCCTCCGTTTCGCCACGTTAACAAAATGGTCCGCGTGCGTTATCGAAACCGGACGCACTCTTTCAACTGTCGCACCGTATGCTAAAACCTGAGCAGACTTCTCTGTGGCTGCATCGTCTGGCATAACTACGTGACAATTTAATCGTAATACCGATGCTACCATGGCCAACGAAACGCCCGTGGATCCAGCCGTACCTTCGGTGACTAATCCTCCTTTGTTCAATTTTTTACGTTCCATGGCTTCTTGCACTATTTGCAACGCTACTCGGTCTTTTACTGAGCCACCGGGGTTGTAAAACTCACACTTGGCGTAAATCTCGCATTTTGTCATCTCCGACAGAGATAGAACTTTCACTAACGGGGTGTTTCCGATAGAATCGAGCACAGACGAGTGTATTGATGTTTCGTCGCGTGTTGTTGTTGTATGCACTTTCTTCTTCTCCTTCAAATTCTGCTCTCGTGCTTGTTGTTGTTGTTGTTGTAACGACTTTGGGATGACGCTGTTTAAAAAACTCAAACTTTTTTCTCCGTGGTGCTTCCTTATCTGATGCATGTAATACAATGCCAACGCACAACACGATCCTGCAACTACTACTGTTGATGCTATCGATGACGTGGATGCTCCATCGGTGGTGCGATGGTCCGGCATCGATTTTTTGTTACACCAAAAATTAGGTGTTTTTGAGTGTTGTGTTTGATGTTTGACAGATTTGTTGTGATTTGTTGCTCTTTTTTCAATTCTCTCGCGTCTATCCCGTCTCCATCCCTAAAAGAGGAACGAGCACGTGAATATATTTATTACGTCGGGAAAACGTGTTGCGAGTGTCAGAGTTCGCGCGCGCCTTTTAATATCACCGCCTCTTCTTCTTCTTTATCATCATCATCTTCTGCTCCTGCGTCTGTAGACCACACCGACAACTACGCCGACATACCGTTTTATTACCTAACAACAAACCAGTTTCTCTCTTTTTAGTCGTGAATGTTGCTCAAAGGCACCTTCAGTACTACTACTATTACAACTGCTGCGCTGCGCAAACATAACGAACGCGCAAGAGTGCACTATTTTCTGAAGAAGGAAGAGGAGAGAAATAGACGTTGGCACTCGTCGTCGTCTTCAGTCTCGTCCTCGTTGCGCCGGGTTGAGGAAAGAGTCCGAGTGAAAAAGCTCCATCGTGAACCCCTAGGAGGAGCAGGGAGAACACCAAAAGCGAGTACCAACGACTTGGTATTTTCCGTGAGCGACGACGACGATAACAACAAACGCGAAGAGGGAAAAAGAAAAGTTATGTATGATTTCTGCGTGACGTATCCGTGGGCAATAATGGTGGCCGGGAGCGGCGTCGCCGGTTTCGTGCTGAAGCGCTCCATACCTTCACTCGCGAGCGGCTTGGTGCTCGGCGCGTTGCTTTTCTTGTTCGCAAATAAGAGTTTACAACAGTGGCAAGAAAATAGACAAACTCGGATATACACGTTCTTGTCACTTTGTGTGACTGCGTTATTGATGGGTATAATGGCACCAAAGTATATTTTGCGAAACGGAGCATTTTTCCCGAGCGGGATGTTAACCATAGGAGGAGGGATTGTCGGTGTATACTACATCATCCTTTTGCTCGTCGGGGGAAACGCAGCACTTGGAAAGAAGAACAAGAAGCAAGAGTAGCGCATACTTTACGTGATGTGAGAATAAATGAACGTTTTTTTACACTTCTCAGCGCGTGCGCGAAGCGGCAAATATAAATTGATTCATGTCTAAGGTCACCGAATTTGTTTTTGCCACGTCGAATTGCTCGAAGACTTTCTTCGCTGATGTTAAGAATAAAACCAACGCTATGAATTCAGGCACTCCAATTTTGTTTTCACGAGAAGGGTCGAACGACTTGCAAGCTTCTTCGATGGCACGACTGTCACACTCGCCAAAACCCATCGAACTTAATGCTCGGAACACCTCCGCTTTACCAAGTTTTCCATCCTTGTTCACGTCGAACTTAGCAAATTCAGATTGCGTCTTTTCTAAGAAGTTGTTCAAAGACACGTATTCGCTAAAATCGAGCGTCCCGGTGCCTCGCGTCGAATGCAATTTGATTAGGAGTGATATCGTTTGCAGACTAAAGAGTAAACCGTGAGAACCTAAAGCTCGCTGCAATTCAGTCGGAGATATGATTCCCGAGTTGTCCGCGTCGATCATTTTGAAGTTTTCGCGCAACAGGTATTCATCGCTGCCGCCCATGATTTCAATCGTATTTATTGAAGAACAACAGAACAAAGTGGCGAATTTCGAGAAGAGTTTGTAAAACAGGTACGAGTGCCTTTATTGCCATATTGCGATATTGCCACCAAGGCGCATAGGCACCAACATTAGTCTTCGTTCCTAGCACAGCCTACTTAGCTTACATAATAACACGTTCCTAACTAACTAAAATAATATACAATCTACTAAAGCAAAAAGCACGGATGGTGATGTTGTCTTTCATTGTCGTCACAATCTTCTCCTTCGGCACTGTTACCAAGGACTGTACGAAGCGCCGTGAAGCGCAGAGAAGAATGGACTAACGACGCCCCGGAAAACACGACACAAGCCTCACGAAAGCTTTGTGCTGATGGAGATGAGTTTTTTAGCATCCAAATAACAATCATGTTGACGGTCACAAAGTGAAATGCTTCGACGTTTTCGTTGGCGTAGCATGCTGCGTCCATGTTTGCGCTCTTTGCAATATCGATAAAGCGTTCGAGATTGTGGATGCACCCTTCAATAGTCACGCGAGCCGCAGAGAGCGCATTGACTACGGTATCCGCGTAATCATTGCTTTCCATCATAGCGCGCTTGAGTGTATGTGCGGCCATTTGTGCGAGAAGCATCGGTTCCCTCCTCGGATGTACTTCCTCGTCGAATAACTTTTGATGATTTCGAGTGGTGCTCTTAATTTTTTGCTCAGAAAACGCAGTTAATAGTATTGTACTGGTACTTTCGCAAACTTCTGGAAAAAGCAAGGCAAAAGAATCTGCCAACCATGGTTCCATTGTTGTGCGACCATCAAAAAGTGCGCGAAATGCAAGTTTGAGAACACATTCTGTCTGTGGTAAATCTTTAATCGTTGTTGTTCCATTGATAGCACTCATGACGCCCACGCACGCCGACCTGCGAACTTCGTCATCTTCATCCTCTAAAATCAGGAAACTAATTTTAACTAGTTTCGTATGCGCTTCATCATTAACAAATAAAGATTTTAAACCTTCTTTTTCCCCGTTTTTAAAGACATACTTTAATATCCCAGAATTGTGTAATGCATCTGCTGCGGCGAGACGAACGTCCGTAGACGCAGATTGCCAATCCATAGTTTCCCGATCCAGCAGAGTGACAAACTCGTATGCATTCTCAGCAATGTCACTCCCATTTTCGCTCACTGATAGCAAAACACCCCAAGTTCGCATTGCTTCTACTCTGCATTCTTCGTTACGCACACGCTGTGATAAAGCACAAAGCGTATTCAAATGCTCTGAATGGGTCGCGCCTGTTTGATCCAATCTCGCGAGGAGCTGCAAGGCAAGTTTCAAAGACGCGTACGAGCCCTCGCAGTCGCGCACAACCCCGTCGAAGCTAGAAGTCATGCGGTGTAAATAGTTCCAGATACACGAACTCAGAGTGCACGCATCCACATCTGAAATTTCGTCTGCGAGCACGCAAGCCAACAAAGTCTCCATAATTGCCTCCTTTCCTTCGTACGGGACTCCATCGTCAGTCAATACTCTAGAAACGGTAGAAAGATCATTTCCGTTTATGATGCTCCACTCCACGAGTCGTCTAGATATCAACGAAGTAAGATCACTTAGTCCTGGCTCACTCGAGTATCTTTGATCGAGTTGACCTCGGAGGGCATCCACGCTTGATGTGTTCACATCCACGATTTCTAAAAGCGCCGAGGACATCGATGCGAGACGAGACGATGAGAGAGAAGGAGAAGATGCGCACGATAGTAAGACATCGCTCAACTGTAACGTTACTATTGCACACTCAAGCCACGTGGAAGCGAGTAACGCTGGTACAATTGGGTCACCATTCTTATCCATCTTTTTTAAAAGATGGCTGGACTGTAAAAGTCCACGTAAGGCACAACGGGTTATTTCTTCTGTAAACTCATCGCACGCTTTACGGGCACTACTACGATCGCACGATTCGTCCATAATTATCCTGAGAACGCTCTTTACTCTCAATAAAGCACCGTGCGTGCGATTCGAATATCTCTCTGAGTAAGTTGCTTCATCCAGCGCCTGCGTCAAAATTCGCGAACGTTCAAATGGACGAGCAACAATTGCAATGGCCGTAGCACATCTATCACGTATCGACATATACTTTGACGTCGAACATGCTTCTAAGTGCGGTACAAATGAGGAAGGATCGAGTGCTGATGATACAGAAGGACCACCATCTCCAACACCGTTTCCTAATCCTTCATAATTAGTATTCACCTTCAATCGCGTCAAAATGGCTAAAATCGCATTTAAAGACGGACGAATCTCCACTTCACACGTTTCATCTCCCTCGTCTATTGCCGAAAGCTCCAGTTCGCGGTCGAAAAAAGCGTGCAAGCTTGGATACTTTGTGAAGAAATCATTCGCGTGCAGTGCTTTCGACTGAGACTTGATGCTTGTAATTTCATAATCTGCATTCGCTATCCCCGTCAACTTCTGAACGAGCGATGAGAAGCAAAGTGTCGCAGCGTTTCGAACCTATTAGTATTGAAGAGATAATGAAACGAAAAGTCAGCGTTAACAGATAAACATCAATCAATATATACAAAGTAGAAGCGATGGATGAAGCAAAACAAATTTAGCGCGAAGTGAGCGAACCGAAGAAAGTTGGAATCCACGGGCTGACCCACGACACGCGATTTACTGTTGCTGGGATAACAAGCCATAGTAGTTCTAGCGTTCGTAAACAGAACTAAGGTAACGATTGCCCAGCGCGTTTCATGTGCATTTGTTAACGCGATGGAAAACTGAAGTGTAAAAAAGATACGTTGCAGAAAAAAGTTCGAACGAGGTCAAAATAAAGTAAGGACGCACCTCCCATTGCGGCGTGGCGCCCATTCCATTAATACATAGCTCCGCTCCTTGAGCAGCATAAATACTCGTTGCAAGAGATAAATCTCGATCTTTAAATATGACGCGAAGAACGTTAAATGCGTGTATTTGAGTAGAAAATAACTCTTCGTCATCTTCCCGTTCTAACTGAAGTACCTTAAAAAGTTCCTCAATGGCGTATTTCAGCATTGGTCGCATTGACGAACTCTTTTCTGAAAGAAGAAGAGCTAAGAACGCGAAAGGAATACCTGCAGAGCGGCGAACGCGATCTTTCATGCTTAATTTTGCTTTGTTCACAATTTCTTCATTCAACAAAATCGTAAGCCAGCGCATAGGCAAAGCTGAAAGATTCCTCTCCGCAACATCGTAATCATCGAGGAGGCGCTCACATAGCGTGGTGAGACCAATGCGTGTTTTGTCTATTGCACCGGCGTGTTTGACCTCGAGCATCACCGATATGAGATGCTCACCCAAATGTTTTAGCGCGTCGCCGGAAAGAAGATCTGTGTGCTTTGTTTTCGAGGACAATGCACCGACAAGCAAACCGACTTCTTTCATTGTTAGCCACGATGCCGTAACAATCGTTTGAGCTTCTGGAGATAAGAAATCTTCTGTCTCTTCATTGTCAAAGTCAACTGCAGAATTTGCAGCGACGACAGCAGAGCCAGATACTTTTGAACTATCTTTACCACGAGCAACCTCAGATGCGGACACTCCTAACATATCGGGCGTCGAAATATTATCACGAGCTAATAAAGTCACACGAATAATCAAATCGATGAGTTTGTCAAACGTTCTTCTCAATTTTTCCTTGCTTTCACAATCACTTTGAATCGAATTAAAATCAATTTCTTCGAGCGCATATCTGCGTAACATTCGAGAGATGACAAAGGGAACATAATCTTCTTAGTATGCAGACCTAGAGGAAAAGATGTCGCGATGCGAGCCAGAAATAAAAGAAAATGAGACCAAGATGTAACCACAGAATGCAATTGTTGAACGACTCAGTCCTGGCCAGGGTATATTATGGTTCGATTCAGCCAGCTTTTCTCATCAAAATGAGTACAGGAGAGGGAGCTATGACTCTTCATTGCCGTTCAAGATTTCCTTGCAAATGTTACATCGTGTCTTCTCCGAGAGAATTTTGCGTTGTCGAAAAAAAACAATCGTACCTTGCGAGGAGTAAAGGTCCGTGAGCTAAGGACTTTTTACAGGCGGCCAACACATCAATGCTTGCCAGTTGAACTTGAGCTTCTATGAAGTCGTTCAAAATATCTGTGAAAAAAAGAACAAAGGATAAGGTCAATACGTATATAATATTGATAGAGGACGGATGCGTCCGTATGTCGCTCGTAGTAATAAAAAGAAAGAAATGATAGTTCTCAGGCTGACGTGCAAAGTTTCACAGCACACTAAATTGGTAGTGCACTCATACAGTACTAGCAATGTAGTCGACATCACTGAACAACTCATTTACAAAAAAAAATACGAGCTGAAAAGAAGAGCTTCTTTCCAAACACCTCCCTAAAACTCACCGAGTAAAGAAAAGACAGGAGGCGATTGCGCGTCAGTCAATTTCTCTGGAACTGATACTGAGACTTCTGGAACAAGCGTAAAACTCCACTTTAATTCAAATACGTATTTCTTAATCCATAACCGCACTTGCAAAGCTGCTGCGTCTGATTCTTTTATCATTGGAGATAGAATCATTGATTTTGCCCAAGTCAAGTGCTTACGCAATTCAGCACCAGTTTCAACACCAGGCAACGGGGAAGGAAGAGCACTGAGCATATCAAAAGCAGATTTTCTTAGTCTGTCCCAAGAATCCAGTGATGCATTCAATAACACACGGGTGGCAGCTTCACTTTGCAAGAGCTCCTCAGAAAGTATTCTCGCATAACCGTTATCGATTCCTTCTCCTTGTGGTGAAGATGTCACGTTTCGTGCGCACGATAAAATTTCAATTGCGGTCGCCTTGCGCTCGTACGGGGCAGCAGGATACAAGTTAAGGACGCTTTTTTTCAAAAGCCATTTAATGAAGTCCTCAGATGCGATCCTATGCTCGTCGTCAATGTATTTCTTTCTGAGCAAACCGAAATGAATTCTATCGAATAATCGCGAGATTGCGGATCGCAACGAATTCATCTGTGCTGAACTTTCCCTGTTTGTATTGTACGTTGAAAGAAAGTATGAATGTGTTAATAAAAAATAAAGAGTGAGGCGACATCGAATGTTCACACGGTGGAGAAAAGCGCTCAGAATGAGTAGGAGGTTAAGAAGCCTCAGGGAAGACGCCGTCAAAAGACTTCGTCAATCAGCCGACTTAACGAAAAAAATCTTCGTCACCGCGCTGTACTGAAAATATAGAAAATCAGATTCAAAACGTACCCGCGCAGATGATGCGGTAATATTCGCTTCAAAAGTGCCAACTCCTGAGCGCCTGGGAGTGTTTGAGAACTTCCCTTCCCTTCCCAACACAATAGTTCCATTGCATCCGTGCGCGAAATTTCGCACGAACTCAACGCTGCGGTTTCAATCATCGAGTGAGATACGTCAAAAAACGATCCATCAGCTTCTTCGTCATCGTAACTGCGTGCATTATTTGTTTCTGGGTGCAGCGTTTCGCCCTTGGATAATGTTTCTTTTCGTTCCTTTTTGCGTTCTCTCTTGTTATTCAAGCTTTTAACAACTTTGCTGCGAATGCGACCAAAAAGTTTTGGGTCGCAAAGTTGTGCGTTTCGAGCTGCTCTCATGATGGTGACGATTGCGCCCGCTCTGAGATGAGAACTGAAACTTTTGCTTCCGTCGCCGAAACTCAAAACTTCTCGAGCGAGCTCCGCGGCAAAAGAAGAATCTCCACCGTACTCCTCTTGAAAAGCGATCGAGAGAGCGTGCGTTGCAACGCTTCTCCTTTTCTTACCATCAGGCTGAATAAAAAACGGAAACAAAGCGTCAGTCCACCATCTTTTCCAGCTGATGGAAAATGATCTTTCTTCGACGCGGTATGACTTTGAAAGCTCAATGAGAAGCCAGGATGCGGATGGGCCGAGCGAATCATCGTTTGACATGACATCCAAAACATCTGAAAGTATTGTCGTTCGCATTCCCATTATGGCGCGCGATCCGAGCCGTTTTGCGAGCGCGGAGAGTGGTTTGAACCGTGATTTCCTGGCGCCACCATTCGCATTAAAAGTAAGATTTAATATGCTCTGAAAGGTTTCCAGACCCCAACGCATGCCGCTTGGGTCAAACTTTTTCTTGTCAGTCCCGAAAGCACAATCGCACAGAGCATCAAACGCACACGCAATCTCTTTCGTAGTCGAAGCAGTTGTATTAATGTCGTCCCATCGTGAAAGGAGAGCCTGCGAAACGCGACGTAGCAAAGCAAAAAAAGAGTCGTCTCGAGAAATTTCAGCGTCAATAAGTCTCTGCAATAACGTCGTGATTGCATTTATTGCGTGAAATATCGCGTGTGGATCTTCACAGCGCTCTAAAATAGTTAGCACCAATGGAAAGAAAACATCCCTAGCGAGACGAGAAGTCGATGACGATAACACTTCTGGAGCAAGAGCGACGACAAATCCTCTAAGAAAGTGCGCGAGTGCTAGATTCGATTGCTTTTCCACGTGATTACAAAACTGTAACGACATGCTCACATTGCCAACATGTGCTGTGTCTCCGTATTTAGTACTAGAGAATCCAAACGCCGCCGCGATTTGCTGCTCACTCGTCGTAGTCTCCTCACCCGTATCGTCATCGCTTATTTTATCCAAGAGATGTGCCGCTAGCGCGGTTCCAATAGAAGTTCCGCCAAAAATATTGAATTCCAACGCATCAAAAAGTGTATTCAATACGATTCGTTCTTTTATAATCGCTCTGTTGTTAGCGTTCCTCTTTTCTTTTTCAGCACCTTCGCATTGACAAAAATCTCTCAATAGTCTTTGCGTCAACGTGGCGACGTCTGTACACGCGGCAACATTTGACACGTTTCTCCCATTCTTAATATCTTTCATGACTGTATCAAGAATCCATTTGCATAGTCGTATCATCAAATGTGCGTTATCATCGAGTGCAGCGTTGAATACTGGTACTACTCTATTTTTAGTAGTAGTGTCGTCATCTTTCTTTCGCTGGCGGCGTTCTGTTCTGGCGTACAAGGACAAAAGCATGGAAACCGCAGGCACGTACTCCAATGCTGCATCAGCGCTCACATCCTCAAGTTTCTCTAGAAATGCATCGAGATACGCTCGCGTCTCTTCGCAGAGTACGTTTGAAACAGAGACCGCTTGTGGTGACAATAATGATGATGAGCTTTTTTGATTATTGTTTTTGGTGTCGATATTGAAATACCGACTGAAACCGAGGAGGATGGATTTTTTGTGTCTCGAAGCAAAGTTTTGCGGGAGATGCCAATACACGCGAATCAAGGTGCGAGCGAATCTCTCGAACGTCAAATTATCATCATCCTCGTCGCTGCTTTTCAATAACCATTCCGCCACCTCTTTAGAGCAGTCTTTGTCGTTGTTCATAAGGAAAGTCGAGTCAATAAATTCGTGGTAGTTAGCCGTCTTCCTCAATTCGTCCGCCAAGATTGCGACTGAGTTTAAGGCTTCGCGACGTTGGAATGATGATGATGATGCTGATAATAGTGATACGTTTCCTTTGAGTTTGCGCGAGGCCCGCTCGGCGTGAAGACCGAGTGGCATTCTGTTTCGTTTTCTTAAAGGGCTACGCCTCCATCATCTTTTCTTTTCGATGCGATAATTTTTTTTTATGGCGGCTACACGAGTACATACTGTGATGCAGAGGCTCTTTTTTCAACTGATTCTATGCACGGTACTATTATTTATTCTAACGTATACGCGGATATAGACTTTGAGACGTCGGCAATAACTACAACGGAGTCGTCGACGAAATCACCCGTGGCTATCGCAGACACCTTCAAACCGTGCTCGATTGTTTCCAGAACGCCTCCTGTTTCGAGCACTTTGTTGGCACTCTCTTCGCGTTCGAGCGTCCAATCCCAGATGACTATTTTTCCATCCAAACCTCCAGAGATGATTTTCGATCCCTCGTGTCTAGGCAAAAATTGCGCGTAAGAACACGCGTGGGTGTGACCGAATCGAGAACCATCCTCTTTCATCGCCTCGCCTAAGTGTATGGCGGAGAAATTCTGTAAAGGCATGGCGCTGCCGCCGCTCTTCTTTTTGCCGTTGGACGTATTCTTCTTTGAGGAACCTGTTTTACCATCTAAATCTAATACCGAGACAATACCATCACCTCTTGCCACAACGCACAAACGTTTCATGCTACCAATGCTAATATTGCTGTTACTGCTACTACTATTAATACTATTACTACCAACGAACGTATCCTCCTCCCAACATTTCATGGAGTTTATGAACGGCGGATTGAACGCCGTAGACGTCGATTCAACGAACGCTTCGTTTCCTTTTCGTGCCGATTGCACCTCTTTTATTTTCCACACGTTTAGCTCTTTGTTCTTGCGATTAATCTCCCATTTTTTCACCGTACAGTCGTATCCAGCAGAGATGATCTCCTCAGGTTTGTGCGCTCGAAAGCTCACAGCCGTGGCGCACCCGCTCGAGGCGTCGCCGTGCGCGTTCTTAAACGTTTGCATGAGTGGGAATTCTTCTCCTCCATCTTCTCTCATCGCTAAACTCACTACGTTTACATCACCACTGTCGTCAGCTACGGCCATCCTGTGACACTTTGCATCAAGCGCTAACGCACTAACATCGTCTGAAAAAGTTCTCGAAAATATTTTTGACTTTGTTTGTTGTACGTCGTCGTCGTTCGAGGAGGAGGAGGAAGTAGTTTTACGTCTGTCGTGCATTTCGAGCACCGCGTTACGGGCAAAATAAACGTATCTTTCCGGATCTATTGCATCGAACAAACACGCTCCAATCTCCTCGCCTTTGAATCTCCACTTTTGTTGTTGTTGTTGTTGTTGTTGTTGTTTTTCTTTTCCTTCAATGTCTTTGTTTCGGGAGACAGTTGACAAACGCAAGTCGGTGATGAAAACGTGGCCGCACTCTGTTCCCGCGAGAACAAGCGAGGATTGACGAGCGCGATCGACGCAGAGTGTGCCTTTCCGTATGGTCCCTGGCAGGTCATTTACGAGCGTTCGTGAACGACTCGTGGTCGTTGTAGTCGCTCCGCCGCTCATTCTAAACAAAAATACGCGAGTAATTTTTAGTAAAGATGAGAGCGCGAATGAGTGAGGAAAACGCGCGAGGGGGACAGACAAATCACAACAACAAGGAGAGGGTATGAATCGAAACTTATATATTTTGTTAATCGTACATGTACAGATAGGCATTTTCGATATCATTATTCAACGCGAACAGACACTATTTCTCCTTCATTTTCTTCATTCTTTTGGAATGAGCTTTCTTTCAGGCGTTCCTGGACGCGGCGCCGCACGACTGAGCGTCGTCGCTCCACCTTGAGAAGATAGGTCGCCGCCTAACAAATCTCTATAATCCAACTGTTTATCGCCGTTGATATCCAAACGCATAAACTTTCTCCTAATTTCTTCTACATCCTCTGAATCTACTTTACCGCTCGCTAATAACATGGCGACGAGGAAATCGAATTCGCTCGCGTACCCTTTCTTTCCACCGATATCAATCAGCGTTTGCGCAGTGAGCTGAAAAGATTCCACGGCGGACTCATCCTCCAACGATTGGTACAACGTGTTCTTCGCAATCAACGATAACGAGTACGTCACCAAACCTATCGAGCACAAGCCATATGCACACGTAAAAAGTCTACCGGGGTCGGTGACGGGATAGATATCCCCGTAACCAACAGTTGTTGTGGTGACAACAGCCCAATAAATACAATCGAGATACGTGTGTCCTTCGATGGCGTGGAAAATCGCTGCTCCGGAAATCACCACCGCGAGAAGCATTCCTACGGCGTACCACACAGAATTTTTTCTCATGCTTTGGATATCCTCGGTCACTTTTTGCGTTGACTTTTCGTGGCTGCCTTTTTGCAACAAGTTTGGTTCGTACTCTTCCGTACCTTTCATTTTATGCGACGAGACGATGGCTTCTCGCAAGGTGACCAAGTCCTCTTCAATTTCGCGGCTACGCTTTTCTTCGAGTTTCCCTCGAACATCTTTCGCCTTGACAAGAAACCACATCGTCAAACGATCAAATACAGAAGCAACGATTACAATTCCCGTAAATATCAAAACCATGATGTATATTTTACCGCCGTCGGAGACTGGGTAATAATCGCCGTACCCGATGGCCATGATGGTTACAGCGACGAAGTAAAACGCTTTCACGAAGGAACCACTAAACGCCGGTTCGTTCGGATCCGTCATCAGAATAACCACCGATATGCCAATGTAGCAGGCAAAAATAGGCAAGGTCCAATCGATGACGAAGTTTGCTAACGCACTTCTCTCGCTCCGTTTATTCTTCGCGTTTAATCTCCACTTAGACAAATTGTCCACCAGCCTTCTCCTCCGAAAAGGAAACGTTTTGTTGGTGGAATCGTCGTGCGCGTCACCACCATACTTCGTGGACGGCGAGCCGTTGTTCGAACCACGACCAATCCCTGATGAACGCATGGCGTACGGATCGTACGCATCGTCCTCTTCGAACGAGTTGTCGTTCGAGTTACTCTTGCTCACGGTCCCGTACGTGGACGCGCCTTGGGTTATAGATTTCTTTTCAGCCATCCTCGCGTTCTTTTTGTCCTTCACGAATTTTGTGTTTACGAGACGATTTTACGAATACGACGATTCTTTATTTATGCTTAATTATATACACACTCGCTCGATCGACGACGTAAGAACGACGACGACGATTCTTTTATTCACTCTGTCTGCTTTTGTAGGAGTGAATGAAGTGCGTGTGTTGCTCCTTATTTTTGCGGAGATGATTAAAGAAATTGGCCGCGGTCTCTTTTTTTTTTACTTTGGTGTTTAGGGTGGTGACAAAACGAGGAAAACGAAGAGAGCAGAACAAATTTCCCCCAGTTTTGTTTGATTGATGCACACGCCACAAAACATACAAACATCATGTTTTTCCGTATTCTCCCCTCTCTCTTCTACTCCTACGTATCGTCGTTATCACAACAACAACAATTATCACAACAACAACAACAACAACAACAACAAAAGAGTAATAATAACTTTCCTTTGCCTCCTCAACTGTGCATTGCGCTCGTGTTTCTTCTCATCGACGCTCTGAAATTTGTTTTCCACGAGAAAACGGGCGAAATTTGGTCGTTACAGAGAAGAATAAAAACTTTAAACAACACGATCGGAAGAGAAGCAGACGAGAAACGAAAAGAGGAGCTGAGGAAGAAAGAGAAAGAGTTGCTGACCAAACGAACGCCGTTGATGCGAAAACTAATGAGCTTTGGACACTATCTCTCGTGGTTAAAGTTTCTCATCTCCTCAGCCTTCATAAAGAATTTCTTCGGTGTGCCTCTCTTCGAGGTGCCGAGAGTTTTAGTCTGGCCATTGGGAAGATTTTTAGCGTTTCCTCACGGTAACACCTTTGAGTTTGGCCAAATAGCGGTCATTCCGTGGGTGTGTCTCTCCAGCGTGTGTAGCGTACAACTGACGAACGTGTTGTTGGGACCGTTTATTCTTATGTGCTGCTCTTCTTCTTTGGTCGTTTTTGGTCGTCGGCGCCGAAGAGATTTGACTTTGTAGCATAGACGTTAGTTGGTACTTTATTAACAGAGATGAGTCCGACGACTGACTCCTTTACGCGCGCGGGTGTGTAACTGGTAGCGTCGTCGTCGTCGTCGTCGTCGTCGTCTTCGTAGATTATTATTAGCGTTTAGTAATAGAGAATAGGAACTTGAGAGTTTAACAAAACAACAACCTTTTGTGACCTTTTCTTCTTCTTCTTCTTCTTCTCCTTCTTCTTCTATCAAACCTCACTCTCTTTTCCTCTGCTCTACGAAAAACATAAGATGGGATTCCAAAAGTCCTCCGCGGCTGGTAAGAAGAAGAAGAAAAAGAGCAGCGGCAGCAGTAACAGTTCGTCCGCAGTGAAGATATCGTCGCAAACGCCAATTTTCGGATCCATCGAAGACGGCGACGAAGAGGAATTCGATTTGGTTTTACGAGAGAATCCCGACGCCATCAGCGAACGTAACAAAAACGGTTGGAGTCCTTTACACCAAGCGTGCTTCTCGGACAGAGCAGAGTTTGCGAGAAAACTCGTCGAGCTAGTCGGCGAAGAGAACAGAGTTGCTTACATCAACGCGCCGTGTAAAGATGGAGATACTCCTTTGCACTACGCCGCCTGTCAAGACGCCGTCTCGTGCGTAGAATTCTTACTCTACCAAAAAGGCATAGAGTTAGAGTGGAAAGACTTGGACGGCGAAACAGCCTTGGACGTTGCGCGGCCGAAAGCGAAGAGATTAATAAAGGAAAGATTAGAAAAAATAGCAACAAACAGTACAGACGAGGCGGTGATGATGACGACGTGATTGAGAGAGGTAAGAAGTTCCTCAAAAGGATTCTGATTTTTCTAGTCGCTGCGCGCGCAATTGTCAGTGTATCGTTCGTAAAAATAAAATGAACAGTACTGTAACCGAGTATATGAAACTACATCTTATTCTTCTTCTCTTCTATTCAAAGTGTTTCTTACTATTCGAAGAAAAGATTCTCCCTGAAAGCGTGCGTCGCGAAATCTGGAGAGCTGAGATGCACTCTCCGAAACGCGTTGTGTTCTTGTTGTTGTGGCGGTTCGTGCGCCATCTCCTCTGCTCCTTCCTCCTCTTGCGCATCGCGCGATGACGCTTTCTTTTTAAGAGTACTACTAATCCCTCCCAGACCCGCTGCATTCCAAGCCATACCAGTCAAGATGACAAACATGAACGAAAGAATAACATTCTCTCGTCTGCGTGCCTGCGCGCGACTGTTTTCAAACTCCTTCAGCGCACCCATCAAGGCGTGCTCGGACTTTGTGAATCTATCCGCTTGCCTCTCCGTTTCTTTGTCGCACTTCGACGCAGATTTTTCCATCCTTCTCGCGGCTTCATTCAACGCGTTCGAAGAGTTTGTCACCACCGCAGCAATCTCATCGATTTCTTTATTTAAATCGTCCAACGCACCAGCGTATCGCTCGTTCAAGCTTTCGATGTAACGGTCAAGCACAGATTGGTTCAATTCCAAATCTTTCACTTTCTGCGCGAGTTTACGGAAAACGTTTTCGGAACCTTTACCGCCTCCTCCGGGTTGCGAAGCCGCTGCGGCCGCTGCTGCCGCCGCCGCTGCCGCCGGCGTCGAAGCACCTTCAGATGAAGAAGCAGAAGCGCCGCTCTCGTTCGATTTCGTCTTATTGCTGAGGGACGACGATGATGGCGGCGGTTTCATCTGGCCAGCAGATGAGGCGTTGGAATTTTCTTCACTCGTCGCGTCAGCCTCGGGAACTTCCGTAGCAAGCGTTGCGTTCGCAGAAGTAGTGGTAGTAGCAGCGCTAGAAGAAGGGGTGGATGTGCCACTATTCTCTCTCGTGTCGCGCGAAGACTTATTGGCTGTTGCCGCCTGCTCATCCTTTGAGGGCAATGTATCTTGCATCGCCGCGTTCACTTCCTCCTCGTTCACTTCATTTTTTTTCACATTGTTGGTGGCAGCAGCGACCGACTCGCCGCCGGGTGAATCAGTTTTACTTGTACTACCACTACCATCACTACTACCTTTCGAATTCTTCTTTGTTTTCAAATCTTCTTCGCTTTCCCGAGCTGACACATCGGTAGTACTCGAAGGCTTATTCCCACCATTATCAGTTGCATTCTCGTTATTCCCGTCGCCGTCGAGGTTCTCGTCGCGAGTAATTCCCACAACATCGGCGTCGTCAACATCAGACAAGGCAGAACCGTCCAACGCATCGTTGTTGCTATTCTCTCCTTCCTCGAAAGATGCCGATGCTTCTGCTTCCTCAGTCTCGTCCGTTTCGCGAAACAATTGCTCTACTTCCTCAACCTCTTCTTGTAACCTCTCCATTTCTTCCCGAAGCGTCTCTTTGGCATCTTTACCGTGAACGCGAAAAAGAGAAACCGTACAAAAGTGATGAGATCCAAAATGCGTCAAGAAGCGAAGCTGTACGTATCGCACCCATTCGTTCGCGGGAATGGAAAACTTTTGCGGCTCTCTCGACCGCGAGGCTTCACAAGTAGCGAGCTTTTTCCAACCGTCCTTATCGCTGTGATGACCGTCCGTACCCCAAATTTCAAAGTCGTGCATGCCGGAAGAGTGAAATTCGTAGTCGGCGACGATAACTTGTGTCAAAGTTGCTTCTTCGGAGAGTTCGACAGTTACCCATTTGCTTTCTGCGTTGCACGGAGATATGTAATACGAGTCCATATCTTCTGAAAGCATCGCAGAAGCGTGCTTCGACTCCTCGTTACTCGAGATAACTTTTGCTCCATTTCGGACCGAGGCTAAATTATACTTTTCTCGGTCTTCTTTGGTGACGGATTGAGGATGTATAATTTTATTGGCCATGTCATCATCATCATCATCATCGTCGTCTTCATCATTTGCATCGCTTGCTTTGCTGTCTTCGCTGTCAAGATGGTTGTTCTCCTTCGAATCTGCAACGTTATTATGCTCGTCAGCACTGCTCTTATCAATCTCCGCTTCTACTTTTGTGCTGCTCTCAGACGACGAAGCCGCCGCGTTCACATCTAATGCGGATGTTTCAGATTCCTCGGATTTTTCCGCCGCGCTCTTTGTATGCTCAGTCTCATCGGCCGCTTTTTCGATGCCGTCATTCCCTGCGTGCTCTTCGTTTCTATTTGTCTCCGTTTCTCTGTCTCCTTTATTTTCGGAAGTCTTTGCACTCGACGCCGTCTCCTTGTTCGCGACTTGTGCTTTTTCAGTCTTCTCGATGTCCGTTTTCTCGTTCGCACCCTTTTCATCTCCATCAGAAGCTTTTTTCTCCGACGATGCAGTGGTAGATGATAATGACGACGACGACGACGACGACGACGCTGATGATGCAGACTGTTCCTCCGCGAGAGTGGCATCATCCGAAACGGAAATTCCGGATTTGGTGGATTCATCTGCTTCCTCTCCAGGTGTAGACGAGTTCAGGTCTTTCTCGCCGTTGCTCGCGACCACCACCACTGGTTGTTGTTCGCCGCCGCTGCTAATATTCTCGCCACTTTTCGTTGCTTTTTTAGCCTTCTTCTCCAACGCTCGTTTTTGCTGAAGTTGTTCTTGCACGGATGTTTTGTACGCCTTCAATGAGGGCAAGACTTCGCGCTCTGTCTTCTCCCTCTTTTTCAACAGCGGCACGGGACCAATCTTTTCGTCTTCGTCGTCGCCTTCGTCGCCTTCCTTCTGGACGTCGTAAACGCAGAATTCATCTTCTAACGGTGACTTTTGCAGTACGAACGAGGCAAATTCTACGCGCGAGTACACCTTCGACCGTCGCTCGGCGTATTCCTTTTCCTTTTGTTTGTTTGATTCCTCCGCGGTGGCGTCTTTAAGAATAGTTGCCAACACGGGAGGCGCTCCTACTTCTGTGGTGCCAATTTCTCCAGCTTTCCTCGCGGCGTTGTCAGCAGAAGAGACCCCGGGTTCACTTGCCTCTTTTGCGAGCACGTATTGAACAAAGACTGATTCCTCATCGTTGAAAATCAAAAATGAGAGGAGGAAGAGAAGAAGTGCGCCCCATCGACGCGTCAGAAATTGTTGGCGCATCATTTTTGTTGTTCAGTCGATTCTCTCGGTGACGATTCTCTTTCTTTTCTTCTCTTTCTTTCCTTCTCTCTCTCACGTGGGAGTAATCGCAAACATGATGTTGTATCTGGCGCGTTATGGCTCTGTTTCACACTCACTTCTTCTTCTTCTTCTTTTTCCCTTCGATAATGATAACAACCCGGAGTTTTGCTCTCCACTACCTTTTCTCGCTGTTCGCTGTTGAATGCGTTGAATTTTTGTGGGTGCAGGTCACGTCGTTTTTGTCTTCTTATTAAAATGTTGCCTCGCCTCCTGCTCATGCTCCAAAAATTCAGCTTCTCAAAAACGCGTATCTCTGTCTATTGTATTTATGAGCAGACTCGCATCTCTACCGCGCACATTATTTGCGAATAGAGTATCACGGTTATCTTTCGCTGGGAAAGAAAGAAATCGAGTGAGGAGAGATAGGACGATGGCATTTTCTCCGTCAGCGGAAAGTCTTCCATCCCCGTCATGGAAGAATGATAAAAGCGCAGCAGCTCTAGTGCGTGGATTGAGAGAGGCTGTGGAATCATGCAACGATGTGACGGAAGAGGATTTATCTTCGAACAAGTTTATTGATTTACTAGTGAGCGGTTCGCACGTCGGTCACGTGCGACCCGACTTTGCAGAGGCGCTTGTAAAACACGGCAAATTGGAAGCAGCGGACGGATACGCTTTATTTAGCAAAAGTGAGAAGGGCGTTGTTTGCTTCGATAGTGAGAATAGATACGCAAGCTCTGAGGAAAAGACACGCGTAGTTGCTGAAGTATTTGAAAAGATGAGAGAACTTTCTTTGATTCCTGGCTGGAGGAGTGAAATGTTCCCAGTCGTTTCGGATGAAGGTGATGTGTGCATGAACGTCGAGCGTGCCTCGGCATCGTTATTAGGTATAAAAGCGTTCGGCGTACATGTAAATGGGTACGTCAATAGTAATAGTAGTGGTAATAGTGAATCAAAAGTATTGCTTTGGGTCGGGACGAGGTCAAAAGATAAACAGACGTTCCCTGGCATGCTTGATCATTTGAGTGCGGGTGGGTTACCCGCCGGGATGGCTCCGACAATATGCGCGGTAAAAGAGCTCGCTGAAGAAGCTGGGGTTCCCGAAAAATACTCGGAGGAAAATGTCAAATCGGTTTCGTGCGTCTCGTATCGCATGTTTTACAAAGAGTGCGTGAAAAGGGACGTATTATTCTGTTACGATTTGGAACTAGGCGAATCATTCGTTCCGAAGCCCGTTGATGGTGAGGTCGAGTCGTTTGAATTACTTCCGCTTGAGCGAGTGTGCGAAATCATCGCGTTTGAACCAGGGCGATTCAAACCGAACTGTGTTCTCGTCATTATTGATTTCGCGATTCGGAAAGGAATAGTAACGTGCGACATGCCCGGGTTCCCAGAGTTAGTTAAAGCGTTGCGTCGATGACGTGAGTGCTTTTGTGATGCGCGCTTATGCTTTTCCTATTATATTTTGTAAATCAATCCTAATAAGTACTATTATTCGACATTCTCGCGTTTAGGTTCTTCGGAGGCGGTAGTGAAACCAACACTAGCATCGGCAGAAGTGGCGGTACAAAGAGGAAGAATTGGCGTTACCAATGTTGTTGTCGGTGGTGGTAGTGGTGTCGCTGCTGCTGGTTCTGCAGTTGTTGGTGGTGCTATCGTCGTTGTCGTTACCGCAGCCACCTTCTTTGGAATAGGTAAAAGTCCTTTCGTCTGTAATATCGCGGTGCGCTTGCGTTCATAGAACGCCTTTTCTTTCGGGCCTCCGGCGCAAGCATCGCAAAACCAATGCTCACACGAGGGAATTTCATCTAATCCGACGCAATACGTGTGCAAACTCCCGTCGCAACCATCACAGATGAGCATTTTCTCTTCGTCATCGCCGCTTTGGCATTTTGAACACAGCATCGTCATCAAAGAGTCAATTGTCGTCCCATACACCACGGCTCCTGGTACTAAATCTTCCACTTTGACATCGCCGACATCCACATCTTCCAAAAGCGGCGTGTTTATGCACCGTTTCTTCAGCTTAGGGTTCAAGCAAGTCCTGCAAGTGCCACATTTAAACGCTTTCCCATCTGGGCCTTTCGCGTACAAATGGTTTAAAGATCTCTTCTTCTTGTTGTTGTTCTGACCAGGCTGTTTCGGTTGCGCCCCCGGCTTCGCCACCGACGCCGTTTCCTTCTTATGCTTCCCTATTCCTGCACTAGTTTTACCGCGCTTCTTCTTCCTAAATGTTCTCGCGAAACCAACAGAGGATGTCGTACCAGTTGACATCAATCCTTCGACCTCGTCTAAAAATCCAAACGTCTGTTCTTTGGTCTCGCGCATCCCCATGTCCTGCTCCTGTCCTTCTTTCAAAGCAGCAAAATCCGCTTGCGTTTCTCGCAAAGCGTCGTCAAACCACGGTGAGCCATACATTTTAGCGTAGTTTTTAAAACTCCACTGCATTGTTGTCGGCCAATTTCTCGACGCGTTTTCTCGCAAAATTCGGAACAATTGTTTTCGATCCGTTTTCACGTAGGCGCCGCCGTTGTTGTACGCAGATTCTACATCTGGCAACGACAGAGTACCTCGTCTGTCGGCGGAAAGAGAAGCAGTCGGGTCGTAAATTGTTTGTTTAAACCACGAGCACATTTGACCCCACGGGTAATGCGGCTGATACTTTTTCGTAAGTGTATTTTTTACGTGAATAGAAATTTTGCTCGCCGTTTGTTTACATCCTGGATCGTGTTCGCGAAGCTGCACGGGAGGCGACATGAAGCCGACAAACTTTTCAGGCGTGAACCATCGCTGAGTACGCGCGTACATGAGTAGAAGATCTGCGCACGCGCAGTGTTCGATACCCAAGTTTCGAATGGAATCCGATACTTCAGCGAGCCATTGTTTGGCTTCGCTCGCCGTCGACGGCGTCATTTTCGATTTTGCGATGATGTCGTCGAGAACCTGTGTCGGATTACCCGTAAAAGTCCGGGTCGTTTTCTTCTCCTTTATCTTCTTCGCAGAGATGGTGTTTGGAACTTCATCTTGTCCAACTGATGACGGAACAGCAGCCAGTGTGGATGCCTGATTCGTATTTATTTTTTTCAAAGGAGGGAGATCGTATCCTTCCGACAACGCCATAGCAATAGCGTGGTCGTCCGCAGTTGAGTCATCCACTGGGCCAGAATTTTGTTCCTTCGTGATCTCTTCTGTTACAGTTGGAGCAAAATCATTCGCTCTTTCTCCTTCTTCTGTTACAGTCGCGATTGTGAGAGTTGCCGTCGTCGTTGTCGTCGTTGTCGTCCCCGCCGCCGTCGTCGTCACAATTTCATCTGATATTTTTTCTCCCTGGCTCGCTTCTTTCTGTGCCTCTTCTTCTTCGATTTTTTCTTCTTTCATCGGCTCCTCCGTCGTAGTTAACGTAAGATTCGCGTCCATCTCCTCAACTTTCGGTGGTAATACTTCCGCAGGAGCAGTGCTCGTTTCCACGACGGCAGCCCTAGTGTCTCGCGAACCCTTTCTTCGAGGTACATTCTTCAGTATACCGCACGCTTTCGAGAGTGCGCCAATCGCGCGCACGAGAATCGATTCTGAACCTGTCCACAAATGTTCGATGATATCCGCCTCAGTAGCTTCCCGCATGAAAGGTTTATCGGACTGCTCAGGTTGTCTCAAGAAGTACTTGATCTTGTCGAGTGTTACGACAATATTCTGTAATCGCGTTGCGACGACACCGTAGGTTTCAGCCTTTGCCCCTTCTAGATTATACTTCACTCCCTTTTGCATGGGCAGATTGCACAGCGCCTCGGGAAGTAATTTCTCCTCCAATTGCACATATCGCAAAATCAAAGATGCCCACTTTACGAGCCAATCTGGTGCTCTTTCACCTGAGAGGGTATTCAATGCGGAATCTCGAATGCCATAATCAGAGAGGAGAGCTAAATCTTCATCAGTCAGCGGTTCCGAGCACGCTCGACAGAGCATAGCGTTTCGATGCAAAAAGTTGTGCTTCTCGTTCATCACCGCGGTAAACGTGGAACTCCCCGCGTAAGAAAGAAACGAGCCACGGCAGTTAGGACTCGAACACAAACAAATAGCCGCTCGAAATTCTTTCTCGCTTTCCGTCACACACGAATAATCCCAGCACAACTCTTCGCCGCATTCGATCTTGGAGTTGGTATAAACTCCTATTGAAAGCTTCCCCTCGTGCGAAATTACCGTGGTTTGACAATTCCCCGCACAAGAATGTGACATTCGAGAAGCAAATTCGCATTCATGCATGGCTTCTACGAATACCGTATCTTTACCTCGAACATCATCTTTCGGTCTCTCCAAAGTGATATTAAAAAACGAGGGAAGCTCTTGATTGGGATTGCGCTTCTTCATCGCGTCGCAACGTTCGTACCATCGCCAGGGAGAATACATCTCGCCGAGATAATGATTAACAAACATACCCGGTTGTAAACCTTCTTTACGGATGCAAACCACACCTACGCCTTTTGGATGCAATCGATAATGCCGCCGCAAAGTTCGCGGATCGATCTCTTCTCCTTCTCCTTCTTCTTCTTCTTCTTCGTTCTTCACTTCCGCTCTATTTTTAGCGGAAACAATGTCGACGTTCTCGTCGACGTCCATTGCCGTCGCCGCACCGTTCGTTTGAGTTCGCTCCGCATCGATTCCATCGGTAGGTCCCTCTTCAGCCGGCAATACACTTTCTTCGAAACCGCTGTTGTTAATATCGGCAGCAGTAGTTGTGGTGGTAATGACTTCATTGTTCCCGCTCCTGGTAGTTCGACCTGATTTTGAAGCAGCGCTTGTGAGCTGCTGCGCTTGTTCGCCCGTTTGTTGCGGATCTTTCGCAGATCTCTTCCCGTCTTTTGTGTGCACTTCGGCTTCGTCAATCTCTTTAATTGCACGAATCAAACACTCTGCCGCACCTTTTGTTTCCACATCCCGTTCTCTCTCCGAGTCTTCCGCGAGATTTTGCGCAGCTTTCTCCATGTCCCAACCTTCTTCATGTAACGCGTGCACCTTTGGCATGAGCTTTTTCGTCAAAAACTTTTCTCGTTTCTTGATATTTTCTGGTCCCTGATATCCTTCTGCTTGCGAAACTGCCGCCAGAACCGCCGCGCGAGTGTAACAGTCCATACCCCATAAATGCCGAATCTCGATATCTTCGCCCAGTTTCAAGGGCACGTGATTCGAAACATCTGGTCGCGCCCACTTCGCCCACGCCGGTAACTCTTCAAAGCTAAGCGTTTGCGGCTTTTCAACATCGGTCGTACCGTTGATAGCCCCGTTCGTGTTGCAATAATCGTGCGTACCATTAATCGTCTCCTCTTTCGCCGATGACTTTTGTGATGGACACAGTGGAACACGATTTTGTCGGTGCGCGTCTAACACGTCTTGGAACTCCTTCGGAATCGGCGGAATGTCCGTCCACCCGGGTGGTAAAGACGTATTTAACTTTTCTTCGATATATTTCGCGTCCAGTTCTGGCATATCCGGCGCCGGTTCGTACTTCTTTAAGGCTTTGTAAGGAATCGGTTCGAACGGCGTTCTCCTCCACGTCGGCGTGGTGAAGTACGGTTCCGTCGATTCGGCTTGCCGCAAAAGGTTCACGACGTTTCGCACGAACGGCGAAACCTGGTTGAAGACTGCTTTCTTCCCTTTCTTCTTTTTCTTCGCCTTCTTCACGTCTGTTTCTATTGTCGTTGTCGTCGTCGTCGGTGCTTCTTCGTCTCCTCCTTCTTCCTCTTTGTTCATTTCACTTCTTTCCTTCTTTTCCTCCTCCCCGGGGAAATCTTCTTCTTCCACTCGCTGTTGCTGCTCTTCTTCTCCTCCTTCTCCTTCTCGCGTCTCTTCTTTCTCCGCTTCTTTCGTTGCATCAGGAAGAGGGGGAGAAGGCTCCGCGCCGTTCAAAAAGGACCCCTGAGTCTCCATCTTTATCAAAGCGCTCTGCAGAGCGCGCTGAATTTTTGAAAACTTTGTGTGTCTGTCTGGCCGGCTGTCGCAAAAAATTCAAAATCAAGCCAAACTTTTTTGTTGTTTGTTTTGGAACAAACACACACAAAACTGAACAAAAAGCCTTCGCAAAGTTGCTCGCAACGTAACGTAACGCGACAGCGATGGGGAGTGGTAAGAAAAAGAAAAAGAAGAACTCGAATCAGAACAACAACAACAACAACAACAATAACACTCCGCAAAGTGCCGCTCGCCAAACTTCTAATGACGCGGCTTTGGCGGACACACCAGAAACACCGAAATTTATTGAAGACCACTTCACTCGTCAAAACGAAATTCAAAAGTCTGTCGAAGTAATAACAAACTCGCCGTTTCCATCTCCTATACTCTCACCAACGCCTACGCCAGCAAAGAAAGTGGTCCCGAAATCAACACTAAATGAGACAAAGTCAACCGATTCAATACCAGCCGAAGCAGAGATAGAAGAAGAACGAGATGAAGTCACTGAAAAAAAGTTGCATTTTATTCACGAGGCAGAAGAAAATACGACAACATCAACAACAACTGCGGTTACTTCACCTTCACCGTCGCAAGCGAGTGTGGGGACCAAAATTGATAAAATCGAGAGTCGAATAGCGGCAGATCCAATACATTCGCAAAGGACACAAACGACTACGCAGACATCCACGACGCTTCTTTTGGAAACGAATCGAGACCTGCGCTCGGCACTCGCAGACAGCATAAGCGAACTCGCCTCCCTGGAAGAGGAGAACGAGCGATTGAATGAACAAGTACGGAAAGAAATAGATATAGAGCGTCCAAAACTGATTGCTGAAGCGTGCGAGGACTTGTCGGAGCGATTGCAAAGAGCAGAAGTGGCGATTGAAAGAGAGCGACGAGAGGCGACGAATGGGAAGTTTGCCTTGACAGAGTTACACGCAACCAAACAAAAGCTCGCGGATGCGTTACAACTAGTGAAAGAGAGTAGAAAGAGTAACGCGAATAGCGGTGAAGAAAAGGCGAACGAAAACGAGGAAATGACAAATGTAGAAACAGAACGAATACGCGTCATGAAGGAAGCGTTGGAGAAAGCCGAAGACAAGGTGCTGGTGATGTTTGCCGATTTGAGTGCGACAAAGGTTGAATTAAATCGTCTTCGAGAAGAAAATACTGAATTAAAAACGAAACATGCGCTCTTGGAAACTAAACTGGAAGATATGCATAACCAGAGAGAGCAAGAGAAGGGAAAGGAAAAGGATTCTGCGCCAGATACAAACGACACGCGAGGGAATGTAGAACACCGCCACGAACATCAACACCAAATAATGATGTCTCCGCGAGCGGTAAAAGAGGAATTAGAACTCGCAAGTCTCATGAAGAAGAACGCGGAGATGCGAGATAGAGAGTCGCACAAGAAAATGGAGGAAGCTGAGAGACAAAAGGACGCGGCGGTGAAGGTTGTGGAGAAATTGCGGACTGAGAATGAAGAGATAAGACGCGAGAACGAGAAGTTGAGACGACGATTTCTTCTCGAGCAAGATAGTAGTAACATCGGTCAAGACGTGGAATTAGCAAGGAACGATAAAGTCCATAGCGGTACTGAGAGAGCAGAAAAGATAAGCGAGAAAACATCTGTAACGAAGAAAGTTGCAGTCGTCGTCGCGAAGAAGCGGGAGAGACCAAGCGTATTAAGACTGCCGAGCTTTGCGTGGTATTTCATATCGGGTAGCGATAAAGCGCCGGAATTCCGCATCGAGGAAGATGATAGTAATTAGAATTGTGTACTCAATAGTAAGTAGCTTCAAAACTTTGTCTCACTAGTAAACTAGCTACAGTACGCTTACTTATTACAACCACGCACACACACACACATGCACTTCAAGCCGTTTCTTTTATTTGTGGAGCTGTGTTGATAACACATACGGGGATGCACGCGTTTGCGACGACATATTTGCAAACACTTCCGAGAAAGAATTCTGCAATGCCGCTTCTGTTGTGCGCAGCCAACGCGACGAGAGTGTATACTTTCCCCGAGAAACGAAGGCATCGTTCGCAAATGATTGACGATATTGTTTTATTCGACATCTTTGCCAACTCCACTGCTTCCACCGAAAACGCGACTTCATTTTTCTCACAAATCTCCCTGAACCATCGTTCAATAGAGAGTTCAGTTGCTTTGCAACGCGAGGCGTTCTGTGACAAAGTGCTCGAGTACTCGCTCACTTCCTTCCTCGGTATAATCGTCAAGAAATGAATACTGCTTTCCTTCGGCTTGATCAAATGCTTCAACACAAACTCTGTTGATATCTTCGAGTGCTGGTGAGAAGCGATATCGATAGGAACGAGAATCCTTCTCTCCTTGACGGTCGCACATACCGGCTTAATGCTCACTTCTTCGGTTGTTTTAATAACAGGCGCTTCATTATTATCCATCGCGCGTCTTCAGCGTCTCCTTTGGTACGTTCAAGTAGGTTCGTCGCGGCGCGCTCACAGGACGCAAGAAGCAGCAGCGATATTTTGACGTCTTTTGTGTTCGTGTATTTTTATTTCAAGTGTTTTTCGATTTTTCAAAAGTGCGAGTTTATTACACGCGCGACGACCATCTATCCCCAAGTTGTATGTGTAAGTAATAACATTTGCGCTAAATCCTATTTTCGTATAGTATTTACAAAACTCCAAAGAATGGGTTCTTCAAGGCGTTATCGATTTCTATTCCAGCCTGTTGGAGTTCCGCGAGCGATATTTTTTCCTTTGGCAAATGTAAAACGTCTTCGCCGGCGTCGTTCTTCTGCTCGCAAAAGCCGCACGTTTTCAAAAACACGTCGCCATCGAACGCTTTCACTCTTTCCGAAAAAGCTTTGCCGTTTACTTTGAGTGTTCTGTATTTTTCGTACGCCTCGTCGCTCCGTTCGCATTCAAAATTTTTCGCGATGTTACCTAGATAAGCTAACAGCGTTTTGTAGCACCTTTCCACGCCAGCGGGATCGGTATCGTTGTGCTTCTTCTTCACGTCGACGAGTTTTTTTCGCAAATTCTCCGCGAGTTGCACGGGGCGCACGACTCCCACGCCTTGTTTTTCTTTTCTTTCCACCTCCTCTTTCACCTTTCGCGCCTTTTCTTCGTTTCGTTTCTTCTCTCGCTCGATTTCCTCCGGCGTCAACTCTTCCGGCAAACCGAGTTTCCTTCGTCTCTCTTTCTTATCTTCCTCGAGTTTCACTCTAATTTTCTCACGAGCTTTCTCTTCTTCTTGTTTTTCTATTCGTCGCAGCTCTGCGTTTCGTTTGAACTGCAGCGCTTCTTCTTTCTTTTTCGCCTCTAAGAGTTCCTTTCCAGACCGTATGCGTTCTTTTTCTCGCACTTTTTCCAACTCTGCTTCTTCCTTCTTTTTCTTTTCGGCGACATCTAAGCGAAGTTTCTCCGCAGCCACGCGCGCTTCTTCTTTCGAAAGTTTTTTCTTCACCGCTGCCGCGGCTTTCTTCTTCGAAACGAGCAGTTGTTCGTCCATTCCTTGGTCGTCTTGGTGTTCGGCGAGCCATTGCACGCACTGCTCGACTGAATCCGACTGCGTCGCGAATAAAACGCGCACGCATCGATTGTGCGCAAATCCCAGCTCCTTTAACTTTTCAACCATCTCTTTCGAAACTTCTGGCTCAACTTTTTCGTCGTCGTCGTCGTCGTCGTCGTCATCGTCGATGATCATGACGTCGTCGTCTTTACTTGAGCTTTTCTTCTTGAGAGGCAACCCGGCATCTTCGCGCATGTCGTTCTCCATCTTTCGAAACTCCTTGGCCGTTTGTACCACGTTGTCGCTCTCTTCGCACGGAACGAACACGCTGTGACCTTCGTTAAAGTTCGCGTGCAATTTCTGTTCCTCTAGGTTTCTGCATCGTTTCCCGCACTCTCGACACTTCATCGTTTTTATTGTTTCCGTTGACTCTGCAAAATCAGCGTGACCGGTCATCTCCCCGTGTGTTTGACACTCCTCCACGCTTTTCAAAAGAAGGCCGCAGACGTTACACTTGAGCGAAACCGCCTTCGCAGCCGACGACATTATTACTCGTTATTCACTTTTTCTTTTATCTTTCTTTCCTCGTTTTATATTATTATACGTTTGATAATAGTATGTAGTTGTTGTTAGTGAGTACCTGCTGCGTGTTTTTTGTATCTCCCGAGAGAGGGAGCTTCGATTTTGACGCATCCCCTACTTTTTTGTTCCTCCTTCAACGTTTCACAATAAGATATAAGAAACGAACTTCTTCTGTTTCTTGAGCTTATTCAAACTAAAACAGACTGTGCATATTTAAATGGAGTTCTCTTCCGCAACATCATCATCGACAGTTTCATTCGAGAACGCGACGGTTATTTTCCCTTGCGTGACGCACGGCAACGTCGGACAACTCGCGGCTGATTTATTGATTTTCAATCTGAAGCTGAAGTCAATCGGCGTTTTGTATCACCCTGATGTTCTTCCAGTTTGCGGCGCAGATCCATTTTCAGAGAATAACGAAGGGACGCCTGCATCGAGTTTAGAGATTTATGCGAACGAGGATGTGAGTTTAGTCGTCGTACAACAAAGAGGAGAAGTAATAAAAGGGTGTCAACGTAAATTTGCTCGAGAGGTGACGAGTTGGTTGAAAATTAAAAGATTTAAGAAGGTTCTTTTACTCGCATCGTTACCATCGACGGTTGGAGAGAAAGATAGCCAAATAGGCGGCACGATATGGCGAACGATCCAAACGCCGAACGTGGTCACCGAAAGTTATCCAAAAGCACAAGGTGAACGTGAAAGCAGCAGCATTGGTGATAGCGTCGATGGTAAAGCACCGATACGGCCTCTGGAATTTGAACAAATTCCAGAGGATTTAAAGAATAGACGCATTCCACCGTGGACATTCGTGTACGAGTGCATTAAGCAAACGCTGACAACACAATTTCTAGTCGCTTTGTGTTCCGAGGGCGATAACAGCGTAGATGCGGATAGAATGGCATCTCGTGCTTTAGAAATGATAGACAACGTAGGCTTATTCAATACGGCTGATTTGCTATTGCCGACGAACGAGTTACGGTGGGCGACGCCGCCGAGTTGGAAGAGAGTCTACGGCTCGTTGATTAAACGAAGCGTATTTGCATAAAAACTTAAAAATGAACTAGCTACAGTACGCTCACTTATTACAACCACGCACACACACACACATGCACTTATTGTTATACATTTTTTGAACGCTTAGATTGCCATTCTTTGTTGAATTCCTCATTTTCGTCTCTCTGAAAAGACACGCGGGAACAAAACAGGTTTCCTCGTCACAACTCACAAAAAAAGAACGCACAAAACGCGCGCGTATTAAACACACACGGATACGTTTAGGAGTACCACAACGAAGGAGGACATCGTCATCGTCACACCTTTCACTACTAATTAAAAACACTCGAGTTGACCGCCTTTAGCAGCAGCAGCACAAGCCCCTTCGTCCCAGGGACACCCGTTTTTTGCGCGCATTTACACTTTTGGGTAATACGGTTGCGGAGATGCTGGGTAAATGTGCCCTTGAGGAGATGCTGTAGCCGGTTGGTAAGTGTACCTCTGCGGAGGTGCTGTAGCCTGCGCAGGAGCCCATTGTTGAGGCTGAAAAGCGTATGAAGCCGGCATAGCCGGCACCGAAGGCCCGTTGCTGTGTATCACATGGTGCGTGACTTGTACCTGTGGCGGCACCCGCTTCTTCCTACAAATTACCTTCCATATAAAGCCAAAACAGCAAAGCAGGCATGGTATGAGAATGCCAAAGAAAAGCCCCATGTTGAGAGGGGAGCAGTCCCCACCACTGCAGGTCTTGCTCCTCTTATTTATTTCCTCCATCGCCGCACATGCGCACGTCGGTTGCATGGTGTCGTCGCACTCGCACTCGTCCGCGTTCATGTCGTACAATGTGCCCTGCAAGCTCGATTGAACAGACTTGAGATTGTAGGTGGTGGAGTCCGGATCTTGGGGCCCGTCGATGGCCCACGAGTAGTTTGCAATGTTCGCGTCTGTGCAGCTGGCGTAGTCGAATTTGCTTTCACTCGAGCCGCACTTGGATTCGGGTTTATATTCGCCCATGCTCAGTCTCAAAGCCTCGAGCGCGCATGCGTCGAGCGAGGCGGGTTCGCACCAACCCGTCGAACGGGCCAGGAGCTCTTCCTGCAACACGCCCTCCTTGCCCTCCGGCTCACAGTCGTCCCAGCATCCTCCCTCAACGCTATCCGTATTGCACGAGCCGCAGATGCCCGAGGTTGCGCACCAAGGCACCGGCCAGTCCGTGGTCGTGCAACCTGATAACATCTTTCCATGGTACGTGTACGTCTCTCGGCAGGTACACCCCCTCTGGGTCCTGGTGGAACCGGTTGGATCTGGAACTTTATTCTGGAGCAGGTCGCAAACGGTGGCATCCACCCCGGCGACTCCCATCATGTGCCACGGCTCACGGGTCTTGTCGTACACTGGAGCAACAACCGTGGTCATCGCCCCCCAGATGCTGGGAATCGACTCGTACGGCTCAGACCACGAGTAGCCTTCGACCTTGTTGAGAGTCTTGAAGAGGGCGTAGTACTTGTAGAAGGATATCATCGAGCGCTGCAGACCCGACTCGTCGCCGTCATTCGCTTGGGTGTAGATGGCGCCCGTCTTGCACGAGAGGTCTTTGAGACCCTGCGCGTCCACACCATCGCCGAGGCCAACGACAAAGAAGTGTTCGTCGCTGTGAGTGATCTGTCTATCCGTGATGGTACTCGTGGGGTTGCCGTCTCCTGTCCATTCGCCGTCCGTCACCAAAACGTAGGTTGTGTGACATCCCGCGCCATAGTTCTTCTCGTTCGAGTCGTCCACGAGCTTGAACGCCCTTTTAAACCCGTCAAGCATGTTTGTGCTTCCGCTGGGGCTGAATCCATCGATAAATCCGGAGAGAATCTCCTTAAACTCCGGCATGGCACGGGCCAGGGTGGTGAGATCGGCATAGGTACTTGCGTAGCTGTTGAACTCGACAATACCGATAAAATCGGCAAACGTGGTCGCGTCGAGCACGGCCTTCGCCGCTTGCTTGAGCATGTCGATGCGATTGTATTGGGACATGCTACCAGAGGTGTCCAGGATTAGAACCACGTTCTTGGGTCCGGTGGCGCCGGTCATGTGCCAGGGGCGGATGCGGGCATCGTAGGTGGTGCCACACGTGTCCTCAGCGATGTCCTCGTCCCAGACGATGCCCGGAAAGTTGATCAGGACCCCGTCCTTCGACCCGTAGAAGAGCCATTTCGCGTCGCCCAGCTCAATCATGCTGTCGTACAGACTCGTCAAGTTGGCGTTGATGTGATTCGCTTCGCACGCGGTGCGTTTCACAGAGTAGTCGCTCGCGCCAAGGTTCGGGGAGGTCTTGATGACGCTGTTCCTCGTGTCGATCGTCCTGCCCGCGTTGCACCCGCAGCCTCTGGAGTTGCCATAATTAAAGTGGCAAAACGGCTCGCTAAGCTCGGCACTGCACGAGGAGTAGATCTCGCACGTCGAGTTGTCGAACGTGCCGGTGTTGATGTCGACCGCGGCGGTCTCGAGGCTCAGCTTGAATTCGTCCAAAGCATCCTGCTTGTGATCCAGAGCGGCGTTGAGATCCGCCTGCGTCGCTGCCGAGGCAGTGCCTGCGAAGATATACAGCGCGAGCGCGAGAGAAAGTCTCATTTTCTTCCACGCGTTCCCCCAACTCTCGCAAACTTCCGCAACCAACACCCCCCACCCGCAAACTATACTAAGGTCCGTAACTTCGGGAACTTCTCGCGACTTCGGGAAAAACGACGACGAAAAAAATCGGTTTCTATTTCTTGACTTACGAGTGGAGCCGAAGGCGACTTTCGTTGATTGAGATGATTAACGGGGTAGAGGTACTTTTGCAATCTCATCGGGTGATAACTTTAGGCGGGTGTAGGGTAATTTTTTAGGGTTTAGGGTTTAGGGTTTAGGGTTTAGGGTTTAGGGTTTAGGGTTTAGGGTTTAGGGTTTAGGGTTTAGGGTTTAGGGTTTAGGGTTTAGGGTTTAGGGTTTAGGGTTTAGGGTTTAGGGTTTAGGGTTTAGGGTTTAGGGTTTAGGGTTTAGGGTTTAGGGTTTAGGGTTTAGGGTTTAGGGTTTAGGGTTTAGGGTTTAGGGTTTAGGGTTTAGGGTTTAGGGATGG